GTCACATCTACAGACTTAAAACTTTACACTCTAGTTTATTTAAAGAACAATAATTCTACGAATCTAAACTGAATTATCTCTTAATAATACATTACTCAAATCCCGGTCCCGAACCCATAGCATTTAACCAATCAGTTCCCAAAGTTTCACCAATCTCATCAAATTTTACTTCATCTCCATTAATAATGACACCATTATTATTTAAATTTTGACCATTTTGACCATTAATTCCATTTTGATTAATACCTGATGATGTAGTTGGTAAATTTTGAAAATCATCTAATAATAAATTCGTTGAAAAGAAAGAATCATCTATAACGTTGTTGTCGGTTGTTGTTGGGAATTTGAATTGATCTTGTAGAAATTTTTGATTATTTTGTGGCGGTGGAGGTTGTTGTTGTTGTGGTGGCTGAGGTGGTATTTGAACTTGTTGAACGGGTAATGATGAAAATAATGCTTCTAATTGAGCACTGTTGTCTCCAGATATTTGAGGAGGTATTGGTTGTTGTGGAAGTGGTTGTTGTTGCTGTTGTTGTTGTTGTTGTCGCTGAGCTGGTGGTTTTTGCTGTTGTTGTTGCAAATTAGGTTGAGGTTGTTGTAGATTTTGTTGTGGGTTCTGCGGTTGTTGGGAATCTTTTTGTTGTTGTTGTTGTTGTTGGTGTTGTTGTTGTAAATATCTTTGTCTTTGTAGATTGTTTTGATTTTCCATTTGTAAAAGAGTCATTTGATAAGCATCAAGTGATTGTATATTACTTTTAGCTCCTTGCTGTTGATTATTTGGTTGTTTTTGAGCTTGATTAGGTTGAGGTTGGTTATTAGCAATATTCAGTTTTGGTGATAAATTTTGGCTGTTTCTATGAGGAGTTGCACCGTTTCTTGTAGGTGGTGGTTGTGATGAGTTTGACGGTGTAGTTTTAGCTTGATTTTGACGTTGTTGTTGTGCTTGCAATTGTTGTTGTTGTTGTTGAGGTGTTAATTGTTGCGTAGGTATTGGTTGATTTATCATATTAGTTGAAGCTTGCATAGGATTTTGACCTTGAGTATTAGATATAAAGCCTGGAGGTTGCTGCATTCTTTGTTGATTTGATTGTTGCTGTTGTTGTTGTTGTTGTTGCTGGTGTTGTTGCATCATTGCTTGTTGTTGGAATTGTAGTTTTAATTGTTGTAGCCTAGCTTGTTGTTGCATTTGATTGACATTAGATTGATTTTGTTGTTGTTGTTGTTGAGGAGTTGTAGAATTGGTTTTATTAGTTGGAGTTTTGGCAGGTACTTGAACTGGTGTTCCTTGTTGTTGGTGGGGAGTAGTTGATTCAGTTGTTTTACTATTCTTCGCATTCTGACTTTTTGACCCTTTACGACCTTGGGTGTTAGGTTGAGATCTTTGTCGCTGATGTTGTGGTTTACTAGGTTGTGTCATTGGAGTTTGTTGCTGAGAGGAAGGTGCCTGTTGTTGTGATGGTTGTTGAGATGACTGTCGAGATATTTGTTGTAGACCTTGTGTAGCAGTTGGTTGAGGTTGCCCTGGTTTTGGTTTTTGTTGCAGTTGTTGTTGTTGTTGTTGTTGTTGCTGAGATTGCGGGTTATTTTGAAGTGGGATTTGATGTTGTGGTTGTTGTCTGGGAGGTTGTTGCAAATTCATCTGCTGGTTCATCTGCTGATTCATTTGTTGGTTCATTTGTTGATTCATTTGTTGTAAATGTTGATGTTGCTGTTGTTGTTGCTGAAATTGTTGAGTTTGTTGAGCTTGTTGTTGTTGTTGCCTTTGAATCATTCTTTTCTGTAATAAAATTTGTTGTTGTGGTGATAATAGATTATTATTTAAAACAGGATTTAATTGAGGATTAATTGCGCTTTGCATACTCCATAAAACAGACCACCATTCTTGTAAAAATTCTTCATCTTGTTCATCATTATAATTATTTGAATAATTGGAATCTTTTTGTTTTTTATTTTGAATCAATTGTGGTGGTGGTGCAGTTTTAGTTTCTAATAATAATGAAGAAGCTGTTTCATCATGACCATTTTTTTTCAAATACGAATATAATTGATGTATTAGCAATTGATGAGAATTATTGGGAGGATTTGATGACATCGTTTTCTTGTGACTATTTTAATTCATTTATCCGAATAGTAAAGTAATGATGATAATTTAATTGATGATACAAAAATTTCTTTTGGTGTAATTATTATATGTTGGAATTATAATTTTTTTCATGCAATACAATACTAGACTGTTATAAATAAATAGTCTATTTTGTATTCTATTGTTTTAAAAGTTGAAAAAATAAAAATAAAAGATAAAAATATTTCTTAAACTTATAAAAATTTCGTATATTATTTTTACTTATTATAAAACACTAACAATACTCACAATAAATATACGAATTATATTGGTTAGATAAACATAATTAACTATACATAGATAAGAAGTTACATATATTTTATACACATGCTCAAGTGTATCAAATATTTTGTTTTCAAGTTTATAGTTTTGCTTCTTTTAGATTTTGATGAACATTTCAATTAATTATACTAGCCTAATGAATCGTTATAAATTTGTTTGTCGTTACAATTTAATGTCTAAAGATAAAAAAAAAAAAATAAAAATTAATCAATTATCATGTGAAAAATATTATAATTATTATAAAAATTGAATGATTGCTTAGTATAGTATAAATTTGTAAAATCAGCTATTTAGTAAGTATCTAATACTAACTGCTCTCAATAGCTGTTAGATTTGAACCAATATTAGATGTTTATTTATTGATTTGTTTATACTGAGACTAAGTTTTAGTAGAGTATATGTATGTATCATTTTTCAAGATTCGATTTGAAGATTTGTCGATCTCGAATAGATATTGCATAAAACTGATTAAGCAATAGTTTCAGATGAACTCCAGGATATTGATACAATGCAGTTGTGTAAACGAAATACTCAATTAATCGAGAATTCAATTCGACCCTAACTGTAGAAAAAAATGTTTTTTCTTGAATGTTGCGGTACGGATGTGGATGTATGGCGGTACGGATGTCAGGATGCGCTACAGTTAGGGTCGAATTGAAAGGTGGCTCAATTAATTGCTCTTTAATTAGGATCTACCTTGATTCAATTTTCGTAAAAAAGTTTAAAGAGGTGGCTTTAACCCCACATTTAAAGATTGTTTTTCAAACAGTGCGGGTTTTTTTAGAGCCAAATTTAACAACATGAGCTTATATTCACAATATAAGAGCTATAAAACATTTCCTAAATTAACGTGAATAGCTTTTGGTTGTGTATACATAGTTAAACCATATTCTCCTAATTCTCTACCTACACCTGATAATTTAACACCTCCAAATGGTATATGAACATCTGAATCATTTGATGAGTTAATCCATACCATACCTGCTTCAATTTCTGAGGCCATGGTATGAGCTACTACTAAATCTTTTGTGAAAATAGCTGAACCCAAACCGTATGAAACATTGTTTGCTAATTCCAAGGCTTCTTCATCAGTTGAAAATTTACCTACTGATACTACTGGTCCGAAAATTTCTTCTTGAACGATTCTCATATTTGGTTTAACATCAGCAAAAATAGTAGGTTTAATAAAAAATCCTTTTGATAAATCTCCCTCTGTGTTGGCTTCACCACCTAATACAACTCTTGCACCTTCTTTTTTACCAATATCAATATAATTCAAAACTTTATCACGTTGTTGTTCTGATACTTGTGGTCCAACAACTGCATCTTCTTCAAACATGGTACCTTGTTTGTAATCTTCTTTGACATGTTTTGATAATAAATCCAAGAATTTCTCATATATGGTTTCCTGAACATAAATTCTTGAGGTAGCAGTACAGATTTGTCCTTGATTTGACATAATACCAATAGCTGCCCATTTAACGGCTTGATCTAAGTCGGCATCTGCTCTAATGATTAATGGAGATTTACCACCACATTCCAAAGTAACAGCTTTCATTGTATCTGAGGCAGCTTTTGAAATTAATTTACCAGTTGCTGTTGAACCTGTAAATGCAATCTTGGCAACATCAGGATTAACACATAAAGCAGTACCTGCTGTTTTACCGTATCCTGAAATAATATTAACCACACCTGGTGGGAATCCAACTTCTTTGAATAATTTAGCGACATGTAATAATGATAGTGGAGTAATTTCTGAAGTTTTTAATACAATAACATTACCAGCAGCTAAAGCAGGTGCTAATTTCCAAGCAGCCATTGCTAATGGATAATTCCAAGGAACAATTTGTCCAATTATCCCTAAAGGTTCATGAACAGTATATGCTAATTTTTTTGGATCATTTTGTATAACTTTACCAGTGATTTTATCTGCCCACCCAGCATAATATCTAAAACAACTAACACACTCATCAATATCATAAACTGCATTTTGTTCTTTTGTCTTTCCTGAATCCCAAGCTTCAATTGATCCAAAATAATCTCTTTGTTCTTCTAATTTATCAGCTATTTTGTTTAATAATATACCTCTTTCAACACCAGTTGATTTTTTCCATGATTTAAAAGCTGTTTTGGCTGCATTGACTGCAATTGTAACATCTTCATCTTCTGCTGCATATACAGAAGCATTTACTTCACCAGTTGATGGATTTATTGAATCTATTGTGTTACCATTTTTGGATTTAACGAACTCATTATTGATAAATAACCCAGTTGGTTGTTCGATTTTAGTACCATCAGGTAATGTAACATCAACAGTTAAAGGTAATGACATTTTTGTATGAAAGAATTGAATATTTAGTCTTGTGGTGATTGAGAATTGATTAAATTTAAAATTGAACTTGTTTTTATATAATTTGAACAATTTTAAAATATTGATTTGTTAGTGTTGAAATTTATAAAAGAAAAAATGGAATTATACTCCGTTTTAAGATATAAATTTATGAAAAATAATCAACAAATTATTGTACATTTTTATTGTTATTATCAGTTAAGTTTAATTAATCATAAGTAAAGATACGCAATTAATTTTACTCAAAAGAAAGGGTTCAATTTTGTGTAGACTTTCTTTCGAATTTAGCGGTTACTTAATTAAGTAAGTAAAGCGGCTTCTAGAATTTGTGACCTTTCTGATACCTCCGTCGCTAATAATGAACTACGTAGTATATAAAAAATTTAATTGTACATGTCGAAATTAAAGAAGAAAAAATTAATAAGAAATCTAGTTTATTAGGAAATGGTAAATTTTAGAGAGCTGGCTCGTTTGAATTACAAGATATTCATAGTTGAGTCTAAACTTTTTGACATTCATAAAATCTATTATTTATCGAAAATACATATTCAGAATCATAATTTAGTTCCCAAATTAACATGTATAGCTTTTGGTTGAGTATACATAGTTAAACCATATTCTCCTAATTCTCTACCTACACCTGACATTTTGACGCCTCCAAATGGTATATGAACATCTGAATCATTTGATGAATTAATCCATACCATACCTGATTCGATTTCTGCAGCCATTGTGTGAGCAACAACCAAATCTTTAGTGAAAATCGCAGCACCTAAACCGTAATTTGTGTTATTTGCTAAAAATAATGCTTCATCATCTGTGGTGTATTTACCTACCGATACAACTGGACCAAAGATTTCTTCTTGAACAATGGTCATTTCTGGTTTAACATCTGCAAAAATGGTTGGTTTAACGAAGAAACCTTTTGATAAATCACCTTCAGTGTTGGCTTCACCACCTAATACAACTCTAGCACCTTCCTTTTTACCAATATCAATAAATCTTAAAACTTTATCACGTTGTAATTTTGAGACTTGCGGTCCGACAATTACTCCATCAGTATTAAACATAGTACCTTGTTTGAATTTTGATTTGACGTGAGTAGCATATGCTTCCAAGAATTTTTCATATATTGACTCTTGTACGTAAATTCTTGATGTAGCAGTACAAATTTGTCCTTGATTTGACATAATACCAATAGCTGCCCATTTAACGGCTTGATCTAAATCAGCATCTGCTCTAATGATTAATGGAGATTTACCACCTAATTCTAAAGTAACAGCTTTCATTGTATCTGAAGCAGCTTTTGATATTAATTTACCAGTAGCTGTTGAACCTGTAAATGCAATTTTAGCGATATCTGGATGAACACACAATGCTGTACCAGCAGTGGCTCCATAACCTGAAATGATATTAACAACACCTGGTGGGAATCCAACTTCTTTAAAAAGTCTTGCAACGTTCAACAACGATAATGGAGTAATTTCTGAAGTTTTTAAAATAATTACATTACCAGCAGCTAAAGCAGGTGCTAATTTCCAAGCAGCCATAGCTATTGGGTAATTCCATGGAACAATTTGTCCAACAATTCCTAATGGTTCATGAACAGTATATGCTAATTTTTTTGGATCATTTTGAATAACTTTACCAGTAATTTTATCTGCCCAGCCAGCATAATATCTGAAGACTGAAATACAAATATCAACATCAAAAACTGCGTTGGTTGTTTTATTTTTTCCAGAGTCCCATGCTTCAATAGCACCAAATAAATCTCTTTGTTCTTGTAATTTATCAGCGATTTTATTCAATAAGATCCCTCTTTTAACACCAGTAACTTTTTTCCAATGTTTAAAGGCTTCTTTTGCTGCTTTTACTGCAACATCAACATCCTCTTTTTCTGCTGCATAAACTGAACCATTAACTTCACCAGTTGATGGATTTATTGATTCAATGGTTTTACCATTAATTGATTTGATAAATTCATTATTGATGAATAAACCTGATGGTTGATTAAATTTTTGACCATCTGGTAAAGTAACTTCGTATTCTAATGGAATTGACATTTTGATTGATCGTGGGAAAAATGTTCAATGGATTTGAATTTTGATTGAATACTTATTTTTCAAAATATTTATAACAATTAATTGAAAGTATGGCTTACTAATACAGTTGAAACTCTGAAAAATTAGAACCTGACTTTGTCAATAAAAGCTTTGTGTATATTGGTATGTTGTAAATAATATTTTATTATTTTTAAGATTCTTTCAGTATTCGTAAATTAAATTTGTCCCTCTCCATATTTCAAAAATTTCAATAAGAAGCGCATTGAATATACCATTTTGAGAAATTACAATTACGCGGGTGTTTGACTTGAATTTATAAGGAAATTTTTGTGAACTTCGAAGTGAGCTGGCCAAAAGGCTGCTGTTTACAAAGCTGTTTTAGTAAGATCAAGTTTAAATAGATAGACTGCCAGGCAATGGTTCCGAAACAAAATTATGTAGATTAATGTATTCAAATCTAGCATACATTTTCAAAATTCAAAAATAATAATTTTTTAACTTCGCGGATACACGATCGGTTTTATATTAATGAATAAGGAAAATGATCTCCGATCTTGTGGAATTGATAATGAGAGATTTTAAAAATTGAAAAATTAGCCAAATATAAACTAAATTAGTTATAATATATGATATAATTCTGCTTTATTTGTATTTTTACAGTTCTTAAGATCTAGAAAAAATTATGAAACACAGTCAAAATCAGCTACCAAATGGACGGATTTTGATTTTTTTATTAAATTTCAGTCAAATACGGCTTAGGTATTACTCATTAAAATGTTTCTCAACAGCTAATTAACCATTGAATAAAAATAGTACTCGGCACTTTCCATCCATTTCACATTCTAAGTTTTAATCATCAATAGTTACTTAAAAAATGGATTTTTCAACATTTACTAATCAAAGTCCAGCTCATAATGATTTCAGAAGTGATACTTTCACAACTCCAACGTTATCAATGGTGAACTCACTAGCAACTACAAGTTTAGGAGACGCAGTATACAATGAAGATGATAAAACTACTCAATTGGAGAAAAAAGTAGCAGAACTTACAGGGAAAGAAGCAGGTTTATATTGTGTTTCAGGTACTTTAAGTAATCAAATTGCAATGAGAGTTAATTTATTTCAACCTCCATATAGTATATTATGTGATGCAAGAGCTCATGTTTATGTTCATGAAGCTGGTGGGATGTCTACTTTAACACAAGCAATGCCCCAAACGATCATGCCAAAGAATGGTATACATCTAACTTTAGAAGATGATATTCTACCAAATTTTATACCTGATGATGGTGAAATTCATTCTGCTCCTACAAAATTGATATGTCTTGAAAATACATTACATGGTATGATTTTCCCAATAGAAGAGATCAAAAAAATATCAAATTTTTGTAAAGAAAATGATGTTAAATTACATTTAGATGGTGCAAGAATATGGAATGCAAGTGCAGAAACAGGAATAAGTTTAAAAGAATATTCAATGTATTTCGATAGTGTATCATTATGTTTATCAAAAACTTTGGGAGCACCGGTAGGAACTGTTTTAGTAAGTGATAAAAAATTTATATTAAAAGCTAATCATTTTAAAAAGCAAAATGGTGGAGGGATTAGACAAAGTGGATTATTAGCAAGTATGGCAATTGTTGCAATTGATGAAAATTTCGAAAAATTAAAAGATACTCATAAAATGGCAAAAGAATTAGGTGAGTTATGCGAATCCAAAGGAATAATATTGGAGCATCCAGTACAAACAAATTTTGTTTTTGTGGATATAGCTGCAAATAAGATAAGTCCATCAAAATTAATAGAAATTAGTGATAAATATGGTGTTAAGATTTATTCAGGTAGAGTTTCATTTCATTATCAAATATCTCAAGATTCATTTGAGAAAGCTAAAAAAGTTATAGTAGAAGCTTTTGATTATGCAAAAGAACATCCATTTGAAGAAGTTCATAATTTCAAGTTTTATACTGCGGAAAATAAGTGAAACGCTAATGATTAAGTAGAATGTAAACATTGTAATAATTTATAGTATAATTGAACATTCAATACTGAGCTGATCAATAATTCTCTATTTCCTATCCATCATTCACAATTATTACAATATAGTTGACTTGATAGTGTAAAAGTAATGCTACCAAAAAAGTTGAACTGAGAATTCATTTCTAAAAGTTTCAATACCATAAGTATCAATGGATGTCTAAACCCAATGTGATTTTGTATATAACAACAATCACTAAGGATCTCATAGAATACCTCCAAGATGATTACAATTTTGAAATAGCATTAAGGTTGTTAGACGATTTGAAACTACAATCAGCAATACAAAATTTGAAAACTCCATTCAAGTATAAACAACTAGTATCGAATTTGTTTTCAAGATATGTTTTAAATAAACAAATTCATAAACCAGTTTTTTCAAAATTAGAGTATCTGTTTAATCAATATGGCAAACCATCCATAAAAGGTATTAATTTTAATTCAAGTTCATCCAATGATATTATTGCAATAGCTATTACCGGTTCAGAAGCATCTATAGGAATTGATTTATCTCATTCATCACAAAACTTATCACCAACAGATTATATGGAGCAATTCAAACCCATATTCAATGAGAGAGAGGTTGGTAAAGTTGACAGTTATTTCAAATTTAATCACTTTTGGACTTTGAAAGAAGCATTTACAAAATTGTTAGGATGCGGATTAAATCTCGATTTGTCTAAATTTTACTTTAATACTGATGCATTCAATGATAAAGATTATAGAGTTTTCAACAAAATAGGGAAGAATGAATCTACTTTGTTAGATATCAGATGGTGTGAGGACATCGAACTAAATGCTGATCTATTATTTCAAGAAGCAAATGTGCTTGTCAAAAATCTAGAAAATCGATTTAGCTGCTATAGTACAATATTAGAGTATTCAAATGGCAAACTTCCGGTAATTTGTTCAATTATCACTCAAAAAAAGGTTAATATAGAATGTATAGAAATTGATTTCTTAACAGTATTACAGAATATATAAAATTTGCTACCAGTCGATTTCTTTTGCAACCAGAACTGACCAAGCTACAAATATTATGTTGATCTTAGAAAAAAAAAAAAATACAAGTAAGCTATTCAATCTACAAGACTGATATTTGATAAAACCCAAACATTATTATTAACCTTACTCTATATTCATATAAAAATTTACCCCAAATAAAACCTAAATTAATAAAACACCCATAATTGCACCAAAAGCAACCATACCATAATTTGCATAATTTGAATCTACTAAATTATTTCCCAAATTAGCAGCAGTTGAACCTGAACTTGAACTTTTAGTAGATTTTGAATCACCAGTTCCACTTGAGCTTGAACCACTTGCTTTACTTGATTCTGTACCACTTGTTTCAGTTGATTCTTCTGAAGTAGATACATTACTTGTATCAGCACCACCACCATTAGTTGAGTTACGATGATTAACACCACCTGAAGCTGGAGAAGTGCCATTTATATGACCAACTGTTGAATTACCGGCTGAATTACCACCAATTAAAGAATCAGTAGGTTCGGATTCATCACTTGCAGTTGGATCTTCAGTTTGTTCATTATCATCAGTTGTTTCACTACCAAAACCAAGAAATTCAGTGCTTTCAGCTAATGACTCATTATTTGTTTCGGTTTCGTCTGTAATATTTGAATCATCAATACTACCTGTTTCTGTAATAAATGAAGAATCAAATGATGATGAGTCAGCTCTTTTAAATAAATTTAATTTGGATTTATCAAATATGTTCTTTGCGTTAGTTGAAATAACGACGGAACAAATGATAGTTAAAGTTGAAAATCTCATTTTGAAGTGGTTGGTGATAAGTAATTGAAAAAGTTAAAAACTGAAAGAATTAAAAAATATTAAAATATTTGAAAATATCGATGTTATATATATCAAAAATTTATCAATTAACGCGTCATTCTTAATTTTTGCCTCATTTACGAATTGGTTCTGAGATTCCACAAATTGAGGTTATTTTTCAAATGTGTATTGTTTACGTTTTATAATTTTATTTATTTTTAATGCGGGGGGTTTAAATTAATAAATTAATCAATAGATATAAAAAGACTTATAATATTTTCATTACACCTTTTATTTCATAATATGTCCCTGACCTCTATATTTTTCAGTACTAGAGACCGTAGAATTCATTTGCGAATCAGTTTGAGTTTCAGTTAAAAAAACTTTATACCAATTCGTCAGGGCTATCAGATCTATGTATGTTGAGATATTTGTTCTATAAAATCTGGGGTAATAACGACTAAAAAAGCAAAATCTAATTTTTAATGAATAATGAATAAATTTGAAAAAAATTATAAGTAATAGAACATTTTATTGTTCAAAAAAAATTATTATAGGCTATGCTATTATTATTGTTATTTATAATATTAATGTAATTTGAATCGATTGTCCAACATTTATCTCCTCAAAAATTTTAAGTACATTAAAAAAAAAGAAACGTAAGCCACTTTTTGTTAAATTATTGTTACCGAATTAATGATCAGCCCATGTGAATTCAACTTTATCAACCCAACAGCTTTAAAACCACGAGGTCTTTTGTTGTTCAGAAGATTGATCGATAATTATCTTCGTAAATGTAGTATTAATTAACCTTTTCTTAAATTCAGGTACCAAAATATTAAACGCAAAATAAATTTCTTGGGAAAACAATTAACATTATATGCAGTATAAATGTGGAAAATTAATGTGAACTTTCAGCCAATACTTCAATTCACAGCACTTAAAGGATTCTCCAAAATAACTGCAAGCATGAAGTTGGTGGGGCTAGTCAAAGAAAAATATTCATTTGAAAATGTTTATTGAAGTATAGTTCTTATATATATATATAGTTAGACAAAAGTATGTAGCAAGTTGTTCGCTTATACTAAAAGGGCACCAACAAAAGCCCCCAAAAGAATTAAACCGGAATTTGGATCTCCTCTAGAATTACCAGCACCTTGATGAGATGAGGTGGAATTAGACCCTCTTGTTGAACTTGAACTTGTATGATGTCTACCATTCCCAACTCCTCCTCCAATGTATCTAGTATTAGTTGTAGAACCTGACCCATTTGAACCTCCTGAACCATTGCTTGATCCACCATTTGATCCACCTCTGGTTCCAGAACCACTGCTCGATCCTTCACTAGAGCCACCGCTTGATCCTTCACTTGAACCACCACTCGAGCCACCGCTAGATCCTTCACTTGAACCCCCACTAGATCCATGACCAGAACTACCACTAGATCCGTGACTAGAGCTACCACCAGAGCCATGACTTGAATAACCACCAGAGCCATGAGTTGAAAATCCTCCCAATCGTTTTAGTGTACCATATTGAGAAGTACCATTAATGTGAGTAATGCCTTCTAGGTCACCACCATTAATTGATTTCACATTAGCATTTGTAGGTGTCTCTTCTATATCACTATCTCTTTTCTTTGGATCTAGGTTTTTTATACCGAATAATGACAAACCATTAATTGAAAGAGTTGTTGAACTAATAATAAGTAAAGTAGAAATTTTCATATATTTTTGACGGACTATGAATAAGCCTGTTTAAGTAAGTTAATGAGTGGAATAATGATAATCGAATTTGTAAAAAGTGATGATTATGAAAGATATAAATACAAGTGAGACAGATCACCCATGCCTTATTTGAAAAGGCATTGTACAGACGATTTGAAAATTTTATAATGACAGAAAGAGTAAAATTAAAAAATTAAGAGGTTTTGCATAATAATTAATCAATTGATATTTTACGAGGTCATTTGAATTTAACAGGACAGGTCAAGTTCTTAGCCCCAACTATCTTTTTCTCTTATAAGTGCAATCTTATACAATCTGTTTTTCTCTAAATAATCAAATAAGACCATAACATTATAGAAGTTGATGAGATGCAGAAAAACACTCTTGTTAGTTCCACTTTCAAATCTATATATTGTTACAAAATTAAACTAAAATTTACGAACGTCATTTCTTGGCTTAGACTTTATCACTAAAATCAGTATTTAAATGGAAGTTGAATAATTGCGAACCAGTTTTTTTTTAATCAGAATTTATCATGCTTTTGAACAAATGCACACGGCTGTGCATTCATTGAAATTTCTTTGAAATGATTATCGGTCCGAACTGAAAACTTCACTCAAAATGCTTGTGCACAAAACATTTAATTTTTATTGAAATTGTTTTAAGTTCCAATATCGTGCCAAATTACTGTGTTCTTCTAAGGTCTATTATTATTTTTTCTCCACGTTTTTAACATGACCTTAATCATACGAGCAATATCCTTAAACTACAACGAATATAGGTCACCTATTAACATGATGATTTTAGTATTAATTGATGTTGTTGTACGGATGTAGATTTGTCGTGAAACTCAAACTGAGACATCAATCACAATTTTTACATAAAACACGACAATTATTCACTTGCCAGAATTTTTAATTTATGTAATTTTCAAATGTCATTACTTCATTCAAAGCATGAGAAATTTTTCAATAGATGTTTGATTGCATTACCATCTCATGCTGCTTCTGAAGATTCCAATAAATTAGCGATAATTTATTTTTGTTTACAAGGGTTAGAAATTTTGAATAAATTTAATTTAACAAAAGAAGAATGTAAATATCACGAAGAATTTATATGGAGTCAATTCTATTTAGAACATGACGACTTTGCAACATTTAGATCAACTTCATACTACAAAGATACTGGGGCATATGATTTTGGTAACCTATCGGCCTGTTTCTTTGCTATTGCAAGTCTAATCACCTTAAATTCAAATCTTGAAAAATTACATAAGAATAAGTTAATGAAATATTTACAAAACTGTCAAATTAAGGATGGTATAAACAAAGGAGGATTTGTGCCGTCTTATGAAGTAAACTTTGGTGAATCAGATTTAAGACAATGTTACATGGCTTTACTTATTCGGCAAATTTTGTTGGAAAAAGAAAATAAGTTAGAAAATGATATAGATTTAGAATCATTACAACTGTTTATATTAGACAGGTTGAATGTAAATGGTGGATTCAGCTCTACAATAATGGATGAACCTCATTTGGGATTTACATTTTGTGCCATAGCGTCTTTGAAGTTGCTCAAATACCCCTTGCTAGAATTAGAAAAGACTAAAGAATGGTTAATTCATAGACAAACTTCATATCCTTCAATACTACATAATCAATTTAATTATGAATATCACAAACAAGAAGATATCGGTGGATTTAATGGTAGAGAAAACAAACTAAGTGATACTTGTTATTCTTGGTGGTGTACTGGGAGTTTAGCGTTAATTGATTCTAAAAACCTAATATATTTTGATACCCAAACGGCTGAAGAATTTTTGTTGAATAAAACGCAAAATTCTTTACTTGGTGGTTTTAGTCCCCGACCTTTTGGTACACCAGATCCAATGCATTCATTCTTAGCATTAGCAAGTTTATCACTTTGGAACAATCAAAAATATCAATTAAATGAAATAAATATGTTATATGTAATTTGTAAGAAAAATATATCAACTATTTAGGTTTGTGTTACCAATTTTTAAGACTACTCTTTTTCAGTATTAATACTTTCCACATTTCAACAACTACCAAACTTTTACCCTCCATGATCATTAAATGTCATCAATACTGACCTCTAATGAAGTATCTCATAAAGAGAATAAGAAGGTCATACCACAAAAGACTCCCGATGCTGCTGCTCATTTAGTATCTGGAGCAATTGCTGGTTTAGTGTCAGCAGTAACATTACAACCATTTGATTTATTAAAAACTAGATTACAACAACAACAACATACCAATAAACATGAAGTTAGAACATCACTAGTGAAAGAATTAAAGAAGTTAACCAAAATTAAAGATCTTTGGCGTGGAACTTTACCATCAACATTAAGAACATCAATTGGAGCAGGATTATATTTTACAATATTATCAAAAATGAGATCGAATTGGGCAATATACAAGAAGAAACATAATCAGAATGTTGATACCAAATCTGAATCTTCAGTATTACCAAAATTAACGCCAATGGAGAATTTAACTACTGGATTTGTTGCAAGAGCAATTGTGGGTTATATAACAATGCCAATAACTATAATTAAAACAAGATTTGAAAGTAATTTATATAATTATAATTCAATGTATGAAGGTATACTGGGGATTTACCTAGATGATAAAAAGACAAATCATGGATCTATTAAGAATTTTTTCAGAGGTTCAATTGTAACATTAGCAAGAGATTGTCCATATGCTGGATTATATGTTTTATCATATGAACTGTTTAAAAATGATATTTTACCATTATTTATACCGAAACATTTTGGAGGTGATCATCATTCAAGTTTAATAAATTCAACAGCAGCTGTATTGGGAGCTGTAACCTGTACAACAATTACAGCGCCATTTGATGCAATCAAAACAAGATTACAATTAACCAAAAATGGAACAATGTGGAATACTTTTAATACTTTAATTCATGAACAAGGTGGGATCAAAAATTTATTTAGAGGTTTAAGTTTAAGATTAGGTAGAAAAGGTGTAAGCGCTGGAATAAGTTGGTGTATATATGAAGAATTAATAAAATCAAATTTTACCAAAAAGCATTTTGCATAAGAATGACAACTTAGAACATGACAACTTAGAACATGACAACTTAGAACATGTATATAGTTAAATTTAAAGGTTTCTTTATAATAAGTTTCTGTAATATATTTTATTTGCAATTTCGTCCTGATATCTAAACATAATAATTTTTTCTTTTAATTCTATCCGCTGGAAAATTTATAATGTGGAGATAATTAAATCAACTTTTTACAACATCTGAATACAACTCAACTATGAACGACGAATTAATCAATAGTGCTGTTACATTCTTGAAAGATCCTAATGTGGCTTCATCACCATTAACCAAGAAGATAGAGTTTTTAGAATCAAAAGGTTTAAATCAACAAGAAATTGAAGAAGCTTTAAAAAGAGTTAATGAACCAAGTACAACTACCGCATCAAGTTCTTCCACTTCCACTTCAACTCCTACTCAATCACAATATTCATCACAACCATCATTACCTTTAGATTATTATAACGTTGCGCCACCTATTCCAGAAAGATCATGGAAAGATTATTTTATAATGGCAACTGCAACAGTAGGAGTAACTTATGGTTTATATCAAGTTATATCAAAATATTTAGTTCCGTCAATTATACCTCCATCACAGTCATCAATAGAACAAGATAAAGAAGTTATAAATGAAGAATTTTTGAAAATTGATAAAATTTTAGAACAGCTTACTAAAGAACAAGAAGAAATCAAAATATCAAATGAAGAAAAAATTAAAGATATTGATACAGTAATTGAAAATATTAATGATTTTTTAACAAAATATAATAAAGATAAGTTGAAATTTGACGATGATTTAAGATTAATGAAATTAGAAGTTGATAATTTAAGTAATAGCATTGAAAAAAATATGAGATTAAGTAAGGAAAATATTAATGATGAATTATCTGGGTTAAACACTGAATTACAAAGTTTAAAGAACTTGATAAAGATAAGAGGTGAACAATCTCAAAGTTCTAATGGTGGTGCATCATCAAGAAATATTGCACCAGTTTCATCAATACCTTCAGCAAGTGATATTTTAAAAAGAGCAAAAGCTAAAGCAGAAGAACCAAAAGAAAAAGCTGCAAGCCCAGAAGTTACTGCAGCAAAGCCACCACTTGAAAGATCAGAAAGTATAACTAAGGGGAGTGTTACAGCTGCAGGAATACCATCTTGGCAATTAAAACATAAAGAAGAAGAAATTGAAAAAGAAGGTTCAGGAGCATTACCAAATGAGGAAGTAGTTAATAATAAAATCAAACTGGCAGGTATACCATCATGGCAATTAAATAGTAATGAAAAGAAAGATATACCTTCATGGCAAACAAATTCATCTACATAGACTATTTAGTAATATAATATAATAATATTTTAGTGTAATATAATATNAAAAAAAAAAAAAAAAAAAAAAAAAAAAAAAAAAAAAAAATTCAACAATTCAATTTTTCTGAAACAACAACCACATTTTAATCAAAAGGTTTAAACTTCATTTTTTTTTGTATTATATCATTATTAGTATTCTTTCCTTTATTTGGTAATAGTTTTATTTCATTTTAATTTTATTTTTAGTTAAGGTTTTTTTTTTTTTGGTTCACATTTGGGATTATTAAGTTTGTTTTTTTCATTTTTTAAATTAGAATACTGCATTTATTAGTTATGTCATCTACAACCACTATTTATCCAAAAAGGCAATTAGAATCAATACCTTTCAATAATCAATTAGAAATTATTGAAAAAATTAATAAAAATCAACAACAAAATCAAAAATATCAAAGTTATATCAGACCAAACCAAAACCAAAATCAGAGATATAATCAAACTCATGCACAGCAAAATAAATATGCTTTAGCTGCCGTTGCAGCAGCTGCAGCTGTTCAACATCAACAACAGCAAACATATATTTTACAACAACAAGCTGCATTAGCTCAAAAACAACAACAACAAAAACAACAACAACAACAACAACAACAACAACAACAACAGCAACAACAGCAGCAACAACAACAACAAAAACAACAAGCTCAACAGTATGCTCAACAAAGACAACAGCAATATCTTCAATATAAACCACCACAACAAATGTATCAACCTCAGGTCTTTGCTGATAATTTAGATCAAAATACAACTGGAGGAAGTTTGAAAACAAATTTTTTAAACGGTAGTACTCACTCCATAAATTCATCATCATCATCAAATTCACCATCAATAAATTCAACTTTTAATACAAATATAGTTAATGCTAAACAAAATTCACCACCAAGTTTATTATTATCAACAACTACGATGTCGCCAACCACTACTAATTTTCTTAATTCACCATCTGCTTTTTCAACTTTCACAACTCCAACTACTGCAGCAAGTTCTGGTTCAATTTGGGGTAAACCAAATGAAAATTTTTCAAGTTCAAAAATCTGGTAAACAAAAAAAAAAAAGGGTACAAATCGGGAGAGGAATTAAAAATTGTAAAATATATTAGGTTTCCATGTCATTTATAGGGAGAGGAGTTTCAAAATTGTAAAATTACAAAATAACTTAAATAATTTAAATATATATATTAGGTTTCTATATCACTTAACCAATTTTGTTGTTGAATTTTGATGTCTAGAGTCCATATCACTTCACAAACTTTATTATATTGAGCTTCATATTCTGTAACTTCCACCAAAGAAATATCTTTGATTAGGTGATTGTATGAATTTGTTATTATTCCATTTTCTATTATACTTGATAACATTTCTTGTTGCATCAACCACACATCTTTTTCAACTATAGATTCCATCATTGATCTTTCCAGGCTAATTTGAATTTTACTGTTTGCTATCAAGATACTTGTTTTTAATTGTCTTATTTTGATATTGAGCTCTACATATTCTTTATATAATTCATCGACTTTGAAAGGTGGTGTATCACCTTCTTGAGCTTTTAAGCATTTGAAAATTAATTTTCTGATGTGGTTTACTTTTGTTATTAAATTGTTTTGAACTTTTAATGCTTCACCTAACTTCATTGGGGGAAAATCCAAAGTTTAAGAGTTAAAATTAGCTCAGATTATCTGCTTCATATACTTCTTCATAGTGATGACTCAACTATTTTGTGTTTGTTATTGTTTTTGTTTTTATTATTATTTTGCATGTTACATTCTGTTTTAAAATTTGTGACTAATTAATTATTTATTGTTTTTTATTTTGTTAGTCACTGTCTAGAAATTATAAATGGGCCTGGATATTACCTGTTAGATTTTTTTACTCAACTCCTTAATTTGATGAAGTTGGCAAATGCATTAAAATTGAGATCAGAATTGAATACTGAAAAAAATGAGATAATAAATGATTTGAAAAGAAATTTAATTATCCAAGAAGGTTTAGAACAACAAAAAGATCCAAAAAAATTATATGAACGAGCATTAGAGAAATTTGATTTATTACAAAAATTAATAATTTCAATAAATAAAACCAATATTCATTCCAAATTCGAATTTGAAAATCAAATATATACCATTGCTGAATTTATAATTTTAAAATCAGAAATTACAGATCTAATAAATTTAACAAACAACATTATAAGAGATGGCGAAGAGAAAAAACTAAATTCAAATTTAGAAATAAGATTTAAATCATGGGTTGATATAAAAAAATATGAATTAAAATTGCAAAAATTAAAAGAGAGAAAATTAGCAGTGGAGATGAAACTTGAAGAAATAAATTGGCAAGTTGATTTAATAGAATAACAAGATTTGTTTTCGGTATCAATTTAAGCTTTTTGGTTTTAATTCCATGGAATATTTGAGGTGACAAATTTTCTATTCAAATTTAAAATGTAAAATTCAATCAGTAAATTGGCACAAAGTATGAATTATTCTGTAACCCCTTAGTATGCTTTAACTATATCGATTTGTTCACTTTTTATATTTTCATTGGATTTAGAGCTTTGAGTTTTTATTGAGAGGGTTGGGCTAGGGGAAAACTTTTATATATCTGTATAAATTTTGTAAAATATATAATATATTTATTTTCATCTGTATACAACATACTTTTTGTTTTTGTGTATATGTTGTACTATAACTAGTACATTGAAGAGATTATTCTTAGGAAAATCCTTAATTTATTACTATCTAAAATAGACTACTTTTCTATATCTATATATAATATTGAGTAAGTCGTAACATTTAATTACGACTTTACTACATATGTTTAAACGGTTGCGAAAAAAAAAAAACTTCATATGTTCACAACAAAGCAAATGCTTTTCTTTTCAATACTTCATATGTTCATTATAGAATATATGTATCAAGAAGATCATAGGGTGAAAAGAGTATGTAGAGCCAATCTAGATAGTTCCACCAGGTGCCCATCCAATTTTAATTGAAAATACGCATCATGAGTGTTATATAACAATGAAATTCTGAACATTAACGAAACTAAACATTGCTTTTAATGATATATTTTTATCAACAGCAAAAGATACAAGTTTTTCAATACCTTCAAGTTGTTACCCTTTGTCCAAGTTGATAACAAACCAGTGAACAGAACAATGATATGCTTCATCACGATTTGACGAGATTTATAAATCAAAGTTAATCAATCTATCAACTCTGCTTCTAAGTGACTAAAAAAATAAGAGTGAAGTAAAAAAGTGATTACTTTTATTGTTTTCATTAACAAGCGACGCACAAATTTCGAAAAAAGTACATACATAGAAACTTAAAAAGTTTATATGAATGTGAAACTGATAATAGCAGCATATAACGCTTTTGATTTGTATATCTTGTTTGAGTATAAAGATGTACAATTACTTAAATAATAAATAATATGAAATTATTAAAATTAAAAAAAAATAATTTAAGTAGTACTGCATTCACGAAAGTTTAAAATTCAAAGATTGCTTTTACAGCGGAAAAGTGAAAATTAAAGTATCAAATAATTAAAAAAGTAGTAACACTTCAAGAATTTAGTATCTAGATTAACAAAGACCAATTGTTTCACCAAAACTTTTCAATTAAAGCAAATTTTTAATAAATCAAGGGTTCAAAAGCTTTGTACTTATATTAGTCAACGTTGCTACTCTTTTGTTATTACAAATGAAAGTTACATGCATTTACAAAGGATAGAATATTTGGTGCAAGAATTATATAGAGCCCTTAATTTCAACTGTCAAAAAACAATTAGTTATTCCAGCTCAAACCTTTTTTGACTTTAAAAATTATTGCGCGTTTGTTGGAATTATTATTCACATATTATTATTATTCTGTTTTTCGCACAAATTCTATAAAATTCCTTAAACATATTTTAATCATTAAAATTTATAAAGGGGCAATCACTTTCTTCTTTTTTAAAACATTAAAACATTAAAACATGTCATATTCAGCTATACCAGATCAACCACCAAATTATCCACCAACATCAGAAGAACAAAGACAATTTGGTGATAATATTCCAGATGATTTCAAATATTCAGTTGATGTTGCGTCATGTGATTTACCAATTAGACAAATGTTTATCAGAAAAGTTTATCTGTTATTGACTATTCAACTAATGGCTTCAGTTATTGTTGGTTATATTGTTAGATCAAATGACAGTATAAAAATATGGGCAATTGAGAACCCTTGGTTCTTGATTGTTGCATTTATTGGTAGTATTGGATTTATGATTGGTGCATTCTTTAAAGCAAGATCATATCCAGTTAATTTAATTCTACTTGGTGGATTTACATTATTCGAAAGTTTTACTTTGGGGGTGGCATGTGCTTTTGTGGATAGTGGAGTTTTAATAGAAGCTATAATGCTTACTTTAATTATTTTTATTGGATTAACTATTTTTGCATTTCAAACTAAATATGATTTCATAAGTTGGCAAGGGACTGTCGGAATGATTTTATGGGGATTGATTGGTATGGGTTTCATTATGATTTTCTTCCCTGGTAGTACATTTATTGATAATGTCTATTCATTCATTGGAGCTATTGTATTTAGTATTTATGTAATTATTGATACACAAAAGTTGATGAAAACTTGTCATTTAGATGATGAAGTTATTGCTACTATTCAATTATATTTAGATGTTATTAATTTGTTTTTATTTATATTGAGGTTATTAAATAATAACAGAGATGATTAATATATATATCTAAACAGTTTATTTTCAATATCTGTAAGATCCATAAATTCTTCAAAATTTTCTAAAGCTTGTGAATCTCTTATGAAGTTATCTCTTTTGTATAAGTACCCAATGAATAATGTAATTGGAATTGATAAGCATTGAGTTATTAATATAACAATTTTAGCAGGATGATAAGCTGGTGCACTATATGCTTGAAATAATTGTGGTCCAATAATACAAGCTATCGAAAAAGATATCATCACCATTGAACTTCTTAAAAATTTTTTGGATGAACCAGCAGTGTTTGCTCCAATCCATGCATAAATCAATGTTATACTCGATGAGCCACTATACAACAAATATAATGCTAATAAATTACCAACTTTACTCGGAGAAATTATTAAAACTATAGCTCCAATAATTGATGGAAAGAACATAGATGCCATAAACAAAGTATGATTACCAAATTTAGCAACTAATTGAGTAGTGATGAAAATAATAATAACAACCAAAGCACCAATTGGCATTTGTAATAAAGCTGATTGATAATTATTAAACCCAAAAGTAAGTGTAATTGTAACACCAAATGTACCAATAGCTCCTGTAACAATTTGTGAACATAAAGTGATCAAAACAAATAACCAAGTATATTTATCTTTTATTAATTCACAAACTTGCTCTTTTTTAAATTTTGTATTTTTAGTCCCAGTTTGATTAACTCTAACCACATTTTCCAAAATATATAATTTTTCATCTTCATTTAAGAACCAACATGTATGAACATTATCTGGTAATGCAAACACTACAACCAAACCAAAAACAACTGTAATCAATCCCATCACTAAAAATAGTATTTGCCATGATTGAAACTTGGAATTTTTAATATGTTGAAATGCAAATGATAATAATCCACCTATAATTGATCCAACTCCAGCCATTGTTGACCAAATACCATTCTTGCAACTTGTTGTCTTTTGGTGTAGTACATCCCGCTAATAATAATTAATCCAACAGCACTTGAAGATTCAAATATTCCCAACAAAGTTCTCACAATCATTAACGAAGCATAATTTTGAGAAGCTGCATGACAAGAAACAACAATACCCCAACATATAATAAATACACCTAAAGTTTTACCCAAGGGTAATTTCTGCAAAAAATAAGATACAATTGGAACTCCAAAAATATATGCAGCATAGAATATAGTTGATAAATTAGCAAATTCATTACCAACTAAATTTTTTTTGATACCCATAGCAGCTGCATAATTTAATAATAATTTATCTAAATATTGTAAAAGATATATCCCACATAACATTGGTAATATAGTAAAATCTAATTTCCTTGTGATTTTTGAGCCATCAACTAACTGTTTAACGTGATGTTGTTTAACAAACACCAAAGCATCATCATATGATTCAAATTCTTTTACTTCTTTTTCCATTATTGGTGTGCTACATTTTTTTAGTAGAATTTTTTCAATATTTTCAATGAAACATATACTTTGGTAATTAAATTAATTGGTTTTAAAGATCTAATATTATGCGCTTAAGTGACTTTGTAAAATTTTCTGAAACAAAAACCACTTAATAATTATTTTTATGCGATAAATCATTCTCACAATATTTTCGGATAATCTTGTCTTAAATGATATCTCACTCAGTAAAAAACTATGGTCCATCGTAAATGATAATTTAAAAGAATCATAATATTTAGACAACAAATCTGAAAAAGTATACTATACTCCTCGGAGTCATTCTGATTGGCTCAAATCCAGAATAAAAGTCAACATGGTAGCACTAGATGACTCTTTATGGCAATTTTTTACGGCAATTTTTGAGAGATGAACAGAGCAAGATCTCAAACAATTTCACAACAAACCAGCAAGCATCTACGATTTTGGAACCATTGGATTAATTAGACTCTGGAGTCTATTCTCAATAAAAGTTTTTGGAACCATTCAGCTTCGTTGTGGGAGAAGTTGTGAAAAAAATAAAAAATAAATATTTAGGGCTATTTTTCTTTTTTAGCAATCGAAAGGTCATTCCGAAACTTACACAGCTTACTAAAGATCGCTTCCAACTTCAGCTGGGCAAAAAACTAGTGGCTACAAGGATTCGAACCCTGAATCCCTTGATCACAGAACCTTACTATAAACGTTAATTTATAACAATTTATATGTTGAATTCTAATCATTTCAATCGTCCGTAGACTCCTAAACTGACAAAATTCCCGGCCGTAGTCAAGTGCCTTAACCATTGGGCCATAGCCACTGCTTTCTCAATCATGAAAACAGCATCTGTTTGGTTGTTTTGTATGGATATGTTGAAATTTGGACGAAAAAATTGAAAGTACATTTTTTTTCCAAATTTTTTGATAATCTTGTAGTCACTATGTTTTGCTAGTACAAAAGTAAGCGAGATATTGGTCTAAAACTGGACCTTGACTAGTTCACAAAGCTTCTATGTGCAACAGGATTGTTCTACGGTTGAAAATTGTTGAATTCAAATTTGAATCTTGTTAAAAAATATGTCAAAATTTTATGCAGCAACTCTTAAATTTGTTAGAGGAGAAAAAGATCAATACAAAATTTAAACATGTCCAAATGGAGAATCGTGCAACTCCTAAACTGACAAAATTCCCGGCCGTATTAAGTGCCTTAACCATTGGGCCATAGCCACTGCTTTCTCAATCATGAAAACAGCATCTGTTTGGTTGTTTTGTATGGATATGTTGAAATTTGGACGAAAAAATTGAAAGTTTATTTTTATTCCAAGTTTTTTGATAATCTTGTAGTCACTATGTTTTGCTAGTGCAAAAGTAAGCAATATCTTGGTCTAAGACTGGACCTTGACTAGTTCACAAAGCTTCTATGTGCAACAGGATCGTTCTAGCTCTTATTTAATATAAGTCTTCACTTGAGCACAATTTTGCCGTAACTGGGTGAAGGAATGAGTAGAAGCTTGAATAAAAAGCAGAATAGGATCACTCTATGAATGGCTCACAAATGTAAAGTTCATTAGAACGTTATGACAATATAACACCTATATAGAGCACATGATTAGTTTATCATTGAAGTTTAATTCAAGAGACCTCGTATTAGAACTACGAATCTAAGTATCTAAACATCATGTACTTATGTATCCTTTATAACACAGAAGAATAAAAGCACCACAAAACATCATACCTATACCAGCACCATATGCAAATTTTTGACTTGTTATATCAGTGGTTCTTGATATATTTGACTCAGTTGGCCCAAAAATTTGTATGATCCCATTTTTAATATAATTTTGATAATATTTTGTAATTCTTGCGATCTCTTTATCAGTTGTTAATGAATTAAGTCTACAATGGAAGATATATATCAAATTACATTTTATTTGTCGAGGAATATCTTGTTCAAAAATATGAATAATTTTGAATGAGGAAATCTCCTATCTAGAGATAAGAAAATCCAATTTGAATTAATTTTGCGGTTTATTTTTATCATTAAATTTGACAAGACTTGTATGAAATATCACGAAGAACTATTTATGTATAATGCTAATGTCTTACGTACGTAAATTAAAGTGTTGACAGATTAAAGTAAAAAAATCCAATAACGCAATTGAAGAAGCACTTAGACACCATCGAGATTGTTTTTTGATTTTTTCGCGTTTGTATGTACGGCATAATTTTATTTTAAATTCACTGACTTGGTTAAATCATACTAGAAAAAGAGTGCAGATTCGTAATTGATACCTATTCTTTCCAGGTACAAGCTAAAGATGATAATAAGCAAATGAGCGAAAGAGAACAAAGTAGTCTACGGTTTATTAAATTATGCGTTGCAAATACATCATACAAAATACATTTATTTTCTAATAAATTCATATCCAACATTCGAACAAAAAATAAAAAAGTTGGCAAACATTAGCAGTCAATGAAAAAATTCAAGAACAAGTGATCAAAATCTTTGGATGAAAACATTGAATTAATTTTCAAAACATGATTTTGAACATGAAGCAAAAACAATAAAAATAGTCATAATCATTGAAATTTGATATTTCTAGACGAAATCACTAAAGCTCTAAAATTTTTTTTAAGTATTCACAATTTATTTGTAACAAATGCCTAAATTCATTTCGCAATTCATTCACATTTCTCAACACCAAAATTCTTGAACCGTATCCCAAAAGCTCCTCACATTATTTACTAAGCATCAATTTTGACATATGAGATTCTCTTTCATTTTCAATAAGTAACAGAATCATGACTAAAGTGAATGTTTAAGCGTGATATTCGATTGTTAATTTTAGTAAGAAATCTATCTAATATTTGCTAAAATTCATTTATAAGTAGACTGAAAAAATGTAAACCATAAGATCATATTTAAATGATATATTTTCAAAGAATCCTTGTAGTCAGATTCCTTAAAAAAAAAACTCTATAGCCCATTGTAATGCAATTGCAAAAAATCATGAATTGCAATCATCCCTTTTTATTTGATAAGTTTGGTTTTTAATTCAGTTTAAATGTGATTTGTAGAAATTTGGTTGCCTTATTATATTTTTTTTGATACGCAAAAAATATTACACATAATCAAGGCAAAAAATCACCAAAATATTTACGACTTTTAGATTAGAAATCAAATAATTAATAAATAACAATATTTACTATTCTTATCAAGACTTCAATAATTCATTGAAAAAGATTGCTTTAAACCACCTTAGAGACAAATGATCAAAGGCATTTAATTTTTACCTCGACTTTGATGTGTTTTTTCTGATTCGATATATTCAAGAAAACTTTCAAAACAGTTAGAAAATCAAAATATTTCACACTCCATTTCTATCCTTTTATTTAAAATAAATTTATGTTTGACCATTTCATTTCATTTAATTAAATAAGAATTATAATAATTTAAATATTTGTAAAAATAGCGTGTCCTAGTTTAGGTGTGATACTTAAGTTGAAAAATAATAAGAAATCTGAAACACCCCTTTAAAAATTATTTGTTTTTGGTTCTACAAAATTTTCGATGTAAAACCCAACAGAGAATCTTATTAAAAAATCCATTACAATAAAAATTTTTGATGACTGCAACTACTTGTAGTGTAGTTTGAAGACTTGATACATCAATTTCAATCAAAGTCTGGGATTTCTGATAATTTCAAACAAAAAATGTGTGAAATTAATGAACTTAAATAATACTCCTAAGACTACTATTATTTTTATTAAAAGCTTAGTCTCTTCACCTGTTGCAAGTCATTGAGTCTTAACTCCAGTGACAATAGAAAGCAAATGCTAGTGACTATTTGCAGTTGAACTTTTTTGGATTTCATCTACTTGTATATTCTTTTAACTATTATGCAAAGATGACAAGTTTGTAAGTACTAATTATAACGAAGTCTATCACGAATTCTTTGCAGTTCAAAGCTAATGACAATAGTACGTAAAAAAACAAAAAAAGAACAAAAATCTACAAATTAAAAACAAATGTTTTACAGATACATCATACAAATTACATTTCATTTGAATCACTTACAACTACGTACAAGCCGAAAAATCTGCATTTCATAAGCATCCAAATAAAGTTCACAAATCAAATGAAAACCCTTTTACCCACAGCTTTGCTCATTCTGTCTAAAAAAATATTAAAAAAAGAGATCATTAGATCAAAATAATCAGGTGAATTAACTGTATCAATTCATCAATTATTTTGAGTCAGCCGTAAAAACAAATAAAATTAGTCATGATTTATAGTCATAACAATTTTATAAGAATCTACCAATTGATCTATAAGCCATCAGGGAAATTATATATGTGGATGATGAATTCAAATTCACAACTGCAGCTTTAATTTCCCGATTACCATAACATTATCTTTAAATATCAACAACGCACAACTTGCATATAAACGAACCAAACTACTGGCATGATTTTGATATATTAGAACTAAAACGATTCTTCAAGTTAGCGAGTATATTAACATTGTAGAAACAGTCAATTCTAATAATCTTGTAATCGAAAACCCAAGAAACGAGTCGCCAATGATCTATTTTTGACGAGTTTCTAAAATTTCCTTTAATTATGCCTTGTATAATGATTGCATTGGTGAGTGTTCACATTTGAACCCACTCTGTCATATTCAGCTGATATTCACATTAATTAATTCTGAATGAAATTAACTATCATTTTGAAAAAAAAAAGTGATAGATAATTGGATATAATTTTTTTTCTTCGAAAATTAAATTTAATTTTAAAATCATAATACGCGTAACACATTTTTTATTATTATACCAATTTCAAAAGAAATACACGCGTAATTTTTGATATATCTTTAAATTAAGAAACCAAACATATATTCCAGTACATTTAGATCAGAGTTACTAAATCAAATCCATCTGTTACAATAGACGATTTGATGACAATACTCTGTAATGTTTAAGCTGTTTTTTTATGAACATCAAATTTTGTATTTATTAACTGTTCGTAATTAAATTTGTATTGAATTATGTATATTACTTTTAGTATTTAGTATTTCAAGGGAAAGTTGTTTGGTCCCCAAATTTTCTTTGAAATCAACTTCTTAATTCTAAAAATAGAATTTTAAATGACCAGTAACAAAGAGAAACATTTGAGGTTATAGTAATTCATTATTTGTAAAAAAGTTGTGTAAAATGTGTATGTATCATTACTTAAATTTAATTCTGAAACAACATCTCATGATATAAAAAATTTATTTTTCCAAAAATTCAACATTCGAATTTTTTATGAAATTACTCTACAAAAACGATACAGATTATTTTTTAACTCATGAGAGATTATGATTTAATGTATTTCTAGTTGTGTTTAGAGAATTTTTCCTCTAGTTTAATAACTTTTAAGTAACGAAGTGGCTTTAATAGAATACTGGTACGATTTTGAGGCAAAAAGAAGAAGAAAATATTTAGCTACTAAAATGTCTTATGATTTAATAACTGAATGATTAGAATATAAAATCTAATTTGTAATTCACGTTATAAATCTTATAAACTCTCCACGGGGTTTTAAATTTTATAAAATTTTACTAATAATGTATTCGGGAACAAAATAAATCTCATTAGAGGGCGATAAAAATTGAAGTGATTCGATAGTTATCTTTGAAAATGGACCCTAAGTTATTTTGGTTTGCAAGTGCTAATAATCAAAACACACATTCATAATCATAGCAGTTACAAATAAAACATGAAAATTGGGAATAAGTCCGGACCTCAAAATTTTAAACCGTTTTTGCCTCTTTATCGTATTGGATTTTACCAAAATTGGCTCGTCCCCTTCCACGACAGCTTGTGTATAACAGATTCTAAAGATTTTTTGAAAACTAGAAAAAAAAAATAGAAATCCAAGAATCTTTTGACACTTTGAAAGTTTTTTATCCAAATTCTAATTTTAATTAAACCAAGAATTCTTATTATTTTATTTACCATATAATGAGCTTAAATTAAGGTTTAAGATAACGAAAGTAACTCATTGAATAAATTTTTTTGTAAAAAGCTACGAAATACTTTTCTTCTATATATTAATCATATATTTTTTTCAATACTCAATTTCTAAGAATATGCAAGTTCTTTATATATATTTTAAATTACCCATTCTTATGCATTTTTCTCCATTCTTTCATTATATTCTTCTCTCCAAATTGAACCTTTGTTCAATAATACCACAACCATAACAAGACCAATAATATCCAACAATCCTAACCCAGTCATACACCAACCAAATCCCATTTTTGAAATCAAAATATCAATAATTGCAGTACATATAGCAGCAGAGATATTTCTCATCAAATTACCCACTGCAACATTTGCACTAGGTTGACCGGTTGAACATTCTGTTAAATACGTAGTTGTAGTAATAAATACCCAAGTCATTCCAAATCCAGATAAAAAAGTACCTAAAAACACAGTTTCAACAGGTGCTAATTTATGAGCTGTCCATGCGTAAATGATTATCCCACTCATTGAAATTAATAACCCAACAATTTGTATGGAAAATCGACGTTCAGGTATTAAATTATATGTTTTATCTGATAACCAGCCACCTATTGTTGAACCAATAATCAACGCACCACCAGGACAAAGATAACTTAAACTAGTTTGTAAAAAATTAAAGTGGTAATGTTGTTGTAGTACTCTTGAAAAAGTAACCATAACTCCATAAAAAGTTGCAAATAATAAACCAGAATTTATAGAGCAAATCAATACTGGTTTAAATTTCATTAAGTTCCAATAATTTTTCAAACTTGGTTTTGGAGGTTTTGGATAATCATCAACTAATTTTGGTTGAATCAATTTAGGTTTGACAATTAGATTTTGAGCATGACATTCTCCATTACCTACTAAATATCTTAATGTTTCAGGTAGTAAAAATAAAATCATTAAATAAACAACACTACCCAAAATAGCCAAGAACCCAAATATCCATCTCCATGAACTTATTGCAATGATTGATAGTAGAGGTCCTAAAATTGGTCCTAATTGTGGTCCCCACATAAACACTGCTATAGCCTTTGCTCTATTTTTAGGTTCTATAATATCAGCAATAGTACCAGCACCAACAGACATTACACTACTAGCACCAAATGCTTGAACTGCTCTTAAAATATACAATGCAACGATATTTGCTGGAATTGTTGATAATAAAATATTTGCAATAATATAAAATAAGATTGGAATTAAATATAATAATTTTCTACCACCATAATCAGCCCATGAAGCCCAAATTAATGGAGCAAATGCAAAAATTGCCATAAATATTGAAATTGTACCATTTATAGTTGATTCAGAAACATTAAAAACAATTTGTAATTGTGGTAAAATTGGAACATAAATATTACCAGCTATTGGACCTAAACAACCAGTTACGGTAACAATTGAAATAATTAATATTTTTCTTTTAGTTGTGAATGCGCAATACATAATTTTAGAGCAGAAAACATCACAAACTAAAGACTCCAATACTTATAAATTATATATACATTTTCATATTTCTTCAATTTTCCTAAATTTAAATTTCATCCCTATTGGAGAAATTGGACCCGAAGGTGTAAATTTTATTTTATTAAGTAGTTCAAAATTGTATTTTCCTAAAATTGCATGAACTAGTGTTTTACATTCAAATAAAGCATATTTTTCACCTAAACATGCTCTTTTCCTTCCATGAAATGCGGGCAAATGAGCGTCTCTTTTAGCCTTGGTATAATCAATAACTGACCAACGTTCCGGTTTAAAACAATCTGGATCTTTCCACACATTCTTGTCCCTACCAGTTGCAAGATTCATATAGCCAACATAAACACCTTGAGGAATTTGAATCTCACCACCAAGCTGTACCGATCTTGTGGTACATCTATTTATGATTTGATTTAGTGGGGGATACATTCTTAAAGTTTCATAAATCACAAAATCAAGAAATTTTGGGGTGGATCTACATTTTTCTTGTAGATTTGAATCTGAACCCAAAACAAATAAAAGTGATTGCATTAATAACAAAGGATTTTCATGACCAGCAACCATTGTAATAATTGAGTTATCTAAAAATTGTTTATTTGTTAAAACACCATTTTCTAAAGCTTGAACTAATTCTGATGCAGCACCAATTTGAGTGTGCTCCTTGATTTTTTGTCCAAACCAAAACCTAAAATTTTCAACTTCTTTTTTAGCTTTGAGTCTACTTGGTATAGGGAGTTTTTCAATACTTGGAAAATTCATGAAAAATGGTTTAAAAATTTGTCTTTTAATGTATTTTATTTGATTATGCATATTAGTATTTTCTAATGCTTCAAAATCTACTCCCATAATACAATCACCAATATTTTGTAATGAATATCTCTGTAAAGTGTCTGTAATTTCTCCATCAGGTAACATATTCAACACTTTTGCAGTATTTTTAGTGAGTGGATCTAAATTTGGAAATTGAATTGAATTTTTTAATACACTTCGATAGTTTAACCAAGTTGAACCAGTTGATGAAATAATATTATCTCCAGTATAAGTAGCTAAAACTGAGCCAGGAATTTTGATGTGATTCCCGCTTTTTGCAAATACACCATCATTTTTGAAAATTTCAACTAACAATTCTGGTCTTGAAACTAAAATGTTCCATCTTGAAGCAAAATAAATTTTAACAGCACCATACTTTTCAAGTTTTTCCCTTAAATATAAATTAAAGATATCAATTTGATCGTACTTCCCAAATGAACTTAAAAAGGAAACATAAAATGGAATAGTTGGTATATTTCTTGGGAAATTCCATGGTGGTAGAACCACTTCCAAAATTTTAAACAAAACATAAGCTATAATTAATGAAAGAATCATTGGTGGATCATCACCAAAAAAAATTGCTATTCTTTTTTGTATATTTTTAATATCACATCCTCTAGCATGAACCACCACCAACAGAAATTTTTAGGAAATTTTAACAACCGCAAGTAAACTTTTATATAAAACCTCCTGAATTTGTAATACAATAAAATTTGGTACTTTTTTTGGTTAATCATCATTGAAAAATGGAATCTGCTTCAAGTTTATCATTAACCACACAAACAAATAGTTCTACTTCAACTATAGATATCTCAAAACCAATTTATGAAAATATTTGTATGCTCTATAGTCGTGACCAAAAGCAAATCTTGAGTTTACGATATTTTAATAAATTTGATCTCGATCTAACAGATTCGATCTTAAATGCCAAGTTTATCAACCACCACCACAATATCAAACAAGCAACGATCTCAGACGATTTTCATATCTGGGAATTACCCTTAGACTCCACAATAAAGCAAGGTGTTGTTACAATTCAAATGTCACCAACTGATTTTGATTATTGGTTTTTGGAATTATTAATATCAAATTCAAAAATATTTTATGATTCAATTAAAAATTTTAATTATTTATCAGAGCAAATAACTGATATATTTGCATCAAAATTAAAACATACAGTAGAACATGATAAATGGGAATCAATAGGCAGACTTAAATTCAAGAAAGGTGTTGAATTTTTCACTAGTAGAGGTCAACCTTTGGAAGCAGTATTACCGGCTTTTCCATGTAAATCATCAAATCATGAGAAAGTTTCAGGAGATTTACCTGATAAAGGTGAAGAACTCGCTCTTAAACGATTAATATATTTTGCTGAAGAAATTGAAAAAATATATCCACCTGGTATTATTATATGGATTATAAGTGATGGTCATGTTTTTAGTGATTGTATTGCAGTTGATGATTTGAAAGTTAATCAATATTCCATTGCTTTAAAACATTTATATAAAAGAATCACCCCAAAAAATTCAATAATAAAATTCAATTCACTTCCTGAAATTTTTAAAAATTATGATAATGTACCAATAAATATTGACTTACAACACTTTTTGGGCACCAAATTAGATTATGAATCTGAAACTTGTCGTAAAATTATGATGTTATCATGTGATACAGATAATGGTAAGTTGAAAAATGATATTAATACACCAAATCATCCAAGATTATCATTATTTCGAGGTTTTAGTAAATTTATGACTGAAGATTTACAATTTCATCCAGAAGTTTCATCAATAACTAGAAAAAAATTTAAAAAAATTGTTAGTCAAGTTGCATTTGAAATGATTAAACGTAATGATGCATATTCAAATTTAGTTGAATTAATGTTTCCATTTCATTTAAGATTTTCTATTCATGCGCATAATAATGCAGGTCCAAAATTTGGTATATCTTTATTAAGTCAAAATGGAATTGATGAAATATTACCAATTAACAATATCAAAGATCATAAAGCTCCAAAAACAACTGATTTATTACACATTCCAACTCCTTGGCATAATTCCATAGTTTGTATTGATGATGATCCAACTTATTATGTTATAAAATCAATTGAAGTTGAAAAAGAACTTAAAAATGGAAATGGTGGCTGGGATTCAAAAAATTTACACTACTTTTATAAGAATCAAAAAATTAAAAACAATAACAATAACAATAAACACGAAATATAAAACACATTACAACACCACCAAAAATGTCACCGTCACCTTTACAAATTAAAATCAATGCCCTTAAAAGATTGATCAAAGAAGAAACACTATATCAACAAGAAGTCAAAGATCAAGAACAATATGTGAATCAAATGAAGTCTCAAAATGCTGATGAATATGAAATAAAAAAACAAATACAAGTTTTAGAGGAAAGTCAAAGAATGGTACCTCAAGTTTCTAAAAAAATTGAAGAACTTAAACACAATTTAAAAGAGTTTATTGATAATTATAACGGAGATGAAGATTTATCAAGTGCAAAAGATTTATTAAACTAAACTATATAGCTTTGCTTTAGTGTTCTAATAAAGTTAAATTACCTGTAACAACTACATTTTCTAATATTGAACCATTTGGTATATCAATTTTATCACCATCATTACAAACAATTATAACTGTACCTTTTAATTGAACTCCCTTTCCAATACTTACATTACCAGTTATAGTTAAATGATCTAATTCCAAAATTTTTGGCATATGAGGAATTCTTGATTGAAATCCTGAAACTTTTTTGAAATGTGAACCTAATTTAATTAAAGGATTTGAAAATCCATCTCTTGTTGGATCTAATTTTAATGCACCATGCTCCAAATAAAATAAATCTGATTTAACTAATAAAAGATCTGAACATGTTTTAACTGGTAAAAATCTTGATCTTGGTACAACAACTCCATGAGCTCCTTTGAAATGTCTTATAGCTGCACCTACAGCAGTTTCTAATTGTAAAACATTAATTTCTGAATGACCTTTTGATATTGTTTTTTGATTTGGAATAATTTCAGCTTCAATTGAATTTGTTTCAACTAAATTCTTGATGGCTCTCAAATTAATCCATAAATTATTAGTATTAAAATATTTGAATTTTTTAATTGATTTAAATTCCTCAACATGTTCTTTTGGTACTTGAGCAATTTCTAATAATCTAACTTCTCCTTGATAATTAATTAATGTACCACCTTTAACATCTGCTCTTGTTTTATCAGTTAATTCCATAATATATTCAGCTCCTGTTTCAATCATATGTGACAAAATTTTATTATCAACAGTTGCACCTAAATTGTCACCATTCGAAACAAATAAAATTTCTCTACCTTGTTCTAATAAAGCATCTAATTCACCAGATTGTACCAATGCTTCAAATAAATCACCATGACCTGGTGGATACCAACTATCTAATGAATCAGTAGATGAATCAGGTACTGGTAACAAAGAATCTTTATAAATTCTTGGAAATCTTGATTGATTAAAAGTTTTAACTCTTATTCTATGACCTTGATATTTTTTAATAATTTTAGCAGTATCAGCATCAGTATTAAAAGAATTCATTAATAATAATGGAACATCAGCATCATATTTTCTATTCAAATGTTCAATTTGTCTTACTGATAAATCTAAAAATGTATTACCATCTCTTACTTCAATAACAGATTTTGGTCCAACACAACCCATAGAGGTACCTAAACCACCGTTTAATTTTAATACAGCTAATTTTGATAAGTTTTCCCCAGCTTGTGCTTCACCATCTTCTAATTTATTATAAGCAACAACTTCATCAGCATTTGGTGATCTAATTTTATCCCATTCTAAAGTTGTACCAGAAGCTTTTTCAGTTAAATATCTTCTAAATAATGAAAAAAAATTATCCATTTCATTTTCAAATCTTCTTTTCTCTTCTTGATCTTCAACCGTATCTGCTAAATTATTTAATGCATTTCTCATTTGAGAAGCTGCAACAGTTGTTGCTGTATTATCAAAAGCCTAATGGAGGTTAGTAATTGCAATTGGATTTATAAATCAATTGAGTATCAATTAATACGTACATAAGCTGATTGACTCTTAGTATGTCTTTTAGATGAACCAGACATTATAACAATTGAGTTTTGATTTGTAGTAATTGAATAAAACTTGTTGAAAATTAAATTAATATATTTTAGAATATTATTATAAAATAAATTGAATGGGCGTGTGTATAAAGAAAAATTAATTTACATTTAGCAAATTTAAAATTAGGAACACTTATAATACATAAGGCTAAAAATGTAATATTATTTACTAAAGAGAGGTCAAGGCAAGTTGGACTATATTAAGAAGGCAAAATTCATTGCATTGGAGTGGAGGGGATCAAGTGGAGAAAAGAATATAAATAGATAATTTATGGAAGAACTATGATTATTTATTGACAATAAAGGGCAATTTAATTGACATATACTTATCTCAATCAATAGAGAATGATTAATGAGTGAAGAAGTTGCAAAAATCGATCAAATTACAACTTAACATCTCTCATATTACTTTGTACTTGAAAAAAGTTTGAAATTTATAAAAATTAATCAGTCGAGAATTTGAACTCCGTTTAAATTACTTTTTTCATTGTATTTGTATTTGTATTTGTATTACTATTTATTGCTTATACGCGTTTTTGCGTTTTTTCATGTCAAACTTTTTATGTCATGTCATTTTGTTCTATGTCATTACATTTTGTGTCATTATTACATTTAATACTGTATATAAACTTTATCTATATAGTCTATACTAATTAAGTATTTATTTAAATTGTTTTAAGTTTTGTTTCCATTTTGCAATTTTTAATTTTTTATCTTCAATTGATGGTTCTAAAGATTTTACATTTTTTGTAGTTGAACTTAATTGATATAATTCTTGTAAATCTTTTGAATTATTTGTAATTGATTTATTTGATTTATTTTGATTAGTTGGATCAAATCCAATTTTTGATATCATTGATGATGAAAATGATGATTTAATACTCTTGTTAGTGGTGGAGTGTGATTCAAAATTTAATTTTTCAGATAATGAATTATGTGGTGATAGTTTCGATAATTTATTTTCCAAAAGTGAATTGGCTCTTTCATTCATTAATTTTCTTTTTTTCAATTTTGTTTGTAAAATTTTTGGATCTTGAAATTTTTTTTGATCAATTTTACCATACCCTGAACTTGAATATGATGAGTTTTCATTAAACTCTTTTAGATAAATTTGGCTGTTTTTATTGTTGATATACATTTTAGTTTTTGATGGTGATCTCATTGTAACACTATTTAATTCCATTCTAGAACTTGATCTAAATTTCATATCTAAATGAACATCACAGAGTTTTGTTTTACTTATATCTATTACATTTGAGCATCTTTGATTATCTGATCTCTTAATGAACTGACATTTACCAAAATCTTTTATGGACCCTATTTCTAATATACTATTAATATTTGAATTATCTACTTTCAAATTAAATCCAGATTTACATTCTGTTTCATTAATCTTAATTTCATATTTATTGATGATAGGGTTTAATACCAAAATTAAATCACCTTCTTGTAATTTCCAATTTCTTTCAAATGCATCATCAAATAAAATGATTTCAATTTCATTGTTGAAACTCCCAACTTTAAATTTCATATACTTCTTATTAGTCTTTGTATATAAAACTTGTGATTTGTTGATAATAAATCCTAATAAACACCAATTTGTATATAGTGGTTCAGTATACTTATTTGTTTTATTGGTTTTAGCTAGTAGTTTTTCAATTTTCATGATTTTTAGTCCAGGATCTGTTTCAGCTAGCAATTGTGTGATTTTGGCCTCGAGGTAGTATCTTTTTCTCAAATAGTATCCTGATATTGAACATTTTTCCTTAACATCTTTCGTTTCTATTTGCATATCTGTAAAATCAAATTCAAATTTACGTTTATCATAATCAATACTTGAATATTTTTCTTTTGTTTTGTTTAAATTTGCCTCATATAATTGTGATAGAAATCCTGATGACTTTGCTGGTTTTTGAGGTTTTGCAATATCTCGATTAGTTGGTTGTGGCTCTATTTTTGCTTTTGTTTTTGTTGGTGACCTTAGTACTTCTGGTTCTGAAACTTCTTGTTTTCTTTTTTTCTTTTCTGCTGCTTTCTTTTTAATAGCTTCAAATTTTAACTGATATTCCTTTTGTAAATCTTTTATTTCATCTGACGAGTCTTCACTAAGTAAATCATCTTCATTGATTTCTTCATCTCTTGGATCAAGCATGTGTAAAGAGTATATTTAAAATGAATATTGTGAATAAAAAATATATAAATTTACGCGCTGGAAACTACGTTATAAAATTGAAAAAAGTCCAAGTTATCACCACCTTAATAAAAGCACCTCAGAAAACTAATGCCCAGGGGTAGATCAAAGTCAACTGTACTGCAAATTGCGAATGACGTGCCTATAATAAATGAAACAACTACAAATTTTAAGCATACACCACCAACCACTTTCAAAAACTCAAGATCAAAATCAGTATCTTCACATGAAACAAAAAAGTCAAATCCAGTAATAGAATTAATATCACCGTTCAATGAACTAGAGAAAGATCAAATTTGGACAAATTATATCAATTCCTTCAATTATGATATGGTCTTAAAACCTCAAGATATTCACACTATAAACTCAAAACATTTAGATAAAGTACTAAACTTTCAGAATAATCTACATTCAAATCAAATACAATTACAAAAATTTATAGATCAGACTGACAATTTATTAATAGACATGGATAAATTATTTACTCAATATAAGAAAATAACGAATGAAACATTAGATTTTGATAAATCAGCAAATGAACTATTGACAAAACAAAATATATATCAAACAAAATATGATGAAATTTTCAATAACCTAAAGCTTTTTGAACATTTAGATTCAATAACTAAAAATTTATCAAAATCCGGCTCACATTTATTAAATCAAAAAAGAAAATTTTTTATAAATGATATACTAAAAAATTTAGATGATAGTTTAAAATTTGTTGATGATCATCCAAATTATAAAGATTGTGAATTGTACAAAAGTAGGTTTAAACAATGTATGACAAGATCATTAACCTTAATAAGAAATTTCTTGAATAACGAAATCAAGAGTGTTAATGATTCAATTGATAAAAAGCAAAAGACTTTGGGACTTGATTTGTTAATTTATAATGAGTTTAATAACTACCTAAAGTATAACCAAGAACAATTTCACGAATTAATGAATGAATTGAAAAAGAGAAGCTCAAATGAAGAGTTTTCTGGGTTGTTTAATGATGTTTTGTCAACCTACTTCAACATAAGGACGAGATTATTACACAAGTATATTGACAAGTATCCAAATACTTTATCTAAAGAGCATTCCTTGGTACAGGCTTGTCAGGATCAAATTTCATACTACAAAAAGATAATTGAAAAAGAATACAATTTATTTAAAGCATTTTTTGAACCTAATAAACACGAATATGTTGATGATTTATTATGGGATACTTTTTACAATTTCTTGAAAAATGTCTTAGAACCATTATATGATAACATCAGACTCCTCATACTAAAAGAGTCAAATATAAGTTCATTATGTCAATTCACCACTTTATTACAAAAATATTATGAGTTTGAAGATGAGAATGAAGGATCTTTAATTGATACTCAAAGTTATTTCGCTTCAACTAATAGTGAGAACTCAATAAAATATGGATTTTTATTTCAGCCATTGTTGGATGATGCTCAAAATCGACTAATTTTTAAAATTCAAAACTATGTCGATAATCAATTAATGAAATATAAACCAAAATCAATTGATTTGAAAATTGGATTTATAAAACAAACAACAAATGTTAATTCTTTGGATGTGGATTATGAGGAAAATTTATTTCCTGATTTATATTTACCATTAGCTAAAGCATTAACAATTTTATCAAACATATATGAATTAATCAATGGTTATGTTTTTGATGATATTGCTCATTATATTGTTCATTCATGTATTGAAATGTTAAAAGGAGAATATTTAAAATTAGCCATCAATCAATTAGGTAGAATTGAAGGTAAAACCTTATATTTAAAAGATTTAATTATATTAAGAGATCAAATTAAAAATTTTGATATACAATATGTAAGAAATGATTTTTCAATTGATTTTACAAGTGGATTTACTAATATATGGAATTTTATAAAGAGAAGGAACTCAAGTGGTGGAATTTTAGAAATTGCAAAACAATCGATACCAAAAGTTATAAATAATATGATTGATGCAAATATGGAAATTGAAATGGAATTAAATAATGCAGTAACTGATTTTTTGACAATTTGTTCAAATGAAATTTGTGAACCTATTTTAGGTAAGGAAGATTTAACTAATGAAAACCTAAACAAATTCAAGGATAATTTAATAATTAAGATTCCAAATTTTTATAAACATATAATTTCTATTATAAATGATCAAATAGTAGCACGATCATTAATGAATAATTTGTCACAATTAATTTTAATAACTTATGAAGAATTTTATAAAAAAGTAAATGACTTACCAGAAAAACCTAAATTTGATGATTTATTAGAAATTGATGCATTGTCAGGATTTGTAAATGATATAATAAATCATTTATATGATGAAGAAGATTCCAAGAATCAAATTCAATTTTCTCCAAATTTCAATGAAAATGTGTTAAATAATTTAGACTTAGATTTAGATGAAGCAGATGTTGAAGATTCTAAAAAGCCAATGCATTTGAATTTGGAGTTAGATATACCTATTGATCCAACCAATTCAATAGATCCAATAAACCCAGGACAATCTATTGAAAAGTAATGCTTTTGTATAGCAAGTAATAAAAGTTATTGATTATTCTTCTTCAAATGGGTTGTAGATATTTTTCGATAATAATTTATTTAATTCATTCTTAACAATTTCAACTTTATCTTGTTGTATTAATAAGTGAGTATCATCTAATTCTTCTAATACTATTCCAGGTGTAACTGAATCAATCTGTATGATAAGTGCTTTAATTGATGGATCACATCGAACTAAAACTCCTTTACTAGCAACTAACATTTGAAGTGATTGTTTGCTGGGTAGTAAATTTGGTTGTAATTCTAAATTTTTTTATCTCAATGCAAAATAAAGTTTCACTGATAAAAGCCGCATCTTATTTGTTTTTTGGTCAGTCAACTTTCATTACAGTATCAACAAAACTGCAACCAAATAGACAATGACAAGGATATAATGAGTGATGAAGAAAAACCAATTAATAAAAATGGCACAGATTTAGATGAAAATGGCACGGATATACAGAATGGGAAGGAAGCAGATAAACAAATTAATCACAATGAGGAAAATATCGAAAATAATGGCCACCACAATAATGATAACAATAACAACAACAATTTTACACACATAGACACTGATTCAGATGATGAGGAAGATGAACCGCCTAAACTTAAATATTCAAGAATTAACTTACTACCTCCTAATTTTTTCAATAAAGATCCATTATCAGCTTGTTTTTTCCAAGACAAATACTTTATATTTGCAACCCATTCAGGTATAGTTCACATATGTACGTCACAATTTGAAACAATACGAACATTTAAAGCTCATAGAGCTTCAGTATTAAGTGTATATACAGATGGAGCATTTTTTGCATCTGCTTCAATGGATGGAACAGTAGTAATAGGATCAATATTAGATGAAAAAGATATAATTGCATATGATTTTCAAAGACCAATTCATTGTATAGTGCTAGATTCTAATTTTGCAACTAAAAGATGTTTTATAACTGGTGGAATGAGTGGTAAGGTCATTTATTCAAGTAAAAATTGGTTAGGTAAAAAAACAGATTATATAATAGATCAAGAAAATGGACCAATTGTGGGATTACAAATTGTTGATGATTTAATTATATGGATGAATGATAAAGGTATTAATGTTTTTCATTTAGCTAATAGATCTATTATTCAAATTTTAGAAAAACCAAGTGATAGTGCAAGAAATGATTTATATTGGCCAAGATGTACACAACCAGATCCTGATCGATTAATTATAGCATGGAGTAATTATATATGGTCATTAAGAATATCATTAAAAACTGCAGAAGATAAGTTATTACAACAAAAGACTCAATCACCTATATCATCAGGTATGAGTAAAATTTTACCATCTACTGCATCAATATCTTTTAGAAATATTCAAGAGAAAAAAATTGAAATTGAACATATTTTCAAATTAGATGATTTGATATGTGGTATAGCAAGTTTTAAAGACGATTTATGGATGGTATTAACGTACAATCCACCAATAAGAGATGAAGACAATAGTCAAAAACCAATGTACAATAATCCAGATTTAAAACTAATAAATTCAATGAATGGAGAAGTTGAATTTGAAGAAGAATTAGGTTTGAGAAATGTTGATAATTTAGGACTCAATGATTTTAATTTAGGTTTACACATTGAACAAATTCCCAAATATTATATTATTAGTGCGAAAGATGGAGTTATTACCGAAGAATATCAATTACAAGACAGATTGAATTGGTATTTGGACAAGGAAGACTATTTAAAAGCTTATGAAATTAGTGGACATTTAGTAGGTTTTAACAAGAGATTAAGTTATGGTATACAATATGTTGATTCATTAGTTAAAGATAATGAATGGACAAAAGCTAGTGAATTTTTGAAAACTTTGTTACCAGTTGAAGAAGCTCAAGTTGAAAATGAAATTGAAGACGAAGAAGAGAGAGAAAGAAATGAAGAAATATTAAGTCAATGGCAAACTTGGTCAAATATTTTTATTAATAGTGATCATGTTAAAGAATTGACTGGTATAATTCCCCAAACTGATAAAATACCCAAAGAAATATTCAACAAAATTCTAGATTATTGGATTGATCAAGATACTGAAGTAGTTAAAAAGTTGCTTGACGAATGGTCAATTGAATTATATGATTTTGAGAAAATTGAATCTGAATTAGACAAGAAACAAGATGCAAATAATTTGGATACAAGTATTGAAAGTGCATTGATCACAATATATAATAAATCATTACAGCCAATCAAGTCTGTCCCACATTTATACAAATTAAAAAACGACTCGATTATAGAATATTGTGCTACTAATCATATCTTGAAGAATTTCATTACTCAATTGCCAAACTTTATAAAATTAAAATTTACCAACATTGAGGATATAAATACAATATCAATTGACAAAATTTCAGATAAATTAGATCCAATAATAAACATATTAATTGATTCCAGATTAGAAATACTACCTCAAGAAATTATTGAAATTTTCCAAAATGCAAATTTATCAATTATCAATTATTTATATTTGAACAAATTAAAATCAATTGATAATTACCTTATTTCCAATTTCCAGAATGAAATAATAAGATTATATTGTGAATTTAATAAGAAATTATTATATGATTTTTTAATATCAAATAATAATTATAATGTTGATGAAGCAATAAAATTATGTGAAATAAATGAATATTATAAAGAATTAATATATTTATTAGGTAAAATTGGAGAAAATAAAAAAGCATTAGATTTAGTAATATCTAAATTAAATAACCCTGAAATGGCATTTGAATTTGTTTATAAATTAAATGATAAAGATGTTTGGTTACAATTAATAAATAAATCAATTAATAAATATAATTTTTTAAAAATATTAATTGAAAAATCAGATGAATCAACTTATAAATTTTATGATCCAATTTTAATATTAACAAAATTAGAAGATAATAATAAAGATATTAATGAAGAAGATAGGAAAAAAATTTTAATAAATTTAAAACAAAGTATTATTGAATTTAGTAAAAATAATCAATTAAATAAATTAATTCAACAAATTATATTAAAATTAATTTATACTCAATCTCAAGAATTATCAATATTTTATAGGAATGAAATTTTAAAGGGAATTGAAATTGATAATATATAAAATATTAGTAGTAATAAATTTTTTGTTAAGACTCAATTATGAAAGTTTTAATTGAGAACCATGTTTATACTGTATTTGTAGTTTATTCTTAAAAATATATGTATTTCAAAGAAATTTTTAATCTTTATTAGTAAATATAAAATTCGTAAATACTTTCCAATTGCACTGTAAAAAATTACGGAAAATTCAAATTCTCATTTTAAATAATTTCAGATTTAGATCTAATAACTTCCCTAAAACCTATTAATAATCACCAAATTCTTTGTTTATAAATATACTCTTATATTATTAACAAATACAAGAAAGATGTTTAAAAGTAAGCTCAACTTAAATGATAGTTATTTTCCACTCCAATTGATAAATTGAGTGTATTAAAACTTCATTATTGTTATTCAATTTGTTACAAATTTATGGAAGATTATCACTAATTAGAATTGACGGAATAATTTTTTAGAGTTTAAATTGAATTATCAACATTATTATTATTATTATTAAACGATTGGATTTTAGATTATAAAATTATACAAACAATGTAATAATAAAAAGATTGACTAAATGAATAAAATAATAAGATCATTTTTCTATGAGAATAAAACAGAATGTGATAAATTATTTATTGTATTTGTTGTAAAGAGAAATTAAAAATTCTTGTGAATTGTAAAAAAAGGTCAAAAATGTGTAAGATTTACTAACCTAAATAATTGAAGATTAAAATATCTTTACCTAACATGTTCAAAGTAAGATGAAGTATTCATTCGTAAAGTTAAATAAATAGGGACTCAACGGGAATTATGTTTTACAATTATTTTTTAAGGGATAGGATGCCTTTAATACTTTTTAGTTGGATCTATTGTTTCATTTTTTAATTGATTACTTATTTATTATAATATAATAGTCTAATTAAAGATTTTAATCTGGTTTTATGTTTGCTACATAAAAATTTTTAGTTTTATTATGTTTGAATCAAATTTCATGTGAAATTTCTCTATTGTAATAAAATATTAATAATAACTATAAAAATATAAATACTGTATATAAAAAAACTCCATTCGGACTTTTTAAATTTGACACAAAAACTATAAAAAAATAAAAAATTATAATTGTATAAAAAATATGGGGAAATTCTATTATCGCTACCAAATCTGTTAATAAAATTAAATTTTTATTATTTTTTTTTTTCCTGAAATCAACATTTATTCTAAATATAAAATTATACATAGAGAAATGTAGGATACCTAACCTAATGGTATCGAAAGGTAATATAAATGGTACAAAATCTTGCTAATAATGATAAAAACTTCATCCCATTAGCTAGTAAAACCAGTGTATTGTGGCCCTCACTTGGAGCTTTTTGCTTTTTTTTTTTTTTTTTCAATCTTTAATTATTATTTTGATCTTTATTATTTAAATGACATAAAAGTATTGTTATTTTTTTTTTCATGTGAAAAATTATGAAAATTCTATTATTTTAATATAATATAAAGAATAAAAGATTGACAATACTAAAATTTTTGAATTTGAATTTTACTTTCAAATTTGATATATACATAACCTAAAATTGATCATCAGAATTTGATATACTTATCCCTCAATTCATTAGGATTTAACTCCTTTGTTTTAAACTCCTTCCACTATTGAAAATAATTCAACTAATTAATTTCTTTCAAGTAGTATTACTTTTATATTTATTTGTAATATTATTTATTGTTAACTAAATATAGTTAAATACTACTAATATAGATTTTGTGTCATTAGATTAAGGTTTAAAGAAACTATTCTGAGGGGTAATTTATATTTTTTTTAATTATTTTAATTCTATTTGTGTTATATTTTTATTTTATTATGGTTTTGAGATTTTTTAGTTTTTAATTCTAATTAATTTAGTTTTCTATTAACATTAATCAGAATTCAACGAAAACAAATTGTATTTATTATTTAATTCAATGTAGATTATTGTGTATTATGATTTGTATATTGTGTATTCTGTATTGAATTTTGTAATGTACTATTTTTAAAATTTTACATTTCTATATTTTACAAAATAATAATAATAAAATTAAATCCTATGAAATAATTTAAAATAATTAAAATCTCCAATATAAAATTTCAAAACTAATAAATATATAAATATTTAACCAAATCTCTTTTTATTTGTTTCAACTGATTTTTGATCTAATTTTACCAATTTTACTTTTACTTTTATCTATTCACTATTCATACTTTTTATCATTAATTTTTTAAGAATTTATTCATACATATTTATTCATTTTTTCAAATTTAACTTAATATTTTCACTTTTGATTGTTTCATATATTATAATACACTAACAATTTCTTTTAATAATATAATAATAAATTATTTTATTTTTATTTTATTTACAATTTTTTTATATTAATAGAGAAGAATTTTTAAAAACAAAATGTCAAGTGAATCTGATCAACTACAATTTATAATCAATTTTATAAGAACTCATATTATTACTTGGTATGGTGTACTTATAATAAGTACTTCATTATATTTTGGTGGTTTATATATAAAAAGAGAAATATTTAGAAGAAAACATGGTTGTAAAGAACCACAAGTTTATCCAGATGGTGGATTTTTAGGTATAAAATTAGGTTATGATTTACAACATTATAAAAAAACTGGTGAATTAATTGATTTTCCATTAAAACTATTTAAAAAATATGGTAATAAAGAAACTTTTAGTGCTTATTTATTTGGTGTAAGAGTTGTTGTTACAACTGAACCAGAAAATTTAAAAGCTATATTAGCAACTCAATTTAATGATTTTAGTTTAGGTACAAGACATGCACATTTTGCTCCTTTATTAGGTGATGGTATTTTTACATTAGATGGTAATGGATGGAAAGATTCAAGAGCTATGTTAAGACCACAATTTGCAAGAGAACAAATTTCTCATGTACAAATAATTGAACCTCATTTACAAATTTTAAAAAAACATATTGATAAAAATAAAGGTAAAATATTTGATATTCAAGAATTATTTTTTAGATTAACTGTTGATACAAGTACTGAATTTTTATTTGGAGAAAGTGTTCATTCTTTATATGATGATTCAGTTGGTTTAAAATGTGATGATCAAGTTGCTGGTTTTGCTGATGCTTTTAATGAAGCTCAAAAAGCATTAGCTGTTAGAACTTATTTACAAGTTTTATATTTTTTATATAATCCACCATCATTTTGGAAAAGTACTAAAGTTGTTCATAATTTTGCAAAAACTTTTGTTAATAAAGCTTTAAGTTTAACTCCTTCAGAATTAGAAGCAAAAGAAAAAGAAGGTTATATATTTTTATATGAATTATCAAAACATACAAGAGATCCAAAAATTTTACAAGATCAATTATTAAATATTTTAGTTGCTGGTAGAGATACAACTGCTGGTTTATTATCTTTTTGCTTTTTTGAATTATCAAGACATCCTCATATTTGGGAAAAATTAAAAGAAGATATTTATTTACATTTTGGTTCAGGTGATGATATTGATTTATCTTCAATAACTTTTGAAACTTTGAAAAAATGTAATTATTTAAAATGGGTTTTAAATGAAACTTTAAGACTATATCCTTCAGTTCCAATTAATTTTAGAGTTGCAACAAAAGATACTACATTACCATTAGGTGGTGGTGAAGATGGTTCATCGCCAGTTTTTGTTGGAAAAGGTACAACAGTTGCTTATGCTCCTTATGTTTTACAAAGAATGGAAAAATATTATGGTAAAGATTCTGAACAATTTAAACCTGAAAGATGGGAAAATATTCCAAAATTAGGTTGGGCTTATTTACCTTTTAATGGTGGTCCAAGAATTTGTTTAGGTCAACAATTTGCTTTAACTGAAGCAAGTTATGTTATTGTTAGATTAGCTCAAATGTATCCAAATTTAATTTGTGGTGATAAAAGACCTGATCCATGTATGAAATTGATTCATTTAACAATGAGTCATATGGATGGTGTTCATATTGGTATGAGTAAATAAATAAAAATTTAACAAAACTATTTAAAATAAAAAACTTTTGAAAAAAAATATAAAATTAATTTGGAATTATTAAATTAAAAAGATTGGAATTTTACTATGTAATTGATTTACTGTGTTTTCATTGTGTATAGTTCTATTTATAATTTATTCAAGTAATAAATGAAATGATAAAAATAAAATAGTTAATACTTGTATCGTCGTATCGTAAAACGGTCAGATAGAACCGTTAATACTCAAAAAATTTGGAATCGTTAAAATTAGGTTGTAAAAATGGAAAAAATGGAAAGAAATTATAAAAAAGGGAATTTTTAACATAAAAAATTCTATTGTTTTTTTCAATTTTTCACAAGATAAATTTAGAAATTTAAATTAATTAATGCATATTGAACAATAACTGCATATTAAATTCTAGATTTACAATTCCGGAGTTTTATAAAACTTCATCACAAAATGCCTTCGAATGGTAGTACATAAAAATTAGACGATTCCTTATTGGTGCATAAGATCATAACCCACTGTAAGAAATCAATTTGTCAGGTGTTTAACTCAATAACTCATGCAAAATTAATCAATTGACCTCCTATATATAAAACAACTTGTCAATTGTTTACTTCTTTTTAATGAGGCTTTGTCAAAACAGGAACATGAAGAATTCAATTGCATTTAAATCAATTATCTGAACGTACAATAATTTAGTCTTAACTCCTCAATGTTAAACTCCTCTGAAATTGAGGTACTAAAACAGTATGTACTAATTGCTCTTAATAATTTAAGCGAAAAACAAATAAAAAATGTGGGGTAAAAGATTTTGGAATATTTCACAAAAATAAAGCAATATTTCAAATACGATTTAACGATAATATGAATTTTGATAACTGCACAAACGAATTGATCGACTTTGAGTCAATTCTGAAAAGATGAGCTAGCAATTCAATTCCTATTTACAATAAATTGAATTTTAAGAATTTGAATTATTATTAACATTTACGAGTCTACTCGAGCTACCAAATCTCTTATTTTGATTACACGACGTTTCGTTTTTATTGTCAATTCCAATTTAGGAATTAAAAGGGTTTTATTTGCAACATTTATTAGGATTTATTTCATATCAATAAGATTATGTTTATATCCTACAATTTATAGATTTTTTGATATACACTCATTTCAATACATTTTCAATTACTTATTAATATTTGTCACTCTCATTCGTAATTTACTAATCCATTATTATTTTTACTATTTGAATGACTAGTTACAAAAAGAACATTCCGTTTGAGTCTTGAATCTGTTTCAAAATTTAAATAATATTTTATTATTTATCCTGGTTTTGTGAGATGCAATTTGAGATACTTCATTTGCATCGTGTGACTACAATTTTTTAATTATTACAAAGAGAAAGAATTTAAGCTTTATTTAACTTTATGTTAGAGCTTTAACAATAGTTTCTCATAAAAGATTTTTAGCTACATTGTTTTACTATCATTCATCATCTATGTTCGTAAGTTTTTTTCTTTTTTTTGATGTTTTGCTGTATATGTATATAATTGTATATAGAACTAATTTATAATTTTAAAATTAACAAAAATCTATAAGTCAAATCAAATCAAATGTCTCTTTCTTCATTTCTAGTGTATCATTAAGCCCCTATTTTTTTTGAATATAATTCAAATAACTTTGATAATTAAAATTACCAAATTTATAATCAATATCTAATAATAATTTTATAGCATCTTGAGATTTATATATATAATCAGCTGGTAATTTAACTAATTGATCTTGTTCTTTTGTTATATTACTATCAATTTGAGATTTTTGTAAATGAATTAATCTATCACCATTTTGTTGAGATTTATAAACTTGATCATTTGTTAAATTATAAACTCCTGGATATCCACTTATTGCTTTGAAATTAGATTCTCTTGTAACTGGTTGATGTAATGGGAATAAATTTTGTAATAATTCATATGATGCTAATGTAAAACCAAATTGAGGTGAAGATCTAAACACTCTTGCTAAAGATCCTTTAAAAAAAGCTGAAATACCTTCAGTTTTTAAAATTGCTTTACCACAATCGATTATACCTTTATATTTTATGTCATTCTTTTTACCAGCAACTTGTAATCTTGTCTTTATAACATCAGCTGGAGTTGTGAAAAATGCAGCTGGAGCACCTGCTAATGCACCAGCTACTAATAATTGCCAAGTTGATAATTTTTGCTTTTTTGTTGCATCATTTGGATCAAATCCAAACATATATTTTTTCAAATTTGCATAAGTTGGGAAATATATAGCTGAAAATGGTACATCTCTTAAAAGACATGCAGAAGCTCCTTTATATAAACCTTTTATACCTAATTGTTTTATAATTTGTGATGCAGTAAGATGTTTAATTGGGATTTCACCAGGTTTACTTAAATTTTTAGTATTACCTTGCATTTGTAATCTAATTTTAACAATTTCTAAAGGATTTGTAAAGATGACTTGACATGCACCTGCTGACGAACCAGCTAAAATTTCCCAATTCATAGTAATTTTACCATTATTTTCATCAGTACCAATTTTACGCACTAAATCATTAACAGTTAATTTTATAGCTTTTTCTGGGGCAACACCAACTAATTGTGCTCCTAAACCCGAATACAAACCCTTGAATCCTTCTGCTCTTAAAATTTTTTTGAAACAATCAATGGAATTATCATATAAGGCTTTGTGTTTTTGAGCTTGCATTCTAGTTTTAACTAAATCAATTGGATAAACTGCTGTGGCACCGATACAACCAGCTATAGACCCAAGGAAAAAAGAATATAATGAATCATAAATTGGCCACAATGAAAAATTATCACTTGGTTGTGAAGTTGAGTATGAACTTTGAGGATGTTCAAATATTGGTTCTATGGTATTAATGTTGTTATTGAGATTTGGATTAAGGAATGAAATCATTTGTTTTCTTGAAATGTCATCACCAGTTTTTTGATTAATTAAATAGAACAATAAATCTAATTCCAAAGCACTAACTGATTTGAAATTAGCTGATTTTAACAATGGATCATTTAAATGATTGTATAAATCTTGTTTATTAATAACAATATCATCTTTGTCTTTGGTGGTTGGTGGAGTGTTTACAATAACCTCATTAATTAAATCAACTTTACTTAACGTATCATAAATAAACAAAACATTTGACAATGAATAGAATTTTTTATCATCAAAAAATCCTGTGATACTATGTAAATTACTTTTCAATTTATTTGATAATTTATGATTTAAATTGGTAGTTAATAAACCAATTAATTGTTCACCACTAAGTAATTTACTTTTATTGGCTGTTATATCAAAACTTCCAATTAATTTAGTAACTGGTAAATAACTAATTAATGTCACAAAATCATTAAATTCAATAAATCCTTGTGGTTCAAAAAATTTTGGGAAATAAATCCAATTTAATTTAATTAATTTTTGTTGATAATTTGGATCAATGGAAGAATTTATTTTGTTTAAAATATCAACACATTGACCATAACTAATTTTAGAATTTATAGTATTTGAATTTGATAAAAATTTATATAATAATTTATATTCTCCATCAGTTGAAGTTAAAGTATTTATAAAATTAATCCAATTTAATTCATTTACAAATCCCTTTTTTTCAGTATCTGCAATAAGATATAATAATGAAAAAGTTGATTTTGGAATATCAGTTTGGAAAGGTGATAAAATATTAATAAAATCTGGTAATGTTAAGATTTTTTCTTGATTTAAACCAATAGTTGCAAAATCATTGAAAATTTCAGTAGCTTTTAATTGTTTAGTTTCGGACGAAGTTGATAATATTGACATTTTTGAATTGTATTTTTATTTTGTTATATGAATTAAATTGTATAAATTTTATATGATGCAAAAAAAATAAAAAATAATAATAAGATTAAGAAAATTGATTGATTTGAATTGAAGTTGGAATATATCTAAAATTCTAAATGGATATATAATTAAAGTGATTTAGCAATTTGGTGATAATAAAAAATCTCTATAAATTCTTCATTTAATAAAAATCTTTGATTGATGATGAAATTTTTTTTTTATTTTAAAAACGAAAATTAAAAGTTTTGATATTTAAATTTTTTTTATTTTTTTTTTTTTTTAAAAATGTTGAAGAAAAAAAAAATTATTTATAAACAAAAAAAAAGAAACAAAAAAATTATATTAAATTAATTTTTAATTGTAGTGTGAATAAAAATAGAAATGTCGTATTTTGACATCAGTAAGAACCATATTTATCGCGCTAAACTTATGGGCTAAGCTTGCCCTAAAAATCCTAAATTTTAGTACGAGGTTGTATTAAGTTCAACCTATAGTTGCCAGTAGATAGGATGAATGGAATAAAAAATTGATATGATAGATTCTTAAAGGTTTTACCAAAACAAAGATTAATTTCTATTCAATGTAACTTTATCTAATCTACTTTTACTTGTTCATTAGTCTTATAGGTCATTTAAAAACTCAATCTTATGCATTTCAATATTAAATTTAGCTTTTTTAAGTTTTCTTGTGAAGTTTTATTTCAATTGAAACAAAATGTCTCAAATGTTCGCTTTATATTTTTTTTTTTAACCGCGATTGTTAAAATTATAAAATCTGGAGTAAAAAAATTAAAGATTTTATTAACAATTGAATGAATAAATGAGTTATAGAAATCAAAAAAAATTAATTTTAATACTAAGAAATAAATTAGTGAAATTTTTTCTCATTTTCAGAAGGGAACGAAAGATAATTTGTATAAGTTTTTAATGATGAGGACCCTTTTGATATATTCATTCAAAAACTTAATGATGGGAATAGCCTGACAAATAAAATTTGTTTCATTAAGGCGCATTAATTCTTGAACAAAAGTTTCTACTTCTAACAAATTAAACGGTACAACTTTTTCATTATGCGACAACAGCTGTAAGTTTGTTTCACTTCTACTTACTTTCATAAAAAAGAGGGGGAGACTATTCCATATATTATTATCATATTAATTCACTTTATATTGCAAACTAATAATTATTATTATTATAATATAAAATGAGTGATATGATAATTTGATAACCGAGATTTCCAAAATTTTTGAGATTAATTTTATAACCAATCGAGAAATTTATTTAATTATTATTATTATTATTATTAATTATTAGTTATCATAGATAAAGTTATAATGAACTTGTCTAACAATTGTTTTCTACTATTCTAACAAGTAAGTTTCAATCATAATTTACTTTTTTTTTAGAAAGTAAATTGGTTGATCTTACAATTGAAATGTTGAAATTAAAATTTAAAAAGAAATCAATAACTTTAAAATTTATTTTTTTCACTTTCTAGGACTCTAATTAAGTAAAAGTATAATCATACGACATTTAATATTAGTGTAGATTCTATTTATTATTTAAATATTTTTGCAACCAAAAATAAATACTTTAATTAGAATCAAAGAGAGAGAAGTTCCCTTGATCCGTACCCCTCCCCCACTAATATTCGAAAAATAATATTTTTTAAGCCTTTTCATTGGCTCAAAATATTGAAACATAATATAAGTATACATTAATGTCTTTTTAAGTACTTGAATTTTGAAGTACTTCAAATTCTCAAATTCTATGAACTTATCAGTCTAATTAGTCTAAAGCCATTCATTCATATGCAATTTTTTACAGAGTTTTTGCCTATCTTTTCAAAATTTAAAAAATTTTGATATTTTATTATTGGTTTTCTTGTCTCGGACCATTTAGGATTAATTTTTTTTTTTTACTCCACTTTTTTCTCTTTTAGTAAAATTATACTATGATAAAATAAACGTAGTTATTCCGAAGCGGAAAAAATTAACCAAAAAAGTTTTTTTCTGTCGCTACCAGCTAGGTTTCAGATTTTTAAATCTGAAACTTGATCTACGTATAAGATAAATAAACTTTTTAAAAAAAACTAGATTGACTTGAAATATAAAGCTAGGTAAACTTTCGCCCAAGATAAGCTTGAGCAGTTGAAGTTTTTGCTTTACTTTTTACCTATCTAAAAAGCTGAGAAAACTGACTTAAGCTATGTATTCACATAACTATTCAAACATACGCAAGCTTCTTGCACATCATGACTGTATTTTTGTTTCGTTGAGATCAAAGTGACAAATTAATTGTTGAAGTTAAATTGACCGACTTCCTTTTATTAGAATTGAAAAAAAACCATATAAAATATTGAAGAACAAGTAACTTGTATTGGTTTTTCTGTTCACTATATCGAGTGGTCTGTTGGGGGTTGTAATTTTCCTGTCCTATTCAAAATTTGACCTGTTCTCGTAATGTCTTCCCATTGATTGCCCCTTCTAATGTTTTTTGTAAAAGACATAAAATTTTTACGTTTTCTTTCATAAGTTGCAGGGAATTGATGATCAAGTGCTTGTAAACTCTGTAAGAAGTTTTTTCGTATATAATCATTACATTCTGAGTTGGCAATTTTATGGGATAGTTGATAGTCAGTATAATCTGATAACTTTTTCATAACTAGACTAATTACTTCTTTGTATATCAATTAAACGATACTACTTCGCTGAAATGCATTGATCCCTTTAGTTTGGCAAAACTCCAAAATGATAATATGATATAGACCATGAAAAAACCGTAAGTTAGATGTGAGTATATTCAGATATGTATATAAACTGTTGTCAGAAAATTTGAGCTGTTAATCTTTTCTGCATTTTGAGTAGGTTGTTCCAAAATACTACTGACTAATTGTGTATTTAATACTTGTTTTATTTCATAGCTTTAACAAAATATAATGATTAAGATCATTCATGCAAATAAAAGAAAACAGTTGAAAATTTCAAGAATGGTGGAAATTGAATTTGATCAGTTTCAAAATTTTGGAAAATAGCTCATGAGAGAATTTTCGACTGTATATTAGTGTGTATTGTCAAATACAATTTTTGCAAATCATTTTTTACAATTATTATTATTATACGAATACGAAAACGTTTATGCTTGCGAAGAACTATTAAAGTTTCGAAATTAAAAAAAAAAAGAAATAACAAAAAACACATGCTTTTCTCAAAAATGCCGTTGAATATTAATCTCCTTACCTTATCTATCTATAGATTTTGTTAAGTAAAAACAGACCTTCGGAGTGGATTTTGACCTTTGTGGCTTGACACATAAGGTACTTTCGAATCTCTAAATATGTTGCTAAATTTAGAAACTATAAACGATTTTTAACTAACCGTTGTCTGATCATTTGATATAATCGAAAATCCTAATCAATCAAATCAGCATGAAAACGGTATTACACAAATCATTCAATAAAAAGAATTACTAAGGTTATTTATCCGCTTTATACCATATTGCAGTTCACGTAGTTCAGAACTGGATTCGTATGCACCAATACCGCTCAAAACAGACAAACGCTCATAATTTTTGAAAAGCGCATTATCAATATGTGAATCGTTTTTTGATGACCTTTCATCATATTTGTCAATGCAATTTTTTAAAGACGTTCATGAATAAACTATCTTCAAATAGCTTTGTATAGTCTCTCAAATATTATTGTGGGTAATATATTGAATAGTGAGCAAATTCAAATTTTTGTGGTTCTGAGAACAATTTTTTGTGGTTTTGAGAACGTGTTTTTTAGTAATTACAAAACTATAATTTGTAACACAATTAAGTTTGACACATTTTTTGCAAAATGCAATACAATATATTTTAGAATTTGTGCATTTTACTGGGTCATATTTTATAATCAAAACTATTTTGGATTACTCAGTTGATGACTGTAAAATTGGTCAGTTGACCAATTTACCAGTCAATTTGCGGGAGGGGAAGAAATTAAAACTTTTGACAACCCAAAAAAATTCTCATTTTTTGGACAACCCAAGAAAGTCCTTTAGTCATAATGTGATATTTTCACAAATTGTGGAAGTAATGATTATTATTTTTGAGTACCTCCCTCTTGAACAATTAATAGGAAGTTGAAAATTCTTGAAACAATAAACCCACAATTTTGCACTTTGTAAATTTGCTACTGATGTGGTTTCCGTGAACATAATAGTCAAATTGAATTAGACTGTATAAAAAAATTAATTGAGAGGCTTTTCAAATTATAATCAATTGCTGCAAATAAAATCCGGATTTTGCATATTTCAGTAAATGCACAATCTATCCTCAAATTTTGAAAGTTTTGACTGTTCCAATGTGTATTTTTCAACAGCTCTCCATGCAGAACTTTTTAAAGATTATAATAACGTAAATTTTTCAAGAAAAAAAAGTAAAAACGTTTGAATTTTACGGTAACTAATTAGTCCTAGGTAAACCACCAATTACAAAATAAGGGAGAATCTTTTAAATTACAATCTTGACACAAGTTTTTGCAACAACCATCGTAGCTTCCTTTCTACTTGGTGATTAACGACTTTATATACATTTTTAATCTAAAAATCCCGTTGAAGAGAAATTTGCGCATTATTTGATGTCAATTTTATTCGTTATAACTATGCGGTTAAGCTTTTTGCTGCCTCGTAATTATAATCACTACTTTTTATAACTTTAATTGCATCTGTATAAATTAAATTTGTACGTGTGTCTTGACTAAAAATTAAAATAATTGTTTTATGTTAAAAACAAATTGAAAGAGAATAGTAAAAGACCACACATTTAATTTAACAATACAAAATTGCTTTCGATTATGGTATATGCATTGTTAATCATTTGATAATAATTATATGCATCGTTAATCATTTAATAATAAGGATGGTGTTATTATGGAAATTTGCTATTCCAAAATTTGTTTGTTTATTCTTCTTCGGCAATTCAAGTAAATTTTTTATTGGATAAATTATTAAATTAACATTGAAAAATAAACGTTGTTTCGCAAACATAATTATAGTGTTATTGTGGAGTAGATAAGAGGTAAGACAATAGGTAGTTATTGAGCTAATTTACCAATTTTTCATGCATATGTGACATTTTTTACATTTTAAGGAAGGTCAATGGTTTGATTCTAATACATGATATGAATGTATTCTCAAATATGATTGGTATACGCAAAAATTTGATAACCCACGTTATGTACCCTGCTTTCAATAGTACTGAAAACAATGTGACAGAATAAATATCAAACTTTCACGGAGAATTATCAATATCGTACCATTTTAAAATCCGTCAAATTAAGGACTTTTTTCTTTGTTCAAAGAAATCACAAACAAAGATCAAATAGTTAAAGTGAGTTTGGATGTGGCTATCTTCATACAATTTTGCAGTTTTAACTGAAAGTTGTCGAATTTAATTATTCAAATCTGAAAATTATAAATATGGTCAAATTTTCTTCAAAATTTAAAATTATTTACCACATTCTCTAATCAACAACTATCACTACTACTGCTACTGTTGCTTTTGTTCTTAGAGTTGAAACCAATCACAGAAATAATTATTGTTTAGTCATGAAATTTTTTACAATCGCTGTTGCAGCTTTTGCTGTATCAACTGAAGCTGCTGCTATCTATTCACCAATTGGTAAATCAGTTGAAGTCCAAGCTAAAAGAGATGCCGACTTAGTTTCTTTTAAAACCCCATCACAAAATATTGTTTTAGCCGAAAGACTGTTTATTAACTCCACCATCACTACAATTGATCAAATAACTAAAGCCATTGATGACTTATTACAAGGTAATTTTCTTGGATCTGCTGTTGATTTCGGTCAATTACTTATCACTTTGGGTATTGATGCTGCTGAAGCTGCTGAATGGGGACTTCATGAAGGAGAAAACGCTTTAGAAATTATTGCACAATTAGGAAATGTTATTGCTGGTCAAGCCGCTGGTTCTACAAAAAGAGATGTTGTTTTAGGAGATAGAGATGTTATCACCACTACCATCGCTCAAATTACTAAAGCTATTAGTGACTTATTACAAGGTAACTTAGTTGGTTCAGCAGTTGATTTTGGTCAATTACTTGTTACTTTAGGTATTGATGCTGCTCAAGCTGCTGAATGGGGTATTCATGAAGGTGAAAACGCTTTAGAAATTATTGCACAATTAGGAAATGTTATTGCTGGTCAAGCCACTGGTTCTTCAAAAAGAGATGTTGTTTTAGGAGGAAGAGATTTTGTCAACTCTACCATCACTACCATCGCTCAAATTACCAAAGCTATTAGTGATTTATTAGAAGGTAATTTTCTTGGATCTGCTGTTGATTTTGGTCAATTACTCATCACTTTGGGTATTGATGCTGCTGAAGCTGCTGAATGGGGACTTCACGAAGGTGAAAATGCTTTAGAAATTATTGCACAATTAGGAAATGTTATTGCTGGTCAAGCCGCTGGTTCTACAAAAAGAGATGTTGTTTTAGCCGAAAGAGATTTTGTCAACTCTACCATCACTACCATCGCTCAAATTACCAAAGCTATTAGTGATTTATTAGAAGGTAATTTTCTTGGATCTGCTGTTAATTTCGGTCAATTACTTATCACTTTGGGTATTGATGCTGCTGAAGCTGCTGAATGGGGACTTCATGAAGGTGAAAATGCTTTAGAAATTATTGCACAATTAGGAAATGTTATTGCTGGTCAAGCCGCTGGTTCTACAAAAAGAGATGTTGTTTTAGGAGATAGAGATGTTATTACCACTACCATCGCTCAAATTACTAAAGCTATTAGTGACTTATTACAAGGTAACTTAGTTGGTTCAGCAGTTGATTTTGGTCAATTACTTGTAACTTTAGGTATTGATGCTGCTCAAGCTGCTGAATGGGGTATTCATGAAGGTGAAAACGCTTTAGAAATTATTGCACAATTAGGAAATGTTATTGCTGGTCAAGCCGCTAGTGTTTCAAAAAGAAACATTTGAATGTCAAATTTTTAATTGATCTGTTTTTCTTTCTAGAAAAATTTTTTGAGTTTCTTTTCAGACCTATTTTTTTTTTATATACCAATTTAAAGGTTCTGAGTTTTAGTTTTTGCTTTATATAATTAAAATTTTAAAATAAAATATAATTATCAGTTTTTGTTTAATTGATTTTCTACTTCAATTTTCTCTAAAAAATAGTTGGTATCAAGTTTACCACTGTCTATAAAATATTTCATAAATTGTTCTTGTTTTACCTTAAACCTATTGCCGATTCAATTTCATCTTTCTATTTGAGCCCCATGGAATGCTTATACTAATTGTGTAATAGTTATGTCTAAAAATATTGCAAGAAAGAATTATACTTATTTTGCTTTAAAAGAGTTCTAAATTTTGGCTCAGCATTATTGTATGTGTGTTCAGATGCTAACTTTGTACATTTTCATAAAAATCCATTAAACTTGAACAATTATAATTTCAAGGATTGTTAAAGCACTAAATCTTTTCCACTAAAAGCGTAGTTTTACATGATAGTTAAACTATGAATATAATTTGAGATGCACTCTAAATTTATTCAAAAAATAGTTAATGAGCCTTTACTTACTTGCTCAAAAAAATGCGTTATTTTGATGTACGAGTATTTTATTTATTTACTAAATTTTTAGTCAGCTCTTAGGGGCAAATTGGTGCATAATCATAGTCACCCGTTGAAAAGTTCTTTGCATTTTGTGCTCCTTGTTTTCAATTTCTGCTGCTTTTAGACCAACTTACTCATTTCAATTTAACTCAGCATGCATATCTAAACGGTTGGGTGTCGCCACGAAACCGTTAATAACCGTTTCATTCAAGGAGTAAATTCTTCAGCTTAAACAATTGGACTTGTATATTTCACATGAAGAACGTACTGGCTCCGTGAATAAATGGCAGCGTAAAGTTTGAGGAAATTTTATGATTTACCGAACCATTAATTTGTAATATTGTTTAGCAAGACATTACAGAATTTACCTTTGCTTGTTCAATACAGCCTAAAAACTTTATTATAACTTGTACTACTGCCTGCTCTTACTTCATCCAACCAATCATGTTTGGATACCTCCATAAAATCCACCTTCTTAGGAGAAACATTCAATTTTTCAAAAAAAATAAAAGTTTGAAATGATCAAAGTCAATTGGTTTCTGTTGACAAATCTGCATTGCTGCAATATCTATTCAATTTAAATTTTTATTTTGTAACTTCCGTCAATGACCTACTATCAATCTAGCATTAGAGCATGAAAAGAATAATGAATATGTGGAAGAATTGTATAACTGTGGAATAAACATTAAGCTTTGATGACCATATTATTTAATCCATAACCTTCGGTATTTGAATACTGCATATAAATTTGCATACAAGCGCAAATATTATCTTAAAATGTGATCAGGGAAAAAAAAACCTCCATGAGCTACCAAATAAATTGCGCTAACGTGACTTTTAGCCTCGCAAGAAAAGACTTGTTGCGTTCTACAAAAAGGTTAATTCCCATTCTTTTCATACCAAGTCGATCAAATAGCTCGTACTCTCCTTTAAATTTGTCAATATGCTTCTCATGCTAGCAAGTTGAAGAGTCATGAATGTATTTACAAAAATTAGATCTCAATGGGCCTGTTTGATTTTGCTTGATATTGAAACTAGTTTTACAATTTATTAAAGTTGGCGTAGCATTAATAGTGCTCAACAAATTAAGCTTTACCGGGCAAAACACGCTTATGTCACCCTCGAGAATTGACATCCGGTGGAGGTTAATTTTCTACCTTCTTAAAATGTTTACTTTTGTAAAAATTGTGGATATCTTCAGTTAACGGATTAACTTTATAAAGTTTAAAGTTGTCGTTAACAAAATTATTCCGTTCAACCTTATCAGTCGTGAATTTTATGATATATAGTTATTTTCACAAAACACAATTTGTTTACGAAGTGAAAGCTTAAAATCACATCATTTTATTTGTACAATACAATAGATGAAATTTTTCTTTGTACGAAGTAGGACGCCATAAAAGTTCTATATGGAACTTGGTGATAGAATCAAGCTGCGATAACAGTTATACGCCAAGTGGGAAGGGTAAGTAAGTTGTTGAAGTAAAGGTGCATATATTAATGCTAATGGCAGTATATTTACTGAGAGAGGAAATGCGAATTGAATAAAAAACAAAATTAAAGTAGTTCCAGAAAATTGGTCTGGGTGAAACTGTACATACCAGAATAGTTTACCACCTTAACAAGGTGCTTCGTATCAACTTCTAAATTGGCCATTTGAAAAATTGTTATCCTTTGCCATCTTGCAGTTTTGATTCAAAACAAATCACTTAAGCCAATTTTATGATATCCAGTATCGCAAATTTGCGTTATTTCGCACACGTTGCTATGTCTCATATCAAGATCAAAATCTCTCAACTTTGAATCAGACTCAAATTTTTCAATTGTACTTATAAAAGAGATTTTTGTTTAGAGTCCTCGATACATGAATATCTTCGAAACGACATCAAAAAGAATAAAATTGCAGCCAAAACCAAGCTACCAAATTTGTTATATGACACAAAAATGAGATAATCATATTATTTTTTTTCAATCTCTAAATACATATGAGAACTAATGTTTAAGCATATATCAAACGTCAAAAGTAACAAACAATAAATTTACAAATGGCAAGTGGAGCTCCAGGTATGTCTTAAAATTTAGCGAAATGCTTCACTAAGTGTTTTGCTCGACTTGAACTTTGGATATATACTGACAGATTCTTAATCAAATAGGAGGTAATTTTAGAACTTGGACACCAACACCACCAGAAAGAGGATCATTCCCACTAGATCATGATGGAGAGTGTAAAGATCAAATGTTAGCTTATTTGAAATGTATGAAATTTACAGAGAATAAAAATGCCCCCAATTGTAGGATATTAGCTAAGAATTATTTGAAATGTAGAATGGATAATCAGTTAATGGAAAAATCTGAATGGGATACTTTGGGATTGGTGAATTTGCCTGGTGATAAGGAAACTAAAGTTAAACATAAAGATGATGTACAGAAGGAGACTGTCGAGAAGAAGCAATGATGCGATGAGAGATAACATGCTGATAAATAGATGATTTAGTGTTCTTGTAAATAGAAAAATGAATGAATGAAATGATAAAATTAATAGAAACTCTTATATTGGGAGAAAATTTAAATCTATAAAATTTTATTAAACTCATTATAAACAAGTGCTTTTTTTACAACATTATAATATCTCATTACAAATAACATAAAAACATAAAATAACATATAAATCTGACTAAATTGATTGTTTGTAATTATTAGTGTAGCAAATAGTTTAGTCTTCTTTTTTTTCGACTGCCTTGTCAATTTTTTCACCAACTTCTTTAACTCCTTCTTCAACTTTTTGCTCAGCTTTTTTAGCATTCATTAAAAATTTATCAATTGCATTTGGTTCCTTTTTATCTCCATTTAATTCATTTTGATGACCACTACCACCCTCTTGATTTCCATTATATCCATCCACTTGATAATGCTGAGTTGATGTTGGGTGCTGGAATTGTTGTGGGTATGGTTGTGGAGGATATGCAAAATTTGGAACAAAATGAGGTGGTGCTGGCATAGGTTGACCATATTGAGGTCCATTAAACATTGGTTGTTGATGAGGTTGTGGTTGAGGTTGGGTAGCTGGATTCATTACATTTGAATAAATTTGATTATAAACTTGTTTGATAGCATTTGGATTACGTGAATTAGAATCATCTGATGTTTCTTCAGATTTATCAACTTTTGTTGGTTCTTCTTTCTCTCCCTTTGACAAATCATTTGATTTCTTTTTTCTCAATAATGATAATAATTCATTTGTAGGTTTTATTTTCGAAGGTTCTTCTCTATCTTTTGGTTGATCCTTGGCTGATGGAGAAGTCTTTTTGGTGAATTTAGGCTTAGCATCATCTTTTTTGTCAACTCTTGGTAAAATCTTCTTCGGTGGTTTTGGACCTTCTTGTTCCCTCGGTTGTGATTGTGATTGAGCTTCTTTTTGTTGTTGATATTGTTGTTGACGTTGTTGTTGCTGTTGTTTAATCTTGGCTATTTTTTCATCTTCACTCATTGGTTTTCTAGTCTTTGATGCTTTAGAATGATAAACAAATTGTTTATTTGTTAAATTCAAGACCAATGAAGAGTCAATCATTAAACCACGATTAGTTGTTAATTTTCCATTCATGGTATTACCACTTAATTGAGGAACATCAAATATAACACCTAATGAAGTTTTTGATCCAACTGTGAAAATAGAAGCAACTGTACCTTTTGATAAAATTGGGACTTTACCAAAATCTTGAACATATAATACTCTATCTCCTAATTCGAATTTTTGTTCACTTAGTAATTGATATGATTCACTAGCATTCAAGATTGCATTTCTTGGAACACCTCTGATATCTTTGTTGATGAATGGGATAGTGTTCAAAATGTAATTTTCCATGTATTGTTCAATAGCAGCAAAACTAAATTTGGTTAATGATTGACTTTCTAATGAAACAGGAATTAAATCTTCTTTAACTTCTTTCAACCATTTTTTGACTTGTTGAATTTCTTCAGGGCTTGAGATTCTTGCTAATTGAGGAATTTCTGAACCACCAACTTCAGATAAATTATTAAATAATTTTGGAAATTTATTTTTATAAGTGTTAATTAAATTTATAGCTAATGGAGAAAATTCCCAGAATTTACCATTATATGATTTTCTTGTATAACCTAAAACTTTTTGTCTTTTACTTTCAAATTTTAATTCTAATCCAACATTGATTTTCTTATCTGGACCTTGAACCATAAATTGACTTGTAATTTTCGACAATAATAATGGGTTAATCCTCAAAGTTTTAGCAACTTCGAATGATGGGACATATTGAATTTCTTTTGATTCAGTAAATAATCTCTTTTTACCTATATTTGGTTCAGCAACTGATGAAATTTTCGAAATTTTGATACTCAATTTATCACCATTATATCCAACAACTTGTGCTGGTGCACCATAACCCATATCACCAAGGAAAGTAACTTGAGAATTAATTGGGAATTCTTGTTCTATTGGCAATGGAGGTCTAGTAGCAAATCTTGGATCTTTATGAGATACTTCTTTGACAATTAACTGAATTGGATATACTTCCATTTCTTTTGAGTAAGTTTTAACATAAGCACCTTTTGAATTTCTAATAAGACCATTAACTGGTTGAACATATAATAAAACTTCAATTGGACCTAATTTAACACCCTTGGTTTTGTCCCAAGAATACTTCAAATTGGATACATCAGATTTAAATTGTCTTCTGTCTTCATTAGTTAATTCATTTGATATAACGCTCTTGAATCCCTTTTCGTTTCTCACTGATTCGTATTTATATTCATCATCCAATACTTTAACAACTTTACATTCTCTTAAAAATGGCCAATTACTATAAATTAGTCTTCCAACAAAAGATTGAGCAAATTGCTTTACTGATAAGTCTGACCAAATATTTTCAATATTTAAAATCATAGTTTCGGATTTCGATGAAAAATTAAAAATTTTAACTTCATTTTGAGCTAATTCACTTGAGAAAGAAATTGATTGTAATGTTGGAAAACCAGCTGATAAATCCGTTCCATAACGAGCACCTTCAATTTTACCAATTCTATAATCATCAACTTTAGCTAATTGGAAAACTTCTTCATAACATTTATCATGTTCAACGTCATGAAAAAATCCAGGTAATGGAGATGAATATACTTTATCAATTTGTGGATTATGAATAAATTTAACATTAAACCCATAAGAATTTCTCTTAGTTTCCTCCGGTGTTAATTTATCTTCAATTGGTTTTAATACTTCAATTAATTTTTTTTCATCAACAAAGTCCAATAATACAACTGCTTCCCAAGTTGCAGTTTTACCATTCATATCAACATCAACTTCATCTGGATAAAACAGTTTTATTGGTGAATGCTCCTCAATCATTAATTGTCTGTAAACTGCTGGCATTAATTTTCTTGATCTTGCGGGCAAAACAGCCATCAATTGTTCAAATGGTTTAAAAGGATGGGATGGATCATATGTTAAATCAACACCTTTATCTATAAGCGCTTCTAAACCTACTGATATATCTGAAATCCTTGGCGCATAATGATACTTGTAATACCAATTCCATGAAGGACAACCACGGTAATAATAATACAACACCCACTGCAAACCTTCAATATAATGTTCAGTCAATTCTATTAATTTTTCTGTATCATCAATATTAAAATGTAATTTATCTTCATAGTAATCATTCTTCCAATCTTTGAACTTCTTTTGATAAACTTCTTTGGTGTCATTCAATACATCTTCACTGTCAATCAAATGTGCTGATTGATAAGTTTTGATTGTCTTTCTAACTTCGTTAATTCTCTCTTCATATTCTTCATCGGATTCAAGTGTTGGTAAACCATCAACATCAAATTTGGCAACATAATTATCTTCAGATTTTGAATGTATGATGAGAAATCCAGCTTGTAGAGCAAATTTTTTTAAAAAGTCCAAATTATTTTCAACATCCTCTTTTACTAATTTCAAAGTTGGTAATTTTTCATCATTTGCTAATTCAATAATTGTCGAAAGTGGTTGAGTTGAAATTTCCATAAGCCATGGCTTTATAAATCCAACTAATTTTTTTTGCTCTTTTAAAATCAATAATTTACCAATTTTTTTCCTTTTCTTCTCCCCACTAATTGAGACATCTTCCAACTTCTTATTAAACCATTCAATATCGACTTCTTTTTCTTCAAAATTTTCAAATTCAAACTCTGATAAATGATGTACCCAAATATTCAATCTTCTTGAATTTATTTTACCATCCTCATTCATATAACCATCTGATTGTACTAAAGTTTGCTTGAAAGTTGATAATAATAACGGGAATGCACCTTTATTTATATGTAAATCAGGTAAATGAGGTAAAAAATCATTACCAATAACATACATAATCAATATAAAATCATCCAAAATTCTTTCAAAATCATATTCAAATGATAAATCATCTTCAATTTCTTTGAACTCCAAAGATAAATACTCTCTTAATAAACTTAAATGTAAAAGGAAAAAATTTGTTTCTGTGACATCTTTTGGTCCTGAAGATGATGATGATTTGCCTCCAAATTTAACTTCTTCTCTTAATAATGCAAAATGTGGATCATGACTTACTAATCCTAACATAATTAAATCAGCATCTAATCCATATATGCAATGTCTTAAATTGGGGTCATAGTCTGGTTGAGCTCGCACTGATCTAATGAATTCCATAATCTTGTGTTCACCTTCTCCTGGTACTTCATGACCACTTAAAATAATCTCAATATTTGACCATTGAGAATCCTCTGTTATTTTCTTATGTATAAAGTATTTTAAATTTTCTGTTAATTTTGCCATAAATTCCGTACCAGGTGTTATAGAATTTGAATCAAATGGATCTTCTTTTGGAATTTCTTCACCATTTTCAATTGCTTTCTTAAGGTTTAATTCTGCTTCATATGCTGTTCTAAATCTTCTTGCTCTTTGTTGATTCATTTTAGCTCTGGGGGCAACACCATCTATCGCCATATAAAATGTCTTTTGAGGCTTTATTATACTAAATAAATGTTCAATATAATTAAATATGGAAGCATACATTTGATCATCTGATAATCTTGTTATTGATCCATCATTTGAATGTGTACAAGTATGTAAAATTGAGTTCATATCAAGATATAAATTATCAAACTCCGGTATTTGATTCTCATCAATTAATTGTGAGATCAATGGCCATCTCTCCGATATAAATCTGAAAAACTTTGGAATACCTAGATTTGAAAGTTAGTAAATCATTTTAAACACAAAAATAGGTTCATATCTGTCTTTGGAACAAATTGGTTGAATCAACATACCCATCTCTTTGCTATAATTCTATCTTCGTATTCTCTTGAGACTTTTTAACAAGATAAATTATTAAGTCTTTTCTTTATAAATTTGGTTGTTAAATTTTTGTTGCAACTTTATTTTTTTTTATAGAATTTAATGTTTTTTTTGTTAGTAGAATTTTCAACAATATAAAAATAATAGTAATAATTTACACTACCCACTAAGTTAAGATCTCTTATAAAGTTTATATATTCTACCGCCAAAAGCCGCTTAAAAATCTATATACTAAGAACGATCTTTGAAAATAATCAACTAGCATAGTTACCAACAAAGTGACTTTTGATTAGATGAAAACAGATAAATGCTCTTATAAATCGATAAGTGTTGGATAAAAATCTAATTTTGACAGCTAAGATCAAGAATAAACTATATATATTTAATTTTATAAACGCAATAGTAAAAACAACCATATACTGACACATTATGAATTCATAGAAGAATATGTATGAATGAATTTGTATAATTCAAAAAATCAAAGTTGTTTCCATTCACTTAATCATGATTCACTTAATCATATAACATATTCCCTAATCATATTTTTAAAATCCAAGGATTTTTTATAAATAAATATTGATTCTTGCGTTATTAAATTTGAAAATTTTGGTGAATAAATCAACCATAAATTTTGGGTATCATTTGATAATTGTTTAAATTTTGATAAACCATACTGACCTATTTTAGTATTTGCTTTATTTACATTACTTAAGAAGTTTTTGAAGTTTATACTTTGATCAACTAATACATCTTTTGATTTAGTAAATATGAATTTAGATGCATGACTTGCATTATTTAAAAATACTTGAAATTGATTTGAACTTTGTTTGAAAAAATTTATAGCTTTTTCTGTGAAGAATTTTTCTTGATTGATTATTTCTGTTAATCCGGTTTGACTATATTTTTTTAACACTTCATATGAGCTTCTTGAAATTTTGCTAATTTGGTGAAATTTTATATGTCCAAAATCTCTTAATTTCTCCCCCAAAGTTTGTAAGTTTTTACTTGTCAACAATACACCATTTTCAACTTTGGCTATAATTTTTTGCAAATTTGGTGCAATATTTTTTACCACAAATTTATCTATTTCTTTACCAACATTCGTTAATTTCAAATAATCATTTTGTAAATTAGCTTTCAAACTTTTAGCTAATTTTGATAACTTATTAACTCTGATAAGTTTTTTAGGTCTTGCATGAAATCCAAATATACCACGATCATTTATTACTTCAGTTTCTTCATAAACTAAATTATTCCAATAATTAATAATTTTATCATTTAATGTTGGTGATTTAACAATTGTAGTTGGTAATGGTTGATTTATATAATTATTTACCAAATAAATTGTTGGAATCAAACCAACTACAAAAACAAATAAATAATAATAAAGATAATCTGAATTTGATTCTAAAAAGTTTTCAATTGCAGAAAGAAATTTAGCACCCAATGGTTTTCTAATGTTTTTGGAATCTTCTTGTGGTTTGTCAATTGTTTTCAAATCTTCTTTTTTGGAGTTATTTTGTAACACTTTTATTTCTTGATATTTATCAATTGATTTTACTAATTCAATAGTATCATCTAAATCAGTTTCATCAACCAGTAATTTTTTCTCTTTCTTAACATCGGTTGGTTGTTGCTCACTATCCTTATTATCATCAGCTGCCAGATCATTTATTGAAGAATGTTGATCATATATATATCTATTCAATTGATCAATTTTGATTTTAGCAAAATTTGAATAAAAATCATTAGATTTTTGTTTAATTGATTCATTAAAATCATTTAAATTTTCAAAAAATTTTATTCTTGATCCAACATTTATTGAATTTGATAAATCATCACTTAATATTGAATTTGAACTAGTATTTGATTCCGGAATCGATGAAGAATTCAAGATTTGTGGTGATGAAGTTGATAATTCAATGTTTTGATCATCCTCAGTAGCAATCAAATTGGGAACTTTTAAAATTGATTGATTAATTGAATTTTTTAAATCAGTTTTTTTAATTTCCTTATCGCCGCCCCCTTGATCTAAATTCAAATTAACTTTATATTGATGATCAGTTGAACTTGTTGTTGATCTTTCATCGTCAAAATCAGATGATGATGATATTATTGACCAATCTTCATCAACGGCATGATGATTGCTTTCATTATTACCAACTTTATTTTTAATTGCAGCTACTTCTGTATTCTCTGAATTTGATTTCGTGTAATTTTTTAATTTCATTGTGTGATACATATATTGATCTATAAATTTTTAAAAAAAACTTGATTTAATTTCAAATAAAAATTATCTTTTGACACTTTATAACTTAATATGATTGAATATATATTGAAAGTATTAATTTTTACTTGGTAAAAAAGAAGTTCAAGTTGTAAATTTTAAAAAAAAGTTATACAATATTGTTGCTTCTTTTTTTAATTAAAAAACTAATTTGTAATATTATTAGATATTATAATTTTTTTAAAGGGAAAAGATAAGATAATAAAATAAAGAAAAATAAATTTAAGTAGAAGGTAAAAAAACTATTATTCATACGTGTTGTATTAATGGCTACATCTGATAAGACTATAATGATGATTGCATTAATAAATGAATAAGAATGTAGTATTTTTCTTACAATTTTTTACTAGTAAATTTGTAATATAAGTTTATATTTAGTTTATTCAATCATTGATTGTAATTTAATAAAAAAATTAAAAATCAAGGGATGAAAAAAAAAAGGAATCTAATTACAATTCTTATCATAAGGGGGCTAAATTGATTTGATTTATAAAATTAAAGAAAAAATACCTTCTTCGAAACAACTTTATACAAAGAGTTTAGCAGACAGCAGTTGAAAAGCTCATGTATATAACATATATATATATATTAATGGCAAATTATAATATAGCTTCTTAATAAATATATAAATTTAAACTTAAAAATATTTAGGGGGAGGAGATGAAAATATAATTTTTAAAAAATGTGGGTTGTAAATTGATATTTAATAATTTTTTATCTTATCTAATTTTGTCTTGAGTTACACTACTTTTTGAGACATTTGATATTAAGATCAATTATACAAAATGGGATTCCATACTGAAATTGACTTTATCATTGTTATTGTAATACTGCTCTCAAAGTTTGCTTTTGCTATTGACAGTGAGCATTTCAAATAAGATAAACTCAAAGTTTATCAATGCAAATTATACTCTTTAGATCGAAACGAATTTGAGATCATGTATTGTATGCATAATGTACTAAAAGATTTGAAAATAAAAAGCACATAAATCATAATCTTCGTTTACAATTAACTTCCTCCAATTTAATTCTACATATGTTTACATGTCATTAACCACAAATGATCAACTAGCCATAATTGAAGAACGTTTTTTTTTTTCACAAGTAATTCGCCATTGATAATATAAATTCGTAACATAAACAATTAAATTAAACTTTATTTATTAAAAAAAAATACACATAAGGATTAAAAAGGATATAAAATTAGAACTGAAATAAATTTTTTGTTTACATCATAAAATTAAATCTATCAAACTATTTTTATCATAGTAAGAAGGTTTAAGCACCGGGGTTTTTTTATAATTTTTTTTTTTGTATTTTTTGATTTTTATTTTGTTTTTAGTTGAAAAGACAACTTGAATCACATTTGAATTTTTTATCTCATATTATTTGGTTGTTTGTGGATTGGAATTTTTATTAGTTAAATTAGTTAGATCTTGATATGATTTTCATTGTTGTTTGTTTATTTGGAATTGACCTCATTATCTTCTCTTAAATCATGCAGTAAATGTAAATTTGGTCGTGTTTGTAAATTTGGATGTGATGGAAATGGAAATTGTTGTTGCTGTGATTGTTGTTGTTGTGGTTGTTGTTGCTGATTTTTATCACTCAAAATGGAATTGATTTGTATTGGTTTTCCTGTTGCATTTAAAATTTGTGGGTTTTCAGTAGCTGTGATTGATCTTAATGATGTTGATATTTTTTCATTTTCTTTACCACTGTTCATACCATTTTGTTCTTGTTTTATTAGAATTTGCTGATTTGGATGTTGAAGCTCTCTATTCGTATCTTGATATGCTACATCTGCTGGTTTCGGCTGTGACACTGTAGAATTTAGTCCTGCTGACAGATGATTTATTTGACTATTATATAGTGAAGCTGTTGGAAAAGCAGATAATAATGGAGGTAATGCAGTACTTTGATTTTGATTTTGATTTTGATTATGATTGCCACTAAAACTTAACTGAGTAAATGGATTAAAAGGTATAGGATGTATTGAATGTAATGGTGGTATAGTAGTTGGATTTTGTTGTACTTGACTTGAATTTGGTGGTGGTAATGGAGTAGGATGTTGATTTTGATATGAATTCTTTACACTTAATTGCCAATGTTGAGAAGGATGAGGTGCTTGTGGTGGTTGTTGGTGAATAATGCTACTAGATCTTGAATAATGATCATTTTCTTCTACGTTTGGTAAATTAGGATTATGATCCTGCAGTGAGTGACCATCTTTATTTTTCAAATCATTCGGAGTTAAGCCAATAGTTTTTAATGTGGGTATACCAACTGAATGATTTGAACCTCCACTACTTGATTCCTGATAACCATTTGAACTAAATTGAGATGATCCGCTTTCTGTCATAATTGATGAAGATGAATTATTACTTTTTCCACTTCCATTTGAATTTTGATTTACTTTTAAAGCAGGTCTTTGAGGAGTAGATGCTCTATCATCACCACTATCAAAACTTAAAGTTACTCTATTGTGAGGTTGATCATTATAGTTATTATTATTATTATTATTATTATTATTAAATCCCGAACATGCATTGGCAGAGTTTTGATGTCTAGTTAAAGCATCTGGTCTTGCAAATCTTCTTGAACATTTATCACAACTAAATGGCTTTTCTCCAGTATGTAATTTTTCATGTCTTTTTAAGTCATGAATCCTCCGAAATTTTAAATTACATATATTACAAACATGAGGTTTTAATGATGAATGAATTAATTCATGACTTACCATATTATGTTTTCTAGTAAATCCTTGATTACATGTTTTACAGAAATATTTTCTAGGTAGTCTTTGTTTATTACCATGTTGTAATGTTGGTGTAGAACTTGAAGTAGGCGAAGGAATCAAATTTGATAAAGGAGTATTTGGTGAATTGGTGTTAACTTTTGAATTTGAGTTCGAACTTTCTTCAGAAACTTTATTGTGAGGTATTTTCTCATTCTCATTTAAATGTTGATGTGAAGATGGGCCACTTAAAGATGAAGAATGTTGAGATTGATATGATGAAGGTAGATTACGTTGATAATTAGATATTGATTGTTGCTGGTATTGATGATGATTACTAAATTGAGACTGAAGTTGTGGAGAGGGCTGGTTAGTTAAATTCGAACTTGAATTACTTGATGTTAATGATATAGGTGGTGTATTACTATTGCTAGTTGAACCATCTAATATTGATTTAATTGAAGAATTTTGTGAAGAAGTTAATTGTTGAAATGATGGTAAAGTTAATTTAGGAATACTGCTTTTGATCGATTGAAATTCACTTTTATTATTGCAACAATTATTGTTATTGTTGTAATTATTGCATGAAGGAGAATCAGTGTTTAGTATATTAATTCCATTTGTATTATTTATATTAATTAATGAGGGAGTATTGGACGATATATTATTATCAACTTTTATAGATTGATTGTGATTAATATTTGAATTTATATTATCATTATTTGAATTAGGTAAAGATTTCCCATTTATTTCTGGTACATCCATGGAATCATGAATTCATATGATTGTATACAATATAGTTGAACTAAAATAATTAAATATATATATATAAACTTTTAATGAAAAAATTAAATATTATTGAAATGAATTGTAAATTTGATGGATTGAAATTGATTGATGAAATTGATGACAAAACAATTAAGTAAATCCACACAAGAGAGTAATAAACAAATTGATTATTGAAATTCCAAAAATTCAAAATGAATGAATACAAAAAAAGAACAAAATTGGTTGTAAAAATAAAATCGAATTGAATAAAAAAAAAAATTTTAATTTCAATTTTATTATTTATTAAATAATATTATTAGTTTTGTGAATTTATTTTGAATTACAATTTCTTCTATAGTAAAAATATTATTAAATAAAACTTTTTTAATTTATCTTTGTAAAGTTTTCTTCTATTTAATTAATGTTTTGATTGATTAATGATTTTGATTAATTTATTATACATAATCTTATATATCTCATATATATATATATTATATCAATTTCTTATAAAATTTGGTAGTATTATTGTTATAAATAAAAATTATAGTATGATTTAGTATTTAAATAGAAAAGAAAAAAAGAAAAAAAAAAATAAAATTAAATTACTTTTATATAATAAAGTTTCATGAAAAAAACCCCCCCCCTTTTCACTTATATATATATTTATATATAAATTGGTAGTGAAAGTTGTGGTAAGTTAATTTGTATCATCAATTCATTTTATTTATATTTGCTATACAGTAATATTAAATTGATAAATTTTATTGAATAATTGAAGTATAGATATTAACCAATTAATGGATTAATTTAATTAAATTTGTTGTATTTCCACTAGTATAAATTTATTTTTAAAACTAAAAAACTTCAAAAATTAATTGAATTTAACACAATTAACATTTGTAAATCTATTTTGTGTTTTACATTTAAAGATTTTGATTAAAAAGTAAATCAATTTAATTAATTAAATAACAAACAAAATACAAATAACAAATACTAAAGATAAAAATAAATGTAAAACATGAAATTAGTAATTTAAGATTTTTTAGTTTATCTACTAAAAGTTCAAATTTAGGTTAAGTTTACAATTATAGAAGTTTGAGGTAATTTATAAAAATAGAATTATTTGTTGATGAATTTTTATAAAACCGGTTTTTAGATATGTAATTTAATGTTAATTCTCCATATGGCTATGGCTATTGTCTTTTTTTTAAAGTTGTGGGTAGTGAAATGGACCTTAAATTAATAAAATTAATATTATATAAAAAATTAAAGTTGAATTGACAGTTGAATACATTCTCCATAAAGATAATTCTTTAATATTCTAACAAATCAAACAAAACAAATAACAATTTTTCAAAATCAATTTAATTGTCTTTTTCTTTTGAGAATTCTACTGATTACAAATTAATTTTTATTCTAAGAAAATGACAGGCCGGTGATTGAAACTTATCTTCTTTACTGTCAAATTCTATAAAACAAAATTGATTTTAGTATAGAGACCCGGTAATAAATTGACAATAATTTATACACCCCTAATTTTTAATTTTTTTCCATCTCCTGACTCTCGTTTTAACTTCCCCACCCCTCATTTTTTTTCTGAAACATTTTGATTCGAGACAGTCAATAGCTGTCTTCAGTTTGTTTTTCAAATTCTGAAATCAATTTGTCAGACAATCGAATTGTCTTAGTTGGCAAAATCTCACAATTAAAAAAGCTTAATATAACAATCAATCAATTGTAAGGTGAGAAGAAAACAGACTTTATATAGTTATTGTAGTAGTTATGAAATATCCGACTTTTAGATAATTATAAATTATCATAGTAATAATAGTATCTTCGTAGAATTAATAGTATTATATTTAGTAATAATAATAGTGTACTGATTAAAAAATTTCTTGACTAAATTTTATCTCAATACTTCTAACAATGCTATGTCAATGTAACCAAATATTAAAATTTTGCTCTCTTTTTTCACTAGCCATAGCCAAGTAAAATATTTGAGATATAATATTCGTAAACTATAAATTGAAAACACGCGAACTAACTTTTTTCTAGCCACTATATTTTCGTTAATAGACTAAAGATTCTAACAAAAAGGGATGGAAACTGATAATACATAATTTTACTTAAAATAATACGATTATTAATATATGTAAACACCATAACTTGTATTACTTGATTATGCAAACTACAAATCAACAAATTTCATCAAATATAATAAATCCTTAAAAACTAATGAATGTGATAGCAATCATCTATCTTTTCTTTTTTTTGGCATGCCTTTCGATTCTTTGATTAAAGCATTCGCTCAATACATAATTTTTTGATTGTCATTCCAATTCCAACAAAATTATCTGAGATTGATGATCTTACTAATATTTAGTAATTAAGGTAGATCTTTAACCTTATTTCTATCTATTCTTTATGTATTTTATTTGATGAGTATTTAAATCAAGCACAAACTAATGTATAATAAATCTCAAGCTTAAAGTTTAGATTATACATTATTATCTTAATTTTTTTGAAAATTAGCTGACACGTTAAACTTTTTAGGTGATTAGAATTTAGAAAAATTGGAATTAACCCACATAAAATTGATCTTCTATCATGTACGGAATTTCATTTATCAGTTGTTGGCTACCCACCCCATATGTAAATTATTCAAACTTTATTTAATTTTGAATATATTTGCTGGTTTAATCGTGTTATTTTTCAATTAAGTTAAGTTCTAGAAAAAATAAAATGTCTCAAAATTAGGTTGATAAATTTAAGGATTTTTTTTCTTGAATTTATTACACTAAATTTATATTTGCTTTGTAACTTTATTATTGTTTTAAGTATTTGGACCTACTTCAAACTTTTTGTTACTTTATTGTTTTAAAATTTTTTTCTGTACTTAATTAGACAGAGAACATTTACAACAGATTCCACTAATTTTTGCAACCAAAATTTAGAAATTATTAACGAATTGACATCTCGAGATATAGCAAAATCAAACTAAAAACGTGGAAAATTCATTTTTAAACCATTTCATTCCATAAGCCGATTAGATAAAAATAAAAAAATTGCAGGTCGATTTACAAAAATTCAAAAACTTTAATAATTACGTCAACTTTAAAGTTTTAAAGTTTTAAGGTTTTCTAGGATCTACTCAATATAAAAAACAATAAACATCTCACACAAAAGATTTTGATTCTAACCTTAATTTTACATAACCAATACTGAAAAACTTTAATTTTAATTAAGTTTATTAGTTTCATATTATAAGTAACGGCTTTATTATTACTAAATAACCTTATGCTCAACTTTCGTAAATACTTCAAGATTTAAAAACATTAATACTGATATTAGTTAGTTCTAAACTTTATTTATTTAAACCAATTGAAAGTCAGCGATAAGATAAGATTGGTAGATCAGATTAAGGTAACGGAATTTTAAAATAAAGATCTATAACACTAGCTCGAAATTTTTGGAATTTAGCAATTTTTGTTTCACTCGTGTTTATGGCGTTAAAGTTCCGTTTTATTTTGTACGTGCATACGAAAAATTAAAGGAAAAACTCTATTACGAAATTTACTCTATGGTAGGTTTCTAAGAGATGGTGGTTAGTGAAGAAAGTCTAGATTGTTCAGATTTTGATAGCTGATCAAAATTAAGGTTGACGAATTGATTGTTTAATTTTCAAGGTTCACCATATATCCTCATTCTCCAATTTTTTTTGGGGAAGTAAACTAAATGCAAGAACTATCTACAACAACAATTGATGAATTCAAACCTTTATTTTAAGAATTGAAATACGAACTAAAAACCTAGCAATTTCTATTCCAGTCTAATAGCACTTAAAACTTCAAACTTATCAATGTTTAAGTTAAATCTTTCTAAGAATTCAGCATCTAATAAAGTTCTAACTTCCATTAATTTCATATAGAAAATAGCGAATTTTTTTTCTAACTCCCAAACTTGATCTGTAGCTTGAGCTTCTTTTGATTTATCTTGATTTTCTTCATCACTTGCAACTTCAATATCTTCGTCTTGTTCTTGTTCATCTTCACTTTCTTCATCAATTCCAACAATATTGTCACCTTTACTTAATTCTACTTTAAGTAATTTTGATAATTCTTTTTCCTTTTCAATGAAATATTTCAATAATTGACGTTGTATTAAATAAGGTATATTCATATATGAAACAAATACAGCTCCAACAGATTTAAATTCAAGATATTGTATAATTAATTTGAAATATTCCTCTTCATTATCTTCAATATTACTGTATTCTTCTGATGATAATAAACCTTGGATATTTTCATTTAATAAGTCTATGTATTGATCAATTTGCTCTGATGTAAAAGTTTTGAAACATGATGTGATTAATGGATATAATTGTATGAAATTTTTCAACCTATCTTTCGATTTTGATATGAATTTTTGTATAGATGATAAATTATTTATGACAAAACTTGGATTTTGATAAAATGTTGCTTTAATTAATTTGATTAGTAAAAGTTTTTCTTTTTCATTTAATTCAATTAAATTTTTGGCATTTTCAAGATCTTCTTCACTTGCTGGATCTTCTTCTGATGTAGTAATTGTATCGATATCAGCTAATAAATATTTGACTATATGAGTGACATTAGTTAATTCTGACATTTGTTTAAATATTAATTCTAATTCTTTATCATCAATTGGTTGCAAAATTGTAATTAAAGTTTTTATCAATAATAAATCTTTCAAATCAATTTCATCTAATTTAAACAGATGATGATCCAAAATTATTGCATTTCCCCTAGTTGAATTAAATTCTTGATCAATATATAATTTTAAAAATTTACTAGCTTCGTTAATTTCTTTTATTGATTTTGATTCAAATGGAAAACCTACAACCACTTGTTTTTTATTTTGTTCATCTAATAAATTTATCTTTAACATATCAATAAGTATACCATAACAATTAATCCTAACTTGAACGTCAATATCAATTTGTGCCATAGTAATTATCATTGATTTGAACTTTTGAGTGAAAGGCGTAAGATTTTGAATAGTTTCTTCATTTGTATGATTAATTTTGAACAATTTAGCTAAATTTTTGGTAATTTCTTTTCGAACATTATTATTTACATCACTTAATAACCAACCACAATATTTTAAATAATTACTTTGACAAAAATATGTTGGATATTCCATCATTGCATCAATTAATTCTTTTACAACTATTGCTCTTATTGCGGGATCTATATCCTTATATCTATTACCAATTACTTCACTTAAATCATCAAAATATTCATCAAGTTTATTTAATTGATTTTCATAAGTGTTAATTGTATTTTGAATAGTTTTAGCTCTTGATTTTTGTTTGTTTTTTATTAAATGTTGTTTAGATCTTTCAAGATTTTTATTTATTGATTGGGATATGGTACTAAGTTGTAATAATATAACTAAAGCAATTTCAGTTGCAGTATAACGTAATGATCTAATACTAGTATTTGTTAAACTTGTAATCCAAGTAATTATATAATTCATTAATTCATCAGACCCATATAATATACCTTTTTCATGACACATTTCAATAATATTTTTAAATAATTCAACTACATTTTTCTTGAAAACTGGTACTAATTTGAATGCAAATTTATGAGTTGATTGTTTACTGAAAACTAAAGTAATTTCATCAGCTGTTTGTTCAGCACTATCCAAATTTAATAGATCATGAGGTTGAAATAAATGTAATGATCCACAACTTCTTAAAATTAAATTCATTAAATTTGTAAAATTATTTAAATTTGGTAAAGATTCTTCTTCATATGATTCAATCCAATCTTGTGCTAGATCAGTGATGTTAACTTCTTCACTTGAACATGCTAAAAATAATGAGTTTTCTTCAAATTCTTCTTCAGGTTGTGTTGGCTGGATTTTACGACGTTTATTTGATTTGGTTGTAGATTTTGATGTAGTGGTTGCAACATTTTCTAATATTTGATTTGAGTTTGCAGTTGAATGTGTATTATCTTCTTCATTATCACTTGTATCTTTATACAGAACCTCTTTCCTGGTTCTTTTTGATCTTGTAGTTGCCATTAGTTTCTCTAGAGGTTGATTGAAATCAAGTTGTTAAAACCTTTAAGTATAGAGTAATATTATATATTAGATCTTACTTATTACAGACGCGTTGTTTATGTTTTTTCATAACCTAGAATTTGGTAGCATAAATTCATATACATTTTTTGTGTAGATCTATAGTACAAGATATAAATTCACGTTAAAAGTTGTGAAAACTTACCATTGCAAGCATAAGTCATAGAGCAAGTCGGTCTTCCTTTGTCACCTTAAGCATTAAGTATAAGCTAATTATTCACATTATTATCAATTTTTAGTTGTTACTGATAGGAAATATATTATATACATTTATCTATACAAAGTAAAGTAGTGTACTCAATACAATTAATTGACAGCAGAAAAAATCTTTAAGTTAAATTAAAATCTTAACAAAAAATATATTTCCATTGAAAAAAAAAAACAACACAAGAGAGTATCAGATATTTATACAAATAATTCAATAATAATGTCAACTGAATCTCCGATACCTGATCCAACTCCAACACCATTACCAGAAGAAACAGATCAAATACCAACAACAGGAGAAATTGAAGATGACAATATAAAAATAGATGAACCAGAACCAACACCCGAGATAGATATAACAAAATTACAACAAGAATTTCAAGAAAAAGCTCAACAATATTTAGCTGATCAATCTCAACATATTATAATCCCATCATTTGCAAAATGGTTTGAACTAAGTAAAATCCACGCAATTGAAAAAAAATCATTCCCTGATTTCTTTGATGATGAAGCAGTTTATAAAACTCCACAAAATTATAAATATATTCGTGATTTCTTAGTTAATACATTTAGATTAAATCCTAAAGAATATTTAACTATAACAAGTGTTAGAAGATCATTATCTGGTGATGTAACATCAATAATAAGAATTCATCAATTCTTAGAAAAATGGGGTTTAATTAATTATCAAATTGATCCAAAAACGAAACCTTCATTATTGGGTCCAAAATTTACTGGTCATTTTCAAATAAATTTAGATACTCCTGAAAATATAATACCTTATGTTCCAGATAATGTAGAAATTATAAAAAACAATAATCCAAGTGAAATTATTAAAACAGAAGAACCAATTGAATTTAATATGGAAATAAGAAGAGATATTTATCAAACTGGGGAGAAAAAAATTGAATTTAGACCTCAAAGTTCAGCTCATTATTCATGTAGTATATGTGGCAAAGATGCTACTGAAATAAGATATCATAATTTAAAAATCAAAACTTATTCATATAATCAAAATACAAATAATTCAAGTATATTATGTTCAATTTGTTATGATCAAGGTTTATTCCCACTGAATTTTACTTCATCAGATTTTATAAAATTTCATAAATTAGAAGATTCACAAGAATGGACAGAACAAGAAGTTTTATTACTTTTAGAAGGTATAGAAATGTATGGAACTCATGATCCAACATCGATTGCAAACAATAAAATAAATATAAATTCAAATAATCAATGGGATAAAATTAGTGAACATGTAGGAACAAAGTCAAGGGAATATTGTCTTAAGAAATTTTTACAATTACCTATAGAGGATAAATTTTTGACAAAACTAGTAAAAGATGAATCAACAACAGATAAAAAATCATTAGTTGAAGAAGTAGTTAAAAAATTAATCCAATCAAAAGAAGGTTCCCAACTTTTACAACAAAATGCATCAACAAATACTCAACATTCAATAGAAGAACAATCAAGTTTAATTAATCAAATAGTAGAATTAACAATTGAAAAAGTTAATTTAAAATTAAATGCTATAAATAATTTACAAAATTCATTAATAGATGTAACTAATCAATTAAATCAAGAAAGGAAAACAAACCTTTTAGAAAGATGGTCAATGATTAATAAAATTGAAAAATTGAAAAAGGAAAAACCTGAATTATCTGAATTACTTAATGATATATTAAAACCAAATAAAATATTTGAATTAGATTCAAACACCAATACTATTACCACAACATCAACAACAACAACAACTAATAATGAAGATAATATGCAAATTGAACCAACAACAGAAACAAATGGAGATATAGAAACTATACCAATAAGTGTAACAAAACCAAAAAGTTATACATTTTGGTCAGGTTAAAAAGATCAAATAAATTTTAAAAATCTAATTTTATAATAAATTATAAATCTCTAATTCAAAAAATTGTAATATATAAATAAGTAATAAAAGAACTAAAATAAACTAAAAAGAAACTTTTCAATACCGTATGAAACTCTAAAAATGAAAAAAATGATAATAAATAAAAACCCTCGTAAAAACCTCATTAGTTCATTCTACCTCTATTGATAGATCCAAGTGGTGATACACTTCTCCCAACATTTAAATTTTGAGCACTATTATTATTGTTGTTATTAATATGAGGAAATTTTTCTCCTACTTCATATTGTTGTGCATGTTCATTTGGAACTTCATTCAATGTTGATTGACTTACATTATTATGTGGTGATGAATATAATCCATCATCTATTGTTATACTTATAGGATGAGTTGGTTGAATATTATTTGTTGGATATTGTTGTGGAGTATATGTATAATTTGAAAAAGTATTTGAAGGTTGTGGGGATGATATTTTGGAAGATAATATTGTTTTTATAGATTTTGAAGAATCTAAACCACGAGTTGGACTTGGTCTATTACTACCATTTGAACTATACACTGATTTATTTCTTAATAATGATTTTGAATCTTCTAATTGTTGTTGTTGTTGTTGTTCACTATGATGAGCTAAACATTTTTTATGAAATTCTATAAATTGTGATCTAAAAGACCATGCAATATCTTGACGAAATACACGAATTAATCCATATTGATCTGTTGTAACTATTATATCGCCAGTACCTGGATCATCCTCATGTTTATGCTCTTTTGATCCTGAGCAACAACATTTCTTGGGGTCCATTTTACATGCAGAACCTCTTTTGTATAAGTCAAATATTAAATCATCAGATAATTGTAATAATTTCTTGGTTGATTCTGGTGCGAAAATGGCAACATTACATCTTGAATGATGAGCATGGAAACATGAATAACTATTATTTTCATTTGATATATAATCCTTTTTGTTGTCATCTTCTAATAATTTACCTAAAAATTTATTTGAATGAATTAATTTTGTATATTTTTCATATTTATGATGTAAATCATTTATATGTTGTTTACCATCAATGACTATATCACGAAGTGATTGTTTAATTTTATTGTTTATAATGCTATTGTTATTTTCCCATACATAACAATAATGATCTTCTGATCCAGATATGATATATTTATGATTATCATTACTTGATGCAGCTATAGATGAAGAATTGTTTGATAATCCTCTAAATCTTGTAATTAATTTTTTTTCATCAGTACTAATCATCCTAACTTTTGAATCATTTGTTGTAATTAATACTGTCCACTTATCTAAATTTGTTGAATATTTATTTGCAGGATTTTCAAATACTTGTATACCTGTAATTTTATTACCATTTGTTTTATCATGAAATGGATGAACTATTGATCTATCTTTAATTTCAACTCTATTTACAATATGCAATCCTTTTGTTTCTAATATAAATACAGATCCGTTAAATCCACCTACTATACAATGTAAACCATCTGGTGAAAAAGCTAATGCAGTTATTAAAACATCTTCTCCTAAATTTCTTTTAAATGATACAGATTTTTCTAATATTGACCATAATCGAACTTCATTATCTAATGAACCACTTAAAAAAAATCTATCATCTAAAGGATGAAATTCAACAGCGGTAACAAAATCTTCATGTTGAAAAGTTTGTAAACATTCTGGTCTATCAACGTGCCATAATTTCACAGTATTATCCATACTTCCCGTAATTATAAAATTATTTTTACTCCATGCTAATGATAATATACTTCTTTTATGACCTTTAAATTCCATTGGAGTTGTATGAAATACAGGTGCTGGATCAAATACATAATCTCTTTTATTACTTCTTGGAACTTCGCCATTTTCATTTGAATTTTTTTCATTTTGATTAAATTCTAATCTTGCTAATGGTGATGATATAACTTTATAAACTCTTAAAATGGCATCTCTACCTGCACAAGCTAAATATTTCCCATCTTTACTAAAAGACATTGTAAAAATTTCTCCATTCTTGGATTCATCATCCATACTACGAATTTCTGATTCAATATTTAATTCTTGAGCTAAAAATAAATGATTTAATTGCCTAGGACTTTGTTTATTTCTTCTGGATACTTTCATATATTTTGGAGTTAAAAATGATTCATAAGTCAATCCACTCCATGGAGGTTCTTCATCTTCTTTTAAATTTAATGTAGGTAAATCTGAATAAAAAATTGTTTCATCAACACTTGGAAATAAAACTCTTTCATCAATTTTATGATTTTCATAATTTAAGAATTTTGAATTTGATTTTATTCTACCACTTGCAGATATTGATCTACCTAATGAACCAACAGATGATAAATCTGAATCATAATCCATCATTGTATTTACATCACCATCTTCATCATTATATATATAAGAATCATTATCACCTTCAATACCTCTTGTTTCACTTAATTCTCTTTTTCTATAACTCCGATTACTTCCTGCTGTATAAACTTTTTGTAATTTATCATTTGATGCATTTGAAACTGAATTTTTAGTACTATTACTACTTCCTAATGAAAATGATGTTGATGATGGACTATTATTACTACTATTATTATTATTATTATTATTATTTTTCTTTTTAATTAATTTATTAAAAAATCCACTTTTTTTAGAACCATTTGAATCAATTGATGAAGGTGACAAATTATTTGAATGAGCCATATCCTTGAAACCCTTTATTTTATAAAAAAATGTCAATTATTTTTTCTCCCTCTCTTTTAATTCAATTCAATTCTATATTTGAAAACTAAGTAGTGTTATTAGTATTAGTAGTAGTATTAGTAATATGTATATGTATTGTTGTATTAATCTAAAGTTGTAATTGAAATAATTTTAATTGTATATTTATTAAAGCCAAGGAATCTTCGTTTAAATTTTCAAATATTTTAAAATATAATTAAACGATTAAAATAATCTATATATATAAAAAGTTAACCGATTAATTTGATTAAAATATGATTATGAAATATGATTTAATGTAAATAATTAATGATTAAATTCCAATATAAGATTGTTAAGTTCTAAATTTAGAAATTAATTGATAAGTTCTAAATTAGATTTAAATTTATTTATATAAAAATTGGTTGTAAAAATTAATTGATCATTAAGAAAACAACTCTTATTATATATAAATAGATTCAATAGAATTTAAATAGTAATTTTAGTGCAGTACGGATGTATAAAGTTTTAAAATTTGTATAAATTGAAATTTTTCTTTTTTTGCTACTCCATTATTTATATGTCAAATTTAGATAAATTATATAATAGATCAAATTAAAATAATATATTACTACTACTATTATTACTATTGCTTTTATTGATTTTGGACTACAATAATTATTAATATCTATTCATTTAATTCTATCTATTTCTATCTTTATTGAATTAATAATCCATTGATTAATGATTAATGGTATAATCAAAGTAATTTTCATTAATTTCATTATTGTATTTGTTAATATAAACTGAAATTTTCATCTAATTTTAATTTCTTTTACAAATCATAATTATTTGTAGACTATAACTTTAAAATTAATGATTAATTATTAACACCGTAAATAATATATTATAATATTTTATATCCGTATATATATTATTAAATAATTTTTTTACTTTTCCGTAGAATAAAATCTTTTATCATACATTCAAGTTATACTTTTTTACGAAACAATCCGGGCTTAGGACATTAGCCTTAATTTTTCTAATATTTATTTATTTATTCGTATAATAATCTTATTTAGTCATATTTAATTATAATTGTTTTGTATTTGATTATGAATTTTAATTTGTATAACTTGAGAATTAATTAAAGTAAAGTTATTTTTAGAATTAATAAATAAAAAAAATAAGATTAAGTATAAATTTGATACGAGACTTATATTTAGAATGCAAATTATTTTGATTATTAACTTAGTTAGTTAGTCTATTTAATTATTATTATACAACTGATAACTTCAATCATAGCCTTATAATCTTTAACTTTAAATTTGTTCTTACCTTTATCAATTAAGTTCCCTTCTATTTAAGTTTTTTTCTTTTTTGACCATTCTAAATGTAAAATTAATGAATGATAACCTTTACCATTTAATAAATCTAATGCTTTTTGTGCAATTTCTTCAGTTGCAAAACTTACATAAGCAAATCCTCTACTTTCTCCAGTTTCTCTATTTCTAACAACTGTTACTCTTTGTAATGGACCAAATCTTACAAATAATTCATTTCTTAACATATCTTCATCAACAAAATTATTTAATTGTGAAACTTTTAATGTTGTTGAATCATCTCTCATTTCTTTATTTGGTATATTACCATTTGCATCTGGTCTTAAATGTCTTGGAACATATTTACCTGGTGCATTATTTCCATCATCATTTTGTTCATCTATTAATGTTGGTTCTGGAGTTCCTGTTGTTGTTGTTGAACCAAGAGTATCTTTGAAAGGACATTTTGTTGTATAATGATCACCACCACATGCTCTACATTTAATAGTTTGTACAGCAATTTTACTAGCTCTTTCTTGTAATTTATCTTCTTCTTCTTGTTTTTCAATTTGTTTCCATGATAATCCTAATTTTAATTCAACTTTCTCACCTAATTGGGTTGTACTTGTATCTGGTCCATCTGGTTTATTTTTTTCTTTACCATATTTTGACCAATTTTTACGTTGTGCAATTAATGGATGTACTCTTTCTTGTACTTTAACTTCTTTTATTTTTTGAGTTATTTTAACTTTTTTACCATCTTGATTTGTTCTAAATGTTATAACTGTTTTGGTTCCATCTGGATTATTTATTATATCTGCTGGTGCTGAAAATTCATCACCTGCATCTGCCCATGATTCTATTCCCGTAGACATTATTTAACTGACGATATATATATATATATATTTATATGGATGGATTAATAAGGTATTAATGTATAATCTTAATGTAAAATAGTAATGATTTAACTACTAAACCTTTGATATTCATATAAATTTTTCAAAATTTTTTTTTTACTAGTATTTTCAAATTATCCATTTAACACGACATATTTTGAAAAAAAATTACAAAATCAAACCAAAATTTATACATAAACAAATCAATATTCAAAAATATTTGCAACTTACACAAGTAATGTCAATTTATAAATATGGAAATCATGAATTACAACAAATAAAAGTATGGAATTATAATGGAAATAATGAAAATACGTATATATATATTCATGGAGGTGCATGGAGAGATCCTTCAAATACTTATGATGAATTAGAATCAGTTGCAAAAAAAAATCAAAATTCTACATTTATTGGTATAAATTATAGATTATCACCAGAAATAAAACATCCTCAACATTATAATGATGTTTATGATTCATTAGTTTATATAAAGAAACATTTTAAATTAGGTAATATTAATCTATTGGGTTATTCTGTGGGAGCTACTTTGATTTTACAAATTATTCAAAATTTAAATAATTTATCACTGCCAATATTATTTAAAAGTATAAAATTTTTAGATGGAATTTATGATATTAAACAATTAATTGAAGAATATCCTCATTATGGATTTTTTATAGATGAAGCATTTCAAAATTTAGAAATTGCAATAGATTCAGTTTCATTAATTAGACCTCCTATTATAAGTAAAAATACTTCTATAATAATTTGTCAATCATTACAAGATGACTTATTATCTATTAATCAAACAAATTTATTAGTTAGTTATTTTGCTAGATATAAAATCCCATTTACTTTATTAACTGGTAATTGGGGAATTCATGATGATATTTATGGACCATATAGAAATGAAATATTTATAAAGACTTAAATTTTATAAACACATATGATGTAATTCTTCTATTTTATTGCTTTCTAAAATTTGTCAAATTAAATTATTTAATTTGATGATAACTTCATCAAATCAAATGTAATCCTATTTAACATAATTCAAAAAGACAATAAATTATTAATGAACAATCATACTTATGACAAAGGAATATAAGACTCTCGATTAAATTGAAAATTGATTCCGAAATGATTAAAAAATTGTGATCATGACAAATATATAATTCATTTTAAAAATTGTTAGAAATAAAAAGTGTTCCACATCCCAAAAGACTTATACTATTACTCCCAAATTTCTCCATTCTTTTTACTTGTTACATTTTATTCTTCAATACATATAAAAAAATTTTCTGACTAAAACAATATCTCCTCAATAAAAAATATTTTCTTCTTATAAATAATTCTTTTTCCATCTTTTTTTTTTTAACTAAAACACCAAATTCAATTGCTCCTATACTAGTTTTGACTCTTTAAACCACTCTTTTCTGAATTCTTGACATTTAAACCTAAAAACGAGTTGGTGATCTTTCTCTATTGTAAGAACCTTGTCTATCACCATATCCTCCATCTCCTCTATCATATCCTCTATCGTAGCCACCTCTTCCTCCCCTATCTCCAAAACCTCCTCTTCCACCTCTAAATCCACCTCTGTCTCCAAAACCTCCTCTTCCACCTCTAAAACCTCCTCTGTCTCCAAATCCACCTCTACCTCCTCTGAATCCACCTCTATCTCCGAATCCACCTCTACCTCCTCTGAATCCACCTCTATCTCCAAATCCACCTCTGTCTCCAAAACCGCCTCTTCCACCTCTAAATCCACCTCTGTCTCCAAAACCTCCTCTTCCACCTCTGAAACCACCATCGTATCCACCTCTACCTCTAAATCCACCTCTGAACCCACCTCTTCTTGGTGGGAAATATGGTGAAGTATCTTCTTCTGCACTAATTTCTGAACCATTATAATCTGTTTTATCTAATAATGGAATTGCTTCTTCTAAATCTTCAGCACTTTCAAATTGCATATTACAATTAGTTTCACCAGTTTCATAATCTCTAAAAACTTTAACATAATTTGGTTCTTTTGAAGTTTTATCTCTAACAAAATCTTTTATATCTTGCCATGCAACATTTTCAGGTAATCCAATAATTTTTAATCTATATTTACCTCTTGTATCTTCTCTTCTTTCTTTTGCAAATTCAATTTGTAATGGTTCTTCTCTAAATGTTTGATTATTTAATTCATCTAATGCTCTACCTGCATCTTGTTCATTTTCAAATCCAACAAATGCATAAGATTCCATTAATCTAATATCTGTAACTGGTGCTACTTCATTAAAAAATTTTCTAACTTCATCTTCTAAAGTTCCATATGGAATTGGTCTGACGAATAATTGTTTAGTTGGTTGATTATCCATCTTGTGAATAGAGGTGGTTGTTAACTTTACTTAGAAAAGGAAAAAAAAAGTGGCAAATATCAACATCGTTATTTTGAATAATTTTTTTTCTCTTCAAAATCGTGTCTCATAATATTTTTGACCAAATTACACTATCTATTAATATGGCTTATATGAAATTGATGGTAGTAACAAGAAGATTTTCAAACTGGAACATTCTATTCACTGTGAAATAAAGAAGTAAAACAAACTATTTATGTTATATTAGGTTATATTAAATTATATTAAATTATATTAAAGTATATTAAATTATGTTCAACTATATTTATTAATACAAATGGAAAATTAATAGAATATATAAGTAAAAATTAGGCAAATATTAAATTGTTCTCAAGAATGAAAGAATTAAATTATGAAAAGACTTTCTTCAAAAAGCCTCTGAATCCCTTCTTTTCTTCTTGTTTTGTACCATTAGCGGCAGTCTTTTTGGCTGGAGTTTGTTTTGATGGAGTTTGTTTGGTGGTAGTTGATTTAGTACCAGCCTTAGGTGTGGTTTTATCGTCTTTTGATTTGATTGGAACGTCTTTAGCAGTTGCTGGAGTAGCTTTTGATGCAGTTACAGTAGCTGGAGTTTTTGATGTAGTATCATTTGGATGAACTTTTGATTCTGGAACTTTAACTTGTTCAATAGTAATTGGACCATCAACTTGAGCAGCTAATTGAGCTTCTTTTGTTAATTTTTCTTGCTCAGATTTTGATGGTTTAATTTCTTCCAATTCAACATTTGGTCCTTCAGTTGCTTCAACAGCAGCTAATATATCTTTTCTATTACCTTGAGCAATAATAATTTCTTCTTCTTGATTATCATCAATTGTTGGAATTGGTTGTTTTGCAACTGGTGATGCATTAACTTCTTTACCTTCACTTGAATCAATATTTGAACCAGTAACAGGTGGAACAACTGGGTTTGAGGCTAATGTACCTGGAGCAGTAGTTCCTGGAGCTGGAGCTTGTGAACCTGATCTTGGATCTAAAGTTTTTGGATGTTTGTCATCAACAACCCCATCAACTAACGAAGGTTTTTTGGCTTGGTCTGGTGATATTGAATTTCTAGCTTCTTTTGAAGTAGAAAATGGACCATTTACATTGTCTTTAGCTTGACCAAATCCAGTAGCTGAAACATCTTCTTTACCTTGATCAGCTCCGGCTTTATAAGAATCCGATGCTAATTCTGAACTTAAACCAGCACCTAAACCAGCACCACCAACTCCTCCTAATGCGGCAGCACCTAAAGTTTTAGCAGTTGAATGATCTTCTTTTTTAGCTTTTGGATCTTCAAATTCATCACGAACTTCTTTATTTAATTCAGTGTTTTCTTTAGATTCCTCAGCTAAACTTTGTCTAGTAACTTTTGGTTGGTTTCCAAGATAATCTGCACTCGTTTCATCGTTACCTGTAGCAATTAAAACTGGTTCCGCTTCTGGTACAATTTCTTCATCTTCGTAGACATCTTCTTCATCTATTTCTTCATCTTCACCATTTGGAGTAGTACCATTAGCTAATGCAGCTGCTTTAGCTTTCTTTTTAGCTTTATATTTAGTTCTTTTAACTTTTTTCTTTTGTTTTTCTTTATCGTCTGCTGTTAAACCTGCTGATGATGAAGCAGTACTTGAATCAAGACCTTTTGAGTTTAATCCTTCAGTTTGGGGTTCAGCATCTTTTGATACTGGAGCAATCTCCGAAATTTCAGTGTCTTCTACTACTATACCAGATGATGGATCAACAATTGCGGTGGTCTCAGCAACGAAAATTGGATCTACTGTGGTTGGGTCGGTTGAGCCTAATTGTTGTTCATTTGTTTCTTGGGTAGTTGGTGCATTTGCAGTTCCAACTTCTTTGACATCTGCATTTAATTCTTTTGCTCTTGCGTCGGTATCCTCATAATTATCAAATGCTGAGACATCTTCCCCTCCTCTTGGTACATATATGCCTGGTTCACCACTAATTGTTGAATGATGAGGTTCTTCTTTTGGCAAAACAGTAGTCTTATAATCATCATCGTAATTTAAATTTTTTTGATTGTTGGTGGTGTTTGTTACTAAACCAGATTCTGGTATCAAAGCACCTGGTACAACTAATAAATGAACTAAATCTTCCGCTTCTAAAATATTATTATCATTTCCTTCGAAATCTTTTGTAACTTTTTCGCTTGTATTAACTTTCCATTCCCCATCAACAACATATTTGTAGAAAATAGTTTCCTTTTTAGGTGGTAATGGAACTTGAATTGCAAAAGATCCATCAACTTGTTTGACCAATGGCAATGATTGTGACCAATCATCGAAAGTTCCTGTAACAATTACATCTTCTGGACCTTTTGGCCTAAAAATTCCTCGAGTTAGTATACGATACAAAATTAATTGTGGATGATGGCTAATTTTTCGAAAGATGAACTTCAATTTCATTAGCAACAAACCAATTGCTATGGTCAATTTGATAAATGCTCAATTCCCATCAACGGATTGCATTGCTATAAGTATCTCCAAGTTATTGATCAATTTTTTAAGTTGGCAATAAAATGATTGAACCAGCCGTCCTTCATCTTTCGAGATTTCATAAATCCGAACAATCACTCAATCAAGCAATATCCAAATTTAAATAGCTCCACAAATTATCAATTAACATACCATTTAAACTCATAATGAACAGACATAATATAATTTTGAAATTAATATATAATTGATGATATTAGATTTTGATTGTGATAATAAAGAAAAAAGAAAAAAAGGAAAAAATAAATTCTTTTCTTTATTTTTAGAATTGGTTTAAATTTTAGAGAGTAAAAGAATATTACACATAAAGTAAAAGTTGTTTTTATTTTAATGACCTTTAATCTTTAAATTTTAATTATTAAAAAGATATAATATTCTTTAAAAAAAAGATATGTTAAGATATCGATTTACTACTAATTAATAATTCAAATAAATGAGTCAGTTATGACCGTTTGATTAAGTCCAATTTTCAAAATTATCAAATTAATTATTTCTCAATTTAAAAATTTCAATTGATTAATTAAAAAATTATTATTATTTTATAAATGAGGAGAATTATTTGAAATAATATTGAATTATTATTTATTGTTATTTTGATATTTCTAGCTTCTTGTCAATTTATTATAAATTGATCTACAATTATTATCTTTTTCTCTCTTCATGTGTTAATACAATTGTTATAATATTTTAATAATATTATTGATAAACTGTATGGATTTTGATAGAAATTAATAAACTACGTAATAGTATCCTAATTTAAATTGCATACAAAATTTGGTAGCAAATTAAGTGGTGATGGGGGTGTTCTTTTTTTCTTAATTAAGCAATTATATTTACAAATTAGGAAATTGAAACAAGTACCTAAATTAAAGTATAATAGTAGTTAAATAAAAAATTGTCTCGTAAAATTTCTTTGAACCAAAAAAAAAACTAGACCAAAAGAAACAGCTCGACATTGACCAAGTGACGACCTAAAAGAAGCAGATAGGTACAAATTTGTTTTTGGAAGTGATCCACTATTTTAGTATTGTCATCAAAATTGAAATATATCAATTGTCTCGTAATTCTACGAAATTGTATAAAACTAATTCAATAAAATTCATTAAAAAATGTTCATTACTATAAAATGCATTTTATATAAAACTTTTTGTTTTTAAAAACTTAATAAAACTGGTAACAACACTAAAGAATGCAAAACTGCAATAATAATTAATGAGAACCACATTCTAAAATAATATATCTCGAAAATTGTTGATCTTGTAAATGCTAAGATGGATATACCAATAAATTTAGTTAAAGTTATACCACCTATAATTGATCCTCCAACTTTGACTAATGCATTAAATGATTTTTGATAATTTTTTGATATTATTCCACTTCTTTGTATATCTTCTTTTGTAAATGTTTCCATTGTATATGCTCTTGTTAAGTGTATTGTAAATTCAACTGATAATCCACAGCATATTATAAGATTAACTAATGTAATTGCATTTAATGATATTCCCCAAATGGCCAACACACCTCCTATATTTATCATTATTGAAGTTATTGTTATTACCATTATTGTTGATGATTTTATTGAACCTAATAATAGTGTACATACAAACCATATTAAAAGCAATGCTCCAATAATTAAAGTAAATGTTAAACTTATAATATTTAAATATTGAACAAAAAATATATAAAATGGTGACCAACTAAATACATTCAAACCAGTAAAATTTTTAATTTCTTCAACTATTCTAATGGAATTTTTATAAGCTGATATAAAATCTTGTTGTGACCTTAATGGTGTATGAGAAGTTCTAAAATAACTTGATTTAATATTTGTTGAATTTCTAGATATACTTGTTGAATAAGGAGCTTTACCACCTAAAGGACAAGGATCACTAGGTTCTTGTATCCATTGATTGAAGTAGAACATAAACTCTTCTCCCTGAGGAAAACCTTTCATATCTGGATTATATGGAGGTTCATGATTTGCAAAACATGTTTGACATTGACGATCTGGTGCATATGGTGAACAAAATTCAGGTTCATCACTATCAAATAAACTTGATTTTTTAAATCTACAACATTGATCTAAATCTGGGTTTAACCAAGTCAAGAAATCATCTAGCCAATTACTTGTTGGTTCAGCAATCATTGATTTCTTGGATCTTTTAAATTCTTGTTCCAAAATATTAGCTAATGAATATTTCTCACATGTTGAAAATCTACCACATATTTGTTGTTGATTATCCCTTTGTTTTACATCTAAATCTTTGACAACGAAAAACACTGGAGGGCCAGTGTTAAAATAATCATAAACAGAATTAAAGTAATTCACCAAGTATGAATCTTTTGGTATAGCAATTCTTTGATCAAGTCCAAATTGAATTTCAGGAAATAAACTTAGTGATATACCAACCCACAAAATAAAAATTGTCAAAATTTTAGGTCTAGTAGTTTTACTCAAAAGCCAAGGTGCATATTTTTCCTTAATGTAGTATGAAAAGTTATACTCCAAATGTTTATCATCATCATTATCATCATCATTATCATTATCTTCTAATTGAATCGGAGAAATTCTGATCCATGGAGCACAATCAATTCTGCCCTCTTCTATTCTTTTTTGATCTAATGCTAACAATCCAATAAAACAAGTCATTTGTAATATAAAATTTACAGTTATGGCACCAGCACTATAAATGGCAAAATTTTTCACAGCCGGCATATCAACAGTTGATGCTAATAAAAACATAGATACTTGTAATATAGCACTAATTAAACAAGATGGACCTATAATTTTTAAAGATTTTGATATACGAGTAGGTATATCTAATTCTGGTTCAATTTCGGTAATTTTGTGTAGTTCATGAACAATAAGGAAAATATTATCAATACCTATAGCCAAAATTAAGAATGGTATAACTTCTGCTATAATTAAGGTAGATTTTAAACCAATAATTGAAAAAAAACCAACTGATGAAGTAACTGAAAGTAAGATAATGATAATACCACCTAATCCTAAAGTAAATCTTGTTTTAACTAATGATTTTATTGATCTATTTGGTAGTTTACCACCAAGTGCTAATGATGCATATATGAACATTACAATGTATGATATAACAACAATTCTAACATCAGTATTTGACGATTGGTTTATTTCCTCAGTTAAAGAAATTTCAGTGCTGTAAGCAACATTTAATCCTAATTTATTTTCTTGTAAATTTCTAGCCCATTTTTGGAATTTCTTCTCATAATCCATTGCTAACAGATTATTATGTTCATGATTGTTAACAAGTACCGTTACGGTAAAAGCAGTTGCTTTTGATATATCATTATTGTCAAATAATAAAGTTGGTTTCAATGGTTGTTGAAACGTAGGTAAACAATTAACTGGAGAATCTGAACAACTTTGAATTTTACTTTCCCAATTTTGTTCACTTAATTCATTTATATCACCATGGAAATATTGAGTAAAAGATTCGATAGCACAAGTTTCATCTAATGGTTTAAAGCATATTTCATATAACTCTTGATTGTTTATTTTTTGTTCTTCTTCAAACCACCATTTTATAGTTTTCCAACTAAAGATGGGTTCCTGATTTTTAGTACTAACTATAACTTGTTCAACTCTGAACCATTGACCAAACTCAGATTCAAAATATTTTTGATTGATTAATGCAGGTTCTGTAGGGCTTACCCATAAATTAATTGGATTAGTTTCTAAGTTTAATTTGAACATACCTAAAGACAATAAAAGTGCAACAACCAATGAAGTCCCCACTGAAATTCCAGGATATGTTGAACAAAATTTCCCAGTTTTTTCAAACCAATCTTCAATTTTATCATTTAAGTTCTCTGATAATGAATGAACAATAGGTTTTCTCACGGTGACATAATATGAAGGACTAATCATTTCATCTAAATCATCATCATCATCATGGCATGAAGTACGTCTTTCCCTTTTGGCATTTGCTAAATATACATGATACCCACCTAATAGTGCAATTAAAACTAATAAAACAATCAAAACTGAAAATGAAAAACATGGTAGATATCCAATTGTACATTTCTTATTCAAGTTTTTTATATGTGGTAATTTTGGACATGAGGATTCACAATCTGTACATGCACATTTATATTTTTCATCATTGCAATTGTACATTATATCGTCTCTCAATATTAAATCTGAGTTTGGTGGTGTTTCATATTTGAAATTTACTTGATAAGGTGAACCACCAAGTAATGGTTTTTCATCACCCAAAAACTTCAAGAATTGTGAGTAATTTTTAGCTCCACCACCAATTAAATCCATTGCGAAACCATTAGTTGCCAGAAATTTAACATTTCTACAGGAGTCAAAAAATTTGTTGGCTAAATTTGGTGAAACATATTGATTTATTTCAGTAACTATCTCCTTACCTGTATCTTTTGCAGTATCTGTTTTAACAATCTCCACAAATTGAGATTCATTCGGTGAACAACTAAATTCACAAAAGAAATCATAAAAATTCTTATGACAAGCTGGACAAGTAGAAATTATTGGATCAACTCTCTTTAGGTTTGATGCTAAATCTTCAATTTGTTCAGGGGAACAACAAACCAAATCAAATTTTTTACCACAGATTGCTTCTAATTTATATTGAGATTCTTCTGTTGGTTTTATTGCTTTTGTATAATTTGAACATGGTAATTGTTTACCAAATACTGATTTTTTACCACAATTTCCATATGTATTACAATAACCTTCTGAATGATTTAAACATGATATTGATATAATAAAATGAAATATTAGTAGTAGTTGATTTATTATTTGCATAATTTGTAAAAACTTGAGATAAAAGTAGATTTAATTAAGTTGGTACAAATTGAAAAATTAAAAATCTGGGGCTAATCTCAAAATTTCAATCTTAAGACTCGCGTTACAATTAAAAAAAATTAATTACTTTAAATCAGTAGTCATAACAATCTTTATTTAATAAAAGATCAAATTATATATCTTTTTTGCAAAACAAGTTATTCACCTACAGATACATTCGTTCATTGATTTTTTTCCGGACAAAACAATTTCAAAATAATGTTGATTGGTATATCAGGTACACTAAGTTCCGGAAAGACTGAAGTAGCAAGATATTTAACATTTCAAGGTTTTAAATTAATTAAATATGAACCAAATGATTTAAAAAATGGATATCCAATACTAAATACTCCAGAGTCAGAAGAAATAACTCAAGAAATGGAACAACTTGTAATCAAACATTATTCACATATGGAACATTATAAAACTTTTACTAATTTGGATCAATTATTAGAATTTGTTACTTTAAATTGGAGAGAAAATTATGTAATTACTCATATTGAAGATATATCAATGTTACGAATTTTACAAAAGAGACCTTTTTTTTTACATATTTCAACTGATGCACCAATGGCTTTGAGATTTAAAAGATCACATATTCCAGAAATTGAAGAATTTATACGACAAAATGATGAATTATTGTTTAATAATGTTTCACCTTTATTAGAGATTAATAATCAAGCACAAATTAAAATTATTAATACTTCCACTTCAATAAAAGATTTATTTATAAAATTGTCTGAATTGAATTTATTAAATCCTACCAGGTTAAGACCGTCTTGGGATTCGTATTTTATGAGATTAGCAGATTTAGCAGCATTAAGATCTAATTGTATGAAAAGAAGAGTGGGATGTGTAATAGTCAGAGAAAATAGAGTAATAGCCACTGGTTATAATGGTACTCCAAGACATTTAACAAATTGTAATGAAGGTGGATGTAAAAGATGTAACAAAGGTTTTGGTAGTGGTAGTTCATTATCTACTTGTTTATGTTTACATGCAGAAGAAAATGCTTTGTTAGAATCTGGTAGAGATAGAATTAGAGATGATAGTGTTTTGTATTGTAATACTTGTCCTTGTTTAACTTGTTCCATTAAAATTGTACAAAGTGGTATCAAAGAAGTTGTTTATGCTCAAAGTTATTCAATGGATTCTGAAAGTCATAAAGTTATGAGTGAAGCTAATATTATAATTAGACAGTTTCAACCACCAATAGACGGAATTTTTATATAATAATTAATTATTAAAAAGTTTTTGAGATTATTAGAAGTGTCTTATTTAAGTGTAGTCTAATTTATTTGTCTAATATATTTGTCTCTAGTTTAAGTTTCTTTATATTCATAAAAGCCTGGTTTTAACTCAGCTTTACATTCAATTCTTGCAATTTCTTTACCATCAACAGATAAAGTAGCTTCAATATCATCCCCTTCAACAATTGGCCCAACACCTTTTGGAGTTCCCGTCAAAATAACATCACCTTTTTCCAAAGTCATTATATTTGACATAGAACTTAAGATTTTATGAATTGGGAAAATCATTAAATTTGTATTATCATCTTGTTCTATTTCATTATTTATTTTTAATTGTAAATCGACATTATATGGATCTGGTATTGCTGATTTAGGAATAAATTCAGAAACTGGTAAAAAAGTATCAAACCCTTTACCAATTGACCAAGGTAAACCCTTTTTTTTAGCTTCATTTTGAACATTTCTTGCTGTCATATCAATAGTTAACGCATATCCTTCTATAGCATCAATAGCTTCTTGTGGTGAAAATGATTCAGATAAATTTTTTAGTTCTTTATTTAAAATAAATGCTAATTCAACCTCATGATGTACTAATACTCCTTTTGGAATTAAGAATGGTCCATTATTTGGTTTTAAAATTGATGAAGTTGGTTTTAAAAAGAAAAATGGTTGTTGTGGTTGTGCTGAATTTAATTCTTTAATGTGAGCTGCATAATTACGTCCAATACAAAGGATCTTTTTTGCATTATCTATATATTTTAATGGCATTCTTAATGACGACATACTGAAAAATCTTTTAGTATAAATTTTATAAATCTATTGAATCTTATATATGATATTGGATTTGTGAAAAATTAATTTCTGATTCGGAAATTTTGAATTATGGAGAGATTTTAATTCGAAAAATAATATTTCTTTGACAACGGAATTGTAAATAATTAAACGGCTGAATATTGACCCGATTGATATGTTTCAAAATTACCCACATGAGGCAAATGAGTAATTAGGCATAATGGATTAAATGGTTTAGGTCTTATGCTCGACTTAAAAGGTACTATTTCATGTAACTGTATACTATGATCAGTTGATGTAGGTTTCAAATCAGATCGGTTTTGCTACCATTTCGGGGTTTGAAAAATTCGTAAATTCATCTAACATCTATGCTATAATTTCTTACATATCAAAAGATCATGTTCAAAAGGATACTACGACAAAGATGGACTTTTATTCGTCATAATCACACACAACCAACTCCATACTACCCACCACAAAAGCTAACAAACTCTACATACACTACAAATGAACCATTAAATATAATAACATCATCATATATACAGCCTCAACCTCAACCAAATGATAAAATTATAGTCGCAATGTCATCAGGAGTAGATTCATCAGTATGTGCTGCTTTGTATGCTCAAAAATACAAAAACGTTTCTGGAATATATATGTCAAATTGGTCACAATCATCAACGTGTACAGAACGAGATTGGAAAGACGTTTTAAAAATTTGTATTCAACTTAATATAGAATGTGAAAGAGTTAATTTTGAATTTGATTATTGGGAAAATGTATTTCAACCTATGATTGATAATTATAAATTAGGACTTACTCCAAATCCTGATATTTCATGTAATAAATTTGTTAAATTTGGTAAACTTTATAATTACCTTAATGAAAAATATTCAAATGAAAATTGGTGGTTAGTTACTGGTCATTATGCAAGAATAATGAAATTAGGAAGTGAATATCATTTACTAAGAGGATTAAGTACTAAAAAGGATCAATCTTATTATTTATCATCTATTCCAACAAAAGTACTTCCTAAAATCATACTACCATTAGGTCACATATTAAAATCAGAAACTCGTAATTTAGCTAAACAATTCAATTTACACGTCCAACAGAAACCAGATTCTCAAGGTTTATGTTTTGTTAATCCTAATTTAAAATTTAAAGATTTTTTAAATGAATATATAGAACCTAATCCAGGTAATATAGTAACAGAAGATGGTAAAATATGGGGTAAACATCAAGGGTTATGGCATGGTACAATTGGTCAAAAATCAAGTATATCTATGCCTCAAGGTGATCCTACTTATAAGGGAACTTGGTTCATTTCTGATAAAAACCCACAAACTAATGAAATTATGATTGTTAAAGATCATGATAATCCTAAATTATATAAACTGAAATTTAAGATTATAAACAATGAATGGGTATATGATTTAAAAAAGATTAAACAATTAGATGTTGAAGATATTCAATTTCAATATCATTCATTATCACAACCAATAAAAATTAAATCCATAAATTTTAACAATAATGATAATTCTTTTAGTGTTGAACTATCTGAATCAGTAAGAGCAGTTGCTCCTGGTCAAGGTGGAATATTATATAAAGGAAATCAAGTATTAGGTGGTGGTATGATTTCTGAAACTTTTTGAATTAGGAAATAGCTTACGGGTTTGTTTTTTTAAAAAGTGGACCTAACCCGTTTTGATCTTGTATATAGATTATTCATTAAATTAACGTTTATAGATTATTATAAAGTGGTTTTAGTTTGCAATATTGTTACATTACATGATATTGCAAAATAAAGGGTTAAAATTACGAAAGTAGAGACCTCTCCAATTACGAAAAAGTTTAGTTTTATAATAAAGTTTAAATTGATTTTCAAATATTGTCAAAAATTAGTAATTTTTTAAAAATTATATTTTACATCTCTAAAGTTTTCTTGGTACTGAAAAATTATCAACACAATCTTTATAAGTATTTGATATCTTGGCAATAGCTTACCAAAGGCAAGAAAATTGCAATAAATCTTAACGCATTATGACGCAAGTAGGATCTTAATTCAACTCTTTAATTTATTATGATCTTGTCGTTTTAACAATTGAACTCCCCTTTTCATTTTGAAAAAAGTTGTGACTGATTGGAGATTAATAGAGTATAACCACAATAACATTAGAAAAAAAAATTATTTATTTTTATTAAAACTAAAAAGCAGTAATTGTTGGATATAATTTATTATCATTAATACAACCATCTGATTTATTCTCATCCGTTTGTGTAGTTTGTTCTTGTTTTGAAATTTGCTCTTTTAATACTTGTAAAATATAATGTACCATTTCTCTATGTTTTGCAACATCTTTTAAATTGAAGCCGTTAATTATTATATCTTCTTCTTCTTCTGATCCTTTAATGTTTAATTTATCAAATAATGAATCAATCTCTTCTTCTTCTGATAATGATTCAACTTCTGATGTTTCTGAACCTGAATCTGAGAATTCTGAGTCTGTTTCTTCATCTTCTTCATCTTCTTCTTCTGAATCTTCTTGAGCAACTTCATGTTTATGTAATTTTTGTCCTGTTTTTTGATATACTGAAACACCATTATATTCCATACCTGAATGTGGTTGTTGTGATCCATATGATAAATTATAACCCATTGGTCTACTGATTTGTGGATATGATGATAAATAACTTTGATGGTTTGTTGAACCGGTAGTTGTTGAACCTAACATATCTTTCGATATTGAACCATTGCCAACTGTGGAAGTATTTAATAAAGTAGGTAATGATGGGTATAATGATGAAGATGTTGAAGAAGTTGTAGGTTGTTGTTGTTGTTGCTGTTGTGTTGGTGGTACTTGAGCATGTTGTGGTTGTTGATGGTGGTATTGTGAAGACAAGTTTTGATATTGCATGTCAATTGAAGATGATAATGAATTAAAGAATTTTTCAGCTTCATAAATATTCAAATTATTATTAGTACCATTTGTATAAGTTGGATGATAATGAAGTTGTTGATGTGTTTGTTGAGGTTGTGTTTGTTGAGGTTGTTGTGGAGGATTATGATGTAATTGATCATCTAAATGATTCAACCTATTGAACATATCCATATTATATTCAGAATTTAGTTTCATTCTTTTAGCTTCTGATTGTTGTTGTTGTTGTTGTTGTTGTTGATAACCATTTGCGTGATTCATTGGTTGGAAATTAAAATCATTCAATATACTATTAACAACATAAGCATTATGAGAGTTATGATCTAGACCTCTTTTTCTTGATTCATTTTCAATGCCATTATAATAAGATAAATCATTTTGATTTTTACTCAATTTTTGTCTTTGTTTAGCTTCTTTTTGTTGTTGTTTCAATAATAATTTTTGAGCTTTCTTCAATTTCTTTGGATGATCGTCTGCATGAATCTTGGAATGTTTCTTTAAATCTTGTGGTCTTTTAAAGGATTTTGGACATATATCACAATGGAATGGTTTTAATGGAACATGAACTCTTAAATGTGAAGTAATATGGTCTCTCTTAACTGTTGTAGTACCACAATTTTCCCAATAACAAGTTAAACTTAAATTATTTGAAGATTTTCTACCAACATGATCATCACATAAATGATCATATAAAATTTCTGGAGTATCAAATATGATATTACAGTCACCCCATAAACATTTAAAAGGACCTCTTAAATCTTCTTCTCTAATTTTTTTGTAGGTTTTCTTCATTGGTTTTTGATTTGAATAAGTATTTAAAGATGAAGTATACCTATTTGGATCACTTTGTTGTTGTTGTTGTTGTTGTTGTTGTTGTTGTTGACCTGGTAAATGAACACCTGTTGATCCTAAGTAATTTTGATGGAAATGATCATTTGATAATTCTTGATAAGTTGGTTGCTGTTGGTATTTATTGATTGGGGCTTGAGATTGATAATAAGTATGATTATTATAAATATGATTTAAACTTGGATGTAATTGTGTTGGTTGTTGTGGAGCAACTGAAGGTACAACTGTAGCTGGAATTTGCTGTTGTTGTGACTGCACCGGTTGTTGCATTGGTTGTTGTTGTTGAGTAGTTGCAACATTATTGTTAATATTATTATTAGTAATAACAGTTGTATTTTCATCTTGAATAATAGTAGAAGGTAATTTATTTTTTGATGAATCAATTGGTGAATTTGCCAATGAATGTGAAGTAAAAGATGAATGAGGTGATCCATTATTATTATTAGTTCTTGGTGAATGTGATGAAGTTATTGATGAAGGTGAAGTAACATTATCAATATCTATATCTGCAGATGGTGATTTTTTAATTATACTACTAGTACGAGATTGTCCTCCTTGTTGTGATCTTTGTTGTTGTTGCTGTGAAGGTAATGAGACTGGTTGCTGCGATTGTATTTGTTGTTGTTGTTGATTAGATGTTCCATTATTATTATTATTATTCTGATTATATTGATTTGCATTCAAATATGAAACTGGATGTACATTATAATTCATTTTGTAATCTTGATGATGTTCTCTTTATGTATCAAATTAAACTATGGTAAATATAAATAAATTTTGGTTGTAAATAGATTTGATTAATCAAAATTTTGGTTGTAAAACTATTCTAATTGTTTTTATAATAAATAAATATTGAAAATAAAAGAGAAACAAAAAAAAAAAAAAAANAAGAGAAAAAAAAAAAAAAAAAAAAGGGAAATTTAAATTAATTTTTATATAAAATTTAATTAATAAATTATCAATTATTTTATATACAGGTTTAGGGGCCAAGAAAAAATAAAAAATTAATAAATTTTAATTATAATTTTATTTTAATTTTATTTTTATTTTTTATTTTTATTTTCTTTTATCAAAATTCATTTTTTTTTTTGTTTTAGATAATTTCATAATTTATTATAACACTTACTTATTAGTTATCAATCAATTATTAAATAATAATGTACTAATTTGATAAGAAAATCAAATATTATATTGCTATTATCTTATAAAATCAGTTCTTATTTAATAATCAAACATTACAATTAATCATTTTATAGGTTATAATTAGACTAAATATACACTGCCATTCCTTGATTATACTTTACATAAAAAATATTATTGTCCTCCTCCTGCCTTATGATTGATTAAAAAATATGAAAAACTTTAACTTTCTTTTTTTTTAATTTTCTTAAACTTGTTTTGGTTGTAAAATTTTTAACTTTTTAATAAATTATTTACAATTCTTGGCAAATTTATATGAGCAGTTTATACACACACTCGTGGTAGTATTATTAGTATGGAGTGAAACTTATTTTTCTTGGAACTAATGCTACCAATTAATTACTAAAATTAATTACGGATAAATTTTTCAAATACTAAATTCGGTTAATTTAAATTAATACAATAATCTAGAGGTAGTATGAATTAAATAAATAAAGATTAGATTAGATTATGATAATAATAATCTAAAAAATCAAAGTTTACTAACCAATCATTAAATTAAAAATACAGCCTTATTATTATCATTGATCTGCTTGAATCAATGTTAATTAAAATTCAAAGAAAATTGATGATTGATTTTACAATTCATTTTGATAAATTTGTATTTCCATCATCTTATTGATAATGCGTTATTAATTTTTATAATTTATATTATTATTAGTAGATTATTTAAATCAAAATAAAAATTGTCATATTATTTATTGTTTTATTATAAAATATTATAATCGACTTTTAGATTTTTTGTTGACTAATTCTTATGCCATAGTTTAATTTGAGAAATATCATTAATATTAGATGAAAAATATTTGTCATTATAATTAGAGCTTATAATAATTAAATAAAATCTTTGTATAATAAACTTTTTATCAAAAGATCAAACTCCGCACTATTGTTCTTTTTTTTTTGTTCTTCTTGGTTTTTTCACTCTTGTGTAACGTTTGTATTAAACAAAGAAGATAATCAATTACGAACTACGTATATACTAGTTTAAATGATTAAAAGCCAGTAAAGGTTCTTCAAAGATCTGATCAATTTGCATCAAACTGCATTTTTTGTTGTTGATGATTAAATCTATTAATAAAAATCGTAAATCATATGATTGAAAAAGTAATCACATAATTTCTTTTTATTTTCGTTTTAAAAAAAATTCTATGACGTAAATAAAAAATAATTTTGAATTTTGACAATATTTTCTTTGAATTGAGTTTCAAATCAACGGATATTTTAATAACCATTTCATCTAATCTAGCTTTTATGATCTAACCCTCTAGTTGGGATCCTTACGTATTTCTGACTATGATCAAAGTCATAAGTCAAAGGTTGTTATTTAAAAAACTTTATTATGAGACAAATCAAAGTTTCCCTATATAGTATCTCATACCCAAGAAAAATAATAATCAAGTAAATTTCTTTTATAACAAGTAAATTTTAATAAATTAGACAGATACGTCAGAGAAAACAAGATTTTATTAAAAGTTTGACATCATAGATTTTCAAGAAAATTGAAAGATCAAGAAAGATTAGATATAAAATAGAATACCGCTATGTTCTTGATACATTGGAGATTTTCAACTGGGGGTGTAATTATATCAAAATTTGTTTGTTATATTTGAAACATGGAGAAAAAGAGAACACAGAAATAGAGAGTGGGTGAAAAATTGATTGTATTTTAATTCAAGATATTTCTCTGTTACTCTATACGCTCGTACCACCACTAAGACAGTTTACATGCTGGAGCTAATCGAAATTGTCATTAATTCCCACAAAATTATATCGAATGAAACAATCAAATAGTATCTCATGCAAATAGAAGTAAGTGAAAAAATGTCAAGAGATCTAAGAACCAAACAATTTACGCTCAACTACAGGCCCGTTAAAATTATAACGGGTTTTATTCAAACCACTTTCTTGTCCTTCTTACTTTTCTTTTTATTTGGCTTTTCTTTTTTTCCTCGAAATCTTCTAAATATGATCAAATATCCATAAAAAGTGTCATAACCTATTTTGTGGCAAATATCGTATCTAATTACTTAGTTAAGTGAATTAACCGAATTTAGTTTCACTTTAATTTTGCGGTTCTTTTGCAGTTCTTTTTGCAAGTGTATTATAGCCAGAAATCTATAATGCCAAGAGTAATTTATATAGAGTTTTGAAAAAGTAATATTCAGTATATTTATTTGACAACCTAAACATTCTCAATACTAAAATATCAGAATTGAAGAAAAACAACCATATAAAACAATAAACCTAAAAGAAATTTAATTGTAGATTGATCATACCGATAATTACTTCCATTTGTAGATTCCAGTGTTTTTCCAACTTCAAATGATTTCAAATTTTTAAAATCTTTATCAACCAATTCATCAACATCAACTTGTTCAATAATAAAACTAGATAATGTATCAATAGGATAATTTGAAATATTTAAAAAGTTAGTTCTATTTGTAGGATTAAAATTCATTTTAAAAAATTTATTTCTTCTTCTTGGTTTATTTTTACCCCACCAATCATCTTCATCTGAAGAAGAATCAATTCCATCATTATCATCACTTGAACTTATTTCTAATTCAGTATCATGTATTGATTTTTCAACGAAAACACCTGCATTTAATTCCCAACCTTCTGTTTCTTTTTCTTTCTCTATTTTGGTTCCTTGTGCTTTAAAATTGGATTGATTGTTTTTTGATTGGAAATTTAAATTACTAGATGGTTCGTCTTTTTCTATATCTGAACTAATATCAAAAACATTATCTGCTTCATTATCCGACTGAACCAAATTTAAAGCTTGATCACTTTCATATTCATTACTATGATCATAACATGGAATTTCAGTAGATCCAATATCATTAGATACATCACAATGTTTAACTTTTGCTAAAAATATTTTTGAAGAAGGTTGATTTTCTTGATGAAGTTTTGCTGCAATTGATGTCAAATAATCCTCCCATTTTTTTGAAGTTGTAGTAATTGTTGGTGTATTATTTGTACTGATATCATCGTCACCTGTACCTGAATTTAAAACTAATGCATTTGGATCAATTTGTTGATAAAGTTTCTCATTTGATATTACCATTTTCATAAGTAGTAGCAATGATATAATTGATAATCTTGTATACATTGCTTATTTCAAATTAATTTAAAATTGTGTACAAAATTTTTGTGCCTTCAAAATCTCAATAAGTATTTGGTCTTACCTCTTTTTGTTTTTTATTTATTATGCTGCAAAATTTGTCAAAATCTGAGATTTTACAATAGATCGTGAATTTTAACTCTAACTTTATTTTGAAGGCAAATTTATCAAACTTGGGAATTTAATAATTACTAAATAAGCTCACAAAGGTCTCTGGTCACAATTACATTGAGTGAAAATAGTAAAAAATTCGGTATCAAGTAGTTTCATACTAAAATCTGAAACTTTACTTTATAATACACAAAACTTTGTTTTGTGACAACGACTACTTTTTTTGCGACAGTACCTGAATTTTGGAATATTAAATTGGCACAAAATTATTATTAATGTACAGCTTTATTTCAAAAGCAAACTAGATTTACTAACATAAAACCGCAGAAAGAACCTACGTCAAACATGTCGAATCAAAACAATACAAACTCGCGAACTCAAGTACAACAACAAAACATACTACGATTGCGACCAACAAGAGAACCAATCGAAAACGAAAAAGAAGAAGAAGAAGAAGAAGAAGAAGAAGAAATATCATCAAATGAAGAATCATCCATAGAAACATCAACAATACAAGTCCAACCTATATTAAAATCACAATCCAATAAACAGAAAAAAAAGAAACCAAAAGTGAAATGGCAAGAAGATGTTATAGATAATGAACATATGAATAAAAAAAAAACTAAAATATGTTGTATATTCCATCCAAATAGAACATTTGATGAAGAAATTGAGAATGATGAACATAAATGTAATCATTCTAGTTCAGATTCAAGTTCAGATTCTAGTGACGAAAGTGATGTTGATAATAATGATAATAATGGAGATAGTAATGGATTAAATAAAAATGATAATGATGATGTTAAGAGATCAAATGATTCTAAACCTAATGCCTATGAAATACAACCTCATTATGAAAACAAATCTAAATTACCTAAATAACAATTAAGTATATAGTCATTTTTCGTAAATATAAATCATAAATTAATTTGATTATTTTTTGCAAAATTCTACATTTCTACAAAGTTAAGTATTATTTAAAACTAAGTAAATTAATTGTTTATTAAGTAATGTTTATAGACTAGTTAAATTAGTCTGAATATATAAAAGTAATTAAAAGTATGTAACGTAAATGAAATTGAATTATGAATAAAACTTTACAAAACGTTTTGTAAAGTCATAATGTATTAAGTAACATTTGACATGAATGAATGAATGAATGAATGAATGAATGAACGAATGAATGTATGTATGAATGTATTTATGAATGTATGTATGAATGTATGTATAATATCAGAAATGAGTTTATAAATGAATGGTTGTATGCTAAAATGAATGAATAAATATTTGTATAAAATGAATGATTGACTGAATGAATGAATGAGTGAGTGCAAAAAAAAAAAATGTCTATAGTATCCCCTTCTTTCCTTTATCTCTCTGCTGTTATTAAATTTATACCTATATCTATCTTAATTATTATCTGGATTTGTAATTTTTAATTTTCTTGAATAATCAATTTCATCATTAAATGAATTTTTAGAATAATTAGAATTATTATTTAAAAACATTGTCCCAGGATCTAATCTATTTTCTAATTCATCAATTGGAAACATAATTCCACCTAATCCATCATCTGATCCATCTCCACCTGAACCACCTCCAGAACCATTACCAATATCTTTTGAACTATTTCTTCTACTCATTAATTTTTTTCTTGATAAATTTCTATTTATACCTACTCCTCCAGTATTTCCTGGATTTTGATTATGTTGTTTTTCATCTTCATTATGATTATGATTCATAAATAATGAAAATAAAGTTTTACTTGAATTATCTCTTTTTAATGAACTGAAACTTGAATGTTTACTATATGTCATTTGTTGATGTGGATTTGAATTTAAATTTTTTTCATCTAATATATACCCACTTTTATCTCCACTTCCAACACCTCCATAATAACCATGATTGGTTGATGAATTTTCAGAATATTGATTTTCTTCATCTGTATAACCATCATTATCATCTGAATTTGATCTTTTACCGCATGCTCCTCCACAACAACAACAATATAATATAGCTGATACTATACCTAATATTACTACTCCTACTGCTGTACACGTACCTGCTACTTTTCCTTTATCTGAAAAAAACGCACTTTTATTTGTATTTGTGTTGTCAGTGTTGTTACCATTATGTAGTGGATCCAAACTTGAACTTGAATGTGATGATTCAGTTGAAGATGTGAGCGATGAAGATAATGTAGTTGATGCAGCAGCTGCTATTAATGATGATGTTAAATCTGTATTTGAGTTTGATTCTGTGGTTGATATAGACGAAGATAAATTCAATGATGAAGTTGTTGCATTTAAAAGTTGAGTTATGTACATTGTACTTACTTGTTGTGATTGAGTTCCATTCACTGTCATGACTGAATATACAGTGGACGGTTCTACTTTGGTAGTGGTCTGAACTTCAGTTGTTGATGGACTTGACGATGATGATGATGGGCTATTTGAACTTGAGGTTGATGTAGTTGATGGTGTAGGAGTAACTGTAAAATATTCAGTGACTTTTACTATGTTATTTGACAGATGAACTTGAGTTATTTCGGTTGTTTTTGTGACTAATGTCGTTGGAGTGGCTGCTGGTGATGTTGATGTCGTTGTAGGAGTTGAGGATGTACTAGTTGTAGTTGGAGTGGTTGAAGTACTAGATGATGAAGTTGTTGTTGGTGAACTTGATGTAGATTCTTGTACTGTTTCACTTTTAGTTTCATTATCATCATTATTATTTGAATCAACAGTTGCACTTGGTTTTGTAATAACAACATAACCATAATAACCATTCCCACCACAACTTTCTTGATCAGCATAACCAGGACAACCAATATAGCAATTATTTAATGAAACAGTTGATTTTGGAACATCATTTGAACAACCACAATTATATGAACTAACAATAGCTATTGCAAAACCTTTATCTTTACAATAATCATGACAATAACCATTTGAGTTATATTGATAATATATCAAATCCACATCTGATAAACTTTGTTTTGAACAATAACTTAATGATAATCCATTTGAAACATTAATTAATGATAATATTGATATGATTATGAAATAAAAATTTAAAGTTTTAGGTAGCGAATGTATTAAATTTATTGATGCTATAAATTTATGAAACATCTAACATAAAATATTTTGAGTAAGATTGACAATTTTATAAATTAATGATCAATGATTATGAAGATGAGAATGTTGTTGAACGTCTATGAGTATTTGTACAAAATTATGTTGTTTCAATTTAATATGATTTAAAATTTTGATTCACACGTTTATAAGATAATGATGTAATTATTTAAGTTAATTTTTTCCCTTTAAATCTTTTAGATCTTTAATTTGTTAGATCCCAATCTCCGACTGTTGAAAAGTTAAGATCTGATAATATTGAAAAGTATAAAACTTAAACTCTGTGAATTTGAAAATTTTGAATGATGTAATTTTAAATACAAAATTTCCAACAAATTAATGATGAAAGTGAAAGTATCGCAATCTGAACTGAATTAAATTATGATAACGAATAGAATGAAAAGAATGTTAGGAATTAACAATATTGAAAAAATATAAATTATAAAATCGAAAATAATTCAATAAATTGTAGGACTATAAGAAAAAAAAAAGGAAACTGGTAAAATTATATATGCAAAGGAAGAGATATGAAATTTTTAAGGAATATTGAAATTATTGACATGATGTATTAATAATTTATTATTGTTGTTATAATAATAATATCTATTTTATTATTACCATGCATATTTAGGAGTTTTTACAGATTTCTTTATTTTAATAAATTTTATAATTTAAGTAATTTGACATCGAGGGATAAATATTTAAATATCAATTATTAATATTTGATTTAGATTTATAACCAAGAAAGTATGATTACAATTAATCAATTCAGTAAACTAATTGTAAATAAATTAAAGGGTTAAAAATAGATTTGGGGGTTAGTACACAATAATCAAATCTTTGGCCGAGCTATTCATTGATGCACTTTTCTTGATAAACAACCTTCAGATAAGTAACGGAATTTAAAGAAATGAAATACCGCAAAATCTAAGATTACTCTTTTGAAATAATTTACGTAAATAAACTAATCTCTTATACTCTTCTAATATTTGTGTAATTATAAAATCAAAAATCATATTATAATAATTGACACAATCAAAGAAAAGATACAGAAATAATTTCAATATTTAGTAAATTATACATCTCAAATGATACAATCCGAGTTATGATAAAATATTTACAATTTGAGAAAACAAACTAAAACATTTGAGACAAAGTTTATCATTCAATATGATCAATTAATTTTAATTCTCAGATGGTTCTTTAATAACTTTGCTTTTCTCCAGGTAAATCATATTGAGTAATTAATTTGTTTGTTTTGAATTTGAAAAAGTTTAATATAAATTCTATAAATAACTTTTAAATAATAATTTATTATTTAGTTTCAAAAATCAAATATAATTTTTACTTTAAAAGAGGATAGTTCGTTAAGGTGAAAAATCCCTTTAAAAGCAGAATAAGATAACATGTGATGATTTACGATAAAAGCTTTTCAAAGTACAAAGTTATAGTTCATTTAATTGATCCATTTAACTTTTATTTACTTCTTCAAGATGTTTCTAAATCAGTCTATCCTATTCTGTTTTCAAAATTATTACCTACAATTACGAGCAGATTGCTTAAGCGGGTAACTTTTATAGTTGTTTGGTGGTTATAATTGACGAACTTCCCGAGATTGAATAAGTGAGACATCTTTGATGATCATTATATATTATTACTTCAATTTAATATAACTCATATGATAAATGTAAAAGAAGGTAAATGTTTTATAAAATGTCAAAATATATTTTTATTGTAATTCGTTTGTGTGATTATTCTTACTCGAAATGAAAAAGAAAAAAAAACGTTTCACAAAAAAGTAAACTTAACTTTAAACTTTATTATTTTTGTATCTTTTACTACAAACAAAGTAATTGTTAGTAAAATTTTTTATGTTGCGGAGTTCCTGCTTTAGTTTACAGATTAAATTTGTGATTAGCCACAAGATTAAATTATTTTTACTTTTTGAAACAGTTGTAATTTATTAAGAAGAAGTTGAAATCAAACGATGATAAACTTAATTCTTTTGATAGTGTGATAGTTAATACAATGCATATAAATAATTATAAAGAAGAAATTAATTTAGTAAACATATTCTAACTGAGACAACAATTAAAAAGAAAAAAGAAAAAAAACTATACAGAAAGCAAGTTCAGTAGAAATAGTAAATATAAATTTTATACGCAATTATAAGAGTTCATCGTATATTTCATCTTAACTTTCAAAGTTTTCCATGCATACTTTTATAATTTAAAAGAGTAATATAATAAACTAATATAGCAAATTAATTCTTAGTTTTATTTTAGTTTGTAGATTTTGTAAAAACACACAAAGATCAAAACTTTTTTCATTGATGTAAACACTTAAACAGAACAAGGAAAGGCTAACAAAGAAAGGCTAACTTTGAATCAGTGATTCATTACTTTATAAGTAAAATGCATAGGCTATGTCGGAAACAGTTACTAAAGTGATGTTGAAACTTTCTAAATTTGGTTAACTTGTTTCTACATTCGATGAATCATGTTTACAATTGACAAATCTCTCCATATAAGTTGGGATGGAACGGATAGTAAAAAAAAAGTATTTGTTTTTTTAATTCAACTATAAACAATACTTTCCACGAGATAAATGAATCAATCACAAAACCAGTAAGTGCTCATAATTTATATAAGAAACTATAAACAAATATAACAACCCCTTGTACATAATCTACTATTTTCGTTTTTAGTGTTAATGCATAAGGAGGAATTTTCCGAATTATCAAAAAATATAAGTTTGCTTATACTGAAAGTAAAAAAGTTTAAACTCTACATACCCTTTATTTGAAATACTCAAACAGGTAAATCAAGTTACTTAAAGTTATGTTTCAATTATAAAAACGGTTTCTTTGAAATTCTAACTTATTCTATGCATTTCCATTTACATAATCTTAAATGTCTCACAATTTTTTGTTTATCCCCTCCTCTTGCTTTCTCGAGAAAATGGTTAAATCGGCTGATATTTATTTTTTCAATACCGATGTAGAAGTTTGTTTTCCTATTTTAGTTTTTGAAACAAATCGGCTACTTCACTTTTTTCATCTGTTGTGATTCTACATAGCGAAAGCCCCCTCGCTAAAAAAAATAGAGCACTTTCCAGAAATTAAGAAAGTGATCCTTAACAGTAGAAACTTAAGCGGGTCATAGTGCAATCCATGTATAGCGATAGTTTCTCGACTTCAATTTCAATAATCTGCGTTAATTCAAACAAGCTAAGTCCTACTGCTTTTTCCCCAATCAAGAGATTGGCAATGTCAATTGAGCAACAAAATGTTGATGTAGATCTGTATTAAATTCAAAGACGTCATATAATATTTTAAGGAGTATAAAAATCAAATGAAATCTTGATTTACATGTGATTCATTGCTCACGACAAATTAATCAGCTATATTTTGAGTAGAAGCTATTATATGTATATAGCAAACAAGTCAATTTCTGAGTTTGGAGAAGGTACTCTTTGAGTATTACAGTTTCACATTTAGGCGGTATTCCTCACATCAGAAATTTTTGATTGACCAAATTTCATCGCAAACTTGAAAAAAATTTAAGTTTTGAGGTATTCATGCAACTAATCTCCTCTGAAAAATTTAAAACGTTTAAAATAAGCACATTAGTAAACTAGTAAGTAGCTCATGCAGGAGATAACAGATGTCTATAAACTGATCTATTCGATATGTAATTAATTTATGGGGTATCTGTACTATTTATACATTATCTATACAAACTACATTCATTTAAAATACGTTCAACATATTTATTTATTCCAATTTTTGAAATTTCTATATTTTGTCTTTTTTGAGATATACTTGATTTGGATTTAATCTTATTTACAATTAATTTTAATTCCTTTTGAGGTATTGTATGTTTTATATTGGTTTCTTGATCTTGATTCATAAAAATATCTTCTGCTTTTGATGACATTTGTGTTTTAAGTTCATTCCATTTTGTGAGTTCTTTTGATGTGAATGGAATCCATGGATCTACTAGATTCGAGTTTGTGATTTTTGAGTTGACATATTCAATTGATGCTTGTAATTTGATTAATTTATCTTTCGTTTGTCTTGCTATAATTTTATAGTTTTCAGGAATTGTCTGAGCAACAGAATCGTCATTTTCATATTGTATTACGGTCGTTGGTATATTTAATGAGGTTGTTGCATCATGAATCAATCCACGGACTATAAATAAAAGTTGTTTGAGGATTTTAATGTTCTTATTTTCATCTAGTAGTTGTTTGATTAATAAGGTATAAATTTGTAGTAGTTTTGGTGGTGAATTTGAATTCGAGTATTTACAATATTGATGAAACATTGGAGCAGATTTGAAATTTAGTGAACCATCGTTTTTAATACCTTGTAGAAAAAATTTCAAGCCATAATCATCCTCTATAACTGATGATACATCTCCATTCTTCGCTTTGTGAAAAATTATCTTATTTTTAATCAATTCATCATTTTGCCAATTTTTATAATTTAAATCATTTTCAATGAAAAATATAACTTCTCTAGTATCTTTCGTAATGTTCATAAAATCATCTAATATTCGAATAATTAAAGATCTTGTAATAGGTAGTTTCGAATTCTGAATAGTTTCTAAATACAATTCCTTTAAATGTAAATTCCCAATGGTATCGTAAATTTTTGTCCATGTATCTAAATTTATATCTATTCCTAACAGTTGACTTAATTTTAAGTATTTCATCACAAGTTTAAAACTATTTGAATTTGATCTTATCTTGGAATGTTTTGATGCAATTTTCAAAAGGTTATTTATTGTTTCTTCGTTGATTAAATGACCTTCTTTATTCATCACTAGTAACAATTCTCTGGCAAACAAACTTTGATTCTTATCATATCCGAAGTATTTTATTAAATAATTGAAAGTTGTAGTTGACCTATATGGTTTGAATTTTTCATTATCTAATTTGTGAGTGAATAGTAGAATTTTGGGTATAATTCCAGATTTTAAACTTGATGAGTTCAAATAGTGATACCTTTTATGAGTCAAATTATATATGTATGATTCAAAATTCTCGACAGTCAATGGAGTTGGTAATGCTGGAATTTCATGAAAACAATCCGTATTTTGCTGATGTTTTAGATTTTTCTGTTGTTCTTGATTAATAATGTGTTGATTGTATGTTACATTGTTTATATTCTTTAAATGAACAGGAGTTATTTCCACTAGAAATTTTAATAGTTTTTGAAATAGTAACCTATTCTCCATGTATATTTCTACTTGAACATTTAAATTTTTTGAATTTTGTTTTTGCCAATTCGAAGTTGCATTTGATGTGTCATAGTCTTTCTTGTCGGTGTCAAAACTTTTCAAATTTTCCAAATTCAAAGGTTTTAAAAATTCTTGAAAAAGTTTTGTAGTAGATTTATGGTTTTTAAATTCATTTTTGGGTATATGAGTCGATTTTAGATATTTGAATTTTGGTGGTTGTGGAGTAGTATTATGCTGATTTTCTGTGCTTGAAGATGGTTGATGTTTGGGTAGGTTCTGCCGTATTGATTCTATCAGTTTAACAGTTCTACCTAATCTTGAGATCGTTTCCTTTATAGATATCATATCATTGTTAATAATGTCAATTAATGGTTGTAAAACTTGTAGATAATGTTTTAAATATAAGATAAAAAGTTATTCTGAAAAAAAAAAATAATATTGAAACATCACATCACTTCAAAACCATCAATCATCACTAACCGACAATGGCAACAAGAGAAGGTTTCACAATCCCAGCATCTATATCACATGCAGCATCAGGTCAAGTGACAAGTAAATCCCTTGGTGTGAAATATAATTGTGCACAATGTGCTGCTTCTTTTTCATTAAGTAAAAATGATGCTATTAGATGTAAAGAATGTGGTCATCGTGTTATTTATAAAGCAAGAACTAAAAGAATGGTACAATTTGAAGCAAGATGAATTAATAGAGTTTGTAAGAGGAGATAGAATACAGCTTTAAAAAGTAGAGTTTTACATTAGTTCAGTTCAAGTGGTTTGCCATTAGGTTCATATTTAATTTATGTACATTATGTAAATATACAAAGGTTATTTGAAAAAAAATTATATTGAGAATTCATTCCTACTTAATATTAGCTAATGGAACTATAGATGGTCTGCCATGAGCACATTGAAATGGTAGTTTACATTTACTTAAATTTTCAATTAATAAATTCATCTCTTCAAAATTTAATTCATCACCAAACATAATTGCAGAACGACAAGCTTTTGAATTTGTTAATTCCATTATAATTCTTGGGACATTATTGAAAGCTAAGAACCAATCATTTAAATCTAGCTTGTTTAACTTTAAATTATTTTGTAAATCATAACAGTGTTGTAATATTATATTCTTTGAAAATTCCCAATCTTCTACACATTTGTTAATCAATATCTCAGGGAGGTAGGTGATGTAATATTTCAGATCAGCATCTAAGTAATAAACGATACCAAAAAGTTTGAAATTGTCCTTGTATTGTTCAAGTAAGAAATTTTCATTTTTTGTAACATTAACCGGAATTGGTGTAGCTAATCTCAAACTTGGTTTTTCCAAAGTAGTAATATATTCTTTCATCAATGTTTCAACTTTTACCCTTTCATCACTTGCATGTTGATCTAACACCACCAATTTATTATCTAACAATAAAAGAATAAATTTTTTATCAATCTGATTAATCACTCGATAATTACCAATCTTAAAATCTTCAAGTTTTGCATTTTGATCTTGATGATGATCTTGATCATGACAATTGCATATATTTATTGGTGGAAACGGAGTTGATTTCAATTGTGGTGGAGTAACTTTTGATTCATGTATGCTTAGCAAACCTTCGATTTCCTTCCTCTTTGTAGTACCAAATCTGGCATTAGTTGATAATAAAAATTGATCAGTTTTAGATTTCTTGATTGGCAGCAAAACCAATTCTTCGGTCAGTTTTCTTTTTTCACCAATGGTTACAAATTTCTTAAATATTTTGGTTAAAATATGAACAATAATTTCCCAAGAATAAGAATGACTTGTAATTTCTGACTTATCACATGTAATGTAAATAAGAAATACAGGAAATTTATGATATGGTTTCCCAGTTGATTTGGTTGGAGTGACAACGTCTGTAAAGTCGTTGAACACCTCATTGAATGTATTAGAAACTTCTTTCTCTGTTGTGACCAATAGTCCATTAATGAAAATGTATTGATGACTTTTGGAATTTATAGGATTTAACCCAATTATTCCATCAAATTTGTAATTCTTGAAGTCAGCTTTAATGGTTTTAAAATCATCTAAATCATATATGTCACTCATTAATTTTCTGAAACTTCTTTCTTTTAAATTAATAACAAATTGTACTTCAAATGAAAATCGTTGTTGATTGTATAATGAAAAAGATACTAAGACATATTTGGCTTTAATTAATGATTGTAAAAATGATAATTTGACACTATTCAAAATTCTATAAGTTGATGTGGAACTAAGCTGCTCTTTCCTTACTGGTAGATTGTCAAAAATATTACTAACAAAATAAATTGTTCCATGTTTCTCAAATGAGGCAGGTTTGAAGTAATTATTATCTAAAGTTTTTATATCATATAATTGTGCATGTGAACCAATTAAAGTATATGGGCACTTATACTCTGATGACTTGGATATAATTGAAACAGTTGATATTGACTTAAACAATATTTCTTGATTTTCTAATTGTTCTGGAGTGTAGCCATCTCCATCATCTTGTAAAAAAACTGATAATGATGATAAATCTAATTTTATATTAATATTACGTGAATTTGATTTAAGACTTAATTTTAATAATTCCTCGATGACAGAAGTAATTGAATTAAAATCCAAATGATATTTTAGCTGATTAATTGTTTCATCGTCTAACTTTCTCAATTTGTTCATATACTGTTTTGAGAAAAAGGTGTTTCATGTATCTAAGAATTATACTATTTTAATACGCAAATTCTTACAAATATATTAAGAGAAAAGTTTCAAAAATTTAATTTATACTTTAAAAATTCAATAAATATACATATCATACAAGTTACTAACCAATTAATAATCAAAATTTTTCCAATTCTCTCATCCAATTTCCAATCATTCTTAGGTATTAATATACATAATACAATCATATTCCAAAATATTGCTATAACTCCAACAAATAAAATACTTGATAAGTCCAATATATGACTTCCACCTACAATAATTCCACTGAATCCAAATGAACAAAGAGCTAATAAAGGACCACCGAAACATGCAGCAAATGCCATAATTGGAAATCCTAATTTAGCCATTGTATAATTTGTGATGAAATCTCCAATTGAATTTCCTAGTGCAAATAATGTTATACCTAATAAATCATCACTTAGATTATAAACTGTTGATATTACTCGAAGAATGCTAATGATCTCGGTCGCAATTAACGAAATGTATGTGATTGATATTATAGTACCAAATATTGTTTTAAAATAATTTATTGCATCAGGCTTAAGTCGATTTAGTTTATAAATTATGAAAGTAAATGGAACACTTAATGCAGCAAATATGATTTTTAAAGTCCAAGATAAGTTAAAACTAAAGATGAAAATGTTGGTCCCAAGAAATGTTTGTGCAATTAAAAGTTTGTCAATTTCTTCGGCAACAGGGACTGTCAATTTCAACAAAATTGAGATTGGAAGTAGTATAAGTAATATTATTTTTCTTGGAATTGAAGTTTCTTCAAGTAATTGTGGACAAAATACTTTCAAAAATTTATTAGAGTCGTTATCATTGAATTCCGCCTCATTTGTCTCTAATTGGATTGGTCCCACCAAATTTGAATGACTTGATAAATCTTTTATTAATTTATTAATTCCATATGTCCCACTTTCTATTTCATAATCATGATGAAATTCAATATCTTCAATTGTAGGTAAATGAGAAGTTTCATCATGATATATTTCATCTTCTAAATTTTCAAATATCCCTCTAGATCTTCGATCTCTTAAAATTGCAGCCATTCTTGATTTTTTTCTATAATGTCCTATAATTGCAATTGATACATAAATTGAATATAAAGATATTAAAACTGTACAAGCAATCCAATTTAAACTTCTTGATAATAATGCATATGTTATAATGGCATACACTAAAATGTACATTAAAACATCTTTCCCAAATAAATATTGAGGTACTTCAAATGGTTTTATAATTCCAATGCATCCAATTACACACGTTGAAACGAAAAAAGAAGCACCAATTAATTCAGCTAAAGCCAAATTAGTTTCTCTCATTTTCATAGCTTCATAAGTACTAAAAATATCTGGGGCACTATTTCCAAATGCTAATATAGTTAACCCCGCTAAATTATCCGGTATTTTCAAAAATGACTTTGAAATTGTATGAAGATTTGGACATAAGTATTCCAGTGCAGTCATTCCTAATGCCATGAAAAATAATGCTAGACATAATAAAAAGGGAATAATAGTTGATTGAGTACAATAAAATAATTCATAATAATTGATTAAACTCTCATTTTGACAATTGTCTTTAATGAATTGACATTGATTAGTTTGATTATTAACTTGGGAACAATTATTTGCTAATGACAAATTGATTAATAATGAAATTGCAATGATCAACTGCATTAAACAAGGTAACTAATGTGGCATGTAGATATAGTTTTTGGTAGTAAGAATATAGAATTAGAATTAAATGTTCGTAATGTTTTTTTTTTTCTTGTTAAAATTAGATTTGGTCTTCAAGTACAAAAAATGATACATGTAAAGAGGTAAGAAGCTAATTTATGTAATGACCCAAAGAAATGTACCGTTGATCCTTGCACCATCTCCCATACGGACGCACGAAGGCAAAATCCTTAGAAATGAAATAAAATTCATTCAACACATGAGATGCTGCACCCAAGATCAATTGTAGTTTTATTCTCCAGTCCATCACAAAAAAATTGAAACCTCCGAAAAAGTTACAATTCTACAACAATATTCATATTGGTCATGGGTCAAGAATGCCATAATGGATTCAACCTCAAAAGAATGCTTTAACATTGTGGATGGCTGTGAATTTTGCGTTAAAGAAGAAAAAGAAGTAAGAAAGTTTGTAAAGAAAATTTTTAGTGAAGAAAAATTTATTGTAATCAAAAAATTCTACTAGAGATGTGGTAGCTCTCTTCTCATTTCGTAATGTATATGATAACCATCGAAGAAGTAACAAATATAGAGTGCAAAATTAAAAGACTGGAAAGGATCCACAAATATTTTGAAATTGCAGGATAAAAATGGCCTCGACAATAAACAAGCTCCCTAAATTGTGCATAAAATTTAAATTTTTCATGTTTATTAGTTTCAATTATTTACAAGATATAACATAATAGTCTATTTTTCCACCCAAACATCCGAAATCTGTCAAATTTATTCCTCAATTTTGGCTAATATCTCTTTATCAGTAAATAATAAATATTCTTCTTCTCCAACTTTAATTGGGTTTCCTCCATAAGCTGGTAATAAAACTTTATCTCCTGCTTGAACTGAAACTGGAATAACTTCACCAGTAGTTGTGTTGGTCATACCTGGACCAACAGATATAACTGTAGCTTGATTGAGTTTTTCTTGATTTTTTTCTGGTATATAAAGACCACTTGCAGTTTTTGAAGCTGGCTTTAATCTTTGTACTAAAACTCTATCAAATAATGGTTTCAAAGCTTGTGCTGATCTTAAAAGTGATGACTAAAAATAGTTAGTGAATGATTCTTAGATATTGATTAATTCATTTTTTAAAACATACCATTTCTTTATTTAATTGGATCCAAGTGATATTGATATTTAAATGATACTTCCGATCCAAATTTTTTCACAGAAATTTATGGAATAAAATATTTGAGAATCAATTGGTAGTGTATTTACCAGAAATCATTTATTTTTTACATATACGGTCCATTACTAATTTAAATATCTATCTAATGGTTCACCTAGTACTTTTTCAATTCCACGTACTAAACCTTCTCTAACTTCTAATTCAACAGCTTCATCATCGTCTTCTAATAATTCAGCAATATGTGGTACTAAAGTTGGTAAATATGGTAACCACAGTTCACCCATTTTTTGGAATATGGATTTTAATGTTTTTATAGTCCAAATTTTAGTTCTTGATGAATTTTCTCTATCATAAGATACATATTTCATTAATGCCTTTAAGATGATTTCATTATACTCATTTGATGATACATCTGAAACTAATGATGTGATTGCTTTAACTAAATATTTTCCAATTGAATCCTCGATAGTAGCTAATTGTGAAATTAATGGTTGACAAATGCTATCAAATCTACCTTGTTGTGACCAGTATTCATCTTGATCATAATTGAATGATGATGAAAGTGAGATTAATATGATTCTACGAAGACTAATATCTCCATATGCATTTTCTTTTAGAGCTGTAGTAGTAGCATCAATTAAATATGAATAATATGAGGTGACAATACTTTTCAATTGTTCTTGTAATCTATTAAAGAATCGATAAAATGATAATAATCTTGAAGTCAATTTAATTTCAATTGAACTTCCTTCTCCAGTTGTTGCCCAACGAACCAAATTTGCAAATAATGGACGGAAACTTTTATCATTTAACTTCATAACATATGAAATTGCACATGAATGAACTGAGCTTTCAATTCTACCAATTGCGTTTTGATCAAATTTTGTCTCGTGTCTGAATTCAAATGCACTAATCAACCATTTCATAAACATGGAAGCTTGTTGAGTGGCTTCCTTTTTATCTAATTTATCAATTGCTAATTGCATAGTATTCAAGTATAATCCAACATTACCAGCATTTGCATAAATCTTTGTCCAAATATTACAAAGGGATTTCAAAACCATTCCAGCATCCATATGATCAATAACTAATTTTAATACTGAAGATTTTATTTCGGTATCACTGTTTAAAATTGTGACTAAAATTGAATCCAATGTTGTGACCATGAATGCTGGCATTTTTTTAATGTAAGTTGATAATAAAAGTAAAATTGATTCTTGAGTTAATCTGTCCGCATTTTCCCAAATTTTAAGAGCTGGTGGAATAATTTTTGGAAAAAACCCAAGAGTTTTAACTCCATAAGTATTGACGATGCTAATGATTGCACTAATTGCCGATATAACGACTTCAACTTGATCACTTAATAATCCGCATTCTGATGTCAAAACATTCAAAGAATCCATTGGAGCTTCTCCAAATTTATGAGATACAATTGCAAATGTATTCAAATAAGCTTGTTGTAATTCAGGATCAACATTTCTTTTTATACCATCCATTAAAACGTCTAATAACTTTTCGACAGTATCTTTCAGTATCAAGTTTGAGCTGATTTCTTCAAATTTTCTTGCTGCAAGTATAGCATAGTTTTTGGCAACACTAATTGAGGTATTGTCACTTAATTTATCAACATCTAAGAAATCAATAACCGAATCAACAAAATTTGATAAAGGTAACAAATTTAATAAATTACTCAATATTTCATATAATTCATTAGATATTTCAGTATTTTTAGCAAATGCTTCAAGTTCACTTAAAGCAAAGGAAGTAAGCTCTCTAAAATCTTCAATTACTGTATTGTTTTCTTCTAATGAAATAGCAACTTTGCTTCTGAGTGAAGATGCATCATAAGTCGAATCTAAACTTAAAATTGTATTTAAATAATCTAAAATTGAACGTCTTGAATCCAAAAGCTGTTCATTAGTCAAACTAACAATTGAGTTACCAAATATTGGTCTAGCTTTCAATGACTCATATTCGGCAGAATTGACTTCCAAATGTGTTGGTAACTCTTTAATTAATTTTGTAAAATTGACAAATCCAGTTAATTGATCTTGAGCAGAAAATGATCTTAAATAAAGTTCAACAAAATCAATGACAGTTTCTAATTTTTTAAATGCTAGTAAAAATAAAATTATATGCATTGAATTGGCACAACCTAAAGTTTCAGTCAATGCAACAAAAATTTTAACTCTACGATGTTTTGGAATATGTTGAAAAGCAGCAGTAAAACTTGCTAGTAAAAATTCAACTTCTGTACTTATTGATTCAGAATTTTTAGCCAATGCTGGAATAACCTTAGCTACAGTTTGTTGCAATGCATTGTTGGAAAATTCATCATCTTGTCTAATTGTATGAGCACCCATGAATGTGAAAATTGGCATAACCGAATGTAAAATGATTTCTGGAGCTAACAAAGCTAATTCAGATATGACCAATAATAATTTATTTTGAATTTGTGGTGATGTACTTGTTCTTATTGAATTAACAATTAAGTCAGCCCTTATTGAGTTTGAGTCAAATTTTTGATTTCCATTCTTCATTTCATTAATACTTAACAACATACAAGTAGCTAATAATTCTTGAGTGTATAGAACAGGTAAATTACCATCATTTCCTAAGTAATCTAAATCTGTCAAAATTTTGAATAATACTTTAAGTAATTTTGGATGAGCAATTTGTGGGTTTCTTCTTAAGTTGGTTTCCAAAATTTCTAGCAAAACAGCTAATTTTCTTATATGTGATAAAGCTAATGTATTCATATCCTCTTTTGCCATTGCTTGTCTAGTTGAATTTGATGATCTTCTTCTTCTTTTAACAACACCTTGTTCTGGCATTTCCCCTATTTGAACATTATTTAAAGCTTGTAAAAATAATTCAAAATTCAAATCTAACAGTTGTAATGTAGCCATAGGATCAAAACTGACAAATTCATCGTTTATTAATAATTCAATAAGCTTGTTCACCAATAATAGTTGAGTTTCAACAGATGTAAAAAATTGAAAAACTCGCAAAATTCTGTTGTCAACGTCAATTGCAATTTGAGATTCCAACCCTTTACGTAACCATTCAGCATCTTTATTGGATTGCTCAGCATCAGCTTTACCACCAACAAGGTCAACGATGGATTTATCAACTGAAGCTATACTTATGCCAGCAGGTTTGGCTTGTGCTTCCCAATTGGATCTTGCACCAAAATAATTTGCAACGTCATCCCAAAAGAAAGCCCTTTCCTCGATTGCTGTCCACGCTTTAATTTTAAATACTAAAGGTAAAGGAAGTGCCCACTGTGAAACAATGAAAGTTTTATATGATTGACCTAACTTTTTCTTACCTACTTTGATTTGAAATATACTTGACAACAATGTACTCCATTGATTCTGATCAAATATGACATCATCTAATTTAATTGTGTTTAATAATGTTAAAGCATCTTGTGGAGAAATGAGTTTCTTTTCTGTTGAACCGTAGATTTGATCTTCCATGAAAAACTCGGTTTTGGCTTTTTTGTCAGAATGAATTGATTTGGTGATGTCAGTGATGGTCTTAATTATTTGGGATATGACCATACGTATACTTTTTGATTCATCTTTAAGTCCTAATAAAAGTAATGGAATTAATAAATAATAATCAGTCTTACCATCAGAATTTTCTTTAATTTTTATTTTAATCAATTTGAGTGAACTAATTCTAACAATTAAAGGAATTGATGGAGTGAGTGCAACACGAATGAAAAATGAAATGGCTGTTTCTAATGAACTAAATCTTTTATGTGCAAGTAATGACATAGCTGCAATACTACCTTTGGATAATGAACAAAATTTAATTAATGAGGCAGATAAATTGTAAAAATCCTTATCCTTTGATAAATATGTTGGTGAAATAGATTGTAAAAATTCAAATTTTTCCAAATCTTTTTCTTCGACTTCTTCTGATACTTCTACTAAGTCTTCGATATCATTATTGGCTTCGGCTATAGTAGTTTGAAGTTTCAATTCTAAATCACTTACACTTGTATTATACTTTTTCAAAATATCTGCGAACAAGGTACTTTTAGATAACTGTTTCACAATGTCTGCAAATGCTGCATCTGCATTATGATTTAAATATTCAATCGTTGAATTTGCAACGGCGTTGTAAGTTGGCTCGTTGTTTAAATTCACAAATTGTATCAATTCTGGATTTGGTTTCTCCTCGTATAACTTGCAAACAAATTTGTCTAACTTAAAGTTAGAATCATTTAATTCCTGTAATGTATCAACCAATTGAGAATTGATGTTTAATTGTTTTAAAAAGTCCACATTTGCTTCGTCACTATTGTAGAACTGAATTAATAATGTAATTGTGGGTTTGTATAAAGTCAAGTCTTGTAGTAATAATTCAATTAAAGAATTGATTATTTCAGCTCTCAATGGTGCAACTGATGAAAGAACTGAAAGAATTGAATATGCTGTTAATTTAATCTCCGTTGTTGAGTAGTAAGCACCTTCCAGTTGAGACAATAATAATTGAACAATGTTTAAAATATCGGGTATTAAATCATTTATTTTTTTCAGTGCTGCCAAAATTTGGATAGTTACCGATAAATAAAACACTAATTGTTCTTTATAAATTGTATGATTTTGTATTTGATCGTTCAAGAAGGATGTATAAAATTTGAATAATGCATCATCTCCAAAAAAGACCTTGAAAATTGATTGTGAAGTTGGATTTTTCATTTGATCTTTAAAATTTGTCAACCATCCAAAAATGTTAGGAATGCTTTGCTTAGGAATTACGTTCAATATTTTTAAAAAAACTGGTTCTTGATAATATGGCAATGATGTTAAAATTAAATACTCTGCATTGTGGATGTTGGCTTGAAACCTTCTGACTAACCATTCACTGGCTACTAAAGCACAATTGAATTTATAATATGGTCCAAGTAACGTGAAAAAAGCATTTATATTTGTATTCAATTGTTTAATTGTATCTTCAGTTTGAACATTCCTGTCAAAATTGACAGAATCAATTGTAAATAAAGATGATTTAAATTTGTTGAATCTTGAATCTAATGCTGATAATTCTTCTAATCCTTCTAGTGCTATTTCATAAATATAATCATAATCTTGAGTTGATGCAATTTTGGGATCAAAAATTAATGAACGTGAATGTAGCTTTGACCTTTGTTGTCTATTCAAGGCTATAGACGACGTTTTCTCGTTAATTTGTTTAAGCTGAGAAGCTAAACTTGACATTTTGAGGTCTTGACGTTGTTGTAATAAATGAGATTATATACTTGTTTACTAGTGTAGAATTTAATCTTCTACTCTCTCTATTCATCTCTCATAAAAAAAAAATTGAGATGTGTTTCAGATTTTGTGTAACTTGTGTATTTTACTCGAACTCTCGAGTGTAGAATCTATTATATAAATTGAATTATCAACCCGTTCATACAATCATTTAGCGAACCAACAAAGCCAGTAGGTAAAGAGAAAATCATGATACGTTTTCAAAAAATTATGAACATGTATTAAAAAAATAAATTGTTACTTACTAAAGTAACTTCCCTAATAAAGATTTAGAAAGTTAAATCATAATTGAACTAAAATTAGTAAAAGCATTGCTGAGAAGATTCCAAATGTAGAAGTATAAACCTTGTTTGAGCCTCCTTTGTAAACTTCATCAACGCCTGATTGTGTGAAAACAGGATTACTCGATGAATTTGAGTCGGTGTGTTCAAAATCTATTCCTTGTAAACTAGCTGAAGACGATGTAGATGGTGAAGGTATAATAGACGTTGACGATGTAGATTTAATTGATGAAAAGTCTGATGATGATAACGAGGATGTAGATTTTGTGAGTATAATTCTACTTGGTCTGAATGAGCTATCGCTTGATGGTTGAGACTGGAAATCGAAATTTTGTAAACTCTGCAAGTTTGCATTTTTTGACAAAGATGCTGTTGATTGAGGAGCAATTGAAGTCTCTGATTTAAATTGATTCAACACGGAATTCGAAGTAGCTTCTGTTAAATCTATACTTGATGAATTGCCATGAGCAATTGTCAGTGGCGAGATAGAAGGCACTTGAGATTCAACTTCTTCATTTGATATACTTATTGTTTCAGCAGTAATTGGTTTTGTAGCAGCATTGACTGTTGAAGTTGCAATTGTAATAAAGCGAGTAGATGGCTCTTCGAAATCTGTCTTTTCCGTAGCAAAATGTTCTGATTTTGGAAGCGATTCATCTGCAACTTGAAACTGGCCGTACTCAAATTCGTCAGTGGCAAATGATTCTAATACAGTATATGGTAAATCACTACTAACATATTCCTTTTCAACAAATTTGTCTTCTGAGGTTGCTAAAGCTAAAACTGAAGTCATGTTAATAAAGACCTCCTCTGTTGCGAGCTGGTTCCTTTCATATTTTACTTCGTTTGCTGCTAATGATGTGGAAATGTTATTTGCTTCATCAATGGGTTGTGATACTCCAGAAATCGCTTCTTGAGTATTCAAACTTGATGTCGCGGTCGGAGTTTCTTCTTCTGCATTCGTAGGCTCTTTACCAACGTTTTGCTCTTCTTCTTCTATAATATTTGTAGACGCTACGTCTATAGGTATAGATGAATTTTCGGTATAATGTCCTTCTTCTGTTGACGGTTCTTCAAGATTATACGAATTGTCATAATCAGTGTCTAATTCTTCAACAATTTGTTCTTTTTCAGTATTTTTTGTTGAATTTTCAATATTTTGTACTTCTTCTGTGCTTGTAGATGTGTCTTCAACATTTTGAGCTTCTTCTGTATTAGTTGATGATTCGTCAGTATTTTGTTCAATCTCGTGATTTGCAAGAAGCTCTTTAGTACTTTGTTTTTCTTTTATTGTAGAGACTTCTTCAATGGTTTGTACTTCTTCTGTCTCCCTGCCTAAGTCTTCAACATTGGGTTCTTTTTCTTCATTTGTGAATGAGCTCTCAACGTTTGATTCAGCTTCTTCAATTGTAGATGACTCTCCAGCAATTTGCTCCTTTTCTTCAGGTGAGTCTCCAACATTCTGAGAATCTTCTGTACTTTTAGGGGAGTCTTCAACATCTTCTTCATTGCTAGATGATTGATCAAAAATCTCTCCTTCTTCCATAATCGTAAATGAGTCTTCAGTATTTTGTCCTTCTTCCGCACTTATAGATGAGTCTTCTGTAGTTTTAGATTCCTCAATGGTAGATGATTGATCAAAAATATCTCCTTCTACTGCATCATTAGTTGAACCCTCAACATTTTCAGTTTCTTCTTCATTTGCAGCATCTATGTTCTCAGATGAGTCTCCAGCATTATGTTCTTCTTCTGATTTAGCAAATAAGTCTTCAGTATTTTGAGCTTCTTCATTGATTGATGATTGATAGAATATCTCTCCTTCTTTCGTGTTCGTAAATGAGCCTTCGATATTTTGAGTTCCTTCTTCATCTGTAGCCTCTAAAACTGTAGCTAAATCACCAACATACAGTTCTCCTTCTGTACTTTTAGATGAGTCTCCAACATTTTGTCCTTGTTCCGTATTTATAGATGAGTCTTCAGTAATTTCAAGTTCTTCGATTATAGTACTTGAATCTTCAGTATTTTGTGCTTCGTCGGGGATTGAAGTTTCAACACTCTGATCATTTCCTGTATTCGTAGGTAACTTTTCAACACTTTCTCCTTCTTCTGTATCTGTAGATGAGTTTAAAGATGAGCCCTGATTATTTTGAGCGTCTTCAGTATTTGTAGATGAGTCTTCAACATTTTGAGCTTTTTCTGTTTTTATCGATAAGTCTTCAATATCATCAGGTTCATCAGTGATTGTACTTGAGTCTTGCATGTTTTGAGTTTCTTCGGTAGATGAATTCACAACACTCTCATCACTTCCCGTATTTGTAGATAATTCTCCAACATTTTGTTCCACTTCTGTATTTGTACTTGAATCCTCAATAGCTTGAGCTTTTTCAGTGTTAATGGTTGGGTCTTCAACATTTTGGGCTCCTTCAGTATTTGTAGTTGAGTCTTCGGTATTTTGCGCTTGTTCTATGTTTGTAGATACATCTTCGACATTTTGTTCTTCCATAGTATTGGCAGATGAGATCGAAGATGATTCTTCTTGAGCTTCTTGGTTAGATGAATTTATAACATTTTGTTCTTCTTCTGAGTATGTAGATGATTTGTCAACATTTTCTTCTTCTTCAGTATTTGTAAATAATTCTCCAAGATTTTGAACTTCTTCACTTGTTGATGAGCCTGCGACATTTTGTACGTCTCCTGAATTGTTAGATGACTCGTCAATATTTTCTTTTTCTTCTGCATTTGTAAGTGAGTCTGTATTTGTAGATTTCTCTTCGGAATTTTGTACCGGTTCTGTGTTCGTGGATGACTCTTCAATCTTCTGTTCTTTATCTGTGGCTGTAGATACCGATTCAATACTCTGCTCGTCTTCTGTATCTATAAATAAATGTTCAACGTCTTGTTCTTCTTCTTCTCCATTTGTAGTGAAGTCTCCAACATTTTGATCTTCTTCAATATTAGTAAATGACTCTTCAGCATGTTCTCCTACTTCCGTTCTTGTAGATGAGTTTGAAGATGAGTCTTCAGCATTTTGAACTTCCTCAAAATCTGTAGCTGAGTCTCCTTGAATTGTAGTTGATTCTATATCTTGTACTTCTTCAGTAATTGTAGCTAAATTTTGTTTTTTTGAAGATGATTCTTCAACGTTCACCTCGGTGTTGTCCCCTTCGTCGTAATAAATTGCTTCAGTTGTAAAAATTGCTTCAGTTGTAAAATCTGCTTCAGTTGTAAAAATTGCTTCAGTTGTAAAAATTGCTTCAATATTTAAAATTGCTTCAGTATTTAAAATTGCTTCAGTATTTAAAATTGCTTCAGTATTTAAAATTGCTACACTAGTGGATGGCCCTTTGGTATTAATGGAACCTTCTTCTTTAGTACTTTCTTCTGTAGTAGTTTCTAAAGTTTCAATCGTCACTGTATCAGTTTGTTCTGCCTCTATAATTTCTTCATTAATTAGAGATGAACTTGAAGTTGAGACTGATTCTTGAGCAAAATTTTCTTCTTCATAAGATTCTTCCTCAGTTGTATATGACTCGGAAGATGCAATTGGCACAGCGGGACCATATTCTGCTTCGTAAATATTTTCTTCAGTCGAGTATGAAAATAAAGTTGTAATTGATCCCAGATCTTGTTGTTCTGTTTCATGAACCAAGTTTTCAAATGTATATGGTTCAAAGATTGTAAATGATTCTTCAAATACTGAATCACTTTCATAAACTACTTCTTCCGTTTCAAATGAGCTTGAGATGGGTATTAAATTTTCAGTTAATTCGTTTTCCGAGTACTTTGCATCTTCACCAACAAATGATTCAAAAGTAATTGAGGTTTGTTCAGTATTGGCATAATCCGTTTTTTGAACAATAAATCCAGTCAGGAATGGCTCTGAAGCTAAAGTCTCTATTGGTGCATATACTACTTCAGTGAAAGTTTCTTTTGCATCGTAGTTTGTTTCTAGTGATACAATTGGTTCTAATGTAAAATTCACATCTTCTGAAAGTTCCTCGTAATACACTTCGTTAGAAATAAGCAGTTCAAGGGTTAACTTTGCTTCCTCGGTCATTGCTGGTACTTCCTCATGATTTGAAGATCCAAATACTGAACCCTCTGTAGTTGAATTTGGCTCTTCATCGATTTGAGTTTCTTCATAAATTGCACCATCGTTAACATTTGGATTTGAAGTATAAGTTGATTCTAAAAGGAAAAATGTCTCCAATTCAGGCGAATTAATTGATAAAGTTTCAGTGATTGTAATTGATTCGGTTTCCAAAATACTTGATTCTATAGCCTCCACTTCAGTTGTGATATTCATTGATTCTTCTTCTTTTTCTGCACATGATGGAACTTTCCAACAATAATTACTAATCTCCAAACTATCTGTATAATAACCTGACCAATCTTCCCATTTATCAAATACTGGAGCGTAAAGGTTTGGTATAGCCTGTTTTATTGGATTTATTACGGTGGGTTCTGCACCATCTACAGAACTAACTCTGTATTTGTACTCAATCAAAAAGACTTGTGGCCATGTCTCTGAATAACTTGAGATTTTATATTCAAAACCGAAATCTTGAGGTAAACAGTAAAAATCTCCATGTATTGAAGGTTGAACTAAAATGGTAGCATTAAAATCAAATGCATTACTATAAGCAGTTTTTGCATCTTTACCATACAAACGTATCGTATCTCCAAGAAGCGTAGCTCCACATGGTTTTGCTTCGACTGTTAGATCCTGTGAGCCTAAGAGCAGTACCACTTTTGCAGCATCTGTAACTGTATTTAATCTAAAATCAATTTTCCAATTATCGTTATCCACTTTCTCAACTTTATAAACCTTAAATTCAATTGATGGAACCCATTTATCACCAGTGTCTGATCTTTTTCTAAACAAATTTGTAAAGGTACTAATTGCGCTGACTCCTAAGTCATATGTGAAATTTCCAATTGATCTTTTTGAAAATTCTATTTCCGCAAGTTCCTTTTCAGCAACTTCCTTTTCAGCAACTTCTAGCTCTGCAAGTGTTATCGGTTCATAAACTATGGAATTTCCCGCACAATCATACTCATTTATTGTTAACCCTAAGTCTTCTGTGAAATCATGATATTCATATTCTGCAGCGATAACGCTCTTTATAATTAATAAAACTATAATTGAAGCTGCAAAAAACCTTGCTTTGACCATAAATAAGATTTGTGGTAGTTCTGAATCTATGATGTTTTGTAAAAGAATTTGCTGAAACGTTTCTTTTATAAAATTAAGAGGGATTTTCTAGAGTATTTATACTCCATAGGTAATTTATTGTATCGGCTTATGTGTATTTGCAAACATAAATTTTGTAACTATGCAAATATATTATTAACAAGACTTTTGCCTGATATTATAACTTCAATGTCTAGAAAATTCTTACAATTAGGATTACTATAAACACAAAATATCTAAAATACGAGTTTTGGATGACTTGTACCCTGCTAATTTTTGTTAGCATACTTGCTCACTTGCAACATTTGTGAAAAATTTGTAAGTCATTAGTTTGATTTCTTTTTTCCAAGTCAAAATTTTTATTACATATCAAAACAAAACAAATTAAAATTCTGGTTTTTGCAACCAAATATTTTTCAACGTAAAGGAAAAAAAAATATTACTATTTTAGTCATTTAAGAAACGCTCAAAGAAGAAAATCCAAAGTTGCCTTTTAGAAAAAGAAACGTTAGACTTGTTTCATGATTATATTCTGGAGTTGATTATGTATTTTTAAAATAATAATTTATTATAATCTCAAATTATATGAGATCAAGAAAATATTACTTTTATTTAATCCTTAGGTTGCAACAAGCGTAAGCTAAGTACAAAAGTTTAGGCAATTTCATCCGAATTAAAAAGAAATTTTTGACGATTTATCAGTTTTTTGGATTTAAAAAACAATTTAATTAATTAATACAAATTTTGGTATTCTCATGACTCTCATAGAATTACCTCATAGTTACACTTCATCTACGAAATTATTTTCAAAAAAACTTGAAAACTCGAATCAAAAATTAAGAAAGATAAAATAACCGAGATTTATTTTGAGATAGAAATGAGCTCAGATCTAAACTTTCTTTGTTTTCTGGATCTTGAGGTGGAAAAATAAAGTTTGAGACGAACAATCTCAATCTTTGTGACACAAAGCAAAACCTGAAACTTAAAGAGATTTTATTGTGAGCAAAACCTAATCTGTCAAAAGCTGGACATAGTTCTGCAAAAGTTCGTGCAGTTTCCAAAAGCCTTGGCACCCGCTTATGAAGAGTTTAAATTATTAAAGCTCACAAAAAATAGGCAGATTGGTTCTGATATGGAAAGTAAAAGAGATAAAACAGCTAATTTTACACTCTGTAGGTAGTCAACATGAGTAGCCTGTCTTAGTTAAAGTTGTCAAGAAATAAAAATCAGGACAACGAATTCTTTGTAGAACATATTCAAATTGTACTTGGTCCCCAAACTAGGAAAATTCAGAGTCAAGGCTTCAACAAATCAAAACAAGAAATAAATATAACAATAAATATACAGTACACAAATTCTATGCTATCCAGAACCAGAATTTTTGAAGGAAATTTTTAGGTTCACGAACCTCATAATTTTGTTCTTCTTCTTCGACCAAGTCTAAATTAGTAACTAAATCAATATCTTGAATTGGAATTAACCAATACTTTTCACCTTTCATATGAGAATATATCTTATGACCAAAATATAATACTAGTACAATTGGTAATGTAATATAAGCAGCAACAAAATCAGCTCCATTGAAATCAAAAAAGACTGCATATCCATTAGTGATCGAGATTAATAACATAAACACAATAACATACCAAGCACCATATGGTTGTAAGAACGGTTTATATGGGATTCTATCAGTGAGACCATGGAAAGCAATAGCTTTTCTCCATCTAAGAAATGCAAAGGCACAAGCAATCCAACCAATAAATCCTGAAATGGTCGAAATATTGGATAACCAATTGAAAGCATTAGCTGAAGATGAAGAAACATTTAAGTAAGCCAAGAACCCAAAAAGTGATGAAGCACCAACTGAATAGTATGGAATACCAAATCTATTAACCTTACTGAAAAATTTTGGAACTTTGCCACGTTGTGCCATTGAGAACAATGTTCTTGAAGCTGAATAAAGAAAGGAATTACCAGCTGATAAAGCAGATGTTAAAATGACAGCGTTAATAATATGATCAAGAACATGAATACCTGCATTTTTAATAGCGATAACGAATGGAGAACCTGAAGCATCTGAAGCACCACCAAATAATTGAGTATCTTTTGAACTGACAATAACACCAATACTCAAAGTTCCTAAGGCATAGAAGAAAACTAATCTGAAAATAAAACGCTTGGCAGCCTTAATACCATTTCTTCTTGGGTCAACAGTCTCACCTGCAGTTGTTGAAAGTAATTCAGGACTGGTGATATAAGCAAAACCTGATTTAATGATAGCTGTCCATAAACCTAAAAATCTTCCGGTAGCTCCAGATACTAAATGTTCGTGGAACGGTGAATGTTTCCAATATCTAAACCCAGTTACACCATGTTGTTTCGGACCACCACCAAAGAATAAAACAATACTTAATATGATTAATCCGGTTAAAGCAATCAATTTGATAGATGCGAACCAAAATTCCATTTCACCAAAAAATTTGACTGGTGCAAAATTCATAATCATGATAATTGCAAGGAAAATTGTAATCCAAACTGCAACAGGAACAGATTTTGTCCAGTATTGTACTATAACGGCTGAGACTGTAACTTCAGAAGCAATCAAAATGGAGAAAGCATACCAATAATTTAGTCCCAATGCAAACCCAAAGGAAGGGGATAAATAATCGTTGATGAAAGCTAATGGACCATTTCCTGGCAATGGTAAAAAAACTGTCATTGTAAGAAGCATTGAAGTAACAAAATAAACAACTGAACCAAGTAAAAGAAAAGCCAAGAACAATGAAGCAGGACCACAAGTAACTAAAGTGGATGAAGAACCAACGAATAAACCAGTCCCAATAGCACCACCTATTGCTATTAATTGAGCATGTCTTGATTTCAATCCTCTTTCTAAAGTCTCTGGTTTAAAAGTTTCAGCGGTTTCTCTTGAGTTTGATCTTGATAATATTTTACCATTCTTTTCATCTGTCTCAATGATTCTTGAATTTGAAATTGTTAAACCTAAATTTGTTGATGAACCACGATAAATTTCTTTTTTAGAAACACCAATTTTGGCTAAATTATCTTTTATACCCATTGTGGTGTTACTTTATGACTTATGATTATTTACAAAACTTCACATTTTATATTTTAAGACTTTTGAGCTGTTTAAATATAATTCGTTTGTAATCTTGAACTGCAAAAACAATAATGATTTGTTCATCAACTTATTATATGTACAATTTCTTATCTTGAAAAAAATTGAATTTATCAAATTGATTAACAAACAAAGAGATAAACAAAATTAGTCAAAAAAAATATTGTTTAACATTTCGTACAGATTTTGCCTGAATTGAAAGATGGTTTTTCAAATAATGTAAGATGATTTGCACCTCCTCATTAAAATTTTGATATTTCCCAAAAAATTTTGATTCTAAATCTATATTGAAACACCCTTGTGATGAACTAATTTGACTCCACAACTTCTTATGGATAAATTTTAAAATAAAATATTTAGGTTATTAACTCAATTTGGGTTAAATAATTAGATTATTAACTAAATTATCACAACTCCCAATTCCAAATGTAAAAATTAATCCGAAAAGTCTAAAATTCAAAGTAAGTGGAAAATTTAATTAAAAAAACATAAATGTAAGATGACTTAAAAAGTTAGAAACAGAAATTATTATTCCCCTCTACTCATTAAGGGAAGAGCTATGACTTTTCTATCAAGGATGAAGCAAATATTTATCAAAATTCTAAAGATAAGAAACGGTTAGTTTGAAAGATTGGGATCAGAACGTAAATTAGCTATCAGTTAAATTAAAAGATTAAAAAACCTCACACCATAACCTTTAAAAATTGTTTCAAACAAAAAAGATAACAATATTCCTTAAAGATTTTCTTATTACGGCATTTAAAAAAAGAAATTCGTAAAAAAAATATAAAAAAACATTTCGCTTAGTTTAACTTTCAAAAAACAAGTAAAGCAAAGCGATTTCGGTTGATTTTCACTTTTTTAATTTATTTAGTTCAAGAACGCTGATGAAAGTACTGAAGTAACGATATTAAACAAACGTTCACTCATAAACCTGCATTTGCTTAAAACTAAATAAAAATCGTATTTGACCTTACAACAACATCTGACAACCCCACTAATCTCATAAAATAATTTTAACTTTTTCACATTTCATTTTTTTGTGTTTTGTTTCTTAATTTTTAGGGTTTATTAGTCAAAATTTTTCATTCTAAAAGGCATTTTGCAAAAAACAATAATTCAATCGCCATAAAATTTGTTACAATTGAAATAATCTGGGGTAAGCATGAATTATGTTCAGCTGTACCTTAATATACGATCCTAGTGAAGGCTAGTGATGATATTACTCAACGCGGCCATGCTATGTTTTTTTTTTTTTCAATACTTCATATGTTCATTAAAAAGTCCATCTAGCTTGCTGAACAATCTATTTAAATCTATTTAAAGAAAGAATGTTATATGAGTTTATACTATGTAAAATATTTTGATAACTTTGAAACTTCTTTAAACCCGGAGTCAGGTGAGCTTTACACAAATTTTAGACCACACATCAATAACTTCGATTTCTCTGAAACTTGCAACTTTCATGGTAATCATAAGTAGTAGCTAATCTACTGACAAAAACTAGCAGATGAAGCTACATCCTTCAAATTACACGAGTTGTCAGCGGACCGCATAAAGAGTGCTAAGCTCGATTCAGTGGACTTTTAAGAAAGTTTCGAGGCAGGCAAAAAAAATAGCAATGACTTATTCACATTTCACAATTTTTTCTTTACTGCCCCAATATACAGAAAAGTATTTTGGTGACACAAAGTTGAATTTGAAACTAGTACCGATTTATAGTTACATTGAAAATCTAGACAAAAAAGATGACTGTTTGATAAAAACTTTGATGATAAATAATATTATAAGTACAAACAGAAGAATACATAAATTCTATGCCAACCAGAGCCAAACCTTTGAAGGAAATTTTTTGGTTCACGAAATGTGAAATTTTGTTCTTCTTCTTTAACCAAATCTAGATTAATAGTTAAATCAATATCTCAAGTGGTGCTAGCCAATGTTTATAACCACGTAATTGAATATATGATTTATGACCAGCGTATAGTACAACAACTAATGGTGAATGAAAATATGCTGCAATAAATTTAGCAGCCTTAAAAATACCCATTTGTAATTGATATTGAAGAAAAAAACATATGATATACTACTAAGCACCATATGGGGTTGTAAAATTGGTTTATATGGCATTTTATCAGTAAAACTATGGAACTCAATAGGTTTTTGCCATTTAAGGTTGCAAAAGCACAAGCAAGCCCAAGCAATCCAACCAAAGAATCCTGAAATGATGGATTACCAGTTGAAAGCATGAGCTGATTATAAGTAAACATTCAAATAAGCCAAGAATCCAAATACTGATGAAGCACCAACCGAATAGTATGGATTACCAAATCTGCTAACTTTGCTAAAAGGCTTTGGAGCTTTACCACGTTGTGCCATTGAGAATGATGTTCTTGCATCTGAATGAAGGAAAGAATTGAGAAACTCCTTGTAGAACCTGGTATCATATGTTCTATGAATGGCGTACCTTCCCAATGTCTAAACCCAGATATACCATCTTGTCTTGGACTTCCCCAAGATTAAAACAGTGCGTAATATACTCAAACCTGTTCAAGCAATTGATTTAATAGACGCAAACCAAAATCTCATTTTTCCAAAAAATCTGACTGGTGCAATATTCATTGAAATCATAATAATAAAGAAAATTGTAATCCAGACAGCAAGAGGAACATTAGTGGACCAAAATTTAACAAAGGCGGCCAACATAGTGGCTTCCACAGCAACGAGAATAGCAAAGGCATAGATATAGTTCCACACGAGGGCAAACCCAAAGGTTGGTGCTAAGAAATTGTTGACAAAAGCCAATGGACCATTTACTAGTAAAAGTAAGAAAACTGTCTTGTAATAAGCATTGCTGTAACGAAATAAGCAGCTGAGCCTAGTCTAACAAAGGCGAGAAACAAAGAAGCTGGACCAGCTATAGTTAAAGTTGCACTTGAACCAACAAAAAGTCAAGTATCAATGGTACCAATAATAGCGATTAATTGAGCATGTCTTGAATTTAACCCTCTTTCTGAAGTTTCTGGTAGCGATTTCTCTTGATTTGATTTTGATAAAACCTTGTCATTCCTAGTTCAACAAGTCATGAATTTGAAGTTGATAGTTTTTATTTTCATGATGATGAACCACGATAAATTTCTCTCTTTGTGAAACTACTTTTTTCTCCGATACCTAATTTTGAAAATTTGTAAAAAGTAGCTATGATAGAGTAAAGGGATTTCTTACACTCTTTATATTTATCTCATATTATGAAGTATTGTTAAAAAAAAGTTATTGAACTGGTTGAATATAAAGTAATGAATATCAATTTAACAACGCTTTTAATTTTCTTAATTTAAAGTACTACTACACCTTGAACTACACTATCGTTGTTCTGCAACATTCGTATTTGAATCAGAGACAGTGAAAAATTCTAAAATATTCAATTTATTTGAAATAAAAACCTAACTAAGCCAATACACAAATTATCCAACTTATGTTTATGATAAGTATTTAGCAGCAGTTTCATAAAAAACTTTACCTTGAATTTCAGCAACTTCTCTTTCAAGTTTACTTGGTGTACGAGAACCATCTCCACCAGCTAATGTACCTGCACCGTAAGGAGATCCACCATGAACTTCACTTACATTTGATTGCAAAGCAAATGCTTTAGCATAACCTAAAGGAACAAAAATAATACCATGATGAATTAAAACTGACAATGAATTGACAACTGTGGTTTCTTGACCACCACCTAATGTACCTGTGGAAACGAAAACACCAGCAATCTTACCGTAAAGCAGACCTTGAGCCCATAATGACCCAGTTTGATCCCAGAAAGCTAAAAAACTTGTTAGTAAAAGTGTCCAGATGAAGGAGAGAAAATAACCAGACTGTTGTTGGAACAGATTGAAATGTAGAATTTGCAGCACTTTCTTTGTTATTTTTTGCAATTGCACAAAAACTATTTTTTGCATGTCAAAACCTACCAAATGCTTTTGCACTCTTTTGTGTAAATACATCAAATCGTCAGAATGTTTAGTTATGCAAAAACGTTCCAATCAACTCAAGTCCAATTCTGTCTTTCAAAATAGATACATACCTTTAAATTGAGCTGGGAAGTTACCAAATCTTGTAGGAATTCCAAAAAGGAAGGCATCATATTCTTTTAAAGTTTCTGGAGTAGCAATTGGATAATTTGGTTTTGGAGGAGCATGTAATTTAGTTAAAACATCATCACTTAAGGTTTCTGGAACTTGATAGATAACAGCTTCACCTCCAGCTGCTTCAACACCTTTTTTTTCTTCTTCAGCCAATGTAGCGATGTGGTGATATAATGTGTAAATAATAATTGCAACTTTGATAGCCATTTTTGTTATATATATGTGATTGTTTGTGAGTGATTGATAAAGTAATTGATTAATTTGATAAGATACAAATTGAAATAAAATAGATGAATTGAGGTTCGAAGTAGAGTATATATATATATATACAAATTGGTGATTTCAAGGGAGTCTGCCTCAGTTCAAAATTTGTTGAATCTTACTAAAATTATTAATAAATTAATAATAAGAAAGGTTATAAAATTGTTACACAAAACTACTGAGATTGTTTTTTTACTTTTTAGCAAATTAAAAAAAAGTTCCAAGTAAAAAAGTCAGAAGTATTTGAATTAATTACACAATTGATGGAATTTCTGGAATTCAAAAATTAAGTAATAATACTTCATGTTTAGTTTATTATAATTCATATTGATTAAACATTTATAATGGAGAATATAAATTTAACTTTAATAATTTAATTAGTAATTACATTACATGATTGTCTAAAATTTGTAAATTATTTATAAAATTAATTAAATTTAATAAATTAATAAAGTAAGAGACCAAAATGGAAATAAATGTGCAGAAAATTAATTATAATGATGTTGATAATTGTTCCTTAAATTAATATTCATTATTCGAGACTATTGATAGTGTGTTCCAATTAGTTCAAATTATGTAATTTTTTCTATTTTGTTAAAATATAAGATTGTCAGATAAAGAACTAAGAGAGAGAAAAAATAATTAATGAAACGTTGAAGAGTTTCAAATTTCCGCTTAAGAGGTATTCCAAGGCTGATTAGCAGCTTTGACTGAGATTTTTAAATCGACAGAAAGACGCTATAGTTTGCATGATAGTAAATGAATTGTAAACATTTCTGAGATTATCTTCTTTTCACTTCGAGTTCTGAAAATTGATTGACTAATTGGGTACAGTTTAAAAACACGTATGTTAATTAAATTTGAACCATTATTAGATTTAGTCAAAGACAAATCCACAACATTTAAAACCTTATTATATGTGATGTGTGATATGTAATATATGTAATAATATACGTAATATAAGTAATAATATGTTGTTTTAGAAATTATTGTTTTAAGTGAAGTTATTACATTATAAATTTAATTAATATATTTTACTAAAATTACTAAGATTATTATTTATTATTTGAATTATTAAAAATTAGTAAAATTAGTAAAAAAATAAAAATAAAATTAAATTTTAAATTTTTTATCTTTAATTTGTTTTGTGAAACATTTGTAAAAAAATAAATATTGCAATCAACTTTTTACTTTTTCATAACCCATATTAATTCTTAAATATAAACAATTGTTTCTTCAAATAAATTTTCGAACTTGTGTCAATTACATTTTTTTCATCAAACCAAGCCTACAATAATTCATCATGAAAATTGCTATTATTGAATACTCCACCTATGGTCATATAGTTTCACTTGCAAAAGAAATTCAAAAAGGTATTGAATCCGTTGGTGTTAAAGCTGATATTTTTCAAATTGCTGAAACTTTACCTCAAGATGTTTTGGAAAAAATGCATGCACCACCAAAACCAAATTCCCCAATTGCAACATTGGATACTTTAATTGAATATGATGCTTTTATCTTTGGATTTCCAACCAGATTCGGTAATGCTCCAGCACAAGTGCTTGAATATATTTCTGGAACTTCAGGAATTTGGATGAAAGGTCAGCTTTATGGTAAGCCAGCGGGATTATTCACAAGTACTGCTACTCAAGGTGGTGGTCAAGAAATGACTATTCGTAACTTTTTATCAATTTTAGCTCATCATGGTATGATTTATATTCCTTTAGGGTATGCAAAAGCATTTGCAGAACAATCTAATTTGAGTGAAGTTCATGGTGCATCTCCTTATGGTAGTGGAGTTCTTGCTGCTGGAGATGGAAGTCGTCAAGCAAGTAAATTGGAGTTAGATATTGCATTTAAACAAGGTGAGTCATTTGCGACTTCAGCAAGTAAATTTTACAAGTCAGAAAGCAATTCGGCAAATAAAGGAAAAGGTACTGGTGCTGCGGCAACCACTGGTGGAGCTACTTCATCTAAACCAACAGAAGTTAAATCAGAAAAACCAACTACTCATTCACAACCACAACCACAAAGAGCTGCACAAACCTCAAAAGCTCCTGAAACTACAGATAAAAGTATTTGTTCAAAATGTATAATAATGTAAATTTTATAATTATAAAAGTTCTTTTCATAGATGTTAGATTTAGTAATAAATAATAAATAATTAGTAAAATTTCATTTGAAATTGTAGTGGTGAAAAGAAATGGTGAAAGAATTGGTCGCAGTGTTGACTGGGAATCGGGCAGAAAGAATAAAAACTAGAAACTGACGGTTCTGTCTTCAATAAACCTCCATTGAGCGTCCAAACAGAACTTCATCAATTACTTCTCTCAACAATTTGTTAAACATAATATCAAATAAGTTACACATGGGACAAGCAGCTCTCCTGCATATAGTCGAAGTTGTGAACTTTCTACAAATATTCTATCATCAGAAGTCAATACGTATATTACCGAAACTATTTACAAATTAAAATTCAACTATGTTAGTAAAATCCCAAAAAAAACCAGCGAATCTAAGAATACATACAAAAAAAAATCCAAATTCAATCTATCTCAATCAACAAAATACCCAAAATTCTTTATGAACTCAATTTAATCATAATATTCCAACAACACCTTGTAAAAGAAATTCAACCACACCTAAACAATAACCAAAAATGAACTTTATCATTAATACATACCTATTGCCAAACAACAAACAAAAACAGTATTGGAAACTAACCATAAAGGGAGCCCTTTAAATCAAAAATTCATTGAACGACTATTGTTTTTGGTAGTGGTTTTTAATTGAATAAATCAGTTGTTGGTACTGGATCATTAGGTACCCCAATTTTGATTCCCCTTAGTTGATCATCAATTCTTAATCTTTTTGAGCAATTTTTTAATCATTATCGAAAATATCAGAACATATTTGATTTTTCTTTTGGTGATGGTAAAATAAAATTCAATAAACTAAAACCCGAGTATTTGATCGTGTACCAGAAAAAATCGAATCATTAAAACAAAGTAAATTTTTAATAAAAGTTTAAAAACTATTTGATTGTGAACTGAAAGAAATTTTGGGGGAGCTTTTGTAAACTTTACAATTCCAATCTAGATTGAGAACTTTTTGAACTGATTCACAAATCTACTAGTTAAAATGATATATCAATTTTTTAGTAGTACACTTACCTATGGAGGATGTTGCGGTACGGATGGAATCTGTGTCTCTCAATCTTTGATAAATCGCAATTAAAAAATGATACTTTCAAAAGATAAAATTCGAGTCAATATGGAATTGAAAAAATTGGTGGAGATTATTGAATTGTATAATCCCCGGTGGTGGTGTTAATGATCTGTTGGATGATATTACTTTATTGCAATTCAATGATCTTGAAAGTTTATATTTTGATGCATGAGCATTTCTTAACGAAGAAGAAACCGATTGAATGAATGAATTTGTAGTTGTTGAAGAAAAGAAAAGTTGCAAAAAAAAAAAGTTTTACGAGATTTTTAAGTTATTATACGCGTTGTATTTACAACCAAAAAGAAATGATTAAATAATATATTTTAAGTGTTATATTTTCAAGTAATTGTTATAATGAATTGTAAAAATGTTTAATTCAATCTCTTAGAATGTCCATGTAGAAGTTAATCCGCCTTTGAAAAAATTGTATTAAATTTTATATTCACCCACAATGGTACAAATTTTTTTTCCTTTTTATGTTACATTTCTTGTTGTTGTCTAATTTTGATATCAACAATTGCAATGAGGCAGCGGGTTCAAAGGAGTAAAACCCTACCTGAAAGTCCAACCACCGTCAAAAGTCCAAACGATACAACAGAAATAACTCATGTTTCAGATAGTGAAGAAGAATACTCTTACTTACAACCACCACCACCAACACCACAATCATCATCAACTTATCAAACTAATTTTAATTTAGGTAGTGATTCACAACTAAACAATGCATCACAATTGAGTAATGATAATTTCCATAACATTGATTTTGCAGCTAATGAAAATGAACTAAAATCAACACAACAATATTTACAAACTCAAGAATTTTATAGTTCACATCCATTAGTAAAAGAAGAAATGATTGAGATATCAGATGATGAATATGATTCTTCAAGTATAAGAGATGGAGAAGTTGAAGAAATTTCAAATTTTGAAATTAAGCAACCAAAATCAAGTTCATCTTGTCCAACTGCAAATCAATTATTACTGGGAAGTTCAAATGAAACAGAATCTTTAGATAAAGCAGAAGTTTTGAAAAATGTTATTCTACCGGATATAAAATTTAATGAAGATGAAATTATTGATTGTTCCTCACAAAATGGAGAAATCAAAACTGAATTGGGTATTAAACATGAATTTGATGAATTAATTGATCAAAAATTTAAAATTACCAATGAAATAAAATGTAAATTTGAGTTGGCTAATGGAAAAAGTAACTTAAAAGCTACTTTATTGAAAATCGAAGAATTTGATGATAATCAATTTGATTCAAAAAATTACTTAAAAGATCGAGTTAGAGTTGACAATACTATAAAAGTTGAGCTGGAATTAACTGATGTCGTTAAACCGAAAAAATTAGTCGATCTATTGACTTCTGGAAAATATGATAAATTTGGGGATTTATATGATGATTTAAATAAATTGGAAGAATCAAGGGAAAAGAATCATCGATTTAGAGGTAAAGAAGCTCCTGAAGAAAAAAAAGATGTACATAAAGAATTAACAAAATTGGAAAATTTACCTGAAGTATCAACTACCAAAGAGTTTGATTTGCAAAAACCACCTGAAAAAACTACTAAAAAAGTCAATTTGCATGAAATTGTTGAATCAAGACCTACTTCAAGAACTGGATCAAATAAATCATTAGAATCAACTAATTCAAGTAAATCAAAAGATTCGGTATTTTCACGTAATAAACCGGTGAATAATCCTCCTTTAGATGTGATTGACAACAATTCAAAAGTAATTGATCTGGAATTAATTGCACAATCAAAAAATTTACAAGTATTTGAGCTGGTATCAATTACTGAATCAACTAATGAACAACCAAAATCTTCACCACCAAAAACTTCAACATCAAAAATTTCACCACCAAAAGATCAAGAAAATCAAACACATTTACAACCAACTTTGAAAAGAAAAAGATTACAATCAAAACCTTTATCAGAAATTGTTAGTAATAATAAAAGATCAAGAGTTGGATTATCAAAACGAGTTAAAATTGATCATTTACATGATAATATTAAACCACGCTCTTAAAAAAAACATCACCATTGCTAATGAAACCTTAATGACTACTAATGAACTTTTTAATGACTATTTATTTATAATTCTAATTTTATAGACTATTTAATATTTAATATACTTATTCATATTACTAAACCCGATTTTGTGACACGATTTACTAAAAGCTTTCAAGATTTCGAAAATCATCACCAGAGGAAAAAAAAATATCTTCTCTATTTCTTCTTCTTGTTCTTCTTTTTCTTTCTTTTCTTTCTTCTTTGCTAATTAAAGACGGGACAACTTGCATTGACCGGTTATGCATTGGTCTTTTGAATAAAAGATCCTAGTGTTTCCGTACTCTCTAGCCCGTCAAATTAAGTTGAGAAGTGCTAATGTTCAGTTGAAATTTTAGATTTCTAATGAAATTTTGACTCTACGAGCTTTCTTACATTTACTGACACCAAACAAAACTCTGATTTTAAATGGGGGTCCTTCAACGTTCGCCTTCCTGATACACCACTTACAATCAAATTTTAGGTACGCCATCATTAAATAAAATTTACTCGAAAATTCTACAAGTTATATCACTTATACTTAAAAAAACCCAAATAAAACATTTTTCATTTTTAACTAAAAAAAAATCTAGAACTAAATAATAAATATAACCTTAACAAGCAAATAAGACTTTTTATTGAATCATTCACTGTTCAATACTTCACCAATTATTTTCCCAAACAAAAAGTAACAGGAACTGGTTTTGATTTTTGAGTTGAACATCTCATTTTACATCTTTTTGTATAATCTTTCTTTTCATCAAATTTAACAAATGAACCCGAATGGTTGTTTGATGAACTGCATGAAGAATTCGATGATCTTCTTGAATCAGAAGATAAACTTTTATTCTTCTTTAATCCAAATATATTAATTGTAATCATTTTTGGTGGTATAATTAATTTCTGATTATTAATTATTAGAAATTCATGATGAAAAGTTTTGGTATCTGTTAAGGGAAATGAATGATAAACAAAATTATAATTTGGTTGACTTGATGATAAAATTTTTAAGTTGGTTGTAAAATCAATTAACCTATAATATAGTAACTAATATTAATACAAAAACAAATGAAAAAAAATAAAAAAAATACAACAAATTTTGTAATTTATAACAAATTGAACTTGTTATTAACTAGTAATAATAACTTGTTAATGATATTAAAGGACAGTAATCTAATAAATTGAAAAATGATGATATTCAAAAGAAGAAAAATAATGAAAAGATTATGAGATAAAATTTTTTAAAATATAAATCAGGGGAATTAAAGATCAATTTATTATTATTATATTGTATTATTTATTATATTATACATACTAAGATTAAAAATTTAAACTATTTGAAACATAAATAAATTTATTCTAAGTTCCTGTATATTAGATTCTTCGAGAGAAAAATTTTTAATATAGTTGAAGAAGAAAATAAAACTTAATTAATAAATTCAAGTGTTAATTGGTAGCATCTTATTATTTAATAACAAATTTATTTATTTATCTTTTTTAAGTAATTTAAAGTCAACAATAATAAATTTTAAATAAATAAGTAGTAGTGTATATACTCAAAAAATATTAAAATCCCTCAAGGTTAATAAATAATTGGTCGTTCATAAAGTGCCAAAAAAAAATTTTTCAATAAACAAACTAAAAATAAAAATCATCATCAAAAATATAACTAACAATTTCAGATAATGTAAAACAAATTTTTATTTAATACAATTTACATTTTAAAAACGTACAATTGTCTAACATATTTCTACATCTTTAAAATCTTTAATTTAACTTTGAATTCTCGAGAAATTCTCTTTAATTCTTTATAGGATGTATCAAATATTCTCGGATAAAAAGTTTAATAATTTTGTTTTTTGCTATTGCTTTACATTGATAATTTACTATAAAATTAAAAATTCGAAAAATTGCTTTCTAATTCTCAGCTTATAAAACTCTTTTCGAATAAATGTTTTCTAAAATCTACCTCGAATAAAAAGAATTAAACGAATAGCCCCACTTATTTTATACTAGTATTAGCTAACCTAACTTTATCAATGCTTTTTTATAAGTACAATAAACCCCTATTTAAAACAATATAATGATTTGTTTATCAATCATTACTTTACAACCACCAAAATTCTTTCGTTTTCTTTCAAACAATAATTATGACGTGCCTCTACTTCAAAAAAATACTTATGAGAGAATATTATAGAGAATATCTAAGATTTTCAATTTAGTTGTAAAGTAATATATCTCTTTGATTGAGTTCGTACCAAATCATGGTTTTTTCTTTTTTGATGTACTTATATTTTTTTATTGTTTAAATATTAGGATTTTAAGTTCGTAAACATCTAAAAATTAATTCAATTGGTTGTAAATTTATATTAATTAGTTTTATTCTAGATAAGTTAACACGCAGTGCGCGATCGCGCGATCTCTGAAGAAAAATTCAAAGAAAAAGATTCTAAATGGTCTTTGGTAAAGTTTAATCTTTCAATTGAGTTATCATTAACACCCTGACACCATTTTGAAATTATTATCATATTGTATGGAACCACCACAACATGAAGTAAATTAAAGGTGTTCTATTGGTATTATCATGAGGTTGTTGTATTGCACCAGCCCATGTTATTGTTAGATGCGGTATGTCAAACATGTTTTTTTGATTAAAGTGATCAAACAATCATACTAACTTTCAAAATCCCTTTATCAAAGGGTTGGTCGATACAGTCTGTGTGAATTATAATTGGTTTTGTTTTTCAAATAGAGTTGGGAAGAAAAAGAATTGCTGTTGGTTTTTCGTAAACTAGTTTTAATTACATTAAAACTTCATTTATGAAGGTGGTGATTATGAACTTTTTCTTTTCAAATTTCTTTTTCAAATAATGGATGTAACTAATGCATGCATCAGTGTTTTGATAGCGAAGCTAATTGAAGGCGAAGCTAATTGAAGGCGAATCTAATTGAAGGCTAAGTCAAAGTCGTTTTAAGTTCTGGGTACCGATAACCATTCATAGAAGAATGAAAATGCTTTTTTGCCATTGAAGAATTTCAAGTTTTTACAAATAATCAAATTAAGTTTGTTATTGAATTTGAGATTTGTAAAAATAGTCATTGCCATTCTTTTGTAAACTAGTTTAGGATGAACTTTATTTATGGAAGTGGTGATTTTGAATGTTTCAAAATAAATTTTATCTTAGGAAAATGTAAAGACTTTTTTAAAGAACTTTCCTTGATAACCAGCAGAGATTATTTCAATTAGTTGATCAAGAAAGTCTGGAAAACCAAAACCATTAATGATAATGTTTTTAAATTCGGACAGTGATGGAAGTCTGATTTATATTGTTACCTGGCTTTACTAATTTATTTTTGGAAATTATGCATTCATTAAAATTAGTATTTTCACAAATCACATCCTGCAAATAGGTCATTAATTTCCTTGAATATATATGTTATTTGTATTTTGTAATAATTTGAATTTGTAATTCTCATCTATTTCCCTCATTTAGTAATTTTAAGTGCTTGTGGTTTTACTGTTGTTTATTTATATCCATTAGACTTTAATTCATCTTTAAGTATTGAGGTTTGGAGGTTTTACGATATGTTTGAAAAATCTAGAGAATTTGTAACTAATTGGAGGATAACAATTATCATCAAGCTTCGACATGGCTCTATGGTTGCCGCAAGTTGATTTAATTAATTTTTGAATCTAATGTAAGTATTCAATTTTTTGTCTCAATTATGTTATTGTACGTGGCAGAATTTGAAAATTTAAGATTTGATATGTTGCAAAATTTTTGCAATCTACATACGATTATAAATAACATCAGATCAAACACCTATAGCTATTTGAACATATTTTTTACCATTGTAGTCTATATACTTCATGGGAACTAAATAATAATCGATAACAGCAGTATCTCTCTCAGGCTAAATCTATATAGTTTTGCAATTATGACTAAGTATTTATTATCAAGTCTGACTGAACACGACCATGTGAAATTTGATTACCTACCAAAATGTCATTTCGGGCATTTCAACAAACCCAGAGATACCATTTATGATCACTAAATGAATTAAGAAAATTTGTACATACTGTATTAATATCAGCTCTTTTACGTACAAAATGAAGAGATGGGCCATTTTGAAATTTGGTTCTCTGAAAATTTTCGTGTTTTTTTGACTTTGAAGCACCAAAATATTACACTTTTAGATCATTTAAGACATGCTGGGCATGGCTTGGATATGGTAAAATTGAGTTGAGGTCTTGTTAAAAAAAATTATGTAATCAAACTTAAATCAATCTAAGTATTTAAAGGTTTAAATATGAGCAAAAAAAATAAAACCGTTATGGACAGGATTCGAACCTGCGCGCCCAGAGGGCATAGCCTAGCACAACTAAGTAGCAGGGCCACGTGTTAACCACTCCACCACCATAACCGGATGGTTGTGTTATTAGAAGTATGACCTTAGATGACCAATATTAGAAGGTTATATATATGTGATATATATTTATGAATGATATTCTATATTGTCCTATATAATCTGGAATTCATATTCAAGGGGATTTCATCCTCCTTATATATTATTCAAATTCTTAAACTCAAAGGCGGCACAATCCTTACTTCCATAATCCTTAGCATTAAGACAAGATATCATATGATTATTAAAAGTGAACAACTCATTATTAATTACTCTATTTGGATATTGACAACTTAAGCTTTTGAATGTAACCTTGTTTCATAATTCTAATTTACTTATTCTGGATACCAACTCTCTTATAATATTATTATTACTTACCTGTGATGTTTGCCTTACTTTATTATTTAACTGATGTTTGCCTTAATTTATTATTTAACTGATGTTTGCCTTAATTTATTATTTAACCTTAATCTAATATGAACTCTTGAGCCTCGGATATATGGGGTTGCATTTGAAGTTTGTACATAACTCTTAGACTCAATTTCAATTCCAAAATCAACACATGATTGAGAATCATGTGACTAGAACCCTCATATTACTAACATACTCCCCACCTGTGAATAACAAGTGTCCTCACTTGATCAGAGTAAGTTCACGATTCACCTTTAGTGTTGAGTTAGCAACAGAGACATATATTCATTCTGATCAGGAATGTCTATATGTGGAGTCAGCAACAAGAAAACCAGATGTTTTTATCGTGAACAACACGCTCGAATGACTGATGACTTAAAACAGTTGTGCCTGCTAAGTTTTTCAAAAAGACAGTCCTCGAAATTTGAAACAACAATGCGCAAAAAAAAAATATAAAAAACGCAAGCAACAAAAAATTAAAAAAAAATAAAAAAAAATTGAAAAAATTTCTGTGTAAATATCTGAAAGATCAAAAACACAGTTTGTGGAAAACCTGTAGAGGTGAAAAACCACAAATCCTGATTTATCATTGATTTCTGGAAGAGCTACAACATAATAATTCATATTACCAACAACATTTATTTTAAAAAAATATAAATTCAACTACTTCCTTCTTCAACAATAGTGTCATCATCTAACACTTGCAGTCCATGACTATCAGGAGTAACAGCAGATTCTTTATCATATGTTTGAAATAGTTTTAAAAACAATGGTGGTGGGCAAGCACTTTTTAAATCACCAATATCAAATATAACTGCTAAATTTGGATCACATTCTTTAAATGTAAGAGCTACTTCTTTATCTAACAAATTAACACCAACAATTGCTTTAATTTTATCTTCTCTTGCAAAAACTCTTAATGCATTTAAATTTCTAGGAGGATCTCTTGGAAACATAATTCTATCTTTAACATATGGTTTTAAATTTTTAACATTGAAAATGCGATCGTAACTTGGGTGTATTCCAACTTCAAGTTCGTAAATATTAGGGTTATCTGGGAAAATTTTAGAAACCGCATATGGCCCAAAAAATAAATTGCCCTGTTTTGTTAATTTAAAGTTACCACTAAACATTTTAGCATTTCTATGAACAAGCACTTCATCACGAACTTTCAACAACAATTCTTCACGATGTTTATTATATACCTTTTCAGCATTAGCTTGTGCTTCCATAATATTATTTTTAACTAGTTCGTTTTGATAATGAAGCATTCTAGCAAAATCAGTACCTGTTAAAGCAGCATTAGGGACCATTCTATCAGCACTAAATTTAAGCACCCTTGTATCAAAATGAGGGGCCTTAGGTATATAACCAATATCAGCTTCAAATGGAGACATCTTTATAGCTTTATGATAATGTGCATTATAAGCATACTCAGTAATAGGTAATTTTAACAACCATTCAGCATCACCATAATCAGCAAAAGCTTTCAATAATTGGATAAGAGTTCTATTTGTTCTTTCCGTTTGGCCATCTGTTTGAGGATGGTAAACAGTGGAGAACTTCAACAAAACTTTCAATTCAGAAAAGAAGTCCAACCAAAAATTTGAAGTAAACCTTACATCATTGTCAGAAATGATTTCATCTGGCAAACCATGGAGTTTAAAAATAGTTTCAACAAATAACCTAGCAGTTTGTTTAGCTGTTATAGTTTTTGCACATGGAATAAAGTGTGCTCTTTTGGTAAAACGATCAACTATAACTAATATGTAATCTTTGTTATCAACCATGGGGAAGCCACCAACAAAATCCATTGAAATAGAACTCCATCTTTCTGTTGGATCTGGCAAGGATTGTAACAATCCAAATTGTGAATGATTTCTTGGTTTAATAGCTTGACATATACTGCAGTTTCTAACAATTCTTTTTACTGATTCTACCATTCTTGGCCAATAAAAATATTTGACTAATTGAAGAAATGTAACTTCAGCACCAGGATGTAAGTTAGTTATAGCAGAATGAATTGAATGTACCACCTTATATTGTAAAGAATTTGGAATCCACAACCTATAATTGATATTTGCTTTAGCATCAAAACCTTTGAAAAATATGAAACCATCTTCATAAACAAAATTTTTTATATGGTGTTTAATCAGTTTTGGAATTGGTAAATCATTTTTGAAGATATTATAAATTTCATTTAAAGCTTCATCATCAGCATATGCTTGTTTTAATTCATTTAAAAATTCATTCCCTAATGTTTGATTGGTAAAATCCATAGCAGTTACATCTACAACTTCAGTTGAATCATTATTAGTTTCTGTATTATTTATATAAACTATATCTTCCATATCATCTCCAGATTTAGGAATAGTTTCTTTTAAGGATAACTCAAATTTTCTACTTAAAGCATCAGCAATATTAGTTTTACCTTTAATGTAATGAATATCAATATCATATTGGCATAAAATTTCAAGCCACCTGGCTAACCTAGCTGATGGAGGACCTTTAGATCTTAATAAATACAGCAACAGTTGATGATCTGTTTTAATAATAATGTGGTGACCAAGTAAAAAATGTCTATATCTTACCAAAACTTTAATAATAGCCAATAACTCTTTTTCTCTAACTGGATAATTCATTTCAAATTTAGATATTGATTTACTATAATATGCAACTGTACCATCTACTTTACCAGAATCATTTAAAATTTCTATTACAGCACCAACAGCAAATTGACTGGCATCAGCAGTAATAACATATGTAGCACCATTTCTAGGAGATTTAAGTATGGGAGCATTTATTAATTTCTGTTTAATTGTTTCAAATGCTAATTTAACTTCAGGTCTATTTGTTCTAAGTTTTCCTAAACCACATAAAATTAAAGGTCTAATGATCTTACTAAAATTTAACACAAACTTTCTATAATATGAAACAAAACCCACAAAAGACTGCATACCTTTATTAGTTTTTGGTAGCTCCCAATTTATTAAAGCTTGAATTTTTGAATCTGAAGTTTTAATACCATTAGCAGAAATAATATGACCGAGAAAATTAACTTGTTTCATAAAAAATAAACATTTGGAAGGTTTAGCAACAAAACCATATTGTTTCAACACCAGAAAAACTTGTCTTATGTGTTTCATGTGTTCCGACCTATTATGATCAAATATTAAGAGGTCATCAAGGTAAACGACTAACCACTTGTTTAGGTAATCTCGAAAGATATAATTCATCACACGCTGGAACGTGGCCGGGGCGTTTTTAAGCCCAAACGGCATGGTGAGCCACTCGTACAATCCATAAGGCGTGGAAAAGGCCGTTAATGGGATTGACTTCTCATCCATGCCTAACTGGTGGTATCCTGAAGTAAAATCGAGCTTAGTGATGAATCCTGAATTACCAACAGAATCTAGCAATTCTTCAGCTGAAGGGAGTGGAAATTTATCATCTATTGTATTGCTATTTAGTTGTCTATAATCAATACATAACCGCCATGAACCATCGGCCTTGGGTACAAATAGGCATGGTGACGAGTAAGGACTATTACTCGGCCTAATGTACCCAGCTTTTAATAGCAGTTGAATCTGTAAATCTAAAGCTTCTTTTTTATTATTTGCAACACGATATGGTTTTAATTGTGGAACAATAGATGGATCTTTTAAATTAATGGTATGAGTGAACTGTCCTGTTCCTTTAAATGGTGGTGGTTCATTACTTAAATTAGCTTCAAAGTCCTTCATAAGTTTATCCATAAATAATGAAATTTCTACCAGCTTATGTTGATGTCTAGAATTAAATTGAAATATTTCATCATTCTTGTATTCACCAGTAACTAAATCTCTAGTTTGTGATTCATCAAATTCTTGTAAGTTTTGAAGAAACCATTTATCTTCCATAGGAGTTTCAATCTTATTTTTCATACAATCAGGTAACTCAATACTTTCACCAGGTGGGATCACTTCAATTTCAGGTGGAAATACTCTAAATTTTCTACTAATATCTGCTCCAAGAATTATAGGGTAATTTGAGATTGGTATTACATATAGTTTAATAAATGAGTTCATCAACGGGGAAAATAAATTGACATAATTATAAATTGTACATATAAAGCTTCTATCTACCAGGTATATAGGAATTGGTGTACACTCTTGTGTTATTAAATTGAACTCTTTCACTATAGAAATATTAATCACGTTTAGATCAGCACCCAGGTCTATTAAAACTGCTAATTTTGGTAATCCTTCAAATTTTAAATATATTCTTTCAACATTAAGACCTTTTGCTACTTCTTTTTCAATGTTATTTATTGTGACAATATTCCCTAGTTTAGCGTCTTGGGTAGACGAACCTAAAAATAATTTCTAACATTAGCTGAAGCATAATTGTTACCATCATCATCATCTCCAACTTCTGTGTTGTTAACTGTAGTAGATGCATTGTTTGGTCCATTTGAATTAGTATTATTGTTGTTGTTGTTATTATTATTATTATTAAATCTGTTACCATTTCTACCATTTCTACCACCTCTACCACCTCTACCACCTCTACCACCTCTACCACCTCTACCAGCAGCAGGACCCAGTGGACGTTGTTGTTGTTGTTGTTGTTGCTGTTGTTGTTGTGGTGGTGGTGATTGTTGTTGTTGTTGTTGAGATTGGTGAGATGAGTGGGATCTTTTTTGGGAAAAGAAATTTCTTTTATTTTTTCCTTCTTTCTTAAAGTGATGAGTTCCAGACCAACTTTTAGGAGCCGTTGGTCGAGGTAAATTTTTCTTTTCTTGAGCAATATCATGTTCTGAAATTTTAATATTATTGATATCATCTAATTCTTTCATTGCAGCAATAATATTGGTGTATGGATTTCTAGTATTCAAAGCAATAGTTTCAATAATTAATTCTTTGTTTGATTCTTGATCATCCTTTGGTAATTGACTAATAATTGACCTAACACCTCTTCTAAATGATTCAAATGATCCTGTATGTTTAAAATCCTTAAGTTGAAGTAAGATTCTTGTAATGAATGATTCGGATTTAAATTCATCAATGAAATCAGATAAAAATTGTCTGTAAGTAATGGTATAAATATTTGTACCATTTTCATCACCTGTAGTAGGAGTAAGAACATTCTGAATAGCATCAGCAAAATAACGTTGTAACCAATCATAGGCCTTACCACAAAAATGAGGAGCAGCTAAAGATAATAATTGAACTGGCACAATATTGGGATGCTTGATTTCATAACCAACAAATTTAAGTAATAACTGATTTCTAACTGTATAGATCTGGCCAAGGTCGTTACCTTGACCTGAAAACACGATAGCCGAACGAGTAATCTCGTCTTTAGCACTGGCATTTAAACGGATTCTTTGTGCTTTCAGCATAGCATAAACTACTCCACCTTGACTCATTCTCAATGATCAATTTAGTGGTATGCCAGAATCTTATAAAACCTTATACCAGCAATAATATACCAGCAATAATTAATAATGTAAATAATGTGAATAAATCTCTTAAAAAAATTTTTGCAGCCAAAAACAAAAATAAAACAAATAATAGCTACCAAAAATTTAATAAACCAGCAACAAATAATGATAAATCTGAAACTAATAAAAAAATTATAATAAAACCACCAAGAAAAATTGATAAATAAATTAAACTGATAAATTCTTAAATAATAATTGATATAAAGTGTTGAATATTTTAAATAATAATTGATAATTGATATAAAACTTGAAATATTGATTGATTTGAAATAATAATTGATAATAAAATGTAATTGATAATAACTTATTGATCTAATTGATTTTATATAACCTAAAAGCGTCGATTAGCTACCAACTATTAGAAGTATGACCTTAGATGACCAATATTAGAAGGTTATATATATGTGATATATATTTATGAATGATATTCTATATTGTCCTATATAATCTGGAATTCATATTCAAGGGGATTTCATCCTCCTTATATATTATTCAAATTCTTAAACTCAAAGGCGGCACAATCCTTACTTCCATAATCCTTAGCATTAAGACAAGATATCATATGATTATTAAAAGTGAACAACTCATTATTAATTACTCTATTTGGATATTGACAACTTAAGCTTTTGAATGTAACCTTGTTTCATAATTCTAATTTACTTATTCTGGATACCAACTCTCTTATAATATTATTATTACTTACCTGTGATGTTTGCCTTACTTTATTATTTAACTGATGTTTGCCTTAATTTATTATTTAACTGATGTTTGCCTTAATTTATTATTTAACCTTAATCTAATATGAACTCTTGAGCCTCGGATATATGGGGTTGCATTTGAAGTTTGTACATAACTCTTAGACTCAATTTCAATTCCAAAATCAACACATGATTGAGAATCATGTGACTAGAACCCTCATATTACTAACATGTGTTTGCTGATGATTTGGATAGTGTTAATTCTTATTATATGAACCGAACACAATCATCTTCAATTGGTTCTTCGGGTACAACTAGAATGAGAATTGCATTTCATTTTTCCACCATAGCTTAACACGATGTGCAACAGATGTCCTTAAATTAGGAAAGGTTTATGATTGATATAGCTAAGCTTAAATTTTTTTTGATTACAGGAAAAGGAAATCTTAAAATTTTTTTGGCCCGTTAATTTCATGTTGATTTTAAATCTGTAACTAAGTGTTTTTAAAAACACTAATTAAGTTAATCTGATTATCTACCTTGATTAAAAATAGAAAATTTTGGACAATCAACGTAGTGCCAGAGATTTTTGCAAGATGATGGAAATATTTTATGTTACATCGATTAAGGACTTTCAAAATTAAATATTATTAACTTCATCAATTTAATTTTTTGATTAATCTCCAATGAACACTAATTATTAGTTAAAAACATCACTGCTCAGAATTATAGTAGTCCTATAAGCCTTTACATGTCGGAATAGCTGGAAATCGTACAAACTGTTACGGTTTAAGCCATAAATATGAAGAATAGGTCTACCCAAAATAAAAGGCACTCACTTATTGGTTTCATGATTTTATCAATAACTTCATTTTAAACTCAATGACACCTTTATTTAAATATAAAAAAACCTTTCATATATCTCATAATTCAAATGTTATATTCAGAGCAATGCACTTTTCCATAAAATTAGCTCTCACTTCTATTACAAAATAGAAAGAAGAGCATGTCTATAACTCCTCTTTGTTGGTAGTATGTTACAATGAATGTATTGATACGTATACATACATGCTTTGATTTCAATACGATAAAATTGAGTCAAACAATAAAAAAGCTAAACAGGTCAGAAAGATTTCGAAACTCGGGAAACATCGATAAAATTTATAATTTTTTCTTTTCTTCAAAAAATGATTAAAACTCTTGCAAAAACTCAGCATTTATTCAAATTTACTTATGTGATTAATTTAAAATAAAAATGGTCAAGTGTAGATCAACTTACCAAATTTAGTTAATTTTTGTTCAACATTTAACTTTGAATTGTATGAACTAAGAATGTTAAAAGTGCTCCTTTACAAATTTGCTATAGGAAGTAAATGATTAATAGAATTAATTATTAAATGCACATTCGGTAAATTTAATTTTGAGTTGTTCCTTCTGAGTTGAACCAGATGCCGATACTGCAAATAAAATATCATTATATTTTTTTTATTAATTTGAATATAATACTGTATTAATTTCTATTAATAAGACCCTGTAAATTAACTATTGCGATTATTATATTCGTATAAATTCTAAATCAAATTATTAGTATCAAACACTTTTAGTTAAATTTGACTCAATATGCATTAAGAAATTAAATAAGTTGAATTTGTTAAGATTGGCTATTTTAAAGAGCGTACGTTTTGTAGTGAAAATTTGTTAATTAATTTTTCCCAACATTTTATATTTTAAATTCGTTTCAGATTTGATCAGCTAGTAACACAAAACACAAAACCTTAAATCTGATTTGAACTTATCAAAATATTGTTTGTACTATTAACGAGGTTAATATAAATTTCAATAAAATATCATATGAAATATTCAAGAACAATAATTAAATGTAGGGTATGTTTTTAAAATAAAAAAATTGAATGACTATAACGTATGGTTTTATATTTTTAATTTGTATTGAAAGATAAAATAAGGATTTTTACTGCCCTTCTAAAATGCTTCAACAATAAGTTGATCTTTGTTTACCAGTTTTATCACTACATGACTGCGTGTAATTTATTAGTATAACTAGTTCATATTAAGTAATTGTTCTCAATAGATGACTGGCAACTTTTTTGAGCTGATTGTTAATCTGAGACATATGATTGGTATTTGATGTTCATAAAAATAATGCTCAAAACTTTAGTCCATCTTTATATGAAGTTCAGTTGTATTAAGAGCATTAAAAGGATAAATCCCTACTTGCTGGTTAGTGTGTTTAGTTATTATATGTAATAATGTATGTGTATTCTCCTTACTCTTTCAAAATTATACTCTTCAGAAACTTTTAATTTATTTTTTTCAATATAATTTACAGAATATTCTACTGAAAAATATTATATACCTAATGGATCGAAAGGCTTAGCAATTGATATATTTTTTATTAATAATGTATTCAATTAATTCGGTTCACCAAACAAACTATAATATTATTTAATTTAGCATAATTTAATATGATAAAATATATAATATAAATATTTAAAAAAAAGTTTTAAGTAATATTTAGAAATTTGAAAGGGGTATATTACACAAAAAAGAATAAATAAAAAATAAACCACAAAATAAAATATGATTAATAAAACAATTTGTTTCAGATTATGTTGGATTTATTTTTTTTTACTAATCATTCAATGTAATTTATTTTAGAAGTATTTTAATATTGAAAAAGATAAAAATAATAATAGACAAAAAAAGATTTAATCAAAGAGAAATTAATGTTGGAGAAAAAAAAAATAAAAAAGTACTCAACAAATACATTTTGAAAATCTCATATGATAATAGGTATTATTTATTGTATAAGTCAATATTTAATTTACTAGTAATACCATAGTCATTTGAAAATCAAATTATAATTAAAGATCATATGAACAGATGAAATACAGAATATCTTATACTTTGTAACTATGACCTATACCTTTTCATGATGTTATATAGTATAATATATTCTGTATTTTTACTATATACTTTTTTACTGTAATTAAATTTCCCCACTTTTTTTTAATTTTTTAATTTTTTTTTCAGATTTAAATCATTAATGAATAAAATAAATAAATTAAAGTAAATATAAAAATATTAAATTTAATATAAATATAGAAACAAATTCACGCATTTTGATTTCAAATTTTTAAATTTCTCCTACATTGCAAGAGTTTACCTAAACACGAGAATATAAGTTATTTGGAATAGTTTGATTTTCAAATTCTCCCATCAGATACAATGTGTAATTGATTCTGTTAATTTTGATTTGAAATCTCCAATGATTTTTATATGGTATTTAAAATGTTTTTGAAATGAAGGAGAATATTTAGTTGGTCAAGGCTTTATTATATTAATTTACAATTAAGTTATGTAATTGATAAATGGGCTTTTTAATAAAAATGATTATTAATGAGTATCATTAAATATTGCATTTATTTGATATGATTGATATGAGTATTAACTCCAATTAAAAAAATGAATATAATCTTTCGATCATTCTGATATATTTTCCTTCAAGTGTTGTAATATTTTTAACTAGTGACAAATTCGTTCTTCAATGGTCCTTCAAACTTGTACATTTTTTTGAAATGTACCTTGATTTTTTGTATTTAATTCAATAAATGTATTATTGTATTATTGTATATGTAAACTCAAATAATTATTGTAAATTTTGTTTCATCTCTCAAACTCTTTTAATTTATTTAGATATTTAATTGTAAAACTCTTTAAATATCTTTTCGCTTTAATCAAACATTTTAGTTTTCTTTAACTATAGCTAATAATAGATAATATATTATTAAATTATTATCTATCTATTATCTACAATATAATATTTTATTAAGTACTAAATAAAAAAAAACTCCGGATTATGATCTAAGTCCGGGGATGACTTACTATTTAAACATTTGAATTTACATTGAATCAAAATTCATTATTAATAAGCATCTTATAAATATGAATCATTCTTTTTAAATGAAGTGAGACATCTTTAATATATTCTATTAATTTATAACAATGTATTCATTGTATATATAAAACTTGTAAAAATCTTTCTAATAATATAAAAAAAAAATGGCCCCGGCGGTAATAGTGGACCCAATAAGATTAATTTTAAAAGCAATAAAATTATTATTATTTTTTTTTTTTTTTTTTTNTGAATCTTAATTTAACATTCATCAATTCATTATCTATTCAATATTGACATACAACATAAACAATGTTATCTAGAAGTATAAGTTGTTCTTTAAAGAGAACTAGTCAAACTCTATTAAATTCAACCACCAGAAATTCAATTAAATTTTCAAATGTTTATAAGAATACTCCATTTCAAATCTGTAATTCAATTAGATTTGCATCAACAAAAGTAAAAGTTCCAGATATGGCTGAATCAATTACTGAAGGTACATTAGCATCATTTAATAAAGAAGTTGGGGATTTTATTAATCAAGATGAATTATTAGCAACAATTGAAACAGATAAAATTGATGTTGAAGTTAATGCACCAGTTAGTGGAACAATTAAATCATTTTTAGTTGAACCAGAATCTAATGTTGAAGTTGGACAAGAAATTGCAGAAATTGAAGAAGGTGGTGAAGCTCCAGCTAAAGAAGAATCAAAAGAAGAATCAAAGGAAGAAAAACCAGCAAAAGAAGAAGCACCAGCAAAAGAAGAAACACAACCTAAAAAAGAAGAACCAAAAAAAGAAGAACCTAAAAAACAAGAACCAAAAAAAGAAGAAGCTCCAAAACCTAAAAAGGAACAACCAACCAAAAAATCAGAATCATCAAAAGAATCATCAACCCCAACTTTCACCAATTTTTCAAGAAATGAAGAAAGAGTTAAAATGAATAGAATGAGATTAAGAATTGCTGAAAGATTAAAAGAATCACAAAATACTGCAGCATCATTAACTACCTTTAATGAAGTTGATATGTCAAATTTAATGGAAATGAGAAAATTATATAAAGATGAATTTTTAGAAAAAACTGGTATAAAATTAGGTTTTATGGGAGCATTTTCAAAAGCTGCATGTTTAGCAGCAAAAGATATTCCAGCAGTAAATGCTTCTATTGAAAATAATGATACTTTAGTATTTAGAGATTATACTGATATATCAATTGCAGTTGCAACTCCAAAAGGTTTAGTTACACCAATTGTTAGAAATGCAGAATCAAGATCTATTTTAGGAATTGAAGAAGAAATTTCAGCATTAGGTAAAAAAGCAAGAGATGGTAAATTAACTTTGGAAGATATGACTGGTGGTACTTTTACTATATCAAATGGTGGAGTATTTGGATCATTATATGGTACCCCAATTATAAATATGCCACAAACTGCTGTTTTAGGTTTACATGGAGTAAAACAAAGACCAGTAACAGTAAATGGACAAATTGTTTCAAGACCAATGATGTATTTAGCATTAACTTATGATCATAGAGTATTAGATGGAAGAGAAGCTGTTACTTTCTTAAAAACAATTAAAGAATTAATTGAAGATCCAAGAAAGATGTTATTATTAGAATAGGTATATAAAGTCATTAATTAAAACAATAGTAAATTATTTTTTTTAAACAACAACTGAAATTGTAGTTTTACTAGTTTATCGTAAATATTGTAATTTCATTAGTTTATCGTAGAATCTTTTTTAGTTGTTACTCAAAATTGCCATATAATTGGATTTGTTTACAATTTGTACTAAAAAGGTAAATAGATCTAACACAAACTTAATATTTTTTTTTGCAGCTTCTTTGGCAATTATCTTTTTCTGTCAAAAAAAATAAAAAAATATACAAAACAACAATCTAAATAAAAAAATCATACAACAAAGACAACTACTTTCTTTTTCATTAGTAACCAAAGATGGAGAATATATTTGAAGAGTTAAAAGTAAACGAATCAACATTTGATCAATTCTTTGTACCAGATAATAATGAAATAGATTTTTTATTCAATGAAACTTTAAATAATTTACAAGAATTAGATGTTCCTAGTGGATTTGGAACAAATACAACTACAAATAATCCATTCCATCATTCATATCAAAAATCAAAATCTAAAACTCATTCAAGACAAATGAGTGGTACTGCAATATTTGGATTTACTGATCATAATAGAGAATTTTCATTAAATGGTATAGATTTTTTAAAACAACAATCAACAACACAAAGTATATCACCTGGAGAAATTATAAAGCCAATAATAAAACCATCAATACCAAGTCAAGATATTTTAAATTTTAATTTTGAATCAGAACCTTTATTAGAAGAAGATGAAGAAGATTTAACATTTAATAAATTAACTCAATCATCACCAATAAAACAAATTTCAACACCAACTAAATTACCACAACAAAATCTGCAAACTCAACCAAGAACAATTAAACAAGATGAATATATTGTTACTAATCAAAACCCTAAATCTTATAAATTCCCACCTTCACCAACTCCATTTAGAAATGATCAAAAAATTATAAATCTGTATTCTGCAAAATATTTACAATCTTTACAAATGCAACAACCAAATAAATTTGTTGATGATTTTGAACCATTATTAGAAGATCCATCAATAATACAATCACATGGAATAATTGAACAACCACCACCACAACTTCAACTGTCACCAATACAATACCAACAATCACAACCACACTCACAATCACCAATGCATATTCAACAACAACAACCACCACCACCACCACCACCATCTCAAATACAACAGCCACTAACATTTAATACGTTCTTACCACCACCCACTCCTCCAACACTATCGAATGAATCACCAGAATGGCAATCATCACCAGAACCACTTTCTCCATCACCACAAAGATCTCAACTACATCATCATCAACCACAAAATATTTCACCATTACATCCACAATTAAAACAAGATATAAATTTTTATACTCCATTTTATAATCAACAATCAGAATATTTACAACAATTATTATCATCTCCATATTCAACTAACCTTGAATCACCTATAAAAGATCAATCACCATCACAACAACAACAACAAGTTCAACAACAATTTTCAACTCCAACAAAACCGAAACAAATTTTAGAATGGAGTCCCGTTATTAGTCCAAATTCAAAACAATCATTATCAAAACAAATTAAGGATTCAACTCCCAAACGAAGAGTTAAAAAAACAAGTTTATTACCACCAGGAGAATTAGATAATTATTGGATAGGACCAGATGAAAATAAAATTTATAAATGTACATACAAGAATTGTGGGAAATTATTTACAAGAAGATATAATGTTCGTTCTCATATACAAACTCATTTATCAGATAGACCATTTTCTTGTAAATTTTGCGTAAAGAAATTTGTTAGACAACATGATTTAAATCGACATCTCAAGGGTCATAATGAAGCAAGATTAAGTAAATGTCCATGTGGTAAAGAATTTGCAAGATTAGATGCATTAAAAAAGCATCAAGAAAGAAATATTTGTGTTGGTGGTATTAAAGGATTAGTTAATAAACCTTCGAAGAAAAAATTAGTTGATTTAGATCCATTAACTCAATTGAAAATTGTTAGTGAATTAGAACCTATATAATATTAAATAGTTTGTGAATTTAAATTTTTGTGAATTTATTAGCATTATTTTAATGATTTTGTAAAAGTACAATTTGAATTTCTCTTACTTTTATTTAAAAATAAAGTGTAGAATTTGCTAGATTTTGTTATACTCGTTCAAGTTTAAGTTACTTTATTCAAATTTTAAACTTCAAAATTTCAGGTTAAATACTACTGAGTATAGATTGATAAATTCACAGTTGTCACATGATAAATTAATTTATTAAATAAGAACCTAAACCTAGAACTTTTATTAAACAATTTTTTCCTAATCAGTTTCCATTTTTATATTATTAGCAGCTTCTTCTTCTTCTAATTTATGAATTTTTAAATGTTGATTTAAATTATCTGATCTTGAAAATTTTTTATTACATATTGAACAATCATAAGGTTTTTCAAAAGTATGTAATGATCTAAAGTGACGTTTTAAATGTTCATGACGTTTAAATCTTCTTGAACAATAATTACATAAATATATTTTACTTTCATCATTTAAATCTGCTTCTTTATTTTCTTTTCTTCCACGAGTTCTATTTTTAGAATTTATAATTGATGTAGGAAAAATTTTTGTATCTGGTGGTAAATCTAATGAAGCAAGATCAACTTGAACTTCAACACCTTCTGAAATCATTGTAGCGACAGGGGTATCTAATGATGCTATAATGGGAACTTCATCAATAATTTTTTCCTTCTTGATAATGGTTTTTTTAGGTTTATTACTTTTGGGCATTATTTTGGACCCCAAAATTCTTTTTGAAATGGTTGTTGGTTGAGGAGTTGATGCTGATGATTCACCACTTTCATTTGTTGAAGTTTTTTGTATTATTGATGCATTTGATGATGATATGCTTTCATTATTAGCACTTGCTCCATCACCTATTGAATTTTGTGAACTAGTTGTAGGTTTTTTATTCTTGTTAAAAAATAATGATTGTGGTTCTTTTGGTTCTTCTTTAATCTTTTTTCGATTAGTTGGTTTTCTTTTCCCTACATTTTCAAATAATGCTGCATAATCTGGTTCTGTTGTTGCAATAGTTTGTGAAGAATCTGAAGTGGAATGTTCTAAATTATGACTACCTGTCATTATAGATGATTCACTTGATTCTTGAGTTGGTTCTATTGGTTGTAGTTGTGGTTGTTCTTCTTCTTCTTTATTTGTTTTAAATCTTGTGAATAAACTTCTTTTAGTTGATTTTGTTTTTTTTGGAGTTTCTTCTTCTGGTTCTTCCTTTGTGGGACTCATTAATAAAAATGAATCTGTTAACATATTTGTATCTTCCATTTCTGGTTGTGATTGTTGAGACTTGAAAATTGACTTGATTAGATGTTTTTGTGGTGGCTGTTGTTGTTGTTGTTGTTGTTGTTGTTGATTTCCAAATAAAGATTGTGGTACTGGAGTTGGTGGTGATCTTTGTTGATTCTTATCACCCATAAATGGTAAAATATTACTTATTGAATTTGTAAAACTAATATATCTTCTTTGTTGTTGAGATTGTTGACTATCAATAGAAGGTCGTCCATAAAGATCTTGTGAAGGACGTGGTTGATCAATAGAATTTCTTGAAAGATATTGTTGTGCAGAAAAAAATGATGGTTGTGCAGATTGATTTGATGATATAGAATGAGTATTTGATGTTGTAGTTGTTAATGGTGATAATTCATTAAATTTATGTTGTAAATGAGCTTGATTTATTGCATTTGCTGCATAATAAGAATCTATTGATCCATTACGAACTCTATTTCCAACAAATTGTTGTTCTACATTATTATTATCAAAATAAGTTCTACCAAAAACACTATTTTCCATTGCATGTTGTACATTTTGATATGAAGAAACTCTTGAATTTTCATTATAAGGACTTTCATTATGAGCAGGACTTCTTAACAGTGAATTATGATGATTACTTATATTCCCATGACTTATTATTGATAATCTATTTTTAAATGAATCATTTTCTTTTTGATGATTATTATTATTATTATTACTTGTTATTATTGAATTATTATCTAAACCTTGATCAAAATATAAATCCAGTTCTATTGTAAAAGGTGGGGAATCATCAACTTCCATTTCATCTTCTTTTTGTTGTTGAGGTGGTTGTTGTAAATTAAAATCAAAATCTATATCATTTATTTGAAAAGTTGTTGTTTCATTATTTGAATTAAATTGTGGATATAATTGAGAATATTCATCATTAATATCTTTTAGATTTGAAGATAGTAGATCTTGTTGTTGTTGATTATTATTATTATTAAGGTTATTAATATTATTATTATTATTTGAATCAGGAGTTATAGAGTAATCATTTTGTTGTTGATGATTATGAGATGTAAAATCATTATAAAATTCAGACTCAAATTGTTGGTCCAAAACATTATTGGAATCCATTTCAAAGTGAAGATAATACAACACTTAATGAATAATATATAAAATATTAATTGAATAGTTGATTCTTGAATGATATATTGAACTGTAATAAATTTGGTTGTAAAAAATATAAATTATTAATATACATGTAATTAATTTATTAGTTAGTTACACACAAAAATTAATTATACTATTAGAGAGTAAAAATAAAAAACTTTACTAATAAAATTTAATTAAGTAATTTTTAGAATATTATGTATTAAATTTATTAAGATTTGGGTCAAAGAAAATATAATTAATTATTATTTATTATCAAAACCAATTATAGTCACACTACCCATTTTTTCCCAATAATTAATAGGAATGAAATGAATTAATAAATTAATGAAAAGCTTATTATTATTATTATTATTCTAATTATAGCCCTTTTTCTTTATATTGACTTTATATATTTTATATACTTTGACTTTTAACCCCCTTCTTAATTTGTTTCTATTTAGAAAAGTTTATTATTGATATCACTCTCACTCTGCCTCCTCCCCGTAAATTAGGTCGATCTGGTCCTGCACTACCACGTGTAAAATATTTTCATATTTCCAGATAAACCGGGTACTGAAGAGAGAAAAAAACTAAAAAGGGCTTAAAATACAAAATCTATTTTTAATCTTACGATATAATAATAATAATACATACAAAATGTAAAAACGAAATAAATAAATAACCGTCTAAATATATTCAAAATTTTTAATCACCGTTTATTTTTCTCCTGATGGGATTCTTTGTCTCAAATTATCTCTTATTTCATCTATAGCTTCATCAGGATTCATTATTTTTAATATTGATCTTCTTTTACTACTAACTAAAACTTGAGCATCTATATTATTTTGATCATCACTTATAAATGATTCTGTATCACCACCACCACCAAGCAATTGTTCTGAATTTGTTAACCTAAGACTTCTTAAAGGTTTTTTCTCAATCATTGGTGAAGTTGGAGGAGTATTTGTGAAACTAAATGATTTTTTGAGGTTTTTTATAGATTTACGTACTGCAACTGGATCTAATGTTGGTTGAATATCTTCATTTATCAGTTCATCATCCACAATATTTAAAGTTTCATTAGAAGCAAGATAACTATTTCTTAATTTTTTATTATCAAATTGTTGTCTTTTTTTCATCCATGAATCAATTGATGCTGCTCCACTTAATGTTGAACTTGAATCATTATCTAAATGTATATATATTGGATTATCATCTATTGAAATTGGTTGGGTTGTGTAATCAAATTTATAATCTATTTCATTATATGAAGTTTCATTATTAATTGTTTTTCGTTTTTTAAAAAAATAATAAAATACTAAAACCCCTAGTATTAAACAAACTATTGAAATGGGTATTACTGTTCCTAGTATTATTTTCTCTTTATTATTATTTGATGAATTATTAAGTGTTTGAATATTTGTATTTGTTTTAACATCTTCAACAGGTTTAAAAGTTTCTGCATCATATAAATTAATTTGATAACCTTGAGTAGTCATTCTTTTATCTTTTAAATCAGTAGTTGAATTAATTACTACTAAAGTTGAAAAAATAGTAGCACCACCTAATATTTCATCAATATTTAATTGATTATTACTCATATCTGAATGCCATTCCCAATTATTTGATGTCATTTGTAAATTTGCATAAAGAGGAGTACTTTGTTTACTATTTAAATCACCACCAATCATTAATACTTGATCTATATTAAAATTATTTATATTATTGGTTGGTTTGAAAATGGGCAACACCAAGGGAAAAGTTCTTGTATTTACTGTTGTTTCTGAGGTTTGAATTTGTTTAAAAGACCAACCGGAGTCAAAATTCCAAGTAGCTAATTGATACATATTTAACCAACCTTGAGTTGATTCACCTCCAATAATTAATTGTGATTGAGTATTTGGTGCTAAAATGTTTGAAGCTCCATAAAAAGGTTGTGGTTTTGTAGATGTTGTTATATTACTTATTGTTCCATTATTTAAATCTATTGAAATTAGTCGATTTGTAATTTGTTGATTTGATGAACATATTCCTCCATATATATATATTGAATCTTTATAATCTGATGTTAAAATAGTTGAATAATCATAAAATGAATTATCTATATAATCATCTAATTCTAAATCTATTTCGTTTTCCCATGAATCATTTATGAATTTAATTATTGATATTGATCCATCTTGACATAAATTTGAATTTGTGGTAGTATCTGATTTTGTTAATCCATATAATGAATCTCCTACAATGAATAATGTTGTATTTGCTGGTGGTGATGGTAAACTTGTGATAACTTGATGATTTACGAGATTGTTTGTTTTATTGAATTGACCAGTTATATCAAATTGTAATTGTAATAAATCATTATTTTTCAAATGTAGATAAACCAACCCGTTCTTGTATGAGTATAACGTATTCCAATTTTTATTAACTCTTGACATCTGTAAAAGATATTGACTTTGTGATAAGACTGAATGATATAAACATATCTTCAAAATTATTTGAAACAGAATCAATTTTTTTAAATGGAAAGAATGATACTAAAAAATAATTGTTCCATTTGTTTACAATTCAACCTATTTAGGAAAAGATATGGAGATATAAGATTTTTGAAAAAATTGTTCCATCAGGGGAATAAGATCCAAATAGTTTAATTAACTCTGAAAGATCTCACTTTTTTAAGTTTGATGGTTCAAATTCGGAGTCGAAGCTTTAGGGGTAACTTCACTTAAATTTTGAAATTTCAATATCTTGATCAATAATTAAGTGAAAGATTTTATAACAAATAAGAAAATGCCTTACTTTATATAATTTGTAGATCCATAAGCTTTATGATGACTCCGTACTGTTTATATCCAAGTCTCGAGCTAAACTTGGAACATAATGTTTTGGTTGCCTTTTCTTAATTTATTCTTCTACTCTTCCCCAGATAAGAAAAAATCGAAGAAGTTAGAAAAAATATATACTAAAAAAAATATATATATAAATATTTTTACAACCAAAATTCCAGAAATGACAGTATTATCATCAGACGAAATCAATCTAGACCAATTGTCATCACAATACAAGAAAATAATATTGAAATGTCCATTTCCCAATTGTAACACTAAAATTATTCAATATTCATCAACAAAATTGAAATCACAAGATATAGAAAATGCACCAAAATGTATTGGAATTCAAAACTATCCACAAATAAAAGAACCAAAATTATCAACATCCACTTCAAAATTTTATCAAATAAATGATGTTTGGGAATTCGATAATATTGGAGTTAGTAGACCTACGGAAATACAAAAAGAACCAATACTATTAAAAGTAGATGGAGAAGAAGAAGAAGAAATTCAAATAAATATAGAAAGATTACTTATTTGTAGTGAATGTGATAGAGGTTCTTTAGGTTTTGCAGGAATTGAATATGGTAAAGATAATGATCATAAAAATTTAAATTATTTCTTGAGTCAAAATAGTGTTTTATATGAATATGAATAGATTTAAAATTTTACAAAAATTTGAAGAATAATTATCTTGATAAGATCTCTTGCACAATTTTGTTGAGCTCAAGCGGATGATTTTGATTTAATAGTGGAAATCAGGTTAAAAATGTTTGTACATTATTAATCCGTCTCTTCTATTCAAAATTGATCTTAAAAATTTAATTTAGAATTAAAAACTAAATAAAAAGTCCGAAATATCTTTAATTCCGAAACTTGCATAAATAATAATTTTTGAATAAAGTATTCTAAGAGTACAAGTTTCAGAGGCGAATAATTAGATTAATTTTAATGATCTTCGAGTAAAAGTGTTAATATTCGAAGTATCGTAGCAGCAAGCCCCGCACTCAAAATGTATAACAGTGTGAAAGTTTCTAATGGTTTCTATTTTCTGTGTGTTGTGATATGATAATTAATTTACGATGATAATTTTTGCAACCAAAAAGAAATAATCAGACTAAAAAAACATATTGGTTGCCAACATTCACATTTATCAATAAGTATTGAAAAAAAAATATGCCACCAAAAGCTAAAAAAGGTAAATCATTAGAAGAAAAACAAAAAGATTTATTAGAATGGTTTCAATCAAATCATGATTTTTATCCATTGAAAGAAATTGAACAAAAAGCAAGTAAAAATTGTAAAATTTCATCAATTCAAATTAAAGAATTAGTTAACAACCTAGTTAATGAAGGATTTATTGAAGTTGAAAAATGTGGTACTACTAATTTATATTGGAGTTTTAAGTATAATCAAATTAAATTGAAAGAAGATAAGTTAACTAGATTAAGTGAAGAAATTAAAGAAAATAAAGATACTTCTAAAGAACTAGAACAAAAATTACAAGTTTCAGAAGAAGAAAGAAGCACAGACAAAATGCCAGATAGAGATGAGAAAGTCTTAGAATTAGACACATTAAGTAAAGAAATTGCTGACTTAAACTCAAAATTGAATCAATTAAGTTTAGTTAATAATGTTGATGAAATAAAGTCAAAAATCGAATTTTATAATGATCTGATTGAAACATTGTTGAGTTATTTAAGTCAAAGAAGTGGGTTCAAAATTGATGAATTAAAACAAGAATTTAATATACCAATGGAATTAGAAGATATTCCAGGATTGAAATCTTGAATGTAGGTTTGGTTGCAAAATAAATTAAAATTTTTAGTTGCAAATGTTTTGCTCTGATTAATGGGATAACAGAGTTTTTAAAGGTTAATAATAATATAAATAATATTCTAAATTAATTAGTACATCATTTATTATGTGATTTAATGTAGTTAATGGTATAAGATTCTCTTGAATGTGATCTTCATTGAAAAGGTTTATAACAACACACAAAAATTAAGATTAATTTTCACAGGCAACACAAAAAAAAAAACCCTAAAAATTAAATTTTACTCCTCTTTATAAAATTTTAATTTGACTTTAAATAAAAATTCTTTCCACTTTTTGATTAGACGAAAGCTTTTATTAAGGTTATAGTCCGCTAGCTATTGCAGTATGCAACTCACTGAATAGATCTAAATTCTATAGTAATGAACTTATTTGACTGAGATCATTTTATTTTCTTTAACTAATTAAATCTAACTAATAAATTCTTTAACTCCGATAGTAAAAACACATGCGTTAAAAATAAATAAAATTTAAGTTTTCTATAAAGAAACAATAAAATAAAATTATAATAATGTCATAAAAATTTAAAACTTAATAATATAAAAATAAATCAACTGATTTCTAAATTAAATTTGTCAATGATTTTGTAGAACTTTAATAGAAAGCTTTACTGATTTAAACGAATAAGTATTTTAGAATAAGATTTATATCATTGAAACAAAAATTGAAAATCTATTCTAAATATATAATTTATTTAATAGATAGAGATTTACAGTAATAAAAACTATTTCGTAATCTCCTATAATATTCAATAATATAAATTTAACCCCAGGTTTTTTATTTTTTTTAATCATTTTTTTGAAAAATTTAAATATTGATTTTTTTTTTCCATTCTTTTTTTTATTCTTTTTTAAGTCCTTACTTTTATTTATTCAATTATTTAACACATATTAATAGATAATTATTTATAATCAAATTTTATATAAAACAATAATTAATTCTCAACTTTATTTTACATATTCAATATTTTATTATCAGAGTCTTTAATTATAATCAACTTTATTTTTACTTTCATTTTTAAAATAATCACTACATCCAATATTCAAAAATGGCCTTATTACCTGATATTGCCGATGAAAGTCATGCTCAAACTTTTTCATATTTAGTTGATGGTGTTATACATGATATACCAATTGAAATTGCAAGAGAATTTTTAAGTAATGATTTAAATGAAGAAGAAATTATTGAATATACTAAATTTTATACAAAACCAAGTGATTTACCCCAATTTAAACAACAAGTATTAGATGTTATTAATACAAATACAACAAATGCAACTCAATTATTTATTTTAACAATGACTATATTAGATTCTAAAATATTAGCACCAACTTTTACAAATTCAATAACTCTTGTTAAAGATATGTCATTAAAAGAAAGAGAAAATTTAATTAAAAGTTGGAGAGATTCACCAATACCATTAAAAAATAGATTATATAGAATGTGTGTTTCATTAGGTTTAAAAACTTTTGTTACTATAAATAATGAATTACATTTAAAAGCTATTCATTATCCTGGTAAAGATTTAAAAGAAAAAGCTTATTCAACTCAAGAAATTGATCCTTTCAAATATGATTTTGTTAAAAAACCACAATTTCAAAATTCTGAAATATATTTACCTGATATTGATGTTGTTATTATTGGTTCAGGTGCAGGTGCAGGAGTTGTTGCTCATACTTTAGCAAATGATGGTTATAAAACATTAACTTTAGAAAAAGGTAAATATTTTTCAACTTCAGAATATAATTTTAGTGATTGTGATGGTATGCAAGAATTATATCAAGGTGGTGGTGCAGTAAGTACTACGAATCAACAATTATTTATATTAGCTGGTTCTACATTTGGTGGTGGAACTACAGTTAATTGGAGTGCTTGTTTAAAAACTCCATTTAAAGTAAGAAAAGAATGGTATGATGATTATGGAGTTGAATTTGCAGCAACTGATTCTTATGATAAATGTCAAGATTATGTATGGAAACAAATGGGTGCATCAACTGAAGGTATTACTCATTCATTAGCTAATAAAATTGTTGTTGATGGTGGTAAAAAATTAGGTTATGCAAGTAAAGAAATTGAACAAAATAGTGGTGGACATCCTCATCATCCTTGTGGATTTTGTTTCTTGGGTTGTAAATATGGTATTAAACAAGGTGCTTCGGTAAATTGGTTTAGAGATGCAGCAGCTCATGGGTCCAAATTTATGGATAAAGTAAGAGTTTTAAGAATTTTACATGAAAAGGGAGTTGCAAAAGGTTTATTATGTTTAAATGAAGAAACTGGAATGGTTTTCAGAATTTCAGGACCTAAAAAATATGTTGTTTCTGGTGGTTCATTAAATACTCCTATAATTTTACAAAATTCAGGTTTTAAAAATAAAAATATTGGTAAAAATTTAACATTACATCCAGTTACTGTAGTATTTGGAGATTTTGGACGTGATGTTCAAGCTGATCATTTTGATAAAAGTATTATGACATCTGTATGTACACAAGTTGATGATTTAGATGGTAAAGCTCATGGAGCAAAAATTGAAACTATTTTAAATACTCCTTTTTTACAAGCAGCAATGTTACCATGGCGTGGATCAGATGAAGCAAGGAAAGATATATTACGTTATAATAATATGACTGCAATGTTATTAATTACAAGAGATACTTCAACTGGATCAGTTACTGGTGATCCAAATAGACCAGAAGCTTTATATATTGATTATACTGTCAGTAAATTTGATAAGAATGCATTATTGCAAGCTTTATTAATAACATCAGATATGCTTTATATTGAAGGTGCTAAAAGAATATTAAGTCCTCAAGCATGGGTTCCAATTTTTGAATCTACAACTCCAAAAGATCAAAGATCAATAAAGGATAAAGATTATGTTGAATGGAGAAATAAAGTTGCTAAAATTCCTTTAGATACATATGGAACACCTTATGGATCAGCTCATCAAATGTCAAGTTGTAGAATGTCAGGAAAAGGTCCTAAATATGGAGCTTGTGATACAAAGGGGAAATTATATGAAGCTTCAAATATTTATGTTGCTGATGCAAGTTTATTACCAACTGCTAGTGGAGCAAATCCAATGATTTCTACAATGACTGTTGCAAGACATGTTGCATTGGGAATTTGTGATGATTTGAAAGTTAAACCAAAATTATAGTTTATATTGTATATTTTTATTAAACAAAATTAAATTAGATCAAAAGGTAATGTTAACGTAAATTCTCTAAAAAATGGAAATAGTGACAAGATCAGAAAAATAAACTTTTATTTAATATACATCTCTATTTAACGATAATACCCTTGTTGTTGTTGACCATACCCAGTATATTGTTGTCCAAAATATCCAGTTTGTTGTTGTTGTTGTGGTACTTGTTGAAAACCCGTAAATTGTGGAGTTTGTTGTTGTTGGAAAATTTGTTGTTGAGGTTGTTGTTGCTGTTGACCAAAATACCCAGTCTGTTGCTGTTGCTGTTGTTGAGGAGATACAACACCAGTAGGTTGATTATATAACGACATTATATTTTGTTTACTTGTTTGTTGAGCAATTAATTGAGGATTATTCATGGCTTGTAATTGTTGTTGATGTTGAGGATTATTAGGATCTAAATATTCTTGACCATTTTGATCAACATATGATATTTGTCCCGTTATTGGATCTGTGTATTGATATATTTGAGGTTGTTGTTGTATTATACCTGTTTGTTGTTGTGGTAGTTGTTGTTGTTGTTGACCGTTTGAACTCCACCAATCTGAATTTGATGATGTTGGTTGACTTTGTACTGTGTTTGTACTAGTTGTTGTTGAAGCACGAGGTCTATTTGGTAAACTTGGAGCTGTTTCTTCTTTTGCTGGATTTATTTTAATATCTTGATCTAAAATATCCAAAGCTCTATCAATGTTACCATTACTTAATAATAAACTTTCTAAAATTTCATCTCTGTCATTATACCCAAAAGTTCTTATTTTATTTACTTGATTTTGATATTGAGTATATTCAAAAGTTGTTAATTTTCTATGAGTTAATTTTGGAATAACACCAGGAATACTTCTTGTACTATTTGATCTTGATCTTCTTGAAACTATATCATCACTTGCGTTACTATATTTTGACATTCTATCATCATCGAACTCATGCTGATCTATATCATCATCTCTATATTTACCTAGTATATATTTGTCTCTAATATATTGTTCAACAACTCCAACATCATCATCTCCATCATATGGAAATGGAATCTTTTTAGAATTCCATTTCTTTCTTGCTTTTGCATTTCCTATTTTACGTAATTTGTTAACTTGTTCATCTGTCCAATTATCCAAAGTTAATGATTTAACTTTTGATATATTATAATTTGGTGGACCTAAAATTCGTTTATGAACTGATGCACACCTACCACATAAAAATATACCTAAATTATATGAAGCCCAAGTTGGATATTGGGCTTTACATTCTCCACATTTATTATCATTACCTCTACTATTTACAATATCTATCAATTGTTTTTCTGTATTCTTTTGATGTCTCCTTGACATTGTTTTTGTAGTTGTTGTGGTGGTGGTGAAATTATTTTAGATTGAAAGGCTTGTGGTTTTGGATTGTTCGGAAATTAAAAAAAGATTGTAGAAGAATAATGAGAAATTTAAAATTAAATGTTACAGAAGTAATATTTTTTATTTTATATTAAATTTATATTAAATTCAAAAGAAGTTCTCATATCTCTTATAATTAGTTCATTAATATCTATATTTATATCATTTAAGTAATGATCAACATTAATTGATTTTACAGCTTCATCTAATTCTTCGAAATTTGGTACATTCGCGGATTTGGGGTATCCTGTTGCAAGTGAAATATGGATAGAATCTTTTAATAAATCTGGAAATTGAACTTGTCCACGATTTTCTTTGGTGGTTTCATTAAATACCTTTAACATTTCTTCTATATATTTTTTGATTTCCATATCTAGGTTTACTACTCCACAAAGAAATATTATTGATTTTGTAGGACTTTTACCTAAAATTAATTTGTTTTCAAATTTCAATCTTATCGATTTTTTAGATAGCATATTTAGCATTTGAATACTTGAACTTGGTGGTGTAACTATTGAATTTTCTGGAAGTCTCAATGAAGCTATTTTACTCCGTATATCATTCTTGAACTTTGATGCATTTTTGTCTTCAATATTTACCGTAGGATATGCAGTAATATGATATTTAATTTGTCTTTTAAAATCTTTGTTGACAGGTTTAAAGATGTAATTTTGATTTAGTAAAGTTATTTCTTTCGTTATATAATTTGTTAATTTATCTAGATTTGAAGTTGTTGTAAGTGATGGTTTCCAAGGTATGTAAGAAAATAATGATGTAGTTGATAATGTTCTCATTTGTTGATGTTGCAGGAAAATTTCAATTGGGGGTGGTGGTATTAGTTTTGAATCAGACTCATTGGTATTTGACTGCTCTTCTTCACTATCTGATGATGAGTAATTTTGTAAATATTCCATGAATAGATCTAATGCTTAAGAGATCTGAAATCAATTTCGTAAACAATAATTGTCGTGTCTGAAAACACTAAATATGAAACAAGACTTTATATAATTTTCTATAAACTCTCCAAACTTTTCAAATCTTGTAATTCCGAAACAATCACCACCAAGAAAGATGGTGCTTCCACAACCAATTAACATCAAAAAATGGATAGAAGAAAATGAAAACCTATTGAAACCACCAGTAAATAATTATTGTTTACATAGAGGTGGTTTTACAACAATGATTGTTGGTGGTCCAAATGAAAGAAGTGATTATCATATAAATCAAACCCCAGAATATTTTTATCAACATAAAGGAGCTATATGTTTGAAAGTAGTTGATGATGGTGAATTCAAAGATATTTGGATTCAAGAAGGTGATCTGTTTTTGTTACCATCAAACATTCCACATAATCCTTGTAGATTTACTGATACTATTGGAATTGTTGTTGAACAAGATAGACCAAAGGGAGTCAATGATGGAATTAGATGGTATTGTTCCAATTGTAACGAAATAGTTTACGAGAAGGAATTTTATTTAACTGATTTAGGTACTCAAATTAAAGAAGCAATTTTAGAATTTGATTCAGATATTAAAAATAAAACATGTTCAAAATGTGGTACAATTAATTCTTCAAAAAGAGATTAATTTGCTTAAAAGTCTAATTTATTTCTAATTTATGTAATCTATAATATATGAGTTTATGAGTGTATGATCAATCTAATTTACCTTTCGTGTATAATTCTTCACCTTTTTCAAATACATAATCTACAGCAATTTCACATGGTTTATCAAACAAGTAAGGTAATACAGGTACAATTGCTAATCCCACACCAACAGGACCATAAGTTTTCAAAGCCTTTGGTGAATTTTTAAATAAGATTGAAGAATATCTAACTGCTGAATGTATAGTAAATGCTGGTAATCCCATTGATGCAATACTTTGGAAAACTGCTCTTTTTACAGCTACAATTTTCCAGTCTGAATCAATTGCTGGTCTAGTTTCTTTAAAGGCTTCAGCAGCAATTGGATTAGGTGCTGGTGCTTTGTTCCATGGCATTAATCCTCCGTGTGAAGGCCATCTACCCTCGGATTTCATTTTAGTTTGCCACAGCACGTATGAAACATCACCTATCAAATAAAGCCAAGATATTGTATACCCAGCTTTAACTAACCATGGATGAGCAACTGGTCTAAAAGATTCCCCAATATCTGAAGTATATGCAACATAACGATGTGAAGCTAATAAAATAGTTCTAAATCTATTGGCATAAGCTGCATACCTAAGGTTTGATTCTTGAGTTTCAGCAGATTTATCATCTAATGACCCTCTGACTTTAGATACTGTGTCTTTAAGGGAATTATTGTCTATAGATTCACCATCTAATGATCCTTTGACTTTAGATACTGTGTCCCCAAGGGAATTGTTGCCGGTTGTAGACATCTGGTGGCAATTGAATTTGGTGCTTGCTACAACAAAAAATGCAATATATAAAATGCAAATTATTTTTAAACCCGAAAGTATATTTCGCAGATAAAGAAAATATAATCTAAAATATTTGTTACATCGATCAACTCATTCAATCCCCAAACTATGAAGTTCATAATAGTAATCAGATTCACTAATGCTTTATCATCAAACGAACAAATACAAGATTTATCATTACCAATAAGTATAAATTTTGATAAAGATGATGTAAATAAATTAATAAATACAAATTGGTTAAAATCATCAATACGAAGTAAAGTTTCACAATGTACAACCAAAAGATTGAAATTAATATATAATGGACGGGTACTTAATGAAAAAACTGATTTCGAAAAAGATATATTAAAACCAAGATTACAAAACTTATCTGATAATGATTCAATATATATTCATTGTGTAGTAGGAGAACAATTAACTCAACAACAATTACAAGAAGAAAATCAACTTGATAATCAAGCACAAGCAGTAACTACTACACCAAATGTGATAGGATTTGATAGATTATTACAACAAGGATTTTCAAGAGATGATGTGACTGATTTAAGAAGACAATTCATGTCAATATATGGAGCTACAAATTCAACTAGATCAAATAATGATATAATAGATGTTGAAGAAGATGAAAGTAGACAAAGAGATCTAAGACAACTCGAGGAAAGATGGATTGAATCAACTTCAAATACTGACGCAAATGCAACTACTACAACAACAAGAAATAATAACAACCTAAATCAAGATACAGATCAACCACCACAAACTCCATTAGATATGGATGAAGTTCATATAAATGAAGATTTATTATTAGGATTTTTAATTGGAATATTCTTGGGTGTTATATCGGGACTTTTCATCTTAGTTGATGATACCGTTTTTAACAAACGTCAAAAGATGGCAATTATAGCTGGTCTATCCATCAATTTTTCATTAGCTTTAGTTAGAGGTTTATGGTTATAAATTATAATATACAAATTCGTAACTTCTTGTATCTCAAAAATAAATGTGTGATCTCCCAGCCCTCATTAAATTCGTTTATAATTGGATTATAATGAAAGGGCATTAAGATGATCGTTTGTGTTTAAAAGGTTCAATCTCGCCAAAAGCTTGACGCTCGCCAACTCGTTAGGATTTAAATAGAACAGACAAGCAACACGGTTAAAGCTTTGGCTGCCGCACAAAGAGAAAAGAAAAAGAAGAAGAAAAAGTTGTAAAAAAAAATTTAATTTTGATATTTGAAAAATTTATACTAACGAGATGGTGATAATTTTCAAAAATTACACAAAATGTGCTTTATTTACCCTGCAAATTTGACAGTTGATGAAGACCATTGACATATTAATATAATCTAGTGGCAAAGTTTATTGACTTATTTGAGTTTGATAGTACTTCCCTTAAGCTTCATTTGGAAGTTTTGTAGCTGGAATTTTCAAGTCATTTCTCAAGAAATAAAAAACGCGCATTGGGCCAAAAATATGCAAATTCAAACTCAACACTCCATCTAAAAGACAGCTACTACTATCAAACCATTGAATAGACCGCTGTACAAACTACCTCTGTAACTAGCCAATTTTGGTATGCTACTATTGTTGTTTATTTCGAGAAAAGTGAGAACCAAATTTTGATGCGCGAATTTTCTCATTATGCGCTTTTTTGAAATGTTATTTTCCACAAATTCTTTGAATGTTTTATGGCTCAAAATACGGCAACGAAGTTGACCAAAATTAAACTGGGTCTTAAAATTTTGAAATTGCAATTAGAGTAATTAGTTTATCAAGAATATTTCTATATTTAGACTTTTGAAAAATTTTGTAACGAATGTTGTTGCGAAGGAGAAGTATACCCGGATTCGAATTTGAGTATAGAGAGAGAAGATGAAAAAGAGCTTTACTGTTCCGTAACTGCATATTGATATAAGTTGCAAAATTTGAAATACGATGTTTTTGCTAGTCGGTTGCCCTAAATTTTCAAAAAGAAATGAACTGATTTTTGAGAGTATTTTTTTGGTCACAAGAATTAATTGACTAGGTAAAACAATCGTTGAATTGAAAGATTTGTAGTCTATAGAGATCTAACCTTAAAACCTATTCAATGTCTTAATGAATTGGGGTTTGAAACCCGTTCAATCTTCAAAAAAATTTTGATGAAGGTGTTCGAGGACTTTATATAGATTAAATTGTAAAGATGCAATTTGCTGCAAATTTTAAAGCTTTTTAAAACGCTTTAGGTTCAATTTGTTTGTTTCCTAATTATTCCTAAATTTAAGTATTAGAATTCTTAATTTTGGGGTTCGATTTAAAAAGAATTTTTTTTAATTTTATTTAATTTTATTCTTACTAGTCTTGGCTAGATCTCTTGTGATGTTTAGATTGATTTTAGGCGGATTGGTCAACCCAGTTTATTTGATAATAAGTCTAGAGATGGTGAAGTTTATGAGAGTTGATTTCTACAATTAATTAAGGAAGATTATCTAATTTTTAAATTTTGATTCAATACTGAATTTTGATAGGAAAGCTGCCCCGCTTTTTTTATTTTCTTTTATCTTTGGTTTTTTAATTTTAAATTTTTTATTTAACTCTGGAAAATTAGGATTAAGAATCTTTTATTTATCAATTATCAAACTTTCAGATCTTTTATTTGATACTTTCTTCTTACAAAAGTTTGTTTATTCAATTCAACTTCAATTCAAACTTAGAACTTTGATTATATTTTCAAATAAAAGTTTATCTTGATAATAATAAATTATTATTTTAATTCTTCAATTAATAATCTAAAATTTTTATAATTTTATTTGAAAAATAATTATAATTTAAGAGACACTAAAATCATTTTGTTCAGTTTACAACACTTTTTTTCTTTTTCATATCATATCAAATAATAAGTACATAAGATATGGCTGAACCAGCTCCATTACCATTCATCTATCAATTCATATCTGGTGCTGTAGCAGGGGTCTCTGAGATCCTTGTTATGTATCCATTAGATGTTGTTAAAACAAGACAACAATTAGATTCAACAAATGCAACAAAAGGTACTTTAAATTGTTTAAGAACAATTATTAAGGAAGAAGGATTTTCAAGATTATATAAAGGTATATCAGCACCAATTTTAATGGAAGCTCCAAAAAGAGCAACAAAATTTGCTGCAAATGATGAATGGGGTAAATTTTATAGAAAAGCATTTGATATGAAAACAATGAATCAACCATTAGCTATATTAACTGGAGCTACTGCTGGAGCAACTGAATCATTTGTTGTTGTTCCTTTTGAATTAGTTAAAATTAGATTACAAGATAGAACTACAAAATTTAATGGTATGGGAGAAGTTGTTAAAGATATTATTAGTAAAAATGGTGTTTTAGGTTTATATAAAGGTTTAGAATCAACAATGTGGAGACATATATGGTGGAATGCAGGTTATTTTGGTTGTATTCATCAAGTTAAATCTTATATGCCAAAACCAAAAGATAATACTCAAAAAGTCTTAATTGATTTAACTTGTGGTACCATTGGTGGTACAGTTGGTACAATTTTAAATACTCCTTTCGATGTTGTTAAATCAAGAATTCAAGCTGGTTCTCAAAGATATAAATGGACTTACCCATCATTAGCTATAGTTGCAAAAGAAGAAGGTTTTGGTGCATTATATAAAGGTTTTATTCCAAAAGTATTAAGATTAGGTCCAGGTGGTGGTATACTATTAGTTGTTTTCACTGCTTGTATGGATTTCTTTAGAAAAATGCAAGATAAAAAATAATCAATAAATAGCTAGCATATACATTATATATAAATATATTACATTATCTATTCATATAATTCTGGTGTAAAATGTGATTACCAGATTAGTCTGACAAAGGTAAAAGTTTGAATCATTATTTAAGAAATTTTGCAGATACTATATTGGACCAAAGATATTTCCGGAAGCATTTTACAAAGCCAAAACTTGAATTTTTTGAAAGAGATCATCTATACAAAGGAAAATTGATCTGACTTACCAGGTTGTGAAACTTTCATGAAATTTTTCAAGTTAAATTGACTACTTCTAAAGTTATAACTTTTTCATATAATTTCAAAAAAAGCCGCATTAATTTATTTTTTAACTTTTCTGAAATTTATATAAACAATAATTTGAAATATTTGATTACGATTTACGATTAAGAAAAGTATAAAAGCATTAGTTAATTTTTGAAAATTTTAAATGAAATATAACAATACCTGCTTTTTGTCCTTATTCTACATTCATTTCAATATATGACTAAACCACTAATATAATGTTTTCATTTTTCAAATCTCGACGTAAGTCAGAACAATATGAAATGGTTGATCAAAATATATCAGAAGAAAATACTACTCCATCAAGGTCGTCAAGTGATTCACAATCTTCAATAGTGTTTGAAGATATAGAGAATTTTACAAACAAGACAGAAAAAGAAGCAAATGATTTTTATAATGATCCAATTTTCCAATCAATACTACAGAGATATAGAAATCAAGGGATAAGTAAAAAAATTGTTAGTATTATTCTGGTGGTGTGTGTAATTTTATGGGTTGTCGGAGTCATGATGTACTCACAATTAAGTCCTAGACAAATACTAGACAAAACTAAATGGCAAACAAATATAAGCATAAATGGGGAGAATATTACATTGAATGAATATAACTCACAATATAAAAATATAACTTTTGAATATTGGAGGAATGGAGAGTTTGTTGCATATGAAGAAAGTATAACGTGGTTGAACCCAAACCAATACCCAAAAGAAAACGCTGGAGGTTATTATTTGACAAAAAGACCAGATCAAGTACTAATAAAACAAATAAATTCAGAATTTGAAGATACAATAGTTAAATCAAAAGAATTTGCATATGAGAATAATTTTTTCTACATTTCAGATATCATCATCAACCCAGCAAGATCAATTGAAGAATTGAATAATGATCATATAATCATTACTGATAAATTAGATCAGTGGAGACATCTGTCATTTGCATTATATTGGATATATAATCCAATACTAGCTACGTACACCCCCATACAACCTCCAAATACAAAACTGAACGTCTTGAATAAACTACATTATGCTGATTTTTCACCTGATGGAAAATACATACTATTTGCATTTGAACATAATTTATACATTCTAGAAGTATCTACAAAAGAAGTACATCAAATCACAAATGATGGATCACCAAATATTTTTAATGGGAAACCAGATTGGGTATATGAGGAAGAAGTTGCCGCTAGTGATAGATTAATATGGTGGTCACCAGATTCTTCAAAATTGATATTTGCAAAATTAAATGATACAGAAGTTGAAGAAATAAATATTGATTATTACATAAAACAAAATACCGATATTGGTATGCAATATCAACAACTGGATGAAAAACAATTTGAAAGCACTGATCAATATCCTATAAAAACTTCTTTAAAATACCCAAAACCTGGGACAAACATACCGATTATTTCACTTTTCATATATGATATTAATACCAAGAATGTTGAATCTTTGCTGGACAAAGATCAAGCATTAGGTAAAGATTTTATACTATATCAAGCTATATGGGTAGACAATGAAAGTTTTTTAATGAAACAAACTGATAGAACAAGTAAGATGTATACTAAGAAAGTTTACAATGCCAATTCTAAGGATATAAATTTGGTGAAATCATTTAATGCAACTGATGAATATGGTGGATGGGTTGAAAAAATGAAACCAATTACTTTGACAGCTAATGGTAAATACATTGATAATTATGTTGTAAATGGTGTTAATTATCTAGCTATATTTGACAGTGCATCAAGTGCTGAACCAACAAAAATTTTTGATAAATATCCAGCTATTAGTGAAGGAACTTTTGATAAACAACACAACAGTATATATTTTTTAACCTCATTTAAAAGTGCAATGGATTCTCATTTAGTTGGGTTCGATTTAACAAAAAATGAATATACTGAATTTACCACCACCAAAGAAGATGGATTTTATAATGCAAAATTTTCACAAAATGGTCAATTTTTAAGTTTAAAATATGATGGAGCAAATCAACCTTGGCAAAGGTTAATAAGTATGGCTGAATTACACGAACAAGAACAAGATGGTATTGAGCATACAATATTAAAACAGCCAATTATTAATTTTATGGATGTCACCCTGAAAAAATTACAAAACACTAATATACCAACCACCACATATAATGAAATTAAATTAAAGAAAGAAGATATATCCTTAAGTGTTCAAACAATTCTCCCACCAGGATTTGATCCCAAGCGAAAATACCCATTAGTGGTTCATGCATATGGAGGACCAGGTTCACAAAAAGTTCAAAAACAATATGATTTAGGATTTTTAAATGTTGCAAGTTCACAATTGAATGCGGTTATATTGGTGATTGATCCAAGAGGCACAGGTGGAAAAGATTGGAAATTCAAATCATATGCAAATAATAATATAGGATTTTGGGAACCAAGAGATATAAAATTAATAACCTCCGAGTTTATATCAGCTAATAAGTTTATTTCTAAATCAAAAGTTGCAATGTGGGGCTGGTCATATGGAGGATTTACTACCTTAAAGACTTTAGAATATGATAATGGTGAAATTTTCAAATATGGAATTGCAGTAGCACCAGTCACAAATTGGTTATTTTATGATGCTATATATACTGAAAGATATATGAATAAACCACAAACAAATCCAAGTTACGAAGAAGCTAGAATTAACAATGTTAAAAATTTCAAAAACGTCCAGAGATTATTAATAATGCATGGATCAGCTGATGATAATGTTCATTTACAAAATTCAATGTATTTAATGGATAAATTTAATTTAGCTGGAGTTGATAATTATGATTTTCATTTATTTCCAGATAGTGATCATAATATAAATTACCACGAGGGAAATTCATTTATTTTTAGAAAAATTCTAGATTGGTTGCAAAATAATTTTCGCTAGTTTTTTTTTTTTTTTTTTTCAACCAAATTAAGCATGAATTCAAAAAGTTTAAGAAGTAAGTAAAACCAAAAGAAACTGATTGATTTTGATAACTGACGTTGATAGAAACAAAAGCAACCACCTATGAGCTAAGTTTGGATAAGCAATTGAGACATTATCAACTAAAAAAAGATACACTAATTAAAGCAACAAAGTACACAAAAGATGAAGCTCAAGTACAAGAATTGATTTGTTATTGGAGAAATGTTGCTCAAAAGGCTCTAACTTACTTATATAATGAACAAGCAGTTAGGTTTTCACAAATTGGTGGGTTTAAAAATTGGCAATTACAACAATGGGAAACTCAACAAAATATTTTGGAAAATCAACAAACTGAATGGGAAATGGAATTACAAGATAAATTAGATGCTGCTACAAAAGCTGAAAAAGAATTACTAGTAGAACAATTACAAGAATCAGGGATTATGGTACAAGATGGAGAAATTATAAGTAACTACGAACGACCAGATCCTCCAGATTTAAATGATGAATTTACTTTAAAAGATTTATGTAAAATCTTACATATAGATTACAACCTCATTTATTAATTCAAATTCCTTAATTTTCTATTTGCAAAATCAGCAACTTGTGCCATACCATCTTTTGTAACGAAGAATTTTTTCTTGGTTTTATCACTCCATATTAATACACCTAATTCAGTTGCATAATTTGATAATATTTCATATTCTTGTAAATTTGCAAAATCTTTAAATAAATAACCTTCAAAAGTTTGGATTCTATCTAACTCTAATTGCCAAAGCTTGATTTGATCAACTACATTTGGTGGTAAAACTTCTAGCTTATGTTGAGATATTGAACCATCTGCTTTACTTTGTGGTGCTCCACCTGCCGTGTTAATATTATGACTTGCATCGAATTCTACCTTTTTGTCTAATTTTTCTTTTGCAAGTGCTCTCATTTGTGGATGTGCATGAGTTTCTAAAAATTTTATAACTTGATCAGCTGTTATTCCATTATACAACGCGTTCCTTATTGATTCTCTTGTAATTTGACCACATATCATATTTGCAAATCTTGCCTTCATTTGAACAAATAAGTTTAGTATAGCAATTTCTAATGGAGAATTTGTATATGCATAAATTTTAAAATTTGTTTCTATAATTATTGATTCTTGAATATTTGAAGTAGCAACTTGACCTTCTGAAGTTTCTTCCATTGCTTGTTCAACCGCCATGGAAGGTGTTCTCAAAGCTGAAGAATCTGATGTTAATGTTGTTGCTAATCTTGTTGGATAAAATCTACTTGAAGAATCTGACCTTTGATAAACTAACCCATAATCTTTTAGGTCTGCAAGCATACTTATTTGAGTTTCACTTAAACTTGATACTGCATAACTTTTACCTAACTCTAGAGACCCTAAAATGAATATGAAATTTAATACATCAACTGGATTCATATTTAATTCTTGAGTTAAATTTAGGTATTGTAATAATAAAGTCCATATTTGTGCATTCACATCTTGTAAAAGAAATTGAAACCCAGTATTTGTAATATTTAAATTATTATCTCCACCTTCCATTAATCCTCCTAATTTCAACAAACTCAATACTGATTTAGATGGTGCTGGAGTACCTTCGGTTCCCACCATAAAATGCAAAATGGTTTCCCATTTGGTTGATGCAAATTTATCTAAAAATTGTATGTCCACTTTATGTTTATCTTCCGTGATGTTAATACTTCCAAATGCATTTGGATCTTGTGAACCAGTTAAGCAATCTCGAAAATTTGATCTGAATATGGAATTTAATCTAATATGCGTTCCTCTACTGTCATATTCTATTAAATGTAGTGACTCTAGTCTTTTCAATGCTTCAAATTCTAGTTTTCTAGCCAGTGGCTTACACCACTTTGTGAGATCTCTCATGGGTATTGGTTTTTCATTAAATATCATTGACATTATGTAGAATTTAGCCATTGGTGATAATAATCGATAAATTGACAAACATGTTGCGGGCGCTTCATATAATTTTGACTGCACTGTTTTGGGTAGATCTTCTAAGTATTCATTTACCGTTGCTTTAAATAGATTGGATGACATTTTGGTGAATTAAAGTGATAAGTAATGTATCTCTGATATTGGAGGGTAGCGCCACTTAAAACAAATATATTTTATAAAGTACTTGATGAGATCAAAATTTAATTTATTTTACTTTTGGGAAGTACCACCAAAAAATGACAAAAGGAAGGCCAACCACATCAGATAATGCCTTTAATGATCTTCTAAAACCTACATACAAGGGTAAAAATTTAACGGATGAAATAAAAACTTCAGAAGATAAATGGAATCTACTACCGGCATTTTTGAAAATTAAAGGATTAGTAAAACAACATTTAGATTCTTTCAATTATTTTGTTGATGTTGATTTAAGAAAAATATTAAAAGCAAATGCATTAGTGCTATCAGACGTTGATCCAGACTTTTATGTTAAATATCTAGATATAAGAGTAGGTCACAAATCAACTTCAACTCCTGGAACAAAAGAAGTTATATTACCACCACATGAATGTAGATTAAGAGATTTAACTTACTCAGCTCCAATATATGTTGATGTTGAATACACGAGAGGTAGAAAAATTATAAGACATAACGATTTAGAAATAGGGAGAATGCCAGTAATGTTAAGATCAAATAAATGTATGTTGGATGGAATGAATGAAAAATTAATGGCACAAGTTGATGAATGTCCTTTAGATCCTGGTGGATATTTTATAGTAAATGGTACTGAAAAAGTTATATTAGTTCAAGAACAATTATCAAAAAATAGAATTATTGTGGAAGCAGACGAAAAGAAGGGAATAGTTCAAGCATCAGTAACTTCATCAACTCATGAAAGAAAATCAAAAACTTATGTAATTACCAAAAATGATAAAATATATTTAAAACATAACTCGATTAGTGAAGATATTCCCATAGTTATTGTATTAAAAGCAGCAGGTATAACGTCAGATCTAGAAATTTTGCAACTAGTTTGTGGTTCAGATCCAAATTATCAAGATTTATTCGTTGTAAATTTTGAAGAAGCAGCAAAACTTGAGGTTTTTACACAACAACAAGCATTACTTTACTTGGGTAAACGAGTTAAAACTATAAGAAGAGCAGGCGCACCAAAATTATCACAATTACAAGAAGGTATTGAAGCCATTGCCACCACCATAATTGCACATTTAACAGTTAGTGATTTACAATTTAGAGAGAAAGCCTTGTATATGGCAATGATGGCAAGACGAGTTATAATGGCCATGCATAACCCAAAAATGGTGGATGATAGAGATTACGTTGGTAATAAAAGATTAGAATTAGCAGGTCAATTGATGTCATTACTTTTTGAAGACTTATTCAAAAAGTTTAATTCAGATTTTAAAGCAAATATTGATAAAATACTAAAAAAGCCAAGTAGAACCTCGGAATTTGATGCATTATTATCTATAAATATACATTCAAATAATATTACAATGGGATTAAATAGAGCAATTTCGACTGGTAATTGGTCATTAAAACGTTTCAAGATGGAAAGAGCAGGTGTTACACATGTTTTGTCTAGACTATCATATATATCAGCATTAGGTATGATGACACGTATCTCATCACAATTTGAGAAATCAAGAAAAGTCTCAGGACCAAGAGCTTTACAACCTTCACAATTTGGAATGCTTTGTACTGCTGATACACCTGAAGGTGAAGCTTGTGGGTTAGTTAAAAATTTAGCTCTTATGACACATATTACAACTGATGATGAAGAAGGTCCTATAAAGAAATTATGTACTGTTTTAGGGTGTGAATCCATCTTGGGGTTAGATTCTGCTACATTACATGTTGAAGGTAATTTTGGAATTTATCTCAATGGTACTCTTTTGGGTACTACTAGATTTCCAGTAAAATTTGTTACTGATTTCCGTAGATTAAGAAGAGCTGGTAAAGTTTCTGCATTTGTTAGTATTTATACAAATAGCCATCATCAATCTGTACATATTGCTACTGATGGAGGTAGAATATGTCGTCCATTAATTATAGTTGAAAATAATAAATCAAGAGTACAACCAAAACATTTGGAGAAGTTGCTAAAAGGAGAGTGGGAATTTGATGATTTTTTGAAAGAAGGTTTGGTGGAATATCTTGATGTCAATGAAGAAAACGATTCATTAATTGCTTTATATGAAAAAGATATTGGTGAACATCCCAACGCCACTACCACTCACCTAGAAATTGAACCTTTTACAGTGTTAGGAGCTGTTGCAGGTTTAATTCCATATCCACATCATAATCAATCACCGAGAAATACTTATCAATGTGCGATGGGTAAACAAGCTATTGGAGCGATTGCATATAATCAATTTAGAAGAATTGATACTTTGTTGTACTTTATGGTATATCCTCAACAACCAATGGTTAAAACCAAAACTATAGAATTAATTAATTATGATAAATTACCAGCTGGTCAAAATGCAACTGTTGCAGTTATGTCGTATTCAGGTTATGATATTGAAGATGCTTTAGTTTTAAATAAATCATCATTAGATAGAGGTTTTGGTCGATGTCAAGTTGTACGTAAAAACACTGTCCAATTGAAAAAATATCCAAATCATACAAAAGATATCTTGTCAGGTATGAGAGTTGATGAAGATAATCAACCAATATTTCCACATCAAGCTTTGGGGCCAGATGGTTTAGGTGAAGTTGGAAGTAAAATTGAAAATGGGCAAGTATATGCAAATAAATGTGTTCCAACAAATGCAGGTGAATCTTCCTTAGGTCAACAACAACAACAACCACAACAACCACCTCAAGAAATGCATAGAGAATCAGCCGCATATTACAAAGGGGCAGAACCATCATATGTCGATCAAGTAATGATGTCAGTAAGTGATAATGATCAAGCACTTATCAAAGTATTACTTAGACAAACTAGACGTCCAGAATTGGGAGATAAATTTTCTTCAAGACATGGTCAAAAGGGTGTTTGTGGTATTATAGTACAACAAGAAGATTTACCTTTTAATGATGATGGTATATCACCAGATATTATAATGAATCCACATGGTTTCCCATCACGTATGACTGTGGGGAAAATGATTGAATTGATATCAGGTAAAGCAGGTGTATTAAATGGATCTTTAGAGTATGGTACATGTTTTGGAGGATCCAAGCTAGAAGATATGTCTAAAATATTAGTAGAAAAAGGTTTTTCTTATTCTGGTAAAGATATGTTATATTCAGGTATTACTGGAGAATGTTTACAAGCTTATATATTTTTTGGACCAATTTATTATCAAAAATTAAAACACATGGTTTTAGATAAAATGCATGCAAGAGCTAGAGGTCCAAGAGCAGTTTTGACAAGACAACCAACAGAAGGTAGATCAAGAGATGGGGGGTTACGTTTAGGTGAAATGGAAAGAGATTGTGTTATTGCTTATGGTGCTTCACAATTATTACTAGAAAGATTAATGATATCATCAGATGCTTTTGAAGTTGATATTTGTAATAAATGTGGTTTAATGGGATATAATTCTTGGTGTACAACATGTAAAGGTAGTGAAAATATTATAAAAATGACTATACCATATGCTGCTAAATTATTATTTCAAGAATTATTGTCAATGAATATAGCTCCAAGATTAAGATTAGGTGATGTTTTTTAGTAAATAAATAAGTAGAAAAAAAAATAATCATGTAATAATAAATTTTGTGTTTTGATTTCGCGATTTTTGCTTTCCAAACCAAAGGTTATATACCCCATGATTCAAAGATTAATAATAATCTGTGCATCAGTACTACTACTTTTCTTTATAATCCAAGATAGTCAATTGGATTTTAAATCTGCATTGTATCTAACTAAAAATTCTATAAAACAATTTAACACATCTGATGAATATCCATTTAATAATGTTATAAATTCATTTTTCCCAATTGATTCAATATTGGAGTTTAACACCACCGAAAGTAATTATACCACTAAAATAATTGGAAGGTATGCTTCATTTTCACCAGTGCTAAATGAAAAGTTGTCAAGTCATTATAGTATTTTACCATATACTATGTGTGAAAAGATCGAAGAACCATCTGGAAAGTATCACAACAAAATCCTTGTGGTTTTAAGAGGTGATTGTACATTTGTTGATAAAGTTTCCAATATCATTGATTCCAACTTAAATCCCTCTGCTATAGTTGTTGCTAATGATGAACCATATAGAAGTTTGATAACAATGTATTCAAATACATTTAATCAAGATGGAACTTTGGAGATTCCTGTAATGTTTATTACTTTCGAAGACTACAAAATTTTAAAACAGTTTGAGGACTTGCATGTTTTGGTAGAGATATCTACAGCGTATATTGGAAGTTGGTTTAGTATTGTTTTATCAATGGTATTATCACCACCTTTACTAATTGTTTTGTTTTATTGTATAATTGTGTGTGGCCAAAAATTTAGAAAACGACAAATCAACAAAAGAAATGCACAAATGGTAAAAAGTTTACCAGTGTACATATATGATAATAATCATTTAGTTTTGGAACTGGATTTAGAGCTGTACCAGAATTCTACTGGTAAATCAAATGTATTAAATTGTCCAAATGATTATTTCAATTCTTTTAAATGTTCGATTTGTTTAGAGAAATATCACCCATTGAAATCAAAAGTTTTGGTATTACAATGTAAACATTTTTTCCATCAAAATTGTTTATCTAACTGGTTAATTAACTTCAAAAGGAGTTGTCCATTATGTAACAACACAATTTTAAAATCACTTGCAGGTCAAGTAATAGATTATGGAAGTATAAATGATGAATTAGAACAACAGGGTGCTACAACTCCAGTGATGAATACACGCCCTGTAATATTTTCAAGACCGCTGGCGATCTTAAATAGGTATAATTCTAATTATGAAGGAGTTGAATTAAGTACAAGTATTGATTCAGAATAAAATTTATAGTTATTGATAATACAATTATAATTGTGTACTGTTTTTTTTTTTTTTTTATCAACTCTTTTAACCAAAGTATCAACAATGGATACAACCAAAAGAAAAAGAAAGAAAAAATTAGAAATAGCATGTGTATATTGTAGAAGGTCACATATGATATGTGATGAATCAAGACCATGTCAAAGATGTATTAAAAGAGGTATACTGCATTTGTGTTATGATGAACCTTCAAATTCAAGACAACGAAAGAAAGCAGCAGCTTTAAGAAAAGATACTCCTCAAGAACAAGAGCAACAACAACAACAACCTCCTCCTCAAGCACCACTACCTCAACCACAACCTCAACCGCAATCTCAACCTCAACCTCAAACTCAGCCATTACCAGTTCAACAACCTATTCAAGCAAAACCAAATAAATCTGTTTTATCACAAACTTTAGCGTATAATCAAGAACCATTATTCTATTCGGAACATGCAGGTAGTGAATTTAGTTCATTAAATGATTTTTTGTCTATGATTGATGATCCAGAACTAGTCAATGGTGCTTTAAATAATGACGAAAATCAAATGTTTTGGGCTCCTGCTTTCTCACCAAATAATATATTTAGTCAAACTTTTGAAGAAGTTTCTCAACCAATGGAAGATCAACCACCTCAACAACCACAGCAGCAACAACAACAACCACAACAACCAGGAGTTGAAGATCACCCCGTTATTTCGGATTCTGCAAGAGATAAATTCTTTTTAACAGCTGCTGATCCAACAACTGAAATATCACCAGAAGAAAGGTTAAAACAAGTCATTAAAGCTAAATTAGAAGCTGGTTTACTACAACCATATAATTACGCAAAAGGATATGCTAGATTACAAAAATATATGGATAACTATATGAATATTTCGAGTCGTCAAAGAATTTTAAAACCTTTAAGTATTTTTAGACCAGCTTTTAGAGCTATTGCAAGAACTTTAAAAGATGTCGATTTAGTGCTTGTGGAAGAAAGTTTTGAAAGAATGTTATTGGATTATGATCGAGTTTTCACATCAATGGCTATCCCAGCTTGTTTATGGAGAAGAACTGGAGAAATATATCGAGGCAATAAAGAATTTGCTTCATTAGTAGGTGTTACAACTGATGATTTAAAAGACGGGAAATTAGCTATATATGAATTAATGAGTGAAGAAAGTGCAGTGAATTTTTGGGAAAAATACGGAGCTATTGCTTTTGATAAAGGTCAAAAGGCAGTTTTAACAAGTTGTAATTTAAGAACAAAAGATGGTATAAAAAGGAAAAGTTGCTGTTTTAGTTTCACTATACGAAGAGATAGATATAACATTCCAAGTTGTATAGTTGGTAATTTTATTCCAATAGATCCATAGAAGTGTATACGAATTTTATGAATATTATGAGAAAATTAAATTTTTAAACTTATTCATCATCTTCCTCTTCATCTTTCTTTTTCGCATTTTTTTCATCTTCTTGCGCTTGTTTCAATAATTTTGTTCTTTCCTCTTTCAATTGTCTTTGAACAATTATATATTGACCAAGTGGTGTTTTATCCCATTCATAATCAGCTAAAAAAGTTTTAACTTCTTGTTTATTTGAAGGACCGTATTCAATATTTGATCTTTTACCATTAACAAACAAAGCGTTTGCATTTAGTTTTTCAATTAATTGATTCAATTGTTTATTAAATTTAATATTTTTTGATTTTTTGGTAAATCTTCTTAATGAAAGTACTGCTGGTGTGATTAATTCGGGAAATGCAATATTTTTAGCATATACTCCGAAAAATTCTGATGTTAATTCAATGAATTGTTCACATAATCCTTCTTGATATATTCTTGTACCTAAATATGCTTGATTTACCTTAATGTTATGTTCAAAATCAACAAATTGTAAATTACCCGAAGGTTTTGGGGATTTTGTAATTGCTGTTGATGATAATATTTCAAAAAGTAATGGGAAGATTGGGATATATACATTTTTCAACCTTAACAATGATCTAATCAAATAAAATCTTAATGGGAAAAATTGAGCTGTCGGTATTAATCTTATAGCCCCCAAAGTAACTTGAACTAATGGATATATTAATTGATTGATTCCCACCTCGTTTATCGCTAAAACCCTTGACCAAAAATCTAATGAATGACAATATTGCCAATTATATATAGCTGCTGCTCCTCCTTTACCATTTATACTATTTCTCAAATGTATTGCTAATTGTCTAACATACTCAAACCCAATTTGATACCCAATAGTTGAATCAACACCAAATAATTCAGCTAATGAATTCTTACAAAAATTAATTCTATCCATTGTATGAACATTTGTTTTACGACAATGTTGTAAAAAGGATTGATATGATGACTTTAAAACATTTTCTAATAATGATTTTGGATATTCTCTGACTATATTGTTAATAAATGCAAATGATGCAATTTGTATATCTATGGAATTTGAACTTGCCCAAACATTTGTTATGGCTGATATAATTTGTTTTAATAATCTACGATGTGATATGTAATATGGCATAACTTCATGAATAGATGCTAACACCAAAGCAGCTGTTTCTGTATTTGTTATATCCTCCAATAAGGTAATATATGAACTAGCATGAGACTTTAATATGGATCCAATTTGAGTTGCTTGTGGATTTTGAGGTATGGTTCTAACATTATTTTTGACTTTATACTTAACAATATTTTGAATTGCAATTGGAACTTTTTTCAATACTAATAACATTAATTCTGTAAATGCTTTTGGATCAACAACACTATATTTATAATCTTCTCCTTTGTTTATATTGACCGCTGCTTTAAATGCTATTACTATGTTTCTAATGATTTTCGGGGTTGGTTTTGCTAATTGTTCCTCCCACTTTTTCACAAGTTTGGTGGTGATTTCAATTTTATTATTTGTATGTGGTTCCGTGATTTCTTCTTCCAATTCTGGTTGTTCCTCTTCTTCTTCTTCTTCATCTTCATCTTCACTAATAGCATCCAATGGATTTACTCCTTCCAATAAATCATTATCATTTTCTTTCAAGTATTTATAAAATTCTGGATCTTCTTCTTCCAAATTTTCCATATTCATTTCCATATCTTCTTCATCTGATGATTCCTCTTCTTCTTCTTTTTCAACTTTTTGTTTCTTTTTTTTTTTCTCCTTAGGTACTTCAAATCCTCCTTCAAAAAATTCATCTACTGACATATCATCAAATACTTCTTTAGCTTTACCATCTTTACGTGCTGGTGGTTCACCTCCATTTTTACCTTTTTTTCTTAATGAAGCTTTCTTATTGAAATCTTGAACTTTTTTACGATGTTCAATCGTATGTTTTAAATGTTTATTTTGAAACTTTTTGGTTTGTTTAGAACTTTTACCCATAATGGTTGATGATTCTGGTTCTTTGAGTATTCTAATAAAAAAAAGATGTCAATATATGCAAAGAGATGAGGAAATTTCTCTTTTGCAACTACCAAGTGAATCATCAAAATCTGAAACATTTTTGTTCAGAAAAAAATAAAAAAATATATGTACTTGATAAATAAAGTATTTTATAAAAACACAGTACACGAATATAGTTTTTTTGAAGAAAAAAGCACACTCAAAATCTTTGATTCTTATCAACCTCTTGCTTAAAAGTCGGTGCTTTTTCAAAGTTTTAGATTTAAAAATATTTAGCTTCAAATTAAGATGAAAATTTACAAATTATTTAATTCTATAAATTGACTCTATACTAGGTTTTTAATTATTCACATACACATTTTATGAAAATGAAGTGGCAATATTCTATGGAATATGAAAGCTATTCCACAGTCCCTTACTTGTGACTAAATTTGATCAATTCTTTGGTAAAAAATGATGATTTAATCCCTTTTTTTATACATTCATTTTACATCCGTACATACATACTTGTTTCAAAACGTTTTTTTGTGTAAACACTAGATAGATGAAACAAATTATTATTAAAACTTAACCACCCCTCTTAAGACCTTTTGTGGTGCCTTTCATGACAAATAGCCAACATAACTTGTGTAGATATATGTTGCAAGTCCTCGCTTTGTGTCGTTGTGAAATTTTAATATCAAGAGTTTTCGAATTACCACATGCATTTAATTGAAATTTAAAATATCTCAGGGAGTCTTAGAAAATACCAACATTGTCAATAATTTGCAATGAATTTGCACGAGTAAAAATTTATTTGTAAACAAAGCGGAATTAAAAATCGTTAAGTAAGCAACTTTATTAAATTTTTAATGATGATATAACTGCCAATAAAATGTTATTTTTCGGGCATCTGAATTGTCTTTTTGATTTTTCTCGCATTTAAATTCGGCTCACAATTTTTTGCATTTCTAAAATTGAATACTTAATATTAAATCAATTAATTCCCCAACACTTTGTTAGATAAATGTAAGATTTTAATAAAGCAAGTGGTCAAAAATTTAAAATTGCTGCAAGAGATTGATCTTAATGACGTATGAACCTGGAGGGGAGTCGAGGTTTAGCTTAGTGAGACCGTAAACTTTGAAACTTACTTCAACAGAGTTGCCCAAACTTCAAATTTTCAAAAAAAAAATGAAGTCTGGCATAGTTGTCAAATCCCGAACCAAGTCCTTATAGCTCAGTGGTAGAGCACCAGATTGCAACGAGCAGCTATCTCTTCTCGAGTATGCCACTTGTGAAATTGCATTAAAATTCCTCATACTTCAAAGACAAATTTGGAAGTTATCATCCGATACCTATGACCTATATCAAAATAGTATTTATTTAATATCGTACATCCTTCTATCCACTTAAGTACTCCTATATAATGCACCTTTTCGGTTGTTTCTAACAAAGTTTGAAAAGATTAAGCTCTACAAAATTTTTGCTCATCAAAAAAACTACATTGCCTTGACCTTGCTAATGAACATAAGAAAAGAAAAAAAAAAAGAAAGCCCCCACCCGGGATCGAACCAGGGACCAACAGATAGCTGCTCGTTGCAATCTGGTGCTCTACCACTGAGCTATAAGGACTTGGTTCGGGATTTGACAACTATGCCAGACTTCATTTTTTTTTTGAAAATTTGAAGTTTTTATCTGGATTCGAAACAGTGATATTTTGACTTTCTGACAACTACGCCAGACTTCACCTTTCCTTGAGATGGTTTTTAACATTCAGGTCCTTGGCCTTTAAGTCTTACCCCAACCTCTAATACAAAGTAGTTTAGTATTTTGTTTGTATTGTCGATATGGAACATCATCATTTGACTCTTACGTATGAGATCACCATGATTAACCGTGTGGCAAATGTCGGGGTTACTCTTCCGAGAGTTTGCACATACAAATAGTCATAGTCATTGGAAGCTGATAGAGACAAATGCCAATTGTTGTTTTTTTAAATTCATCAACGATATACAATAGTCAAAAATTGAATCATCACTGAATCATGTGGCTGCAATTCTGATGAGATATTTGCAGTTCTTTTAAGAAGTAATCTCCAAAACATGGGGTCAGTTTACTGAAGCGGAAGAATTAAAAGCAAAACAATGCTTCCTTAATAACTTGTATTTTTCACACTTACAATTACTTGTTTATGAGTATTAAAAACTAGAAGTTTTTGCTTCCAATCACTTACAAATTTGTTCAAAATTGTAAAGTTAACTTGCCAACCAAAAAAAACACCCGAAACTAAAAACCAACCCATTGATTACCCTTAAAAATCTGTGAAACCTTTAAATATTTGTTTGAAGTGACTTCAAGTATCAATCTTTAAAATTTGCAGCCAAAAAATTTCAAAATTTTATGCAGGACTTCTTATTTTACGATTATTTTGCAATTTTGGGGCAAGCTGAACACAACGAGGACTACTTATAAAGAGTTTTTATGTAATAAGAAGTTGACCTATAAAAGTTAATAATATAGAGCATAAAGACAATTAGACCTTACATTTCCTCTTACTTTTTATCTCACTTTTGGAAAGTTAAAATTATAACTATTGACTCAGATTTTGCTTTGACCCCATTTTACCATCAAATGAAAACCCAGAGTTTATTCATGTACAATCTATATTTAAAACCTTCTTTTTGAAGTGGTAATTTAAATTATTTGCGTCTTTAAATGAGCCAATAAGATCAAATTAATTTGTAAAACAAAAAGTAATGTATGACCCGGGAAAATCTTTAAGTATAAGGCAGAAAAAAAAAAAAAAACTTTTATGGAGAATACTACAAGTTTATCTAGCCTTTATCTTCATACTTTATACCTTTAATCAACTTTATATTTATTCATACAACCATTTACTATGTTTAGAACTACTAATAATATATTTCGTAGATCAATAAGATCTTTAGCAACAGTAGTTGAAGAAAAACAACCAAGAATTAAAAAATTTCAAATTTATAGATGGAATCCTGATACTCCTGAAATACAACCAAAAATGCAAACTTATGATGTTGATTTAAATAAATGTGGACCTATGGTATTAGATGCCTTATTAAAAATTAAAAATGAAGAAGATGCTACTTTAACTTTTAGAAGATCATGTCGTGAAGGTATTTGTGGATCATGTGCTATGAATATTGGAGGTAGAAATACATTGGCATGTTTATGTCGTATAGATCAAGATACTTCAAAAGATACAAAAGTTTATCCATTACCTCATATGTTTGTTGTTAGAGATTTAGTACCAGATTTAACTCATTTTTATAAACAATATAAATCAATCGAACCATATTTACAAAGAAAAGATCATCCAGCTGATGGTAGAGAAAATTTACAAAGTATTGAAGATAGAGCAAAATTAGATGGATTATATGAATGTATATTATGTGCTTGTTGCTCAACTTCATGTCCTTCATATTGGTGGAATCAACAACAATATCTTGGCCCAGCAGTATTGATGCAAGCTTATAGATGGTTAATTGATTCAAGAGATCAAGCAACTGATGCAAGAAAAGCAATGTTACAAAATTCAATGTCATTATATAGATGTCATACAATCATGAATTGTGCAAAAACTTGTCCAAAAGGTTTAAATCCAGGTAAAGCAATTGCAGAAATTAAAAAACAATTAGCATTTGATTAAGGAGGGTAAATAGGGTATATATAAGTTATTTATAATTAAAAAATAAAAAAATTAATGAAATTTAAAGTTGTAGAAGCATTTCACCAAAAAAAAAAACAACTTGTAATCGCGTTTCTTTTGGTTATTAATGAACTTTCAAAAGCTACTACAAACATCAACTAGTGAAAAATTATCTAGTAAATCATTTATATTACTACTGGCACTATGCTCACCACAAGAAAAGGAGCTATATGACGTGTTACAAAATATAACAAATGATCACCAGATTCAATTGATAGTTGACTGGTCGTTGGCAACCAAAACCAATTCCGAAAATTTTTGGATAAAACTAGCAAAAATTGATGAATCGAACAAATTCCTTCAAAAGTTCTTAGGTGTTTCTGCTCCTGACTTTAGCTATAAACATTTTATTAATTATGCAAAGACTCATATAGAAAATCATGTTGTGCTACAGTTATTAGGAACATTTAATCCAACAGACGAAAATTTAATTGAATTGTTTGAAGTAGCTTCACAACCTAACGTACTATATCAAAAGATCAAACATTTATTATCCAGTTCACAAACCAAAAGATTAATGGACCTCAATCTTATAACTTCACAAGAAGAAGAAGAAGAAGAACAAATTTCATTAAAATTGAATAAATTAGATACATACCTAGAAATTAGGAGGAAATTATGGATTTATGAAACGACCAAAAGTTTTATTAGGTTGCAAATTACTCCAGAGAGATTCCTTAACCATTTCAAAACGTTATGTACTGGCGATGTTTCACAACAATTGCTTGAACTGTTTTCGATAGAAACAAAAGGGTATCATCAATTTAATGTTCAAAATTTTATGCTGGAAAAATTACCACAAATACTAAACTTATTAGGTGAAGACTTACCTACCAAAAAGGAATCACCAGATTTGAAAAAATTGAACGAATTAATCAATGATTCAGGATCTGATTTTTCATTAGAAGATAATCAATTGTTTGAATATTTTAAAAACTTGACTCAAAAATCTGGTCAATTAGACTATTCATTGACAATTATAAATAATATTGAAGAATTTATAAATTCAAAACAATATGAGAAATTAAATAAATTATTATTAGCGTTGATAAACAACAAAGATTTGATAAATATAATTTTATTCAATACTGGTTGCACCTTATTGTACAAGCTTATTGACTATATAGACTTTGAAAACTTTAAAATTGACTCAGATGATGACTTTCAGGAGTTATATTCATATGCTAGTATTGGTCTACTCAGCATTATATACATTATAGAAATATTCGAAATTGATTTAACAAATTTGGACTTAAATACATTCACAATAAACTTTCTAAGCAATTTTTATTACAGATTGGTTGATAATTTAACAAACAATTTGCCGGAACAAATAGATGATGACGATGATAAAACTATTGTATCAAATTATGACAATTTAATGATTGAATGGATAAATGCATTATTTAATGATTCAAACGATGATGGATTATCAGATGAATTAATCAAGAGTTTAAATGTGAAACAAATTTATAAATTTATGCCAATCATATATAAACAAGCTATATTAGCTACTAATTTGGGTAGTATCGATTTTGGAATGTTAAATAATGGATTAGATTATTTATCTCAAACTTTTTTGTTACCTGTTACTGTTTGTTTAGTGAAATGGATGAAAAGAAATGATAATGAATTATTAGGTAAAGTATTGGAAATTTTCAAATCAATTGATCCAAATATTTCGGGTGTTGTTAATGAAATTATAAATCATAAAATCCAACAACCAGTGGATAAAAATTCAAATATTTGGGACACTATAAAATATGGTTCAAACTTCGATAAATTTGATTTGTTAAAGTATAACAAATTAGAAATTATACAGTACATTATTCAGGAAACATTTAGTTTATCAGAAGAATCAAAATTATTTGTGAATATTTTAGTGTCTTTAGTGATATCAGATTCTATAACCACCAAACATGATAAAGAATATTGGAGGAACCAATTAACTACAACCACACCATCAGATGAAGTACCACAAATAGAAAAAGTTTTCACTTCATCAATAGATTATCATTTCTCCTCCATATTCAATGATGAACAACAAAAAGATGTAGATGAATTTGATGAATTTTTTACAAACAACGAAGAAGATATAGAAATGAAAATTCCAACTAGTGAATCATTACAACAATTACAATCACTTACAAAAAAAAAAAATTGTTTCTTATATTATTTCGTCAAGATCAAAAATTCAACTACTTCTTCAAATTTGTTTCATAATACTATAAAATCCATAAATGAAAAGTTTTTAGAAGAAATAGATAATTGGGAAATTTAATTTTAAGTAGGAAATTAAATAAATACTTCACCACTAATAACTCTTGGTTTGACTTTGATTTCTTTTGGTTTTTGTTTTATTGGTGGTGGTTTTTTACTCACTAAAGTCTCTTTTGGTTGTTGCTGTTTATTCAAATTTTTAGGTAATTTACGTTTCGGACCTTTTGCTCTTGTTTTAGTCACATGAGTTAATTCTGAAGTTGATTTGTTCTTGAATTTTGTTGTAGTTAACGTATCTGATGCGGTTGTTGATGAAGCTGATTGTGGGAAAGTTTGTGATCTCGATAAAATTGCACCTAATTTATCTTCAAATGATAAATTTACGGAGTTTTCGAGATTTGATGATGCTTTTTTCAATGGTTTAATTGGTGGTTTAGGTTTTTTCTCTGGGGTAGTTTTGATTTTTTTCATTTCTGGGGTAGTAGGGATGGTTTTGCTTTTGTCTTTTGTTTCTGGTTTAATTGCTGACTTTTTTTCCTCTTTAATTTCTGGAGTTAATTGCTTTTCATTTTTTTTTGCAGCCATTTTCTGTAATTGAATTCTTAATTCTTCACTATCTTTTTCCTCATAGTCTGATTTAAATTTTGATGATTTTGTAGTAATTAGTTGAGGTTTTTTATTGGGTGATTCAATTTCTTTTAATTTCGTTTGAAACTCTAAAGTTTCTGATTTGGGTTTTGATGCTGGTTTTAAGGGCTTTAGACTTGTTTTAAAATCTATTGCTTCGGATACTGGTGGCTTGGGTTTTGGCTTTAATTGAGGTGGGTCCCTTTTTGAAGTTTTTAGTTGTTGAAATTTTGATAAAAATTCTGGTTCTTCTTGTAGATGTTTCGGTTTTGGTTTTGTTATTGGTTTAGAGGTGGATTCTGATAATTTTGTAGGTTTGAGGGCATTTTCTAGCGATACAGTATTTGAATCACCTGATTTTATACGCTGTTCCATGTCTCGAAATGATCCTGCTCTGAAATTTGTTGGTTTTTCTGGTGTTTTTAAATTCGTAGGTTTTTCTGGTGTTTTTAGTTTTGTAGGTTTTACTGGCGTGTGTAGTTTTTCCGGTTTTAAAGAAGTATCTTTTCTTGATATTGGTTGTAGTAATCCAATTGAATTTAAGTCTGGTTTTCTTTTTGGTAATGTTGGTGGTTGATCACTTTTTCTTTTGGGTAGGGTTGGTGGTGTGTCATCCTTTCTTCTTGGTAGTTTTGGGGGTTCTTCATCATCATCATTCTTTAGCTTATTTCTATTGAATTTCAAGTCTGGTATATCTAATTGATACAGTGATCTTGTTGAATTGCCCAAATGCTTCTGTGATTTGTAGGTGGAAGAATTATTTTGCAGTCTCGATTGTAATTCATCAATATTCTTTTGTAAATCTCTCTGTCTTTGACGATCTTCATTTAATCTTTCTTGAGATAATTGAGATAAGCTAGATAAAAAATCATCGACTTTTCTACTTGATGGTGATGAAACTTCTGTCATGGATTTATGAAGTGTTTTTGTTTGTGAAGTGGAAGAAGTATAAATATAGTTCGTATATTTATTGTTTGATGTGTTACTTACGAAAAAATTATTTCTGATATATAATTTCAAAATTTGTTATACAATAAATTGAATCTTCATCTTTTGACCACTCGTTGTAAGCATCTATAGTCTTTTGCTTAATTTTTTCATTCTTGGCTTCATCTTGATAAGCAATTTCTCCTGAGTTTTTTATCCTATCAATAAACATTTCTGCAAATTTTCTTTTATCTTCCAAATCATCAGCTAAAAGCCATTGTGATATAGATGATTTTATTCTTTTAGGGTCATATCCTGCTTTTATTGCTTTTGATCGTAATTTTCTACCTGCTTTCGTATCTGTTGATACTGCATTCTTAGCTTTTAGTATTGAAAATTCTTTTAATAAATCATATTTTTTAGGTGATACAACAGTTGCTTCTAAATCTGCATCTTTTATACATATAAACCCATTTGGTTTAGTGACTCTAAGTAATTCTTTCAATGCCTTTAATGGCTCTTCCAAATGAATTAAAACTTGATGTGAATAAATCAAGTCGAATGTATTATCTTTAAATGGAATATCGTATATTGAACCTAGTTGAAATTCAGCATTTTTAACATTTTCTTTTCTCTTTAACTCGTTACATGAATCTATCAATTGTTGAGTTGGTTCTATACCAACTATTGATCCGCCTTCATTCAAATAATTTTTAGCAAAATCAATTGTAATTGTGCCTGGTCCACATCCAGCATCTAACATTTTGAAATTTGGTTTTATTACAGAAGTAACAAATTTACCTGAATTTTCGACAGTTCTCCATGTATGAGTATTTGAAATCGATTTTTGAAAGCCTTTTTTGTAATAAGCTTGATCTACCATTTTCTGTATATAGTTAATTGTTGTATAGTTGGTTGAAATTTTGTATTCTTATTTTTATAAAGTATTTATCTATGTAAATTACTTATCACCAAATAGAGGATTAATTCCGTGATCAAGTCATAAATTCAATACATGATCTATTTATAGAAATTTGTCACATCGTTTCAGGTACAAATTTTTTTGACCAACTATACTCACCTCACTTTGTATCAGAGTATCTACTTAGTTTCTCTTTTTTTGGTAAATCATTTCAAAGCTTGGAATACTAATTAAAGAAGTATCATCCTCAACCCATTCAGGATATAATTTTAAGATTTGATTCTTCACTTCTTCATCTTTTACATGATCTTCAGGGTACGCTTTTTCACCAGCATTTTTAATTCTATTAGTATACATATTGGCCCAATCTTGTTTCTCTTGTTTAGTGCTAAACAAGTTTGAACTTATTGTTAATTTTATTTTTGATGGATCATACCCTGCTTTTATGGCTTTTGATTTTAAATACCTACCGGCTTTAATATCTGATGATACGTTATTATTTACTAGCAAAATACTGTACTCTTTCAACAAATTAAACTTTTCGGGAGATATTATTGTCGATTCTATATCTGCATCTCTTACACAAACAAATCCATTTGGTTTAATTACTCTAAGCAATTCTCTTAGTGCCTTTATTGGATCTTTGATATGTACTATAACTTGATGTGAATACACTAAATCAAATGTATTATCTGGATATGGTATGTTGTAAATTGAACCTAATTGAAACTCAGCATTTATAACATTTTCTTTGTTTTTCAACTCATTACTTGCATCAACTAGTTCATGAGTGGGTTCGATACCTATAATTGATCCACCACAAGTCAAATAAGATTTAGCAAAATCTATAGTGATTGATCCAGGTCCACATCCTACATCTAACATTTTAAAGTTTGGTTTTAAAACTGTTGTAACAAACTTGCCTGAATTTTCAACATTTCTTGATGAATGAGTGTTTGATATAGACTTCTGAAATCCTTTGGCATAATAAGCTTGATCTACCATAATTGAAGCGGTATTGACTCAATTGATGTGATTTGAATTCATATTTAATTTGAATGTACAAATAAGTTTTTAGAATTTATCGGCTGGGCCCTACGTATATAATTCCGACAGATTCCAATAAGATATGACAAACCTTATCGTCAAACAAGAGTCACATATATTAGAATACAAACTCTACAGCTGAATTATTTAACAAACATACATCATACAAAATTACATATATTAAGATCTAAAGATTATACGTACGGTCCAATATTTAAGTATCATTAACACCTTTTTCCTAACATGGAGCCCGACACAGAGTCGAAGTAATTAATATGCGTCGAAGACCTCCTTCAACAGGTTATGAGCCAAGCTTCTATTTATTTGGTTAGAATTGTAGACTATCAAGCATAGCATAAGAAAAAGACACAATTTGATGACCCAATTATTTGCTTAATTTCTTTCTCTGTTTAAAACCTCCATTTAAATCTATAAATTTGATTCGTTAATTAAAAACCACAGCTCACAATGTAAACCCAGTAGAATTTAAATTAAAATCAAATTTTGTAATTCAGATGATGATAGTAACAGTTTTGAAAGAACTTCCTCAATAACCAAAATCAACTTTATCTATATCTTAAACTCTTAAACCTTCTCCCCAAGAAAGAAAGAATAAGAGACCTGATAGTCATAAATTCATAACCAGAATCTATTTATTCCTTCACGTAAAAGGAAATGGGAGGTCAGTCAATTAGAAGCTTTAAAGAATTGAACCAAACCTCCGTAGATCCTATCAAATTATTCTTTAATTTGTGTTAGTATACATTTACAATCGCTTTGATAAATTCAAAATTTAATTGATCTTTCTATACATACAATGTGACACTGGTGAAGAAAGAAAAGAGAAAGAAATTAAAAATATTTTAAATTGTTTACATTTTTAATTTTATTTAAAGAAAAATAAATAAAAAAAATTAAATCAACGATAATATTATGTTAAGAAAAGATAAAAATTCATTAATAAAGAAGATTAAAATTTTGAGTTAAAAACATTACAACATGTTTTCTTCATTCACAAAAATTGTCAGTAGTCACAATTTTAAAGACTTAATAGTAATCAAAGTTTGAACTGAGTCATATAGAAGAAAAATTAGTGTATTAAACCCAAACTTTCATGTGACTTTTGCTGCCGACTGAACATATTGATGCAGTAAAAACGAATAATTGTAACCTGATTTATTTGATACTTTCTAGTAATTTCTAGAAACAAAAATGTAGATTTATTCAAAACATACTGTATCTTATTCGATCAAATATAGATAAATCTTTGATTTTGATTCCATATCAATTCGGACTACTGATTAAGTTTTAGTTGTGGAGATTGTAGATTTTTAACACAAAAATACCAATATTACCAATTTACATTATCAACAGAAAGTATAAACACACTTTCATTAAATAAATCTATTTTAACAATTATACAATTTCCTCCAAACTCAAATCCATTCTATTGACCACGAGACAGATGAAAATAAGTACAAGCATAGAAACAGCACAGGACCCTTTTTGTAAACAGGAGAAGTTTAAAAATCAAAATAAAAAAAGAAATTTTTTAAGAATACTGAACGTAAATGCATGTGAAGTGTACACAAAATTAAATTTTGAATGATTTGAGTAAATGAACTCTTTCCATGCTAGATCAACAGTGAAAGTAGTAGATATGGACTATTTTGAAAAATGTATAAGATATGTTACCCCTATATTGATTTTAAAAAAGTAGTGGACGTCTCAATGCTTTAATGAAAATTTAAGGTATTTACCTTACGAATTCACATAATCAATTTGAGCAAACAAACATCAAAAAGAATTGAATTTTCATCGGCAAAGATGGCATCTACAAGGTTATAAATAAGTCTCGTATATTAGGGAACTAAACACTGTTGTACTAGTAGAGTTTGTGAATCTATTGATACAATCAGGCAGTACAATCGAAAGGCTGAAAAATTAAGGTTAATATTGTAGAAATGTACATCTGACAATGAATTGAAAGCTCTAACAAGTGAATGTTACTAAATCAAGTTACAATTTTTAATTAGAACCCTATCAATTACATGTCAAAAATCTCCCATATTTCTTTATTTTTGTATTCTCTAGACCCAAAATTTATAGATCCTTCAAAATTGCTGCAAAATAAAAATCTCGACAACTGATGGGTATTTAAAATCGTTCAAACAAAAGTCAAAGATCGTGGTCCGCCTTAGATGCTTCAATTATGTGTCAAATAATTATTTATAATCTTACAATATTTTTACGTAAATGCGAAAATTTTATTTCCTTCAAAAAATCTGAATTTTAGTAGTAATGGAGAAAACGCAAATTTAGGAATTGCTATTAATTCTTTGCTATAATTAATAACACTTGAAATATGAAGTCCTTCCTTCAGATCTTTTCAAAGCAACTCAAAATCATTTTACACATTTCCATAATTAATCACTAACCACAATCATCATCATGGAAAACTCTAATTTATCGAATAATGCACTCATCTTGATGTCAATTTTTTTAGATTTTTGTCTAAAATTCAAGCTTTTTAGTCAAAATAATTCTTGTGTTGTTGCTTCAAATTAAGTCGAACTTCGGAACGCTCTGTGCAAAGTTACCGCTAGAAGCTCTTTGTGAAAACTTACTGCGAACTCAATGTTTTTTTACTAGCCGTTCTCCGTGGTACTGAGACGATCCGAATTTTTTTTAAGGTCAGCAATTTTTGTCTACATTTATTCCCGTTTTTTTAGCTTTTCCCTCATAGACCATACTTCCTGCTAATGTGAATGTAATAATTGATTAATTACCTGAATTGTTTTCCAAATATAAAATTGATCTCCAACTCAGATGCTTTTGAGGATAACAAACTAAATTTAGTCAATTTTTAGACTTGAAAGTATGGTTGTCACAAAGTATATACAGATTTCTGAGGAAGAAGGTCGAAAATTAAATTTTTTTCTTAGCTTATTACTTGAAGGAGTAAGTAATTACGATCCTTAAGAATAGAATTAAAAGGGTCTTTACCATTTAACTCAATTCCATGTGAAGTCAATAGTTGAAATTCTAGAATATCTAAGTCATCGAATACTAAATTCTATGAAACATTTCGAATTATTTAGAAATTCAAGGTTTTTAAGTATACAAAAAATCATTAAAGTTTTACTGATCCGTGTAGATTAATAAAGATTTAATAAGAAAAAAGTTTAAAGTTTAAAATTTGAAACTATAAAAGTTAAAAAAGTATAGAAATGTTAAACTATAAAACTTTAATTTTGTTTAGTTACTACATAATTCGATCTCTTATTCATTCCGTAATTGTTAAAATTTTACTCCAAAAACCTTAATTTGACGCATAGAATACTTAATAGAAGATAAGGTTATTTAGTATTAGCCATTTCCAATTATTAAAGCGCTAAAACTCTCTTAATTTAATCATTTGATAAAGTAGATGGAAATATGATTAGCTTTATTGTTTCTTTTATAAATTGTGGTTTAAATTCACCACACATGGGCTAATTAAGCTCTCATTTCCGTGCTTATTAGTGAACAATTGAATTGTACGCGGTAAAGAAGAGAATAGTATAGAGTTTTAGTTTTTGTTACGAAATCCGACATGGTATGGCTGATCGTTAATGGAACGGACTCAAATGAATCACCAGTTTAACATCAAGAACTAACAATAGGTTTGAACTTTGAATAAGTCTAAGGATTTAAGATTCTGAGGATTTATCACCGACTTTGAACGGAATCTGTGTTGTCTCGACTCGGAATTCAATGGAAGTCCGGTTTAAAACATAACGTTTCAGACAATATTTAAGAATTCCATGATTCAAAACTGAAGTCCATTAAAAAAACCAAGAAAGTAAATAGATTTACGATTTTTCTGGAGTTATTACAATAAATTATCTCGGTTTTATTGTTTTTTATTTTATCTTTTCTTACCCCTAGATTTTTAATAATTGTTGTGGTAAATTAAATTTTTTGATATATCCATCAAGTTGCTATCTCTGTATTTAATCTTAATAAGGTAATTAAATTTAAAAGAAACAATAGATAAAAACGTTTATCATTGATTCCAATTATTGATAATAAAGTAATGGTTTGCAAATGGAAGGAAAGGAAAGTACAATACAATATATTTCGGTTTAATTAAATTTTTTGTTAACAACCGAATCAAAAAATCGTATCATTTATAATAAATTAATGCAGAAAATTAAATAATTTTTCGCGGAAAGATTTAGTGAGAACTAATTGAATTTGAAATGGACTTTCATGTAAACTGAACTAACATTTTACAATAATTTGAATTTGCGTTTGGAATGTGGTGGTGTAAATCAAAAGGCAAGGTTAAAATTAAATTCAAGAAATTGACGGTTTTAAAACTTTCACTCAAATGAATCAATTAAATATTAATTAATTTTAAAGTACTAAGTTGTAAATTAATTTTTGTATATATTTTTTTCAAATTTTTTAATGATGCTCGCCTGTTGCCTTAATTAAGATTTTTATTAATTTTCTTAACAAATTTGCTCTTAATTTATTTCATTTCTTCAATTCATCAACCATAAATTTTATTTGATCAATTAGAGAGTTATAAATATTATATGATTTCAATATTAAGTTTCAATTCAAATCTGAATCTTTGGAACTTCGGAAAGTATAATATAAATTAATAAATATTTGAAACAATAAAATAATTTATTTTTTTTATGTCTTTTTTTTTTTTTTTGACATATTTTTTAAATTTGTGTAATAAACTAAGTAGTTTATTATATACAGTATTACTTTATGCAAGTGAATAAAAATCGAATTTAAAACTAACAAGTACTGTATATAATTACTTTGGATGGAAATATGTATAAAGTATTAAACTTCTCTCTACTTAATTAACTAAGGCAGTAAATAATTAGAATGTTTAATTTAAGGCGGGATCAATCTATTTAAATAATAATTATATACAATTTTGACTATTATTCATTTATTTGCAATATAATGATTTAGAATTATATATTCTTATATAAGAAGAATTGAATTCCCTTGCATAAACTTATTTATATTCTTTTCAAGTTTTACAAAGTTATTTCATTAATTTATTTATATCAGTTTGATTTCAAGAACATTATATATTTTCAAATATAATATCATTCATATTTAAAACATACATTAAACTGCATTAAATTCATTTACTATTTTTACATATTATTTATTATCAACTACTCATTTAAATTTGATAATACCCAAGAACCTTTAATTATCACATATAAACTTATAAATAATGACATATTTAAATTCAAAATCATTACCATCTACACCATTAAATATAAAATCAAATCCACAAGATTATTTTTCATTAAAACCAATATTATCATTAAATTTAAGAACTAATTCAAAATTACAAAATAATCCTTCAGATTCAGAAGATGATGATGAAGAAGAAGAAAGTGAATTTGATGAAACTAGAACAGATAATATTCATGATATAATAGATAAATTTGATCAAGTTTCGATAATGAATCATCATGATGAAAATAATAATTTAATACATCATCAAGAAAATGATGAAGTTTATTTTTCTCCAATAACTCCATTTGATCCTTTAGATTCTGAAGAAATTCCAAAAAACAAATTAGCATCAATGAAAAATTTATCAAGAACATCCTCTCCACAATTAACTACTCCATCATCACCTTCAAATACGACCTCAACTAATTTTAAATTAAGCTTACCAAATTTATCACCATTAAATCTTTTAATAGTTGATGATAATATTATAAATTTAAAAATATTAAATAGAATATTATTAAAATTATATCCAAAATCAAATATAACTCAAATTAAAGATTCAACATTAGTACCAAATTTATTAAATTTAAACACTTATGATTCAATTTTTATTGATATTGAAATGCCAATTATAAACGGATTAGATTTAGCAAAATTAATAAGAGATAATAAAAAATTTAACAAAACAAGTTTAATTGCAGTAACTACTAGAAATTCATTTCAAGATTTACAAACTTTTCAAAATTTAGGTATTGATTATACTTTCAATAAACCATTAAATTATAAATTAGAATTTATGAGTAATATAATCGATAATTTAATGAAATTTAGAAAAAATAATGATATTATAAATATTAATAATTATTTTTCAAATTCTGGTACTAGCTCAACTAGAAATTCAATTAGTTCTTGTTGTTCAACTATTCAATCCGATTTAATGAGTAATATATCAAGTACTACATCAAATTCAAATACTTGTTCATGCCCAACTAAATAATTTTTATGACTCACATTCAACACAATTTTTACATTTTTTTCATTCACGGATCGATGACAACCCACATTTATTTAATTAACTTAATTTTCAATTCATGATTTACAATATATTATTTATTTTAACTTAACATTTTACATTTATTCATCTGGTTTATGTTTTAAATTTTATAGATTACACATTTTTTAATGATTCCATATTTTAAATAAACGACTACAAATTATTTAAAAATTTTAACTCTCAGTGTTCTTGATCTCTGTTTTTTTAGATTACTTCGTAATTTCATCGATAAATTTTGTATGTAAAAGAACAATGCTTATGCAAAAATTGTACGTATGTATTTAGAACTTCTATACAATACAAAGAACAAAAGTCTAAATTTAAAATTTTGGGGGAAGATAAAATTTGAACACAACTCAGACAAAAAACTTGTTGAAATTTTCAAACTCTACCTTAAAAACTATAAGTTATTCAACTACATCTAACACCGAATTTGCCTTGGTTCAATCATGTGTTTGTTATGTATAACACTTTAAAATTTGGATCTCCTTATCTTTTCAAAATAAGCCACATTACTTTTATAATTCAAATCAAATTTTGACTTTTTTCGTAAAACTCAACAAAATTATTACTCAAACAATCTCTCCAAAATTTTGTTATTTCTCCACAAAGAATCAAAAAACGTTCTTTGTTTAATGAGTAACTGCAAAAGTTACCAGCCAAGAATAATGTTCATAAATACTTTGGTTGAATGATCTTCGATTTATAAAACTTGAACAAATGATTAAAAAACTTTATTACTTATTGCACAAAATTGGAAGGAGAACATCTTCTCAAATAATAATTTATTTAATCAAGAAAGATAAACCTAATAAATTTATCAACCCTTGCATATACTTTGAATTTACTCAAAGATTTACAGTGTTGTAGTATTTTGTTGATATTGATTTAAAAATAGGTATTTTGTTAAAAATTGTTGCAAAAAGGCGGGTGCAATAATTCAATAGTAAATGTATTTTAGAACTTGTGCTTTTTACTTCTCAAAAATTTTAAAGTCTACGAGCTTTGAATATTGACAAATTATGTGAATATTGATAACATATATTACTTGACTTGGTACTTTCTCGATTAACAAGTTGTACCTTTATCAATGGTTGTTGATTCTTTAGATTACATTTTGTATACGCCTCGATCAGAATTTAGTTTAGCTTTAAAATCGAGAATTAAAGTTTAGATTTTAAAAGTTTATTTTTTTGAGTTTAATGAAAACTTAAATTTTTAAAATTCACTTTTCTTGAGAGTAATTGTTCTCAAAAAAGAAACATAACACCGAGACCATTAATTAATTTCATGTTTATTCAATGATTTCAATTTACATGCATTGTTGTAACTGATTTTCAAATATTTAAAATAATAGCAAAATTACAATAGAGAGAATTGTTTATTGATCCTATATTAATCAAAAACTAATGTATCGTCCCCACCCCTAAAATGGTTAAAAATTTAATTAATTTATGCATGAATAGGTTTTTGATGTGAACCCCTTTTAATTTATTAGTCTCCAATTTACTAAGAAATCATTTTTGTTACTAATCTCGAGAATTAATCGGTTTGCTAATTCCAAATTATTGCTTGTAAATCTTTTAAATCTCTAATCATTTTCGATTTTCTTCACTAAGTTGATCCAAGTTTTTTAATCGTTACTATTTGAAGCGCAAACTATTAAAGTTTAAAAAGCTTCAGGGAGAAAAGCTGAAAGATTAAAAACTTTTGGTCATCTAATTTATTTGAATGTGATAATAATTCTGTTTCATGAGGCAATTCTCAAAGTTAATTAATTTTATAGTTTTCGTAAATTCAAAAACTAATTAAAAAAAAAAAAGTTAAGATTAAAAAAATAAATTTAAGGTACCAAAATCAAATAATGTTACACAAACTTAATATTATTTTTCATTGAACAATAAAATCAATCAATCTCAGACAAAAAAATAAAATGTATGGATCTATTGTTTTATCTATTTTTCTTCAAGTAAGTTTGTTGATGTAATAAAAGGTACAAATATCAGATCTTGTTATCATTGAACTATTTTAAAATCAATGTGCAAAGTATACTTTGCATTGTCATTAGTGCAATCTTATTTACAAAACTCTATTAACTCTATATACATTTTCTATTATTTCCTTCCTTTTTCCGCAAGTTCACTCATTAATTGTAAACACCTATCAATATTCTCACCTTTTGGAGCACAAACAGGTACAATTTTCCAGTCTTTGTATTTCATTTCAATATGCTCTTTTAAAGTCTTAAAATTTTCACCTTCGTTACTTAAATCAGCTTTTGTTGCAACAACTAATACATTTTTATCACGCATTCTTTTGGGTCCAACTTCTTCAACTAACAACTCTAAATCCGCAGTAGGATCTTCACTTTCTAAAGATACAACAAAACACATCCCACCTGATCTTTCAATATGCCTCAAAAAATCTAATCCCATACCTTTATTTTGTGAAGCACCTTTAATAATACCAGGTATATCAGCAACAGTGAAAGGTAATGAATCTATTCTATGTTGTATTGTACCTATAGTTGGTTGTAAAGTCGTGAACTCCCAATGACCAACTCTTGGTTTTGCATTAGAAATAGCTCGTAATAAACTTGATTTTCCAGCATTTGGTAATCCAATTAAACCTAAATCAGCAATCAACTTCAACTCTAATAAAAAATTTTCAGTTATCCCCAACCTTCCAACTTTACAAAACTTGGGGTTCCTTATATTTGAAGTTAAGAAATGCATATTTCCTAATCCACCTTTACCACCTTTTAAAAATAGCATTGGTTTGGTGGTGATTTGATCACAATCTAATCCAAAAAGCGGGAATTGATCTTGTTGACTTTCTTCATATTCTATTTCTTCATCATACTTGGAAACTTTGACATTTAACTCTTGGAAAAAATCCTTTTGATTGTAGTATTCAAGATCATTTTCTTTATATAACCAACCTTCACCTGGTTTATACCCTTCCCTTCTTAGTTGGATTTTATCATTTATCAATGCTAACTCCATGTATGTATCCTCTAGAGAATCACCTTCCTTGTTCTGTATATGTTTCTTAAACTCTATTGGATCAGGTATCCATCTGATAATTGTTCCTAATGGAATATCAATTATAATGTCATCACCATTTTTACCATCTAATTGTCCTCCTTTACCACCTTCTCCATTTTTAGCTATATACTTTTTATTTAGGTAGTGTAATGAGTTTAAGTTTTTATCAACAACATTTATATATATATTTCCACCATTACCACCATCTCCTCCATCTGGTGGACCAAAAGATTTTAAATTATCTTTGAAAAACGATATTGATCCATTACCTCCATTACCTGAAGTAAATTTTATTATTTTTAAGTCAATAAATTTTTTCTTTTCTGTTTTTAATGCCTTTTTCAGCTTATTATGAATTAAGTTTGAGTAAAATACATGATGTAAATGAGTTGAATTACCTGAGAAATAATCTGATATACTTAGTATCAGTGATTGGGGTAGTTGTGAGATTTTTATTATCTGTTCTTCATTTGTTGGATTTTTGAGGATGGTTGTAGGTAAATTATCTGGTTTTGAGGCATGAAATGTACAGTTAAATCTTCTTGATGTAATTTGTAGTCGCTGTAGTAGTCTTTTCATATTGTAGTAGTCTTTTATTAGTGGTTTTTGAGATTTCAGATATCGCGATATTTCTAAATTCGCTTTTTTTGTTTTTTTGGTTGTAAGATGACCATCACCACTACCGAAACATGTCATTTCAAGAATTAGGAGTTGCCAGATGGCTTCTGGAATCTTTAGAAGCCATGAAGATTCATAAACCCACATCAATTCAACAAGCTTGTATTCCTGCGATATTAAAAGGTCAAGACTGTATAGGAGGTGCTAAAACTGGGTCTGGTAAAACCATTGCATTTGCAGCACCAATGTTAACACAATGGTCAGAAGATCCTTATGGAATTTTTGGATTGATTTTAACACCTACAAGAGAACTAGCACTACAAATTGCTGAACAATTCACTGCGTTAGGAGCAAATATGAATATCAAAGTTGCAGTTATAGTTGGAGGAGAAGATTTTATAAAACAAACTTTAGAACTACAAAAGAAACCACATTTTGTTATTGCAACCCCTGGGAGACTAGCCGATCACATAATGAACAGTGGAGAAGAAACAATAAGTGGATTAAGAAGAATTCGATATTTAGTACTAGATGAAGCAGATAGATTATTAAGTGATAGTTTTTCAAGTGATTTAGAAAGATGTTTTGAAATACTACCACCACTGGAAAAAAGACAAACTTTATTATTTACAGCTACTGTAACTGATGCAGTTAAAGAATTAAAAGATAGACCACAACCAAAAAATAAATTACCTGTTTTTATGCATGAAGTAGATACAGTTGATAAGGTAGCCATACCCAATACTTTAATGGTGAAATATGTATTTGTACCATCTTATGTTAAAGAAGCTTATTTACATAGTATATTACTATTACCAAAATACAAAGAATCAACAATAGTTGTATTTGTCAATAGAACAATAACAGCAGAAGTTTTGAGAAGATCATTGAGAAAACTAGATTTTAGAGTTACTTCATTACATTCACAAATGCCACAATCCGAAAGAACAAATTCATTACATAGATTTAAAGCAGGAGCAGCAAGAATACTAATAGCAACAGATGTAGCATCAAGAGGTTTAGATATTCCACAAGTTGAATTGGTGGTGAATTTCGATATACCTGCAGATCCAGACGATTTTATACATAGAGTAGGTAGAACAGCAAGAGCTGGTAAAAAAGGTGATGCTATAAGTATAATTGGTGAAAAAGATATAGAAAGAATTCAAGGTATAGAAGAAAGAATTAATAAGAAGATGGATTTACTTGAAGAAATTGATGATGATAAGATCATTAAAGATTCTTTGAATTTGATCACTACAGCTAAAAGGGAATCTTTACTGGAGATGGAAAGAGAAGGCTTTGGTGAGAAAAAGAGGATCAATAAAAGAAAGCACGAAATAGTGGAGTCAAAACCTAAAACCATGAAATCTAAAAAATCTAAGTCATAAAGACAATGATGGTTTATTTGAGTTCTCCTTACCTAAGTTCAGCAAGAAAGATCAGCGTACTTCTTGTACTCAATCATAAGCAGCTTTAAACTCAAATCTCAGATGTGGAATTGTCCATAGCTATAGTTTATTTGGCTCAGTGTAGGATAGACTAGCTCATTCATTACTAATAGAGGTTAATTACTACATCATAATTAATTTGAAAGTCTAGCTTTTATTCTAATCGGTTCTCTAATTTCTAATTTATATCTCTTCTCCTTCAACCAGTTTCTAAATACCCTTCAACAATCATTGTAATATTAATTGCCACTAAAGTCAATATAATCCCAGTAATACAAATAGCAGTAGTAAAATTATTAAAACTATAAGTATAAATTTTATGTCTAGCATATCTTCTAATAGTTATAAAATAATTCACACCACTAACAACCAACACTAAAAAACTCAAAATCAACAAAATATAAGATATGGCAATTGAATATTTTCTATGACTAAATCTTCTATGTTTATTTTCATCTTTCGAATCACCAGAAGTGTCAAATTTGAAATTCAAAATTATACCCAATGCCGTAAAAAATAATGCTGTCGAAAATCTTATGAATGTTAAACAGGTTCTTTCTGATTGCAATACATCTCTTGGCTCTGAACTTACTACCTTCATTACTAGGTTATATGGAAAAAAGGGTGAAATCGTAGCATCTTCTGCATCATCTATGTTGCCTATTTTGTGGAAAAACTCAAATTGATGTTTCTTTTGTGGTGGACCTTCATCTGGTTCATATGGTAATACATCAGTCATTTGAAACTTGGTTGATTATGTACTTATCATTATCTATTTTATCTTTGTACTTACACAATAACGTAAATTTTTTAGTGTGTCTTAAAATGAGAAAAATTTCTTTAGTATGGAAATCACTAATAAATAACAACAACCACAATCGAAATGAATAGACAGAATAAATGTCCCAATTGTGGACATACTCAGTTTGACGTGAATAGATACACAGCAGCAGGAGATGTTTCATGTCTAAGATGTGGTACTGTGCTAGAAGAAAATCCAATCGTTTCCGAAGTTCAATTTGGTGAATCATCAAGTGGTGCTGCAATGGTTCAAGGTGCAATGGTTGGAGCAGATCAAGCAAGAGCTACATTTGCTGGTGGAAGACAAAATGCAATGGAAAGTAGGGAACAAACTATAAGTAATGGTAAAAGAAAAATTAGAAGAATAGCTGCAGCATTAAGAATACCTGATCATATAAGTGATGCAGCTGGTGAATGGTTTAAATTAGCACTTACAATGAACTTTGTACAAGGTAGAAGATCAAATAATGTTTTAGCTACTTGTTTGTATGTTGCATGTCGTAAAGAAAAAACTCCTCATATGTTGATTGATTTTAGTTCAAAATTACAAATATCCGTATATTCATTAGGTGCAACTTTTTTAAAAATGGTCAAAGCATTACACATTACAGCATTACCATTAGCTGATCCTTCATTATTTATACAACATTTTGTTGAAAAATTAGACTTTAAAGAAAAGACTCAAAAAGTAGCATCAGATGCATTAAAGTTAGCTAAAAGAATGTCAGCTGATTGGATACACGAGGGTAGAAGACCAGCAGGTATAGCAGGAGCTTGTGTATTACTAGCGTCAAGAATGAATAACTTCCGAAGAAGTCATGCTGAAATTGTTGCCATTTCTCACGTTGGACAAGAAACATTACAAAGAAGACTAAATGAATTTAAAAAAACTAAAACTGCACAATTATCAGTACAAAGTTTTAGAAATGAACAAAATGCAGAAACTTCAAACCCACCATCATTTGAAAAAAATAGAGACCAAGAAATTAAAATTTTAAAACAACTACAAATACGACAACAAGAAACTTTTAAAAATCTACAAGATATGACAGAAGAAGAAAAACAAAAATTTATGGGGAATTTAAGTCATGATGAACAACAAAAGCAAATGTTAATGAATACAATTATGAGTGATATAACAATTAATAAAGATTTAATAAATGATCAAATTGAAAGAATACTAAAAACCAAAAAGAATAAATTAGAGGAAAGCCTTTATAAAACACCAGGTGAAAAAACAAGCGATTTAAAAGAAATTTGGAATTTAAATTGGCCTAAAAATTTATCAAAATTACCAAAATCAGATGAATTTTTAAGTAAGATTCCAGATGGTGATTTAAATTCAGATGATGATGATGTAATAGTCGAAGAAAGTAAAATGACTCCTGAAGAAATTGCAATGAAAGAAAGAATATGGACTGGTTTAAATCATGATTATATGGTTGAACAAGAACGTAAAAGATTAAAACAAGAAGCTGATGAATTAACTGGAAACACTTCTGCAAATAATGGGAATAAACGTAAAAAGGCAAGGAATTCAATTCCACCTGAAATCCAAAAAGAAATTGGTGATATTGTATTAGATGAAGATGGTACTCCTAAAAATGCTGGTGATAGTGCAAGAATGTTTTTTGCAAAAAGTTCTGTATCTAAAAAGATTAATTATGATTCTTTACAAGGTTTATTAGGTGATAAATTATAGAGTAATAAAAGTAACTTTTGTCTTTGTGATATCTCGTACTATCTTTTTGTTTTATCGTGGGGCGAGAAGTTTCAGAATTTATTTTAAATCAACTGCTCATCTGAATCAAAAAAATAATAATGTACAAAATATATTTATTTTTACAACCACTAACTACAAACTACAAGCTACACAATGGTCAAGAAGAGAAGAGCAGCTATACTACCAACTAATATTATACTATTACAAAATGTAGTACGAAGAGATCCAGAATCATATCATGAAGAATTTTTACAACAATATTCACACTACGAATCGTTAAGAGATTTATATTTGGAAAATCCAACAGGAGCAGATTCAAATTCCACAACAGAATTTATAGAACTTATAGGGTTTTTATCAGCTGTTTGTAATTGTTACCCCAAAGAAACAGCAAATTTTCCACAAGAACTTAAGACAATATTATTACAAAATCACAAGGATTTAACTTCAGAATTACGTGAAAAAATTATACAATGTTTAACAATGTTAAGAAATAAAGATATTATAACTGCTGAAAGTTTAATCCAAACTATTTTTCCTTTATTGACAAGTTATTCAGCTGGACAATCTGGTCAACATGTAAAACAAATGAGAAGACAAATTTATTCAACTTTAATATCCCTATTAAAATCAGTAAACACAGGTACAAAAAATCAAAGATTGAATAAATCAACACAAGCTTTATTGTTTAATTTATTAGAACAAAAAGATAATCAAGGTTTATGGGCCACCAAATTAACTAGAGAATTATGGAGACGAGGAATATGGGATGATTCAAGAACTGTTGAAATTATGACACAAGCAGCTTTACATCCAGATGTAAAAGTTGCTATAGCAGGTGCAAGATTTTTTTTGGGAGCTGATAAAGAAAGAGAAGAAAATTTTGAAGATTCAAGTGATGAAGAAGGATTTGATATGAGTGCATTAAAACATAAAATGGAAGTTAATAAGAAATCACTGAAAAGAGGTAAAAAATTAGATCAAGCTGTTAAACAACTTAAAAAGAAAAATAGTACCAAACATTCAGCCACTTATTTAAATTTCTCAGCTATACATCTTTTAAGAGACCCTCAAGGTTTTGCTGAACAATTGTTCGATAATCATTTAAGTTCTAAAAATTCAAACAAATTCGACTTGGATCAAAAAATTTTATTTATGAATCTTATTTCAAGATTGATAGGTACACATAAATTAATTGTGTTGGGAATATACTCATTCTTTTTGAAATATTTAACACCAAAACAAAGAAATGTAACTCAAATAATGGCAGCTTCAGCTCAAGCTTCACATGATTTAGTTCCACCAGAGAATATTGAATTAGTAGTACGTAAAATAGCCGATGAATTCGTAAGTGATGGTGTAGCAGCAGAAGTTGCATCAGCTGGTATAAATACTATAAGAGAAATCTTATCAAGAGCGCCCTTGGCTATTGAAGCTCCATTATTACAAGATTTAACAGAATATAAAGGATCTAAATCAAAAGCTGTGATGATGGCAGCAAGATCATTAATATCATTATATAGAGAAATTGCTCCCGAAATGCTTTTAAGAAAAGATAGAGGAAAAGTTGCAAGTATTGAATTACAAAAAGGTGAAAAATCAACAAAACCTCAATATGGTGTTGAAAATTCAGTAACTGGTATACCAGGTTTAGAACTATTAGCTAAATGGAAAGAAGAACAAGGTAAAAATGGTGAAGAAGATGAAGAGGATGATAAAAATTGGGAAGTTGATGAAGATGATAGTGATGATGTTGAAAGTGATTGGGTTGATGTTGAAAGTGATAAAGAAATAGATATTTCTGATGATGAAGAGGGCAAAGATGATGAAGAGGAAGAAAAACAAAAAGAAGATGAAGTGTCAGATTTAGAATTATCGTCCGACGACGAAGAAGAAGAAAAAGAAGAAGAAGAAGATTCAGAACAACCACCTAAAAAGAAACTTAAAACAGATACCAAAGAATTAAAGATTGAAGATCCACAAGCAGCAATAAATGAATTATTATCATCAAGAATACTTACACCAGCAGATTTTGCGAAATTAGAAGAGTTAAGAACTGAAGCAGGTTTGTCCAAAATTATGGGAATCACGAATGAAGAAACAGTTGATTCAACTACTTTAGTTGGAAAAATTAAATATAAACAATTAAGAGAAGAAAGAATTGCTCATGCAAAAGAAGGTAAAGAAGATCGTAGTAAATTTGGTTCAAGAAAAGGTAAAAAAGAAAAAGAAAGTTCTACTACAAATAAAGAAAAAGCAAGAAAGAAGAATTTTGTTATGATGATTCATAAAAAAGCAGTTCAAGGTAAACAAAAATTATCATTAAGAGATAGACAAAAAGTTTTAAGGTCTCATATCGATAGACAAAAAAGAGGTGGTAAAAAAGGTAATAATTAGGACATTTAGTAGTAAAATATTATTATCATTAATATAAAGAAAAAAACCTAAAATTTAACAAATACAAAAGATGAAATTGAAATATAAAATTAAAAAATTTGAGACAAACCAATTACTTCACCAATTTATGGGGATTGTTGAGACTTTTTTTTTTTTTCTTTCTTTTCTTGTTTTCTTTTTCTTTTCAATTCTTCTTGTGATAAAGCTGGTGGAGCTTCATCTTCTTCATCGTCATCATCTTCGTCTTCAATAGCTTCAATAGCAGGGGTTTTAATATCAATACCTTCATATCCACTTGAATATAAATCAGTTGGAGCTTTATAATCAGTACCATCTTTTAAACTTTGTTCATATTTTCCTTTTTCAATTAAATAAATTTTCATTTCATCTTGATATTTATGTTGCCATTTTTTCTTTTCTTCTTCAGAAATATTATCCCACCTTTCTTTAACCATTTGATTCATATCTATTGCACCTAAATTTGGTAATTGTTGTCTTCTTCTTTCTTCTGCAACTTTTTTACGAATGAAAAAACTAAAAGCGAAAAACATAGTTAATGGTTTTTTAGGTGCGTTAGGGTCTCTTTCGACTTTTCTCTTTTTGGTGGCAGAACCTTCATGTTTTAAACCATTTGCAATATCAACAGCAGCTTTCATATTATCATTAATAGCTTTTAATTGTTCAACTGTAACTTCATCATTATCACCAGCTGCGACTTTATAAAAATCTAATGCAGCACTTGCAGCACTTTGAGCACTTTTTGATAATTCAAATAATGCAGAAACTAAATGATCTTTTGATGATTTAAATTCAGCCATTGTAATGTGTGTAAATCAATTGAGTTAATTTGTTATTATCAAATTGATAATTAATTTGAATTGATATATGTTTGTAAAATTTACGTGTTTTGATAGTTTTGTTTTGAAATTAACCTTTTGTAACTTGAAATTAATTGTTATGGGGGTAATTTGAATTGTATTGATGTATTCGAACCAGTTGGTACCAAAATTTAGTGAGAAAAGAAACAAAATTAAAACAAAAAAATAAATTTTTGGTCAAGAGAGGAAATTGAATTTGTTTTAAAGAAATTATTTTAAATTTTTAGCGTTTTGAAATTTAACTTGTGTGTAGTGTCTTCGAGCTAAAAACTCAAATTTAGGGAGAAATTTAATGAGGAGATTCCCTTTAATATCGTACTGGTAATAAATTTATTAACACTAAATTTTCTTAACTATTTTAAACTATAAACAAATAAATATTTATTAATGTTAAATGACGCGTTTTAAATAACAAATACACATAACCACGAGTCAAAATTTTTGGAGACTTAGTTTGGAAGAGGGCCGTAGTAGTTACGACCATAAAATTTAATTGCACAACGCATGTTCAGGCTGGTCCGTGTAATTTTGTTTGAACGATTGATTGAAAAATTTGTGCTTTTCGTTGTAATTGGTTCAAATTTTGGAATTAATTTTCTATTCTGGCTCAGTAGTAAAAATCGGCTGTTAAATTTCCACCAGCTTAGTCGACGCTACCATGTTTTAGCGTATTTACAGCGGTAAGCTATTTAAATTATTTATACGAGAACCTTAACATATATTTAATATGTAAAATGTTTACTATTAGATGAATAGATTACAGCATTTAAAATCAATATCAAGCTATGCTATAACTTTTCCTGGTCAAGGTATAGTTAAAAATGGATTATTAGAACAAAACAAACAACATTTACCAATATTTCAAAAATATTTAGATGAAGTTGATGAAGCATTAAATGAAAATTTCTCCAAAAACTTATTCTTTAAAGATGAAGAACCTGGATATTTTAAAACTTGGTTTGGTAAAACTTCATATGCTCAACCTGCTATATTAGCGACTTCATATATATTGACTAAGACATTTGAAGAGCTCTATGATTGTAAATTAATTGACAATGCAAAGTATTTACTAGGTCATTCATTAGGCGAATATACTGCTTTGACTTTAAGTGGTATATTAGATTTTCAAACTGCTTTAAATTTAGTTAGATTGAGAGGTGAATTGATGCAAGAGATGTGTAAAGATAGATCAGATGCATACGGAATGATTGCATTAATGATTAGGCCAGAATACGTGGATGATGTAATAAAACTAGCTACAGAAGATGAAGTAATAGGTAATATTAATGCTCCTACACAAATTGTAATATCAGGAGAGCAAATTAAGATGGAAGAGTTTATACTGAAATTAAAGAAAATCAATAATAAATTACTATTGAAAGATATTAAATTACCAGTTACTGTGCCATTCCATAATGATATATTGAAATATATTGTACCGGAATTAAAAGATTTTTTATCAAAACAACCGATTGGAGAACAGAAAGTACCAATAATATCAAATCTAGATGGTGAAGTATCCACAGATGCAAAGGAATCAATCAAAAAAGTACTAGAAGCAAATTACCAACCAGTTCAATGGCTTAAATCGATAACAAATCTACCAGTAAATGAAATTTATAATATTGGACCTGGTCCAGTGCTAAATACATTAAATAAGAAAATTGATAAAACTAAACAAAATACATTAATCGATGATTTAAATGATTTTAATAATGATGTTATAAGTAAATAGATAACGAATGAATTTATGATAATGGACCTTACTACAACTTTATTTTCTTAGCTTCTGTAAAATATAACTCCGTTAAAAACAAATTCTGAAACATTGACTTAATACACAAAATTGGTGCTATTAGACAAATCTGGAAGAAAAATCGTAAAAATAAAATTTATGTCGGATCGAATTCTGTCTTGAAATTTATTCGAAACTCGATTCAATAAATTTAAGATTAAGATCTGATTTGAGACAAACGATTGATATCACATATAACTTTCAGTTGTTGAATGGTTTAATGGAGTTATCGATTTTGTGTGTTATAATATTTCAAATTTTTTGTTAATAGCATTTGACTCTGAGGATAATGGGTCGAAGTCTATTCAACATCAAGATCAAATACAGAACACAAGTGAGTTTCTCTTGAAGAATAAAATTTACATTGAATCATCTCAAGATGACTCAAAATTAATATGTAATTATATAATTGTATAATATAAAATAATTAATCAGTAAATAAACTACATAGATCTTAATAATCAGAGTCAATCATATAAAATTAAATTTTAACCGCGTAACATTAATAAAAATAATTTTTCATATTTTTCAATTTATAACTATTCTATACAACGTTTAAAGTTATTATTCCATCAATCCTAGATTTTCTTTCTTTTCTCTTATTTTTTTTCTTTTTGATTAATTAGACTCTTTATCTATTCAACTTAAAGATGGTTGCCCAATTATTAGATGGTAAATCCATTGCATTAGATATTAGAACAAAAATCCATGATGATATTGCACAATTTCAATTAAAACATCAAGATTTTAAACCAAATTTAGTTATTATTCAAGTAGGGGATAGACAAGATTCTTCAACTTATGTTAAGATGAAATTAAAAGCTGCAGAAGAAGCTAATATTGAATGTAAAATTATTAAACTAGCAGAAGATATATCAGAATTTGAATTAATTAATGAAGTTAATAAATTAAATAATGATTTAGATGTTGATGGGATATTAGTACAATTACCATTACCTTCTCATATTGATGAAGTTAAGATTACAAATGCTGTTTCAGCAGATAAGGATGTTGATGGATTTGGACCTTTTAATGTTGGAGAATTAGCTAAAAAGGGAGGAGAACCATTATTTTTACCATGTACACCAAAGGGAATAATGCATTTATTAAAAGTTTCAAATGTTGAAATTGATGGTAGAAATGCAGTTGTTTTGGGTAGATCAGATATCGTTGGTAAACCAATTGCAAATTTATTAACTAAAGCTAATGCTAACGTTACTATTGTACATTCAAAAACTCCATTAGAACAATTGAAAAAATATTTGGGAGATGCTGATATTGTTGTTGCAGCAATTGGTCAACCACAATTTGTTCAAGGTGAATGGTTAAAACCAGAAGCTGTTGTTATTGATGTGGGTACAAATTTTATTCCAGATTCCACTAAAAAATCAGGTTCAAGAATGGTTGGAGATGTTGATTTTGAGTCAGCTAAAGAGAAAGTTTCATTAATTACTCCAGTTCCAGGTGGAGTTGGTCCAATGACAGTTGCATGTTTATTAGATAATGTTATAATTGCTGCTAAAAATCATTATTCAAAAAACAATGCAACTCCAAAATTTACAAATCCTTTAAAGTTAAATTTACAAAAGCCAGTACCTTCAGACTTTGAAATTTCAAGAGCTCAACAACCTAAAAAAATAACACAAGTTGCTGAAGAAGCAGGTATATTAGATTCAGAATTAGAACCATTTGGTTTTTACAAAGCAAAAGTTTCATTAGATATTTTAAAAAGATTACAAAATAAAAACAATGGTAAATATGTTTTAGTTACTGGTATAACTCCAACTCCATTGGGTGAAGGTAAATCAACCACAACTGTTGGGTTAGCTCAAGCTTTAGGAGCTCATTTAAATAAAAATGTATTTGCCAACGTAAGACAACCATCAATGGGTCCAACTTTTGGTATCAAAGGTGGTGCTGCAGGTGGCGGTTATTCACAAGTCATTCCAATGGATGAATTTAATATGCATGTTACTGGTGATATACATGCTATTACAATGGCAAATAACTTATTAGCTGCTGCTATAGATACAAGAATGTTTCATGAATCTACTCAAAAAGATGGTCCATTATATAAAAGATTAGTACCAGAAAAAAAGGGTAAAAGAACATTTACAAGATCAATGTTGAAAAGATTAGAAAAATTAGGTATAAATAAAACTGAACCAAATGATTTAACACCTGAAGAAATTACATCTTTTGCAAGATTAGATATTGACCCAGAATCAATAACTTGGAGAAGAGTAGTTGATTGTAATGATAGATTTTTAAGAGGTATAACAGTAGGTCAAGCACCAACTGAAAAAGGGTTTACAAGAGCTACTGGATTTGATATAACTGTTGCTTCTGAATGTATGGCTATATTAGCATTAGCTAATTCTTTAGAAGATATGAGAGATAGATTAGGTAAAATGGTAATTGGAACTTCAAGAAATGGTGTACCTGTTACATGTGAAGATATTGGATGTGCTGGTGCATTAACTGCATTATTAAAAGATGCTATAAAACCAAATATTATGCAAACTTTAGAAGGAACTCCAGTCTTTGTCCATGCTGGACCATTTGCAAACATTTCAATTGGTGCTTCATCAATTTTAGCTGATAAAATGGCTTTAAAATTAGCAGGTACTTCAAAAGATTTAAGTGATGAAGAAAGAAAAGAACAAGAAGGGTATGTTGTTACAGAAGCAGGATTTGATTTTACAATGGGTGGTGAAAGATTTATAAATATAAAATGTAGATCAAGTGGATTAGTACCTGATGTTATTGTTATAGTTGCAACGGTAAGAGCATTAAAAGTTCATGGAGGTGGACCAGAAGTTAAAGCTGGTGCTCCATTAGCTCCAGCATATACTCAAGAAAATGTTGAATTATTAAGAGTTGGTTGTTCAAATTTAAGAAAACATATTGAAAATGCTAAATCTTATGGATTACCAGTTGTTGTTGCAATAAATAAAATGTCTTCGGATAGTGATAAAGAACATGAAGTAATAAAAGAAGAAGCATTAAAAGCTGGTGCAGTTGATGCTATAGTTTCAAATCATTGGGAAGAAGGTGGGAAAGGAGCTGTTGATTTAGCCCAAGGAGTAATTGAAGCTGCTAATTCTACTGATAAAAATTTCAATTTCCTTTATGGATTACAACCATCAATTGAAGATAAGATATCAGCTATAGCTAAAGAAATGTATGGGGCAGGAGAAGTTGAATTTTTACCAGAAGCTCAAGCTAAAATTGATTTATATACAAAACAAGGATTTGGTAATTTACCAATATGTATTGCTAAAACTCAATATTCATTATCTCATGATGCAAATTTAAAAGGTGTACCAACTGGATTTAAATTCCCAATAAGAGACGTTAGAGCCTCAATTGGTGCTGGTTATTTATATGCATTAGCTGCTGAAATTCAAACTATACCTGGTTTACCAACTCATTGTGGTTTTATGAATGTTGAAGTTAATGAAGATGGAGAAATTGATGGATTATTTTAGACACCACTAAACCAACAAGAGATAGAAACAGAGATTTAAAACTTGTTCAACCTTGGTTTTAACGAATGTTATGATATTTTTTTTTTTACTACAATCTAATTTTTAATAATTTTTTACTTTTTATAGACTTTTTAGTTTTTTGAAAAAACTAATCTATTGTTTCAACAAACAATAAATGCAATTATATTTATGGATAAATTCAACCCTTCATTGTATCTTGTCTCTTTCAACTACAGATCTTCGTATAATTTACTCGTTTCTTGATATATAATAAATTATTATTTACCCTAGTTTTTGTATAGTAATCTTATGAAAAATCTGAAAAAGAATCTCAACGAGAAAAACAAATTTAAAAAATCATCAAATAAATTTAAATTAGATAACGATCATCTTTTCTCTTCTCAAAGGTTAGAATATAACAATTTCAATATCAATAAAGATATTTCTCAAAAATATTCAAATTATTAAATTTTTATCAATTCTTATATTTGCATTTGTATTATTTTAATTAAATAAATTTCATACAATCAAACTAGCTAGCAACTAAACTAAATCAAATCATCATAAAACCTACTATAAAATGTATTCATTAAAAAATCAAATTATACCTACTTTAAAAAGATCAGTCAATTCAAAACAATCAATACCATCAATTGCTTCACAAATCTCGACTTTCAAATCAATATCTAGACCATTAACCACCAACTACATTTCCCCAAAATTCTTTTCAACTAAATCATCACCATCATCATTATTACAACCATTCACTACTTCAAAAAGATCATATAGTGTATTAACAGAATCACCAGAAGCTAAAATCTACAAATACGAAGACGTTAAAAAAATCACTCAAAACCCAGAAGCATACCCAGATTCAATCTTAATCGATGTAAGAGAACCAGTTGAATTCAGTGATGGTCATATTCCAGGTGCAATAAATATTCCATTCAAATCATCTCCCGGTGCATTAGATTTAAATGATGATGATTTTCAAGAAAATTTTGGATTTTCAAAACCAGAAGAAGATAAAGAATTAGTATTTTATTGTCTTGGTGGTGTTAGATCTACTGCAGCTGAAGAATTAGCAAGTACTTTTGGTTATAAAAAAAGAGGTAATTATTTGGGTAGTTATGAGGATTGGCAATCTCATGAAAATAAAAGTAACTTATAAGAGTTGAGACCTTTTTTTTTTGCTTTTGAATTTTTCATAAAAAACACTTTTCATCTTGTCATATAGTCCTTCATTTTCTTCAATTTTTAGTTTTGATATTTTGTTTTAAAAAAAATATTATAATAACAACAACCTTTTTATAATTTTAAGATTTTTGTATAAGTTTATAGATAAATTTAATAATATATATAACTCATAAATATTTCTAGGTTACATTTTAGTAGATATAAGATAACCACACAATTTTTAATTTCATTATATGGAATACGTTACTTGTCTATAAATCCTATCTATTATTAGTTCTAAATTCCAATTGTCTAAATTCTTTACCCAATCTTTTCTTCCTTTTCCTTTCCATTGCTTTTTCTCTTTGTTTAGGTTTCATACTATCATATTTTGCCTTTTGTAATATTTTACGTTTATCACCTCTTTTTAAGAAATAAGGTTGTAAAGTTTTACCATCTTTAACTTGTTGAAATTGTTTTTGTTTATATTCTTTTAATATTGATGTTTCTAAATCTTTATTTTTAAGTGTATCCATTCTTGATTTAAGACTTTGTAATTGATTTTGTATTTCTTGTTTTTCATATTCTGTGAGCTTGGATTTACGATCTTTTAGTATATTTTCCATATTTGAAATTTCTTGTTTTCTATATTCATCTAAAAATGCATAATTTTTACGTGCTTTTTGAATATCTGCTTTACCATAAGCAGCATCAAATCTTATGTCTGTATGTAATGTTTGTGATCTTCGAGAAGGTAATCCCGGTATATCTCTTACTCTTGATACTGGTTTCTTGGTAGATGATATAGTCGGTGCATGTTTTGATCTTTTTTTGTTTGAATTGTTACTGGAACTTGTTTCTTCTGGTCCCGAATCTGAATCTGAGTCATCAAAAAATTCATCCTCACTATCTTCGTCTTGTTGATGTCGCTGTTGTTGTTGTAATTTTGATTGTGCTTTATTTAATGCTCCAAATGATATTTTTGACATCTCATCATCGTCTTCCTCTTCTTCACTTGAATGCAAATCCCTTCGCTTTCTATTATCTAATGTATAGTTTAGCTCATCATCTGATTCTTCATCTAGGTAAGATGGTTTTATTCTATTTCTTTTGGGCATTTGTATAACTTTTCAATATTTGGTTGTAAATATAATATGTAACATAAATTAATTTATATCATCACATAATAAATTGTAATCAGACACTAAGCTACCAAATGGTTTATACGCTACCAAGTACATTGGCCATATCCTTAATAATACAATTTCTCACTTACAACTTATTTTACATATTAGTAAAGCCATGATAAAGCTGAATTGATCGGAGTGGCAGAACCAATTTCTATATTAAAGCTCATTCAATTCTTGAAACATCTATGAAAGCCATGTAGTTTTTTTTAGTACTGTGATTTTGAATCCTCACCCGGGGCATATTGGAAAATAGTACTAAATTCCCCTCTTTTCGTTTCAAAATTACTTTAAATAAATAGCATACTAACGACTTTTTCATAAGAATTTCGAGCAACTCGATACAATGGGATTAAACGGAGTTTTGATTGAAATATAATAATTCTTCGAATTTGAAGTGTTTAATAGAAGAATATAATATTATGGCTAAATGATTATAATAATAAAACCAATTGTAATAAAAGAAATAAATTTATTTTAATTGAACAATTTTTCAAAAGTTTTCAGAATTTCTCGAGTAATGTTTTCAGAAGAATTGAGTAAGTATTTTTGTAATTTCTTGTTGTAAAATTCTCTAATTGTTCTGCTTCACTTCTTTTATACATTTAGTTATTCTATATCGTGTCATTTTAATTAGACAATTAATTGAATAAACAATTAATCAATTCCTTTTAATAATCAATTGGTTCAATACAAAGTGAGAGAAAACAAATAAAAAAAGTTTGAAAAAAAAAAAAAAAAATCAACAAAATCTTTTTTTTTAAATTAACAAACTTCATTTCATTAAATATTATATATTCCAATCATAATGTTGTCAAGATCAATTGCTAGAATTTCAAGAGTATGTAATCCAATCCAGTCATATCAATTTCTTAAAAAATCAATTCATTATAATAATTGCTAGGGGTAGATTTGACATATTTGTTATCTATTCTAGAGATTCAATTCATTTTAATTCGCACACAATGGCCAGTAAACTTACAAGATCAATTACAAGACAGGAAAAATATCACAGCGATTATTATCACAATCCACACAATCATATTATTCATTAGCCAACCGTCAATTATTCAATTGTTTATTCAAAACTTCATTTCACACGTTGACATCTACAACAGAGAAAAATAATATAAAATTATTGCCGATTCTAAAAGATTATTTTTTCTCTACACACCGATCTATACATTAAAAATTTATTTATTCAACCAATTAAATTTAGATAAAAATTTATACAACGATCTAAATACAAGGGGTTCAATTTTGGAAGTCAGATCTACTACTGCAATAATGTTATTCCCATAATATAATGAATTGTTAAACAATTTTCTAAATTTATTACTGGTATACTAACTTTTTTCCTTTTCTTAGTCTGCTATTCAACAAAAAAGATTTTTATCTTTACATGAATATAGATCAGCTGCTTTATTAAGTAAATATGGTGTACCAATTCCAGAAGGTTATCCAGCTACTACTCCTGAAGGAGCTTATGATGCTGCTAAAAAATTAGGTACTAATGAATTAGTTATTAAAGCTCAAGCTTTAACTGGTGGTAGAGGTAAAGGACATTTCGATTCTGGTTTACAAGGTGGTGTTAAATTAATTTCATCACCAGAAGAAGCAAAAGATTTAGCTAGTCAAATGTTAGGTCATAAAATCATTACTAAACAAACCGGTGCTGCAGGTAAAGAAGTTACTGCTGTTTATATCGTTGAAAGAAGAGATGCTGATAAAGAAGCTTATGTTGCTATTCTAATGGATAGAGCTCAACAAACTCCAATTATTGTTGCTTCAGCTCAAGGTGGTATGGATATTGAAGGTGTTGCTGCAAAAGATCCATCAGCTATTAAATCATTCCCAGTACCATTAAAAGAAGGTGTTTCAGATAAATTAGCTACTGAAATTGCATCAGTTTTAGGTTTTTCAAAAGAAGCTATTCCAGAAGCTGCTAAAACTATTCAAGGTTTATATAATTGTTTTATTGATAGAGATTGTACACAAGTCGAAATTAATCCATTATCAGAAACTCCAGATCATAAAGTTTTGGCTATGGATGCTAAATTAGGTTTTGATGATAATGCAGCATTCCGTCAAGAAGAAGTATTTTCATGGAGAGATCCAACTCAAGAAGATCCACAAGAAGCCGAAGCATCAAAATATGGATTAAACTTTATTAAATTAGATGGTAATATTGCTAATATTGTTAACGGTGCAGGTTTAGCAATGGCAACTATGGATATTATTAAATTATATGGTGGAGCACCAGCTAATTTCTTAGATTGTGGTGGTACTGCTACTCCAGAAACTATTGAAAAAGCTTTTGAATTAATTTTATCAGATAAAAAAGTTAATGGTATTTTTGTAAATATTTTTGGTGGTATTGTTAGATGTGATTATGTTGCAAAAGGTTTAATTGCTGCTACTAAGAATTTCCAATTAGATATTCCAGTCGTTGTTAGATTACAAGGTACTAATATGGCTGAAGCTAAAGAATTAATTGATAATTCTGGATTGAAATTATATGCTTTTGAAGATTTAGATCCAGCTGCTGAAAAAATTGTTTCATTAGCTCCAAAATCATCATAATTTTACCATTAACTTGGGGGTATATAATTTTTTATGGGACAAAAGATCATTTTTTATGTTTTTGACTAAAATTAAAGTCAATTGAGAGATATTATATAGAACCTTCAATGTTATATATTCCTTAATTTGAAATAATAAATAACGAAATATTCAGGACAATAGCTTTAGTAATTGTAAACAATGTACTTGATCTTGAAAATGTAAAATTAGTGAGAATTCGTTGGTAGCGAATGTTTGTACTGAAAAAAATAATACAATAATCCAATATCAATTGCCACCAATTAAGCTTGTAAAACTCACTTGTCAAGACTTGTACAAAACTTTTTCACTTCGTCTTCAAATTTCAATCAATTGCATACAAATTAAATAAACACATCAATTGCATTATACCACTGTTTCAAAAGTCAAATCACGTATATATAATCAATAATGTTTTTAACACGAAGTGAATATGATAGAGGAGTATCTACATTTTCTCCAGAAGGTAGATTATTTCAAGTTGAATATTCATTAGAAGCCATAAAATTAGGATCTACAGCGATAGGTATACAAACCAGTGAAGGAGTTATATTGGGAGTTGAAAAAAGAGTAACATCATCATTATTAGAAAGTTCAAGTATTGAAAAAATCATTGAAATTGATAATCATATAGGTTGTGCAATGAGTGGGCTTACTGCTGACGCAAGATCAATGATTGATCACGCTAGAGTGAGTTCATTAACTCATAACTTGTATTATGATGAACAAATTGGTGTCGAAAGTTTAACTCAAAATGTTTGTGATTTAGCTTTAAGGTTCGGTGAAGGTGCAGATGGTGAAAAAAGATTAATGTCTAGACCTTTTGGTGTTGCGTTGTTGATTGCGGGTTACGATGAATTGAAAGGACCACAATTGTATCATGCTGAACCAAGTGGGACTTTTTATAGATATGAAGCAAAAGCTATTGGCTCGGGGTCTGAAGGAGCACAAGCTGAATTGAACAATGAATATCACAAAAGTTTAACTTTAAAAGAAGCTGAATTATTGACTTTGAAAATTTTGAAACAAGTAATGGAAGAAAAATTAGATTGTAAAAATGCTCAATTAGCTAGTGTTACAAAGGAAGAAGGATTTAAAATCTATAGTGATGATAAAACTGATGCTATTATTAAAGTATTAAATGAACAAGCTACTGATGGAGACACTGTTATGAGTTAATAATTTATACATAGAGTTTTAATACAAAAAAGAAAAAAACAAGTAATAAGTTAAAAAGTCTGTCAATATTTATTCTGGAAAGCAAGCTTCTAATCTATCACTCAATTGTAATATAACTCTATTTTCATATTCACCAAATTTTTTAATAATTTTCAAAAAAATAGAAAGTAAATTTCCAAATTTCTCATACTTACCAAAAAAGGAATCATTCAAGAACTCAACTCTTTTTAAAATCAGTTCTTCATCCATGGGCTTTGATGCAAATTTCTGGGGGTATTCAACACTAAAACTTTCATATAATTCGTAATTCAGTAATATTAATAATTTTTTAACTTGCATTGTGTATGCTTGGAAGTGGATTATGAACTCAAATAGTTTTGAAATTATCAAAAAAGTCTCTGGACGTGTTAATAATGAATCACTTAATAATGTTGTTGTAAATGTTTGTAAACTCAAAATCAAATTATCTACCGTTACGTTGGGATCAGAGTTATTGATTTTGTCTTGACTGTTGTTATTGTTGTAATTATTTGCGTTATTGATCTTGGAGTTTAATCGATTGTCAAAAATTGAATTTGTTGCATATGATGAGCTAGTTAATCTTGTACCAAATACATTTTGCTGTTGTGACTCTGTCTCTGAATTGTTGTCTGAATTGAACTCAAAATTCTGGGAGCTTGTTTGAGCATTTGCCAAAACTTTTTCAACATGTTGATAATTTTCTTGAATGACATCAAACATTATATAACTTTCAAATTCATTAACAAATGTTCTAATACGTGAATGTAACATTCTACATCTTAGTATCCATTTTTGAAGTATTGGATCAAATGATTTATCAGTCCATACTTTTGAAGTATTTATATCATGCCAATTTAAGTCACTTTGTTTTGTTATAAATTTTATCATTATTAAATATTTGAACATTAGTTCATATTGATATGAGATTTGTCTGTTTAGTATAAGATTTATTGGAAATGGTATAGGTATAGATAAATCACAACTTAAAATTGTTAAGTCTTCAAATTTTTCAGAATTTCTTAGTGATGATTCGGATTGATTATCGTTTGAGTCAAGATTTTGATTGTCATTAGTACCACTCGCAAAAAACTGATCCATATTTATATTAAAATTATCTCCTCTTTCAGCTAGTTCTTGTATCAACTTGAAAAAATTTTCAATACTAATTTTGAGACTTTGATTTTGTAATACTATTTGACTTATGGAGGAACTAGAATTATCACCAACTTTATTTTCGATTTTGGGTACAAAAATCTCATTATATTGTTTAATTATTTTTGATGTTGAGATTTTGAATTTGTTCTTTTTCATTTCTTGGAATGTTAAACTCAAAAATTTATCAATATTGAATGAAGTGTTGAATAAGTACAATGTTTGAAAATTTGTAATTAGTTGACTGAATTTATAACCTTGAAAAATTAATTTTAGTAATAAGTTGTTGGCTCTTTGGTAAAATTGATCAATTTTTAAATTCAAGTCCGGTGCATTTAGACTATCCAATTTAGGTTTATTCTCATTCTTATCTTGGTTCAAAAGTTTGAAGTTTGGTAAACCAGTACAAGCTTTAAATATACTTAAATATTTCCCAGTATTCAATATTTTTCTTTGGATTCTCGAATTGTTAAATTGTTCTAACAAACCATCTTTTTTGATCAAAAATAATTCATTCCAATAAACTTCTCCTTTGGTATCAATATATGACTTGAAATGTGATGGTAATTGAGTTACCCGTATCATAAACTCATCAAATGGATCATCGATATTCCCATCAGTAAGCCATTTATTTAGCATACTTACATAATCTATGCTTATTTCATCTAGTAAGGAATTTAAAAAATTAAATGAGGTAATGTCCCCTTTGTAAAATGTTAATCTTTCTTGTATAATCTGTAGTACTAAACCCCCTTTACAAGTTTTCATTCTTTCCGTATATAAATCAGCAGATTCTACTGTACTTGGTGGTAAATCATCAATATCCATGCCACTGAAATTTTTTCTCTCTTCACTCATTTCATGGATCCGCAAACTAATGTGATATAAATGCTCCAATTTATTTGATATTTCTTGATGCAAAAGTTGATCTAGAAGATTCATATTAAATCTATTATTATACTGGAACTCATGTTCGATCTGTGATAATACATTATAATATACTTTGAAAAAATTCTTTATAAAATGACAATATGACTGTATAATTTTCCCGTTTTTGGAATTATCATATATCTGTATAAAATTCTTTAGTCCATCATATTGTTTACCTAATTTAATCAATTTTTTTGTGATTGTTTTCAAACTTATATCTAAATTTTTGGCAATTCTATAATCTGGACCTTGGATCTTGGAATTTACTGAATTTGGGTTATAATTCTTACCATATTGTATATAATTTCCTTCAAATCCTAATAGCGTGAAAAGTATATCTTTTATAATTAATGCTTGTTGTATATTAATCTGTTGAATTTCATTTAATAATGGTGCTGAGATTTTTTGAAATTCTAAATCGTTTTTACTAATACATGAGCATAGTATGTTTTCTTCTTTCAATTCATCGTCAAATTCATCTTTCAAAGATACAATGTCTTTCTGATATGAAGTCTCTAGTATTATGTTTGATTTTCTTTGATTTTGTGGTTGTTGTCTATTAGGCAAAGTAAAAGTTGGTGAGAAATTTTCCATGTTTTCATCTTGTTTATCAAAAATTCTCAGTGACCCTATCCTATTTGCTTGGGATGGTGTAAATTCGTTCATTTACTGGTTGAGTTATCAAAAGAATTTGTATGTTTCTTATTATGATTTTTATTATGTTTTTGTTTACTTTTATAAAATATATACGCACGCGTTTTATGAAAGTTCAGCTACCAATTCATTTTGAAACATTATAAATTCTAATGCCAATAAAGGCTACACTAGCTAAGAATTTAGAGTATAGAATTAAGGTTGCTTAGAATTATGGTATTTATTTACCATTGATATAAGCGTTTAAATTTTCAAAAAACTTATCCATAATATTACCTATACAATCTCATCATCAAATTCATCATCCTCATCATCCTCATCAATAGTCATTTCTAACAAAGCCTTTTCTGCATCTTCTTGTACTTTCTGTAGTCCACATATCTCTTCTAAATATTTAGTATCATTCAAGCATCTCTTGATAAACTCCCAACCTTCTTCTTTATATTTTTCAATTATTTTTTCTGAACAAGCTGAACAATGTTTATAATTTGGTGTAAATAGTTGAGTTTGACTGAAGTTATTTAAAAATCCTCTTATTTGATGCGGTATCGTACCAAATTTCGTTACTGTGTTATGCTTCACCAATTGCTTTTTTGGATGTTGTAAGATTGAAACTAATAATTCAACAGCTAATGAAGATGCTAATAATGCACCACCTGGTCTTGTTACTGTACACATTTGATCTAATGTTCTATCCGTCAAGCTATCTTCTGGTGCAACAACATCATTACAATAATAACAACCTAATCTTTCATCTTCTTGTTGTGCAATACTTCCATGTCTCATAACCAAGTAACTGTCAAATCCTAATGCTGCGTTTACGATTATCTTATCTTTTGCTGTTCCTAATACGGTTGGTAACCATCTTGATTCTCTTGAGTCCATCAACAAAAATACAACGTCATTTTCATCAAATAATTTATTAAGTTTATTGTAGTTTACTTTTTGCTTTGGTTCATCAGTTATAGAATGGCCAATCATAGGTACTTCCAAACTAATTCCAGTAGAATTAACTCCAGGATATATCTTTTTCAAATTTTCAGCAGCTTTTTGAGCCTTCAACTCACCTCTACCATTATCACTTGAACAATCAGCAAAGTTAAATAAAGGTTGTCTAACCGGGTTTGAGTAAGAAACTCTTCCATTATCAACAAAAGTAATATCATTAAAACCCCAACCTAACAAAGCTCTTGCAACATAACTACCTAAAGTACCAGCTCCTAACAACAAAACTTTTTGTTTCTTCAAAATATCTAGATCTAGTTCTGGTGCAATTCTCCACTTCATTAATCTTAAATTGAGCTCTACAGCTTGCTTGGCTAATTGGAATGGATCAATTAATAATCCCAAGTTTGCAAGTTTAGGACCTAATTTTCCTTCATTTGTTCTTTCCCATCCTGTGAATTTTGGTGGGGTAGGTGTTGATTCAAATTTTAGTTTTTGTTTGATTGATGATCCATTGTTTCTGTAGGTTATCAATTCTATTTCTTTTATTCCTTTGTGAGATAGGTAAAATAAATAGTTCTTTAGTTGTACTGAGGGTTTCATTTCCTTGTTTAGACAAGTATCGAAGAAAACAAATGTTGGAGATTTCAGTACATCTAGTCTATTCGAAAGTGTATTTGAGTTTAATTGGTAAAATTGTCCATTGATTATGTTCGATTCCTCTCGTAGTATATCAATTATATCATCATCGATTTGTAATTCCTCTTCAATTGTCCAATTATTATTTATTGTAGGAAATGCAACCCAATAATAAAATTTATACTTCTTCAAGTCAGAAAAACTCAACACATAAAATGAGTTAAAAATTTCCCAGTCAAATGAATCAGCATTTACTATTTTATCATAATTCAATTGACCCCGCATTTGTAAAAGCTCCAATTTATTTAGGTTTTTAAATTCTTCAATAGTATTAACATTTAATATCTCTCCATTAAAACTCCATTTATCTTCTTCCTCGACATTTTCAAAACTATCATCATCCAAATTTATTATTGGAGTATCATTAAACTTATTTAATTTTGAAGGTATTGTTTGATAACCTCGTATTTTGGTCGTAGTAGAATCTAGTTTAAATTTATTTAGTTTTAAATCTGCTAATTTTGTGAAGAATGATGAGTCTATAAACGATTGGATTGGTATAAATTTCAATGATGTCATTCTTTTGGTTATAGAAGTTGTAGTTAAGTAAGTTGGTCTTTAATAATATGATTAGTAAGTATCGTATTTTGATAAGAAAGTAAGAGATAAATAAAATTGTTACACAAAATTCAAATGTATATGCAATTTATTAAATACACAGTAAAACTAAATAAACTATTCATTCATTGGTGTATCATTTATAGTCATATCATCTAATTCATCCAATAATTCATCAAGACCAATTCTAGGAGCATCTTCGTCATCATCATTTTCTTCTTCAATATCATCTTCATTTCTTTGTGGTTGAGGTTGTTGATCTTCTCCTGCTTTATACATATTGATAGTTTGTCTTAATTCTTCATCTTCTTCTAATTCTTGTAAAAATAATTCATAATCTCTTTCTGCTTTTTCTTGTTCTTGTCTTGCTTGTCTTGAATCATCGTTAGCTACTATATCATTATGTTCTCTTGCCATTCGTCTTAATTTCCATTTTCTATTTTTTGATTTCTTGGATTTTCTTGAATAATATTTCTTGACTAGTATGACTTCTGGTGTATTATCTGTATCTAATGTATCCCAAAGTTCTGAATTAAAATTTGTATTTGATAAGTAATAACCTAAACAAGAATCACCTGGATGTAATATAGCACCTAAATGAGATCTTACATAAAATGATTGATCATTTGATCCTAAATCACTTGCTCTACTTACTTCAATATCAGCCAAAACATGTTTCCCCTTGACATCTCCAGTTGGTTCAACATCTAATACAACAAATTCAACTAATTGTGTAGCATCTAATAATGATGGAAATGGAGATCTCCAATATACCTGTGATGATAAATCTGCAGTTTGTAAATTGAAAGGATCAAGAAATTGCATTGCATTATTGACTTTATTACAAAGTACTAATCTCGATATATTTCCCATTGAATGAGCTAATTTTTTTGGTAAGACAACTAAATCATCTCGACATATTGGTGCAATTTCTATTGAGTATGAAAACTTATAACTTGATGAACCAGAATGAATATCTGTACTAACCAACTCTTCTGATTTTTTTACTTTTACAGGTGCAACTGAAGTTAAAAAGTCAACCATTTTTGCTGCATGATTCTTTTGTGCATAGAAAAAATCAAGCCCATCTTTTGTTTCTTGGATCGATACAGTATCAACATGTGCATTATGTTTTAATATCAATTGTTCCAAATATAAAAAGGTTCTTTTATGTGGTACTTTTTGTCTTATTTGAACTGTTGCTCTCCAAGTATTTGCAGTATATGATTTTGCACAATCAGGACATTGCATGGCAATAACAGTATACTCAACTTCAAATGTTTGTTGTACTATAGTATTTGCCATTGCTTCACCTTGAACTGTAATTTTAACTCTTATTCTTCTTGAATGAGGTTCTGTCCATATAAAAGATGCATCAACTAATCTTACTTTATTTAAACCCTTTAATCTTCGAAGACATAATGCCAATAATTCCCTTGATTCTAATTGTGCTTTAATCCATTGTCCTGGTGGTTGTAAAAATCTTTCACAATTTCTACAAAATGAAACATTTGCCTCTCTCGGTATACCTTCTGTTATATCAACATTTAATTTTATACAATCATAACACATTACAAGTCCCAGTGAACCATCCATAGGAACACCACAATTACAACATAATACTGTTGCCACTGGACCCGCTACTTCTCTGTCATTTGGATTTAATTGTGTATAATTTGACATCTTGGTTGTAATTGTAATTAGTAATCTGTAAATCAAACATATTAATTTCTAGAAATTTTTATCTTTAAATATGTCATCTCTTTAAGAAGAATGCGGATTTACAAATACGCTTTCACGTGATGTATTCCATGCTTTATACTCTCGACTTCACGTGACTGTCATTTTTGTAATTTTTCAAATATGGAAATTATAAACATAAATATATTTACAGTATATGTAACATATCAAAATAATATACTATCAATACATTGATCTAACTTTTGTTTACCATCTTTATGCAATTAATATAATTAAAACCCAATGGTAGATAGGAAAAGAGCACTAAAAATAGAAGAAGATGACGAAGAAGACGATTTACCATTAAATAAACAATCAAAAATTGAATCAAAAGAGAAATCACCCAAACTTAAAGAAGAACTGGAAGATGAAGATGAGGATAATAAGGAAGCAAAAGATGAAGAAGATAAAGAAGATGAAAGTGAAGAAGAAAATGTGGTAGAAGAGACAAAAAATGGAGATTCAAAAGTTAAAAATGTAAGTGTTGTACCAGAGGAAGAAAATAATGAAGAAGATAATGATAATGAAGACGAAGATGAAGAAGAAGAGGAAGATGATGATGAAGATGAAGAAGCAGAAGAAGAGAAAAAACGAATTACGAATTTTAATTTTGATGGAGAAATATATACTTTTAAAGAAAGACCATCAGTTATTGAGGAAAAAGAAGGTAAAATAGAATTTAGAGTTGTAAATAATGATAATACAAGGGAAAATTTAATAGTTTTAACTGGTTTAAAAAACATTTTCCAAAAGCAATTACCCAAGATGCCTAGAGAATATATATCAAGGTTAGTTTATGATCGATCACATTTATCAATGGCAGTCGTACGAAAACCTTTAACAGTTGTTGGTGGTATAACTTATCGACCTTTTAATAATCGAGAATTTGCAGAAATTGTATTTTGTGCTATATCTTCAACTGAACAAGTTAGAGGTTATGGTGCTCATTTAATGAATCACCTAAAGGATTATGTGCGAGCTACTTCACCAATAAAGTATTTTTTAACTTATGCTGATAATTATGCTATTGGTTATTTTAAAAAACAAGGTTTTACAAAAGAAGTTACATTAGATAAGTCAGTATGGATGGGATATATAAAAGATTACGAAGGTGGTACACTAATGCAATGTTCAATGCTACCGTCAATTTTGAGATACCTCGATTCAGGTAAAATCTTGTTGTTACAAAAGGCAGCTATTGAAAGAAAAATAAAATCAAGATCAAAATCAAATGTTGTTAGACCAGGTTTACAAATTTTCAAGACAAATAAAAATGTTACATTAAATTACAAGGATATTCCAGGATTATCAGAAGCTGGTTGGTCAGAAGAAATGGATAAATTAGCACAAAAACCCAAAAGAGGTCCTCATTACAATTTTATGGTTACTTTATTCTCAGAATTACAAAATCATCCATCAGCATGGCCCTTTGCCGTACCAGTTAATAAAGAAGAAGTACCAGATTATTATGAAGTCATTAAGGAACCAATGGATTTATCAACAATGGAACTGAAATTAGAGAATGATAAATATGAATCATTTGATCAATTTTTGTATGATTCAAGATTAATTTTTAAAAATTGTAGAAGTTATAATGGTGATACTACTACTTATTTTAAAAATGCTAATAAATTGGAAAAATTTATGAATAATAAAATTAAAGATAGTGCTGAATATTCACATTATTTAGATTAATGATGAAGCTTTTATAATGAATAGGTTGTAATTAATAATTTACTATTAAATGTTGTACTAATACATAGATAAAATATTAAATTGATCTCCGAGAGAAATTAAATTTTGTTAAGGAGTATTTTTTTTTTTTCTTGTTTTAAAAAAACCCTTAGATTTGAAATTTTGTAATTTTCAATTGCTATCTTTTCTTTAATCAATTCTAACTTCAAAACAACAACATGACAGCCAAAGTATTTGCATATACAGAGTCAATTGATGTTGCAAATGCCGTAGGCCAATACATCCTAAAACAACAAGATAAAGCCTTCAACAATGGTGAAGATAAATTCAAAATAGCAATGTCCGGAGGTTCATTAGGAAAAGTTTTGAAAAAATCATTAATTGAAAATAGCGAAATTGCACCGAAAATTAAATGGGATAAATGGGAGGTATATTTTAGTGATGAAAGAATAGTACCGTTAGATCATGAAGATTCCAATTATGGTTTGTTTAACGAGATGGTCTTGAAAAATTTACCATCCTCCACCCCAAAACCAAAAGTTTTCACAATTGATGAAAAATTAGTAACTGGCAAAGACGGACAAGTTGAAGGTGCTGATATTCAAAAGGATAAAGATATTGCAAAACAATATGAGAATGTTTTACCTAAACAATTTGACGTGATATTGTTAGGTTGTGGACCAGACGGCCATACTTGTTCATTATTCCCAGATCATCATTTATTAAATGAAAGAACAGAATTAGTTTCATACATTAATGATTCACCAAAGCCACCACCAAGAAGAATCACAATTACTTTCCCCGTATTAGAAAATGCTAAATCAATTGCTTTCGTAGCTGAAGGATCGGGGAAAGCACCAATATTAAAACAAATTTTCAACGATCCAAATTCAAGATTACCTTCAAAATTAGTAAATGAAATTAAAAGTGGTGTTGAAATCAATTGGTTTGTTGATTCGTCTGCTGTTGATGGTGTTGATGGAATTGATGTTTTAAATAGTAAAATTTAGAGTTAATAGAGTTATTTAATAGAGCATAGAGATAGAGATTATGACGTATTGTAGATCAAACTTATGCATGTATTGTATTTGGTGATAAGTTGGTAGCACCGACATTCTGAAATATTTTAAGAAGATCTAGAATTTCAGTTTTGTATTGCAAAAGAAAACCACCATCAAATAGATAAACGATAAGTCTGCCATTAAAGTACCTGAGGAAAGTCACCCAGGAGTTTTAGTAGAGTCCTTTTTAGCATTTCATAAAGCAACAATTTCACCAGATCAAATACACAATAAAATGTCAGATATAGAACAAATAGATCATATACAACCAGAGCAAGATGAACTAGATAACCCAATGAGAATAATACTAGTAACAGATCACAATCAAACAAGCACAGAGGAGGAAGAAGAATCAAAAGACGAAAAAATCACAAAAGAAACAAAATATCAAGTAGAAAATGAAATGGAAGAAATTTTACTAGATCAAATTCAAACATTTACACACATGAACGAATTTTTTGATTCATTTGATTCAGATATAGCGTATCCTAATGAAGGTCACATAAAATATGAAGTTGGTTCAGATGGTCTTGTTGTTATAATAGTTGACTCAAAGAAACTAAAAGATGAAGTTATGAAGTTTATAGAGAAATATGATTTGGACTGTGAGGAAGTAAAGAAAGATGAAGAAGAACAATCAAGTAAGAAGAAAAGGAAAGACTAAGTGATATTAAATAATATACATTTAATAGACTAATATTATACAAATTAATGACAAACTAATGCTTTTAACTGTCATGTTGTTCTTGTATTTGTTTTTCTTTAATGAATTCTTTAATTTTATACCAATAATGTTTAACTTTTGGATTCTTCAATTCTGTCATTCTGCCATCTAATCTTTCAACAATAGCTCCAAATAAATTACCAGTTTCCTTGTTATATAAAATTCTAAGCCAATAGAAAACTAAAAACAAACTTAATTGATAACCACTTGCATTTCTGAAAAATAAAGTACGTAAAAGTAAATAAACAATTAATACTAATTCATCGTACGCAATAAATGAAGCTAAAAATGATGATTCTTTAAGTATAAAACTAATGTTTTTCAATTTACCCATGTGCAATAAACTAATCAACCATAACGGAATAATTTTGAAAATAGATTTGAAAGTGAAACACCAAACAAAAGCTAAGATCAAATATTGAAAGTTTTGATGACTTAATAAACTTGCAATTGGAGGTAAAAAATGTAATCCAAATTTATGACTAAAAGTTGCAGTAAAAGCTAACATTGATCCAATTAATGATAATCTATAACTTATTGAATTAATATACCAGATATTAGGTAACCATAAAATTTGAAATAAAAAACTTATACTACCAAAACCAAGGGCCATTAAATGACCGGTTAACCAAAGCTTATATTTTAATGCACTAGAATCTGGTGCTTTTCTAACTAATTTTTTCTTCATCTTATGAGGATGTTCATTTGGAGTTTTGTTGGTTGGTTTTGGTGGTTCCGATTGTTTTGGTCTTGATTCCTCAGGTTGTTCTTTACTCTTTTCATAACTTGCATCATTTGATTGAGGTGGTGGAGGTGGTGCTTGTTGAGGTGGTTTTTGTTGTTGTGGTTGTTGAGGTATTTGTGGTGGTTGTTGTTGCGGTGGTTGTCTAAATTGTTGATTTGGTTGTGGTTTAATAAATTGTTGCTGAACGGGTGGTTGTCTCTGAAATTGTTGGACAGGCTGTTGTTGTTGAAATTGTTGTTGTTGTTGATGTAACTGTTGTTGTTGTTGTTGAAATTGTTGTTGTTGATGTAATTGTTGTTGTTGTTGATGTAATTTTTTTTGTTCATTATGTTCAGGTGGAATTGCAGATGAATTTATAGTTGATTTGATTAAATTTGGATTTACTGGTCCATTCCCATACTGTTCATTTGTAGCTGCTGACATCTTGTACCTATATAGAAATCAATTGAGTGGTTAGATTAAATATTTAAAGATTCAGTTAATGATTAAATTTTTGATTTCGAATAGAACTATTCAATAAAAATAATCTTAAAATGAAATTTAGCAATTATTAATAAACGTATATTATAAAATATCTTATATACAGGAATGTAATAATTAAGGTACAATACATTAAATTTTACGAATAATTAAAATTAAAATTTGGATTGAAATCTTATGATTTTTATGTTAATTTACTATGTCTCTTATATGACAGCATTCATTGATTTTTGAGCTTTATCTGACAACATTCCATATGTGGCTCAAAAAGATTCAGGAAAACTTGTTAAATAATAAATTTTGACAGTTTCAAGTTGTTGCAATGACGCGACAATCAATACTTTTTGTGTCAATGATTTTGATTTATCAAAAAGTAAACAAAAAAAGTTACAATTTTAAGTTCTAAATGTTTTACAACCAAATTGACAATTTGTACCAAACATGTCACCAGCAATAGATACAACTACTTCAACGAACAATAGCAACACAAGAAAACAGAGGAACGATATAGACTATTCCAAAATCCCGTCACTATCAGAATTAGAAGCGTCAATACTAACAGAATATCAAATACTAAACAACACGTTAATAAAAATAAATCAACAACTAAAAAATCTAACAACTACAAAGCCAATCCAGAATGGCAAAGATGTAAAGAGTCAACAATTAAGTGAAAGCGTGATACTTATAGAAAATTTAAGAAAATTAGAAACTAAAATTTCATTTATATATACTTTTTTCAAAGGTGCTGTTTATACTTTATATGCAAATGAAGGTGAAGGTGAAGAAGAACTAACAGAAGAAACTTCTATATATGATAACACGAATGATAACGAACAAGAAGAAAATCAAGAAGATGATGAAGAAGAAGAAGAATATAATAATGATGAACTAAATTTCAAAAAACCTAAACGAAGTCAAAGAGATAAACAAGATGATGAATACGAAAAGGGTGCAAACGAACTATCAAGTATTTCAGATTCGTAGTTTATTACAAGTTTTACAATTTAATTCACGGCTACAGTTCAGTTTCTAGTTTAATTTTGGGAAATGAGAAATATTTAATTTATTGTTGGATTATAAAATCTTATACAAAATATCATTATATATCAATTCAATTTTAATAATCTTAACTCCATTATTCAAAATTAAATGATTCAAATCTATAACACCAACATATTTTAATTTACCAGTTATCATATCATTAGGAGAAGAATTTATCAATTTATTATTTATGTCACATTCACCACTGAAGTTTATATCATAATCTTTACTATTGGGTGTTGGTAGTTTCTTCTTATCGTGAATTTCATGAATTGGATCAGTTATTTCTACATTTTCTTGATTTATGTTGTTGAGATTAAGACTATTGTTTAACCAATATTTATATGTGTTCTTCTTTATTGTTTCGAAATTAATCGATTTGATAGTCCAATTAAAATTGAAATTTGGTATGATATTCGTACTATCTTTTCCATTTGTCAAATCATTGGTGATTTCAATTTCTACTCCACTTATACTCGGGTATTTCAACTCAATCCCTATATTGAAATCATCAGTATTAGTAGTATCAAATTTTAAATTTATAGGTAATCCAAAAATTTCTCTCATTTTAGAATTTAACGATACTTTACTTAATAATGAATAATTTATATTGTTGACTTGTAAATGACTTAAAAACTCCTTTATATTAATTTCGTCGGCTGCATTACTATTTTTATTGTACTTTTGTTGTTGTTGTATAATTTCATTAATTATAAATTCGTATAATTCATTATCCAAATACTTTAGATCGTATGGGTAACTTAATTTCAAGTTACCGAATAGATTGAAATTATACCAAATGGGTATGAAAATTGATCTTTTTCTTACTTGTTTTATGCCATTATGATCTTTGATACCTTCATCATGATAATTCTTATATTGATATATTATAATGATAAAAACTGACGTAATATACGATATGATTATTGTAATTAAAACCGATCTGAAAGTAAATTTAGATTTTTTAGTCAATAACGAATTTGAGGTACCATTTAAATGATTTTGAATAGTTGATTTAATTAAATTATCGTATTTTAATTTTTCAGATTCTGATATCTGACTTTGATGTTTGGATGAATTTAGTATTTTAAAATTCCGATCATTTTGATTTTGACCACTTAATTTCCTGTTCTGTTCTAACGACATAGAGCTGCTTCTGTGGTTGCCACAAATGCTGTTACTGTAGACATTCCGTGTAGTAGTCAATGGCCGTATCAAACTGACTCTTAATGACTGTATATTAATTGAGGATATGTGATTTGGTTGAAATTTCGATGGCGGTAGTCTATTTTTTAGCAATTGCTTCAATAACATTATAGTTGTGTATTCAGCTACAATAATCAGTAATCAATTAAATGTATATTGATGAAGTGAAATGAAATCTTATTGTTAATGTATATCTAAAAGATAAATCGGATTGATCATATTATTCTGTTTTAATCAAACTAGATGAATGATTTTGTGTAAGTTTCATATCAGAAAGTCCGAGTTTAAACAAACATTCTTAAATCATGTAGTTAGAACTTATATGAAAAGAAAAGTTATGTAGAAATATAATTAAAAAATATACATTAAATATAATGATTTAATTGTCTAACTTTACTCTCTTTTACTATCTAATTAATTTACTCATCAAAACTAGCCCAATCAATTTTTTTACTTTCAAATTCTTCAATCATTTTTAATAAATCTTCCTTTTCTTTTCTTTCTTTTTCTTCATCTACTATATCTTCTTCTACTTGCTTTTGACGAGATTGAGTTTTAGTAAAATCGAATTTTTGTTGTTTATTATTAATTGGGGTTTTTGTGAATGATGAAAATGATATTGAAGCTCCCTTAGTTCGTGTCTCTTTAGACTTGATCTCAGGTAACGTTGATGAATTTTTAATTTTTTCTCTTATTGACGGTTTATTGCCGGATTTTTTGAATTTTGATTGAGTATGACCTAGTTTATTATTGGTTTTGAATCCATCTAATCTAGCAGCTAATGGGTTGACATATCCTGCTAGTCTTTCTGGCTCTTCATCATCTTCATCATCATCACGATCGTCTTCTTCCTCGTCATCAACCTCCTCGCCATCTTCCTCGTCTACATCATCGTCGTCATCTTCCCATTCTTCTTCTTGATCTTCCTCTTCTTCATATGCTGTATTTTCACTAAAATGACTGTTTTTGCTATTTGGTCTGCTATTATTTGACGAAGACTTATTTGCTAACGTTATTCTTGAGGCTAAGGATTGAGCAGCCTTAGTCACTGGACCTTTGGCGTATAATTTTTCTTCTACTTCTTCACCTTCATCATATACTGTATCATCATCGTCATCTTCTTCTGGAGCCTGATTATAATGTAATTGATTGGTTTTATACTGTCTTTTGTTAGGTGATCTGTTTTGATAATTATGATTATTACTTTGATTGTTATTGTTGTTATGATGGTGATCGTTATTGTACTGTCTATTGTGATTGGTATTATTTCTATAATGGTTATTATGATTATAACTTTTTGGACCTTTTGGCCTTATAATTTCTTTTTCTTTTACATTTGTATCTGAATCTGATTCTGCATCTGCCCACTTACTCTCACTTATTCCAACAGTTTTCTTTTCATTCTTAGTTAGATCTATATCTTTTACTTTATTTGGCAATTTATGATCTTCATCATCACTATCTGCCCATTGTGACACTAATACCATTCTGTGTCGATGATCTAGTTTTATTGAATTATTTATTTAAATATAATTTAAAGATCTTTCAACGTCCTTTTTTTGTGTCTTGAACATTAATTAAGAAAACTGCTTTTACGAAACAATTTAAAATAGTTAGGGGGTAATTTTTGTTTTAACCAACTAAACTTTTATCTTGAAATTTATTTTCATTTGATTCAATAAATGTATATTCCAAGGTAAAATTTGATTTTGAATAACCTTTTGTAAAAACCTTACATTACTTAAAAACACCACGGTTAGATCAGTAGGTCGTAATGTTGTTTCCTCACCTTTTTGTAAGCATGTACGAAACTACGGTCTAAAGTACGTCTTCATTGAATTTTAATACTTTGTAGAAGCTACTTATAAATAGCTGTCAAGTGAACAAGTCAGAAGTACTAATTTGGAGCTAGTTTATTTGGTTTTGAGTTGTTTAAGAATTGGTTCACAAAAACTATATTTTCAATTCAATGACTAAAATTGATTTGTAGAATACTTTTGTACCAATTATTTAAGTAAAAAAACTTAAGAAATTGGGTTAACCTGAAATGTTTCATGAATATTACTAACTATAATCATCTAATCTTCCATCAGTAAACCATTATAAGATCAAATACCAATACTTATGTTCTATAAAAATAAAATAAAAAAAAAATCATTGTATTAAAAAGCAAATCCGTATGAGAAAAATCCGGTCCACTCTTTATTTTATTTTATTTTATTTTTATTTCTCTTTGTTACATAATAAATCTTAAATTTCAAAATTGCTTTCCCTTTTTTCCCATAATTATTACATTTTATTTTTTTACAACCATTAAGGTCAACTCAATTAACTCAATTGATTTATTTATAACTTAACTTTATATTTTCAATTGATTACAACACAATAAACGATGTCTTCATTCAAATTAGCTACTGACTTACCAGCATGGAAAGAATTAGAATCATTATATAAATCAGAAGGTGAAAAATTTAATGTTAAAGAAGCATTTGCAAAAGATCCAAAAAGATTTCAAGAATTTTCAAGAATCTTTACTAATTTTGATGATTCAAAAATTTTATTTGATTATTCAAAAAATTTAATTAATGAAGATATTTTTAAAACTTTAATTAAATTAGCTAAAGAATCTAACTTGGAACAATTAAGAGATGATATGTTTGCCGGTAAACATATCAACACTACTGAAGATAGAGCTGTTTATCATGTTGCTTTAAGAAATATTCACAAGAGAAAAATGCCAGTTGATGGTAAAGATACTACCCAAGAAGTTTCAACAGTTTTAGAACATATGAAAGAATTTTCAAATCAAGTTAGAAGTGGTGAATGGAAAGGTTATACTGGTAAAGCTATAACTGATGTTGTTAACATTGGTATTGGTGGTTCAGATTTAGGACCAGTTATGGTTACTGAAGCTTTGAAAGCTTATTCCAAACCTGGTTTAAATGTTCATTTTGTTTCAAATGTCGATGGTACAAATATTGTTGAAGAATTAAAAGGCTTAGAACCAGAAACTACTTTATTTTTAATTGCTTCTAAAACTTTCACAACTGCTGAAACTATTGCAAACGCTAATTCCGCTAAGAATTGGTTTTTAGAAGTTGCAAAAGATACAAAATATATTGCAAAACATTTTGCTGCTTTATCTACAAATGAAAAAGAAGTTGCCAAATTTGGAATTGATCCAAGAAATATGTTTGAATTTGAATCATGGGTAGGTGGTCGTTATTCAGTTTGGTCTGCAATTGGTTTATCAGTTGCAATTTATATTGGCTATGATAATTTTGCAAAATTTTTAGAAGGTGCTGAAACTGTTGATCAACATTTCTTAAATGAACCATTAGAAAATAACATTCCAGTCATTGGTGGATTAATTAATGTTTGGTATAATAATTTCTTTGGTGCTCAAACTCATTTAATTGCTCCTTTCGATCAATACTTACATAGATTCCCAGCTTATTTACAACAATTATTTATGGAATCAAATGGTAAATCAGTAACTAGAGCCAATGTATTTACAAATTATCAAACTGGTGCAATAATATTTGGAGAACCAGCAACAAATGCTCAACATTCATTTTTCCAATTATTACACCAAGGAACAAAACTAATTCCAGCTGATTTTATTATGGCTGCACAATCTCAAAATCCAATTGAAAATAATAAACATCAAAAAATGTTAGCTTCAAATTTCTTTGCACAATCTGAAGCCTTGATGGTTGGTAAAAATGAAGAACAAGTCAAAAGTGAAGGTGCAACTGGAGGTTTAGTACCACATAAAGAATTTAGTGGAAACAGACCAACCACTTCCATATTAGCACAAAAAATAACTCCTTCAACACTAGGTGCATTAATTGCTTATTATGAACATGTTACTTTTACCGAGGGAGCTATATGGAATATTAATTCCTTTGATCAATGGGGTGTTGAATTAGGTAAAGTTTTAGCTAAAGTTATTGGTAAACAATTGGATGATAAAACTGAAGTTGAAGATCATGATCCTTCAACTAATGGTTTAATTAACACTTTTAAGAAATGGGAATAACTAGCAAGTGGTGGTGGAAATGATTATAAATTGTAAAATACCTCAATTAATCATTTCAAATTTGGAGTTAATAATTATTCATAAGATTTATAGATTTAAAATTTAAAATTATGTTTTTCATCTTTTACGACTTGACTTCTTAAGTGATAGTTCTTTCAAACAAAGGGTTTAATTAATGCGCAATGCTTTACTTTGTGTTAAATTAAGTTTCATAAAATCTCCAAAAAGTATAAAATCTTAATTTATCATAAGATAGATAAGAAATTCAATTTTAAAAGACCACAACAAACTCCTTTCAAATTGTCGGCAATGGGTATGTTCTACTTTTTAAATTCTATCAATTGAACAACTTCGGTGTATACTAACAATAATAAGGATTAGGTGTTGCATTGTGGCTTTGTCCCAGACCCAATTCACAAATATTCGATAAATTATCAACATTAATGAGTTCAATAAACACTCTTTTTCCAGGTCAATCTCCTAAATTCGAACCTCACATCACCATAACGACAAACATCAACATAAATCTAGAAGATCAATCAAAAACAAGAGATGATGTAGATAAAGTACTATCTTCATGTGCTGTTGCTTTACAATCATTACCTAAGAATCATAATAATTTAGTTACACTAGGAAAAATAAGTAGTCAAAGGAAATTTTTTCAAAAATTATATTTTGAAGTTGCCAAAGATCCTAATTTAATTTCATTTGCTAGAATTATCAGAGAGTTATTCGTAATTGTCCCAACAGATATTGAAAATGAAAACAAAAAGCAAAATCCCCACTTATATACAACCGATAGTCATGGAGTCACAGTGAGGAGAAAACCACTGAAAAAACATAGCAAAGATCAACAACCAACAATTAAACAATTTGATACTACAGAAATCCAAAGAGCTGCATCCTACAAGGCAGCAGAATGGGCTGAGAAAGAATATTTACCTCATCTTTCGTTAGTTTATAATAATATGTGGCCAATAGATAACGCGCTTTGGCTTACGATCAAACAGAGGATTACTGATTATTTGGGGATCGATGATGTTGATGCTGAAGGTTTGGAAGATAATGGTTATGGTTGGGATGGTGGGGTTTTGAAGTTGGTATTGTGTGATGGTGATGTTAATGAATGGTTGATTTTGGGAAGTGTTGATTTACATTAATTCTTAATTATGTATTTTTAGTATATGTCAAAAGTATAAGATTTAGTTTGTATTGATCTTGAGAAATAACATGTTAAATGTAAAACATCTCTGAAAAAAAAAGGTTGCAAATGAAAAATCGAACATAATTCAAAAATAATTACATCATTAATTATAGATTAACATAGAATCAAATAATAGCCAGCTCGAAATGCTGCAAGCCAAAAATGAAAATTATACCTGTCTAACGTGCTCAGAATCATTTGAAACCCCTCAAGATATTCAAAAACATTTATCAACAACAAGACATAAATCTATAAAACTTTCCAAACTTGATCAAATATTAGAATGTGAGGAATGTTCAGATTCAAATATACATCAACTAGCAATACTAAGATACGGCTATAACGACATGGCATTACTATGTCAATTATGTTTAGATAACGTCACAAAAGAAACTAATGAACAACCATCTGCAAATTATACATTATCTAATGGTGCATTATTCACTAAATTGAATCAATACCTAAAGTTCAGAGATATAGAATGTACATTATGTGGAAGCGATGAAAATTTATTTGTTGGAAACACACCAAAGGGCCAAGTCATAGCATGTAAAAATTGTGTTTCTCAGTACGAATCTCAAAATATATCATTTGTCGGAGAGAATGATGAAAAATTTTTAACAGAATTACTAGGATTAAAAGAAGTAATTATAAAGAAATCTACACGTGGTCGAGGAATGAGAGGTCGTGGTGGAAGAAGAGGTGGCAAACGTGGCGGTAGACGTGGTGGTGGGAATTCAGATAGACCCCCAAGACGTCCTAGAAAAGAAGATCCTGAAGCTGAAGCTAGAAGAATACATTACCAAGAAACTAAACAAAACGCCAGTGATATTAAATCCGGTTCTACTGTTAAAGCCATTGGATCATCAAGTGTTAGTAAGACTGATACTTCAAAGCCATCATCACGAGGAAATAAATTTCAAAATAAAGGACCGAAAAATCAAACTGGTTACAGTGGTAATAAACCAGGTTCAGGTGCAAGTAAGCCAGCAAGAGCAATTTCTAACGGTCAACATCAAAAAATCAATAAAAGCAATTTTTCAAATAGTTCATCAAAGCCAACTAATGCCAATTTAAAACCAAATTCTGGAGTTAAAGCACTAACAAAAGACGTAAAATCAATGAAAATATCAAATAATCAAAATTCAAATGGAAACATAGAATCGAAGTCATCATCTAATAAAATCTCAAGATCAAGCACTCCTGAAATTTCCAAAAATCAAACTCCAAGAAGTAATGGAACACCAGCTAATTCTAATAAACAAACTCCAATATCATCTAAAAAATCTACTCCATCAAATTCAAAAAAACCTACTCCATCAAATTCAAGTAAGCCCTCTCCAGCAAGTTCAAATAAATCTACTCCAAGAGCATCCATGAAGAATACACCTGTAAATTCAGGCAAACAAACTCCAATTAGAACACAAAGTCCAAATATAAGTAGACAACAAACTCCAGCACCTGAAAGTTCAAACTCATCTGATTTAATTCTTCCACCCTATATCACAAAATATCACCCATCAACAAAACTAAAGTTGTCGTACGACTCAATTGATGAGTATTTCAGAGAAATGAGTTTCAACATCTTTTTAGAGGATCAATTGACCAATGTTTCCAATATTATCGAACCACAAGATTTAATGATCGAATGGTATGAAGATCAAGATAAAAAAAATAACCAATTTAAAGTCAGTATACCGATGAAACCAGAAGTTATTGACAGATTTATTTCAGATAGGTTTAAAAAATTGAAAAAGGATCCATTTCAAAAAGATCAAGCTATGTTCTTAATCTTGGATGATGATATACCATGGTACGGGAAAGTTGCAACTGTCGATGGCGTTAAAACTGGTAAGAATAAAAGAAAAGCTAAAGTGGATTATACTGAATTAGTTATTGTATTATATAAATGGAACAATCAACCATTGCCAAAAACGATTCATGCTAAACATTTGAAATTATTACCTGCATCTGTACCTGTTTCAAGAATTTTGAATGCTATGGATACTCTAAACAATGAAAATTTTATCAAAATGTTATTGGGTAAAGAACCAATCAAGCAAATTTTCTTCAAGAACAGGGTCAATTTTTCAACTACTTTAAATGATTCTCAAAAAGCGGCTATACAATCGGTTTTAAATAATAAGATTAGCGTTGTTAGAGGACCACCTGGTACAGGTAAAACTTCTGCAATTTACGAAACAATTATTCAATTATTAGAATCTTTAAACACATACCCTATTTTAGTGGTTGCTGCTTCAAATATTGCAATTGATAATATAGCAGAGAAATTATTACCAAAACATGGAAAGTCCATACTAAGAATTACAGCAAATGAGAAAGAAAAAGAATATAATTTACAACATCCATTAGCTTCAATTTGTTTACATCATAAAATATATAACGCTATGTCAAATAGGTTCCAACAAGTCCAAAATGATTTAAGAAGTAAAAATGCCTCAGTCAGTGCTAATGCTTATAAGAAATATTCACAGGATAAGTTTCAAATCACAAAGGAACAAGTAGCACAAGCTAAAGTTATATTGACTACAACTGTTGTTGCTGGTGGTACTCAATTAAAGTCTATAACTAAATGTGCAGTAGTTATAATGGATGAGGCAACGCAATCATCAGAACCAAGTACATTAATACCATTAGCAGTTCCAGGAGTTGAGAAATTTGTATTTGTAGGTGATCAAAAACAATTGAGTTGTTTCTCATTGATTCCAAGTTTATCTACATCATTATTTGAAAGAGTTTTACTAAATGAAACGTATAAACAGCCTCACATGTTGAATACTCAATATCGTATGCATCCATTAATTAGTGAGTTTCCAAGACAAAAATTTTATAATAATGAATTGTTAGATGGTATAACCGCAGAAGCAAGAAACATACCAGGGATACCAAATGATAAGCCTGTTTACTTTTGGGATACTAAAGGTAATGCACCAGAACAATCAGTTAAAAACTTTTTAAGAGAAGATAGAGGATATACTTACACAAACCAAAAAGAAATCAACTACTTAAAACAAATCTTACAAACATTAATTATAGAAAAGGGCATATCAAGAGATGATATTGGTATAATCACTCCTTATTCCGGTCAAAGAGATTTAATCTCATCAGTATTAGTAAAAGATGATATAATCAACCCAACACAACAAGAATTAAAAATAGAAATAGATATAGATGATATCTCAAATGATTCCAAACCAGTAAATATCCATATAGTTTCAGGAATAATGATAGCTTCAATAGATGCATTTCAAGGTCGTGAAAAAAATTTCATGATTATGTCATGTGTTAGATCAAACACCAAGAACAATATAGGTTTCTTGAAAGATGAAAGAAGGTTGAATGTTGCTTTAACTAGAGCTAAATATGGGATGGTTATTGTTGGTGATTTTAAATGTTTGAAATACGGAGATAAGTTATGGAACGATTATTTGACCTACTTGGAGTCTAAACATTTGGTTCATAATAGTGATAGATTTGAATATACATAGAGTACTTAATCAAGAAAAAATTATTTCCTGAAACTAGTAAACTTAGGCTCAGTTTATTTTGATACTTAAAGATAGAAGCTAAAACAAAACAAAAAGAAAATAACGAAATGAAAAGAATTTGTCCCAGTAAAAAGAACACTGAACATAAGCTTGTTCCATGAAGTAGAAAATCAAGGTCATAGATGCCTAATAATGAATAAAAAAAAAAAAGGAAAAATCAAAATATAGAGCGACAACTGCAGGACTCGAACCTGCGCGGGCAAAGCCCAAAAGATTTCTAATCTTTCTCCTTAACCACTCGGACAAGTTGCCTAATTTTCGAATATAAAATTGCTAGCAATTTTTATGAGAATTTGTTGTCCGTAAAAAAATTTACTAATTTAGTTATACTCATGCATATATTGATCCAAATATTTCGAGCTTTTCATTCTACATAGTTTTGACAAGTAGTATCATTTAATTTTTAAATGATGGATCTGGTAAAGAATCTCGATTATCTGGAGCCTGGTATCATGAAATGCAATGTTTAACAAAGATGATTAAAATTAGTTAAAATAGAAAAAAGTATGTATTTAAATCTTTTAAACGATATAAATTTTTATAAATAAACTATATAGATGACAATAAAAAAGGATTATTAATCCATAAACCTATCCAAAGAGTTCGGATAAGATGCCAAAACTTCAATGTGATTAAACAGAACCAGAAGGAATATGAACTTTAACTGTATTAGTTCCTCCAAAAGTTGCGGTTTGAGTGACATCATATGATTTATGATCTTTATGGATTAAAGTAGTGACGGTAGTTGTTGGATTAGGTGGGTAGAAAACTGAAAGTGTATCATATCCGCCAAAAGGACCGGTTGCCGTAGCATATTCAGTAGTTAAAGCTGTACCAAATTTCTTTTGCGTAATAGTTTTGTTAGGTAACCAGAATTTCCAAACAGTGTTGGTTCCTCCAAATGAAGCAGTTTCTGTACTATAACCATGATATGTACCAAATGTTGTAGTATGTACTGTTGGATTGTGTGGATAATGAACGTTAACAATATCAGTACTTCCAGGTGGCTTGGTAGTAGTATAAGTTTCAATCTTAGTCTTATGATCGAATTTAGTTGAGGTTGAAGTAGGATTAGGTGGGTAGAAAACTGTAAGTGTATCATATCCTCCATAAGGACCAGTTGCCGTAGCATATTCAGTAGTTAAAGCTGTACCAAATTTCTTTTGCGTAATAGTTTTGTTAGGTAACCAGAATTTCCAAACAGTATTGGTTCCTCCAAATGAAGCAGTTTCTGTACTATAACCATGATATGTACCAAATGTTGTAGTATGTACTGTTGGATTGTGTGGATAATGAACATTAACAATATCAGTACTTCCAGGTGGCTTGGTAGTAGTATAAGTTTCAATCTTAGTCTTATGATCGAATTTAGTTGAGGTTGAAGTAGGATTAGGTGGGTACAAAATTGTAAGCGTATCATATCCTCCATAAGGACCAGTTGCTGTACCATATTCAGTAGTTAATGCTGTACCAAATTTCTTTTGCGTAATAGTTTTGTTAGGTGGCCAGAGTTTCCAAATGGTATCAACTCCACCCATTGAATCAGTGGCTGTACTATAACCATGAGCTGTACCAAAACGTGTCTCAGTTGTTGTTGGATTCTTTGGATAGATAATATGAACAGTATCAAGACCTCCATCCTTAGCTGTTATAGTTTTAGTTTCAGTAGTTTTTTTGTGTGGATCGAAATAACTGGTTGTTGTTTCAGTTATTGGAGAAGGGGTTGTAGTTTCAAATTCTTCAGTTGATTGTGGTGGAACAACTTCTTCGGTTGATTTAATTGGAACAACTTCTTCAGTTGATTTAATTGGAACAACTTCTCCCGGAGTAGTTGGGATTGGAATATCTTTAGTTGATTCTGGGTGTTCATTTTCTGCTGTTGGTATTGGGTGATTATCTCCAGATGTATCAGTATCAGTAAGATCTCTTGGTGTATAAATTTTAATAGTGTCAGTTCCACCGAATCTACCTTTCCTTGTAGCAGTTGTACCAATAGCAGTTGGATTAACTTTTTGAGTTACAGTAATTGTTGGGTTTGGTGGATATAAAACTTTAACAGTATCTCTTTGACCCCATGTACCAGTGGATGTATAAGTTTCAACACTTTCTTTAGCACCCCATGATGTAACATATTTTGTCTTTTTTGGTGGATAAACAGCACGAATAGTATCAGTACCACCAATTGAATCAGTTTCAGTAATTTTTTGTAATTTAGTAACAGTTCCATAATAAGTAGTGGAAGTTGTCGGATTCCTTGGATAATAAATACGAACAACATCAGTACCTCCAAAACCAAAAGTTCTTGTAGTAGTTTCCATGGTAGTTCTCCAAGCATAGTGGGTTATCGTAGTTGTTGGATTTGGTGGATAAATGACTCTGATAGTATTTGATCTATAACCTGTCTCAGTAATACTTGAAATTGTTGAATCAGTACCCCAAACAGTGGTGTATTTAAATGGTTTTGATGTAGGTAAATAGACTCTTATGGTATCACTTCCACCGATTCTACCTGTTTGTGTTGAACTCCACGGAGTATGAGTTGCAGGAACATATTGAGTGGTCCAAACTGTTGGGTTTGGTGGATATAAAAATTTAACTGTATCTGATTGACCCCATGTACCGGTGATTGTATAAGTTTCAACACTTTCTTTAGCACCCCATGATGTAACATATTTTGTACTTTTTGGTGGATAGACAACACGAATAGTATCAGTACCACCAATTGAATCAGTTTCAGTAGTTTTCAGTACTTTAGTAACAGTTCCATAATAGGTAGTGGAAGTTGTCGGATTTCTTGGATAATAAATATGAACAACATCAGTACCTCCAAAACCAAAAGTTCTTGTAGTAGTTTCCATGGTAGTTCTCCAAGCATAGTGGGTAATCGTAGTTGTTGGATTTGGTGGATAAATGACTTTAATAGTATTGGATTTATAACCTGTCTCAGTGATACTTGAAATTGTTGAATCAGTACCCCAAACAGTGGTGTACTTAATTGGTTTTGAGGTTGGTAAATAAACTCTTATGGTATCATTTTCACCGATTCTACCTGTTTGTGTTGAACTCCACGGAGTATGAGTTGCAGGAACATATTGAGTAGTCCAAACTGTTGGATTAGGTGGATAATATTCAATGACAGTATCTCTTCCACCGACAATGCCAGTTTGTGTGGTAGTTTCAATTGTTGTTGCAGTACCAAATGATGTTAAATATTGAGTTGGATTTGGTGGGAAAATATGGTGAACTATATTGGTACCAGAAAATGTATCAGTTTCAGTACTATATGCACGTGAAGTAACATCTCCAAAATAACTAGTAGTTCTTATTGGATTTTTAGGATATACAACATGGACAATATCAGTTCCTCCAAATGAGTCGGTCTTTGTTTTAGTTTCTAAGAAAGTTTTGTAACTATAATATGTAGTAAATTCTTGTTTATTTGGTGGATAAATCACTTTGACGACATCAGTTTTATCACCAACTTCAGTAACAGTTTCAATTGCCGTAACAGCACCATAAACCGTAGTAGATTTAGTTTGTTTACTTAAATCTTTTGGTAACCAAATTCTAACAATATCAGTTGCACCAAACTTACCTGTTTGAGTAGTATATGATAAAGTACCAGAAGGACCAAGTTGATGAGTAATATATGTGGTTGGATTGGGAGGATAGTAAGCAATGACGGTATCTCTAGCATTAAAAGGACCAGTTTGAGTAACATATTCAATTGTATCTGCAGTACCATATGATGTTAAATATCGAGTTGGATTAGGTGGATAAATTGCATGAACTGTATTTGTACCACTAAATGTATCAGTTTCTAAACTTTTTGTCAATTTAGTAACATCTCCATAATAACTAGTGGTTACGGTTGGATTTTTTGGATAAACAATATGAACTAAGTCAGTACCTCCAAATGTATCAGTCCTAGTTAATGTTTCAAGGAAATTTTTATAACTATAATAAGTAGTTGTAGCTGTTGGATTAGGTGGATAAATGACTTTAATAGTATCAGTTTTAGCTCCAATTACAGTGATAGTTGCAATAGTTGAATCAGTACCATATACAGTAGTATATTTGGTTGGTTTTGCAATTGGAACTACATCTTCATCTTCATAAACAGTCCTTGGAATATTTGTACTAACAACATTATTCAAATATAGAAATAACGTTGTTATTGACAAAATTGAAAAAAATGAATTGTAAAATTGCATTGTATTTGTTTTCAAACAGTAAAGCTACCAAATACTTTTTAATTCTTAACTTTGTGTCAATTTACAATCTTATAAATTTGATAATTATGTGATATGAATTATTTTTAATTAGTGAAAGAAAGAAAGTAAAAAATTCTAAAAACTGTGAGGCATGGTATCCTCATGTACTTATATTTATATCAATTGGAGCTTTGGAAAATTTGCAGTCAATATGTTTTACCTATTTAGTGAAAATTTTGCTCCATCATTTTTTAACTAATAATATAATTAATTATTATTTTTTCAGATTCTTCGATATACTTAATTTGTGAAATAATAATCCACTCAAGGATTTAAAATAATTTTTGGTTTCACAACTTCAGCCAAGAAAATCTTGCTAAAATTTCGAAAGATCCAAGGCTTTTCTAAAGCGACTGGTGTTTCAGAATTCTCATTTGTTTTAGGACTTCATACAAAGAGGAACACTGCGTGAAGTTTGAATGTAAAAATATTACCTGAAAAACACAAAATATTTAGTGAATAGTAGAGCCAAACATTTAATGTAGTCAATTATTTTATTTTATTCACATAACTACAAAAAAAATTATTATTATTCAAATTCGTGTTTAAAAATAAAATAATCTACCAGTAGAATATTAATTTACTTTAACTTGAATAAAGCAAGCAAGAACCTGCAGGACTAATAATAAATAGTGAGCTAAAAAAATATTTTGATGACATATATTGTAAGTTAAAGGTCAAAGTATTAAGTAGTTACTACTAATAAGTTGAAAAGTAAAGTGTGATTAATTAGCATATTTTAGCTCTTAATTTTAAGTTGCACTGCAGATCTCTTAAATATTTTACGAAACTTAAATAATTTACGAGTAAAAGGTTAAATTTGCATAAAACTTCTAATTGTATTTATCAAATTTGTCGACAATTTATTATAATGCTTGAAATCTTCTTTCAACATCTCTTAACAAGACTTGTAATATAATAAAAAAAAAAGTTAAGTTTTAATGACAATTGTCTCGACTTCGAACATGAATAATAATTGTAAAATCTCGAGAGAATATTTTACATTCTATATCGGCATGCAAATTTTCAAAATTGTAGTGAGATCTTCTAAGATAAAAAGAAATTCAAAAAAGGTAAAAATTGAACCATAATTCAAAAAAAAATTATTATTATTATTTTAAGAATCTTCTATTTTTTAATAGTTTTAATAAAACTAACAAATTAGTGTTATATTAACTCATATAAAATATATTATTTTTTTTATTTTTTAGAATGAGAGAAAAATAAACTGAAGTCATTTTATTTTTAAAAATGAAGGATGCATAAATTATCTAGAGCTGGACATTATCAATCAAATTGAAAATAAATCTTCGTTGTATGAAGTAAAATATCTGGAGGTAAGAAGTAAACAAACTCGTTCTGCGAGTCGAACAAGCAACTTTTGGCCTGTCTACTATGTTTTTTATAATTACTGAACAAAAAGTTGTGAACAAACAGGAGTGGGATGTACACCATTCAATTCAGTTTCAGGTGAGTATTTCTCATGATTTAAGATAAGAAAACCATCTCACAAAAAATATTCAAAGTCATCTCTTTGATGTACTTCTAAATCTTACCATTTGATCTTATCATTTTATTTTGAATTGTGAAAAAAATAAAAAATAAGGAAATAAAGAAAATAAAAAAGTTAGTTAATTAGCCACTAACAAATTGAAGATTTGATATCACAAAACCGCATTAAAGTGTTTGAAGAATAAAACCGTTTTCTCGAAACGCATGTTCAAATTATCAATTTACTTCTTGCATTGCAAAAAAGAGTCATAAAAATTATCGGAAATTGACTACTTCAATCTGCTCCAATTACCTTGGCTAAAATAATTTACAAATGATTTAAATTAAAAATTTGTTGATTTTGTGTTTTTGAATTTGTAAATTACTTCTAGGTGAACTACAATCAAGTTTCTCTGAGCAAGTTTGAGATTTGATTATTGCAAGATGCTTTAATTGCCCCTTGTAAGTCTAGAGTTTTGCCTTTTCAACCTCGAATGATTAAATATAACTTGAATCCAAGAGTAGACAAAGTCAAAAACGTCAATCATTTTGTAGTAATCACAAATATGTTTCATGGAAATTAAATTTAAAGTGCTTTCCCGTTATTAGCCTCGCAAGGATGCAAGATTTTATAAATAAAGTATAATTCTACTCCAACATTTGATGATCATAGGTTGTTTTAAAGCATGTTTGATCGAATCATGTTTGAATTATTCACACGACCTTGTCCTGTTTAAATCAACAAAGTAGATTGTGCTAAACGGATTTTTCAATTACGAATCTAGATTTCAACAAATACAATCGAATTCAGAGATCTCAGCCATCTATCGCATATACAATTTTTACTCAATATCAAGATCCAACTTTGCTCATACTTTCATCATATCTACTTAAAAAATGTCACTAAAAGATTTAATAGAATCTCAGCTGTTCAAACATTTAAGACCTGAAAATATAACTTTTACTTATGGTACAGCTGGTTTTCGTATGAATGCTAAAAATTTAGACTATGTAAATTATACAGTTGGAATATTAGCATCATTAAGGTCCAAATATTTAGGTGGTAAAACTGTTGGGGTAATGATAACTGCTTCTCATAATCCACCCGAGGATAATGGTGTTAAAGTAGTTGATCCATTAGGTAGTATGTTAGAAGCAAAATGGGAAGAATATGCTACTGATTTAGCTAATTCATCAAATAGTGAAATTGTTTCAAGTGTGGAAAAATTAGTCAAAGATTTGGGAATTAATTTAGAGCTTGAAAGTAATGTTGTAATTGCAAGAGATTCAAGAGAAAGTAGTCCAAGATTGAGTAAATCTACAATAGATGGGTTTAAAAGTATACCAAACACCAAATATGAGGATTATGAATTATTAACCACACCAGAATTACATTACATCACTAGAACTTATAATGACCCAGATTTTGGAGAAAAATCAGAAGATGGATATTACAAAAAATTGGCAGAATCATTTAAGAATATCTTTGCAGTATCTAACAATCAAAATAAATTAGATATTACAATTGATGCAGCAAATGGAGTAGGAGCTCCAAAAATTGAGGAACTTTTGAACAAATACCTTTCCCAAGAAATAAGTTTCAATGTGGTGAATGACAAATATGAAAATCCTAAAATACTTAACTTTGATTGTGGTGCAGATTATGTGAAAACAAATCAAAAATTACCAAAAAATGTTGAAACTCAACAGGAAAACAAATTATATGCATCATTCGACGGAGATGCAGATAGATTGATCTGTTACTATCAAGATTCCTCCAAGAAATTTGTATTGTTAGACGGTGATAAAATATCAACATTAATTGCATTATTTTTACAACAAATCTTTAGAAAACTAGATTCGTCAAAGTTGTCTTTAAATATAGGGGTAATACAAACTGCTTATGCTAATGGATCATCTACCAAATATGTTCAAGATATTTTGAAATTACCAGTACGTTGTACTCCAACTGGAGTTAAACATTTACATCATGAAGCTGAAAAATTTGATATTGGAGTTTACTTCGAAGCAAATGGTCATGGAACTGTTGTATTTAAACCAGAAGCCGAAAAGAAAATTTTTGAGTATAAAGCAGATTCAAAAGAAGAAGAACAAGCTATATCAATTTTACGAAATTTTAGTCAATTAATAAATCAAACCGTTGGTGACGCTATATCTGATTTATTGGTAGTGTTGATAATCTTACATTATCTCAATTTAACGCCTGAAGAATGGAATAGAGAATATACTGATTTGCCAAACAAATTGATAAAGGTTATTGTACCAGATAGAACAATTTTTAAAACAACAAATGCTGAAAGAACATTGGTAAAACCTGAAGGCATACAAAATAAAATTGATGAGTTGGTTGCAAAGATTCCTAATGGTAGATCATTCGTTAGAGCTTCGGGTACCGAAGATGCTGTCAGAGTTTATGCTGAGGCTGATACCAAAGAAAATGTTGAGAAGTTGATTACTTCTGTTTCCGATTTATTGAAGTAGAATCAAGACTACTCAGTTAAAGATACGATTATAGCATTTATAGAGCATATCAAAAGTAACAATTTACCCAAATAAAATTAATCATTAAATTCATCATGAATCATTATTCACCTCTATAATAAACTTTTTTATATTCACCTGGTGTCATTAAATTTGATCCTAATGACCAAATTCCTCTTTTAAACCATTTTGCTCTTTTTTCTAAATTTCTATACCAATCTTCATTATCACCAAATTCAGCTCCAACTTTACCTTCATAAACAATTGCAATTCCATTTCTTAACATTTCTGCACTAACATCTTTACGACCATTCCATTTCCAAACAAAACATTTTGCAACTATTCTCTTGTATTGATCAATCAGATATGGTATTATAGTAACTTTTCTTTTATTTATATATTGATTTAACCATTTTAATGCATCTTCACTAAACGGTTGAGCAGGTTTACCAAAATGCGATCTTTCTGGTGCATCTATCCCGCATAATCTAATCATTAAAGTTTCGTTTTTTAAAATCGATCTTTTTGTTGGAATCTTTTTTAACCAACCCCAACCCCAAAATATCCCACCCGGTGTATGATAAAATCTAAAATTATCTCCATCTCCTACTCTTGTTACATATCCACGTAATTTATGATTATTTTCTAACATTTTTGGATTTAAATCTAAAATTGATCTTATTGGTCTTAGATATTGTCGATATAACTTGAATGAAAGTATTGTCGTTAATGTTATACCTGCTGATAGTAGTATGACTTTTGGATGTAGAAAACTTATATTCTCTTCTTGAACATCTGAGTTTTTTGTTGATGATATTAATGCCATTTAATTAGTGTATAAACAATGAATGATAATGATTAAATTAAAAATACGATGATGAAAAATGCTGCAACATATGCTCTTAAAATGCTATGAAAAATGGAATGCAAAAACAATGACAATTAAAAGGTAAGAAACTGGTGAATTTGGAGTCGTAAGTGATTGTATGTTTGATATTTTGATAATTTGATTCTTGTTAATTATGTAATGTGGTATGGATGTTTTGATTTCGTTAATAAAAAATTGTGTGATCTCACCATTAAAATTGAGATCAATCACAAATTTTTATCTTTTAATTTGCAACCAAATTTTTCCAAATTTTTAAAAGTGTAATTTATGAACTCATGACAATCAAAGTATTGAAGGTACAAAAGGGTTTACCGATGAAGATGTAAGTATTTTTGTATATCTAAGCTAAAGAGAAATACAACGAAGCGACTAAGTTCTTCGAAGGACGGGTTATCACAAATTCAAACCTTGATTTGACTTAATTTTACGCAACATTTAAAAAGACCACCTATTGCAGTGGCAATTGAATCACTAGTTTTATTTTTCAAAGGTTGAAGAGTTTGAGGCAGATTAGCTTTACGTGTGCTTGAAGTTAAGATTTCTTGTTGTAAAACTTTTGGTTGCAAAAGTTGCTTGCATCAATATAATTAATGAAAGATCTAACAAAACCAGTTTTTACATCACAATTAAAAACGTTGGGTTAGTGAAGACAAGTCAGAAAGAAAAACTTTTCACGTTGACAATAAATTAATAAATCAATAGCTGTTGATCTTGACTTCACCCCACACATCAATAATTTTTGAATTGTATCATATAGGTATTACACCGGTAACATAATTAACACAAAATAAAAAAAATATTATATTAGTATATCATAGCTAAATATTTCTTGATAAACTATTGAATCCTTATGAAACACTCATTAATTCAAATATTCATTCATTCAGATAAAATTTAGATAATTCTTTTTATTATCAAACTTACCAACTACTTTTGAACCAAACCAAACATCATCATATCCTTAAATTTGCGTGATTTTCATGTTTTGTAATGTCTTTAGCTGATGGTGAATATGAAATAGACATATCAGTACTACTAAATGAAACAAATAACAATTCCGATGATCAAGAACTCAATGAATATGAAGATATAGCAATAAGATATGGATTTATACCAGATTCTATGGATCAATCCAAGCCGTTAAAGTTATATAAACATGATCAATCATATATTTTACAAGCTTCTTCATCAGAACCAAATAAGAAGCCAATACTATTTGAAGGTTCAGCAACAAGACATAATGATTCAGAATTTTATTTCACTTATGATGAAGAAAGCATAGATAATTTGACTTTGAAATTAAGTCAACTAGATAGTACAATTAGATTTAACAAAAGTAGGGATACACTAAAGTTACAATCAGAAATTAAATTATTAGAAAAAGAATTCGAAAAACAACAACACCAATTGCAAACACTACAACAACAGAAAGCAGCAATAGCGAAGAATCCAGAACAACAAAGACTAAATAAATTCAAAAAATTAGAGCAAGAAAAATCAGAACTTCTAAAAAAGCTGGAACAACTGAAATGGGAACAAAAGAAAAAAGAGCAACAAGAATGGGAAGAGAAGAAATTAGAGCACCAAAAGTTGGAGTTAAAGAAACTAGAACTACAAAAGATTGAAGCTAAAAGAAGAGAAGCACCTCAAAAACCAGTCAATAAACAATCTCCTACAAAACCTAGCAAATTTACAAACACCAAATCAACTAAATCACCAATCAAAAAAGAAGTCAAATCGAGTACTTTACATATACCGTCCATAAATTCAAAAGTTGCATCAAAACGACCGCCGACAGCTACAAGTACTCCTGAACCAAGAGATTCTATTAAAGAATCAATTATAAGTGAATCAGATTTTGACGATTTGAAGAATGACCTGCTGGATGATGATGATCAAATAAAGTTCCCTGAATTTACTATAGCATTTGACGAATCAAAAGAGGAAAAAGCTCCGCCCAAAAAAAAGGCTATCAAAGTTGTAGCATCAGAAATACCGAAAAATGAATCAAAAGGATTAGACGAAAAGTCTACTATTCCGACAAGGACTAATAATTCAGCTCCAAAACCTCAGATTCATACAGCAAATGATTCCAAACCCCAAAAAAAGACAAGAAGGAAGGAGTCAATGGTTGATGAGTTTGATGAGCTAGAAAATCAATTGCAAGAAGTTTTAGAATTTGAAGAGGAAGTACCAAAGGAAGATAATGCCATGAAGCCAAAAGACACAATTCTAGATAAAGAATCAGCGGAAAATGTAATATCAACTAGTACCACTTCCATGCGAGTAACAAAAAATTCAAACAATTCAGACTCAGATATGGATGACAGTGATTTCGATACGTATAATTTTGGAAATAATAATATTAAAATAGATGAAGGTGTCAATCATAGAAAATCGAATAGTTTTTCATTAAATGTAAATTCACAAGGTAAACCTAGAAGTTTAAGAGAATTAATGGGTGGTGGGAAGAAGTCTATCACTAAGGCTGAAAATGATGGAAGTAGCAGTGAAGAAGAATAATTATGATAGTAGCATTTGTAGAGGTCTAGATTCATAAAATCGTTAATGAATTGATAATAATGTATTCGTAATTATACTCATTTGACCTCTAGTTGATTTACCAATTAATAGTACTAAAAAAAACGCGTCTTAATTTTAGTTCTCGCATTATTTGGTAAATCGTTCATCATGGATGAAACAATCAAAGAGTTAAATGATCGAGTTTACAATTTGCGACAAAGACTACTAAATATTAAAGAAAATGAATCGATAACCACACAAATAGAAAGGCTAGACACCAGACTCGCTAAAATTCTCAAGCAACACCCAGAATTTGAAAAATTATTTGATGCAACGATTAGATTTGGTATAAGTCAAGAACAAATACCAAATAAAGTTGATGAACAAGAGTCCCAGCCTGAGGATATACCTAACGACATAAAAGAAGAACGAATTTTACTAAATTATGCAAGTATAATTAAAGCATATCCACAAATACAAGAATTAGAACAAATAAATCCCATGAAATTGATAAATAGTATAAATTCAGTAATATCAAATTCAAATATAGAAAATACTAGAACTATAATAGAACAAAACAAAGATCAGATAATTCAAATCAACAAAATTTTTCATTCATTAGTTTTGAAAAGTGTTTTAGTCTTCGAGAAGTATGTTCAATTTGTATTACAGTATAATGAATTTTGGATTAAAGTTGAGGATCAAATGAAAGTTGCACTACAAGACGTCAATAAACTAGAACGACGAAACAATAAGTTACATAAGTATTAGATTTTAGTAATGTCATTAATATATTTATCTTTAATACTCCTTTTGTAATTACTCTCTTTATACAGATATAGTTTTCCAAATATTTAATCCATCACCACCAGTAGAAACCAAACAACCGGGAATTTGTTCATGCCATCTAACATCTTTAACATCTTTTTGCCAATGAACGAATAATAATTGTGGTGGTATATCATGTAATTCTTGAATTTCTTTTCTTTGTTGTGAAATTTCTTCATCATCTGCTTCAACTGCTAAATCCCATAATGTTACCGTGTTATCTTCTGAGCTTACTGCTATAATGGATTCATCTAATGGATTGAAAGATATTGAAGTTATCGGAGATTTATGGAAATTATATGATGCAACTGGAGAAGGATTTGGTTGTGTAAAATTTCTTAAATCCCATACACTCCATGTACCATCATCATGACCTGATGCTAATAGATGATTTATCTTGGAACACCATGATATAACATTAACATCTGATTCTGTTGCTTTTACTGATAATGCAGGTTTATGTTTTTTAGATCTTGTATCCCAAATTCTAACAAATCCATCACAGCCAGCAGTTGCAAAAACAGTACTTTCACCAGTTGACCATTGAATATCTTCTATAGATGAATCTGATGCAAAAAATGGAGTTTTATCAGTTACCCAATTTGATGAAGTTCTTGTTGTTAAATGAATTCTACCTGAAACATCACCAGTTAATAAAGCACCTGTATTTATTAAGGGTGACCAATCCAAACCATATCCTTCAACATTCCCATGTGCTCGTATTGTATATATTGGTCTTTTTGAAGATTTAGGGATTATATAACCTGGTGTATCAAATGCTTTATATTGTGCAGATAAATCAAATATATATGCTTCTCCAGATTCTGACATTGTTGCCGTAAGGTATTCTCCGGTTTGTTGTGCATGTGGATTAACTCTTATTCTGTTTGTGGTATGTTTCAAAGGTATACTTTCGGTATCTAATATTGGATCAGAATCCATATCATCATCATCGTCTTCTTCTTCGTCTTCTTCGTCGTCATCGTCTTTGACTAATGTCCTCGCCAAACTTGATGCTTTCATTGCTATTATTTCATTATCTTTTGCTCTTGAAGCTTGAGTAGCAGTGGCTAAATATACAGTTGCAGGATATGATCTTCTTTCATTACCTAAATTATCAGGTATTATATCAACAGTTAAACATGGCCATGGCAAATTTACGTTATGTAACATTTCATATACTGATGGGTCTGCTTCCAATACTTCATCTGGCCCCAAAGGTTTTGATTTATGTGGTAAATATATAGATGATTCAATTTCTTGTTGTTCTCGTTGTTGTTCTTTCAATTCTAATTCCTGAATTTTTTTATTTGTTTGTTCCTCATCCATATTTTCATCTTCTTCCATACCGTTCCCATCATCATCTTGATTATTATCTAACTCTATTATTTCTTCATCACTTTCAAAGTCATCTCCATATGGATCTTCAAATTCTCCCACATCCATATCATCTGTCGTACTTGTTTCTTGTCCATTGGTAGGTTGTGATGATGGATTTTTTGAGGTTTTTATTGATAAGTTGTTATGACCATTAGAGTCATCTTCAGCTGATCTTTTAGACATTATTTGTTGTAATATTAAATTGATATAATATAAGAATATTAAATGGTAATAATACTTGAAAAATAAAATCATACAAGAAACAGAGATGAGAATTTTGGAACTTTTTATTACACAAAATTTATATATAAGAAACACTACATGCTTATTAAAACATCATATTCTACAACCTTTCAATCATTCAATAATCTATGAATACTGTAAAAGCGAGCGAGGTGACTTAAATGATAGATGAGTAACAATAGATTAGCATTTTTGGATCAAGAACCACCACCAGGTTATATAGCTGGTGTAGGAAGAGGAGCAGTTGGATTTAGTACTGGAGCTGATTTTAAAAATGAATTACCACAAGTGTATGATGATGATGAAGATGAGAATTCAGCTAATCAAGAATTAAATGAGAATGGATTATTAACAACTCGATCAAAAAGAGATGAAGAAGATGAAGAAGCTGATAGAATTTATGAAGAAATCGAACAAAAATTAAAAAGAAGGAAAACCAACTCACAACCAAAGCAGATAACTAAATCTGGATCACCGGAGAATGATAATAAAGAATTGACTGAAAAAACTCAATTTCTGGATTTAAAAAGGGATTTAAAATCATTAACTGAAGATGATTGGTTATCACTACCAGAGGCTGGAGATATGACAAGAAAAAATAAGAGACAACGTATATTAGATCAACAACTGCAAAGATTGTATGCTGTACCAGATCAAATATTAGCTGGTAATAATGGAAGCTTCGGATTCACAAGAACTTTGAATACATCAAATAATAAGAACAATGCATTAAGTGCTCAATTGGATAGTTTTTTACCTAGTTCATTAAGAAAGCAAAACACTACTACAACAAGAGAATTAGAAGAAGAAATTTTAAATTTTGATGGTGCGGACAAAGATGCCAAATACATAGATTTGAAAAAAAGTAGGCTAATATTTGCATCATTGAGAAAAACAGAACCATATAAATCAAGTTCATGGATTTCTTCAGCAAGATTAGAAGAAGACGCCAAGAATTTCAATAAAGCTAGAGAGTATATTCAACAAGGTTGTAAAATGATACCTGGTGATGAGGATGTATGGTTAGAATATATCAGATTAAATAAAAATGATCCTGAATTTGCAAAAGCTATAACTAAAGAAGCACTCAATTACTGTAATAAATCTACTAAATTATGGTTAAGATCTGTTGAATTGGAGCTAGATAATAAGTTGAAGAAAAAACAATCAATGAAAGCCTTACAACAATTACCGAGAAATATAGTGTTATGGAGAAAAATCCTTGAGTTAGAAGATGATAAGGAAATGATTGTAAAGCTACTATTGAAAGCTGTTGATTTGTGTCCGAATGAGTGGGAATTATGGTTGAAACTAATAGATTTATCTGACTATAATGATGCAAAGGCATATTTAAATAAAGCGAGAAAGATTTTACAAGGAGATTTAAAAGTTTGGATTGCAGCTTGTAAATTAGAGGAACGTGAGGCTTCATCAGACTCTTCAAAAATAAATGAGTTAGCCGAGAGAGCTGTCAAAGAAAATGCTTCTGTAGAAGCTGAGAAATGGTATGAAGTCGCAATTGAATTGGATAAGGAAGGGTATAATAAGACAAGTAGAGCATTATTGGAATGTTATTTAAAATCTCAACAATATGATTCAATCACATTGCTAGAAGAAGCTGAAAAATACAAAGGTAATTTGAACATTTCTCATTATATTATGGATTATCTTATCAGTATTGATCCTCACAATCAAGAAGTTTGGGATAGATTGTTTATCACATTGAAAAAGTCAAAAAATTACGATTCATTAATTGATTATTATGAAAAAGCTGTTGATTTAAATCCTGGATTGATTTCGTTACATCTCAGCTTTGCAAATGATAAATGGAGGTTAGGGAAAGACGTAGAAGGCGCAAGATTTATATTAGAGTCTACTGATAATGAATTGAATGATGATTCAATCAAGTTTGCCATAATTAACATCAACATGAAAACTGGCAATTTATCGAAAGCCAAAGATTACATCACAACAATCATACAAACGGAGCCAAAGAGACATGCCAAATATTGGTCTATGTACATTCATATACTTAGATGTTTAAACATAGACTCTAAAGAAATTCTAAAAGCTTCTGACAAGGCACTCGAATTTTTCCCAAATAATTTGAAGCTATGTTTACAAAAAGTTCTGATTTTAATTGATGACATAAATGATCTACGATCAGCTAGAGAATTTGCATCAGAAATTTCGGATAAAAACAAAAAGTTTATTGAAGTTTGGATCAAATATAGTGAAATAGAAGAAAAACTAGGAGTTTTAATCAAAGCAAGATCAATACTAGATAAAGCATTACTAATCAATCCAGAGTCTCCAGAATTAGCAATTGCACAAATTGAATTGGAAAAAAGAGCTAAAAATACAACAGCAGTCAAGAATTTAACAAACAAATATATCAAGAAATTCTCATCAAATGCTTACATATGGTATTTGTACTTATCATTGATACCCAAAATGTCACATAAAAAACCAGAATTCATAAATGCTTTAAGATCCACGAATAATTCACTGGAAATGTTGATGTATTTAGGTATTTTCTTTTGGCAAGATGGGAAATTTTCAAAATCTAAGACCTGGTTTGATCGAAGTATGGAGGAAGATACGACTAATGGTGATGCCTGGGGCTGGATGAATAATTTTTATAAATCGCATGGTACTGATGATGAGAAAGAAAAATTTTACAATGAATACGAAGAGAAGTTTGATGATATCAATATAGGGAGAGTGTTTATAAGAATTAAAAAAGATCCTAAAAATTATGGCAAGTCATCTTTAGATATCTTAAATTTAGCATCTAAAGAGTTACTTCATTATTGATTAGAAGCTATAAAAGATTCATAAAGTTTTAAATTCAAAGCACTTAACAAACAGGGAAATTGATTTTTGGAAACCCATTCATTAGCTAATGATTCACACAATGATTTAAATTCATAGTCTCCATATGCTTTTAGTGATTTATTTTCAATATCTATTATGAGGTAGTTATTCAGTTGAGTTCCAGGTTGTGGTTTTTTATACTTTGAAATCAATTTCAATCTTGACGATAATTCATTTGAGTTTATTGTACTTGGTAAAAATTCAATACTGTAGCCAAAATATTTAGATATTATTTTTAATATTTCTTTTGATTTTTCAGTATATACTTCCCTTAATCTTATTATTCTTTTAGTCAATTGATCAATTTGTAACTGTAATTGTGACTTATCATCTTCTTGACGTACAAATAATGACTTCGGTATCACTTCCTTGTCTTCTTTGTCATTGATATATGTGTTGATTAATGATTCATTTTCTTTTCTTAATGCGTCTAGTGTTTCTTTCTTGATAAATTGATCTTTTGCTAATAAGTTGTTTTTCAATTCTAGTATGTGGATGGCTTCCTTTTTACCATTTATTGCTCGTAATGATTCGACTTCTTCTTTTAGTTCATTATTATTTTGTTCCAATATCTTTATGCTTGAAAGTAATTGGATATTTTGAGTTTCTAAATCCGATGCCGCCTTTCTGAAAGTATGATCTTCCATACGTGGACGTTTGTTGAATGAATTTGTTTGTAGTGGTTGTTCTTTTTGATTTTTAATAGCTTGTTCATCCAATTTTCTTTTATATTGATCAACTAAATTTTCTAAATTCGTTACATATTGTTGCATAGTTCTATTATCTTGTTTAGATTCTTCGTTTGATCTTAATATATCTTCTAAATCTTTCAACAGTTTTCTAAGATGTTCAATTTCAATAGTATACAATTTTTTCTCTCTTTCTAGTTCTACTATTGCATTTGATGATTGTTCATTTTTCGTTTGCCATGATTCTATCATTGGGAGGTATTCATTTTCGATTAGGGTACTTGCATTTTCCAACTCTTGTTTAAGTTCATTGACTTCAATACTTTTTGAGTCAAATTTTTCTTTTAATGTTAGGTTATTAGCTTGCAAGGCTTTAAACTTTTCAATAAAATTCGATATTTTAATACTTTTTGTAGTTTCATCATCATCGTTTAATTTTTGAGTATCATTATCATCAATCAATGCATCGCTCAAAGTCTTAAAATAGACATTAAATTTTGACTCAATTTGTAATTTTTCCATTTCTAATTTCAGATACTTTTGTTTTAAAGCTTCATATTGCTCTAATTTTTGATTCAAGCTCAAGTTCTTTTGTTTCAATAATTCTGCTGAGGTATGTTTTTGTAATAATTGATCTATTTTGATTTGAAGTTGATTATTTGTCTTTTGTAGACTATTGTTTTTATTTACAAGAATTTGATTATTTTTGAAAAAGGACTCATCATTTTTGAACATTTCTGTATATTGTTCGAGTTTATTGACGAATTCTTGATTAGAATTCTGTAATTTGTTTATTATTTGATCTCTTTGTTTTAATTCTTTTGTCATTTCATCATTTAATTGAATTTGAGTATTCCAGTCTGATGTAACTTGTTTATGTTTTCTAATTAGTCTATCATTCTTTTCTGTTAGACTTTGAAGTTTGTTCTCAGTTTCACGATAGTTCTGTTCTAGTATTCTATTCTTTTCATTTAATTCTTTAATCTGATTTGTTGATATGTCGGTTGAATTATCAATTTTTGTATTTAGTTGATCATTTTCTTTATACAAGAATTCCACATTTAATTTCAATGATTCAATTTCTTTATTTTTCAACTTGATGCTACTTTCGTAGTTACTTATAATTGATGATTTTTCCTGTGACCATAGCTTTTTTTCAGTTTGAAATGATTTAAGTTGATATTCTAATTTTGATATGTATATCTTTGTATTTATAGTAGATGAATCTTTTTCATATTGATTAATTATTTCATTAGTTGGATTGTCCACAAATGGTGAAGAAGTTACACCAGTCATCAAATTGGCTCCACTTCAATTATACAACTATTATGTTTTTGTTATAAGAAGTAATTAATACTAAATTTTGATCTGAATAAAGTAGTTGATATTTCATTACATTTATTGTTTGTATTTGATTTAATGTCATAATATCAAAAAATTTAGTGACGTCAAAAAAACAAGACACACAAATTATGGTCTATCTATTTTACAACACAATTTTATATAATCACCAGTATAATTAACTTTCATTAAAGTTTAGATAATTGATCTATAAAACACTAAATATCAATAGCAAACTGCTAATTAAACTAATTTTCAAAATAAAGATTAATAAATATATAAACAAAGATGTCAAAAATGTGAGTTTCAGCTTCATGAATTCAACTATTTACAAATCATACTAACTTATCATTATAGACCAAGGAATTTTAAATTATTAGAAGAATTAGAGAAAGGTGAAAAAGGATTAGGAGCAGAATCAATATCATATGGGTTAACAAACCAAGATGATATAACAATGACATATTGGAATGGTACAATAATTGGTCCTCCACATTCAAATCATGAAAATAGAATTTATTCATTACAAATAATATGCGATGAAAATTATCCTGATAAACCTCCAAAAGTTAAATTTATTTCTAAAATAAATTTACCATGTGTTGATTCACAAGGTAATGTTATTATCAATGAATTTGATACTTTAAAAAATTGGAAAAGATCATATACTATGGAAACTGTATTATTAGAATTAAGAAAAAGTATGGCTTCACCTAATAACAAAAAATTAGCTCAACCATCTGAAGGATCAACTTATTAAATTCAATGAATATAAGAGTTAATAGATAATGGAAGTCATCATTCAATTACGTTGTTGTTTATATAATATTACAAAGCATTTTTCATATATCTTATCTATACATATATTATACAAATTTAGTTAGTATACAGGTGATCTAGAAGTTTAAACATTATTTAGTATTCATTTAAATTGATTCATGATATTCTTTTTCCATTAATTCTCTAAATTCCTTTTCAGCATTTAAAAAATCTTGAACATAATTATAATATTTAGAATCCAGTTCCATTAAATCATGATTTGTCATATCATTTGTGATTTCAATATTAGTCCACTTTTCTACTTTTGTCTTTTTACCATTAATTTGTTGTATACTGGGTATCAAGCATTTTTGGAATATTCTTTTGAAAGGTAAACATATTATTTCTGGTGATGATTTATAAGTTGATGGTTTAAAAGTACATTCATGTTGTGTTATAGACTTTAAGTGACATTTATATTCTGCTGGATTATCTAATTGTTGTTTATACTGTAGTTTTATATCATCTATTGTATATACTGGGACGGGAGGTGCCATTTAGTTATTGATAAAACTAGTGATTCTTTGATCAGCTTGTTTATGAAAAGTAGATATTTAAGATCTATAACGGAGCTAATAAAAATCTGATAACAAAATTGGCTACCAAATTTTTGCTGCAAATCTTTAAAGTAAAAGATCACAAGATTAAAAGAGGTCGAAACAGTTATCTAAAGTATACAATTCTCAAGAATATAAATAAAGAATAAATAAGACTTGTAATGGATAGATAAATAAATGAATAAATAAATAAATTAAATAAATATTAATCAAGAATTTCAGCATCTAACATCAATACCAGTTCTTTTTTCACCTTCTCTCAATTCAAACATGACTTGAGAAGCAATAAATAAACATATTGATGATGTCACAAAGAAACTAATACCAGATAAAGTTTTGAAAATCTCTTTAATCAATTGTAAAGTACCATCTTTACCCAAACAAAAACCAACCAAATTAGCAATCATCATCATCCAAATATTAATAACAGCACCAACACTACATAAATATCTAAACCACCATTGTTGATTATATTTTCTAAAAAATAACGAAGCACTAATTTCAGGTATTAAAAATAATACAATTAACCAACCCCACATTAATAATCTTAATTCAATATCATGCCAAATAGCAACAAAACTGAAAACCAATAAACTATTTAAAATTCTATAATTTCCTCCACCACCCATGGGGATATAAATATATTTAATAACCCATCTATTAAAAGATCTATGCCATGCTCTCCAAAATGCTAATGCTGAAAAATTATTATCCATACATCTAATCATATTTTCTGGTGGATCTATACCATCTAATAATGACCAGAACCTGAATAATCTCCAGGGTATTAATAATTTTAACCATATTACATTTAAATTAAACATTCCAACCATTGATATTTGAAATGGTGAATCTCCATCCCATGCTTTTGTTTTTGATACAGCAACAACATACATGAAATGTAAGATGAATTCCATTGTTAATAAACAAAATATAAACCTTAAGAAATACATGAAAATTCTTTTGTAATCTTTTACTGATGATGATTGTTGATAATTTGATTGATATATATAATCATTGAAAGTTAATATAGGACCAGCTATAAATAATGGAGTATAAAAAATATATGCAAGATAATTTACGATATTGTAATCATTTATTGGTAACGGAGCGTTTAATCTTTCACGATCTGTTAGGTTTAATAATGAATCCTTTTTGGTTTCATCGGGTATACTTAATTGATGTTCTCTTTCAATATAATCAAGGTTGAAAGATATCATTCTTAATAATGTGAAATTATAAAATACATCCCATCTTGCTATTATACCTTTGAAACCACTATCTAAAAACGGTATACCATATTTAAAATTTCCATACCATTCATTGAAAAATAATGTGGATACTCCATAAATCCAAGTAGTCCAAATTGCCACTTTTCTATTCTTAATATATTTTCCAATCATGTAGTTAATACCAATTAACATTGAAATTTTAGTTACATTAACACCATGAGCTCCAATTAAGAAAATGATTCCAAATCCAAAATCAAAATAACTTCTTTTAGTGATACCTAACAAAGGTGTGAAGATCTTTCTCAATCCAACATGTATAACGATAAGTAGTATTAATAATGGGAAATTATCTCTAAAAAATCTATATTGTTGATCAGAATTATCAACTTTTCTTCCAAATAGCCATCCATTACTCAATAAATGTTGAAATTTAGGATAATTAGGATTAGTTTCATTAGATGCTTCCATGGCAGCTTTAAACATTAAAGGTACGACTATTGCAAATACAACATAATATATTTTAAACTCTATAGTTGACCATTTTGATTTTGTTGATGAATTTTTTAAATATTGTTGTTTCTTATTATTATTATTGGTTAAGTTGGGATCTAATCTTGTATCTAATGTTGATAACGAGAAAAAATTTCTCAATTCTTTCAATGCTAATGACATTGCATTTGAATTGACTTGATTAGAATGATATGGTAAAATTGTCAATTGATTTATTTTGAGTATTGAAGTTGGAGATATCTCTCGTAATAAAAGGTAGAGGACACAAAATTGAAGTTACTTTAGGAAATATAATTTTTCAATTCCATTAACCATACAGAGTATCAATTTTGGTAATTTATATCAATACAAGACCATCTTAGCTACTTCACTTAGAGTGTTTTTCAATGTCTCATAATAATGTTGATCATGAAAGTGATCTATCAAGAAGACCTAATCCAAAAGGTTGGACACCACCAAAAGCTCCTTACAATCCATATGATCCAAATGATATAAGACCAGCAGAAGGTTATCCATCCGAATACCAAATTCCAAATCAAGAACCAAAAGGATTTTCATCAATACCCAAAAAGCCAACTCAATATCAAAAAATAAATGAAACAATGTCAAGATTAAATTATACAGCAAGACCAAAATCAAATATATACCCAAATCAATATAAAATGTTAAGACAAGTGGACACTAATAAAAATCTACATTTTGGATCAAGATGGTTTAGTATCTTTATAGGTGGATCAATAATAATATATGGTGTATTTTTCCAAAGATGGAATAATGGTAAAGAAAATGTATTTAGTGATTTTTATAGATCACAATTGAAGTTTAAAGAAAGAATAATGGGAGGATTATCAGAAGTTGAACACGATGATTTATATTATCCTAATCAAATTAGTGGTAGATACTTAAAGAATGTCAAAGATGCTCAATATATTAATGAAGATATTAGAAAGACAAAAGAAAATGAATATGTATTAAATAGACCTAGTGAAAGACATATATTGGAAGCTGAAAGGATTCAACAAGAAAATGAAGAAAAAATATTACGAGGTTTGAGTTCTAAAAATTGAGAATGGTATTGAATACACTATATTGATGTAAATAGATAGGAAACTAATAGAAAAAACTTAGGTTTTCAATTAACTTTCTTCAACCTCTTTAAATCAGGCATTCTAACCAAAAACAATTTAACGATACTAAAAAATATGAAATGATGAATCACATATGGTAACTCTTTTTCAGATTGCCAAATCCAATTTAAATCTGAAACTTGTATAAATTTCAAAACGATGGAAATTGGTAGCTCTATCTTTTTCAAGATCAAAAAATTTATCATAATAAAAGAAGCAAACAATTTGATAAACAATGTAACGTTTAACATTTAGCATATCAAATAATCTCATTTTTTTACATTCATTTTTATATTAATAATTTCATTCTTTTCCTAGTATTTTGTTTTTGTTTGACTTTCTACCATACCACTTTTTAGATGTACTAATTTATATTACAATATATTAAAATTACCAAATTTCAACAATTAATAGGTAAATCGAATATCAACACATTGACTAAAAAAAGTAAACAATGCCAGTACACAAAGAAATATCAATATTTTCAACAATTACAAATATTTCAATACTATTTTTAAAATTATTTATAGTGTACATTAAGTCATGGTTTAATAGAAAACCCAATTGTCCAAAATCAATTGATTGTAATCCTTATGAAAGTGAAGAATGTGTTAAAGATAAGATCATTAAAGCAAAAGATATTAATGAAATTGTTTCAATTTTTGGGTATAAAGCAAGAGAACATGTTGTAACTACAAGAGATGGATATTTATTGTGTATACATAAATTAGAGAAATTTAATACTCAAGATAAAGAAGAACAACTCAATTTAGAAAATACCAATAAGAAGAATAGCAATAAAATAGTTTATTTACATCATGGATTATTAACTAATTCAGAATTATGGTGTTTAGGTTCTAAAAAGGAAAAAACTTTACCTTACTTGTTAGTTGATTTAGGTTATGAAGTATGGTTAGGTAATAATAGAGGTAATAAATATTCAAGAAAACATTTAAAATTATCTGCATCAAGTGTTGAATTTTGGGATTTTTCATTAGATGAATTTTCATATTTTGATATACCTGATATTATCTGTTATATTGATAAATTTTATGAACGTCAAAAAAATTTGGGAAATTTAGATGTATCGTCAATGAACTCAAGTAGATCAACTAGTGGATCAACAACCCCTGTAATTGGTGGATCAACAACTACTTTGAATGAACCACCACCAATAAAATCAAGTAAAAATCAAATAATTTATATTGGGTTTTCACAAGGTTGTTCACAATTATTTGCAAGTTTGAGTCTTTTCCCAGAATTTAACGACAAGATTAGTTTATTTATTGGATTATCACCAGCAATTATACCGCAAAATTTGAACCATCCCATTTTTAAAATAATAGTCGATCAAACAGCACATGATAATTCATTCTTGTATAGTTTATTCGGAAGAAGAGCCATTTTCCCAAGTGTATCATTTTGGTCAACTTTTTTCGGTCCAATATTGTATGAAAAAATAGTTGATAAATCTTTAATGTTATTATTTGGATGGTCAAATCAAAATATAAATAATGAACAGAAAAAAGTTGGGTATCCACATATGTTTTCAAATTCATCTGTAAAATCATTATTACACTGGTTTCAAATTATAAGAGCCAAAAGATTTCAAATGTTTGATGAAACTTGTTCAACTGGGTTAACTAAATTATCTTCATTATCTGATTCTGCTAAAGTTAAAGGTAATAGAGTTACTCCGTTCCCCATAAATGATCATTTAAAAATTCCAATGGTTTTATTTTGTGGAGATTCGGATATTTTAGTAGATATGGAAAAAACAAAAAGTTTAATTTTGGATTCAAATAAAGCAATGACTAATAAATTAGAAATTATAATGTGTGAAAGTTATGAACATATGGATACTTTATGGGGTAATGATGTTTATGAATTGGTTTTTAGTAAGATTTTGAAGAAATTAGAAAATTTAAATGGTGATGAAGGTAATAATAATAAGTTAGGAGATGAATTAAAATTAGATTAATTAGAATAGACTAAATAGGGTTTGATTTGGGTTTGGTTTGGAGTTTCGGAGGTGATTTTTTGCTTCTTGTAAATTTGTATATTTTATATCAATTTTAGTTATTAATGGCTCTAGATTTTAATGTAATAAAATTCAATTCAAAAATTTCATCTGTAAAATTTAAAGTGAGATTTGGGTGCAAAATCTGCAAAACCAATAAATTTTATACATAACAAATACTATCAGTCATTTCATTTCATTTATTCTACTTATCTTTCTAGGAAGTGAAAATGAAAGATAAAGAGAAGAAAATATCTTATTCAATCACTGATTTATATAAACTATACCATAATTACAAATATGACATAACATTATACGATTTACTTCCAAAACCCACCAAAAATAAAAATTGCCATTCTACAAAACCAATTATTCAAGACATGTACCCTATTTCAGCATTTATTATATTCCAAAACAACCAAAACAATTCAAATACAGATTCAATTTCTTTATCAAACAAGACAACAGTATCTACTGCATTTCATCCATTTTCACCACCTCCTTCATCATTAACCCAAGCATTACAACAACAACAAAAGCAACAAAACAACTATGACAACACTACAACAAACTTACCAGATTTCACTCAATCAACATCAGTAATTATCCCAGTGATTACAATAGAACCAGGTTCAAGAATTCCACCTGGTGGATTACCACTTGAAGAACTTTATAAGAAATTTCCAAATTGTAAGATATTCGAAACTCAACAATTGGAAAAAGAAGTTATTTTGTTTTCTCAAAGTGAAACCTCCAAGAAAATTAATGTCAAGTATGAAAAGACTAATTCTACTACTAGTACTATTATTTATGAGGAAAACAAATGTGAAACTCAATCCAATGAAAACAATGAAAAAGAGGCGGTTGGTAATGATACAACGGGCAATTTAGATGTTGATAAAATTTCAAAACAAGTTTCAGATGAGCTAGTCATCAACTCAGCAACTCCTTCAAACTCTACATCTTCTACTGATGATATTATTATACAAATTTACCCATCGTGATAACAGTCTTGATTGTTAATGAATTCAAAATTTTGCAGCCGTGTGGTAGCTTGATTTTTTTTGTAAGTAAAAATAATTTAAAAAATAAATTTGTTTATAATGAAAAATGTTTCATAATTTTTTATTTACTTTACTCTTTTTTTATAATATATTGAAGTAGCAAACATTACTTTATGTCCTTTTTGGTACCCAAAAATAGAACAGTTAAAGAAACTAATCCTTGGTGTTACTTAGATATTGCAATGTATGTACTTTAATATTATCAATTGGAGAAATCAAATTCAGATACTAACTTATTATCATAGACAGCCAGATCCAATAATACATGCAGATACAAATGAATCAAAACAACTACTATCAACATATGAAACCATTGAAATGGATTTAATAACATGGAACACACTAATCTTAACAAGTTTAAACAAATTATATGGATTAATTGGTGAATCATCACCATTTGAAATTATAAAACATAATAATAACCCACTTCAAAAACAAATCATACTCAAAATACAAGTTGAAGATCAATCAAAATTTAATAATTCACTAATGAGTTATACTTTTAATTTAAGTAAATATTTTAATGATTTGAATTTAAATTGTAATTTTAAAATAAATAAAATTGAGAATTATGTTGGATTGGTATTATAGAATAAATTAACGAATTAATGAGTAATAATTGAAGATAACTCTTATAATCTCTCTTTACTTCTCTTTAATTAGGAAAGTTGACAAGTTCATGTAAGTTATGTTATCTTACTCTTCTAATCTCTTGATATTTGATTAAGCCAGAAAAACGCTACCAGTCGGAATTCGATGAAAAATTCCATAAATAATTTCTGAGAGGCTTTTTATTTAAAATTTAGAGCCTTTTACAACAGAATTAAAATTCTAATTACAACCTAAATGAACAAAGTTATTAGGTGAACTCAAAAGATTAGTTATTCATCTATTCAATTAATTGAAAAATCATCATATTATTTATTGTATTACATTCAAAGTTCATTCAATTCTTTATGATAATATAACAATATATCAACTATCTTAAATTAAAACTAAACTTATTTGCAAATATTATATATAGAACAAGATTAAGGGTAATTAACTTTATAATCTAAAGATTGAAATGAGAATCCCTATACATTCATCTATGGTGTCACTACTACTATTGACATTATCAATAATTACTTTATCATTATCCTTCACTCCTGAGATATCATTATCAACACATGATGATTTTCCCGAATTAATAAGATATTTTGATGATTCAAGTACAATTTTGACTTTAAAAAATCATAGAGCATATATATCTCATAATGATGGTAACCTGTTTGATTTAATTAATGATATAAAGGAAAAAGTTATACAATTTGAATTTGATCCATTTGTAAAAGAAAGAGCATTTATAATAACTGCAACAAATAATCATTATGTTACTCGAGATAAAGGTAAAAATTGGTCAAAATTTGTATCAAATATTTATGAATATAACGAAGATGGTTTAGCTTCAATCCCAAAAATGGAATTTAATGCAGCTGATTCACAAATGTTAATGATCTCAAATTATCAATGTCCTGAATCTGGAGAATATAATCATAAATGTCAACATATTTTTCATTATACAACTGATGGATTTAAAACTAAAAGTAAAAAAATTCCTATAAACGCTCATGTTTGTAGATTTGCAAGATCAACTACAGAATCAATAATTGGTGAAGGCTCAACTATTTATTGCTCAGAAAATGAATTGAATTCTTTTAAACATATTATACTGTCAAATTTATATAAATCAGAAGATTTTTTTACGAACAAAAAGGAAATAAAATTATCAGATACTGGGAATGGAGCAATAATTGATATAAAAGTTGAAGAGAATTTTATGACTATTGTTTCAAGATTAGATAAATATAGTGAACATTCCAAAATTAATTTATATGTTACAAGAGATGGTGAAGAATTTAATAAAGCAGATATTCAAATTGATATTAAATATGGAGTTATGTCATTTTTGGACTCATCTCCTTCTTCATTATTTATATCAGCTATTGATTATAGTCAAGATGTTTCAAAAGTTTCAAAATTATATAGCTCAGATTCCTTGGGTTTACGTTTTAAAGAAGTTTTGGATAAACTTTCATACGTGATGAAAGTAGATTATATTGATGGTGCTTGGTTAGCAAATGTTGAAATTGAATCTCAAGAAGATAATGATCAACAAAAATCATTATATGATTATTTATTTGGTGGTAGTACAACCACTAACTTAATTTCCAAAATTTCTATAAATGATGGTGAAGATTGGAATCTATTAAAGTCAAATGATGATAGATGTAAAATTGAAGATGGTTGTTCAGTACATTTATGGTCTTATGGTCAATTAGGCGGAGAAGGTAAATTTAGAACTGGTCCAACACCTGGAATTTTAATGGGTGTTGGGACTCAAGGTAAATATTTAGCAAATAATTATGATCAAATGAAATCTTTCGTTTCAAGAGATGGAGGTATTTCTTGGGATCTTGCTTTGGAAAGTGCTTGTGTTTTTTCTTCTGGTGATAAAGGTAACATTTTATTAGCTGTACCTTATAATGGAGTAGTCAAACATGGACCTGTTGATTATTTTTATTATTCATTAAATCAAGGTAAAGATTGGGAAAAAGTATCACTTGAAAAAGAAATTTTCGTAATTGATATATTAACTACTATTGATGGTACTTCCAAAAAATTTTTAATTGATGGTTATTCACCACAAGATAGAGGTGGAGCAAGAGAATTATTATATTACGTTGATTTTGCTGGAGCATTTGATGGAAAAACTTGTCAGGATTCAGATTTTGAAGAAGTTTATGCAAGACAAGTTGGAGATGATCAACCGTTATGTGTTTATGGTCATAAAGAAAAATTTAGAAGAAGAAAACAAGATGCAAAATGTTTTGTAAATCAATTGTTTCAAGATGTTAAAGTATATGAAGATCCTTGTCAATGTACTGAAAAAGATTTTGAATGTTCGTTGGGTTTTAAACCAAGTGGTAAAGGTGGTGGTTCTTGTATACCTGATCCTAAAGCTATTGCCAATTTATGTAAAAAATCAGGTAAACTGCAACTTGAACTTTTTGATAAATCAAAAATTAATGGTAATATTTGTGATTTTGGGTCCAAAAATTTGGAAACTTTTGCATCAAAAGAAAGTTTCAAATGTTCAGATTATAATAAACCTGATGATGAAAATAGTGGTGAGAAAACTGATATTGTTGTAAGTAAAAATGATATTGAAGGTACTATTACTCAATATATTTATGTTAACACTCACCTGGAAGCAAATTTGGCAGATAATATTGTTTTAAAAACTAGTGATGATCGTATATATGTTTCAAATGACGGAGGAGCTGGTTTCACTAAAGTCCCTGTGCACGATAAAATAATTGCATTCTATACTGGTTTTGTACCTGGTCAAGTTATTTTGGTGACTGATTCTACTACTTTCTATTATTCACAAGATGGGGGTGGAATGTTTAGAAAATATAAAGCTCCGAATAAACCCGTAGCTTCAGTTCCATCACAAATTTCATTTCATAAGAGAGATCCAAGAAAATTTATATGGATGGGTGGGGATTGTGAAAGAAATGATAGGAATTGTGATGCATCTGCTTATTTTACAAATACTGGTGGTGAAAGTTTCAACAAGATTATGGATAATGTTGTAATGTGTGATTATGTTGGCCCAATTTTTGAAAAACAAATTGATAATTTAATTTATTGTTCAGCAAAAGATTCAAATGGTAAAAAATCATTATATTCCATAGATGGTTCCAAAAAGCCAGAAAAAATATTTGATGATATTGTTGGATACGCTATTACTGGTCATTTTGTAGTTGTTGCTGTTATTAAAGATAATTCATTAGAAGCTAAAGTTACACTTGATGGTAAAACATTTGCTGACGCTGATTTCCCAAAAGATTTAAAAGTTGGTAAACATCAAGCATATACTGTATTAGACTCTACATCAAATGCTATTTTCATGCAAGTTGAAACAAATCTTGAACAAGGATTTGAATATGGATCATTATTAAAATCAAATTCAAATGGAACTTATTTTGTATTATCTTTAGAACACGTAAATAGAAATTCCGTGGGTTATGTTGACTTTGATAAAATTGATACATTAGAAGGTACAATTATAGCTAATATAGTTGCAAACTACAAAGAAGGTAAAGGAACCAAAAAATTACAAACTTTAATATCAAGAAATGATGGTAGTGAATGGGATTATTTGGCACCACCAGTTGTAAATTCCAAAGGTGAGAAATATTCATGTATTGGACAACCAAGATCAAAATGTGCTTTACATTTACATGGATTTACTGAAAGAGCAGATTATAGAGATACTTATTCGTCAGGTTCAGCAGTTGGATTCTTAATGGGTGTTGGTAATGTTGGAGAATATTTAGCAGATTTAGATTCTTCTTCAACTTTTTTAAGTATTGATGGTGGTATTACATGGAAGGAAATTAAACAAGGAGTTTATCAATGGGAATATGGTGATCAAGGTACTATTTTAGTTATTATTGATTCACAAAAGGAAACAGATACTTTAATTTATTCGTTAGATGAAGGTTCAACATGGAATGATTATAAATTTACTGATAATAAAGTTAAAATTTTAGATTTAGCAACTGTACCAACAGATATCTCAAGAAAATTTTTAATATTAGCAACTCATCCAAAAGATATCAGAGATACTTTAACTTTTTCCATTGATTTCACAAATATTTATTCAAGACAATGTCAATTAGATTTAGATAAACCTGATAAAGATGATTTTGAATATTGGTCCCCATATCATCCTGAAGGAGAAGATAAATGTTTATTTGGTCATGAATCCAAGTATTTGAGAAGATCACAAAAACAAACTGATTGTTTTATTGGATCAGCACCATTAAATGAAGGTTATAAACAAATAAGAAATTGTTCATGTACTCGTAGAGATTATGAATGTGATTATAATTATCAACGAGATTTAACTGATAATACATGTAAATTAGTTACTGGTTTAACAGCAGAAGATCGTAAAAAAGATATGTGTTCAAAACCAAATGCATTCCAATATTTTGAAAGTACAGGATATAGAAAAATTCCACTTTCAACTTGTGAAGGAGGTAAACAATTTGATACTTGGTCACCAAAACCATGTCCTGGAAAATCAAAAGAATTTGATGAATATTATGGTAGAGAAGTTAAAGGATCAAAATTATTTTTAGTTTTATTTGTTCCTATTATAGTATTTATTTCTGTAACTTGGTTTGTTTATGATCGTGGTATAAAACGTAATGGAGGATTTATAAAATTAGGTCAAATTAGATTAGATGAAGATGGTGATGATAATTTTAATCCAATTGAAAATAATCAAGTTGATGTTGTTGTTAATAAAATTGTTAAAAGTGGGATTTTTACAGCTGCTGTTTTGATTGCAAGTTTTAAAACTATTAAAAAAATAGATAAATTAATAATTGATAAAATTGGAAATGTAATATTTAAAAGAAATCCAGGTAGAAGAAATTATGTATCTATACCTGAAGAAGATGATGAATTATTTGGAGAATTTGATGAAAATGATATTGATGATGAATTAGAAAATGGTGCTCATTATTCACAAGATATTTTTAGGGATAATGAACATCAAGAAGATGCTGAACTGTTTAAAGAATCTGATTTAACTGATTTTAATAAAAAGGATCTGAACTCAACTAATGAGAGATTATTTGATATTGATGATGATGAAGATGATGAAGATGAAGAATCAGAAGATCCAAATAAAAAATAGGCAAATAAAAAATATTTAAAAAATGTACGATTAATTTTTTTTACTTATTAAAATCTCATATTAAATTTTTTGTAATATACAAATACTATAATTATTTATAAATTAAATTAATTTTTGTTTCTGTTTTTTAAAGACTATTTTTCCCTTTGTAAATCAATTTCATGTAATAAATCTTCAGGATTTACTGCATCCATCATATCTTGTTCATGAATTCTTTGAACGTAACCCTTTCTATTTTTTAATAATGCAAAATATGGAATAATATATAATAATCCAAATAATGTAGTTGAACCTAATGCACATGCTAATGATATACCTACTACTTTACCCTTTGATAAATTCTTATTTAAATTTTTTAAATCATCTGAAGATAAAAATCTATTTTGATCGTTTATTAGTATTGTTTTAACATCTCCTATTTGAGGTGTAGTGGTTTGATTTTGTTGTTGTTGTAATGTATAAACATAAGGGATCCATGAGGTACCGTTATATAATGCCATATTGACTAAACCATAATCTTTTATACTAAATATACCAGCAACTATTAGTAATTTATCATTATCAAATAAGCTTTTATTATATGATGTAGATTTTTCTGCTGTTAATAATTTTAGGTCGTTAAAATTGGTGGTATTATCAATATTTAAATCTTGATCTATGCTATACCAATTAGTACCATCAAATCCAGAAACATATTCATCTCCAATGACAACCATTCTATTATTTAAATTTGAATTTGAAGATCTGTCATTGATAATGAATTTATTGACATCTTTGTTTAATTTATTTAAAGAATCCGAAGTATCAAATTCTCCATTATTGAAATTATAAGTCATAAATTTAATATTATCATTATTTAATGTTAAATTCTTACCAGTTATTAAAACATGATTAGCAGTATAAAATTTCATATCAGTTATAACACCACCAATATTTTGAGTTGTAGAAGCATCATTTTGAGGATTTATCCATCTTGTATTTGAAATATCATAAACACATAAAGAAGGACAACTTAATGATCCTGCAGTATCAAAATCACCACCGACTAATAATTTATGACCTTCATCAAACAAAACAACTGAATTGACATGGATTGAAGAACCATCACTTTTTGATAATGCAGGTGGTTGAAATGATGTAAATGTATCATTTATTAAATCATAAATTATTATTCCAGTTAAGTTATTATTATTGATTTCAATTGATCCATGAATTCCCATGAATAAATATTCCGAATCATTGTCAACATACAATGTTTCAATTTCAGTTTGATCATCCCAAACAACTTCATTACCTTGTAATGCTTTAATGGAACTTGATGGGTCTGTATTATTGATAATTCCAACATTTCTTACATCACCAGAAGTAAATTTACCACCAATAATACTTATTGAGTCATTGACATAAAATGAATTTGATATAAAATCGGATGAATTTTCGGTAACGTTAAACCCAAACTTATTAAACTCAGCATTAGCAATATATGCTTGATTAATGCTATTAAATTCCATTATATTGAAACTACTCCCACCAAGTATTTGTTGTTGAGAGTTTAGTGGTAATGATTGAGTTAAATTATATTGATTTGTTGACCATTTGGCGTTTGTGTTATCCCAAGTTTTGAAGTTTGAACCTGATGATGATGAGAAAATATAGTATTCAATTTTGTCTATAGTTGGATTAGCAAATTGATCATATTCAACATCTTCAAAACTGTTTCCAAAACTATACCATTGATTATTTGAGTATAATGCAAAGTTATTTGCTTGTGAAGTAGTTCCATTATTATTAGAAAGATTTTTTATTGATGAGTCCAGTATTGAAAATTTACCAAGTACTAATAATGAATTCTTGACGGTAATTGTTTTTGATATAGTGTTATTAAAAGTTGCTCCATGAATGGTTTGATCATCTCTTTTCCTCAAGGTTGTTGGTAAATTTACATTTGTTTCATTTGAGGTTGAGTTGTATGATGATATATTTAATGTAATTAAATTATTGTTACTTAATGTTAAATTGTTACTGTTTGATTCAAATTGTCCAAAAAAGCTTAAAGAATCATCAAACAAATTTATTTCTCTCACTTCAGAATCATTTGATATTCTTCCACTTAATAAATTAATTGATGAATTACCAACATATGTATTGTTTGTATTGATTAATGTTCTATTGTTTTCTCGATAATGTACTAGATTTTCATCAAAATCGGTAAAATTTGCTAATGAATATTCAAATAGACCATTTAAATTTATATAAACTAATTCTGATCCATTTCTATTTGATGTTCTGTTTGTATTATTTCTATCATAGTACAGATCTAACGAAACAATATTTGCTGTAACTTTATCGACCACGATCATTGGGTTTTGTTCACCTGAGATGATAGTATCATGAAATGAAACTTCAATTTTATTATTATGACCTTGTGAGCTACTATTTAAATGACCATAAAACAAATAGTCAAATTTAGCATTTTCGTTATTTTGATAAATTAATTTACTTGATAAGATATTTTCATCAATATCGGTAAGTGTGACGTTTACAATACCTCTTTGTTGACACGAATTATCTTGTGAACATCCTGGTGTTGTCATTATTATAGAATAATCACCCGAATATGAAATATTTGGATATAGTACAATCTTTGCATTTGTATCATAAGTGACTAAATAATCATTTCCAGTCAATTGAGGATCTATAGCTTTAATAGATTGAAAATTACCAGATATAATATCAGCATAATTATTATTTTCTTTATTAAAATCATCATCACAATTTGGTTCATTTAAAGTATTATTACCATACACTGTAATTGCATTTTGATATAATTCAAATCCACTAAATGAAGCTTGATTTCCATACCAATCTAATATGGTTAATCCTAATTGATCAAATCCAATTTGATTTATAAATGCAAACTCTTGAAAATTAGCTCCATATCCAAGATTTTTAGTTTTAGTAGATGGATCATAATATTTGAAAAAAGTACCATCTTCTTCATCAACAAAAACATCGTCTTGATTTAAATCAGTAGCATTATCTCTATTTTTATCAACAAATTCATTTAAATCATCGAAACTATTTAAAGGACACCAAGCATCACAATAAGCTAATTCATTTGTTGATGGATCAATATATGTCAAATTCATTATACCATTATTCGGGAATGAATAAATTCTAAATAATTTTATACCATTATCACTTTCTGGTAAATAAATACGCGCTTTTGTTGGTGTAATTCCCTTCATTTCATCTGGTAATTCAACTTTCCATTCAGCTCCTGAATTTGGTGTAGCATCCCATATGTTATTAGTAGATGGACAAATAATTTTTGAATTTTCCCCTTCATCTTGTGCATTAACTGAAGTAAAGATACCATGTCTTAAAGATATAACTTGTTCTGCATTAACAATTGTTGAATTAGTTTCATTATGATTTGAAGTTGAGTTTGATGTAATATTATGCACTAATAAATCAGATAAACCTAAAGTATTAAAATTACCACCAAATATGATTGATCCATTATCTGTATCATTACCTCCAACTTTAATTATACTATTTATAGTTGAATCATTTCCAAAACCTTGAAATAATGTAGAATTTAAATTTTTTGAAGTTTGATTATAAATTGCAACACCAATGGTATTATTAAAAGTAAAATTACCACCAAGATATATCAATTCTTTATCAATAAAAATTGTTTTAACTGTACCATTAAACCCATTATTGGGTATTATATTTGTAGTAGAATTTGAAGTTATATTATATATAATTGGACTTTTGACTGATTGTGAATTAAATTCAGTAAAATTACCATTTAAAATTATTGAATCATCAGATATTCTTAATAATTGACTAATTGGTCCATTTAAATTTCCAAATTTTGATATAAAATTATTATTTGTATCTTGTAGAAATAAATTATTTTGATTTGATGATTGTGAAATGTTATCATCTCTTTTTGAATTTGCGTTTGAGTCTTCTTCTTCTGCTTGATTAGAATTTGTTGTTAAAAATTGTGAAGATCCAATATATTTATAAAAACTTGTAGAAATAAAAGATCCAAAAAATCCTATTCTATTACCAAATGAATTATAATTTAATGTAGGTTGAGTAACATTTTGAAAAAATGATGAGGTATCAGCATTTACAAATAATTGTAGTAGTAATACTAGTAGTAGTATATTGATTTTTATTATATTAAACATATCATTAGATTTAGATCTATAATTTATGTTGTGAAATCTTAAGATTTTATCTTTTAAATAAATTTAAACGAAATCTTTTTGATCTGAAATGAAATGTAAACTGTGAAAATAAAATATAACTCTTATAAAACGAATGTAATTAAAATAAATATATATAAAAGATTACTGAAATGAAAATAAATGAAGATGATGATTAAATGAATGAATGAATGAATGAAGTAATAGTTAGAGTTGGTAGTAAAAATAGTTGTGTGTTGATATTATTAATTGATTAAATTTAATTAAAATTTGGTTGTAAAAAAAAAATATTAATTTTTTTTTCTTCTCTTTTTCTAATTTTGGTTTTGGTTTTTTTGTTTACATTCTCTAATTAAATCTTATAATAAAGATATTGTAAAGACAACTTGATTTTACTACATTTGATCTAAAGGATATTTCTTCTATATTATATATAAGAATGTTTAAGAGGTTAATATTATCTTGCTAAATCAGCAGCTTACATCTTTTTACCAATTGGAAAAAAGTTTTGTGGACCCAAAATATTAATCTACTTCGTCAATTTATATATTATTACGATATAATATTATATATAAAAATAATTTGGTATTTCATAATTAATATTTATTATAAATATTTTTTTTATATACAAAAATTATTTAATAGTAAAAAGAAAACATTCATATGAGAATATGTATTCATTCTTAACTCTCATTAGTTGTTTAATACTTTTGATATATTATATATCTATCAAGTATACACATTATATTTTGATAACATCGTCTAATTAATTATTTTAGGAAATAATACTGTAGTTAGTTCGTGTAATTTATTACAAATTTTTTATTTGGTCTTTAAGGGGTAACTTAATTTATTTTTGGGGCGTTTCAGCCGCTTAATGTTTATATAATAAATATTTTTAGTATTATGAAATCAATGTCTTTATGTTTTATTCTCTGACACTAAATTTTATGACATCCATTTGGTAGTTAATCAATAAAATCTTGTAGTACAACAAATAAATATTATTATTATTATTACTATTATACTAGACTAATAATTATTAGATATATCTGATCTCGCTTTTGAATATCGATTACAATTTCCAACATTTTCCCTCCACTTTTCATTAATCAAATTTGCTTTTAAATATTAATAAAAAAGTTTAATGGAATATCCAAAAGGATTAGATCCATTTAAATCAAGACAAAATTTATTACATCATACATTTTCACCATTAATTTCAATACAATCTACTCATAATGTTGATATTTTTTTTCAACTGATTTTAGAAAATGATAATGACAATACTAATGGAAATAATGAAATTATTTCAACTTTAAATATTTTAAAACCTTTTGGTAATAATTCAAGATATGGTATACCTAATCAACAATTTAAAATTATAAATAATCAATTAATTACAAAAAATTATAATAGTTTTCCAATTAGATTTGAACCATCATTACCTGAATTATTATCAATTTCTTATGCTCAACAACAACAACCACATCTTAAAAATCATTTAAATAATAAAAATTTACATAATAATCCACTTGATTCTTCCTCATTAAATTCTGAATCTTCTTCATCAAGTACAAAATTATCAAATAGTGGATCACTACCGCCAATTGATTCATCATCATTACATTTTGATTCTCCACAATTAGATCAATTGTTTAGTATTCCATCATTAGAACATTATTTACGTCATATTAATAAAAAGGAAAAAAATTCAATAGATAAAGAAGAAAAATTATATTTAACATTTTTTAATAAAATTATAACAACAAATAAAATAACTTCATTTGAAACTTTTAATCATCCTATAAGTCAAATATTTATAATAGATTTTGAAAATGATTCAATTGATGATTTACGTAAACTTATAGTTGATTTTAGAAATTATAATTTCCCAAAATTTTTTCAAATTGATGATTTATTAATCCATGTATTTATAATTTATGATTCTACAAAATTTGATTCTAAAGATTTATTAGTTTTACAAAATGAAATAAGAATTAAATTGAATATAGACAGTATTTCAATACCAATGAAATTAAAATGTGATTTAGAAAAAGAAGAAATTAAATATTCATTAATATCATCTATTGAAAATTGTACAATTGAAGAAGATTTACAAAGATTAACTTTAAAAGATACCACCACTAGTTTTAAAATTCCAGAATCAATAGATACTTCATTAAGAATAACAGTTTATAATTTTATTAATAAATTTTTAATACCTCATATGCAAACCAAGATAAGATTATGGGATGATCAAATGTTACAACCTAAAAAATCAATAACTGGTAGATTTTTTTCAGCATCTAAAAAGTTTTTCAATAATAGTGATTCAAATTTATTATCAATTAATTCATCATCAATGAATCCATCATCATCTCAATCTTCTTCTAATCAATCATCATCTTTTAATTATCAAGAAATGTATTATTATAAATCATCAGCCGAACAAATTATAAGAAAATTAGCAGATTGGTCACTTATACTAAATGATTTCAAACATGCATATTCCACATATGATTTAATAAGAAAAGATTATAGTAATGATAGAGCATGGATTTATGTAGCATCAACTCAAGAAATGTGTATAATCTCATTACTTTTAGCTCAAACTCAATATTTAAATTCTTCACAACAAAAACAAACAATACCAGATAAAAATACATTACGTAAAATTAAACATGATATTATAGAACCATTTATGGATAATTTATCATATACTTTTAAATCAAGATTAAATTTGAAAACTTATTCTGTTAAATCTTTATTAATGTGTATTGAATTAATTCAAGCAATGAGTCAAATGTATAATATATCAAATTGGTGGATTGATTTAATTGAAAAATATTTATTAAAATTAATACAAGAATTTGATACACACCTAAATAATTCATCACAGCAGTTACAACAACAACAGCAACAGCAGCAGCAGCAACAACAACCACAACAACAGAACACAAATCATTCAATTATAAAATCAATATTATTTGAAAGATTAGGATACGCAAACGGGTATCATTACTTAACAAACGAAGAAACAACAACAACAACCGAACTTCAAAAAGAAATTTTAGAAGAAGGAGCATATTTAAATACATTAAAGTTACCACCTTTAAGTTCAACTATTGGATTGACTAGAATGAGAAGGTCAAAATTATGGTATCATTTAGCTAAAATTAATCAAAAAGGTACAAATTTTTGAAAAATGTTAACTCAAATGTTAAATAGGTTTTTTTTTTATTTTCAATTAATATAGATTAATTTAATAGACTTTGTATAAATCTAAATATAAAATTGTAATTTGAGTTCTTGTTTTTGAATAAATTAATTCAAATTTATTATTGAAGTCTCACAAAAGCGCAGATATCCATTGAATACAAATTATCGCATTATCAAATATGGAAAAAAAAAAATAGTATATAAAATTTATATAATCTTAAAAACTACATCAACTCACCAACAATAAACAACTCACATATTCCAATGTTTTCAAGAACGCTATTGAAAGGAAAAATCACAAATTTTTCAATATTTATACGACAAAATTCCCAAACTGCACAAACTTATATAAGACAAAAACCAAAATTATATTCCCTATTAAAAACAAAAACAACAAAATCATTAATATTAACATTATTTACAACTTCAATTATAATAGATTTAATTAAAATTAGAAAGAATCTAATAAATTTAGAAACTTCATATTCATTAAAATTTGAAATTTTGGAAAATATTATTACACAACTAAAGAATAGTTCATATGATGATAATTTTGATTTAAAGAAAGAATTAAAATTGGCAAATTCTTTTATTGATAATAAACAACAAAATAAACAGGATTTAGAAATTGATTTTAAATTGAATGAATTTTTAAAATCATTAGAAGAAGAAGATGAATTAAATGTGAAGGATAAGGAATTAATTAAAGATAAGAGTATTGATAAAAGTGCTAAATTTTTGTAAATAAAAAATTTTGTATTAATACATATTATTTAAAAATTGAAATTATCCAACTTACAAACCATTTTTTTTCCAATTATATTATTGAAATTTTTCGTATAGTTCTTCTATGACTATCACCAGTTTCAATAATTTTACCTTCTTGAATTAATCTCTTTAAACAATCATTTAAATCTGAATTTTCAATTCTAAATGATGATCTTTCATTTATTTTTAAATTTAAATCATTAAATCTAATTAAATTATTATTTTCTTCTAAAATTTTTAAAATTTCAGAGATTAAATCTTCTCTAATTCTTCTTTGTTGTGATGTTGTACCTGTTTGTACCATATCCATATCGATTCTACCTGTAATTGGATCAGTTGCATAATCTTTTATTGCTGATTTGATTAATCTAACAGCTTCTTTAACATCAATCAATTCAACTTTATCACTAAACCTCATTTTAGCATGAGCTTCACTTAATCTAATCATTGATTCTAATTGTCTTGTAGTTGCAGTAATTCTTTTTTCATTAACTCTTACATCTTCACCTAATTTTCTCATTTCAACATACGATTTAACTAATTCATTTTTACCTTCTTCTGTCATAACTGGTTTAAATTTTTCTTTAGCATATTGAATATATAATGTTAACATTTCTACTGATAATACAAAATTATTTGTAACTCTTTCTGGTGCATCTTCTAAATACATATCTGTTAAATGTCTTGCTAATTGTCGATCTATTCTTTCATCAACTTTATCTAATATTAAATAAACTAAATCAAATCTTGATAATAATGGTGGTGGTAAATCTATATTTGCAGTAACTGGTAAATTTGGATCATAACGTGAATTTATAGGGTTAGCTGATGCTAATATTGAAGTTCTTGCATTTAATGTTGTTATAATACCTGCTTTAGCAATAGAAATAGTTTGTTGTTCCATAACTTCATGTAATACTGATCTTGTTGAATCACTCATTTTATCAAATTCATCAATACAACATATACCACCATCTGATAATACTAATGCACCACTTTCTAATACTAATTGTTTTGTATCTATATCTCTTGTAATATATGCAGTTAATCCTACTGCAGATGAACCTTTACCTGATGTATATACACCTCTTGGTGCTATTTTATGTACATATTGTAAAATTTGAGATTTTGAAGTTGATGGATCACCACATAACAAAATATTTATATCACCTCTATATCTACCACCTTTTTCAAATGTTTTATTTGTACCACCAAATAATTGTAATAAAATTCCCTTTTTAACATCATCCATTTCATAAATTGATGGAGCTAATGATCTTGCTAATACTTCATATAAATCATCTCTTTGAGAAATTTCATTTAATTTATCTTCTTCTTGTTGGGTGATTTTTCTTGTTTGTTCAACTTCTTGATCTTTTTCTGCTAATTCATTTTCTAATGTTGTTATATCTGCTCCTAATCTCTTTTTATCGATTTTTTTAATGTGAACAATATCAAGATAAGTTTTATATAAACTTTTCAAAGCTCTTTGTCTTGAATTTTGTCTCACGGGGATAGATCTAAATATACCACATACTTCAACTCTATCACCAGCTCTAGTAGAATCAACTAATTCATCATAAACACATAAATTTATTGAATGTGGAGTTTGACCATCTGGTACTAAATCAGGAGTTTCTTGTAATTTAATAACTTGTTTATCAGCAAATGATGATCTATTATGGATTAATACCATTGAATTAGTTTGTCCACAAACTTCTCTTGGACATTTTGTTGGTTCTGATATAACACCTCTATCAATTTCAACTCCAACAGTATGACCACATGCATTACATTTAAAAAATGCAACTTTCATATCGGGTATTATGGATGTGGATCTTAATGATAATCCCTTAACACTAACTAATTTATCAATATCATTTGGATTAAGCTCTCTAATTCCCTTTTCAACTAAATTTATATTATAAGGACGTATAGTATAAACTTTGGTTTCAGTTTCATCTAACTTTAATGCTATATCGTCTTCATCACTATCTTGAATTAATTGTAAAAGACATTCTTTAATGGTGTGATCCATAATTGGAATGATTTCTTGAGGATAATTAATTAATTGATGATATAATTTTCTTGTTGGTGGATAGCTTAATAAATTTTTAGCATCTAAATTAAGGTTGTTTAACCCTAATTCTCTCAATAAGTTTAATTTTTCAACATAATATAATGAATGATCTTCTGGTTCAATTTCTTGATTATCCATTTCTTTTCTAAATCTATATTTAAAACTTAATAAAAAATCTCTAAAAATATTTGAACATTCTTGAATTGAAACATTTGTACCCCAAATAACTCTAACTGGTTCATCAGGTTCAACAACATCTGAATTAAATTGTGAAGATGAAGAATTTAAATTTGTTCTTCTTTGATTTTGATTATTATTATTATTTGTAAACATTCTTCTAGAAGGTGATGAAGTACCATCATTTAAATCTGATCTTTGATGTCTTCTCATGATTCTATCAACATCATTAATTCTATTGTTTCTTTGTGAACTGAAATTACCAATATCTGAAGTATGATGTATAGACGAAGTATAATGTAATGGTGATGATATATCATTTGGTCCAGATATTGTACCTCTACTTCTTTGACTATTAAATTGTTGTAAATTACCATTATTAATATCTGAACCAGGATTTGAAGATGAATTAAAAAATAATGGTGAAGAAGGTACAATTGATGAATGATTTAATTGTTGAGATTGAGAAATTGATTCTGAATTTCTATCTAATGAATCACCACCATTATTTAAATTTGATTCAGGAATATTACTTGAAGGAGATGATGGAGTTGATGACATTGTAGGATATCGATCTTAATTGATCAGTATTACGAATGATATATATATATGTATTAAATGAATGTGTTTTAAAAGTGAAAGTAATAATGGTTGTAAAATCAAATAAAGAAATAAATAAATTTTATGATATAAAAAAAAAAAATTATTCAAAATATAAGACGCGTCTAATTTAATAAATATTAATAAAAAGTTGGAGAACTACCAATTGTTTTCAATTAATTTTCCTAATTAAGAATTAAATTAATAATATATTATTATTGATTACTTAATATCACACTAAATTACAATATAGAGTTAATATCTATTCTTTATAAGCAATTTCACCACGACTGATTAATTCCTCATTCTGAATCTTTTATTCCACCTTCACTAATAACATAAACACATTCTTTTTCAGGCATATTTGGACTATCCATTAATTTACCAACTCTTTCTTCCCCTCTACCTTTCCTTAATAATATTCTTGTAGCAGAAGCATGAGCTAAAACATGACCTCCCACTGGTTTTCTACCATCAGCAGCAGCAAATAATGAACTTGCACCAGGATCACTTTGAACTTGATTTGTTAAAAAAATTGCAATATTATAATCTTCTGATAATCTTGTTAAATAAGCTAAATGTTGATTTAATTTTTGTTGTCTTTCATTTAATTCACCTCTACCTGAATAATCAACTCTAAAACATGCTAATATAGAATCAATAATTAATAATCTATATTGACCATTTGATAATTCATTACCTAATTGTTCAATTAATTCAACTTGATGTTCACTATTTAAAGCTCTTGCATATGCAATATTTTCTAAACATGTTTGAGGATCAACTTCAAATCTTTCTGCTATTGATTTAATTCTATCTGGTCTGAAAGTACCTTCAGTATCAATATATGCAACTTTACCTTCTGCACCACCTAATTCTTTACTTAATTGAGCTGAAACACATAATGTATGACATAATTGAGTTTTACCACATCTATATTCTCCAAATACTTCTGTTATACTCATTGATGTAATACCACCACCTAATATTTCATCAAATTGTTTTGATCCTGTTGAAATTGTAAATACATTTTCTCTTTGTTCTGCAACTATTGTACCAGAAATAAAACCAGTTTGCTTAATATATTGTTAATATATATAGTTTATATGAAATAGAAAGTCTTAACTTACTTTAATTTTACCAGCTGCTTCTTTGATCTTTTCGACTTTTATTTCACTTAATCCTTTAATCTTAATAAGGTTTCTTCTTGTGGTTGATAAAATTGTCTAAATTTGTTAGTAAAAACAACATCAACTAAGTTTTTATAATTTCACATACTGCAATAGAATGAATACCTGCCATTTTAAGCTTGGTAATATCACTTGCATTAATACCTTGATCTTGCAACAACTCTATTGATAGAATTTGGTCCTCAGCATTCATCATTTTTATATGTTTAATTAGTGTTGTAAAGAAAAATAAAAAAAATTTGGTTGCCAAAAAAATAAAAAATGAAAAGTATTTTGCAACCAAAAAATAAAAATTAAGAGGTAATTGGGGGTTAGTGAAAATGTAAACACAAAAATAGTTTTATTTAATAAATTAGGGAAAGTATATCAAAATAATTTATTGCATTTGATTTTGTTTTTTTTTTTTGCAATAGGACTTCTTTACTTGGTACCATTTTAATATGGTGCCGTTAAAGTCAATTTTAAAACCAAAACAGAAGCGGTCGTCATCCAATACCACCAATCCAAATGAGAATATTAAAGAAGTTAGATTTGATAAATTGGTTAGTACAAGAGAATTTTCATATTATAGAGTTAATGAATTTAAAGATACATTAAACAAACCGACCAAAACTGAAGATTATCTATCACTACCAATCACTACAAAGATTAATTACATAGCATCAACAACTGCTATATATTCATTAAACGATATTGATAATAGCACATATAACTTTATGAACAATCCCCCAGCTACTTGTATAAATTTCATAGCTAGTAGTACTGAAATATATTCAATCAAGCCATTTTATAAACCTTACAAAGTATCAAAACCAGAACATAATTCAACTGCAAGACAACACCTGAGAGAAATGTTTGGTAAAGTATCAGGACTTGATTGTTTTTGTCAAGTAAATCGCAATGATATAAATGCATGTGTTTGGGTGGTATAGATGGCATATACCGAAATTACACACCAACATTTCAAAATTCAATATTTTTAGCAGTTTTACCACCTTCAGGAGTATTATTTTGATCATTTGAATCATCTTCAACAGGTATTCCCCATTCTTCAATTTCAAATTTCTTTTTACCATTTTTAAAAGCATATTCACCATTTTGAATCATCATTAAACCCTTTTCTGACAAAACTGGGATTTTTAAAATATTAACTAAACCTTGTTGAATTTTTGAAGGTTCATTCTTATACGCTTTTTCAATCAATTGACTCATTTCTTGATTAAATGGTTGTAAATGAATTATAGAATCAAATAAAATTTGGAATATGGTTATTAAATTTGATGTGCTGGGGTATAAATCTAATGAAATTGAACTTATAAGTATTAAATTATTGTTGTATTGACGTAATAAAGATCTTAATGAATGGACGAGTGGAAAAACAAATGTTGATTGGGTAAATAATGGATGATATATAGAAGGGTTTAAAAAACCTGGTATTATTAATCTAATAACTTTTAATGGATTTGTTTTTAGTTGTTCTTGAATTATTCTTGTTATTTGGGAAATTATAGATTGTACTGTACTTGTTAATGGGACATATGAAATATCATGAGGATTTGGGCCCGGTTGTAATTTTTGAGTAATATCAAATTGATTACTGTAGTTTTCATAAGCTGTAGTATTACTTTCCTTTTCTTCATTTTTATTATTTAATCCATATCTCCAAGCAATTTTCATTTTGGAATCTCTTGCTGTATCTGACGCATGAGCTATATTTGAAACACTAACTTTGGATTCATTTTCTGCTATTTTGGCTTTTTTCTGTTCTTTTGATGACCCTTTATATAAACCTGGTAAATCATTTGACCATTGTGGTGTCATTCCTAGCACAATCACATGTGAATTATATACATTGGTTTCTAATCTATTATGTATTATACCTTGGGATGCAAATGCTCTAAGCAAGACTGAGGCAAAATCTGTTGTACCTGATTCTTCAATTAGCAAAGAATTACCTAATGGTAAACCTTGATGTAGTAATATCTTATCTAAATCTGAACTTCCAGTTGATGCAGTTGGTTGTGAAGTAATCAATGAAGGTCGCACACCAGGATTCGACATTATTAATGAAGATATATCTTTATCTTTTTGATCTTCAGGTTTTGCAGATGCTTTTCTGAATGAAGATATAGATGACGTAGGTGAAATAGCTGATGGGTTTCTTCCAGGGATTGAAGTTTGACGACCAGGTATTGATGGTGTAGGTCCCCTTTGAGGAGCTGGACCTCTTGGACCTCCAACGATTTCCCCTCTTTTTCTGAATGACATTTATTGTAGTTAAGATTGATTGCAAAAATTAAAATAGAGGAGTTTTGAAAAATAAAAGATGAAATAAAAATGCAAACAAGTGACACAAACTATAATAACCACAATCTTAATAACATACAACAAACAACTATAACTTCCATTTATCAAAATGGGTGCAGCTATATCGTTACCTTTGATGCCCATCTCATCATTAGCTTCATGTTTTGGAGCAGCTGCCTGTTCGGCTTTTTGTACATCAATAGGTGGAACATTTAAATCTTCAATAATGACAAGAATCACATATGCAATAATATTATTAATAAACTCATTATTATCTTGGATTGCATTATCACCTTTTATAATTCATAAATTGGAAAAAGCTACGTTTGGATTTATAAATAATAGATGTGGACCTGATGGTAGTCAATGTATAAGTTTTACATCAGTTCATAGAATAAATTTTGCCTTGGGAGTATTACATTTAATATTGGCTGCTTTGTTAATTAATGTCAAATCTACTGCCAATCCAAGAGCTGTAATACAGAATGGATGTTGGAAAATGAAAGTATTCGCTTGGATTTCATTTATTTTCATAAATTTTGTCTTGATACCTGATGGATTCTTTGTATTTTATGGAAATCATATTGCAATATTTTTTTCAACTATATTCTTAGGGATTGGTTTAATTTTGCTAGTTGATTTTGCTCATGCTTGGGCTGAGAAATGTTTAGAGAAAATCGAAATGGAGGAATTAACTGGTGAAGGTGATGCAGGATTTTGGAAAAAATTATTAATTGGAGGTACTTTAACTATGTATATTTCAAGTATTATATTAACTATTGTCATGTATTGGTTTTTTGCAGGTAGTGGTTGTTCAATGAATAAAACTGCAATAAGTTTAAATTTTGTATTTGCAGTTATAATATCTGGTTTATCTATACATAATACAGTTCAAGAATATAATCCACATGCTGGATTAGCACAATCATCAATGGTTGTATTTTATTGTACTTATTTAGTTATGAGTGCTGTTGCATCTGAACCAGATGATAAATATTGTAATCCATTAATTAGATCAAAGGGAACAAGAACTGCAAGTGTTATATTAGGTGCATTTTTCACATTTTTAGCAGTTGCATACACTACTACAAGAGCAGCAGCTAACTCAGCTTTCAGTTCAGAATCAGTTGAAGAATTCACTGCTTCCGGTGTTACAACAACTCAACCAACAGCAAGATCTGAAATGAGATATCAAGCTTTGAAACAAGCAGTAGATGAAGGTTCATTACCAGAAAGTGCATTAAATCAGTTAGATTTATATGATGATGAAAATCCGAATGATGAAGAAAGATCTACAGTTAAATATAATTATTCATTATTTCATATTATATTTTTTTTAGCTACTCAATATGTTGCTACTTTATTAACTATTAACGTTAAACAAGATGATTATGGTGATTTTGTACCTGTTGGTAGAACATATTTTGCAAGTTGGGTTAAAATTGTAAGTTCTTGGGTTTGTTTTATTTTATATGGTTGGAGTTTAGTTGCACCGGTTATTTGGCCAGATAGATTTGTAAGAATCTAGGAATTTATAGTCAATATATAGGTGAACAAAAGAAATTAATGTTTGAAATTTAGAAAATCAGAAGAGCTCTTTTGTCTCCTAATTTCATCAAGTCAGATAAACCTATAGACATATTATAGAAGCATGATTGATTAGAATTAATTGATCTTGATATACCAAGCTTGTGCTACCAAATATTTTGTACACAAAACTAAAGTACTAATAAACTGATTGGTCAAAATATCTCTCTTTAATTTTTATGTATGGAAAAAAAATTGATGTGAAAAAATATAATAGAATCAATCAAGGTTGAAAAATTTATAGAACAAACCCTCAAATCACATAAAACATGTCAGCTATCGTATCAAAAGCATCTGGAGCTCTCAGTTCATTACTCACAAAATCAACAGAAGCCATAAATAAAACAGTTTATTGGTCAAAAGTAGCTGCAGAATTATCAAAAACAGTTTATCAAAAAGAAGGTTTTGCACCACCATCAATAAAACAATTTGAATCAACTTATCAAAATTTATATAAATTTTTAAGAAGTTCAAAAGATCAAGAAAAATTTGTTAATCAATATAAAAATTATAGACCTGATTCAAAATCAATTGTACAATTAGGAGTTTATGGTATACATTTAGCTGGATTTTTCGCTCTTGGAGAAATTATTGGTAGAAGAAGAATTTTTGGTTATCCAAAATTAGGAGATTCTCATCATCATTAAAGACAATTAATGGAGTTTGTGTAGAAGGGCATGTATAAATTAATATATTCATAAAAGTTTTGGAAAAAAAAAAAAAATAGTTCAACATTCATTGTAGAGTAGAGCTATGGCTATTTACTCATTATTTTCTTCTTGTTTCCTTCTTTTGGAAGCTTCAATCATGTCTTGTTTTTGTTTTCTTTTTTGTTTTATAACTTTTGGAACAGTACTTATTTTCTTTCTTTTAACTTCATGAGTCTTGATTGATTTTTTTTCATTTTTTGATAACTTACCCATATTTTCCATCCACTCGTTGAAACCATTTTCACAACCTGATTGTTTCATAACATTGATTATTGGTTTAATAGCTTTATCATCTTCTTTTGTAAAAAATGTAACTGCTTTTCCTGACCTACCACCTCTACCAGTTCTACCAATTCTATGAACATAAGCTTGAGCACTTTGTGGTACATCATAATTTATGACTAAATTGACACCCTTAAAATCAACACCTCTTGCTATAACGTCAGTCGTTATTAATACCCAAATGTCTCCATTTTTGAATCTTTTTATTACTTCATCTCTTTGTTTTGGTGTTCTTTCAGCATGAATTACATCAACATTTATTTTATCATAAATCAATTCATGATATAATGCTTTTGCTCTTGTGATTGATTGTAAAAAAATTATAATTGGTGGTTTAAATTCTCCATTTTGAACCATTTGTCTAATGGCTAATAATTTCCCTTCTTCATTACCTGTGAATATTAGTTTTTGATCAATTGTATTACTTGCTGCTTCTTTGTGACCAATAATTACTCTTATTGGATCTTTCATGATTGAATGTGCCATTTCTTCTACTCCTGACGGTATAGTTGCAGAAAACATTGATTTTCGTATTTTGGAATTAGTACAATGGTTTAATATCTCATCAGTTTGTTCAGCAAATCCATGATCAAATAATTTATCTGCTTCATCGATAATTAATTGTTCAACTTTTGATAATTCTATTTTACCAGCTTTTAATAAATCTATAAGACGTAATGGCGTAGTAACTATTATATCATACTTTGAAGATTTGACAATGTCGTTATTCAATTTATTCGCTAATTGTTTAGACAAAATTGCAATTTTCAAATTCTTACCTTTTACTAGGTTCTCAAATTGTTGAAATATTTGTACCGCTAATTCGTTGGTTGGTGAAATTATTAATCCTCTAATACCATGATTTTTGGTAACATTTTTTAAAACTAATTGTTGTACTAAAGGAATTAAAAATGCTAAAGTTTTACCTGAACCTGTTGGGGCACATGCAATTAAATCTCTATCTGATAAAGTTATGGGTATTGACTCACATTGTATTGGAGTTGGCTCTATAAAATCGTTATCAATTAAATTTGAAAGTAATTTTTTATCTATCTGGAATCTCCCTATTAAATCTTGAAATGAACCTATTGGCAAGGGATTATCATCTCCTGTTACTTTTGATCTATGTAAATTTCTAAATTTCCTTGCATCTTCTTCATTATTTATTTCTAAAGGTGGTGCCTCTTCTTCTTCCACTACTTGTTCTTCACTTTTGCTTGACTTCAGTTCTTCTATTGGTTTATGATGTTTCTTTGTATGAAAAAAATCAGTTTCTTTTTCTACTTCATTTACAATTGAATCCTTTTTCAGTTTTTGAGATTTTGATATATTGTTTTGAGGTAATGCATAATCTGTGGTTTTATTCTTATTTTTATTCAACGATGCTCCTCTACTTAGAATTCTAAAGATATCCATGCTTTATTGTAATAATTATTATTTTTGAAATTATTAGTTGATGATCATCTCTGTAATATTGATCTAAAATTAAATTCTAAATGTTTAAGAATTTAAATGCTACCAAAATATCACTAATAATAAATTTGTATGGTAAGTTTCTGTTAACGAAAAAAAATTTTAATAAATTTTTCAAGAGGATAGTTGAATAGTTTGAAAGATTGACTGAGGTTTGATAACAGTTCATTAAATATAACTAATCACCCAGGAATATAATGAGTATACGACAACTATATAATACGTCAGCGTCATCTACACTTCGATCCAAGACAAAATCACTCATACAAACAACTCCACACAACTTAACGTTCACAAGATCAATATATTTACATAAAGGACCAAGAATAGAAGGTTTGAAAAAAGATCCAAAAGAAGCATTCATAAATTCAAATGGTATAGAATATGAATTGAACACTGAAAACATAAAACATATCAAGTCATTTTTAGGTGATAACTACAAAATTCCAGATGAAATAGCATTACAAATAATAACTCATAAATCATTTGGTAATGGTATAAAACCATACAATGAAAAATTAGCAGCAATGGGTTCAAAATTATTGAATTTAAGCTTGGCGAAACATGTCATAAATTCTCCACAACAAAATCAACCACAACAACTACAAATAAATGGATTAAACCTTTCAATATTGGGTACACCTTTATCAAAAGAACTAAGTAGTCGTAAATCAACAGGATACTTTGCAAAATTAAACAATTTGAACAAAATAATGTTTTGGAAATCAAGAAACCCAACTTTAAATTTTGAACAAAGTGGTGAATTGAAAGTAAGTTCTCAATTAATTTATAGTTTAATTGGTGCAATAAATTATCATTATGGTAAACATAAGGCAGAAGAATTTATTAATGAAAAATTTGTTAAAAAATTAACTGATATTACTTCAGATATTGTAAATAGAGTTTAATAAATATTATTAATAGATTGCATGTATAAGATGAAAAACTTCGTAGATCAAATTGTTTACTAATTCTTGTATATTATGCAAGCGTTTAATAATCTCTGGCATTGAGCGCTACAAATAATCAGTTTCAAGCTTAAAAGTAAACATAATTTGATGTAGAAAAAGTTGTCAAATGGAGCATATATATAACCTCAACGGTGATAGATAGGATTCAGTTAATATCAATAATGGATGTCACATATCAGATATCAGATCACATTGCATAGTTTCCACTACTTAAAAATTGTGAAATTTGTTGCGAACAAAACGCAAACTCTACAAATTAATTGTTTCAGATTTTTAAATCAATTGTACATTTAACAATACTATAAAAATTTAAATTTAAAACAAAGCTTTATCAGAACTAAAAAATTATGATCTGTATTGAGATTTAGCAGCTTCGTAACCTTTTTGGAATTCATGATGAGCTTCTTTTTGTAAATGTTCTGGTAATTTTGAGATTTTAGCATCTAATGAATCATTACCGGTTTTGAAGTGGTGACCTGAAGTTGATGAACCATGGTGACCAGTTGAACCAGTTGATGAACCATAACCAGCACCAGCACCAGTAGCAGCTCCAGTGGTTGATGAACCGTAATTTGAACCAGTTTGACCTGATGATGAGTGAGAGTATCCTGAATCGTGAGCGTTGGTGTATCCTTTGTTGTCATAAGCACCAGTAGCACCTCCTGAAGTGGTTGATGGAGCATGTTTTGAAGCATCTTGATGACCTGATGAGTAACCTGATGATGAAGTTTGGTTACCATATCCTGATTGTGAACCTGAACCATAGTTTGATGATTCGTTACCGTAACCAGTTGATCCTGAGTGATGACCTGAACCTGAACCTGATGAACCATAAGCAGCGGCACCAGCAGCTCCAGTGGCAGCAGTACCAGCAGTATGATGTCCTGATGAACCATGATGGTGACCAGTTGATGATTCATTTCCATAACCAGATGAAGTTGAACCTGATTGATTACCGTAAGCACCAGTTTGTGATTGGTTACCATAAGCTCCTTGTGATGATTTGTCACCATATCCAGTTGAAGTACCTGATGATTGGTTACCGTAACCAGTAGTTGAATCATTACCATATCCTGATGAGGTAGTACCAGTTTGATTTCCATATCCTGATTGAGTACCTGAAGTAGTACCAGTTTGGTTTCCATAACCTGATTGAGTACCTGAGGTTGATGAACCAGCACCATATCCTCCAGCAGCTCCTGCGGCACCTGCACCTGCACCAGTAGCACCTGCTGTACCGGCACCAGCACCAGCACCTGATGCACCAGTACCTGAAGCACCTTTACCTTGGTATTGTTGGTATTTTTCTTGAGCTACATCAGTTCCTTTTTGACCATCTTTGCCAGTATATTTACCAGCTTGTTCGTTGGCATTTTCAGCGTCAGATTTGGTAATTCCTTTTAATTTATCAGTTAAACCCATTTTGTTATTTGTATAATTTGTAGTTGTTTTTATTTAATAATTTATAATTTGAATGTTATAAGTTATTTGAATAAAGAGGAGAAGAAAAGAAAAAGAAATGAAATGGATTTAACATGGAGAATTGATGGTATATTTATAACAATTAACAAAATTTAAACATTTTTCAAATTCAATTGACGTTTAATGATGTAAATGAATAATTGTGAATATTTTACCACGTTTAAAAATTTAATTCAAAATAACCCTTAAATTTAACAACTATAATTATAAATCAATGATTGTTGTTTGCTTTTCATATTACTCCTTTAATTTTTAATTATTTATTTATTTAAAATTATAAATTTATAAATTTATTTAGCCCTATAAGAATATTGTTATTGCTATTTGAAAATGGTGCATAAAATAATTTGTGTTTTTGCAACTTTTCGTTAACTTTAATTTTACTTATTTTTACATACAAGTTATAAATTTTAAATACAATAAAACAGATTTAAACTGAAATTCCTTCTATGTGCCACATACCGAGTTTCTTAATTACACCCTGTTTCATGTTTTTATTTATTTGAATAAGTTTAATTTTAAAACAATTAGATACGGGAGCAATTGAAAAATATTCGAAAAATTATTTTCTAAAGTTTTTATTCTATGCAGCAGATTTCGGAGAATAATTTTTCAAATTATAATTGGTTTCACTTTTTAATGAGAACTCTTCTTTATACGAAAAGTTTTGAGAATTATTTACGGTAGTAAGATAAATCAGTTAGGGACGTTAAACCTATAGATCATATTATTTTGTCAATTGAGTGGATTTGAATATCAATTGAGTTCGTTTCAAATTTGTTTCGAAATGTGGAGTAGAAAAAAAAAAAAAAAATTAAATTGAATAAAAAAATTATAAGAGCAAACAAAATAAAATATGTTTCGAAAATCTCTAAACTTTCCTCCACAACCACACCCCAAATCTATGCAGTTGCCTGAGAGTTTGTCAAATCAGTTTTTATTTGGATCTCGATTAATCTCCACATGAATTCATGGCTTTGACTGAAAGAGTCAATTGAAAAATTATGGATGATTTAATAGCAAAAATATATTTTGATACTTGATAAGTTATTACGTCACAAAAAAATATATTTGTTTACTATGTAGCTGTTAACCAAAAATCTTCCCAAACAATTTTTGAATGAATTACAATAAAGTTTGCTATGAAATTCTCGTTAAATTCTTTAATTACTATTTGATCATAATTGTATACTATATACAAAATTATTTATTTTTCAATTCTTACGGGTACTTTAAGTCTTAAACAATCACCGGTTGATAAAAATATAACTAATTTTAGATGATACAAAATAGCCATATAACAACTTTGAAAATCAGGTACTAAATTAAATTTATCAAATGATAAAACATTATCAGTAGTGGTTGAACCTTTTGTTGATAATTTTTGTAAATTTATTTGTAAATTTAATGACGTAGTTAATGATTGAGAATCTTTAATGTTAGACCAATTTACTTTTGATTTGGAAAGTGAAAAATTATTATTATTAATAAATATTTTTACATCATTACATGATAAATTTATTATTTTTTCCTCTAATTGACATATTGATTTCAAATCATCAACTAATTGTCTTTCCAATTTAAAGTTTTCTGGACCTAATTTTTTAAATATTTGATATAATTTTGTAGAATCTTTTTGCATTGGTTTAATTAGGTTGTTCAACATAGAATCTGAATCATGAAATACTTTGTAGTCACAACTTTTATTATAAATTAAATCATGATCAATTTCAATTGGTATTGGTGTATTTATTGACCTTATTGAATGAACCACTAACTCACAAGAAATATTTTTTATGATTGTAGGTGGTGGGTTTCTTTCTTTTGATGGTGAATCAAGTACAAAATCTAGTGGGATATTTAAATTCCAAGTGGATGCCAACTCGTCAATTGAGTCCACTCTAAATCTTGTTGGCGGTATATATTTTATTGTATACTCTTGTTTTGGGGTTTTAACCAGTAAAACTCCTAAATTTTTAACACCACCAAAAGATTTTTTAGCTAATGGTACCAACAATTCATAATACTCCAACTTTTTGATATTTGATTTTAAATTTTTAATGGAGTCAGATTGATAAGTATATGATTGCCTTAATTTTGCAGCTGCGATTTCTAATTGTGTTAAATTTTCACCGAGATCTATTGAACTATCGAATTTATTTTCTTCAATTGATTTGAGTAACTGCTCACCAATTTCAATTTTATCTTTAATTCTTTTGACTAAGTTCTCGTACAATAACCTATTCTCAACTTGTTTCATTAATTTTTCGTTTTCACTTAATATTCTAGTCGTTGGTATAACTCTAAAGTGGTTTGTCAATTCTTTTAAAATAATATACTCATCACCTTTTGAATTAACAATTTTTGTTTGACAATCATTATTACTTGGAGTTTCAAAAGTACCGAATTCGGATTCCCAAGTTGATTTTCTACCGATAAATCTAGCCATTATCCCATAACCAATAGAAGTATTCATTAAAGATAAGTCTCTCAATCTTTTTTGTTCTCTTTCTGGGAAATGACTAAGTTCCCACCTTGACAACCCAACAGTTGGTGGTAATTGTATATGTTTTGATAAATTATGATCATTACATTCTGAATCTAATAAATTATTTGGGATCTTGAATGAAAAAAATCTTTTATAAGTTCTATTTGGTTTTATTGCTTTATCGGGACCAAAATATAAGTATGTACCATCGATTGGGTCAGTTTTATCGGTATAATACTCACAACTATAAGGAGTTTCGACTTCACTAGATAATCTATTTATATGAGCTTCATTATAACTTGCAAAAAAATCGAACATTTCCAAAAATCTTCTAATTTTAATGGGTACTTTATCAAATACATTTTTAGGATTTGCAACCATAAAATTACCTTCAAACATTAGATAAAACATTTCAAAAGGTATGCGTTTATCTGATGTATTTTTTATAGTAACATAACCATTGATTAAATCACCTTGTGAATATTCATATATTGACGGATCAATTAGCTCTGGTTTCTTATTAATTTCTCCGATCTTTTTTGTGAAAAAAATCTCTATCTTGACTGAATTTGATATAATATTATTTTCAAAAGTCATATTTGGTAATTTATGAACATTATCTAAAACTGTTTCTCTCCAATTTGTATTTTCATCAGCAACAATTAATGATCTGTCTGAATCGTTACGATTTATTAATCTATCTATATTAACATTATGATCCACTGGTGTTTCTATACTTGATAAACAAGTATTTGGTGAAATTGATGAATGTAAATTTGAAAATTGAGCACTTTGAGCAGAATAATCTGATTCATCAGAATAATTTGGTGGTGGTATTTCATTAGCTAATCCATTATCTTCTGGTACATTTACATTCATACCAATTGTTTGAGTATACATCATATATGATGGTAATATACTACCAACAGTTTCATCAAATGATTTTGTTCTTGATGATTTTGATGTAGTTGACATTATAAAAAATGGGTGCAAAATCAAATAGTTGATGAAGTACTAAATATGTAGAACCAAAAAATGAACTTAATAAATAGTTAGTTACTTTTCAATCTTTTGATAAACTACATTCTTTTTATATGAAAATATCATATCTCCTTATTCAAATATTAAAAATATTATAATGACTAATCAAAAAGATAAATTTTAATTAAACTTTTTAAATCAGCAGTTAGATTTTACATTTACGAAATCTTAATCTTAATTGTAATCTATTCTATTAGTTTATTATTCATTAAGTATCTACCAATAATGTATAAAATCCAAATAAAGTATCCATAATCTTGTCTTAGATCAACTTACGTGGAACAATTATGTTGCATTATTCTATTGAATACGAAGTATTTCTTAATTACGAAAGACTAAAATATTATTTCTTATCTCGTCTGCTTAATGCCTTATTTACAAAAATATTATAATAATAATAAATAAGTTGTGAAAATGAAGTGAAGATTTAACTTGCAAATTATCAATTACTACTTGACAATGCCTTATTGCGTGGTCTTATGGATTCTTTAGTTGTTATTGTTTACATTAAACTTTTTTAGACGTTTGATTGTTCTTTCATAAATTTTCTTGAGTCATCTAATTTAAGCGTAGAATTTATTTGTAAGCAGCCCTTTCTCTCCACATTATTTTGATTTTTTTTTTAGGAAAAGAAATACGGAAATTTATTGGAATATTGTATTCCGCATTTTATAAATATGAGATTTACAAAATCGAAATACAAAATATCGCACCAGATCTCCTTCCATTTATTTGAAATTGCCTTTTCGATTGAAAATTCAATATTCTATAAATTGCTTCGCCTTGTAGATCGTTATAATCGTTTATTTCGTAATTCGCCATTGCCACATATTATGTGATAAACAAATCCCGATCAAGATTTACCATACGTACTCGTCAACTAATCCATCATATTAATTTTTCTGTGAACTTACCCTGATCAAGTGGGAACCCTTGAGTTTCAATGGTGGGGAATATGTTAGTAGTGCGTAGTTCTTAATCTGTTACACAAGATCTAGAGCTTGTTTTAGTAACGATTAGAGAAGGTCTCGTTGATAAACAATCAGTAATTGGCGAACTCAATTACATACATTTCAATATTTTACATACTAAACTAAAATTACTTACTTAAAATACTAAATGAAATTGCTACCACTTGTTAGCATATAAATTATAAATAAATAAATAAATAAGTAGCCAGTTTAGAAACTTAGAAACTATCTTTAACAAGGGATAGTTACTAACAAACGTTTATCAGCTAATTAATATTGTCATAACAATCATAGTTAATTAATCATACCTTTCATTTAATAAAAGTGAGGAGTTATCTCATAGTTATTTTAAATGTGTTAGGTCGTGCGAACCTCAAATAGTTTATTTCTTACAGAAAATTAATCTAAATTTAGAAGTTATAGATCATATCTGAAACAACCAATCTAATTTAATCAATAGATTACACATGCGGGGATCTAATTAATTAATAGCCCCTTTCATTAGTTTAAGTATGATAAAATATTGTTTTATACTGGTGTAATATGAGAATTAAGGATTGTGGCCCTTGATTTGAAATGATTTCAAAAGATTATAAATAAAGGTTTAATTTCCCAAGATTTGAAAAACTAGTTTTATTCAGATTTTATAGATTATCAACATACATTAACAAATAACTACTACTAGATCATTGTGACTTATTCATTTCTTGCATTTAGTACAACTTGGGATTCAACAACAATAAATACAACTTGGGTTTTAAAATAATATGTATATTTGGGGTTTAAAAATAAAAAATACATTTGGGGTTTCAAAATGATACAATTTGGGTTTCAAAAATTAATAAAGACAACTAGGGGTTTAAAAAATGATAAAGACAACTAGGGTTTCAAAATTGATACAATTTGGGGTTTAAAAATTAATAAATACAATTTGGGTTTAACAAATAATACAACTTGGGGTTTTAAAATAATACAACTTGGGGTTTTAACAAATAATAAATATCAACTTGGGGTTTTAAAAATTAATAAATACAACTTGGGGTTTTAAAATAATAATTACAATCTAAATTTAGAAGATGATTTAAATCTAGGATCCATGCTTAGGATTTAACAACAGGTGGAGGTTGTCAAAGGCCTTCCCTGTACCAAAATCTTTTTAAATTAGATTGATGGTTTTTGATGAGAAATTAGAGGTTAAACTGTCGAAAAGTTGTGGCCTGCACCACGTAAATTAATTTGGTTAATTTGGGTCACTCTTGTGTTGACTTGTTGGCGGTTGGGAACACTTAGTAAACGTTTAATTCTGATGGATCATTCAATGAAGGTGGAACTTTAGAATAAGAAATGTTTACAGACAATATCAAATTAAGTTTGATAATGTTTCAGCGTTTTTGTTGAAGAGTATAAAGTTTTATTTCATCATTCTATAAACTATTAAATTTTTTTAACTCTATATATCTAAATACTGGATAACTAAGAACCACATAACCACATAACCACATAACCAAGAAATGTATATAGAAATGTATATAGAAATGTATGTTGTATTAGTGTATTTTGTAAATTGCTTCAACTTGTAGATCATCTTCTGAATCTATGTAACTCTATATACCTAAATACTGGGTAGCACAACCCGCTAAATCCCATACATAGCCACATTGCAATATCACCTCCATATTCACCACCAATTCTTCTTGCAACTGGACCAATCCAATATGTTTGTGACATACCAACAGCAGCACCAGTAGCACCTATTATAAATGAACAAGTAGCAGCTATACCTTGTGTTAATTTATCATAATCATTCCATATTTTAAAATTATAATGTTGTTTTGATCTAGTTGGATAATGAATTTTTTGTTTTAAATCCATACTTTCTGATTCTTCTTGTTCATTTGAAAATTCTTTTTCATATAAATATTTGAATCTATCAGTTCTAAAAATGACATTTTCTTCTAAAAGCATTATAAAATACATTGATATCCAATAACCAACCATTGGTAAGAAATTACCTAAAATAGTTGCAAATTTATTTCTACCAACTAATGCACAAATTAAATATACTGCAGTTAATGCAACTGCCCATAACCATCTTGGAACTTTTGCAAATCCTGAACCTGCTAATTGTACACCAAATGCGGCTGAATAAGTATTTAAAATATTATTTGAAATTAATGAAAAGAAAATTAATATCAATAAAAATTTTCCACCTCCACCCCAAGGTTTGAAAGCTTCATTTAATAAACCTCCCATTCCAAAATTTTCATAAGCATCACCCCAAGGTTTATATGTCAATGCAACATTACCAATTAATAAACCTGCAACACCTACAAAAGTAGTTGGTATGAAAATACCTAATAATGTAATAGTGAATATTTGAACATCTGGAGTAGTTTCTGGAAATAAAATATAGTAATCAGATGCTATTGAACCCCAAGTTGAAGTAATTGAATAACATAATGAAAAAAAACTTAACCAATTACCTTTTATAGTAGCTGGATCAGTTATAGCATCTCCTAAAGTCAAATATTCAAATTTTTGTGAAGCAACAACATATAATAAAAGAAAAGCAAAATTAACTGGTAAACTCAATAATGCTTCAATTCTCATTAAATGTTTTATACCACCAATTGCAACAGTTAATGAAATACCTGCAATCAAAACTATCCCAGCCCAAAGTGGTATCTTATTATTACTCATACTTGCCAATATTTGACCTCCAACTAAACAATTAACAACTGACCAACCCATAACTCCAATAATACTAACTAATGCAACTAATTTAACAAACCACCAACCAAATAAAAATCTTGCACTAACCATTTGTCTACAACCAGATCTTGGACCCATTAATGAACAATAAGCTGCAATAAAACATCCTAAAGTATGACCAACTAATCCAGCAATCATTGTATTTTTCAAACCTAATCCAAATAATAAAGGTCCTAAATAAAAAGTTGACATGGATGATAAACCACCACAAGCTGACAACCATAATCCAATAACACTTATTAATTGTTTGGTTTTGTTCGTTGATCTTTCATATGGTTCTATTCTTTCAATACCTCTAGTTTCAACTCCAAATGAATCTAATTTTTTTGATGCTATATTAAGATAATATAATATGGGGTTCGTTTTCCCTGAATTTGATTTTGTAGTCTCTATTTCTATTGATGATGATGAAGGCGGTATATCATAATTATTTGATGATCCAACATTTGTAGTGGTTTCATGTACTTGAAACTCTGAGGTTTTCTTAGACATCTTTAATTGTGGATGATTTGATAAAGATGATTCATATAACTGTGAAAAAAAAAGAATTTATAATAAATTATTTATCTTACTGATGAAAACATTTGCAACCAAAAAAAAAGAAAAAAGAATTTACCCGTAGAAGTATACCAATTAAAACTTTAATTGTTGTGTTAGTCATAAGTTGTAGACTTGAGAGAGCCGAAAGTTGTAAATCAGACAAAGTCTTCACCAGTGATAAAGCTAAGGTTGTAACATTATTATTGGTCCGTGCTATTGTAAAGAACTTGAAATAGCTCTGTATCTGCATATATGAATTTTTTTTTAATTTTTGACTCGTTTTGATGAGTCAAAAAAATCGATCTAATGACTACACATTTGTGTGTATTAAAAATATGTTAAAACTGTTCAAATCTACAAATTCTTTCTGCAGTATCTGGTCATAAAATCGATCATCCTACTCTAGATGAAACCTGATCAAATATCCAATAGTATGTATATACCCAATGGATTTAATCTACGCTCCCTCAAGGTGTGCATTAAATTACTTTATTCAAAAATTTTTATAAGCATTCATTTAACGAATGAAATTTAAGCTCGAGAGGTAATGTTGGCATCATTGGGAAAAAGATTTATGGCGCAACATCGAACTCACTTACAATCGCGAATGTTATGGTGAATTTCATTTATTGTTCATTTCCAGATTCTTTATAGGAGTTATTGTTTTCTTATGCATTACAGTTTATTGGTAACTCAATTTGTTTGAATCCGCATGCTGCAAAAATTACAAATAAAATCTTAAAAATGTAAACAAAAGTATTTCAAAAATGTAAACAAATGTTGTATTTTTTTAAACTCTTCTTGTAACCAACTTCATTCATTTATATCAATAATGTCAAACACTGTTCCAAAGAAAAAAAAAGGTAGACCTCCCAAACAAGACAATTCATTGTTAGATTCTTTCACATCCTCATTTCAATCAAACTTTAAATCTACTTTAAATGACAACTATAATTCATCTCAAACAATGAAATTCAAAATTCCTACCACAGAGAAAGATAATAATTCAAAAACCATGGATCTGCCTCAGTCTTGTCCTGTATTAAAGTATGAATTTGTTGAAGAGGAGATAGATAAATCAAAGGTTGAAAACTGTATTACAAATGAAGAAGTGGATTCCTCGACAAGTAATAGTAGTCAACTAATTGGTAAAGACATAAGTGCTAACTCTGCTGGTTCCAATCCGAAAGTTTCAACTTTTTATAATTTTGGGGTAGATGAATTAAAGAATAGAACCATTAAACTGTTATTGGGTGAATTATGTTATAATGATAAGGATGATGGATTAACTGAGGAAGAGAGTCTGAAAGATAATAATGTTTCATTATATAAAAAGGATTTAGATGAACAACTTCTGATGAAAATGTCTGCTTCAATTATTGATGAAAATTTATTAAATGCAAGTGTTGAATTTAATGCTGCTTATCATCCTTTAATCAAACAATTTTTATCATTAGAAGAAATACAGGAAAAGATCAAAGAGAGTCATCCAATCATAGTGGCTATACTAAAAAATCCTCAAATAGATCATGAATTTAATAAACAAGTCTTTAATCCTGAATATTTAAATAAAAATTTTGATGTAGAAAAGCACAAACTGTTTGAGCATTTGTTAGAAGTGGATGATTTAGGGTCAATTGAGGATGAAGACATACCTCTTTCTATTCAATTGATGATGAAAAGTATTGACCCAGCAAGTCGTCTTATGAAATTCATCATACCTGATTCTTTAGTAGATAATTTGGTAAAACCAAAACATTATTTCAAGTTTGATAAAAGTGAATTTAATTCTTTCTTAGAAACGGTATCAAGACATCACAATTGGAACTTAAGAGATGAAAAACCCTACCTTTATTACAATTGTGAACGTAAAGGATCTCCTCGTGATACATATTCAAAGAAAAGTGATACTTTAAGCCAAAGAGAAATAAATTCAATAAAATGTGGATGTGAAGCCTCTATAAAGGTAAATATTATTGATGGTATCTATCATACTACTTACAACTATGTGCATAATCATCATTTTTTCAAAAAATCTAACATTTTGTCAGATAAATTAAGAATGCCCGTTAAAAAATGGTTGGTTGATTGTGCAGTCTCCGGAGCATCATGGAACATGGTCCACAATGTACTTCCAAACAAAAACTTTAATACATCAATTAGTTTGTTGGACCAAGCATTCAAAATTAAATATTCTGATTATCAACGGGTTTGTAATAAATTGGGAATTGATTTGGGAAAATTGGACACTGATATGAGGAGAAGTCTTTTGAAGTGGGAAGTAGATGGAGATTTATCAATTTTGAAGAAACATGATAAAGAAAACATTTTAACTCCCTATGTTACACTGCATTCAAAAAAGAAAAGAAGAATTATGAAAACCACTGCCGAATTCAATGAGGAAGCTGATTCAAACCAAGATTGGGAGATCAATGAAATTGACAATTCACCAAGTGAAGCTCCATGTGAAGACGGGGATGATCCATATTCTAGAAACTTGCAACAAGAAGCAATCACAAAACATATCCACATGATTCAATTACAAGCAGAACATGTCTTGAAAAATGGAACACATGATGAAAGATTGTATTTTGAGTCTTCATTGAAGTCATTTGCATTTCAAAATGAAAAATTAGTCCATCACAAGAGCAAGTCCAACAGACAAAAGAGGCATTATTTAAATTAAGATATATTTTGTAGTAGTACACTTGAAATTTACACTTTATTTAATAAGATCATTGACATTACTTGTAATTACATCTTTTCTGTAGTTACGATTAATTTGACAATATAAAGGACTGACCTCTCATCCCGTTGACAGCTAAGTCGATGGTTAATTTTCAATTTCATAGTTCTATTTTTAATATAGTATTAATAATGTTGTCATTCTAAACTTCGATGTTCAGTACTTAGTATATTTTCCATATCCTCGTGCTTCTTCTAAGTTAATTAAAAAGTCAGAAAGTTACATTCAATAACAATCAAACAAGAAATGTCTTACTATAATGATGAGATTATATTGTGTTTGGACCCGAGGGTTTGGATCGATGGAAAAATACATCTATAAATTCAAGGACTGTTCAGAATACGGATAAATAATTCAAGAAATCCACAGAACAAATAAGGAATTATAATTATTTATTATATCTTAATTGCATCGATATACCATACTTACAAAAGGAAAGAAAGAAGGATTTATGTAACAATATAATATTTTATTATATATTGATTCTAATAGATAAATTTGTACTCTTTCGAGCAGGAAAATTCATTACAATTTGCTGCAAAACACAGCCAATCTTACAAACTTTAATTAAAATATTGTAAATTGAGAAGAATAGAGCCATGTAAATACCCGGAATGAGTTGGGAAATCAAAAAGACATTTTCTCACAGCTGTAACAATTGAAGTGTTTAAAAATATTATAAGTCGTATCTGTACTTAATTGATAAGATATGTTCATCAAATTGAGGGGGGTGTAAATAAAGACAAATTTATTTGTGTTTTAATAAATTTGAAACAATTCAAGAGACAATTGATTTATATTTAGACTTTGTAAAAGGCACCACTAATAGAGTAAACGTTTGGTGAAAATTTTTTTTTCCAATCTAGATCTTAATTCATAATTTGAAAATCTGTTCGGATACAATTTTGAAAACGTTTTTGATAAACTTGGACTAGTTATAGATTTTAAACACAGATATGAAAATTCCAGTGTTCATAATTTCAGATCTGTCAAGTTGAAATCCTAAATTATGCATTAAAGTTAATATAAAATTTGTCTCCTTTTTTTTAATTTTGATTACAATAATTCCTTAATTTTTAATTATCTGGATTGTGGATAGGAAATTTTTTCGAGACTTTTTATTGTTTGTACTAGACATTATTCTTAAACAATAGAGATCCAAAATGATGAAATCATGATATTTTAATTTAATTAGTTTACGTCAGTCGGTGAATAGTTGTATGTCTGGGTGTGGTCAAGTAAATGCAAAACCAAATTATGTTACTTGTTGCAAAAATATTGCAGATGTACTTATAAAAATGTCTCATTACCTGTCAGATTTAAGGAAAAAAAGGGATATAATTGAAAAGTATGTGCTTTAATAAATTAAGGTAAATCAAACGTTTGGTCTTAAGATTTTATAAATTTTTTACCCCTAAATATCTTTCAATTGTTTCTTTTTTGAGACAATAATTAACAAGTTTTAGATTCTATGCTAGATAGCTGAGCTCATTTTAAAATCAATAAAATTTTGATAATCTAGTTTGTCTAATAATAGTTTGTTAGTAAAATTTTCAATTCTTAAATATTGGCAATAATTATAATTGATAGACTTTGAAATCAGGATAAAATTTTCTTTACATGAATAATTCAAATAATGTAGATAAGTTATGTTTTTTGTTATTTCATCATTGAAGAACAAATCAATTATTGTTTCTTTATGTAGACTCATTTACATACCAATAATAATTGCATGCACGCAAAGAACTAGATTCTATTTCTTTGCAAAACAAAAAGAGCATCTTAAAGTCAATATATTCTATTTTTTTTTTTTCTATGGTTTTGAAAAATATTGGCTAGTAAAATTCATGTCATAAAAAATTGTTGTCACGACAAAGATCTGTGACAATCTCTTTTTTTTAGTGCAGATCTATCCGTAAATTAACTTCTACATCTTAACAACAATACAAAAAAAGATGACTTCACCCCCAGTTCGATAAAAAAATAAGTAATTATACATTAACTCCATTTATAATAAAACTTTAAAATAATATATAGAAAAGAATTTCTGATATATTGCTGGATAAAATAAAAGATCTAAGCTTGTTATGAGCTCGATGAAAATAAACTGTGCAAAAAATATCCAAAACATAAATTTATTGAGTAATAATGAATAACCTTAAAGTTTAACCTTGAAAGAAGCTTTTCATAATACCAAAATGAATTCTCAATTCACTTTTTTCTTTTGTATATTTTCAATAGTGGTTACAAAATTGAACGGTATTTTTTTTTATTTTTTTCTCTTAAAATACGCCTGATTATTTTTAATTATATAATTAAAATAAAATAATAAAAATGTAAAAAAGTAAAATTGAAAATTCAAACATATGTTAAAGTTAATGTCTTTCATACATCAATTATTACTTTATTTAATTATTATTAATCTATAATTGACTTAATTTGTATCCTTAACTTATTTACATTTTGAACTTAAAAAACTCTCAAGTTATCATTTTGAGACATTTTTTATATATCTAATTTTATATTTTTTTCTTTTTCTTTTCTTTTCTTCTTTAATTTTAGTTATTATTTATTATTTATTATTATTTATGGTTTATGGTTTAAATCGGGAAATTGAAAATTAAAATATTAATTCTTTTTTTTATAATATATTAAATATTATAAATATAAATATATATATATATAAGTATAGTTATACATCTCTAAATTCTTATCATTATATATTTTTTGTATTTTTCATTCATCAATCATTATAAACTCATTCCTCAGATTTTACAAGTTTAGTTTATCTATCTATCTATCTACATTGTTAGCGTTAGCTATTAATCATTCTTCAATACTTATTTATTACCTTATCTATTTATATCTACAATTTTGATTTTTTTCGGGACCCACGATTATCAAAATAATTTAATATTACATATAATAAATCATCACATACATATATAAATCTAATTTTTCAAACAACACATCTACAATAATTTATTCTCAAAATGTATTTATCATTAACAAATTTAATAACGGATTCATCAATTACATATTCATATCCATTAAATTTTATATTAAAATTTGAACAAATAACAACAACTTTATCATTAACTTTAGTTTCATTAATTATATCATCAGGTATAATTTTATTTTTAATAGATTTAGGATTATTTTTGAGTTTAAAATTTAAATTAAAATATAATAAAGATAGAGTTTTTATGATACATACTTCAACAAAATATAATAGAACTAATAATGGGAATGGTAAACACATTGCAAAAGAAAATCTAATCAAGAATGGTGGTGGTAACTCAAATTCAAATCATATTACTAAATTATTAATAAAAGAAAATATTACTATTCATTAAATAAACAAAAATATGATTATACTGGTTATAATTCTACATCTTGCATAAATATATTCACATTTTTTTTTCAAAATTATTTATTATTCATTTTACTTCACTTCATTCATTATTATATTTTAAAATTTTTAAATTTTTATAATTATATAGTTTAATCAATTGTTCAGCTTTTGTTATTGTTAATATTTAACTTTGTAATTTATATCTGGTAAATCAAGAATTAAAGGTCAGCTTTTTAAAACGTGAAATTTTGAGTTAATTCATTATCCTTCACCTTGTGCTCTTAACACTTCGCTTTTCAAATATAATATGGAGATATATAATCATCAATTTTTTCAATTAAATTAGCTTATTATTTCTGAGAAAGTCTCATAATTTTGCTCTGCCAAGGTTGTAGAGGATAAAAAAATAGTTTATTATTATAAGATTATTGAAAAAGAAGAAAAAACAAGCGGTGTTAACCTTGTTTCTTAATTGTATCCCCTTTTCAGCACAGATTTATTAGTGTAGTTAATCAGGAATGTTGACCCTTGGGGTTTGAGTGCATAAAATCTTAGCATTCTTACAAACGTTAGCAATCAATTGAAACCTACAATTGTTGTAGATATCAAAGCAATCACACCTTAAAGCTTAAAGTTAAATGCAAGTTAAGTATTGGTATTAAATTGATTGAGTTTGGGCTTTGTAGAAGTTGAAATAACTTCTTTAGATTGAGTAAAAATTAAAACAAAAAATTTGGTCACAATTTGTTGCAAAATTTCATTATTTTGGATCTCTAACATAATACAAGATCAATTAATGTTCGTCCCTCATTAATTTTAGCTCAAAAGGTATGAAGATGCAAGTTTTTTATACTTCAATAGTAGTTGTCAATTCAAACTCCGAGCTCAATCAGTAGATCTTTAAATCAAGTAAATTTTAACCCAAGAAGATCAGATACAATAATAAACATTAAAAGCAGTAACTCTAATCTTAGATTTCAGTAGACAAACGCTACCATTAAATCTCGTAAAATATCACAATAGTTACACAAAATGTGATTAAGATCTAAACGAAGGAGAAGAAAGAAGTTAATTTAAATTTGTGTTTTTCTGACTTCTGGATAATTTTGAAACAAGACATTTTTTCAAAATATTAAAAGTACTCTGGTTTGCATGAAAGATTTCACATTAATCTCTCTTCGATGTTGATATTAAGTTGACAGATTTTCTAATTTCAGTTTGAGATCTTATATACTTGTAATATTCATTCTAAGAGATGGGGATCAAATTTTTTTTTTATTCTGAACGATAGTTGAAACAATATTTAAAACTCGAGAACTAAATTGAAATTTCGAATGAATAACCATTAATTTAGTTTTCTAAAAATTTATAGTTTAGTGATAATTCCCCAAAGGATCAAAAAACAAGTCCAGACCTAAATTTTCTTTCCTTTTGATTTTGTTTTCTTTATTCATGCACTATTGGGTTTTGTTTCTCATCATGACAAGAGTTTTGTGGCTTGCAATTTTTTTTGTGAGACACGTTTCGGTGATTTAAAAATTTTCTTATTTATTGTGATATTTAATTTGAAAAGAAATTATGACTATTAAGATCTTTTGATTTAACCGTTTTTTTGTTCTTCTAAGTTGCCATTTTGGTTATGAACCTTTTCTTTATTACCTCTGAATTTATTCTCCAAGTTTGTCAGTTTTGGTAGCTGGTATATTGAAGTTGGAAGTGAAGTAAATCAAGCCAATACATCAAATCTAATTTATTTTTTTCTCAATTTCTCATACTCACAACTAGTAGTCTAAAATTTATTTGGTGCAACTGAAATTACTTCGTACTTATTTCTCTTAAATTAGACGCAAATGAAAGACACTCGTATCGGTGAATCAATTTTTTTACTAATTACAAAAATAATTACAGAATCATGTACAAACAAGTCAAATAAGGCAAATCAAAGTAATTACGAAAATGCACATTCACATCAATTCAACATCTATAATAGATCAAAGACGCGTCTTTACTCACATTTATGGAAAATCTTTTTCTTTTTTTTTCTAACGTGATGAATGTTGTATTTCAAGTTGTAAGTTAAAGTTTTTTAAATTGAAAAAAGCTTGTTACAGTAACAAGAAAAATCAAAATCTTCTTTTAAAATTTGAAATTCCCCTGAATTAAGAAGAAGAATAAAATTAAAAGGCATTTAAAAAAATAGTGATTAATGAATTTTAAATAATATTAACGTCTAAATTGGGAATATTTTAGACCAATTGAGAAAAGGGTACTCATTTAATATCTCAGAAAAGTTGAATTGTTTCTGAATTTGTTTTTCTTTTTAAAATAAAAATTTGCTAGATTCTTGCTGCAAGTTATTGATAATGTATAGTATTCAAAAAAAGCGACAACCATTTCAGATATTTTCACAATTTAAACGTGCTGGATTGATCTACAATTTTAAAACATTATCTGATTATTTAAATCGATATACAGTTGATTTTGTGATGTAATGTTCAGTTTACCAAATTTGTGTAATATTGAACTTATTTTTATATATTCGTAAACTAAAATATAAATTAACCATTACTCTTTTATCTAATTATCATTATTATTATCTTCAAAACACAAAAGATTGGAATTAAAGTTCATTAGATGTTACCAAGATAATTAATCCAACTCTTGAATAAGCCAAAGTTAATTGAATTACTATATCTTTATCAAATAAGAGGTATCATAAAAAAGCTTATTTTATTTAAGGCACTAAATTTAATCGTTAAAATAATTTTTTCATTTTTGATTTTGTAAAACAATTAATTTTAATTAATTCTGCATTATCTGTTTTATAAGATTTGTGAATTTTTCACTGGTTTTTTTTTTCTGAAAGTACTACAATGTATTGATCGCAAACCAAAATAACTTAACCACAACAAAAATTAATTTGTTGGATATTTCGTATCAATTGAAATTAATTGATCGATCAATTAGTATCTATGACTTCGATTTACGGCATCTTTTCCCGTAGACACCTCTCATTTGAACAAACACGTTCAATAGGCAACACGTAAGTTTAATCAAACACGTCTTGTTATTATCAAATATTTTTTAATTGAATAATTTAAGTTTATCTAGATCTTTTTTTTTTTTAATTACAATTATAGAAAAACTTTAAAAAACCCCTGTTATAGTTGAGACTAGATAGGGAAGTTAATTTATATGTGTCTATCTCGAAGACTACTTGGTGTTTGCTTATTGGCCAATATCTTTGGTAGTAAGACCATAATACCAATAATTGTGGTTTCATTTGAAATGATATGATTAAACAAATCTATTTAATAATTAAAAGAGTATACAAACCAAAGTAATAGCTAGGAAGTAATTTTGTGTAATAAGGAAGATATAATTTGCACAAGATACTGCATATTGTTTACACGTTATATACAAATAAAGTGATACAAAAAATTAACTTTTAAATAAGAACGTTGTAAAAGATGAAGATTTACTTCTTACTTATCACAATTGAAATATTTATAATTAAACTAAAATAATTATGATCACCCACCCATATTTTACAAATGTCATTGACTAGGCTTAATAGATATAATTTGTGGAGAAGTTTATTGGTTACCTTTATATCTTCTTGATTTTTCTCATTTATGATTTAAGCTGGTTCAATTGAATATTCTACTATACTATTATTATGATTTATATATATTACATATGATATCTTTTGTTTTTCTTGATAACACATTATACATTTAATACTACTTTTACACAAAATTGATATGCTATATATTATAATAATAGACTACTTTATTGTTTTGTCTTCAAATACTTGCTGGTATTAACAATAATAGATAGATAATAATATTATTATTTAGATTTATTAAAAAACAAATAATATTAACAACTTAATAAATAAATTCAGTATAGATTTTCACTAACTGAAACAAATACTCTTTTGGATTTATATTCAATAAATAATTTTAGCCGTCTAAAGAAGAGAAGAAAAATATATATAAAAAAAAAAAAAGATAAAATTAAAAAATAAAATTGAAAAAAAAAAATAAAAAAGTTCGTAAAAAGTTAATATAATTTATTATTATTTATTTATCTAATAGATTAACGATTATTAGTTAGAAAGATTTACAATATAGTATTGATATAAATCTCCCTAATTTTCGATTAATTCATAGTATTTTAATATGTAAATCTTTTTCGATTAAATGTGTATATATATTTGTATATGGTGGTAAGTCTTTAAGTTAAACATAGTATTATTTATAAAATTATATTTTATTATTTATTGTGTGTAATTTTTATTTTTATTTTTATTTTTATTTGTTTACAAAATAAATTTATTATTAATCTAAAATTAATTTTTTTAATTTTTTTATTAGAAATAAATTGAAATATAAAAAAATAAATTTTGGCAACTCAAAATTTTTTGCAAATTTTTTTTTATTTGATTGATACTTCTTCTTATCAATCAATCAATCAATCAATAAACTATTACCAAAGAGTTCGATCTTCTCACTTGTTAGGAGAGAGAGAGAGTACGATTCAATAACTTTTAATCAATCTACAAATTACTCAACAATAATTTAATTATCACTTTATTCATAGATCATAGAAAAAAAATCAATTTTTTTTTTATCGATAAATCATTTCTCATCCTTGTTCACTCGCTCAATTTTACATAATTATACCATTATATATATTCTAATACTTTAAATCAAAGAAATATTCATTAATTTTTTACACATTTGATCTAAGTTAATATTATTATATTATTATTATTCATTTTTTTTGTCATTAATAAACATTTTGACATATTATATTATTTAATATTTTATTCAGGGGAAAATTTTTTTATTCATTTTTATAGACTTATAATAATTTTTAATCAACTACTTTTCATTAACATTAATTCATAATACTCATTCATTTATTTATTTATACATTTTTCAGCATAATTTCATATACATACATTAATATTTAAAACATGATGGAAAAAATAACAGGTACAAGATCAAAACAAAGATTTTTTCTATATTTTGGTATAGTAATATGGTTATTAATAATAAATATTTGGTTATTTTATACATATCATTCAAGAAATAAATCTAATTTTAATAATTTAACAAATTCATTAGAACAATCATCAATATATAATCAATATGATGAATCAAATTTACTAGAAGAACAACAAAAATTAAAACCAGAAGAATTAGAAGAAGAAGAATCAAGATCTAAAACATTTAAAGAAGATTTAACTATCAAATTATTACAAAAACAACAACTGAAATTAAAAGATGTTAGAGGCATTGACGCACATGCTTCAGTATATAATAAAATTTTCAAAAATCATAATATAGATTCAGTATTTGCAAATTTAAATTTTCAACAACGTTGTGATTTATTTTTCCAAAATTTATTTATTGAGGATAAAAATTGGATTTTTAAAATTAATGAAAAATTACATTTAGAAAATAAAGCAGAATTTAGTTTTAATGATTATAGAAATCATTATTTAGATGAATATAAAAAGCAATGGGCAGAACAAAATCATAAAAATAAAGATGAAGCTGATAATAATCCAGATTTTGAAGCTTTTGTTAAAACAAAATATGATGAATTTTGGACAAGAACTATGGAATATGAACAAAAAATAGTTGATCATTTATCAATTTTAAGAGTATTTAATAAATGTTATTTAACAAGTGATAATTCAACTCAAATTAAACAAACTAATGAATTTATACAACATCAACATAAATTTATAAATGGAATATATTTAGCAAGTAGAAGAGGGGAAGGTATTCCAGATTTCAAATATACAAAAGAAGAAAATTTAATAAATTTCAAATCAATAAAACATACAGCATTTGAACATAGAGTATATCCATGGTTATCATTTGAAAATCCAATTTTTGAAAGATTTACTGGAACTGTATTATATAAACCACCACAAATGTCCAAATATATAACTGATGGTTCACAAGCAACAAATAAAGATTTAAAAGAATCTAATCAATTAGATTTTTTTTTAAATAGATTTAAAAATCTGTGTAATGGTAAAGGTATAGTTTTATCAATTGGTGATTCTCATGTTGAAGATACTGTGAAATTAATACATTTATTAAGAACATTAAATAATAAATTACCTATACAAATTGTTTATTATGATGATTTATCAGTTGAAACTAAAAAATTAATTGTAACAGCAGCAAGAGAAGAAGTAAGAGCATTACCAAAATCTTTTCAAAAAGTTAAACATCATTTCCCAGAAGATTATTTAACAAGTGAAAAAGGTTTACCAGCACAAGAAATTTGGTTTGTTAATACATATAATGTTATACATGATGATTTTAAAGATAAATTTAAAGGTTATGCAAATAAATTTTTAGCAACTTTTTTTAATTCATTTGAAGAATTTATGTTAATTGATGCTGATACAGTAATGATGCAAACTCCTGAATATTTTTTTAATTTAGAAGGTTATATTAAAACAGGTACATTTTTTTATAAAGATAGAACAACTTTTGAATCAAGACCAAAATCAGATGCTATGTTTTTCAAAAAATTAGGTCCATCAATTGTTGATTCAGTTATGTTTGATATTCCAATTATGACAAATTATACATGTGGTAATGAATTTATGAATGGAATGTATCATTATCAAGAATCAGGATTAGTTATGATTAATAGAAATATTCATTTTAATTCTTTATTAATGATGTTACAATTAAATTTTTATGAACCAATAAATGGTAGAATTCATGGTGATAAAGAAATATTTTGGTTAGCAATGGCTATTAATGGTGATGAAAATTATATTTTTAATAAAAATTTTGCAGCAGCTATTGGTAAAAAAACACCAACAACAGAAAGATCAAGACCAGATGGTTCAACTCATAAATCAACTGAATTATGTTCACCACATCCAGGTCATATATCAGATCAAGATAATGCATTGGTATGGATAAATTCTGGATTTTATTATTGTTCAAAAGCTCCCAAAATAGATTGGGAAAAAGAAGTTAAACATCAATCAAGATTAAAATTTTTAAAAGATATTGAATCTTTCAAAACTTTTTATTATAGTCCATTAAGAATAAATTCAGCAATAATACCACCAATAGATTTAAATTTATGGGCAATAAATAAAGATGATGAACCAAGTAGAGGTTGGTTTATGGATTCAAGATATTGTAATGGTTATATGTGGTGTGCTTATTCAGGAGTTGGAGGTACAACTGATGATGGTGAATCAAATTATAAAGCAGGTAAATTATATGATTTTAGTGAAAAAGAACAAGATTTATTTAATTTTTATGGTGATGTTTGGGTAGGATTAGAATAAATAATATTAGTAAATAGAGTAAAGTATTTAATAGAATTAAATTAATTTTGAAACATTAATAATACTAATTTGACATGTAAATTGTAATATTGAATTTGAGTAAAATTTAATTTAATAATATTTCGTAAATTTTAGTTTATGGAAAAGAAATTTGAGATTTAAAGTACAAAAGAAAAAATTTGAAATCTGAAATCTAGATAAGAAATTTAATCAACAAAATCTCTTTTGAAGTTAATTAAATTTTATAGACCTAATTTCAATTCGATATCAATCAATTAAAATTACTTAGATTTTAAACCTACTGAACCTGTCATGAGAAAATAAGATGATTAAAAGAACCAAAATATCTCCAAACTACAAAAAATAATCATATTTAAACCAAAAAAAACACATTTATAATATAATTCAAATTAATATACATAAAATAAAAATAAAATTAAAACTAAAATTAAACTCAAACAAAATAACCTGCAAATAAAAAAAAAAACTTATTTTAAACCAAAATATAAATGAAGTAAAATTTATTTAATTTTTCTACCTAATGCCATATTTAAAGCAGAAACAGAAGAATTTCTTCTTGATTGATAAAAATTATCATAATTATTATTATTATTAGTAGATTTATCTAAATCTTTTAAATTTGATTCAGAAGTATGTGATAAATAACAATTAGCATCTAAAGCAGGAGGAATTAAATCTTCATGTTTATGAATCAGATGAATTGAAATTGAAGAATTTTGATTTGATAATCTTGGTCTTCTTATATCTGAATAATTTATTGTTGTATTACTTATATTATTATTGTTGATATTTGTTATTGAACTAGTATTATAAATTGAATTTGATAATGAAATTATTGAATTTGTTCTTTTTGTTGATGATGATGATGAATTAGTATTTTCGAATAAACAAGAATCTTGTACTGATCTTTCAAATATACAACTTTCATCACATTGTATTATTGAAACTGATGATTTATTTTTTCTTAATTTTGGTGATGTTGAAATAATTGATGATGGTGATTTTTGTCCTTGATTTGTGGTGGTGTTGGTGGAAGTAGTTGATGATAAATCATCTGAATCAAATGTAAATAATGATAATTTTTGTTTTGTTGAATTTGTTCTTGTTGGTTGTTGACTTATAACTTTTGTAGACATTTTTAATTTGTTTTGTGTTGTGTATGTATATATTATATAAAAATTGAATTAATTTGTAAATATTTGTACTATTGAATAAATTTTTAATGAAATATTTAATTGATCATTAAAATTTTGTAAATTATATATGGACTAATTAAAAAGTTTTAAAGTTGTTGTTAATTGATTGTAGGATTGGTTATTTATTTATAATTGTAAAATAAATTTTGAATCTTTGTATAAATATAAATAAAAAAAAATTTAAAATAATTTTATTGGTTTAATTTCTTGATAAAGGGAAAAAAAAAATAATATCAAACACTATAATTAAGTTTATATTTGAATGTAAATATTAATGTAATGAATATATATAATAATGTGTTAAAATTTGGAAGTAATAATTATTTTATGATGATAATAAATTAAGATAAGCTATTCATAAAAAAATTTTTAAATTAAATGAATGAAAAATTTATTTATATTTATATATCTTTTAGATTTCAACTTCAACATTATTATATCTTTCTTAAATTAATTTAATCAAAAAAAATGAATGATTAGGAAATTCAATTTTTGTGTTTGTGTAATTATTATTTTTTTTGCCTTACACAATTAATAGTAAATAGAAATTATCATATGGTAGCACTTGCTAATATAAATGATTTAAACTTTTTAATCTAAAAAATTTAAAAATATAGAAACAAGGGGTGTATTAGTTTATTTAATATTTCTAAATATTTATTCGAATAAATTTATTTATTGATTAATTGATAATCTTTCTCAATATAGGTCAATCAATAATTTATGTTACTATATAATCTCCAATTGAAGACAGTAGTTAATTCAAATTGATGTTTTACAAATAATATTTTCCCGTAGTTTTGTTTACTTTTTTCTTATCTTTTACTTGAATATTCTATATAAAATTTTTTTTTTCACATTCTCTTTTTTATTTTCAAACTTTAATTTTGTGTTTTCTTTTTTTTTTTCAAAAAATTAATTCAAAATTATATTAAAGATAACAAAACAAATAATATAAAATTTCTTATTGGGTGTAATTCAATTATCCTACTTGTCTCAAATCAATTTGAACATATTTCCTTTGATCATTCTTGTTTCACTTGATTATTTAATAGAACACCCTGGTAGCATATTGATCTTTCTATTGAATTAATTAATTAATTCATTAATTACAAAATTATTTGATGAATTAAATTGATTAGTTTGCCAATATGGAGTACTGTATATATATTCTTTTCTTTTTATTAATTAATTAATTATATTTGGTCACACTAATCATCTCTAATATCAATTATTTTTCATCTTTTCACCTATTTCACTTATTTCACCTAAATCACCTACAATAAGAGATAATACACCTAAACCTACTATCAGATTAATTAATTTTTGAAGTTTGTAACATAGTAGATCTATAGAATACGTCATTTACAAGGGATAAAATTTTATTGTCAAACTAGATTACAACCGTTATTTAGCGAATCATTTAATAAGGAGAGATAAATTTAAATTTAACATGGCTTTTAATATAGTAAATATCAAATTTATTTCCAAGTCTTATTATTTGTCAAATTATCAAAAATTGACTAAAAACTTTAGTTTAAGTCAAAATCTTTAACAATAAATCTAATCGATTAAATTTTTTATGTATCAAAATAAACTTGATTGATTGTTTTCAGATCTGATAGTATATCAACAAAAATTCTCCCCCGCCAAAACTGATAATGTATAATTAAATCATTTACTATTAATTTTGTGATTTCTGTAATCTATTTGTATTTAAAATAAATCTAATTAAAATTGATTGATCACAAATCTTGTTGATAATTAAATCATTTACAATAATTGTGTTTCAGACAATGTTTTAATAAAAAAATTGATTACACAAAATCTGAACGGTTGAAAAAATATATCTAATTATTTGATAGAAAACTTTTATAACAACACCCGGGGTTAATTATTTCATCAACGATTGAAAGATCAACTAGACAACTTAATAACCTTGATTTAAACATCAATCCATTAAAAAATCTTAACTTTATACTAATCTCAACCATGTCTAAACTTCGTTTGTTTTTTTGTCTAAGATCTTGTTGAATTAATTGATTGTAAAAAAATAATAATAATAAAAAGACAATAGAATTTATATATTTTACACCCCATGTAAATTTTTTTTTTTCTCACATTAAAAATTTTATAAATTTAAAAAAAATTTATAAACTTTAAAAAAAAAAAAATAAAATTAAAATAATTCCGTTAGGAATTAATTTTTAAAACTGGGGGGGAACACAAATTGTAAATAAGTAAGTATTTGATATTCTTAATTCATTAATTTTTTCAATCAAAAAGGAAACGAATTATGTATTTAGTATTTTACTCTTGTAAACTGAACAAATCTATGGAAGTAATGGATCTTAAAAAAATTTCGCTTGTTTTATCTTGTATTCTATTGTTAAAAAAATTTTAAGTCGAGTATGAAAATCTTAATAAATAATATTGTTTTTTGTTTTTCACTTATTTACGATTTTTAACTTAACCGCCTTTAGTTTTATTTATAGTAGTTTTATTACTTTTTTTATTTTCATTACGTCGGAGTAGAATAGGTTAAATATATAAACGAATTAACTAATAAAATAACGAATCGTAAAATGAGGATTGAAAATAAGGATTGAATATAAGGATTGAAAATTTAAATTTAATATAAAGTTGAAAATTTTGAATGAGCCCTTTCTCCTTCTCCCCCCAATTTTTGTAATTCTCATCTTTATCTTGTTACGTTACATTAATTTATCATCCCTTGATGATATTATTTCGATTTTGTAACCTTGTTTGATAATCTATCAAAGCCATTAATCCGAATTTATATCGATTTAGAATCTTATGAAATTATATTTAGCCGTAACGAAACAATCAATTATATTTATTTCAATGAACAGTTTCCTTTGATAATCAATAAAATGAAAAATAAGATTGATTAGTTTCTTAATGATGTCATATTAGTTTCGTTAAATATTCAAATCTAAATATATACATTATCAAATCCTTGTTCAAAAGATTTACGAATCAAATAAGTTAATTTTCTAACCTTATTTTTGACTATAATTTTTATTTTTAAACTTTTTTAAACTACTTTAAGATATTATTATTATTAGAGTTATTAAATAAATGAAAAATATTAAATAATAATTTGACATATTTTTCAACATTTAAATAAAAAATATTAATTAGTTATATTATCAATTGCACTTGATTCTTATTTTAAATACATCTAATAAATTAAAAGCAAAGAATTTTTTTTTTTTCAAACTTTATAAATTATATTATCGGTTGCAAAATATTTGATTTATAAGGATTACTAAATTTCAGGATATTTTTTAGTTTTTGTTTCAACACAAGCATTGAGGTTCATAACTGTATTAGGGTTACGCTATGATCATGATAAATATTATTAAAGCTAAATTAATTCGTTTTAAATTAATTTGTTTTGTTTGAATCATATCGGTATTAAATTTCGTTAAAACTACAACGATTTTAAGTAAAAGTTAAATCATTTATTCAAAAATCTAAATCTAACTAAAATATAATGAAATAAAAGCAAACCCAAAATCCCTCAAACTCCAAACTATTAATGGTAAAAACCCTTTTGTTTACCAAATAGTATATGCAAAATTTTATAAAACTATTTCTAAATATAATTCTTTCTCCTCCTTAAACAAGGATCTGAAATTTTTCCTGTATCAAATTTTTAGATAGCTTTTCTACAAGTTGGACAACAAATAGAATAATTAATCCATTTTTTCAAACAATCATAATGAAATTGATGACAACAATTAATTTCCCTTATGTTCTTAGTTGTATCATCAATCATTAAATCATCTAAACATATAACACAATTATCATCATTCAATAAAGTTGGTATTTTTAATTTTTTATTTAATACAATATATTTCTTTTGAAAGTTGACAAATTTCCTAGCTTTATTCACAACCACCTTCAAGCTTAAATAACTTGATGGTAAAATATGAATTGGGAATGTATAAAAATATAAAAACACTAATGAAAATAATAAAATTGAAAAAAATTGTAATAAATTAACAATAAATTCTCCAATATTTATTATAAATGCTTTATATTCTATCCAATCTTGTTGATTTTCTTCAATACAAGGTTTTAAAATTTGATTTAATTCTAATCCACATTTTAAACTTGTTAATGTGATCATTGGAAATAGTGATAATACTTCATATCCAAATATAGCAATTAAAATATTATCTTTAATTGATGAATAATTAGGAATTGAATTTGACCAAAAACCATTTAAATATAATGAATAAAAAAATTTAAAAATTAATAAAACATCAATAAAATTTAAAATTATTAATCCAATAGATAACTTTATGGCCCATTTTTTCATATCTTCATTTCTATTTATTATAATAGTAGTATTTGATAAATTCTGAATACGATCTGAACTCAAATAATTAAAACATTTTAATAATAATAAAACTAAAAATAATCCACCAAATTTTATAAATTGTGATAATAAAATATTTCCAGAATCTTTACTTCCATCATCAATATTAAATCTAACACATAATAATATAAATCCTATAAAAAATTCCCATATAGTATAAGTAATCTTATCTCTTAAATTTATAATTTCATTACTTGATAATTTCCCAAATAATCCCCATTTACAAAAATTAAAAAATAAAAAAACTAATATTAAACTTAGATGTGGTTTATAAATTCCTAATGTTTCTTTAGATATTATTGATTGTATATGATTTATTGAATTAATATGATGCTTGATGAATAATGCTATTGCTGCAAATGTTGGTGATGAATTTGATGATGTCGACGATGATGATGTATATGTAAATGATTTACTATCTAGTTGTTTATACGCTGTTAAACTTAATATTGCACCAAACTGAAAGATTTAAAAGTTAGTATATTTCTCTTTAACTTATCTTATATTTTGATCATGATACATACTGCTCCATATCGTAGCCGCTGTCTTGTTAACGACTCCATATTATATATATAAATACTTATTTTAAGTAATAATAAATGTCAAAATATCAAAATTTCTAAAATACAGTTATTGTAGTTGCATTTGATGGTGCAAATTGACCAATAGTCGGATATCAATTTTCGGGGGCAATATAAGCGTGCTTTGACCGGTGAAGCTTAGATTAAGTTTTTTTAAAAAGCAACCAGTCTTTTCTTTCGAGGTTATAAAGTCACGTTAGTGTAAAGTATTTGGTAGCTCACGGAAGATTATTTTTCCCTCTTCATAAAAAAATATTTAATAAAAAAAAAAAAAAAAAAAAAAAAAAAAAAAAAAAAAAAAAAAAAAAAAAAAAAAAAAAAAAAAAAAAAAAAAAAAAAAAAAAAAAAAAAAAAAAAAAAAAAAAAAAAAAAAAAAAAAAAAAAAAAAAAAAAAAAAAAAAAAAAAAAAAAAAAAAAAAAAAAAAAAAAAAAAAAAAAAAAAAAAAAAAAAAAAAAAAAAAAAAAAAAAAAAAAAAAAAAAAAAAAAAAAAAAAAAAAAAAAAAAAAAAAAAAAAAAAAAAAAAAAAAAAAAAAAAAAAAAAAAAAAAAAAAAAAAAAAAAAAAAAAAAAAAAAAAAAAAAAAAAAAAAAAAAAAAAAAAAAAAAAAAAAAAAAAAAAAAAAAAAAAAAAAAAAAAAAAAAAAAAAAAAAAAAAAAAAAAAAAAAAAAAAAAAAAAAAAAAAAAAAAAAAAAAAAAAAAAAAAAAAAAAAAAAAAAAAAAAAAAAAAAAAAAAAAAAAAAAAAAAAAAAAAAAAAAAAAAAAAAAAAAAAAAAAAAAAAAAAAAAAAAAAAAAAAAAAAAAAAAAAAAAAAAAAAAAAAAAAAAAAAAAAAAAAAAAAAAAAAAAAAAAAAAAAAAAAAAAAAAAAAAAAAAAAAAAAAAAAAAAAAAAAAAAAAAAAAAAAAAAAAAAAAAAAAAAAAAAAAAAAAAAAAAAAAAAAAAAAAAAAAAAAACAGTAAAGTAACACAAAACTAAAAATTTACATTTATCCGAGAAATTCCATATCCTCTTTAAATTCTTTAAATTAATTTATTAAACTTTAATATTTGAATTTGTTTCAAATGCAATATTGTCATTTTAAGAACTTTTACATCAATTAACATACACTCAAAAATTGATAATAAGTATGGATTTCGAAAATTTCTAAATGTTAAAGTTCAAAAATTTAAATATATTCTAAAATGATAAGAATTGAAACAAAGTTTAACAGAATTAAAAATAACATTAACTTCTTTTATTCAAGATGAATCTTATGTTTTATTCTTCAATTTAATTGTAAAAAAATTTCAATTATATAAGTAACATTTAAATTAAATTCTATTTACTTTAAGATCAAACTTTTCATGTTTTTGAGCTAAGACTTCAGTTTAATTTAATTCAAATGACTGAACTATTTGAATGATTTAAAAAATTTATGAAACCATTCTTAGAATTCAATTTTAATTTGATTAATTCATCTTTAAATTCACTTTCCTATCCATTATGATTATAACTTTGCTTCAACTTTGAAGAAATAATTCTTAAAGGAAAAAATGTCTTCTTCTTTACTAATCATTTTCAGGATGAATCTTGGGTAATTTTGAGAAAGAATATGCTCTAAGAAGCTTAGTTGAAAGATATATTTACTTTTCAAGAATATTTTTATATATTGTTATAATGGTCGACTTTGCTAATGATTTAATTGTTCCGTTTCAATTTCAAATGATTTTTGCCAGTGCAAAATGAAAAAGGAACTAGACTATTTTGCTTCCTTTTACTATTTGTTTATTCTGTTAATATTTGGTTGCAAAAATTACACTATTAATTTTTTAGTGAAGATAAAATATTCTAATTTTCACGCGCGTACTTTTCTACCTAAATATCAATACAACCAAAAACATTCAAGTCATAAGACAACTAAATCTCACAAATAAACTAATAGGTCATAATCCTAATGATATTAATACTAATATGAGAAAATCATCATCTAATACAAGATTAGATCCATCAACACTACCGAAGAAAACAACTTCAATCAAATCTTTACCATCTTTACAACCTAGACAACCAATTCAATCACCACAAATTCAACAACTAAAAGAATCTATAAATCATCCACCTTTATCAACACAACATTCACAATCTTCGATTCATCAATTTACCAAAAATGATATTGAAAGAGATAGATCAACTACATTATCATCGATGGATATACCTTTCCATCCAGTTGAAAGAGAAAGAGAAAACAATATAGAAACAATAACAGGAACACCAGATTTTTCAAGATCAAGAAGTGCAACATTACCTAACTTTGTAAATTTCGAAATGAATTCCAATTCGCAATTACCTTCAACTCCATCATTAACTTCAATACCTTCAAATCATCCAGAAAGTCCAACTTGGTTATTAAGTGATTTATTATCAAATTTAAGTAGTTTAAAAGATAAAGATGAATATTCAATTGTTCAAAAATCAAATGATTTAGTTACTTTATTTCAAACTTACCCCAATTTAAAAGAAGATGTACAAATTAAAACTGTATTACCAAGAATTCAATTTATGTTATATCATCAAGTATCAGAAGTTAGAAGTTCATGTTATAGAATACTAAGGCATTTGATTGTGAATTATCAAAGTTTAATTTTATTGGGACAACTGAAATTATTGATTTTTATAATAGTAAGTTTAGCAAATGATCAATCAAGAAGTTCAATAGTAGAAATGGAACAAGCATTAAAGTTAATACGGCAGTTTATGACTATAGAAAAAGGTGCGGATTTATTATCAGTGGGAGTAATCAAAGCTTTAATATCAGTTGTTGAAAGTGATAAATTTGATTATCATAAAGCTACATCAATAAGTACAAATTACGGGATTAATGTTGAGTCGATACCTGATGGATTTAAAAATGCTTGTCATGAAACAATAACTGAGATTGCATTATTAAAGCCGGAGTTAGTGTTTCATTCTGGGGGGTTTAAATTAATGATTGATTCAATAATCGATGGACCATTTGAAGTTTCGTCCACCTGTTTATTCATAATACTACGACTTCTAAGCTTCCAAAATTCAAGAAAATTTCTACGAAATGGGTTTGATCTAGATTCGCTTATATCAATTTTTTCAACAGAAGATTCTGAAGGTCAAGATAAGTTTAAAAATGTAACAAATTTTAAATTACAAAAAGTTTCTTTTCTAATTTCAACGTTATTAAAAGATTTCAATGGATTAATCGCATACTCAATTAATGACTTTACCAGTATTAAAAATTTACTAGTAAATTTAACAAAAAGAAATAATAGAGTTCAAGACTTGATTCTTGATATTTTATTAGATGCTTTGAGGATTAAAGTTTTCCCATGGCTACAGAGTAGTCCAATTGGAGATTATATTTCAAGGTATAATGATTTTAGAAAGGGGAAAAAAAATGAAAAGTTTCCATTTGAATACAGTGATAGTAAAGAACCATTTTTAAGAGATATAGCTCATCATTATCAAGGATTACTAACGTATATTTTAATAATTAATGATGTGTTCGAACATTTGATAGGTTTAATTGAGGATTCAATAACTAGTGAAGAGCTGAGAAAAAAAGCGACGCTTTTAATGACGAAACTTTATTCAATGGCAAGTAATTATTTACCTCAAGAACTAATTAAAAAGAAAATGCAACATTTAAATCTTTCAACTCATATATCATTTGAAGTTGTTAATATTACTCGCTCAAAATTCATCAGCAACAATGAACAGAATCAATATATTAAATTAAATGTGAGACAAATTACCTCCCAAGCCAATAGTACTGTTGATGATGATGAGTTTAAAAATATGATTACAAATAGTAGGGTATTGGTCATTAAAGAATTCGAGGACTGGAATTGGCCATTACTATTAAGTTTAGTTCAAGGTCCATTAACATCGCCAAAAAGATTTGAAGAAGTACTAGAAAAATCTCCAAAATTTTTCAAAAGGTTAGTATCTTTTTATAGACCATTTAAATATAGATTTTCAACAGTACATTATCAATCAAAAAATTATCAAAAATATATTAATTTTGGATGTCTGTTGCTTGAGATGTTTTTAAGTTCAGAAATTGGTACAAAATATTTATCATCAACTAAATTATTGCCTCAATTTTCTGAAATTGTTGCACAAATCGATCCTTATAGCGGTATAACTTCAAAAGATCCTGTATTAAATAAAAGAAGATTAGAAAATACTGCCTCCATTGGGTATATTAGATTCATTGGAGTTTTAAGTGGTAGCATTGAAGGTTTGAATTTACTTTCGAATTGGCAATTTTTTACATTGATTTCTGATATTATATCAGCATCAAATGAAGTTGAAAATAACGATTTGTTTATATTGACATTGTTTAAATATGTTGACTTCACCATTGAAACTAGTCCATTCAAGAATTTGCTTCGGATGTGTTTAAATGTATCAAACTTGAAAATTAAAGCATACTTGTTGAGGCATTTAATACCACAATTAATAACCAACAAGGAAAGCGAAGAATTTTCAGTAAGAATATTAGTGGAGAATTTATATAACAGAAACCAAGATATTGTTAAAAATTCAATTAATTTATTATTTAATCACTATAAAGCAAATGATTTTCAAGACGTTGAATTATTTTTAAAGTATCTGCCCTCAGTATACATCTTGCGAAAATATGAAAATGGTAAAAACTTTTTAGTACAATTATTACAAAATACTCAGAGTTTCAGATATTTAGAAGATCAAGGCTACATTGAGGATGAATTTAGTAAATGGTGTCAAATTCGAAAATTCAAATATCTCAAGAAAATAGATGATTTATTAAGATTACAATTTTTTCCATATGTAAATTCACAAAATTTAGATTATGAACAACAACCAAACGATTTTGAAATTTACTCATTGAATTTTTTCAAATGTTTATTATCAACTGAAGAAGGTTTGAATTTTTTTAGTAAAGGTATGGCTAAAGATTTTTTAGATCAATTATTGTCATCTATAGAGATTATATTTGGACAAATTAATAATGATAATGAATTTTTAGATATTGATAATCAAGATGAAATTCATTGTAATTTATTAAATTTATTAAAACAAAATCTATGGATTATTGGACAAATAAGTTCAGGAAAATATGGTATTCAATTCTTAGATCCAATGTATAATATAAATTTAAAATCTTCTATAATTGAATTAATTTTAGATAATTTCCATACTTGCCCAGTTTGGGAAATTAGAGGATTGTGTTTTTATATCATTGGTATGATTTCAACAACAGTTGAAGGAATTGAAATATTAGATGAATTTGGTTGGTATTCTGTATTAGATCAATATGGAAGAAGCATGAATCTAGCTTACCCCAAACAAATCACAGATGGACCACTCAAAAAGGGAGATGATAAAGCCAATTTATTCAATGTTCAAAGTGTAAATCCATATCGTGACAAACGTTACTTGCATATCTTTAATAGTTTAGTTGATAAATCAAGTGAAGAATATCAGTCACCAACTACTATAAAATTTTTTTCAAATTTACAAAATTTAAATTCAATTTTGTCTAAAATAGAATTAAAAGCCGTGAAAGAATTACTTAAATTGAAACAACAATATAATGAAATATTTGAAGATTTTGATTTATTTCTTGATGTTATCAGATTAATCGATAAAGGGAATTTCTCATTTCACAAAAGAGTATTCATATTTAAATTATTCTCAGATGGTTCAGTTTTGGAGTACATTTTGAAAAAGGAAAAAAGAGGTTCATTCAAATTTCAAGTATAGTAAATCAACAATATTATACGTATATTCAAGTGTATCATCTTCTACGTCTCTTCTTTGTAGATGAACTAGCAGCTTGTGGAGTAACAATTAATTTCCCATCAACTCCTAAATCAAATTTCGTACCATTATATTCATTAAAATTTTCTAAACTTTTCAATGTCATTGGTTTAAAATCACCATTGATAAATGGAGTATTTTGATTACACCAGACATCTGCAGATTGTGGATTTATTTCAAACAGTATAAATTCATCATTTATTAAATCTGGTATTTTTTCAATCAAATATAAATTAAGTAAAGTATTTGAATCGAGTTTTTCTTCTTTAGTTGTGATTTTTGATAATGTATTTTTCAATCTTGGTACTTTGGAAATTATTTGATTTAATCTGTCAATTTCAATTTCATTTGAATCAATATTTCCATTAGTTTCTTGTGGTATTTCATCTTCAAATTTCTCTAATATATCCAATATTGCTTGATTTCTTCTTTGATAATATGCTAATGTTTTTCTTTGATTTTTTTCATTTTCAAAAGTTGTATTTAATGATGTGGCTACAGTTTTAAATTTTTCTTGTAGTTGACTATATAGTATTGTTATTTCATCTAATGATTTTGAATCTATTTCTGAATCAGGTATATTTATTAAGTCTTGTTGTTGAGTTGGTTCCTGTTTGATTTTTAACTCTATTGGTTGTGGCGTTAGTTCTTCTGTCATTTTTATAGTTGTGTTAATAGAATTATTATTGGTTGAGTTTTGATTTTGGTTGTACTTAATTAATTGTGTTTAATTTTGTTCCGCTTAAAAAATATCTGAGCTATTTTGATGCACCTCAGATTTTTTACAACCAATTTGATGAACAACTTCACAAACTTTAAAATGGACAATTGCTTTACTTGATACCCTTACTAAAAGAATATAAGCTACATTAAAATACTCTGGCTCAAAATTTATTGTCTTACCTTGTTTCTCTCAGTTTTTCCAACTCAGTGTTACAATATTTGCTTTCTAAGATTTAAGAATACCTCATATACTTTTTAAAAAATTCAACTAGGTACAGTTGTATCGGTAATACAAACTCAACTCTTTTTACTCTGAATGTTCAAACAAGTGATACTTGAAACATTTGAAACTTGCTCTACTATTAGCTCTACTACAAATCTGTTACAAACCTGTATATAATCCTACACGTTATAATAAATAATAATAGTGTATAATATTTTTCTGCCAAATTCTAACGCGTTTTTTTATTTATTTACTATTAACATACTTCATCACTAGTATACTTATTATAAAATCAACTCATCAACACTAAATAGACATAATACTACCATCTACCTACCCTAATCAATTGAATTACTCAGAAATAATATAAATATGTCAATTGTATCATTAACAGGAATAGAAGTACTTAATAATCCAGCAAAATTCTCAGATCCATATGAATTTCAAATCACATTTGAATGTCTTGAATCATTAAAAGAAGATTTAGAATGGAAATTAACATATGTTGGATCATCAGATTCTCTAGATCATGATCAAGAATTAGATTCTATATTAGTTGGTCCAGTACCAATTGGAGTTAATTCATTTTTATTTACAGCTGATGCACCATCACCAGAATTAATACCTGCAAGTGAATTAGTTAGTGTAACGGTTATAATATTAAGTTGTTCATATAATGATAAAGAATTTGTAAGAGTTGGATATTATGTAAATAACGAATATGATACTGAAGAATTAAGAGAAAATCCACCGGCAAAAGTACAAGTTGATCATGTTGTTCGAAATATATTAGCTGAAAAACCAAGAGTTACTAGATTTAATATTGTTTGGGATAATGAAGGTACTGCTGATGAGTATCCACCTGAACAACCAGAAGAGGAAGAAGAAGAAGAAGAAGAGGAAGATGATGAAGAAGAAGAAAATGGTAATGAAGAACAAGAAGATGGAGAAGGAGAAGATGACGAAGAGTTAGACGAAGAAGAAGAAGAGGAAGAAGATGGTGAAGGGGATATTGATTTAGGTGATGAGGATGATGATATGAAAGATGAAGAAGAAGAAGAAGCTGAAATATCAACATTAAATGATAAAGAACCAATAATAGAGTCCACGTCAAAAGAAGAAGAAGAAGAAGTAGACACGCCGAGGGATTGAGTAAAAAACTACATAGAAATGATTTGTAATATATTTAACACCAAAAATAATTAATGAATTGTTCGTTAAAAATGTATATAATTAGTTCTCTTTAATAATCAATTGTATCAATCAATGAATTTATTGTTTGACTTAGTTGATCAATAACTTCTATTGTTACACAAGTTTCTGATTTTAATCTTCCAATCCATTTATCAGGATGCCATTTGATTCTTTCTTGCTTTAGTAGATCTATCATTGGTTGCTCCTTATCTAATACTATTTTGTAAAACTCCTTTAAACTATCTTGATTGATCAATTGAAGTAATGTTGTAGTTGGTAAATTTTCTTGGAAAAAAAATGGTGGTAATAGAGGTAGTCTAAGTTTATTGAAATATTCAAACTTAATTAATTCTGATTGTAATTGTTCATTTTGTGGTGTAAGGTATGGATCATTAATACGTTTATCACCAATATGTATGTCATCATCTTCTTCATTCATCAATCCAGCTGATGTTATAGGTAATTCTCCTAATATGTGATAGTTTTGTTTATTATATTCTTGTTTTAGTTGATTATATCGATTACCGCTCACTGGTGTTTCATATCTGTTTCCATTTATTGGTGTTTCGTACTTATAATGTGGTGGTAGTCTTTGTTTTGGTTTGACAAATTTGTCAACATTTATTGAGTTGTTTGAATTGTTTGAAGTCTTATTCTCATTCTCTTGATTTGTCGTTGTATGTATTGGAGGAGTTGAAGCTCTCAGTGATGAAGGAGTTGATTGAGAAATTGGAGTTGAATCTAAATCATTATTCACTTTAGTAAATGAGCTTGAATCATTTTTTTCTTCAAATTCATCATCTTCTTGTGTACCATGATGGATTGGAACTGGTGGAATATCTTGTAATGAAGTTTTTCTTGCATAATTCAAATCTAAAATATTTGTAGTTGAAGCTTGCTTGAACTTCAACTTTTTTCTTTTTGGTTGTGGTGGACATGGAGTTGAATCATTTGTTGAAAAACTTAATTTTAAACTTGAATTATTTATTGAGGAATTATTTGTATGACAAATTGACATTTTAGATTCATGTGAGATTGTATTGGGGGTACTCATTCTAATATCTAGACTTTCTCTATCCAGATGCATTCTTTTTTTGCGGTTTATATATTTTGGTGGTGAAATATAAATTTCATCATTTGAATTATTATCAAAATTCTCATCTGAATTATTTGCAATTGTTTTATTTCCTAAAGAATATTCATCAAATTCATCATCTCCTTCCTCGTCTTCTTCGTATATAATACTCTCTACATCATCCAGTCCTTCATGATCATTAATATCGTCATCATCTTCTTTATCATCCATAATTTCTGACTCAAGATGTAAAGTATGTAGTTTATTCATTGGTGATAAGAATGAAACTGCATTATTTAATGGAGTTGAAGCATAATCTAAAAATTCTCGATTATCTAAAATTTTAATTTTATGAGGTGATGGTGTTTTTTCCGTTGATTCGTTTACAACATTTTCTAATCCTGAAAAGTTATTATGGTTGTTGTTATGATAATCCTCTGAACTTTCTGAGTCTTCTTCATAATCTGATGAACTTATTCTTTTTTGGTACCATGCTTTCTTATTTTTCTTCGAGCATTTTGATTTTGGTTTTGGTTTTCGTATCACAGTAGAATTGGGACTATTCAAGGATGTTGGTGAGTTTATGATTGATTTTGATTCAAAATGGTTGCTTTTACCATTGGAATTATTATTATTAACACTGCTATACAGATTTAAAGATAGTATTGGCGTGGTATGCTTCAGTAGAACCATTAAATCATATGCTATATTGTCATGTGCTATCAATTATTATATGTATTAGAAAAAATAACTTTTAACGTCTTGATATAACTTTAATGACTTTTAGATGTTAAATTTGATTTTTGTAATTTGTTTTTCTGTAATTTATTTGTTTATAATTTGTTTTGATTTTATCACGCATAACGCATCAGAAACGGAGCTACCACATGAGAATATATTTGGTAGCTGCCTCAAAGAGATGTTATCATTAATTTGAATAATTAGTAACAAGCTCAATTGACAAAACAACAGTCAAGTATTAAATTAATCAAATTTGTAAATATGAAGGAATAATGATTTAGAAAGGTATTTCAAATCTGCATAATAAAATATCAAAATAAAGTAAATAATAATCTAATATGTATATTTAGTAGATTTAATGATTGAGACTGGTGCACAATATTAAAATAAAATATATTAAAGAATAAAAGTAGAAGTGTACATTTTAACGAGTCATCAATACAGTAATTATTTCTCGAGAACATTGGAAATTAATTAATTTCTAAAACATTTTAATTTCTTGTTTTTATAGCCAACGGTTATAATTTCTTAATAAATATGTCAATTTTTTAAACGAATGAATTATACATTATATTAGTGTTATAATAAAGTAAGGATTTGGCAAATATTATTAATATAAAAGAATTAATCAATATTGAAATGGAATTTTACAATAAGAATTTGATCTTATAATTAGGCGTAAATTTCAAGATTTTTTCAACTTACTTTCACTCTTTGGAAATACAAATGATATGGCAATAATAATAATAAAAATTACTAACAATTTAAGAAAGATAAGGTCAAATTTTTCAAAATAAAGGACAAGAAAATATAATTAGAATTAACCCTTTAATTTTTAAATTCTAAATCATAATTATAATAAATTGAATGATATATGTATGATTATGTTATAGAATAAATGAAATGAGGATTAATTATTAGTTGAGACGTTTACTTTATGTTGGTATGTTGTACAAAACAGATAATGAATTTCATGATGTATTAGACAATTAGAAGAGATAAAGAAATCTATGACTTTTTACAATTTTTCAATTTTAGATATATTAAAAGTGGAGAAGCAAACATTGAATTGTACATTCTTCTTCTTCAATTTCTTAAAGTTTTCTAATCATTATTATTTAATTTCAAATATAAATTTTGTTGAAGTAGTAATATATCATTAAAAAGTTAGAAAGTTAAAAGAAAGTTGGAAATAATTAGAATATTTCTTTCAATTTCTATAATTTTCACTTTTTCTTTATTTTTCATTTCTTATCTTTCTTTCATAAAAAGAATTATATCATCTGGTAGCAAAAGGAGGGCTATTATTTTATTATTTATAACTATTAGTATAATAATATATTAAGTATATAATATAAAAATTGTGGTCATAATTTTATTATAACAATTATTTATTAGAAGATTTTAGTTTAGATCAAATTTAACTATTCAATTATTCAAGTTTAGACCAAGTGACTTTATACTATAATTATAGTCTACCCTATTAATCAATCAATACAAGGTATTAATTCAAAAGTCAAATTCATTTTTCACACAAGCACACGTTTCATATCAAAAAGTTTAGCAACCATATTTATCTCAAAAAATTTTTTGCCATTTAATATTGAATCACCATTATATAATTTTATGAGTGATCTACTATCTAATCCAGCTGATACTTTATCATATTTAGATATTTCATTTTTAACTTTTGAAGCAGTTTTACAAGTTGTTATAATATGTTTTGCAGGATTTATATCAGCTAAATCGGGTGTATTAAATACTCAAGGTCAAAAAGTATTAGGTTCATTAAATGTTGATTTATTTACTCCTTGTTTAATTTTTTCAAAATTAGCAAAATCATTAAGTTTATCAAAATTAATTGATCTTATAATTATACCCATATTTTATGCTGTTTCTACTTTTATAAGTTTTATTTGTTCAAAATTTACTTCATGGATTTTAAATTTAAATGAACCAGAAGCTGATTTTGTTACTGCAATGGCTGTATTTGGTAATTCAAATTCTTTACCTGTTTCATTAACTTTAAGTTTAGCTAATACTTTACCAGGTTTATTATGGGATGATATACCTGATGATGATAGTGAAAAAGTTGCTGGTAGAGGTATATTATATTTATTAATATTTCAACAATTGGGTCAAATTTTAAGATGGTCATGGGGATATAATAAATTATTAAGAAAAAGATCTAATTTAGAATTAAATACTTATTATACTAAAAATGGAATCAAAATTATAAATGAAGAAAATTGTCAATTATTATCAAATGATAGTGAACAAGCTTTATATATGGATGAAGAACATGTAACTTCAAATGAAGTGGATGTAACTTCATCATCATCATCAAACAATTCAATTTCACAAATCAATAATTACAATACAAATAATCCACAATCGTCGATCTATAATCCAAACAACGATAGCAATCATCAAGATCCCTCATCATTAACAGATAGCGAAGACAGTGACAATGAAGTAATGTTTAAACCAATACGATTGTGGGATAAATTTATAGATTTACCCGGTATAAAACAATTTAAAGCATTTATGAATCCACCATTATATGCAATGTTATTAAGTGTTATAGTTGCATCAACTCCATTGCAAAAAGTTTTTTTTGAAACTGGTAAAGAAAATGGTGATGGATCATTTATACATAATACATTAACTGAAGCAATTACTAGTTTAGGTTCAGTTTCTATACCATTAATTTTAATTGTATTAGGATCAAATTTATATCCATCGAAAGATATACCAGCTCCATCAAAACATTATAATCGTATATTATTTGGTTCCCTTTTATCAAGAATGATATTACCTTCATTAATATTATTACCAATAATTGCATTATGTGTAAAATATATTAATATTTCCATATTAGATGATCCAATTTTTTTAATTGTTGCATTTATTTTAACTATTAGTCCTCCAGCTATTCAATTGAGTCAAATTTCTCAATTAAATGGAATCTATCAAAAGGAAATGTCTGGTGTTTTATTTTGGGGGTATGTTGTTTTAACTTTACCAACTACTATTTTTATTGTTGTTTGTTCTTTGGAAGTATTAGAATGGGCAAATCCAAATTAAACAATATATAGGATTTTTGTAAAGAATCAATAATTAAGAATAGTTCTGGTCCAGCAACATTATTAACTGGCAAGTGATTGGAAAGGGCTTTTAAAATATACGTATCTATATCGGTCGTAAAATAAACTTTTCGTATTTCTATTATTTTTTACCCAATCTATCCGTAAATTTTTATTCAAATCTGTATACTATTAGCAAATAGTAGTATTATCAAAATTACTGAACTCAAAAATTGAAAAGATTCATTCATTAATGCAAGAAAATAATTAATTTCTTCAAATATAGACATGATTTGCTAAAGTAACTATATACGAACTTGAGTAAGTACAAAACAGTACCAGATTCAATATATGAAGTCAAGAACCAAAATTTTGCAATTACCAAATTAAATCATTTCTGGTTTATACAATTCCCACTATCTACCCTGTTAATGAATTTAAAAGTATGCAACACCGGACTATTAAGTAAAGACAAGACCAACACTAATTGAAATATGAAATCAAACATCAACAAAAATTAAATCTATTATAACCACCCAAATAACTTAAAAAGCTGATGATTAAAAATTATGATCCTGTGCTTGCTTTCTACTTTGAGAACTTCGGGTAGAATAATGGCAATTTTCTAAAAATTTATCTATTGGATTCAAAGATCTCTTTTTAAAATGTTAATCATTTGATAACTTCACTTATAAAATCCTATAATGATTAAATCACAAATTGAGTCTCAAATAATGTTATAAATAGTTCCAATATTGAGGATTTGAAAAAATGTAAATGTGAAGGTGATGACTTAGATACAAGTGATGATGTAGAATCATTGCATGGAATTGAAAAACAGTGTCTGGTCAATTATGAAAATTTGAATACAAAACTAAATAATTTTAATTTATTTCCAAATTTTCAAAATGCTAGAGCTGAACCCTCAGCTGTAGACGTTGCTGCACTCTTTCCAATAGTATGACGAGGTGTTTTGATATACTCTCAAAGTTAATAGACTCCACTTAGTACAAATGTTGTTTGAAGCAATTGTAGCTATTTTTTAAAACGTGAAATAACAAAATCTTGAACTGGCTTATAGTCTCACTAAGTCCATTTATTCAGCTCTCAGAATAACTCAAAAACATAATATGATTGAAAGAATGATCCAGATTTAGGAACTCACAATATAGTTGAATGAGTTGAGTAAAGTTGATTATCGTAGAAAATTCAACATCATGTTAGATTTGAAAACTCTGACAAATATTCTCGCCAAGTCCTGTTATTGAGCTCTCAAATTAATTTAAAAACAAAACCTTATTGGAAAAATGATCCAGATGACTAACATTATGGTTGAATGAATATTTCAGATATACAACATCATGTTAAATTTGAAAATTTCTGTATTATTAGTTAATGAAACAAAAGTAAAACAAAATTCAAAATATTAAAGTCTCAAAATTTAATATTGCCACCAATAGAATACTACTTTTTAATTAATTGATAGTTTTGCGAGAAACCAACACTCACTCTTATGGAAAATTGAAGCTCTTTGCGAGAAAATTGAACTATGACATAATTTTTCAATTAGTTCTCTCATGCACCAGCTAAAACGCTTAATATTTCCTAATTTAGATATTCAAATTGATTATAGGAATTGTTGTGAAGGTCAAACCATTATATAAATAAAACTCTTAGTTTGGTCAATGTGAGGAAAACATACCCAGTGACGAAACCAAACAATATGCTGGAAATTGATGCTATTAGAGGAACTTTTGAACCGAGCGATTTTGAAAAATTATAAATTTTGATATTTTCTCAAACCACGGACAGAATCATTGCATTCTCTGTTCTTAAACTTCTTTTACTACTTATTGTTACTCCTCTAAATATCGTTTTGAACTTCATTTCAAATAAGCGCTTTACTCACAAAAGTCAAGATTTTTTAGTTCTAGAAATAGATCTTGAACTAAATTTAAAATCTAATTTTTTCTAATTTTTAGTCACCGATGCAAAATTTGTAATTAATCTATAATGAACATTGCAAATTGCCAAGCACAAAAGTATCTAGTTTTAGCTCTTGAATACTTTTAATAACATTGTTGATCAGTTAAGAAAAATATTGATTAACAGAACAAATTTGATATCCCAAACAGCTTTTGCAAAAGCCGAATTACTCTTGGCAACTCGTCAAAGCACGATTTAAAAATTTAGCCTTAATGTACTTTGTTCTTTTATTTTTGCGATGTGCATATTAAAATTCAAACTAATGCAAGTGAAGCGTTTCTTTTGATCCAATTGATAACAACAAATTTTGGTCCATCAAATGATGCAAATGTTGGGTTCCGAACTAAAATAGTTAGCTGGTTAACTAATCAATATCCTGTACTTTCTTCAATTAGCTTTCTGTATTGGTTTCTGGGATCCACGTTTCAAAATTGGGTCTTGATTAGTTTAATTTAAACTTTTGTGCTCTGTTTTGGGATCCGTTAATGGGTTTTCATTCCTTTTGTTGTAAAAATCTTGAATATAGGCAACAGCTTCAACCCAGACAAACCTGGGTATTTTTGTAGAAACTGTGAATGATTAATTGGCCCAAAATTGGATTTGTACCCCTGGAGATTTAATGTTAAAGCAATATTTTTGACAAGGAATTTATATTCATCATTTTCAGCTTTATTTAACTTTTTAACAAGACAATTAGCAGTAAATGAAAATCCTCCAAAGGTACCTGGGTATTCTTGTAGACGCTTTGAAGAATTGATTGGCCCAGAATTGGATTTGTCTCCTATTATTTTAATGGTATAGCAATATTCTTTGACAAGAAATTTATATTCATCATTTTCAGCTTTAATTAACTTCTTATCAAGACAACAAGTCGTAGATAGAAATGCTTTCTTTTCAACACTTGTTACTGCATTTTAAATACTGACCAACGAGTAAATAAGTTTGAGCCTTCTCGAATTAATTTTATTTTTAATACTCCAATTTTGATTCATCTTACTTCATGTCCCGCCACTATTTGTTTCTCTTGTTATGATTTTATTACATATTTCTCAGTTAAGAAATTCAATCAAGTTCCAGCTATGAAGGAAATAGTCAATTTTGGACATGCATTATTAGTTGCTTATTTGTAAGCTCAAATCAAGTGACACCCTGATTTTCATGGCCTTTAAAAAGTTGAAAGTATTTAGTTTTTCTTGTATTTTTATTTAACATCTAAATACTAAGATTATTTGACAAAATATAACTAATCTATTTATAAATGTGTAATGTTAATCTTGTTAATCAAACCCACTAAATACGAAAATTGTTGAGAAATGTGACTTTTTTTGATATTATGATTCACTTTTCTACCTGCTCAATTCTTTGCCATATAATGGTTTGAGTAAAATACAATCGTAATGTTAAGGCAAAATAATCCTTTGTTGATTATGAATTTTTGGTCTTCTATAACCATTAGGTGGTCCATTAAAAACAGTGTTGCAAAACAAAACCGTTAGAAAATATAGTTAGTGCTTACTAAACTGCACTACCTTTTACTCGTGGTAGCGTATTCTCAAAATTTATTAATATGTTATCACTATCTTTGCGCTTTATTTCGATTCCTGGATCTAAAACTTGATTTTATTAATTACAACAAAACTAAAGAGATTATCATGAGCTTTATACATAGTAGTCATGAGATGTTTAATGATTTTTATCAAACACAGTTATAATGGGTTTCAACTTCTAGTTTTGAAAAATCAGCAAAATCTCAGTCTTTTATGATTAATAGATTTTAAAAATTTTTGACAATATTCGTAAATTGTGTCAAAATTAAATTTTTAAAATATTTTCACAAAATATATTGAAAAAATTTCACAAATATAGAACCTAGTCGTTACAATGTCACAAAAATTATGTGTGATATATTATAATTAATAGATTTAATTACGAACAATTATTGAGCTTGGCAGGGGTACGTTCAAGAAATTTGGATCATAAATTTTTGAAGTATTATATTTGACTATTTTGTGAATTTGTAACCTATGTTCTTTAACTGAGGTGGCTACTCACTATTAAAGTTTTCATTTTACCTTTTGATTCGAGCAAAATTGAAATTCTTGTAAATTAAGGCAAAATGAAAATGCAACTAAAAATAAGGTTTAGATAATGTACGTTGTTCCAATGGAAGACTTGCATGCCCAAATTTTGGAGGATTTAAAACAACCGGCAGGTTTGATTGCAGATTCGAAGTTTAAATAATAAGCACTTTACCAAAATAATACGTGAAGCAATAGACTTGAAAATGTCGGTAGGACGCTTTGTCTTGAAATTTATTAACTTTCATGCTTAATGATATCATGTAATTTTAAACCAAGGACAATCTTTAGTATCTGCACAAGAATTGATACGCGTTCATGAAAAGTACAGAGATTTTGAATTGAATTTCTTTTGAACAAAATTAAAGCCTACTCTCAATAGAACAATTTAACGTTAGATGATTGCTAATTATTGAGTTCAGTCCAGTTCAGTAGGAGAGAAGTGAACTTTATAAAAATTATTTATGCACAGATTTTATCTGAAATACAATAAAGGGGTTAGTATAAATGATACATTTTTATTGTAATTTGTTAAGAATTGTTTAGACAAAGGAAAACAAATCATGGAGGAACACACTAAGAACAATAAGTATTTAAATCATTGCATAACAAGAACGTTGTATAGTATCTGGAAGAACATAATTACAATAACCTTAACGTTACAATCTTGAAAAGATTAAAAAAGTACAATAAGTCGTTATAGTATTGTAATATAAAATGAAATTTGCATTGTCTCACTTTTATCTCAGATTGTTGTAGATTATTATTTCGTTGATATCGGTTTTAAAAATTACTATGATTTCGCTTAACTTTAATCAATTCCAGGTTTGTTAAATTTATAAAGATTTAAAAAAGTCACGAGCTATTCGTTATTGCGCATGGCAATTAGTATTATGAAGATCACCATGTGCTCTAACCAATTGCTGTGTGGTCGATCCCTAGCTTCATGTTGGTGGACTTTGACCCTTTTTACGGTCTACGTGTAACTTTCGTCGTATTCTTACATTTTATTGATTATAAGAGAAAGGAGTAAGTACTTTACCATGCATGGCTAAACCAAAGCACTAAATGACGTAGATCTTTGACTACTATGAAATCAAAAATGATATACTGATTAAAAAAATCTGAAAACATAGTACCCCACATAAGATTTATTTATTATACAAATTTAAATTTGCTGTGGTTATTTTAATAAAATAAATTTTGTATACTGCGCTTGAAGTGAGTTAACTTATAATCTTCTATTATATGCTAATTCTCAACGAGTTTAGCACTTACAACATGATCTACAATTGAGTTTACTACTAATATCGGCAATCTTTTCAATACTTGCTTAATCTTTCACGGCATTTGGGGATTGACAATTTGTTCTTTTCTACTGAAAAACTTAGTTAAAATTCCATATCAGTGCGTTGTGCAGAATACATTAAAAAGTTTATTTTAAAATATGGTTTTATAGTTTTATTTTAATTCTATTGTAGTTTATTTTTTTAATCTGGTTTTGCAATCTTATTTTAATTTTTTTTGTAGTTCCTTGTTTTGAAATGTTCGACAATATTCTATTTTTAGAAACAATTCGAGTGCTTGGTCTAAAACAAAACAAATTGCATGTCCAGATATGAACAATCAATTTGCAAGTATACCTTGAAAACAAACTAAGCCAAACTTTATTCTTTAGCACTTGAGTCTGATCTTTTACCTAAGCTTAAATTGTCTAACTGAAAATAAAATTCTTCAAAATCTTACTATATCCAGAAATATTTTCCCATACAGTCGTAAAATTCAGCAAGCGGAATTTTAAGATCTTATTAATTAATGATCTTTAAGGGTATTATAAATGATCGCCACGGCGTTTGCTATGACGCCATATTTTAACATTCTTCGCGTTGATAAAATTATAGCTACATTAAATATTTAAAGAACATATGAATTTATAATAAACATTCTGTAGTTGAGTAGGATGAAAGAGCAAGTAGTCCCATTCAACTACTATAAACTACACAAGATGCTTAATCAAACAGTTCAAAATAGGCGTTTCTGTCATTAAAATTCTCCAATTCATAATTATTACCAAGGAACAATTCAATTTATGATCTTCTGAAAAAAGTTACTCAAAAACATTTACGAATTTTTATTTTTCTTGATAATCATTTTCATAATCTTGAGAGGCGACGTAATGAGTTTCTATAATAAGTTACTGTTTTATTTAAGTAATTTTACATCTTTTCCCTCATAATAATAAAGTACATTCTCTCATAATTTATATTCTATTCAATTGATTGAATCATAAAGCGAGCGCAATTTAAAATAATATGACTTTAACTTTTAATCTTATATCTTAAATCTTGAAATTCACTAAGCTCATTTTTCAACTAGTTTGTGGATAATTCAAACTAATCTAACTAATCTTTAACTCTTATTAAACTTTGAAGTCTAACAACATTTACTTTCCATTTAGTGCTAAATTTCGTATTTAAATCAATTAATTAGTAGATTTTATAGCTACTAAGTTTCAGAGAATCGTATCACAAAATTGAATCTACACATTTTTTACAGTTACTATTTTCAATTTTGAGTAATAACTTGAAAAATGATGAATGTAATGTAATTATATATTATAATAAGTTGTCAAACCCCATATTTTAATACTAAAAATTCGTACTCAATCTGATTTTAATTTTCTTGAAAAGTACAATAGTGGTAACTTACATTAATTTGACAGTTAATAACTCTTTTAAACACCGACTCCTTTGATTGAATTAAAATTCATTTATTTATATGATTTTCTAACTCATCAATTTAATATATCAATCGTTCCAAAATTGCACTCTTTGAATAGTATAGTTGTTGATGCAGTTATAAAAAGATTTTGAATTTTTTCCATATTTTTATGAAGATCCGGTTCTGATAAATTATTACTAATAAATTTCTATTATTAATATTATAAATTTCTAATATGTAAAAAAAATTAATTAAAATTAATTAAAAAATAAATAAAAAAAAAAATATAACCTTTTTCAATTTAGTGTTAAAGTTAAAAAATTCGTAAATGCAAGTTGATCATGGAATTTTTGTAGAAAAAAGAAATCAAAATCTTAATCAACAATGTTTGTTGTTCAAATTTATTTAATCAATTATAGATCTATTAATGATATGAATTTAAAGGGGTAGATTACCAAAAGACTATTTGGAGTCGCTTCACTGTTAACTCTAATATGGACATCCATAGTTTTTTGCTTTACTCATTTAAGATAAAAGCCCTTAGTAATTCTTACTTGAGAAGAAAGATATATATTATCACAACAATATCTCAATAATAGTCATAAACAAAATAATTATGTAAACAACATTAAACTCAAGCTAATCTTTTTCATTATCTTCGTTATTGCATTCCATAGAAACCAAAAACTAATTAAAGTTATTTTACTTTATTTAAGTGGAAATACATTATGCACAAACATTGTAAGCTAACCAATCTTTAGAGTTTATACATATTTTGGAATATTATTATACAATCTTTACCATATTAATTATTTATACAGATTTCAACACTTTAATTAACAATCGAGAAAAAGATATAGTATTGATAAGTTCAATTATTTATTTGATAAGTTTATTATATATTACATAATTTTTGCGCAAAAAGTTATTGAGTTTTATACAATATGTATAAAATACTAAAATTTAGATTTTATTCGTTTGATAATCTTTTCATGATAATTAAACGAAAGAAAGAAAAGGGCATTATTTACATTTTATAATTTCCTTTTTTATCATCACCAGTATTTATTCTTAATTTAGTGATCAAACAAATTTAACTTTATTATAAAGTTTAAAATTGATATGGCGATTTGACAGATATTTTTTATGGGTTAAAAAAATGTTCTATACCTTAATTGTTAACTAAATTTCTAATTTTGTGGAACTCATATTCCTTATATCCACACGTTGATCTATTGATTATAATATTGATTATAATGTTCTTATGTGACATAGAATTATTAATTGTTACCAGTATGATACATAAATTAAACCTGTTTTTCTATTTATTTTATATACTAATCTCTTATTAATAATATTATAAATAATATTACATATGTTATTTTGAAAAAAAAAATCATTATATATACAGACCATTTATCCTCTCATTTTTCAAATCTAAATTTCATGTTTATGTTTTGTTTTATTTCTTCCTCTTGTTTTCTTGTTTCCTTTTTCTTGTTCTCTTAAAAAAGCCTTTCATCAGCCTCTTGATCAATAACGTTTCAGAATTTATTACTATTAATAATAACTACTAAAATTATTCATAACAGTTACAATCAATTAATTAATATACAATATATTAAAAAAAATTCTTTAAATAAATTAAAATTTAATTCAATTGCTAACTCATTAATCACAATCGTTACGAATAAATAAATAAATAATTTTATTACTATCATTTTCATTCATATTCACAAAATCAATAATAAAGTTTTTTAATTAATTACACAAATTATATTAATTATAAATTGTTTTAATTAAACTAATATTAAACGAACATTTCACAAATCCCCCAAAAAAATCAGTCAAGTTCATACATTATAAAGCATTTTGAATTTTGAATTACATTAAAATACTATTTGTACACACGGTAATATAAAGAAAGAAAATTTTATTTTTTTTGAAGTAATATTACTTAAATTTATTTTAATTTTCATACTTTAATCAACTGGCAAAAAAAAAAATAACCCATAAAAAATTTGATCCATTTACAAACTCCTAGTTTATTTTATATCTAACAAATTTTGAATAGGTTTATAAAAGTTAGTGACTATCATTATAACGAACAGTTACTGGACCAAAACTATAATTAATGTTCAAATCTGAAATTTATTTCAATATCGGAGATTTATAAATTTTTAAGTCAATAAAATAAAGTAAAATTAATAAATTTTACATACCCTTCATTTTAAAAACACTTAATTGAGTCAATTTCAAATAAGCATTGAGAACCTTCATTTTTTGAGTGGTAATTTATTTACAACTTATCGTTTTGAAATTTCATTACATCATTTTCAACGTATTAGTTTTGCATGATATTTGCAACTAAAAAATTGTTTTAAATAAATATTTCATTTCAAGTCAATTAAAGCTGATGAGTTTATACAACAATACATTTGAATACAACAACACTGAAATTAACATCATAGAATCAAATAAGAAAGCTTTTTCAAATTTGCCTGACTACAATAACAATAACTATTTTGATATTGGAAGTCTTTTGGAGTTTAACAATCATCAATCTTTTTCATTAATATCAGAACAAGATCAAGTGGATTTGGATATAAATTCAGACGAAGAAAAATCAACACCTTTTGATGGTTCATTTGATATAATGTCAGTCGAAGAAAATGAAAACCAAAAAGATGATGATATTAAGACTGATATTACAACCAATAGTAGTACCAAATCTTCACCTCATAATATAGTAGGTACAAGTCCAAATCTTAGTGGAAATTATTTCAAAAATTTATCAATTAATTCCAATAAATCAAAAAGAGATGAAAATCCAGAACTGATCAATTACTCACCTATTATTAATTCTCAAAATTTGAATTTAAATTTAATTCAATCAAATAATTTTAGTTTCAGAAAATTAGGGGGCGAAAATAATAATGAAAATAAATCATCAGAATTTTTGAATTCAATTAATATTAATTTAGCTAATCCAACAACAAACTTTGGTTCATCATCATTAAATACAAGAAATATATATGATATACAAAATACATCAAATTCTTTACCAAATTCATTACAAAATGTAAATCAAAATCCTCCTATTTCATATAATAATAATTCAATAATAAATGCTGCAACAAAATCTAAAATTAATACGCATAATGCAGAAAATGTTATAATTAATCAACTGCCTCGTGCTACCAGCTTTACATTATTACTGCATACAAATAATAAAATTAATAGAAAAAATTCTTTTTCATATAATAATAATAATAATAATAATAATAATAATAATATAAATAATAATAATCCATTATTATTAAATTTGGCAACAACTAATTTTAATTTACAACAACAACAACAACAACAACAACAACAAAATCAACAACACGCTCATTTATCATCACATGAATTTCAAACCCATATAAATTATGATCAACAACCTACATTTAATATTTCATCATCATTACCTTTATCAAGTTCATCTTCTTCATCATTAACAAATTTATCAGTACCAGTATTACCAAGTAGTAATAATTCTTTACAGAATACAAAATTAAATATAATTACAAATTTAAATAAATCTTTAAGTGCTTTGTCATCACCAATAAACCCTAGTTCATCTGTTAGTTTAATGGCATCAAAAGTTTTACCAAATGAACCTAAATCGATTGGGGTTGTACAATCTACAAATACTTCAGCTACAAATAAAAACAGATCTAGTTCATCAACAAGTGAAAATGCTAATCCAATGCTTCAGTCTTCTTCGTCATCATCAAATATCTCGACGATAAATTTATCACAGAATGAAAAGATCAAAAGAAGAAAACATAAAAACTCAAAATTAGGTTGTCCAAATTGTAAGAAAAGAAGAGTTAAATGTTCAGAAGATTTACCATCATGTATCAACTGTATTAAACATAAAGTGAAATGTGGTTATTTAGAATATACTGAAGAACAATTACAAGAATTAAGAGAAGCTAAACAACAAAATCAAATTCAAAAATTAACTCAACCGAGAAGTGTCACTGATTCACAAAAATTAATTCAAAGGTCATCTTCAAGTAGTAATATAGCTAAAAATGATGAAGATAGTGAATCAGATAATGAGGAAGAACAATTAACTGCAAATGTTAATGCCAATAGAATCATCAAACCCAAAGCAAAAAGACAATCATCTGCATCATCAATTAATAAATTATCAGATCAATCTTCAAATCGTAAATTATCGGTATCCAGGAAATCCAGTAGTAACAAAAATTTACCAAAATTATCAACTTTGACAAAGGAAGATGATGAGTTTGTTAATACAACAAGAGATAAATTAAATATACATCGACAAAATTCACATAGAAAAAGTGTTACTCAAAATTTCGATAATTTATTGAGTACTGAAGATGAAAATGAAATTATATATCCAGTTTATAAAATACAATCAGAATCAATATCACCTGATGAAAAAGATAAATTAAGGTTACCAACACATCATTTACAAGACGATATAAATATAGATTCTCCTCAACAATATCAAACTCCACAACAATTTCACCTGATGACACCACTTGAGCATCAACATCACCAAATGAATTCACAAGCTTTACCAGGTGCTATTTATCAAACAGTAGCTTTCAAATACAAAAAACGAAAAGAAATAGACTATTCTAAATTCTTGTTAGAAGTCTTGAAAGCAGTTGGTCCTGCGATTCATAAAGGTGAAGCAAATTTATTTCAAATTAGAGAATTATACACGTTATGGTTAAACTCATTTATTTTCAAAGGTTATACAAGTCATTTAATGTTTATGGTATTATTAAATTTAAGTGCCAATTATCTTATATCAAATTGTTTTAATGATACTTATAAATATTATAGTTCAGATGGTGAAATTTCACTGATTTCTAGAGGAATTGAATTAGCAAGAGTTAGACAAACTTGTTTAGTTAAATCAATTCATTATTATGCTGAAGTTATAAAAAGTTTAAGAACATTGTTGAATACAAATGCTGATCCTGATACTGCTGGTTCTGTATCATATATTTTGAGTTTAATGTCAGTATATGATCCAGAAAGTTCACTTAATTCAACTGTATGTTTTAGAGAAGGATTATTTGGAGTTTTAACCTATAATATTAATTCATCAATGAAAAGTGGGAAAGTTCCAAGATTAGTTCCAACTCATTTAAAATTAATGGCAAACATTGTTTCATCTATACATTTTCCAGGTTATGATCCAACATTTATAATTGAATGTCAACTGTTATTTATAAGGTTTGGTGAAATCTTATTACCAATGATTGAACATGGGAAAGTTAATTCAACTTCAAATCAATATTTAACTCATCAATTCTTGGAATTAAAATATAAAGAATTACTACAATTTCTAAATGAATCAATTGAACATTATTTACCACAAATTAATAATAATTTATTTGATATGGAATTACAACAAAGACTATTATATGATTTAATTATAAAATGGGTTAAAATGTTTCCTGGTAAATTTATTGCAAACAAGAAGACTCAAGGTCCCATGGAAAAAATCTTATATTTATTTTATAAATTAGTTAAAAAATCATTATTGGCAATATTCCCACAAATTAAATTTTTCTTTTTAAGAGATTTTGATAGTCCATTAATGATGGATGTTTTTGCAAGTAATGATGATTATGATATTTATAAATTTGAATTACAAAATCCATCAACAATGAAATTTGATTTTAAAATTTATCAACCTTTTATAAATGAATTAAAATATATTTCATCATATTTAATAAGAACAATTACATTTTTCCAATTAAGATTAAGTTTATTATATAAATTTTTAGTTGAACATATGGCACAAGAAAAATTTAATATTATGGAAATTAATCAATGGAGAAATAATATAAGTGATATAACTAAAATAAGACATGAATTTATTGAAAAAATAGGTATAAAAGAAATTCAAATTACTTCATTTGCAAAACAATATATTAGAAAACAAAATTATCCTCAAAGATCTATTGGTTATGAATTAAATGTAAATGAATTAATTGAAAGTTCAATTATTGATGATGGTAATATTGATTTTATGAAATTAAAACCACTGGGTTTATTAAATGATGATTTTGATATTAGAAATGAACAGATATAAAAGGAAGGGAATAAATAATAAAATTAAAGAAGCATTATTAAAGTCCTACTAGTTAAAATTTTTTAACAAATGTATTTTATTAAATTACAACCTAGAATATTTTTCAATTCTTCATATATTTTACGTAAAAATTTTTGAACGAGTAAATAAATTAGATAAAATATTAAATCATTGCAAGATCGATCAATGTAGATAATCTCAGCTCCTGTTTGAACTGGTTGTACGAACTAATTAACTCTGATACTTGCAAATAGAAATATTATAATTCTCTTACAAAAAAATATCAAATATTCTCGTACAATAATAAATAAATTATCCAGCTTTACGCACTAAACAATTAATGCGCTCGTTAAAAAAAGTCTCCTAAAATTTATTTTAATCAACAACAAACAAAAACAAGAAAAAAAAAAATTAATATAAAACTAGAAATTGAATCTAAAACAATATTTAATACAACATCATTGATTTTGATATATACAAAAGAAAAGAAAAATTAATAACAAGCTAGAATCATTTTTTTTTATCATTATAGCATATTTTCACTAGTTACTGTTCAAAAGTATTAAGAAACTATATCATCACATAACTAAATAAAATCAACTAATTTGAACAGCAAAGATTAAAATAACATAATTAATTTCACACATTTAATATAGCCCCAAATAAAATTTAAAAATACATACACAACTACATAATACACATATAAAATAATGTCAGATAATACAGATGATTATTCATATGATTATGAATATTTATATAAAATAGTATTAATTGGAGATTCAGGAGTTGGAAAATCAAATTTATTATCAAGATTTACAAGAGATGAATTTAATTTAGAAAGTAGATCAACAATTGGAGTTGAATTTGCAACAAGAACAGTTGAAATTGATGGTAAAAGAGTTAAAGCACAAATTTGGGATACTGCAGGACAAGAAAGATATAGAGCAATTACATCTGCTTATTATAGAGGTGCAGTAGGAGCTTTAATAGTTTATGATATTTCAAAAACAGAAAGTTATGAAAGTGTTAGTAGATGGTTAAAAGAATTAAAAGAACACGCTGATGCAAATATAATAATAGAATTAGTTGGTAATAAATCTGATTTAGATCATTTAAGAGCTGTACCAACAGATGAAGCAAAAAATTTTGCATTAGAAAATAATTTATTATTTACTGAAGCTTCAGCATTAAGTTCTGATAATGTTGATTTAAGTTTTCATCAATTATTAAAAAATATTTATGAAATGATTTCAAAACATCAATTAGATATTAATGAACAAAGTGGTGGATTAAAAACAAGTAATAATGGTCCTACTATAAGTTTAACTCCTGCTCCAAAAGATAAAAATAAAAGTAAAAATAATGGTGGATGTTGTTAAAGTTTGAGGAGTTATACAATTATATAATACATTTAATTTTTTTTTTGATTTTATAAGTATATTTATATTATATGAATTTGTATATATATATAATTATAAAAATATACAAAAAATATATAATATATTTATAAAATGCAGATATTTCTAGTTATTAATCATGAAAATGGAGTAACGAATTATACATACTTAATCATTATAAATGTAATGAATTGTATATACATATACATATATATATATGTTGGTGATTTATGCAATTTTTTTTAATTTACCAATTGGTTGTTTTATAATTCTATTTTTTTTACCATTTGCAATTCTTGTTTTTAAATCAATTAATGGACCAGTTTCAATAGTAAAATTAACAATTTGCTCACCTCTTAATATTATTAAACCTAATTGTCTTTTTACAACATCCGGTTTGTTAATTTTTGGTATTTCAGTTGGAAATAATGGAGTATTTTTAGTGGTTATAGTCGGTCTCTTGTTTTTATTCTTATTATTTTTTTTCAATTCTTGCCAACTCTTTTTTGTAATTCTTGATTCTTCACAATCTGATAATACTAAATTCATAAATTTATCAAATGATAATAATGATCCAATATATATTCTATTATCAATTGTTGTAATTTTTAATCTATAATTTATTAAATCCGACATTCTTGTCTTTTTAGTAATCGGTAGTTTTGATGACTAGAAATAAATAAAGTTAGTATATTTGAAAAGATATTGACATCATCATCATCATCATCATGTCAATCTTAGACTAATTTTTCTATGAAAATCGTTGAAACAATAACTATTTTAATATGATGATAGTTTGCTAAAATTTTAAAATTTTATTAAAACAATATTAAGACATACCATATCTGAAATTATATAATGACTATTGCTATGATGAATTTAAAAATAAGTGTGTAAAATGTGATAATATATATAAAATAAATATATTTAAATTTCAAATCGTAAATAAATTTAAATCAAGTAAAGGAAGTTTAAATATAACGATATTTGTAATATGTGATATAAGTTAAAATATTAAAGAACTAATTTGTTATATGAATAATGTATGTATGTCTTATAATTATACAATTGTAACTGTTTTTTTGCTCAAAATATTATTATTATGACATCAAACCTCAATAAGAAATGTAGTGTAAATTTTACAGAAATTTATATACTAATACTATGGTATATTATAGTATATTGCGAGTTATAACTATAAAGTATACTGTAGTAGAACTATATTAATTATCCTATAGTGATAGGAAGAAATTCTTCTCATGAAAAGAGCCTTGAGTTACTACTATTTAATCCTGGTCACTCTTGTCTACTCAAATAAATATATTTTAAAGCGTAAGTCGTCATCGACTATTCTAAATTTACTACATTCTCTATCACGGAGTTGTTTTTAAGAATACTTAATATTAAAATGTTAATCTTGTAGTACAAAAAGTTCAAAAAGAATTGAAAAATTCGGGGTGGTTTTATTTTTAAATATTTTTATTATTATTCGAAATTAAGAAAAAGGGAAGAAGCAAATTAAATTCTAATAGTTTAGTATTGAATAATAATTATTTATTCTAATAATAATAAAATGTGAATTGCTCCCGAAAAATCAACGAACTTATAATTTTAAATATTCTTACAATATATATTTCATTCAATTATTAATATAGAATTATATTATAATTTTTAATTCTATTAAATTCTATTATAAATATCAATTGAATATTCCAATTATTTTTTAGAATTTTTATAAATTTTCTTCTTTTATATATTTTATAAAATCAATTGATTAAATATTATATTGAAAAGTCAACTTAATTGAATATAATTAATATTAATTAAAAAAATGGCTGAAACTGAAGATAAAAGAAAATATAATGGTAAACATTTAACCAAAAAGGCAAGAGAAGAAAGAGAACATGATGATAAAGTTTCTGATAAAGATGATAAAAAGGAAAGAAAGAAACAATTAGAAAAAGGTCATGATGAAGCAACTGCTGAAATTGATGATAGACAAGAAAAAGAAGATTTAAAAGTTGATAATGAATTATTAGAAAAAACATTTGGAAAACCTGATTCAGATGGTAAAAGATCAAAATCAAAAGCAACTGGAGAAGAACCAGATAAAAAGAAAAAGAAAAGAAGAAATTATGATGATGATGAAAAAGATAAAAAAGATGCTAAAAAAGATGATGAGGAAGAAGAGGAAGATGATGATGAAGATGAAGATGATGAAGATGATGAAGAAGAAGAAGATTATGATGAATCAAAAGCTGATGAAGAAAATGGTGATGAAGATGCAGATCCATTAGTTGAAATTGATGAAAGTAATATTTTAAAAGATGGTAAAAGAACAAGAGGTAAAAAAATTGATTTTAATGAAACTGCTGAAAAATTAGATAAAGAAAATGGTATATTACAAGAAGATGGTGATAAGGATGGTGATGAAGTACCTGCTGAAAAAGATGTTGCTGGTGATGAAAATTTAGATGATGATGAAGAAGATTATGAAGAAGGTCAAGAAGCTTATGAAGAAGAAGAAACTGAAGCTGTTGAAGTTTAAAATGTCTAATTTAAAAAAATTACCATCTTTTACTTATATAACAAACAGTCGGAGTTTTCTTTTTGTATGTTTGATACATACATACTTTATTTTTGTTCTATTCTAACTTGTTATTTATATAGTTAAAAAAATTTATATATATATTTATATACTTATGTTTGTAACAATAAAAAATTTATCAATATTATTAAATTATAGTCAATTATTCTTACTGATACTTTGAAGAGTTGTTCATTGTAAATTATGGAATTAATTTTGGTTGTAAGTTTTTATTTTTTTGCAACTGTCACACGGTAATTTATTTGTCTTAAGTTAGTGACAAGTTCGACGTAGATTTTAGACTTTTCTGCAATCTTAAGTCGCATTACACTTATTACGAAATACATAAATTTAAATTATGTCGAAACGAGAACTTTCTAATACAATTCGTTCACTCATCTTAAATACATTCTGAATTGTAATAATGAATGGTCTTGAATGAAAGAATTTAGTAGAGATTCAAATCTCTTAAATATAGTAGTTTCTCGATAAAATGAAAATATTTATTCTTCATCTCTAAAAATATAAAAACTATAAAAAGTTTGTAAATATTGAGAAGTATTTATATACTTCAAAAACTAATAAAAAATTATATATAAAAATAATAATATAAAAAATCACGACATTTAGAACAATGTGTTATAATTTGACTTATGTCCAATTAACCTATTTTGTTACCAATGTAGGTAATTGGTGACACAACCACATTTTATCTAAATTTTAATGCGAAAAAGTGTATATTTTTAACAGCCAAAAAGTAAAAAACATAAAGAATAAAAAATATATTATTAATCTACAATTTTCAAATTTAAGGTAAAGAATAAAAACTTTTGAACATAATACCTTTAAATTACAAAAAAAAAACTAAAAGAAAAGTACAAACCCCAAACTAATCATAATATTAAATAAATAAATAAGCTAAGAACAAAATGAAGTAAAAATTAAATAAATTAATATGACAAAAAAAGAATAATATTCGCAAACCAATTTGAATGCTATATTATTTCTTCTTCTTCTTTTATAGTTATTGATTGTTGTGGATCTAGGGAGTTATCAATTGAGTTTAATTTTTCTAGTTCTTCATCAAATGATTCAATTGGATCCAATGTATTTATATCCTCAATATGATCATCATTATTATTATTGTCGTCAATGTTGTTATTATTAAGATGACCAGTATCATTATCACCGTTGATTTCTAATACTGATTCATTTCCATCTATTATATTTCCATTTTCTTGTACTTCCATTTCTTCTTCATTCTTTATTATTGAATTTTCATGACCATTTGTCTCTCCATTTGTTTCTTCTTCTTCAACTTGACTTTGACCATCAGTTTGAGCTTGAGCTAGAGCCTGGGCTTCGGCTTCAGCAGCTTCAGCAGCAGCAGCCGCTTGTAATTTTAATTGCTTCTTAGTTAATTTAATCTCACCTCTTTCTTGTCTTATACTTTGTTGTTCTCTATATTTAGCTAAATAAATTTTTAATACTTCAGCATAATTTTCAAACCCCAAGTCATACATCAGATATAAAATATCTTCACCATTTATAGTTTTACGTTTTTCCCTAAGACATCTATCACTTGCTTCACTTGTTATAAATGATATAAATTCAGAAACACATTCTTGCATACACTCTTTAGCATCTTTTGAAACTTTTGCAGTTGATGGTAATGTATTTTTCATTAATCTTGCTACATTTGCTATAGGTAACCATCGATCTTGTTCTCTTAATTCTATATCTCTTGCATTTTGATCCATTATTTTGATTTTTTAAAGTTTTAGGTTATAGTAGTACGTGAGTTTTTTTGGAATATTTATGTTTGAGAAATAGTTAATGATTAATTAATATTTATGTGAGATAGTGAATATTATATTATACTATTCATGGACTGTTTTACTTGAATATATATATATTTTAATATTGTAGTCTTGTAAATTCAAACTTGATTACTATTAATTCTATTGTAAATGGCTAGAATCGTGTATTTAAAAATGTTCGGTTAAAAAAAAACAAAATTAAATTTTTCAAAAATTAAAAAAAAATAAAAAAGTAAATTTCGCAAATTTGGAAGTGACAGGAGATTTAATGTTGTGACAAGTGTGGAAATATGTGTTAACATCTTTAATGTTGCTTGATAGTTCATTAATAAAGTTACAAATCTTCATATAATATCCAAAAGAAATTGATTAACCAAAGTTTCAATCGACTAATTCAAATATTGATCATCATTATTAATTGGTTAATCTGCAATTTATGTACAAAGTTTGGCAAATAAGTCAATTTTCATTCCAAAGTTGCAAGCATAATGTCACTAAAGATCAAAAAAGATGATACAATTCAATTAAACAAATCAGAAGAACCTAAATCCAATGTAATAGAAGAAACGGCGAAAGGAATAACATCACTAGTATTTGTCCAAATAATAACAAAATTATTCACATTTTTATTAAATCAATTATTAATAAGATTTATATCACCTGAAATATTTGGATTGACAATATATTTAGAATTTTTAGTATCAACTATATTATTTTTCAGTAGAGAATCCATAAGATTATCTATTCAAAGAATAACAAATGATCTTAAAAACAAAACTAGAACGTTACAAAAAATTATAAATTTTGGTTTTTTACCTTTATTTTTATCAATTCCTATTACTTTATTATTAGGTTATTTTCAAGGATATAGATCAGATAATTTCCAAAATTATCTATTGAATTTACCTTTTCATAATTTGATTTTGGTGTTTTTGGTTTTGCTGATTATTTTGGAATTAAGTATTGAACCAATATATTGTGTTTATCAATATCAATTAGATTTTAATAAAAGGTCTAAATTTGAGAGTATTGCATTATTTATCAAATGTGTTACTACTTTTATTGGAGTTTATTTTGCGAAATATTATAAATCATCATATTCTGAATTTAGTGGATTATCAATTTTAGCATTTACAATTGGTCAATTATCTTATTCATTAACGTTATTTATATTATATTCTGTTTCATTTTTGGGATTTAATAAAGTAAATGGAACTAATGTTGAATATTCAATAGTTAATGTTGGTGAAGGAAATAAAACTCACTATTTTGACTCAAATGTTATTGCAATTTTCAAAGGATTCTTCATTCAAATGATTTTTAAACAATTATTAACAGAAGGTGATAAGTTACTAATTTCATATTTATGCACGATTGAAGAACAAGGTATATATGCAGTGATTGTAAATTATGGATCAATTATTGCTAGAATATTATTTCAGCCATTAGAAGAATCAACAAGATTAATGTTAACAAAAATTGTAAATAGTAACGAAAAATCTAAATTAGATTCATTATTACAATCATTTACATATATTAAAATGATAAGTTTATTTTATTTTAATTTATGTGCATTTTTATTATTTACAGGTATAAGTAATGGATCATTTTTATTAAAGTTCATGATTGGTAAACAAAATAGATGGGAAACAGCAAATATTTATGAATTATTTCCAATTTATATTGTATATATTCCATTTCTAGCATTCAATGGGATTTTTGAAGCTTGTTTTACAAGTATTGTAAAACCACAAAATATGCAAAAATATTCAAATTTTTTAACATTTGTTACTGTGTCCATTTTGGGGTTATCTTATTTGTTGATAAAAGAATGGGATTATAGATTGACTGGTTTAATGATTGCAAATATGATCAATATGTTTATGAGAATAATATACTGCTCAACAGCTATAAAAAATTATTATAAACCTTTGAATAAAAAAATGGGTATATTACAAATCGTACTGTATACATCTGGTTCAGTTGGTGTAACAATTGGAATTTGGTTGCTACAATATTTCTTTGTATTTAAGGAAAAATCTTATGTTACTAAGACTTGGGAAGAATTATTTAAAAGTGCTGTACTTTCAGCTGTATTGTTGATAAATTTAATGATATTAGAAAGACAAAATCTACAAAATACCGTTAAACGAGTGTTTAAAATAAAAGATGAATAAACAATTATAGACTACACCGTAATAATTACTTTTTTTAGCTCTTAATAAAAATTATGATGTAAAAAATTACAAAAATTTAGAGTCGTATCACATAGACACTAACAAATTATTAATTAGCTAACGATGTGCCATCCAATATCGCCTCCATTACGGATAATATTACTGTGCTGAATTACTTCCCTCCAGTGATGATATTATTAATTACCTGAATTAAACATATTGATTACTCAAATAGTTTAAAATTCAAACCGCAAGAATCGAACTGGACACTTCGAAAATTTGAACAATTTAATAGTGTACAAACAGTGCACTTCCGCCAAAAGCCATCACAGCCAAAAATCTTATAAAACTGAAGCAGGGTCTATTTGACGGGTTACATAGTAAATTACTTTTCTTTGACATCAACCATATGGCTTGCTACGAAAATTTGAGCCTATAGCATTGATATATAAGTAACTATCATGCTCCCTGAATGGTATAGTAAATTACTAGAAGAAAGAGAAGTTTTTTTTTTCAGAGGTAATCTCTCTTTTTCTATTTGACTAAAGATGAGCAAATTACTACAACTGAATACTCCTCCTGATCCATCTCTTAATTGCTGCAATTTGTCTGTTTGCATAACCGCTTAATTGGTATCTTTAGTTATTGTTATGCTAGCGAAATGGCGGTAATTGTAAAATTTAATGGTTGTTATAACTCGAAACATCTGAAACATAAAAGAAGAGTAGAAAAAATAATCGAGATTTATAATCACCTATACATCAGAATTTACAACCTCATAAAATGTCAATAGCAGATCTACTGAAAGAAGTAGATAATTTAGCCAAAATAATTATAAATAAGAATGCAGAGTTGGAACAATTAAAGAAAAGATATGATAGCAAAATTAAGATAATTAACGATTATATTTCAAAAATACGACCAGAACTGGTAAATGAAGAACAAATATCAGATGAACAATTCGTAAATCTACTAAATAAGGACGTCAAATGTACTCAATGTGGTCATCAATTAAACAACAAAGAAGAAGATGAATTTTTACTAATACCCAAAAATCAAATTCAATATTTACTACCGCAAGGACAGTTGCATACTCAACCAATACTAAAACAAGATCCAAACCCCATCAAACCAATAGAGTCTAAAAGTAAAAAAAAGAATCATATCATATGTTCATTTTGTAAAGAATCGGGTCATACCAGAGCTAAGTGTCATAAAAAATTAGGAATTCAGACATCATAAAAATAATCAAGTATCTTATAAGCTTTTTTTTAAAAAAATATTCATTGATTCATTTCAACATTCATTACTAATAATACATAACTTTTTATTAAAGAATAATCTATTTTGACGCTTGAACCATAGCTTCTATCAGTAGTGAGTTAGTATACTTATCAAAATAAATAAATTTTCCAATGTAAATTATCGAACATACCTCTTCTTGATGCATCTTGTAATAAAGTACAATCAACAGAATTTGGACTCATATGAACATAACGAACAGTTGAACCTCTTATAAATAAATTTTTAACAGCTTGTAAATAAGGATATTTATCACCATTTGTACATGTTATATTATCTAATTTTAAATTCAAATATTGATCTACTGATTTCAATATTCCTTTTATTTCCATATCATTTTTTAATTCTACTGTTACTTCGGTATCTACTAGTGTTTTGAAAAAACTGAAAAATAGCATTATTAAGATTGTTGTATTATATGAATTTGTTGATGATTATGTTGATGTTTGTTTGTAAATAGCTGGTGAATAATTTTTTTATTTTTTTTGTGTTTTGGATATTAAAACAGTACTGAAAAGATTAAGCTACAACAATTGATAAAATAATTACTATGCATTGAATATATGTACAATTAGTGGTCGTCATCTTTAGCTATTTTTCCAGGAGTTATAAAATTTCTATCATCAAAAAATGAATCAAATTCACATGTAAAATCTTCGGTAGTAGTTGAAGGTCTGACATATTGGACAATCTTATCAGTTTCATATTTATAGAAATTTTCGGAAAAACTTGAAGAAGGATTTTGGGTAGTAACTGGTGCGGCTATTGTTGTATTAATTTGGTTTAAATAATACAATGGATCAAGCAGTTGTGGTGTAAATATTTGTTGTGAACTGGTTTCATAATCATCAATGATTTTAAAACAAGATTTAACTGATTGATTAAATTGGTTACCAGATAAGTGTTCATTGAGGGGTTTAGATCCATTATCATCGAATTTGACACTTTCTTGATAATTTTTGAGTTTGGACTTTGAATTCAAGCTAAAAACTTTCGATAAATTTTGATCAATATTTTCCTTATTTTCATTGTTTCTCATGACATTTATTGGAGATGATACAAGTTGTTGTTGTTGAATATTATTAAAACTCAGGGTATTTTTAATTCTACCTAAAACTTGGTGTTTTGAACTACTACCTTCTATTGGAGGTAAGTTATATGATGAAGGTGTTTTAGTCTTGATGCTTAATGGTGGTGTATTTGCTATTGCAATTACTGCATAACTTTTTTTATCTTCCATTTCAGCAATTAATTGAACTTGCAACATGGCATTTTCTTGTTCAGGCATATTGATCTTAATACGTTTGCTACCCTTTATTTTGAATTGTATCCTATCAAAAACAGCTGTTGTGTTGAATGGTACACTATTTTCATAATTGGACAATAAGGAATTACTATTGCTTTGAATACTGAATTGATTGTAATCAATGGTTGTCAATCTTTTTAAAGTATCTCCTTTTTGCTTGTTACTAAGTCCTTTAACTTCAACATGACTAGGAATAGACCCAGGAATTGAATATACAATGGTTGGTTCATAAAATTGTCGTTTTTCTTTAGCTGTTGCTTTTTGACTTAAGGTGATGTTTTGATTTTCATTCAAACTTTCTACGTTTAACCTGATACCAAATCGATTAACGTCATACCTAATTCCATCAACTATTGTATAAAACTTATTGTTTGCAATTAATGTAGTATCATTGATATCATATTCTTCAAATTCAAAACTTGCAACAACATAAATCTGGTTTCCTCTGTAATTACACCAAGTATCATTGACTAAATTAAAACCCTTGTCTACTCTGGCTATTATTTTTGGAGTTAACTGTTGATTTATATATTCAATATAAACAGATGAAACGTGAATTGTTTTACAAAAATTTGGTCCAATTCTAAATTGATTTTTTGAATTAGGTGACAATTTTGTTTTATTTTTAGTCTGATTTGACTCAATTGGATCAGAAGTCACACCATTGATATGGCGGTGTGATTTTTTTGATTGTTTTGGCATAATGATTTTAATAAATATATGGTTCTTTATAAATCGTGTTGCAAATAAATTATTAAATAATTATTAAGAGGTATATTAAGAGGTAATATAAAAACAGACAAAATTCAATACACAAAATAATTAAGTATCAAAGATTTGCCACTTTTTGACTATGAAAAGCCTACTTAATGTGAGTGCAATCTTGAATACATCTGACAGAGCTCTATCATGAGAATATTTGTTCTTGAATCTACTTCTATAAGCAAAGTTGATAAGTCTTAAAATACTAACAATCATCTGGTAGCTGTGGTACTTAAGTATGTCTCATCTTAATATACGGTAATATATTATATAAATATTTTTTGTAACATCCTAATATTTCAAATAGTTTACAACCAAATCAACACAACCAAAAAATGGGTAAAAAGGCTATCGATGCTCGTATCCCAGCTTTGATCCGTAATGGGGTCCAAGAAAAGCAAAGATCGTTTTTCATAATTGTTGGTGACAAAGCAAGAGATCAATTACCAAATTTACATTATTTAATGATGAGTGCAGATTTAAAAATGAATAAATCAGTATTATGGGCATATAAAAAGAAATTACTAGGTTTCACATCACATAGACAAAAAAGGGAAGCCAAGATAAAGAAAGATATAAAAAGAGGAGTTCGTGAAGTTAATGATCAAGATCCATTTGAAGCATTTATTTCAAATCAACATATTAGATATGTTTATTATAAAGAAACTGATAAAATTTTAGGTAATACATATGGAATGTGTATATTACAAGATTTTGAAGCAATGACACCAAATTTATTAGCAAGAACCATAGAAACTGTAGAAGGTGGAGGATTAGTAGTTATACTATTGAAAAATATGTCATCATTAAAACAACTTTATACAATGAGTATGGATATTCATTCAAGATATAGAACAGAAGCACATGATGATGTTGTTGCAAGATTTAATGAAAGATTTTTGTTATCTTTGGGGTCATGTGAAAATTGTTTAGTTGTTGATGATGAATTAAATGTACTACCAATATCAGGAGGGAAACATGTAAAACCATTACCTCCAAAAGATGATGATGAATTATCACCAAAAGCTCAAGAGTTGAAAGAATTAAAAGAAAGTTTAGCTGATGTTCAGCCAGCAGGTAGTTTAGTCAATTTATCCAAAACTATAAATCAAGCACAAGCTATATTAACGTTTATTGATGTCATCACAGAAAAATCATTGAGAAGTACAGTTACCTTAACTGCTGGAAGAGGTCGTGGTAAATCTGCAGCTTTAGGTATTGCAATAGCTGCAGCCGTATCGCAAGGATATTCAAATATATTCGTAACATCTCCTTCACCAGAAAATTTAAAGACTTTATTCGAATTTGTATTCAAAGGATTTGATGCATTAGGATATACTGAACATTTAGATTACGATATCATTCAATCAACAAACCCATCATTTAATAAGGCTATAGTGAGAGTAGACATCAAAAGAGAACATAGACAAACTATACAATATATTTCACCAAATGATAATCACGTATTAGGACAAGCAGAATTATTAATTATTGATGAAGCTGCTGCTATACCGTTGCCAATAGTCAAGAAATTAATGGGTCCATATCTAATATTCATGGCATCAACTATAAATGGTTACGAAGGTACCGGTAGATCATTATCATTAAAATTGATACAACAATTAAGAACCCAACAACAATCCTTGAATGCACCAGCTGACACTGAAGTAATATCAAGAGATAAAAAAGGTGCAGAAACTGGTGGATCATTAACTAGAAATTTGAAAGAAGTCGTTTTAGAAGAACCAATAAGGTACGCACCAGGAGATTCAGTTGAGAAATGGTTAAATAAATTATTATGTCTTGATGTTTCATTATCCAAAAATGCTAAATTTGCAACAAAAGGAACTCCACATCCATCTCAATGTAATTTATTTTATGTAAATAGAGATACATTATTTTCATATCATCCAGTATCCGAAGCATTTTTACAAAAGATGATGGCATTATATGTTGCGTCACACTACAAGAATTCACCAAATGATTTGCAATTAATGTCAGATGCTCCAGCTCATCAATTATTCGTTTTATTACCACCAATTGAAGAAGGAGATAATAAAATACCCGATCCTTTATGTGTAGTTCAAATAGCACTTGAAGGTCAAATTTCAAAAGAAAGTGTAAGAAAATCATTAAGTAGAGGTCAAAGAGCTGGTGGTGACTTAATACCATGGTTAATTTCTCAACAATTTCAAGATGATGAATTTGCTTCATTATCAGGAGCAAGAGTTGTTAGAATTGCAACAAATCCAGAATATTCGGGTATGGGTTATGGTTCAAGAGCGATGGAATTATTAGAGGATTACTATTCTGGTAAATTTACAGATATAAGTGAGTCATCAGAATTAAATGACCATACATTAACGAGGGTCACTGATAAAGAATTAGCAAATGCATCATTAAAAGATGAAATTAAATTAAGAGACGCAGCTTCTTTACCTCCACTATTATTAAAACTTTCAGAAAAAGCTCCTTATTATTTAGATTATCTTGGAGTATCATATGGATTTACACCACAATTACATAAATTTTGGAAAAAATCAGGTTTTACTCCTGTATATTTAAGACAAACTCCAAATGATTTAACTGGTGAACATACATCTGTTGTGTTGAATGTTTTACCAGGTAGAGAAAATAAATGGTTACAAGAATATTCAAAAGATTTTCACAAAAGATTTTTACAACTATTATCATATGAATTTAAGAAATTCCAAGCATCACAAGCATTGGGTCTTATTGAAGCAGCTGAACAAGGTGAGGGTGATAGTAAAGTAAAACCATTGACCAGAGATCAACTAGATGATTTATTGTCACCATTTGATTTAAAAAGATTAGATTCATATGCAAATAATTTATTAGATTATCATGTTATAGTCGATATGTTACCTTTAATAGCTCAATTATTTTTTTCAAAAAAAACAGATGATCAAGTCAATTTATCGTCTGTTCAATCCGCCATTTTATTAGCAATTGGTTTACAACACAAGAATATGGATCAAATCTCAGCAGAATTAAATTTACCATCAAATCAAGCAATGGCAATGTTTGCTAAAATAATAAGAAAATTTTCAACTTACTTTAGAAATGTTTTAACAAAATCCATCGAAAGTGATATGCCAGAATTAGAAGATGAACAATTTAAAGAAATTGAGGGTGAAATAGAAGATGAAGTAGATTACGAAGCAATTCAAAAGAATTTGATCGATGAAATAGAAGAAGAAGGTGATGAACAGATAAAAGAAATGAAAAATAAACAAAAAGAATTAATCAATGCATTAGATTTAGAAAAATATGCTATTGCAGATGATGGAGATTGGGACGAAAAATCAATGTCAAAAGCTGCCAAAAGCAATAAAAATAAAAATAATGGGAATGGAGTTGTTAGTGTTAAAAAGGGAAAAAGAAAGTCGGGAGAAAATGCTAATGAAATTTATGAAACTGAAATGAAAGAAATTAAAAAATCTAAAAAGAATAATAAGAAAAGGTGATCTATAAATATCTAGGTCAAGGTCTATAAATATCTAGCATTAGGTCTATAAACTGTCTAATATAAAGTTTAATGATTTCGAAGTTAAATCAAATAAACTTGTACCTTGATCATTATCCATTTCTTTAATATTAAATTTCTCTATAATCTCTGGTTTTAATCTATTATCTATATCATCATCAATAAATAAATGTTTGTGACTTTTTTCATAAGCTGGCCATACAATTAATTCAAAATAATTTGGTGGATCAACCCAAAATCCTTCTGCTGTGTTATAACCTGCTCTTGCTTCTCTTCTTGATTTTAGTGTGTTAAAAGATGCATGGAAAATTAAATCAATATCGAATAATTTTATAATTTCAAAATCGTGGAATAACATGAATCCATCAACAAAAACTAACTGTTTATTTTGGAATTGATCATTGTTTGTCTCTATGATATGTCGTATTTCTGAAGTTTCCTGCTCATTTAAATTTAAATTCAAATCTTTTGGTTGTATGGATTCAATTTGGTCATTTAATTTCCCACTTTTTAAATCCACTAAATACTTTTTAAATTTATCAAAATCTAAAGCTTCAGGACAATCCCAATTTTGATACCCTGTTTTGGGATCAATTGGAATTTTTGAATCAGTTAAATAAAAATCATCTAAATGTACTATGTTTGTATGTTTGGGTAATAATGCTTGTAATGTTTTAGCAACTGTAGTTTTACCACTTGAGGATGGACCTCCAAACGCTATCAAAACAATTTCATTTTGGTGTTGCCCTACTTTTGAATCTCCCATCAACTTAATTGTATTTAGTGAGTTCTTGTTATATTATATTTATTACTAAATTTGTTTTTTCAGTTTCATTTCATAATAATATCGAATTGCGTGAATTTGATTCAAAATGCGCTTTATTAACTACAAAATTATATGAGATCAGATCAGTTTCGAGTTGATCTATTTAATTATTTTTTGACAGATAATTTCAAGAAACATCTGTAAGGAGAGCAAGAAACTGCAGGCATCTTTGCGGGGATCTGAGCTCTTATTTCTTTCTTTTTAAATTTGTAGCTGGAAAGCTAGTTTTTATCAACAAAACGTATGAAGCACTCTAAATATCTAGCAAATTCAACAAACTACTAAGAATTTAACGTTTTAAATTTGAGTAAAATACGTCAAATCTTTTTAAGAAACGAATAAAAAAGCTTAAAAATTTAAGTGCAAGGTCATTCATTTCGAATAAGTTTGATATCTTAGAATTTTTTAATGAGAACGCCATTTCGATTAAAATAATATCTTTAATTAACCCTTACATGAAAATCATAAAAATTTATTTCTCACATGGCTTTGATAAGTCAAGTAATCATATTATATATATCAATCAAAAATGAATTTTTAGAATCATTAATAAGATGCATCTCGGAGATACATTTCGGAGTGCAAAATTAGATATGTCCACATCCATGCTCGTGACCCAACTTAACAAAAAAAAAAGAATACCATAGCACATACGTTATTTGAAATTTCTTTTGATAGAAAGTCCTGTTTAATTTGAACGTGTGGTTTATTTAGTGATAATTTTGATAACTATAATAGGAAATAGTGTTAAAATTACACAAAACGATTGTAACAGTTTTTTTTAAACATTTTAATATTGTGACTCAAAATAATTTCAGTAATTTAATAATTGATTCAAGGATAAATTAAAAGAAACGGCTAGTTAAGTTAACGTTATAGCGATATAGAAAGCCATGGCTGTTTTAAACTATTCTAAAGCTTCTAATGAAGACATGAACAATATCGTGTACGAAGAGGTTTTTAAGAATCGTAAGAATTTGGTACCTGTATAATCTAACCATTATTAATTATAATATTTCAATTTTAAGATTAGGTTTTATTTGAAAAGATAACCGATTGATTTAATAAACTCGTAAAATCTTACTTTAATTTATGATTGAAAAAAGTTGTCTTTATCTAATATTGGTAAAATGGAAAAGCTTAGTGTATGAATAAAAAGTGAATTAGTTTTGTAATGGTTAGATATTTTTTCCTTAATTATCCGCTGCTGAAAATGGAACAATTGATAAAAATATACTGATTAAAAGGTTATTAAATAATCATGTTCCTTAATTTATACAATTGCTATACGAATAATGAATAAGATTTTCTGTTCTATTGTTCTAAAGTTTTCAACAAAATTAAGATGGAACTATTTAGAGAAAGAATAAAAAAATTAACTGTATATATATATGGTTAGAATATAAAACATCTATTTATTGTTTTAATAATTTAATTAAAAAAAAAAAATTACTAAATTAAGTAAATTAATTAAATTTTTTTTGCAACTGTTTTTTGATTTTGTGTAATAAAGTACAATTATATGTTACAAGACGTATAATTCATAATTCAATAATTTAGATAATAAACATACAATTATACATTGCAAACTTTAAAGTTAGACTGATTTTAATTCTAATCTTTAAGTAAAATTTCATATTTAAAATATTGTTTTTGTATCATAGCAAATCATTAGATTTAAATGAAAATAGTCCCTTTTAAATTAGAAAAAGGGAATAGTTCTGAACTAAAGTTATTATTCCTAATCATTGCATAAACAAACTTTTTATTACAAATATAATTCATTTTTTAATAAATAAAACTAGATTTGACAAAATATTATTAAACTGTTTTTTCATCCTTTTTTAATCTAGTAGAGTCAATTTATACTCAATTTTTATTTTACCATCATCATCATCATCACTAACAAAACATCTACTTAACTACTACCGACTTTCGTTTTACATCATCTACATATTTGCATAACAATTTTTAATTCGCCAATAAACAACCAAGTTTCATATATCCAGCTGACAACATATATTGTTTTCAAAGTTTCATTGGCTTATCAATTCAACATTATAATAGAATCTAATTTTTTAATTATTAATTTTTCAAGTTGTTATCCATCGTTAATCTCATGAGTGCTACACCAGCCAAAGAGTTGGGTGAGCAAAATTTAGTTGATACAAATAATAATTCTACAACAACAACTACAATAAGTCAGCCCAAATCATTTTCAGATTATACAACTCCTTCACCAACTGATGAAGAAAGTAATAAAACAATACCGCTTAAAAAACAATCACCATCAAATCCTGAATTCTTAACTGAATTAAAGAAATTTAATGTAGATCAAACTAAATATAAACATTACGGTCATCAATCTCTGATGAATTCTCAATCATTAAATAAAATTATTAATCATATAAATTCACCCAATGAAGAAGAAGAAGTGGAAGAAAAAGAAGAAATCGAAAATAATTCAACAATAACTAGAAATATATCTCCCGAAAAACTTGAAATTGAGAACAAGTTAGCACAAATATTTGGAATCCAACTGGATCTAATTAAAGATAAAATAAATTGGCCTTATAATTCAGATACACTTAATCATTTAGTTAAATTACAAATTGAACAAGAGAAAACAAAACAAAATCAATTGAAAAAAGATATGGGAGAAATTTTATTAAAATTAATTACTGAAACAAAAAGTTCACAAATAAATAATGATTTATTACCTTTTTTATTTGTATCAGATTCTATAAACTCAAATGACTTATTTCAAAGAATTGAAAGGTTAAAAAGTTATGAACCAAAAGAACTTAATAATGATATAGTCGAAAGATCAAAACTGTTGGAAAATAATTCAACCACTACAAATGATGCTCATTTATCATCAAATTACTCAATAGGTGGAATTAAAAGAAAATATTCAGATACTCAATTACCATCATTTTCAGAAACAACTCAAAATATTAAAACATCAAGTGCAATAGTTTCACCTTTAAGATCACCTGTTAATAGACTGCCTGTTCAATCACATAGAAGAATAATATCAGATAGTAGTGATGTTAGTGTTAAATCATTAGTTTCAAAAGTTATATCACCAACCAATAATCCACCTCAATTACCTTTACCGAATAGTAACTTATCACGTCAACCAATTCAACAACAACAACCATTTCTTCAACAACCTATACCTCAACCTCAACCGCAATCTCAATTACAACCACCACTTCAATCTCAATCTCAATTGCAACCACCACTTCAACCACAACCACATATAAATTCACAGAATCATAGTCAACTGCAACTGCAACAACATCTGCCAACTATACCTCATCAAACTATACCTTATCAAACTTCACCTCAAAGTTATCCATATTATTATCCAGCTCAACAACAACCACAACCAATTCCTCAACCCCCAATGTCACAACTTTTACCTCAGCCTCCACCACAACAACCAATACAAACAACATCAAATATTGGTTCACCTTATCCACCAAAATTTCAAATCAAAGCTACTTCATCTTTACCAAACGTATCAGCGTACCCAAATTATAATCAATCAGTCCCACCTCAATATCCATATTATCCATCAAGATCACCAGATAATCATCAAAATTATTCAGCTCCACCGCCACAACAACAATCAACTCATATTCACAGTCAACAACCACCAGTACATTCTTCAAGCAAACATCAACAAATTCCAGTACCAACACATCAATTTGAAACATCACCAGAACATAAATCATCAACAAAATTGAATAATAATGACGAACATGCATCATCAACAACTACACCACCAACAAAAAGAAGCAAACATTCAAAAAATAGTCATGGGGGTATTAATTTCATGATAACTACACCAAGTAATCCACCAGCAAGAAAATACAATAATCCAAATAGAGAAAAATAGGTACTCCACTAGTTGAAGTTTTGGTTCTTTTTTTTATATTCATACTTTATTATTTAATTTTTTCAATTCTAAATTTACTAATTTTTTCAAAGCTTATTTCTGCTTTATACCGATACCAATATATATTCATATATTATTTTTAACTTATTAATACTTGTAGAGTCTCTTAGTTCTCTGAACTGGTTGCAATAAATTGGGGAAATAAATTGTGGAATTTCACAGGAAAATTCCAAACAAAATTCTTTAGTACTTAAAAATATGTGGTAGCGAGAAAATACCCCCATAAATGTTAAATGTGTTGCAAATTTGAAACAACACTTAATTTATATAAATTAATTTATCTTGACAACCAATAACTTTTAGTTGACGCGTCTAATCAAATGACTTTCAATAATAAATTCGTATGGATTTTAAAAAAAGACTGATGCCCAAATCAAATTTCAAACTTACAGCACCATCATTGGTTGATCCTTCAAAAGTTAGTCGTACAAGGTTAGCTGGATTGAATGATTATAGAAGACCTAAAATTTCAAATTTTAGACAAACACAATCACGTACAAGAACTACTAAAGTTGATAAAACCAAATCAAATATAGATGAGAAAATTAATGAAATTGACAAAATAAAATCATTACATCAACTTACTCCTGAATTTATTAAACAAAATTACGTGTATGTATTAATTAATTACAAGTCAGAATTTTTCAAAGAATTCAAGTTCAAAACAAAAGAAGATATTTATATTGGTCCTTACAAATTACTACATAAATTAGATGAAGAAACATTTGAAGTTGAAGTAGGATTAAGTACAAATTATGATACAAAATTTTCTAAAAATTTATTAAAATTTTATTCAGTAAATTTAGTACAACCACATCCAAGAAATTTACAACATTTTATTGCGACAAATTCAATAGAATCAATTATAGGTATTAATGAAACACAAATTATTTTAAAATACTGCAATAAAGAATTTGGAGTTGTTTTTAATTTAAAATTTGTTGAAAAAGAAATGGGATCAAGAGAGTTTAAAAAATTATATAAAAAATGTATAGGTATAAAATGAGTCAGAAGTATATTTATTTTATCCATTTAACCAAGTATCTATAATTCTTTCATATTTATCTTGTAGTTCCTCATTTATATTTATTGTAAGCCCACTTTTACCATCTTTTAGAGGGTTCCCGACAACGTTATAACAACAAAAATAATTCCAACTTGATTGTTTAACGTGGTCTGGTAATTTTTGTTCTACCCATGCTTCTGTTGGTTCATTGAAATTTAAAACATTGACTCGTTGTGTCAAAGTTGGTGGTTTGATTATATTTTCAAGTACTAATGGATTTTTGTATATTTTGTGCAACAAATGATAATCATTTTTCACTAAAGTGTTTTCTTCATTATCAAATATTTTTTTAGATTCAGTGATTTTAGTTATATATTTATCTTTAAACAAAGTCTTGAAAGAATGATTATGTCTAAACCAATTTTGTAATTGATAAGATGTTATTGCAATCAAAGTTATATCATCATCATCCAATAATTGACCATACGAAGCTGAACAAATCTCTTGTGATACACTAACATCTTTTGGTAATTTATCATCTGGTGTATATATTCCTGCCATTACTGGATAATTAAAATTGAAAGTTAATTTTTGGCCCGAAATTTCCAACCCCATCCATAATACATCTAATGTAATTCCTTGAGTTAATCGTACTTTTAAAATGTCAAAAAATTGCAAATTTGATGCTATTAATAAACCATTGAAACTCTTTTTCCTATTTATTACCATTATATTTGGATCTATCATTGTATGAAAGTTATCTTCATAAAATCTGGAAGTAACGAATGGTTCTCGTCTGTTCAAACTGAAAAAGCTCTCGTCATCTTTAGTAGGTGAGAATGATTTTATGAAATTGGTTATCTCATGAAATCCTGGAGTGAATAACTTAACTCTACTATTTAAATATGAAGGTGATTTGAATAAATAATTACCAGATTCTTGATATCTTTCATTATTAAACAACAATGCTGGCTCTCTTAAAGGAATCATATCTTCTGACAATAATATAACTTCTTTGAAATTACTATATACCAAGCTTGAAGTTGTTAAAAAAATGGAATCATTCTTGGGTAATGATGATAATTCTACAAATGATATTTGTTGCTTTAAATTTGGATCTGTTCCGTTTTGAGCTGAATCAATGATCAATTCTTGTTCGGTAGTTGTTAATGAAGTATGTGTAATTTCAATTGGTAAACCACTTTCGACCATTCTTAAACTTTTGATCAATCTTATGATGTTTTTATAATCTCTTAAAACTGGTATCACAATTCCTCTACCTTCAAAAACTGGATTCGACTTGTACCATGGGTACAATTTTCTTAGAATTTTGGAATTAGTTGTAACTGAGCATTTCCCACCAATTTTCATGTCATTAAATTCATTAAACATTTTATTTTCGTATTTTGAATATTCAATAGTTTTAGAAATAAATTCATTCTTTATACCAGTATCAATTTCAGGTTTCCAATTTTTTCTCTTGATTTTTCGTTGAAACTCTCTTGTTTTACGTTTTATCCATTTTCTCTTGTTATATACTATTGGATCTATCTTTAGATTTTCCCAAAATTTCAAATCAACTTTTGAAATCGATTTAGCATACTTTTCACACTTGTCTTCTATTGGTAATGCTGAATATTTTGATTTTTCGATTTTCCATTTGTTTAACACATCATTTCTGAAACTTTCTCTATTCTTTATTATATCAAATTTTTTTGGTAATTTTGTTGATGTTAATTTATATTGATTATATAGTAGAAAAAATGTAAATATTAATATGGAAGTTATTATTAATTTGTAGTATTTTCGTGTTATCATATTTTCATTAGTGACATTTGATATACTCTGTTTCTTTTTGATTCCAACTGTACGTTAATTGCAAAATTATAGTTGATAAAGTAACAAATTTATCACAAGAGTTGTGTTATAGATCAATTTAAAACAAACTGTCAAAATAATTAATAGAATTTGTGAGCCGCATGAAAAATTACTTAAACTTTCTTTCTTGTGACATAAATTTATATTGGTAATAAGTTATAGAATAATCTTATTATTTACATAATTTTGATGATAAATGTTATCGATTACTTTATTGAAGTGAAAAAAAATAGAACTTTAGTTCATTAATATCTCTTGTCAATTTTCAATTACTATAAATATTCTTGTCATAACTCTCGCAGCGTTCCCTAGTCTTCACCATTCCGAGACCCTATCTATGTTAAACGTCTACATAATTATTTCTTTGGTTTTAAAATATCATAACTGAAGCCAGGGGCAACTTTATTTGATTGTTCATTAATCCAGTTTTTGTATTCATAAGTATCATTAGTCTCATCATTATTAGCATTCAATTTACGTTTAAATTCATTCAATTCATTAATCCAATTATTTATATCATCTTCTGAAACTTTCAATTGTGGTGGTATAACAGTTGATGATAGACTTGGTAATAGTTTGTTGTAGTTTGTATTTAAGGTTATTGCTTTTGGTGGTTGATATGAAGGATTTTTGATTAGTGGAACTTGTTTTAGAATTGGATCAGCTTTAATAAATAAAAGTTAGTTAATCAATCATTGATAAAAAACGCATTAATTTATACATACGCTTATCTGTATCGTCCATGTTATAGTAGTAGAGATACTTTATTGATTAATTTATCGTTGTGTACTCTTGAATAAAATGTTTATTATACAATTTATTTTTTTCTATACAAAATAAGATTCTCTTCTATTTAATTATCATTATAATGACGTATTAATATATAAGCATTTTCTTGTTTTAAATTACTTAAAGAACGATAACCACCTTCTAATCTCATTAATAAACCACCAAATGATATATATACAGACATTTTATCATTATCATTATTTTCTTCAAATTTATATATTGTACCATACATTACATAATCATAATCATCAGCTAATGATCTATCATCAGATTTTGGAGGTCTCCATGAACCATTTGAAGTAATCATTGAACTATCATTACCTAGTGATGATGCTAAAGTTATTGTTAATGAATCATTTTCCTTTACTGGAAACAATTCACTATTTATATCTAATGTTATATTTATATCTTTTGAGGTTGATGAATGACCCGTTATTCTACAGACTTTATTATATCTTCCTGGATCTGTAGAATCTACTACAAACATATCCTCAAACAATATTCCTGACATTGTGTATGATTATTATATAATGAATTGTGTTGGTGTTTTAAATTGGATCTTTATTAATGATGATGAGCTAATCAACTGAAAAATTAATGATTGAGATATTTCATACATTTTTTTTTCTTTCTATGTATGAAATTTTTTTATATACAGTATTAATATTTACTATTTAATCTTTAATAGTATTATGTAAATATTCAAATTTTATATTTAGAATTTTTGAAACATATATCTTTTATTTTCATTTTCAAGAAGAATTTCACCCTTCAATTGAATAGCTAATTCATTGATCATTTGTATCAGTCTCCAAGAATGAAATCTAAAGATCAATTTAACTACATAAATTACCCATTGAAATTAACAATCGTGCTAATATCATTATTTGCAAGTATTTATCTAATATTACATGTAAAAGTGTCAAATCAAAATTCAATCCTAAATCTCAATACCAATTCAAATGCAGATGTTCAGTTGAACGGCTACGCTCAATACATAGATAGACGAAATGATGAGACTGAAACAGCTCAAAGTACTAGTGAGTCTACATCAACATCAAATAAAGATTCAAAAACAAATTCCAATGAGAAATCAAAATCTACCTCAGCTAAAGAGTCTCAATCTACTTCAACTAAAGATATAAAATCCACTACAACCTCTACTAAGTCAAGCAAATCAACAAATACCTCATCTACTTCAACAACTTCAACCTCAGACCCCACATCATCAGAAGAATCAAAACCGGTAGCCATATATAATCAATCATGGATGAGATTCATATTTGTTCTATTTGGATTTATATTTTTAAATATGATTGCAATATGTATTCATCATATTTATTTAAAAATTACAAGATCTCAAAATATGTATAGAAGTTTTGAAGATGAAAAATCACCATTTTAAGCGAAACGTAAAAGTATGAATTAAATTAGAAATATATATATAAAGCAAACCTAAATAAACGGTTTACAACGTTATCTCTCAAGATCTTTATTTTTTACTTGAATCTCTAAATTAGTTATTAAACTAAGTCGGTGTTTACCGATATAGTAACAAAATCTTCAAGATCTCGACTAAAATTTTCTTTTATGCACAACGTACTATCGCTTAAAAATTTAGAGCAATAGAACTAATACAATACATATAAATGTGACAAGAAGACCAAATAATAATGCAAAAATTTGTCTAAATCAACCTCATCTAATTATTCAAGCTTATAGGAATTTATTCAATGCCAAAATTACCACCAATTACTACAAGAATAATTCAAATTACTTGTGCAATAATATGGTGTTTAGTTGCAGCAGGTCCAGTGTTTGGTTATGCAGCATTGAAACCTATCTTAATAAGTCAACATGTTTACGAGAATGAATGTGTGGAATCAGTTCAAACAAAATGTGTTCAACAAGATTTATCCTTAAATTTATTATTCACCGTTGCTTGTTCTGTTACAAATTTAAGTGCATTACCAGTTGGTTCAATTTTAGATACTTATGGACCTAAAATCAGTGGTATCATTGGTGCTGTAATATTAGCTTTGGGGTCATTAAGTCTAAAATATGCTTCATCAATGACTTATCTTGATGGCTATTTGATTGGGTATACTTTATTAGCATTGGGTGGTCCATTTACATTTATAAGTAGTTTCCAATTAGCAAATAGTTTCCCCAAAAATTCAGGTTTGGTTTTAGCATTATTGACGGGTGCATTTGATTCATCATCAGCGTTATTTTTATTTTATAGACTTTATTATTTCAAAATTAAAGAAATTTCAATAAGTTCATTTTTCAGTGGATACTTGGTTGTTCCATTATTTATTTTAATATGTCAATTGACTGTCATGCCTAAAGATTCATACAAGACAGTTGGAACATTAGCTAAAATTGCAGAAACTGGAATTGATGAAACTGGTAAACCATTGAGTTTAAGTGAACAAAACGATGGAGAAAGTGGAGAAGAATATTATCAACCAACTATTACTGAAACTACTGCATTATTAATGAGAAGACCTTCACATAATCGAAGAGAATCAACCATATCAAGAGCTTCGTACAGTTCAATGAAATCGGCATATGAACAAGAAGCAGATACTAAATTGATCAATTCAACTGGAGGAGTATTTGGAATATTACATGGTTATTCCATATCTGATCAGTTAAAATCTCCTTGGTTTTTATTAATGACTACTTTCACAACTATTCAAATGTTACGTATAAACTTCTTTGTTGCTACTATAAAATCTCAAGAAGTTTATTTGTATGGAAGTGAAGAATTGGCAACTACTATTAATCATTTCTTTGATTTGGCATTACCTTTAGGTGGTATACTTTCAATCCCATTCATTGGATTAATTTTGGACAATTTAACTACTTTAACTGTCTTGTATATACTTACAGCTTTATCATTATTTATTGGAGTCATGGGTTTAGTTTCATGGTTACCAGGAACATATGCAGGTATTATAATTTTAGTATTATATAGACCATTTTATTATACTGCAGTCTCAGATTTTTGTGCAAAAGTGTTTGGGTATGATAATTTTGGAACTGTTTATGGTACTATAATTGCTTTTAGTGGAATATGTAATATTTTACAACAAGCAATGGACAAATTAACTCAAGAATATTTTAAAGGTAATCCAACTCCAATAAATTCCATATTGGTTATATTAACTGCTGTTTTTGGGTTTTCATTAATTGGATTTGTCAAGTCTCAAGAAAAAGATATCAAGAGAAGAAATTTAGAAATGGAAGCTGAAGAAGCTACTTATAGATCTTTACCAACTTAGATGCAAACTAAATTATTTATTTAGCAATTTTAATACATAAAATATTTAGTCTAGACTCAAACATTGTAATTACTGATTTCTTTTACGTTTCCTTGTTGATCCAGACTCTGTATCTAACGCTGTCAAGGGAGGTATGCAACTAACGACATGTATAGTTTCCTTCTTCTCCACATTGACTATTATATCTTTATCTCTACTAAACTCCTCTTTCTTGTCAAAAGTCAAAATCTCTTCAACACTCTTCATTATTTTTTATTTTTACTTGAAGCAGCTTTATTTTCTTTTTCAATTTGTCTTCTTGAACCTTTCAAAATTTCTAAATGACCAACTCTACCGGCAATTAATTTTTCAGTACTTTTCATTAATTGACCTTGATGGATTTTAGTTAATTTTATATTTTCTTTAGCTACTTGTTTTTTAGGTTTAATGATTTTAGGAGCTGCCTTTTTGGGGTTTTGTTGCTTTTTAGTTACTCTTGCTCCACTTTTTGATTTTAATTTCAAATTACCTTGAGCCATTTGAGTTTAGTTTGGTTGTTGTGGAGTTGATCTTTTTGGAGATGAGATAAGATTGTAATGTGAATCAAGATTTAATTTTTGTGAGACATTTTAAGTTTATCGCAGTAATTAATTCTAGAGACCAAAAGTAAAGCAGCCAATACAAATATATTATATCAAAATGACAACTACACACTTGACCTAAACTGTCTTTGGAATCTTCCAAATTTAGCTCTATGACTTCTTTTCATCAATCTTGCTCTACCATGAACTTTTTATAATCAACACCTGAAACAATAATCTTGTATCATTTTTGTGCGTGCGTTACATTTTCCGAGTCACATCGCATTTTTTTTTCAATTAATATTATTGAATCAATTAAATTGGTCTGTTTATTTTAGCTTCATTCTACCTTTAATTGGTATATACCACCAAGAAAGATGAGTTCAAATTATCTCATATTACCAGGTCCAAAAGCATTATCTGAATTTAGAGTTGCTAATTTAATACTGGAAATTGAAAATAAAACAGGTGCAAAAGTTGAAGTTGCAAGTCAATTTACTCATTATATTTCATTAAAAAAGCCATTAAATGAAAAACAATTAAAGTTATTGAAAATACTTTTAACTTATGATAATCCAGTTGATGAAGATAATGAATTGAGTAAAGAATTGATTGAATTATCAACTGGGTCAAAGCAAAGTTCTGAATTGATTCAGATTGTACCTAGACCAGGTACCATTTCTCCATGGTCTTCAAAAGCTACAAATATTGCACAAATTTGTGGATTAGGTGATTTCATCGAAAGAATTGAAAGAGGGTTATCATTGTTAATCAAAGGTGCTAAAGTAGATGGAGAAACTTTAACATCAGTATATGATAGAATGACTCAAAAGATATATTACGATGTTCCAAAATATGATGATTTATTTGCACATCATAAACCAAAACCTTTAGTCACAGTTGATATAAACAATTTATTAACAGCTAACAAAGAATCAGGATTAGCTTTAGATCAAGGTGAAATTGATTATTTAACAAATGCTTTCAACAATGTTATTGGTCGTAATCCTACTGATGTTGAATTATTTATGTTTGCACAAGTTAATTCTGAACACTGTCGTCACAAGATTTTCAATGCTGATTGGACAATTGACAAACAACCAAAAGATAAATCATTATTCAAAATGATTAGAAATACTCATGAAAAAAATCCGAATTATACCATATCTGCATATTCTGATAACGCAGCTGTATTTGAAGGTCCACAAGGTTATTTATTTACACCAGATTTTAAAACGAAGCAATGGAAATCAATTAAAGAAAATGTTCATACTTTAGTCAAAGTCGAAACTCATAATCATCCAACTGCTGTTTCTCCATTTGCTGGTGCAGCTACAGGTTCAGGTGGTGAAATTAGAGATGAAGGAGCTGTAGGTAGAGGTTCAAAATCAAAAGCTGGTTTATCTGGATTTTCAGTATCTGATTTAAATATTCCAACCTTAAAACAACCATGGGAAAGGGATATTGGTAAACCAAATCACATAGCTAGTTCATTGGATATAATGATTGAAGCACCAATCGGTTCTGCAGCTTTTAATAATGAATTTGGTAGACCTGCTATAAATGGGTATTTCAGAACTTTAACAACAGAAGTTGAAAATAGTAAAGGAGAAACTGAAATTAGAGGATTTCATAAACCAATTATGTTAGCTGGTGGTATGGGTGCAATTAGACCAGATTTAGCTTTGAAAAATAAAAAAATCACACCAGGTGCTAAGTTGATCGTATTAGGAGGTCAATCAATGTTAATTGGTTTAGGTGGTGGTGCTGCTTCTTCCATAAGTTCAGGTGAAGGTTCTGCAGATTTGGATTTTGCTTCTGTTCAAAGAGGTAATCCAGAAATTCAAAGAAGAGCTCAACAAGTTATTGATTCTTGTGTCTCATTAGGTGGTGAAAATAATCCAATACAATCTATTCATGATGTTGGAGCTGGTGGATTAAGTAATGCATTACCAGAATTAGTTCACGATAATGATTTAGGTGCAAAATTCGAATTGAGATCCATATTATCATTAGAACCAGGTATGTCACCAATGGAAATTTGGTGTAATGAATCACAAGAAAGATATGTTTTGGGTGTTGCGCCAGAAGATTTACAGATGTTTGCTGATATTTGTAATCGTGAAAGAGCTCCATTTGCAGTTGTTGGTGAAGCTACTGAAGAACAGAGATTAATTTTAACTGATTCATTATTAAAATCAACTCCAATTGATTTGGATATGTCTGTTTTATTTGGTAAACCTCCAAAAATGTCAAGAGTTGCAACTACTGATAATTTAAGATTGAAAAAATTTGAAACTGAGCATTTGGACTTAAGTGATTCAATAGACAGAGTATTACAATTACCATCAGTTGGATCTAAGTCATTCCTTATTACTATTGGTGATAGATTTATTACTGGATTAGTTGATCGTGATCAAATGGTGGGTCCATGGCAAGTCCCGGTAGCTGATGTTGGTGTAACAAATACTTCATTAGGTGAAACTATTTTAACAACTGGTGAAGCCATGGCAATGGGTGAAAAACCAATATTAGCATTAATTTCAGCAAGTGCTTCTGCCAAGATGTGTGTTGCTGAATCACTTTTAAATATATTTGCAGCTGATGTATCATCTTTAGAACAAGTCAAATTATCAGCTAATTGGATGTCAGCTGCTTCGCATCCAGGTGAAGGTTCAAAATTATATGAAGCTGTTCAAGCAATCGGTATGGATTTATGTCCAGAATTAGGTATATCGATCCCAGTAGGTAAAGATTCAATGTCAATGAAAATGAAATGGGATAATAAAGAAGTTACTGCACCATTAGCTTTAACTGTCACTTCATTTGCACCAGTTGATAATACTTCTAATACTTGGACTCCTCAATTACAACCAGTTAAAGATACTGTTTTAGTTCTTGTTGATTTAGCTGCTAAAGTCAAGAAATCACTTGGTGGTTCAGCTTTAGCTCAAGTTTATAAACAAGTTGGTGATTCTGCTCCAACTGTTCATTCTAATGCTGTACTAAAATCATTTTTACAATCATTAGTTGTTTTACATAAACAATTCCCAGTATTTGCATATCATGATAGATCTGAGGGTGGGTTATTAACCACCGTTTTGGAAATGGCATTTACTGGTAGATGTGGGTTAGACATTGCTTTAAGTGGTGATGAAGATAAATTCACAGAATTATTCAACGAAGAACTAGGTGCTGTTTTCCAAATTAAATTACATGATACAATAAAATTCAAAGAAATATTGAAAGAAAATAATATTGATGAGGAATATGTTAAAATTATTGGTAAACCGACATTTGGGGATCAAGCAATTAATATTTCATACAATGGAGCACCAATATATTCAAACACAAGGGCTGAATTACAAAAATTATGGTCTAAAACATCATATCACATACAAAAAATGAGAGATAATCCAGTCACATCACAACAAGAATATGAATCTATATCAGATGATAAAGATCCTGGTTTAAGTTATCAAATAACATTCAATCCAAATGATTTTAAATCTTATAAAAATAAACCAAAAGTAGCTATACTACGTGAACAAGGTGTTAATTCTCAACAGGAAATGGCTTGGTGTTTCCAACAAGCTGGATTTGATGTCTATGATGTTACAATGTCTGATATTTTGGAAGAAAGAGTATCATTAGATGACTTTGTCGGTTTAGCTGCGTGTGGTGGGTTTTCATATGGTGATGTCTTAGGTGCTGGTGCAGGTTGGGCAAAGTCTGTTTTATTTAATGAAAAAGCAAGAAATGAATTTCAAAGATTTTTCCAAGATAGAGAAGATACATTTGCATTTGGTGCATGTAATGGATGTCAATTTTTCAGTAGAATTGCTGAATTAATTCCAGGAACTGATCATTGGCCAACTTTTGAACGTAATTTCTCAGAACAATATGAAGCTAGATTCGTTATGGTTGAAGTTGATGATAAACCATCCAATAATTCTATCTTTTTACAAAACATGAAAGGTTCAAAATTACCAATTGCTGTTGCTCATGGTGAAGGTAGAGCACAATTCAAGACCAAAGAAGATGAAGAAGAATTTAATTTGGATGTTATTCATTATGTTGATAATTATGGTAACCCAACACAAATATATCCATTCAACCCAAATGGTTCACCAAAGGGTATAGCTGGTATTACATCTAAGAATGGTAGAGTATTAGCTATGATGCCTCATCCTGAAAGAGTTTCAAGAAAAGAAAGTAATTCTTGGTATCCATATCATGAAAGTGAGAAATGGGGTGGTTATGGTCCATGGATTGAATTATTTAAATCTGCAAGAGAATGGGTAGGTGATGTATAAAAGTTAGTAATGTTAATAGATCATTAAATGTAAATGAAAAAGGATGTAATGCACACCTGTTAAAAAAAGCGGTTTGTAGTCTGAAGCTGTTTCAGATTTTAATTTTGTGTATCTTAGGGCTACTACCCTTATTTTGTGTGCTACCAATTTTGTGAGTGAAAAATTATCAAATTTACTTTACCATATTAATTTTATTTTTCATAGGATTCAAGTACTCCTAATTTACAACTAATCAACAACATCAACAACAATGGTCAACGCAATCTTATCTAAAAAAAAGAAATTAGTAGCTGACGGTGTCTTCTACGCTGAATTAAATGAATTCTTCACCAGAGAATTAGCTGAACAAGGTTATGCAGGTGTTGAAGTTAGAAAAACTCCATCAAAATTAGAAGTTATTGTTAAAGCTTCAAATACTCAAGGTGTTTTAGGTGAACAAGGTAGAAGAATCCATGAATTAACTTCATTAATTGTTAAAAGATTTAAATTATCACCAGAAGGTATTGCGATTTATGCTGAAAGAGTTGAAGAAAGAGGTTTATCAGCTGCTGTTCAAGCTGAAGCTTTAAAAGCAAAATTATTAAATGGTTTACCAATCAGAAGAGCTGCTTATGGTGTTTTAAGATTCGCTATGGGTGCAGGTGCTAAAGGTGTTGAAGTTGTTATTTCAGGTAAATTAAGAGCTGCAAGAGCTAAATCACAAAAATATGCTGATGGTTTTATGATTCATTCAGGTCAACCAACTAATGATTTCATTGATATTGCTATTAGACATGTTTTAATGAGACAAGGTGTTTTAGGTGTTAAAGTTAAAATTATGAAAGATCCAGCTACTAATAGAGTTGGACCAAGAGCTTTACCAGATGCTGTTAAAATTGCTGAAGCTAAAGATGAAGATGAAGTTGTTCCAGCTCCATATGTTAAAAATTATAAACAAAAACCAGAAGAAGTTGAAGTTGAACAAACTGAAGTTGAAGCTACTGCTTAAATTTAGTATTGTGTATACATTTTTAATATAAACTCAACAAATAACTAATTTTTTTAAAAGTATTACAATAACGTAGCTTTCATCACCTCTTTATAGAATTGTGTCTCCATGGTTCTTTTAGCTATGGTTCTTTTAGTTATACCAGTAGATCAAGAGTTAATCAAGCTTAAGCAAAAGTTAGATTTAAACACCGTTATATAGGTTGGCGGTTTTAAATTAGTAAATGGAATTAAAACTCTAGATCGTACAGTAAAAACAAAATTATTGTCGTCTTGTATAAAATTGAATTGTCGTTTTTGCTGAAATTGATTTGTCGTTTTCTTTAATTTAATCTGTCGTTCTAGTGAAAATAATACCGATATAAAATTTCGGAGTTTTTTTGGCAATAATTCATATATTTATAAACTCTTAACAAATTTATTTAGGAATAATTTGTAGTGAGATTAAATTATAATTAATCCGTAAATCTTAAAGTAATTAATTTTCAGGTTAGTGTAAGAGATGATCCATAGTATATAAGCTCGGTTGAATTAATAATAAATAATAATAGAATCTATATTGGTATAATTTTGTAGTCGTGGTCAAAGTTTAATTTCATCAAACATTCAAATCATTGAAAGTGTCTTATAGCTTCATTCATTAAATGCAATAGAGAAAATTAGTAAGTTTAATCTCCATGATACCGAACATCTACAAAAAATCAAGCGCGGGTCGAAGGAGATTGTAAATTTTCAGTCTATTTTAGGCTTAAATAAACATAACTAACGAAATAACTAATAACAGTTAAATGATGCAATTATCCATTTAATTAAATTTTTTTTTTTTTTTGCTTACAAATGTAATGAAAAGGATATAATTTTTGTGTAATTTATTTTGTATGTTATTTTATATTTGCCCCATATTTTATATTTCATTTTTAAATAAGCGTTATGATCTACGGAGTTATATCTCCTAACCCCCCTCCATACATTTTTTTATGATTTCTTATCTTTTAAATTATTAGAATATTGATGTAATATTTGAAATTTTAGAAGATGACTATAAATTAGTAGTAATTGTAGGATATATAAATATCATAACATATCTATATCTTTAAATACTTTCTTTCCTTGATTCATATATATTATTTTTCAATAGACAACTTTAAAATTAAATTAAAATGACAATGAATTTTTTAACTTTATCATCAGAGACAAGTGAACCATTTATTATACCAAATGTATCACCAGTATCTTCACCAAAATTAAATGCAAAGTTAAATGACTCTACAAAACAACCAATAATGGGAACTCAAAAATTAACACCTTTAGTTACTATAGAAGATGATAATGAAGAAGATTCAAAGTTAATATCAACTAGAAAATTATCAGATTTTGAATTAAATTAAGGGTATCAAATTTCAATTTTTATTTATTTTAGATTATGAATTTTATTTTATTATAAATGGTAATTATTTATTAGTGGGTTTTTAATTCTTTTTGTTTTATTTATAAGGAAAGTCAATTATTTAAATGATCCTCCTGGTCTGGTTTTTATATAAATTATATAGAGTATAATATATTATTTACTTATTAATATTAATACTGAAATTGAAAGATTCTTTTGTAGATTTGACCCTAAATGAGCCAATCGATTAAAATTTTCTGTCAAACTAAAGTATTAGAACTAGTATATAAGTTATGGGATTAGTCTGAGTGATCTTGAGATTATATTCGATAACACTAAAAGGGGGTGGATTTTAAGTAAGCAAACAAGTGGGATTTAATGTTTTGGAAATTCATCCTTCATCCGTTATGTAATTTCTATATTTTTGCAGCAATCTGAAACAAAATAATAAATAATATTATTTAACACAAAATTTATATTAGAAATTGTTCAAATAATAAAAAAGCAAATATTAAAAAATACATGATAAATTAAACACTCTATCTTGCAACCATACAAACAAGAAAGAGACATTTATCGCATCCAATTACTAAGTTTAATATAATTACTGTATTGAAATCAACTAAAACTTTAAAATTCTAAATAAAATTTAATTAGCATATTCATGTAAGAAATCCAAAACTTTTTTAGCAATAATTTGATACATTTCATCATTTTCAATAAACAAACTATGTCTACCACCTTCAATTCTATCAAATACTTTATTAATATTTGATGGTAAAATTTCAAAAAATTCTTCACTACCAATAATATCATTAATATAATCATTTGTACCATGTATAATTAAAACAGAAATTGAAGGATCCCATTTTTTAACATATTCAGGATTTAATAAATCTGAACCTCTTTTAAACATATCATTAAATTGAATTAATGAACCAATTAATTTTTTATCATGTTGAATAATATAACTTTTCCATCTTTCATTTGATGTGATATAATCATAATTTAATTTTGAATCTAATTTAAAATTTGGTAAAAATTTTGAGACATAAGGTAATGCTAATCTAGATATAATATTTGGTTGAGATTTTGGATGTAATTTAATTAATGGACCACATGCAACTATTGATTTAACATAGTCTTTATATTTACCTCTAATTCCATAATTTAAAACTATTCCTCCACCCATTGAATGACCCATTAAAATAAATTTTTCTTCTTTATTTATTAATTTATCATGATTTAATTTAATAAAAAAATCTAAATCATCAAATGAATGAAATTCATTAGTTTCTCCAATTTTTTTACCAGGAGAAGTTTCTCCTGCTCCTCTTTGATCAAAAAAAAATATTTCATAACCAACTTGTGATAATCCATCAAAATGTTCAGTATATACATTAGCTTGTTCTGCAAATCCATGAACATATATAATTTTACCTAAATATTTAACATTATTTGGTACTTTCCATGTAACTGTTTTAAATTTAGCACCATTATATTCAACAAATTCATTTATAGCTTTACCTTTTGGTTCAAATGGTATTGCAATTTCTGGAGTGGTAGTAGTCATGATTTTTTTTAACTTTATGATTGTTATGTAAAAATTGTCAATTGATTGTGTTAATATAAATATGAAATTGAGAATGGCAAAAGATCGGGGTCGTAAGTAAATATAAATATAAAATATACATAATTAAAACTTATTAAATCTCGTAGATCTTTAAATTTGAAAAGCAGGGGGGAGAAAAAAATTAAAAATTAAAATATTGTGGAGTTAAGGGGAGATAAAAGAAAGAGAAAATTCATTATCGTCAACTCAGTTTACAACCAAATATCTGTGTCATGGGAAGTATCCATCCAATTGGTATATTGTTAATGAGAAACAGATAATGCAAAAATGAATTGATTGAAAGTTTAATACCTATGTTCAATTAGAGCAAGACAATTGTGTTTTAGTAATTGGTTGCTAAACTTGAAGTACAAGTTTTATTTCCCACTGCTTATTTCATTTTGTAAGTGCTGAAAGTCAATACAGATTCCATAGAGTGTATGCTGAAGCTAATACTTAGTTCAAGTTCAAAGGTAGTCAGTTTCATGCAAGCTCATTGATTGAATCAAGTATAAAGTTTCTTAGATTTAGATCTCTCAACTGCGCGAATTATATACCCTTAATTAACTTTATGCCATTCAAATTTTGCTGAATCATTAACGATATCCTATATGTGGTATGCGATAGTAAATGAGATAGTTGATGATGATTTAGCGATTTGTGAGTCGGTTTGTTGGACATCAATTTATCTTTGTTTGACGCGTAAGAAGAAGTAAAACTGTCGGTTAACAATTTATATTAATAAATAATTTTATTAAATAAAAAATAATAAAAATAGAAAACTCCATAATTTAGTTGCAATTTACAGCATTAATTCATCTTTAATTTAGCACATCATCCACCACCAAGAATGTTTCTTCAGTTATTATCATATGCTGGAGCAATAGTAGGATTCCTATTCCTAGTGCTATCAATAGCGTCAGGTCTTTACTACATATCAGAATTAGTTGAAGAACACACGGAACCAACAAAAAGATTTTTAACTAAATTAATTTATTTAATAATGATAATTTACGTTTTACTAATGATTGGTGATTCATTTCCTATAAAACTTTCAATATTTTCCATATTCACTTATTATATATATTTACAAAATTTAAAAAAATTCCCATATGTTGAATTAACAAGTCCTATATTTCTAACAAGTGTTGTATTAGTATTAATTAATCATTTTATGTGGTTTAATCATTTCCATAATCCTACTATACCATCATTAGAACAAAGATTAAAACCAGATTATAAACCTCCAAGAATACCTAATTTTATTGAAGTTTGTTCATTTTTTGGTCTTATGATTTGGTTTGTACCTTTTGCTTTATTTGTAAGTTTGAGTGCTCATGATAATTTATTACCTCATCATAATGATTTACAATCAGCAGATAATGATGGTAAGAAGAAAAACAATGGGTTAGCTAAAGTCGTTGTTGCTAATTTAAGAGAATATGTATATACTATAAGTAGGAAATTAGGTTATGAATTAGATCCTCATCATGGATCAATTATATATTAATTAATTAATATCAGAACTGCATTTTATTTTTCGATTAGTTATTTAAGAAATTTTTAACTGGTTTACCAATATCTTCTAAACTCAATAAAAAAGTATCATGACCATAATTACTTATATCAGTACCTAATTCAAAATATTCAACTTCTCCTGTTTTATTATATGGATTATCTAATAAAACATCAGCAATTTCTCTTTGTTGCCATACTGGAAATAAAATATCTGATTCAACTCCAATTACCAAGACATCTTTATTGGCTAATCTTCTTTGCATACCATTTTTTAAATCTTGTAATGATTCTTCAACTGATAATCTTGGTGAATTTGTCAGTTTTTCTTCATATGGTTCTTCAGGTACTACTTCATATTCTCCAGAATCATTAGATTGTTCACCTTTATACTTGAGTTCACTTCTTTTTCTATCAGCTATAGCTTTTGATCTAGTACTTTCACTTAAATCAAATAAATCCATTGCTTTTGAAACATAAAGCCAAGAATTTGCATCATATTCTAAACAAAATTTTTCACCAGCATGATCTAAATAAGTTTCAACTAAAAAATCAGGACATAACGCAGGAGGTTTTGATTCATCTGCTCTATATCTACCAAATCTATATTCCCATTCAGGTCCTGATCTATAAGTCACAGTGGCAATTTCTCTTGCTAATTTCATTCCAACATGTGGTGGGATTTGATTATAATAAAATCCTCTATTCCAATTTGGATCACTCATTAATACTTGTCTTTGAGTATGTCTTAACGCTATTGAATATGGATGAGATCTTGCACATCCACTTATACTTATAACTTTTTGAACTTCTTCAGGAAATTCCCACGCATAAGCTAAACTTTGCATCCCACCCATTGATGCACCAACAGATGCATATATTTTATTAACTCCAAATTCATCTCTTACTAATTCTCTTTGAGCTCTTACCATATCATTTACTGATAATATAGGAAATCTTGTAGCATATCTTTCATCATTTGCTGGATCTATTGATGAAGGACCTGTTGAACCATAACAACCTCCTAAAACATTGGTACAAACAACAAAATATTTATCAGTATCTATAAATTTCCCCGATCCAATAAAATTTTCCCACCATCCTGGTTTTTCATTTTGTGGTTGTGATTTTGCATGACTTGAAGCTGATAATCCAGTATGTATTAATATTAAATTATTCTTTTGTGGGTTTAATTTCCCCCACGTTTCATAAGCTATTTCATATTCTGGTAAATGACCTCCATAATCTAGGAAAATTGGTTTTTTAGATTTATATAGTTGAAATCCAGTTCTTACAAAGCCATAACTTGGTTCGGGGCCTGACTGTAGACTACTTGATGATGATGAATCTTGAGTTTTACCTTGTGATAGCTGTTTGTTTTTGAGTTCTAATTTATCTAAACACGGAAAAGTTAATTGAGGATTTGAACCTTTTGGTTGAAATTGAGTTGTGAGATGTCGTATTTTAATTGATGCAAAAATCTGTTTTGAGTGTATATTGTGTGATTTTAGATGATATAGTATTCGTTTAGAATTGATCATGATTTCTATGGGATTTCGAGGATATGAGTAAGTGGAAGTTGAGTTTTTTCAACTCTTTAAATATATGATTTTGGATACGTTTGCTTACTAAGAATCATAAAGGGTTATAGATCTGAGTTTAAGATATTTTAAAGCAAGTTTCAATAAAACGTGACTTACTTGATATGGATTTTTTGTGCGGCTCTTATCTCCATGTTTTTTCATTCTATTTTTAATTTTTTATTTATATGACTACTTTCAAGCTGCTGTGACACGACAAGAAACTGAAAGATCGTAACTGAGACAAATAATTAATTCAAATTATTAATAGTCCAAATCACCAGTTGAATCAAATGTCTACAATCTTACTAGATAAAGTAAAGCAATTGAATTATACAGATGTTGTAATTTTATGGAGACTAGGATTTCTGTTATACCCTATTACTTATATTATATCAATTCCACTCACATACTTTCTACAACGATATAGTGGAAAAATATCAGAGATTTGGTCTGTTAAATTCTTAGAAAATTATATTGTTAGAAATTATATTATATTATGGTTTACAATACTATATTTTGGTAATTTATTAAATTTTCAAAACTCACAGGTATCAATCTCATTTCACGATCCAAAAACAGTGAAAAGCATTAAAATATATTTCTTGAACATAATATGGTTAACAATTTTATTAGAATGGTTTTTTGGATCACCAATTTTTGAAAGAGTTAGTATTGCATTAGGTGCATATTGTACAAAATCAGAGTTCAATAAGGAATATAAATGTGAACAAAATGGTGGGAAATGGATAAATTTATTTGATTCTTCAAGTCATTATACTATGTTAATTTCAAATAGTTTATTGATCTGGTATTTGGTCATACCATATATATCAAGACATATGTTTAAGAATATAAAACTAGATTTAGAACAAGCCGGTCTTCAACAAGAACCTACTATAGAAGAACAACCTGAGAAATTAAAAACTATTTTGGTTTATTTATCTTTACTTTTTATTGTGTTATGGTATATACTGTTTTGTATAACTTCATTATTTTTCCATACAATAACTGAAAAATTAGTTGGATTATTTTGTGGTTTATTTGTACCAATAATGATACAATTTATAAATTAGTTAACGAATAAAATAGAATAACTAGAACCTCATTAGCAAAAACAGTCTTATCTTGTATTTTGGTTATGATAATAATAATGTCATTCTCCATATTAATAAATATGTAAGTTGAAGTAGGGACAATTTGATGTCTGATACATAAATCCTGCATATACAAATATAATATTTTGGCATAATTATCTCAAAAATATTCTTAAGTTTTTTTTTATCTTTTTAATCTTTTTTTTTTTTTTTTCATAGTTTAGATTTTTAGATTTTGCAACATTAAATAAGAATTTAATGATTTGGAATAATAATAAGATTATGGCATTAATATCTCTAATTTTAATTCAATCTTTTTTTTTTATTGGAAAAGTAGAGGCAATTTCATAAATTGATAAAATAATATAAAAGAAATCATTAATTCCACAATTAAATTTTGTTCAGCCGTTTTGAAATGTCTGTTTCAACTTCAATTTCATCATCAAGATCTACTTCAAAATTTTCTGATATGCATTCATTATATTTAAAATTAACAAATGTTCATTGTATTGAATGTGAATTATCAATCAAAAAGATTCTATCACATTTTTATAAATTAAATCAAGTTGATAGCGATAATATTTCAGAATCAAATTTAAAAGAATTGACTACAACCAAGGAGATTTTTTATAATATAAAAGATGCTGAAGTTAAATTATTTGGTAACAAAAGTTTGAATTTTGCTGGTGATTTGAAAAAAATTATTAAAAGATTAGAAAAAAACGGGTTTAAAGTAATTAAATGGGATATAATTGAAGGTGATGAAATCAAATCATCATCAGAATTAGATATTGGGGATTTAGAAGCTGATAATCATGGCATTGGTAGATTTTATGATACTGGATTTTTCGACTTCTGGGGATTATATCAAAAAGTTTTCACAACAAGTTCTACCAAAAAACATTTGAAATATTGTAAAGTATGTCAAAATTTAGCATCTAATGGTTCAAACAACTTTAGTAATCTACCGTCTGATCAATCATCAATTGAAACAAAAGTTGAAATACCTCATCATGAATTTAGAGCTTCATTTTTAATTACTGGTATGACTTGTTCATCATGTGTTCATACTGTTGATGATGCATTAAAATCTTTATTCTCTGAATTTCAAACTAAAAATGATGAACCAAATTTTTCAATTAATTTATTAAAACAGTCAATAGTTGCTATAATCCCAAACAAGCAATTAATCAATCAAATTATTGATAGAGTTGATGACTTGGGGTTTGATTGTAAATTAATTGAAGTATTACCAGTGCAAAGATCAATAAATACTAAAATTACTGCGTTAATTGGGGGTATGACTTGTGCAGCCTGTGCTAATTCGATTGAAGCTGCAGTGAAAGAATTACCATTCGTATTAGAAAGTGGTATTAATGTTGTTACCAAGAATGCTCAATTTATTTTGGAAGATGATAATCAACATGAGAATATTGCAAAATTAGGACAAACAGTTGAAGATTGTGGATTTGATTTTGAAATCATCAAAAATGAAAAGATCAATTTCACTTCAGGTAAGCAAAATCCAAGAACTATTAATATTAAAATTGATGGTATGTTCTGTAATCATTGTCCAGAAATTATAACAAATTACCTATCTCATTATGGTGATGCAGTTGTTATTAATGATCCAATAACTTTAAAACATCCATTTGTAAAATTTACATATGTACCAAGTCGCGATATAATGATTAGGAAATTTTTATATGATTTAAATCATTTAAGAGATGATGGCAATGGAGAATACAAGATTACTGAAGAACCTGGGTCTTTCGCTTGTAAATTGGTTAAACCAGTATCTGTTGATGAACATATTAGAAAATTAGCTAAACGTGAATTAATGAATTTAGCATTGAGATTAGTTTTAGCTACTGCTTTTGCTATCCCTACTTTTGTTTTTGGTATTGTTGCAATGTCATTATTACCTAAAACTCATCCTTTTAGAATTTGGGTAGAAGAACCAATTTGGGTTGGAAACACTTCAAGAGATTCTTGGATCTTATTCATTTTGGCTACCCCGGTATATTTCTTTGCAGCTGATACTTTCCATCGTAAAGCATTTAAAGAAATTAAATCATTATGGTTTCACAAGAATTCTTTTAAACAAAGATTATTTAAATTTGGATCAATGAATTTATTAATGAGTTTAGGTACAACAGTTGCATATTTTGCAAGTATTGCATTATTAGCCTTGAGTGCCAAACAACAGCGTAAGACTAACATGGGTTTTCATACTACTTATTTTGATTCTGTTGTGTTTTTAACTTTCTTTTTGTTGATTGGTAAATTATTACAAAGTTACTCCAAAACCAAAACTGCTGATGCTATATCTCAATTAGGTGATTTAAAACAATCTGAAGCTACTTTAGTTGAACCAACTGATTCCGATAGGTATGAAAATGATGAAGTAGTAGATTTAGAGTTATTAGAAGTTGGTGATTATATTAAAATTGGGACCGGTGAATCACCACCAGTTGATTGTGTAATAGTTGAAGGAGAATCAAATTTTGATGAAAGTGCATTGACTGGTGAATCAACTCCTGTAAAACATATCGAAGGACATCAAGTATTTTCAGGTACTGTAAACATCGGTAACAATTCCATTATAGCAAAAGTTACAAGTTTGGAAGGTGATTCATTATTAAGTCAAATCGTAAATACTGTAAGAGATGGTCAATTAAGAAAAGCTCCAATGGAGAAAACTGCTGACTTAATCACTGGTTATTTTGTCCCATTAATTATATTTTTGGCTATTATTACTTGGGTTATTTGGTTATCTTTAGGATTTTCGGGTGCATTACCACAGCATTACCTTGATATAGATATTGGTGGTTGGACAGTCTGGTCCTTAGAGTTTGCTATAGCAGTATTCGTGATTGCATGCCCATGTGGAATTGGTTTAGCTGCACCAACTGCATTATTTGTCGGTTCGGGATTAGCTGCAAAATATGGTATATTAGCTAAAGGTGGTGGTGTTGCATTTCAAGATGGTGCAAATATAAATGTTGTATGCTTTGATAAAACTGGGACTTTGACTAAAGGTGAAATGTCTGTAACTAATTATTCCTTTGTTGAGAAAGATTCTGTGATGAAACAATTTGCTTTACAAATAAGTAGAGACTTAGAAGTTGCTTCTGGACATCCGTTAGCAAAAGCCATTAAACTGTTTATTGAATATATTAGTAATGAATCCAAGATTGATTTATATGGAAACAAAATTCCACAAGTTGAAACTATTCCAGGACGTGGTTTAGGTGGTAAGATAATTTATGAATCTGATGATAAAACAAATTGGAGTAAATTTGACCCAGTTGAAGCTATTTTGGGTAATGAAAAATTAATGCAAGAGAAAAATGTTTCGATACTGGAATTAGAATCAAATTTATTAACAAAATGGAAAACTGAATGTAAATCAGTAATGTTAGTTGCACTTAAGTGTCCGAATTGTTTTCATGATTCAAATTTCCACTTAATTTTCATGATGGCAGCAAGAGATCAAATAAGACCAGAAACCAAAAGAATTTTAAATTACTTAAAAACCAAAAAAATAGAAACTTGGATGATAACAGGTGATAACAAGCAAACAGCAGATGCTATCGCCAGTGAAATTGGTATTGAAAATGTAGTAAGTGAAGTATTACCAGATGAGAAAGAATCTCAAATTAAAAGAATTAGACAACTCAAGCAATCACAACAACAAAAATGTACTATTGCTATGGTTGGTGATGGAATAAATGATGCACCAGCATTAGCTTCTGCTGATGTTGGTATAGCGTTAAGTTCAGGTGCTGATATAGCTGTTACTTCAAGTGATTTCATATTGTTGAACAAATTACATCCATTGATTAGTTTAATTACATTAATTGATTTATCAAGAAAAGTATTTCGTCGTATAAAATTTAATTTTGGATGGAGTTTAGTTTATAATATGATTGGGTTACCTATTGCTGCTGGTGTTATATATCCTTATAAAAATTCAAGATTAGATCCTGTTTGGGCAAGTGCTGCTATGGCATTATCTTCAATTAGTGTTGTTTTAAGTTCATTAGCTTTAAGATTATACAAACCAAAGATCAATGTCAATGATTTCAAACTAGAAGAAAATGAATTAATTTTACCAATTGAAGAATAATTTGTATATACTTTTATGTATTAAATGTACTATATAAATTTAACGGTATACACCTTTTGTTGAATTACTTTTTGTTGAATTTTTTTTTTTTACCTCTATTGTTTAAATATGTTATTATCGAATTGAACAATCATGACCGTAACGTTATCCATTGTAGAATTATCAATAGCTAATTGACATAATTTCTTGGAAGTTTCACTTGTATTTAACCCCTTTTTAAAACAATCACTAGCAAATTTACAAGCTTTTAAATCACTTAAAACATCCCATACTCCATCACATGCAATTATCATAAATTCATCATTTTCATTTATTTCAGTTGATGTTGTAAAAGGTTTTCCTAATACTAAATCTTTCATATATGTATCACCGAGGGATCTTGTTACTGCTAATACTCCATTAACTCTATTCTTTAAGATTAATCCTCCAGAATTCTCTATTCTATTTATTTCATTTGAATCTGAAGCTTTGTGATCATATGATAATCTATATGGTTTACCTGACCTACAAAGTATTATTCTTGAATCTCCAACGTTTGATGTATATAACATTCTTTTGTGATTTTTTGTAGGTATAAAATCGAATTTCTTGGTCGATCCTTCTTGTGTAGTTTTTAAATTTGTTAAATCAATTAAACAATCTTCCTCTGATTCACTTTCCCATCTTAAAACAGCTACTGCTGCTGTACATCCTGATGTACCAGTTCCATTTTTTTCGATCAATTCATCTGCTTTTACAAATGCTTTATACAAATGCTCTTTCATATCATATTTCCCATTTAATGGTATACTAGAAGTTGATGATGTAGAGCTGCCGGTTGATTGTAATGAATCTCCAGACATTGTTGAGTCAACACTTTCACCGACCGAACTTTCTGATCCCCTAGGAGATGGTATATTCGTGTTGTCGGTACTATTATCACTTGGAGATTGAGTTCGACTATTTGAAGTTAATGATTGATCTTGTAATTCTAAATCAATTTCTTGTTCTAATAAAGTATGTAAATTATTTCCACACCATCTAGCACAATCTTTACCTGCATGACCATCAAATATAGCAAAATAACCCCAATCAACTCTTTCTGCAAAATTTGCAATATATGTATGAACATCTTCCATTTTAGATCTATAAGTTGAATTTTTATTTTCTGCAACTCCAACTTTAAAAGATAATCCTGCAAATGGATCAAACTCTGAAGACTGCGATATGTTTGAAGATGATGTACTATTTGAAGTTGTATTATTGGTTGATGATTGTGAAGATGATGAAGATGATGAAGGCAGATTTATTTCTTTAAAATGTGGATGATTTTTTGGTGGTTGCGTAGTAGAAGTTGGTTTTATTGATGGATTATTTAGACTTTCTGGCGCTACATATAAATCTTGTTGTGATAATTTTGGGACGTCTTTTGGGTCAGTCATAGGAATTTGATTAAGCAAAGCTTGTGGCGAAGGCCCTGGGCCAATATCTGTATCTACTGAACTCATATTTGGAAAAGTTGTGTGTAAGATGAATTTTATACTTTAAGATTAATTTGTTACTAAAAAAACTATTGTGAATTGTAAGTTTTACCTAACGATATATATATGATTAGATTAATAAGTGAATGATAATATTAATGTCTTAGAATTTACTGATACTGGTTTCAAAGATATAATGTAATAATTGAATGGATAATATATGGACTATATTTAAACATTTCTTAGTTACAAAAGTTAGTATACAGGAAATTGTTTATTTTAATAATTAATGTCGTAAAATATTTATGCCTATCATAATTTATAGTAAAGTACAATCTAGTTAAGTATTGATGTCTAGACATTAGAATTTACGACTTGCGGAGTTCCTCGATTCTTAAAAATAATAACATGAAAGTAGTTAATCTAAATATAGCAACCCTAAACTCAAATTAACTTACACCTGGTTTAATATTAAGCTATTTAATTGAATGACTCTATAGACATTGTGTATTACATCTAGATTTAAAATTTGTTGAGTCAAGGTTGGTGCTTAAGTATAGAAAAAAGTACGTAAAATTTCCCCTTTGATTAAACTTTCATTCAAGAAAAGGTACCGGAAAAATAAATGATTTCCTCGGTGACTATATGCTTTCCATGGATTGTCAATTTTGTGGTTTTGCATTCATGAAGTCCGTCTCCATATTTGATTATTTTTTTTAGTCTTATGCATAAATAATTCTTTAACACCTTTCAAAAAACTTTAATCTTTTTATTTTTGAAACCTAATATTATATACTTCCCTGATGTTTCAGATTTCTTTCGAATTTTGGGGTTTCAGCATCATTTGAGAGAGTCGATCATAAATCATCTTTAAAAGTTATTGATGCCCTTCAATCAATTTTACAGTAAGACTCTAGAATTATATGAAAAATTAAACTATACACTTGACTTTACTTTTACACCTTTATATTTTTCAAAATTATAAATTAACATAAAGATAAGTTATATGACGTATGTAATAAAAATTATTCTCAACTTTAATTTTAAATTTAAATCTTCGAAACCAAAAAAAAAAAACTTTAAATTTAAAGTTTAAAATTTTGTGCACAAATGCGAAACCCGTTTTATTTTTTATTTCCTGTAATTTTTGTACTTCAGCCGCCTAAAAATGTAGTTTTGAATTTTATACACATTGCAAGAGTTATTACAAGTCAATGCCTTAATAAGGCGGGGGTTTCATGTATCGTATAATTTTGTCAAGGCAAACCATCTTGATGATGCAAAACATTATTTGCTAAAAGGCAACAACATAGCGAGATGTTTAAGTGGAATAACAATTTATAGAATTATAACCATTCCAATTAAAACCTTATAGTATTTCGTTAACAATTAACTAATTTCAATTTAAAATTTAAAGTTTAAAACCCGTAAATGGTTTTGCTATACATATTGTGTTTAAGTTTATTAATCAATTTCTATTGTTTTAATTAACAATCATTTTTCCATGTTTTATAATAAGAACTTTATTTTTTTAGTAAAATTACATTTTTCTATAAGTTATAGGTTAATTTTTTTAATTTTTTATATACGCGGACCTGAAGTCCATAATATGTATATGTGATGTTTAAATTGAAATATCTTGAAAACATTTAATTAATATCTTAAACTTACACTGTTTAAGTTTGCCATCAATATGTACCTTTTTTTGCTGAACAATATATTTAATTTTGGAGTTCCAGTCATAGAGGCAGATTCTTTAATTAATCATTCCATATTATCCATTTGCTATATACTTAACAAATAAACTTTTATCTTTTTAATTCAATAAAACACCTATGTAATTGTTTATACTATTTATTTTTAATTATATATTAAATTTTATTCATTTTCTATAAAATAAGATGGATATTTCCTTTAATCAAAATGTAACTTATTTGAATAAACTTACTTATCTGATTATTTTATCATAAAGTTTTATTAATAAAGTTTTGTAATTGTTATGGTTGATGATAACAATGTTGGATATAATTCAGATACGGACTTAATACTAAATATCAATAGTAAAATTTCATTCAATAACAATGTATTTGATTCAAATGTAACTACCACAGAAACTAATCACAGTTCCATATATAAACTACCCAGTGATATTCTATTACAAATTTGTTCCTATTTGCAACAATATGATTTAGTTAATTTATGTTTATCGAGCAAGATCTGGTCCTTTCCTGCAACTAGTACATTATATTCAAAAATCATAGTTAATGATGATTCAAATGCTTTAAAAACTATACGGAAAGTTATAACAAAATACACTAGTAATTTTGGCACCCTAATATCGATCACAAAATTTCAAAGACTACTATATTCAATTAATAATAATCCAAGTTTGGGTAGACTATTGAAAAGTTTAATATTAAATGTCAATGATGAGACAATGAACCTACTAATATTAACTACAAATTTATCAGCGGGAAGTAACATAGTTTCAAATAATATAGGTAACGATAATTGTGATTATTCAATTATACCATTATCACCAAACACACCATGCTCAAGACCACAATCACCACTATCCCCAACTTCAAAAAAATCCTCAACTTCATTATCATCAGTAGTATCATCAGGATCTGGAGTAAAAGATTACGCAATTAAATTAAACAGTCTTATTGCGCCAAATATACCGATAACATACTTTTTAAACAATTTGAACCAATTTAATTTGTCATCGATTACAATGCTTTCTATATCAATTAAAGATTTATCAATATCAGATCCTACATTACTACATTTCCAAAATTTGCAAAAATTGAAATTATATTATGATGATAATGAACAAAATTCAGCAAATTTAAGTAAACTTGGGGAAACTTTAATGTTAAATGGCTCATTGTCAAATCTTAGAGAGCTAGAATTTGTCGAGCAAGTGATTAATGATAGAATAACAATGTTAAATATTATAAATGACTTAACTAACTCAAATTTTTTAAATTTACCAACTTGGTTATATTTTTTTCAATCACTATCTACTACACACTCAAGTTCAAAATTACTATTAGATTCTTTGGCCATTGAAGGTTTCATTGGTAATAAATCAATCGAGTGTGTTGATATGTTATCACAATCAATAGACTTATCATATTTAGCTAACCTACAATTAAAAATGAAAGAATCAACTCATACAAATACATTTCATAATGAATTCACTACTACATCAAAACAATTCCTAAATTTACTCACTCAAAAGACATCATCATTAGTAAGTTTAGCAATAAATCCTACATTTGATTGTTTGAATTGTCAACATCAATCAATCATTCAAACAATTCAATATAATTTACCAAATCAATTAAAAAATTTATCAGTAGTTTTTGAATCACCAAGTGTTACAATATCACAAAATATAAATGATACAATATGTAAATATCAACAAAATTTAGAAAGATTATTAGTCAATGATAAATCTACAGAAATTACAGATAGATCATTATTATTTAAATGTATAAATTCAAATCAAAATTTATTAAATTTATATGATCATGGTTTAATTTATGAAAAATTAATTAAAAATTCATTATTTAATGATGTTTGGTTACAAGATTTTTTAAAATTAGATGAAGAATTTATTATAAATGATCAAATGATTTCTTTCATTAATAAATCAAGTGGGAAAGGTTTAAATGAATATTTATGGTATTTTTTACATTTTGCTTTTAGTCCAATTGTATCAAGTAAAATTAAATTGATTGGGAATTTACCAAATTTAAAAAATTTAAATGTCTTAGGGTTGAGTTTAGTAATCAACGATTCAAATAAAAAATTGATAAACAATTACAATAATTTTCATCCATATAATCAAAAGGCATTACAAGAAATTTATTACGTTGCTAATGGGAAATATATTTCTTCGGGATTAACATTCAAGAAATAAGAGGATTTAAACTATACATTTTTTTTGCTTCATTTCATATTCATATTTTACTTTATTTATTTACTGGGGTTTTTAAAGGGTCAGGGATTTATAATCAATTAATATGTCTTCACTTTCATTAAATATATAGTTTGTATTATTATAATGACACTTCATTAATGTTTAGGGTTATTTACAAAAAAATGGGATTTTTATATAGAAATGTTTTTAATTTACACTTATATAATTCGCGCTATAAATTTAATGAAGTGGTTGCAAATTTAAAATGCGCAGTTTTTGCAACCAAATTTCAGAGACAAAGCACAGGATAAACTCTTCTTTAAAAAATTGTTCAATTCTTTACTTATATTGTTACAAAAAGACTCATAATTTTCTATACGTTTCCAAATTTTTTAACACTCTCCCTAAAAATCCCTAATCATAAATTTCCATAGGTGGTAATCTATCAGTACTATAAAACCAATTATCATTATTTAATTCAGCATCTAACCAAGTTGTTGGAAAATAAACTAAATGACCTTGAATTGAAGATAATAATTTTTCTGCTGTTTGTTTATCATATACAACATCTGCATTCATTAATCTTCTACGATTAACGTATCCATTTTCTCTTACTTTTCTTATTTTGGGTTGTTTTGTCTTGTCGCTTGATTCTGATGAATCTCTTTCTTTGGTGTAGTTGTAATTTTTGTTGTTTGTTGTTCCATTTTCTAAATTGTCTTTTGGACTTTCAATTTTTTCTTCAGTTAAATCTTCATCCTTTTTTAATTTTTCATCAAGTTTATGTTCTGCAACTCCTGCAAATGAACTCATTTTACGTCCTAATTTATGTCTAATTTTACCTTCAGATTGTTGTTTTTCTAATTCTTCTTTTGATGGTGGAACTCTTCCTAAAAGTCCATAATCATCATCAGTTTCAGTTTCAAATTCATTTTTTGCATCGTTTGCCATATGAATATTTTGTGATTCCTCATTTTGTTCATCTTCATGTGGATTATAATCAATACCATCAGCTTCTGCATTTTGACCTTTCATGAATTCACTTTGAAATTTAGTAAAATTAGTATAATCTGACCATGAACCAACAGAATTATCTGGTTGACAATGGAAAACCATTCTATATATTGCTGTATTTCTTTTTGCATGTTCATTCCAAAGATATTCATAAAATGTTGGATCTAATGGATCTGCAAAATTATAAGGATCCATAAATTTTTTACCTCTTGCTTCTGGTGTGGAAATTTCAAAAAGTAAATCTTTTATAGCTTGATCTGATAATGAAGTTGTTTTTTTCTTAGTATCCAACATACTAATATTTGAGCTTTCTGAAGTATCAATATCTGATAATTTAGCAGTTCGATCTACTGGAGGTAAACCAGCTTGTAATCGTTTTTCATTTTCAATGTTAGCAAAATATTGTTCTCTTGCACCAACTCTTTGTAAATAAGCTAATTTTTTCAATAATAACCATCTTTCTTTATTTCTTTCATTTATAATTACTTCAGATTCTTCATCCATATCATGAAACATTTGGGAATCATTTGAATTTAAAAATTGTAAAACATCTTCATGAAGTGGTATAAATGGTTTATTATTGTTTACTTCCATTGTTTTCAATGATATTTCCTCTAAAAATTTAGTACTTTCTAATCTTGTAGTTGCTGCCAATACGGTTCTATATCGATCCAAACCTTTACCTGCAACATCATCTTTATGTACTTGACTATGTTGAACTCTATTATCGTAGGAATGTTTCTTCTTATCACGTACACCTTTATTTGCTTCATTAGGACCAGTTCTAGTATTAAACATAGTTGGAAGTTGTAATGGAGGTGGTGAATCATCTTCCATTACTTCATAATCCATATTGACTATTTGTGCATCTAAATCATTGACTTTAGTGAAATCCAAATATCTTTCAGTTCCATTTCTTTCATTTAATACTTCTCTAGAAGCTAATTCAACCATTGCTGATGTAACTCTTCGTTCAACATTTTGAAATTTATTAGTAGCATATTTCATACCTTCTGTAGTTTGAGCATATTTTTCAATATTTTCAAATCTGCGTTCAACAACATCAAATACATCTATACTTACACCAAGATGTTCTCTCATTAATCTCATTCTTAAAGTATGAGCAAATTTTGCAGCTTTAAAAGGTTTACCATCCATTGTTGAATCAACTGTTTCTGTATCTCTAATTATAGCAGCAACTTCAGAATCTCGAACACCACGCATTGATCTTTCATTAATGTTTGCACTTCCAATTATAACATTTCTATCATCTGCAATCATACATTTAGCATGTATATATAGTTGTTCAGTAACTAAAGTTCTTTGAGGTCCAATTCTACCCCATTTTCTTAATGAAAAAAATTGTATATAATCATCTGGTTCAATTCCTTTTCTTCTTAATTTTGCAAATATCGAAGTATCACCAATTGAGATGGACATATATTGACATCTCATAATAACTCTGACAGATGAACCTTCTGCTTGATCAACTTGAGCTTCAAAACCTGGCATTAAAGGTATAACAATTATAGCTTTCCATTTTTTACCTTCTCTATGAGCTCTAATAATTCTATCAACTAATGCATCACCAATTCTATTTTTTATTTCAGTATTATCAATCTCACATGAAGTAACAAAAAATTGATTTTCAATATATATAAAATGTTCTGAATTTTCAATTAAACTTAAATATGCATTTTGAATACTTTGTTCATGACGTTGTAAACCTAATGACCAATTACCAGAAGATCTTAACAATTGGATCTCACAAGATCCACTATATCCTGCTTTTAAAGCTTCTTCTTGAGTAAAATCTGGTGGCGGAATTAATAATGGTGTTGGTCTACTTGGACGTTTTTGTCTAATTAAATAATTCCACCTTTGAACAAAATGTCTGGATAAATCTCTTGCTATTTTACCATTTGTAAACATATGAATATCATGCCATGGCATTCTTGGTGTAACTTCCCTATTATACATTGATTCATAAGGCTTATCTAGTTCAAAAAAATCTTTTTTTCTAGGGTTTGAATAATCTTTTCCTGGAAATGTTTGAAATTTAGTTATTGAATCTTCTTTAAAATCTGTTTTATTTTCAAGATGTTTAAAATCTATTTTGGAATCATCAATTAATGTATGATCAGCTGTATCATATCTACCATAACATAAATCAATTCCACCTAAAAATGCATAAGTTTGATCTATTATACAAAGTTTTTCATGATGTGCCCAAAAAAATGTGTTTTGTAAAAGTTGATTTGGTGATCTTATAACATGAATATTATCTTCATTTAATGTAAGTAATGAGTGTTTCGTATATAATGAATCAGTTGCAACTGTTGAACCCACATTACGATAAACTATAATATAAATTTTAACACCTTCTTTAGCTTTTCTTTGTAATAATCGATCAATTCTATATTGTTGATTACTATTTGCTGGTCTTCTTAAATATAATTCTGGTGATAACCACCAATCATGAATGAAAATTGTTTCTTTTGCTGATTCCATTTGATCTGATACTGCCCAAAAATAATCTCTACCATCAACAAACCATTGAGCTGAACAATTGGTTCTAATAGGAGCAAATGAATCAAATCTTTGTTCATGGCCCCATTCAGTAGCTTGTTGCATTTTTTTAATTGACTTATACCAAGCAAGTTGATTTCTTTTCGAACCAGGTTCAAGTTTCATTTTTCTTTCTCTGTTTTCAAGATACAATTTATATCCACCAAATATTTTAGTATGTTTCTGAACATAATTATTAAGATCTTCAAATGTATTTAAATTTGGGTCGTCTAAATTATCATCTTCTTCATCATCTTCTTCTATTGGTCTACCATTTTTGGCACCAACTGTGAAATCAGAGTCTAATAAAAACACTTCCAAAGGAGTAGTAGAGTTAATATCTGAAACATACATGATATAACTATCTCTTACCAACATCCATTTATCAGTACGCCTTTTATAAATTCCTTTCAAATCATCTAATTTGAAATGACCAACTCTCCAACCTCGGGAACTAGCATTACCACCAACATGTATTAGACCTTGTTTACCTTGATATCCTCTTTCATAATTTAATAATGCTGAGAGTGGTGATAATTCAAAAAATATGAATAATAAATTGGATATTGGTTTTAATGAAACTTCTTCTATAACTTTTGTTAAATATTCTTCAATATTTCTTCTATATTCTGCATTACGATTTTGACGTTGTTCAAGGGTTTCATGTTTATCATTTGATACAATTGACGCTATACTACCAATTCGCAGTCTCATCCTTGAAAGTCTAGAATTATTTGATAGCATAGAACGATTGTCCGTATCGGGTATTGATACATTCATAGAAGTAGGCACAGTTGATCTTAATCTATTTCTTTTTGATTTATTTAATTTTTTAACTGGTGGAATTGGTACTTTAGGTATTTGAAGTTTTTCTCCACTAAAATCACCTTTAAATGCTTCATATTTTAATTTTGCATGTAATAAACCTATATCAGTTGCTCTTTTAAATACTGACCAAACCATTCTTTCTTCACCAACTCCATATTCCAAATCAATTCTCATATGTCTATTTCTTGTATAATCATTATTTGATACATCTACAATTTTAAACCCTAATAAATTAAGTAAAAGTGGAGCTCTTGCTATACCTCTATCGTCTGTCAATAAACATGAAGCTACTAAACCAAGTGATGGACCACCAAGTGATAGACCAGATATAAGTTTTTGTGCTCTAAGTCCTGTCAGTTTATAAGAATTATCTTCTTCTTCTTCCAAACCAATATTTGATCCATATGTAGTAGGTCTTTGTTCATGTTTTCTTCTATCTCCAAAAATCTTATTTTTAAATCCTTTATGTGATTTAGTTTGATCAATTTGACTTAAATTTTGAGATGAAGCTGGTTGATTTGGTGATAATAAATCCAGTTGTTGTTCATCGTTGAGTGTATGAGTAGATTTAGGCATGAAATGAGGTATATAACTTCCAAATGTTTGTGATCTTAAAAATGGCTTTTTTGATTTAGGAGATGCTGGAGTTGATTGTAAATTTGACGGTATATCATTATTTTGTTGAGATTGTAAATATTCTGTTGGTGGAGTATCTTCTTGATTATATTGATGACCATTATTATTAAGATTTATATTGTTATAACTATCACCTGGATAATGATTATGTTCATGTTCACTATCTTCTTCTTCTCTACTTTCATTTCGATCTTCATATGGACTGAAAAATGATAATGGATTTCCAATTATTTGTGATGAATCTTGTCTTTGTAAATTATTATTATGATTTGGTCTTCTCTCCTCTTTGTTATCATCATTTGAAATTGATTGATATAATTTATCAAAATTCGTCAGTTCTCTTGCTGGTTTTTCATTTGGTGTATTATAATCATTTAAGTTGTCAAATATATGATGATGATGTGAAGTTGACCCATTTGCGTCGGGCATTACAAATATTTAATTGTAAGTTGAAATTTTTTTAGAAAACTTAAATTAAGCTACTAGGTTATGACAATTGATATAAGATAATTGAAAGACTCAAAAAATAGGAAATAAAAGCAGAAAATTCAAAGATGAAGGTATTATAAAATTGATTTTAATTCAAAACGTATATAGTTGTAAAAATATATAAAATAATATAAACAAAATAAAATAAAATAAATAAATAATTTGTTACACAAGAATAGAATACAAAACATAATTAATAAATTGTTAATATTGATATACTAGTAATATATTATTTATTAAATCAATACTTGAAAAGTAAACAATTACTTACTTTAATTTAAATTGTTGTAATATTATACAACAATAAATATAAATCGTACCCATGTGTTTTAAAAGTGAAACAATACAAATACAACTAATGAATATTCTTTTAGTTCTTAAAATTTGAAAAAAAAAAAAACAAATTAATAAATACTAAAACTTTTAACAACTTAATAATAATGATATTACAATAATTAATTAATTAATATGCAACTAGTTTTTAATCAAATACTATATAATAGACTATACAAATAAATTTTGAATAAATAGTGGTATCAATAAATTAGTTGTTTTTTGAGCTTATTGGCACAATATTAACAATATCAGTATCTTGTAGCTTTCAAAAATTACGAATATTGATTCATTTATCGTAATATTAATAGCAATCCATTTTATATTTTTTATTTTCTCTTTTTTGTCCCTTAAACTAAAAGTTTTTAATCTTTCAAAAAACTTGTATCTAATCTTAATTTATGACCAAGCCATAATGCATTATCAGTATGATCTTTTAAGTCTCCTTGACTTGTTCTTGGATGAATTAATACTGATAATTTACCATGATTTAATTGGAAAAATGGAACTAATTTAACAAAAATTTCTGGTTTTTTAAAATCTAATTCCCACATATTTAAAGTATGAGGACCAATTGGTTTATCCCAAAATTTATGAACTCTTATATCTCCTTTTTCGATTTCATCAGCATATTCTTTTAATACTTTTTCTCTTAAATTATATGCAAATTCTCTATCTTTTGGATTATTATTATTCCAATATGTATGAATATCATATGATACAATATCTCCATAAAACTTATCATCAACCATTTTTTTATAAATTATTTGAAAATGTTATTACTTGTAAATACTTATTGATATATGAATGAAATAAAAATCAAATCAATTAATGAATATGTAAGATATTTATATATCTAAACATATTTTGGTGCTTTGAATGAATGATTAAAAATAATTTATTCAATTAAGTAATTTTAGTGCGGCTTTATTAATAATTAGATTACTAAAATAAATTTTATAATATTTATAAATAATTTATTATGTAAGATGTATTTGGTAAATAAATTATAGTATAATTTGAGTAATGATCAACTTTACAAATATAAAATTAGATCTATATGCACTATGAAATTATTAATTGATTCATTAATAATGTTTATAAACTAGATAATTAATAACAACATTTGTAAATTAGATAATTGAGATAAATTATTCTTAAACATCTTTCAATTGTATATTTACGTAATCACTTGGAGTAGTTCTACCACTATTACCCAAATCTAATTCATCTTCTTGATCATTCAATACAGCATTTTCTTCTACTCCATTTGAACTATTATTCATTAATTTATGATATTTTAACCTTTCCTTTTTAGCTAAACTTTTACGATAATTTTGATATAATATAGATAAAATTAAACCTAATAAACTACCTAAAACATTTGATAAAATATCAATTGGATCAAATATTCGATCTTTATTTATTAAATTTTGAATAATTTCCAGACTTATACTACCTCCTATAGTACATATAAAAAATGTTAAATATCGAACTAATTTTAATGATTTAAATTGTGTATCGAATATGAAATAAAATTCTATTGTTAAAATGCAAAATATGATGAAATGAATTAGTTTATCGTGAATCAATTGTATCAGTGAAAACCCGAGGTAACCAGCTAATATCAATGTAATTATGAAAGCTATATTATATAATGTTAGTATACAATGTATATATAACACAAAGTAATCCACTTGATTTATTGTACGTACCAATAAGAACTGAAATTCTGACCTTGACCATGATGAACTTAGAGTAGATTAATGAGTAACGTTAAACATAAAAGTAGGTTGAAGTTGTGGATAAGTATATACTACAAAAGCCGATGGAAAAAATGAAACTTTGACTTATAAAGTATTAGAAAAGCCCTTTTTAATATTATTATTTTTTTGTACTTTTTGCAACTTACTTTTTGATAAGAATTAATAGATGATGTATATATGATGCTACAGAAAAGATTAAGTACACAACTACTACTCAAAAGATATTACTCAATAGATTACATAACTTATTCAATACCCAATGGAGAATTCAAATTAAGTGATTTATATAAAGATGAAAAAAGACAACAACCAAAACATTATAATCAAAAACTACGGAAAAAAATCATAAATCCAGATATGTTGAATAGAATTTTTCAAGAAGATGGATATGAATCTTACAGTAAGAAACAAATAACCCAATCTCAAAAATTTTTTAAAAATTTTAAAGTAAATCTAGATTGGACTTTAACTGATTATAATGAAATACCGAGTGTTAAATATGAAATTTTGAGAAATGAACAATCAGCTAAATCTCAGGATAGTACCTCATCAAGAAAAACATTTGGAATTAAACCAGAATTATTAACAAATCTACCAGAAATTTTAATAATTGGTCATACAAATGTTGGGAAATCTTCATTAGTAAATAATTTATTAAAACCTAAAAAGACTTTAAATAAACTTGATCAATTAGCTTATGTTTCTGCAAGAGCAGGATATACAAAAACTTTAAATTGTTTTAGATTATCAAATAAATTAAGAATTATTGATAGTCCGGGGTATGGGAAAAGAGCTATTGGAACTCAAGGTGATATGGTTATAAATTATATAAATGAACGTCAACAATTGAAAAAAGTTTTGTTTCTTGTTGATTCAGTGGAAGGATTTAGAAATGAAGATAAACATATTATAGATCATTTAATTGAACAAGGGATTCCATTTGATATAGTTTTCACAAAAATGGATGAAGTGTTGAAGAAATATTTTAAAAATGATATTTTCAAACTTGAATATCCTGATGATAAGATAAAAGAAGGTAATCAAAAAGTTCTTGAATATTATTATGATTTACTTGAAGATTCAAATCTTAATAATTCAGTAATAAGTCCAAGGTATCTTTTCAATAACACTCAATTAAATAATTTTATTGGAGAATTTCAAGGTACTAAATCAATTAGATGTAATATACTAGAAAGTTGTAATTTACTTACTACTACATGAATTTAAATGATGGAAAAAAATAATACTAATGTACATGTATATATTAAAATAAAGAAGCTAAGATTATTTTAACGACCACCTCTACCACCTCTAAATCCACCTCTACTTGGTTTTGAAATTCCTCCACCTCTACCTCCAAATCCACCACGACCACCTCCTCTTCCACCACTAAATCCTCCTCTACTTCCACCTCTTCCACCACCACCTCTACTACTGAAACCACCACGAGAACCGCCTCTTCCACCACCAAATCCTCCTCTACCACCTCTTGAACTTGGTCCACTTCCACCACCACTACTTTTCTTTTTCGGTTTTGGACCAACTGGTGCAGCTTTTGGTAAAAATCTATCCAATGGTAATAACTTATCAGGTCCTATAAAAAATTTATCACCATCTTTAAAACTTTCAGCTTTTACTCCTTCACTTGGTTTTATAGTAAAATATACTTCATTGACTGGTCCTAAAATTTCATCAACTTTTCCAACTTGTGTTTTATTTTCTAAATATATTGGTGCATTGAAATATGGAATTTTAACATTTATTGAACGACATACTATATCTCCTTCACATGCTTGCATAAATGATCCCATTTCTAATACTGATTCTGGTGGGCCTTGTTGAAAATTATTTGTTCTACCACCAAATCCTCCTCTGCTTCCTCCTCTGAATCCTCCTCTTCCTCTATTCATATTTTAATTATGTATTTGTGTATATGTATATATGAATAGATGGTTGTAAATATTGATTGTTCAATATTTAAATTTGTATTAATTGTTTTGATTGATTTAGGGTTGTTAGATATCTCATCTTTATAAAAAAATTATTATTGAAAAATTAAATTAATATTATGTAGAATGATTATGTAAACTTAACTAATAATGATTATGTAATGTATTACTTAATTGAAAAGGTTGTGTACTTTGTTCAAAGAGTGATAATATTATAATTCTGTAACTATTAAAATGAACTATTAAAAGTAATTGGACTTGTGGCAACCAAAATTTCATTAACTGATTTACTTGAAAAAGATCAATTCAGAATATCATTATAGACAATTATAAAGTAATCAATTAATAATTCAACTGTTAATTGACTTGTATATCACATACATTGTACAAGTAATCACACAATGAGTTCACCACAACGTATGTTTTTAATCCGAAATTTCCTATACTATTAGAATATGAACTAACTTTTGACCATTTAGCTACACCAACATTTAAAGTTGGTCTTACACCAGAGGAAAAATCATTATATACTCAATTATTCAAATCATTAGATCCAGACAATACTGGTATAATAACTGGAGAAAAAGCAAGATCAACATTTGAAAAATCAAATTTACCACCTGCTATATTAGGAGAAATTTGGCAATTAGCTGATCAGAATAATTTAGGATTTTTAAATCAATATAGCTTTTGTTATGCTATGAGATTAATTGGTTATACTCAATCTGGTCAACATCCAACTCCAGGTTTAGCTGATACTCCTGGTCCTTTACCTAAATTTGCTAATATTCAACAACCACAACGTTTACAAACTCAATCAACTAGTAATTCATTTTTATCAAGTCAACCAAATAATACAATTCCACAATCAGCTACTCCACAAGTTTCATTAAAATCAATAAGTTCAAATGATTATCAAAAATTTTCTCAATTATTTATTAAAACTGTTGGATCTTATCAAGGTGAATTAGGAGGTGCACAAGCAAGAGATATTTTTATGAAAGCAAGATTACCAACACCAGTATTGGGACAAATTTGGAGTTTAGTTGATAGAAATAATACAGGTATTTTAAATGTTGGTGCATTTGTAATAGCTATGCATTTAATTCAAGGTTTATTAAGTGGTCAAATCAAACAATTACCTCCATTTTTACCTGAATCAATTTGGCAATCAGTAGAGAATCATCCTCAACCTCAATCTCAGCAACAACAACAACAACAGCCACAACCACCACAATCGTCACCATCTTACCAACCATCATCTCGTCAAAGTTCTATAAGTTCACAACAAACAGCAATCAGACATCAACCACTGAGAGATTTTTCTGGGGCAAGTACTACTTCAAATAATGAATGGGTAGCTACGCCAACTATGAGAGCTCAATTTGATTCAGTATTCAATAGTCTTGATAAAGAAAATGTAGGTCACTTAAATCCAGACCAAGTTGCTTCATTTTTAATGACTTCAAAATTAAATCAACAAGATCTAGCATCAATTTGGGATTTAGCAGATATACAAAATACTGGTCAATTCACAAAGTTGGAATTTGGAATTGCTTTATTTTTAGTCAATAGGAAAGTTACAGGTCATAATTTACCAAATGTAATTCCAGAAAGTTTGATCAATTCTTTAAAATCATCACCTCAACCATCACAACAACAACAACAACAAACAAAAGCTAATGATACAAGATCTCCACCACCTTCTCAATACAAACCAAAATCTTCGATTGACGATTTAGCAGACATCTTTGGAACTTCATCACCACAACCAACAGCACCTTCAAAACAACATGAATTACAACAAAGAGCTTCTAGTAGTGATTTATCACATGGAGAATTACCAAAAGTACGTTCTACTTTAACTGGATCATTCAAGCCAACCTCTACTTTTGGTCAAACATTATTGCAACAACAATCCCCATTGCCTTCATCACCATCAATTCCGGAAAGAAAAGAAGAAGATTTATTGGGTGAAGATGTATCACATAAATCTATTCCTGCTCCAACTCAAAAAGTTTCAAGTCCTCCAGTTACAACTGATACGTCTGGTCAAAAACAAGTCAATTATGATGCGTTAAGATCTGTTCCACCTCCACCAGTTAAAAAACAATCGACTCAATCAGAATCAGTTCCACAGGGAAGATCATATTCTCAACAATCACAACCACCTCAAAATAATAATGATTTATTAGCTGATCCATATCACTCACAACAATTATCACAAGCAACTTTGGACTTGGCAAATGTATCAAATCAAATTAACTCACTTAGAACTCAAACTACTAGCTTGGATGAAAAGAAAAATAAAACTGAGCAAGAGCTTAAGAAATTATTAAATGCAAAATCTGAATTTGAAAGTAAATTAAAATTATTAAGAACCTCGTATGAAAATGAGGTGAAACAAGTCAAACAAGTTGAAGAAAGTTTAGCAACAGCCAAAGAAGAAACAGAAGCACTTAGATCAGAAGCATCAATATCTGAAGCAAAACTTAATTCTTTATCTAATGAATTACATAATAAACAAATTGCTGTTGAAGAATTACAAAAGGAAAATAATACATTGAAAGAAAAATTAGGTGTATTAAATGCTGAAACAGTCGAACTTGAAAAACAATTGGCAAGTAAACAATCAGATACTCAAGAATTACATAATAAACTTTCAGTTCAGAAATCCCAAGCTCATGTTGTGATTGTTAAGAATGAAGATTTGAAATCAAAAATTGCTGAAATTGAAGCTTCTCATAAGGAATTACAACAAAGAATTGATGATGCTGAAAAGGAAAGATTAGCTCATGAACAACATCAACAGGAATTGCATGACAAACAAAAAGAATTGGAAAATAATAAACCTTCAAAACCAAGTTCTGATTTCGCTCATGCTGGAATCATTGCAGGTGCTGGTGCTGCTGTTGGTGCTGCAATTGGTGGTGTTGCTAGTGCTGTTTCTCATAGTTTTGGGGGTTCAGATGAACATGAACAAGAAACTCAATCCATATCAACACTTGAACAACAACATACAAACAACATAGAACAAGTTAATAAAGGAGTTAAAGAATTATCTACGAATGAACCAGTTGATAATGCTACTAATGCTACTTCATCATCAATAACAACTGAACATCCAAGTGAGGCTGATACACCAATTACATCTCCAAGTAACTCCGAATTTCAATTCCCACAAGGAAACAATGCTGGTATTGCTGGTGGAATGGTTGGTATGCCGGGAGTTTTAGTTGGTGTTCAAAGAACAGAGTCATTAACTTCAAGTGTACAGAATAATGCAGCATTGTCTGTAAGAGATGATAATATTGATGTTTCAGATAGAGATACAATTGATCAAGCACCAGAAGAAAGTCGTGAAAGTGATAAAGGATCATCATCATTTGAAATGGTAAATTCAGAAGAAGCAAGATCTCCAGACAATTCAGAATTCCCACCAATAAGAGAATTAGATTATCAAGAAAGTGATTCAGAGGATGAAGATTCACAAAATTTCGATGATGCCAAAGATAATTTCAAACAACCTCAACAGGATACTACTGGTGCAACAATAACAGGAACATCTCAATTAGATGATGATGCATTCGCTGATCTTGAACCAGCAGCTCCAGAAACCAATACTAAAGATGACTTTTTCGATGAAAATTTTGATAATTTAGAAGCTGCTGCTCAAGATGATAATATAGACGATGAATTTGATAATAATAATTATGAATTAGGCAATGATTTCACAAATTCAAATGCTCCAAATTTTGAAGAACTTGGTGGTAATACTCAACAATCTAGTGGTAGTGATGAATGGGAACAATTATTTGCAGGTTTTGGAAATGCTCAACCAATTGAAAATGAAATAAATGAATCACAAAGTGCATCACCTCAAGAGGATCCAAATATTAGTGTACAAACTGATCACAAGACTGATGATTATGCTGTACAAGAATTAATTGGCATGGGGTTTGATAAACAAACTGCAATTGAAGCTTTAAAAAATCAAAATGGTGATTTAGAAGCAGCTACTAATTACTTATTGGATAATGCCTAGATTTATTTCAGTATGATTCAATCATATGTTTAAATGTTTTAAGAATTGTATAATTTTGTTAATTTAATGTACTACTAATGTAATCTTTTTGGTTGTGGCTTCGGATCTCTTTCCTATTTGAGATTGCTAGATTCTGTTACTAAATTTTTCAACTTTGACAATAAGATATTTAGTTGTAACCAAGGTAATAAAACTAGAAGAAAAAACTGACATAAGCAAACCTACTTATTTCGGCTGATGCAAGTGAAGACTAAACGAACTTTAAAGTCAAATTACTGGATGGTATATCAACAATAAACTTATCAAACCGAAAAAATTGCCATATAATTTTAATCTATTCCGACCCGAAAAATTTGACATATGAGCTACCAAGTTTCTCTTATCTATTAACAATCAAGCTTTCAAAAAGTATGGCGTAAGTAGTAATTAAGCGTTGTGGATTAGTAATTGAGTCGGTGATATTGTAGTAAAGTATAAAAATTGGATGATTATATAAATATGGGGAAGATCTTTCATTTAAAAATGAATCGTTTGGCTTTTTTTCAGAATAACTCAGTATAACGTTTTTATAACAACAATAATTCACAATGGCTCAAAGATTTGGTAATTTCGATATTCATTATAATAAAGATGTTGATGAAGTAGATGAAGATGGTGTTTTAATCATCAATGAAAATAATAGAAAACAAGCTAAATACCCAGATTTTTTACCAACTTGGGATCCAAAACAAAAATTACCTCCATTAAAATTTGAAAAACATATTGATCCAGCATCAAGAGCTGATCCAAATTTCCCAAATTTATTTCCAAAAGATGGTTCTCATCAAATTAAAAGAATTACTCCTAAATTTGGTACTGAAGTTGATGGTATTCAAGTATCACAATTAAATGATGCTGGTAGAGATGAATTAGCTTTATTATTAGCACAAAGAAAAGTTTTAATTTTCAATGATCAAGATTTTGCAAGTAAAGGACCTGGTTTTGCTGTTGAATTTGGTAAATATTTCGGTAATTTACATATTCATCCAAGTAGTGGATCACCAAGAGGACATCCAGAATTACATATTACTTATAGAAGACCAGAAAAGGGACAAGTTGAAAATATTTTTACTGATCGTACTACTCAAACAAGTTTCCATTCTGATGTTACTTATGAAATTACTCCAAGTAAATTTACTGTTTTTCAAGTTTTGGAAAGTGGTGATGGTGGTGATACTGTTTTTGCTGATACTGCTGAAGCTTATAGAAGATTATCACCAGCTATGCAAAAAAGATTAGAAGGATTACATGTTTTACATACAAGTGAAGATCAAGCTAAAAATTCAACTTATCAAGGTGGTGTTGAAAGAAGAAAAGCTGTTTCAAACATTCATCCTTTAATTAGATTAGATCCAATTACAAAAGAAAAATCAATTTATGTTAATAGAGCATTTGGTAGAAGAATCGTTGAATTGAAAAAAGAAGAAAGTGATTACCTTTTGGACTTTTTATACAATTTAATTGAAAGAAGTCATGACTTACAATTAAGAGCTAACTGGGAAGGTGGTAAAAGGAATCGTTTAGTTTTCTTTCAAAACAACCTGGTGTCACACTCAGCGGTCGGTATATTTTATCCTGTTCTTGATGTTATTCGAGTTCTTGGTGTTCTTTTGAACCTTGTTGAACTTTTTTATCAAGATTTTTTTAATTTTTGAATATTTTATACTAACAACTTTTTTTTAGACTTTTGATACTGAAGATGGAGAAGTTAGACATGCTTTTAGAATCAGTGTTTTGGGTGAAAGACCAATTGCCAATATTGAGGATTTAAACAAAGAAGAATATACTCCTGGTGATTTAGAACAAGCCTTAGGTCACATCAAACCAGTTTAAATAGGAATGTGATTGTAGTCATAGCTTAACCAGCTCAAATAGGAATGTGATTGTAGTCATAGCTTAGCCAGACCGGTGCTGGTGTTCACTTTATATATAGCTGCATGGTAAATATGTTGAATAAAAGTTGATGTTTCGTAAATTTGCAATATTCAGAACTTCTTATATGCAGAATCAAAATTTAGTATATTTTTCTGCGTCTTGTTTTACATTTTAAAATCTTGTTTTGAGCATCTTTCGATACTTTAGATCATTCTGTTCATGCAAACAACCTGGTGTCACACTCAGCGGTCGGTATATTTTATCCTGTTCTTGATGTTATTCGAGTTCTTGGTGTTCTTTTGAACCTTGTTGAACTTTTTTATCAAGATTTTTTTAATTTTTGAATATTTTATACTAACAACTTTTTTTTAGACTTTTGATACTGAAGATGGAGAAGTTAGACATGCTTTTAGAATCAGTGTTTTGGGTGAAAGACCAATTGCCAATATTGAGGATTTAAACAAAGAAGAATATACTCCTGGTGATTTAGAACAAGCCTTAGGTCACATCAAACCAGTTTAATCTAAAAATGTGATTTTCAAAGTATTCAGCAAGATGCTGGGGTTTATTTCGTATATACATAGCTATATATATCCAATACGAAACAAACGTTTGTGCCTTAAATCAAATTCTATATGTACCAGTAGGTCGTAATCTACTCTAAAGATTATTTATCTTCCGTTTTCGTTAACTTTGGTCAGTTGGATTTTTTTTTCATACCTGAAATTTAAAAAATATCATGTTTCAGATTTGACTGCGAGGTAAGTGTCGTGTAATTGATTGTCATCAAAAAAATGACGTAAATTTTTTTCTGTGTTACATTCGCGTTCGATTTCTCATTCCATTTTAAGTAAGCTTTAAGTATTTACGTATTCATATAATAAACACCGAAGTATATACTTAAAAATAAAAAAAAATAAAAATTACATAAATATTGAAAATTTTTACATCTTTTCTTTATATCATTCAGTCATAATTATCAATAATGGATTTGAATTATAGAACTTATCAACAAGTTCTTAATATTGCAGTTAAACCTACCACAACTCAAAATCAAAATGTTTCAACTATAAAAAAATTAAACTCAAGTAAAAAAATCACAAAACCAACTAAAATAAGGAAGGATGAAAGTCAAATTAAGAGAAGAACTAAAACAGGTTGTTTTACTTGTAGAAAAAGGAAGAAAAAATGTGATGAAGATAAAGTAAATGGTAAATGTCAAGCCTGTACTAGAAATTTCTTAGATTGTTGTTGGCCAGAACCTGTTACGAAGAAAGAAACACAACCAAAGGAATTAAAAGAATTTAAAGAAATAAAGTCATGCACAAATATAGAACCTACCACAATAACTAGATCAACAAAATGTGATATAAATTCATTATTAGCATCACCCATCAATCAACAAATATCACCAATAACAAGTAAGAGAGAATTACTACAACAACAAATCACTCCTGAACCTGAACCACAACAAATTAATCCATATCCAAGTCCTATTCAATCACCAGTTTCTACATTTAGTCATCCAAATAGTCCAACCAACAATATAAGTTATATGAATTTGCCTCCATTAAATTTCAACTACAAGTTACACGCGAAAGATAGTAATGTACGAGGTTCAAAAGAAGAAAATATTGAAGAATCAAAATTTCAAATTAATTTGGGAACTCAAATCACAAGTAACAACAACAATTCACAAGTAAATTCAGTACGACCAGTTGAAAACAAAACAAGGTTTATAATTTCAAGTTTTAATTCTCGAAAAGCTTTATGTGACATTAAAAATTAAGGTTAGTTTTGCATTTATTTGGGATTTTTTGGGTTTTTTTCTATATAGGTCAAGGTTGTAAACAGTTCATATTAGTTCCCTTAATGTATTAAACAAACATTTGACGTCTTCAAATTACATCCCTACTTTTAAACCCATAAGTTCCTTATTTAGTCATAACTATAAATTTATTTTATATATTCTCATAAATTCTATTAATTACTATTTTGAGCCTTTTTTTAATGCGGCAAATTTATTTTTTTTTTCTTTGTATTTCTATTTTCAAGTTGATTAACATAAATAATAATAATAAAAGAAAGCAAGATCCACAATTTACGTCAATTGATAATTAAAAACGAGAATAAGGAAAAAAGAAATTTTTAAATAATGTTAATAGATCAAATTGATAATGCGTGTATAAAAAGAACAATACAAATATGACATGATACTCACATTAAATTATTACAATTTTCTGATGAAATACGATAGAGAGTGAATATATTATCGAATAGAGCGTTCAAGATGCTATGAAATTTCACAACGAGAATATCATGTGTCAGAATTTCGACACAAAAAGAGCTCTTACATTTATAGCATTTATTAAAAATGCAAAAGTAATAACTGCCAAACCAATACCTCTTGAGTTCCATTGACCAGGCTCTTTACCAGCTGCGTTAAGGATGAATTCTGCCGTAATAATTCATTATCTCTTAAAAAAGATCAGATGAAGCATAGCAGTAACTGAGGATCTCGGCTTCTTAAAGAGATGGTTCTTTTCACCTCCGTTCCTAGGTAAAGCTATTCTTAGCTCCATTTTACATACTTATCCTGCTAGATTGACCAACAAATCTAGGACCCAAATCAAGAGTGCAAAACCTACGCATCTACTTAACCTTAGTATCAACGCTGTCGTGGAGAAAACATTTTGAAAATATTTTGTCACAATCATTTATTTTAGCGGTCAAATTAACTAATACAAAAAAAATTAGTTCAATTCCTTCTGTTTGAGAACAAAATAGAACCTTGCCTTCTTGTTACGCAGTCAAATTATGGCACTGTAAAAAGAGTTCTTTGATTTGTTTGGCTGCAAATATTGAAACTATATTTTTTTTGTTTGTATTCGCACGACTTAATCTATTAGTGGTAGAAAAAAAAAATTTCAGTAAAAATTAAAACTAAACTAAATCAAGTCCTAACTAACAATAATTTATCAATCACGTAAATCTACAACACAGTATAAAAATGCCAGTAAAAGCAATAGCGACGAAATCAATATCGAGAAACGGAGTGGGAGCATTTGTACATCCATGTCATAAACTAACGCTACAATATTGTAATTGGGGAGGATCATCACAAGGTTTAAGACAATTATTAACAAATGGACAAATAAATAAAATAGCAGAATCAATACCACAAACAACTTTTGAAATCTTAAAAAGACAAGGACATCCCAAATTGATTTTTCATTATAATAATTCCAAGGCTCAAGAGGTTGATATAAAAAATTTAAAAACTAATGACATTGTAAATAAAATTAATGAATATATTCAAAGATCTGGTAATGATTTATTTAAATGTAATCATAAAGTTGTATCTGAAAATGATTCTGTTAGAGGTATATGGTCACCATTACACGCTCCTAAAGGACATAGATATAATATATAATGAAAAAGTTTTGCACCATGTATATAGAAAATTTAATGAATAATTAACGATTTAAATAATGGACATCAGAATATAGTATACTGTCTGAAATTTTACATGCTGTTTGTGAGGAGCCGAAAGCAAAAAAATCTTTAGATAACTAGGCTGTATAGTCGACTCACCACCGAACGTCGGCAGAATAAGTGCGTACCAACAGTATCTATTGTTATAACTGCCTTCAGTGAGAGGAATTGTAAGTAGAAATCTACATCATAAAATTTGATCTAATTATACTATTTATTTAATAAAACGCTCAATTAACCCTTCTAAACTAATATACAAAATTACAAGAAATAAATACTACCTAGGTTGAATAACAGCTTGTTGATAGTTTGTTTAATGAATAACTTCTCCTCCATCTTGAATTTCTGAGGAAAGATCAGCATCAATTGAATCTTTTGAGACTTTATAAATTTTATTTCTCCAAAATCCATCATCACCTAATATTTCTTTTGCGATTAATTTATATCCACCGAAGTATGGTAAAATTTTAACCCAAACTACCCAATATACTAAACCAATTCCAAAAACACCCCAAGTAACAACGGCATGAATCCAATATGGCATACTATTATAAACTTTTTGACCATCTTGTGGTGGAATGTATGGTGCAGCGATCAAATATAACGAAGCTAAAAAGAAAAAAACAACAACTGGAAAACTAGCTTTAATTGGTGGATTCCAATCCGTTTGACCTCTGAATTTTTTGTAGTATATGTATATCAATCCAGCTGCAATTGTAGTATTGACCACATTTAATGGATAGGATATCAAATTCAATATAAAATTATAAGCATCACCTGGTGGAGGAGCTAAGATTGTTACAATACAAACGATCCAATGTTGAAATAATCCAACAAATGGAGTACCAAATGGTTTTGAAGTTGCAAAAAATCTTGAAAATGGTAAAGCACCTTCACGACCTAATTGTTGAATAATTCTACCTTGTGAAAATATAACTGACATAACATTTGCCCAAGCTGATAATGCAACAAAAACTGATGCGGCTTTTTCGGCTTTATCTCCGAAAGCGTATTTGAAAAATAAAGCCGCAACAATTCTACCTGAATTAACAATTTCCTCTTTTGGAACGACTGCGAAATATGCAATATTAACAAACATATAAATTATAGCTAAACTAATGAAAGCTGTTGGAGCTGCAACTTTCAAGACCTTTTGAGGATTTTTGATTTCACCTAAAGCATAATTAGCATTGGAATAACCAACATATGACCAAATAATATTATATAATGCGTTGACAACACCAAATCCAGTTGGAGCTTCCCCAGAAAATGCATTATGAAAATTACCAGTTGGTTGAAAGTTGTTTGTCTTTATACCTCCACCCAAAGCAACCCAACCCGTTACAGTGATGAATAATACTATTCCAATTTTGAAGATTCCTAAGGCATTTGCTAAAAATAAACCAGCTTTTACATTTATAGCATTTATTAAAAATGCAAAAGTAATAACTGCCAAACCAATACCTCTTGAGTTCCATTGACCAGGCTCTTTACCAGCTGCGTTAAGGATGAATTCTGCGGTCACAATACTGTTGCCACTGGCCCATCCAAGGAAGAAGACGTATGAAGCATACATAGCGGTGACTAAAAATTTTGGTTTTTTAAACATGTATTCAAGATAGTTCTTTTCACCTCCATTTCTCGGTAAAGCTGTTCCAAGTTCCATATAACACAATAATCCTGAGAAAGCAACAACTGATCCCAATACCCAGAGCAAAAGTGAAGTACCCACACTTCCACTTAAACTTAAAATTACTGCTGGTGTGGAAAAAACACCTGCTCCTAACATTCTATTGAGCATAAGGAAGGAAGCAGAAACTATACCAATCTCCTTAACATTCTTATCTACTTGAATAATTCCATGTTTTTCAGAACTTGAACTTAATTGACTATGATTATCAAAACTCTCTTCTGGATTCTTTTCTGAATGTGTGGTGCTCAGGAATTTATATATATCTGAAAACCCCATGATTTACTGCCTTTGTTGATGTGTGTATTGCTTGTGTGCCGAAGATTGTGATGTTATTTCAAATGTAATAAACCTTTATCTCAGAAATTGATATTATTAATAAATTGATTTCAGTAATAGATTGATCACTCTAAATTTAGATTATGATGAGTTTAATGTATAGGTAAATTTGATTCACAAATTGGCTCCTTTAAATTAATCTTTATAATGAGTTTATTGTATAATTGAATTTGATACACTGAGAAAACGTTGAGAAAATATACATTGTTGTAGATGGAAGATTCTCCATGATCTTTATATATTCTTTGTTGCAATAAATTGCAAAAAAAAAAATAAAAAAAAGTATTTCTTTTAAATGCAACTTTACTTAAATTAAATAATAATAATTGTGGCAGTTACACAATGATGGAAAACGTTACAATTTTAAAGTTTAATTTTATAAGGCATCTTAATTTAACAAAGACTTAATTATAGAAACGTAACAGAAAACGGCATTTTTAGAATTCATTAAATTAGCACAACTATATTTTTTCTGGACCTGAAATACCACAACAATTTAAATAGAAAGCAACCCAAGAGGCACTAGACTACAATTAGATCACTCATTCAATCGTTTGAGTATTGACTATAACTAGTTGTATTTATTTATTTGTCACAAGACGTCAATCCATTATTTTTTCAATTCTCTATTTATGTTAAAAAATATTTTTGACAGCTTCATCTCGGATAAATAAAATCCAAAATTGTAGGCTTAATATTTAGAAGTCATCGGAGAAATTTTATATTTATTTTTATAAAAGTACTGCAAACAAAAAAAAAAATCAACTACCGCCTTTCCTTTTCTAGCTAGTGGTCAAATTTTTTAACAATTTTTGATCACATGTTTGATACGAATATTTGGCATTAGAGAATTTTACCTTGTGGAAGATCTTTTTCTTTAAATTAATTTCTTTTACTTTGTAGATCTTAAACGATAGCGAAGATTAATAAGGGGATTAGATCTAATAAACTTAATGTATAAAACTCTGGGAATTATACTTCCGTTCAATTGTGGCGGCTATTTAATGAGTTTTGACCCTTTTTAATATTGATATAAACTCATCTGAAACAATAGTGAAAACTTTTCGATGCGTCGTATCTTCCTTTTTGGTTCATACTTTGTGATATTTGATAGATTTTTAATCTTGAATCTACGATCTGGAGATCTAGATTGATTTTTCATGTTGCATTATTTGGCGCCGTATTAAGCTCATTTGCAATTCTCCAGATTCAATGATTTTAAAATTCAAATCATTTGGTCATGCCAAGAGTATATGCATGTCATCATTTAAGTCACTAAAGTCGTTGTGGCTATAGGAATTTGTCAAATGATAAGGAGATGAAAAATCTGCACTCAAGAAATAAGATAGCATCCTTATCCTTATATACTGTAAAAATCGTAGAACGTAGCTTTTCAAACTTAAAAATTGTCTAGTGTTCATATAGTAGAATTTTTTTATGCAGGAAGTAACATTTGGACAAATTTTCATAACAATACAATACTTAATTAAGTTAAAGTCTTGCGAGTCTTAGCTAGGTTTGAATTTCCTGATTGTAAGTGAAATGTACACTTGATTGCTGATTTTAGAGTAGAGTATAATAATGTATAGAAAATAAAAAAAATTATAAAGTGTCGTGTTTCAGATTCTAAATTTTGACACTGTCGCAAATTTTAGTCATGACATCATAGCAAAATTCAATTTTGCGATTACGAAGATAACAAGCATATCAAGTGCACATAGTAGGTTAATTCAACATACATCTAGTTTCATAAACAATGTAAATGCAAAGTATTTGTATTCAAATAATAATCTATACAGATATCAACAATAAATCAGAATTAAAAGCAAAAAACCAAATAACCGACCAATCAATTCTTTGACCGAACTCAACGTTATTTATTTAACATAATGTAAGCTAAGGAGTATAAGCAGGTGGTGGATCATGAGTTTCATCTTCTCTAAGCATTGATCTAACTGGAGAACGAGGTGGTGCTTGGTTTTGAGTTCTTCTATTATTTGAACTAGCAACATTATTAGTTCTACCCTGTCTATTGTAGTTGACTTGACCACCTTGTTGTTGTGATGGTCTATTAATTTTATTAGGTTGTTGTTGATGTGGTACTTGAAGATGTTGTTGTTGTGGATGTTGTGATTGAGCATAATTCCCCCTATATTGTTGTTGAGGCATTGGTCTTTTACGATGAACATTATTATTATTTGATCTACCATAATTTTGTGGTGGTGGTCCACCATATTGTTGAGGTGGTCTTCTAAATCCATTTGTTTGTTGTTGTTGTTGTAATCTTTGATAAGTTTCTATTGATTGTTGTTTATTGTTATTTAATTTTGCTTTTCTTTTTTTTTTATGTCTTTCATGAGCTATTGCTCCTATAGCTATTGCTGATGCTACTACAAACATTATCATATATTTGTGTGTAAAAGTTGAATAATATAAAAAAGTTCAATTGGTGTAAAAAATAAGAGATGATAATGTTTATATATCTATTTTATTTTTAGAATTATCATCATAGTTCTTTTATTCTAAAATTGTTAATTAAAATTAATGATACTAAAATTAAACGATTTGCATAATAGTCATTTTTCAAAGCACAAAATAAAAAAACTGGGGGCACAGTCGAGTACAAGGAAAGAAAGAATAATACGAACCGAAATATTAGAGTGTTAAGCACGAACAGCCGTAAATATTAGATATTACGAAATTTTACTTTATTAAATTTTTATATACTAGTTGTAATTTAACTTTTTTGATCTTATATACTTTAAATTTTAACAACCCTTTAAATGTTTTTTCTAATATACACCCATCAAATCAAATCAATGATTTAATTTGTTCATTTAATTTAATTAAATCATCTTTTAAGCCAAATGTGAAAATAAAATTAGCAAATTTATCATTTGAATTTGGAACTTGAATAAAACAATTATTTTTATTTCTTAATTGATTTATTTTGGAACCTTGTGGTCCAATAATTTTAGAAAATGAATTTGTTTTATTAACATAAATCCATCCAATATAATTTGAACTTGATTTTAATTTTTCAAGTTTTTTTTTGATTAATTTTTCAACTTTTGAAACTGATTCTTCTGAACCTTTAAATCTCCATGGTATAGTAGATTCTTGATTTGGTTCAGTGGTGTTGAATTCTTCAAGTGTGAATTTATATGATTCTTCTTCTTCAGGATATGCATTTGATGGGGGATTCGAGATAATAGATGATAATTTACTAGCTTGTCTTGTTAAATTACCATGAGTAACCTCAACACCAAATTCATTTTTCAATTTTTTGAAAATTGCTCCACGATCACTAATTAATGAATGATATTTCGTTGGGATATCAATTGAACTTAACCAATCATCTTTTGTTAATTCTTCAATTTTGGTTTTAACATTCGCAACGTTTTCAGGTAATCCATTAATTTTAACAATTGTTGATTCATCATTTGGTCTTGGAATGTCTAATGTAATGTTATATTCAGTTTGTAATGATTGACGAATTGAACCATTTGGACCAATAATTAATCTATGTTTTTCTTTTGGTAATTCAATTTCTTCAACTACTGAAGCTTCTTTATTTTTTATGATTTTTTCAATTTGACTTATAATTTTATCAACAATTGATTTATCACCTTGTGATACAACTTCATTAGATCCTGAACCTTCATTAGGTATAGTTAATAATTTATGATATCTATTTCTTGGTACATCTTCACCACCGGCATTTTTAATTATTTGTTTCATTGTTGAACCTGATTGACCAACTAAATCACGATGATATTTTGGATCAACAACAATTGAACGAACAATGAAATTTTCAACTTCATTAATAATATCATTAATTTTTGTTTTAGCTTCTTTTAATGCAGATTTTGAACCAGTTAATTCAACTTCAACAAATCCATTAGTATCTTGATCATTAGGTGAATCTCTTTTAAATTTATATTCAATACCAGTACCATCAGCAATATCTTTTATGGTATCACCATTTTTACCAATAACTCTTGAGATAGCTTTTGATGGAATTTGTAAGGTTTCAGTAAAACCATTTTCTTTTTCAAATTGATATAATTCTTTTAATTCTTCCTCTGCTTTAGCAACATTTTTAGATGGACCTTTTATGGTAACTTCATCTTTTGATTTAGGAGCATCAGCAAAAGCATTACCACTTGAAGAATCAAAATCACTTGATGGGAATCTAATTTTGACATTATATTTATCTTGTAAACGATGAATGTATTTGCCTTGAGCACCAATCATTCTACGATGATATTGATTTTCAATTTTTAAACGTACTAAAGTTTCATCGGCCCATTTTTTAGTGGTGGAAGCAATTTTAGTTTTAGCTTCTTCAACATTCTTTTTAATACCTTTTATGGTGATATCAATTTTATCTCCCGACTCTTCTTTTTTATTTACTTCTGGTACATCGATTTTAACTCCAAATTCATCACGTAATGAAGTTAAATAACTTCCATTTTTACCAATTAATCTTGAAACAACTTGTGATGGAACTTGTATGGTAGTTGTAAACCCATCTGGATACTCTTTCAAGTCAGCTAATACTGCATCTATTTCCTTTTTCACAGCAGTAACTGAAGTTTTTAAACCATGAATATAAACTTCATTTTCAGATTTACCATCAGCGTTTGAGTGTAATTTGACAACTACTGAGTTTGGTTCAACTGATGATAAAATAGACCTTAAAGTTGTTCCATTTGGACCTGAAATATGCTCTTGATCTTTTGATTCAATTGTTATGGTAGTTGATGATAAATTATTAGCTAATTCTCTTAATTTATTCAATTCTCGATTAACTTTATCAAAATTATCTGTAGAAGTGGTTTCAAAATCATCAAAATCATCAGCATCTTCTTGTTTATTTTCAGCATTAAATAAAGTTATGGTGTTGTCTAATATGACATATTCAACTTTCTCCGCTTTGGCTATTGAGCCGATGGTTTCATCAACTTTATTAATTAAAAACGGTTCAATATCATCAATAGTTTTAGTTTGATCTGGTTTAATATTGTTAACTTGAGTTACAATTGATTTTCTAGCTGCTTTAATTTTATCGTCATCCCCTTTTGATACAATTTCAATAGGTATTGAGTTATTACTTGAAGATAAATCTTTTTTAGATGGAGCATTAATAACAACATCATTAGCTTCAGCAATTGATTTAAAAGCTCCAGTTTTGTTTAATAATAAGGCAACTGCTTTGACATGTTTCAAATTACCTTTATGAGCTTTTGACATATCCAAAACTTCAACTTTATATGATGAAGTAACTTTTCTTGCTTCTTCTTGAGCTAATTTGATATGTTTTTTTTCACCTATAAATTTAACATTAGTTTCTTCACCTTTTGGTAATTGAATCAAGACATTACAGTGATTTAATACATCATCAATTGGTAAAAATTGATGTTTAGTTTGAGGAATTGGAATTTCTTCAATAACAATTTTATCTTGTAATTTATCTAATACCGATTTAATTTCTGATTTAACTTTTAATACTGATTCACGATCACCAACTAAAGTTATTGCATTTCTATTAGATTTGTAATCTGGAATTGAAAAATCAATTTCCTTGTTGTTTTCAACAATTGTGTGTAAGGCATTAATAGCAAATGGTTTAACTTTTTCACTCAATAAAATTTTAGTTGATAAGTTTTTAGTTTCTTCTTTAACAATAGCCAAGATTTGATTTTTAGCACGTTTCGAACCTTCAGTATCACCATCAATAGTAATATAAACAATTGAATTAAATAAATCATCTTCATCTTCTTCAGTGGTTTCAATTTCTTCTTCTTCATCACCAATTTCAATTTTAACCTCATTTTGTTGAATAATTGGTTTTAAATTTTTACCACCTTGACCAATAATTCTTGATCTTAATTTTGCAGGAACTGAAAATTTAATTTTAACTGGTTTTGTTAATTTTTTAATAACTAATCTTTTGGCTAATTTAACATCTTCTTGTTTACCACTAATTAAAAAAGTTCTCTTTTTGGTATGTTCAGAAGTAGTCCATTCAATATTGGTTTTAGTGTCTTGTTTAATAAAAGTTAAAATTTTAACAAATTCAGGTCTTGCAACATTTAATTGATCTTCAACATCTAATGAAAAAGCTTCTTGAATATTTGAAACTTTTGTCTTTTTAGTAAATCCATTACTTGAATTAAAAACTCCATTTTTATTTAATTTTGGAGTACTTGTAGTAGCCGGACTTTTCATTTTTGGACCCCATGAAGAATTTGATGGTGAAGAATTATTTGAAGAATTGGTTGAATTTCTTAAACCTAATGCTGGAAAAGCAGATTCATCACTAATTGAAGGAGTTGAAGTTCTAGTATTAACTTGTTCTTCAGTTTCTTCAACCCAAGTTGGTTCTTCATTGTCTTCAGAACGATTGAGACGAGCTGCAATAATTTCAGCAGGAGTTGGCATATTTATACTTTATAAAAGAACAGGAAATTAAGTAGGAAACAAATGGACAATGCTTTTTATAATAAAATATAATATAAGCAGCAAGAAAATTAATTGATTAGGATGAATTAATTTAGGTTGAATTGGTCTAGTTTGAAAAACCTCTTTTTTTGATATATCTATCTAATTAATGAGATCCTAGTTGATATTTAATGTTGATTAATTTTTGGTTGTAAAAAAAAAAAATTAAGTTAAAAAAAAGAAAAAATCGAAAAATTTCAAAAAAATAAAATTGTTACACAAACTAAAAAGAACACCACTGTTTGTTTTTGCCTTAAAATTTAGTGAGACAAGACCAAATTGTTTTAATGATTATATTAATTGAAGAAAATATTATAATTGAACCATGAGAAATGGCTCTACAAGAGGATCAATAAATACATAGTATAGAAGAATCGATTAATCTATAAAAAGTCATTCAGTATCATTAATGTAATTATCTATTCTAATCTTGTGCAATTCCAACTAATCCACTTTGATGAATTAAAAAAGTTCTTGTAGTATATAATTTGTTATGAGATTGATTTAAAAATTTTTTATCAAACCCCAAAACTAAATCATTTAAAGTTGTATAACTTATGAAAACATCTTTATTATTTTTGAAATTTCTTTCATCTTTTAAAAAATTTTCAACATTACTTATTGTACATAATTTTCCATTCCATCTATCATAAGAATTTAAATCTGGTATACAATTTGAAATATATTGTTTTTCAATTGGTGAATAACTAAAGTCTTTTGTGAAAAATTCATAGCCATTTATTGTTATATATTGTGGAGACTTTGAATTCAATTCTTCATTTGATGTGGTTGTGGATGTTGATGTTATTGATTCTCTTCTATTATCAAAAATTGAATCTTGTTCAATTAGGGATGAAGTTGAACTCATGATATCAGAGTCGTAATCTTTGTGAGTTAATAAACTTGATCTAGCTAAATCTACTTCCTCTGTGAAAGATTGTGATGTTGATGAAAAGGATCCTCTACCATGACATGCAGCTGCGGCTGTAGCAGCTAATAATGCATTATTTCTATTTGAATATCTAGAAGGTATTGATTTTAATTTTGTGACCGTTCTTAATTCCAATGGTGTACTTAAATCTTTACCAATTGATAAATTTCTAAACCAATTAATCATTGAATTAAATGACCAAAATTGTAATAATATTTGTTTGTATTCAATTCTTAACCTCAAACAATTTTTATATTTTACTAATGATGAAGTTTGATTTAAAATTGATGAGTTGTTATTATCTTCTTTGTACATTGCGGATATTAATTGGTTTAATGATGGAGCTTCACCAATTTGTAAATTTGTTAAACTATAAGAATGTAATAATGAACCCTTAAATTTGTTGAAGGTTTCTGTTTTTTCATCATTTGCTTCAAATAGTAATTGATTGTCCTTTAAAATTTCGTAGTAGCTTTTTATATTTGACAAAATCTTTTGGTTTTTGTTATTCTTTAATTTCGTCTTTAATTTATCAAAACTTGTTTGATTTAATACTGATGAATTTTTATTCGGATCAAATGTATTAATGTTACAACCATAAGCGTCTCCCGCGAAAAGATCATTTAATTCGTTATTGCAAGAATTTGTTGAGCTAAAATTAAACCCATTTTTATTTCTAAACTCCGTATTAACATCTATTGTCAATTGATTCAAGTTATTCAATTCAAAATATAAATTTAATATCAATTCTTTTAATTTTTTATCGCCATTAATACTATAAATTTTTAACTGAGTTGAATTCATATGTAATAATACTGGTCTCCATGATCTATTAGTACCATTGTAATGGTATGGGGTATTAAACTCAGTTTTAATAAGGGCTAATCCATAATAATTTATTGACGAAACATAATTAGGTAGTATTTCTGCTGGTTTTGAATATTCTGGTAAATTTGATGGTGATGATGAATCCTGTGAATTGTGAGATAGTATCATTGTAGTTGGTTGTTATAGTTATTTATTTTAAGATTGAACTATAAATTACTTGTTAGTCATATAATTATTAAAATTTGATTTTGGAAATAATCATATAAATAAGGATAAATCATATAATGAATGGATTATATATTGTATAATAGTATTGAATCAGATGATGTTCCTATAATGGTTAAAAAGGTTTGTTATTGCTTTTACTTTATTCAAATTAACAACATGATATAAATATTTTTTGCATATTTATTGATTGTATTTATAATAAATATAAATTTAGTACTCTAATTATAAAAATAATTTATTGTGGGGAAAGAAAAAACTAAAATAAAATATTTTTTTATTATTATCTTTTTTTTTATTCTATTTTTCCTTTTTTATCTTTTAGATAATTTTCAAGTATATATAAATAATATTATACAACTTATTCATTAAACTGTTAGAATATTAAGAAGTTTGTTGTTCGAACCTTCCCCACTAATTAAATTTATTATTAATACAATAAAGTTTTGAAAGTCCTATATCTGTATTGCATGTGTCAAGATCTTGTTAAAATCCTTTCATAGTGAAAATTAGTTTTTACGTTCAATAAATTCTTTATTCGTATCTTCCAAGAGTTCAAATTTTTATCTTGGTATTTTAAATCAATTTCCTTAAATTTCTTATTTTGAAATTTTCCAATATTTAAAAAACTCAATCAATACATACTTTTGAATTTATTTTACCTGCTTGATACTATATTAACATTAAATGTTGATTGATAATTTTGAATGTAATGATAAGTGTAATATAAGTAATTAGGATTTGGACCCAATATATAGAAATACCCTTCACTTATAAAATTAAATAATAATAATAATTATGATAATTAGTAATACGGAACTATCGATCATATTTATATAATTTTATATTTTATATTATTATTATTAATTTGACATAAGTTTTAGATTTAATATTATACATTTGCAGGTCATTTAAAAAAACTTATTATTGTTTAAAGACTAAAAATTTGTAGTACAAAATTATTATTAACGAGTATATGTAGATCATACTAATAAGGTTAATTAATTACGCGTAAATAACTCGAACATTTAAGACTGACTACGAACCCTTATGCTGCCGATTTATATATTAGCTTGATAGATAAGATTACCACCAAGTCTTTGCTACACTCAAGTGGTTACAGTGACTTATATAAAATCCAAGTCATTATAGAAAGAAGACCAAGATTTTTAGATTATTTTACTATATGAAACAAAATTTTGCATTTATTCTCTTGCTATTTGTGCTACATGATAAATATATTGTCTTTTAAAAAATTACATCATAAAGTTTAAAGCAATAGTTTGGCTTAAAAGTTTCACTTTTTCAATTCATGTCTCCACTTAGTTTTTAGCTCATTGGTTCAAAACTACATCCCCTAAGATATGCTCAAGTATTGATGTAACGACTTTTATAAACAACAGACTCGATCTAGTCTTGGAACTAACCAACATTAAATGAGTTTTGACCTGAAACAAAATAAATAATAGAACAAAAGAAAAAAAGTTTATTGTTTAGTCCGAATAAATCACAAAGCATACTAAACTAATTTTTTTTTTTTAATTCCATTTAAATTCATGTTTTTAAACTTGATTGCTTATAAATCATTTAATTCTGATTGGTTGGTGATATCGTCTATTCTTAAAGTTATCTAAGTGTATATATCATTTTTATGAAATAAATTTCTGAATAGGTTTGGTCCATGATCCATAGTGATAGCTCGTAAATGATATGACGAATAAAAGAAATAAAATAATAAAATTTAAAGGTCTTGGTTTCGCTAAGAAATTAACTAACCAATTTTTATTTGAACTAAGTTACTTTTTTTTCTTGACTTGAATAAATAGGTCACAACTTAGGGTCTAGACTACGATTTAGATCGATTCATATATCCTTTTTAAAAAACTTTAAAGTATATTCATAGAATCGTAAAATTTTTTATCGTATCATCTTACTTTTTTAAAGTTTGCTATTTAGCTACTACAATAACGATATGGAAGTTACCTAAAGCTTGACAGATTTCACAAATTAACCGATTGAATATACACCCCGACTAAATATAGTAGCTCCGATAACACCTATACTTGAAATTTTTGTTATCTGGGGCAAATTTAGTTTTAGTAAATTTATCGTAAAAATTTAGAGTTTATTAATTGATGCATTTTATGTAATGCCAAGTAAATTAGACAAGATCTTTAAATAAATACTGAAATAAATTTAGATGTTGCTTTTTTGAACGTAATCTCAAAGATCTAGCCAGCTTCATTAAGTATATGCTCACACGAGATTATAAGATAATGTCTATAGAATGTATGTTTAAAGAAGATTTTGTTTAGAAAATGGCATAGTGTCTGGTTATCAAATTTTTCCTAGCATTTTCTTATCAAGTATAAGCCTATTAAGATTCTCAACCTCACCTTTTTCGAGGTGCTTGAGGAGTTTTGGACCAAATCGATTCTTTTGGAATTACTAGAAACAACTTCTGGGTGATAATTTAAGCTTCTTGGACATAAACTGATTAGTAGTTTCGTCTTGGACAGTGTGAAGTTTAAAAACAAAAAATGATAATGTGAAGTTTGAATACAAAAAATTTAGATCCTTTAAAAAAACTCTCCCGGGGGCGAGTCGAACGCCCGATCCCAAGATGACTAATGGGAAAACATATTACAGTCTTGTGCTTTAAACCAACTAAGCTACCAGGAGTTAATTTCTGACAAAAAAAATTTTTGATTATATATATCAAATTCTGCATGGTTAAAATTATCGCTGTAAATATATTTTTTACATGGCTTTGCTCCGTATATATTTCTATACGGACGACACGGTGTATCTCAAGTTGGTCTAAAAAGTTTTGATCTTAAGGATTAATTATTACTCCTATAGTATCTAAACTGATCAATTAAGGAAAATGCATTCTCTTATTGTCAAAGACTTACATTGTTATTCCATACCACCCGTCTATTCGATCCTTAAAGTTGGTACCATTCATCTTTGAAATATTTAGAAACTAAGCCATTTTCCTAGAATATCCAGAAAGTTTGTGAATATTTAAACTTTACACAACGGTTCAGCTATACTCAAGAAGTAAAGAAGTACAGTTATTAGAATTTAGGTGATCAAAAATTGTTCCAGAAATGGTTTGAATCTACTGTTTTAAATTATATTGAATTAGTTTTGCAGCAAAATCAAGAAAAAAAAAAGTTTGAAAGATTACAAATATTCAAATAAGGAAAATATACAAAGTAAATGACCCTAAAAAACATTTAAACAACCAGAAGTCCCCTATCATTGTACAATAGAGTAAGTCTAGTTTCATTAAACATCGAAATACTATTGTTGTAATTTGATTGTTTCTCTAAACCTAGGAAAAAACGGAAAGAAATATTAAGACGCGATTTGTAAAGAACTGAGCTAAATCTAACCAATATGTAATAAGTGTGTATAAAATTGTATCAATCTAAGTAATAATCTGAAAAAGACTAAATAACATAGGGTATACTAACCAAAAATGTTTTTCTACCCCGTATTTTCGTTAATTTTGTCAACCTAATTTTGGTTAAACCTTAAACATACAAAGTATTAAAAAAAAAAAACAACCTTGCATTGCAATCATGGATGACGTTTTAGATATTGAAACTAAGCGAATAGATACTTTCAAATTACATACTTTGTTAATAAACGTGTATTAATATTGATAATTTCGGATAAGTCTTTATTTTGTTTTGCCCTTATCAATTTTGATTATTATTGTAACGAATCTGAGTTATTATTTTAAATTTCCTTCTCTTTCTTTTTCTTTTTCTTGAATTTTGTGTTGTACAAGCTTTTTTTTTTTTAATTACCCCAGATTTTCCAAATTTCGGACATTTATAATTATTTTGTGTAATTACTTAGTATAAAAATTATTAGTGTCTGTTTACTTATTAAATAAATAAATGTCAGAATAACAGTATCAAAAAAAATTAAGCCTGTACATTTCCATGGAATTCAAATCTTAATTTTGAAATCTTAAAGATTGATAATTAAATCAGTTTCAAAGTCAAACAAGATTTTGTTTATTGATCGTCCTTAGTCATGTAGTAGTCATTGACGTGGGGGAGAGAAGATTCTTTAATTAGTGGTGTTAGTTTTTGTGTGTCCGCCACGAATGTCCCTGAACCAAATCTGACTTCGTATAATTAATTGACGATAACAGTACTTTTGTCGCAATATTAAAGGTTACTGCTCAATCTCACCCATAAGATAGTAAAGACTCGTGGGTATGCTAATACCTAGCATATTAGATATTCTGTAATCGAACTACATTTAAGGCAATTTCATTGAATAAATGTAGAATTAACATTTCTTTTTTCTTTGCAAATTCCAAAATAAAAACTTTGATTATTCAGTAGTAAACGTTTCTCTTGTAACATGAAAAAATTCAGTTATCCAATAAGTATTATAAAACTCCGAAACGTTTGCAGATTTCGATATACTTTTTTCTGAGTATGTCAATATGTACAAGGTGAAAAATACTTTAATTTGGCAGAAATAGAAACTGAGTTGATAAATTTAATTTTCTTTTTTCGAAAAAAAAAATGATTCTTGTAAATAGCAATTAAAGGAGGGGAGAGAATTTTGTCACAAAAAAAAAATCAATTCCTTTATCAAACTAATCAAAATTCGTAATTCAAAAATTGATAACTAATTATGAATCGATAAAAACATATTGAATAAAGAATATTTTTCATTATTATTATTTGAAATTAAACTCAAAATCAAGGGTACAATTTAAAATAATAAAGTATAATATACTAAATAATAAAATATTTTTATAAGGTCGAAAGTTCAAGGATACATAAAGTATAATATATCTAAACATGACTGTTAATTAGTTTGTTTATTGATATTGTAGTTTTTAATATAATGTAGAATAGAAATAGAAATTAATAATAATATTTAAAACTAAATATTCTTGAAAAATAATTGATCCACAAAAAATATAAATTTTTGATTCTATAAAAAACTCCGTGAAATAATATAAACAAACATCATTTGAAATTTAAATATATTACATCATACGTATGAGGTACAACAATACTAAACTTAAACAATCGAGAATTATAAGCCTATATTTTATATAATAATAATTTCTGTTTTATTGTTTTTCACTGAAAAGGATTGTTCTCAAAAGGATTGTTTCCTAATAAGTCAAATTAATTAAATGTATCTTATCTTTTTTATTGTAAATCTTAAGAAAAATGTCATTAATAAATATCAGTTTACAATAACTTAATTTAATTATACATTTACTTAACTCTAAATATTAAAATTTCTATAATTAGAGTTTAATTGTTAATCATTTTGTTGAATTAAAATGTCAAAAAGTAAAATCATTTATCCGAATAATTAATGTATATATCACCCTTTAGGGATTGATCATCAATATGTTACTCTATAAAACGATCTAAATCTACTACAAAAAAAACTTGAATAAACAAATTGATAATTGAATTCGAGATTAATGAAATTTATTTAACATATTGAATTTTGTTGGTAATTATTTATAATTTTTAATCAAATAAAAATAATTTTAAGTCATTTAATTTAAATTTCAAATAAATTGGAAAATCCAGACATCAGACATTTTTTTCTGTTAACTATGTAAAAAAAGTAGTGTATTTTCTACCAATATTCGTTAAATTAATAAAAAAATTATTTACAAATTTTACTTTTAATAAATTATACATACATTAAATAAAATTTAAAATAATAATATAAATTAAATTTATTATATTATTATATATAATTTTCAAATAATTTTTTATTTGTTGAACAATTTTTTTTGTATTTAGACAACCAAGTTTCCATTTTTATCATTAACTATTACCAAAAACACCTATATATAATTATTCATTCATTATTACATTCCTTTTTAAATTAATTATTCATTCAACTTAGATTATATTATTAAATTATAAACTTCAAATATTTTATTATTATATGTTAAATTTTTTTTTATTTTAACGATTATACATTATTTTTTTTTTTTTTGGTTGTCTTTTTTGACCTAATTTTGGCCAAAACTTTCGGTATATTTATTATAGAAACTTATTAAAATGAATATGCAAAGATCATTATCAATAAATTCAAATTCTTCACCAATACATGAAAATATAACAACTACTACAAATTCAGATTTTACAACAAATATTGCAACACAACCAATACCCAAAAAATCAATACAAATTAGAACAGATAAACCAAGGCCTCATATTTGTGGAGTTTGTACAAGAGCATTTGCAAGATTAGAACATTTGAAAAGACATGAGAGAGCTCATACTAATGAAAAACCATATCAATGTGCAGCTTGTGGAAGGTGTTTTGCAAGAAGAGATTTAGTTTTGAGACATCAACAGAAATTACATACCAACCTACCAAATCTAATGAGAAGAGGTTCATCAAAAGATTTAGATATAAATGAACATATAAATGTTTTACATAACAATACAGAATTGAATGCTCCATTACCAAATGGTATGATATTACCTGAAAAATCCAATGATGACAAAACCAAAAGTGGTACACCTCAATTTAGAACTTCATTATTTGGGGAAGAACAAACAAATCTGCCACAACAACCAACAATGGGTGTTTCACCAATTACATCATCAAATTCCCCAAGACCAAGTGTAACTCAAAGAAATAGTGTAAGCATCACTCAACCAAAAGCAACTCCAATGTCAAGACAAGGTTCTGTCAAAATGAGTCGAAGAAAATCTTCTCAACATCAAATAAAACAAGAATTATCACCAGAATCTGATTCACCGAAAAGGAAAAAAATTGCTCAAAATAATGGTAGTATTTCAACACCTTTGGAGTTTAGTACTATTCCATCACATTTAATCAATAATTTCAGACATGCGTCATATTCAGCAGCTTCTGGGAGTTCATATACCACCACCAAAGATGCTATACAAATTCAAGAAAATAATGTTACATTTACAGATTCAATTCCAACTCATGTAGAATTTGGTACACCACCATTAGCAGCACAAACTGAAGAATATCATAAAATTATGGGGATGAGTGGATTAATGGATTGGGGTAATATAGATTCATTAGATTTAGGTGATGAAGAAAAATTTGCTTTAAGACAAAAATCATTGAAGAATATACATGATTTTTTCACTGATGGGTTAAAAAAAGTAAGTAACAACCAAAATAAAGGTAAAGAATCAATTCAAATGCAACAAACTCAAAGTAGAACCACAATTTTTGAAATTGAAGATTCTGTGGAAACTCAAGAATTTAATCAAAATTCTCAATTTCAACAACCACAACAAGCACATTTACCACCTTCAATAAGCCAAATACAAGCACCGCCGCAACAAATTTTGTCACAACAATTACTGCCCCAATCAAATCAAGGTTCAGTAGCGTCATCTGCTGCAAGTATAGACCCTCAACAATTAAGCAATAAAGCAGCAGCTCCTATCAAAAGATCTAGATCAACTATGGAAAATGGAAATGGTACTCCACAAGGAAGTAATAATGGAACAGGTAGTGATAGTGATTGGATTAAAGACTTGATGGGGCCATCATTAGACATGAACTTAAATTTCAGTGCAAACACAAGTTTTGATGATTTAAAGGGATATTTTCAAAGTAATAATGCCAAAACCAACAAATTAAAAGAAAATTTCCCGAAAAAGCAAGCTCAAGATTTTATGCAACAATTATTGGGGAGTGATGCAAATGGTGAAATAAATTTTGACAATAACATAAATTATTCAATTGAATTTCCAGCAAATTTTTATAACAATGATTCAAGTTTAATTTCAAATGAAACTAGAGAAAAAATGATGTCATTAAGTAATTTGGGTAATCACGAGTTTCCAACTTTAGAAAGTTTGAAATATTATGCACAATTATATGAATTTGGTTTCAATAAGTATTTTTCATTTATTCATTTACCATCACTAAAAAGTTTAAGAGGACAAAATTTTGAAATCATTCCCTTGTTATCAGCAATTGCAGCTATTGGATCATTATATTCCTACAACAATCATGATGCATTATTATTATTTAATCTATCAAAATTTCAAATTCAAAATTTCTTTGAAAAAGAATTGTCTTCTAGTAATTTACAATTTAAAAAAATTCCATTAATGGCTCATCAATGTCTTGTATTACATATCATGATATCTTTATTTTTCAATGAACCTAATATGATTGATATAACATCTAGACAAATCAAGTCAATGATTAGATTGATTCAATCAACTCATTTTAATGAACCTTTGGAGCAAACTATTATTCCTCCACCACCTGTACCGCAAGGAATCACGACTGAAGAAACAAAACAAATTATTCAACATAACTACGACTACTTTATTATGGCACAATCAAGAATTAGAACTTTGCATTTATTTTATGTATTGCAAACATTTAGATCAACAATGACTGGATCACCAGTTTTATTTAGCTCTAGTCAATTGAAAAATGGGTCAGGCTGTATTAATGACAAATTATGGTGGAGTTCAAGTGCAACAAGTTGGTATGCAACAGTTTGTAAAACAAATCCACCAAATTGGTCTATAATTGAATTAAGTAATGGTCAATCTTTTAATTCACTTTCAAATTATTTAAAAAATCCATTTTCTGCACCACACATTCCAATAAAAAACTTGTTAACATTATTGTTAAGTATTCATGAACAATTGGAAAATGAACAAGCTCAACTGAATTATATTTCATGGAATCTTGAAAAAAAATCGAAATTTGAAACTTTAATAAATAATTGGGAAATTCTATTTCATAAAACTCATGGTTCATTGATAATCACTACTGAAAATAGAAATGAAATGATTAGCACCCCTGATTTGAAATTGATTATTCCACTTTGGCATATGGTTAAAATCAAATTACATATAAATTATAATTCAAATGTTGTTTACATGTTACAAAAGAACTATAATTTGATGAATAAAGAATTAGACCTTATGGATTATAAAGAATCTAATTATAATGTATTGAGTAAAAATATTTCATCATGTTGTCAAATTTTAGATGTTTGGGTTCATACCACTGAAATTATAAGTTATGATGTTAGAGAAACTGCTGTTAGAACACCAGTGTTTTTATGTTGTACAATTTTCATTAGCATAATTATCATGGCAACTTATCTTGATTTTATTGAACAACAATGTAATAGAAGAGATATATCGAATCATGAATTATTAGATTGGTTTCAATGTCAACAAATATTATCTAAAATGAATAAAATTTTAACCAATAGTGTTAAGTCAGTTTATTCAGATGTATTAACCAAAGATATGAATGATTTATCTAACCCTATTTCAGAAGATTTAGTTTTGAAACTCATGAAATTAAGTGAAGAAAGATCAATGTATGATGACAATATTGCAAGAGATTTAGATTTAGAATATAATAAAATTCAAGTAATTAAATTAAATAAAGAAATTAATCATCAAATTTTAATGTTTAACTTGTCAAGAAGATGTTATTACCTTGGTATAAGAGTATTAGCTGATGCACCAGTTTGGCCAGCATCAATGGGATTTGCAGAAGCATTACAATTCAGAGCTAGCTATTTAAATCAAAGAGGTACTACTTATTAATGAAATAAATAACGATGTATTATTAATTTAATCACTAAAAACTATATGTACTCTTAATAAAAACCTTGATTTTGTAAATGTGAAATTATTTGATCGATTGTAACATTTAAATCTTTATTCAATTTAAATTCATTACTTGTTGATGAATTACTATTTCCATTAGCATAATTTGAATTAATAATTATTGAGTTATCATTACCAATTAATTTAGCTATTGAATTACCAATTTTTTCACTAGTTGTAGTTAAAATAACACCAGCTCCAGATTTAACTAATTCATTAATTAAAAATTCATCAAATTTGTTTTCATCATCATCTATCTTGGTGATTCTTCTTTCTCCATTAAATTGATTTAATGTACTTTGTAAAGCAAAACTTAAATATTGACCTAATTTATCATTATTTTCTATAATTATAACAAAACCTTGTTTAAATCTTGGTGGATTAGTTTCTCTTAAAATTTTAACTACTTCAGGGTATGAAAACCATTCAGGTATTGAATCACCAGTTCTTAATTTATTTCTTAATTCTGTACCTGATATATTTGCAGTTTTAACTTTATTAGTATCAATTGTATCAATTGGTGCATATCTATCTTCTTCTGGTAAATAAGTAACCATTCTAAATGGAACAATTTTAATTTCTAATTCTTCTTCATAATTTTTTAATAAATCTTGTGCATCATATGGTCCATAAAAATCAACTCCATTAGAATTTTTACCAGGACCTGCATGATCTCTACCAACTATAAAATGATCAACACCATAATTGGTTCTTATAAGGGCATGCCATAAAGCTTCTCTATCACCACCCATTCTCATAGCTAATGGTAATAAAGATAATGAAGCTAAACCTTGAGGAAATTTTTCCAATATAGTTCTATATACTTTAACTCTTGTATGATGATCAATATCACCTGGTTTTGTTAATCCAACAACTGGATGAATTAATATGTGTGAACCTTCACCAATATCTGAAGCTGCTCTAATAGTAAGTTCTCTATGAGCTCTATGCATTGGATTTCTAGTTTGGAAAGCAACAATTTTATCTTGTGACCAACCTTTTTCATTAAATTCATTTCTAAGTTCTAAAGGAGTTTTTCTTAATTCGTTATAATCATAATGTTTTGGATAATTTATACCTTGTAATGAACCACCAATATAATATTCTTTTGCAGTTTCATTTAAATATTTTATAGCAGGATGTTCTGGATCACCTCTAAATACTTTTTCAGCTTCTAATTTTTTATTTGGTTTATAAATAGATTCAATAGTTAATATAGCTAAAGGATTTTCATCTCTTAAATCAATTAATGAAATTTTATCACCAATTTTAACAGAATTAGCAAATTCAGAATCAACATCTAAAGTAATTGGAATTGGCCAAATTAATCCTTTACCATTTGAATTGGTTTTAGATTTTAATCTTAAATTTTCAACAACTTCATTATAGTCATCTTCATTTAAAAATCCATTTAATGGTGAAAACCCACCATTTAATATTAATTCTAAATCACATAATTGTCTTGGTGATAATTTTAAATTTGGAATTGTGGATGATAAATTTAATAAATCTGTTTTGATGGTTTCATCTCTTTTAACTAAATCATTTAATTTACCACCATGAGGTTTTGGAATAGGCATTTTGGAAAAACTTTTGGAGATGAGTATTTGAAGTGAAAAGAAAGTAGTACTAGTAAAAGTGTGTGAAAAAAAAATTTCATTTTAAATGCATTAAACTTGTGGTCAATTATATAGAAATTAAAATAAATTTTCAATTTGCAGCAATTGAAAAATGCACAAAATGTTAAATTATTTTTTATTTTTTTATCACTACACGTGATTCTGTTTGATTCACATAATTTTACGTAATATATTACGTAATAAAGAATTATGTCAATATTGATTTTATAGAATTGGTTGCAAATATAAAAACCCTCCGAAATTATCACATAAATATTATAATGTATATTTTTCTGAAGTATCTGATATATGCTGTTGTCTCTCAATTGGAAAAAAAACCTACACTTTTTCAACCTTTTGTGATATACGTTATTGATATCCTTGGTAGTTATGGAGTTTAACTAATATCGATGAAACAGTGGTGGCACTTTATATAGTCATAGTCAAGAAAAATTTCATTCAAAAAAAATTAGTGGATCTTTGATTTCGTATAATCTACCAATACTCTAGTGTTGTGGTGTTTAAGTATACTTAAACAAGATTAAGGATACTGTTGATTAATATATCAAGTAATTTTAAGTCCCTTGTTGAGCCAAACGAATATATTCAAACTTCTCATTGGTTGCAAGTTATTGATCAACTGTTCTCTAATTCTTTGTCAAAATAAAGGATATAAACTGAATTGTTGACTAACTATAGGTCTATCAGAAAAGAATTCTTAAGTCTCGATTGATAGATCAAGTTTTTTTGCACAATATATTGATTAGCATAAGGAGATTTTGATAGTCTTTTATTAAAAAACCCTGAAAAGAAAAATTTACGAAATTACAAAGATAATAATGTCAAGTGTAAAATTTTCATTTAAATAGAGGGGTATAAAACAAACAAATTAGCTCCCCCAAGTTTCTCGAGAATAATTTCAGACCTTACGTATACTATATTTATAAAAAAATTTCGAGAAATTATCAAGAGATTCATTTTCAAATTTTGACCAAATCAAATTTGGGGGATACCAGAAAAATTGGGGGAAAATATACACTAATACTTTAAAATTTGGTCGAATTTAGTGCTCTCAATTATTTACTTAGTTTTAACTATCACATTTGTGCAATAAAAATACGGTATCTGCAATTATTTAGTCGATTGATTTTCAAACAAAAGTGGGGTTTCGATTGAATGTTATAACTAACTCAAAAAATATTGATTCGTTGAACTTGATCGAGTACAGCTAGAAAATCAATTAAGCGATATCTATTAGCTATGAAATTTGGTAGAATTGAAAAGTTTTAGATACAGATTCAAAGATATCCATTTTTCCATAATAAATAATTTTTTGAATCATGAGTCGGAAATTGCGTTAGCCCGATTTCGCAAAGTGGTATCGGATTATGGTTTAAAGTAAAAACTTTTATTATGCTCACAACTATCAATTAAGTAGACTTGAATAAAAGTCTCAATTAATACTTTGAATTACTAATTCCAAAGATCAATGAAGTCCGAATAATAAGTTATAAATTTTACATCGATTGCTGTTATATTATAACGTTTTTATTTTTTTGATTATAAGACATTGAAAAAATATCCTGTATATAAACCCCTCTTTTACAATTCTTCAATTTATTAAATTAAAGATTCAGATCTTTTACATTGATCTTAAGCTCTGCGGACAAAGTGGAATAAATCAATCAAGTCAAAAGTCAATTCATGAAGTTATTTAACTAGAGCCTAAATGAAAAGTATTGAAATCAAAATTACTAGTAGTTGTTACATACTATTAGTATTATATTATTAATTATTAATAATTTAAATAAACTAAAAAAAATAAAAAAAATTAAAAATAGCAAAATTATTTTGTTGAACATTTTTCTACTTTATTATTTAATAATATTAGTTATAATAATAATAATACATAAAGATCACATAATATATAAATAATTTAATTATTCCTTTTATTTTTAAAGTGAAATTTTTATCTTATAACAAATTTTTTTTTATAATTTCTTCAATTGATATCAATTACTCAATTTAATTAATTAAATATACGAACATGTCAGATTCAAAAGCTCCAGCAGAACCAAAGTATGTAATAATTAGAAAAATTTCATCATTTCCGTGAAGAGAAAAAAAAAGATAGTCCGAAGGCTCCAAAATTTTCATTGATTCATCATATAAGGTATTGGAGTATCATTATATAAAATCAATTGAATCCATCATCACCAATTGAATCAATTGTTCAATTTATTACACATGGGCTTATTTCAAGTATCCTTAATAGCAAATTTAAAATAAAAGGGAAAAAAATTTCAAACGTTGAACCGAAAAAAAAAAAAAAAATTAATAATTTAAAAAAACTAATACCGAATATAATTTTACAATAGAATTTAATATAAATATATTGATAAATCCTTTCTCCACGTTTCAAAATTAATCACCAAATTTAAAAATCAACTTTTACAATGTCAACCAATAGAGCAATATCTAGACTATCTTCCATATCGAATCACTTAAATATGGCAAATACTAACAGTACAATTCCTAGAGGTGATCTCGGTTTAATTGGTTTAGCCGTTATGGGTCAAAATTTGATCCTTAATGCTGCTGATCATGGTTATACAGTTGTTGCTTATAATAGAACAATTTCAAAAGTTGATCATTTTTTAGCTAATGAAGCAAAAGGTAAATCAATTATTGGTGCTCATTCAATAAAAGAATTAGTTGATAATTTAAAAAGACCAAGAAGAATTATGTTATTAGTTAAAGCAGGTGCTGCAGTTGATAATTTTATTGGTCAATTATTACCATATTTAGATAAAGGAGATATTATTATTGATGGTGGTAATTCACATTTCCCAGATTCTAATAGAAGATTTGAAGAATTAAAAGCTAAAGGTATATTATTTGTTGGTTCAGGTGTTTCAGGTGGTGAAGAAGGTGCAAGAACTGGTCCATCATTAATGCCAGGTGGTAATGAAGAAGCTTGGCCATATATTAAAAACATTTTCCAAGATATTGCAGCAAAATCTGATGGTGAACCATGTTGTGATTGGGTTGGTGATGCAGGTGCTGGTCATTATGTTAAAATGGTTCATAATGGTATTGAATATGGTGATATGCAATTAATTTGTGAAGCTTATGATGTTATGAAAAGAGTTGGTAAATTTTCAGATAAAGAAATTGCTGATGTTTTCACTAAATGGAATACTGGTGTATTAGATTCATTTTTAATTGAAATTACAAGAGATATTTTAAAATTTGATGATCCAACTGATGGTCAACCAGTTGTTGAAAAAATCTTGGATACTGCCGGTCAAAAGGGAACAGGTAAATGGACTGCTGTAAATGCTTTAGATTTAGGTGTTCCAGTTACTTTAATTGGTGAAGCTGTTTTTGCAAGATGTCTTTCAGCATTAAAAGCTGAAAGAGTTAAAGCTTCTAAAATTTTAGAAGGTCCAATTGTTGAAAAATCACCAATTGATGAAAAAGATAAACAAAAATTCATTGATGATTTAGAACAAGCTTTATATGCTTCAAAAATTATTTCATATACTCAAGGTTTTATGTTAATGAATCAAGCTGCTAAAGATTATAATTGGAAATTAAATAATGCAGGTATTGCTTTAATGTGGAGAGGTGGTTGTATTATTAGATCAGTTTTCTTAAAAGAAATTACTGCTGCTTATAGAGAAAATCCAAATTTAGATAATTTATTATTTCATCCATTCTTTAAAGATGCTATCACAAAAGCTCAAAATGGTTGGAGATCTGCTGTATCTCATGCTATTACTTGGGGTGTACCAACTCCAGCTTTTTCAACCGCTTTAGCATTTTATGATGGTTTAAGATCAGAAAAATTACCAGCTAATTTATTACAAGCTCAAAGAGATTATTTCGGTGCTCATACTTTCCAAGTTGCTCCAGGTAAAGAAACTAAATTTTTACCAGCTAATCAATGGGTTCATGTTAATTGGACTGGTAAAGGTGGTAATGTTTCAGCTTCTACTTATGATGCTTAAGTTATTTGATAAATAAGTTGATATAATAATATAATTTTTAGTTATATATAAGCTATTAATATAATAAAACAGTATAAATATTTGAAACTAATGTTTTTAACGTAATTGAGGAGTTTTTGGACTTGAATTCTTGTATCTCAACTAAATTAGACAAACACAGTAAATCTCAAAATATTATGTAATTGATACATAATTAAGATTAATTTGGATTATAGAGACGTTTCAAATTACTTCGTTTTTTTGGTTGCAAAATGTTTCCATATTTGGCTATCACAGCTTGTAAAATTTAACGAAATGGGTCTTTGGTAATCTTCTTGCCGTACCGTACGAACTTAAAATTTTCAAATTCATATTAATTGATGAGCAAAAACTCCAAAGACTCACAACTTACGTAAGATATTGATCACAATAGTTGAATTTTCGAGTTATTGTCAACTTGAAAATTACCGAGCGAACAAAAGCGAGAATTGGAGTGCATTTATTGACCCAATTTACAACTACTTCTCATTCTTTAAACACTCATAACTACAAATTCCAAAAAGATGGCAAATTTGGTCTCATACAAATAACATTCACTATTCAAATATAAACATATAAATACCATAATCAATCCGATTTATAAAATAATGAATATTGGTGATTTTTGGAAAAAAAAACAGTCCAATTTAGTCCAAACCACTAATCGGATTTAATGATTAAGCAGAATTCAAGAGCTGTGTATCCCAAATTGGAAGTTTCACTTGGAAAAGATTTATACAAATGAATTCTCAAAGTCCTGATAGAGTAACTTTTAAGTTGTGTATCACTTAATTTTGAATGAAATTTGTAAGGTCACTTTGTTAAAGTTATTAATTTATGGTGATGCACAGATCTTACACGTCTTGGCTAATGGTTCAAATCCATTACGACTCATATACTACTCTGCCCCCTCCAATGTGGGCATATTTTATTTAAAGGAGTTATATGTGTTATATTGTACTAAATTAAATTCATAATTTAAGCTTCTTGATAGTCATGAATGTTTTATGAGCATAAAATGTTTTGAAAAGAAAAAGTGCGTCATGTCTATACCAATTATGTTAATTAGAAGCTCATTTGATAGAGTAATATTGTTGGTTTCCAAAGTGTGGACGAAGAGATAGGCGATTCAAAAAACTTCTTTAATGCTTAACTTTTAGTGTATACATTTGCTTTCAAATATCTAAAGACATACTAAATACCAAATAAAGATTCAATATGGTTATAAATGTCCAAATCAAAATTGCACAAACTGATGTTAAAGTACTATTACTAAAATCTTTATAACCTTTTATTCTATAGATATCATTTGATGAAGATGTAGTTGTTTCTACATTATTTATAATTGGTGATCGATTTGTTGATGACGATATACTTGAATTTCCTGAAATTTCATTAGTTAATTGAGTTACAGAATTTGATCTACTTTTCATTGTACTTTGAGATTTAAAATATGCTCCTGATTCATCTGCCATTAATCTTCTATTTTCTTCATTAAGATTATGATTTTGATGTAATTCATCTTCTTCATCTTCTTCCCAACCTGCACAAGGATGTGAATTTCTTAAATCTTGTAATCTTATAGCTGGTTCACTAACTATAAACTTATTGGGTATATATTCTCCATTTTCATCGTTTGAATCAAATAAAATATCAACTTCTTCATCACCATCTCTAACCAATATTGGAACTCTCATTGTTTTCTTGTTACAAGTAAAATAAATTAATGGAGCACTAACAATTGGTAATAATAAGGATAAAACAACTTGACTTGCATTTAATGTTTTTGCTAATCCTTCTCTGCCCGCAAATGTGACAACAAATAAACATGGTGCAATAGCCAAACCTCTTGTAATTAATCTTCTTGTAATTGGTGGTAAACTCCAAGATAAAAATCCTTCACTAACCATTTGTCCAGCTAATGTACAAACAACTCCAGCACTTTGACCAGAACATAACAATGCTAATGCAAATACAAATCCTGCAGTTGGGGATAAATGTTTTGTTAATAAATGATATATTGTAAATAAATCAGCATTTTGATAATCATCATCATTGTCTGAATCTGAGTCATTACCATCATCATGGTCATCTCTTGAATCATGCATCTTGGGGCTATTTAAGGTAGCACCAGCGACAATTAAAATAGCAGAATTTACAAAAAGTGCAACTGTAAATAATGAAATAACTAATTCGATAATGGTATAACTCATTGTATCTTTGATTGCATGTATTGATGGCCTATAATGATCTTCTTCTTCGTCATCTTCAAGAGTTATATCATCTCCATCTTTTTCAAATTCTGGATTATAAGGTGTTGCTTCTGGTGTTAAATCATTTTCTTCTGGTGATTCATCAGATATTGTAAATTCACTATTTTGAATTGAAATTTCCGATTGATTTTTATCTTTATTCCAAGGTATATAATGGCCATTTTTAATATCAAAATCTTTTAATCTTGATTGAACTAATCCAGATCCTAAATATAATGAATGTGGCATAACTGTAGCTCCTAAAATTGCTAAACTTAAGTATAATCCATTACCTCCTTCTCTTTCTGACATATTTATAACATCTTCATTTGGTAAAAAACCTTTAAAAACTTCTATTACTGAAAAATTAATTGAACTATCATGACTTACTTGATAAAGTTGTATTCCAAAACATACAACTGTTGCTGCCACCAATATGGAAACAAATGATTCAAATATCCGTATAAATAATAACGGACCTTTTGGTCTATATGCAGCTAATACTATTAATACATCAATAACTGTTACTATAACTCCTAAAAATAATGGTATTTTAAATAAAATATTTAATGCTATAGCTGTCCCTACTACTTCAGCTAAATCAGTTGCTATTATTGCAATTTCTGTCATTATATATAATACAAGATTAGTTTTAAATTCAAAATGTTCTTTACAATTTGCTGCTAAATCTAATCCAGTTACAGCTCCTAATTTTGCTGCTAATGTCTGTAGAAAAATAGCTAAACAATTTGATAAAAATATTGAAAATAATAAATTATATTTATAAGCTGAACCTGCTGATACAGCAGTTGAATAATTACCAGGATCTAGAAATGCAACAGATACCATTAAACCAGGTCCTATAAATTTGGAGTATTTTTTTAATTTTGAAAGTATACATCGTATACTGCAAGATCGTATTATATTCGTTATGGATATTGACATGATGTTAGTGATGAAGTTGGATCAATAATGTTTATTTTATGATTGATTAATGATTAAAGTGGTTGTAGTACTAATTTTCGTAATTAAAGTTTTTATTGTCACTTTAATTTTTTTTTAAATACGTTATTTTTATTTTTTCGTGTTTAAATTGAGAAAATAAAATATTAACAAAATTTGAATGTGAAAGTTGTTTTAAAAGTGGATGTAATGAATATATTGAATATGTAATTTTATGATTGTAAAAAATGGTGATCTTTCCTCGAGGATTGTTTATTTGATATGATAAATATTGTGGTAAATAAAAATTAAATAGAAATCAGCCTTGAAATTTATGTGCAACCCAAAGAAAAAAAAAATTATTTTAGATATTTCCGGAAAATTAAGGAATCAAGAACTTTTTTGAAACTAAAGATTTGATCTATGACTTTATATGTTTTATATAACGAGTGTATCGATAAAGGAATAGGTGGTTGAAGTAAATTTTGAAAGAAAAGTGATAAATCAAATGTAATAAAATTTGAATGATATAATATTTTTACAATAGAAAAGAGAAATATGGGGTTGCTCTATATTTCCTATTTTTCCCGGTGAGATGTAAATAAATTCTTAGGTTTCATAAAACGCTCTATATTTTACTCCAATTTTTTATTTAACGCAATGTCGCACTTCTTGAAACAAGTCATTTTCTATCTCGGACTTCTCTTTACCATTCGGAAATTAAATTCCTAAGTATTAAGATGATATATTTTTTGACAGATACCGATTTTAATTATCATATACTAACCAATTAAGAAAACATCTGATTAATTCAGTCGGCTCAGACCACTTACATTACTATCTATTTATATATAATCACTCAACTATGCTTAGAGTGACAACCAAAAACATTTTCAAAAATTCATCAAAATGCTTGACTAAAAAATTCCATAAATCATCAATATATAATGCAGCATCAATTTTTAAAATGCCAGCAATGTCACCAACAATGACAGAAGGTGGAATTGTATCATGGAAAGTTAAACCTGGTGAATCTTTTAATTCAGGTGATGTTTTATTAGAAGTCGAAACTGATAAAGCAAATATAGATGTTGAGGCAGCTGATGATGGGAAATTATGGGAAATCTTGGAAAATGATGGAGCTTCTGGAGTACCTGTTGGAAAACCAATTGCATATTTGGCTGAAGTGGATGATGATTTAAGTACTTTAGAAAAACCAAAAATAGAGGAACAACCAGCACCAAAGAAAGAAGAACCTAAAAAAGAAGAACCTAAAAAAGAAGAACCAAAAGCACCAAAGAAAGAAGCACCACCAAAGAAAGAATCTACAACAAAAGAATCAAAACCAAAAGACTCATCATCAATACTTCAAAAAGCAAACCCAGACCAAAAATTATCACCAGCTGTAGAATTATTATTAGATGAAAATCATATTACAAAAGAAGATGCATTAAATAAAATACAAGCTTCTGGACCTCAAGGTAGATTATTAAAAGGTGACGTATTAGCATATTTGGGATCAATAAAAGTTGACAGTGTAGTAAATATTGCAGAATTCATCAAATCAAGAGAACATTTAGATTTATCAAATATACAAATAGCAAAATCAGAACCAGCAAAGGAACCTTCATCACAAAAACAACAACCACCACAAGAAAAACCAAAACCAACAAATATTGTAAATGTAGAATTAACTTCAATCACCACCAACGATATATCAAAATCAAAATTTAAATATGAATTTGAAAATTCAATAAAATCAGCAATTCAACAAACTTATGCAACAAAATTCCCTCAATTTGCAACATCACCAACAGCATCTACAATTTATGATAATTATGATATTTTTGAAGAAATTATTTCACCACCAGTTACACAAAATAGATTTGAAATATATGATATAAATTATAAATTTTATAATTCTATAAAACCAATCAGAAAAATTGATGAATTTGATGAAATTTTAGGATTTGGATCTAATAAAGAAGAAATAGTTACAGAATTTTCAGAAACTGATTCATCAAATGTTTCAATAACTTTTAAAATTAAATTTAATGAAAAATTACAAGATTCAAAAGAATTTGTTTCATTTTTTGAAGATTCTTTAATATCTCAAATTCCAACTAATAAGTTAAAAATTACAAATTAAGTGTTTGTTGAGAGATAATATAATGAATAGAAGAATACTTAATAATTGTTATCTTGTAATATATATTAATTTTTTAGTATTTTTTTCAACGATGAAGACTTTAATGGTTATATCTATTAATCTACTTTTTATAAAAAACATGTACAAATTTCATCTATGTTTAGCAATATAGCCTTTTAATTTAAAGCTAGAAGACTGATGATTATAAATTTTATTGAATTAGAACATGTATTTCTTAAAATTATAGAATATTTGGTAGCATATATAAAATTTGATTCTTAATATTAATAAAATAAATTTTAATAAAATAAATAATTTACGATTTTTTTTTTTATAATATAATTTTAATTTATTTTAATTTTATTAATTTTTATAATTTTATAATTTATAATTTATAATTCATTAATATCTTTCTTTTTTTATTATTTGATTTTCAATTTAAACTCATCCAACTCAAAATAATGAAGAATGAAGTGAGAGTTACTTAGTAGTTGTTAATTAATTTTGAGATATGCTTAATTTTTTGTAAGGGATGGAGGTTACTTCCACATAAATTTCTCTCTTTAATTTTTTTTTTTTTTCTATAATAATAATAATAAGATTTGTTTATAGTTTATTATTTTTTAACAATACATAATAAAATTTTTTTTTTTTTTTTTTCTTTCTTTAAATAAAAAATTTTTTTTAAACTTAAAATTTATAAAATTAAAATTATAAAATAAATAAATAATATTTTATTTTTAATATTTTTTTTTTTTTTTATATATATTATATTTTTTTTTTATTTATATCAAAAGAATAAAGCAGCACTTTGAATCAAGTTAATCAATCAATCAATTAATCAAATAGAGTTAGGTTATTTAATCGTTCATTTATATTACTAAAGAAGATTTATATATTCATATTTAATTAAAAAAATTTTTAAGGATGTATAATAATATGTATCCTTATTCAGGATACTCAAATATTAATTCAAATCAACAACAACAACCATCATCACAACAACAACAACAATCTCCAAATACTAGTAATAGACAACAACAACAACAACTGCAACTGCAACTGCAACAACAACATTATATGAATACTTCAACAAATCCAACTTCTTATTTTGGTAGAAATTTAACTGGTTCAACATCATCTCAACAATCAAATTCTTCAAATTCTTCAAATTCAAGAGGTGTACCACCTTTAAGTCATTCAAATGTTCAAATTCCTCCTCGCTCAAATTATGGTATTCAATCATTAAGTGGATTAGGAACTCATCCAAGTAGTTATCAATTAGGTCAACATAATCAACTTCATAATCAATTAAATCAACAACAATTAAATAATACAAATTATTATAATCCTTCTTCAAATCATCAATCTCATAATTCAACTCCTCAAATTTTTAATAATCAATTACATAATACAACTACTAATAATGATCATCCTCAACAATTAGATCCAAAACAACTACAAAAATTTACAAGTGGTCAACAACAACAACAACAACAATATCCTCAATTTTATCAACAATTACATCAACAACAACAGCAACAACAACAACAACCAAGTTTTTCGTCGGCTCAGCAACAACCACAACAACAACAACCACAACGTCTTCCTCAACCTACTCAACCACCAAAAGTTTCACCTCAATTACCAAAAGAAAAAAAAATAGAATCTACTAAATCTTCAACTTCAGAAGAAACCACCAAAAAACCAAGAAAACCAAGAGCAACTAAAAAAGAAATGGAAGAAAAAAGAAGATTATTATTAGAAAAAGAAAGAATTAGATTACAACAAGAACAACAACAACAACAACACTCACAATCAAGTGGTAATACTACTACAAAAATTAGTCCAATAGTAAAAGAATCTTCAACAACTGATTCAAATGGTAAAAAAAGAAGAGGCCGTCCAAAAAAATTTATTTTAGATCCATCAACTAATAAAATGATTGATTCAACTCATCCAAATTTTAAACAATTAAATAAAATAATTAGAGATAATAATGTTGGTAATGATTCAACCACCACCACTACCGGACAAGCTCAAGAATTTTATAATACCACTAATTCAACAAATTCAACAAATCCAAAGAATTTAAATCATCCAGCTTCAGTTACAAATGTTAATGATGTTGAATTTCAACAATTATTGAAAAAAAAAGATAGAAGAGGTAGACCTAGAAAATTTCCAGTTGAACAAACTGGTATAACTATAAAAGGTGTTAAAATTAATGGTGGTGTTAAAAAATAAATGACTAAGTTGATACCCTAGTGAATTTAATGAAGTGTTTTATCTATCTATTCCTGAAATTATTTTTTTAATTTTTTATTCAAATAATTGTTATTATTATTAATTTTGATTTTAATTTTTATTTTTATTATTTTTATAATTTTATTTTTATAATTTTTATTTTTATATTTTTTTAATTTTTTTTATTTAGTTGTTTTATATAAATTTTGTTTGTTTGTTTTTAGTTATTTTATATATATAATTAGTATTATTATAATTGTTATAAATCCAATTGTGACGAAACATGTAGTATTCTGTTGTTGACAAAATTTCGTAGACGTAAATTCACTGAAAGATCGACTTTTTTGACAAAGTTTTTTTTTTTTTTTTATTTGATTTTATTATTATAATTTTAATATTTTTATTTTTAGCTAAAGTTTACGAGATTTTATTTTATTTTATTTTTATTTTTAAATTTATTTTTATATTTAAATTAATTTTTATTTTTATTCAAGCATATTATTTAATACCTTTCGTTTGGCTTATTACCTCTTAACTTTACCATCAGATACGAAGCTATTTTTTAGATTTTGGTAAAGAAATATATTGAATCTATGCTAGAATAATGGATCAACTTTGTAAAATAAAAGAAATCAGAAATTTAACAAAATAAAAAAGGAAGATAATAGTAGCACTATGAGTTAAAGAAGTTTTTAAATTTTTTTCTCCTTTGTTACCGATTGGTAGATATTCCCTAACTTGTCTTTATAATTATAATTTCATGCTTGTTCTTATGTTCTTGGATATTGATTGTTTTTAATTTTGACAAAAAATTGGGACAAAAAATGTAAATAACTTGGGTTTCAAAAACTTGTTAGTCCAAACCAACTAAAAAAATATATTTTGTCAGTTATTATGTTCTTAAAATAGATCATTCGTATTGACCTATTAAGCTTGTTAGTAAAAAAGACTATAAACCAGAGAGGATTGTCATTACCTATTTAAATCTTATGAACATTCGAAAATTTACTAAAGTGTTTACGAATTAACTTATATTCAGTTTGGTAACAAAAACACAATTAGAATGCTGTGACATTAAAACGCGCTAGTTAATTGCGAAAAAACATGCTCAAATAACATTTTGTAGCTCAAAGATTCAAATTATGGACTTTTTTTTTTCGCAATCAAATTAGAATGTGAAATCTAAATTAAGACAATATTAAAGTTCAACACAATTCTACGTATAAAGAAGTAGCTCAGCTTTAAAAGTTTTTTTCCAACTCATTTCTTCAAAAGTATTAGCTTGTAAAAATTATTCAGCTAGATTACCTATTTAATTTTTAACTTATGACCATAAGCTTTATTAGCAGAATTATAGGAAATTTAATTTCATTTAACCTGATAAATTATTGTACGCAATTGTGAAACTGCATAACTATTAAGGTTCAATTAGTGGTTGACTTTGTTGGACCTCATACTTGATTTTAACATCTAGACCTTTTTGGTCTACTATATCTTCAAAGATCTCATGAAGCAATTTTTTGATTGAAATTCATTGATCTTTATGTATAATGAGTACAAAGCGTGTCTGTACATTATAAACCGCGACAAATATTTTTCCTGAAACTGGACACAAAAACAGAAATAAAATTGTTGCAAAAATTATCAACAAATATTTTTAACGTTTATTCACATATAAACTATCAACTAATGAGAAAGAAATTCATTTAATACAATCTGAAGTTGCTTACTTTTTTGCAGCATCACGTTGACCATAAGCTTTAGTAGCATAATCACCATCAATACAAATAACATCTTGAGGTCTATATTTGTAAGTTTTGTCAAAATACTCAGTAAGTATTTGCTTAACTCCCCCAGCATAACGAGCCTGAGCATCAAGACTAGTTCCTGATGTATGGATGGTCATTGCATTTCCATAATCAAATCCAAATGGATTATGCATCTTTCTCCATGGGAAGTCCTTAGGTGCAGGTTGTATGCTAGAAACATCCCCTCCATCTTCGCGGCGTTAGTATACTGTCATTCATGATCTTATCAATCATATCTCAAAAAATTGAAGTTATTTGGATAGTTTTGGGCTGTTTGGAGACCTTTTGATTCAATGATGATTTTTGAAAGCATTTATTCAAAACATTTTGTCACCCCCATCGGTAGCGCCAAAATAACACAAAAACAATCAATTTGAATTGAAAAAAAAATTTATACATACAAGCAATATGACCACTGTTTACCGCATCAGCAACGGCATCAGTATCACAAATAGCCCCTCTAGCAGTGTTGACTAAATAAGAACCTTTCTTCATTTTTGAAATTAAAGCTTTATCAAATAATCCTTTAGTTTGTTCATGTAATGGACAATTTATAGTGACAATGTCAGCTTCAGCAACTAAAGCTTCTAAACTATCAACTTGTTCAAGGATAACATCAACATCATTATATAATTTTGAAGCAGCGTTAATTTTTTCAACTGCGGCAGCTGGTAATGGTTGATAGTCATAGTATAACAATTTCTTAACATTGAATGGAACTAATCTTTCTAAGATTCTGTAACCAATTCTACCAGCACCAACAGTAGCAACAACTTTACCTTCTAAGTCATATTCATCTTTAGCAACCGCAGCAACATCCCAACCACCATTAAGATATTGTTGATGACCAATGTTATAGTTTCTGATCAAGACTAACATAGTCATAACAGCGTGTTCAGCAACTGATTGAACATTTGATCCAGTAACTTCAATAACTGAAATACCTCTTTTGTTAGCAGCATTTAAATCAACATGATCTGAACCAACACCTGCAGTAATACAGATTTTTAAATTTGGAGCTTTAGCAATTCTTTCAGCAGTAACATAAGCTGGGAAGAATGGAGTAGTAATAATAATTTCAGCTTCTGGTAAATATTTTTCAAAAGTTGAATCTGGACCATCTTTATCTGAAGTTGCAATTAATTCATAACCGTGATCTTCAATGAATTTTTTTAATCCTAATTCATTTTCAACAGCACCTAATAATTTTGGTTGGTCTTTTGCGTGTTGTCCACCTGAATATAAGACTAATAAACAAACTGGTTTTTTGGCCATTTTTAATTGATAATAATTGAGTTAAAGTTGTAGTAATTAAAAATATAGGAAGTTAAATAATGTTCCGATATTGATGGTATGAAAAGAATAAAAAGATGAAAACCCAATTGAATCGAAGGATGTTAATCATTATTTATAATTTTTAGAAATTCATTTTCAATAATATACCCCCCTTTCCAAATAAAAAATTAAAAATCTGTTTCGATGTTAGTTTATGTGGTAAGAATTAATTAGAAATTATTGGAAATTCTTTTTTGACTTTTAATAATAATAATAGCCATTTTTTGATCTTCTAATTTAATAAAATATTAAATTAATTTTTAGCATTGCTGCATAAAATTTGAAACTTAGTACAAAAATAGCAACACCAGCTACCACATGCTATATAAAATCACTCGGAATGGAACATTCTTAACAAATCTTCAAAATATTATAATAATAATTATTATTTTACTAGGCTTTATTGTTAAATTTAAAATTTCAAGGTTATATGAAGCAAACTTTGTGATAGTTTTACATTTCCATTAATTAGAGCCATTTCTAATTTGCAGGAGGTGTTTACACAAATTGAACCCTCAATCTCTTAAATGAGATTGCAATAAATTATCTCAACCGAGATAATAGTTATTAGAATGATCACAACATAAATTTTTCTGGTTGATTTACAAGAACAATCTTCTTTATTGATTTGTGGGGAAAAGAAGATCAAATAAGGAGACAATTTCCAAAATTTTTTAAAAAATAATTAATCTTACTAGAGAGATTGACAATTTAAAAACCACCATAAAGTTATTATTTTGATTATTATTTTTCAACGAAAAATTGTAAAGACAGAGCGAATTATAATAAAAGTAGGGGATTTTACCCTAACTCTAGTAGATTTTGATGGATTTTCTCTTATTCAATTTATCACCGAGATATTTTGATTTAAGGTAATTTTAAGATATTTAATTTTTTGTAGCAATTTCCAAATTTGTCAAAAATTAAATTTCATATCCGACTTTATGTAGAAGCGGTTTTTTTATAATCTTATCTATAGAATATTCTAAGTACATGTACCTAAAACATGCATTAAACGTATATTTTTTATGCCCTATCTAGTTGTATAATATTACTATGATAACCTAACTTACTTAAAGTTAATGATGTATCACTTCCATATCCTTCCAATGAATTCATTTCTAATTTACCGTTCCAATAATCAGCATAAACAGCACACATGGGGAGTCCCATTCCTAATTTATACTCTTGAGGTCTTGCCATTAAATCGTTCAAAGTTGACTTATTCTTTGCTCTTTGTTGCATATCCATAAATGAAATATCCTTCTCGGTTGTATCAATCTTTGATGAACCTGATGCCGTAAATTTTAAATTTGAATACAATTGTAAACCTGGTATACGATGAAAATTAGCTAAACTATGTCTTGCTAATTCAGGTGACTTACCAAATGACCATATCAGTTTTAATTTATCATGATTTATTCCACCTCCTTGATCTGATATTCTAAATAAAATATCCTTTTTCAGATCAATAATTGTTACTTTAATCGGTGGTAAATAATCTTTTCCTTTATGATACTTTATAGTAGCCTCGAATGAATTTTTCAAAATTTCATGAATTAAATAATGTAAATGTGGTATCATAAATTGCAACTCACTTTGAAGGTCTCCTTCAATTTCTAAATCTGGTAAATAATCAATTTCTGGATATTTTTCACTCAAAGATTTTTTAATCATTCTTGAAACTTGATGAAATTGATCAGCTGCATTACATGTTTGAAACATTTCACCCAAAAAATGTGGTGATTTTTTATCATATGGCTTTTTTAGGTAATTTTCACTTAATGATAAATGTTCTTCAACTATAACTCTTCTACTAATTCTTGACCTTAACATTGAACTCATAAATGAATCTAGTTCTTGTTGTGGTAAACTATCAGCAATTGAAATTTCTAGAGCTCCCATCAATAAATGTGATAAATTAAATAAATGATCATCTAATAAAGTTGATAAAGTTTTACAAAATTCTTCATTTTCTTCAATTGTATGAATTTTGGGGATTTTCCTGAATGCATTAAACAGATGATAATAGCTTTCATAAATTTGAGCTAAATGGAAATTATTCACAACTCCAAAAGGTAAAGTTTGTAAATCTCTTATTCTCATTGCTAACCTTATTGGTAATTCGATTCTAACAAAATTAGCACTATTTATAATTTTTTGTTTTGTTAATGTATTACCAAATCCTGCTAATTGTCGTAAAGATACTGGATGAGGATTCTTTTTGGAATAATCTAGTAATACAGCATTTTGATAAAAATGCTGAGGGTTTAATATATTAGAATATGTGGGGAATGGACCTAAATTTTTAATATGTTTTGCAATTTCTTCTTTACTTATATCTGATAAAGCATCAGCATGAATGTATGAAAATGAACTAATTGGTGGGGTGGAATTAAATCTTTTATTGACTAACAGCCTTTGACAGTTCTTGCATTTTATGCCCTTCTTTAGTATCATGTAGTATTACTTTTGAAATAAATCTTTTAAACGATTGTAATACCAAAATTCTCTTGCGATCAAAAATAATTCCGCTGATAAAAAAATTATGGGGTCCAATTGGTAGCCAAGACTAAGAATGTTCGTTTCAAATTTGGAAAGCTGTTTCGACTAAGCATTGTTACAAGAATCGTATATTTATTGATTCAGGACGCTCATATTGTTTTGGATAGCTATAAACTATTACAAAGAATTAACTCTTCGGAAGGCTAGTAATCTAGCGATCGCTACAAATTCTCGTATGAAGAACTGGAATGAATGTGCTGCTGTTCAGTGATCAGACTTTTCGCAAGCCATTTGACTTCAGTATTACTCTAAACTTTTTATAATAAGATCACTAAGTAGATCTTCTCATTTTAACTGATCATTAATTTGTTAAATCAATTGAAATTTATGATATTATAATTTGATTTTGTGTCTTGATATTCTGATCTAACCAGCCATCTTCTTATATAAATTTTTTTGTGTAACAACCAAGTAAATTATTTTTCTACTCCTTAAAACGTTTAATAAATCAAATTTTCAAATTGCAACACATTTAAATTGAATAAATTACTTCTGAAATTGTTTTCTAGAATACTTTGAATGGTTGTCAACTAAAAACAACTTCACAACCAATATGAATGTTACCAGCAATGCTTATTATACTTCACAATATCTAAGCGAACAACAACAACAGATTAAGTATAAAGTTCCAACTCCACAAGATTATTTCTTAGAACAAAATCAGAAAAAATTACAAAATCCTTTTAAAATTAAAGTTAAAAACCAGCAACAACCAATTATGAATAATATAAGACCAAAATCGTCGTCAACAACAACATCACCTAAAAATAATTCACCAACTAGTATAAATATATCATCACGACCTCAAGAAATTGAATTTGAAATAGATTCAGACGATCAATTGGAAGAAGAGATTACACCAGCTCAATTAAATTATATTTCTCAAAATTATATCCCCAAACCGAAATCACAACCAATAAATTTGCAAAAACCAAAGAAAAAAATCAACAAAAACAATAATTATTATTTAAATCAAAAGAAAGATTATGATTTAGCCGATATGTCAATGAAACCAAAATTATATACTCATAGAACGTTTAGAGAAGTATTCCAAGACAAATCAGAGAATTTGAATAAGTATAACCCCATGGATTCAGTTTTTGAAAATAGTAAAAATTTCCATTCATATAGTAATAATTTAAATGAAGATGAAAAGGATTCATCACCAACTAATAACTCGAAATCAACAGCGTCCAAGTTTTTCAAGACTGTTAAGTTCATGAAAGATGATTATAATGATTACAATTACTACGACCATAGAACTAAAAAGAATGCGGTTAAAGATATATTTGTTACTGAAAATGGTTCAGATGATGATGATGAAGATAATAATGGGATAACAGAAGTGGATGAAAATGGTTTGTTGGTGGAAGGTCAAGAGAAGAAATCTAAAAAAAATATGAAGTTCAAATCAATGTTGAAGAAAAGAATAAGACAAGCTAAAAAGGATTTAGGTAAAGATTTTGATTCTCATGTTGATAATCTGAAGAAAGTTAAAACTCCACAAGATGATGAACCTAAAGAGCTAGAAGCACAACCAATTTCCAAAGAATTAGTACCTATCAACAAAGGATATTTGGGGACTTATGTTAATCCTTGTATGAATTATGTGTGGTCATGGGTAGATTATTATAAACAAGGTAAAACTTCAGATCTACCACCACAACAACAACCCAATAATTCCAAAGCATTTGTCAAATCTTCACAGCAACGGGGACCCAAACCAAAAAAATTCAAGAAATTGACTCAAAGTTCCAAAACATTATTTACAAATTGGAATGAACCAGCAAATAAAATGTGGAATCAAAAACAAATTATAGCCAGAAATCAACAACCACAATCAACTCATCAACATCCTCATCATAATTTATCATCAAGCGAGACTTTAACAGCTGAAGATTACCCTAAAGAATTTATAATAGAATATGATTCAAATGATGAGGAAAACTACTTGAGTAAAAATGGTCTGATAAATGAAGAGCTATACTACAATCCATTAACAAAACAACTAGAATCCCAACCACCAACATCATCATCATCAATGATTTCATTAGAGTTACCACAACAACAACGTACATTACCAATAGTCAACAATTCAATTGAAATAGTATCTTCACTAATTACAATGATCAAGAAGATACAAATTATGAAACTAATCTTCCAGCCAATAGATATAATTGGGGAGTTTTTCCCAAATTTACAAACTATTGTTATTATTATAGAGTTAGTATTGTTTGTTTGGATATTATTTGAGTTAAGTAGATTGATCGATGCTTTGTGTATGATGGTAAAAGCATTTTGTGCTCCAATGATTGCTGTTGGTAGGTTTATGAATAAAATAATGTAAAGCTTTAATTTATTAAAAAGTTGAGAATTATAGAATACTTTCAGACTAATGTAGAAATTAATTGATAAAAACCTTTTTGATTTTCGAGTAAAATAATTTTTTTGAATGTTTTTTTTTGCGCATTTAGTGCTGTTCGTATACATACGAGAAATTAGACCTCGTAAATTTATAATTTTGCGCAAAAGCAACATTTTATCAAAATACTCGAGCTACCAGATTTTTTTGAAAATTCTATTCTTATCAAGCACTTATTTCACGATAAATGCTTGATGAACTTAAACTCTCGATATTTGAGGATCTAGTCAATCAAAATTACAAAGAAGACAATAACGGAAGCAAAGACAATTTATTAGACTACCACATTGAGCCAGAACAATTATGCTATTACAGCAAAAAATCTAACAATGACATTGAATACGACAATTCTTCAGGTTTAAGTGAAATAAAAATACCTATCATTCCAAGTAAGAATAAATCCAAGAGCAAAAATAACAAAAGAGAAAAACCACAGGACCCAATAATAGGCTCATGTTTGACTACAGGGTTTGATGAGTACATTCATCCTACACTAAATGAAATTTACTCATTTGATGATTTGTTCAAGTCAATTATCCATCTACATAACAAACGTGTCATTTTGAAAAAGGACTTTAAAATTATAACATTAAGACGACATTTACAGAAATTGATGAATATACCGTTGGACAAACAAGAAGTAAAATTTAATGTGATCTATTGGAAAGGAATAATCTTTTTTGCATATGATTGGGAAGAGAATAAGCAAGAAGAAGAATATACTTCAAAACAATTAACTCAAAGATTACTACAATATAGTGGATTTAAATTTGAACAAATATTGACTGAAAAAGTCGAAGAACGAAATGAAAACTCCAATTTTTTTACCGTATCTCAACATAAGATTAACAATAAGATTCCAATAATATACTCAGCAGAAATCGATTGTGGTATTTCAAATGAAGCAACTTTTGAAAATTACGTTGAATTGAAAACTCACTCAAAATTAAATGATGACAAATTAAAAACACTTAATAAATTGTACCGAAAATTAATGAAAATGTATTGTCAAAATAAATTTATATCGAGTAATTATTCAGTTATTGGATTCAGATCATTAGATTTTAAGTTAATGTCAATAAAGAAATATACAAATTATGAATTGGTTGGTTTATTTAATTCAAATCCAATATTTTTAACTCATAGTTGTTCAATCAATACAAAACATATTTTTCAATGGTACAATATAGTAATGAATTGGATAGTGGAAAAAGAAAAAGAAATTGCTAACCACGTAGATAAACCAGTAGTGTTGAAGTTATCCTTTGATAGAGAACTCGAATTAATGGACTCAAATTTGAATTTTCATGAGATCAAAAATGAAACTGAAACAATTAAAATTTTCAATAGTATCATACCCCCATGGTTTAAAGAATTTATTGAATCAAAACTATGTACATAAAAATTGAAATATTTGGTTACTCCTGTATAGAATCCTTTATAGCTAATTTTCTAGAATGTGAATTAAAATAATCAGTTAAATCAGCAACATTCATTTCAGAAGGATCAGCTTTCATTACATGTTTATCTTTAAATACTATTTTTATCTCTTGTTGTTGATCTTTTGAATCTCCATTCAATACTTTATAATCTATTTTTGTTGTTGATGGCATTCGCGAAAGGAAAATTCTGGCGCTTTTCGCCCCTGGTGTGAAAGGGTTGAATTTTATCAGCACATTTGTGAAGTATTTCGTTATCATGGACATTTTGAATATGTGGTATTTGTAGCGTGATATTTGAAGATAGAATTGGTTTTGTAGTTATTTTTAAATTTATCAATAAATTTTTTATCAGACATCAAATTAATTTATATACAGGAAATACGTCTTGACTTAAGAGAAAAGCTCTTTAATTTATCAACCTCGAGTAAGTCCTTAAATTTCCTATTTACATTTCTCAAAGTCTATGTAGCAGTATTCGATATATCTGTTAATTGCGTTTCATTATTAAAAATGGCCGTTCTTTTTCTCATAACTTCTGAATACTTCAAATTCTTTCTTTTTTTGAGGTGTCCCCAAGTGTAATAAGCAATGGGTATATATGCTAGAAAAACAACCCTTAAAAACAATTCATAATAAGAGTCATCATCGACAAACGCTAAACTCAAAAATATTTGAATCATTTCTGCAATGGTTCCTAATAAATATAGTATGTAAAAATTATTATATTGTAACCAGAATAAAAAGAATGGCGAAGTCTTTGTCTTTAATTTAAATGCATGATAACTATAATTAATGAAATACTGTAAGCTCCAAGCTGTAATCAACATTGAATATGAAGTGTGTTTAGCAATTTTTGGGTAAGGGAATATGACTCCATAACAAATCCAAATCATCTTTATACCATTTCCAATTGACCATAATTGAGATTTTATGTTCAAATATTTTTCATTGAGTATTAAAACTAATATTGATCCCAACAATGGAGTTATTGCAATTGTTTGGAAAAAATCAGCTATACCACCAGGTAAAAATCTTCTACCCACTAGTGGTAATAATATTAAAAATCTTGCAAAACAACAAAACCATAGCGTGGCTGAAACTATATTGTAGAAAAATAGTAGTCTTTGTTTGATCGTTAATGGATATAATGGCATAATAGGTTCGTAGTAGTAATTGATAGACAATGACTTGTTATTTCCTAGTTGTTTTGAAAATGATCCTTGAATCAATAAAAAAGTAGATCTAATATCTTGACATATTATAAAAATAGAATAAAAAAAAAACGCGCAGTTTTTCGAGTATGTATAGAAATTTTTCACACAATATCAAAAATACCATTGCAAAATTTCCTAACACCACTTAACTTTATCAACAAAAGTCAAGTGAAATGAGAATTTTTATACTATTTTTACTATTAGTATCTATTATTACAGCATGGAGTCCAGAAGATTATGAAATTTTCAAATTAAATGATAAAGTTCGTCAAGCAATAGGTCCAGATATCACATTTTATAGTTGGTTTAATTTAATTAATGATCCAAAATCAACATCACAAGAAATTAAAAAAGCTTATAGAAATTTATCAAAAGTATTACATCCAGATAAATTAAATTTTAAAAATCAAAAAGAACGTAAAAAAGCTGAAGAAAAATATGCTATATTATCATCAGTAAATAATATTTTAAGAGATCCTTCAAGAAAAGAAAGGTATGATTATTTTATTGCTAAGGGATTTCCTAAATGGAGGTCCACTGGTTATTTTTATTCAAAATTTAGACCTGGTTTATTGTTGACTATTTTTTTTGTATACATATTGATCAGTATGTTACATTTTTATTCATTAAAAATCAATAGAAAACAAGACTATAAAAGAATTGTAAATGTAAAAGATGAAATTAAAATTCAAGCATGGGGTGGTTCAAAAGTTGCACCATTAGATGGTTCAGATAGAAAGTTAACAAATGAAACAGGTAAAGTATTTATTGTTAAAAATAATGGAGATGTTTTGGTAGAGGATGGTGAAGTTACACATTTGATAGATGAAAATGATATTAATTTAAACCCTGGATTCAAAGATTCTTTGGTATTCAAATTACCTGCAAAATTATACAATTTAACTTTTGGTAGATTTTTAACACCTATTGATATGTCAATAACATTTGATAAACCAAAAGAAGAAAAGATTGAACAATCTGATGAAAAGAAGAAAAAAAAACCAAAGGGGAAAAAAATGGAATTACCAAATGGTAAAGTTGTATACAGTAGAAAGAAATAATAAATAATTTATTCTATATTAAAATTTATTATTAATTAAACTAATTTATACAAAAGTTTTTATTTATCATCTATTCATTATGCTTTGAAACTCTTCGTAATTCGTTACCTTCATCATCTTCATCTTCATCAGATGAACTACCAGATAAATTATCCACATATTGAATTTCATTGGGCAATTTATCATCATCATCATCATCATCCTCATCATCTAACATATTATGTTTAGTTAAATCTCCAGTTGGTGACATTTTACCAACTTCAACATCTGCAACTTTTGGTCCATCCATATCTTCATCTTCATCTTCTCCGTTGCTATGGTCATGTATAAATTCATCATGATTTGATGTATCTCCAAGTATTATTTTTTTAGGTTGATTATCCATATCTAAATAGCCAACTGATGAAGTATCAAATCCATAATCTGTGTTATCTTCTCCTTCATCAGCACCTAAAACTACATTATATATCTCTCTTGTTTTGGATAATATATCATTAACAAACCAACTCCATTTATCACTCAGCACTGCTTCAACTATGATTGGTGAAATTAAATCTGGTTTATATAACGAGGTAAATTTTACAATTTCTTCCCCCACTAATATTAAATGTCCCATATATCCAGGTCTCGGTACAATATCTACCTCATAAGATTTTATAATTAAGTCAGTCAAATCACATTGATTAGGTTTAAACAATTCCACAATCAAGAAAGAATTATATGAATTTAATTTACCATTAAATATTTGTTGTATCAAATCAAAAACAACATTATGAAAAAAATTATTCCATTCATATTTTGTAAATTTATTTACAATGTTTAATAAAATATGCAGATCAATTAATTTTATTTTAAAAAGATCTCCAACACAAGGATCCAGCCTTATTGCTTCATCTCTTTCTTTACAAACAAATGGATTTTCTGGAGATATTGAAGGCTCTTCATCTTCTGAATCTTCTATTGAGTCCAACGTTTTAACTAAATTCGAGTAATCATGTTTGTCATCATCATGTGAATCAAAATGTACATCATCCAACGAAACGTCATCTAACCCACAAGTAACATCATGAATGTTAGGTGACTCTGGAAAACTTATTTTATCATTTAAAGCTTTTGTCAATCTTTTGTTCTGTTGCGATCTAATTTGATCTCTTATATGTATCATTTTTTTAATCTTTTTAGAGTTTAATAAAATCATGTTTGAACAATGTAATAATTCTGCAACTAATTCACTTATTTTAAATCTCGTAAAACCCAAGATGTTTGATGTAACTTCTAATGGTGGAATAGGTTCCAATTCAAGTAATTCCAGAAAACTTGATAAATTATTTGAAAAAATTTCCAACATTTCACCTAAATATATGGGGTCTCTTGGACCTGGAGGATTTTGTTCAAAATCTTTTAACCATTGAAACATCACGTATGAATTAACTTCTCCAGGACTTCCATCACCATTTTGTAACATTGAACTATAACTTCCACAATTTAAATCATAATCTGAGTTGTTTTTCCTTATTAATTCTATAATAACAGAAACACAATTATTTATCCCATGTTTGTTAGTTTGAATATTTCCATTTTGGTCTTTCATTTTCACCAACATTATATCATGAATCATTGTATTTACAACTTGTGGGGAAACTAATTCTCTTGTTAATTGGTTTGGACCTATATTTGTTTCCATAACTACAGCTAATGCAGCATTTGATGAAATTGTAACTAGTGCTTTTAAAAAATCTGTAGCTGAGCTTTGTTTGAAGTACTGTTGATGATCTGGTATATATGGAGTATTATCAAATTGCATTGGTTGTGGCTTTAAAATGTTTATCAATTTTTGAATAACATTTTGCAGACCAATTGTATCTAGTATTCCAGTAGGTGAATCTGGTTTATCAGTTTGTATCACCCTGAAAAAAAAATCCATTATTGCTGGCACTTCAATTTTGGCTAAAAATGTATCAACTAAATCCAATTGCCGTCTTATATAATTTAATAGTTCAATGCTATTTGATTCTAATAATTGATCTAGAATATGTACAAGGTATGAAACACTTGGATAATTTTCTTGTAAATGAGACATTTTCAAAATCAGCCATAGTCTATTCATTATATTTGGAGTTTCTATTATTCTATTCAGCATTATCCACATATCAATCGATAATATATCTGCCGCTGCTTGAACTGATCTTCTAAATGCATCATCTGAACTTTCTACTTCTTCTTTTGTATCTTCCATTTCATCATTTTCTTCTATATCTGTTTTAGGTTTATCTTCTAGTATTGTCTTATGTAAAGCTTCTTCTTCTTTCAAACCTTGTTCATAAAAGAAATCTACACTTTCCTCCAATATTTCAATGAATCCCCCTAGTATATGTGGCTGTATTAGAAGTTCTATTAGTTTTACACCTCTTGTATCTTTATTGGGGTTGGTGTTGTTATTGTTATCATTATTTGAAGAATTCAAAGAAATTGAATCTGAATTTGAATTTGGTGTAGTTTCGGTTTGGTTTGATTGTGGAAACAGAAAACTTCCATTTTTATTGAAATTTCCCTTTATATTATGCAATTCATTTATTAATTCTTGAACTAAAGTTGGATCTTTTACAATATCCTGTACTGTAATTGATGATAAATCTTGTCTTGAATCCAAGAATTTCAGTAAAACATTATTATTATTTAATGAATTATTAAATGGCCAAAATGACATGTTAATAATAATGATGATGAGAAAAGTAGTTGATAAGTTTGACTTAATCTTTTATTCTAATTCAATTGAAATTTAAAGACCAGTACCCCTTCTCTCAACTAAATTTCTTTAATTGAATTTAGAATGATTAAAATTATCTAGGTTACAAAATTGGTTGAATATTAGTAAAAAATGATCTCTACTTAAAAAATAAAATAGTTACTATGTTAATTTATATATCTTTTAATAAGCTTTTTATTAATTGAAGATAATTATTTACAAACAATAGTCTTGATTAGGCTCTTATCGATAGTTCAACGACGAAGTTACGAAGCTAATCAACAGACTGAGTAACGCAAATTTATATGTTCCTTCGAACTTAATTTAATTGAATTTTTCAATTATGTACTAGAATATTCAATGATAAATTTCAAGCGGCTCAATAAAAAATAATCACAATGAAACTTCTGAAGTATTATTTAAATTGCTATAACAAGTTTGGGTACATTCATTTTAATTAATCTTCAATAATCAATATGTCGATGATTGCAACTAGCATTGATTACAAATTTGTTCTTAGAAATATATCTACTATCGTTAACACTCACTGTTTCGCAAAAAATTGTTATTATCAACTTTAATTTAAAAAGCCACCTAAAATTTATATACCAATGATAGTTATATTAAACTATAAACTTTACCTTAGACATCATCCATCATTTCAACTGCTTTAATAGCTCTATCATATTCTTCTAAAATATGTTTGTTTAATTCTTCCACTGATTGACTGACAATATCTCTACAATTAATAGCACAATGTTCAATCCATTGTTTAATTGTCATTTGTTCTTCATCTTCTGGCATTTCAGATATAAATCCAGTCAAATCTCCGTTGACATCATCACTCAATTCATAATTTAAAGTTGATAATTGTTTTAATTCTTTTGAACTGTTTTTTAGATCTTCAACTTGTTGCAAAAAATTATCCATTGACCTTGGTTCCCATTTTGATTGTGAATTGGTAACTTCTTCTTCAATTTCAATATTTTGAGATTTATTTTCAGAGTTTTGTAATTTATCCTTATTGATTGCTGGTTCTTGATTTGATGATTCTGTAGAAGTTGGAGTTTCAGTTTGACATGTAGAAGATGTTGTGAATTGTGGATGTTGCAATATTGCATTTTCGCTATTTATCTCAAGTTTGATGGACGAAGTTGTAGATGTCTTTTTGGTTAGTTCAATACCCAATTTGTAGTTGTTCTCCTTATCTGAGTTGTCTGGATCAGTAACGCTTGACTTAGGATTTTTAGTATGTTTATTAGTTTCATCTAAATTTAATCTGTTATTTGTATCGGCTGAGCCATTTTCACTACCCGATTTTTTTGCAGTTGTTGATTCTGAAATATCATGAACTCTATTTTCATTTTTGTTGCTTGACTCTGATGGTAGATCTTCTTTCTCCATATTACTTTTTTCGGCAGAAATTGGGTTTGAAATACTCAAAAGTTCACTTCCTACTGAAATGTTTCCAGTAACATCATTAGATGTTTCGGAATCAACGTCGTTTATAGCAATCTCATCCTCTAAATTTTCCTCATTGAGCAATAGTTCTTCTTTTTCATCACTTAAATCGACCCCTTTTGCTTCAATTTTGGTGGAATTTGCAACTATTGATGTATTATTTCCAACTTCAATTTGTTCATTAGTCATTTGTTTATCTAGGTCATTTTCTCCCTTTATCTCCAAAACATCATCAAACGCCTCAGCTTCAAAACTAGTCTTGGTTATTTCAGGTAATTGAGTTAAGTTGACACTTGTTTCTGTATTTCCTTTATGCTTAGGAGTTGAAGTTGTTAAGTTGTCATCTAAGAAGTCTTGTACCATTTCTGATTGATGCAGTCTTTCTTGAGAAGTTTCCGGATTCAAACTTTGATGTTCGGAGCTTGGTTCATCTCTCCTCCCATTTCTTTCAGTCGTTAAAGATGCATCAGGCACAGCAATAACATCTTCTAATATACCACTTGTTTCATTCAATTTATCAACTTCAAAGTGTTTTGAAGGTTCATCAAATGGATCGAAATCATTAGTACTTGATTGAACAAATAGATTTGTACTTACTGCTTCTAAGTGACTATTGTTTAATACATTAAATGGGCTTTTTGGTTTCTTAATTTCAACGGTATCAAATTTACGTTCTTCAAGTACACCAATAGTCTTATTCTCACTTATATTCTTGTTTAAATCAACTTTCTGTTTAGCCGCAAATGCAGCAGTTCTAGGTCTAATTGGTGATATATTATCTAATGAAAAATCCACTGACAGATCAAATAAACTTGGTTTTACACCTTCAGCTCTCTTTGTAGTTACTTTAGTTGGTGACATACGAATAGGTGAATTTCTAATTTCTGATGATAAATCATTACTATCTTCATCAACCGGTAATATTGGAGTTGTTGACTTAATAACTTTTTTCTCTAATTTTGCAACATGATTTTCTCCATAATCATTATCTGTTGAAGTATCTTCAAAAATTGGGATTGGAGTATTACGTTTGATTATCACCTTGGATTTAGCTGGAGATGAACTTAAAATACTCATTTTTTTAGGTAATCTGGGAGTAGTACTAGGGACTTTCTTTGATTCTATTTGCTTTGTAATCTTTTCAATACTGTTAACTTGATTTGAGTCCTGAGTAGGCTCGTACTCATCGGATGTGCTAATAGATTCAAAGTCTAATTCTGACTCTACTTCATCTTCACTATTCACGTTCAAATCTAAAGCACCCTCAATTGAATTCTTGGAGTCTGAAACATCTTCACTCAACACTTCTTTAGGTTGAGAATCACATTTTAAAACATCATCTAAATCTTTGGAAGCCAAATCATCATCTTCCTTCGGTTTTGAGGAGACATCTTGGATGGTGGATTTGTATTGATCAATATTAGCACCAACCTCACTCTCTTTGTCTGTTGGTCTAATTTTAAAATCTGACAGTTTTGAAACTTGTATGAATTCCTGTAGTAAATCGTCATCTGGTAATTTATTCCAATAATCTAAATTTTCATCTTTTTTACCATATGGTTCGGTCTTCCTTTTCTTTGTGCTCTTGTTAAGGTGATTTTGGTCAAGTTGTAAATCATTATTAAAATCTGGTGGTTTACGCTTTCTTGACCTTGCTATTTTCAGATCTTTTTGTTTCTCTTTTGTTGTTGATATATTGGGCTCTTTTGTTGATGATGCTGTTGGTATATGTTCATTTGAATCACTAAGTAACGAAATATCACCGCATGACGCGTCACTAATTTCTTCAATTCTATCATTTTGCTTTTCATTTTGTTTTTTAATCATGTCCAATATGTAACAATAATTATTTGCATTTTTTGTATGTTCTTCAGTTGGATCATCATCTTTTTCCCAGTAATCTAATGCACATTTGCAAAACATACACAATACTCTGTCATCTCCAAATTGTCTTGGTTGATAAATAAATCCCGCTTTAGCTAATGAATCGGAATTTGGTTTGGACTCTACCTTGTTCAAAGGAAAATCATTGAAAAATTGTCTTCTAAAAGCTATTGAATCATCATCTAGTGGGTTTTTAAACCTTGAGTTTTCCCAAAACGATTGTTTTTCATTTTCAGGTAGGTCTTTACTTGAATCCAAAAGATCAAGAATCATTGACATTGGACAATTAGAATTTCTTTTTAAATGTTCCGTCACAATTCTATCATATTTAAAATCCTTTTGAATAATAATTGATTTGTTACAATAAGTACATGTAATTCTATTTTTTCTTCTTTTGGTTGGTGTAAAATAAAATCCTGCTTCAACTAAATCAAATGACGGCGTGAATTCAATGATATCATTCCAATTAAAAGTTTTACCCTCCGCTTTTACAGGTTGGTCGAATGTTTTCTGACGTTCGTTTCTATAATTCATATGATCATTATTTATTGAATTTTTAAATCAAAACTTGTTTATAATTCTAATGTTTTGATAATTAAAAATTTCGAATCACAAAATCAGCTTTATTTCGGATCTACATTAATTGCAAAAAGGCAAAGAGAACTACATCTACTTGTGTCTTCTATAATTCATCAACTTTTATACATTTATTATCTCTTTAATTCTAAAAACTATGTCCAACTAGTAATTGAATTGTTTTCAAAGCTTCATATTTCAATTCATTGTTACCATGGTTATTCTCCAAAAATGACATAATCAAAAATTTATATTGTCCACCCTTTTCGGTGTTGATAAAATGAATTAAATCTTGTCCAATGTTTTTTATCAAATATTGTAAATCATTTAATAATATTATACAAACAGTTGCGTCATTTTGATGAGTACTTAAAATTTCAAATATCTTTTTGATTAATTTATAATTTGAATCTTTGAATTTACCTGAATTTTCTAACCAAAATTCATTTGATTTATGTGTTGGAGAAGCCCAGCTTATTAATTTTGGATTATCTAAACTTGTAAGATATTCATCAAATGATGTTAATTTTGTTTTGACAGTTTCATTCAAAATATCTGATAAATATGCAAGATCATTGCATAATTCTTCATCACTTCCATTTTGAGCAAATTTTCTTTCTTTTAAAGTATTCAATGTAGTTAAGGCATCATGAAATAATAATAATTTAACAACATTAAATTGTTCATTTGATGAAACACAAACACTAACAAAATTTTTCAATATTGCTACTGATATTCTTACAATTTTCAACTTTATTGAATCTTTTGCAATAGTTAATAAACTACCCGATAATTGTGGGAAATTGTGAATGATTGATTTATTTATTTCAGCATTGAATGATAATATCCATGTGGCTAATAAAACATTGTATGATAATTGCAATCCAGTTGCATTTGGGTGAGCAGCCAGCTTTGTTATTAATGAATTTATTGGTTTGAAATTGGAAACTAAGTTGTTTTGTTGATATATTGTTTTATACTTTTTAGTAGTAACTAGTTCTTGTAGTAACTGAACTCCAATAAATTGATAGTTTGAATCACTGTTCTCTATTAATTGTGATATGGAGTTAAACATCGTAATTATAACTTCTTTATCTGGTGAACCTTTTGATAAAATTGTTAAATTGTATAATGATAATGATGATACTAAAGCATCTTTGTTCAAATGTTTTAAAAATGGATCAAATGGTAAACCTTTATCAATTGTGGATAATTTTAAAAGTGCTTCTATAAATTCTGGAACTTTTAATAATAATTCATTAATTAAAGTTAATACATTTTTAACAACATCATCTTTCTCAACTTTACTTAAAATGGTAAGTAAACATTTTGAATATAATTCTAATTGTGATTTGACTGTATCATTTCTATTTTCTTCAGATTGTTTTTCTAAAATTTTAATATGATTGGCATCATCTTCTGATACCACACCGGATCTTGCAAGTCCTTCCCATGGAATAATTCTTTCACTAATAATTCTTTTTGAGTCACTCAAAAATGAACTATCGATGGTAAACTCTGGCATTTATTCTTGGTAAGTTTGACGCAATTGAGTGATAGTTGAACTTATTGCTATTGAAATTTCAATTGTCGATAACAAGAATTTAATTTTTGTTCATGGAATATTTGGATAGATTACACGACTTGTAATTTTGGTTGCAAAATTAACAATTCTTCATAATTCGTTATCGTATTAACCAATTCCATTGACCAGGAGCATCAAATATAAACTTTCAGAGAGCAAAAATGTATAGCTCACTTACATGCTAACCATGAAAATTTACTTCATGGCTACTAGAGTTTGTTGAAAAAGACTTTTATTTACTACACAAAAAATCTTCCTAACCTGATCTATTTCAGGCTTGTAATGGATCTACATCTCTATCAATCTCTTTGATTAACAAATAAACTCTTCAAATGTAGATACTTTTACCCGCCATCGATGAAACTGAAAAATAATCAAAGATAAGTTGACTTTCCAGACGATGGCACTATAATTTGGAACGTCGTCGCACCAACTTATGGTGTTGAAGCAAGGTTGAGAAATGGAGCCCTTTCGTATCAATTAAACAAACTTTAGAGCATTATGTTACAGCCAAACTTTTTATTTAACATGAAAAAGCCATATTCGTATAGTGGTTAGTACAAGTCGTTGTGGCCGACTAGACCTTGGTTCGATTCCAGGATATGGCAAATATCCTATTTTCATATCATTTATTTTTTTTGCAACTTTTTTTGAATCCTTTATACCTCTGCGTTGGGTTTCATATATCTTCAAATCCTCTTATCTATGACAAAAAAACTTTAAGAGAAATAGCTACACAAACTATGCTAGTCAAGTACACAGAATACAAAACATTTTACATTAAAATAGTCTATCGAGTTGTTCGAGCATTTTTTATTTTTTACGAAAAGGTGTATGTTCCTCCTATAATTATCTAGTTTTTCCTAGTATAGAAATCAGAACAATGTCCAACTTAAACGACAACGTATTAGAATCTGAATGGTCGTTCAATCAAGAACGATTATCATATCTAAAAACATGTGAAAAACAACTAAATCAAACCTAGAAGACAATGTAAAGTATTTTTGATTATTCTAAGTTGGGAAATCTCTAATAGTTTGATTCAGCACATGAATTCGAGACCCGTGAAAAACTCCCAAGACTTTTGAGCATTCCAATTTCAAAATCTCGGATAATCACCCAGCTAATATGTTGTCGTTGTAAATTCATCAATTTCGTTGCAAATTTTATGATGAAACAATAAAACAATAAAATTTATAATAGTGAATAGATCCAATGAAATTATATTATATAATGACCCGGTAATTTCATCTAAAGTGTAGATATTTTGTATAGTATTTAATCAATTGTTTTGCAAATAATAATTTAACATAATAATTAAGTAAGTCTAGTTTTATAGTTATCTCACACAACAGCCAATTCTCCCTCAAATGTTTATTGGAGAGTGAAAGCTTTAATAAATGGCCCTCGTCAATCAGGTTTTTCATGGCATCAGTATTTCATAGAGATTTTTGAGGAAATGAATTATTCAAAAATAGGAAACAATGTATCTTGAAATGTTATTTATTAAAACACATAACGTACATCAACTTAATTAAAAACAATAGATAGAAAAACTAGTAGAGAAATACAATATAGATGACTTTGGAAATGATATACTAGCATTTAAAAATCAAGTGGGAATGAATAGAAACAAAGAAGAATATATGAAGACACAGAAAATTCATTAGAAAATCGGATGAAGAAGGTAAAAGTGACATAAATTATAATGTATTAAAATTAACGATAAATGTTCAAATCCAACCAAATACGATATGAGCAAATGCTATTATTGTTTAAGATACCTAAAGAAAAAAAAAAGACATTTCTTTAATATATGAAGTAACAAATGAATAATTTAATATCGATTCAAATAGAAAACATATCAAAGTATTCACTGATGCAAGTTTCGCCCCAAATCCTGACAGAAAATCCATAACCGGTTGACAATCTATATCATAAGACATCTTTCAACCAATAATCATCAACTCTGAATCCTTACGTAAAATCAAATCTTAAAATTCATTGGAAGAAAATTACTTCGATCCAAAAAAAAAGGCAAAGATTGATTCAACGAAATAATTAAATCAAAAAACTTCCAAGTCTTTTGAACAGATTGTTCAAAGCCTCAGATTATTCTCCAACTTGATGAACTAGCTGTTTTATGGTTAATTCTAAACTACCAAATTTCAAATGAATATAAATTAAAAGACAAATTGAGATTTCTTCAATATGCATCAATTGATATTGATATATACTTGAAAAAAAAAACCTCGCCTTTTATTCATGAGCTAAAACAATTTCCAAACTTAACAAATAGCTTATAATTTCAACTTGACCATAATTTTTGAAGCAATTTTATAAAAATTCTTGAAAATAAACTAGTTTTCAAGTAAGCATTTGCATTAGATTCATTTCTCTAAATATAGTAACCCAACCTCTAGCGGAAGCTATGGAAATGTATGGCACGTCACAAATCTGTATGGCATGTGGGTGATAATTGGTACCGTTTGAATAAAACTAATAGTGAAGTTTTTTTTTTTCGAATTTGTTTTTTTTTGTTCCTTATGATTTTTAATTCTGTGATTTGACAAAACTTTCCTTAATATTACTCTACTGTATCGTCTTTTTCTAAACCAAATGCTACATTTCTTTTTAAAGAGCCAATGATTTTCAGAGTTGGAAGAAAAATAAAATTGGACAGAATCTACATGCTTCATACGAGTTAAATATACATCATACAAAATTTACATTAAGTGACTATATACATGAAACTGCAATAATGTAGTCTCAAACTCCGAAATTTCACAACATAATCATCCACAATAAGAGTCATGCATCAGAAATGAAATGAATGTTTTTAAGTAAATTTAATATTCTTATTGCAACAATAAAGAAGTCATGCAATTCCTATTCAATCTGCAATACACAACCCGTTCTGGGGTCCTAACGCGATCTTCATATAATTAATTCATCATTTGTAGATCAATCAAATCAATCTTTGATCTTAACAAGGTTGATTCAATTCAAAAATCTCTTGAAAAACTCTCAAGATTTTGAGAAGTACCTGAATCTCAAAATCTCAAATTATTTCTCTTGACTGGATAGATTTTTCCGTTAACAAAATTCAAATTTTACCCAAGGTTAATATATATAGGTGAAGACATGATAATTCATTTAGGTTAAAAAAACGGTTATATTGGAACAAGACCAAAACCTTACACCGATGAAAAATTAAGCTTATAAAAACACGTATAATGAACATAAACCAAAAGTCGAATTGAGAATTCTTCAATATAAATCAAATATATCTTGATATATACTTAAAATGATAAACCTCACTTTTGAATTATTACTTGAAACAATTGCCAAAACTTAACAAATTTTTTATAAATTCAACTTTGACCAATCTTGAAATAAAGTCTCCAAATTTGAATATAAATTAATCATCAGCTAGCAATTGAATCAGGTTCATGAGCATGTAGCAAAGAATGAAATCGAAGTTTTTTATGCTGAAAACACAGTAGTCTATGAAATGTGATAAAGATGTAATGTGTAACTAAAGTTTCTTTTTTAATTTCATTTTTTTTGTCTTTCCCCAATTTTTCCTTTCGTGTTTTTTTTTTAAAAAATAGATGTTTCACAAATGTTTTATAATTTTGGATTATGAAATTAATTAGATTCAGATCCAAAAAAAACTTGATCAGCACATTATCTCTTTGAAGGTAGGATATTGTTCCAGAAAAATAGTTACTCTATTTGAAATTCAAGAAGAATTTTCAAATTTGTAAGTTTATTTATTATTTTATTGATTGTTTTGATGCAAATTCAACTTTAGAATTAAAAAAACCATTTATCATTCAATTAATGGTGTAGAAATAGAGGAACGAACAAGAGAAAATTGTTTGATTGGGTTTAAAGTATGAATATTGCTACATCAATGTTCAATTCGTATATCTCACGACAAAATTCAAAATCACAGGAAAACTTTATAATTTATCAAAATTTTTGCAACCAATTTAAAAACGCGTAATAAATTTCTAAATTTAGTAACTATATAAAGACATAAAAAAGAAAATCAATAACTCTTGCAATTAATAAAGAAAATGAATAACTCAACTCCTATTCAAAATATTTTGAATGACTTCGTTTTGATGAGTTATTTTTCTAGATTTTAATTGTTGTTGTGATTGAGGGAATTTGTTTGAGAAAAATTTATATAGTTTGCTTTTAACTATTGGTTGTAAAAAAATTCGCTCATGGCTTTATAACTATTGTTTCAGTTTTTAACTTATAATGCAATCAACAAAGAAAAACTTACAAAATTTGGGCTTTCAAACTATTGTTTGAGCATTTAACTTAATCAACAAAGAAGTACTTACAAAAATCAGTGTTTGAAGTCTAGTTCTCTAATGATTAATTTTATAAATAATATATTACTTGTTAATTAATTTTTATTTTATACACTAATTAAATATAATTTTCTAAAAATTCCCTTCCCTTCAATCTTATTTATTCATCTGAAGTTTCTCTTGCAAATTCTTTAGCCATATCAGCATCTGGAATTGAACCACAAATAGTTTCAACCATAATACCAGTAACTAAATATGGATCAATATTTGAAGCTGGTCTTCTATCTTCAAAATAACCATAACCTTCTTTTGCAACTTGTCTTGGAATTCTAACTGAAGCACCTCTATTAGCAACACCTGATGAAAAAGCATCACCAGAAGCAGTTTCATGTCTACCAGTTAATCTTTGTTCATTATCAGCTCCATATAATAACATATGTTCTTTATGTCTTTTAGCTAATTTACTTAAAGCAACTTCAATAACTTTCATACCACCAGATTTTCTCATATCTTTAGTAGAAACATTAGTATGACAACCAGCACCATTCCAATCACCTTTCAAAGGTTTTGGATGGAAAGAAACTTTAACAGCAAATTCTTCAGCAGTTCTTTCTAATAAATATCTTGCAATCCATAATTCATCACCCATATTTATACCTTCACATGGACCAACTTGAAATTCCCATTGTGATGGCATAACTTCAGCATTAATACCTGAAATATTTATACCAGCATATAAACAAGCTCTATAATGAGCTTCAATAACATCTCTTGCAACAACTTTACCAGTACCAACACCACAATAATAAGGACCTTGAGGAGCTGGAAAACCACCTTTTGGCCAACCATATGGGTAATCGAATTGGTCAAAAAGAGTGTACTCTTGCTCTAACCCAAACCAGACTTCTTCATCAGCATGAGCCTTCATTAATTTAGCACATTCATGTCTATGATTAAATTTATTTGGAGTACCATCATTATTCCAACATTCATTTAAAACAATAATATTATCACCTTTTCTAAATGGATCTGGATAAAAAGCAACAGGTCTCAAATAAACATCTGAATCATGACCTGGAGCTTGCATAGTAGATGAACCATCATAATTCCATTCTGGTAAATCATCAACTGATGAAGGTTTTTTATTTAAAGTTTTACATTTTGATCTTGTTCTACCTTCAGCATCAATCCAAACATATTCAGCTAAAATTTTTCCTTTTTGAGGTAAATCAAGATATTTTGATAAAATAGCAGTATGTTCTGTTAATGGTACACTCATTGTTATTATTATATGATTATTTAGTAGTAGTTTTTATTTATAATATGATTATTTAAAATGAAACGTAAATATATGAAATTTTTTTTAATATTAATTTAATAAAAAATATAAATAAATAGAAGAAATGAAAATATTTAAATTGGATCCTTTTTGTTGATAATAATAAAAAGTTGTTGAAAAACAAATATCAATCAGATATTAATAAAATTAAACTCTCGATGAAATAATAAATAAAAGATAAGAATTGGACTTTATATTTATATAAAATTGATAATTAAAATAATTAATAAATTCTATTTGTATAAAAAAAGAAATGCGAAGCGTTTAATAAAAATAAAAAAAAAATAAAAAAAAAAATGGTTGAGTGGAAAAACTTAAATTAGTAATACTGCATATAATTAACATAGATAAATCTTTTAATCGTCCAATTAAATTATTTTGATTAAAGATTTTTGATTTTTTATTTGTTTTATTAATTCTAATTTACTACAATCAATAAGTTAAATTTAACATTTTACAACTTTAATTTTATATCTTGTGATTTGACTTTGATTTTCAGTTTTCATAAACTTTTAATGTTTAGATGAATTTCTCCATTTTTGTTTATTACTTATAGTTTCTTTTTCATCTATAAGCCAAGCTAGTATAAATTGTTGTAACCAATTAATAAATAAATGTAATAGCAAATGCGAAATTTTTTTTTAATGACTCAATACATATACTAAATCAAAATTTTTGCAACCTCTCTTTTAATTAATAAATTTAATAATAAGTCAATTTTTTTTTTGGACAAAAAACGCTCATTCATAAAACTGAAAAAAAAAAAACAGAAATTTAATTACACAAAATGGAGATAGAATTATGACAAACCAGGCGATTTTTTCAACAAACTTAATTTATTTTTCATTGATCTAGAGCTTGGATTATTCTGAAACATATAAATGAATATTATCGTGGGGAAAAGTTGATTTAACTAAAATGTAAATAGCAAACTTTGAATATTAGTTTCATTTGATGAATTCTTTAAGAATATGTTTTGTTGCAAAATGAATACTGCAATTAAATATCCGTTTAGAAATTATTTTACAATCGTGTGAGATTTTAAGACTTTTTTTTTTGATTCAATATTAATTTTCTTGTTAATATTAATTCCTATTTATTCCTATTTTGATATTGATTATTTAATATATATATATATAATCAATTCCATTAACTTTATAGTACAAGATCTTTATATATATATGAATCTCAGGAGGAGTAGTCCAATCACCTGAAGCATGTGGTCCACATTCAACATATTGAGAGAAATTAAGTTTTGCCCTTCAGATCTATTTCAACAAAAAAATTTAAATATTGCTTCAGCCTCCTCTAATTCTTTGCATTGTCAAATAAATAAATCTTTTGGCGGTCCCGTTTTCAACAAAAGATTTTTTCTTTTCTCATAATTCCTCGCACCCCTAAATTTTTATATTCCAGTCTTTTAACTCATCTTACATCAACAACAAAATTTATTAAAATTTCCACTTAATTATGAAATATTTCAGTCCCTTGATTATTTTTTTTCTTCTACATTATAATATGATTTAAACCTTTTTCCTGTCTTGGAGTTTTGATAGAAAACTTAATTTTTTATTTCAAATATTTTGCATTATCTTACATTTGTTAAAAGTGATTCTTCTGGATATTTTTTGCTCGGGAAATAACAGAACCGGGATTGGATATGGAACTTGAATAAGCGATTAATTTTACTAAAATTTCGAAAGATTTAATTTTAACAAATATATTTAGTTTTTTTTATTAATTTACGATAGTAAAAAAGAACTAATCTTTTTATTGTATTGTTTATGAAATCGTATTAATAGATAAGATATATTTTAATATGATCCTTATTATTTGATCCTTAAAATATTATACTTATTATATATAATAGACCAAATATGATAGATAAGAAATTAAACAATAAAAGTAAAAGTAAAATTATACGTATATTTAATAAATTATACTAAACTTCGTATTTTTAATCCTCTTTTAAAACAATAGATATCTAGAAGAGAAAGATCCCCTAAATAAATTAATTTAATATGTTTCAAATTTTTACACATTACAATAATACATGCCAAATAAAGTGAATTAATTATCAAGTTTGTAAGGTCACTCCTTTAATTCTAGTTATATTTGATTTATTTTCTGATCATATGATCAATTAAAAGTTATCTGATTAAAGTTTATGTGATAATACATTTTTTTTTGCAACCAAAATTTTGTGATAGAAAATAAATTTAATTTACAACCAAATGTTTTTCAATACTTTATATGTTTATCAAATGTCCATTTAGCTTGCTAAATATAAAAAAATAAACTAAATTTAAGAAGAAGAAAAGTTAATTATGTGAATTACTCAATTAATTTTTATGGCTTTCTATAACCAAACCCAATATTTTTATATGTTTTGTTTCAACAAATTCAAGCGTATTTTTTTTTGCAACCTAATTTCATATTCTATAATGGAAAATTAATTTACTACCATTTATACTAATTTGTTGATAATGTATGAATTGATTGTAAGGTATTCAATTACCAGACTTAAGTCTGTTTCGTAGTCTTTGAACAGTAGTCAATTTGAGGGTTTTTTCACAATAAATCAGTCACAGATGTATGCATTGAGTTGCATATAGTTCAAATTTAGAAGAAAAAGTTAACTTTGGTTGTAAATTTCATTGAACAAGAATATATAAGAAGCACAGTGTAGTCAAGGAATTATTTAAAATGAAAGTAAGTGGATCAATTGGGATTTTATTTTGCATCATAAATTTATTCATATTCGCCACTAGTTTAGATGTAAAACATAGTTATAGACATAAACCTACAAAATCAGATCAATACATATATATAATTGATTTTATAAAAGATAAAAATCATAAAATTAATTCAATAGATTTATCAAAAGTTAATGATGATTTAATTGAAGATCATTTAGGAATTATAGGATTTATAGATCAAGGACAATTTTATAATCCTCAAGAATTATTGAATTTAAGAAATAAATATTTTGATCAAATTGGAAATGAATTAAAAGAAAAATTTACGAGTCTTGAAACATTAGAATTTATAACTGATTTAGCTCAAATTTTTGCACCTTATGTTTTTTTCAATAAATAAGATTTTAGGTAAAAGTAATGTTAAAGCTTATAGAAAATTAAAAAATTCTTATTATAAATATAATGAGAAATATGCACCTAAATTAGCTGATCATTTTAACAAATTGAATGTTAATGATTATGGATCTAAATTTATTGATTCTTTTAAAAATTTAGATTATGGTGGATATGGTTCAAAATTTGTAGACACCATCAAAAAATCTGGTATTGATGAAAAATTAGATACTAATTTCCATGATTATAAACAAAAATTTGTAGATACTTATGATAAATTAGGTACAAATGTAAATGAATATAAATCAAATTTAATGGCTTACCTCAATTTATCATTATCAAGGATTATTTAAACTTGAAATTGATGATATTACTTGGTACATCTATCTTATAACTTTAAATGATTAAGGACAATATATATCACCTACTAAAATGATGACAAAATATAAATTAGAAATTACACAAGAGATTAAATCAAATGAATTTCGTGATTTGGAATTTTTTGTAAATAATTGTTCTAAAGTTATACAATTCAATGATGATAATGGAGGTTTAGAAGCAATAATCAAGATTCAAAAAGCTGACTATCCACACATTGAATGGGATATGATTTGATAACTAAATAGTTTTGAGTAGAGTCTAATATAAGTATACAGAAAACAAGTATTGGGGAAAATTAACATGTATTAATTAAGGGGGTACTAAAACAACTATATAATATTATAACTGACTAATTTCAAAATATTGTATTAATTTGCTTCTGTTTCTACTACTATTTCTTCAATATCTTCATCACCTATTTCATCTTCTTCCAAATCATCTAATTTTGGTTTTGTTATTGACTCTGATTCTTGGTTATCGGGTACTGGTTTTGATTCTTCTACTGATTCTTCTATTTCTTCTACTACTTCTTCTTCTTTTTCTGGCTCTTCTTCCACTGGGTCTTCTTCCACGGAGTCTTCTTCCACGGAGTTTTCTTCCACTGATTTATTTTCTACTGCTTCTTTTACTGGTTTCTCCTCAGCTACTGATTTTTCTTCTGCAGTAGGCGCTTCTTCCACCACTTCTTTTACTTGTTTCTCTTTTTCTTCAAGTTCTTTTTTAACTTTTTCCAAATTGTAAACTAATTCTTCTCTCATTTGGAAAGCAACATTAGCCTTAGCTCTAACCAATCTTAAATAATCAGCATTATCTCTAATCAAAAAATTTAAATGGAATTCAATATTATTCAAATAATCATTCCAATCTCTTAACCCAATGACTAAATCTCTTATACCTTCTTGTTTATTATTTGATTTGTAAGTATTTGCATTATTTAATAAATCATCACGAAATTGGAAAAATTTTTCCTTTATTGTATGGAATTTTTTCCATATTTTCCATGTAGTTGATTCATCTACTGATTCACTTGATGCTATGAGATTAGTTAATGATGATGAAAATTCGTTAATTGATGAATCTGCAAATGATTCTAAAATGTCTATTGTTGATTGTATGGAGTTGAAATAATTTATTAATACTTGTTCATGTTCATTTCCTAATAAATCTTGAATTTTTGTCGAGTAGTTTGATGCAGTATCATAGCTTTCTGCTATATCATCTCTTATTTCTTGTCTTGTTATTGTTTCTATACTTGTATCATTTGAAATTTTAATTTTTTCGAAATCTTTATTAATTTTAGAAATTTTTTGATTTAAATTTTTATATTGTAAATGATTTTCCTTTTGTAAAGTTTGTAAAAACTCACTAATTTTAGGTTTCAATTCCTCGATTGTATTGTTTACAATTGGTTCAATTTCTTGTTTTAAATTAAATTTAGCTAACTCTATAGTCTTGTCTATTTTTTTTTCCCAATGTAAAATTTCATCATTTATTGCTGATAATTCAGGATTTACATTATTTGTAGCAATAGCTCCATTTTCATAAACTGAAATAGTTTGAGTAATAACAATAGTTTCTTCTTCTTGTGAATCACTTTGATCTTCATCAGTAATATCTTCCCAATCTTCTTCTTTATCTTGATAATTTTTACCCAATACTTCTTTTACAACATTAATTAAATTAGATTTAAATTCTCTTGGATGAAATTCATCAAATTTTATCAAATTTTTGAATTCCTTTTGTAAAAATAAACTACGTTGTTGTAAATTTGTTGCATGTGATGAATTTAATAATTGTAAAACTATTGGATTTGATGAGATTAATAATTGAATTTTGGAAAATTGTTGATTAATCGGTATTAAAAAATATGATGATATCAAATTATGAATTAAATTTAAGTAAACATGAAGTTTGTAAGTTAATTGATTTATGAACTTGGTGATATGTGGCTCAACATGTAACTGAAACCAATTTATTCCATCTTGTAAATAATCTAAAAATTTTTCATACCCAGCTTGAAATCCATATTTTGCGTCAAATTCACTTAATTTTGTATATTTATCACAAATCTTAAAATCATCATCAAGTTTAATTAATGTTGGTTTTAAATGTGATTCAACTATTGGTTCAACATAAGGTTTAATATATGAATTTGAGACTTGACAAAAATGACAATTTATCGGTGATAATTTATTCAATTTTGGTGAACTAATTGATCCTATTGGATAACATATAAAAGTAAACACATATGAAAAATAAGCAAACACTAGAAGAATTAACCATGATGATGACTTCCAAGTAGTAAACATCTCTGTAAATTAACTAGCTTTTGGTGATTTGATGATTACACTAGCAAATGTATGTGATGGTGAAAATGATGCTTGAATAGCTAATGATTATTGAATAGTGAAGATATTGAAATGAGATGGAATTTTTATATAAGATTCAAGTTTAATGATTTGTTTACTATTTTAAAATTAAGTTTTTTTTATTTTTTATTTTTTTTACGTGATTCATATAAAACACAAATTAAGTAACACGTGCGGCTGACATTATTTCAGTTGTAATTTACTGTAAACGTATTTAATCTGAAACATCACCAATTAATGAATGGGTATTGTTGTATCTCAATAAGCCGGCGCCTTTAGATAAAAAGTGTGGGGTTTAGTTGTTTACATGAACTACGAAAAATTGACTCTAGATTAAAGTATCTAATTACATGCTGTCTATACAACGTCCAAGAACTCTTTATATAAATTATTTCTTAAATGCGAAAGGAGATTGATCAGTAAAAATATCAACTGTCAGTATTGGTTTGAGAAATGCAAATTGTTTCCATTTGATGCTTAGCACAATCCAACCTAAAATTATTATAATCGAAGTTAAGTAACAACTCCAAAATGAGTCCCATGTGAAATCCCAAATGTTTATTATTCCATTGCTTATGATTATAATTATTATACTTACAATTGATATATGTGACATTTTGATCATATCAAGTTTTGTTGATTTAAATGCCAAATTTTCATATTGTAGTTTGTTATACTTCAAAACTTCCCTAAATCTGATGTAACTTATCAGAATAAATAACCACATCAACAATCCAGAAGTAGCTGACAAGTTAATCAACACTTTGAAAATTAAATCGAATGATTTGTGAGAAGATAATAATGAAGGAATTAAACCCAAAATTGAAGTTAACAATACTGCATAATATGGTATTCCATATTTATTAGTTTTACCAAACGTTTCCCAAAACATATTTTTTTCAACCATTGATATTAAACATCTTGATCCGAAATAAATATTTGAATTTGCAGCTGAAATTATTGACATTAAAATTATGAAATTAAAAATCGATAGTATTACTGAACTCATATTCAATCCACAATTAATCAAACCAATTAAAAATGGAGATGCAAAGATATTTCGACTGTCACCTGTTAACTTTGAATCGTCACTCGGAACCATTATCGTCAATAAAAATAACGTCAAAATGTAGAATATGACTAATCTTGATATAACATATTTTACTGTTGTAGGTAATGTTTTGTGTATATTTTGTATCTCTCCTGAACATAATGCAATTGATTCAATTGATTGGAAGGTAAAACAAGAAGCAACTAATGATGATAAAATATTTAATATCTTATTCTCAGTTGGATTTTTAACAACTTGTATTGTATCCATACCCCAAATTAAATTTCGATTCCAATTTTTAAAACCAACTTTGTTAGTCAAAATTAACCAAATACTCAAGAAGATCCAACTAATGATAAAACAAACCTTAAATAAAGTAATAAAGAACTCAATCTCTCCATAATAATTGACAGGAAATAAATTGAATACAGTTAAACAAACCCAAAATATTAAAATTACAACTAGCTGGTTACTGAATAACCCAGATAAATTCCAAAACTTTAAAATCTCAAATATCAAATTCAACTCCAAACTTAAAGTAATTGACCAACTTATCCAATAAATTAAGTTATTCAAAAACCCAATAATGTCAGATATATACAAGTATTGAAATTGACACAATGATCCATTTAGAGGCAGAAAACATGACATTTCACCCACACTCTGAATTATGATATAACTTAAAAAACTTAAATAAATAAATGAAATTAAACTTATTATTGGTCCATGAATTAATGTTAAGTTTATTCCAAAAAAAAACCCAGTACCTATTATTCCACCAATTGATAGCATTGTTATATGTCTTTGATTGAGTAGTCTTTTTGTAGCTGCATGTTTGTGTTGAGGTTCATGAATTTGTGGTAATGATGAAGTGTTGTTAGCTGTTTGAAATTCAATATCTTGATCTTGAATGCCCTGTTCCGTCGACGATTGCAGTATTTGACTGCCGTAACAGCTCTCACTAGCACCATCTAGCAATAATGATGACGTTTCTTTAAAGTTCATATCATTGTAGTCAGCTTTGAGTGCATGAAACTAGATATATGTCCTAGTTTTGGAACTTGGTTGTCAAAAAAATACTCCTCGGATTTAACTCGTAATTTTCAATAAATATTGTATGCACGTCAATATGTTTAATCAATATAATTTGAAACTTTCTTATCTATACTGAATATAGAGCAAATCTAAAGAGAAACTACAACAGTTGATATAATATAAAAATTGTATATTAATTTGATCGAAATCAAACTTAGTAAACTAAACTACATACCACTAAAAGAATATTTAAAACAAAATTGAACCAAATAACCACTTTGTATTATATAAATTGGGAATTATATATTAAACATGAATAAATTCTGAATAATTGTATACGTTTTGTTATATTTCAAGAATAATCAATTGATGTTTAATCTTGTTTTAATTTTCCATAAACGAATTGTTCAGCTTGTAAATAATAATGATTTAATTCATCATAAATTCTAGTTTCTGCAACATCAGTAAATTCATATAATTGATGTAACAAAGGATAAACATGCTGTTTTAAATGAGATTTAGTAGCTTCAACTTTTGCACATAATTCCCATTGTTTTACAATTGGTTGTGATCTAATATTATTATCTAAAAATTGATTTAATTGAATATAATAAGGATCAACTTTATCTAATCCACCATGTAATAATTCACATAATGTTGAATGTTGAGTACTTAATGGATGTAATACTTTATTTTCAACTTTTTCTAATGGAGATAATGTTGGACATTTATAATTATATAAATAAGTTGTATAAAATACAATGAATGAAAATAAGAAAGTTTTTAAATTTAAAAAAACCATTGTGTTGAGGAAATTGTGGGTATTATAATGAGTAGATTAATTGTATTAAATTGAGATAATCGACTTGATTAATTCTTTTCAACTTTATAATTTAATTGATAAAAAAGAAAAGTAGAAATAAATGGAAAATAAATTTTAAAAAAAGGATTTGTTCAATAATATGTAAATAATAAATAAATAAATAAATAAAAAATAATGATAAATTTTTTTTTCCACTGTCTTTCTCTCTCTCTTTTCTAAGATGAAATTTCACACAATTATATAATTATTTATTATTTAATATTTAGTTAAGTAAATAGTCCGAAACTTTAATATTCATTTAGTGAGTGGGTAGAGCTACATTGTCGAAGAAATTCAATTTTTAAAAGAAGATATCTAGATATAGATTGAACCATCTCTTATTTAATTTATGAATGACCTTAGACTTTGGAATGGTTTAATCTTTAGTATCACATGACTTCTGTGCTACTACCAATTGCTTTTGACTTTATTTTGTATCGTTTTTGGTTTATATACAGTATTTACATAATTCAAAAACGGTTGCAAAATCAAAATTAAATTGCCAATGTTTTGAATTTATCTTAATTTGGAATTAATTGAGGTCTTCATGGTAGATTTTTTGATTTTACTATCCTAACTTTAGTTTTAATTAGTTTGAGTAACTTTTTACTCAATATCAGTCTAAAGCATTGAAATACACAAGGTCATCATACCAAGTTTTCTAAATTCAATCTATTAAAACATATTTCACAATAATTCACAATATACAATTAAATTTGAGGGTTCTAAATTTACAATGTCATTATTACAAAAACCTGCTCCATTGAATTCACCAATTGCACCAAGATCTCAAAAGTCAATAAATAACCTAAATCAATATTGCAATGATATAGACTTCAAAAGTATACTAAAACCAACCTCACCTAGCAAAACTAATATCACAAGTCCTCTCAGAAGTGTCAAAATTAATATAGATTCAAATTCGTCAATTCCGAGACCTCCCAATATTAGGAACCCAAAATTGTCTTCATCTGCTACATTTAATATAAAATCAGACTCACCTAAATCATCCAATACATTATCATTAGAAGATCAAAAGGTTAAACTAAAAGATACCTATATACAAAAACTAAAATATATTCAAAAATTAGAACAAGAATTAAGTTTATCCAAATTTGAATTAAAAGAAATAGAATGCAACATAGAAGAAATTAATAGAAAGCAGTTACTAAATTCAACATCATCATCCATCCCGAATGATTTTTATAATCAAGCTTACATACAAACTGAAAAGGATTTAACAGATTTAAAAATAAGCAATAGCTCAAAACCCATTAATCAAGATAGTCCATTAAAGACTAAGACTTCATTCTTTATAAATTCTGCAATTGGTGAGATACAACAAATACAGAAAAAGGCATCAGTCATATTTAACAACAATCAAAGTCACGACAAGGAAAATAATAGAGATAAAGAAAACATCAATTTATCAAATTTGTTGAAAAACTCAAATCAAAAAATAGATACATTGAGCAGACAAACAAGTCAATTTTTCAATGATATTTTCAAAGACAATTCAGACAATAAAGAAGTACAACATATAAATGAGTTCGATATAAATCATTTACAAAATAATGTTCAAGTAATTTACGAGAACGTAGACATTGACGAATACGATTCATCCTTTGATGAAGAAGAACCAATCGATTTTAAATAAGTAAATAAACTTTTTAATTTCTAAATACTGTACTTTACTCTATAAATTATTGTATCATTAATTATTGTTTACATGAAATGCATAATTATTTAGTCTAATCATCTTCATTTAACCAACCTCTAGCTCTTTCAATAGCTCTTTCCCATCTTTTCCAATTTTTTCTTCTTGTATCATCTGGTAATTCAGCTACAAAAGTATTTGAATCATCATCATTCTTACCAGTGATTTTATCAACAACATCATTTAAATCTTTCCAAATTCTTTCATTTTCATCTTTAAATGATAATCCAGCTGCAATAGCTGCTCCTAATGCTGTACATTCTGATATTTGTGCTCTCTTTACAGTCACACATGGTCCTAATATATCAGCTTGAATTTGTAATACTTCATCTGCTTTGGACATACCTCCATCTGTTGCTAAATGTGATAATGGTTTTTTTTCATGTTGTGTAGTTAATGCTTCTTCTAAGAAATCTTCAGATCCTCCTGCATCACTTGCCATTGCTTTTAAGATAGCTCTTACTTGGAAACAAACACCCTCCAATGCTGCTCTTGCTATATGTGACGCTGAAGTATATTGTGTCATACCAAATATAGTACCTCTTGCTCCTCCATCCCAATATGGTGCATATAATCCCGAGAAAGCCGGTATGAAAACAACACCACCTGAATTTTCAACTTGTGATGCTAAAGGTCCTATATCTTTTGCATTTGAAATCATTCTCAAATTATCTCTTAACCATTGTATAATTGATCCTGCTACCGCGATAGACCCTTCTAATGCATAATAAGGTTTACCTGCTTCACCTTCCAATGAAGGAAACCAATAACCAAAAGTAGTTAATGCTCCATGTTTACTTATTAATTTTCTCGTTCCTGTATTATACAAAAGGAAACAACCAGTACCATAAGTACATTTTGCGGACCCTGGATTAAAAGCTAATTGACCAACTAATGAAGCACTTTGATCACCTAAACATCCACAAATAGGTACACCAGTTATTGTTTTCAATATATCATAAGCTTCTTGAGTTATTTTGTTGTGGAACCCTAAATTTGATAAATTTGGAGCAGCAAATGAACCATAAAATTCTGATGATGATACAATTTTAGGTAATTTTATTTTTGTAGGATCAATACCCCAAAAATCCAATAAATCATCATCATAATCTTGAGTTTCTAAATCCATAAAATAAGTTCTTGAAGCGTTTGTTATATCTGATACGAAATTTTTTTCTTTTGTTAAATGATAAATTAACCAAGTATCGACGGTACCAAACATCAAATTCCCATCTCCTTTTTCATATTCCTCTCTTATTACATCATCATTATCCAATAACCATCTCAATTTTGCAGCTGAAAAATATGTTGATAATGGTAACCCTGTTTTCTCTTTTAATTCAGCTTTTCTATCTTCATCAATCATTTTTTCCAAATGTTGAACAATTTCTGAAGTTCTTGTATCTGTCCAAGTTATACCTCCACTTAAAGGTTTTCCAGTTTTTCTTGACCACACGATAGTGGTTTCTCTCATATTTGCTATCCCTATACATTTTACTTTATATTTAACTTTCAAATTTGGATTTTGATTTATTTTTCTTAATGTTATTAAACATGCAACTAAACATTGTACTGCATTTGCCAAGATATGTACAGGCATACATTCTACCCAACCAGGTTGTGGAAATCTTAAAGTGGGTCCTACTGATGATTTATTATTTTCAATTTCAACATTATCTTCAATCGAAATTGCAATACCTTCAGCTGAAAATATAGGTTCATTATGTCTTAATAATGAAGATCTTCTTCTAAATTGATCAGTATTTTGGGAATTTTCTGGTGCTTCTGATGCTGTTGTAGAATATTCTATTTGATGTTTTGCAATTTCTTGTCCTTCGTCTGAAAATAATATAGCTCTTGCTGATGTTGTACCAATATCTATTGTAGCAATTAATGGTATTGATGGGAAATTACTATTACGACGTGGCATTATTTATGATGTGAAAATCAATCTCGAATTGATTTAAATAGAATTTTTTTAAAAGATTGGATATATAGTAATATAAAGACTAATAATATTAAAGTATAGTATAATTAATAGTAATTGGTTGTAAGATTGAAAAATTAATTTAATGAAGTTTTAAAAATTTGTGTAAAAAAAATCAAAACAAATTTAATTAAAAAACGTCAAAAAATATTAAATAATAATTCTACCGAAAAATGTGATGACGTATGTCAAAGTTATAACATACAAATATTTAAGATTTTGTATCAATGAAGAATGTTGCAAAAGTCAGTAACAAGATCTAACCATCATGTACTATTAAGTTACATCAAGTCCGTTATTAGACATTAATTTAATAGCAATTAAAACGTCTTTTTAGACAGAGAGATTTGTTTGAACAATTATTCGGTTAAATTATATTAGAATTTATTAAATAGCAATGTATTTTGTGTAACAATGTAATAATTTTTCAGATCTTAATAATTTCAAAAATGTTTGCTACTATGTTTCAGAATTTACTTTATATTAGGGCTATGTAGATCGAGTAAATAGGAGACGTTTTTTCTCTAAGGATTTACTCATTGGTCTTTTAATGGTACCTTAAAATTACAAATCGCTAATTTGAATTAAACTTCAGGGCCATTTTTTTTCCTCAGTATTACTTTATGAAATAATAAATCTTATTTTTCTGGGGTAAAATGGTGGAGTTGAAAAGTATGGTCAAAAAAATATACAAACCATTAAGAAACTTACAATAAACTACATGACTAATTATTCTTATTAAATTTTTATTACTTTAATTCGTGACTAAACGTATTAGTTATTATGTAAAAGAAATCATTCGGATAAATTATCGTCATCTGGATTATCAGTTGAGTAAACTATATTGAAAGGATCATTTTCATCAATTAAGTTTATACCTCCATCAATTTCGTTTTCTAATTCTGCATAATCATCTAACCATGTACAATTAACATTTTCAACTTTATCTTTATTTAAATCCACCCATTCGCTCATTTTTGTTGGATCTTCCATATTAGTTTCACTTAAAATTTGAAAAATTATTGTGAAATATTCGATTAATGAATGCAAACCTTTTAAATAACCTTCATCAGCAGAGTTTGGATGATACGGAGGTATGCTTGATTTTTCTTTTTCTTCTTCTGATACAACAGATTGAGCAAAATCTATAATCTTAACTTTAACTTGATTTTCCACGTTCCCACTTTCATACATTAACAATATCAGCGATCCATACATTCTATAACCTGGTAAATGACTAAAAATTTCGAATAATGATTTCAATTTTATTATCAAATCGGGGATTTTATTTAATATTGAAAAAATTACTTTACCATCATACAAGAATTTTGCTAATATTTTACAAAATTGTAAACCAATTTTTATTCTCCTACCAAAATATTTATCTTTTATAATCCTTTGTTTATTGTATTTAAAAATTTGTAGGCCACAAACTCTTACACCTAATTTTCTTGATGTTGTTAACAAACATTTGCGTCGTTGAGATTTTTGCTTTTTTGGGTTAGCTTCAATACCGTATTGTCTAGTACCCATTTTTAAATCTAATACACATGGCCTCTTCATATTACTTGTTAAGTCTTCTAATAATATGAATCTTTCAAATCTTGTATGTTTGCGAAGTAAAACATCTGGTGATGATAATAAGGAACTTGATGCTATATTTGATTGTGATTGATGATGATGATGCTGGTGGTTGCTGTCTTCTGGATTGTTATTGCCCTGATTTTCATCTAGTGGAAGATTTGATGGTGTTGTTTTTAATGCTCTATCCTCATCCATTTCGAAAAATTCATCATGTATTCTCATTGGTTGAAAGACTTCTTGTAAAACTTGTACTTGTAATTCAGTATTAACTAATGTAGAGCCAGGATTTGGTCTTTGGATTGGAGAATTTGTTAAACTAGGAACAGGACTATGATTTTCTAAATTAGTGTATTTTGGTGATGGTAATGAACTTGAATATTGTTTCCACAAGGTATCAGGTATAATATGTTTATTATCGTCTAATACAACTTCTGGTGGCATATTTTCTGATTGTCTTCTAATGTTTTGTACATTTTTTTGATTAAGTTTTGTTTGTGATAATGATGACAACTGATCTTCTTCATTGACTTCCATATCTTGTTCTTCATTGAAATTTTTTTCTTCAACTTCATTTATTATACTTGAATACCTTACATTTAAAACACCAATATATCTGGGCATAAATTTTAAAAGTTCAGGGTGATGAATTTCTATAGTTTCATAAAAAATATTTTCTCTATTAACTAAAGCTTTACAAACAGCTTGCTTGGAGAAAGAAAAAATAGCAGTATGTCCACCAACTTTATTTTTAAAAGGCCGCAATTCTACAGCTAAAGGAAATTCTGAAGTTCCTTCACCTTCCTCTGATCTTGATTTTTCTACTTCATTCAATCCTGGTTGACTATCATCAGCAGTAAGTAAATTATCTTCTTCTTTTCTCTCTATAGTTTCCGTGCCTGGTATTATAATATTCTCCACTTCATGATTTTTTGGTTCTAAAAAATCTAAGACTGGTGTTGACGATCTTGAAAATCGTTTTATCTTCTCAAATTCAATTGTTTCTTTAGCATCATCCTTATTATGTAAATTTTTTATATCATTATCCTTGACTTCATTAATGTGATTATTAGTATATACAGATGAGATTTTAGTTATATCTCCATTAATTCCATGATCAAACTCCAAGTTTGCAGTGAGATGCTGAGGCCTTGGTAATAATGTTGGAGTAATTGGTTCCTCGAATTCTTTTGCAATAATAAGTTTCTCTAAATTATCTTGGTTGTTATGTATATGATGAATATTGTGATGTTCTAAAGTTGCTGGAGTATGAGGAATATATGTTGCCGAAGAAACTGGTTCTAGATCAATACCTTCTGTAATGATTTTTTCTTTTACAGGACTTATAATTGATAATTTATTTTGATCAGTTGCTTCATCTTCATCCTGTTGATCATCCTCAATCCCTCGAAATATTCTTAACGATCTTGCAGCTTTTCGACCACTTAGTTGATTGGAAGAGACTGGTAGATCTGAGCTAGTAGTTGATGAACGTTGAGTTGATGAGGTTGATGGAACTATGTTATTGTTATCAGTGGTATTCTTTATTTCATTATCATTATCGTTAGTTGATTTACTAACTTCGGTAATTGAAGGTGTAGAATTTTGTTCGAAGTTTTGCTCATGTGTGTTAAAATTATTGGATAGTTTATCTTGTTGATGTTTTGTGGTTGTAAAGTTATCATTAGTTTGATTATGCCGGCATTGTAAATTCATTTGTTGTTGTTGTAAAGTATAATCTTTTGTAGTAAAGTCTAAATTTGATTCTAGTTGATTATTATTAATAGTTAATGAAGGTGATGAAGGTCTACTCATATTATTAATATTTGATGTAGTTGTTGATGAGTTATTGACCTCCATAATTTTGACCTAGTCATATGTTATTAATTTAATTATGACTTGAAAGAAATGATTGTAAAAGTAAAAAAATTTAAACACAAAAATTTTTGATTATTAATGTTGGTAATGAATCTGTAATCGTTATATATTGTTGAAATATATTTATGAAATAGTTGGATATGATTGATTTAAAAATGATAAATAATAATATTTATTAAAAAAAAAAGGAAAGTAAATGATAATAAAAAAAGAAATGAGAATATTTTTTTTTTTCTTTCGGATATATTAAATCTCATTAATTTTAAGTTTTTGTATCATTTAAGTCAAAATATATAATTCTCTAAATAAAATATTCATAAAGTTACTTGTTTAATAATACGTAAATATAAAAGATTAAGATGAGACATTGATATGAGAAGTACGTAAGATATAGCACATGTTCAAATAAGATGATATTTCCAAAATTAGTAGATTCAAAAAAAATTGGCTGAATAATATTCTGTCGCTATAGTAGATATTTTATATATGATTTGACCAGTAGAATTCTAACACAAATACCGTTTAAATCAGACTCCCAATAGATTGTAGCATCAATTTCACAGTTTTATGTACCAGACTTATATTAAGCTGAGTAGCTTAGAGGTTTAACCATAATTGTTGCAACGAGTGAGAGTAAATAACGTTCTATGAGTTTTTCTATACACAACCCCTCAATTTTAGAACGTGCTTTAATTATACTAAAAATAAACAAGTTGCAAGTATTTATTTACTTTTAACTAAATATCTACTGTTTGTTTTCAGCCTTCAGTTCGCTAAACTGCAAGTTCAAACTGAAGTCCGAAACAATTTTTCAACACGAGTTTGCAGTTCATTCGTACAGGATAAAAGAAATAATTGCTCTATATTCTATATTTACCCATGTGGGTTTTTTAAAGAATATTTTTTAATGTAAGGTACAATCTTTTTTGTTTACATCTAAATTAAAACAATAATAGCTAAGTTTAATTTGTAAATATATTTAAAGCAAACAAAAGAAACAAAACACCACGATCATGAAACAATTTTGAAAAACGTGGAGTAAATTTGTTAAAATAGTAGCTAGTACTTAGAAAGGATGAATATACTAAATTTAGAACAACCTCTATTTTACAGAATATTTTAAAGTGTTCTTGAACAGACTCTATTTTATTTAAGAAACAAAATGAAATTAACAATAATTAACTTGTTGCCTAACATGGCCTAGAAATTTAAGTCGAATTCTTTTTTGTTTTGGTTCTGGCCCCCTAAATTTACTTTAAAACAAATTTTTGTTGATTAAGTTAACACAAGCGAATAATCTCATCAAACAATTTCTATTCTCTCATTTGTAAGATATATAATCTCATCAACACTGAAAAGTATTAACACTTTCTTCCAATATTTCTAGTAATTATGCTAAACTCTTTGCTGTCAACTTTTGCTGGAAATCAGTTAATAAATCCTCGTCTACAATGCATGACTTCACTTTATATATAATATGGCTATAAACTTACTTAACTCCATCACTCTTAAAGGCTTGCAAAAGCTGATAAATATTTGAAAAATGCATTACATTAGCATTAAGCCAACTGTGTAGTTGTTAAAATCTTCAGTTTGCACGTTTCCCAATTTATCCTCAACGATACAACCATGAGCCAAGCAAGAGGTTACAATTTCATTTCCAAATATATAATTTTATATGGTTCAAAGTAAAGCTGGCAAAAATTTGGCTATATTAGTGAAAAGTTCTCAAACTTTTAAATTATTCAAAACATCAATTTGTAACACAAACCTAACAAATTTAGTTAAATACAAGATCTTTCTTTGTACACAAAAAAGAAGCAGAATCTAAGTTTTAGATTATGATTTTGACTAAAACCAGGGCCCCTATTAAACCTATAACAAAATTGTTTAGTAAAAAATGAATAAAGAAATTACCAAAATCTTTAAAATATGATTGATATATGAAAAAATAAAGAGTTCATCAGAAAGATATCGTTAATACTAAGAAAACTCTACGACTAATTATTATTTGTTGAAAACTATTGTAATTTTGATTTATACAAAGATTTCACTTTGAGATGTGTCTGATCATTTTCACGAATTCTCAAATATCGCAATTCTGCTTCCAAATATGACGTTAATTACAACAGATTCATGTTCAAAATGTTACAAGCACTAGACTGACGATCGATTCAAGTAATATTAAAATGAAAATTATTTTAATTATTAATCTTCCAATCTTTGTATTAAAAAATGTATTATTGAACCCCATAGAGATAATGCAACTTTTTTCAAGCTATCTAGAAATTCCGTTTTAGAGAATATAGAGATAATTCAAGATAGGTTTAATAACAAATTTGATTATGATATCAAAAAGTAAACTAGAGGTTATAATTAATTTCACGCAAATACCATAAGGAAATTCAGAAAGTTGTAGACTTATTTGTAGGTTCTATAGAGGCTTCATTTCATGAACATTCCATGGCATAGCATTATCGAAGTTATTGGGGAATGCAATCAAATTTGAAGTTTGCATGTAAATGAAAATATCCTGAATTTATGAGATTAAATGGTAAAAAACATAGTTTCGTTAGTTCAATATTTGAGAATTCAGAATCTATCTCAACATTATGGTTTGCTAAAGATTGAAGATAAATGACTTATATGTAATGTTAGAAGCCACAAGAAGTAGACACCTTGTTTTTCAAATGCAAGTTCATATTTTGCATAAAATAATTTTTAAATTTAAAGGAAAAAATTCTGATGTTTTAGTCAGTTTTTTTACTTACAACCGAATAAATGAAACAACAGCAAATCTTTAGATTTTCATTTCTCAAAGAATGTCTCAAACTCGAGATTGTATATTTCAAATTTAAAAACTATTGTGAGCTTATCTTCGATTCTAGTAAAAAAACAAAAGCGCAATTCTCCTAAATAATTTAGGGGGCTTAGTTTTTTGTGCAATGAATTTCAAATTAGCTGTCAATTTAAGATAAGATATTAAAGTATCTGAGTGAATAAGGTGAATGACAGCAATTTATTGAAATTCATACTGCCTCAGTTTGGGCTCTTTTGGGCAGATGGAATCAAAATAGAGGCTGGAAGTATATATTTCGAGTTGCAACATAGTATATGTGTTTTATTGAACTAATTTAAGATTATACAGAAGATTGTAAAACAATAGAGCGGCATCAATTTTCTACTATAAATACAAACATGATTTCTACTTAAGCGTTTTTTCGAAGCCCTTTTCACTCGTTAATCAGGGAATATAGCTTAATAAATTCAATCTTTTTACTATTTCAATCTGTAACTCATAAGTAATCAAATTATTAAAAAAAAAATAATGGATGTCACATTAATTGCAACAGGTTCTATAATTGGTGTTATGGGAATTGTTTTTGTTGCGAACGGATTTGGTGAGGAAAAATCTAAACCAAAAAAGAAAGACCTCGAGAATCAAGATGATAATTCTGTAAATGATACAGCTTTAGATAATTTAAAAGTTGGAGAGTCAAAATCTAAAGATCAGTATAATGAGAATGAAGAAGAGGAGCATTTATTGGATTTAAACTCAGCAGAAGCTCAACCTCAACCTCAATCTCCACAATCTAAATCTGCTTATGAGGACATTCCATCAGACTATAGAGTTAAGAACAAACAACAGCTTGCTGCTGGAATTGCAATGGTTTCAACTGGTACATTCCTATTAGGTAGAGGTTTACCATAAGCTCTCAATCCAATAAATTAAAGATGTAGACGTTACAACAGTAATTACCCTTTTTATTGATTTTTATATATGTCAATATATGCTTAATATTTTGTATTTGCAAATTGTTCTTGATTTTTTCTGAATATGATCTCCAGGTATATGTGAAAAGTGGCAAAAAACGTCTGCTTCAAATAAATTTTTAGCTTGATACTTACTTCAAATTACGCTCCGAATTGCTGCAAAAAAAACTACAGCTTATAAAAGAATTAATTTTGAACATGATTTTGAATAACTTTGAAACAAGTTAGTTTGATAAAATTTTATCATAGAACAAATTCACTTTGAAAAGAATATAATCTTAGGTTTCTTTTCAAATTTTTTGATGGGAGGTTCAAGTAATAATATATGGTATTAAGTAATGTGATTCAAAACCTTAATGCTACCAAACGAGATGTGATTTTACGCGAAATTCGACTACTATAGTAAAATATGAAACCTGAATATTTCAATATCTCAACGTCATCAACTACAACTGTTAATACTATTCATACACACACAATAAGTTCTTCATTCACTTAAATAATTAAACATGTCGATACAATTTCTATTTCTTATATCAAGACAAGGCAAAACAAGATTATCGAAATGGTATCAAACCTTACCTCAAAAACAAAAATCCAAAATCATAAGAGAATTATCAACAATAATATTATCAAGAAGATCCAAAATGTGTAATGTATTAGAGTATAGAGATTTGAAAATTATATATAGAAGATATGCATCTTTGTTTTTCATAATTGGAATAAATAATCAAGATAATGAATTAATAGGATTAGAAATTATTCATAGATTTGTTGAACAAATGGATAAGATATATGGTAATGTTTGTGAGTTAGATATAATATTTGGATTTGATAAGGCTTATCATGTTTTAGATGAATTATTGTTAGATGGGTATATTCAAGAAAGTTCAAAGAAAGAAGTTTTAAAAAGGGTCAATCAGCAGGATGAATTGGAAAATATGGATGAATTTGAAAAAATATTGATATAAGTCAAAGCTAAATATATAGAGGTGAGTATACAAATTGAATGACGATACTAAATTTGAAATAAGTCTTTGTACTCTTCTTCATTTCGAATAAATGAATAACGATGATTGGGAGAAGAAAATATAAATTAATAATTTCAGAGTACTTCATTAAATGAACATTCTCCGCACACGTAGTCAACACGTCGTTTGTTCTCTGGATATAATCAAATAGCACGTCAGAGTAAGAAAAGTCCTGTGCGATTTTAAATCTGAGCTAATGCAAAATTTATTCTATAAACTTCATCCTTAAGTATTTCACTGGTGGTGGTTTACTCAAATGAATCAAAATCTAACAAGTCTACTTAATTCAAAGTCTTGGTGGAATCCTTTTCAAACTTAAGCTTCTGGCACTAATCTTTCCCAAATAGAACGGTTCAGATTTATTTTATATTAATGACCACCAGAACTATTGGCACAAGATTTTGAAAAATTTTAAAAATAGCCACCCACTTCTTAAATGTTTGAAACGTGACTAAATTTCTCGTATAATTTGATAGTGTTGTCTAAAAGTTAATTTAAATTTGAGAGGTTGAAATTACCTCGGTGACAAACATTAATTCATAAACTCATTAATTATTAGACACTTAAATTCCATTGGATTGTAATGAAGATTATTTAAAAAAATGGAGAAAACTAAAATATTTGTAATCGAGTAAATTTTGTTGAAATAATAGTTTTAAATTCTATAATTCGTTCCGTATATAACAACTTCTTACGTTTATTTTGCAACAAAATAGGAGTTTTAAATTTCTCCGCAAAAGTATTTATACTTCATTGAAGTATGTAATCTTTCAATGAAAATAGTCCCACTTAAAAAACTTATCTTAATACGTCATCATTCAACTAGATGACACAAGAAGATACAATAAAACTTTATTGGTTACCATACACAAGAGCTCAAAGAATAGTTTGGTTATTAGAAGAATTAGATTTAAATTATGAATTAATTAAACACAAAAGGGTTCGTAATGTAAAAGCTCCAAAAGAATTAAAGATGTACATCCATTAGGTAAAGCTCCACTTTTAGAAATTATGAAACCAAATGGTGAAAAAATTACATTAGCTGAATCTGGTTGGATTGTTCAATATTTGATTGAAAACTATGATAAAAATAACAAATTTAAACCTGAAACTTTGCAAGATGCTAATCAAATTGGTTACTTTTTACATTATTCAGAAGGTACCATACAACCGATGCTTGTTGGATTATTAGTTAATCATTTTGCTGTAACTACTGCCCCGTCCCAATCAAAAGAATTGGTTAAACAGATGATTGGACAAATAAACAGAGGGTATTATGGAACAGAATTACTTAAAAATCTAAAATATTTGAACAATATTGTAATTGAACAAAAAAATAGAGGTTCAGATTTTATAGTTGGAAATAAATTATCAGCTGCTGATATAATGCTATCATTTCCAATACTTGGAGCTTTTACAAGAGATCAAATGTCTGATAATTACACAAATTTGAAAAATGATTATCCTGACTTATATAAGTATTTTCTTAATTTAACAAAACTTGACGGTTGGAAAAAAGCAGCAGGAAAGGTTAAAGATATGGAAAAAGTAATCATTGATGGTAAATTATAAAAATTATAAAATGATCAATTGTCGATAAATTTGGAAGGTTTTATAATTACCCAACTAAAATTTTAAATGATTTAGATTCTGTTTATTGCTAATATGTATTAAAAAAAATGCACTATTTAATAAACATCTCTATTCATTGAGCAGAAAAAATGGGAAATGCAAACCCTTTCGATTTCGACTCGCCCATTCATGGAAATCGTTAAAATGTCAGCTAGAAATAAGGTTATGTTTCAAACTCATTTGGTAGAGCAAAATTTGTAATATCGAAATATATTTTAATTTTGTGTCAAAGATTTATTTTCAAAATATCAGATTCTCATCTCTAACACAAATTAACTATACTTTCAAATCTCATAATCTAAAACATTGTAACATCAACACAACTACATAATGATTAGAAAACAAGCAAGAGAAAGAAGAGAATACTTATACAGAAAAGCATTACAGCTTCAAGAAGCATCCCTAACAGAGAAAAGACAACAATTAAAACAAGCATTAGCATCAGGTAAACCATTACAAAAAGAAATAGCAGAAGATGATAAATTACAAAAAGATTTTATATATGATCAAAGTATACAAGATCAAATAGAAATAGATGATGAATATAGTGCTCTTTCGGGTATAAATGATCCCAAAATTTTAATAACAACTTCAAGAGATCCAAGTATTAAATTACTACAATTTTCAAAGGAATTAAATTTAATGTTTCCAAATAGTTTAAAATTAAATCGTGGTAATTATATTATAAACGATCTTGTGAAAACTTGCGCAAGAGTATCCATATCTGATTTAATAATATTACATGAACATAGAGGTATACCTACATCAATAACGGTAAGTCATTTCCCTCATGGACCAACTGCAATATTCACATTACATAACGTTAAATTAAGACATGATTTACCAAATTTGGGAAATATAAGCGAATCATATCCACATTTGATATTTGAAAATTTTAATTCACAATTAGGTAAAAGAGTAGTCAAAATATTACAACATTTATTCCCACCAGGTGTTAAAAAGGATAATTCAAGAGTTATAACTTTTATAAATAATAATGATTTTATAAGTGTTAGACATCACGTATATGTGAAAACAAAAGATGGTGTAGAAATAAGTGAAATTGGTCCTAGATTTGAAATGAAACTTTATGAAATAAAATTAGGTTTGCCTGATAATAAAGATGCTGATGTTGAATGGCAAGTTAGAAGGTTTATACGTACTGCAAATAGAAAGAATTATTTATAGGTAATGAACAAAAGAATTTATTATCTTGATATAAATAATGAATGAATGCTGCTTTTAGTGTCGTTTCTATACACGACTTACTGTTGTTACTAAATACCGTGGCATATTAGAATGCGTTGAGTTTTCACTTCTTTCTGTGCTGTCTCTATTAATATTATCATTGTGATTGCGGTGGATATTGTTATTACCATTGCTATTAGTTCTATTTGAACTAAAATTGAGTCCATCATCTGAAGCAGCTCTACTTTTACGTCTTTCTCTCAAATGACCAAGATTAGTCAATACTCTACTTAAAATATTATCACCACCATCAATTGGTCCGCCAGCTGTAAATGTCGCCACTCTTCCTAAAGTTCCAGTTCTTTCTAAAGTAGTATGTCTTTGTAATGCATGTTGTTCTTGAACTCTATCATGACGTCTCATATCAGCATCAGGTAACATTATAGCTCTATCTATTGCATATGGTAATCCTCTATGCCTTCCTCTAATCATCATTGCTATTATTACTAATTTTGAAACAACATTAAATTTACCACTTAATGAAGTATTAACTCCTGGATATCCCAATGACATACCAACTGTACCATAAGCACTAATAATTTCAAATAATATAGCAAAAACAGAAAATCTAAATTCTTGTTTTTGTAATTTCTTACCTTCCGCGATACATATAATAAATAACCCTAATACAAGATACCATAAATCATAAGATAATTGATTTCTTAAATGTGCTCCAACATAATTAGATGGTGCATTTTCATCAGCTTCATCTTCTCTTTCATTTGCATAAACTCCTAAACTTTGTTCCTCATACACGTTAGTTCTCCTAACAGATATAGCAATAGGTAAAACCGAAATATACATCATAACCATATAACTTACTTGAGTAGCTGCATGTAATTGAGATAAATCCATAATTGAAAATCCAACAGTTCTTGTACAAAAAGCTTGATATAATCCATTTAGTACTCTATAACCTTTGGGGACACCATCAAATACTGCATTATTAAAATCTAATATACAAAATATAACTAAATCAAATCCATTTAAAACGATCAAAATTACAAACAACCACCATGTTGGAACCAGTGGGAAAAGTAATGTAAAACAACGTCTTGGATGATCTAATAAAAATCCTAAAGATTCTTTATATAATGATAAAGGTTTTGCAGTTTTAAATAATATCCAAATTATAAATCTTAAAAATACAGGAAATCCAGTATTACCAATAACAATTAAAAAGGAACTAATAATCTGAACAAATGCATTTTTGTTAAATGAAGACATGGAGTCGGCAGTTAAAGTCAATCCTAGATCATTAAATGACGATTGGACTGTGAAAAATGCCCACCAACCAGGTACGATTGCTAAACCATTCAACATATTTTTATAATGTGGCATACAATAAACCCAAATTGTAAACATAACCGAAGGAATTAATAGAAAACCTAAATAATAAATAACAACGATTTTTATCAATAGTTTAACTGCTCTATATTCAATTCCACCTAACTCTTCTTTTTGTTCTTCTGTTAATTTAATAAAGGTTGAGTTTCTACCAACAGTTGGAGTCCATGATAAATAATTACCACTCATGGTTCTTGATAAGCCTGCTGTAGAATGACTATCTAGATCATTACTGTGTGCACTATGGATCGAGCCTTCACCTCTTGATAAAGTGGGAGTTTTGATCTTTCTAATATCAAATTTTCTTTTCCTCCTTCGTTTTGGTATTTTTGTTTTTGCTTTGTTTTTGTCCGGTTCGTCACCAAAATTTATTTTCTGCATATTTGGTTTATTCTCGTGAAGAAAACTTGATCGAGGAGACACTGTATTTGAAGTAAATTTCTTAGTGCCAGTAGAACTTTTGTCATCATCTTCTTCCTCTTCTTCTTCTTCCTCATCGTCATCGTCATCGCCATCGGTCAAGGCATTGTCACGATCTTCATAATCTGTACCTGTTCCTGCAGCTTCGTCTTCATCATCAGCATCATCTTCAGTATGTGCATGTTCAGAATCTATAGAAATATCATCATCTTCATCTTCATCTTCATCGTCCCCCTCACTTGAATAACTTGAAAATCTTCTATTTGAAAATGATTTTTTCAATTTACTTGTCCAGGGTCTATAATGCTTTTTTACCCCATTCTCTTTATTTCCATGTAACCAATGAGGTAATCTACTAGTTTCTGGTGAAAATTGTATCAGCTGAGGATTTTTCTTTCTCGTGAAAATTTGATTGTGACTAGTTGAGTTTTCCACTTCATTTGGTGGTTTAATGACTAAAATGTCATCATCATCATTATTAGTGGTATCTTGTTGATCATCTTGTGCTGAAGATTGATGATTGACTTGGTGAGTTGATCTTCTGGTTCTTGAAGGTGAACTTATATTTACAAATTGAATGGAAGATGGTTGATGGTCAGTATTGTTGGTGTTATGTTGGTTTTTGACATTATTTTCTTCATTTTTTTGTTTTTCTTGAAGCATATTTATGGATCTTAACATATCTTCTGGATCTATTGATTTTTTTCTTCTAGGATGGGGTAGAGCCCCAAATTTAATTGCATGATCTGTAGTTTTGATATTTGGTTCTTGATGATTTTGATGATTATTGTCTTCTTCTTCATCATCAGATGGTTCAGAATAATGTTGTACAACTCCATGTCCAGCACGTTGTTGTTGTTGTTGTTGTTGATGTTGTTGTTGAGTCAGGGTTGATGACTGTGGACTTTCGATTTCCTCTTCTTTATCATAAAATCCCAAACCTTTATTTACAGCTGTATTCATTGAAGTAGAATCTTGTGGAGCATTTGATCTTTGTCTTGACATAGTTGCTGATCTTCTCATTTTAAAATCTAATTTAGATTTTTCTTTAATATTATCAAAATGTCTTTCAAAATAATATAATCTAACAAATAATAATGAACCATGAATAAAAATTGGAGTTGATAAAGTTGCAATTAAATATAATATAATTTGTTGATATAATGAAGTATCATTAACATCCACGGTATTTAAACCTGCTTGAGTTGAAGCACCACCTGAAAAAAACAAAACATCTATATATGGTATTGTTTTTACTGGATATAATAAGATTGAACCAACAAATACTAAAGTAATTATATAAAAATAATGAACTGCTCTAAAATTAGGTAATACTATTTTTGCATATGGATATATGTGAGATACTAATTTATGAATGACATTTCTTACATGCAAACCAAAATCGTAATCCAAACACAGTCGTTTCAATCTCTTATATGAATGTGTGAACTTAGACATGACTTTTCAAAAGTAATTAATATATGTTGCTATTTTTATGTTATTGATTCATTAGAAAGATGTTTAAAATAGTGAAAATAACTGATGATAAAAATTTGTTAAAGTTGGATGATACTCCAGATGTGGAATCTACTCTTCGTCGAGCTATATGTAATAAATATTATATTGAATTGATGATATGATTGAAATGATTTTAATTAGGTAACAATAATATAATTAAGTTTATAAATGATTTAAAATTAAGCCGTTTCATGTTTAAAACTAAGAAAATATTTTTTATTTTTTTCTCAACTATTATTTAATATAAAACTAAGTATTGATTCACGTGCCACAAATTTTAATTCTTTAGTAACTAAAAGTTTTAAGATTAAGCGAAATTATAAAATTTTGAAATGGAAGTAAGGTTAAAGTTAATGTGTTAATTACGCTGAACAACTTTTAGTCTATCTTGTAGAATTTAAATTTATGGAAAATAAGATTTAAGTGACTTTTTGCATAAAATCTTCGATTTTTTGCGTATTTTGTAAATTAATAGCAAAACTTGTTTATATTTTCGTTGGTTTTGCGAATTGAGTAGAAACTTACCTAGAGTCAAAAATATTCTCCATTAACTTTTTTGAGGCTGATTCAAGTTAATTACCTATTATCAAATTGTTTTCAATTTTGCAGAAATAAAATTAATCAAACTAAAAATATTTGCAACCATTACGATGCTAAATTCTTGGAATTTAGTTCAAAGACACATTAAATAATAAAGTAAAAAAAGTTGTACCTCTAATAAATGTAAGGACTAATACCCTTCGACCCAAAGTAATTTTGGGTATATGCTACAAAATTTTACATGAATCAAAGATCTTCCAGCTCTCTAGATAACTAATGAGATGAAAAAAATCTTGAGATTAATTTATAAACTTCTCTTAAAGAGTAATTTAGTTTTAAGGGGTATTTAAGAATATTGCAAAAGTTGTTTATTAAATATTTTAAATAGAGAAAATTTAATATAATAAACAAACGCCTTGTATGATAATTTGATCATATTCATACAAATTCTTTGCCTCTACTTTAACTCTTTTAATTTTAAAATTACGTATAATGTAAGAGAGTTAACGTAATTTGATAATTACACAATAACATTTTTGTTTTTTGATAAACCATCACATCTTAAAATTTATTTGTGCGCAGAATTTGGAACACATATAATTAAATATACAATTTAAAAGATCCATTATTTGAACCATAAAAATGTATCAATAAACAGTCATATTCATCTCATCGGTTCTTCTTACAGCTCAAGGTCAAATTACATTCTTCAGTTAGACATAGTGTGATCTCTAAAAAATTTCTACATTTGTAATGTAATAAATGCAAGAAAAATGACGTAAAATTAGATAATTCAATACAAAATTAAAACTTAATTATGAGAAAAGTTAATACTTCATACTTAAAATAACATGTACTAAGTATTTGTAACTCTGCTGCCATTACATACTCAAAAATACATAAAAATTAAAATAAATAAATTTTCGAAACGGTTTTTTTTTAAAGTGAAAAATTTTTTAAATTTTTTTCAGTTACACAAAATAAATAAATTTAGTAGTAGTTAAAGAATTATAAATAGTTTAAAAAATCACCATTAAATTTTGATTTAAATTTTTTTTATATTCATTATTCATTTCATTTTCATTATTTTATTTTTATTTTCCCTTCTTTCTTTTCTTTCCTCCTCTCTCTCTCTCTCTCTCTTCTCTCTTCTCTCAATAAGTCAAATAACCAACTTAATCAATCTTCAAAATTTTTGATATTTGTTCAGACTAATTTATTGGATTTCTTCATTGGTATGTGATTTTTAATAACGATTAAGCTAGAGCTAAAAATGGAAATAAGATTAGTTCGTTGTGAAATAGTTAATGCATAAGTTGTAGTTGAAACTCATCTGAATCGACTAAGAGACTTTGGTTATGTTTGAGAAGTACTCCGTAAAATATAACCGCGATGAGATGATTTTACAGTTTATTTAAAACTATGGAGAGAGTTGTACATACATACAAAAATTTAATACAGGAAAATAAAGTTTTACGTGAATAAACAAATTTTATTGCAATTAATATTTTTACAACCAAACTGATTTTCATATTTTACATTCTTTTGATTTTGATATTTGGATATTAGCTACTAGTTCCTAAGTCTTAGAAATTGTTTTTACTAACATTTCAACTTTTAAAGCTAATCTAGTTTCATAAATTTGCTACAATAGACATTTTGATATTACAATAATTTTTCATATTTTTACAACCTCCCCCATTAAAATATTGAAAAAGGTGTCATCTTAAATTTTATTATCACATTTTTAAAAGCAAATTATTAGAAGTAACTTATTAAATTTTTGTTGTAAAGATGGGTAAAGTATCTGTTCCAATTTCTCCACCAATGGAGTCCACTGGTGATAGATTGATGACTTTGGAGACTCATGATGGAATTGCTTTACAAGGTTATTCATTTGGTGCTGAAAAACCAATTGCTGGTGAAGTCGTTTTCCAAACTGGTATGGTTGGTTACCCAGAATCAATTACTGATCCATCTTATGAAGGTCAAATTCTAGTTATTACTTATCCATTAGTTGGTAATTATGGTGTACCAGATAGAGAATTAAAAGATGAAGATTATTTCCCGGCATTACCAAAATACTTTGAATCAAATAGAATTCATATTGCAGGTTTGGTTGTTGCTCATTATACTGAAAATTATTCTCATTTCTTGGCAAAGTCATCTTTAGGTCAATGGTTAAAAGAACAAGGTATCCCAGCTATTTATGGAGTTGATACAAGAGCTTTAACTAAAAGATTAAGAGAAAAAGGTTCAACTTTAGGTAGATTGGCTTTACAAAAGCTGAATGTTAAATCAGAAGATGTTTTAGCTGATAAAACAGGTGAATGGCAAAAATATTTTGAAGTTCCAGAATATGATGATCCAAATGTCAAAAATTTAGTTGCTGATGTTTCAATTAAAAAACCAGTATTATATACACCAAAAGAAAATATAAAGTTAGGTAAGGATGGAAAACCTATTAGAATTATTGCAATTGATGTTGGTATGAAATATAATCAAATCAGATGTTTTGTAAGAAGAGGTGTTGAATTATTAGTTGTCCCATGGGATTATGATTTTACTAATGAAAAATACGATGGTTTATTTATTTCCAATGGTCCAGGTGATCCAGCTGTTATGGAAAAAACAGTCAAAGTATTAGAAAAAGTGTTAAAAGAAGCTAAAACCCCAGTATTTGGTATTTGTTTAGGTCATCAATTACTAGCAAGAGCTACTGGTGCTTCAACTTTAAAATTGAAATTCGGTAATCGTGGTCATAATATTCCTTGTACTTCAACTATTTCAGGTAGATGTTATATTACTTCACAAAATCATGGTTATGCAGTTGATACAAAAACTTTAACTAATGGTTGGAAAGAATTATTTGTTAATGCAAATGATGGATCAAATGAAGGTATTTATCATGAGACTTTACCATTTTTTTCAGTTCAGTTCCATCCTGAATCTACTCCAGGTCCAAGAGATACTGAATTTTTATTCGATGTATTTATTAATGCAGTTGTTGATCACAATAAAACAGGTGTTTATAAACAAGTTGAATTCCCAGGTGGTAAATTAGAAGATAATTTAGCTGCTCATCCAAAAGAAGATGTTAAAAAAGTCTTGGTTTTAGGATCTGGTGGTTTATCAATTGGTCAAGCTGGTGAATTCGATTATTCAGGATCTCAAGCTATTAAAGCTTTAAAAGAAGAAGGTATTTATACTGTTTTAATTAATCCTAATATCGCTACTATTCAAACTTCAAAAGGTTTAGCTGATAAAGTTTACTTTTTACCAGTCAATCCAGAATTTGTTAGAAAAGTTATCAAACATGAAAGACCAGATGGTATTTATTGTACTTTTGGTGGTCAAACTGCATTAAGTGTTGGTATTGCATTAAAAGATGAATTTGAATCTTTGGGTGTTAGAGTTTTGGGTACCCCAATTGATACTGTTATTACAACTGAAGATAGAGAATTATTTGCAAGTGCAATGGCTGAAATTGGTGAAAAATGTGCAAGATCAGAAGCTTGTAGTAATGTTTCAGAAGCCATTGATGCAGCCAATGCTATTGGATATCCATTGATTGTAAGAGCTGCATTCGCATTAGGTGGTTTAGGTTCTGGGTTTGCAGATAATGAAGAAGAATTAGTTGCATTATGTAATAAAGCATTTGCTACTTCACCACAAGTTTTGGTTGAAAGATCAATGAAAGGTTGGAAAGAAGTTGAATATGAAGTTGTTAGAGATGCTTTTGATAATTGTATTACCGTTTGTAATATGGAAAATTTCGATCCTTTAGGTATTCACACTGGTGATTCTATTGTTGTTGCACCATCACAAACTTTATCTGATGAAGATTATAATATGTTAAGAACCACAGCTGTTAATGTTATTAGACATTTAGGAGTTGTTGGTGAATGTAATATTCAATATGCATTAAATCCATTTTCAAAAGAATATTGTATTATTGAAGTCAATGCAAGATTATCACGTTCTTCAGCTTTAGCCTCAAAAGCTACTGGTTATCCATTAGCTTATACTGCTGCAAAATTAGGTTTAAACATTCCATTAAATAAAGTTCAAAATAATGTTACTAAATCAACTTGTGCTTGTTTCGAACCTTCATTAGATTATGTTGTTGTTAAAATTCCAAGATGGGATTTGAAAAAGTTTACTAGAGTTTCATCATTATTATCATCATCAATGAAATCAGTTGGTGAAGTTATGTCTATTGGTAGAACATTCGAAGAAGCTATTCAAAAAGCTATTAGATCGACTGATTATCATAATTTAGGGTTTAATAAAACTGCTGCATTAATGTCAATTGATATCGATCAAGAATTACAAACACCATCTGATCAACGTTTATTTGCCGTAGCTAATGCATTATCAGATGGTTATTCAGTTGAAAAAGTTTGGAAATTAACAAACATTGATAAATGGTTCTTAAACAAATTAGATGGATTAATTAAATTTGGTGACAAGATTGCAAGTTATGGTAAAAAGGAAAATTTACCAGTATCAATTATTAGACAAGCTAAACAATTAGGGTTTGAAGATAGACAAATTGCCAAATTCGTTGATAGTAATGAAGTTGCTATTAGAAGATTAAGGAAAGATGCAGGAATTATTCCATTTGTTAAACAAATTGATACTGTTGCAGCTGAATTTCCAGCTTTCACCAATTATTTATATGTTACTTATAACGCTGATTCCTCAGATGTTTCATTTGACGATAACGGTGTTATTGTCTTAGGTTCAGGTGTTTATAGAATTGGTTCATCAGTTGAATTCGATTGGTGTGCCGTTAGAGCCATTAGAACATTACGTGAAAACAAAATTAAAACAGTTATGATCAATTATAATCCAGAAACTGTTTCAACTGATTATGATGAAGCTGATAGATTATATTTTGAAACCATTAACTTAGAAAGAGTATTGGATATTTATGATTTAGAACAATCAGCAGGTGTTATCATTTCTATGGGTGGTCAAACTTCAAATAACATCGCATTACCATTATATAGACAAAATGTTAAAATTTTAGGTACTTCACCAGAAATGATTGATTCAGCAGAAAATAGATATAAATTTTCAAGAATGTTGGATAAAATTGGTGTTGATCAACCTGCATGGAAAGAATTGACTTCAATTGATGAAGCTGAAGATTTTGCTGAAAAAGTTGGTTATCCAGTTTTGGTACGTCCATCATATGTTTTATCAGGTGCTGCTATGAATACAGTATATTCTAAAGATGATTTAGCATCATATTTAACTCAAGCTGTTGACGTTTCACCAGATTATCCAGTTGTTATTACTAAATATATTGAAAATGCTAAAGAAATTGAAATGGATGCAGTTGCTAAAGATGGTAAAATGATTATGCATGTTGTTTCAGAACATGTTGAAAATGCAGGTGTACATTCAGGTGATGCTACTTTAATCGTTCCACCACAAGATTTAGATCCAGAAACAGTCAGAAGAATTGTTGAAGCTACTGCCAAAATCGGGAAAGCTTTAGATATTACTGGTCCTTATAATATTCAATTTATTGCAAAAGATAATGATATTAAAGTTATTGAATGTAATGTTAGAGCTTCTAGATCATGTCCATTTGTTTCAAAAGTTGTTGGAGTTGATTTAGTTGAGTTAGCTACAAAAGCTATTATGGATTTACCAGTTACTCCATACCCAGGTGAAAGATTACCAGACGATTATTGTGCCGTTAAAGTACCACAATTTTCATTTTCAAGATTAGCTGGAGCAGATCCAGTTTTGGGTGTTGAAATGGCTTCAACTGGTGAAGTCGCTACTTTTGGTAGAAATAAATATGAAGCTTATTTAAAATCATTACTATCAACTGGTTTCAAATTACCAAAAAAGAATATTTTGTTTTCAATTGGTTCATATAAAGAAAAACAAGAATTATTACCAAGTATTGCTAAATTAAGTGAATTAGGTTACAAGATTTTTGCAACTGCAGGTACTGCTGATTTTATTAAAGAACATGATATCCCAGTTCACTACTTGGAAGTATTAAGTAAAGATGAAGATCAAAAATCAGAATACTCATTAACTCAACATTTAGCTAATAATTTAATTGATTTATATGTTAATTTACCATCATCAAATAGATTCCGTCGTCCAGCATCATATATGTCAAAAGGTTACGAATCTCGTCGTATGGCTGTTGATTATGCTGTTCCTTTAGTTACAAATGTTAAAAATGCTAAATTATTAGTTGAAGCTATTGCAAGAAATATCTCTTTAGAGGTTTCAAATAAAGATGCTCAAACTTCTCATGGTACTTCAATAATCCCAGGTTTAATCAATATTACATCATTTGCTACTTCATTAAATGATTTTGAAAAAACCACCAAGGAATCTTTAGCATCTGGTTTTACTTTTAATGCATTTTTACCACATACTCAAACTGGTGCTGCAGTTACTGATTATAGATCATTAGTTGATGCTATTGATCAAGCTGGTGGTGTTGCATTCACTGATTATTCAATTTCAATTGCTGCAACAGAAAACAATTCACAAAGTGTTGCTGATTCTGCTGAAAACGCTGGATCATTATTTATTCCATTTAATGATATTGATGGTTCAAAAGTTTCAGTTGTAAGTGCACAATTTGCAGCATGGCCACAAAATAAACCAATTATAACAGATGCAAAAACTACTGATTTAGCTTCAGTTTTATTATTAGCTTCATTATACAATAGATCAATTCATATTACTGGAGTTTCATCAAAAGAAGATTTAGACTTAATTCTTATGACTAAAAATAAATCATTAAATGTTACTTGTGATGTTTCTGTATTATCATTATTTGTTTCAAAAGATGAATTAAATTATCCATTCTTACCAACTAAAAAAGATCAAGAATATTTATGGCAAAACTTAAAAGATATTGATTGTTTTTCAATTGGTGTATTACCATATTTAATTGCAAGAGCTACAAATGAACCAATTGTTCCAGGTTTAGGTATTAGTGAAACCATCCCATTATTGTTATCAGCTGTTAAAAAAGGTAAATTAACAGTACAAGACATAATTGAAAAATTCCATGATAAACCTTCTAAAATTTTCAACATTCCAAAACAAGATGCACAAGTTGTTATTGATTTAGATAGATTTTCTGAAGTTAAACCAGTTTTCCCAGAATTTAAAAACTTAAAATTAAGAGGTGCTATTGAGAGAGTTTCATTCCATGGAGAAACTGTTGTATTAGATGGTTCAGTATTAGCTGATTCAGCATTAGGTAAAAATGAAGTTGCTTCAAGATCAAGATTTAATTCAGTTTCAGTACCTCAATCACCAGTTTTGGGAGGACAAAAAAGAATTTCATTTTCAGGTTTACGTCGTCCATCTTTTGCTAAAGAACAAGAAGAACCACAACCAGCAGAATTCGAAAAATTAGGTTCTGAATTAGTTTCACAACCTGTCACTGGATCATTAGGTGAAATTGCTGCATTAAGTGATTATATTAGAAAAAATAATACTTTTTTAAGAAACAACATTTTATCAGTGAAAGATATTACTAGAAGAGATTTACATTCATTATTCACAGTTGCTCAAGAAATGAGATTAGCAGTTGAAAGACAAGGTGTATTAGATATATTAAAAGGTAGAGTTTTAGCAACCATGTTTTATGAACCATCAACTAGAACTTCAGCTTCATTTGATGCAGCTATGCAAAGATTAGGTGGTAGAGTAGTTGCAATTGATTCACATTCATCATCCATTAAAAAGGGAGAAACTTTACAAGATACTATCAGAACATTATCATGTTATGCAGATGCAGTTGTTTTAAGACATCCAAAAGAAGAAAGTGCTGATATTGCTGCTAAATATTCACCAGTACCAATAATCAATGCTGGTAATGGATCAAAAGAACATCCAACTCAAGCATTATTAGATTTATTTACAATCAGAGAAGAATTAGGTACTGTTAATGGTATAACTGTTACTTTTATGGGTGATTTAAAATATGGTAGACCAGTACATTCATTATGTCATTTATTAAGACATTATCATGTAAGAGTTCAATTAGTTGCACCAAAAGAATTAGAAATTCCAAAAGAAATTAAAGACCTTTTAGTGAGAAATAATATGTTAGTTACTGAATCAGAAGTATTAACAAAAGATATATTAGCAAGATCAGATGTTTTGTATTGTACAAGAGTTCAAGAAGAAAGATTTGAAGATAAGGAACAATATCAAAGATTGAAAGATACTTATATTGTTGATAACAAGATATTGGGTGATGCTAAACAACATATGTGTGTTATGCATCCATTACCAAGAACTAATGAAATTAGAGAAGAAGTTGATTTTGATCAAAGAGCTGCTTATTTCAGACAAATGAAACATGGGTTATTCATTAGAATGGCTTTATTAGCAATGGTTATTGGTGTTGATTTTTAGAATCACAAATTTGCATTTCACATTACACATCTAAGAAACAGTATAAAAAGTTTAGTATATAAGATTGATTTTTTTTTTTTATATTTTTGTCTATAGAGTTGGAGGAATCTTGGGGGAGATTTCGAAAACAAATTTAATAAATTTAACATTTTTTATATATTACTTTATCTTTTGTAAGTTCTTACTCTTGGCCTTATTATATCCGGATCTATATCTTCTTCATTAACAAGAGAATGATAAGTACCTTTAGAGGGGTAATTTATTAATCCAGATGCTGCTACTTCAGCATAAGTTTGTTTATATCCTTCTAAATGAGCTTCTTGAACTTCTGATATGACAGCCTGTACATGTTCGCTAATTTGATGTTCTTGTGGGTTATTATGTACATCGTTATTCGATCTCTTTTGTCTCTTGTTATTATTATCTTGATTTCCTTCATTTTCTTTGCATGTTTCACATTCTCTAATAACAGACCCAACAGTTTCTTTTATCCTTGGCCAATGATAATTGTCGGCAATTTGTGTAGTTGTCTTATTAATACCCAAATGACCATTATTCCTATGTATATTTAAACAAATTCTAAATTGTTCATCAGGATCTCCAATAACTTCTTTACCTTTTAACATCAATTTCCCATTTTCTAATGAATAATGAACTGCTCCAGCTCTTAATCTTGCTTTTTCTTGTCTATCTGCAGTTTCAGGATATTTACCAGTTTCTAAATAATATTTGATTTTATCAAATCTATATGAACTTGATTCATTTATAGTTTTATCTATTAAATCTTTACCATATATGATTGAATCAATAGGCAATTCAGAATTTTTAACGTAAACTGAATTTTTAATCTTACCTATTCTTTTAAAATTCAAAGATTCCCATAATTTTCTAGCTGCTGCATTAGTTTCAAAAACCATATTTAAAATAGTATAATTATAACCTAATTTTGGAGCCCATTTCATGAAACAATCAGTTAACGTTCTACCAATACCTTTACCTCTAATACCTGCATTAACCAAGAATTCTCCAGTACATATATGTGAACATCTTTGACCAGGATGGTTTGGCTTTATATAAAAAGTACCTAAGCATTCATTTTCCCATTGTCTCATATCCTCTTCTTCATCATCATTTGTCAATGGTGAATTTCCAAGACACATTATTGCAACAAATGATTGATCGAACCAATAAGTGACAAATTCGTCTAATGTAAAAGGATCAAAAAAAGGTAATGTTTCCCCCCTTTCTATTTCCATATTGTATTCATCACATAAAAATTGTAGTAATCCAAGTGGAATAGTATCTGGTGATATTATAGGGTAGATCGTTGCAGTTGTAACACCATCTTTTAATAATATAGTGTATCTATCATTTATTGGTGATATGAATTGTTCTTGTTGAAAACTAACTTCATTTAGTCTTCGCCGTTTTTGGGTTGTAGATCTTTTTATTTGTCTTGATGGTGCTATATCATTATAAACTGACATAAAGTTATATATACATTTGAAGATGTATTGGACCTGGACTAGATGTTACGCGTTTAATTAAAAACTACACAAATTAGTTTTTATGTGAATCTTTTTTGTGATAACTAATATCGATACTAAAATTTATAACTGTTTCAATTATTGTAAGAGTTAAAATTTTACACTTGTGTATAAACAAAGGTCTATCTATAGAATCAACTTTCTACTTGAATAAATCTATATTATGTCTTATTGAGAAATTTTTTGCTTACAGTCTATCCTAAAATTTATGACTTCTCAAGAATCTATCTCAAATTCAAGTGCATTTCATATGCAAATCGTACAGTTCAGTTGGTCGAAGTTCTTGCTATTTTACTCTTAGATCTTGGGTTAATTCACTTTAACTAAATCTTTTCCAAACATGTAAGCACCAACCAATCGATCATATCCTTTCAAAACAGCTACATTTTTAATATATCCAATCCTTTCAAACCCCAAGGAATCCCAAATTTTCAAACTTGCAACATTAGTATCAAAAACCAAATTAAATACAGAATAAATATAACCTAATTGAGGTGCTATTTCTAAATATTTTGAACCTAATGCCTTTCCCAAACCTAAGCCTCTTTTCTCATGGTTTACTATAAATCCTGCATTGCATACATGTGAACATCTTCCTGTATAATTTGGTTTGACGTAAAAAGTACCTAAAAATTTATCTTTCCAATCTTGTACTGATAAATTTTGTAGTTCTGAATCATTTATTGAGTTATAATCACCTTCTATTAGGATTGATACGAAATGAACAAACCAATAGTTAACAAATTCATCATACGATTTGGGTTCATGATATGGATAAGTTTGACCTTCTTCAACAACGAAATTAAATTCATTTTGTAAAACCACTATTAAATTTTTAGGAACTAATGCAACATCTTTAATATTGAATAAAGTTACATCTTTATCTTTTAATTTAAATTTTATGAGTTGATCTTTAACTTTTGGTGAGCTTTTAAAAGTACCATCTGCAAATGGTAAGTCTTTCACTGATTCATATGCTGATTTGAAGTCCATTTTGAAGTGACTCAATTGATCTCCATGTATACTTTTAAAAATTTCATTTTAAAGCGGGTAACGATAACATTTGGCTCGAAGTATCGCGGTAAAATTTACTACCGAAATGGTAGCTATTAAACCTGGCTGAACTAAACAATTTAGATAACATAATTTGATCTTGAATTGAACGTCAGAGCAAATTTGTTCAATTCATCAACCGTGACGAGCCTCGATTGATTTACTTCATTTTCTAACTAGCTATGATAAAAAACTTGTTTTAGTAGCATAAGATTCAGACCTCCAGAATCTAATTATGATTAACTGCTGGTGATTGAATTTCACCAGAATGAAAATTTCACTAAAATCAAACTGCTTCAATGCTAATTAGACTAAGGGAATAGCTCGTCAAGTCTTAGTTGAAGTCCATACAAGTGTATTTCAACAGTCAATAAATTCTTGATTTCTTATTAGTAATCTTTAGTTGAAGATTAAAAACTGATATCTCCTGTATATAAACACCATCTGGTTTGTGTGATTTTAATTAGATTTTTTTATTTTTTTTATTTCTCTTTTTCAATTTTAAATTTGAATGAATTAAATTGAATAATACATAATAATAATAATAAATTTAATTATATTATCATTTAAAAATTAAAATAAATATACATTTACAACGAATTCATGAATTTTAATATATAACAAGTAATCATTACTATATACTACACTACTATAATCAACCTCACATCATATATTTATATATAACAATGGAAGATCTTAAAAAGAATGGAACAAATCCACCAGATAATAGTATGTTTAACATAATTTAATCGATTTTAGAAACTCAAATTTACTAACTCCAAAACCTTTTAGCTATAAGTAAAAGAGACAAGAAAAGAAGTAACATAGCGACAAGGCTAAATAAACTTGAATTAACATTTAAAAATGATCGAGATATATTTTATAGAAATAGTTTACATGAATTACAAAATAAATTAGCAAGTTTACAACAAGGATCAAATGAGGAGTATATAACTAAAAAAATTGAATTAGAAGAAATAAGAGATTATGAATTAACTAAACTTAGGTTATGGGAAGAATATCAAGTTAAAAGAATTGAATCAGAATATAAATCTGATTTGGAGAAAGCAAAAGACAATTATGATAAAATGATAAAATTAATTAAAGAAAAATTATATGATAAATTACAGAAACAGATCAAAAATTTAAAAGAGGATAAATATTTATTAAACTTGCTAAATGGAAATAGTTATAATCAAGATAATGATGATGAAAATGAGAATCATATAAAAGATGATGAAACGTTAGCAGTTGCAATGGGATTAAATTTACATGATAGAAGATCATTAAGAAAAAGAGGTGAATATTTTAGTAGATTCACAACTGGAGAAATGGATGATTTATCAGATGGAGCAAGTGGAGCAGGAAATTTATCATCAAATCAAAATAATAATGGTTCAGGTTATATATCACTGAGTAAAAGAAGAAGATTATATACAACAAGATATAGTTCAAATGATGAAGTATCAAGTAGTGCTGCAAGTGCAAAACCATGGCATAATAATAATAATAATGGAGTACCCAATTCCAACAAAAATTTACATGGGAATAATGTTGCACATGCTCATTTAAGACATAATAACGGTAATTTAACAACAAGTGGTATAAGTAGTGGATATGAATCTAATCTAAGTGATAAAGATTATGATGCATTAAATACTTTAATAATGGAAAATGAAGATTGTGGTAAATCTTTAATATATGATGGTAATGGATTAAATAATAATGATTCAAATGGTTCGGGAGGTTCAAATAATCAACATAATTATAAAGTACAAACTCGTGGTTCTCATAAACAATTTATTGGACCTCAAGGATTAAAAATTGAAGAATTAAATGAAGATCTAGAACTACTAAGGACCGCTATTAAAAAAGAATTCTGAAAATCAATCGTATAATTTTGTATTAATATTATTATAATTAACAAAACTGTTTCATTTCTTTATCGTAGATTTAGTAAATTGAGTAGTGATTATAGTAATAAGTTCATGTTGTAGTAATTTATTTAATTAAAGGTTGGACCAAAATTTTGAATAAAATAGATAACTGATTAGATAATAAATTACGTAATCAATAAATATTTTAATTTTCTTAAAGTTTTCAATTTTTTATAGTTTTATTTAATTTTAAACATTCTTATCAATATACTTTAATATAACAGTTGTTTTCAGTTTATTATCCTTAAATTAGAATTACAGGTAGAAGACAAAATATCCGTATGATTACATAACTTTTTTTTTTTTCCACAAGATATTATGTTTAGTTCAAGGTTTAACAAATTATCACTACTAAATAAATCAAAAAAATCAAATGTTTTACTACTATCGGTTATAATTTTTGCAACATTTTTTATATTTTCAAATAGTGATTTATTTCTACCCAACACTGACCCATTTTGGATAAACTATAAAATCAAACAACAACCTAAACACCTAAGAAATTCAAATTTACTTAGTGATCAAAAATTAGAAACTAAAATTGATTCACCTTTCATATATGGATGTAATATACCAAAACCTACAGAAAAAGCCAATGCAGCATTTGTAATGCTTTGTAGAAACTCAGAGATTACGCAAGTTATATCAAGTATAAATTCAATGGAACGACATTTTAATCAATGGTTTAATTATCCTTGGATTTTTTTAAATAATGAAGAATTTACATCTGATTTTCAAAATGAAGTGTTACAGCATACTTCAAATGCAACATTTGGTAAAATAGAAATGGAAGATTGGGAGTTTCCCTCAGATATAGATAAAGATGAATTTCATGAATGGATAGAATCACAAGGAGATAGAGAAATTTTATATGGAAATTTAAAAAGTTATCACAAAATGTGTAGATTTTATTCGGGTAAATTTTATTTACATCCTTTAATAACAAATTTAGATTGGTATTGGAGAGTTGAACCAGATATTGAATTTTATTGTGATTTAACTTATGATCCATTTTTAGAGATGGAAAAAACTGGTAAAAAATATGGGTTTAATGTAATGTTGGCTGATTTATATTATTCTATACCTGGGTTGTTTAGGTATGTTCTGGCATATATTAAAAAGAATAACATTCAGGTTAAAAGTGCTTGGAAATTATTTATATTGAATTCAAAATTTATTGTTGGTGGGTCTAAACAAGATAATAAAAATCTAGATGGATTACATGATCATCATGATATCTTAGTTGAAATTCAAGATCAAATATATGTTCACAAATTAATTCATGAAATTGAAAATAAGAAGGAAGAACAACTCAAGAACAATTTTGAAATACTCGATAAAATTTTTGAAATTAGTAAAAAAATGCCCATTATACATGAAGATAGAATAAATAAAGAAGATTATAATTTATGTCATTTTTGGTCAAATTTTGAAATTGCAAGAGTTGATATTTTTAAATCAAAGGAGTACCAAAATTTTTTCAAATATTTGGATGAAAGTGGTGGTTTCTATAAGGAAAGATGGGGTGATGCACCTATACATTCTTTAGCAATAGGAATGTTTTTAAATTTAGAAGAAATCCATTATTTCAGAGATATTGGATATAGACATGATGTATTTTCTCATTGTCCATCAAATTCCCCAGAAAATCAATTACCTTATCATGGCCAAAAAGAATTTAACTCCAAATTTGATAAATTTTTAACTCCTGACAAACCTCGATTCAATGGAGTTGGATGTAGATGTAAATGTCCTTCCAAATATCAAGAAATTGAAAATTCAGATTGTATGAAAAAATGGCAACATTTTACACAAGATAATTTTAAAGAAAATGACGTTGTAGATGTTGATAAATGGATTAAAAGAATTCATAGAAAGATTAAGAATCATTTAAATGCTGGTGGGAAAATTGGTGATATGTTGGTTTGAGGGTGTATATTTATAAAACGGTAATTTATAGACTTAAAAGTAATCATCGAGGTTTAAACTCATTAATTTTGTAGAATTTTCTTTCGTTAGTATCATAGGATAGACAGGTGTTCGCCCTTCAGAGAATTTATCTTCCGAAGATACTTTGACTAGCGGTTTGAATGTATAGGGTTTTAGTGGATACATTATTCTCACTAGAATAGCTGATAAGATTGAGAATACAAAGTCTAAAGAGAACGTTAAATAAATCGGAGAAAGTAGAAAAGGAAAAGGAGGTGGATCCAAAAGAAAAAGTAAAAGAATCAGTTAGAGTAATGGTTTACGAAGTTAGAATATAGATATTAAAATTAAAAAGATATCTGTAAATTGAAATACTATAGAATTGAAAACCTATTTATTAACATTATTTGATTTTAACCACCAAAACCATATAAAGTTCTACCTTGTCTTTTCAATGCATAAACAACATCTAAAGAAGTAACAGTTTTTCTTTTAGCATGTTCAGTATAAGTAACAGCATCTCTAATAACATTTTCTAAAAATTGTTTTAAAACAACTCTAACTTCTTCATAAATTAAAGCAGAAATACGTTTAACACCACCTCTTCTTGCTAATCTTCTAATAGCTGGTTTTGTAATACCTTGAATATTATCTCTTAAAATTTTTCTATGTCTTTTAGCACCACCTTTTCCTAAACCTTTTCCTCCTTTTCCTCTACCTGACATTGTTAATTGATTTGTTTATATAATTTAAAAAATATGGGGAAGTTGATAAATTAATATATCTATGATATTAAGAATTAAAAAAAGATGTTAATGATAAAAAAATGAAATATTATAAAGTATTTATATTTAAAAATTAGAAATGATAGAGAATTTGTGTAACTACTGATAAGATTTTAATTTAGTAGTATAAAATATATTTAAGTAAATAGAATTATAAACAAATGGAAGAATGGAACAAAAATCACGAACACGCAACTAAAGCTTTTCAGCATCACTTTTGGTTAAACTTACATCAAATGACGTATTGTAATGATATCTTGTACTAACATTTTAGAACGAGTCCGCTTTAAATCGTGTTGTTCATATTTAATAATACGACACAAAATATTTATTTTTATCTTTTGTTTCAAATGAAAGTTAAGTGTTTTAAAATTTACACACATAGACTGAAATTTACTCACATAAAACCTAAAATTGTTTCTTTGTTAATTATATAAGTCTATACCAGTTCGACCTTTCAAAGCGAGAAAAGCAAAACCTCGACCTAAACTGTTGTATTGCTGTTGAATTTTACGCGAGGCATGTTATACTTAATAATTTTGCAACCGTATCATACACAATAATATGCAATTTTTAGATTTATTATATAGAATTACAAGATTCGAATAATGGAAATCACAACATATCAAAATAATCGTAGAATCCAAGAATTGATATATAATTTCTATAATTTCATACCTTTATTTGCAATTTAAATTTTTCTAATTTTTTTTTTAATTCATTATATCATACATTAATTCATAATGGCTAGAACTAAACAAACTGCAAGAAAATCTACTGGTGGTAAAGCCCCAAGAAAACAATTAGCTTCAAAAGCTGCAAGAAAATCAGCTCCAACTACTGGTGGTGTTAAAAAACCTCATAGATATAAACCAGGTACTGTTGCTTTAAGAGAGATTAGAAGATTTCAAAAATCTACTGAATTATTAATTAGAAAATTACCTTTCCAAAGATTAGTTAGAGAAATTGCTCAAGATTTTAAAACTGATTTAAGATTTCAATCTTCTGCTATTGGTGCTTTACAAGAAGCTGTTGAAGCTTATTTAGTTGGTTTATTTGAAGATACTAATTTATGTGCTATTCATGCTAAAAGAGTTACTATTCAAAAGAAAGATATTCAATTAGCTAGAAGATTAAGAGGTGAAAGAGCTTAGATTGGTAGTTTGGGGTGTATAATTTTTAATTCTTTCTTTAAATATATGTTATTGATTTTTTTTGAAAAAAAACAGAAAGTGCTTTCTACCGATTCTTGAATCTTCTCATACTATATTGTTTTGACTAAAGTTTTACTAAAATTGATATTGATTAATCAACTTGTCATGATAATTTGAAACATCATTAAATTTGGTAGCAGAGTCTGGACCATATAAATTTGTTAACTATTATTAGAGATTTATTTTGATATAATTGCTATAAATTAATTTAATTATTGAAATACAATAAAAATGTTTTAGGTTCTCCACATTTCGATATTTCATCCAAAAACTAAAACAATGTCTATCCCAACAGATACTCCGTCAACAAATCCACCAGCCAAAAAAGAAGATGTACCAATTTCAATACTATCAAGAGTAGATGCATTATCAACTTCACCAATTCCTGCTGGATTATTATCAGCATCATTATTATTAAAAGGTTTTACAAGTTCTGGTTCTTCAGCTTCATCAACAATACCAAATTCAGGTACTTCTGGTTCATCATTTGCATTTCATAAACAAATTAAAAATTCAAAACCTACAAAATTTGGTTGTTTAGGATTTGGTTCAATAATGGCTTTAGGTACTTATCTAATGATTGATGGAGATCCATTAAATGGTTCAGGTTTTAATTTTGCTTGGTCATTATTATATTTGATTGTAAATGGAAAATCAAGTATTTCAAGTTTATTCAAAGGTCACGTTACACCACTTGGATTAAGTGGATTAGCTTTATTTAACACTGGATTATACGGTAGAGAATTCTTTTGGAGTAAACAAAGTCCTTTCCAAAGCTAGAGTGTTACCAAAAATTTATAACTAAAAAAAAAGGAGCCTAGTTGGTGTGTATATATTTCAATCCCATTTTAATGGTAATAAATCTCTTTCATTACAAAATTGTTTAATTTCTGTATCATCATATAACTCAATAAATTGTTGATCCATTGGTCTTTCTTTTGGTGCTGCAAATTTTCTATATTCATCAAATATTATTGTTTTAGACCAGTTTTGTAACCTTCGTAGTACACCAACTAAACATCCTGTTCTATGTTTACCTCTATTACAATGAATTAAAATTGGTTGATTCTCAGGGTTTAGTACTATCTTTATAGCTTGAGTTATTAAATCCGATGATATTTTGACAAATGGTTCTTTGTTTCCTGACATACCTAATTGAAATAGTTTGATGTTTTCATTCTCTAACCATTGTTGTTGTAGTTCGGGATAATCTTCGGGTATTAAACATAGTATTGATTTTAAACCTAGTTTTTTAAGGAATGAAAAATTATTTGGTTGTGGGAATGAACTTCTATATATTGATCCAATCACCAAGGCAAAATTTTCAGGCGGTGATAGCGGTTTTTCATCATCATAATTGAACTCAAATGTTTCATTATTATTTGTTTCGCTGGTTTTTTTCTTATATTGTTCTTTGTAATTTTTTTGCAATTGCTTCTGTAAGTTTAAGTCTAATTTATCATCCACATCTTCATCATAAGTCTTTTCATCATCTTCTTCGGTAGTTGTTGCATTGGTCTCTTTTTCTTCTAATTTAATTTGATCCAATTTGGATCGTATTAATTTTGTATCATTATATATCGAATTTGGTGATTGATGTATTAAATAGTTTGGTTCTTTAAAACCATTGTTTATTTCTGATGTGTTAGTTGTGGTTGTCGTTAACGACTCTTGGTTGTTCGGTAGTTCTGACAAATCTTCATCCATTGTGAATGGATCATCTGTGGGATTTGTCATTTATGAGGTAATTAATTTGTGAGTATGGCTTTAACCGGGTTTAATTAATTGTTGAGTTTTTGAATTGATGATTTGATCTTGAGGTCTAATTTTTTTAAATTTCGATTTTTAATATATCGGATATTCGTCCTTTGATAAATTTTTCTCTATGTTATATAATTTTTGTTGATGTATGTAGTATCTTATTCATTGTTCTATTCTTTATCCTTTTCAACAGATATTGGATATAATTTTTTATTTGTGCACAAATTGGTTGGTAGCAACGTGTCAGATTTACTGTCGTGAGACATCAATGACATAATTTCTCAGATGATCATTAAGGTTTCTAGCATTTGATACCATCTTCAAGAATTAATACACCAATGGCCAGACAAGTCAAAAGAAAGAGTGGTGGGAATAGTCACAATGGGCATTTCAAGGAAAGACATGTCAAAAGGGGGAGGTCAGAGTTAAGAACAATAACAAGAACAGCAAGAAGAGCAAAAGATGAACCTGAACAGGCAGACCAATTTAATACTGAATCAATAGAAGATGAAGAAGATGTACAGCTGAACGAGGAAAATGAAGATGAAGAGGAGGAAGACAAAGGTAAAGCATACTCAGCGTTGCTAACTTTATTGAAGTCTGACAACAAGGAAAAGAAAATTCCAGGCGTGGAGGAAAATCATGAACAAGATATATCTGAAGAAGTAGAGGAAGACGAATTAGCAGGCGAAAATTTAGAGGTAAGCGACGAAGAAGATTTACAAGAAGATGAAGAGGTAGAATCAGAAGATGATGAAGACTCTCCCTCGGGTTTAGCAAATGATCCATTTGAAGTGCATTTTAATCAACCAAGTGAAGAATACTTAGAAAAGGAGGAGAAACTTGTACTAAAAGACCATGAAAAATGGAAAATACTGGCAAAAAATACTATAGAAGATCTTTCATTAAGTTCTATTGCAACTTTACCACCTGGATCTCCAATAAACTCACCAATAGAGAAACCAATTTCTTCAATAACAAAATACACTAGCTTGAAAAAAAGAATCACTGATGCATACGAGAAAAATCATGGTCAAGAATTGTCAAAATTAGACTCCACTTTACTTCAACCAATTTTAAATTATCAAGATGTCAATTACCAATACAAATTATATTCAAATAAATCATATAGAAAACTTTATATCATGCATGCATTGAATCATATCTACAAAACAAGAGATAGAATTATCAAAAACACAGCCAAATTACATCAAGCTAATGAGACTAATCACGATTTGGAATTAAGAGATCAAGGTTTCACTAGGCCAAAAGTACTAATATTATTACCAACAAGAGATTCATGTAATGAAGTAGTAGAACAATTAATAAAATTATCAGGTACTGATCAACAAGAAAATAAGAAAAAATTCACAGCTCAATTTTATGCCAAAAATGAATCAAGAACTAATAAACCAGGAGATTTTCAAGATTCTTTTAAAGGTAATAATAATGATTTTTTCTGTATTGGATTAAAATTAACTAGAAAATCTTTAAAATTATATTCATCTTTTTATTCATCAGATATAATACTAGCATCACCACTTGGGTTATCAATGATTTTAGAAAATCCCGACAAGAAGAAAAGGCAATATGATTTTATATCATCGATTGAAGTATTAATTATGGACAAGGCAAATCAAATAGAAATGCAAAATTGGGATCATGTGAATACAATTTTAAAATATATTAATAAAATACCAAAAGAGTTTCATGATGCTGATTTTAGTAGAATAAGAATGTGGAGTATCAATGATCAAGCTCAATTGTTGAGACAAACTTTAGTATTTTGTGAGTATTTGACTCCCTCTATTAACAATCTAATATCATCAAAGTCATTTAATTTACTGGGTAAAATAAAATTCAAACCCTTTATTAATTCAGATACTAGTATTATGAACTCAATTGGTTTGAAAATTAAACAAATATTCCAGAGATTTCCAAGTGAATCACCGTCAACTGATCCAGATTCTAGATTCAAATATTTCATAAACTCTACAGTTCCAAACTTATTAAAAACATCATCTTACGAAGATGGGATTATGATTTACATTCCATCATATTTCGATTATTTAAGAGTTAAAAACTACTTTAAAACATCAACAAAATTCAATTTTGGAGCAATCGATGAATATAGTTCACAATCAAAATTAACAAGAACGAGACATGAATTTCACCAAGGTAAAATCAAAATCTTATTATATACAGAAAGATTACATTATTTTAGAAGATATGAAATTAATGGAGTTAAAACATTAATTATGTATTCACCACCAACAAATCCCATATTCTATAAAGAGCTCATCAGATTAATTGGTAAACTGATTTTCAAAGATGAATGTGATTTAAATTTAGCTTTAGTTAAAATCCTTTTCTCAAAATGGGATGCAACAACTTTAGAAAGAATTGTTGGAAATGAAAGAGCTCCAATATTATGTAATTCAAGAAATGAATTATATGAATTTAGATGATATCTTTAATAATATACATTCTGTGTACCCCCAATTTATATACCTCTAACTTAATTTAATCACCGTAATTACTTCACGTACTTAAAGTATTAAAAGCCATAATAAAACAACCAATAGCAACATATGGACTTAATCTTTCACCAATTCTTGCAAATTTATAAAATACACTTAAAAGTCCCAGTTTTCTATTATCTAAAATTGCTGGTGTTACCAGATGAATATATGTACATGTACATATTAATAGTAGTATAACTTGTAACAATGATTGAAAATTAAATAAAGCTGACTATACGTGGTAAAGTATGTTAGTAAAAATTGATCGATACATTATTTAATTAAATTTGCGTTATAACATGCCATTGATGAAGTTTTATGTTGATGTAGTTGATTAGATAGTCAGGAATTTATTGGATCTTGTAATTTACAAAAGAATTTTAATTAAAAATTATCTCTCAAAATCAATAAAATAACACCCGCGCAAAATCAGATTATCTCTAAAATTTAATATAATTTACTTTTAAAATATATTTTAAATTACCAAACAATAATATTTAGTTTACCTAGTAACCATTTTTAAAATACTCCAGTTAATATGCAAATTTGCATAGTTAAGAAATCAATTTAAATTTTATAAAGAATAATTTAAATGTGGTAGTTAGGTAATTTATTTTTTTACAATAAGTAATATTTTATTTTGTAAAGGTAATCCTATTTTCAACTGATGGTAAGTTCTTGATTTTGAGAGGTAATTTGATTAAAATTCTTCTGTAAAATCATCGAGATTTAGTCTGTGGGAATATCACTATTTAAGAAATACAGGGAACGTGATACAGCACGTGATCTAGATATATAAGAACAATGAACCAATAGAAGATTTGATATATGAACACAAAATATAATAAACAACGTATAAGCAATAATTAAAGCTAATATTGCTATAAGATAAGATTGCTAATAAGATCTGATGTGTATAAATATAGACAAAAAGTATAGAAAAGTATGTATAGAGGGAGGAAGAGGTAGGCAAGATATAAACTAATTTGGTATAGTTCACGTGATAGTTAACTTACATGGTCTAATTTGCGCTACCAAATTTTGTTAAAAATATACCAAGTACAGTCAAAAATAAAACAGCAGTTTTCCCAAACATTTACGTTGGTGGAATGCAGAGATGTATAAGTAAAAATTATATCATAAGTTTCTTCTTTTTATATTGTTCATATACAACTAAAAAATTTATTTATTACATCAAATTTTACCTCAGATTACAAACTTATTCTGAAGATTTTTTTACATTGTTTTTAATCTCACCATCCACCTTGGAGTTGTACACCACCATTCCGTGCTTAATTGCATTCTCTCTTTCTTGACGTTTGTATAAGTAAAGAACCAACATTGTCCATACTATAAGCATCAATGTAAAAGCAGTAATTGTTGAAAACCCTTTCAAGTATCTTGGTGCTTCAACTGTTGGCCAAATTAATTTTGAAATCCAAATTGAACAAGTTTGACCAACAATATTCATTGAAACTAATAAAACAGATCTCAGACGATGATCGAAACGACAGATATCACCTTGAAAAGAATAATTAATTGGTGAAGCACTCCAACTGAAATATTGTAAACACCAGGCAAACCATTTTGCACCTTCTGGTAAATTCCATATCGTTAACATTAAATTACCAGTAAAGTTAAGCAATTGTGATATTACTATAGCTCCCCACCTAGACTTGAACAAGTCAGCAAAGGAACTAATAAAGACCAAATAGATCAAACCCAAAGCAGGAGTTAAGCTCGTGAGAGTTTGCAATTGCTCACCGACAAATCTTAAAGAACCATCAGCATTTGTCAAAGATTGCAACCATAATGCATATGAACCAGAAGGACCACTTGCATTACTCCATAAGAATATAGACCAAATTGATAAAACATACAAGTGCCAATTACTAAAAATGGATTTCCATAATTTTAAATCAAAAAACTCCTTGAAAACATTATGTCTAGGTCTGAACCCAACATTATCTATAACTGATCTTCGTCTAGCAGCTCTGATCTCATCATCTGTCAAAAAGATTGAATAACAATCAGCAGGAGTTCCAGGAATAGCATAGAACCCAATGATACCAACAATAAGACTCAAAATACCATCAATTCTGAAAATCCATCTCCAAGTTTCACCTGGTACATCTCCAAATATTCTTTCAATACCACCTGATATTAAACCCGATGTTAAAATACCCATATATTGCCCCAAATAAAAAAAGCCAGCACGTCTTGCTAATTCACCCGTACTTGCTCTGTACCATGATGCCAACAAGTAGTGATAGGCAGGATAAAATGGAGCTTCTAAAACACCGACAAGGAATCTCACTGCTTGCAATTGACCCGTGTTTTTAACTTCAGCTGTTAATACAGTTAAAATAGACCAACCAATATCCATTGCAGGAAGGACATATGATAATGGATAAGCATAAATACAATACATAAACGGAAGCTGAAATACAACATTACCAATGTTATAAAGGACTTGAGTATCAATCAAATCATTACCAACCATATTAATACCTCCTTGTGAAGGTGGAAGTGGCATACCAGCAATATAACCATTAACAAGATTTACTGTATCAAGATATTTAATCCAATAAGCAAGTAAACTATAGAAACAAAGCAAAATATCAAGCTTAGTAATTAATTTTTTTTCTAATTTTGTATCATCTTCATGAAACCAATGATACCATTTTCTATTATCTTTGACCTTAGTATTGACTCTATATTCATATTCATCAAAAAACTTCCACCATTTTCTATCCTTCTCATCTCTGTATTCAATAATTGCAACCTCTGAATTGTCTTTTTCATTAATATTAATTTCTGAATCCTTTTCTGAATTTTCATCCTTTGATGAGGATTTATCAGTCTCTTGATATATATTAATGAAATTCCCATTCTCATCTTCATCAATTATTCTTCTTTGTGGTAAAAAACCCCATTTTAATCTTTTCAATGGTGTATCAGCACTCATGATTTGATTGGTTTGTTGATTGATTTGCAACTCAGATTAAATTTGATTAAATTTGATTATCGATAAGGATTCCATCATCAATTTATAAGATTCTCTCATTTTAATGATAATGAATGATTAGTGGGGTTATTATTGGAATTTAAAAACGACGATATATATGCAAGTCAATGTAAGATTAGACCTTAGAAAGGACGTTTTTGATCTTGTGACTGAATTTGACTTCATAACCTTTTTTTTTTCAATATCTCATGTTAGCTTGATGTTATAAAATATTTTTCATATTTTTTATTTTTTTTTGCCCACACATACGATTAATAAAATTATTATGTCAAATCATTCTATTGAACTAATTTTCTGTTTTACTTTAATTTGTCCAACATTGAATATAACGAAAATGAAAAATGATTCTCTTTAAATCAAGTTCTTGCCTGGTAAATTAGTGTATAAACTTTATTAATTTGAAAATGCATATTACTTTTTGTCATACTAATTAAAGTATAAAGTTTTTTAGATTTGAAATACGAAAGAAAGAAAGAAAGAAAANAAAAAAAAAAAAAAAAAAAAAAAAAAAAAAAAAAAAATTAAAAAAAAAAAAAAACGGGTTAGTTAAGCCGTTTTTTTGACTACGAAAATAGGACTATAAATTTGTAACAAAGTTAATTTTGTGTATAAATGAACCAACAAGTGATGGTTGCAAAATAATAAAAGTAATTAGATAGGAAAATGAATTCCTAAATTTTTATATATATAGAAATAATAGAGATAACATTTGGGAATTTGTTCCCAGACATATTTAATTTGATTATCAAAAGATAAAAGATAAACAACAGAAGGAAAGCCATCAACTATAATTGATTTGGAGATTTCACACAAGAAAACTCTTCAACTAAAATTTGGAAAAACTCACCTAAAAAAATATTCAAATATTATGCTTAGCAGACAGATTAAGGATCTACATTATATTGTGAAGAAATTGACAGTTTTAAAAATTGAATGAAGTCAAAAATCTTCATCCATACGACCATAATTGATATGATTTTCCCCATCCCAAAAGATTATACTCCTCTATCTCTCCATAATTTTACTCAAAGTCTCTTGAACTGCATCTATTCTAAATTAGATATTTTTAGATATCGTGCAAGAGAAAAACATGATTAGGTGAAACTTCACCAGCGAGAGAGTTTCATCAGACTTTCTATTACCGAAAATCATTTATTAATAATAGTATTGAACTAAACAGGACAAGTGCGACTAAGAGGTAATCTTACAAATTATTCCCCGCCTAAAATTGCAAATCAAACAAATGAAGAATATTTCCTAGGTAAGTCAAAAACGGAAACTGAAGACCTCTATAATGTAGAACTCGAGAGTTATAGACAAATTAATTTTACGTTTGTTGAATGAAGAATTTTATAAGATTGATCTCTTATGTACTTTTCAATAAAGCTCAAACTGATGTCATTTTATTACAAAATTTATATCAAAATCCAAAACAAAACAGAAAACTTTTGAAATGGGTTTTGGTTCTTTACACAGCTATGAAGTAAGTGAATTGTATCGGAAGCTATGAAGAATCTTTTGATTCCTCGATTTTACTTATTTCATCAACTTTGCAAGCCAGAAAAAACAATCAATAAACGTATATAATATGTATAAAAAAGCAGAAGAGGAATAGAAATTACGTATTTAAAAATGTTCCAAATAAAGTAAATAAAATTTAGATGCGGCGTTTATCATTTTTCTTAATTTTTGTATCATAGAATATGTTTTTTTGACATTACACGAGATTTTGAAACATAATTAAATTTTTATTTACTAACCACCACTTCCTCATCTGATTGATCATTTATGAAAATAATTCCGTTTTCTTTTGCATGAGCTCTTTCTTGACGTTTATATAAGTAGAGCACTAATATTGTCCAGACTATTAGCATAAATGTAAAAGCAGTAATTGTTGAAAACCCTTTCAAATATCGTGGAGCTTCAACCGTTGGCCAAATTAATCTTGAAATCCAAATTGAAAATGTTTGAGCAATTATATTCATTGATACTAACAACACTTGTCTTTGACGATGATCAAAACGACAAATATCACCTTGAAATGCATATACCACCGGAGCAGCACTCCAACTGAAATATTGTAAACACCACGCAAACCATTTAGCACCTTCTGGTAAATCCCATATTGCTAACATTAAGTTACCAGTCAAATTTAGTATCTGTGAAATAACAATTGCACCCCACCTACTTTTGAACAAATCAGCAAACATGCAAACAAGTATAAGATACAACAAACCAAGCGATGGGGTTAAGCTCGTAAGCTCTTGTAATTGTCCACCAACGTATCTTGCAGTACCATCAGCTTTTGTTAATGATTGTAACCACAAAGCATAAGCTCCAGCAGGTCCACTTGCATTGTTCCATAAAAATATACACCAAATAGACAAAACATAAAAATGCCAACTACTAAAAATAGTTTTCCATAATTTCCAATCAAAGAATTGTTTGAAAACATCTTTTCTAGGTCTAAAACCAACATTGTCTTTAATCATTCTTCTTCTAGCTGCTCTAATTTCATCATCAGTTAAGAAAATACTATAACAATCAGCTGGTGTACCAGGTATTACATAAAAACCAATCAAACCAACAACAATACTTAAAATTCCATCAATTCTGAATATCCACCTCCATGATTGTCCAGGAACACCACCAAACACTCTCTCAATACCACCTGATATCAACCCAGAAGTCAAAACACCCATATACTGCCCAATATAATACGCTCCAGCTCTGCGAGCTAATTCGCCCGTACTGCTTCGATACCAGGATGCTAGCAATGAATGATAAGCCACGTAAAACCCCAGCTCAAAAACACCTATTAGGAACCTCACTGCTTGCAATTGACCTGTGTTTTTAACTTCAGCTGTTAAAACAGTTAAAATTGACCAAGCAATGTCCATTGCTGGAAGGACATATGATAAAGGATAAGCATAAATGCAATACATGAATGGAATTTGAAACAATACTGTCCCGATATTGAAAATAACTTGCGTATCTATTAAATCATTTCCAACCATATTGATACCACCTTGATCTTTTGGAAGTGGCATACCAGCCAAATAACCATTTACTAAATTCACTGTATCAAGATATTTAACCCAATAAGCAATTAAACTATAGAAACAAAGTAAAATATCAAGTTTTGTAATTAATTTCTTTTCCAATTTCGTATCATCTTCATGAAACCAGTGATACCATTTTCTATTATTTTTAACCTCAGTCTTAACTCTGTATTCATATTCATCAAAAAACTTCCACCATGGTCTGTTTGTTTCATCTCTATATTCATAAACTATACCAGTTGATTCATCATTTTCATTGACAATGATCTCTGAATTCTTTTCTGAATTGACATCATTTGAAGATAATTTTTGAGAAATTTGATCCATATCAACAAAGTTTCCATCCTCATCTTCATCAACAATTCTTCTTCTTGGTAAAAAGCCCCATTTCATTCTCTTAAATGGTGTATCAGCACTCATGGTTGATTAATGATGATTAAATTTTGATTTAACTTAACTTTCATTATGGCAATTATCATCAATTTATACGTGAATATCATCTTAACTATTCAGATGGTTTCAATAGTTGTGGCTTTTCTCAGATTTAAAAGCTTGGTATATACATGCAAGTTAATGTAAGGTTTGACCATTGAAAAGACGTTTTTAGTCTCATGCTTATATGTAAATCCGTAATAAAGTTTTTACGAAAAGTCATGTGATCTTGTTCATTCAGCCAAGACCTAATTGAAAAGCGAGTTGTTCCTTGAATCTTGTTCCCTTTGAAGTTACCGCATCCCTAATTTCATTGAGTTGGACAGTCAAAAAGTTAGTTGATTTAAAAAAATAAGGTAATCAATTTTATTAAAGTTTTTCCGAAAAAGTAGAATAATCTATATGCGGCTTATACTGTATTTGCACTTTTTGTGTCATTTACATTTTTAACAAAAAAAGAAATTCTGAAACATTTTTCATTATAAAACAATAAATTTCCTATTTATCAACTATACTTTCTTTATCTGCTGGGTCATTCACAAACTTAATCCCATTAGCTAGAGCATTTTGCCTTTCTTGACGCTTGTAAAAATATAGAACCACAAATGTCCATAAGACTAAAGCAAATGTTGATGCTGTAATAAAACTGAACCCTTTCAAAAATCTTGGAGCATCAACCGTTGGCCATGTTAACCTTGTAATCCAGACTGAACAAGCTTGAGCGATGATGTTCATAGAAAACAATAATACCTGTCTTTTTCTATAATCCATACGACAAATATCTCCTTGGAAAGCATAAACTACCGGAGCAGCACTCCAACTAAAATATTGTAAACACCAAGCAAACCATTTAGCACCTTCAGGTATATCCCATATTGCCAATAACAAATTACCAATGAAATTGAAAACTTGAGAGATCACTATTGCAGCCCACCTAGACTTGAATAAATCAGCAAACAAGCAAACAAGTATTAAATACCCCAAACCTAACGCTGGTGTAAGTGCTGTAAAGTCTTGTAATTGACCACCAACGTATCTAGGAGTTCCATCTTCATTCTTCAATGATTTTAACCACAATGGGTAAGCACCTGGTGGACCACTTGCATTATTCCATAAAAATATACACCAAATTGATAACACGTAAAAATGCCATGAAGTAAAAATGGATTTCCAAACATTTTTATCAAAAAATTGTTTAATTGCGTCATGTCTTGGTCTTTCTCCTGCATTATCTCTCTTCATTCTTCTTCTAGCAAGTTTAATTTCTTCATCACTTAAAAATATACTATAACAATCTGCAGGAGTTCCAGGAATGACATAGAATCCGATTATTCCAACTGCTACACTCACAATACCATCAATTCTGAAAATCCATCTCCAAGTTTGACCTGGTATATGACCAAAAGTTCTAGCTACAGCTCCTGATATTAAACCTGATGTTAGAACTCCTAGATACTGCCCAAGGTAGTAAAAGCCCGCTCTTCTTGCTAATTCACCAGTTCCAGACCTATACCATGATGCTAATAACGAGTGATAAGCTGGATAGAAAGCTGACTCGCAAACTCCTATAAGAAATCTTACAGCTTGCAAACCTCCTGCGCTCTTTACTTCAGCTGCCAAAATAGTTAAAATTGACCAACCAAGATCCATTGATGGAAGAACATATGTCATAGGATACATATAAACAATGAATGCAAATGGAATTTGAAAGACAACCGTACCAACATTAAAAACTGTTTGAGTATTAATCAAATCATTCCCTACCATATTTATACCACCAGCTGATCTGGGAAGATTCATACCTGAAATATATGCATTTGTCAAATTAACAGTGTCCAAGTATTTAATCCAATAAGCCATCATAGAATAACCAGCTAATAACAAGTCCAATTTCAATATCAATTTTTTTTCAGCCCAAGTATCATCTTCATGAAACCAATGATACCATTTTCTATTATGCTTGGTATTTGATTTAACTCTATATTCATATTCATCAAAGAATTTCCACCATGGTCTATTTGATTCATCTCTATATTCATATTTGACAGTGTCGTCACGTGATTGATCATTTAAAGTTATATTAGTTACTGAATTTTTTTCTGTTAAATCTTTTTGTAATGAAGAATTTTCTGATTCTGGTTCTGAGTCTATGAAATTTCCAAATTCATCTTCATCAACAACTCTTCTTTGAGGAATGAACCCCCATTTCAATCTCTTGAATGGTGTTATTATTGCACTCATTATATCTTATTTGAAAGTTTCTTAGTCTGAAAGCTCATCATATTCGCAGAATTTTGATCTTTTAAATGGTTTTACATCTTTAAATTTCTTCGAAAAACGGAATCTCAGACTAACTGTGGCTTAATAATAATTAATTTAAATATATTTAAAAACCATCTCAATTTTCAATCTCCTTCATGCATGTCTTCTTTTGCTGAATGCCGATTTATTGTTTAATTACATTGTACATGATTTTTTTAAATTTGTGCATTAAAAAATAAAAAAATTTGGGGGACTTTATTTTTGTGTAATAAATTTGAAACGGTTATCAGCGCACATTTTTTGCAACCGAACAATTTTATTTTACGAAGTTATGTTAAAGCACCAAATCAAATTGTAAATTGTGGTAGCAAAAATGAAATTGTAAATCCTTTTGAAGTTCTGCATTACTAAATTAAATGTCAAGTAAAGTAGAGGTTTGCAATATTAAATAAAAATGTAATCAAGGCAAAAGGTTTTTAGTCTTAAATCTACTGTTAGAACCGGATAGAGATTCATACTTTATAATTAGAGCCACGATATTTAATTAACAGTACATTATTCATGTATTACTAAGTTTTATCAACATGATCCACATTCTTTTCCTTATCAGAATTGATGAGATAAATCCCATTTTTCAAGGCGTTACTTCTTTCTTGTTTTTTGTAAAAGTAAAGGACTACTAGGGTCCATAAGATCAATGAAAATGAAATAGCAGTAGTTGTAGTAAATCCTTTCAAATATCTTGGTGCTTCCACCGTTGGCCAAATCAATTTTGAAATCCAAATATTAAAAGCTTGAGCTATAGTATTCATAAGCACTAACAAAACCAGTCTCTTTCTACTATCCATACGACAAATATCACCTTGAAAACTATACATAACTGGTGAAGCACTCCAACTTGTATATTGTAAACACCAAGCAAACCATTTTGCACCTTCTGGGATATTCCAAATTGCTAATAATAAATTACAAATCACATTCAAGACCTGTGAAAATATAACTGCGCCCCAACGACTACTTAACAAGTCAGCAAAGGAGCAAGTCAAGATCAACCACACTAGCCCTAAGGCAGGAGTCAATGCCGTGTAGTCTTGCAACTGGCCTGCGCCAAATCTTGGAGTTCCATCATCATTTTTTAAAGATTTCAACCATAATGCATAAGCACCTGAAGGTCCATTAGCATTACTCCATAATAAAATACACCAAATAGTTAAGACATAGAAGTGCCAACTTGTGAAAATTGAAATCCAAACAGATTTATCAAAAAAATGTTTATATACATCAGTTCTTGGTCTTGGATCAACATTATCTCTTTTCATTCTTCTTCTAGCAGCTCTTATATCTTCATCAGATAAAAAAATTGAATAACAATCAGATGGTGTACCAGGTATAGAATAAAATCCAATAATTCCAACAACTAAACTTATAATTCCATCAATTCTAAAAATCCATCTCCATGAACTTCCGTATATCCCTCCAAATGCTCGTTCAACTGCTCCAGCAATTAAACCAGAAGTTAAAACCCCTAGAAATTGCCCAAAGTAAAAGCAGCCAGCTCTTCTTGCAATTTCACCCGTACTTCCTCTGTACCAAGAAGCTAACAAGTAATGATACGATACATAAAAAGGCAGCTCCGCAGCACCAATCCAGAACCTTATGGCTTTAAGACTGGCAACATTATTAACTTCTGCTGTGACTATAGTTAAAACTGACCAACAAACATCCAACCCAGGAAGAACATAATTCAAAGGATATGCATAAATGATGAAACTAAAAATCAATTGAAATATAACATTACCAATATTAAAAACAACTTGAGTATCAATTAATTCATTTCCAAACATTTTTAAATCTTCTTTCATTCCACCAACATATGCATTAACAAGATTTGTTTGACTCAAATAACGAACAAAATAAATCATCAATCCATAAAATGTTAAAATAATATCCAACTTACTAATTAATTTCTTCTCCTCAGTTGTATCATCCTCGTGAAACCATTTATACCATTTTTTTGAATTTTTTGTAGATGATTTAACTCTATATTCATATTCGTCAAAGAATTTCCACCAAGGTCTATTTGATTCATCTCTATATTCAAGAGTTGTACTTGAATCGTCACTTGAACTATTTTGGTTATCACTTGAAGTATCTTTTTCAATAATGTTAATGCTTGAATTTTTTTCACTTGAATTTTCTTTTGTTGTAGAATCATGATCTGTATCTATAAAATTTCCATCTTCATCTTCATCTATTATTCTTCTTTGAGGAATGAACCCCCATTTTAATCTCTTGAATGGAGTTGTAACATTTGAAATGACTGCTGACATTATTTATGATTCTGACTTCAATCAAGATGACTTTTTCATATCTGAATCATCTTGCTTCGTATTTAAATAGTTTGAATCATTATTGATAAAGTATTGTGGCTCTCGATTGTTTGGCAATTGATTGTTTTTCCAACTTCTATTGTATTTGATAATTTTGACCAATTTATTATATGCAGTTTTTTAGAAATGATACAGTACTTAATTTTGTGAAACTTATACAATAAAAAATTTTATTAATATTTTAAATTATTTGATATATTATTTTGATATAATAGACTAATAAATTAGATTAATAGTATTTGAACTATACTAAATGAAGTAATGTTCTTTAAACTTTGAAATATCTAAATTAAATGAACTAAATGAAATTTGATCAATAGTGAATTTAGTATTTTGCAGAAAAATTATTAAGCTTAAAAATAACAAATTTAAATCAATTTAAAAATTTTTCCGCGATGTATAATTTATTAATTTAATCTATTATTGTTAATTCCCACCAACTTATTGTAAAAACCCACAATTGTCGGTACGGGAATTTGGTTACGCCTGATTAGTTCTGCTTCGGGGGTTTCCACTAAAACTTTGATATTTGGATATATTTGAGGCGAGCTAGATAATGTCGTATTTCAGTTCTGACATTTATATTATTTAAGAGACACGTGATTCTAGCAATTTAAGTATTAGATTTTAGATAAGATATTTGGTGATATTCAATCACTAATCATTCAACTATCAACTAAATAGATAATACTACATTATTTACATTATATTATAAAGTACATAAAAGTTCGATATAACTAAATAATCTCTTATCATTTATTTAACTACACAGCTGAAATTACAATAATTACAATTGATAAGATATAGTGTACTTTAAGCCTTCGCTTATCTAATTTATAGTATACATAGTTCACAGCTATAATCAAATAGGTACCAAATTCATGTAACTAATATAAAAGGTATTAATAGAGTAGCTAATTTATTATGTTGTAATTATAAATATTTAGTTAAAAATTAACGCACACGAGGTCAACTTCTAACATTCAATTCAAAATCAAAATGCTCTTTTAAAATTTACTTTAACTTTATAGAGTGAATCATGTCTAGATTTGAGTATGGACCAATACTTTCTAAAGTGTTACAAGTGTATTATTTATATATAGTTATCATCTGAAGAGTTGCACCCTTCTTTAATTTAAAAGAGATGAATATGGTTAGTATATCTTGAAAAATTGATTTCATTCTGTGATAATTCCAATTAATTTTTGTTCACAGTTTTCCACTTGTAAAAAGAAAAAAGTTTAGTTCTTTTTTTTAAATGGCTAAACCTTTTATAATTAAAACCAAAATAGTCAATTAAGTTTTTGTTAATCTCTAATAGATATACCAGGTTATTGATTTATTTCATTAAAAAGAATACTGAGGAAATAATAAAACTACAATTAATTGTTCTTATATTAACCCCAGTAAATCTAGATCTATTTTATTGTAAACTATAAATTATATTGTAAAGTAAATTTTAAACAAAAGTAATAAAAATAAAAATCTGGTTGCTAAAATCAACACAAATAAATTTTTGAAAAAAAAATGCATGATTTAAAATCAAGTTAAATGGATTTAGGACTCATCTTAATTAAATATTCGATAATTGTTTTTGAAGTAAATCATAATGTTTCACCCGTCAATTAATGATGTCATATACATATTGATGACACATTAGTTTTGAATTTTATAATATGTCAAATATTTATTATTATTTTTATTTTTATTATTGTTATCATAATTTTAAACGCTTAATAATAAGTTTAGCATCAATACAAAATATGTTACGATACTTATACGATAAAATAGAAATTTTTCTTTTGAATTATTGTTTTTATATAAAAAATTTATCATTCAATATAGACTACTTCTTAATATATTATTAAATCATTAATGTTATTATAATATATAATAATTGGAAGATTTTTCTCATATTTTTATTCATTTAAATATATTTACGTGCATATATTTGTTTGCAACTTATTCTGCGATTCACCAAGATACAATCAAAATATATATTAATTCTTTCCTTCATTGATGTTGTTTGTATAAATGAATATAATATCTAAAGTTAGACTATCTTTTAAACAACAACCTCCACTTTCAACTCCAAAATTAAATGAATCAAAATATATAGAAAATGAAGATTTTAAAAGCAAGAAGGAAATAAGGTCAATTACTAAAACACTTAAATCAAGATCAAGGTCTCAATCTCCTACACCTTTAAAAGATACATTAGCAAATTCAACATCAACCACAATTTCAACAATAACTCCAAAAAATGGTAATCATAATAGTCATTCAAGAAATTCTTCAATAACATTTCCTGGTGGTGAGATTCCAGAAGATTTTGGATTACCACCAATAAATAAATTAAATGATGTTGATTATTTACAAAGATTTGAAGTTATTAGATATCTTGATGCTTTTAATATTTATCATGATGGTAAATCAAATGAAGAAGAATTGAGAAATATACTAAAAGATAATTTGAATTTGAAAAGAAGAAGCTTTTTCAGCTTTTAAGTTAGAGCAATATGAGTTTTTAAGGTTGTATGTTATAATGAAGTTATGAATTTATGATTAGATCAATAAAAATACATAATAAAATAAAATATAAACTAGTTTTATTATTAATACTAAAAAAATTTGTTACAAAATACTTGTCTCCACAACAGATAAAAAGTATAAGCTGTTTTATAGTACACTCAAACTCTCATTTCATTATTAATATATCAAACACAACTGTAGTGACAGTTATAAACTTAACTGAATATAATAGTCTTACGACATGAAATGAAACTTATTGTTTCTAAACTTAAATTGTGTATTGTTAAAATAATTAATTTAAAATCAAAGTCAAAACAGAGAAAAAAAAAAAATTATCACATTATTAATTTACAACCAAATTTATATTTTTAATTTATATAACTTATTAAATTAATTGATCATTTCGTTAATCATATATATATACACACTATTAACTTATAGCATATTCATCATCAATTTGAAAACATTATTTAGTAATTATTCAACTAAAGTTACTTTCAACACAATTATATTTATTCAACAAATTTTGATATACAAATAATTTTTTAGTATCCTTATCATTAATTAATTAAGGAATAACAATCGTCAATTATTACAACTATTAATTCATATTTCGTGTAAATTCCTTAGTATCAACAAAATAAATATTCAAGACTTTCACCTTTTACATAAATCAATAAATGTACTTTTTCAATCAGTTCACAATTTTAGATAATGTCAAAATTAATTAAAAATATAATACGATCAATAAGTGCAATATTTTCCACTTTATATTTGGTGCTAATAATTCTAACCATACCTTTAGCATTTGATGTTGGTGGATTAAATTGTGGATTAGCATTTTCATTAACAACAATGGTTATCTATTTCATATTAACAACTATAAGAATAATTGCAAGAAGAACAAGATATTTTAAATGGGTTTCAATCATTTATTATAGTCAACATTTTTTTATACCAAGTATATTAACTTATTTCTTAAGTTATTATAATACCACCCGTTTAAATAACTCAAAATTTAATCCTGTTGAAATATGGAAATTTTTATTGATCAATGCAACTCCTATTTTTACAATACTAGAAGGATTTTGTTCATTATTATTAATTCAAGCTATTGGTCAAACTATTAATTGGTTAACTATATACAAATCAGATTCTTGGTTAATAATTTCATTAGTTGGAAGTGCTTTAGTGGATACTGGTGCATTTTATTTCTTATACAGGATTTATGTTTTCCCATTTACAATTGATATTTTAAGTGCATCATTATTAGGCTCATTATTAACTATGACTATTGGATTATGTTTATTTGGTATTGTAAGTGGCAAAGGTTCAATGATTGAATCTTCATTATTATTTGCATATATTGTTAGATGTATTTATGAAACTTTCCCTATATTATCAGAAGGTGCATCAGCTGCATTAACAAATTTATTAACTCAAGCAACTCAAAATGTACGTAAAGAAATTCCAAAAATCCCACCATCTATTTTAAATCCAATTTCAGAAGTTGTACCATTTTTAGCATCAACATTACCATTATCATTTAAAGGAGTTTGGGAATTTTTGGTGATGGCTATACAAAATTTAACATTACCTTTATTATTAAATTTAGCTTATAGAATTGGAGTATTTTATGCAGCCACAAAAATTATACCATCATTATATCAATCAGTATCATATCCAACTGTAACTCCACCAAAAACCCCACAACCAAGATCAAGACAAACTTCAAGCTCAGCCATAAATGAAATGATCAACAACAATGAAGAAGAATCACAACCAGAACAAGATGGAAGAATAAAGTTAAAATCAAGAAAATCATTCCATTTAAAACCACCACATCATCAACCACCATCAGCTATAATACGACTTATATATGCTTATTCACCGTGTTTAATAATAGCAGTATATTCACATTTAATGTTATCGTACATTGGTGAATTAGGTACAGAATTACAAATATGGCCACTTTGGGGTACATCAATAAATAGTACAATAATTGTACACCCATGGAAATTTTGGAATTGGGTAAATATGGTAACTACATTGGTATTATATGTTGCAGAATTACTGAATAATGATAGTTCTTCTGGTGGTGGCAATAGTTTAACAAGTCATTGGAAAGTAGAATAATGAAGAAGCGATAATAATATTACATAGGTAAAATTTAATTAATTAATTAATATATATTAATCATACACAACTAGATTGTAGTTCAGAAATTTTGCAACTCTCATCAATATATATGTGTTTTAACATATCAGAGCTTGACTCTATGTTTGCTTGGATGTTTCATCATATGATAAATCTAGTACTTAGCAACAACTATATAAAACAAACTTGGTACCTTTGACAGTACATAATCTCTGAAAAGATTCAAGTTTAAAAAAAAGTGGGTGACGCCCATAAACAAGAGTAAGCTCCATTGAGTTAGCCATTCAATTGACCAATTATCATGACTATCGTTTAGAACACCCAGTTCCATTGTCAAATGTAATAATAATTCAACCAAAGTCAAATTATTTGAACATCTAATAAGGAAATTAAAAAAACCAAATTAGGAATTAAACACTATTTCCACAACTGAATCACTTTCAAAAACAGTTCGAACCCTAGAGACAAAATTTTCGTTATTTCATAATTTTTCTCATTTCAAATACCCTGATACAAATTTAACAACCGCCAGTCTGTATAGTCTAAAGTCGAGATCCGACATAAAAAACATATATTTGGCAGAAATCGATTCAGTGTGACCAACTTCATCTATTGAAAAGGTTCAAAGAATCTAAACCGAAAAAATTAAATACCAGAGCTTTTCGACAAAAACTGCCGAAAAGAAAATTTCTCATAATGAGATAGTAGAAAAAATCTGGAAGAATTCAATGAAAGCTTAACAAAAATAACGAAATAATCAATGACCGACCGATTGAACTCCACCAAAAGTTTTAAATTTGAATCTAAAAATTAGACTTCCAGAAACGACGTTGTCTATTTCTTTGATCTAAATTGGAATCTGAAGAATAATTATTTTCCTTTCACAAGGCAAAACGCTAAGTTCTCAATAACATTAGGTTCTCTTATAACTTTAAATTTTTCCTCGAATGACCTCTTACGAAAATATCGTCAATTCGGTATTATAAATATATTTCTTTTTTTCAACTTTAATAATTTTAAATTAATTAATTAATTTCAAATAGTAAATAGTAAATATATCTAAAGGATGAAAAGTAATGATATGAACTTCAAGTTATGAAATATGCGTAATGAAATTGATGATATTTCATTGCGTTTCCGCTATAATGACAGGAGACTTTCCCCAAAGCTATCTTTTGGTATATTGACATTAAGGTTTTAAATCTTAATATCCTATTGTAAAGCTTCGATAGATAATTCTTTGTTTATGGACGTGAAGAAAGAAAAAAAGAAAAAGAAAAAATGACTTGTAAAGTTAAAAAAAAAAAAAAATTTGCCCTTATAAATTATCGTGATGAAATTTTTGTTATCTTGTATACACTACCACTATTTTAAAAAAAATACACATTTCATTTGAAATTGTTTCATGTTCAAACTTAATAAAAATACCATCCAATCCAAGAAATAGGTAAAAAACTTGTGATAAAATTATAAAATCTAGCTCCTTTACCACAATAGACAACATTTGAGTTATTATTTCCATAGATCAAATCGAATATTAAATGATACAATTCTTTAACTGAAGTGCCTTTACCACCGCTCGATTTTATTGAATTTGACTTATATAGATCCTTGCTAAAACTTGTAGAGTATAATTGTTTCATTTCTGAGGTCCATGATCTAACTTCAGTATTAATTATACTTTCGATTCTCGAATTTGAGTTTAATTTTTGATTTGTTAAGTTGATATTGCCTAATTTTAGTTGAGTAACATTTATATTAAATTGTTTCAACTCATAAGTCAAAGTTGTAAAAAGATGTGATAATTGATTTTGAAATATGGTTTCTGGTGCATGATATGGTACACTTAATGAGCTTATATTAGTTGGATTTATTAGTAATAAATTTGAGTTTTGAGTTCTTATTAATTGAATTAATCCCGAGGAAAATAATTTGAAATATGTTAATAATCTGTCATTTAATTTTTGCCATGTGTTTACACCTATATTTTCGATTGGTCCAATAGGGAAATACAAACTTGGTGCAAATATAACACTTTTTAGTTGCAAATAATGAGGTTCTGCATTATGAAAAGGTATTACAGGAGTTTTCAATAGCTGATTAAAATGTGATATATTATCTTCTATGGAATATTTCGTGAAGTCGATGTAGTTAATTTCCTCACTAATTTTATTTGATTCAACGTATTTTAAATCTGTTGTATCTAAAATCGTTAAATAAACAATGAACCCTCTTTTCTCCAAATCAAGTGTAATCAATCTAGTGATTGGCTCCGTGGGTGATCCTATTACTAATACGGTGTCTCTTCTTGCACCATTTGCTAATTTTGGAACTCTTCTTTTGAATTTTTCTGGATGATTTACTTTGTTGAAGTGGTTGTATATTTTGTAGCTAGTGTACCCTATTCCAATAGCAAATAAGGACCCGTATATAGTCTTATGTTTATTCACGTTATTTACAAGTTTGTTGAAAAATGAAGGTAGGCTAAAAGCTGAATTTCGTTTTGGTGGTTGAGAAACAATTGAAATTGGATTTTTTGAATCAAATAGCTTTTCATAAATTTCTGTATTTTGTATTTTTTCTTGTTGTGTATTTATGAATTCATTAGTCTGATATAGAAGTTTATTTAAGGTTTGTACCGTTGCTTGAACTGGTTCAGCAACCATTTTTGAGTTAAAGTTATTGTAGAATTAGTTGCAAATAATATTACGTTATAAATTTAAATTTCTAGAGTTAGAATTAATATACAGTACCACCATCAAATTATTCAATCAATGAAATATTTATTAAAGAATTGAAAAATGACTATAAAAATATCCAGAAAGTAATAGAACTAAAAACAGAAACTTTGCTAATGCTAATGCTAATGCAGAATGTTGAAGAAGCTGAAAAAATCGTTGTTAATAAAAATTGTCAATGCCAATAATGTTAATGAACAAAAAAAATGAAAATGCCAGGTGCAGAAAACTCTAATTTTTCAATATAGTAATTTCTCTTGCAATAATACCTTCATCAATATCTTCATTTAAATATTTTTCCAAGTCTCTTGGTAATCCAGTATTCAAAGTGCTCCCTAAAGGATTTGAATTAACATTTCTATCTAAAATAAAAGAATCATCATCACCACCTTTTAATGTTATTGGAGTTGTAGAATTTGATGAAACTATTGTATTAAATTTTGATATTTTTGAAGATGCACTTGCTAAAGTGTCTTGTCCACTATGATTTGAAGAAGATCTTGAAATAAATGACATACTTGGTGATGAATTTATTTTTCTAACATTATTTGCAGTTTGTGCCCATAATGAACTTAATGGTAATGATATAACAATTAATAATAATGAAACATTAACTAAGGTTGTATTTGCATGTTTGTAATTAAAATAATGAATAAATAAAATAATGGAAGGTATGATCATTGTTTGAGTTGACATGATAAATAAAATATGAAATGAATCAAATTGTTTTAAACCAAGATATCTTCTTTTCTTGATAGCTAAACCTAATTTTATAACTAACAATACTGAAATTATATTTATACTAACTGAAAATAATATAGTTGGTAAATCCATCAAAAAATCATCAATTGCAATTGGTGAACCAGAAGTGCCAGCAGTAAAAGCTATATGAGATTTAATAGCATTATAAATTTGAGTTCCAATAGATGCAAGTGCTAATAAACCAGCTAAAACAGATGCCATAATACCCCAATTTTTGAAAGTTGGAGTTTTAAACATTATAAATATTTGATAAACTAATGAAACTTGAATTAATGTAATCAATAAAACTTTAAATGCATTAGCAGCATCAGAACTTGCAAAACTTTCACCATTATAAATACCAGTGAAATTAAAACTAATACTTGCTAAATTATTTAATAAATAATTTAAATAACAACCTGATCTAATCACAATTGATAATAAAATACCAATATTTAAATTAAATAATAATGAAGTTTTTAAAGTTTTGAAATTTTTGTATAATATTCCAATTAACATTATCATTAACATGGATGAAGCTCCAATAGTTGCACCTAATACAATAGCATTGTTCAATTGTTGTTTATGATAAGCATCAAGATATGAAAAAGGAACAGTTTGAACATCTGGAACATTTGGTAATGTAAATGTGATATTAATAGCTCCTGAACTTAATTTAGTTAATTCTTGACTCATTTTTGTAGTGAAAGAAGCTTTATTGTTTGCAAAACCTTAGATCAAAGTCAAAATTTTATTATTCAAAAGTGATTTTCATACATTTAAATATTATAAATTTGATTTTGTTTCAAATGAACTTAAACGGGTATACTAATTGATTCATTAACTCATTGATAACGATTTAAATATAATAATTTATTATAATTGATGTTTATTATGGAAATGTATAAAGTGTTAATTAATTTACGTTGAAATTTTTGTTCTTGTGTGAATTTTCACATCTTAGATGAATTAAATCATTCACTTTAAAATTACTTGTTTTGGATTTGACAATGGTTGCAAAATTGCGAAAAAAATTAAATTACCTGAATAAAGTTTAATTACTTGCATGAAGAAAAAAAAAGTTACTAAGTAAGATATAATTTGATTATCAACATGAAATTAATGATTAGGTCGTTGTGAGCATGATAATTGGGGTTTACTCAAAGTTGATCCTTTTATATTGAGTCTTTATATTTGATAGATGTTTCAGAATTAAAAAGTGGTTTGTTACTGGTGCATAAGTAAATGAAAACGACTAAAATAAATTAACCCCATAGTGTCGTGGGATCAAAAAATATGTAAGACATGTTAAATTGAGCATTGAAGATTTAGTAAATTTCAGTTGAAATATCATCGATTTGATTTACGTATGTTATTTGTGTAAAAAATTCTACAATTTTCTTTATTGAACAACTATGAGCATGTGTTTATAAATTTAAGACTATCTTTGATTGAGTACAAACCTTTCGTCAATTATGCATTGAGATTAGTAAGTCTTTTGTAGTGGTTTTAGCTTTTTTACTCCAACCCTTTGCAAGTCTAAAATTCAATTGTTGAAAAGTTGTAAAGAAGATCACACCAATTCAAATTTCGTCTATCTCGTTGCCCATAAGTTTAGATAAAACTATCAACCCCAATTCAGTTATGAAACAATGTTTTGTGCGTTTTGTACTATCTTGCATATTTGTGATGTTGAGTGAAATTCGTGGTTTTGACGGAAGCTCAAGTATAAAGAACGAAATTTGGATATTTAATTATTATAGGTTTACCCTTTCACTAGACGACGAGGTGTTGAAATTGAACTTTAGGTTGAAGTCTACAGGTTTGAGTAAAGAAAAAGGGTTGTGAGCAGTTATTATGACTTCAAAATGTGTTTTAGAAATAGTCTGCTTTGTTCTTGAATTTTTAATTCTATCGTTGTGTAGATGATATTCTCAACGTATTAAAATCACTCAATTTTTTTTCAATGTCAAGTTCACAATCTTTGGGAGTTGTGAAAAATATTATTGTAGTAATCTGCTCTAAAATACTGAGCTAACTTCAACCTGTCTTTGAGCCGTATAAAATCTCGAAGATTTTACCTCTAATATTCTTTATTTATCTATCAAAAACCACGATTTGTAATTGTTTGAAGATGGATTGTTTTTATAGGTAAAGGTTGAATATGTGAATGAAAATGGTTGGTTGCAAACTATATAAGTTCAAGTTTTATCAAAGTTGTTGCAAAAAAATTGAGAAAAAATTAGAGGACGACCAAAGTGACAAAAAATTGAAACCTCCGTATAAGATTTTACGGGCTCTAAAGCTTCCCACCCTGAAACAATTCAGAAGTTGCTTAAAGCAATAACTTTTCAATTTCTTGCTTTCAGAAGGCTCGAAATCAGAGACATACCAGTGATATCAGACATTTTGCTTTCTTTTTTATTTAGACCTCTACTAATATAATCAAATGCATATCATTCACGAGGCTTAAATCATTTTTTGACACATTTTTAGGTAAAATTTTAGATCAAGAAGACGAAGATAGATGTTTAGATAGTACCCTTTGTAAGTTGTTGCTAAAAATAACTTTTTTTGTTATCCAAATAAAATGTCAATTTTTTACTTTTATCTGCTAGATTAAAATGTAATTGTGAAAACTGAATACTTTATCTACTCAAGAGTTGATCAAAAAGAAACGAAAGAGCTTAATTTATAGACACATTACTTTTTCGGATCGAAAAAATTATACTGTGATGATCTTGTTGGCATAAAAAATTGACAGTTAAACAAAACTATTTTTAGAAGTCAAAAACTTAATGTTTCCACGGATTTATATTAGTTGATAAAGTCCGATCAAGATTTTTGGCTGATCCAAGTCCAACAATAGAATGATTTTGAAATGTGGTTTGATCACGATAAGAAATATTTTGATAAAAGTTTTTTAGTTTAATTCTTATCTTATCGGTGTCGCTCGGATATATTTTTTCCCACACTATTGTTATACAAAAATTTTTTAAAGCGTTGACTGTCAGTTCTAGTTATTCAAAGTTTAAAAAGAATTACTGTATCTTATGGGGATCTTGGAAAGTACCTTTCGCTGGTTGAGAAGCCAGTTCTACAGCTTGATTAGTTTATCAGAAAAGTGGAGGTCAAAGCTTGCCGAATCGTGTAATAGTTGTGATGTTTGACAGATAAGTATAGTTATGATACTTTTGAGGTATTAAAGTTCACTTTCAGACACTTTCTTAATTTTCAAAAAGTTATTGTTAACCAACTTTATTGTATTAAAAAGTCTATTTGTTTACTAAAATTTAATTATTTAGTACTTTATTGTAAAATTAAGCTTTGATAACAAGAAGCATATACGGATCGACCGTTAATTGTCAAATGTTTTAGTTTAGCGATTGATTTTAAAGAATGTTATGATGTAATTATTGTTTCAAATTTTCTTTTTATCACGATAGGATAAGCTCTTTGCAATGAGATAATGTACTCGATCCGTTCGAGTGTTTCTCGTATATTTATAACTTTGAGTATTCATCCTGTGTGGTGTTTGAGTAAAAATATTTGGATTTCATTGTGAGCGATTGTGAGCGATTAATTTTTTTAATGTAGTGATCTTAATTATCATTAATGAAGTCTTGCACCACTAGCTTCGTTTTCCATCTATTGTGAGATATATAGTTCTCTTTAAGTTACATGATTTTAAATATAATTAAAAAATCAAAGTTTTATTTTTTAGATTCAGAAGGAACAGGGTCTAGACTTCTTATAGATGCCCACTATTTCATGTCATAACTTTTTCATTTGATGTAAGCCTTAATGAAGAGAATGAGTGGGGTATGAAGGGGTAATATTATACAAAAACATCTGCAGTGAATCAATGTATAAATATCTAGATTTTGTGTACAGTATATACTTTAATTAACTTACTTAATTGAAGAGTATTATTTAATATCGTTTGTATGCAGTACCAATCATACAAGCGATCACCATTTTTCTTGGCACTTGTTTTTTAAAACCCTTTTACATAATTAAAAGTTTTTCTTGGCAATGCAAATATATCAATTTTATGGCTTAATAAAAAATTATATTTACATTTTGATATCCAATTCGGGGAACTAAAAATCTAACTGATTGAAACATATCAATTTCAGGTACTTAAAATCAAGCTTCCATATAAAAATTTCATTGCACGAAAGTACAATTCAAACTTTTAAACTTTGAGCATTTAAAAATTTCAATTTCGTTCTTTACCTCGAAGTCTCATCAAAAAAATAAGTACGCATAAATATATAAGCGTAAAGTCACATAAACAAAAAATAATCAACGTTTTTTACCTTGTCGGGGACTAAATTAAAAACAACAGATTCAAATTAACAACAAGCCTTGTGATAAGTTTTGAGCTCATTTGATAAAAAACTGGTCTATTGTTCTTTAAGTAATCTAGAATATTGATTCATACGTTTGTCATAAATTTGAAATCTCTCATAAAGACCTTTTAAAATCATAAAAAATTTAATGAATTATACTTCTCCGGAGTATTTATTTTTGTTTAATTCGATCCGATAATGAAATTTTAATATGATATGAGGTAATTATCTAATAAATTATGTAATAATGGTAGTAGTAATTATGTAAAACCAAACGAATATAAATGTATTAAAGATAAATAAATTCTTTAATTCAGACAGAAATTTTTAATCAGACATTTTTATTGATGTTTAAAATTTAGAGAGATAAAAAAAAAAATTAACAAATTAAATACCGCAAGTAAAAATTAAATTACATGAGAATTATTCAATGAGAAGTAAGTTTGAACTTATGGTGAAAGAGGGGATCTGAAATTTATTGAAAAAATTTTGAATTAATATTCCTTTATCGGTGATTGACAAAGCAATAAAACATAGCCCAAAATAAATAATAAAAGTTATGGGGATTGGAGGAGAATATGTTTATAAAAGTAAATAAAGCCAAGAAAAATTTTCAACAAAATTTCAGGAACTTCGTAAATTTAATGTAAATAAAAACAAAAAAATAAATTATTTGTATACAATTTGTAAATTGGCATAAAATGTAAATAAAATAGTCAAAGAGTTCTAAGCCATGCCAAGAATATCGGTGTTTTAATGAAATGATATTATGTATAATTTTGTTTTAATTAAGAACATATCAATAACTAGGAGGGATACATAACAATTAATATAAACTAGTGTTAAATAATTTATACAATTTAATTCAAATAATCTTAATTAATTATATGAGCAAATTAATATTTACTTTATTGAAAATTAAAAATGACGTTACCTTCTAAATTAATTGTCAATTCAAATATACTTTAACAAGGCATTGAATTTTTTTTTCTATTATCTTTCATTTATTAATATTTTAATTTTAATATTTCTAACTTTTGTTTTTTTAAATAAAAAATTCAGACATTTTTTTTTCATATTTTTGTCCACACATGCTTAAATAAAAATTACCTTATTTTATTGTCTAAATTTAGAAATTAATTGGGTAAAAAAAAATTCATCTACAAAATTTTCCTATGAACTAATTCTCATTTTTCAAATTTATATTCGTTTGATCAACAGATTACCTCTCCAATCAATAATTAAGTTGGCTTAAGAATTAAATTAAATTAAATACCAAGAAAATCTATTAATCACCGATTTGACATATTCTTTATCTTATTCGTTTAATTTTTATTAGTAAAAAGTCTTGGCAAAATTATAATAATTTTTTTTTTTTTTGGTTTGTGTCATTTTTAAATTGAATTTATTATATTGTTTAATTATCATATTTTTAAAAAATATAATAACCCTTTTACTTTTAAATCTTAAACTTAAATAAAATATTTAAATAAAAATTTCTTATAAATAAATACTAAAATATTCGAAAACTAAATTTAAAAATTTTTACAACCATTTTTATACTTCATCAAATATAAGGTTCTCATTTACATCATACTTTATGAAACAAAAAATAATAATTAAAGACTTAAACAGAACTCACATCATATATTAATATTAATGACAAAAACTTTATAAGGATTTAAGGAATTTGTATAAAAAAAAACAAAAGTATTACACATATCAACAATATTTTCAAATGTTAAAAATGGAACAAATTAGCATTCCATCTTCTGTTGTTTCAACTTCAACTTCGGCTCAATCACAATATCCGTACTATAATTACTCAAATTTAAGTTACAATTTAACTCAAGATTATAAAATACCAACTCAACCACAACAACAACAACAGCAGTATAATTTTCAACCAACTGGTAATTATTTTGTACAACCACAACAATCTCAATCACTTCCCTCAATATTTGCTTCACATACTCATCAACAAGTTCAAGATAGTACTATGTTATATTCAAACTCATATAATATGGGTAACAATAATAATAATCAACAATTTGAGTATACACAACACAATAATCCATATCTTCAACAACAACAACCATCATCATATTCTTCATCAAATTATCCTATTTTAAATAATAATAATAACTATCACACACAAAATACTGGTAATTCTGATCATCGATACCCACTAAGTCCAGCTTCAATTTCCGAAAAAAGTAGTTCAGTTTCTTCGGTTTCGTCAACTAATTCATCACATTATAATTATACACAACCGACAACTTATCTTCAACCTCATCAACATCATCATCACCACCCACAATCACCACCGTCAACAACAAATATAGATTATTCTTCATTAGTTTCATATACAATATCACCATCATTAAAACGTAAAAGAAGAAAAAGAAAAGATCTTACAACCTCACATTCAACAACTTCATCACTGGCTGCATCTGCCTCCAATTTAGATGATATATCAGAATCATTTCCATGTACGTTATGTGACAAAGTTTTCCAAAAGCCGTACAACTTAAAATCTCATATGAAAACTCATTCAACTGACAAACCATTTTCTTGTTCCTATTGTACCAAAACATTTGCAAGAAGTCACGATAAAAAAAGACATGAAGTCTTACACCAAGGAATTAAAAATTTTAAATGTGAAGGCTATTTACAAGATGGTATTACGAAATGGGGTTGTGGTAAAAAATTTGCAAGAAGTGATGCTTTATCAAGACATTTTAGAACTGAAACCGGTTGGTTATGTATTAAACCATTAATGGATGAAGCTAAAAAATTAGAAGAATCAAACAATGTTGGTATTGCTACACAAGGTCAAAACAATAATGAAACATCAAATGGCTTCAACATGTTACCAAATTCTATTGATTTTAAATCTTTAGGTAACGAAGAATTTTATGATAATTCTAAATTTATTAGAAAATTAATTCATAGTAAATAGAGAAACCACTATGTGATTTTTTATATGCTTTAATGAAATTAGAAAATCTTACGAAATAGTTTTAAATTTAACTTAGTTGTATCTATTATCTAATGCTATTACCGCTTAAGTGTCTAATCTGTAGCAGAGTGCTACCAAATCGACTTATAATTTTATTTTTAGCGGTACACGTGACCCGGCTTGAATTAAAAACAAAATTTACAATATTGGAATATTCTGGAAATTATTAGCCATTTAACACACCCATTTTCATGTCTTACTTTCTCTTTATAAATTTTTCAATTTTTCAAAATTCCGATTCAAATCAAAACTCAAACCCCAAATATTAAAATCAATTGAAAAATGTTGAAAATCAACAATAAACCAATTCAAAATGCTACAAAGACTTTTGTACGTCATGCATCATACAAAGAATTAAAATTTGGAGTTGAAGGTAGAGCTGCATTATTAAAAGGTGTAAATACTTTAGCTGATGCAGTTTCCGTAACTTTAGGACCAAAAGGTAGAAATGTTTTAATTGAACAACAATTTGGTTCACCAAAAATTACAAAAGATGGTGTTACTGTAGCTAAATCTATAACTTTAGAAGATAAATTTGAAGATTTAGGTGCAAAATTATTACAAGAAGTTGCATCAAAGACTAATGAAAGCGCTGGTGATGGTACTACATCTGCTACTGTTTTAGGTAGATCTATTTTCACCGAATCAGTCAAAAATGTAGCAGCTGGATGTAACCCAATGGATTTAAGAAGAGGATCACAAGCAGCAGTTGAAGCAGTTATTGAATTCTTACAAAAAAACAAAAAAGATATCACCACATCGGAAGAAATTGCTCAAGTTGCCACTATTTCAGCTAATGGTGATAAAGAAATTGGTGATTTATTAGCATCAGCAATGGAAAAAGTAGGAAAAGAAGGTGTTATCACCGTCAAAGAAGGTAAAACTTTAGAAGATGAATTAGAAGTTACCGAAGGTATGAAATTTGATCGTGGATATATCTCACCATACTTTATTACAAACACAAAAACTGGAAAAGTTGAATTTGAGAACCCATTAGTTTTATTATCAGAAAAGAAAATTTCAAGCATTCAAGATATTTTACCATCATTAGAATTATCAAATCAAACAAGAAGACCATTATTGATTATTGCTGAAGATATTGATGGCGAAGCTTTAGCTGCATGTATCTTGAATAAATTGAGAGGTCAAGTACAAGTATGTGCTGTAAAAGCTCCAGGTTTCGGTGATAACAGAAAAAACACTTTAGGTGATATTGCAATCTTAACTGGTGGTACTGTTTTCACCGATGAATTAGATATTAAACCAGAAAATGCTACAATTGATTTATTAGGAAGTGCTGGTTCAATCACTGTAACAAAAGAAGATACAGTTATATTAAATGGTGAAGGATCAAAAGAAAATTTAGAACAAAGATGTGATCAAATTAGAACAGTTATGGATGATGCTCAAACTACAGAATATGAAAAAGAAAAATTACAAGAAAGATTAGCTAAATTATCTGGTGGTGTTGCCGTTATAAAAGTTGGTGGTGCTTCTGAAATTGAAGTTGGTGAAAAGAAAGATCGTTATGAAGATGCTTTAAATGCTACTAGAGCAGCAGTACAAGAAGGAATATTACCAGGTGGTGGTACTGCTTTAATAAAAGCTACGAGAATTCTTGATGGTGTAAAAGAAAAAGCAGCAAATTTCGATCAAAAATTAGGTGTTGAAACTATAAAAGCAGCAATCACAAAACCAGCAAAAAGAATTATTGAAAATGCAGGTGAAGAAGGTTCAGTTATAGTAGGTAAAATCTATGATAATCCAGAATTTAATGTTGGTTATGATTCTCAAAAGGGTGAATTCACTGATATGTTAGCAGCAGGTATAATTGATCCTTTTAAAGTTGTTAAAAATGGTTTAGTTGATGCTGCAAGTGTTGCTTCTTTATTAGCTACTACTGAATGTGCTATTGTTGATGCTCCACAACCAACTCCAGGTCCAGGTGCTGGTGGTCCACCAATGGGAGGTATGCCAGGAATGTTTTAAAAATAGTGATACAATTTAAACTACGTTCATGTCCAAATATTATTCACAAACACAATTAGATATATATGTGTTTTACATTAATTAATAGTTTTTTAAGATTTAATTTAAGATCTTGTATATAGTTTAAAACAAAATAAAAATCTTAAAATTTATCATCGAATTCGATTTTAATTGTAGAAGTTTTTTGAATAGTAGTAATATTTTTTGTTCTTTTGGATGGTATAGATTATAAAATATAGAAATATGTATGAAGTACAAAATTAGGAAATGAGCTGGTAGCAACTTTTTACACAAAACTGTAAAGTAAATAGAGAATATCAAAGTTCTAAACAGCTGCTGCAAACTTCTAATCAACAAGTAAATATCATTAAAACTAGAAACAATCATACTACTTTATACCACTACTGTAATATTTTTGAATTTATATTTACAAAAGCAAAATCATGATACTAATACCCAATCTATAAAAACCAACTTAAATGATATTTGAAGACATAACAGACAATTACAATAAGACAAGAAGATCAAATCAAAATCAAACAATATTAATCTCAAAATATGTCGAATTAAAAAAGTATAATCAAATTTTTAAAAAATCAAATAAATTACAGAAGCAAAAATTACTACGACCTAAAGTCAAACGAAAAATTTTGAGAATTATACATGATGAGTTGAATAAAAAATTAAAACCTGAGGAAACTTTTGAGATTTGGCATAATGATTCTAATCTGAAAGATAATGATCTGAAGTCTACAACCAAAACCAAAAAAAGAAGGAGAAAGAAGAAGAACGAAAAAGATCAAATGGAGGATACAGGAGATGAAGAGTCAATGGAAGATTCAACTAATGATGATGATCCATTAATTTCAGTAGTTCACAAATACCTTGATACTAAAGTACCAATTACTCAAACTGAATTCCACGAGCAGGATCAACACGCATCAGATACAAATGACTCGGAGGACTCAGAAAACGATGAATATTCCAATGACAAGTACAACGAATTCGATATAAAATCAAGTCATCTACTAGATACTTTAACAAATGAATTTGACACAAATAATACAACAGTTAAAACTAAATTCATTATTGAGTCAAGTGGGATGGAGATTTTACCTAATGATGAAATCTTTAAACAATCTATGACAAATAAACATGTAAATAATTTAAACACTTTATTGCATTTTAATATACTACGAAAGAACTGGGGAACAGCCTATAGGATATTTTGTATTATTATTAGGTTCCCTATGGTTGATGTTAGATTAATTTGGCCATTAGGTGTAGAAATATTGACTCAATTATCAGAGCAACAACCAACTAAAGATTCATCAACTTATCAATTGAAAATTACGAGATTTTTCAATTACTTAAATTCGTTTTATTTAGTCAATTATAGAAATCAAATTGCATTGGAAGTAAGTGATAGATCATCATTAGCACCAACTTGGAGAGTAGGTACTAAGAATTTGACTCCCATATATTTGATTACTTCATTATGGTACTTATTTGTTGCTCAACGAGATTATGAATCGATTTTAAATCGAATATCTGAATTAATTTTGGTTCCACCTTATCATGATGAAGGTGTGTTGTATTTTATTTGCATATTGTGTTATTTGAGTTTGTCAATTCAAATTGTTAATTTATATAATCTCCAATCTTTTAATCTCACAAAATTTAATGAGTTGGAGGAAAATGAATTTAGATCATACAATGATTGTGTGACCTTGCTCAAAGGCTATAAAGACAAGAGTCATAAAGATATGGAAACTTGTTTGAAATTAAATTTCATTATTCCAGTAGATGAAATTATTAGTCAGTGGAAATTTATATCAAATGAATTGAAAACGATTGAAGCTGCAAGACTTAGTAAATCCAGTAAAAAATATAGCGATTCAGTTGTTGAAGCAGAAATTGAAGATGAACTAGAAGAAAAAACAGTGGCTGACAGTTTTGATTACCCGTCTAATGGGGTTAAAAATGACCATGAGAATAATTTTGATTTTGACATTGAAGATGATGAAACAAAAATTGAATATAAATCCACATACGATGATTCACCTACAAGAATCATTAATAATAGCAATGAAAATGACATGGAAGTAGATTTCGACGATTGGGGAGATATTGAGTCAGATAGAGACGAGCAAGATTTTGAGAAGCATCCAATCATTGATACATCTACCCAGCAGAAGTCAAACAATGGTGTACATAAAAATGGATCCATTAAGAATGCAGGTTATGAAATGGACAAACAAAATGATGATTGGTCAAATATTCAGTCTGACTCAGAGAATGATGAAGCTAACCATCCAGAGATTGAAAATACCCATCAAAATAATGATGAAGACTTGGACTATGAAGTAAATTTGGAAAATGGTCAAGTTTCAGAAGTCAACTCGTCACAGGTTAATGGTAGAAACGATGACGTTAATGACGATGAATGGGCAAATATTGATACAGACGTTGAGGAAGAAGAGCCAGAAAAACAAGTTGCCGATACTCAAGAAGATAATAAAGACAATTACAATAATATAGACTCAGATATAGATCAATACCAAGAATCGATAATTAATTCAACTCTGTCAAATGGAGTCGCTAATCTGAAACAAGAAGATATTGATTATGATTTTGAATGGACACAAGTTGATGATGAACCACAACTAGAAGATGATCAGGAGAAGGGAGATAATAGTGAAAATGGCGGATGGAGTGAAATTGAGTCAGATGTTGAAGAAGATGGAGAAGTTAGTCTCGATGCTCAAGTTGTAAAAGAAAATAGCATCGATGAAGCCAACACTTCACTAAAATTTAAATGATTCTAGCGCTTCGAAGAGATCAAGGAAAAAGTCCAAAGAGTAAAAGTGTTGTATTAAAAAAAATGTATAATTATGAATATGTATGTAGATTAATGTATTATAATTAATTTCGTTTAAAGTGAAGAAAATGTAATTTTGCATCAAGTCATTTCTAATATTTGTTTTGAAAATTTATATACAGAAAATTTCACTACTCTATTTACTTATTATGATTATTATGCCTTATTCTTAAGTTAGCTTGTGTACTGGTAGTTAAATTGACTTTATAATTTATCTCTTCATTTTCATTTCCATCATTGTTAACTCTTTCTAGTGGTAACAAAACCCAATCTGGTGGTAGTATTGCCGTAGTAGGTAAATGTATAGTTTGAAAAGAAGGTCGGGTAGTAGTTGGTATAGTTGTCGTTGTTGACATATTGTTTGATTGTTGCATGTATCTTGGTATCGGTAATGTTCTAGTTGGTTCAAGATTATTTGATGTAGATGATGATTCTATTGGGGTATCATTTATTCCGAAACCTTCACTGTGTCGCTGGATTATTCGTTGGTGTCTTTCATATTCTTCGTCATCTATAGATCTTGATGCATTTTGATGTTGATGTTGATGTTGATGTTGATGTCTTGATCTTAATCTTTCTCTAACATCGTCTCCTTCTCTGTCCATATTATTTAGCACGTTCATGGCGTCATTCGACACTCTTCTGAAATTGGATTGTGATAGATTAAATTGATGATATAAATTTCTTGGAGTTGATGCTCCTGTTGTAGTAGCACTTGAATTTCCAGTATGTGGGAATTGAGGTGATTGAGGTTGTGGTGAAAGTGGTTGTGAACCATTTTGTGGTATATCTTGTGCAGGTGGTGGTGGTGGAGCATTGTTTGGTATATGATGATTTTGATTTTGATTTTGTTGCTCTTGCCATCCTGGTGTAGTTGCAGGTCTTGTATTAATATTTGTTCCACCAAATACTTTTCTTCTACATAAGGGACAATTGTCTGATCTTTCTAACCAATCTTTTAAACAACCCATATGTAAAATATGATTACATTGTAATTTTTTAGCACATCTTCTTGATGATTGCGGTTTTTTAAAAATTCTTTGATAATCTTCTATGGAGTACATATCTTCACGACAAATTATACATAAGTTATCATTTTCTGCTAAGTCGGATTGAGTTGCATTTGGTAATTGAGTATCTAACCTCTTTGATGATTCTATAAATGCTAAAAGTTGATTAATTTGTACCCAAGCTTTTCTGAGTGATGAATAAGTTCCTTGTAACATTGATAAGGGTAATGATAATCCTGAATGGTATGTAAGTAAATATATGACAAATAAATATGAAGTTGCAGTTAATAATGCCGATGAAATCTCAATTGCTTTACTGTAGTATGGTTTATTTTCCCACACAAAATCCATATCATCATCATCGTCTTCTTCATTGTCAATATCCTCTGCGTCTGTTTCTCCTAGATTACCAGAAGGTTCAACTATACTTTCTTCAGATATTTCAATACTAGTATCAGCTTCAATTGTTGAATTTGCAAGATCTTCCTCTTCCTCCACGTCTGATTGCTCTAATATAAGTTGTGATTCATCAGCTTCTCTATCTCTTGAAGCTCTTGCCTTAATTTTGTAAAATACAATTTCATAAAATCCTAATGCTAATTTAGCTAAATTAGTTAATGCTTCAACCCCTTGTACGGCATATTGGAAACCAAATAATAGACAAGTCACTGAATTGACACCTTGAAATACATCATAGACTAAAAACTTCGCAAAACCAAAGTCTAAAACAATTAATGCTAAATTTAACCAAAAATTAATTGAACTCAAATAATAAAAAATTATATACCTCAAGTTAAATTCAGTACCAGAAGGATTCATTTCATCTTCAATTTCTTCATTTACCTTATTAAATAATTTTAAGTTTAAAAAATCTAGTCTATCAAACATTACTATATGAATCATTTTAAAAGTCATTGCTAAACCCATTAACCCAACATTTAAGATCATATTTGATTCTGCGGTGGCCATGTTTAATGATAGGTTGATTGCAAATATAGGTAATTTCTCAAAAAGATGTTCAACTTCTATAATTCTTAACGATCCAAATAGTATTAATTGTAATACTTTATTAAATAATAAAAATGTGAAAATTATAAAGTTGATAAATATTCCTAATTTTATACCATCTGTGAATTCAATTATGAACATTATATAGTTATATGATTTTGTTAATGAATCATAAATTGACCAACTTAGTAGTGATAGGGATAGTATTGTATAACCAATTATATATTGGTAGGTTTTATTTATTAGCATTTTGAAAGTCTTTCAATCATTTATTGTGTTCTTTGGAGTATGAGCTAGGTTAAGGTGACAGTTGTGCTTATTATGAGTAATATTTATAGTAAATTTTTGTAATTAATTGGGATAAATTCTGATATTTTTTAATAATAGTTGTTGCAAGGTTAAGTTAATACGTATCAATTTTACTAATAACAACTCCACATCTATATTTATTTCCGAGATTTTGTGGCTACCAGTTTTTGACTGCTATATTTTACGACAGTCACTAATCGTAGACGACAATACTAATGAGATCATGAACAGAATACTATAAATAACATTGAGAATTGAAGATCAAAATAATAATTAAAGATTGAAAAAAGCTCCAAGTTAGGGCCACAACACACTGGTTTTACTAGCTAATTAGATGAAGTTATTATCATTATTAGCAAGTTTTGTACCATTTATATTACCTTTCGATACCATTAGGTTAGGTATCCTACATTACTCTATGTATAATTTTATATTTAGAATAAATGTTGATTTTAGGAAAAAAAAAAAAAAATGAGATCACAAGTTTTAAATGGTTGTAGTAGTACAGTTATGTTATTAAATATTATCTATAAAATGCTAAATGCTATTACATTAAGTTACTTTCAATTGGCAGGAAAACTTTACGTTTTTTATTTTGTTGAGAAGAAATTGTAGTTTCCAGTCTTTTGAAAGTTGGTATTTTAGACGGAGATTTTAATAGTCTTATATTGGTATTGTTGTTATTGGATTCTAAGTTTGTATTTGGAGTCTCTTGAATTTTTTGAGGTGATAAAGAAAGTGATCTTTTTGAGGGCTTGATCGTAGTTAGATCGGTTTGAGAAATCATTGATCTTGTTGGTGATATACTAAACTCTTTCTTAGCGTCGAATTTTTGAATTTTTGACAAGTTCTCATTGACTTCTTTCAAATTACAAGTTATCAAACGATGGTCTAGTAACAAATCTTTTGAGACTTGTGATAATTTTGATACATTTGGTAAATCATCTGATGGAAGTTGTAATTTTTCACGTTTGATCGCGTCTAATTTCGTTATTCCTTCCTCTCTTATCTTCTCTAATTCTAAACTTTTTGATTCATTCACTTGCTGACTGATTTTAATTTCTTTTTCTAGTGAAGGTAGTATATCATTTATTTGATGTTTCCAATTTTCTTCATAGGTTAGCATGTTTCTTCTTTCCTTTGAGATTTCATCGTGAACAATATTTTTATTATTTTGTGAAGCACTGCTCAAACATTTTTCAATTTCCTTGTTCATCTCCGATTTCAAATTGTCATACAATAACTTTAAATTATCCTTGAAATATTCATATTGTTTCTTGCAGATTTTTTCATCAATGCTAGTTAAATAATCATCTTTTAAAAAACCAGAAAGTTTTTCATTTGCAATTTTCAACTCAGTGAAAATTTCTTGAACATTATTATACATTGTCTTTTGGCATGAAAATAAATCATCAAACATAGTTTTAAAAGAATTGAAAATATCACTTAAATCTTTTGTTGCGAGAGTTTGTATATTGTTCTGATAATATTCGATTTTTTGTTCGAGATTTTCCTTGTAATTATGTAGATTTGATTGTAGTTGGTTTTGAAGTTCATTCAATCTTTTTGAAGTACCAGTTCCTGACTGAATACTTAAGGAGTCATTTATCATATTGATTGAGGAACTTAAATGATTTGAGAATAAGTTCATTAATAATACAGCTGAATTTGAAGATTTTTCTGAAATTTGATTTAATTTTCCATTTAGAGAGTCTATTGTGAGATCTTTTCTAGCACTTGCCTGAACTGAAAGTTTATGTTTACTCTCTAGAGCCTCAAGTTTCTGTCTTAATTCATCATTTTCACTATGCAATTTTGAAATTTCTAACTTGTTTGATTCTAAAGATGCTTTATTATTCTCGCTTCTCCTTGATAACAGTTCAATCCTCAAGGAACTCTCTTTCATATCCGTTTTTAACGACTCATTCTCCTTTAGTAGTTGATTATAATTATCAGCATCCAAATAAATTCCATTCTTGTTTCTTGTTGCAATCAAATCCATATTTAATTGATTGATTTCCTTGGATAATTGTTTGACTAATGTTTTTTTAAGAATCATCTCTGAATCGTTACCATTTTGAGGTAGGTTCTTGATATTTTTAGCTTTACTTGCATAATCTAGTGTTGAAGTTGTTTCCAGTCCATTAATTTGAGCTGGTGATATGGTTGCTATTAAAGCAGTTTTAGTATTTCCACCAAGTGAGTCTTGTAATATATGAGTTAATTTTGATTCTCTGTAGGGTATATGTTGAGACGTTTTCTTATCATTTAATGAATTTATTACTCTTCCCAAAGTTAGTAATGACTGATTTATACCTCCGGCTTCTTTAACTACTGATCCAGATCTACCTATGTTCTCTGAACCTGCTAAATCAACTAAATTCATTTTAGAAACTATGTACATTGTGTCATTTCTTACATCTTTCTTGAATAATTGGATACCAAAAATTGTATGAGATCTTGATGAATGTTCATTGAGATTTGTTGAAGCTGTTCTCTTTTTGTTAAGTCCCATTCTCAATAGTTTTATACTCTCCTCGTAATTGCTAATTGTGAATTCTGATAAATTTTGAATTGCTATAGATTTTGATGTGGCGGTTGATTTTGTAGTTGGATTAACTTTTTCATGAATTCTTAATTTTTTATTCTGTTGCAGTAGTAGATCTATCAATTCTTCATTATATATCTCCAAAAATGAAATCTTAACGATATAATCATTATCTAAGGATTCATTATCTAGTATTTCAAATAATTGTGACAATAATCGAGGTATTATTCCTGCTACCTCCGGTAATGGAACTGAATCAATATTTTGATCATTTAACCCACACATTGTATACGTTTTACCAGTCCCCGTCTGACCATATGCTAGTATGGTAATGTTCTGCCCATTTATGAAGTCTTTTAACAAAGGTAATGCAACATTGGAATATAGTAATAATTGATCAGCTTGAGATCCATAAATCTCATCAAATTTGAAAGTCTTTTTGGAAATGGTATTTGTGGGTGACGGCGTTAGTTCTGATTGATTATTAATCAATTTATTAAAAGAATTTGAGCTTCTTCTTATTGATGATGCAGTTGTTGATGAATTGTGATTGAAGTTATTGTTTATCGTTATAAATGGTTCTGATGCAGAATAATTATCGTCGGCCATCTCCACCACAATTGGGGATTTTGCATCCACTTCTTGTTGATTCCTCCCCCTGCATCGTACAACCACTTGGATATTCGACATTTCTTTATTTTGAGGTGAGTATTCTTACAAATGATAATTGTATTTGAAATCAAAATATTAAATTTAAAAAATGTAAACAAAAACAAAAAGAATAAAATAAAAATGTAGTACAAAAATTTACTATGTAATTTTGAAGTCGTGAATTATCATTTGTCGTACAATTTGGTTAGATGACATTACTCTTTAATAAAGTATTTATTGTATACATGTTATCTAATCAAAGAAATCATCATCATCATCGTCGTCAACAGTTTCTTTCCTGTCATAAACTATTTTTGAAGTTTGTTTTTGTTGACTATCTCTACTTATACCATCTAATATTTCAACAATATCTTTTTCATTCAATTTTTGATTGATTTGACCCATTGAATATAGTTTTAAGATATATGATTCAACAGCTTGAGCTCTATCAGGTCTTACAATTCTAACTCGACTTAATCTTTCTCTTGCTCCAGTTTCTAGAACTCTACTTAGTATTGTTTGTGTCATATCATTTGCGGCTGATGCTTGTTGTTGTTGTAGTGTTGATCCTGATTGATTGGGATTTGAATTTCCTCCTGATGCATTGTTTTGTAATTCTGCTAATCTCGCTTGTCTAATTGCATTTAATTCTGAATCATCCATTTCTTAAATTAAAAAGACTGGTTGTAATTAATATTTTAGTTGTGAAATAATTTCTTCATGTAATTTTAATTTTTTTCTTCTATCTATAATTTTTTTATTTAGTGAAAAACTGGAAAAGAAATAAACTACTGACACACACTTGAAAGAAAGTGAATCAAGATATTAATACAATCATTATACTGTCGTCAAATCAATTCAATATAATTGATCAATCTATTGCATAATTCAACAAAGTAATATTTTAAGCCATACTAATTTTCTCACCAGATCAAATTTAAAATAAAGCAGCACAATATAAATGAGTTCGGATAAAACAAATATACTAAAAAAGTATAAGATTGTTTTTTTGGGAGATCAGAGTGTTGGTAAAACATCATTAATAACGAGATTCATGTATGATACATTTGATGAAACTTATGCTACAACAATTGGAATAGATTTTTTAAGTAAAACAATGTATCTTGAGGAAGGTAAAACAATTAGATTACAATTATGGGATACTGCAGGACAGGAAAGATTTAGATCGTTAATACCATCATATATACGTGATTCTCATGTTGCAGTAATATGTTATGATATAACAAATAAGAAATCATTTTTAAATTTAGATAAATGGATTCATGATGTAAAAGTAGAAAGAGGTGATGATGTTATAATTGTATTAGTAGGTAATAAATCAGATTTAGCAAATGACAAAAGACAAGTTACTGTTGAAGATGTTGAAGCTTTACACCAAAAAATTGGATCTAAATTTTTCATTGAAACTTCAACAAAAGCAAATCATAATGTTAAATTGTTATTTAAAAAAATTGCACAATCTTTACCCGACTTTAATAATGATGAAGACAATGAAAATGGTGGACTAAATAATAAAGATCAACCAGAAACTATAGATATAACAATTGAGAATAATGAGAATAATCAAAATTCAAGTTCATGTTGTTAGAAGATTGTTAAATCCAATTCTCACATACCCCAAAATTTAAACTGCATCCTTCATAGATCAATCAAAAATTATAAATAGTATATATAATACAAGTAACATTAACAAAATATATTTGCAAACAACTTTTTACAACCATTTGTTAAATTAATTTAATACTTTGAACCTGTAAATCTCTGACATTCTAATTACAAAACAAGAAGCTACCAAATGAAAGTTTTTTTCTTCTCGTCTCTCTCGCTTTCTCACTTAAGTCTTTTCATTCTCACCTAATGAACATGATCTTACTTAAGATAATTTAATACTCAATTAAAATTTAAATTGAAACATTCCTTTTAAAATGACAAGGTTTTTTTTTTCTATTTGATCGAATTGGTTAGCTTTAGAAAAGTACTAAAGTAAATAATACTTAAAATGGAATTTACGCACGCACTATAAACGTACTATACACACAATATACTTCAAATTTTAATCTCTCTTTTCAACAAATAAATGAATATCATCAATTTGTTAAGCTTTTTTAAACCGGCTTGTCTTATACACTCAAATTTATTTATACAATCATTTGATACATCAAATTTCAATATTTAAAAATTTTGCAACCAAATTTTCACAACATATAATTCATTTATAAATACATCAAAGATACTATATTCAGCAACTTAGTTCGTATCCTTAGAATAACTACGTCTTCACCAAATTTCATTTACAATATCAATAATTTGAGTTTGAAATAATGAGTCTGGGGAATAAAAATGTTTCAATTTCATCATTATTATCATCAAATACAAATGAAACTACTACAAATAATCTAGCGAGACTACAACCAAAACCAACAAAAGCTATAAAAGATCCAAAAGAAGTTAAACAATCGTCATTAAAAAGATTATTATCAAGGTATCAAACTACATTTGATGCGCAAGATTCACCAGAACCAATAGAACAAACATCAAGTACAAATAATCTAATACTAAAAAATTCTTTAAATAAATCAAATACGACAAATTTAAAATCACCTTCAACAAATAGCACCAACAGTAGATCAAGATCAATTTCAAAATCACCTTCTGCATCACTAACAACTCAATTAAAAAAATTCCAAACTGAATTTCAAGTAGGTCCAATAACTGCTCCAAAACCAAAAAGTAAAACTTCAATAAATTCAATTATAAATCTAGATGATGATGAAAATGATCAAATAAATAATACTTCTTTCACTCCTTCACAACTGGCTGATATACTAATGAACCATAATTTATTAAAATGGAAGAAACCAAGTGGAACAAATGGAAATGATAATAAGAGACGAAAAATTAATAATGGAGAATTACAACAATCACCAAATATAACCTCCAAATTGAAAAATGATACCACCAATATACAACCAGTTAAAAAGGGGATATACTCAGGAATGACAACTGAAAAATCAGAAAATAAAGGTCCTCCTGTAAAATTATCAGCTCCAACAGTTATAGATTTATTGAATCCAGAAGAAGATGAAGAAGAAGATTTAGAAATTATGGAAGATGACAATCAAACAAAACCGAATACAGTATCAACACCTACAAAACCACAATCCAATACATCAAAAAAGGAGCTATCACTAACAGACAAACAACAATCAAAAGAAAAAATAGAAACTCCAATAATAGCATTAAATATTCCATTATTAGATCCAAAAAACCCACAACCAGGAAAAGCAGAAGTTGTAGTAAATGTTTTGAAATTAGCAGAAGAAAAATATGGTTGGTCAGTTATACATCCAAAAGCCAAATCTGCAATTGATATAATGGATGATATGATAGATGATGAAGAAGATGATGATCAAGTAGATGATGATAATGATGAAGATGAAGAACAAGATAATTCAAAACCAATACAACAACAAAGGGGAAAAGAATTAACAGAAGAACAATTAGTTAGACAACATGAAATTAAAATGATTAGAAAAGTTGGTAAATATGATTTTGAGGATCCTTTTATTGATGATTTTGAATTACAAATGGAAGAAGAAATTTCAACTACAAAAGAAGGATTTTTTGTTTATTGGGGTCCATTAATTGATGATAGAAATAATTCAACTAATAAAAAAGGTTCTAAAAAGAAATGATCAAAAAGGTAGTAAGAATGATATTAATAATATAGATCTATAAATTTAATATAAACTATATATTTGGAGTTATTCCTTAATTCTATCTATTGTTAAATCAATCATTCCAGCTGCATTTTTTTCATATTGGTTTGATGATGTTTCATTAATTATCTTGGTGTTTTTTTCAACTGACTTTAAAATCTTGTTTATCTTATCCTTGTTTGCAACACAAATTGGATCTTTTTTTATTGCGACTAATAAATTTAATACTGATGCTAATGTCGATAGTTTTGTAGATTCGATCTTTAAATTACTAGTATTGCCTTCACTATTTTCTTTAGCTTCTTCTATGAAAGCATTAGATTGAGCCATAAGAACCCATTCTAAAATATCATCTAATCTATCTTCATCGAACTTATAATATCTATTTGATTGTGATTTTGTTACTTGACGAGGCGGTAAATCAGGAGCATTATTATTATTCAATGATATTTTTGATAACTCATTAATTTCATCTTCGGGATTTTTGACTTTCAATAAAAGCTCTTTATATATACCAATTAAGGATGGTCGTATTTTTTCATAAGGACAATTTTCTAATGAATCTTTTATAAATTGATAACCTATATCTTCAGGAGTTAAAATCAATAACTTTGTAGATAATGTTAATGCCATATAGTTGAAAACTTGATAATCTATAGTTATTATTATAAATAGTAAACATTGATAAAATGTAATTAATTGATTTTTTGGAATTGATGCAATTTCCAATTTTTCTGTTTCTGCATCGTTTTGTTCTAATGCGTACCATATCCAAAATATACAGCAATCTTGTAATGTCTTGTGTATAAAAGTTGGCTCAACCATTTGTGGAACTACTAATTTTATAGTTAAATAGATAGCGTCCGTCATTGTGACTCTAGGTTTATCAAACTCATGTGCTTCAGTTATTTTGTAAGTATACAATATTAATTCACCTAATTTAGAATCAATAAGTTTTTTACTCTCTTGATTAACAATGTTTGTATATAAGTTTAATTGATAATCAATCACACATTTCTCAAATAAAGTTTCAGTACTTTCATCATCATCATCAGCTTTTTTGGTGTCGAGTTTTGAGAAAAATTCATTATTTTCTTTTATAAATTCTTGGAATATGTTACCTAAATATAGATCAAACAGATAAGCCAATTCAACATATCTTTCCAATATTTTATTAGCCCAATTAAAATCTGGCAATTTCTCATTTTGCTTTCTTATAAAATAATAATGACTCAATCCAAATCCTTCAACATATTTTAAAGATGTCATATAAATCAAATTAGTTATAAATCCAGTCAATAATTTACGTATTAAATAATTCTCATCATCTATAATTTTTTTGAGTTCTTCTTGTGAATATTCTTCTTTTGATTTTTCAGGTATTTCTGGTCTATGATAATTTCTAATAAAACTGTAAGCTCTTTTTAATACAAATTCATAAATTGAATGAGTTATAAATTCCAGATTATCTAAATTGTTTAAAAGGTTGAGGAATGAAGTTATAATCATTGCTAATATTCTTGATGGATACAAATTTGCAAATCTTCTTAATGAAGAATCAATTAACTCAACAATACAATATATTTTAATTTCAAAAAATTTTTCTTTATTTGATACTTCAATATTTTCATACGTATCATCTTCAACACTTGTTTTTAAATTACTTAAAATTTCACAACCTTTTAAAACTAACTCCTTGGGGTTTCCTTTTGTTGCTAATAATTCAAATATCTTTAAAATTGTATAAACACATGGTGAACTTCTTATACCTTCAGTAAAATCATAATCCGATTCAATATATGGTAAAATTAAACTTGGTACATCCCAACCAATCTCATATACAAGTGTATCATTTGATTTAAAAATTTCTAGTAAAGTAGACATGATTTCTTCTTTTTCATCATTTGAAAATCTTGATGGGTCATCTAAATAGATTTCAATTAATGTATCATATGAAAAATAATCTTTGGTTTCAATTGCATCTTTTGCTCCATTTTTCAAATTTTCAATTAATTTAAAGAAAGGTAATGGTTCATTTATTGTTGCTTCACTTGATGCATCTGTAGTATCATCTGGTGCTGTTGGTAATTCGGTTTGATCTGTCATACTTTCAATGAACTCGTAATTAAGATATAATTGAATGTTGCCTTTGAAAATAAGTTAAATTGTGAATATGAGTCGTAAAAATTATGCGTATAGAATAATTTTAAACGCGATTCATTAAGTAGTTAAGAAATAAGCCGTTCTATTTTTAAAATTCTAGAACAATTCTTATCATTAACAATATTTAAAGTTGGTTCTCAAATTTAAATGCTGTTCAAATGTCATATATTAAACAATCTGATTCAGATTCAGATGACGATGAAGATGATTTATCATCAACAGAATCTTTAACTGATGTGAACTCTGGACAACAACCACTACAAATTGAGGATGTATCTACCCCAGAGAATAAAATACCATTGTCAACATCAATAATACTAGATAAACTACCTCAAAAAGATCAAGATAAGTTACATGAAAAGAGTGATACTACAACCAAAGAGCCAATTAAGAAAAACCTCGACAAGGAAGAACCATCACAACCTACCAAAATCAATATTAGATTTCAATCAATTGGTTCAACCACTCAAATTGAGCCAAAAGTATTTAAGATTTCATCAACTCAGACTATATCAACAATTCAAAAGTTCTTATGTAAAAAATTAAAAACCAAAAATTTACATTTATATTTACAAAATTCTTTTGCTCCGAATCCTGATGAAAAAATTAATGAGTTATATAATTTATTTAAAACTAATAATGAATTGATTATTAGTTACTGTAATACCATAGCATTTGGATAAGGTTATGTAGGAAATATATAGATTAAAACTAATACACAATTGTCTAATGTAAATACTAGTTCAATTGTTATAAACCGCTCCACTGAGCCTTTAGCAACACGTCGTAGAAGATACGACAATCAATAATAATAAGCTACATCTCAATAATAAATTCTATCAAAAACATGATCTATATATTTTTATAATTTATCTATCTCTCTAACAACAACAATATAAAAAATCTAAGTAAAAGGTATCTAATATAATGATAAACTAAGCATCAAAATACTGAGACTCTAAAACAAAGTAATAAAAAAACAAAATAAACTATGTATTAATACTAAGTCAATATATAATAATAATTTATTAATTTATTCTTTTTTAGGTATCATCAACAAAAAAAAAAAAGTAATACAAACAAGCAGTTAAATTCAAATTATTAAACAAACTCAATAACTTTTTTGATATGAATATAACTGAATATAATGAAACGAAACGAAATCAAACTTTGAGGTATAAAAAATAATTCAACATGATAAAATTCACAAATAATGGAAAAAGCTCAAAATAGCGAATTGAATCATAGCACTGGAAAGCCATTGACCTAACAATCAATTTAATAGAAACTAACTCGATTTTTTGTGGGGTTTTCAATGTGAGTGGTTATAAAGTCACGTGCTCTCTATGCTCGTTCAGCATTTTTTTTTTGCAACCAAAAAGTGACCTGTAACAAAACAATGCCAATTCACTTCATTACCCCCAGTAATGGGTTTGACTACACTTATAAATCAAACGCATAAAGCTCAAGTTATACTTATTTGCTCTATTAAACCTGTCAGTAGAAATTGATCCAAATGATTCCTCTTATATAAATTTTTTTCTCATAATTCGAGAAATTTACAAATCGCGTATTATTTATTGAATTCTAAATTTTAATCGAAAATTCATACTTACCACATACAAACAGCCATTAAGTGGTAACTAGTCTTTATCAAATTTGGACACCAACATTACATCAATTAATTCAAGACAAATTCACTATCACTTTTCAAATACTTAGTCACATAAATCAAGAACATATTGAGCCTCCCGTTAATTTAAGTTAATGTACATTCCATCAAAATTAAATCAACTCCAACAATGAAAGACAAAAAGAGAAAAGACAAAGTACCCATCACTACTATCATTGAACAATTGTCAAGTTTCACCAATTCAATGAAAAACAGAAAATTTACACCTAAATCAAAAATGAAAGATTTAAACCTACCACATCACCAGATGGCAGATCTTGATTCATTAGCTGAAGATAAAACATTGTACATATTTTCAAAGAATGTGGGAAGTAAAAAAAATTTGAATTTTAAGAATATCTTCGATAATAATTATATATCATGTCTACAAGAGTTGTCAAAAAAATCAAGAAAAGAAATATCAAGAGTTGTCAAATTAAGCAGTAACTATCAATTATTCAACGCAGGAAGATGCTGCATTGTCATTAATACAAATTTATTTGGGACCAAAGTTGAGAAATTAAATGAAATCACAAATCAATTCACTGATTCCAAATCAAAAACCAGATGTGTAGATCTAGAATTAAATATCTTTGATTATATAATTAAAGTTGTCAATAGTTATTATGATACAGCATTTTGTGATCAAAAATTAACTCAATTAAAAGAAACAACAAAAAATTTAGAGCACTACAAAGGCAATATCATATTTGCTGCTGATTTAAATTTCAATACAACGGCTATTGCAAACATTGATGAAGACCAATATAAATATAATGGGTATTTACAAATATTAAATAAATTTGTGGATGATCATAAGTTGATTCCAATAACTGGTATTTGTAAAAATGTTTTGGCAACAAACTTTGGTCCATCCACTGCTGTTCCTGATGTGGTATATATTTCAGAAGGCTTGGTTGAATTACTTAATTTTGCTGAAACCGTGTTTGATAAAAATTCAAGCCATGCATATCAAAGATTTGGTATTTCAAATAATACTTCCAATATAAAATTAATTGATTATTCCAGCAATGTTCAAAATAGTAGAATTTTACTTGAAAGAAACATTATTAGTAGTAAGAAGATTCAACTGGAAAAACTTATGAAGTATTATAAAAAGAAAATTAGAAAGGCTGATGGGTTAGTCAAGAAGCAGCTTGAAGTTAAGTTGGATATTGCTACCCAGAATTATGAAAAAGCATCTGCAAAAAAAGATGACTTAACTAATCAATTGAAAACTGAGGACTTAAGTTTAGGATATGAAATGAATGGATCATCAAAGCAAGAGTTGAGTGGGAATTTAGAATATAATAATATAACTATGTTTGGATTTGATCAGAAAAAATTAGAGGAAATTAAAGTTGATTCAGTTGATGACACAGCTTCATATACAACATTATTAGATCCGAAAGGTCGTAAAAGAGCAAAAATGGATGAAGATGAAGATGAAGATGAAGATATTGAAATCATACACACTCCGAGATCTAAGAAAAGAAGAAAAAACAATATGTTGTTAGATGATGATGATAGTGATGGAGAAAGTGATGATGAAGATAGTGGTTACAAACCACTCCCATTTTGTATTTTGAATTATATTACTAAAAGAACTAGTCAAGAAGTCAATATGATAGGCTCCACCAAATTCGCTAATGTTGTAAGGGATTTAGAATATGTGGAACCAACCGCTAAGAAATATAAGTTAACTACTCCAAAAATGCATTGGTTATTGCGTGGATTAAAAATATCAGATGATATTGATTTTGACGAAGATAATTATGAATTTACATTTAAAGATGAGTTTATTAGGAAAAAGATGGTTAAAAACTATGAGAATGAAATCATTGGCGAATTGGGTGATTGTGTTTATATATCAGTGGATATTGCATTAGCTTATAATAAATTTGGATCAAATTATACTAAAATCTCATCGAATTTAAATTCAAAATATAAAACAAGCAAGATAAAAGCGGATTACATTTTGAAACACTTGGTGGATTTGATCAGAAAAGAGTTGTTGGTTCCAAGAGATCAATCGTTAAATCAAAATGAGGTTTTAATGAATGATGCTGAAGTCATGTTTAGTAGAAGTTTTGTTGAGGACTCAATTATTAATATTGGTGATACAAATGATGATTACAAAAAGATTTTGGATTTACATGCAATGGAAAGTCAAAAAAGTATTGTTTTTCCTGTTTATTTAAACTCCATGGATTACAAATTGGAGGAAGTATTACCAACTAGAGCTAATTTAGGAGAAGGAAATCAAACTTCAAGTGATGAGCAATATCAATTGCACAAAAGTATAGTGTCATATGCGAATGCACAAATTTTGGATGGTGTTGAACCAGATTCATACAAATGGGAAAATTATATGGGGCCATTTGATTTATCAGTGTCTCAATTAAGGCATATATGGGGAAAACTTAAACGTATTTATTATAAATTTAATGGCTTGTGTTTTGTTGAACTTTCGGCAACGGAAATCAAGGAAAGTTATGATGCTAAAGTTTATGACAGTAGTGGAACTTTGAGATGGAATGAATCCGATGAATTGGTTTTGTTAAAAGCTGCTCAAGAATTTACGTTAGATGACGGTCAACCGGATTTAGAATTAATTCAGCAAATATTTTTCCCCAAAAGAAAGCTAGAGTATTTGCAAGGGAAGTTAGACGAGAGTGTCAATGGAGAAAATGTGAGATTGACATGGGATCGATCTGAGGAAGTTGTCTTATACAACGCTACTCACGAATTGACTTTGAGATATGGATTTCCCGATTTGCATTTAATTAAATTTACTTACTTTCCAGGTAGAAGTATCAGCTCATTACGGAGGAAATACACCAGTTTTTTTGAAACACCAGGTGACATAGGAGAAGATGAAGGTGCAGTTATATTTGAAATAATGACTTCGTTTACAGCAAATGAAAATAATGTGAGTATTGCTAAAAATCAAACAATCTATTCATTCATTCAAAAAAAATTGCAAGATAAATTTGGAAAACTCAGAAAGGGTGAAACAATAAAATGCTGGTGGGAAGAATTTGGCCAACCAAATTTTGTTAGCGATAAATAAATAGCTTTGAAAAATACAGAAAATCACTGGCATAAATTATTCTTTTACGTTCATAAACTCTTGTTGATATTAGCATCGAGCTTTCGGTTATGTATTTCGCTTCATAGAATTAAAATTGATCCTTACTCTGCACTTCTGAGATTTGTAGAATTAATACAAAAAAAGAGTGAAAGTTAAAATATAGAGAATTGATATTATTAGTTTGGAATATATCAATCTGAATTTGCAACTTTATATACATTCTTCATGCATCCATTTATTTCCAATAATCTAATTAAGTCTTCTTCTTTCTATATCAATCTGAAAGTAAAGCACCATAATCAAAACTCACAAATGCTAGATTTCAATCAACTCATCTTCATTTAATCGAACAGCATCACCTTCCACATTAATTTTGCACCAAACCCAGAATTATATGAAGACTTGCCAAAACAAAGCGACCCCACGGTACTAAGTAAACTAGAATATCATTTTTTAAACAAAGTTGGCAAATTTGCTTCCAAGAATTTTTTGATATAATGATCGTGCTCAACCCCGACACTTTCAAAGATACTTCGATCATTTTTAGCAAAAACTTGAGCTATTTCCAGATCTTGAAGTTTTAAAACATCGTTTATGGCTTTTTTTGTATTCAATTGATCAGCCTTTTTTATAAAATCTTTTTGTTGACTAATGTAGTAAACATTAGCAATTGCAAAAAATTCTTTGATATAATGATCGTGCTCAACCCCGACGCTTTCAAAGATACTTTGATCATTTTTAGCAAAAACTTGAGCTATTTCCAGATCTTGAATTTTTAAAACATAGTTCATGGCATCTTCTCTACTAAAAACTGGAATATTGCTCCCATATGCAATGTTAAAAATTTGCACAAAATAATTGTAAGCTGTTACAATACTTTCATCATCCGATAATTGAGTACTGGCAAAGACTTTTCCAACAAATTGAATGTCTAAGTAATAATCTAAACTTTTATTATCATCATAATCATCAACTTCGCTAATCAACTCTAAAAATTTTTTCCAAATTCTAATATTCACCAATCGGTTTAAGTACTTTAAATTGAAGATTAATTTTAAAACTTCAACGTTCACCAAACAATCATTATTGAATTTTTCATACACCAGCTTGACATTTGGAGTTTTGAATGATTTATTATGGATGTTGTAGCTACCTAACAAATTAAGATCAAACACACAGTTTTCATTACAAATATACAGTGAATCCAATTGATCAGCACCCCTAGTAAAATTTATTTGTGGACTAATGTCCAGATAAACAATTGCAAAAAATTCTTTCATGTGTCCAACTGCAGCTCTATAGTGTTTATCGATATCCCTGACTGATTTTCCTTCTCTGGCTTCAATTATTCTTTTGTAGTAGGCTTCGTCAATGAAAAATTTTTGTTTGATATTAAAATTTGGTTGCAAAAGCATTGCAATTAATATTTGTCTGTAGAAGTTTAAATTTTTACGTCTTTGGGAATATGACTGCTGGAACAATTTTTGGAGAACTTGATGAACAAGAATTTCTTTCTGAAATTTTTCAAATATATCTGTTTGTTCCTTTGTGAATAAGTTGGTATTATAAATAGTGTATTTTCCTATAAAGGATTCCTTGAACTCTAAATTAGGTGTACCCAAATAATAACCCTCAGATGGAACAGAAAGCCGAGACATGGTGGGTCTTAGGACATTAGGGTTGGTTGTTGATGTTGAGTGTGGTTGTAAAAACAAGTAACGTATAATATATTTATTTTATCATTGATAATGTTTTTGTAAATCAACGCTCGTTTGAATTTCACAAAACATTTGATATAAGTTTGAAATTAACGAAGAGATATTACAAATCAAAATTTGAACGAACAATAAATTATATTTGAATAGAATTATAAAATTATAAAAAAGCAATTAAGTAGCAATAAACCTAAATTCAAGCGCACAACTTAGATAGTTGAACTCTGACCAATACCGGATATATCGAACCCTTCAACCTATAAGAATTAAAAAATAAAAAATTGATTTAAATTCCATCACCTTAACCACCTCAATTTCTCATTCCACTTATGACGAGATCCATGATTTCTTGTTTTTTAGAATCCAATATTGCTTTGATTTCTTCAATCATTTTTAATTTTACATCATTTGAGATTTGCAATTTTTCAATACCCATTTCATATTTTTTACTGGTAATTAAATAAATCTTATCAAGTAATTGTGAAAATCTATTTAATTTGTTATTTTGTCTTGGATCATTTGAATTTGATTGATTAATTGAAGCTGAATTTGATCTTTTTTTGACTGGTAATTCAACATCACTTCCAATACGTTTTAAATTTTTATTGGCTCTGACATTAGTATTGACTGAAATTTCCCTTAAAGGTGCCCTTTTTTGAGTTTTGATGTTGTTGTAAGTCATGTTGAAAACGTTTTCTAATTGACCAATGGATATTTTAGCTCTAACTTGACTTGATACAATAGCATTGTTCATCCAATTCTTTTTAACATATTCAATATTAACATCTAAATTTTTTTCAATATCAAAATCAGGGTTATGACCCATCAATTCCAAGATTTGTCTCCAACATGAAATATATCTTCCTCTATCTTTGATTTCATAAACCATTTTTTTGACCATAACTTTGTTTAAACATTCATCTTCAAATTTTTTAAAAATTTCTTGTGTTCTGATGGATTTCTTCTTCTTATCTTTTTCAGGACATAACAAACATCTACTAACTAATGCTCTACTTAAAATTAAATTTGGATCCGAGATCCAGTAAACATCAGCTGATTCGCTAATTTCATTATCTTCGGTATAAGCCAAATCATAAAACTCTTTAAGTTGATCAATAATTCTTGATATAGAATCTTTTGCTTCATTTGATGATGGTGGTGATGCTTTAAGTTCTTTGTAATATTCTTCTTTGATAAAATCTTCATCAAGGAAAAGATTTTTGTCATTGGAAAAATCCTTATGTTTCATCATGGTTTCCAATATAAATTTCCAAACTTTTACTAGACCTCTTTTGTAATGAAGATTATATTCTATGATTTGAGTTACGATTGCTTTCACATTTAATATATCACGATTAAATCTATCATATTCATCTCTAATTGTGTCGCTTTTACAATCTCCTTTGTAAATGGAGTAAAAGCTCCCATCTTCATATTTAAGATTTTCCTCTAAAAAGTATTTCTCTGACATTCTTGACGGAAATGTAACGGATAATGTTGTTAAAAATTTGACTAATGGGGCATGTGGATCCGATGGCAAAAGTTTGAAAATATTTTTACTTTTTCCTCAACGCAAATGATTTTTTGACTGATTTACACTACTTGAAAGAGAACTATACAATTTCAATCTATAAATTCAAATTAAACTGACCGAATTCATCAACAATCAAGATACTACTTTCAAACTTAGATGTTGATAATATGCAAATTTTTGCGTTCATCAGTATTTTTTTGCATTTGAAATTCATACCAAATCCATGATTTGAAAGATCGCCATTACGAAATAATATTTCAAGATCTCACTGACATAAGCCTTTGATTGTCAAGATGTACAATGGTGAATTTAGTTTGATGTTGCGAGTTTTTACATAGATTGAATAGTAAATTATTTTTAAAGCAGCGTAATATCATTTATTACAGTCCTTATAATTCTTAGTTTAATTAACACTTATTATTCTCGAATTGATCTATAATTGTTCATCACTCAATCCGCTGAAGGTGTTTCGCATAAAAAGAGTTTCTGTATCTACATTAAACTTTATGAAACGAAACTCTATGTTTTTCTCAATTTAAAAAAGGTATCAACTATAAAAAAATAATACAAAAATCAAAATCAATGAAAACCACTATAAAAAACATAACTAAACAAACAATTCAGTACAAACTTTTAATAAGTTATGATGATCACAAACTTGAAATCGACTGGAACGAAAACGAACAAACTTCTGTAAAAAATGGGATGTAAACACTGGCATGAATTATTTGATGAAAACAAGAATCACACTAAATTTTAGACCAACGAACGGATTAGTAGAAAACAAATTGAACCTTTGACGATGATGAAGCTGTCACAGTGCACCCATCTGATCCAGCACCATTGTATTGACCGTTTTCATATTTACAATTTCCATTAATATTATCACCAACAATTTTAATATTATAATTTGGTTTTTGTTGATTATTTGGATTTGGAATTAATGATAAATAAGTTTTACCACCAGTAGTACCAGCACCTAAAACAACTGGTGCCCAGTTACCAACACCTGAACCAGCTTCACCCCAAATACAACCATCTTCAACTGAAACACCAGCATTGTTTACATAATATTGAGTTGAAGTTTTTCCACCTCTCCAATTATAATAATTATCTGAATCAACAACTGAAACTGGAGCTGAACCACCGGCTTGTAATAAAGTTGGGATATTCATATTTTCAGAACCTGGATAATCAGTTCTACAAATGGCAACATCTTTTGAAATACTTGATTCAAAATTAACATTATTAGCACCCCATGAACATAAATAATCTTGATCTGGATTTGATCTATATAATTTACCATTTTTACATAATAAACCACCAACTGAAATACCATTAGATGGTTGTTCTGATGGCCATTGAGTTTTTGACATACCAGCTTGACAACCGTATGAACAATAGTAACCATCTTTACAAGTTGATGAAGTATCACCATTACTGTTCATAATGGTTGACCAACCACCATTTAATCCTGAGATCCAATCAATAGCAATGACACCTTGACCGGTTGGGACAGTATCACATGAATAGACACCATCTTGGAATTTTTGGGATGGGTTTGAGAAAGCTGATAAATCACCTGAAATTGAACCTGAACCTGAGTTTGAGTTACCTGATGAACCAGTTTCTTGTGATGATTCAGTACTTGGTGAAGCTTTTGATGATGATGAAGATGATGAAGTGGTAGTTTCTGGTTGTTCAGTTGGAACAGCTGAGGTTGAAACTTCAGCAATTTTTGGAACAGCTGAAGCACTAGGTCCAGTTACAGTGTTACCTTTTGAATCAACATAAACAACTTTGGTAACAACAGCTCTTTTTTCGTGTTGATGGTGATGATGTTGATGAACAGCTGGAGCAGCTAATGATGAAGCTACTAAAGTTAAAATAGTAAAGACTGATGATTTCATTTTAATAACTTAAAGGAATGTAAAATAAATTTTTAAAAAATATAATAAAAATGATATAAAATTTAATGAAAGACGATAGTTGGAATTAATACGTATATGTTAGAATAACGTTATTAATATGAAAACAATATTTGTTATAAATGAATGTAATAGTTTTAAAAAAACTTTTGAGTTGTTGATATGTAATATAATATATATATACGAAAGAAAAAGAAGATCAAAATTGAAAATTAAAAAATATAGCAAATTTAGAAATGTCAAAATATATTTATAATAAAAAATTTTTTGTTTATATTAAATTTAATTTGTTTATTATTTAATTAACTTAATTTGTAAAAAAAATTTTCAATACATTTAAAACAAAACAATAGTTTGATTTATTATTTGGTTACACAATATTCTTATAGTTGGTGATGTATAAGATCTTAAATTTTTATTATGTAACTGTAGTTATATACAGTATTTAATATGTAACTAAATTCTAGATTCACTCAAGATCTATTGTTCTTTTTTTTATTAGTGAAAAGAAATTTAAATTTTATTGTCTTAAAAAAGTTTAAAAAAGTTTAAAAAAAAAAAAAAAAAAAAAAATTAAAAAAAAAGGAGGCCGATTTTTATTTGGTACACACATAATAATAACACAAGCAATAGGTAAAATATTGTAAGGTACAATCAATTATACACGATAAACAAAAGCAATTAATAAAAGTCACGGCCTTACCTCACAACAGAGAGGCAACGACTTTTTTATTAAACTTAAAGCGATTGAACTTTTATTAAAGGGTTCGTTTATTTTAACTTTTAGTTATCAATTACTTTTCTTAATTAAGATAAATTAATTAATATTTACTTAATAATTGTTATAATAATGTTCGAAAATAATACTTCTTAATTGAAATATTACTTTTGTCACATGCTTTGACTAATTTTCTAGGCAATAGCGTAACTGAAATTATCACACAACTTTGATGATAAATTCACTAGAGTTGTTGAAAGATAATAATTTATTATATTAGTTCGTAGTGGTGTGTGTGTGTGTGTCTGTACTCAAAAAATTCTGTGAAAATCAAAAATACTCAAAAGCGCAGGTAGTGTATCAAGTATATATATTTCAAATTAAACCTGAAATACAATATTTCAAACCAAATTTAGCACATCTAACGCCCCAATGTTTTGATTTTTTGATGGCTTAAATTCAAATTTTTAATACCAAAGATCTACTTTACATACAACAATAATTTTTTTTTCATATTCTTTTTTAAATTTGGTTAAAGGTCCGACTCTGTCTAATTTTGATGACATACAATTTCTTTTTTTCCCTCTTCGAATCAAGATCTCAGAAATTCGTTTAATTTCGGTGGGACCAAATAAAGTTTCACGTGACAGACAATTTATGTATGAATTAGACAATACTTGATGAAAACTTAGTTCAAAGATTGGTAGTTCATAAATAATGTGAATTAGGTGTATTGTGTATAACTTGAAAATTTATGCAATCAATTTAACCTAAAATCAAAGATTTTGAAAATTAAAAAAGTTTAAAATAGTTTTTGTGCCGTTTCATCAAAAGACCACAAAATGTGTAATAATATAAACTATCAATTAAATTTAAATCTTTTATTTTTATCTACAAACCAATAAACAATCAATTTATTTTAAATAGCGCCTTTCAAGACCATTTATAGATAAAAAGCAATAAAGGGTCAATCGAACCATTATTTTGAAATTGATCTAAACTAAAAAATTGAGATTGTTGTATGATCAAATTAATATTGACTAACTTTGGTTTTCTTTTTTTATGAAATATTGATACAAATTTTATTCAAATTAAATTAAATAAATTCTAATGAAAATAGGGGTTTTTGTGGGCTCTTTTTTTTTTTTTTTTTTTTTTTAAAAATTTAATTATTATTGTTTTTGTGACTTTTTCAGTAACTTAAAAAAGCGTTTTCTCAAACTTAGTGGGGCAGTTGCATTGATGTATATCATTTGTCAAATTCCGGATTGTTAAATATTCAGATAGTGTGTGTTGATTTAGTGTAAACCAGTATTAACGAGATTGTTGTATTGTCATTATTATTGTTGTATCGACTTGATACCAGGTAGTTAATATTGTCTCATTTATGCGGTAAATTTTACGATTTAGACAATATTTTGAATCATTAAATTTTGTCAATTGATCAATAATAAGGTTTAGTCGTATGAATAGAAATTAGATTCAGCGATAACCAAAAACGCTTGAGTTATAATTTTTCAACTTTCAAATGGAAATTGAAATTGTTTTTTAGCAAAATCGATCAAAGGTAAATACTCAATGAATTAATCAGAGTTATTATGCCCCACCTCAAATCTAGAATTATCATGATTTATGATTTTGTTACCTCGTTAGCTGCACTACAATTGACAACCAGATTGTCATGAAACAACACTCAAATCAAAAGTGTACATGAAATCGAGAGTTGAATTTGACTGCCAAATCAAATTATCAAAGGCAACTAAAACAGAGATTAATCCAAATTTTCGAGACTTGAAATCATTGGCTAAAACATGTTTAATTGTTATCACTAATTTAATATTATTGATGATTAATAATTGGTTTGAAAAATTTCTCTTAGTCGTCCTAAATTGGCTAATTAATTGGTTACATAAAATAATAATATATTACTTTTAGTCTTGGTACAATTTAATTAATGAAAAATTTTTAAATCTTATTTTGTGTTTTGAAACTTATATACACACTCAAAGTTATATGCAAAACAACTTCAACAAGCACGACCCAAAATTTGTAACAAACACATTTGATCACACCTTTAATATGAAAGATGATCTACAACAAAGCTATGTGTTTCGTATATAACAAGTAGTATTATAATAAATTGTATCGCACATCTTGTCTATATTTCTTTTTTTTATCATTCAATACAAAGTATGCAATTTTGTCACCTATAATGACTAAAAATTTTACGATTGATTGAAACATAACGGTGAAAAAGTATTTTCAAATGTCTAAAATTGGATCTACAACAATAATAGCAGATCGATATAGGAGATATGCGAAATAAAAATCACTGTTGTTTAAATCTAGGTTTACATTTATACAATGTAGCAGTGGTTTATAAACTCTTTCGCAACAATACAATTTTTTAGTACAAATGCAATCAAGATGATGATAAATAATTGCTCTGATATCGTTTAAACTTTCAAACTCTACAAGATTGCCTTTCACCTCCGTCCCCCTTCCCCTTTTTACAAATCTCTATAACTGTCTTACACATGGGGTCTAGATCAAATGAAACATAAGTTTCACCTTTAATCTTAAATTTTGTACCATTTATAAAGATGAAAAAATATTTTTGTTACGTAACTAATTTAATCCTGCATAAAACTCAATGCAGCTCATTTCTTTTTTCAAATTATCGCCTTTTATGATTTAATTACTCACATATCAAAAGATTATATTGATGATACATATCGTAGTATCTGTATATTTGTTAAATAAACGTTACAGTTGACGTAAATGTATACACGTTGATTGTTTCTTTTTCATGTTGGGACCCAATCGTAATTCACTCAGTAACAAGCTGTTATTCAATCAGAACAAGCGAGGAGATTTACGATTTGGCATTGTATATATGTTATTGTTCAAATTTCTTTTCTTGAATTATATAGTCTTTCAAATTCACGTAAATGATGGCAAATTAAGGCTAGGTCTACTGAACTTTTGTTCCTCTTTTTCCAACTAATGTAGTACAAATGACAGAGATTATTCACGTTTGGTCCAGGATCTAAAACTCGAAATTTAAAATCTTAGCTTAGTATTCATGATTTATTATAACAAAACACAATTTGAATACATAATTGATTTACCAATTACTGCGAATTAAGTCTGTCTAGACTTCTAACAATACATCTAGATCTGTAAAATTGTTTTTCACAAGTTGATGATGTTCTAAAATTGAAGTTTTATGTATCGTTGATCGATTTCGGAACGAATCTGCAGACTAAATTAATAACTGTAATTTCAAAACTCTAATTTTTCAGACATATTGACAACTGAGAGTTGGATTTGTTTTTGAGCTCGCACTTCAACAGAACTTCTCCACAAACCCAATTTTACTCGTTAAAATCACTAATTTGTGAATTTGACAATATCATAAATTAAATTGTTTGAAAATTTGTTTCAGAATCAAATCATTATATGCAGGCACTTTTTAGTTTAGGAATATTACAATCAACAAGGATACAATAAATAGTAAGGTTTGAAATAATTTCATGATGGTGAATGGCAGAATGACTACGAAAAAACCATTACTACAATATGGTCAATTGTAATGTAGTTTTCTGTAATTTAAACTGTAAAAACATCAACTAACCCATGTTCGTCTTAAACACCTTCAATTTCATCGTTGTGTTCATCAAAATGTCCACCCTAAGTTTTATCAATATGTTCATTAATCATATTCAGAATTTGACATAAAACCATATTATTGAAATTGCCAATTTGACCAGGGTTTTCATCGTCTAAAATTACCTACTCGTAATTTAAAATTTTTATTGAATTATATGAACTAAAACAATATTTTCTTGTAATTTTGGAAAAAATAAAAAAGTTTGACATGCTTTAAGCATTTTTCGGTAGGAAGGATTGATGTGTGCAACAAGGTTTTTGATATGAGAATGTAGTATCAAAGTCTCCAATAAACTTTCATTGTTGTATTATTAATTGAGATAATATGAACATGAAACCTTGTTTACGAGTAAAATACTTGGTAGCACACTATACTTACAATTGTTAGTATTATTATTTTCTTAATTATTATACATTAAAAACCACTTCAATTAATATACAATAACTAAATATTGACAGCTTTATTATTACAAAAATGTACATCAAAATAAGGTCATGGGGTATAATATAGCAATGGTAACGGATTTTTTCTATCCACAACCAGGTGGGGTAGAGTTCCATGTATATCATCTTTCACAAAAATTAATTGATTTAGGACATTCAGTAATAATAATAACTCATAATTATGGAGAAAGAAATGGTATAAGATATTTAACAAATGGGTTAAAAGTTTATTATGTTCCATTTTGGGTATTATATAGATCGTCAAGTTTCCCGACAGTTTTTTCTGCATTTCCAATTTTAAGAAATATTTTTATACGTGAACAAATTGATATTATACATGGACATGGATCTTTGAGTACTTTAGGTCATGAAGCTATATTACATGGAAGAACAATGGGGATGAAAACGGTTTTCACTGATCATTCATTATTTGGATTTGCAGATTTCGGATCAATTTGGGGTAATAAAGTATTGAAATTTGCAATTAGTGATGTTGGTCATGTTATTTGTGTTAGTCATACTTGTAAAGAGAATACAGTATTGAGAGCAAGTCTTGAACCGTGGAAAGTGTCTGTTATTCCAAATGCTGTTGTACTGAAAGATTTTCAACCAGATTATAACAAACCAAAAACTAGTGATACTATTACAATTGTAGTAATAACGAGGTTATTCCCCAATAAAGGTGCCGACTTATTAAACGCAATTATACCTAAAATTTGTCTAGCCAATTCCAAAGTCAATTTTATAATAGCGGGAGATGGACCAAAATTTTTAGATTTAGAACAAATGAGAGAAAAATATTTCTTACAAGAAAGAGTTCAATTAATCGGTGCAATAAAACATGAAGAAGTAAGAGATGTTATGGTGAAAGGTGATATATATTTACATCCCTCATTAACAGAAGCATTTGGTACAGTTATTGTAGAGGCAGCATCTTGTGGATTATATGTTGTAACTACAAAAGTTGGAGGTATTCCAGAAGTTTTACCATCAAATATGACAAGTTTTGCAGAACCTGAAGAAAATTCATTAATTGAAACTACTTTATTAGCTATTAATAAACTAACAACTGGGGAGATTGATACTAAAAATTATCATGAAAAAGTTGCCAAGATGTATAGTTGGCAGAATATTGCCAAGAGAACTGAAACTGTTTATGATTCATTAGATTTAAATCAATTGAATGAACCTTTAATTGATAGATTGAGTAAATATTATTGTTGTGGTATAATTGCTGGTAAATTATATGTCTTGGTTGTTATTGTTGATATATTTATATACACTATATTGGAATGGCTATACCCTGCCGAACATATTGATTTTGCAACTAAATGGAAGCAGAAGAAGAAGAAAAATCCGGATTTTTTTTGATTAGATTTGATTTCATAGACTTATAACTTTTATATTGCTCTTCAATACATGCATTGATATATTTTGGAGTAGGTTTTTTATGAGTCCACTCATTAGTTGAATTTATACTTATCAATTGAGTATTTTCTGCTATTTTCCTTATATCTCTCGATAAACTTTGTAATGGAGTTACTGGCGACCAAATTTTAATATTATTATCAAAATTGAGCCAAGATAGATCGTCAATATTCATGGATCTAGCTCTTTGTTTTAATTCAATCAATCTTTCTAATTTTTTTATTTTCTCATTGTATTCCCTTTGAGTTTCAATTGTCTCGAATTTTTTGTTTAGAAATAAAGAATCATTATCAATTGCATTTACTTGATTTTTGAGTTCAAACTTCTCTTTCTCTAAGTGACTTATGGTTTTGGATTGAATTTCTTTCTCATCAATTGCAATTTGTAATTGATTTTCTAACTCTTGTATTTTAGATTTTGTTTGCTTGGTGAATAATTTCATATTCTGTTGTAATAATGCTATATTGAGTTTAAGATCTGTAATTTCATTATCTTTGGTGGTAAGCAATTCACTATTATCTGGTATTGAAGGTGATGAGACAATCTCCATATCGTATATAGAAATTAATGGATCAGTGAAAATTTTGAACTCAAGTTTTAAATCTTTGAACAGTGACTCAAATGAACTGCTCAATTCACTTGGAATTTCACCACTAGTTGTACTAACAACCAGTTCAAAAAATTTGTTCAATAGCAAGTAGCTGTCAAGTGGGAACACTGCATTAATATTTTGTTCAAACTTTAAAGCCTCTGTTAATTGTGCATTAAAATTATCCAACGCAGTCAGATCTTGACTCTGATTTTTTAAAATTTCATCGATAAGTATTTTTAATTGCTTGAATAGATAAAATTGTTTTAGACAGAAAACTTTATCATCTGAAGCTAGATTTGTCACAACATTTAAATTCTCTTCCAACAACAATTGGATATTTTCCCTTGATTCGTCTTCGATTTTCTCAGAATTAATCAATGATTCAATAATCAGACTACTCTGCTGATAATATTTTGCTGACAATTCTTTTAAAAAAGTTACCTCCCTGTGGTTGTAGTTGTATTCAAGTAACTTTATTAGCATCTCATGAACATTCGTTGTAGCTTTGAAAACAAATGGGTAATTTCCTAAACTTTTTTCAGCCAAGATACTCAACAACTCCACTTGATAATGGAAATCAAAAACCAAATCAACATATAACTTATCTAAATTGGCCAAAAATTTCTTCTCATTTCTTTTTTTGTAAAGGTCCAACTTTAATTTTGACATTTTCATCTCAAATTTAGATCTTGCTAACTCAGCACTGTATTTCGTTAGTTGATCTTGCAATTGCTTTACCTCTTTTGTATCAGCAACTGCATTTATTGGATTGCCTGTTCCATTGATTGTACTTTCGTGGTCAATTAATTGCTTTTCTAAGGATGCAATCTTCAACCGATCTTGATCTATAACCAATTCTAACGAATTTAACTTCTGTAGTAACTCTAATTCATTGGCTTTTGAATCGTCCTCAATCTTCAAATTTAGTTCGTGCAATTCAGTAAGTTCATCAATAGTACTTTGGAGTTTAGATATAGTTTTCACCAACTCTTCATTTTCTAAAGACAATTTATCTGTAATTTTTTCAAGTTCTGCAAAGGACTCAACTCTTTCTTTTAAATGTTCAATTGTTGCACTGCTCTCTGTCAAAGTGTTTTTTAGATGATTCTCCAGGGCCTTAACAGCTGATATCTCCTTCTCGAATAAAGTGATGTGCTGAACACTTGAAACTTTTTCCTGGTTTAATTTTTTAATCAATTCTTCATTTACTCTGTTTTGATCAACAATTTTCTGAATTTCAGATGATGTGAATACCCCTACATCAAGATTTTTTAGTTCTTTCTCTAATTCATGATTTATCTCCAACTCTTCACTAACTATTGAATATTCTTCTTGTAATGTTTGATACTTACTGCTTAATTCTTCTATTTTTTGCTCCAATGATAACTTTGTACTCTGAAGATATTCATTATCAACTTTGGACATATCTAACTTAGTCTCCACTTCATGAAACTGCCGTATTTTTAATTGAAGCTTAGCAGTGATTTTATTTAATTCATCTTTATATTGTAAATTCTCCTCAGTTGCTAATTTTAATTTCAACTTTAACTGCCCCAAATCATCATCTGCTTCTAATATCATACTTTCCCTAACAAATACACCATATAAACCTGATTTAGAACATTCAAAATATTTCTCACCTTGTACTGATCCATCATTTTTCCCATTAGGATTATTTAATTCAATACCATACCAAATACCTGGTGCGAATTTTGTAGCTCCAATGTATCTTATAGATCCTATTTCATTTCTGACCGTAACTATATCATCAATGTTATATTTCATCTATCATTATAATTACTATTGATTTGGTTAAGATAATGATATTTACATTACTAAACTAATTGACGCGTTTTTACATCAAGAAAATAAAAAAAATAAAAGTTCACAAAATTTCATATACAAGTTGATTTTTTACAACCACTTAATACAACAATCAATATAATACAAATGTTCAATCGAGGGGACAGGAAGACGTCGCTTGGGGCAAATTCCAGTAATACTAGTATAGGAAATGGAATTAGCCCGCCCAAAAGAGGTTATTCAAACTCACCAAACATCACAAATAATAGTATCAACAATAATAATAATAATATAAATCTAAAGCAAGATTTACTAGATGATCAAAAAGAAGAAATTAGAGAAGCATTTCAATTATTTGATATGAATGGGGATGGATGTTTAGATTATCATGAAACAAAAGTTGCTTTTAGAGCATTAGGATTTGAATTAAGTAAACGTGAAGTTTTAGATATTATACATGAATATGATACTGATGATACAAATTTAATAACTTATGATAATTTTTATAAAACTGTGGGAGAAATGATTGTTAAAAGAGATCCATTAGATGAAATACGTCGTGCATTTAAATTATTTGATGTTGATGGAACTGGTAAAATAAGTGTAAGGAATTTGAGAAAGATTTCAAAAGATGTTGGAGAAAATTTAAGTGATGAAGATTTACAAGCAATGATTGATGAATTTGATTTAGATGAAGATGGGGAAAGTATGTATCTACGGTGAAGTCAGAGAATTTGAAGCTATTTACTAACAATATTATTCTAGTTAATGAAGAGGAGTTTATAAGAATATGTACGGAATAGTGGCTAAGGTAAGTACGATCTAGGTATGATAAATGTTTTAATTAATGTAACTTTAATAAATCAAATAATTGATGTTGATCTCTTGACTGTCTATGTATGAGTTCACCAAATCTTATTTGGTAGCGATACTTCCTCTTATAATTTTATTTTTTGAAAAATTTTAATCTAATTCAATAAACCACAAGATCAAGAATCATTCTTCAATAAGCACATTATGTCGTGGGTAGTAACTCGTTCTCGTTTTAAGCGAGATATCAACAAATTACCAAACCACTTAAAACAGCATTGGATCAAAGAACAAGAAATAACAGCATTACCTACATTCAAAGGGTTTTTCCCACAAAGATTACCAAAATCACAACAGAAAACAAGATTTGAAGCAGGAATTACTGAAGGTGATTTAGCATATGTCACGGAAGGACCACACAAAGGTAAAATAGTTGAAGTTTTAACATATAGTCCGGAATTTGATTCTGTATCATTAAGTAATATCTCCACAAAAAAATTATTACCAAAACCATTTTGGCCAGAAGGTCATACATCACATGTATTTGATTTCCCAGATTACATACCTAGAAATAAAGTAAGAGTCGTAGGTAAACAAAAAGATGAAGAAAGTGGGAAGATATCGTACGTTGTAGCAGAAGGCATTCAAATGAAAGACTCATATTACGATGACAGATATAAAAAACATATACCAAGAAGATTTATAAAATATCATGATGAATATGAATTACCATGGCCAAACCCACCAAAGATTAATGATGGAGACTTATCAACACCAGAAAATGTAGTTTTGGAAAAAACTTTTGAGTTTAATACAATTGGGAAATCATCAATACCGAAACAATTAATAAATCAATTACGTAATCCATATAGTAAATTTAAAAAGAGAACATTAGATGGTTTACAAGTTGCGAAATTAAATGGACCAGAAATGCCATTAACAATTGAGCAAAAAATCTGGTTAGCTAAACAAGCTGAAAAACCAAAGAAAAAATTATATCCATTATCTGATGAAATCAAAGAATTTATTGGTTCCAAGATGGCTGATCATATGAATAAGATTGAAAGTCCTGAACTACGTCAACATTTGGAAGTTTTATCAAAAGTTAAAATACCCGATTATGAAAAGACCTTGAAACTTATCGAAGAAACTGCTAAAGATGAAGAAGAGCAAATAACGAAATAGAGATGATAACTTGTATATAAAATTTAATGCAAAAAGTTCTTTGTATTATAATTTTTCGTAATCCAATTTACCTTCTAATTTCTTATTATCAGCAACTTTTCTTACAGCTTTCATTAAATCGTTTTGTATAATATAATCTCTATCATCCCTTATTGCAAAAAATCCAGCCTCTGTTACTACATTCCTTATATCAGCACCATTGAACCCATCACTCATTTTAACTGCAGCTTCAAAATCAAATTCTCCATGTTTTGATATTTTTGCTGTATGAATTTTAAAAATTTCTAATCTTCCTGCTTCATTTGGTAATGGTATTTCAATTTTCCTATCTAATCTACCAGCTCTTAGTAACGCTGGATCCAATGTATCTGGTCTATTTGTTGCCATAATGATCTTAGTTTGTCCCAAAGTATCAAACCCATCCATTTGATTTAATAATTCCATGAGAGTTCTTTGTATTTCACGATCTGCTGAAGTACCTTCACTAAATCTACGACCACCAATTGCATCAACTTCATCCATAAATATGATACAAGGTTCATGTTCTTTTGCATATGCAAACATTTCTCTAATTAATCTAGCACTTTCACCAATATATTTATCAACTATACCTGAAGCAGGTGAAAATATGAAATTTGCTCCAATTGTTGCTGCAACTGCTTTTGCTAATAAAGTTTTACCTGTACCTGGTGGACCATAAAGTAATACACCTTTTGGTGGTTTTATACCAACTCTTATGAAAAGTTCTGGGTTTTTTAAAGGTAATTCAATCACTTCACGTAACTCTCTTACTTGATCTGTTAAACCACCAATACCATTAAAGGATATCTCACCTGGTTCAAATGTTGTCATATTATAAACTAATGGATCAACTTCTCTTGGTAATATTCTCATTATAGTTAATGTTGTCATATCTAATGAAACTCTTACACCATTTTTTAAATTTTCTTTTTTGATGGTATTTCGACATCCAACTATATAACGTGGACCGCTTGATGCTTTTACGATAAATCTTTCATCATCTAATTGTTTCAATACTTCTCCAATTATTTGACCTACTGATTGTAATGCTTTTATATCATTTTCTGTTTTATCATAGTCTTTCTCTAAATCTCGTATACTTAATCTTAAATCTTTTAATCTTGAGTCCCATTTTCTATGTTCTAATAATTTATCTTTAAATTTCAGGAGTGCTCTTTCTCTTTCTGGATCAATTGGTTCTGAAGGTTTTGTTTCGTTGGTTTCATTTTCTTGTTGTTCATTTTCGTTGTTAGTGTTTTCTTGGTCTGCATTCAATGCTTGTAAAAGTGGATCGTTTTCATCAGTACTCATATTTCCAATTGATATTTGAATTCAAGTGGCTAGTGAACGAATAAATAATAGACTGGATATTTTGGTTGTAAACTTGAATTTGTTAGTGGCAATTTTTATTTTGGACTGAAAAAGTCCAATTTTTTAAACACACGACTTAATCATGTCAGAGATTTGGTAGCATAAATTATATCGATTTTTTTCAGATCTGAATCATTAAGATATCATCAATCAGATTTGAATAAACAAAGTTTAATATCATAAATTGGTAATGGAATTTATTGCAATTATATTTTGTGGGCAAGGGAAAGCTCTTACACCTTTTTCAGAGACCAGATCAACTGGTTTGCCGAAAGCTTTACTACCAATTGCAAACAAACCAATGATCAACTATGTTTTAGATTGGTGTCAAACTGCATTTTTCAAGAAGATCATAGTGCTAAGTCAAGAAGAAAGTAATGAAGATATTAAAAAAGAAATCGAAAATTACAAAAAACAAAAGAGCGAAGAGTTGGCAAATTCAAGTGATCCTAATGATGTTTATGAAACTCCAATTGAAATAGTACTGATGAGTTGTGAAAATAGTGGAGAAGTATTTTATAATTTATTTAAAGATCCAAAAATTAAATTGTCAATAGACAATTTTATAGCATTACCTTGTGATTTTATAACAGATTTACCACCACAAGTTTTAATTGAAAGATTTAGAAATAGGAGAGATGAAGACCTAGGAATATATGTATCTTATAAAAATCAATTAGATATAGAAGATAAAAAACTGAAAATATTTGGTAAGTCATATACGATTTATTCAAATGAGGATGATTCAAGTTTTTTGGATCTTTATAATAAAGAAGAAGTGGATCATTCTAAAATATTACAAATAAGAATGCAAATGTGTCAAAGATTTCCAAACTCAACTCTAAGTACAAAATTACTAAACAGTGGGATCTTCTTAGGTTCAAATAAAATATTCGACATAATAAATGAAGAAAATAGTAAATTCAACGAATCATACTTTGAAAGAAGAAATTTTCAAAAATTTATACGTGATCTAGCAAGAAGATCATGGAAACATTCAAACTTAAAAGAGACTATTGGTTTTATGGAAATACCGTCTCAAGCTACTTTTTTCAGAGTCAATAAATTACCAGTATGGATGGAAGCTAATAGACATTTCATGAAACAACAAGCAATGAGTAAAGGTCAAGCACATCAACAACAAAAAGATAAATCTTCTGCACATGTAGGAAATGACTCAACTGTAGGTGAGAATACAACTTTAGGTGAGAAAACCAATGTTAAAAGAAGTGTAATAGGATCAAATTGTAAAATAGGGAATAAAGTTAGAATAACGGGATGTTTAATATTAGATAATGTAACAATAGAAGATGATGTACAACTCGATAATTGCATAGTAGGGCATGACGTAACAATTCATTCAAAATCAAAATTAACAAATTGTAATATAGAATCAACAAATGAAGTTATATCAGGTACTCAATCGAAGGGAGACACGTTATTATGTTTAAGTTTAGAGAATCTTGAAGATGGTGAAAGTGAAGAAGAATTTGTTTTACAAGAAGGACCACTTAGTGACTCAAGTTCTGAAGAAGAAGAAGAAGATGATGATGAAAGTGAAGATGAAAGTGAATTTGAAGATGAATATACCGGAAATGAAGATGGTTTATTCGATTATTAAATAGATGATAAATAGTACAAAATTGCATAATCAAAAGTACTTACTGTATTTTATAAAGAGATGCTAGAAAAAATTCTATATAATCGTATAACCTCATCAATGTAATGCTAAAAAGTCCTCAAAAACAGTGCCTGCAATGTTTTAGCTAATTCTTCTTCTTCTTTTTCTTGACGGGACTATTGCTAAATTCTTTAAAAAGTTTCACTCTTTTTCCATCATCAGTCTCACTTTCACTGGATTCCTCTGATGAATGGAATTTTTTATGATATTGTTGTTGTAATTTGCTTTTTTTAAGCGTTAAATTTCTTTGCGATTGATTATGTTGAACTGAGATTGGAGGTATACTTGGTTTGAAGTTGGTTGGTGGTTTTAACTCGGATTTAAAGTGAAACTCAAAATCACTAGGTAATTTTGAATCTTCCATAGTGGTAGTGGATTGAGTAGTTGGTCGTATTCCATTTGATGATTTCTTATGATTTATAATCTCAGCTCTTCTTGTTAATGCCCAGTTTTCAATATCTTCATCATTAGTAATAACTTCTAGCAAGTCATCAATACATTGTATATAACCTTTATCTTGAGATACCAAATGGGAAATTTGCCCCAATTTATATAATGATGCAACGGATTTTGCTGCATTTGCAAAATCACTTTTTATTGAAGATTTTTGAGATTCGTTGGTGGTTGATGAGTTTAATGATATATTGTATAATGAAGCTACGGCTTTTGCGGCATCTTTGAAGTAGCTAGTTAGTTCCAGACTAATATCTGATGAAGTAGTTGATGATTGCGATGTTGATGTTGAAGGAGGTTGACTTATTTGATCCTCCTCGGTTGGTTGAGTCTTGCTCTGCCTCAGTATAGGTTTCAGCAGAGGTAAAGTATTTGATAAGTTTGATAAATCCATACTGTAGAAAGGTTTCTTAAAACATAAATAGTTGTTATAAATTAAAAAAAATTTTGTTGTTATTTAGTTCATGTGATGTAATATTATGAGATTGTTTTTTTTAAGTTAATATAAAAAGACTGAAGAAAGAGGAGTTAGACAAATCAGCACATTTTTTTAATTTTCTTAGAGAATCGTTTACGAATGATCTTGTAAAATAAAGCGCAGTTTTGGCTGATTATAAGATATCAAGTCACAGTAAACAGAACAGTTCAATAAACTTAAAAATTAATAGATAATTTTCTCTAAATTTGTCAGTTAAATCTATGGAACAGATTGATCAACCAAAGAATTAATTGATCTCCACTTGATTATCTTTTAAATTGGAGCACCAAAAGTTGATCACAAGAATCAGTAGAACTCATATTTCGTATTACAGTTTTGAATGTGTCAAGTTACTGCTAAAATAAATCATTGAGAAAGAAAAATAACTTCGTATATTATTTTTATTAATTATAATAATTTTTAATAACAAATTCAAATCAAGATCTTCATTCAATTTGCAACTGCAATCAACATAAAGATAAAAAACTCACCCTAATGGTAGAATCAACATTAATATATAGATATGATGGTATGTCCAATTTTCTATGGATTACTAAAAAGTTTCTTATACTAACCCCTCATAAGCTCTTCCATTATGTGGATCAGTTGATGATGATAATGATGCCAATTCACAATCGCTATTAGATCAAAAAAAGAAATGTAAAATATTAATAAGTAGAATAACACCAAATTCAGAACCACAAGCAACAATTGAATCAGGAGATTATAATATACATTATTTAATTTCACAAAATATCATATATTTATGCATTTGTAAAAAATCATATCCTAGAAAATTAGCATTTTCGTATTTAAATGAAATATCAAATGAATTCTATAATAGTCATGGATCAGAAGCATTGAGTCCTCAAGCAAGACCTTTTGGTTTTTCATCATTTGATAATTTTTTAAATAAAACTAAAAAAATTTATCAAGATCAAAGAGCTCAATCAAATTTAGATAAATTAAATAATGATTTGGCTGATGTTAAAAAAGTGATGACAAAAAATATAGAAGATTTATTATATAGAGGTGATTCATTAGATAAAATGAGTGATTTATCAAGTTCATTGAAACAAGATTCGTTAAAATATAGAAGAAGAGCTCAAAGAATCAATTTAGAAGCTTTAATTAAACAATATATTCCAATTGTCGGTGTTGGATTATTGTTTCTTTTTATATGTTATTATTTACTAAGAAGGTAAGAAATATATAATTATTAATTGGTATAGAATATTTAAATTGTTTAATGTAGTACTTTCAATGTTCTTGTTTTTGCAACACAATTTGATTTAATTTATTATTTTTGTTACTGTAACTGTATTAGGAGGTTCCAATTCAATGGATCGACCTCAACTACTAAAAATAGCTACTAAATCGACTAGTTTATTACCTACTGCATCCAATTCACAAGTAACTTCAACTACAGAAGCAACTACAGCAATAAATTACGAGAATGTCAATCTGGAAATTCAATCTATAAGAAATGTATCTCCATTAACTCAAGCAGATAATGCAAGTGTAACTTCGGACTTGTATCTCTCAGAATACTTAGAAGACTTACCCATCCCAACATCAATACGGCAACATCACCTTAAAAAATTAAAAAGTATATCTTATTTGGATTTATATCAAAATGAAGCAGTTGAAAATGAAAATGAATTTTATAACAAATGTATTGCAATCTCCAAAACAAATAATAACAAGGAGTTTCATAATAAACTAAAGCATTTTTTCATATTTTCAACTGCTGGAAAACCTATTTATTCAATGAATGGGTCAGATGAAATTATAATTGGATATATGGGAATCTTGACTACAATTTTATCAACTTTTCAAGAAAACTTACACGAGAATTTAAAAAGTATTCAGTTAGGTGATGATTTGAGGTTGATTGCGTTAAATAAAGCTCCAATTGTATTAGTGGCTATATCAAAACTAAATCACGAGACCGATGAGTTAATTAAAGAACAATTGGAAATATTATATTGTTATATGTTGAGTATACTATCCAAGCCATCAATTGATAAACAATTTCATAATAGATTAAATTATGATCTAAGAAGGGTTTTGAATCCATTAGACTTTGAAAATTTAGATATATTATGTATGAAATTAACTTATGGATTAAATGATGGATTTGAATTTTATTTATCAAAATTACTAAAAGCTAGACAAAGTTATAAAATAAGGTACACTCTAAGGTCCAAAATGAAGAAAATACTAAAGAGCTTTAAAGATGATGATTTGTTATTCACTGTCCTTGCAAAATCTCATGTCATTTTGGAATTTGTCAACCATAAAACCCATGAATTGCCAAATAATGACTTAGATATGTTGGTCTTTATTGTAAACTCACTCAAAAACGAGGGTGAGGATTTATGGATGCCACTTTGTATGCCCAATTTCAACAAAAACGGGTTTCTTTATGTGTTTGTTAGATCTTGGAATAACTTAACTTTAATACTCATAAGTGGGAACAAAAATTCATTTTATAAACTAAAAAACTTAGCCAATGATATATTCACCAAAGTTCAAACAACTCAAAATCAAGAATACTTACGAAACTTTCAACATGATTTATTAACTCCATTATCAACATCTATTCCATTTGTGGTGAGACATTTCATATACATCAATAAAACACTACAACAATTTGTCACTAGTGAATTCCCAAACAATAGAGACATTATCTTACAAATGATCAAATACTATACTACACTAAAAACTAACAAATCAAATCTACAATCAAAAGATTCTAAACTAAATTACAAGAAATTATCGTATATTAAATGGGGGAATATTACAGGATTTATGATAAGTGATAACGTATATGAATTTTATTGTATAACTGATGAAAATTTAAATTCTAAAAAATTAATTGAATTAAGTATATCAATTATAAATTGGTGTAAACAAAATAAATCAAGATTATTTATTTCATAATTAATTTTTCAAAATTTTTAAACAGTTCTTGTAATTTATCAATATATAATTTATGTAATTTTTCTAATTGATTTAATTGTTTATTTTCTGAATCTGATATTCTGTGGTTCTTGAGGTGACCTTGAAATTTTGACCTTATATCTCCTCTTACACTTGTTAATGAATTTGACTTATTGTTTTTGAGTTTATCAAATAACTCTTTCAATTGTTTTAAATTGTTTTGTTTAGTTTCTGTAGTTATTGGAGGTAATGGGATTTTTATATTGAATTTATTAGATGGATCAACAGTACCACTCATATTTAATCCAGAACCAATAATTGCATTAATTAAAGCTTGAGCATTCAGTGGATCAAACATTGTTATTATAAAATTTCTACCTTTAACTGAAGTTTGAGCGATTGAATTAAATTGAACTTCTTCAACCTCACTTTGATTTCCAATATTTACCATTATATTATCGAAAATTTTAGGGTTTAACTTACCTAATTTTATTTCATTTGCCAATTTGTCGAATTTTACTAAAACTTTTTCAAATTTAGTTTCCGCATCTTTAAAATCAATTGTTGGAGTTATTACTTCTTCTTCTGCTTCTGCTTGAATTTTTTCATCTTGTTTTTGAATTTTTTGTTTACTGTTTGGCTTTTTCTTTAGAAGTGGGGTGGTTGTATGAAATAATGCAGGTCTAATGAGAGAGCTAGATCGTATAAGACTAGTTCTTAGTATAATCCTAGCAGGTTGTCTAAACATTTTTGGTGGTTATATTGTTAAAGAGGTTGACTATAATAATTTTTCAGAATTTTCAGTACGATTTTCTCTCACACGATTTTTATTTATAGAGATTCTAATAAACGTATACAATTTGTTGCTTCTCTTCCTATATCTCCACCTTCTTTAGTTAGGTTAGTTAGATTCTTGAGCATCTTCTCTTTGAAGAATTCGTTCATTATTGTTAATCTAGTTCCTATATCTTCAGTGGTCAAGGAATCCAAAGTTTCTATGGAATTTATTGAATCATTTGACATTTCATTTATAAAAAGCTTTAACGGAGCAAAAACTTGTGGGGTGGTTGGTAAAAGATATTTGTATGATTGTGGATGTATTGTGATTTGATCTACGTGAATATTCTCCTTGGTGGTTGGTTCTGCAATTAATGTTGATTGTAAAAATTTTGTAATTGTTTGTACATGATCTATTCTTGCCTTTTTGGAATTTTCTCCCAACAATATAGATGAACTTGTATTAATGGAAACACTTTTAGATTTTGCATCGTTTAATAATGACCAACTCATTAAAATAAAGAAATTTTTCATAATTTTAACAAAGTACAGTTTCAAATCTGCAAATTCATTCATTAGTGATAGGAACTTTGTACTAGTATTTCGTATATCTGGTTGAATGTGAGTCATTGCTGAGATTATAAATAGAACTATTGTTCTTTTATGTAAGTCTAATAAGCCCGTTTGATTTTCTCCACATTTTTTTAATAAATTTAATAATTCTATTCTAACTTGTTTAGATTCATCTAGTATTAATGGTATCACACTTGTTACAATTTGTTTATAAGTAGATGGATTTGATGGTAGATTTTGGGTTAAGTTTATAAGAACTTCTTTTCTAGTAGTTGAAGAATGATGTTTAGTTAATGATAATTGATGAGAAAGATCTTTTGAATGTACTGTTATTAATGATTGACCAGGTAATGAAATTGTTTTCGATTTAAATGAAGTGTCGGTATAGTTGTCTGGCTTTTGAGCAGTTTTACCTACTTTAAGCTTAGCCTTCTTGAAATCCTTTTGTTTTTCCTTTTGTTTTCTTTTAGATCCCATTTTGGTGCTGTTGGTTAAGATGAGATCAAAAATCTGGAACTTCACTAAAATAAAAAAATAAATTCAAAACAAAATAAATCTAAAAAAAATAAGTAAAATGGCATCGTCATTTGGACTAACTTTCGAACATGAAAATCTACTATCGTCATTGTCATTAGATGATAAGCCCAAAGAGAAGTTCAGAAGTGATGATGATATCGACGCAATGGATATAGATGATCCAATGGATCTTGACGAACCTGAGATCAACCGCGAACAACCTGTTGTCGAGGAATCTGAAGAAGAAGAGCCCCAATCTCCAGAGCACAACATATTAGCATTGATATCTCCGACTATGCTAGGTGCAAAATTAGCTGTTCATAAACCAAAGTTATTAATGCCACCATCACCATCATCACCACAACAAAAGAGGAAATCATCAATAGATTATGAATTCGATACAAGCTCATTCCAACCTATACAGAATAATTCGTCATTTCAAAATTCCACAATAACAAAAAGAAACAATACTACATTTCAAAATTCGCCTGGCTTAAACGTTTTTCTTTCACCAACTAATAGAAGCGAAACAACGATTCCTCAAACTATTCATCATCATCATTACTATGGAAATTCCAACAGAGATCATTATTTAGAAGAATTAAGGCTACAGCAGCAGCAACAACAACTAATAAATAAACAACTAGAGTATGAAGATCATCATAAAAGATTGGAATTATATAAGAGTCAAAATTTTGTTAGTTTACCGGCACCATGGCAACAAAATATACATCCAATTGAAAAAATTCCATATATAATATCATCATATCTACAATTATTTATAAATTTTATAATTTCACTATATTTTATTTACTTAATTTATTATATTGCAACAACAATAAAATCAGATATAAACCATAAACTTACTATACAAAAACAAAATATTCAATTACAAATAGAGTCATGTCGTAAACTATTCATAGAGAATCAATGCGATAATCCAGATTTTTATAATCTACCATTACTTAACAAGAAATGTCAATATTATGAAAAATGTATGTCTCAAAATCCGAATTCAATTGGTAATATTTCAGCAATAAATGCTCAAATCTTGGGAATGATTTTAAATTCATTAATTGAACCCTTGGGATTTAAATTTTTTTTATTTACTTTATGGTGTGGAATTGTTATATTTGGTTGTAATTTCTTATTCGGTTATATTAGAGCTAAAACTTATTATGGTCATTCTGAAATAGTTAATGATTGATGAATTAACTAGGTTTTCAACTCAAATTGTTATTCATTTTGTACGGCTTTAACAAGTGGAATTATAATGAACAGTAATTCAGTATTAACTTATGATTCATGCATGGACTAGCTTCGTTTAATAATATTGTAGTAGAAAGCCATATTTCAAAACAAAGGGTTTCGGATATACGAAATTACTTGATTTGATCATTCAATCAAAACAATTGCGCTTACTAATAAAAACGTTATTTGAGACCCCTTGATTGATACTTTAAATAAAATAAAAAATGATCACTTACTTATTGGAGTTAAAAAATGTTTCAAGTTACAAAATGAAATCGATTTTAAGACTTTTTTAATACGAGAATTTAAAAGTATAAAAATTTATACGAGAGAATAAACAATCTTCTTTGCAATTTTGAGAAAGAAATTAGCTTAAGTGGTAAATGTAAATTGAATAATAGCGAAATCTTACATTTCGTTTCTTAGTCTACTTCAAATAATTGTTGATGCTCTAATCTTCTTTCGATATTTCTGATTGTTTAGCGTAAAAAATATCTTTTAATTACTTCTTTATTTATGTAAAACATACATTTGTATCTTTATTGTTTGCTTTTTTTAAAATTTACATATGACTTTAAAGCAAATTAATTTAAAAATTAAATTGATTTAGATTTTTAAAAACCTCGTTTAGCTAAAAATCTCAGTTTGCAGTCTTATAAGGTTCATTAAATTTATATTACTAATCAACCAAAGCTCGCACTCGATTTAATTTATTTAATCTAAAGCCTAAATTTCCTTCAAAAGGTTTGTTTGAAAGATAATACTTTATTAATTAACGTTTGACGTTTTTTATGGATTTAAAGGTTTCCGGTTTTGTGTAACTCCCGGTCTTAAAGTTTATGGAAAATGAAAAAATAATTAAAATAAAAAAAAAAGCCTTACAATAATAATAAATTTATTATTACGCGATGATTGTTTTAATCACAATTATAATAATTTATAAAATTTAAACAAATTATTTTATAAATAAATTTCAAATTCCATTTAAAATGTTTATAAATTAAGAAAAATTAATTTTCTTGATACTTTTCTTGTTCGATTTTACTTATTTCAAGATCTAACTAATTTATTATCAGTAATGGGTCTCTTCGGTACATCAGAAGAAGAAGAAGCTCAATTAAGAGAAGCTGCTGATCAAGTAATAGCAGAAGATAGATTAAAGCATAACAATCATTATTCAAGATCAAATAGTTATACATCAAATACAAATTTATCAGCTTATGAAACTGCAGAAGAAGAAATTGATGATGAATTAGATCATAAAAGTTTGAAACATGACGGAAAAAATATTATACCAGAAGCCGCTCCAGTTGAAGCAAATTACAACACAAACACACGACCTGATACAATTTTTAACACAAATGAGGATATTAACAAGAAAAATATTAATCATGAAACTGAACATCCATTTTCCCATCAGCGAAACAATGACAATATTAATCCAGATTTTAATGATGATTCAACAGTAAATGAGAAAAATTCAATAGAACAAATCAAGGATAAATCATCAGATGATGAAATTGCAACCGAACAACAAGAAGATAAAAAAATCGAAATAGAAGACTTGGATTGGGATGGACCTGATGATAAAGATAATCCATATACTTGGTCATTTGTGAAAAAATGGTGGATCACAATAACAGTTGCAGTAATGTGTTTAACATGTTCATTGGGATCTTCTCTATATACTGCTGGTGTAGAAGAAATAATGATTGAATTTCATGCATCCCAGAGATTGGTAATAGCTGGTTTAACATTCTATTTACTTGGACTTGCATTGGGGCCTGCTTTTATGTCAGGGTTTACCGTAGTTTTAGGAAGGAAGCCATTTTATGTTTATCCATGGATAATTGCAATTTTTTTCATTTTAGGTTGTGGTTTTGCTAAGAATATTTGGACTATGTTGATATTAAGGTTTTTTGCTGGTTTCTTTGCTTCTCCATGCCTTTCAGTTGTTGCTGGTACAATCAATGACTTGTTTTCTCATGATCCATTCCAACAATCAACAGCTGTTGCAATTTTTTGTTTAATGCCATTTATGGGTCCAGTTATCGGCCCAATTGTCGGTGGTTTTGCTGCTGAATACAAGGGTTGGAAGTGGGCAGCTTCATGGGTATTGTTGATGTTTTATGGAGCATCTTTAATAAGTGTTATTTTTGTTCCAGAAACTTATAAAACGGTAATTTTAGTTAAAAGAGCAAAGAAAAGAGGATTAAATGTGAACATGCCTAAACCGGACTTTGAGTTGGTGAAGAGTATTACAAAAATGTATTTGCTTGTTCCATTCAAGTTGTTGGTGGTTGAGCCAATTGTTTTGTTCATGTCAATTTATGTCGCTTTTGTGTTTGCAGTTTTATTTGGATTTTTTGAAGCTTTCCCAATCATATTCAGAGGAGTTCATGGTATGGGATTGGGAGTATCGGGTCTTCCATTTATTAGTATTTTGGTAGGTTTTGTTTTTGCAGTATTAGTTTATATAATTTTGGATCTTTACTATTTTTTCCCAAAAAATAAAGATGGATCCAGAGTTAAAAGAGACGAAAATGGTAATGTTGTATATGATCCACCTGAGAGGAAATTATTAATTGGTAAGATTGGTGCAATATTTTTACCTATTGCTTTATTTTGGTTAGGATGGACCGGTAAATTTAGATCTGTGCATTGGATCGCTCCAACTTTAGCTGGTGTACCTTTTGGATTTGGTTTATTAATGATTTTCTTGAGTGTGGTGTTTTATTTTGCGATGGCATTCCCTCCAGCGATAGTAGCATCAGCCATGGCAGCAAACAACTTGTTGAGATATATTGTTAGTTCGGTATTCCCGTTGTTTGTCTATGATATGTTCACCAACAAGACATTAGGTATAGGTTGGGCCGCCTCCATATTTGCGTTTATCTCGTTGCTCATGTTACCAATTCCTTTTGTTTTCAGTTATTTTGGACCTCAAATGAGAGCTAGATCTAAATATGGATATGCTGCTTATTTTAAAGAGTTAGCTGAGAAGAGAGCAAAGAAGGAAGAAGCTGAGAAGGCCAATTTACAAGGCGAGAAACAACTTTCGGTTCCAGGTGAAGATGTGGGTAAAAAGGTTTAGTTTTAATAATTATTCCAAGAAATACAATTTATAGAATTTTTGAGTTCTTCCAATACGTTTTTAATGTCTGTATAGACAATTTATAGTGCGTTTAATAGATTTTTGATAGCTTATTCGAAAATGTAATCTCTTTTAAATTTGTTGAATGGGACTTATGTTGGTGGACTATGAAAAAGTTCATGATATTGATTTTGAGTCACAAACTTAAGGTACTCACGTGATTTATGAAACAAATACTTAATGAGTTTTGTAAGTCTCTTGTCATTCGATAATGTGGTCCACATTTGTAAAATTCCCCTTATATTCGATCCTCTAGAAAATCTGGTTGTACTAGGAGCATTTATAATTGGACCCAAGCAAGGTTTGGTGGTAATCTGCTTTATATCATTTATCAAATTCTAAATATTAGATTCGTATACAAAAAAGAAAAAGGCTACCAATTGATCTATTTTTTTTTATTTTGAGCTTGAAAATTAAATAGATATATACTTAGGTCAAGAGTTTCAAAGAGTTTAAATCAAGATCTTGTATTGATCAATCAAAAAAATTAGTTACCGAGTATTACACTGAAGAATAACAAGATTTCGAAACGAATACAGCAAAAAAACGAGGACAATTTATTAGAGAAGGCATAGTTAAGACCTATTAATGTTCATTATTTACCTATTATAACCATTAGTTTCATTTAAATCAAACAAAATGAATAATACAATGAATGGAATGCAAAGTCAAAATACAAATGGTATGACTAATCAAAATGGAAACACTGGCACGAGCAATTTACAAGGTGGTGGAATTCAACAACAACAACGTCCTCAACAACAACCAAATATCCAAAATATACCTCCACAACAATTAGCACAATTAGTTCAAGCTATGAAAAGTGATTTTGAAACTGCAAAAAATGCTACTGATGATCAAGTTAGACAACATCATTTGACTCGAGCAGAAAATATACGAAGGTTGTTGGCTAGATATCAAGCCCAAAAAACTAGGATGCAACAACAACAACAACAGCAGCAGCAACAACAAGTTCCACTTCAACAAATACAACAACAATACGGTCAAAATACTCAACTGCCAAAAATTCAACCACACCCACCAGCTCAAAATCAATCACATGCTTTATCACAACAAAATTTAAACAACAATAATGCAATAAACAACTTTAATCAAAATCATCAAGGAACTCCTGTCATGAATCATAGTGCAATTTCATCACCAGCCCTTAATTCTGGAAATATTCCAAATGCAACGCCATTGAAAACTCAACAACAGCAACAACAACTACAGCAAAATCGACCATCTTTAACCAAGCAACAATTAGAAGAACAAGGTAAACAGAAGTTACAACAACAAATGAGAAATGATGGGCTGGATCTACAAAACTCAAGTAAGCAACAGAATAGTCAAAATACAAATCAATATAGTAGCTTATTAAGAAGTATGAGTTCAAGTACGTCAAGTGGAGCTGGTAGTGGTACCGCAGGTGGAATCAATATTCCATCAAATACAATTTCAATGGAAAGATTTAATCAAATTAGACAAAAACTAACTGAAGTTCAACGTAAGATACAACTTTTGGAACAAAGTAAACAAGCAGGTAATGCAACACAAGAACAAATTTCAATCATTGATAGAGAATTAGTTGAATATAGAACCAAGTTTCAACAATTTCAAAAAATTGGAATATATATGAGAAACCAATTAGTTCAACAAGCTAAACAGCAACAGCAACAACAACAGCAACAATTAGGCAAACAATCTCAAAATCAAACACAAGCACACTCCTCTCCTGCAATGCCTAATGGTCAAACACCACAAGTAAATCAACAAAAGCAGTTCTCCCCTCAACTTACACAACAACAGAATCAACATCAACAGCAATTTCAACAACAGCAGCAACAACAACACAACCAAATGCAACAACAACAACAACAGCAGCAAAATCACCAGCAACAACAAAACCAGCAACAACATCAACAACAACAGCATCAGCAACAAATTCAACAACGTCAACAACAATTACAACAGCAACAATTGCTTGCTCAACATCAACGTAATATAGCTAATGGTCAACAAATGGTACCTAATCAGATACAAGCTCCAGACATGAATTCAGTAGGGATTAGACAAACTCCTCAAAATAATTCAAAACCAATACCTCAAGGTATGACAGCTCAAGCACCTACACCTGCATTCCCAACTTCGCAACCTACTCCAGCACAAACTCATACAATAATGCCAAGCCGGCAAACTTCTGCTACTCCACAAGCTTCATTTCCACAACAACAACCACCACCACCACAACCACCACAACCACAAGTTAGTAGGCAAGGTTCAGCCTCATCTGATAAAAAATCTGTAGGATTAGCATCAAATGCAACCAATGCTGGTATCCCTAATGGTACTAAATCAGGAACACCGGGTGTTGATCGTCAAATCCCACCAAGATCAAAATCATCAATGGCATTAAATTTAGCAGGTATCACAAAATCAAGTGTTCCATCAATCCCTATATCGAGTTCAGTCAATATAAAACCACCAACAATGGTTACTTTCAATTCTTTAACAAATACTAGACCAACATTAACTGGAGGAGCTGCTAATTCATTGAGTATACTTTTAGATACACCAGCAATTACAAAATTACCAACTTTTGATTTAGAAGGTGGTAAATCCACAATAGATTCAGGTAGAATATTAAACAAAAGGAAATTACAAGATATAATAAGTACAGTTGGAGTTGATGAAGGAGATGGTAAAACTACAATAGATGGAAATGTAGAAGAAGTATTACTTGATTTAGCAGATGAATTTATTTATTCAGTTACAAGTTTTGCTTGTAGATTAGCTAAACATAGAAAAGTTGATAGTATTGACGCAAAGGATATTCAATTACATTTAGAAAAAAATTGGAATATTAAAATTCCGGGTTATGCAATGGATGAAATCAGAAGTACAAGAAAATTTCAACCAAGTGTTAGTTATAATCAAAAAGTTTCTGGTGTTGAAATTTCAAAAGCTGTTAATGGTGATATTTAGTAAGTCATTTATTTTTGAATATATATACAACTTATTTGTCATTATCTGATTTATTAGCTTTTCTTATTTTTTTTGCCCAAGCTTTATGTTCTTTATCATACAAACCTTCTTCAACTCCATTAAAAAATGGATCAACTTTTAGTAATTGCCAAGGAGATTTTCTAACGGAATCATTTTTAATCAAACATGAATCAATAAAATTTATTAAATCTGAATCAAATGGTTTGTTAGTGGTTTTATTTATTTTATTCTTCAAAGTCGGTGGGTTTTCATTAACTATTCTTTGTAAAAGATCCAATATCCCTTCTGGTCCTTTGAAGGAATTGCTTGATAACATCTCCTCATCTTCATAATTATCATCTGACCATACTTGCTTACCCGTAGCTAATTCTATTAACATTAAACCCATTGACCAAACATCGGATTTTACCCCATAATTTAAACCCTGAATTCTTTCTGGTGACATATACATTGAAGTACCTACAAAAGTATCAGCCATGGCTAAAGAGTTAGTTAATTCTCTTGAAACTCCAAAATCACATAATTTGAATTCTCCCTTGTGGGTCATTAATACATTATTTGGTTTTATATCTCTATGAATTATTTTATGAGTGGTGTATAAATATGTTAATCCTGATAATATGGCAAATGATAATTTTTTAAGTACATAGTTGGGGAATTGTTTATATTCACATAATGGTAATATTTTGTCTAATGATCCACAATTACAATATTCCATACAAAGTACTATAGTGTTGTTGTTGTTTAAAAATGCTCCATAAAATTCTATAATAAAAGGAGAATTACATTCGTGTAGTATTCTGAGTTCTCTAATTATTTGAGTTTGAATTATACTTTTGGAATCAATATGTATGATTTTTTTGGCCATTATTTTTTGAGTAGGGACATGTAAGATCTTTGATACAGAACCTGAATTTCCAGAACCCAATTGCTTCAAAGTTAAAAGATCTTTGTTATATAATTTAATTGAATTTGTTGTTGATATCGGTGAATCTATATTTAATTCATTTTTGCTGAATAAGTGGTTTGTAGTGGTTGCGTCCATTGGTGAATTAGATGCAGTTGATTTTGTAGGTGATATAGATGATATTACAGTTTGTCTATTTTGATGATTACCATTACCAGATTGTATGTTTCTTTTCAAATCTAAATTTGAGATTTGATTCATTATTAAATCTGTTGAGATTTCAGATTCGGGATCGACGTTTCTATTACTTCCATTTATATTAAATTCAGTTATTGAAGTTCCTGCACTTGTTGGTCTACTCAAAGTTTGACTTATTATTACTCCCAGCAGTGAATTATTTCTATTGTTATTTAAATTTGGAGTTGTTATTGAAGTTTGTGATAGTGATCTTTGAGATGATGATGATGGAAATTGATTTAGTATATTGGGAGATGTTGAATTTATTGATTTAGATGATAAATTAGGTAGATTAAGCATTGGAGCTGGTCTTTGCTGTCGTTTGTTTCTCAATGATAAAGGTTCCCGTATTATTGATGAATCTTCTAAATTTTCATTTTCATTGGATGTTGTTGGCAGTGATAATTGTAAATGTTTTAAATTCTTTCTTTTCAATGTTTTTGTTTCTAGTATATTAGATGATGATGAATTTTGTTGTTGTAGTTGTTGATCTATTGGAATTGGAGGCAAGTTTTTATCTCTGGACCCTATTGATGTATCAGAATTATTCCGGAAATTCATCATTTTGAGAATGAATATATGACAAAATTCAATTCGTTAGATTCAATGTTAATTTAAAATTTCTCTGTTATGTTGATTAAAGTAAATTTTAATTGGTGTGGTCCAATTTTTCAAGTTCTTTTATGTAACTTTATTAATTTTGCTATAATAATGAAATAAAAAAAATTTAAAAACCAGTTCTTAGTAAATTTTTTGCTGAATTGAAAATTGAAATATTTGTTTAATAAAAGATTAAAAATTTCGTTGATATTAATTTAAAAGTCCGAAATAATCAACAAATTATTTTGAAATTTTAAGATTAAGATATTAAATTAAATTTTAATTTAAGATTGTAAGTAATAATAAATTTAAATTAAAGAGATCAAATTTTGTCGGTTAATAATAATTAATTATTTTTTTGTTTGTTCTAAAAATAAAACGTAAATAAGTATGAAAAGTAAAGTAGAGTTGTTTGTGAATAGAAGCATGTCTATAAGAATTGGTAAAAATAGTTGACGTCTGTGGGGCAAAGTTTGTGCCTCATAGATAGACGTATTAAATATCAAACAAATTAGTCGATATAGTAAATTTACTTTTAATATCAATATTCAAGTAAAAAAAAATATACTTGAAGTAGCACATTTACTGAAAGAATTATATTAAATAAACGAGTTCCAATTATAGAAAAACCGTTGAAATCAGGCGTTTAAATCATGTAGATCAATGTCAAACTTATTATAACAAACTTTATTAATATAAACTTTAATAATGAAAGTTCCAATAAAATTACAATAATATTTTTTAGTATTATTGTTTTGGGGCCAATTTTTATTTTTTGACGATTGATTAATTCAAATATACGATGCTGAATTTTTTATAAAATTTTAAGAAATGTCACAGTTTTCTCCGTATAATTATAGAGCTAACCAGATCGAGGATCTGAGATTTAGACTATCTTAGTTCATTTTGTTGATGACATAGATCTTTGAGGTAAGATCCCTTTACTAGATTTGCAGCTTAATGAGTTTGTTAAAGAAGTTATAGTTAAACAACTTGGCTTTTAGAATGTAAAAATTTGAATTCATGCGATTATTACAACTGACAGGTCCAACTTATTTCAATTTGAACCCCAATTACTTATGCAATAGCCATAATCGTTGTCTTGCTAGTATGTTAACATCTCAGAGTTTATCAGAGTGTAAACTATAATTCACTTAACTGGTATACTTGAATTTGCTATGTTATACTTACTCTTCAGAGTTTTGGATGTAATGTAATACTACATCTTTCTACATGAGAAAAAGCTTTTTAGAAAGATTGATCGTATATTATTAAGCTCGTGACTTTGCTACTTCTCGTGTACTAATGAACAATTCTTAAATTTATTAAAAGTTCGTTTTCTTTCAACCTTATTTTCAATGAATAAAACAATACTTTAGTTTGCAATTTTATAACCGATACTTTGAATTGTTGATAGCACCCTTTCTTACTTAAATTGAAATTCGAGATTTTAGTTATAAATAAGATTACAATCCAAATTTTTAGTTCAAGCGTTATGACAAACTTTTAATTTTTCATGTGAAATTGATTATTTGACGTTAAATTTGCTTTTAATTTTTAAGGGGTAATTTACTATAATTATAATGGTTTTAAATTACCGATTAATACATAAAAAATAAGTTTATTTACATTAACTCCTATAAATTTAAACTTTTATTTCCTATAATTTTAAATTTTAAGATCCTTTTTTTTTACAGTATATAAGAGCTTTTAAACAATAAAAAAATATATCGAATAAAACAAAAAGGATTTAATGTTTGATTTGTTAACTTTGTTTTTAGCTAATTTATATTCTTGATTTATAGTTTATAAAGTTATTGTTATTAATTTCAGATTTAGTTTGTGTTTAGACTTCCAAACTAGCGATGATCATGTATAATGTTCTAAACCTTTTTATTATTGTTTATTATTGTTTTGAATTAATAATCAATTTGTGCATTTTCAACTTTACGATTATCATATGATTTATTCTAAATTACAACAGAGTTACAATTTTACAAATTCTTAATTTTTCATATTAATTTTCTCATTTATTCTATAATTTAAAATATTAATAATAATACATATTTTGGAACTAAAATATCACTTTCTTTCATGTTTTCTATAAATTGTTTTTAATTACTTAACGAAGCTTTGAAATTTTAAATTCTACTCTTTTAATGCATGCAAAATTGAAATTGAAAAATTTCGTAATATAAAACCATCACCGCGTTTAATTTACGCCTCTTACGTTCAGCTAAGAAATCCGACTTAGCTACCAGTGTGAAGCCGTACTCAATGCTTGTAAAATTCTTGACTTGGTGGTGGTACTTGATAATAAGTTTGAGACGGTTGTTGTTGTTGTTGTTGTTGTTGAGGAGGGGGTTGATGTTGTTGAGCTTGAAGATTAACATATTGTGAGCTAGTAGTATATGGTTGATGAGGAGGTAATTGTGGAGGTACCATTTGTGGTTGATTATAAGTTGTTTGATTTGATACTGATGGTGTGATCATGCTTGTTTGATTTGAATTATATGGATAAGATGCATATGGTTGTTGTTGTTGATAACTATGAACCATATTTGGATTGTAATCTGGCACTTGACCTTGTTGATTGTCGTTGTAATTTAACTCTTGAGATTGTTGATGTTGACCACCCATATCTTCTTGTTTAATTGAAGGTTTCTTCTTTCTACTTCTGCAATTGAGGCAGACTTTATGTTTACCATAATCAGTCGGATCTAAAGCTTTTGCACAACGATTACAATTTCCCATTTTTTCTAAATTTATTCTTCTAATTTTATCATTTTCTCTACATCTTTGACAAACTTTATAATTTAAATTCCTATTTGATTTTTTATCACTTTTAGGACTATTAGTTGGATCATCATCTGGGTGATTTTGACTTTCAAGTGTTGGAGATCCATTGCTTTCAGTAATGATATTCCCATTTTCATCTTTATGTAAAATTGAAGTATCTAATGGACCAGAACAATGAACACATTTTCCTTGAGCAGCTCTATTTGCTTTCCGTGTTCTTAAATTTTGTCTACATGAAGGACATAATACAAATTTTCTTTCATCAAATGGGATATCTGAACCACATCTTCTACAAACACCTTGTTTGTTTTTGGTCTTTTTTTGCCATCTTCTTGATCTTTGTCTTTGTAAATCTCTACAATGATGACATAACTTAAAAATTTTAGGTTCTGCTAACAGTTTTTGACTTCCTGAATTATCATTTGCTTTTGGAATTATTATTGGTTGATCGAATTCTTTTTTACATCGAGTACAAGTTGATCTTATCATTTGTTGACCTGCGACAGGTTGTAGTTGTTGTGAATGGTGATGTTGATTGGCCGAGGTTGTAGTTGATGATTCGTTACTATTGTTCCTGGTTTGATTGTATGCATTCTGAGGTTGTGATTGATAAGAATGAGTATCACTCAATTGATTTGTAGATTGAATTGGAGATTGATGATTATAATAAGAGCTATTGTCGTGTTGTTTTGTGACTAATTGTTGTTGAACATGTAATGGAGGGATAGGTGCTACTAAATTTCTTTCATTATTATTGTAGCTTAATAAATTATTGGTATTTGATTCATCAAACCTCGAATCAAATGATTTTCTTGACTTTGTGGATGTAGTTGTAAATTGTTGAGATTGAGATTGGGAAGGTAATTGATGTTGAAAACCATAAGGACTTTGAGTTATTGGTAGTTGCTGATATGAATTTGATATGTAATTTGAATTTTGTAAAGGTAAATGAGGATGTTGTAATATCGGAGGTTGATTTTGTGGTAAAGACTGCATGTATTGTGATTGAGATTGATAATTTATATGTTGTTGCGGTTGAATTGGTAATTGAAGCCTATTGGAATTATTATTGTCACCGTAAAAATTCAATTGATAAGATGGTAATTGCTGAGTATGTTGTTGTTGTTGTGGTTGAAAATTTTGTTGTTCTAAACTATGAGGTTGCAAATTTTCATCATTATTATTTTGTGAATTTTGTTGCGTCAATTGATTATTTGGATCATGATCTTGAGTTGTATGCTGTTGATGTTGTGAGTTGCTTGAATCGGAATTAATCTGATGCTGTTGTTGGTGTTGTTGATGAGTTTCCAAATTATTGGTCTCCATATATGGTTGATCCATTACAAATGAAGATTTAATTTGTGGAAAATACAAATTTGAAATTACAGTCGACACTTTGAATAGATTTTTTGAAAAGTAATATGTAAAAGTTTGAAAATTGAAAGTTATGTTATGATATTTTTATTAACAAATATTAATAATTAATAAAATTGGTGTATTTTTCTGTAATAATAATGTCTGTATATAAATTTGAGTTATGAGAATTAGACGGTGATATTGTAACCCTTTTTTTTTTTGTTATATAATAGTGTGTTTTAAAAATAAAATAAAGTGGTAATTTAGTAGTACTTAAGAAATGTATGATGAAAAATTATTTGATAAAACTTCAAGATCGTTCACTAATTAATTTAGCTTTAAATCAACATAAAATGCTTCTGAGAAAGATCAAGTCAAATATAATTAAAAATATATGATTTAAAATTTGAAAAAGAATTATAGAAATATTTATTTGATTTTATATTTAAAAAAAAAATAAAATATATCAAAATAAAAAAAATAAAACATTAGTAACGATACTTTGTGTAATCTTGAAGCTTTTTTTAAGTGGTTGTGCGTTTCAGAATTTTATGGTTTAGTTTTTTTAATTTAATTTTTATTTAGTAAGCTTACATATCGGCAATATAATTTTATTCTATATAGAGAATTTATTTAAGTTCAATTTTCCAGAAAAGAATATGCATCACACAAGATATCTTTATTTGAATCTTTTGCACGTTGTTAATAAGTACGCATTCATTGCGTTCTGTGCATCTATATTCTTTTGAAGAAGTCGGTTAAGCACTTACGAATAGAACTTGTCCTTTGGATCATTATGAAACCTGTGCAACACATATGGCACATAATTTCGTAATATGATTATGAGGATGGTTTGATTCAAGATCATGATCATGTAATAAGAGATTCTAAACCCTTTCATCTAACCGAAGTGCATCGCAAGACAATAAATTAATAATTCGAACCACAATTGGAATTTTAATACTGTTTGAAATTTTGATCAACATAATATTATTGAAATTCTTGTCAAAATTTCAACTTTAGATATTGCGTTTTCAAAATTATTTTAGTTGATATTAGGAAGATATGGATATAGAGCTTTTACGAACTGAAGTATTATAAAGTACAAGCAAAAAAAAAAAAATCAGGCTATTATTCTCAAAAAAATATGCAACACAACAAAAGCTTAATTTTAGATTAATACTTTTCAATCGAATCCTAAAATCTAATCCTAGAGAAGCAAAACGAATTTATAATTATTTTTAAAACAATTTCATCTTTGGCCAATTTTGTTTTATGTTTGACTCTGAACCAGCTGATATTGAACTAATGAAATGAATTTGCATCAAAAATTGAATCAATTGTTGCTGTATTAAGTAATAATATCTAAATCCATGGATATCTAGTTATTTGGAATGTTAATAAATATTTAAGAGATTTGACATAATTATATTCAAAATATTTTATTTTTTTATTAGTATAATAAAATAAAAATTAAAAATAATTAATAATATTAGTAATGTTTAAGTTTCAATTTTTGTGTAAGTGAAGAAATCTTTTGATGCATATCGTCGTGTATAAAAGGATAAATTATTACAAAGTTTACTTTAAATAGTTAATAATGATTTTAAATCATTTACATTATTCTATAATTAGATTATATTCTATATTTGGAAACCAATGAATAAGGGATTGATTAGTTTTGGTATGATTAGTGATACTTGTTGGGGCCTTCATTTGCAAAAACTTGTTTACAACGGTATCTATTTTGCATTTATATTGCTTAATGATTACAAATTAACGTTGGGGAAATTTAATAAGTGAACTAAAATGTAAATATAATTGTGTTTAAATTATTTTTTTTTTATTAATTAAAATTACAAAACTCATAATAATTAATTGAACAATAGAAATTAAATAATTATAGATATTTTTCATAAAACTTTACGCATCAATGCAGTATGTTGATTTGAGGGGGAAGCAAAAAGACGTTGAATAATCTGGGGGTAGATTGAGCTTGGAAAAACTTTTTTCTTTATTATAAACTCAAAATATTTTCGTTATAATCTTAATTTACTATAAAACAAAGTTTCAACCCTTTATATGAGCGGTGAACAAAAGATATTCGCTCTCGAATAAAAAGCTGAATATCTTTATTATCGGAAACAGTTTTAATAAAGGTCATGAGTTTAAAAAATTATGAGAAATGGCGAAATTTTAAACATAAATTTAAAATATGAATCGTTTCTTAAAAAAGAAATTATCATAACTCGTAAAAGTTTATCCGAAGTATAATAAAAAAATCTCAAATATTTTATTCGGTGTTTTATAGAAGAGACAAAGAGCTGAAATTATTGAAGAAAAGTTGCTGAGAATTTTTTGCTATTCACTCATGAAACAAAATTAAATTTGGTCCAATTGTGTATAAAACGGTTAAATGTTTAACAGTTTTTCCTTAAAGGAAAAATGATTGGAAAAATCGAGGTGAGTTTCTGAATATTAATATCAAACGCAGGAATTCCAAAACTTTTTTGGCAAATTGAAGATAAATTTACATAAACTAAAAATGGTCTTCAATTCTTGCATCAAGTACTAAAAGTGAAATTAGCAAATATTTTTAAATCAGATTATTGCATACGTTGATAAAGAAGAGTCTCAAAACGCCTCAGCAAAAGACTAACATGAGAATAACTGTGTAAGTTAGCATTTATGCTTGTACAATACTTTTAAAGTAAATGCAAATGTAATTCAACCTGAGTTACAATTAGCTATTGTGAACGTGAACTTTTTGCTAGTACATTTGATAAAACATTAATATCACCAATTAAGAAACGATATTAACGACACAAAGTTAAAGCATAGAACGTTTTCTTTGCAAAATTGATGATTAAATTCTCGTGTTCCCCTAATTTACCTACCCCACTAAAAATTTTGAGTCTTTCGAAATTGTCAAATGAAGCTATCTAAATTGGTATCCATTATAATGTACTGATTGATTATCCTGCTGTCAAGTCAAAGCCTATTTTTGATATATAACGAAGCCACCTATTATTACTTGGAAATTCTACTGAAACCAAATAATTTTAGCTTATAAAAATTGAGCTATTCTTCTCATATAGTATTCGGAGTTCAAAATTTCTCATAACTATAAAAGATAGCTATAGATTTTTAAGATAAAATCAAATTTGACAATTTATAATATTAGTAATTTCTTTGTTTTCTGTTTTCTGTCTATAATAATTTATTGTATTATTCTATGTTATCAATCTAAATAAAACCTCCTTCGGATAAATTTTTAAAAAAACTTTATAAATTTCTTTTTTCTTAATCAAAAGAATTTAAATTTTTTTTAAAAACCTTAACCTTAAATTTTAATCCATGTACTTTAATTAGAATCATCATTTTTCTCCACAAAACTGCAAAAATATTTTCAAGAATAAAAATTTCAATAAAAAAACAATTTTTGTCAATTTGATAATATCAAACTTCAAGGAAATTTCATGCAATGTGATCTTATTATTGCTGGTATGCATATTTTGTTTGGCCTCAAATATTACTACTAAAGGCGAAATATGCAAACAAACAAAAATTATATGGAATTTTCAAAATGTGTCACCCCGCCTTAAAACTTCGTTGAAGTTCCATCAATAGTTAATTAATTTAACAAAATTTTTGTATAGAATAATTCATAAAGAACGAAAAAAATAAAACCAAATCAAAGTAGGGGGTTCTAGGGAACTTCTGTGAATTCATTTTTTTTGAACAATTTTCATTTTTATTTTTCAAAAAAATTACCTATTTTGTAACTTTGATATTATTATATTTACGGCTCAAAAATGTTTAAAAATATAAATCTATTGTGTCAATTATTAGTATCTAAATTTTCACCACATATTTCGGTACCAAATTCAAAATGATTTATATTTGAGCTCAGTTCTAAACCCCAATGATATTGAAAAATAATTGTATGCGTTCCAACACCGCAACAATATCAGATATTCTGAGACCCTAAGAAAGTAGAGGAAATGAAAAAATAGGATTCGTCTGCGCAAATTCCTAAGCCAAAGCTACATAAAATATAATTTATGGCCGATCAATTTTAGAATTACTACCGATTGGTTTTTATTTTTTTATTCAGCAAAAATATACGAATGAAAAATAGAAATATCTAAGTTGAAGAGGGATATATGATTTACAAGTTTTTGTGTAGCAAACTAATTTTATTTCAAGTCTTCATTTTTTTTTTCAATTCTTTTAATTTAATTAATTTTAGAATTAATAATAATTTACTAATTTTGAATATACTCTACTACATTGTTAAATATATGAACAGTTCTATAATTGTTTGATACATTTGTTGAATAATGTTAACAAAGAAAATGTAGATTCCATTTCCGACATCTTCGAGATTACACAAACCTATTGTCTTACTTCAAACAAATTGTTGGGTAAAAACTTATAGTACATGGTGCAAAATAAATAAATAATAATAAAAAGAGTTATAGCTTCGGTATAAATTCTGGGTTACTTCACATTATTTTCAAACCAATTGACCCCTTGCATTATCGAAGAGCGGCTAACCTCTTGATTCTTAATTTGAAAATGACATCACCTTCTTTTAATTGATAGTCGTGAAACAAATAGTTTTAGAATATTTTCATAATTGAGACCGTAAAGTACTCTTGATCAATGGTTGCTTAAGCTTCAATAATAAACAAAACATTTTTACTTTTTTTTGCTAATCTGCAAAGATTAAAAAGTGGTGAATTTAATCCCAAACAATAGTAATTTAAAATGATTTATCAAAGAAATTAAAAATGTAACATTAAAACAACTATCAAAACAAAGATCAACTAGATCAAAACTAGATCAAAAATAGATCATCCACTAAAAATTTATAAATACGATATCGATGAAATTGTGACATTGAAAGGAACTATTATAGAAAGCTTCTTGTTCTGACTCCTACTAAAGCAGTGGTATCACCCCACTGCCGTGTCTATTGTTCATCAGTTGATACTCTATGATTTTCAATCCTCAATCATTGTTTTTAAATCAGCCAAATGATGTTTATGAGGTCAAATTTTCTGAATTGAAGTCAAAATTGAAATAAATTGACTTCTTTTTTGAATTGTACATATATTTAATCTGCTTACACTCTTATACATTTAGTTATCAATTACACAATCGAACAGTTATGTGATAAGTTCATAACTAATGCAAAAGGTCAAAAACTAATATAAACAACCATACCTACTTTTCTCCTCACCAAATTGATTGTTTATTTAGGAAATGTATGAAGGTATAATTTTTTTTCTTCAATTCATTATATGTTTATCAACTGTCCATCTAGCTTTGCTAAATACGTTTCTCTTTTGGGGGTCTTAGTAAACATTCAATTTTATGAGCCATAGCTCAAGAATTTGTTGGTTATTTACGGACCCAAGTGATTTTTCAATCAAAAGAAATTCAGCTTTGTGTTACCTACTTTTGCAGCCATTTGTTTAAAAGTATGAATTACTCAATCTGAAGTTTGAAGTTGAACTTATATATGTTCAGAAACAAAGTTTAGTTAAGGACTAGCAAGAAGGGTCTAAATTGAGATTCATAAATTAATCCGACTTTCCACGTTCACGGTTGCAAAAATATATGTATTATAGCTAAATACTCGCAACTTTAACTTGCTTTGCATTTCTCATCAAACGTATACACAAAAATGTACATCAAATCTCTGACAATTTATAAAAATGTTGCAATTTTATTGTGTAGCTTTTTGTTCCATGACTTGAGAACAAACTCGTTCTATAAAAAATTATTCAACTAAAAGCGACGGTCAAGCGCGCAATTTTCTTGATAGAATAAGGCATTTTGTTATCAATTAAATAAATCCTTTACTTGCGAAGAGTTGATATCCTGAGATGTAATATTGAGATTTCTTGTAAGAATCGAACTTTGGGGTGTTTTAAAGACTATGAAAAGCAAGTGTGGCACCTATGATCGAAATGCCCCAACTTTTTGTATGATGTATTAAAAGTCCAATCTTCCAAGTATCGGACATACCCCAATAAGTATGAATAAAGTCAGTAGAAAGGAGATAAACATGAAGTAATAATCAAATTATTTACATTACCCATTCAAGCTATTTACAATCACTACACTCGCTATTTATTTGCTAATATTGTTTCCAACTATTTAGTCTTGATAAGAACTTAGACTGAAACGTAATATCCATATCTGAGAACCTAATAAGACACAGAAGGTATGGAATTTAAAATTTCTTCTCATATAAAATTTTGAAAACTTCACCAGCTCTATAAGCACCCAAACCAACCAATATAATTCCTGCACCTCTAACTGATCTTTGCCACCATAATGGATTTTTAACTAAATCGATTTTACCAGTGACTTTATCTTTGAATTGATTTGGTGAACTAAAATATAAACCTCCAGCAATTGCAGCAATTGATTGAATTGTAGTACATGGTATACAATCTTCGATTTCCCTGTCTGGAATATTTCTTGATGGTGGTGGATTGAAAACTGAAGCTATATTCGATGACATATTATATGAACATTTGATATTTAATTATCAATGAAAAATAGAAGAGATTGTAACTTCTCAAGTATTAAATTGGATCAAATGATCTTTTATAATTTTTCGGAGACTTATCCGTTTATACTCAAAAAAACTGGAGAGAATAATTAAGTACTTAGTAGAACAATATATAACTTACAAGCTCACATTTTCACAATGAATAAGCATATAACAAGATTTTGTCAACAACTTCGAGCAAAACCAGTCTCATCACTACGTAGATCAAATGCAACACTCAGATCAATCAGAAATTATTCACAGTACAACTATAACAAAACATATGCAAATTATAATCCACCTAAAAAAACATCATTATTCAAAAAATTCTTATACACAACAGCGGGATTAACTGTATTAACAGGATATGTATATTATATGTGGTGGCCAAAACATACTTTCCCAAGTTCAGTAGCTAAAATTTTAAGAAAGGGACTATGGGCAGAGAGTGATAAAGGAGAAAATGACTATCAATTAGCATTAAAATATTATTTAGAAGCTTTAGAGCATTGTCAAGAAATTGGAATGGATCCATTAAGTGATGAATATACTGGTATACAATTAAAAATTGGTGAAATGTTTGAAAGATTAGGGATGTTGAGTGATGCATCTTTCATATATAATGAAATTGCTACCTTATATTTAAGCGTATTAACAGCAAAATCATCAAAAGATCAAGAACAAGGTCCTAGTAAAATTAAAAATCGAGATCATAGAAGACATTTAATTCAAAAAGATTTAAGAATTGCTATAAAATTAGTAGAGTTAAACAAGAGTAATCCACAATTTTGTAAAGCCATATTGGTAACTCATTTAATTATTGCACAAGATGAAATCAATAAGTTAATGAATTATAAAGATAACAAATTAAATTTAATAACAAAAGTAAATCAAAATGATGATCAACAAAAACAAAAAGAAGGAAAAGAAAGTTTTACTGCAACTTTGGATAATGACAGAATATTAATCAATGATTCACAAGGTAATGAAGTTGCACAGATTAAAAAGACACCAGAAGTTTGGGAACCTTTCACTGATGAATTTTTCAATGCAATGGATTTATTAAGTGCTATATGTATATCAACCGGAGATTTAGCAATGGCATCAAAAGTTAAAATAGCAATGACTGAAGCTATGTTATTAGCTGATGTAGAACCTGGTGAAATGCTTTTGAGTCAATGTAATTTAGGCTCATTATTATACATGCAAGCAGAAGAATTGGAAGCACAAGAAATATCACTTAAAAGAAAATTCAGCGAAATTTCAGGAATAGATTTCAAAACATTAAATCAAGACACCCTATCCAACCAAACAACAGAAAAATTATCAACTGAAATAACAAAAGAAGATCAACAAATATTCAACAAAATCTTAAAGACGAGAGAAATTTGTTTACAATTATCAATAAAGTCTTATGAATCAGTGTTAGAATTTGCAAAATCAATACCTCAAGATATAATAAAACAAAATAATCAAATTAATGAAACTGTCGCATTAGCCACTTATGGATTGGGAGTTATAAATTTACATTTATCAAAATATGATAAAGCTGAAAGATTATTGAGAGAATCAAGAGTAAGATCTAAAGCTTGTGATTATGAATATCTTTTACCTGAAATCGAAAGAGAATTAAACAAATTGTTTGAAGAGAAGAAAAATCTAAAATTGACTGGGTTCAAGAGTGGTAACAAGGATGATACCAATCCTAAGACTATAGAAATGGATATACATATGAAGTAAAAGTTTGTAAATAAATAATTAAAGCTTTATTAATTTATATAGGTATTCTATTTACTTTATTCTATTCTAATAGTCTACTTTCTTCATCATTATTCTTAGATTTCTTTTCAGATTTATGAAACCATTTTTGTAAAAGATTAGGTTTGTTTTGTTCTTTTAGTTTATAATTCAAGATTTCTTTTAAAGTTGGTGGTTCAATTTCTTGTACAACATCAACATTATTCATATCAAATGATGCTATTGATCCTGCATCTGATTTCACTGGTTTTATACTTGTTGAACTTGTTATTGGTATTATATTTGGATTTGAACCTGATCCAACTATTAGATTATCTAATTCTGGTCTCATCGTTGCTGGATTTCTTGCCATTGATGCAGCTGTTTGAATCGTATCTGGTTCATTATTACCTACAGATTGTGAGGGTCTTCTTTCACTTGTTGCACCATAATTGTTTATTGAACTACCAGAACTAGCATTTGCTCCCACATTACCTGAAGCATGATATGAAAATATGGAAGATTTATCATCAAAAACTGATCCCATTTCTTCCAAAGATAACCCTTTAGTTTCTGGGAATAAATACCAAACTGCAAAAAATGATATAATACAAGAAGTTGCAGGAATTAAATAAGTTTTCCATTTAATTTCATCTAATAATATTGGTGATGCTAATCCAACAATAAAATTTGATAACCAATTTGTTGCTGTTGCAATAGCTGCTCCTTTTGATCTAACTGGTAATGGTAAAATTTCCGATGGTAAAAGCCAACCAATTCCACCCCATGAAAATCCAAATGCTGCATTAGCAATTATGATACTTGTAACAACAATTGCTGCAGTATATTTATCATCAAGGTACAAGGAATAACCTGCTATGTATAATGGAATACCCATAAATAATGCACCAACCATCAACAATGGTTTTCTACCCCATGAATCAACCAAATACCAAGGTGGTATAGTACTTATTACATAAATTATTGAATTAATACCAGTCATGAATATAGCTTGTCTACCAACCCATCCAGCACTTTCGAAAATCATTGGAGCATAATAAGATATTAAATTAATACCATTCATTTGACTGAAGAATAACCCCAAGCAAGCAACTGATAATCTTTTAGCATACCTTTTAAATAAGTATTGGTATGATCTTTCACCACCTTCTATTCTATCAATCAATACACTTTCTTTAATACTTCTATATTCTTCTTTGGCATGATCATCTTCAACATCTCCATCTGCGTACATATCTGCTATAACTACCATTCCTTCCAAATCGTGATCATGATTTAATAACCATCTTGGAGTTTCAACTATAATAAAAGTACCTAACCATAAGAATACACCCATCATAAATTGTACAAATAAGGGACTTTTCCAACTTGAATTATTTTCCAAGAATGAAAATCCATAATCAACCCATATACTTGCTGCATAACCAATAATATTACCAGTAAATTCAGCACATGCATAAAATCCTCTATCAGTTGGTGGACTAATTTCAGATTGATATATTGGTACGATCGTTGTTAAAAATCCAATAGCAATACCACCAATTAATCTACCACCACTTAAAATGACAATATTTGGTGATAAGACTTGTATGAATGCACCAATTACAAATATAAATGAACCATATCTTATAGTCTTTTTTCTACCTACTAAATCTCCAACTCTACCGGCAATAAAACTTGAAAATAATGCACCAATTTCTAAAATTGAAATCATTATACCAATTGCAGCAGGTTTTGGATCATTATAATACAGTTTAAAATAATCATTTGTAATTAATGAAGACATTAAACCTTGTTCAAAACCAAATAAAAATACACCTAATGATACAAATATTGAAGTAAAATTTAATAATGCTTTACCAACTAAAAATGAATCTTTTATTTGAATATGTTCATGATGATCTTGTGGTTGTTGATGACCATTTTGTTGTTGATTCGATGGTGTTACAGTCATTTTTCATTAAAAATATATAATACAATTGAAAGTGAAAGTGAAGTTTAAAGTAAAACGAAGTAAATTTAAGATTATAATAATAATTAAAATTTGAAATATAATAATTTTAATAAACTTAACTTTTTGTGTTCTATTATTTAATTATTAGTATGAAATTTTTAATATGATGATAAGGAAAAGAATGTTAACGAATGTTATAGTTTGATCTCAAGTTTTTATACAACAAATATAAACATTCAATTTGAAAACATAAAAAAGCCTAATTTACTTGGATCTCGCAATAGAAAAGACGTTGAAAAGATCTAAATGTAAGATCAAGTTAAAAATTTTTTAAGCAATGATAAAAAATTTTTATGAACGGTTATACAATGATCACAAAATCATTTTAGTACTAACCAATTTCGCATTTAGATCAATTCGTAATTTACAACCCTTTATCATCAGATTTCCCCACATTCATATTCGAAATGACCTTGACATTGAAAATGCAACCAAAGCTTAATTACCAGATTTTTTTATATTCAAAAACAAACACAATTTGAAATTGAAAAAATGATGAATATGGGGTTAATTTGAAACACAAAGGTCAAACATTATTATTTTGAAAAAATTATGGTTCTTGACATATTACAATTTATTCCAATACAGACCTGTAAGAAATTATTGATGCCTATATTCATTAGAAGAAACAAATTCGAATTTAAATTCACTTTATAAATAGATCATAGCTTTTGACTTTAAATTCTCGACATTTTTTTCGAGCTTCATATATGATGTAATGTGTAAATGATTTGAGAAAAATATCCAAACCTTAATTCCTCGACCAAAGAATTGCGTAAGACCAGTATAAGAATGTAGATACCTCATTCAATTCAAAGTAGTCTAGATTTATTAGTTAGGTTAACTCTAGCCGCATAGACGCTATTGTTATCAATAAATTTTACATATTACGTAAACTGAAACAAATCTGAAAAATCAGCATCCCCTCCTTTATGTTGAGAAATAATAAAACCCCGGAAATTTTGAAAAAAGCACTTAGGAATTTTTTGAAACAGAAATTGTCAAAACTTAAATCTGAGCTTAGTATGAAAGTTATTATTTATGAATTAAAACTTCATCTAATTTTTATGCAGATCACCTAGTAGAATTTGAGAAGAAATAATTGGGTTTCAGTTTATCATGTATATATTCTACAATAAAGTTCATTGTACATTGGAAGACCACATACTAATCAAGCTTTTACGTGACTCAAAACTACAAGCAGGGTATATTTAAATCGATCTTGCTCCAGGTTCTATTAGTATTGTTTCAAATTTCATGAATTAGTATTATTGGTGTGTTTTCCACATTATAATCAAATTTAAAATTGTCTAAATTAGTAAAAATTTGTGCGGATTTTTGCTCTTACTTAAATTTTGAAAAGAAATTGTAAAAAAATTTATTTTATACAGAATCATTATAGAACCAACTCAATAATTAACACTAATTAACAACAACTCCTATCATATATATCGCCAGAGTCATACAAAATATCAATAGACTAAACACTTTATTGCATAGTTAAGACACAATACATTAAGTTAAAGTAACAACGTTGCTCATTTCATTATCATTTTCATAATATTTATTCATATTTCATACATCAAATAATTTTTTTAATAAAATTAAAACTTCCCCTCCCTTTTTATATTTATAATAAAAAAAACAAATAAATTATTTTAAAACGTGGATAAAATAACATAGAGAGAAAAAGGAATTTAAATAAGCATAATATTATTAAATACTAAATTAATAATTATAATAATAATAATAATAATAAGAACAAATAATAATAATAGATAGATTTTGTTATAAATATAATATAAAATGTCAACTTTAATTCATAATCTAGAAATAGAAAATTATTATGAAACAACTACAAAAAGACAAAGGCTAAATTATAATAGTCAATATAAACATATAACATATCAGCTAACATATTCAAATATAAAAAAGATGTCATCATCATCACCATCAAATACTACTTCGGTATCTTCAACTGCAATGAATTCACCAATCTTTTCAGGTTTATATACACCATTAACTCAATCAAATTCTATAAATAATCAACACGATTTAAATAACAATAATATTTATCATGAAAAAATAAAAATGATTGACGAATCACATTTTGAAAATCATAATACTAATAGTAAACAACAATTGATGAATTCTTTTAGTAATGATTGCCCTTGTGGTCATTTACATGGTGCCGGTCAAGGTCATCATGATGATTTAGGAGCTATTGGACTTGCTGATTTTCCTTTATTAAGAGGCCCTGATTAAAAAATATAGTAATAAAATTTTATAAAGTAATAGACAATGATTAATAGGGTAAGGTAATGATAATTATAGAGATTGGTTTTGTATAAAGAATAAAATATAGATTTGTTTTAGAATATAGGGTAGTAATAATTTTAATAATTAATGAATGATTTTCTCAATCTTTTTAAGCTGTTATCACCCCTCTTTATGGTAAATTTCTTGTTGTTGAATTCTAGTTTAAATAAAATTGCAGCCAAAAAAAATAAAAAGTCCGAGATCCATTGTTTTAAAAATTTTAGCCAACAATAAAAAGAGGGGATGAAAAAAAAGTAAAGTTGTAACTTTTAGCTAAAATTAACCACAATTTCGAGCAGTCTAGTCTATGCTCAAGGATAGAATAGGTTTAGGTAATAATCTTAGACTCTAAATTAATATCAAACTAATTGATTGAATTTGTTAAAAACGTGGGGCTTGTTTGAATATATTGCCTCAAACATCTCAAAAAAGTTACTTTTTGAACAACCTGATAATGATTTTCTATAATTCTTACACACAAATCTTTTGAGAAACACAAGCAAGGCAATAATCGTTTACCAAGTATACATGGAATATAGTCTATACTACTATGAAGAATAAATTTTCTACTGCTTAAGGATTATAAGTCTCTTAGCTAACTGTTACTTTTGAAATTGGCCCTTTATATCTTACTAACGCTCAGTAAACTGCAGCTCGTTGTAAGTTGAAGCAGCATTTTTATGTTCGTTCATTACAACAACTGTCTTATTAGAAACTTTTTCTTCTACTAGATGTTTCAAAACTGAAATTGATTACACAATATCTTAGTTTGATGTAAGTTATTATGTAAATAATTAAACTTTATTTGGAAATATTTTATATGATATTCAATTATTACATAATAAATTACGTAATATATATTATTTTGTTTAATCTTAAAATTTATCTTTTTTTTTTTAATACGCGTCTGCTTTAAAATTGAATATTGGCTCAAAATCAAGAAACAGTTCTTTTTAAGATAATTCGCTTTTTATCAATTCATCTTTTACAAATCATTATACTTTATTCACTCGTTTTTGATCAATCAATACTCAATTAACAAATCAAATTTCAATGTCTAGTCCACCACATAGATTATCAAGACTTTCAAGAAAAAGACAAAATGATGAAAATGATGATGATCAAGATTCACATAATAGTAATTATAATACAAGATCTTCACCAATAAATCAACCTTCATCTCCAATTGCATCTTCACCTACTCATCATAATGCATTACCATCATCGCCAGCTATACCATTTGACACCAATTTGAATGATGATGAAGATGAACAAGAAATTCAAAATGATATATTAGATTTAAATCCATCAGATGAAGAAGATGGTGATGATTTATTAGACGACTTAGAAAATGATTATAGAGCAAATCCTGAACAAGATCATTATGATTTAAGTGATAATAATATTGATGATACTCAAGAATTTGATGAAATGGATGCAGCAACAAGGAGAAGAATTGATGATCAATTAAATAGAAGAGATGCTATATTAAATAATACAAATAGATCGAGAAGTGGGGCATTTTTACAAGATGATGATGAAGATGATGATAATTTAGATGATATGGATCAATATGGTTTACCAATTCAAAGAAGAAGAAGAAGACAATATCAAGATGATCAAGATGATTTTATGGATGAAGATATTGAAATTGATCCATTTAATGAAGAATTATCTTTGGAAAGCTTAACTGATGTAAAAGCTCCAAGTATTACTGAATGGATTTTACAACCAGCAGTAAGTAGATCTATTGCAAGAGAATTAAAATCTTTCTTTTTAGAATATACAGATTCAAATGGTGATTCAGTTTATGGTAATAAAATGAGAACTTTAGGTGAAGTTAATGCAGAATCATTAGAAGTAAGTTATAAAGATTTAGCAGATTCAAAAGCTATATTAGCATTGTTTTTGGCAACAAGTCCAACCGAAATGTTAAAAATATTCGATATTGTTGCAATGGAAGCAGTCGAATTACATTATCCAAATTATTCACAAATTCATCAAGAAATTCATGTTAGAATTATAGAATATCCAAATTTATTAAATTTAAGAGATTTAAGGGAAAATAATATGAATCAATTAATTAAAGTTTCAGGTGTTGTTACAAGAAGAACTGGAGTTTTTCCGCAATTAAAATATGTTAAATTTGATTGCTTAAAATGTGGTATTGTCTTAGGGCCATTTATTCAAGATGCAAATACTGAAATGAAAATATCATTTTGTACAAATTGTCAAAGTAAAGGTCCTTTCAAAATGAATTCAGAAAAGACATTGTATAGAAATTATCAAAGAATTACTTTACAAGAAGCTCCAGGTACTGTCCCGGCTGGTAGATTACCAAGACATAGAGAAATTATCTTATTATCAGATTTAGTTGATGTTGCCAAACCAGGTGAAGAAATCGAAGTTACTGGTATTTACAAAAATAATTATGATGGTAATTTAAATGCTAAAAATGGATTTCCTGTATTTGCAACTATAATTGAAGCAAATTCAATAAGAAGGAAAGAAAGTCGTGCTTTCATGGGTGGTAATAATTTAATTAATGTTTGGACAGAAGAAGAAGAAAGAGAATTTAGAAAATTAGCTCGTGAAAGAGGAATAATTGATAAAATTATTAGTTCAATGGCTCCTTCAATTTATGGTCATAAAGATATAAAAACTGCTATTGCTTGTTCATTGTTTGGTGGTGTACCTAAAGATGTTAATGGTAAATTATCTATCAGAGGTGATATAAACGTTTTATTACTTGGTGATCCAGGTACTGCAAAATCTCAAATTTTGAAATATGTTGAAAAAACTGCAAGTAGAGCTGTTTTTGCTACTGGTCAAGGTGCTTCTGCTGTTGGTTTAACTGCATCTGTTAGAAAAGATCCTATTACACGTGAATGGACTTTAGAAGGTGGTGCTTTAGTTCTTGCCGATAAAGGTACTTGTATGATTGATGAATTTGATAAAATGAATGATCAAGATCGTACTTCAATTCATGAAGCTATGGAACAACAAACTATTTCAGTATCAAAAGCAGGTATAGTTACAACTTTACAAGCAAGATGTGCAATAATAGCAGCAGCAAATCCAAACGGTGGTAGATATAATTCAACATTACCATTATCACAAAATGTTAATTTAACAGAACCAATTTTATCAAGATTTGATATATTGTGTGTTGTAAGAGATTTAGTAAATCCAGAATCAGATGAAAGATTAGCAAATTTTGTTATAAATTCACACATGAGATCTCATCCTTCAAATATAGATGATGTTATGTCAGATGAAGATATGGAAGATTTATTAGATGAAAAGGCTTCTAGAACAAGACTGGAAAAAATTCAACAATTAAAGCAACAAAAAGAACAAGAAATTTCACCAATTTCACAAGATTTATTAATTAAATATATTCAATATTCAAGAATTAAATGTCATCCAAAATTACATCAAATGGATATGGATAAAGTTGCAAAAGTTTATGCAGATTTGAGAAAAGAAAGTATAAGCACTGGTTCATTCCCAATAACAGTACGTCATTTAGAAAGTATATTGAGAATTGCTGAATCATTTGCCAAGATGAGATTAAGTGATTTTGTTTCACAAAATGATATAAATAGAGCTATAAAAGTAAGTATTGATAGTTTTGTTGGTGCTCAAAAAGTTACAATAAAAAAACAATTACAAGCTAAATTTCAAAAATATACTTTACCAACAAGAACAAGGTAAGTTTAAGAAATGGATTGTGGTTTTGGGTACGTTTCAATTCTTTAATATGTATTTGTAATATTTATAGTCTTTTTAATAATAAATAAATTAATTTTTAATAAGTATAGAATAGAACTACTTAAGTATTCGATGCGTCTAGTTATAGCACAAAATTGGTCTCACTATTATGATATAATCTTTACGATAACGAAAAAATATATAGACACGCCTAAGTACAATATCATAAATGATTAATGTCAAATGGTTGACCTCGATGAGTAAGTAATATCTTGAATTCACTTGGAGTACTAATTTACTAACAATTTCCAGAACAATTGAAGATATAAAAAAATGTAAATTTATAAAAGAATCAATAATTGAAGAACTATGTTCATTAACAATAGATTTATTAATAGATGAATCAAATATACAAAATTTATCAACACCAATTACTATATGTGGAGATATTCACGGTCAACTACATGATTTAATAACAATACTAAAAATAGGTGGGGACCTATCCAATCCAAATCAAAATTATTTGTTTCTTGGAGATTTCGTTGATCGTGGTTTTTATTCATTAGAAACTTTTCTTTTATTAATATGTCTTAAATTAAAATATCCTAAACAAGTATACTTAATAAGAGGTAATCATGAATCAAGAACAATAACAATGGTGTATGGTTTTTATGATGAATGTATGAGAAAATATGGGTCCATAAATGTATGGAGAAATTGTTGTGAAGTATTTGATTATTTAAGTTTAGGTGCAATTATAAATAATTCTATATTTGCAATTCATGGAGGATTAAGTCCTGATATTGATACTATTGATGAAATAAGAAAATTAAATAGAAAACAAGAAGTACCACATGAAGGATCAATGTGTGATTTATTATGGTCTGATCCTGAAGATAATTTACAAGGATGGTCTATATCTCCAAGAGGTGCTGGTTTCTTATTTGGATCAAATGAAGTTGATAAATTTCTTCACAAGAATAAATTTAAATTTATAACAAGAGCTCATCAATTAGTTATGGAAGGATATAAAGAAATGTTTGATCAAAAATTAGTTACGGTATGGTCAGCTCCAAATTATTGTTATAGATGTGGAAATGTTGCTAGTGTGTTGTTGATTAATGATGATTTGAGTAAAGAATTTAAAGTTTTTGAAGCTGTTGCTACTAATAATAACGAAGCTATACCTAGTAAAAAACCTCTTGTTGACTATTTTGTATAGTATAGTATATAGACCGAAATCTAAATACAGATATAATATAATCATTAATGAAAATTAACGTCTTATTTGCGACCCTCGACTTCAGGCAATGGCATTAGTTCTCACATCAATCAATAAGATTACAAATCAATCAATCACAGACCTCTTTCCAACGTACAAACCTTTTGATGAAAAGCACGGGACGGAAGAAGTTCCATTTCTCTTTTTGTGCAACTCGATTTATAACTTTCAATAGAGAATAAGTGAGATATAAAGATTTTATACAAAGTGTAAACAACATATCGTCATATAATTTGAATTTGAATTTCATAAGGAAAGCTGCTCAATTTGAAAGATAACAACTCTCATTTTGGATTATACATTAAATATTTGAGGGTTAAAATTAGTGATATGTAATTTACTTTAAACATCGTGGCGTGTAAAACTTCTCTTTAGTTCTAATCTAAAAATTTGAGGAAAATGATTGCAAAAAATTTAAAGTTGTGTGTAATTATCACACAAAACACAAAAACGTCATATTTAATTTTACGCGTTCAATATGAAACAATTGATAATAAAAAATAAAGAATAAAAAATGCGTCAAATTTTTTTTCACTTCAGTAGGTTTTGAGTAAGTATTTACGGGTAGTTGTGGATAATTAGTTTTACGGAAGATGTTGAGATTAATTTTGCTTACAGATTGAAAAATGGGACGTTAACCTATTTTGTTTTGTACTTATTGTTATACTCCCTTATTTATTGAACAGTACTGGTTTTTCAATACTTTATATGTTTATCAAATGTCCATCTAGATGCTAGATTCAAGGCTCAGTTCTCACAAGTGATTAACCTTAAAACTCATGAGCCACTAATACAAAGTTCTTACGACTAATCGAGGTTTGTGCTCTTAAACTCTATGTACTTTCATGGCTTTAAATTTTAGCTAAATCCTATCTAAACACACAGAAACGAAATTCTAAAAATTTGAAAACTTTTCAAATATAGATAATTTATTGCTCAATTGTTTTCAACTTTGATTGTTTTTAACATTGTTCATAATTTTGTCGCTTATAATTGAGTCAAAGAGTTATACAAAAAGTTAATGTTTTCTTTCTATTGTTCAGTTTAATTATAATATGTCATATTTATTGTTGTTTAAAGTTTTTACGATAGTTCCGACAACCGGAATAAAATTTATACGCAGAAAAGATTGTTTTGCAAAAGTGAAACAAAAGAAAAATCTTGGAAAGAAATGAAGTATAGATATGATATCATTTGGCATTAGAGTCTAATTGTATCATAGCACTCACAAGGTTTAAGAAAAATTATCGAGGGTTTTTACTATCGAGAAGTAAAAGGAAAACTAGAAGCCAGACTAAAAAACAACCAATTTGTAAGTTATTCAACATCTATGCTCAACCAGAAATGAAAAGAATGATTTGCAAATTTAGTAAATGATTAAGTAAATATTTACGTTATTATATTAATAGAAACAAAGCATGGCTGTAATCGTAAAACATGTATCCTTAATTATTGCTTTTTTAATTCAGTAATTAAATTTTGGCTTATCTTCTACTTATTAACAAACAACCTATTTCTGATAATTTTTCTTCCTTTTAGTATCTCTCTTGTTTATTTGATTTTAAAATTTTTGCAATTTTTCTCGAGATTTTTTACGAATTAATACATTGAGCATAATTTTTACAAAAAATAGATTGGGTGGAAATGTAATTTCTTGTCATTTAGTTTACAATATTTGCATTATCTATCATAACACGTTGGTACTGTTGTAAGTTATATTTGGTTGATCATTTTTTAAATTGGTTCAAAATCACAGGGTATTAATTGTAAAAAAACATTCAAATTTAGTCTGCACCAAAAAAATTAGCCTTGTAAGCTTAATCAAGAAAATATAATTACTGAGCACAAAAAACGATTTCATCTAATCTTATGTATGTATCTTCATCATTAGATTAATGAAGTACTCCTGCTCTATGTATGGTGTAAAGATGATGATTGATGAATGTATATACGAGCATCATCAATTAATTGTTAAAATTACGAAGTAGCAATAGTTATGGAAACTAAGGGAAAGTTCAAATACTTTTTATAAAGGAGCAACAGTTTATTAATAAACTAAAAAATTTAAAACTTGGTTGATAATTAAAGCTCAGATAATTCACCTTAATATATCATATTGAACTCCTGAAATTTTCAGAAGATAAATTACTTAAATCTAAATATTATTATTAATGTATGTATCAAGAGTTTTTTTGTATTTGTGAATATAGTTGATAATTTAACACTAAAAGCATAATTTTTACATAAATTAAAATTAAAAAATATTTTTGAATTTTTCTTATTAATTTTAAGGGTTTAAAATTTTTGAAGTTTATAAATATTTACTGAAAAAAATTAATACTTAGTACATGATTAATTTTCTCATGTAAAAACTGTTTATTATATTTGAAGATCAATGTGATAATAACTTTGTTGTCTTAATCAATAACAAAGATTTATTAATTAATTTCTGTAACACGATGTTCATTAACGAAAATCTCTCCCTAAACATTTCTTTTTTTCATTTGATGTTTCAATAGTCTTTGCTTACAAGTCGTTTCTTTTTCCTATCAATTAACAGATCATTAAGTGGTCCTTTACCTGAAATGGGAATGGTTTGAACTAATTTAGTATGTCATAGCCCTTTCTCAATTCTTATAACTTTTAATCTTTGATCTTATAAATATAATTTATTAATTCATTTAAAATTTACTAAAAATATTAATAATAATTTATTATAATAAATTAATTTTGTGTAACAGAACAAATGTAATACAAAATCAATTGTTTTTTTTTGCAATTATAACAATTTTGTATCACTTTCCTTTTTGCAATTTTTGTAACATAATTTCAAAAAATTTTATAAATCATTAATTTAAATTATATATATAATTAGAAATGATCCCTTACTACTATTTATTTCATATTTGATACATAACATTATTACTTATAGACTTATTCATATACTTTTTGCATTTACTTTTTTAATTTCATTTCTTTTAATCAACTTTAATCAACTTAATCAACCTAATTACCAACCCTTATACCATACATTCATTAATTCATATTCATTCGTTTAAATTTTGTATAACATCTTTTACATATTATCATTATACAAATCGTTCATAGAGCATTTCTACAACAAATCACCCATATAATTATAGATTATCACAATATCATGATTTTCAAATTACAATATATACTCACATTCATATTTTCATTCATAATTTCATTTTCAATAGCTGATACTACTGAAACTACAGCAGCAACCACAATAACTTCAGTATCACCAACATTAGTTTGGGTAACGGGGACTGATTCATTAGGTGTAACACAAACAACTCAATCAACATATTATCAATCATTTATAACCACATATACTGAAAATCAAGAACTGGTATCGAGTGGAGCAATTGGATTAGGTAGTTTAACTAGTGGTAGTCATAAAATTGGAGATATAAGAAGTTATGATATGATAACAATAAGTCAAGGTTCTGGCTCAAATTTAAAAGCATTATCATTTAATTACTTTGGTGATCAAAAACAAGAATTTGGGTTGTCATTTTTTACAAAATTCTTGACTTTAAGTTTTGTATTTATTGTCTCATCAATTTTGTTCATTTAGAATATAGAAAAGGGAATATCGTTATAATATCCTTCATCGTCATCAAAAAACTTGCATATTCATAAGCCTATAATAGTTAATAATAGGTTTTCTTTTCAAAATAATTATTTAAACTTTTATACGTTAAATTTATAGATAAAAAATTAATAATAACAATTTAATAAATAAAAGAATTTATTCGTTATAATCGTATAAGCTTGAAATTTTCAGTTGTGAGCATAAGTTCGTTTAAGATCTTTAAGTTGCAAAGTTAATGATTTATTTATAGTAGCCATAATTTATTTGCTGTCAAAATTATGAAAGTTAATGCCAAGATTCATTCATCGTGAAAGGGTTAAATTAAGTTTTAATTTTTTTTGAGTTTTTGATTTAGTTCTCTTCTTGGCTTTTCTTAAAATCTAAATCTCAATTAGTAAATGTATGTTTGTGATTTTTCTGTTTCAACAACTGAAATGCAAGTTATAATAATTTATTATATTTATTCTAGTATTTATTCTATAAATAGTAAATTATTGATAACGTAAATAATAAACTGGTAAAATTTTTGCTACCAATTTTGTCATAAATTTTTGCAATCTAATTGTATTTTGTGTCATAAATCACAATATTATAAGATATCTGAAACAAATATAATTTAGTCTTACGTTCAATAAAAATTTGATAATTGTGAGTAAATCTTTTATCAGAGATGTTTCAAATCAAAATCTTGGTTAGATGCCTTGTGACTTGGGTCCTTTAAGAACATAAATTAAGTTTAATTACATCTTTATTTGTCTGTAATGAATTACTGAATGCTTGGTTTGTCGACTTTCTTGCGCTATCTTACAGATAATAAATTGATAAACAACTTTCTAAATTGATCAAAAGACAATTTGTTGAAGTGATGTTCTAAAACTTGCAAATTAATCATCTTGAAGTTTTTAGATGATTTACAGATAATTTTTTATATTGATGTATAATAAAATATCTATTATATGAAATTCATTGATAAGCTTTATTTTGGTTCAGTTTTGTTACCAAATTCTTAAATAATAAAGTTTTTTAAACAATTTAATTAAATATTATTCGACATCAAATTCATAAAAAAAGATTTTAGTAGTATATTAAGATTGATTAGACCAGAATTTCATTTCTCGTATCTTTAATTAAATACTATTTCAAATTTCCCTTATCTCGTAGACAATTACAACCACAGTTTATTAATTTAAAATCATTTTCTTCTAAATAAATCTTAACCTCTTAAATAAAGTCACACAAAATGATTAATAATAAAACTTTATTTATTATTATATTAGTTACATTATTATATCACGTCAACCTTAAAAGATAATGAATTTAAATTGATATATATAATCTACATGTTACTCGTTAATGAATAGAATAAATATTCAGTAATCATTTAAAATAATGTCTTTAAAATTAGAAGATCCTACATCACCGAAGAACTCACAATTTCTTAATACAAATGATAATAATAACAATCACAATCAAAAAATAATTACATCACCGTCACTATTACCGTCGTCGGCAATTAGAACAAATACACAAGGATCATCAGCTTCATTATCAAGTTTAACAGAAAGATCATCATCATCACTATCTGGAAACTTAACATCAAGACAATCACAACAACCAAGACAATTAGAAACAGCAGAATCATTACTACAAAAACAAAACAAACCTAACAACAATGACGATATAATAGATGAAACTCATGTATCATTAGACCTATTAGATTACAAATCATTAACACTAGAAAACAAAGGATCAGTAGCAAGAGATCATATGGCCAACGAACGAACATTTTTAGCTTGGTTAAGAACATCATTATCATTTATAACTTTAGGTATTGGAGTAACTCAATTATTTAGATTAGAAAAACCAAATACAAAAGTTCATACTACTAATTCAATTATTTTATTAGCTAATGATTTAAAAGGTGATGATTTGAAAAAATATGGGAAACCTTTAGGTGCTATATTTATAATAATTGGAATATTAACTTTATTATTTGGATTCAATAGGTATTTTTATGTTCAGAAATTGTTAACTAAAAATTTTTACCCTGCTACTAGATTAGGTATAATGGTGCTAATATTTTTGATTATATCTGTTATATTAGTGACTTTAGGTATGATATTGAAAACTTCGCTATATTGATTAGATTAAAATAGAGTAGATTAAACGAATATTTAGTTCTTAAACATTACATTATAATAAAATAAAAACTTAATAAAATTATGGTTTAAACCTCAAGTAAAACTGAGAACCCCTATTTCTCGAAATGCTATGTACTACAAGCTTGATAGTCGATCATCAGTATATCATTAAACCTTGTTATCTAATCAATCTATATCATTTTAGATTAGGGTTGTTGCCCTAAAATTATATCCGGGTAAACCACGCGAGTGCTGCGCGCTTTTCAAGACCTTTATACCAAACACGCACACATATAATTGACAAAATTACACTACATACTTAAGAAAGAGAGAAACAGAGAGAACAATTAAGTGACAATTTTTAATAAAATTTTTATTAGCAAAAGTCCTTTTAGATAGTAATAACTAATACAACAACGTCAATATGGTATGTGATTATATACCCAATTTAATGGATTCAATGAAGTATCAAGTAGTAGTAAAGTCAGAAACGATCGTTATGGAATGAATCAATCAGTTCAACGATATGGAAACTTAAATTAGTAAAACCAAAGACTATAAGAGAGGAGATGTATAAATGAATTATTATAGCAACCAACTACGATCATGTAACGCAGTCACGAGAATTCCTTTCATTAATCTATTCATAATCACCAGAAACTAGTAATACGAACGTCATGAAAGTGAAAGTGGGAAAATTCTAAATCATCCAAATGTGGCAAAGGGATAAATTTATTGGAAAGAATCAATTTTAATGTTTACTTTTGTAAAATTACTCAACTCATCAAAAACTGAAACTACTAAGACTTCATGGAACATAGTTTTTAAAATGTATTTACAATATACTAACATCATTTATAGGGAAAAGTCCACGGTTCATTAGCTCGTGCTGGTAAAGTTAAATCACAAACTCCAAAAGTTGAAAAACAAGAAAAACCAAAAAAACCACAAGGTAGAGCTTACATGAGATTATTATATACTAGAAGATTCGTCAATGTTACCTTAACCAATGGTAAAAGAAAAATGAATGCTCAATCTGCTTAAATTTAATTAATTTCAAAAACTAAATAAAAACAAAACAATAGAATGTGTTGATAAATAACACATATGTTATTATGATGAATTTAATAAAAATGGGGATTTGGTCATAAATCATTTATATTTTTTTAATGTATATTTTCAATTTGTAATCTGTAACTAAGAATTGTTAATGTAGTTAATATGTCTATTAAAGTATCTTTTACATAAGGTCTATAAACAATATCTATACTTACCATTCTGGGATCAAAAAATATGAATACACTCTTGATCTAACTTCTGCAGTTTCTTCATCTTCAACAAACATTGGTTTCATATTAATTAAATCGATTTTTTCAGGTTTAAATTGATATTCTTTACAAGTTTCAAAAAAGCTTAAATCATCTTTTAATAACCAAGGTCTATGAGGCAGAAAAACAACTAAACATTTACCGCTTCTCTTAAGTGAATTTCGACAAGTTGTTAATAATTTATGATGTTCTGTATGATTGAAAACTAAATCTGATAGTATTATTAAATCAAATTTTAATTCATCTGTTAAAGGTTCTTTTGATCCATAAATCAGTTCATTAACATTATTACCCCATATATATCCTTTAACCTTATATTCACTTAATTTCGCTTGTTTCTCTAATTCATTAAAACTATATTCAATATGACTTATTAAATCTGGATCCGGATAATCAGTTGCAATTACTTCAGATGCATTATTTAATGAACAAATTAATGAAGGTAATGCAGCAGCAGCACCTAATTCCAAAACTCTTTTATTTTCAACTAATTCAGGATGTGAATCTATATAATCTGCTGTAAAAATACCTGCATTCCATAATAAATGACCCCATAATGGAGATTTTCCAACTAATTTCATTTTTATTGATTTTGGATCAACAATTTCTAGTTTTCTTTCATATGTTGCAAAATGTGATTGTGGTGGTGGTGGTAAAAAATCAGTTGGTTCTTCAAATAATCCTAAAGATAACTCTTCTTCTTCTTCTGGCATCTGTTGTGTGGTGGTAGTGGTGATTTATGTACAGATGATACGCTATTGTGATGTAATGGTTTTGCAACATAAAATTTTTCTCAAATTGATTATGATAACAGTAGTAAATATGAAAATTTCGAATAATACATGTAAGTCAATTACCTTTGACAATTGAACGTCAGATCAGCTGTAAAGATTAAAAAAATACGATTCTCACTATGCTACTCTTTCATTCTCAACTTTGACGTAGCGTTTGACTCTAAAATATAATTTCCAGATCATTAATATATAATTTGAAACAATATCAAAATTAGAGAAAAAATTAGTACACTAAGTTTAAGTTTACAACCAAATTTTATCATTACTTTAAAATACAACACCTAGATCCTTAATTGGAATGTCACAACATCAGCAACCCAAAAAATGGAATGATGTATCACTAGAACTTATAAAAGATCCAGATAATTTCGTACTATGGCAACAATTAATAGAATCAGCAGAATATAACAACAAGCAAGGAATTTCGAAATCAACACCACCAAATAAATTAGAAATACTACGTATATCATATGAAAAATTCTTGAGGAAATATCCATTTAATTATATATATTGGATAAAATATGCTGAATGGGAATTTAAATTAGGTAATACTAACGTATCTTTACAAATATATGAAAGAAGTTTTACGTACTTGAAATATTGTATTGAATCATGGATTTCATTTTTACAATATAAAATTAATACAATTAGTGATAATGAAAATGAAATTTTAGGGTTATTTGAAAAAGCAAGAAAATTAATCGGGTATCATTTTTATTCATATGAATTTTATAATTTATATCTATCATTTTTGGATAATTATGCAAATGATGAAAATCAATTCAAACAAAAATATTTTACATTATTGAGAGTTATCATTGAAATACCATTATATCATTATGAATTCTTCTACAAAAAATACTTCGAAATTATAAGTCAATTAGCAGAGCCAAAATATCAATCAAATTTGAAATATATAGTTCCTGAAAAAGATAGAGGAAAAGATCCAAAAACATTAGCTGTACAATTAAGAAAAACATTCATTGATGCATATATTACAACACAATTTAAAGTTTATGAATTATATCAATTTGAAAAAAAAATAACGAAACATTTCAATGATTTTAAATTTATATCGAGGCAAAATTTAGATAATTGGGACTTATATTTTGATTTTTTACAACTAAAAAACTATCCTTTTGCATATATCGAAATGAATTATTGGAGATACATATATATTACATTTACATACCCAAGTTCATGGATTAAATTAGCTGATTTTTACATATATCATGAAAAATATAATGTTGCGAAACAAGTATTAATACAAGGTTGGAAATTATTAGGTAATTATAAAATCCTACTCAAGTTGGTAGATTTAGAATTATTTATGAAACAATATTTAAGAGCAAAAGATTTAATTTTGAATTATTTGAAATATAATATATCTGTTCCTACACCAATTTATGAGAAGTTAATAAACATCGAAAGAATCTTAAATCATAGTGATGATGATCATTTAATAGAAACTTTCAAGACTATAATACAAGAAACTCAAAATGATTGGTTTTTCAATGTATTAACTTATTACTCAATCGATAATGATAAAAAATTGAAATTGATAGAAGAACTTAAAGAATTCAAAGGTCAAACATACTACGACAAAGCAATAAATTTACTATCACCAGTACAAACGTCCATCAAAAGACCTGATTTCAAAGAAAATTACAATCAATTAATGAGCATTTAAAAATAAATAACTGTCTAGAATATAATATATATTATTTTATTCTAAATATAAATTAATAAAAGCAATTAAAAAATACCAACCAATTAACCCAATCCCCAATTTCCTATCAAAATTCCAATGATTTGAAGGTAAATAAATTAAAATAAAAACTATAGTAATTATTAAAGATGTTGTACTTAATATAACACTTGAATTTAAATCAAATTTTATAGATTTACCAGTTTGTTGTATAACAACGTACCCATTGAAACCAATTCCTAATAAAATGATCAATAAAGGTGTACCTAAACATGAATTTATACCTAATATTGGATTAATCTTTGTTGCTAATGTTATATTCGTAATAACATCATTAATGGAATTACTTATTGAAAAAACTAATAATCCTAATATATAATCTGAAATTTTCCAAATTAATCCTAAATTTTTTAAAATTTGTAAAATATGAATTGAAATGTTTGAAATTATAATTAGACTTGTCACAATACCTAATACTGAAATAAATATAATTTTAAGATCATGTTTTAAATAATCAAATGTAAATACTATTGGAAAAGTTACAATTAATCCCAAAATTACATAATTTATATTAAGTTGGAAAAATTGATAATTTATTAATAATGGGATCTCAAAAAAATACCAAAATTTCATTAATGAATTATGCCTCACCAGTGATTTCCATTTTGAGTCTTCATTTTCAATACATCTATGAAATGGTATCAAAAATATTAACACAAAATCAATGCAATTACAAACGTATTGGAAAATTAAAGTAAGTAGTTTTGGTTTCGGTTGATGATATGAACATGATCTGGATAATACAAATGGTGTAGTTACAGGTGATTTATCCTTTGGTATATAATTTACAGATAAATAATCATTCTCATTTGATTTCACTGATATAATAGTTGGTAATGGAGTTGGTAAAGGTGAAGCAGATCTTGAATTTAATGGAGTAGATCTTGGAGAGTTTCTTGGTGAGGGAGTTCTTGAAACACTTTGTATAGATCCATATTGTCTTTCATCATTTGATATTATGTCCAAAGCATCTTCAATATTATAAGGTTGTTCTAAAATATGTTCATGATCATCACATTGAATTAACAATTCTTCATCGAAATTTTTAATTTTTTCTTTATCAAAAACACTCAAGAATATGATATAACAAATATAAACAATTGACATTACAAGACACTCAATTTTGGTGATTTTACCATCTGATAAAACATATGAAAATAAAATTAACACCACCAATATCCAAGATAAATCTATTATCAAAAGTTTAGGTTGTTCAACGATATAATTTTTATTCATAATTGATATGAATCCAATTATAATAGTAAACATTATTAGTATACTCCCCATTAATTGACCAATAATTAAATTTGAATTCCCCAGTTCTAAAACAATAAAATAATTAATTAAATCAGGAAATGAATTTGTCAAGGGAATCAATATGAAACTTAAAATTTGATTATTTAAACCAAATTTTTGAGTTAATTCATTTAGATTTTTAAATAAATAATTTGAAACTAATATACTTAATGATAATAAAATTAAACATAAAACAATCAATATTAAACATGATATTAATATTAATGATATTAAATTATTATATTTACAATAAAAAATTTGTGAAATTTTAAAATAACTAGTATTACAATTTTTTTCAATATATTTACATATTTGATTTGATGATGATGATGAAATTAATTTTGTTGGTAATGAACATTGGTCTAAATCTATTTCTAATGGTGATAATTTGGAAAATGCAAATGACAGATTAAATAAATAAAATAATGATAATAGTAGTAGCATTATATCAAGAATAATAATAAAATAGCGATATTGTGATAATAATTTATTTTTAAGTTATTGTTTTTATTAGTACATTATCTTGATATTTCTTAGCTATTTTCTTGAATTGAATAAATAGATTGTAATGGTATGAAATAATTTGAGTCTTAAAAAGATCTTGATATATTTAGATCTGTTTCAGATTTTTCTTGTATTCTTTTATATATAAATTTATCTTGATTTGAATAATATAAATGAGATTGCTATCATTTTTTTTTCACAATATTCTCTTTATCGATAATTAAATAATCTTTGTGTAAAAATTAAAATCTCTTACGATCATTTATCCGAAAAAATTAAAAATGTTCTAAAAAATGAGGCACAATAAATGTAAGTAAAAGTCACTTTTGAACTAAACTTTTGAAACATAATCATGATATTCTATTAAATTTAATTAACGCTACACAATATACATAAATACACACATAAATCTGTTACATTATAATTCAACGTTTTTTCTATAAAATTATAAGCATTTAAGTGACTTTAACAATCACACGATACTTAAAACTTTTAATGCAATATACCACCAACTCCTACTTCAATTCATCTTTATACTTTTCAAATCCAGGTTTTGATAAAATTTCTTTTGCAATTTTAATATCTAAATTTATATCATTAATTAAAGCTTCTTTTGTTGTATAATTTAATTCAGGTCTAATATATCCCAAAACAATATATTCAATTTTAGCACCATAAAAATTATCATTAAATTTATTTATGATATGAATTTCTGCTGCTTTTTGTTTATTATGATAAAATGGATTCCAACCAATTGACATTACCATTGGGAATATACATAATTCTTGTTGATTTAATTTATTACCATGATTGAAAACAATTTCATTACCATCTATTCTTTTTTCTGTTGAATCTTTTAATTCAGGATTTGGATGAATTTTAGCCCATCCATAAAATATACCAGTTTGTAAATTATTTATTGATTCATCTATTATTGGAATATTTGCCGTTGGTATACCTAATTCACTTGATCCTCTACCAAATCCCGATATTATTGAAGCTTTTCCATGTATTGGATATGGTGGTTGTGGTGTATCATGTACTATTGTTTCTGGTCTCTCGCTCATTTTAATTGGTGGCGGAGGTGGCTATATTCGATGCAGATTGAGTTGTCTTTTTAATTGTGGATAACTTTATTATTAATATATTGGATTTGACATTTTTCAGTGCGAGAGATTAAAACTCGATCTTTACTTAGACTTATTAATTTCTATATTAAACATTAGAGTTTTTATACAATTCTTTATAGTTAAATCTCAATGTGGAAACTTGAACTGAGATTATCATGATTAAAAGACTATATGATTGAAAACTCTAAAAATTTCGATAAATAAATAACGTCGAATTATCCTGTAAAAAATCATTGGGTAGTGTACTTTGATATATATTTATGATCTCATATAAACGTATATTATTTGTTTTTGCTTTTTAAAATAAATATTTTTTTCATTAACAATTTAGTCATTCAATATTTTGAGTGATAACCAGCATTTATGAATGCCCTTAGATATTTTACCAACATTCAAGGCTGTCAATTGTGAAGATCAGGATTAAATTGGATGGAGTATAAGTCCGCATTGAGGTAAGCAGTGTTGATGTCTAGATGATAAATTTCAAAGTCGCATTGACCAAGCTATTGTATCGCTTTGTTATCCTTATGAATTAATCAAATCGATTTGGAATTATGATTACAACTTTTCATATTTATTTGGTTAATAACTGATTTTATATAATCATCAATAAGTCTTTTTTGAACTTGATAGTTTTTCGTTTAAGATTTAATTTTTGATTTTTATAGAAGATTTAATGGACTATTATGTTAATGGTTTGCTGATCTTATTTTTTAATATCTGTGATCAAATTTTTCATGAAAATCCTTTGGGAGTATAATATGTATTTTCAGATGATTTACTTCAGTTCTTCACTGAAAGTTTTACTGGAATTATTGTTTGACATACACTGATAGTTTTTGTTAATTCTTACAATTTTAGTCGGAGTGTTCTTTAGTAATCACATTTAATTATGTTGATTATTAAAGTACTTCGTTAATGGTTTTTAAATGTATCATAAACAATTGGAACATTAGGACGATATTTTATTTTGTTCATGAAGTTTTCATCTATGATATTTATAAGAGCTAATGATTTTAAGTTGGAAAGAGATTAAGGTATATAAAAATTTATTGTGTCTCAATCTGGCAGTGAGAACGGTGAGGAAGAATGCGTCTAAATTCATATGTCTATTTCGTGTTTTTGTATCAACCCTCCAGAAACTATATGATTTGCTGTTGCACATGAAAGTATTTTCACCTAATACTTGCGTTATGATTTTTAAACTAGTTCTGGCACAATGGTGTTTGAAAATGTTGTGGAACAAAGAATACTTTTTAAGTTCATTTGTCTTACTTATGTTCTTATATTAATAAAGTAAATTTAAATTGTATTATGTATTATGTAACAATTCGAAAAATTCATGTAGATTATCTCTACCATCCTTAGCAATTTACTCCCTAATTCTCAGTTCATTAATTTGAATTTTGTTAACTTTGTCAATCAGTTCGTGAATATGATATAATGTAAAAATTTAAAGTAAAAAAAGTATGTATAATAGTCTGTTTTTAATACTACGCAATAATTTTAAAAAATGTGTTTTAATTAAAAAAAATTATAAAAATTATAAATATAAAAATTATTTCATCAATTTATTTATTCTTGTTTTTTTTTTTACACCAATATCTTTTGCATTACTCCAATGAAATTTTTTAGATTTATCGTTGGCAAGGGCCGGTAAATTGAGACCTACAAATTGGATATTGACTTTTTATTTTCCATATGAATTTATTGAATTTTGATTATCCTCAACATATTTATTTGGTCAATGAAAATCTTAAACATATTGATTATCAAGTCTTTATGAAATTTTTCATTACAAGATTTATTATCATATATCATTTACTTAAAGTTAATATTCCAAAGATTTGTGTTGACTATTCTTAGGATTAGAACATCTGCTTATCTAATGGCTGGGTTATATGGCAAGTGTGGCAAGCTTAAACCTTTTCTATATTATGGATACTTAGCCTTTATAGCTTAATGGTTAAAGCAATCGGTTCTGGTGCGGTCTATTGAGTACAAGTGAGTCGATGAATGCTATTTTTGTATTCGATCAAAACTTTACTACTACAGTATAATTGAAATAAGTTTTAAGTAATTCATTTAGACCCAAAAATGTTATTACTGAAGTATTTCATAATTGGTTAATTGACGTATCATAATTAAATAAGGAATATACCATTACTATGATATTTCTGATTAGTTAAAGATTTATTCTATACTGTAAAGAGTTAGCGTAATACTTAGTATCGGGAAAGTGTGTGTCCGGAATAGCTGTTGAAGGCTCAAAGTTTGTATATATGTTTATGCTGAAACTGTTGAAGTTTTTGCAAATAATTTGTATTATGTATTCTGTATTTTGAAATTTAAAATTAATGTAGTTTTTTGATCTCTAAAAATATTAGTTTAAATTACTTTATCATTTATTATCTATTTTTGGACTTTTTTTTAAAGTCTTTATTGCAATTATAAAATTGTTTGCAGTTCAATTAGAGTTTAAATTATTCAATTGATTGTATTATAAATTTATATGTTTTAGAAAAAACATTTATTATGGTAGACTATATATTATGATATAATATAATTATATATTAATTCAAATTTTAATTAAAACGCGTATTAATTAATAAATAAATAAATAAAATAAATATAAAACAAAATCTCACTTTATTCTCAACTTTTCTATATCTTTTAATTCAAATGATATAAATGTTGATATACTTTTTCACTATGTTGATTTTTGAATTTTGCTCAAGTAATGTTTAATCAAATATAAATAATTTTCCATATGAATCAATCAAATTTCATTTTAAAATTTGATTAAATTTATGTTTTATTTGGTTAATTATAGTATTATTATAATTTTCATTTTAAAAGTCTATTATGAATTATATTTTCATTTTAGATTTGAATTTGAAATATGATTAAGGTGAAGTTTATGTTACTTACTTTAAATTCAATTTAACGATTCCTGCTCGAATTTTTGTTTGAGGAATTTTTTTTTTAAATACACTGTGGTAACTTTCTATTAAATTATTGGTTAGCATTATTTGGTCGTAGTCGCTATTCCATATATTATAATAGGGGTATTCATATAATGCATCTACTATTTTTTAAAAGATAGATGTCAATTATTAAAGTATTTCATTTATGAATTTTTTGATGTATCATCAGAACATAATGATATCTCAAAGAATTTAAAGAATTATAGTGTGTGGAAAGCATTGGCAATATCCTTAGATAAATACTTTAGACCGAGTCTGCCCTTCACTTTGAAAAAATAGGGTCTCGAAATTTATATAGATTTTAATGTATGAAATTTTATATGTTGTATGTTTGTTGAAAGAACGGATAATCCACTTGTAGATTTAAATCTCTTTATATTGAATTATCAGTATAGTGAAATTAATCTTCAGAAATTTGTTCCATTTTTATAACAAAATTAGAGAAAAATTTGTAACAAATTTATGATCGTTAATAATGAGAAGTAATCAACGCATTATTATATATTGATGAGTACTACTTGTTATTGAAGTCAATCACTCATCTCTTATTTTAATTTACATCATTTTAATTGTTATTTTTCAAGATTTGAACTGCAAATATAAATAATACATTTAATTTTTAACGCGAAATAGAGAATTAGATAAATTGAAACTAATATTCTGAACTTTACATCGAAGAATTCTCATCTATAATTTTTATAAAATCAATTGTATTAAATTTCAAGCAAATTATACTAAAATTTGTAATGATTATTTAATTTAATTAATAAAATAAATTTATATTTCATGGTTTTAAAATATGATCGTGATAGAAAAGCCCCTCAATCTATAAATTAGAAAGTGTAAATAAATAAAAGAAATAAATAAAATAAATAAATAAAATAAATAAATAAAATAAATAAATAATATTATGTAGATCTAAATAAAAAATATAAATAAATTTGAAATATAAATAAAACTCAAATTATTCCCGTTCTTTTTTGAATTTTATAAATTTAATCGGTTTTAACTTAATTCTATTAAGAATATTTCATGATTTTTGAGACATCATCAACATTGGTTCTAGGAGTATGAATATCACGATACTTTTCACAAATTGATTTTAAACAAATCGAAAAATTTCATTAAAAGTTGCTTTCCAAATGAATCAATCAAATAGGTTTGATTACTGTTAATACTATTTGTTTGGTTAATAACATACTTTTAATAATTATCAATAAGTCTTTATGAAATTCAATTTTCATTTTAGATTTCGTTTTTGATTACAAAGATTTATTTGAAATTCAGATTTCCGAGAAAATTTCTGTAGTTTATTTTTAACTCACTGAAAGCACTTCGATCTAGTGGTTGTGTCAAATGCGATGCATGTGCGGGCAAAAATACTGGTACATATTATCCTTCATGAAATCGTTTTTATGTTGGTGCTAATAACATGGCCAATTTTTTATACTATAATTGGGGTATCTTTTAATAATGATATCAAAGTTTATATAAGAGATGTTTATTATTAAAGTACTTTCATTAGTGAGTTTTCAACGTATTAAAAAAATTTATGATATGTTTAAAAATCAAAAAATTATAGTATAAAGGATTGGCAGAGATAGCAAAGTTCCATGGTCAATCCCCCGGCTCAAATTTTTTTGCTACAATAGTGTATAGTTGTATAATTGAAGTGAATTATATTGATAATTCTACATAGTGTTAATGTATTAATTTGTGTATTTTGTATTTTGTATTGAAGCAAGAGAACAAAATATAATGTAGACATTATTTTCTTATCTTTATTTGAAAATTACCTTTAAAAATTTGTTCAAGCTTTCAAGCTTTCAGTCTTTGAGTCAATTGTGAAATTGGAGGTATTTAATTAAAAAACTTATTCTTTACTTTATACAAAAAGAACGGTTTAAGCCTAATAATTTCGTCAGTCAATATATTCCGATAAAACAATATGAGATTGCAAATTTATACGCGACATATAAAGTTATATAAAAGTATTGCTATGACGATACAATACACTTTGACGATACAATACACTTTGACGATTCAATACTCTAATATTTTCAAATCTCACCATACAATTTTCCGTTCAATTAAAATTAAAATTAGATCTAGACTTTTGTAAAAAGAATTTTGAAACAAAGTATTTTTTTTTTTGAACATAAATAATAATCGCGTGGCTATGTATATAAAAATATGATGTTTGATATAACAAACATTGAGCCACTACATTGATATCATTGCATAGTCTATATACAACCTTACTACATCAGATAATCATTTAAAAATCGTCAAACGTAGAGTATTTGAAGAGTTTATCATGTATGGTTATAAATTGATATAATAAATTAAACTTAAAACATCCAGAATGTAGTCACAAAATTAAGAAAGCTGACACGACAAAGTATTTAAATAATATTACACAAATCGCGTTAAGTAATTAAATTAAAATTATATTTTTTGTTTGTTTTTATTTTTATTTTTTTTTGTTTTTGTTTTTTTGTTTTTGTTTTGTTTTTCTTGATTTAATTTTTAAAACAGGGACCTTTTGATTAATTTAATTATTATTATTTTATTTCACAATTATCATGTCAAATTATTATTAATATAATATATAACCATATGCTAACTAATGTAAGGTATTTAATTTAACAAATATACGGTATTGGTTCCTGAACGCGTTACGCGTAGTCAATTTAGATTTTAATTTCAATTTATTTTTTATATTTATTATTATTTTATTTAATATCAAGTTTCAGATTCGATTTTTCACTATACAACAACTCCTTTCCAATAATGAAAAAACTCGATATTATAATTGAAATATCAATTTGTATCAGCCATGTTATATTATTATTTTACACGATGGAAAGATTTAATTTAAATTTAATATAAAATTTTGACAAATATTTCTACTTTTGATTTTATTATAAATATATCATTAATTCCCTTTCATGTCAATGATAAATTTTATTTTCTTCTTTTTTTTAATTCAATATTCATAAGTTTCATAACTTTTAAAGATCTAACTATATTCATTCATTTAATTAAATAATTCATATACAACAAATATATAAAAATGCAATTCTCAACATTATTTACAATCGCTGCTACTTTAGTATCATCATCATTAGCTACTACTTCATTTGAATGGGAAACTGTTTATGAAAGTTATACAACTGAATTAACTATTACTTCATGTTCAGATAATAAATGTGAAACTACTGTTAATAAAGTTATTCCATCAATTGCTTCAACCACTGTTGAAGGTGTTTTAACTGTTTATACAACTTATTGTCCATTAACTGAATCATCTTCAGATGTTATTGCTCCAACTCCTTCTTCAATTGCTGGTGTTGCTTCTACTTTATCAACTGTTGTTACTACTATTCATGGTGTTGAAACTGTTTATACTACTTATTGTCCATTAACTGATTCACAAGTTGTTGCTGATGTTTCAACTCCAATTGCTCCAATTGTTTCATCATCATCATTAGCTGCAGTAGCTTCCTCAACTCCAGTTGCTACAGCTCCAGCTGCTCCAGTTGTCTCATCATCATCAATTGCTGCAGTCCCAGTATCACCATCATCATCATCAGAATCAGATATTTATGTTGATTTCACAATAACTCCAACTGTTTCAACAACCGAAAATGTATTAGCTACAGAAACTGCTCAATCTACTTTATTTACATCATCATTAGCTGCTTCAAATAGTTCATTAGCTGATGTTTCTACATTTGAAGGTTCAGGTTCTAAATTAGTTGTTGGTGGTTTTGCTGCTGTTGCTGGTATTGCAGTGGCTTTAATATAAGATATTTTAAAATCCACAATATTAAACTTATTTAGGGTAAAAAAGTTTCTTTTGGTTTTTAGATTGTATATTTTAGGTTAGTTGTTTGATAGTTTCTGTTGTTTACTTTCTGTTCATAATTTTATATAGACTGTTTAGAAGTTTATTGGTTTGCATATTTTTTTTAATATAAAAAAACATTTTGGTTATCTATTTTTTAAAATTACTCTTCAATTTATCATATCATTTTAATTTTTTCATTTAAACAAATTGTGAAGTTTGAATTTACTCTTCAGGTCCTAAAAATTCCTTTTTTAAAAAAATTTTTTTGAGGGATCAGTCGTCTTTAGTAAAATAGTACAGAATAAGTTAGAGATTAAAGGAGTTCTATAAATTTTGTTTCATATTACTGGTACTTTATATCTTAACTTATTACCTTCAGAATAAATATAATTCAACATATTTTCGAATTCTCCTTTCTCTGTTAATTCAATATATTTCTTGTATAGTAATAAAGCAGTTTTAGCATCTTCTATTGAATCATGATTATCTAATTGAACTTTATCCCCCAATACAATGAAAGCTAAAAATTTTAAACTTAATTGTCTTTTAAAACTTGATTTATAATAAAATTCTGAAGTATCTTTAATTTGTTTCAATGGAACTTGTAAATTTATTGTTCTAAAATCATTATATAATCCATGACCAACAAATATAACTCCTAAATTCAACAAAAGCCAAAGTTTTCTATAAGCTGTTTGTAAAGTTACTAAATTTTTGGTTGATTTTTCCAAATTTAAATCATTTGTTTCTATTCCACTAAAACTCGTTAAATAATCATATATAGGAGAAGTATGAGCAATATAATCATCAATAAAAGCTTTACCAAATTTTGTAGAATCTAAATTTAAATCTCCACGTAATACTGAAACTCTTGCTAATGATAATTCTTTTGGTTTAATTAATTTTTTAATACCAGTATATGAAATTTCTAATTGTTCTGGTTTTAATGTTACAAATTCTGCATCTATTGCAACTAATGTCCCTGGTTCTGGAGCTTCTTGTTTTGTTAATAATTTATATTGTTTTTTATAATTTTCTCTTATTGTTCCAACAAAATGATCTCTATATAATATTAATGAATCTCCATTAAAATTTTGTTTTTCATAATTAAAATATTCAAATTTTTCAATTGAATTTGTTTCTTGATATATTACAATGACTGGTTTTTTCCATGAATAACTTAAATTAAAAACTTCTTTTTCATCAATTGGTATAACTAAATAATCATTAAAGAAAATCCAAGACCCATTGACTTTAACAAATGAAACTAAATTATTTGAATCAATTCTTGAATTATCAGTTTGATGACTTATTTCACATACATAACCTAATAATTCATATTTCTTATAATTGTTATTATTTGGGGGAGTTGGTTTGTAGTTATATCCATTATTGGCAGTTTTGATTGCATAAAACTCAGGTACAAGCCATTGTTTTAAACTGTTGATAATCTTAAATTCTTCATTTGTTAAATTGACATTTAATACCAAAACAGATGGTAATTTCGTAATACTTGTTTTAAATTCTAAAGTATGTGGATGACTATTTTGATGTTGTTGACATGGCACTGTTTTAAATTGATTTGATGAATAGTCTAAATATGTTAAAATGTTTAAATTTTTTCTTATATTTGCTATATTCGTTGGTTGTTGTTGATGATTTGGATTCATTAATATACTCATTTTATTTAACATGTTATTTGGTGGTGTAATTAATTCTAATGAAAACATTGTACCTCCATGTTTTGTATGGAAATCACATGATGGATTGTTACCTTTAGTCTCTATCTGATACACTAATTCAGTGATTGAAAAAGTTGTATCATATTGTTTTTTAAAGTCTTGATCTAATTGTATTAATAAGTAATGATTAAAAGATATTATTAGCTCTCTAACTTCTTGGGAATTTAAATTCATTAATTCATTAAAATTTAATAAATGCCTTGCTTTTTTATCGTGATTTAAAACTTGACTGAAATTGGTGGTTTTGACATTTTTTGATTTTGCTTTGTACATCATATCAAATAAATAAGCCAATTCATTTAAAATTGATGAACCTTCGGGATTATCATTCATTTGTAGAGGACTATTTGGTAACCATTCTTCATTCAATGATTGAACAATATGGTTGTAAAACATTGCTTGGAATCTATATAGTTGTAGCAATGAATTTATATATGAATTATCACTATGATTCTCCAAACCGCAATATTCATCCGTTTTGTTATAATATGCAAAATCAAAATCTTTCACACCAAATTTTGAATATTGAATTTGCAATCTGGCAAAATAATTTGGTATTTTGGAATCTTTTGATACTTCAAATATATTATCTGATAAACTATGTTTTCTTTTAACTCCATCTTTTCTTTCACTGAGAAATTGTGGTATTTGAGTATCTTTTGTATGAGCGATCGAATAATAAGGTTGTTCAACATTTCCAGGACCATATTTAATTTCATCATATTTTATAAATTTTCCTGGGTTTCGTTCACATTTTAGTAGTAATTCTTCATCGATTTTATTCGGTAATTTTGCTGTTTCTTTTACAAATGTCATATCTGTTGGCCAGTTTGACAATAATAAATCTTTATAGTATGGCATACCAACTGAACTTAATGGAACAGAATAATCATCAATATCAATAAATCCATTTTCTCCAGCTCCGGTTCCATTTATTATGTCTGGTTTCTCAATATTAGTTGGAAAATTTACAAAATTTTTATTTAAAGATCCTGAATTTGTAATTGACCATAAATGTAAATTTGAATGTCCGTCATTAAACATAAAGAAATCACCATTTTCACTAATGTTCAAATCGGATAATTTACTTGGTCTAATCGATGATGATAACTGAGGTTGATTCATTGATAAGTCAGCTTGATATAAATGGATATTTGTTTGATCAAAAATATCAATAAAATGAATTTGTCCATGTTGTGATGCTGCAATTATAATATTTGTTAATTTTGGATGAAATCTTATTGACGTAGCCCCTGATGCAAATGGTACTGGAGACATTGCTCTCATTGTCCTTATATCAAATATATTCACTAAAGGATCAACCAAATATTCTGGTGTTTGATTATAATGATATCTTTTTGGTCGTATTGAATATCCACAAGTTGCAATATAATTACCTCTCACATCCATATCTGTAATCAATCCATTATGAGCTGAAAAAGTTTTTAATGATGAATTTGAAGTTGAATCAAATAACTCTAATGAACCATTCCCATTTGCCAAAGTCAAAAATCGAGGAGTATTATTTAATAAAGATATTTTACCTTCATGATCAAATTTTTCTAATATTGTTGGTTTATTCATATCAATTTTTAATAAAGATGTCTCAGTACCTAAAACAATATCATTCAATGAATTACAATTAAAAGTCATTGAATTTAATTTTTTGAAACTTTCCCCTCCTTCTTTGAAGAAATCCGGATCAAAACTTTGTTTATGTAAACCTCTTCTATTATTGAAAATCAATTGATCATTTGATAGTGAGTAAATTCCGTCTTTATGCGAGAGTATTTGTGAAATTGATTGATCCTCAGTATTTGTTTGAAACTTTGTATATGGAAATAATTGAGTATGGAAAGGTGATGTTGGTTGTCCAATTGTTACAGATCTTGTATAACCTTGAGAATCTCCACACCATATTAAATTTTGAGTGGTATCAAATTTTAATGAAGTTATATGAGGTTGATAATCTTCAGTTATATTACCATTATTAATTTGAATAGGATTATTTAATTTATGATTAAATAGTGGTATTCTAGCTACCTCACTCCATCCATCCATTACTTTATTATTCTGACTAGATTAAAATGTTTTATGTCTTATAGATTTATCTTATATAAATAGCTATTAAACTTCATGAGTTTGATTTATTCTTTGTTTTTCAATGTTTATCTGATATAAAAATGATTATTTTGGTTGTAAAAAATAAACTTTTTTTCTGTTTATCAATTCCTGTATATAGAAAATAGAATTTAAAAAAAATTAAATAGAAAATAAATTTCTTTATTTCTCCTAAATCTCTAATGACAGTTTTTATAATGTTCTGTCAAGAGCATTTAACGACAAATAAAAGCTACCAAACGAGATTTAAGTTTTGTTTTTTATCTACGTCATATTAAAATTTATTACGAATGAGGGCACACTTCAACTAACAGGCATTGTATGATTGGTGATTAGGTATTTTGACGACCTCTAGAAGTCAGAGAACACATTCTGGTTTTGCTCAATCGAATGCACCGAATGAATTTGCCGGCTGTTATTAATTTAATTGTATAATTGTTGATTACTTGTTATTGCTGTTTTTCTCGAAGTAAGAAAAAAAATAAATGATTACGAGGTAACAAAAATAATAAAAGATACATACATACTTAATTTTAATCATTAAAATTTTTGGATTGAATTGACAACATAAATCTATTTCGTGGGGTCAAGGTTGTGAATGTCAAATTTCAAAAATATTATAAATCTAGCTATGATAATACATTGAATGCAACATATTTGGTTTACTTATATTGAATTGATCTAAGTATTAAACGTAATGAGAAATGAAGTCTCTTAACTTGTACAAAAAAACCCAAACAAACGTGCACATAACGCAATCAAAACTCGGTTCAAAACAATACTTGATTTAAAAGCTAGTCATGGCAATACTAATGATTTACTTGATTCATTAATATAAGTCACTCTCAGTAGTATTACTTATTTATAAAGAATTAACTAATTTCATAAAACACGGGTCATTTTTTAAATATAAACATAACATAATACATGTGCAAAAAATTATTATATTATATACTACTACTACTGTATATAAGTACTTCCTTCTTATCTAATCTATATTTTATATTTATTCTATTAAAATTAATAACTACTAAATTATGACACACTTTAAAATAATAAAATATAAATATAAAAGAGTATCTTACGAATTCCAAATAACAACAAATTCTTTTTAAATTTTATATATTCATTTGTTTTTTTACTTCATTATTTAATTATTCAATTCCTATTTTTGTTTGCTTCCTTCATTAATATAAAAAAGTTTTTTAACAATTGACTTTCCTTTACTTGGTATTAATTCAATTGTTGTTGTCATAAAAAGTATATTACCGTTTTCAAATTTCCGTGTTTTCCCTTAATTAATTTTAGATACGATATTAAATTTAAAATCACCACAATTTGATCTAATATTTATATAACACATATATTTCATTTTATATTGTATTTTGCTAAACAATTATACTTCATTCATAGAATACATACATTGATTGACTCATTAATTTGATATTGATCATTATATAAACGAATTAGATTAATTAAAATTACAAATTAAAATTATATTGCTACAAAAGAATGTTTAAAACATCATCATATTTTATTCCAACTTGGTTTAAAAAACAAAACTTAAAAGAGTCAACTACATCAATTGATCCATCAACAATTCCAAAATCTTTTAATATATCAAATGATGATAATAAATTAATTAATATTTTAATGAAAGAACAAAATGATGAAGAAGAAGAAGAATTTATTGATATTCAAACAAAACAATTAAGTTATGCAGAAGTTGCATTATTAGGACAAAATAAAAAACAATCAAACAATTACTTACAAAAATCAAAACCATCAAGAGGTTTAATTGAAAAAAATCAATTTAATGTTTTACAACATTCAACTTCAACTTCACAATCATTAGTAAAAGAACAACCTAAAAAAGAAGAGTTAGAAAATTTAGAAGATTCTTTAACTTTTGAACAACATAAATCAAATGATGAATATTCAAAATCTTTAAATTATAAAAATAAACAATATAAAACAATTAAGGATAAAAAATTAAAATCAAAAAATTTTAAAAAAGAATCCAAAAAAATTAATACTAAAGAATAGAAACCAAAAGGATTTATAGATGATTTGTTTTAGATGTTCTTTTTTTTATACAATTTCAATCAATGATACTCAATGATAGTTACTTTATTTTTGCTAAGCTTTAATTTTTTAATAAAATTTATAAAACTTTTTAATAATATAAAATTCTAATTACTCTCTACTCAATTCAATTTTTTTCTGGATAATTGCTTGTAAATTATAATGTTGATTTTCTTATCTTTTTTTGTTTTTATTTTTCTTATCTTTTGTTTCGGTTATAAAAAATTTTTTGTACCTCATTTTTACCCCACATAAACTTTCTAGAAAAAATGAAAACAATTTTAAAATATGCATTTGAATTTAAAGGGTTTCTTCTATTTAAACTATTTTATTGAACTTAAAAATACTTTATATAACAGGCTATTTGCTATCATGTACCACTATCATACATCAAATAACTAATGAGATTTCACAACTTCATTCAAATTTCAAAAATATCCAAACCATAATTTTTTTTACTTTTTTTACGACCACAATCCAATAATTTGAAATCAGTAATACAAGATATAACAGGTCTTTTTTGCTTTTTACCAAAACTTTGATTAATTTTAGATAACTTATCTTTAATTTTATTCACAGGATAATGATCACTTAAATGATAATTATGAAACATCTTGACTTTTTTAAAATTTTTTAAAAATTTAAACCTAAACTTATGATCCTTAATACGATCTTTATACTTAAATAAATGATGTCTATAATTTTTTAAACTAGCCCAACTATTATCAACTTCTAAAGAAAATAAATCAATTTGATCAAAACTTAAATAATCAGTCTTTACCCAAATTTGTCCAACTAATCCATCAGGAATAGTACAAGTATATAAATTTCTCCAAGTTATTGATTGAGTTAATTCCCATGAATGAACTAAATTTTCATAATAAAAAATTATATTTAATCCTAATGATAAATCTAAAGTATTTATAAAAGTTGTGATTATAGTTGATTGAATATCAATTGATCCACCATCTCCATATTGTTGATTTAAACATTTTGTAATGGGGAATTGAATTGGTTTTGTTTTTGGGAAAGTTGATTTTATTAAATACCATTTTTGTTTTGTTTTAGTTATTGTTGTTGTAAGTTTTGATGAATGGATTATTAGTTTATTTTTTGGTAATTTGAATATTGAATTTATGTTTTTTAAATCCTTTAGTGATAGGTCGTTTATTGAATTTATGAAAGTGATGTTGAGATTGAGTAGTTGTTGTTGATGAAAATTTGAGTATGAGGTTAATGTATCATTATAATTATATGCATATGCTAATTTTGTTGAATTAAAAAATATTAATAAAATGATATAAATAAAACATTTGTAAATGTAATTATATATTTGGACCTTGTTAGTTTCATATTTGAATTGATTTGGTATTAACAATTCAATTCATATAATTGTTGTCCTTCGAATGATTGTGTATTTATTATTTGCAGTCAAGTTTGTAGATAATAATTTTTTTCCCTTTTTTCTTACATACCAAAGATGACACAACTTTATTTACCAGATCTTAAATCAAGCTATATAGAAATTATCGATCTAGAAAATATTAAAAAATTATTATGTATATAAATTATCTATAAAAATTCTCAAAATTTAAAATAAAAATATGTATTAATTATCCCTAGTGTTTTTAATTTAAGAAAAGCAAATTATTTCTTGTTACTTTATTACTAATTATTAATAAGTCTACTATATTCTTCAGCTTCAACATCTATAGAACTTTGATATTCATAAACATGAGGTTTACCAATTAATTCATTCCACCATTCATTTAATTGTGCTATAGTAACTTTACCTATTATTATAGGAAATTGTTTATAACTACCTAAAACAAATTTTAAAGCTTGCCAAACTTCATCAAATGCTAATTGGAATTCTTGTTTAATTGTACGATCTTTTGGATGGATTTTATATAATTCTTGAATTGATGGTTTATTTTGACTTATACTCTTTTGTTGATATGATGAAGATTTCGATCCAATTTGTGATGATGATGATTGTGAATCTACCAATTTTTTGGTGGTTGATGATAATGAATTTACAAATGGGAAATGGAATCCTTGACCTTTTAATTGATTATTATTATCAAAGTCTCCTGGTTGAACTTTACCTTCTTCAACATCTTTTAAATGATCCATATACATTTTTTTAAAATTATTTATAGCTTCAATTGATTTTGATAATCTATCTAATGTATTGACTAGTGCAACAATTTCAATTCTTCTAAATTTTAAAATTTCATAATCATCTTCAAATAAAATTTTCAAAGCTGTTCCATATCCAATTGTTTGTATTTTCCCCCACATTCTACATCTATCACAACCAACACAATCCATTATTGCTGAAATATTTTTAAATCTTGCTCTAAAATCATTTTTCAAACTTGGATTTTGTTCAAATAATGTACTTGTATTAAATAAAGGATTTGAACCTAATGCAGGTATAATATCTTCTAATAATAATTCATCATAAATATCAACATTTTCAATATCATTATTTTCTAATAAATGTTGTTTTTGAGCTGGTGTAATATCATCATAACCAGATTGTAAAAATTCTTTTATTGGTAAAACTTCATTTAATTTAACTAATGATTGTGAGACCAAAGCATAATTAAAATAAATATTTGATAATCTATCATTAAATAATCCAACTCTTTGCATAAATACATTTAAATTGGGATAAAATTCTCCAGTTTCACTATTTAAATATTCATTTGATAAATGAACTGCAATAGAAGCATGCATACCACTTACTAATCTATAAAATAAATTTTTTTCAATACATTTTTCTTTTTCTTCATTAGGTTTCATTGACATTGGATTTGTATTGGGAAAACAATTTTCAGAATATATAGCTTTCCAAACATCAAAACTTTGATTACCTCCATATCCAGTAAATCTTTCTGGATTATTTAATAAATTAACATAAACACAATTATGATCATCATCAATATGAGAATAATCTAAATCTTCACAAGTTTCAGGAATTTCAGTTTCAATTGAATTATCTATTTTAGAAGAAGTAATGATTTTACCTAATTTTGAAGGTTTTAAATTTTCATTTGTAATTTTTTCCCATTCAAAATCATCTAATATTTCAACTGCACAATTTTCAGTTGCGCAAAAATGTTGAGCATTCCAAAATTTACATTGTTTATCTAAATTAACTTTAAAATATTTAAAATATGATGTCTTAATTAAATCTGCTAAATATGGTCTTATTTCTTTATTTAAGTTATCAATATATGAAAATGTAGTATTACAAGTTGATGTTATAATTTGTGAACAAAAATCTGGTGAATCAAATGCATTAAATTTTACTTTTGGTAAAATATGAGGATGATGTTGTTGTTGTTTAATTGATGAATCAAATGCTATTATAGATGATATAAAGAATTGAATTAGTAGTATTATATAATATTTTATTTGCATTATGTGTTATGTGATGTGATAATAAGTTGGTAAATGATTTATGATTATTAATACAGTTAAAAAAATTTAGTTGTTATGCAATGTCTATCTTATGATTATGGTGATGAAAAGTTGTTGTGATCTTATTTGTTGTTATTGATAGTAAACGCTGTTGAATATATATTGTTATTATATAAAAGTTAAGTTATAATAAAATTGGTTGTCAATATATAAATTTTAGATAGAATTATAATTTTAATTTTTCATTACTTAAATTTAAAATTTCTTTTTTCTTTCTTTAATAAATAATTTCTTAAGTTAGTAAAAACCGATCGCCTTCTAAATTATCTTTTTTTTTATATACTCAAATTATTACTTTAAGCTATCAAGATTTTACAATTAATACTAGAATTTTTAGTAGTTGATTGGAAGCAAATATCAATAATTATCAAAGCACTTTAAACTTCGATATAACCTTTTGATATTTCTAACAGTATTTAAAGTATCAAACATGACAAATTGAACACGTCAGAAATTTATATTATTAACTAAATCATTAAAAAGAAACAAAACCTAAATCCTGCATACTAACAATTTTGTTCAATAATAAAACGGATATCAGTTGATTTTTATTTTTTTATTATTATTAATTTTTATAAAGTCCGATTAGTATTAATTTTTTGCCATTAATAATCAATAAGTAATTCAATAACCTTTTGAAAATTACCACGTCATCAACTCTAGAATTATTATTGTATCGATTAGAAAAAAAAGTAAAGTCTACAACACTATTGAATAAAAAAAGCTCCCAATATATTTATTTTATTTTATTCCACATTATCTCTTATACAGATCTATATAAACTTATCATTTTTAATCAAATTTAATTTTTTTGGCAGTTTTACTCATATCAACATCTTTATAAAAAGCACCATAAACAGAATGAGTTTTCTTTTTAGTATGACCACCAAATTTTAATAAATCTTCAGGTACTGGTTGATTAGCACCTCTTAAAATATTACATAATGCACCACTTAAATGTTTTTCATCTTCTGTAAAAAAAGTATGAGCAATACCTGTTTGACCTGCTCTTCCTGTTCTACCTATTCTATGTACATAATCTTCTATAGTTAATGGGAATGTTAGGTTAATAACGTATTTAACATTGGGGATATCTAAACCTCTTGCTGCTACATCTGTTGCTAATAATAAATTACATTCACCAGTTTTAAAAGAATTTAATGCTGATGTTCTTTGTTGTTGTGATAAATCTCCATGAATTGCTGCAACTTTGAATCTATTTCTTTTTAGTAATGATTCTATTCTTGATGCTTCTTTTTTATATAATGCAAATACTAATATTTTATTTTCACTATGAGGACCTTGATATTTATTTATAAGATTAATTAATTTTCCTTCTTTTTGAAATTTATCACCTAATACTTCAACAATTTGAGTAATTCTCTTATTTGCACTTAATTCATCACGATCACCAATTGTTATTTTTATTGGATCATTCATAAATTTATTAGCTAAATCTCTAACTTCTTTTGGCCAAGTTGCAGTAAACATTAAAGTTTGTCTACCTTTTTCATTAGTTGATCCAATAATTTTTTTAATATCTTCTTCAAATCCCTTTTCCAACATTCTATCAGCTTCATCTAATACAAGATAATTAACTTTACTTAAATTTATTGATCCATCATTAATTAAATCAACTAATCTACCTGGAGTTGCAACTATAACATTAGCTCCATTTCGTATTTTAGAAACTTGATCTTCTTTTGATACACCACCATATATTGCAACACATGATATAGGTGTATTATCAGTTAATTCTTTTAAATTATCATAAATTTGTAAAGCTAATTCTCTTGTTGGTGATATACATAATACACTTAAATTTTTATTTTTTGAAGTTATAATATTGTTTATAGCAGGTACTCCAAATCCAAAAGTTTTTCCAGAACCTGTTTCAGCAACTCCTATAACATCTTTACCATCAATTAAAAATGGCCATGATACAGATTGAATTGGAGTTGGTTTTGGGAATTTATTTAATTTTGATGAAATTTTTTCATTAAGATTAATTTGTTTAAAAGATATTATTGGTCTATAATTTAAATTTTGTGGATCTTCTATTGTTACTTCATTTGTTGATAAAAATTCATCTATTGTTGATTGTGGTAAATTTGTTAATTCTAAAGATTGAGTATATCCTGATCCTGAAACATTTGAATTTGATGATTGTGCTGTGATAGGTTTTTCTTCTTCTTCACTTTCTTCTATTGGTTCAGATTTTGATACTTTATCTTTCTTATCTTTCTTTGATTTTTTATCACTTTTATCTTTCTTGTCCTTCTTGTCCTTCTTGTCTTTTTTATCTTTTTTATCTTTCTTGTCTGATTTATTTGATTTATCCTTTTTAGCTTCCTTTTTAGCTAATTTTAATTTTGTCTTTTCTGATAGTTCAACATCATCTGTTGATTTTCTTTTCTTATCTGATGAACCCATTGCGTATTACAACAATTTAGTGTAAACCTTTGGATTTTGTTTATAGTTTCGTTAGTTCGGTTGATTGTGTAGAAAAATTTATTTTTCGTAATTTGTGTTTTATCTCATCTTATGAATGTTACACAAAATGGTGTAGTATATGGTTAGATTTTTGTGAAACTCAGAATCGAAAAATTTATAACAAAGAAGTACAAATTTAATTATCAAAAACTAATACTACAGGCTAAAAATACAAACTAAGAATTTGACAGTTCGCCTACACTGTATATATTTGTATTTCAAATCTATTTATTTAACAACCCCACAATAGTAAAAGCTTTCTTTTGATCATAACTTCCATTACCAGCATTACCTTCTTTTGCCAAGTTTGGTCTTAATCTAGCCAAGGCGCTTTCACTATCATCTTCTTCTTCGTCTTCTCTTCTCTTGGCTCTTGAAGGTAAAGGAACTGATGAACTTCTTGAATTTGTTTTAGAATTAATTTTATAACTTGCAGTAAAATCAATTGCCATTGGTGTTGATAGTTTTTTAACTGATACACAATTCTTACAGCATCCACTTCCGATTGCATTACCATTTGCATCAGTTCTTATAGGTGGTAAAGTATTTGGATCAATTTTAATATCAGGTATATTTATTGGTGGTGGTGTGGGTTGTTGATGTGGTCGATGAGGTTGTTGCTGTTGATTGTTAAATGAGTTTCCAGGTTGTAACGGTGGTGGTGGACCCGGTAAAGGACCTGGTCCATTTGGTAATCTTCCACTTCCATTGTATCTGGGATATAAAGATGACGGAATCGAGGATTGTTGTTGCTGTTGTTGTTGTTGCTGTTGTTGAGTTGTTGAATCAATATTTGTTGGTCCTCTTTGGAACGGTAATGGGTAATGCAAAGGTGGTAATCTGTTATAATTTGAAGGGAGTGGAGGGAAATTTGGGGAAATTGATGAAGAAGCTGGGTTAGCAAATGGTTGTTGTATTGTGGAGTATTGAGGTTGTTGTTGATTTGTTTGTTGATGTCTGTTATTTGTAATTGCTTTAGAATCATCCAATCCATCTTTATTTTCATGATTTAATGATGTATTTCTTTTTCTTCTTTTAATTGTAGCTCTCTTCATTTTAATTGGTCTATGAGATCCATGTAATCTATAAAATAATCCACATGCATTACATATTGTATTTCCTGCATCATCTCTTCTCCATAATGGTGTTATAGTTGTATCACAATTGAAACATGCTATAGCTAAAGAATTTTCACCATTTTCATTTTTATTTTTATCTTGATTTATAGACCCTCGTTTTAAATTTTGTTCTGATTGTTGTTGATTTTGTTGTATAGTCTGATTCGTTATTTCTGTTGAATATATATCTTCATTAGTTTTTGGTGATTTTTCTAATGATTTTTTCGCAACTATTCTATTATTAAAAGCTGGACAACCTTTACAAGCTGCTGAACCACCAGTACCATTACATCTACCATCTCCTTTACATGAACCCTCTTCAACTTTGGCAACAGTTATAGTATTTGGAGGTCTTTTTAAATTGACTGGACGATGAGTATTATTTGATCTTAAATATAATCCACAAGCATTACAAATTAAAGTACCATCTGGAGCTCTTCTCCATAACGGAGTTTTTGTAGTTCCACAATTTGAACATTGTTGACCATCATCAGCATTAAGTGATTGGATTTTAGGGGCTATTATTGAATTATTTGTTGATAAATTATTTATTTCAGTATCAGTTTCACTTTCAATTGGTGTAGGAGCTTTTAGCGTTATTTCCGAATTTATTGATTTATTATTTAGAATACTATTCATTGACATTATTAATGTTGGTATTGTAGTTATCATATAGATCTATGTATCATTAATTGAAAATAAGTGATAAGAATTAGATCTGATAAAGTTTTAGGGAATAAGTTTAGATTGTTGTATCTTTTTGATTATAGGAAATGGCAAAAAATGTTACGGGTATTTGATTACTAAGTAATTATTACTTTTTGAATACTTAACAGTTGGTTGGTTTAATTAAATGTAGATTTGTAAGATGAATTTATTTATTAATAATTGCGTTGTGTTGATTTAATATGATATAAAAAATGTGGTTGTAAAAATGTAAATTGGGTATTACTAATTATAAATGTTTGAAAATAAATTGAATTTTTTATATATCTGTACAATACAGTTGGATTTATTTGATTGATAAAATAACAGGTATTATCAAATAATATTGATAGGATAATATAAATTGTGATTCTTTTATTAAGTAGAACAAAGTTTTAAATAACGTTAATTATATAAAAATGTGATGAAATTTTAATAATAAATGATTATGTTAAATATAAAATCGTAAAAAATAACACAATAAAAAATTATTTTTAGATTCTAATAAATTATAAATTCATACAAATATTAATATTATATTCAATACTAAAATAAATTAGAGATCTGTCAAATTTATCATAACTATATTGTATTACAATTTATCATTTATTAAATCAAGTCATACTACTATTTAATAAAGAGATGAGTATATATATTATATATAAATTTATAACTTCAAACAAATATAAATTTTCTTGAACTTAAAAATTTTAATCTAATCAATATTAATATTAATCAATATAATAATTGATCTTAATCAATCAAAAATATTCGTTTAACTAAAATTTAAAAGTTAAAAATTTTTATTCTTATTCTTTCTTTAAAAAATTTTACATCTATACTTAATATATTGAAAATAAAAAATAATAATTCCAAATTTAGTTAGTAATACGAAAATCTTACCTTTTAAATTCAAAGTTGAGCAAAAAAAAAAGAAAATATTTGATAATCAGATTAATCATTAACCAATTAAATTGTTAGAATTAATAATCCTTAAAATAAAAAATTATTTATCCGTAAGTTTGAACTTAGACTTGTTTTTAGTTTTTCCTATACATTACTTAATTAGGAAGTCTAGATTTTTATTCACTTGGTAGTTATTATTACTTAATTTTATAAGATTGATTAATATTATCAGTTTCTTTTTTAGTGTTATTAAGAATTGAATGGTTATTAAATTTACTAGAATCTTGAAAGTAACCTTTTTCTTTATATCAACTTGTATTAGATACTATTTCTGATATTTCTGAAGGGTACTAATTAATAATAAACTGTTAATTATATCATATTTGCTGTCCCACATGAATTATTAATACAATTGTATTTAGATTAATTAAAGTACTGTATATCCTTTCAATCATTCAATTAGTTTATTTGAGCTTATTTAAGTGATTTCAATTAATGTCTTAATGTCAAAGTCAAAAATCTAGTATCACGATCTGACATTATCGTAAAAATTTATGTATAAATAATTTATAAGATATAAGATCTACTAGCACAGAGTGGATTGTAATTAGACGCGTTTCAATAATCAATAAATAAAAAATAAACAATTACACAATATTGTGTGTAAAAAAAAACCCTTTATTATAAGATCAAGAAATGTTGATATTTTTATTCAAAATTTTGTTTCAATGAACAAACTTATTTCAAATAAATATACGATGAACATGTCTTGACAAATTGATGAATTAATATAAAAGTTTATTTCTAGAACATCAATAAGCATTAACTTTTAAATTCCATTGCATATAATATTTAATGAAAGTATAATAATAATATATAAAGATCTTAACTTTAAAGACGCGATATAAATTATAACAAAAATAAATAAATAATAAAAAAAATCAAAACAAATAAATAAAATTAAAACTACAAGAGATTACTTATAATATTTTTGAAATTCAATATTTCAAACATCCAATTTCTATATACTCTCAATTTTCATTTTCATTATTCAATTTTCATATTTTAATTATATTTAGATCTTTAATCAATTGTTTTATATTATTATTATTATTATTATTATTATTCATTTAACGATTTTTTTTGTATTATTCAATTTTTTTTCTTTATACAAGTTTAATATTAATAAGTTTTTATATTTTTTACAACCAAAAATTTAAATAGTTATCTATAACACACCATATTTTATATTACAATCAACGTATCATCACCCTACTCACTAATAATAATATTAATAATAATTAGATTCATTATCAACACATACTATAGAGAAATTAATTGTCCAAAAAATTATCAATAATTACATATCATCAAGTATTTCTAAATTTGTTATTTTTGATTTCATAAATTATGAAGAACCCCCGATCAATAAAAAAGGGTGGTGATAAAACAAATGATATAATGAAAGATGCTAAAGAAAACTCATTTAACAATTCTATAGATTCTAACTATTCCACTAATAATAATAATAATAACTACAATATTAATCAAAATATCAATCGTTCAACTTCACTGTCTCAACAACATCAACCTTATTTAAATCAATTGGATTATTTTACAAATAATCATTTTTCAACATCTTTTAATAGTTTAATTTTAGATGATTCTTCTAATAATGAATTAAATATAACATCAAGAAAAACTATAAATAAATCACCACCTTTTAATACTAAACATGATTTCAAAAATGATACAATTGATACTTGTTTAAATGGCGACCTGAATGATGATGATGATGATGATAATGACGATGATGATGATGATGATTTCATTAATGAAACGGATATAGATGAAGAATTTGATAATTTCAGTGAAGATAATATAAAAGTTAATGAGAATAATCAAATTATTGAAGATATTAATTATACACCAATAATCAAAAGATCAGAAAGTCAGAAATCAAGTTCCTATCATCTTAAAAGACCTTCATTAGACTATGAATCATCAAATTCGACAATCAAGTTAAATAATCATTCACAAAATTCAATAAAAAGATCACTGAAATTTATTAATTTATCAATTGATTCAAATTTAAAAACATTAGATGGTAGTAAACAAGATGAAATTAATTTAAATCAAATTGATTCTAAAATTATTGATAATTCATCACCAATTAATAGAAATCTACCGTCTTTAGTTCACAATAATCAATTCAAACGACCTCATAAATTAGTAAGTCAATCACCTTCACCATCATCAAATAAAATACGACCTTTATCGTCACCTCAGCAACAACCAAATTTATATTCTCCATCAAAGTTAAATATAAAAAGTTTTAAAAATTTCAAGAATTCAAATACAACTTCACCAATACGAAATTCAGAAACAAATACCCCAATTTTTAATTCTCATGTATTTGGACAACAAGCTAATAAATTAAGAAAAACTTATACGCCATTGAATCATATTTCACAAAGTGTTCAAAAGACTATAATTCATAATGATTTTAGTGATGCTGACCTTGATAGTCCATCAAAAAATAGAAAACTGCTGTCCAATTCCACTACAAATTCTTCTAACTTGATGTATCATGAAGATGCTTACGATGATGAAATTTTAAAACAAACAAAGAACTCAATAGATACCACAACCTCAACCAACAATAAAATAACAATCACACCATTTGATGATAAAGAAAATAATGCTTCATATCAATTTGTTAAACCTTTACAAACAGCTTTCAACTCAAATGGATTACTAAAGAAGAATTGTGCTTTAGTTAAGAATACAGATAGAAAATTACCACCAGAAACACCAATCAAAAGAAATCCATTAATGCTTTTAAATACAAATCGACCTATTCATCAATATAATGAAGAAGACTCATATCTAGCATCATCAAATTACTTAAATCATCATAATCAACATAACCTCCAAAATATTCAAGATCATGATCATTCAATTGAAAATGGAAGAAATAATGCAACTACAATTTATGATACTTCAAATTTGAGCACTTTACATAATAGTAGTTATTTCAAAATTATACCGTCCCTGACTGAAAAAGTAGAACCAAATAATAATCATCAAGATTTTGGAATAATGTTTAATTCAGACATTGATATAGATGAAGTGGAAGAATTGGTTCCTGAAACTCCAACTAAACATCCACAAGAAAATCAACTAGTTCAATTGAGTAAACCCAATATGAAATTAGATTTGTTAAAATTCAATAAACTCAAAAAATCACTAAATGAAAACCCATTAACACCAATAAATCATGCTTTCAATAATAAAGAAAATCTAAATACTATAGATCAAATAGAAGATTTACAACCAATAGATGAAAATAATTCATTTCATTTTCAAAAATTGGATCATCAACATTATCCAACAAAAATTGATGAACATTTATGTGAAAAATTTGGAATGAAAAATTTAAAATATATTGGACAAGGAGAGTTTAGTATAGCATTTGAATGTGTTTTCAATGAAGAAAAATTCGCAATCAAACGAACCAAAAAGCCAATGATTGGAAAGCTTGATAAAAAATCAATAATGAGAGAAATTGATGCTTTAAGAACATTATCATCAATAAAGGAAAATGATAATGAAAATTTACAGGAAGAAGAAGATGGTAAAGAAAATTTAGTATATTTTATTGAAGCATGGGATTTCAATAATTATTATTATATAATGACTGAATATTGTGAAAGTGGAACATTATTTGAATTTCTTGAAGAAAATAAGAATTATAAAATTGATGAATTTAGAATTTGGAAAATATTAATTGATATTTTGAATGGGTTAAAGTTTATACATTCAAAAAATTATTTACATCTTGATTTGAAACCACAAAATATTTTTATTACATTTGAAGGTAACTTAAAAATTGGAGATTTTGGATTAGCTACAAAATTACCGATTTTGGAAAAAGATTTTGACCTCGAAGGTGATAGAAATTATATTGCACCTGAATTAATTGATGATAAAATATATACCCCATTTGCTGATATTTTTAGCGTTGGCTTAATTGTTTTGGAGATAGCCGCAAATATTATATTACCAGATAATGGTACACCATGGAAAAAATTAAGAAGTGGAGATTTAAGTGATGCTGGTCAATTATCAAGTGATAATATTTCAATGTTTTTACAACATAAACCTGAAACAAGTAGTTCTTCAAATACAAATTTTAGTTCATCAATAACTTCAAATCATTCAATAAATTTAAATTTGATAAATCCATTACAACAGCAATACAAACCAATGGGAAATACTTATAATGATGAATTATCTACTAAATCAAATATTGCAAAGAATCATAAAGCTAATAAGAATGTTCAAAATGTAGATACAATTAATCAGAAAGATCTAATACCTACTTGGGCACCATTATTTTTAGTTAATGGAGACTTAAAAGTTTTAGATAGATTAGTCAACAAGATGTTAAAACCAAATCCATTTGATAGACCACTGGCCAAAACAATTTTAGAAATGGATGAATGTATTGAAATTGAAAATAGAAAAAAATGTGGTGCTACAATTTTTGAAGGAGAATTTGGAAGTCCACCAGACGAATGAGAAATTTATAAATTAATGAGTTACAATGTATGAAATATAAGCATATACACCCAAATAAAAAGATGCAAAATTATTTAATGTGAGTAAAAATGTTAGAAACCTTACCTGTAAAATTCTCTTATTTATTATTTCATCTATTCTTTAAATAAAGCATCATTAGATAATGGATCTTTTTTCAATACTTGGTTTCTTTTTTTAATTTTTCTTTCTAAAGCAGCTTCAGCTCTTGATTTAGCTTGTAAAGCAGATTTTTGTTTAATTTGAGCTCTTATAAAATTTGGTGAAACATATTCTTTATTTTCATAAATTTTTGGACCACCAAAAGAGCCTTCTAAAATAGTTATTAAAGTTAAAACTAATCTTGGACCAATTTCAACTAAATTTAAATTATCAATATTTATATCTTGATCATTTTCATCTTCTTTAATTTCTAAAGTTTCATTAATTTGATAATTTCTTATCCATATTTTACCATCAACTATACTAAAAGTCATTACATGATCAATAAATGGTTTTGATTTTCTTGAATTTGGTGGGACTCCAAATGTAGTTAAAAACATTTCTTTTAATAATTTAAAATGATCATTATCTTCAAAAGATTGATCAAAACTTAAAATTGGTCTTGAACCCTTGAGGCAATTCCCAATAAAATTTAATTCATCTAAAGTATGTAAATTTTGTATATGAAATTTTAAAGTTGGACCATTTGGAGGTTTTGAAATCCATAAATATAAATCTTGATGTTTTCTACATTCAAAATAAAAAATATTATTACAATTATATAATTCTGCTACTTCATTTAATTGATATAAATTTTTTTTTGTATCGAATTTTGGTTCTTTTCTTGAATGTGGTAAAAGTGTTAATAAATCACTTATTAAATGACGATGTCTATATGTTATACCTCTACTTGAAATTACTAGAAGTCTTTGTTTGTTTATATGTTTTGTTTTATCCAGTTGATCTTTGGTTGTTTTAGATTGTAATGCTTTGTATATGGCTGACATTATATGTGATATTGGTTGTGAATGAATTTAATTGTGATATTTACTGATTGAATTGTTTGATATAAGATGGGAATTTTATTTTTTTGTAAGATGTCTAACGATGAGGTTTATCATGAGAATAAAATATTACACAAAATTATGTGAATTATGGTTTAGACAATCACAGAGTAAATTGCAACAGACAGACAAACAGAGCTGAGATTATTTACTGAGCATCTTTAAAAAAAGAGTTATTCTTCATGATACTGACCATGTTACCTTTTAGGGTTTTTAATATTCCAAGATAATTCTCGTTTAAGGTTTTTCCAAACCCCACACGATAAATGACTCGAGATATATTAATTACTTTACATGTCTCCTTCAAATAATGTATACTTTTATATTTGGATCTATTAATGAATATATAAATTCAAACTATTGTTTATAAACGAAAAAACGACCTCCATAAATGATAATTTGCGTAAAAAAATTGTATCTCCTTCAACAATCAATTTTCCCACAGATTTTCTTACTTATAATTTAATGCTTTTCTTCAACTTTATCATGTTTAGCTAACCATTCCTTAACAAATTTTTCTTCTTCTGGTGATGAAGCTTTAATTGGTGGATGTGCAGGTTTTGAAGCAAAAGGATTTGGTACAACTAATAAACCAACTGCACATAATGTAGCAATGGCTAATTGATGTGATGGTACTGATCTTCCCATGATAGTATATGCTGAACCCATTTTATATTGTGTAGTGTTATTTGATTTTATAAACTAAGATTAGTTGGTCAAAAATTCTTTTGTTCATGAGATCGGTAAATTTTTCAATTTCATATTTTTCAACTTTTGTACTACAAATTGAATTCTCAGTGTTTAATCAGTTCAATAATTTAATTATTCTACACCAATCTACAAGAAAGCTACTTTTCAATTCATTTAGTCTATTTACCCTAGATCTGTGATGTACTTTCCTTAAATTTACTGATGCTTTATGAATAAATCTAATTCAACAGTTCTATTTTAGTTGGTCGTGTAAAATCAATTACATTTTATAATACTATTGGTTAAATCTTACAAATTTTAGTTAACAACGCTACCTATTGCAACATAACAAAAATAAACATGATTTTGTTATTAATTTGGCTGCAAAAAAGCTGTAAAAAAATAAATTATCCCCAGATTTTTTCTTTTTTAATTTTTCTTAATTTTTATTCTGAAACAATTCATCAAGAATATTGCAAATAATTTAATCAAAGTTTTATTATTTATGAAAATAATGAACAACTCCCTCAGTTTAAATGCTTCAAAACTTGATTTACAAACTCTAGAAGAATTAAGAGACCCAAATTTGATCAGTCGATATCCACCATTATTCCAGAGGAAGCAAACATTTTTAGATATTTCAAATAATGATAACTATAAAAAGCATTATAGCAGTTCTGGTAAATCGAAAAAGCAATCCTCGAAATTAAAGGAAATCAAAAGTCAACAATTTTCTTCATTAACACCATCAACTTCATCCAAAAATTCTAATGATGAAAGAAAACCACGACGAGGCTTTACTGCATTTCTTAAAACTTTTTCAAAAGAAGCAAGGAAGTTAGAGAGACAAGAAACTTTAAAGAAGTCAATCAGTAAACCAATTCTTCAATCAAATAATACAGCTGCACAAAATTACAAAACTACAACACAAAATAAAGAGGCAATTTACACACATTCAATGTATCCATCAAAGACGAAAAGGTCATTCAAAATCAAAGAAGATTCACATACTGGTTCTTCAAATTCCAATCATGAGATGTCTTCATCATCTTTTGTTAACCATTATAAACAAAGTGATCACAGAAATAAAAAAGCTATTTCACCACTTCGAGCAAATATACCAATTTCGCCAACTGATCTATCTGCAATGAATAGTATAATAATACCACCAGTTGGTAGTAGTCAAAATATTGGTAATCCAGAACATTATTCAAGCTCAATAGTTCATCCCAATATGACTTTTCGTAAGAATACAAATAGTGATTCATTTGGAAGAAATAATATTTCATTTGCAAGATTTGATATGATGAATTTAGATAATAACGCAGCATATTCACCAATGGATGTAGAAGAAACTGAATATTCATCTGCACAAATCAATCCTTATGAACAAATAAATGATATAATGATACCAACTTCAATGTTTTTGCCAACGTCTAGTGATTCAGAAGACAGTTTTTATTCATTAAATGATAATGAAAAAATTGATTTAAGTAATAAATATAATCAGATTCATGAAAAAAGTAATAAACAACCAAGACTTCATTCACATTCAAATTCTCATCAAACTCATGTGCATTCACCTGCTTATAGATTTACTAAAAGCTCATCTAATAGGCAAAAATATAAATCAAATACTAATTATAATGCCAGAGAAAGAAGAGCTTAGTTTGTGTGTATTTGTTTGTAGTAATATATTTTATTGTGTAAAAACAAAGACCATCGTCCAATTTGGGTCGATTTGGTAGCTAAAGTTTCTATCCTAATCTTTTTCAGTTTTGTGACAAAATTTATATGGCAAAAGCTCTGATGAGTTTTATTTACAACCAAATCAAATAGGTTAATAATTACTCAACATACCACATTATAGACACAATGACCGTTGCGAACAATAGAAAAAGACTTTCCACAGGTCTTAGTGTGACGTCAAAAGTATTTGTAAGATCAAGAAATGGGGGTGCGATGAAAATAGTTCGTGAACATTACTTAAGAAATGATATACCTTGTTATTCATTAGCATGTACTCAATGTCAAAAATTAATAAAACCAGATGCATATGGTCAATTACCTAAATTTATACTATCAGCAAATCCATCAAAGACTACCAATAACAAACCTCATTATATAGTATTGGACACAAATATTGTTTTACACGCCATTGATTTGTTAGAAAATACTCAATGCTTTTATGATGTTATAGTACCTCAAACAGTACTAGAAGAAGTTAAAAACAGATCATTCCCAATATATCAAAGATTAAGAAATTTAGTAAAATCAGAAGATAAAAGATTTGTGGTATTCCATAATGAATATAATGAAGGAACATATGTCACTAGAAATAAAAACGAAACAATAAATGATAGAAATGATAGAGCAATTAGAAAAGTTGTTTCATGGTATCAAAAGCATTTACCAAATATAGATATAGTCTATGTTTGTAATGATGCAGACAATAAGAAAAAAGCTTTAGCTGAAAATTTGAATGCGAAATCATTAATTGAATATATTGATATATTACCAAATGGAGAAGACTTAAAAGATTTGATACCTACTGAATTTGATAAATCACAATTTGACAATGAAAAAGGTTATGACGAAACTTCATTCCCTGAGTATTATTCAAATGCAAGAATTATGGCAGGGATTAAAAATGGTACATTATATCAAGGTATGTTAAACATCTCATCCTACAACTATTTACAAGGTGAAGTTAACGTAGCAGCTTTCAAAAAGCCATTACTTATCCAAGGTTCCAAAAATTTAAATAGAGCTTTTAATTCGGATTCCGTTATTGTTGAATTACTACCAAAAGATAAATGGAAAGAACCATCTACTACAATTATTGAAGAAACTGCTATAGGTTCAAATGATAATGCAGATGATGGAGATGAAGATGAAGGAGTAGCAAGTGCTGGTGTTATATCTGATAAGGAACGATTATTATTAGCACAAGAAGCTAGTAAAGTGATTAAAGGTGGATCAGAGGAAAAAAGATTACAACCTACAGCTAAAGTTGTTGGTATAATGAGAAGATCATGGAGGTATTACGTTGGTCAAATAGCACCATCCTCAGTAAGTCTTGACGACACTGGTAATTCTGCTAAAAATTGTTTTGTGATATTAATGGATAAAACTTTACCCAAAATAAGAATAAGGACAAGAAAATCAAAAGAGTATTTGGGCCAAAGAATTGTTGTTGTTGTTGATGACTGGCCAAGTGATTCAAAATATCCAAATGGTCATTTTGTAAGAGCATTAGGTGATGTTGAAAGTGCAGAAGCAGAAACCGAAGCATTATTATTAGAGCATGATGTTGAATATAGACCATTTTCCAAGAATGTCTTGGATTGTTTACCGAAAGAAGGTGATAATTGGGTTGTACCAGATATCACAAATACAGATGATCCTCAATTAAAGAAAAGAATTGATCTTAGAGATAAATTAGTATGTTCCATTGATCCACCAAATTGTGTTGATATTGATGATGCTTTACATGCACAAAAATTACCAAATGGAAATTACGAAGTTGGTGTACATATTGCGGACGTTACTAATTTTGTTAAAGCTGGTACTGCATTAGATCAAGAAGGTGCTGCTAGAGGTACTTCAGTTTATCTTGTTGATAAAAGAATTGATATGTTGCCTATGCTTTTGGGAACAAATCTTTGTTCATTAAAACCATTTGTTGATAGATTTGCATTTAGTGTAATATGGGAAGTTGATGAAGATGCTAATATACTTAATGTTAAATTTATGAAATCAATTATTAAATCAAGACAAGCTTTTTCTTATGAACAAGCACAATTACGTATTGATGACCCAAATCAACAGGATGAATTAACTAATTCAATGAGAATATTGTTGAAATTATCCAAAAAATTAAAGCAAAAGAGACTAGATGCAGGTGCCTTGAATTTAGCATCACCTGAAGTCAAAGTTCATATGGATAGCGAAACATCGGATCCACAAGAAGTCGAAATCAAAAAATTATTAGAAACAAATTCATTAGTTGAAGAATTTATGTTGTTTGCAAATATATCAGTTGCTAGAAAAATTTACGATGCTTATCCACAAACTGCAATGTTGAGAAGACATGCTGCACCACCAGCTACTAATTTCGAAGTTTTAAACGACATGTTAAATGTACGAAAAAATGGATTATCAATATCTTTGGAATCATCAAAGGCATTAGCAGATTCTTTAGATAGATGTGTTGATCCTAATGATCCATATTTTAATACCTTGGTCAGAATAATGTCCACTAGATGTATGATGGCAGCTGAATATTTCCCATCAGGTTCATATGGATATCCAGAATTTAGACATTATGGTTTAGCAGTTGATATATATACTCATTTCACATCACCAATTAGAAGATATTGTGACGTTGTTGCACATAGACAATTAGCAGGAGCAATTGGTTATGAAAATTTAGATTTAAGTCATAGAGATAAAAATAAAATGGAAATGATTGTTAAAAATATAAATAAACGTCATAGAAATGCTCAATTTGCAGGAAGATCTAGTATTGAATATTATGTTGGTCAAGTTATGAGAAATAATGAGGCAGAACATGAAGGTTATGTGATTAAAAGTTTTAATAATGGTATTGTTGTATTAGTTCCAAAATTTGGTGTTGAGGGATTAATCAAATTAGAAACTATGGGTGATGTAAATAAAGCTACTTATAATGAAGATAAATATGAGTTAACACTTACGGATTTTAATGGAAATGAAAGAACAGTTGGTGTTTTCGATAAAGTAAAAGTTGATGTTAAATCAGTTAAAGATGAAGTAAGTGGTAAAAGAAAAGTTCAATTATTATTGAAATAAAATTAAATCAAATCTATAATGTTTATTTTTCCATTTTTGCATGCATTATGTAATTTTACATATTAATATATATACAAATTTAAAACTCATTAGTGAATCTTCATTATCATTATTATCTATCTCTTATTATTACTTTTTATTTGCATAATCAATTATTTGATCTATATTTATTATTTTAATATTATGTGTTTTTCCAAATTTAATACAATCATCCAATCTCATCATTAACCCATCTTCATCTCTTACTAATTCACAAATTACTGCCGCAGGCTGTAAATTATTTAATTCACATAATTGTACTGCAGCTTCAGTATGACCTCTTCTATTATTTAATAAACCAGGTACTGCTCTTAATGGTAATATATGACCAGGTCTTATAAAATCTTCAGGTTTTGAATTTGATGAAGCTAAGGATCTTGCAGTCAATGCACGATCATGAGCTGATATTCCAGTGGTTGTACCATTAGCAAAATCACAAGTTACAGTATAAGCAGTACCATGTCTATCAGTTCTATCTTTTAACATTGGATATAATTCTAATTCATCAGCTCTTTTAGTTGATAATGGTACACATACATAACCAGAAGAATAACGTACCAAAAATCTCATTTTATCTTGAGTGGTTAATTCTGCAGCTATTATTAAATCACCTTCATTTTCACGATCCTCATCATCCATTACTATTAAAAATTCTCCATTTTTGAAAGCTTCTAATGCTTCTTCTATTGGTGTAAATATTGAACTTGAACTCATTATGATATGGAAAGCTATGATATGTTATGTCTATAGTCTATGATACTTGTATTGGCAGTGTGAACGGAATTTGTAAAGTGATATAAGTGAATAATTAGTTAGATGATTTCTGAAATGATTCAAATGAAATATACAATTAATGTGATGTGTTGAGTTTAAACTAGGAGCTAGAAAATTCAAGTTTTGAGATAAGCTTTCACTAAAATTTATTGACTATGATAATTAAATATTTAATGATCCTAAAAGTAAAGAATATGTTATATTTGAGAGTAATATAATTGATTAATCATGTATTATTTTATTGACATAATAGTATGATGTATTTTAAAAATTAATGATAATATTTTTCAATATACGACAAAAAGGAGCTAAACGACATATGGGGTTTAACTATTAGTAATTTATTAATAGTAATTCCCAATAACTTACTAAGTAAATGTCGCAAGTTTCTCTTAGTAATTTATTATAATTCAATTACTAATTCCACATTATGGAATTAAGCATATGATGATCCATCGACTACTCTAAAATCAAAATTGATTAGTATATAAATTAATAATGATTATTGAAATCTATTTCTTCTCATAGTTAAGTTCAAATGTAGCCATAAATTATTTGAATTTCGAATCAAAATTTGATCTTTATTATTTTAATGTCCAAGTTTGACCGAATTATATTGATTTTGAAGGAAATTAAATATGATTTTGAAGCTATAGAGAAAAAACTCTGCTCTGATGTAATTAGAATGGCCTTTGAAAATAATGTAGTAATAAATGTGGTCTTTCATTCGATTTTTTAGGACTCTAATTCTAAAGCACAAATCCGTATATTTTTTCACCTGAAAGCTAAAGCTAAAAGCACTGTTCTAATACAACAACAGATGTCTAATGACTCCAATGGAATAAGTAAATCATTCTCCAAAACTTTCAAACCATCATCAAAAGAAGAATTCAACTTTCATCTAATTCAATTTAATGAGAAACAAATACTAAATATATCAATTGATGGTATACTAGATACAACTTTCAAATTACCAATATCTACAAAAAGATCAATCAACTATGAATCAATGATGGATTTAAACGAAAATGATGTTGATAATGAAGAAATAAATGAAGATAGATATTTACCAGAACCTCAATTATTAGTTGGAGATTATTCAAATTTAAAAATCTCAATTATTGCTAGTCAAATTGGGAAAATCATTTCATTAAATCATCCAAAAGAAACTATTTTATCCATTGGTTCCAAATGGTTTGGTAAAGGTGATGAGATTAATGATGATGATTTTGAGAAATTGGGATTCATACTTGAAAACGTAAAGAAATTATTTTAGTTGTACTGTTAATGCTAATGAATCTAAGTGTATTATAGAATGAGATATAAATATGTATGTACTATTAAGATTATATATTTTTCAGTTTACTTCTTCTTTTGTCTTTCTTTAGCTGGTACTTTTCTTTCTTCTTTACCATATACTAACATATGAGGTTTCATGAAACTATTCACAACTTCTTCATTAACTTTACTTCTTCTTTTTTGATAAGCAGCAACAAATTCTTGTAATACTTCAATACATTCTTTTTTCATTTCTCCTGATAAAATCTCACCTTTCTTGTAACCTTCTGACAATTTTTCTAGTTTTTCATCATCATAACTGAAAAATGATAAATATTGATAAGCAACATCTAAATCTGGATTACCACCATATTTTCTATGATCTTCAGCTAAAGCTTGACCTCCTGAAAATGCATATTTATTAATTTTTTTCTGTATTTGTTTTGGTGTATCATCCATAAAAATTGAAGTAGTTGTATCAGAAGCTGACATTTTTGTTGTTGCACCTTGTAAAGCTGGGAAAAATTTAGCATGAATTAAAGCAGGTTTAGAAAATTTTAATTTATCTGCAACATCTCTACAAACTCTAAAATATGGATCTTGATCTATAGCACATGGAATAAGGCATGGGGTTTTTGGTGGTAGATTTAATACGTCTGGAAATGATGATGGAAATGCAGTAGCTATTTGAATACTTGCAAAATGGATTTTACCAATACAATCTGAATCATTAAATCCAAATACTGCTTTTGCTGTTGATTGTGTAATTTGTCTTGAAGTTCTTACAACATTTTCATAAAATGCACCTCCCATATATTGTAAATCTGAAAATATGAAAGTATTGTCAGGTTTAAACCCAACTGCAATGATATCTTTTGCATTTTCAACTGCAAATTTTTTAACGTCATCTATGGTTAATTTTGGTTTAAATAAGAATTTTTCATCATCAGTTAATTCAATAACTAATGGAACATCAAATACTTCTTGTAACCATTTTGTGAATATAAAAGGTACCATATGACCCAAATGCATTGAATCAGAAGATGGACCTCTACCAGTATATAAAAAGAATGATTCTCCATGTTCATATAAATCTAATATTCTGTGTAAATCTCTTTCTGAAAAAAACACTCCTCTTTTTAAAAACGGATGTGGCTCTTGACCTGTGACTTCTTTGAATCTTGCTAATGTTTCTTGAGTTATAGCTTTTGTTCCAAATTGATTAATTAATTTATCATAATCTATACCTTGTGCTTTTCCATCAACTACAGCACCTTCAACTTCCCATGGTGTGATTTTTTGTTCGGTTGATCCGTCTTGAATTTTTAGATCATCGATTTTTTCTTCAACTGAAGCCATTTGAACAAAGGAGTGTATAAGTTTTTTGGGTGATCTTTGATGGATGTGTTATCTTTCAATTGAGTCAAATATTTTTCAGTCTGATCTAATCAAAATGAGACGGCTACCAAATTTGGCTGAAAAGTTTCACATCTTTACAGTTTTTACATTCAAAGAGTTAGTCAAGAGTTGAAATCTAAGTCCGTCATCAATCGATAGAGACTGTCTTTCTAATAATCAAACGAACTTCCTTATTATGAACTACATTCTCAAAAATTGTTATTTTAAAAACCCATTAAATTGAACATTTATTACTATACAAATAATGCATTCTTTCATCAAAAAAAATTCATCCCCTTAACGTATTATTAATATTATATGATTTAAACCTTTTTTAAAAATGTAATTTTTGAAAAAACCATTTATTTTCACCAGCTTGATGTTTTTCTTCAAAAGCTTTCTTAACAACTTTTTTAGCTTCTTCTCTTTGTGATGGTTCTTCTAAAGCTTCAGTTGAAACAGCTGATTTGAATGATTCAACATCTAATGAATATCTAGTTGGCATTAAATGATTATAATTTACTAATTTAACAAATGGTTTAACTTTAGTTCTTTTAGCAGTTTTTTTAGCATCCATTTTTTTGGTAACTTTTAATGGAGCTCTTTCAACACCAGCAACAATGGCATGTGGGAAAGGATGTGATTTGGTACCTTCATCATGTGGTTTTACAATGACTACTTTTTTACCTGCATAACGTCCACGGACAACAATAGCTATAAAGAAAGTTAGTATAATGATTCGCAATTTGTAAATTGAACTGAAAAATAGACCTTGAATATATTGGCACAGGAAACTGCCTTCAATGATATGATGTGAGTTGAACGACTTGAATTTGCAATGATGGTATAATGTGGTTGTAATCACTCTGAGGAATTTGAAATTTATAATCCATCTCATTTTCGAAATTTGTTATTCTTATTTGACATTCTGTGAATACTCTGCTCTTTTGATATGGATATAAATTGGTGACTTGTTGTTGTACATAGTGTAATTAAATTTCGACTATCCCTTCTCATCTTGTGATCATTAAAATTCAATATCTCCCTCTATGATTAAAACTTCCAAGTGTTCATTCATTCATTAGTCTATTCCCATTTAACGTTCATTTTTATAGTTGATTTTAAATGTGAAACATACCAACTTTACCTGATTTAATGAATTTAGCCATTTTTTGATGTGTAATATATGTGATTGATTATAATGGTAATGGATTTCACTTTCTCTTTTTTTTCAAGATTGGGTTTAGATTGAAATTTTTTTGTTAGTGAAGTCTCACTATACTAAAGAATATATTACACAAATTTGAAAATGTATATGATGTGGTAGGGTTACAACCCTGATGAATTTTGCAGTATATTTCTCATCATTTAGAAGCTCATCTCCAATATTTATTTAAATGTTTGATGTTTGAAGGTGTTTATTTCTCTTTTCTTATTATTATAATTTGAACCTTTTCCTTCTTTCAGGAGATAATATTTGGTGGACATTTTCAACCTTGATCTTTAATATTTTGATTACACAATTATTCTGTCAACTAGAAGGTAATGCATTAATTCCCTTCTTTAGTTGACCGGATAAATTAAGTTTGAATAAGAATTTTAGATCCAATATGGAGAGTTGAAAGTATTCATTTATTACATTTATGCTTGATTCGATTAACTCTTTTACTACAATTTTCTCAGATTAACGAATGAAATGTTATTAAATTATACTTTTACAATTTTAAGCCTAACCTACAAAAACAGATATTTATCATTTTTATCATTTTCTATTACTTCTTGCTAATAATTTTGAATTCATACTGGTAACCATTGGTGAATTTGGATTATTTATTGGTGAAGATGAACTATTATAATTATAATGACCACCACTACCATTTCTACTGGGATAAATTTTTGATTTATTTGGATCGATTTTAGAACCATCTTCTTTTGTGAAACTTGATCTTCTATTTGTTGATATTGGATTATGTGCATTTTGCGATACTGCTAATTGAGCTGCGTGTAAGAATCCCGTTTCGTTGGAAGTTTTGGGTAATCCTGTATGTACATTTAATTCATTTGGTGGTGAGACTGGTGGTGGTTTTCTTTTTGGTGTTGATCTTTGCATCCTTGATTTTAGCATACTTGATGGTTTTGAAGTGTGAGTTGTTGTTGTTGTTGAAGGTTCCTTTGTTGGTGAAGGTTGTGCATTTGAATGATGGTTTGTAGGTGATTTAGATGAAGATCTTGTTGGTTTTAATATTACGGGTGGTGTGAAAAATGATGGTGAGTCCATTAATTTTGGTGACTCTTTATTGGTAGTCTTTCTCGTAGTAGTTACAGGTTTTGGAGCGACAACTGGTGGTGGTGGGGGTGGTGGTTCAATTGGAGAATTTGATGATGATGATGAACTTGTTTGTCTTTTTTGAGGTGCTCTTTGATCATTTGGAAGTTTCTCTCTTTCTATTTCATTGGTTTTACCTTTAGCTAATGCTTCAGTCCATTGATTTACTTCATATTTTTCAACTTCAAAAATGTATGACAGATCAATTGATGTTATAAGAAATACTCCAACAGATGGTAATAATTTTGAAAATTTAGTTTGTGGAGTTACTAATTCTTGAAATCTTATGAAAGGATATTTTAATTTAACTTCTAAAATTAATTTATAAGGAGATTCTAAATCTTTTCTTGCAAAAACTAAAGCTCTTCCATGAGTTGTCACTACCATTGTACAAGTTTGAGGTTTATCAAGTGTGAAAGGGTTTGTAATTTCTTCAGTCCCATCCTTTTTATCTGATTGACTAAGTCCCAATTTTCTAAATATGGAATGTTTTTTAATTAAATTTGAACCTGTTGATGGTGATCTCTCTAGTTCAACACTTTTTTTACTTTCTTTTCTCTTTTGTAATTTTTTCAAGTATTTGACTTCTTGTGGTTCCGTTATTGCTACGTTTTCATCAACAAATTCTGATGTTGTTTCTGGTACTCCATTTACCATTTGTGAAAGTAAACTTGTATTTGATCTACTTCTTTGAGTCTTACCAGCAACTAATGGTGATGCATGTAATAAACCTCTATGTTTACGTTCAAATGCATCAGTGCCTTCTTTATGAACTATTACTGGTCCAACACGAATAATTCTTTCATCTTGATGATCAAGAAATGAACCCCATGCAGCTTCTAATGTACTTAATGGTGTAACTTCCATAACTTCTGGTTTAGTAGTTTTGATTGGTGGTGGTTTTGGTTTTTCTCTTGCTGAAGAAGTTCTTGAATATGATTGTACAGAAGGTCTTGTATTAATTTGAGGACGTAAGATATTTGTACCTGGAATATAATCTGGTTGTGAAGCTCTTGAACTTCTTCTACTGTCATTGGAGCTGGGTTTGGATCCTGTGTTTAATGAGTCATCTGCTAAACTTGATTCTGAAGTAGATGGTTTATTTAAGGCTGCTGCTGCTGCATTAGCTGCATTTACTTTTTCTCCTCCATTTGTAGTAACAATTCCATTTGTAGTTGTTCTTGTTAATGGTGAGTCATTATTCATTGGTATACTTGGAGTTGATGGAGCTGATTTTACTTCGTTAGTTGTTGGTTTTTTCGTTTTCTTTTTAGGTAATATATTTGTTGGTGAATGTTTTATAACATTTGGAACTTTCATCATTGATTTTGCACTCATTTTATAAGGACCAATCTCTGGCGGACTACTTAACCAAAGTTGATCAAAATCGTCAAATTTTATTGGTTTGAAAAAGAAATGATTTTGAATTTCTGGAATTGTAACTCTTTTGGAAGGTTGAAGTACCAAAATCTTTTTAATTAAATCACGAATAATATTTGGAAATCCAGCACTAAATGCATATTGTAATTTTGTAATTTTTTGAAAAGTTAAATATTCATTTGTTGCTTTAAAAGGTGGTTTACCAGCAATCATTTGATATATAATACAACCAAAAGCCCATATATCACCTGGTTTCCCACAATATTTACTTTCTAATAATTCTGGTGAAACATATTCTGCAGTTCCAACAAATGATTTAGCTCGAACATCAACTGGATAATCTTCACTTTCATCATCTTTTTTTTCTAGTAATCTTGCAGTTCCAAAATCAGTAATTTGAATTCTCATTTTGTCATCCAACAAAATATTTTCTGGTTTTATATCTCTATGAATAACTCCATTATCATGCATATATTTTATTGCATCTAAAATTTGTGCACCAAAATATCTTGTACAATCTTCATTTAATGTATTATATTTTTTAATTAATGTTAATAATTCACCATTTGCTGCATAATCTAATACAAAGTACAATGAATCTTTATCTTGAAATGTAAAATACAATGATATAACTCCCATTCTATTACTTAATCTATTTAATGCATGTTTTTCAATATTGACATATTTTACTTTTTTTTCTTTTATAATATGTCTTTTATCTAATACTTTTACAGCGTATTGTTTTGAAGTAATTTTATCAGTTGCTAGTATAACAGTTGAATATGAACCTTCTCCTAACTCTTTACCAAATTTGAAATCATTTACACTTCTTCTTATAGTTGAAATTTCTCCTGTAGGAGTTTCCATTTTTCTTATTGCTGCACCTTTATTTTCCCAATTTTCTTCATCTTCAATATATTCTGATGATCTAGGTATTCCATCGTTTTCATCATTTATAATTTTATTACTATTTGGTTGTGATGATTGTTTAAATTCATTATCTCCATTGGGAGTATCTAATAATACATTTAACGAAGAATTAGTTATAGCTCTAGGGTATCTTGGTCTAAAATCAAATGAATTTATTGATAATGGAGTTCCTGGTGCACTTTTCGCTATAGCTTCCCCCAATTCTGATCCTTCTAATGATGATAATCTTGATGAAATATGAACAGATGGTAAATTTTGATTTTCATTATGATTATGATTTTGAGAATTAGGTGATTGAAATTTATAAGTATAAGTTGTTTGTCCTTGATTATTTTGAGACTCTAAACTTTCAATACTATCATTGTGACTGGAATCATGACTAGTACCATTGTTACTACTACTATTATTATTATTATTTGAAGTATAATTTTTATATATATTTTTTATATCATTTGTTAAATCTTGTAAATGACTAGTATTTTTTTTATTACTATTTAATCCATGTATACCATTTTTATCTGATGACATATTAAATTAGAAATTGATTCTATAGTTAATTTTATACTTTATATTTGCTGCAAATATCAATTTTGCATTATAAGTTGATATTAGTGGTGGTAATATTTAATCAACAATTGATGATAATAAATTGTTGAACCTAATGATATTAGTTGATATGAATTGAATAGATATGATTGAATTGAATAGATGATGAATGAATAGTTTGTATACTAAGTACTAAATGAATATAGCCTTTTTCTAAATTAAAACAAAGAAAATTGAATTGGTTATTTTTAAATTTCTAAATTTAATTTTATTATTATTGTTACTATTATTAGTAGTAGCAGCAGTATTGATAGTATTATTATGTTAACAAATATCGAGTAAAATCCAATATATTTTGATAAACTTTTAATCAATTGAATAAGATAGAAGTTAATAGTTATCTAAATTAAATCAATACAAAATTGATAATAAAATAAATGTTGAAATTTGTTACTTTTTTTTTTCGATAATAAATTGAGTATATGTATATAAGTTTGCTATTAAAAATTAACAAGTTAATATATTATTAACTAACAATATCAAGTTAAAGAAGTAAAGATATATTAAAAAATTTTCAAATAATTAAAGAGTATGATCTATTTAGTCCCATTCTTTTCATTTGTTTCTATATTCCAATTAGAAAAGACTATAAGAATATTAAATAACTTATAAATTGTATTTAACTACTCATGATAATAATTTACAGTATTTCTTTCCCCTTAATTGTTTTTCTATAACAGAGAATTATTATTTAGATAATCAATACACAATAAATTTACAACACTTCAATATAACTTCATTAAAATAGACTATTTGAACCAAGTCTAACAAGATTATCATATTAATTTGCTGAACAAAGCATCAATCTTAATAATACAATTTAATGAATTACAAAAATATACAATCCATCAATATAATAATTTTATGGCTTTTCCTTTAGAACAATCTCAATTATTATATCATTTAAGAACTTCTTATTTAATATTAGGAGAAGATTCAGAATATTTTAAAAGAATAATTTTAAATAATGATTTAAATCTTATTAATAATCAAAGTAATAAAATTAATGATGGTAAAGGAAATACTGGAAATATTACCAATTTAATAATACAAAATTCACCACCAATAACTTTTGATTTATCCCATCATATTAAAAATTCAATAAATGATAATCATAATAATCATAATCACCACAGCCATCACCATCGCCATCGTAAAAATCTCATAAATAATAGATCAAGAGGTCATCATCATCATAATCATCATCACCCTCCCAACAGTAATACTGATGATAATGATATAAGAAAAAAAAGTGTTACAACTATTGATGGAACTCAATTGAAAACTAATGAATCTAATAACTTAAACAATAATGACAATATTAATGACAATAATAAAAATAATGATAATATTACATCCAAATCTACTACAAATTTTTCAAGTATATTTGATTTAGACTCAAATACGAATTATAATACTACAGGATCATTATCAAGTAATAGTACAACAAATCAAATTAATCCTTCATCGACTTTAGAATCTTTAAATAAAAATAATTCAAACAAAAAGAAAACCACTTTTATACTAAGGAATCCACTAAATAATAAAAATCAAAAGAAATCTAAACCCAAAACTATGTCAAAAATACCAATTGTAAGACTATTTAAATCAGGAAAACAATATAATAGTTCAGATTCGGATATAAGTAATGATGATAATTTTAATTCAAGATATAATGTAAACACAATTGATGAATCAAGAGAAGAATCTACTGATGATTATAGTACTGAAAATGATCCAACTAATAATGAAATTCATGATAATTCTGATGTTTTAACTATTGATAGTGATTTTGGAGTGCCAATTGATAAAAATGGTAAAGTTGTAAAAATACAGAAGAATCAAGAATTGAATAAAGAAGTGGAAATTAAAGACAAACAAAGCATTAATGAACACCATATACATGATAATAATAATGAAGAAACAGATACAGAAGAAGATGACGAATTCGATGAAGATGATGATGATTTTGATGAAGAATATTCAAATGATTCAGAGTTCACAGATTTAGATAATGATACAATATTAGATTCTTCATTACAATCAAATTCTTATACAAGTGAATTGGGGAAAGTTATTGATAAAGATGTAAATGTTTTACTGGATTATGAATCAAGGGACATGAGAAAAAAGAAAAGAAGTGATACTATAAGTAATCATACAATTCCTGAAAATTTTGATCCACATTTTTTGGATAATCAAGATTTTGTGAAATATAGATTAATGAATCATGAATCCTTTGGTAATTTAACAATGCTGGAACAGCCATCTTTAATATTTAATAAAGTAGAACCAAAATTACAATCACCACCAAAATCAAATTTAAGTACAATAATTCATTCAAAATATAAGTCAACTAATGTTAACCCTTTAAATTATTATCTATTTGTTGATGGTCTAACTAGTGATAATTCGTCACGTGTTTCATTATTAAATATTTTTTTACCACCTAAAACAACACCAACTTTGGAGAACATAAGTGTAACTAATACTGTTACAGTTGTTGATTGCATTGGGTTTATTTTGCTAAACCTAATGAAACTACCAGAATTTAGCAAATCAAATGATTATTCTTATTTGAATCCAAATTATTGGAGATTAGAATTAGTTGATGAAGATGGTGAAAACTATGGAAGTTTTGGTATACTAGATCGAAATAGAATTTTAGCATCTTATAATAATCCAAAGGAATTAGCGTTATGTCGAGTTAATGATGTTAAAGAAATTGATTCCTATGAGAAGAAATCACCATTACCAATTGAATTTAAACAAAATCTTAGTGCTTATGAGAGAAAGAAAAACAGTATTAATCATATTCAAGCATTGGAAGGTATACCACAAATTGAATTATTAATAGGAGTTTATGAATATGATAATAGTGGTATACCAGATAAAGTAAATTTTAAAGTACCTGCAACTTATACAATGGGACAAGTATTAAAAGAATTTTGTATGCAAAAGGGTTTAATAACTACAAAATATAGATTTAAAGTAGTTGATGAAAAAACTGACAAAAGTAGATTCGTGAAAGATGTTGAAATTTGTGAAAATTTACATCTGAAAATTTTGGAATTAGTTCCATCAGAAGCTAAATTTAATTTAGTTCTTGAATCTGAAGAAGATAAACAAATGATTGGGGCAACAACAAGCGCAACAAATATAACTCCTGCGGATTTCACATTACCATATATCACTCCAAATCAAGGTCATTTGTCAAACAAATTACAAAAATTGACAGTATCAGATAATCAAATGCCATTAATCACCCCTGAACAACTTAGAAGAGAATCTGTCAACTCAACAAAATCTATAAAGGAAGCAATTACATCAAATAAATATTTAGAAGATATTATACTGGGGAATAATCCACAATTACCAACAAATATAAACTCAATTTATTTTAAATGGAATATCCTAAAGAGTAATAGTAAAATGAAGAAAATGAAAATTAAAACATTTACTGAAAAAATGTTTATTATAGATGGTGATTATATTCATATAACACCTTTGGATGATGTATTACTGAAAAACATTGGGAATGATTCATCAATAGCAGCTCATCAATCTCATTTTCAACATCATAATTTAAATCATCACATTAACAAGACTGCAAACACCAAGACTTATTCATTTCATATAACTCAAATTTTAAAACTGAAACAATATTCCAAAACTCCAAATCATTTTAGAATTATAGTTCAAAAACAACAATCTGATCAAATTAATAATGATGTAAATAATAATAATGAACAATTAAAGTTAAAAGATTTACAATTAAAGAAATTTTATTTAGTTGCTGAATCAGAAGCTGAATGTTCAGAAATTATTAATAAATTACAATGGGTATTACAAGTTTATAAACTTTCAAGTGGTGCTATTTAAAAAAAGTAAAAAGTATTTATTTCTAGGTATTTGTGTTTTAATATAATTTAAATTATTTATTTTCTTCGGTATGTTTTAACTCTTTCCTAAATATTATGCAAAATGTGTTATCTTTGAAAAATATTGTTCCATATTAAAACATTTGTGAAATATTTGAGTATTTAATATTACAACCATTTTGTTTTGGGCATTCATTAAATGACAAATTTATCTCAAAATTGGAAAAGACTAAATACAAAAATAAGGACTCAAGATGAGACAAGCAACCAATTGAAACCGAATAAAAAATTCAACAAGATAGATAAACCACAACATAATAATGGTAATAAAATACGGCTGAAAACATTATCAATACGTAAAAATAATAATAAACATGAACAATCACTACATATAAACCCAGTCAACAAACAAAACCTAGTTAGTCCAATGGAATATATACTATGGACAAAAGAAGGTAATAAAAACATTTTAAAATCAGAAATTCCCAATCAACCTCAATTACTACATAAATCACAAAAAGATAAAAGAAAACAACCAGGTAAATATATAGCAATGGATTGTGAATTTGTTGGTGTTGGTCCAGAAGGTGAAAATTCAGCATTAGCTAGAGTAACAATTATTAATTATTATGGTCACGTATTATTGGATGAATATGTACAACCAAAAGAAAAAATTACAGATTTTAGAACTTGGGTATCTGGAATTCAACCATGGCATCTTAAAAATGCTCTAAGTTTTGAAAAAGCTCAACAATTAACTAATGATTTAATTACCGGAAAGATATTAATTGGTCATGCTTTAAATAATGATTTAAATAAATTATTTTTAGATCATCCCTTTTCCATGATTAGAGATACTTGTAATTTTCCCACATTCAAGAAAATTACAGGTGGGAGGAATCCTAGTCTAAAAAAATTGAGTGAACATTTTTTAGGAATTGATATACAAGTTGGAGAACATGATCCAATTGAGGATTCAAGAGCTACTATGTTATTATTTAGATTATTTAAACGAGAATTTGAAGAAAGTATGCGTAATAAAAAGTAGATATAAAATATATATCCTTTAATACATTAATCGTTTGGCTATAAATTCTTATGATTCTAATTTATAACCTTCAATATGAGTACAAGCAGCTCTATAAAGCATTATTTGTATTGCTTTTATATCAATATCAAATGTTGGTCGGAATCTTCCATCTTCATCTAAAGTATATTCAACTGGATATAATTCTCTTAATCTTTTAACTAATAAAATTTTATTATCAATTAATATTTGTTCAATTTCATTTATATAATTTTCAGGTGAATAATTTTCAGTTTGTGATATTGTTAATATAATATTTGAAATTTTTTCAATAAAATCTAATGATACTGTACTCATTAAATCTTGATTTAATGCTGGCTGTATAATATGATAAATTAATAATGCTGCTTTTTTATTATGTTCTAAAATTAATTGGTACAATGAAATAAATTTACTCTTGAAGTTTACATCAACACCTCTAGCATCACTGAAAAATGAACCAAGATGAATTAAAACTAATTTCGATGCTTCATTATCTTTTAATATAAATTCCATTAAAAATTTAGGAATTCTTAAATTTTTATCAATTTGATAATATTCACATTCCATTTTTAGGTCTTGAGTAATATATTCTTCAAATTCTTTTAAATCAACACATAAAAATATAAATACTAAATATGCATATGCATTATTTGATATAGTTGATCCATGAACTGGTCTAATATGTCTCATTTCATATCTCTTCTTGAAATACTTCTTAATACTTGAAATTGCTAAATGTCTAAATTGTGAAAATTTTAAACCTTGTGTAACAATGAAAAAAATATGAACACCAAAATTTTCTTCAGTTATTTGAATTCCATGTTTTTGTTCATATTCTGATAAATTTGGTTCTAATTGTTCTCTTTGTGAATAAGCTTTTATAATATAATCAGATCCTGAATCCATTAATTTTATAATTGTTGCTATAATATTTTGTAATGCTGATGGATAAAGTATTGATTGATTTAATAATGAAAAACATAATTGTGGCCATATGATTATTGGTGGTAACATTGAAGAATCTGGTAATCCATCAACCATTCTTGCAACTGCTGTTGAAATACATATAACAGTATCAATACTTTGTAATTCTCCATGGGCAACTAATTTAATAGTTCTACATGCAATTGAATCAGTAACACCTGTTTTGGATAATATACCAACAACAACAATAGCTCTATTTTGAAATAATGAATAATTATTAAATGCAACATCAATTGCATTTGATGACCATCTTGCTTTCCAATGAGTTTTATCATCTGATGTACTAACAACTTGAATAAATTCATTTAAATAATCACATAAAACTTCAAAATTTGTGATTCTATTAAAAGATTGACCAATATCTAATGTAGATTTTAAATCTCTTGTCATTCCAAACAACATTTTAGCTCTTAAACTACTAAAATATTCAATTGTATTATTTATAACTTCTTGTTGATGATCAGTTAAATTTGGTTTATGTAAAAATGATTGAACTGCACTAATTATCATATTTCTTAAATCTGATCCAACTTCTAAATGAGGATCATCAATAAATAAAGTAACAAAAAATATTATATCTGCTAAATATAATTTTGCTAAAATATATGAATTAAAAAATAATGAAGAACAAATTTTTATTAGTACTGTAATTTCAAATAATTTTGATTGTGATGCAATTGGTGAATCTGTTGTAAGTGTATGTTTAATAATTGTCATTAATCTTGATATAACTTCACCACAAACTTCAACTGATGAAGTTATAACTGAAATAATAAATGACCATTCTGGACCTTCATTTTTTTTATCAATTGCAAATGCAACAACTTCATCAACTAATGCAGAAACTAACCTAGATTCTAAAAATAATTTTCTCCAAATATAATCATTTATAAATGAAATTTGATCTTTATTTAATACTGATATTCTACAAAATTGACGAATTAAATCAGCAACTCTATCAGGTCCATTTATACCAATTTGTGAATATACATCATCATAAATATTATTTATCCATGGTGATATATAAAGTATTGAACATAATCTACTTTCTTGTTCCATTTTTTCAAAATTATCAAAATATGCTTTAAAAAATCTATAAGTCATTTCAGGAAAACTTTTTGATAAATGTTTTGATACTGAAACAACCATATTTGTTGCATCAGTTGGGAATGGTAATGTTTTGGCATGTTCTTCTGAAATTCCAAAATCTATTTCAAAATATGATGACATTGAACCAAATAATACTGCAGCTGATGATTTTACTTCATTATCTGTACTCAATAAACCTTGGAAAACAATATTATATAATCTGCCAAACCAATGCATTGAATGAACTTCACCTTTATAATCCTTTTCAGTGTCTATATAAGAAACATTTCTTGGTAATCTTGAAGTTGTGAAATATAAGAACCTTAAAATTTCTAATCTATCACAAGATCTAAAAGTAATTTGACCATTATAAGTAAAATAAATTGTAAATTCATCATCATTTCCAGTATAATTTGAAGCTTCACATTTGTTAAACTCAGATAATCTATAAACTTCAACAGGGGTGAAACTTTCAGTTTGTGATAATTCACTTTTAAATTTAACACGTTCTTGAAAACATATGGTTAAAAATTTTCTACCAATTTTTAAATTTACTGGAACAAATTTTTGAGATGTTGGTTCATATAATGAAACTGACTTATAAGTTACTTTTGAATCTCTACTTATTGAAACTGTTTCAGGATCTAAACAGAGATTACTAACAATATTTTCTGGATCAACTGATGAATGAATAAAAATTTCAGTATTAAATTGGGCTCCTTTTTTTCTTAAACTTTTCATTGAAGTAATAATGGCAACATATTCAGTTCTTGGAATATTAAAATAATAAACTCTTTTACAATTTTGAAAAAATTGTTTTGGTGAATAATTCGATAATATATGAGTGTATTCAGGAGGTCCCTCGTTTGCATAAAAATAAAATTCCGAAAAATCATAAACTAAATAATAATTGTTATCCCATACTTGTGATGCTGTTTCAAATAATTTATAAATTAAATATTTAGCATCATCTGGTCTCAGTTTCATTTTTTTAAGATTTATAACAATTACAGGAGTTGCATCTCTGAAAATTGAACTATGAATTACATTTATTGCATCTTGTGGTGTATCAGCATACCTTAAGGACATTTTTGTCATAAAATCATTAAACTTAACATCTTCTTCGTTGGTGTTGTTTGAATCAAATATTTTTAAAGTTGAATTTAATTGTAATTTAACACTTGGTTTTGGTTGTCCTAAATTTTGAACCATTTTATCAAATGCTTTGAATTTAACAACTCTTTCATGTAAAGAACCAATAGTGAAAGCAGATTTACCAAGTAAAAAATTTAACCTTATTTGTGTGAAATAAACGTAAATGAATTTATGCAAGTATCTTAATTCTGCAATTGGTTTTTCAATTTCACCCTTTTGGAATGGGTAAGTTGTTCCTTTACTTGTTGAAACTTTTGTTAAAAAATCTATAATTTTCAAATTCAAATCATTTAAAATATCAATTCTCAGTGCAAGTCCTGGCCATTTAATTGAGCTAATAGTACCATTTGCCATATTTTGTAAAACTTTAACCAATTGCATTAGAGATCTTTTAGTTTTTACACTTTCAACTGGAACTTTGAAAAATTGCTCTGGACTAATTAATGCTGGACATAAAAATCTTAAAAATATAAATGAACCAACTGCAATTAAAGCTGAATCTTCAAATTTTATGGAAACTGCCAGAAATATCTGACCACATACAAATTTAAATGAACATGGAAGATCATCAAATGACAGAACAATTACATCAACTAATTTACCGAAGAATCTTATGAATAAATCTGAATCCTCTGGAGATTCTCTTTTTTCAACTTCAAATTGAATGTTTGAGTCCAAAATTTCTTGAATTACTGGTAAAAGTATTTTATGTAAATAATCTAATCCATGATCTTGAGTAAAGTTGAAAAGTAATCTTGTGAGAGTTGAATTTCTCCTAAATAGATCCGTTGAACGTGATAAATTTGTAATTTCATCCGTCAACAAGACATGAAATAATTTATCCAATTTATTTGTGTATGAAAAAATTCCAAATAATGAAGATGCTAATAAATTATGTTCTAAAGATGATGCACAATCTGCAATTGAACTAAAAATTTCAGTTTCTTCGACTACTGAATTAATTAATACATCCGGAAATTCTTCTTCTCTTTTTCTTATAGTTTGTGATGTCAACATACTTGCAAATACATTTAAAAATATTCCTCTTATTTTTCTATTTTCATGATATCCCATTGGTAATAAATATTGAATTCCAATTTCAGAATCATATTGTAATAAATTTGTAATTGAAGCTAATACATTATCTGTGACTTGTTGTAGTTTATGTTTACTTCTCCATGTTGATGGCATATTAGTATATCTTTGTATAATTTTATAAAAAATTGAAAAAAAATTACCAAATGATAAATCTTTATATTTTTTGACTTCTTCATCTTTAATACCTTCTGGAACTTCAAGTAATAAATTCTCCAATTGTAAACGTATTGCTTTTGAACATTGAACTGCTAAATCTAATTTTAGATATACCACTTCTGAAGTTTTACCTCTTGAAATTTCTTCTTCCGGTGTGATATGATCTAAAATAACAGCTAATTCTAACCATTCTAACAATGCTTTACTATAATAATTTCTCAATTTATAAGCACCATTTAACCCTGCACTGGTTTTATCCAGTTCTAAAGTTGCAGCTAATTTACAAAATCTTAATTTTAATCGCAACTTGTAAACAACATCTTCAACTTTATTTATAAACTTAATAAAAAATTGACAAATATGAGGTAATAAAGAAGATAATAATAATGCACCATCATTTCCAACATTAATCATTGCTGTCATAATAATCATTGCTTGTTCTAAAAACACAATATTTTCTTCAGTTTGTACTTCCAAATCTAGATAATCAGTGGCTCTAGTCATTAATTTTGTTGCAATCATATGATATACATCAGAATGAGATTCATTAGATAAAGTGTCTTTAATTATAACTCTAACAACCAAATCTTGTGAGTTTAATAAATCAATACATTTGTCAAAAAATTCTGAAATATAAGTACCACTTTTTTTGAAGTAATCATCTTGTTCAAAATTTTTTGTAGCTGATATAAAACATCCAGACGTTGAAACTAAAAAACCAGTAAAATGTCTGAAAATTGCATTATTTTCATTAATTTTTTCATTTTCTCGTAGTATTCTTTTCCATCTTGCTAATATTATAAGCCATACTGAATATAATGATTTGGTTGGTTTTGCTTCTCTTAAAATTTTACGATGTCTCTTTTGTAATGAAACGAATCCTGTGAATACTCCTTCATCTTGATTCATTAATTCAAAAGTATCTAATAAAGTGTCTTCAACTTCTCCAACAGGGTATAACGCATTATTGTTTTTTATTTCATTGATATACCACAGTATACCTTGTTTTGCATAATTATAGAATTGAATATCATGAGTACAAGATGAAAGTAATAAAACTTTCTCAACAGCTTGAATCACAGCTCCACAACTCTCATATAATTCACGAGATTTTGAATCAATTAAGATGGGATTAGACATTAAAATTTGACTATAATTATCTCTTAAATGTAAAAAATCGTTAAGGAACAAAAAACTAGACTTGAATTTTGGATCAATTAATGGCAATCCCAAACACGTTTCACATAATGATTGAATAATACAATTACAAATGTTGAAATTGGCAAATGCAGATAAATCCGTATAATCAGTTTCAATTTTTGAATTTGGAGCAACTATTTGCATTGATAACATTTTACTAGCATCGAATAATCTTGAATTTTCCTGATTTATTGGTTTAATTTTAAAAGCTTGTCTTAATGGGATAACACATTTATGACAAAACTCAATTATAGAATTGAGTAATTCTGGATATGGTACAGTTTTTAAATTATCATCATTCATTAATTTCATATCATTAAAATATAATTCTGGTGCAGCTACAAAAATCATGAAAATATCAGCTAATAATTCTTCTGCATCGTATGCTATTCTATAAAAATAAGAATTTGATGATGAAGCAATAGATGCAGCTGAAGATTTTGGTAAAAAAAACAATTTTTCATCTTTTGATTTGTCAATTTCATTTGCATAATGATCTAAACCTGAATTGTTAGCTTCCATAAACATATTCGTTGCTTGATTGGCTCTTAATTCAAGTTCATCGATACTTGCAGCTTCTGAATGAATTGAAGCGTTTGATGCATCATTGATTTTTGGTGGATTAATATGAGTATCATAATGAAGTAATATATTCAAAGCTCCAAATAATATGACTTTAAAAATTTCTTTAGTGGTTACTATGAATTGATAAAATATATTTTTTGCCGTTTCAATTTCGGATAATCCCCGTATGGTTTTAACAAATATTTTGGTTATTTTTATGTCAGTATTACCATGATGATAATTATCAATGATAATTTTCGAGTATTTTTCAGGTCGTAGTATAATAGCTGCAATATAAAAATTTACCATAACATATTCATATTTTGATTGTAAATCTTCATCAACTAATAGTTTTTCACGATGTAATTCATTATATTTTTTAAGTTTGATATAAACTTCATCAATATGTCGCAAACTGAAAACTAAAATAGGATGATGTTTATAACCATATGCATCTAATCTTGTACCCAAATGGAAAATATTTATTAATGAGTCAAAACTTTCTAAGTTTGTACCATTTGAAGATTCTTTTAGTATTGTTGATAAATATTTTAATCTCTTGTTAAAAGCTAATTTTAATTTATTTACTGGTTTTAAAGCATTTATTTCAGTAAAATCATCAATACATAATACAAGATACCATGTCAATATAAATGGTGCACATAAACTTTGATTATAATTTTCTTCAAATATATTTAATGCTGCATCAAATAATTGTTTTAAAGAATTTGAATGATTTGAATCTCTTGGATCTATTAAAATTTCATAATCTGGAGTTCTTGAAAAAAATTGATCTTTTAATGTACTTGCGAAAAAGAATAAATAAACTTGTTTCCATGTATTTGATTTTATGAAAGGAATAGCTTTTAAAGTTTCATTTGTAAAATTTATTAGATTTCTTTTAGTGAAAAAAATATATTTAATTAATGGACAATATTTTTGTATAGTTGGTAATGGTATAGTTTGATTATTATTTGAAAAAGAAAAAATTTTGGCTGAGATATAATCATAATAATCATCAGGATTTGCAGTTGCAATATATCTTAAAATTAATTCAATATAAGAATCAATTTCTGAAATTGTAGATAGTATACTTTCTTCTTCTGTTACTGGTTGTTGATCATCTTTTAGGACCTCTGATTCATCTTTTACACCAATAGAAATTGATTGTTCATTTCTAATTAATGATAAAACTCTTTTAACAATTCCTGAAGATAATAAATTTATATAAAAATTTAATACATCAATTATTATAGTTTTATCTAATGATATAGGAGCATCATAATAATAAAATTTTGAACAATTATTCATAAAATTTTTTTCATCAATAACATTTGTTTTCCTATTCCAATTTGATTTTAAAATATCAACTAATAATTTACAAGTTAATAAAGTTGAAGATCTTGATTTTTCATCTCTATATTTTACTTTTATATTTTGAGATTCATTATTTATTGTAAGTAATAATGAAGTAAATGATGTTATAATATAAGTAATTGATTCTGAATTTTTACAATATTCATTTAATAATATTTTTTTAGTTAATATAAATTGTGGATCAATTTCAATTTCTTGAAAACTATGACCAGTTCTAAAAGGTAATAATGATTCAATTCTTTTAACTAAAGATTCAATAAATATTCTTTGATTGTCACTAATTGTAGCAGTATTCATTATTTCATTAGTAAATTAAAATTTTGTGGTTGTAAAAATTTGATTGAGTTGATATGATTTAATGAAAGTTTGGTTGTAAATAAATTTTAATAATGTTATGATGATAATGATGTTGATGATGATAATTAAATTAATTAATTGTAGTAATAGTATGATAGATGATAGTAATAGTAATAGTAAAAGTAATAATATTAATATTAATAATAGATTTCAATAAATTATAATCTATTAATTTAGTTGGATTGATCTTTTAAATATAATATTAATATTAATATAAAATATAAAAACTAATTCTGTTATAAATTTCGTATATGCTTTATTTATTTATTTATTTTCTATATTAAAATTATTATTATTATTTTTTTTGTTTTATTAATTTGTTTTCTCTGATTATGTTTCATTATTAGTTAAGAAGAAGAAGATTTTATTAAAGAGTTCAATTTTATTCAATAATATACGAATAAATTGGTGAGTTATTTAGTAATATCATCAATTAATAGAGTAATATAATATATAATAATATTAATTATTAGATTTATTTATTTATTGTATATAAAATAAAATAATCAAAATCAATTGAAATAATTCATTCTGTTTTATTTAAACGGTTTTATTTATTTATTTAATATTATGTCAAAGAATGAAAATAATGAGAAAGAAAAAAAGAAAGAAAAAAATAAAAACCATTCAATAATAAAATTGAATAGAAAGAAATCAAATAATAATATTAATTTAAAGATGGTTTATAAAATTAAATATCATAATCATCATTCTAATTGCTAATGATGAAAGATCAAATAATTATTATCATTAGTTTTTACTTTATAATATATATTCTAGATCAAATTATTAGATTAAGAAACATTATTTTACTTTGAACAAAAGAAGAATAAAATAAAATAAAATAATAATATTAACCGTTTGATTTTTATGTCAGTTTCGGACTTATTAAAGCGGAGTGGAAATAAATCTACATTATATCTATTATACATAATATAACTCCATTATTATATCTATTATATTGACCAATCCCCGATATATATTTTTAATGTTGAGTCAATACTACTGTTGGTGACACTCTATTATAAGTAACAGTGTTGATGTAGATATAATTGATATATATAATTTAAGATGAGGTAATTGTTAACTAAACTAATTAGAAACAATAATTTCAAAAACTCCAGATAAAAGTAAATAAGACATGAAGTCTTTTAATCAGATAAAATGACACGACACAAAATATAGTAATAATATCGAAAATAGATATACACAATATCATTGTGATTTGATATTTTAATTTTTGACTTAACAATTTAACAGAGATATATCAATTACTTTCTGTTGTATTTTCTTCTTTCACTTCAAATTATTTAGTTATATCAGTTCATGTATTACTAATAGTAAGTTTCAATATATTAAAATTTTAGTTCATTTTCAAACTTAAATTTGTCTTTAATAACGTACAAAAAATTATAAATTTATAAGCTATACCAATTTCTAAATCAAACCTAATGAATATATTTTTAAATATTTATGATCAACGCATAATCTTTTCTATTACATTTACTTTTTCATGATTAAATTATTTTAAATTTTAAAAGTTCTACTGTAAGTAACCATTATACAGTAATACCGAATACTTAATAACACTTATCGTTATATTCTATTCTCTTTTAGTGTTTTCAATATTGCTACAAGTAATCAGAACAATTACTTAAGTTCTAATTACAAGTCTCTCAGTTAAATAACAAAAGTTACAGATTTTATTATCCTGTTAATATCGATATTAATTGATCAATGTATAATTATTACTCTATCTTATCAATCTTTATTGATACCTGCATATAGTGCTTAGAAAATAGATAATGCGACACAATCAAAAAAAAAGGAACAAATAGATTACAGAGCCAACTCAGCTTCTTTAAGAAGATTCCAACATCTTATATTAATATAATCTACACATTTAATTTACAAATTTATCAACAACAAAAATAAAACATTTTGATTGAATTTGTCTCATCAAAAACTATAATACCTTATTATTTTCCATATATAATCTAGACTTTTTTTTTTCCAAAATGGCAACACAATCAGAAGAATCACAACCACAAAGATTTGCACAATTTAAATTAGTTCTTTTAGGAGAAAGTGCAGTTGGTAAATCATCAATAGTTCATAGATTTGTTAAAAATACATTTGATGATTTAAGAGAATCAACAATTGGAGCAGCATTTTTAACTCAATCAATAACAATACCTGAAACTCAAACTACAATAAAATTTGAAATTTGGGATACAGCAGGACAAGAACGTTATAAATCTTTAGCTCCAATGTATTATAGAAATGCAAATGCTGCATTATGTGTTTATGATATAACTAATATAAATTCTTTTAAAAAAGCTCAAGATTGGATAAAAGAATTAAAAAAACAAGCACCAGAAGGTATAATTATTGCATTAGTTGGTAATAAATCAGATTTAAATGATTCAAGAGAAATAAATCAACAAGAAATTGATGATTATGTAAATGAATTAAAAAATGAAGGTTTTAAAATTATACAATCTGAATGTTCAGCAAAAAATGGTGATGGTATAATTGAAGTATTTGATAAAATTGGTAGAGCTTTACCAGTTGATGAAGTAATAGAAGCTAATAATAATAGATTAAAAAATGGTATTACAAATAATAGAAGACCTGGAGGTGGTGTTGATTTAAATAGACCTAGAGGTCAACAAGTTCAATCTAATTCATGTTGTTGAAATACAGAAACCATCACTAATTTTTTAGCATTTAATTCTTTGATAGTTCCATTCAATAAAACTTATAATAAACTAGTTTACGATTGATAAAGTGGGTATTTTTAGAACTTGAAAATGTCTAACAATGTAGTTTTTGTTCTCTCTTAAAACAGACAATTTGTTTATCTAGATTTTTGGGGTTTGAGGTACGAACAACGGTCTTTGTGAAGGTATAGAATTAAACAAGTCGATTATTGATTATACTATATGTTGTTTCACTACTGACGTATATATGCAGTACAACCAATATAATAATTTTTGTAAAATACACTACTACCTCATTAAAATTATTTTGTGTGTAATTATCAAAGTGAAAAATTTTTTTATATAACCAAGATTCTTTTCCCTTTTTTCATCTAGTTTTACTTCTTCATACAACAACCCAAATTAAAAATGTCATCAAGACCACAAATTTCAGTCATCTCAGTTAAAGGTGAACAATCGAGCACCCAATTACCATTACCAGCTGTTTTTGCTGCTCCAGTTAGACCAGATATTGTTCATTCAGTATTTGTTAGAGTTAACAAAAATAAAAGACAAGCTTATGCTGTTGCTGAAAATGCCGGTCATCAAACCTCAGCTGAATCATGGGGTACTGGTAGAGCTGTTGCTCGTATTCCAAGAGTTGGTGGTGGTGGTACCCATAGATCAGGTCAAGCTGCTTTTGGTAATATGTGTAGAGGTGGTCGTATGTTTGCTCCAACTAAAACTTGGAGAAGATGGCATGTAAAAGTTAACCATAACGAAAAACGTTATGCTACTGCTTCAGCTATTGCTGCTTCAGGTGTTACTTCATTAGTTTTAGCTAGAGGTCACAGAGTTGAAAATGTTAAAGAATTACCATTAGTTGTTGCTAATGAATTTGAATCAGTTACTAAAACTAAAGATGCTGTTGCTGTATTAAAAGCTTTAGGTGCTCATAAAGATGTTGTTAAAGTTATTAAATCTAAAAAAATGAGAGCTGGTAAAGGTAAATTAAGAGGTAGAAGATTTACTCAAAGAAGAGGTCCATTAGTTGTTTATGGTGAAGATCAAGGTTTAGTTAAAGCTTTAAGAAATATCCCAGGTGTTGAAACTTCATCAGTTAAACATTTAGGTTTATTACAATTAGCTCCAGGTGCTCATTTAGGTAGATTTATTATTTGGACTCAATCAGCTATTGAAGCTTTAGATTCAATTTATGGTTCAGAATCAACTAAATCAATCAAATCAAATTACTCATTACCATCAAATATTATTTCAAATACCGATGTTACTAGATTAATTAATTCTGCTGAAGTTCAAGCTGTTGTTAGACCAGCTGGTGAATCAACTCAAAAGAAAACTCATGTTTTAAAGAAAAATCCATTAAAAAATAAACAAGTTTTATTAAGATTAAACCCATATGCTAAAGCTTATTCAAATGAAAAATTAGGTTCTGCTAAAGTTGAAAAATCAAAATCTAAACCATCAAAAGGTCAATTTGCTTCAGTCTTAAAAAACTAAGTTAATTTTGTATAGGAAAAGAAATTTTTGCAGTTTTTTTAACATGAATACAATACAATTTTAATGGTTTTAAATTATATTCCCTTCTTGTAGATATTTTTCGAATTTAGCATTTTTCTCAACAGTAATGCGATTTCATAGATTCAGAAATCAATTTCAGTGAGACTAATGCATTTATCCTATATGAAATGAATTTTTCACATATGTATAGAATTTACACAAAAGTAATAAAAAAAATTGATTGATCTTTTTATTTACATTTTGCAGCCAAAATTTACAACAAAATCTAGAGATGTATATCAAACTATATACGTTGCTAATGAACAAGCGGGACCCTAGTTTGACTTCTATTCAAGAACGAAAGACAATCTCACTCTCTCAGAGAGCTAAAATCACCCTTTCTCACGTATAATTTTAAGCTAAAGGTGGTAAAACATTTTCTTCAAAGAAGCTTTTACCAGTGGCTGGATCTGTTCCAACAATGTTACCTCTTGTCTCACTATATTCACTAGACAATGTTAGTTAGTATTAGGTTCTAAAAAGTGAAGGTAGCGATTCAAAATAGCTTTTTTTGCGAAAAAAAAAAAATTATTTTGTAAAACTTAAAAATTTTGAATACTGACCATATGGTGTACTGACGCCAGGGGTTGTTGCACATGATTCTGCGCAGCTCTGTTGTACAACAGCTTGTAATTTCGTTACTAGACTTAGATATTAGCTGTTAGATTATTTTTATTAGCTGATCTACAGTCAGATTCAATTAATGTTTCTCATTATCACTTGTACTACCGATTTAGGTCAACTCAGGCAAAAGCGAGCCCTGAATCAACTACAAAGACTTGGGACCAATACTCTGATACAGTTTAATACTAAGAAATTTGACTGTACATCTAAAGTTAGAGAGGTCGTGCAATTTTGTAAAAAGTAACTATTTTATTTTTTTGCACAAACAATTTTGCAGCCAAATTTTACAACAAAATCTAGAGATGTATATCAATCTATATAAGCTGTTAATGAACAAGCCTGACCCTAGTTTGACTTCTATTCACGAACTAAAGACATTCCCACTCTCTAAGAAAGCTAAAATCACCCTTTCTCACGTATAATTTTAAGCTAAAGGTGGTAAAACATTTTCTTCAAAGAAGCTTTTACCAGTGGCTGGATCTGTTCCAACAATGTTACCTCTTGTCTCACTATATTCACTAGACAATGTTAGTTAGTATTAGGTTCTAAAAAGTGAAGGTAGCGATTCAAAATAGCTTTTTTTGCGAAAAAAAAAAAATTATTTTGTAAAACTTAAAAATTTTGAATACTGACCATATGGTGTACTGACGCCAGGGGTTGTTGTTGCCACACATGACCCTTGCGCAGCCCAATCGACTTGTAGACCTCCAGACAACTTGTGTGAAGTGCCCTGTAGCAGAGGAATAGCCAGGTTGATTGAAGTTATAATCTTTAATTTCATTATACCAAGCATCAGTTGGATCAATTCCACCAACATAACCAGCAGCCAAATTTTCACCATATGGACCACCAGAATGAATCAATTGAACGTTATTACAATCGAAATGAGTAGCAGCATAATTAGCAGCATAAGTTGCTAAAGTATTATTCCAGATTAAAGCCGGTACACCATGTAAAGCTCTTAATCTATTATGTTCACCTAAAATTTCATTTGCAAAAGCAACATCTGAAGTTGGAACATTAACTGAATTTATGGAAGAAGTAGTTGTCAAAGTCGATAATGTTGATGAAGGTGGAAGTGAGGTTGAAACTGGAGCTAAGGTTGATGTAGTTGAAGTTGGAGTTGCAGTTGATGTAATTGAAGTTGATGATGGAATTGTTGTACTTGAAGTTGAGCTTGTTGTACTTGAAGTTGAGGTGGTTGAAGTGGTACTTGAAATTGAGGTGGTTGAAGAAGAACTTGAAGTTGATGTTGTTGATGTAGTTGTTGGAGTAGAACTTGTTGAAATTGAAGTAGTTGTAGGAGTTACTAATGTTGAGGTACTTGATGGTGTAGTAGAAGTAGGTGTGGTAGTGGCTCTACTTGAAGAACTAGATGTGGTAGTAGCTCTACTTGATGAACTGGAAGTAGTTGTAGTTCTACTTGATGAAGTTGTGGTAGCAGCAGGTGGAGGACGACCATATACTGTTGAATATGAAAAACCAGTTGTATAACCAGAATAAACAGTAGCTATTTTAGTACTAGTAGTTTGAGCAGTAACCCAATAAGTGAACCAAAGTGGAGCAGCTTCAGTAGTAGCAATTAAAGTTGCAACACCTGCAATTAAAGTATTTTGAAATTTCATTTCTTTATATTTATTGTTTTATTATTAATGAGTGTAGATATTTATTATGGGTATAATGTTTAAAATTGTTGAATAATTAATGAAAGTGATGAATTTGGTAATTAACAATATAAGTGAAATAAATTGAAATAGACAAACTTTTTGAATTAAAGTTGTTGATAGAAACGAATCAAAGAAAGTTAAAATATAATAAAGTATAAAACGAGATCAAATCAAAATATTTCATTTGAATTGGGAAATTGAGATCATTATATATTTAATTATAAATCCTTTTAATCAAAATACTAAAATAAGAATGCTGGCGGGGAGGTTGTATAAAATTTAAAAATATACAAATAAATTCATGTTAAAAAATAAATTTAAAATTATTTTGACTGCAAAAATCACAAAACCTTTAAAGTAAACACAAAACTAAAAAAATAATAAATCAAGTTACATAATAAACATAATTTTACATAAATAATAATATTACTTTAATATTGTGTAATATTATTATTATCAAGTATTATTATTTTTAAAGTTTTAAATGCAAGATATAATTATACTGTATATAATATTAAAATTTACATAACCAATTTTTGCAATACTTGAAATTCAAATGTGTAAAAGTTTCCCATTCCAATTTGAGACTAGAACCAGTGTAATTAAATGATAAACATAGCATCTAGTAAAAGAAGGAGAGCAATTTGAGTTTGGAGACAATTCGTCGCTAAGAATCTAATTTTACATTTCTATACAATTAAGTTTAAATTTTCTCAACTTAAGATTCAGATTAAGTTTCGAAAATTTATAGCTTATTAAAGATACAACTTCAACTTTAATATTTTTTTTGACTAATATTTACTTTTTATCATTAATTACTAGATCTTTCCTTAGGTAAACAGATGAAACATGTGTATGTTCATATAATAAATCGTTCCACTTCGGAATGTTACATACGTCAATTATGTTCCATTGGCTATGAATAATCTCTAAAATTAAGTGAAATCACCACATTATCAATCATTCGGTGGTTAGGAAATGAATTTGGGGTTACACAATAGAGTCCAAAGTCTAAATGTAAATAGAACAAAATTCCTATGTACAAAGAAATCTTTAAAGAGATTAATAAATTCTACTTTTGGTGTTTTTTCAAACTAAATTGAAATTATTTTTTAGAATTTTGGTGTGAAAAAATTAATCAAAATTGCATTGACTTTTTGTGTAATTTAATTTTTTTTTTATTTTATTTATTTGCAAGTAAAAATATTTTAATTCGAAAAATATAATTAGCTAAAAGTACCTTAAAACCTTATTATTCATTGACCAGCTACATCACCATTTTGACTACTAAAGCCTAAAACCCTTTGATAATCGCCATTTTTGATGAAACTCACAAGTGGAGATTTTTAGATTTATTGGTTAAATTTGAAATAACCAGGTTTCATTTTCACTAATGAAAAGAAAAAAAATTAAACTTTTCCACACACAAAAACTTAAAAAAAAAAAAATTTTAAGAAACGTTCGAAGATTTACAAATTAATGCACCTAACCATCTAATCATGTTAGGAAACAAGAAAAATATGTTGAGCTTAATCACAATACCGTTTGACCAAGAAACTCACATTCCATTCCCCTTGTGATATCTGCATGCTTTCTATGCATCGTAATCCGTAAACCTAATTTCTAATGAACTTCTCTTTGTACCAAAGACTAAAAAGTTTACCCGTAAATGTGAATTTTTGCTTCAACAAATTGCAACATCATCCCTTGAAGGTCCAGCTGATATGGAAGAGGCACGATCTTTCTTTTCCAGCTCTATAATCTAATATATGTAATTTGGATTTGAATGAAGTGGAGAATCTGTCCCAAAAAGATCAAAATAACAATTAAAAGTAAAGTAACTTAAATAATTAGAGAAGTCAGCGTAAAAAGCAAGTATCACTATGATACTGATGGAAAATGCAAAGACTTCCAATAAAAATTAACGCGATTCTAAAGTTTAAAACGATTTAACTTGATAAGTTTTACAAACTTTATTTTTTAATTCTTAATCTACAAATCGGATCTTAAGATTTTGTTTCTCTCTAGGATATATTATTCTACTTGTAAGCCTATATGGCATTATTTTTTCTGAAAATTGTTTCCAATTAACAAACTCTCTCTTTGCTTTGGATGAGCTGTAGTAACCTTTATCATGTCATGCAATTTATGCTAAATATTTGAATGAAAAAGTAAATAAACCAAGCAAATAAAAACAAATAAAATAGAACAACAACTTTTGGGCGTGTTTGAAAAATTAGTTCCACAAAACTTAAACCTTCAAAGATTTGCGATGTCACCAATCATTTAGTTAAATCTTCTAACCATCGAATTATGATGATTTAAGAGCTAAATATCAACTCAAATTAGGGCTGGTAGTTAGTAAGAAGAAACGTTTTTGGTCAAAAACTTATTGTTCAAGTTGTTGGTATTTTCGGAATTGCTAATACAATAATTTTTTAAAAGAATTTGATAATATTGTAAAGTTTTAGACAGGATAAAAGGTTTTCCGTTTAGAACTTAAATTTTTATGCACAGTAAAGAATCATTATTGACATCAATATTCGTAACACATATTCATAACCTACTCACTAAGATAAGGTCAAAAACAATAAATGTCTCTCATTGGATTGACACTTAAGTGGTTAATTATAATTAAATTGAGGTGATCCTTCTGCATTGCATATTCTCGCAAACTTTAAAAAATTATTTTTTTATGTTTTTATTTTTTTAATTAGTAAATTTTTTTACCAATATTTATTTTTTAACTTTGGAAAAAAAAAAATAAACAATAATCAAATCTCGTAAATTTAAAATTATCGTGAATATTCGATAATGATTTACAGTTTTTATAATAATTATTCGATTTTCGTTATTCATACGTGTTGTAGATCTTTTCTGTACATCAATAGATGTTCTTTTCTTCAATTATAATTTAACTGATCTGGCGTAGATCTTAAGATCTCTAGATCTGCTCAATTTAAATTTCGCAATGATTTTTTTAAATATGTATGTGTCATTTTTATAATTTGAAAATTATTTTTTAATTTTGTCAAATCTCCTGATTACTAGGTTTAATATTTATCCAGCTGTTAGTACAAAATGATTAACAGGTGATGTGTATCTCCTTGTGGTTTTTTGAAGTCCAATTTTTATAGACTAAAAGGCAGTGAATGTATTCATTGATTGATCTCGATCTCCCATAAGTTCGACATGGAGGTGGAAATTGGCGTTGTAAAGCTATCTTGGTCGCCCCGCAACGAAGAAAAATACGAAAAATTATTATACTTTATGGTTTACACTAAAAAGATTTCACTATTATAATAATCATCGTAATAAATTATTATAATTACAGTATTGAGGCACTCAAAACAGGTTAAAACCGGTTTTAATTTATAGGTTTTTGCATACAAGTTTGTCGATCGAAGATATATTGGAGGTGCTAACAAAAGATAACTGTCGTTTTTAAAGTCTAAAGATCATGCTTTGCAACATAGGTTATGTGAAGATATTGTTTTAACAAACAATTCCTGTTTAGGTGTAATTAGCCAGTCATAAATTTATTTTTTTTTGCTCGCTACTATATAAAATTTACGAGATTTTTTTTGTGTAATTACGATTATTTGCAAGTAAATTGTAGAATTGATATAACTCTCTAGATCCATTTTTCAATCAAAAATTTACGGAATTAACACTTCAATGCATTTTAAAATTAAATAAATTTTAAATCCTACAGATGTTTCAAGTTAGTACTCATTTAAAGTTGTAAGCGCTATAGTTCACAAATGATAGAAACCCCCATTCCATTTGAAGATACATGACTATGACATGCAATTCTAGGTCAGACTTCCGATTATTAGTGTTGTCAAACCTATCTATCTGCATAATCAAACATGATAATAAAACCTAGTGTGATAAAATTTTTGAAATATTAAAGTGTTAATTGTGTATAATTTATTATATTGAAATATAAATTAAAGGTAATTTTAATATTTTGTATTATGTTTGCGCTAAATTGTGTCAAAATTGAGCTCGTAAATTTTAAATCAATATTGTGGTACAGATGTGATTCAGTGAGTTGTTAATTTAATTTATAAATTCCATGAACGAATTGAAGTAGATGACAGTGTCTGGAGATAAAATATGGACAACCTCATCAAATAAGAGTAAATAAAAAGTTTTTCCATTCACCTTATTTTGAAACCCCGTGAAGCGGAGGGGAATGTGTTTCCTTGAATTTTGTTAAACTTTTTCGTAGTTTGCAACTTTTTGCTGCAAAACAAGAATAAAAACAATAACTTTTTGTAGAAACTCAAAATTAAATCCCTCTTAACCTCAAATGAAGAAACAAACTATAAAAGTCTTTCCTTTTACCTTTTTTCTGATCCCTATGAAATTCTATTTCTCAAAAATCTGATAATCTTTCATAGTTATTGACATTTATTGTTGAAAAACAAGAGTAAAGGAATACGAGGATTTTAATTTTTTCTATTACAATTATTGCTCATCAATAAGACAACTAAGGGTAGTGGATATCTATTAACAAAGTTACTAAGAACTGTAAGTGCTTCGAGCTTCAAGCAATCATTATTATGAAATTGTTCGATTGAGCGTAATTAAATATGATTCAATGCACCTGGTACTCGTTTTTCTTCTCTTCAACATTTTATCAAAGTAGAAAATATAAAACATTTGTATAAGTTATAAAGTATTTGTAATATAGTCTAAAATTTGAAGAAATCATTAATAGGAGAAGACATCTCGATGCTAAATAATGCAATAAACTTTTATTAATTTGTTTTATTTGAAGCTAATTAGCTCAGTAGTCCATATTGTTCTACTGCAACTTATGAATTGACACAAGTTTTTCAAAAGACCTCACGATCCACTAATTTATTATTTGCAAAAATCAAAAGTCTAATCAAACCGGTCGGTAAGCTCGGAGGAAAGAAAAATTTTAAATTTAGAACTTGTTCACTGGTTTCAGCTTTAATTCAGCGAACGTAAAAATCTTATGTCTCTCTATTGTTAAGTCTTTTACAAAGTAACGTCAAATCAATTAGTTTATTACTAAAACTACTCTGGTTCTACAAAAATGTAACTAAAAATAGAAATTATCTATTGTTCTTTTCAAATCATCCGTCAAATCGAAAAACGGTTGGAATTCCATGGTTATGATATATTCTTAATTCTTTTCTCTCTCATAATTTTATTTTTTATGTTTCAGTGCAAAAATGGATGGTGAAAAGTCTTAGAATCAAAGAATTGAAATAATGCAATGAACAACCACAAATCTACACTATGCTCGGTATTTATGGAAATGAATCAAATAGCAAGATCGATTATTCAAAATTACAGCAAAAAAAGAACTAGGTAATTTGTTTTTGACCACGAGTTGCAAAAACTTACAATAATATCGCAATTAAAAAATTCAGGTCATTTTAAATTTTAAGACAAACAATATTCGAATTTAAAAAACTTTTAAATGTGGCCAGATTCGGAGCTCATACTCAATTAGCTTATAGACGGTTACTTTTTTATTGTTAAGTATGCCAGTTCTATTTTTAAACAATAGAGTGGATGCAGTCACCTAAAAAATCGAAGTTTGAACGGAATTATGAAAGAGGTTTGAAGTTCATGATTTCTTTTTCAAGCATCGTTTTTCTTCTATGAAAGATCAAAAATGAATCATTAAGATGAATAATTTGTTAGGTGTTCCTGAATCTGATCGAGTACTGTTGCAAGTTCGAGAATTATCAATACAAGTATTGGATAAAAAACAACAAAAAAATCACCATAATGATCCCGAGAAGGTACTAAGTAAAATCAAAATCTTGAATAATGTCTCATTTGATTTGCCGTGTGGAGAAATACTAGCAATTATGGGAGGAAGTGGTAGTGGTAAAACAACTTTATTGAATACTCTATTGGCCAGAATTAATTTCAAAAATAAGAAACTAAAATTCACTGGAATTATTAAATATTCAACATCATCAAACTTGAAACACATCAATAATTCATATCTTTTACAGGACGATGTTTTTTTGCCTGGTTTAACGGTTTTAGAAACTATGAAATTTCAAGCTGATTTGAAACAACCTTCTCATATTTCAAAAGATGAAAAATTGGAATTTATTAATTACTTATTAAAAACACTAGAAATAGATCATTTAAAGGACCAAATTATAATGTCATTTACTAAAAAAATATTATTATCAGGTGGTGAACAAAGAAGATTATCTTTGGCTATTGTATTGCTAGATAAACCATCAATATTAGCATTAGATGAACCAACTACAGGATTAGATTCACTTAGTTCTTTAACATTAATGAGATTACTAAAAAAGTTAGCCAGTCCAGAAATTGGAATCACTATTATTTTGTCTATTCATCAACCAAGAGTAGAAGTCACTGAATTATTTGATAAAATTTGTTTATTAACTTCTGGTGGTAGAATGGTATATTATGGTAAACCTACAGATTCAACTAATTATTTCAACCAGTTAACTTTCCTAAAAGATGATTTAAATGATAGCGTATCCTCAAATTATATTGATTATATTATGAAACTTTCAGTAAAGGATTCATCAACAAAGTCAAATGAAAATGAAAGTTCACAAAGAATTAATAAATTAGTGGAAAACTGGGATCATTACACAAGTTGGCCACCAGTAACTACCGATCAAACTTTTGCAACTTTACCAAAATTGTTTCAAAGGCTGAATCAAAACAAAATTTCTTTCCTACAAGAACTATGGATACATACAAAACGAACATTCTTATTAACATCAAGGGATAGATTAATCTTATTATCGTTCTATGGGGGAAGTGCGTCAGTTGCAGCAATTGCAGGTTGGATTTTCTTCAAACCAGATCCCGATTTAGCAGGAATAAGATCAATAACTTCAGTATCATATGTAATGTTGGAGTTTTTAGCTTTTACTCCAGTTTTTATTGAACTTGAAAAATTATGGATGTTTGATGGTATTAATTATATTCGAGAATTTAGACAACATAATGTAACTCCATTCATATTTATACTATCGAGATTTATTTCAGTATCAATATTGCAAAGTATTCCTATTGGTGCAATATTTGCATCAATAACTTATTTCATGTGGGGGTTGAGAGCAGGCGCTGGTCATTTTTTCATATATTTTGCAACTTCAATATTAATAACTTTAATCGGTATGGCTACTGGAATGCTTTGCTTTGCAATCAGTCATGAATTTGCGCTATCTACAATGTATTTAAATTTCATTTATCAGTTACTTAATAGTTCTTGTGGATTTTTTGTTATAAATCCTTTGGGGTGGATACGTTGGGTGAAATATATCTCTTATTTTTGGTATGGATTTGGTGCATTAAGCGCTAATCAATTTACTGACTGGGTGGGAAATTGTCCATTCGATTCGAATGATGATAGATGTATACAATATACTGGGAACTATCAATTACATTTATTGAGGTTTCCTAAAGGATGGGTTGGTGAACCTATTGGTATTTTAGTTGTTTGGCTTTTTGGATATTATTTGATGGCTTGGATTGCATTAAGTTTTAGATCTTTCGAGACACAAATGTCAAAAACTATAAAAAATAAGATTGGAGAAGAAGAAGAAGAAGAAGTAGAGGAACAAATAACAAGTTTAGATACTGAAAAAACAATTCTGAATGAAGAAACGGTTGCAGTTAAGGAAATTAAAGATACAGATCATAGTGATTTAATAGATATTGACTTACGCATTGAAAATATCAGTCTACAAACCAATATGAACCCACCTGATTGGATTTTACAAAATGTCAATGCATCTTTCCAATCAAGTTCATTAAATGTTATAATGGGACCATCGGGAAGTGGTAAAACCTCCTTATTAAAATTATTGTCAAATAGATTATCTAATGGTTTAAATTCTAATGGAGATATTATACTAAATTCGGATCAATACGTAACACCAAAGGAATTATCAACTATTTCATCTTATGTTGCTCAAAATGATTCAACTTTAATTCCAACACTAACTATTAGAGAAACATTATATTTTCAAGCAAAATTAAGAATACCCGAAGAAGACCGTAACAATATTCCAAATATTGTAAATAAACTAATTAGGAAAATGGGTTTAGTTGATTGTGCAGATAGAGTCATTGGATCTGAATTTAGCAAAGGTATTTCGGGTGGTGAAAAAAGAAGAACTTCTATTGCAATTCAATTATTATCACGTCATAATATAATCTTTTTAGATGAACCAACTTCGGGTTTAGATTCTCAAACTGCTTTATCTATTTTTAAGATGTTGAAAACTTTAGCAGAAAAAGAACATACCACAATAATTTTAACGATCCATCAACCAAATGAAGACATGATTAATATCTTTGATAGATTATTAATCTTGAACCATGGGAAAGTACTATTTGATGGACTTCAAGCTCAATTGATCAGCTATTTGGATTCCATTGGGTTACCTCCTCCAGCAAATACAAATGTTGTCAATTATACTTTAGACATCATAGCAACAGATAAAATTTTGAATTTCCAACCAGTAGAATTTTTACCACCACTTAAAAAATCACAACCAATAGATTTAATATCTTATCAATTAAAACAAGCACCATTTTTAACAATTTTATATACATTAACAGTCAGACAATTTTTGACAACTTGGAGATCAATTGATATATTATTTTCTAGAATTTTTCAAGTGATCTTATTAGGTGTGGTTCATGTTATGTTTTTCACACCATTGAAAAACAATCAAGCTGGTATAGTAAATCGTTTAGGTCTCATACAAGAAGTTCTAAATTTATACTTCATTGGATTAATCAATAATATTTCATTATATCCAAAGGAAAGAGAAATTTTTTATCAAGAATATAAGGATGGATTATATGGAGTTAAAGAATTTACATTGTCTTATCTAATAAATGAGTTACCTGGTGAAATTATACCAACTTTAATTTTTAGTGCATTAATTGTATTTGCAATAGGATTACCAAGAAATGCAGCAATGTATTTTGGAATGACTTTTGCATGTTTTGTATGTATAAATATTGGAGAATCATTAGGAATAATCATGTTGAGTATATTTGATCATTTAGGTGTAGCAACAAACATCTTGGGTACAATTATGACAATAGCTGTATTTATGGGAGGTACTATGAGTTTACAAATGCCAATCTTTTTCAGAGCATGGAATTGGATAAATCCGTTAAAATATGCAGTTGGTATAACTGCAAAATTGGGGTTTTCAAATCAAAAATTTGAATGTGATACCACAAATTGTTTATTAGATACTGGAGAAAAAGTTTTACATTATTATAAATTAAATCATAATTTAAAAGTTTATTTTGGTGCATTAATAATTTGTTTATTTATTTATAGATTTATAGCAATTTTTATTTTAACTATAAGAGTTAAAATTTTTTTATAAAAAACTTATAATAATCATTAATAAACAACATTTAGTTGAAAATGAATTTGGAGGTAATTGTTATTCTTCTTTTGATACAATTAATGAAATAATTTTCATTTCCCAAATTTTTAAACTAACGGAATATAAATCAATTAAGAATTCATCATTACTATCAGTAGATATTTCAAAACACCAAATATCTTTAAAGTACTGGTATACACTAGTTTTTAATGTTTCATTAATATTATTTAATTTCAATTTATTACTTAATAATATTACGTTTCTTGTGTTTTTCAAATCCATGAATAAAAATTTTAATAAATCTAATTGCCGTTTCTCAAATTTATTCTCTCGAACATAAATCAAATTATTTAGTATAACTTTGAACTTCTCATCAAACTCAATTCTATACCTGGTAATTAAATCATTTTCTTCTTGACAGTCTTCTTTTAGATCCAGCAAATTTAAATCTTCAATTAATTCATACAATTGTATTATAAATAATATGGCATTCTCAGAAATTAAATTAAATACTTCTAAATTATTCACTAGTGTTTCATCATTTAATTTATTCTCATTTGTAATTTCTGCATTACCTAAATTTTTATTATATTCTAATGGTATCTTTATAAATGGTATTGTATTTTTACATAGTTTTTGATTTGGGTTATTCTTATTATGACCAATTATACCTTTAAATATTCTATTAAATAATTTAGCCATTTTTTTAGTTGTTTCAATATAAAATTGTTTATTTATGATTAATATTAATTGATTAGCAAAAGACAATGGTTTTAAAAGAAGGAAAACCTTAATCTGGAAATAAATTCATCACAATTATTATTTTTCTTCTCCTTTGAGAAAATATGCATTGATTCAAAGATACAGATCATTTATTGTTGACTCAGTAAGATTATATTTATTTTGATATGTTTAAGATCTATATTTCTAAATCAATGTGTTGTACAATATTTTGCAGCCTAATTCGAGAAAGCTACCAATCTGGCTGAGATTATATACAGGACTGTATTATTGTCGTTAATGAATAATTTTACGGTTTTAAAAAGTTAAGACGTTGAACTAAAATTGTTAATCAAATAACATAAAAAGAAATAAATACAATAGAACATGTTCTTGGTCATTTAATTAATAGATAAATGCCTTGAGTCTTCAAGTTTAGGATGTGTTTCAAATATCGTAAAACTTAACTGTAATATACTGAAATATAGAAGACTATTTATATCACATAAATAAAAGATTAATCAATAGGAGATTCAATAAATGAAAAAGAAAGTAAAATTTATTTTAATATTATTTTTTATTTGCTTTTCGATTTGATTTAATTTCTTCATAAAATTCACGAGTTCATAACTTTTCAAATTTATAGAATAAATTATAAGTATTAAAATGACCTTTTATTTGTTTATCAAAAGAATATTAAATGCACGTATAATGTTAGTTAGTTGCGCAAATAAAGCAATTAATGTTTGTATAACATGTACTGTATTCTATATATAAATACCATTTATAATACTTGGAGTTCGTTATCTTAAACTACATTTAATTGAGATTTCAGCCCCGTTGTTTAATTATTTCCTTACCGACCTAATATCTCACAAGTAAATCAAATATTTTGAGATATTTTTTAAATCAATTATTTATTGAATTTTATTAAGTAATTATACATAATATTAATAATTGTTACTTTTTTTTTGATTTAATATTTAAACAGTTTTACTTAAGGCGAATAAAGTTATAATACTACTGATAATACTTTTATTACTGTTTGATAAATTTTCAATTTTTTTGGATGATAATTTATTGTTTAACCAAATAGATTGATAAATAGAATTATTCTTATAAAGTATTAAATAATATTTTTATACTTTATAATTTTTCAGTTTATTTCACACTTCATAATTCATTTATAATCCAACAATACAGTTAAAAATTGTCTCCACATAATATATATTCATTATTTATTTATTTAATTCTTTCAATTATTGCATCAACTATTTATTATTCCCAACTATTCAATCAATACCACCAATTTTTTCGAATTTCAATAAAAATTAGCATTATTCATTATCGGTAAGACCAAATTTATCTTCTAGAATTTCATTATTTTACCGTAACTATTTTAAAATAACCTATACGGCCCAATTTTTTAAATATCATGTTTAAAGGGTTAAGAAAGAAAGCTTCGATTCTTTCCCTTTACCCCACCACTTCAAATCAATCTACCTTAGACAATGAATCAATAAACTCAAATCATTCAAATTATGATAAAATCTTAAAACAAGTTCACGATTTTGAAATTGCTTTAAAAGCAATGGATTTTCTTTTAGATGATAGGACAGATCAAGGTACAAAATTATTAGAAGAAGAATCACAAAAAATATCAAATGATGGTCAACCTCGAGCAGTTTTCCCATTAGCTTTGGGAGTTATGGAATTTATTGAAGCAACTTTAGGATTTGAACCAGAAGTTATGGCTAAAGCTCATAAATCTTTATCAGAAGCAGAAAATATTTCGACTAATAATGCTAAATATAATGTACGATATCAATTAGCAACTTCAAATATATATCCACCAGGTACAGAATTTCAAGTAACTCAAGCAGAATCCACTTTATTAAATGCTTTACTAATGTTATTAACTGAAAATAATGGTATGGTTGAAAGTGCAAAAGCTTTATTCAAGTTAAGAAAAGCTTATCAAATACTAGATGCTGTATATAAAAAGATTAAAGAACTGGAACCAATTTTTAACAAAAATCTTGCTAAATTGAAAAAAAAAACAGCAATTCAGGAAAGATCTACATTGAAAAAAAATTTAACAATGAATGATTCAATAAGTACAGTTGATTTACCGGGGTATGAATCACAAAGTAGTTCAACAACTTCGTTACCACAAGATATAAAGTTAATGAAAAATTTGGAAAAGATTTTTTTGATGAGAAAAGCTAGAATTGAAGGAACCAATCTTGGTAACAATGATGGAAATACTAATAACATTAACTTATTTGAAGATCTGGCTAGTTCATTAACTTTATCAAGACCTCCAAATAGTTTCACCAGTAGTCGACAGAACCATAAAACTTTTAGTGCTGATAATTCAGATGAAGAAGAAGAAGAATTTGTTGATGCAATGGATAATTTAACAACAAGTCTTGATTTACCACAATCAGCACTTGATTCAAGTGCTCAGTCAATGTTATCATCTTTAGAAACCTCCGATGAATCTTCAGCTGTTGCAACTGATAATCATCTACATGTCTCGACCACCGACGAATTTATTCATTCTGGTGTACAGTTATGCTTTGGAATACTACAAGTTGTTTTATCATTAATTCCTCCAGCTATTGGTAAAGTTTTATCTATAGTTGGGTTCAAAGGTGATAGAGATATTGGATTAAAATTGTTGTGGACAACTGCAATAACATCAAGAAATGTTCATGGTGAATTAGCATTATTGTTTTTGTTAATGTTTTATGATGGACCTATTCAATTTGTTGACACTGGATTTAGAGTGCCAAACTCAGCGACCACCAATAACATTTTGTCTTTAGAAAATAAAACATCTGTGAGTGAAACTGAGTTACAAAAAATTATGGATGATCCACCAAATTATACTTCTCAGTTATTGAAAAGAGCACGTCATCATTTCCCACATAATGCATTATGGATATTGCAAGAAGGTAGAATGTTAGCTGCTCACGGTGATTTAATAAAAGCTAGTACTTTAATGCAAGAGTTTACTGATGAACCAAGTAATAAAATCCAAATGCAACAAATTGAAGCTTTATTAATATTTGACAGAGCTATGATTTATATGTATATGCATGAATATGATAAAGCAGCAAGAGATTTGATATACTTAATTGAAATTAATTCTTGGTCAAAAGCAGTTTATTTATTTATGGCAGCTGCATGTTATCTTGAAAAATATAGAATGATCAAAATGGGATTAGTTAAAGTTGACAATATTGAAGAAGAGAGTAAAAAATATTCAGATTTATTTTCCAAATATATGAAATTATCATTAAGTTACGTCCCAGGTCATGGATCAAATGCTCAGAAAAAAGGTGGATTAGGTGGTTCAGGTAAACAAATGCCATTTGATAAATTCTTATTGCGAAAATGTAAACACATTGAAAACCGCAAAAAGCAATACCCAAATTTATCATATGCTGATTTAGTTGGAACTTCATTAGTTCACGAATTAATTTACTTCTGGAATGGGTACAATAGAATGACTGAAAAAGATTTTAAACTTTCCTTAAAGTTGTTGGGATATTCTGGTTCACCAAATTCTGAATTATCTGCAAATACTACAAATCATACATATGCATTAATTGAGGAAACTGAAGATGAAGCAATGATTAGATATTTTTTACAATCAATAGTATTAAGACAATTGGGTCAAATAAAAGAAGGATTAGCTATACTAGATAATCATGTTATCTCAAAATATATAATATCGGATCAACCACAAAATTTCAAATTTCATAAATTAACTTATAGTCCATATATTTATCCAACAGCATTTTATGAGAAAACAATGTTTATATGGTTATCAAGAACTAAAAATTTAGAAAAAATTGATGTTGTTTCAGCAGTTCATGAAAGTAAAAGTTGGTTAAAAAAATCTGAAATTATTGGTGAAGGAGATTATGAATTAAGTAATAGAACAAGTATGCGTATAAAAGCAGCTAGTGATAGATTAGATCAATTAGCTGAGAATGCAGAAAGTGCTAAAGGGTATAATTAGATAAAAAATATAGAAATAGAATTAGAAGTTAATATACTTTATTCGTTTAATGTATTTAATTCTACGCGCGCTAATAATGAACTCCAAAAAATTTGACAGAACCAAATCAGTTTATAATACCTCGAGATTTATTTCTTTTTTTAGGTACATGATTTGAAACATCAGACCCTTTTCAATTTTAATTCAATTGAAGTTTAACCAAGCATTTAATACCAAACAATGTCTAGCAAGAGGTTAAATTTACCATATACGACTCAGGACTTGTTTCCTCAATCAATATCCACATCACAATCCAAAACTCCCAATTCAACAAGAGCAGGTTCAATAATATCAACACCATCATCATTTTATATACCACGACCTAATTTACATCATTATAATTCCAAAACATATAAATCATCATTTAAAAAAGCTACAAATTTTTTCACAAATATAAAATTTAAAAATTTAAAAATAATGACAAAAAGATTATTTAAACCAAGTACATTAGATTTTGAAACTGCAATATGGGAAATTTTTCATTTAATTATAAATCCAAGAAAAATGTATAGATCTCATTATTATTATAGACAACAACAACATCATCAACAACCATTACAACAATCTTCACAATCTTCTTTACAATCTCAAATACAAGATGAAAGAAATTCTTATACTAGAGAAGATCCTTCATTTTTAATTTTAATAACTGGATTTTTATCAATAAGTGCAATAGCTTGGGGATTAGCTTATTCTCCTACTTTTTTAGACATTTTGAAATTAATCATATATATGGTATTTATTGATTTTTATTTATTTGGATTTATAATATCTACTATAACTTGGATAATAACAAATAAATTATTTAATTTAGATATGAATAAATATTCAGTGAATTATATAGAATGGGGATTTTGTTTTGATATTCATTGTAATTCATTTTTAATTATATGGTGTTTATTATATGTTTTACAATTTATATTATTACCTATTATAAGAATTAAAAATTCAATTATTGGATTAATTATTGGGAATTCTTTATATTTTGGTAGTATTGGTTATTATTTTATTGTTACATTTTATGGATTTAATTCATTACCTTTTATAACTTCAACTATTGTTAAACTGAATTATAAGAATCCTGCAAGAGTATTACAAATTATTGTTGTTGGTTGTATATTACCATTTTTGGCTTTAGTTTGGTTAATTACTATTTTATTTAGGATAAACGTTGCTGAGAAAATGATAAATACTTATTTTAATTAAAATCAATTGATTAACATTATTTATTAAAGGTTCTGTATGTACATGTTATATTTTATCCGATTCCCATATCTTCTTTAATAATTCATCAGTGTCACCATTAAATTCTTTTTTGGTAATTTGATTATTATTTGTAGGTAAGACATTATCATTAAATCTTTTTATAAAACCTAAAACTCCAACATCATTACATATTTTTTTTTTTTTTATTTCTTTTGATGAAAATCTTAATCTTATTGTAGTATATTGAGATAATATAGTTTCATTTTGTATCTTGTTATCATAAGAAATTGAATTTAAATCTTTTGAATTTGAATTTTTAGATTCATATTCGTATAATTTTTTATAATCCATTAATTTTTGTTGAGTTCTATTTAATTTGGGGTGGTGTTGATCTTTTGAATCAAAATTTTGAAAATTAGTTATATCTTTTATTATTTCATTTATATCATTTGGGAACTTGTAGTCTGTTTCTAAATTTTCAATAGGATATTGAGTTTCTTTTTGTTGTGAATCAACATTAATTTCATCTAGTGATTCCACAAAATTTGAATCTTCTTCATCATCCAGTTCACTTTGTATTAAAGTTGATGATTTTTCAGTCAATGATTTTAATGAATTAACACCTGATTGAGCCATATGGATCATTTTTTCATATAAGTTTGGTTGAAAATGTTCATTGTCTTTGTTTTTACTTTCACGTCGTATTTTTTCTAGTTCTTTAAATGAGTTATCAGTTGACATATTCATTGCATTATTGACTATTGGTCTCTTGGTATTATATTCATCTTTTAATACTGTTAATGGACTTACTGAATCTTTACCTATAAAATTTGTTGAATCTTCTTTTGCTGTGTCAGGAATTTGATAAGAGTTCCATCTTCTGAAACCTGGTCTTTGTTTTAGTTGTTGATCACTATTGGTGGTGGTGTTATTATTCAATTGTCTTTTAATTTGTTGATGAGTTTGATCAATATGTGGAATTCCATGAGCTGATATAGATCTAGTCAATGATGACTTAAATTGCTGGTTTTGATTTAATATAGCTTGCTGTAATAATTCATGATGAGCTCTTGAGCTTTTTTTACGGTTTTGTTGTTGTTGTTGTTGTTGATCTTTTGAAGGTATGAGATTTATAGAAGAAGCTGAAGTTGATCTTGAAGTATCTCTTGTATTATTGAAATTATCTGGTTTTAACAAAGAATCTTTACTTATTGTTCTACCTCTTTCTTCAAATTGTTGTTGTGGTGGTATATTTCTAGTATCATTAAATAATTGTTGATTAAAATTTGCAACATTTCTCAGATGTTGAGACAACGGTCGAATATCTGACATTGAAAGTCAATTGATCGGCTATGTTAAATTGGTATCTTGACAATGCCCACTCAATAACTTTGTTCAATATGGTTGAGCTAGGTTTATTTTATTGTGTCAATTGAAGTTGTAAAGTTCTGATTTTAATTTGATCTAAAGTTCGTTATCTATTAAAGATTAATTAATTAATTTGATTGATAAGAAAAAAACCTTATCTTCACGTGATCTGTTTATTTTGTGTAATATTCAAAGTTCAATTTAATTTTAAAGTTTCAAAAAATTTGTATATCGAAGAAGCATCAACCATACTAAAATTCTTGAATTAGAAATGAAGAAAGATCAAAAGATTACAAATAGAATAATTTAGTCATTAAATTTTGTATATATTTTCATGCTAAGTCAAAAGAAAGTAAACCATGTAATAAATTTTCTTCAGCAGATTTAATTAAAGTTTTTCTTCTTTGATTTACTAATTCAGCTAAATTAATAATTTTTATTTTATTTTCTAAAATTGTACCAACTTTATCTGGTTTATTAATTGCAATAATTTTTTCAAAAATTTCAGATAAATCTTCAACTGTTTTATTTAAAAAATCTTGATTTGTTTCAAATATTTGTGAAAAATTTGATTTATCTAAATAAAATGCAAAACAATAAGTCCATTTTAAAGTTTTTCTACCATTTTGTAAAGCTCTCATTGCATCTGGTAAAAATTGTACATCATTCCATGATAAATGTTCTTCATTTTTTTTTCTTCGATCTTCCATATATAATTTTGTAACATCATCAATTTTTTTTAAAGTTTTTTGATCACCTTTCATTGAAGATTCATGTATAGAATATCTTTTATAAAAATGTAAATATCTTTCTAAAGTTTGTCTACTTTTATTTTTTCTAATTTCTTCTTCTGCTCTTTCATCTTTAAATCTATTACATGAATAATTATTATTATGTTGTTTCCAATCTCCAAAACAAATCCAACAAAATTCATGTTTACATTTTCTACATGTCATATGATTACAACCACCATTTTTTTCAATTGATGTATGACATTTAGGACATGAATGGGTATGAGCATCAATCCAATGAGCAGTTTCTGAATCATCAGCACATTTTTTAATCCATTTTTTAACTAACCAACAAGGACATGGTAAATGATTTTCATAATTACATTCAAAACAAAATTCATGACGTTCTGTACAACCTACTATTGGAACTTTTGTTATATCTATAGATTGATTTGGTTTGTCTTTGGTGTGTTGTGATTGACTTGATGAGGTTGATGTTGGTGATTTAATAACTTCGGTAAATCCTTTACAATCAGTTGCGGGACACCATCTAAAATTTGTTCTTGAATTAATCCATTCTCTTGCTGATGATATAAATAAAGGATTTTCATCAATAGGTTTTTCTGCTATAATTAATGAATGTTCAGCTTCCATCAATGCTATCATATATGCTATATTCTGATGTGGTATTGATAATTTACAATCAGGTTCCATACAAGTAATTAATTGACCATTATTAACTTCATTTAATATATATCTATAATAACATTCAATACAATATTTATGATCACAAGTTAATGAATAAACTTGAGCTTCATCATAATTTTCACAACAAATAAAACACGTAAAATCTTTTATTTTTTCAAATTTATTATTTGATTTACCAATTATAGGTAAACCACATTGTTCTAAGAATTTTTGTTTGTTACCAAAATATGAATCTAATACTTCATCGGATTGCCATTTTTTATATTGTAACATTATTAATAAATCATCATCAGTACATTCACCTAATTGAACATTTTTTAATTTTTTTAATGATTGTAAAAAATGAGTTTGTATAAAATGTTCTAAACTCCAAGGTAGATATAAAGTTCCATTACATCCAACATTTATTGAATCATCCATAATTTTTGATGACGGGGTATCAGATGATTTTTCATTATTCTTATCAAATATCTCATCTTCATAATAATTATCTCCTTCTTCATCATCATCTGAATCAAATGATATATCTGAAGTTTCATTATCTTCTACTTCTCCATTTTCATCTTCTTCATATTCAAATGATAGTTCACTATCTGATGACATGCCATATATATATTAATGATAATAAAATGAATAGTTTTTAATGAAGTCGATGGATAAAATTGAAATTAAAATTAAGTTGGTTGTAAAAATAAAAAATGTATTAAATTTATATAAGATAATATATATTACTTATATATAATATATAATACTAATAAAATTTATTATTATTACTGATAGGAAATAACAGAAGAAAAATAAATAATAATAAAGTGAGTGAGTAACAAAAAACGTATTTACTAATTAATACAAATTGAGAAGTTCAATTTATTCTGAAACAAATATGGAATATTAACCCCCTTTCATTTGTAGTTGTAAAGAACTGTATTACTAAAATTTATCAAATTAGGATACAATAAATTTTGTAATTGATACTTTCAATCTAAACAAGATGTAAATTCATGTGCATTTGTTTGGGAATAATAATGGTGAGAAAAAGGACCCTTCATTTAATACGGATAAATTGTAAGTATCAAAGCAAAAGTATTTCAACTCGATTTTTAGACCTTCAAGGTTCAGTTATTTGAATGACTGGAGGTACTTACGTCATAAAAGTTTCATTGTATTGTTGAACTCTGGTTGCAACTGAAAAAATTGTAGGACACATTGTTAGATGAAATTCTCCCTCAAATTTATTTGGTACAAATTCAATTATTACTAGTTTTTTATAAATTGAATATTGAAAAATCCCCTTCTTACATTAATGTTTAACAAAAACTAATTTGCCACCAATCTTTAATATGAAGTTTATAAAAACATATTTGAAACATGATTTGAGACTAGTAACGCTACCAAACAATAATAAAATTATATACAGTACACACCCATCGAGATTTTAAGAAAAATAAAAAATAAAAATCTGAAATTATTTAAATAAATTTTTCAAATATAAATTTTTTTTTTTCTGTTTTCCCTTCTTTTCTTCTTTCTTTAATCATCAGTAGTGGTTATACTATATCTAATATAATATAACATACTATATAATTTTATAAAGACTTTTTAATAATCTAATTATAATTATCATAGATGTAATTTTTTTAGTATTGTTAAATTTAATTAACCCAATAGCTAAGTATATTTGATTGACCTTACTAACAATTTGGCCACAATCATTACTTCGTTCTGGTCTTTTAGATGAGATAACGGCATTATTACATGTGTTTTATTTATTAAAGTTCTGGTAAATTAAATAAATTTTATTTTTTATTATATGTTTATCCAGATAAATGCATGGTGCTACATTTTTTAAACTTATTACTTTTAATCTGAATTTAATTGATACTCTTTTCTTATTTATATGTTTGTATTATATTATTTCAGATTATTTTTTGGTTGAGTAGTCTCGTAAAAAAGCGCACAAATTTGGTAGCACTAAATTCAATTTGAAATTTTTTTTTGACTGTTAGATTTATGTAAAGTCATTTAAAAAAGCATATTACTAATAAACTCAAAATCTAATTTAAGATCTAACAACATCATACACCTTTATACTATCACTTATTTAAATTCAATTCTAATATTTTACTAATTTAACAAATATCTATATATAAACAATTCAAAACATATTATTATAAAATGGCTCATAGATTATTAGTAAATGTTATATTCACAGGTGCATCAGTATTTGGAAGAGCATTTACTGAAGCTTATAAGCAAGCAGCAAAAGCATCAGCAGCAGGTGCAGCAGCAGGTGGACCAGCAAAAGCAACATCACAAGGTGGTATATCAACAGATGAAGCTTTAAAAATATTAAATTTAGAAAAATCAGAAATATCATTAAATAAAATTGATGAAAAATATAATTATTTATTTGATGTAAATTCAAAAGATCAAGGTAATTCATTTTATTTACAAAGTAAAATATATTATGCAATGGATACTTTAAAAAAAGAATTGGAATATTTAGAGAAATTAAAACAAAGTAAAGAAGGAACTAGTTGAATTAGATTAAAACAGCGCAATGGATAATATCATAATAGATGGAGATGATAAAGAGAAAGATGATGAATAAATTTAATTATAAAAAATATAGGATAATTTTAGTTTGTAAATAGTATTTTTTAATGGGATAGTCAATTTAATAAGGATAAAAAAACTTTGAACCAAATTCTGAAATCAATACCTCTTCAAATTGAATGATTTCTTCTTGACAAATAAATCAGTACAAAAGTAATAAGTCAATGATGAACTGACTTTAATTCTTCAAGTTTTTCAATAATTTATCATCAAATATATATATATTAATTGTTTTAGAATCAATAAAATTATACGAGAGAAATTTTTCACCATATTAATTTTTTACTTCTCTGTATAAATATAAATTTATTTTTTCGTCGTAAAAAGAATAAAAGTAATACAAAAATAACTTAAATAATAAATAATAAATAATATTCAAAAAGAATCTCTTACTAACAACTTAATTTATTAACTTACTATTATATATAATATTTAGTAGAATCATATCAACAGATAATAAGTATTATTTGATTTATTCATTAGGATTAACCACTTCATTACTCAATTAAAGAGAACATATCTAAAAAAAAAATAATAATATATTTATGATAAGAAAACTACACATAATAATCATATATATATAATAAATGGCAAATAAGGACGAAGAACAACTTCTACAAGATGCATCAACATTACTAATGTTTGCTAATGTAGCAGCTCAACAGCAACTGAATCAAAGTTCTCCAAATTCAACTTTATTATCACCACCTTTAAATAATAATATTCAACCAGTTAATAAGAATATTTCACCACCACAACAATTTCAAAATATATTAACTGATCAATCATCTAACCTATCAAAACCTTCACCATTACCACTACCACCACCGCCACAACAACAACAACAACAGCAACAACAGCAACAACAGCAACAACAACAGCAACAACAACATCATCAACAACTTCCTCATCAATTACCACAACTACCATCACAACAACAACCTCAACCTTCACCACCTCAACTCCAGTCGCAAATACAAATACAACCACAGATACATCATCATCAACAACAACAACAACATCAACAACAACAACAACAACGACAATATCATACTCAATCAATACAACAAATTACTCCAAAACAACCTCATAATATAATAAATCCTCAAGAAATACAGCCGCAGCCGGTTCTGCAAGCTTTACCAATTCTTAAATCTCAACCTTCAAAACCTTCAAGAAAAAGTTCAATAAGTATAATGATGAATACTCCTGAAACTAATTCTACTGAAAATATTTCAAAACCTATAGATAATAAACCAAATTTAGAGATTAGTAAACCTACAATTAAACCAACAACTAAACCAAAAGATAAATCTTTATCTCCTGGTGCAAAATATGAAAGAGGTATAGATTTAAGAAAAAAAGAAAGAGATAGTAATAATGCAATGATTGCAGCAGCAGCTTTAACTGCAGCAGCAGATATTCCATTTCCCTTAAAAGAACAACAAATTAAAATATCAAAAGAAGAAATTAAACCAGTAATTGTTGAAAAAGTTGAGAAACAAGTAGAGATTGAAAAAGAGGTCCCACCACAATCACAACCAACAAAAGAACCTGAGGAAGTTAAAAAGACGGTAATAACTAAAACAGTTGAAGAACTTCCTCCATTATCATCATATCAGGTAGATGCAGATTCTGGTTTAATTGGTTGTATTTGTGAATTGGAAGATGATGATGGATTTACTATACAATGTGATGTTTGTTTTAGATGGCAACATTGTGTATGTATGGGTTATGAAAATGGAGATGAAGTACCAGAAGATGAATATAAATGTTATTATTGTGATCCTCAAAAATGGGGGAAATTTGATCCATTAATTGCAAGAGAAAAAACATTACTCAGATTAGAAAATGAAAAAATGGATCAAGATGAAAAAGAAAAAGAAAAATTAGAGGTTCAACAAAACAATGAAAAAATAACTGACGAAGTTGAGAAAAAAGAAATTAATGTAAATAAAAGAAAACAACTGAATTCAGATAAAGCAGAAAAAAAAAGAAAATCTGAAGATAAAGGAACATCACCTATACTACCGGACTCTACTAATGAATTACAGCAACCATTCCAACAAACACCACTTCCACCACCACAACAACCAGAATATGATGATTTACCAAATAAAAATAATGAACTATTAGAAGATGGAATGACAGCAGAGTCATATCAATCTGTTTATTACACATTAAAAGATAATGATTATAAAAGGAAATCAGTCAAGAATTATTTAACAAATTTAGGTAAAGAAATGTCACTAACTACAGAAAATAGTAATATAGAAGTTATGTCATTAAATAAATTCAAATCTTTACAATTGAGTCAAGTTATTAGACCAAAATATTTAAAATATCTTTCAGAGAATAACAAACTTAAAAAGAAATTATTTAATCAAACTAAAGTCGAAGTAAAATCATATGCTGATAATCAAAAACAAAAATTTAACGGAATATCGAAATTATCATTATTTATAAGTTCAAATGAATTAACTACTATACCGGAAGATACTCCAATAATTGAATATCTTGGAGAAATTGATTTTTTCAAAAATTATGTTCAAGATAGTATAAATCAATATCAATTATGGGGAACAACAAAGCCAAAAGTTTTAAAAACTTCTTTAGATGTTGGTGATAGATCTGTAAACCTTATTATGGATTCAAGATTTGTTGGTAATGAAAGTAGATTCATTAGAAAATCATGTTTATCATCATCAAATGTTAAAATAAAACCAATTTATATACCAGAACAGAATAAATTTAGATTTTTAGTTGTTACATCAAAACCAATAATTTTAAAAGATGATTCAACTATGGAAGAATTAAGATTACCATGGGATTGGGATATAAATCATCCTATATTAAAAATTTCAAATGGTAATCAAACAAAATTTGAAAATTTAACAAATGATGAAAAATCTGCTTTAATTACTTATGTTGATAATATTTTACATTTTGTTGAATGTGGTTGTTCAACTTTTACAAATTATAATAATTGTGCTATATTTAAAATTAAAAAGGCAACAAGTTATTTAATGAGATCAACTAGAAAAGCTTCAAGTATAAGTAATATTAATTTAACTAAAAATAAAGAAGAATTAGTTATACCAAAACCTGAGAAGCATTATATAAGTTGGGATGAAAGAATGAAAGATAGGGATTTGGTTCTTCAAAATGAGTTATTAAATAAAAAGAAAGCACCACAAGAATCACAAACAGATGAACAATTACCAAATCAAGAAACTGAAGTATTTAACAAAGATAATGATCAAATGATAATAGATGAAGAAAATCAAGTAAAAAAATTAGAAAAACCAGTAATTCTTTTAAAATTTCCATATAAACAACAATTAATAATGCAAGCTAGAGTTGTAAAACCCATTGATTCAATGGATATTGATGACCCAGAAGATCCAAAAGAACAAACAATAGACCAAGAAGAATCCGAAGATGATAATATTATACCAATTCCAATTGTTACAAGACAAAAACCAACTAAAAAATTATCATTTGCTGATTATATGGGTCATGGAGTATTTAAAAAATAAGAAATTAGAATAAGTCAATAAATTTATGGATTTTTATAGTTTAATAAAACTCGATTTAAAGTAGAATATTACAATGTAGTTTCTTTAAAATCCCGTGAATAATTAATATTAAAAATAAATGTACATATGATATTTAAAATGTATATAAAAATTTGTTTATGATGAAACCCAAGAAAACCCCCAATAAATAAAAAATTACCTTCGTTAATTCAATAAAAAATGAAATATATGAAATGAAATGAAAATTATGACAGTTGAAATTTTGAAATGTTATGATGATGAACTATTGATAGCTTTGCTAATTTTATTATATATATATATGTGTGTGTGCGATTAAAAATTAACAAAACGTTTATAATTCATACCTCAAATTTCTTCATTAATTATCAACTTTTTTTTCTAATTCCATTAATTTACCTGATGAAATATCATCATCATTTTCAATAATTTCATTATTTTGATCAAATTTATGTTCTTTAACTTTTTTAAATAATTCTTGTTTTTCTTCTTCTGTTAATTCATGTTTCTTTTTGTTTTTTAAATAATACATTGGATTTAATTTTATTAATGTTAAATTTTTAGTAAATGGTAAATGACCAGTTTTTTCTTCAAATAACATTAACATTAATACAGTTATAATTACAATCCAATAAATATTATAACTTATAACTGATCCATAAGTTGCAGAATTTTGCCAACCTAATAAAGCATTAAAAATATCCCAACCATTATCAGTTTGTGGATTACAACAATTTACATGCCAAACTGATTTTGCAATATCATAAGTACCTGGACCTGAACCATTTTCTGAAGCATCACCACCAGTTTTTTTACCATATTCATAACTTTCAAAAAACCAAACCCCTCTTGAAAATAATCCACCTGCAATTAAATATAATATACAAGTTGAAATAATTAAAAAAATTTGCATTGACATATTTGAACCAAAATAATATAATAAAGTACCAACTGCAACACCAGCTATTAATCCAACAATAACTGGGATGGGAAAACTTGTAGCTGGTTGATTAATACCAACACCACCAACGAAAACAACTGCTTCCATACCTTCTCTTAAACAAGTAATAAATGGTAAAATAAATAAAGCATATTTTTTAGTCCACATACCAAAATTAAATTTTCTTTTTTTATTATCAGTTGGTTTAATTAAAGCTTGAGCTAATTTAACTCTCCATTTTTCTTTCATTTTATTAATTCTTAACATTGGAATACCCATTAAAGAAATTAAAACAGTTGCAATAATACAAAATATACCTTCCCATAAATCTTCAGATTTTGACCAAATATCTTTACCTAATCCATACCATGCACCAATGAATGCACCACCTAAAATAAAACATATTAATATACCTAGAAATGCTCCTAACCAAATTTGTTTTCTTAATTTTTTATATATAATTGGATCTTGATTTGAACCTCCTAAACCTTGTTTTAAAAATGCTAATAAAACTGATACAACAATAACAGCTTCTAATGATTCTCTAAAAACAATGAAAAAAATTTGAACATTGAAAACATTAACCATTTTGAATTTAGAACTTTATTCCGTTTCTCAATAGTACTTTTATTTTTAAATTTTAAGGGACCAGATTTTATTCGTCTAAGAAAAAATTTGTTCGTATTTTAATTAATTCTTGGATTATAATATTTTAATTATATATCAAAATTTTTTGCACCCAATTGATAAAATGGTGAACCCTTGAAATAAAATCTTGTGAAAAGGTAGGAGAATGTTTTGGTTGAATGTAATAAAAGAATTGAGAAAAAAATTTCAATTTTCAAATAATTATTGAAAAAAAGGGAAGGGTTATGTTGTATTATTTATATCTATTTAAAATTAATTTTAATATGAAATTTTATTGTTTTATAGATTTTTTTGATAAAATTTTTTCAAAATTTTTGTTTGTGTAATTATTAATTTATTGTAAGGGAATTTGTTGAATTATTATTAAATTCAAGAATAAGTAAAAATCTGCAAATGTGTCAGTGGAACAATAGGATTTAAGAAATAAATCAATCTAATAAAATCGTAATTTGTTACTTTAAATTAATAGATGTAAAACATTTGATATAAAACCAATGACAATTGGATAAAAAACTCGAGACGAAAATTACCAATTGATTCAAAACTTAGTTTCTTTTAAGACTAATTTTAATTTGTGGAGAGATTTTGGAATTAAAAACGTAAAATAATATTATTATATCCTTATTGATTTGATCTTATAATATTCAAGTATTAAATAATGAGAGTTTTATTTCAATTCTTTACATAATAAATAATTTGATTTTCATCCAGGAGAAAACATTATCTTTGAATAGTTAAATTAATTTAATAATAACTTTATTATTAATAAACCATCTGATAAAATTGATTAAATTGATTAAATTTTTTAAAACAATAGAAAAATAAAATTTTAACATTTTATGCATAATAAAATTAAATAATATTCAACCAATGGAAGACTATAATTTAAATGTTTAAACGTTTAATATAATACATGTATCTAAATGATTATACAAAGTAATAGAATAATAGGTCTTCATTTAAAAGCCATAAAATAGATCTAAACTATGGGGTTAGATCTGGTTTGTTTTCTTTGTTCTCTAACTGAGCCAAAAATTTAAAATGATCTTACATAAACATCAATATATTATATCATTATATTCTTGTAAATATAAATCAATTAATTTAGTGAATACAAGTAATATATTGTAAACTATTTAATCAAAAACAAAATATTATTAATTAATCAAAGATTAATTCCGTTAATCGGTTTAATTCAATTTCATTATTATACTAACAATTTATAATAATATTATTATCTTGGCATCAAATAATTCTAAAAATTCAGTGGTACTGTATATAATATTTTATTGTTTAATATCTTAAAAATAATCTAATAGAATTGAATTATGATAAACGATCAACATATAACTAATTTTGAAACAAGTTTGTTGATTTGATTGTTTCTTATGTCAAATTGATGTCAAATTTTATATTAAAATAAACAGACAATATTAAGTAAATTAAGGAGATGAATGGAGAGAGAATTAATAAGAGTCAAATTTATATTATATTAATTATTTTAATATCAACATTTATTAATTAATTCAACATTAAATTCATTTCCCAATCTTTTACAACATTTACCCAATCATCTTTTGGCTCTTTATTATTTTTTCTTCTCCATACTTCCAACATAATTTGTCTTGCTCCCCAATAAGATCCAAGATATTGAGCTATATCATTACCCCATTTCTTATAACCATTTTGTAAATTATTAGTTATAGCTTCACAACCTGCAATAAAACCTTGCCAAAATAATGGAATAATCGATGCTTCTCCTTTTGAAATTAATGATTGAATTGAATTTAAATGATCTAAAGTTTTACTAACTCTATCTTGTAAATGTATTGGTGAAACATCTTTTAAAAATCTTTTAAAATATATAACTAATGCATGATAAAATGATATAATATGATGATAAGTTACTTGATGCATTGATGAATAAAATTTTAAATTTTTATCTTCATAATTTAAATTGTCTTGTTCATTAAAATGATGATTTTGAAATAATTCCCAATCTAAATTCCAATTTTGTAATTTTAATTCTAAATTTAAAACTTTTGAATCAAATTCATTTAAATGAGTATTTGTATTTTTATAATAAATTTTAGCTCTTAATAATTCAACTGTTTCACTAAATAATATAATTAAAGAATTTGGTAACCCATATAATGCATCAGTTGCAAAATTTTCATCATTCTTTTTAGTATTTATTAATTTTTTATTAACAAATTTTGGTGAAGTTGTATTATTGATATTTGATGTGGAATTGTTTATAATAAAATCAATTTTACTTTTACTTTGTGATGAAAATTTATCACCATTAACATCGTACCCACTTAAATCATTAATCTTATCAAAATTAAGACTTGTTGAATCCTGAATCAACTTTAATGATGAAAAAATTCTATGTAAAATCTTAGCTTTTGGTGATAATTTTTTCTTGTTTGACATTTTACTCATTATAACTTTACCACACCAAGAAATATATAAACCAGTATCTTGCATTGTTCCCCAAACTAAATCAACACTAATCATACTCATAACTGCACATAACACATCTTTATATTTCTCATTTTTAACACAATATTCAATACCTGATTGAACATTATTATTTTGAATATTTAATAATTTTTTAATATATAAACTTGCTTGATTTCGTAACGCAATACCTAGATTAAGATAAAACTTCATTGGTTCTGAATTCTTGGGGAATTTGGATTGTAAATTAAATGCTGATACTGCTAACAATGCATTAAGTAAAGCATTTTTAGCCGTTGATGTTTTACCCAATGCTGATAATTCCCCAATTGCCATTAAAGCTCTGGGGAAATATATAGCTTTCCATGGATTTTCTGTTAATGGGATAACAGTCATTAAATCTGCAACTTCTGTTACATAATAATTTAATAAATATCTTGTCAATGGTTGTACTTGTAATGCAGTTGTCGGTATTCCAATATGCGAAGGTAATGTTAAATCAAATTGTACATTTAATGGACTTTGTACAGGTTTCATTATTGACGCTAGCAAGTTTTTATCATTTGAATGATCTCCATCAACTAGTTCATCAACATCAGTTTGAGTATGTAATTGAATTTCTAAGTTTTCATTTAATTGATACGGGTTGTTGTAGAAAAAATTTGAGAAATTTGAATAATAAATAGGATCTATCAAATTTTCATTAAGTATTGTATTTGTTGGAGTTTGCGATGTATTATTGAAATTTTGATTCTTATTGTGAAATACTAAATTAAATAAATCTGAATTATAATTTTGTTGACTTGAATCTGGGGTTATAACATTCCCGTTTTGATCAAAATTATTCATTATATCTAGGTAGTGAGTATTTAATGCTGCAGCAGTAACCAAAGCTGCATCTTTTAATTCGTTTGATAACCAAAATTGATCTTGTGCTTGTTGTGGTTGCTCTTCCAGCCGCGATTGTGGTAAAGTATTAGATTCTGAACTATCTGGGGTAATTATTTGTTCTGATGTTCTTTTTCTTTTGATGTTCCTCGGTGTAGTATCTATCTTTCTCTTCTTAGAGCCTAAAAATACTCCGAATGGTCCTTTTAATTTTGTTTCACTTTCCTTGCTTAGTTCGTTGGTAGTATTGTTACTTTGTAGAAACGCTAAGTCTTGATCCATTGCCTCGTATGTAGTATAAGGTTTTTTCCATTTAACAAAAGCCACTAATCTTCTATGAAAAAATTCAGGTGCTGTACCACTATTCGAATCTTTATCAATTGAACCATCTAAATTTGGAAATTTAATTGTTTTAGATTTTACATCTCCGTTTCTGAGAGGTACATATTCTATTGGAAATGACCATCTTAAATTAATATCATACCCAGCACATATTAATTTTGCTTTTAAACATTTTTCACAATGTGGTCTCCTTAAATCACATTTAATCTTTCTTGATCTACACGTAAAACATCCAGTAAATGTCTTTTGACGTTTTTTCTTCTTAGGTGGTGATGTTACTGATGATGATTCTTCTATAGGTTGTGGTGATGAATTAGTAGGGGTATCTAGTGGTGTTGGAGTTCGAGTCATTCAAATATTTATTGGTGACTATTTTAAAATTTTGTTGCAAATAAACTTAATTTTTTTGTCTTTTGATATTTCTCATCGCTGTAATTTACCATTTACGAACAAAAAAACTGTCAAGTGGTTGCAATATAATAAATCCGAAAACAGAGAGATTTTTGTAGATTACTTCAAGTTCCTGGTCATTCTAGGTTCATGCGCTCACTAAGCTGCTTGATAGACACCGTAGATACTAAAGTATTTGTTTTCGACTACAACAGAACCTTCTTGAACGTTACAATAAATAAAATTTATTTCATTTAATATACTATTCTATCAATTTTTGATCCATCATCATGTTTTGTTTCAACACCCATTTCTCTCATTTCCCAAGTCTTTTTGATTTTTTCAAAAGTCAAATTAGCAGTATAAGAACCCTGTTCATAGCACATACCAAAGAATTTCTCAATTATAGGGTGTTGAGATTTATTGGTACAATATATTGCAGCAACTGAAATTGGCCATTGTATCATCAGAAATCCAAATTGAAAAGCCATTTTTGAAGGTACTGCATTTTCAACAACATCCAATAAACCAATTAATTTTGATACAAGATTTTTAACATGAGAAGCTTCTGGAGGATTTGACAAAACGTCAACAAATACTGTAATTAGGCCAGCTAATGAAAATGCTTGTTGTGAAATATCCATCCAACTAATTATTGTAACTGAACCATCTGGGTTATAAATGGTGTCCATCAACTCTGTTAATGGTTGTTGCGTTTGAACTGTACAACTTCTGGATAGATAGGTAATTTGATATTGCTGATAAAACCCATTGATTAATTCTAGGTAATTCAAGGAATCATTTTTCAGTCTTAGTAAATCAGATAAGCTTCGCAAATATCTTAAACATGATATATTATAGCCTGTCAAAACACAAAATCCATTGTCCTGAACTAAGTTAAATTGTTTTAGAACTAATTGAACATATTCATCTTCAAAATTAAAAATTAAATCAATTTCTTTTGGTTGTAAAGTACCACCTAAATTTGAACTTAAACCTGCTAAAATCTCAAAATCCGCAAACCATAATTTACATAATGTTATTGTTGTTGACAGCTTTTTCGTGGTGGCTTTCAATATGATGTCTTTTGCACCTTTCAAATGAGGTCGCCAACTTTGTTTTTCTGTACTTGCATTTGATGAAGCCAACAATAGCACAGTTATCAAAATAGTTTCAACATCAACTACTAAATTTTCTTTATTTCTACTCAAAGCTGGACCGAGTAATTTCAAACAAGTTGATAAATAATTACCATAATTTTCAAAATCTTGACTATTATTATCTCTTTCATAAATTAATCTTGCACCTTGAGATAAGACAGCACATAATAAAAATGGTTCAGTTGCATATTTCATAATAACATCACGAATTGGATTTGAATAACGACCAATAAATTTATCATAAGCTCCAAAAGGTAACATCTGCATTGCAAAATTATCATAAAACTCTTGTAAATACTTCTTTTCTTCGTTCGTTTTTAATTTTATAAAATCAACAGGTATAAATTTCGGTACATCATCAATGAAAGGTGTTGTTATTGTCAGTGGATCGAAAAAGTCTTGATTATATTGTAACTGATCCATATTCGAAGTGAACAAAATATCATTAACAAGATTATTCAAATCTGTAGCTAACAAATTCAAATCTTCGTTATTATAAACATCTCCAAGTAAAAGTGAAGTTGGGTCCACAATTTGATTTTGATCAACTATCTGATTCTGATCGACCATATGATTGGGATATACAGTAGGCTCTTGTTGGATTTTAGGAGGTTCTCTTATATTACTTTGTGGAAATGAACTTGGTTGAATCTTGGCACTAATATTAAATGGATATATTTCATTTTGTTGCTCCTTTGGACTTTCTTCTGGTACTGATTTTTCATAATCTTTCCTCTTCTTCCGTGATCTCTTTGGACCATTATACATTAATATATTTAGTGGTTTCTCGGTTTGAGCAGGTTGTTCTTCTTCTTTACTTAATTCTTTCTTTGAAACTCTCTTGACTTTTTCACCAATACTTGGATATGAACAATCTTTGTTTAATCTTTTACATTCTGAACAAAATGGTTTTGATTCATCACATTTAATTTTTCTTCTTTTACATTCTCGACAACCAAAGAACAGATATTTTCGTTTTTTAAGTGTTGTTAATGGCATAATATATCATGACGAAATTTATTGATGGTTGGTATCGGTAGTAATAATGAAATTATTATAATTTATTTTTTCTTCTTGAAATATTTATGAAGAATTATGATTAATTAAATTTGAGCATTAGTTTTATTGTTATAACCTAGATATTTTGAGATCTGAAGTAGCCAGTGATTTACGCTTTAACAATTTGAAAATACAACTAAAATTTCAATGTGGTTTAGTATAAGATTACATGTATGATAATGTAATAAATTTTTAGAAGAAACAATTCAAATTTGTTATAGAATTTAAATTAGACATTTTCAACATATGTAGACATAAAACAATAAGATATACTTGGACTCTTTAACCCTTACCCCATATTTTCTCGATCATTCTATATAATTTAGAATAGTTATGAAACATTTAAATTTTTTTTGATTTATAAAATTATTAAAATATGATGATAAAAAAAGAAAAGAAAATCAAAGTCAAATTCATATAATTCTAACACAAAATCGGAAATATTTTAATTATATAAATAATTTGTAAATTTCCCCAGATTTAAATACAAAATGCTAGAACCCACTATAAAACCAAATAACAATGACTTTGACTAAACATTGGAGATATGATGAAAATGAAGATTTAGTAGTAAATCAATTGAAAGGTTTGTTAGCTTCAAATCCATATATTAAACTAATACCTTCAGAAAAAGTAGTTTTTAATCCACATTCAAATACTCAAAATAAGATAACTTTGATTAGTGGGGGAGGAGCTGGTCATGAACCTTTACATGGTGGATATGTAGGAGAAAACTTGCTAGATGCAGCTGTTAGTGGTTCAATTTTTGCATCTCCTTCAACAAAACAAATTATGGCTGCTATAAGGACAAAATCAAACAAAGAGAAAGGTACCCTAATAATAGTTAAGAATTATACTGGAGATGTTTTACATTTCGGATTGACAGCAGAGAGAGCTAAAAACGAAGGTTATAAAATTGAAATTGTTTTTGTAAGTGATGATGTTGCGGTAGGTAGAGAACAAAATAAAATGGTTGGAAGAAGAGGTCTAGCAGGGACTGCATTAATTCATAAAATTTTAGGAGCTGCTGTTTTAGATCCCAAAGTGGAGTTGAAACATGTAGCTGATTTTGGTAATGTTGTGAATGAAAATATGGTGACACTAGCAGCAAGTTTAGATCGTACCTCAGTACCGGGTAAAGCGGAAGTCGAAGTTGAATTTAATGACACCGATGAAGCAGAATTAGGGTTAGGTATTCATAATGAACCGGGTACCAAAATGAAGCCAATTCCAAATATAGATGATTTGGTTAAAAAAATGTTGCACCAGTTAATATCACCAGAAGATGAACAACGTAATTATGTGAATTTTAATTCAAATGATGATTATTTGCTAGTAATAAATAATATTGGTGGAACTTCAACATTTGAATTAAACCTTATAACAGAACATGTATTGAAAAATCTACCTTTCAAAAACAAGCCAAAAAGAGTTCTTGTTAGTGATTTTGTTACATCTTTTAATTCACCTGGATTTTCCATTACTTTATTAAATTTATCAAACATAGATGAACAAAATGGTCCGTACAATCAAAAGGATATTCTTCAGTTTTTAGATACTCCAACAAATGCTCCAGCTTGGAAACCAAAAGTGTATGACTCGGAATTATGGGAGAACTCAAATGATTCAACTAGATTGGTCGAAACACCTATGAAAGATCAACCTACACTCAAATCAGACTTAAGAATAGATCCAGATAAATTTAGAAATAATTTAGTCAATGCTTTGAAAAACCTATTGAAAGAAGAAAGTAATATAACTCATTATGATACAATCGTTGGTGATGGTGATTGTGGTGAAACTTTAGCAAGTGGCGCAAATTCAATTTTAAGAGCTTTAAAGGATGAAAAAAAATTCATAAATAATTTGGATGATCCAGTTGCTTCATTATCAACGATTACACATTTAGTAGAAGAAAGCATGGGTGGAACATCTGGTGGTTTATATTCCATTTTTTTAACTTCGTTAGTACAAAATTTACAAAATTCAAAGATGGTCGATAATAAAACTATAAGTGAAGCACTTCATCGAGCTCTTCATAATGGTTTATTCAAATATACAAAAGCAAGAGTAGGTGGTAGAACTTTAGTTGATACATTACAGCCATTTGTTGATACTTACTACGAAACAAATGATTTACAAAAAGCAGTAGAAGCTGCAAGAAATGGGTGCGAAAGTACCAAGAAATTACACGCGTCGTTTGGAAGAGCTAGTTATGTTAATGAAGAAGACTTCAAAGTGGAAGGTGGTATTCCTGATCCTGGTGCTGTTGGATTGTTGGCATTAATTGAAGGTTTTTTTGCGAATTTTCAACTGTTGTAGTTATTATAGTGGTTATTTGAAAAATGTATATATTTCAAGCTCAATGCAAATTAGCATCTGATTGTCTACTCGATTCTCCTCTACTTACCAATACAATGAACAAAGAGCCTATATTTATTGAGCCTGATAACTTTTTCGAAGGAATAGTTGTTGGTGGTGGAACTTGTGGATTAGCAGTTTCACTGAGATTATGTGAATCAAAACCAGGATCATTATTTACGGACAGTGAACATCAAAGATTCCATTGGTTAAAACAACGAGGTCATAAATCAAATAAATTAGGATCTAATAAATTTTATCAATCATCACTGTTTCACCCATCCGATTTATTAATTATTGATTCAACAAATAATAAATTTTTAAGTCAATGGGATAATCAATTTAAGTCATGTCAAATTCCATATTTAAGATCACCAATGTTTTTCCATGTTGATCCATCGGATATTGATGGAATGACAAGTTATGCATATTCTACCAATAGAGAAAATGAATTAATGGAAATTACAAACGTTGTTGGTAAAGAAATTTCAAAACATAAATTGAAACAGAAAAAAGGGTTGAAAAAAAATGGATTAATTGATATAAATCATAGAGATTGGAAAGATTATTATAGACCATCTACAAAACTATTTCATGATTATTGTGAGTCAGTTGTAGATAGATACAATCTAAAAAATAGTATAATAAAAGATGAAGTAATTGACATAAAATATAGATTAATTCAATATGATGATAAAAATATTGGTAAAGGGGTTTTGATTTACACAAAATTAGGGAAAATATTTGGTTGCAAATTTGTAATTATTGCGAGTGGTCATCGTGGTAAAAGTAATTATCCAATAAAACCATTTGGTGAAATAACCACAAACACTTGTCATACTTCACATTTATTCACCAACCAAGTTAAATTTTTAGATGATCAATTCTTCAAAAGACCAAAACTTAAAAATATAGTTATTGTTGGAGGAGGATTAACATCAGCTCAATTGGCTAATGTAGCATGTAATGATCCAACAGTTGACAAAGTATATCTTTTATTTAGATCACCCATTAAGATCAAACATTTTGATTTCCATTTAGATTGGGTGTCCAAGTATAAGAATTTTAAAAAATCAATATTTTTCAATCAAGAATCTAATGAATTAAAATATGAAATGATTAATGATGCAAGAGAAGGTGGGTCTATAAATCCTGAGTATTATAAAAAATTGAAAAATCATTTGAAATCAGGTAAATTAAAATGGTTTACTGAGACTGTTATTTTGAATCAAGAATGGAATGGTGATTATTGGAATTTGGAATTAAGTAACGACTTAAATTTAACAAATATTGATTATATTTATTTCGCGACAGGAATTACAAATGATATTGAATCAATACCATTTTTAAAACTGATAATTGAAGAACACCCTATTGAATTTACAAAGGGATTTCCTTCATTAACTGATAATTTACAATGGAACACAGAAGTTCCCTTATTTTTCATAGGCAAAAATGCGTCATTGCAAGTTGGTCCAACTTCAGCAAATCTAGATGGTGCAAGATTAGGTGCTGAAAGAATTGGTTGGTATTTGCAAAATATGAAATTACAAGGAGAATTAAGTTGGTCAACTACAAATGAAGCAAACTATAACTCCTTTAATACTCAGTTAGATTTAGCTAGTGGGAAATTAAATTGGTTTGAATTGTTAGAGTGTAATGCATAAAAATATATTAGTAATACATAGATGTAACAATGAAACATATTTTAGATTTGTATGATTTAGTCACTTAAAATTTTCAATAACTCACTAAATCTTCAGATTCATAACCATCAGAATCTAATGGTTTCCCGTCTCTTTTAGCCCAAATTTTATCTATTCTTTTCAATGCAATTAATGCGCCACCGGATCCAACTTTTGACAGTAATTGGAAAAACTTTTTGACAAAATCTCGTTTAGTTTCATCAACTAAATTTGTACCAGCAACTAACATTGGCCATTGTAAAAACATAATTTCCTTATGATCTGGATTTGCTTCATAATCATTTATAAATTCTATAGATTTTAATATTTCATTGGTTAATACTTGAACCTGTGGGGATGCAAAAGTTTCTTCGAAACATGTTGTTAATACTGTTATTAATGCTGCGTACACATAAGTTTTATGTGATATTTCCAACCATCGAATATTTTGATCACTCACTGGTATTGTGTTTTTATCAAATACATTAACTTGTTGATTTAATTTACAAAATAAATTTATATATTGTAATGATTCTTTTGGATCAAATGAATTATTTCTAATCTTGTTTAATGTCTTCATTAAATCCCGAAATAAACAATAAACTTCATGTTTATAACCTCCCATAATATTAAACCCATTACTAAGTACTAATCCCAAATCTTTTAATATTTTTTTTTCATAATTACTACTTAAATTTATAATTTCATCAATTTCTTCATCTGTATGTAATGTACCCCCTTTTTTAGAACTTACACTTGCTAAAATTTCTAATGTTACAAACCAACATTTACAGAAAACAAAAGTTTTTGAATACTTTAACTTTTTATGACTACTTTTCATCAATAAATCTTTTGCACCTCTTAAATGTGGTCTCCAATCTTGTTTTGGATTTGCTGCATTTGCTGCAGTTAATAATAATACAGTTAATAAAATGCTTTCAATATTTAAACCTAATTTACTATCATCAGCTATAGCTGGACTTAACATTTTCAAACAATCATTTAAATATAAATAATAATATTCTTCATCCTCAGGATTTTGAGTTGAATCAAATCTTGCCCATGCACCATTTGCTAATACAGCAGCCAATACATAATCAGTATGAGCAGCACTTGTTAATAATATATCTCTTGCAGGATTGAAAAGTATTTTATTTTCTTCATCATAAGATGAAAATGGTAATACAACATTTGCAAAATTATAATAAAATTCTTTCATATAAATTTGATTTTTAGAATCTTCTAATTTTATAAAATCAACTGGTAAATTTTTTCCAACATTATCTATATTTTGTTGTTGAGATTTTAATTGAGTTTCTGAACTTTTAGCTTTCGCAGAATCTGTCATATTATATAAAATTCCATTTACCATGTTATGTAAATCACTCGCCAAAAGATTCAAATCACTAACTTCATAAACTTCAATCAAATCATCATTGAAAAAAGGTGGTGATATTGAAGTAGTTGTTGTTGTTGTATTTGTTGGACTTTCATTGCAACAATTTTTTAAACTACTATTCCCATTGCTATTATTATTATTATGATTGTTATATGAATCTTGATTTTTATTCAATAAATTTACTAAATTTGATGAACCTTTTGGTACTTCCTTTCTATATAATAATGCATTTGGAATATTTGGTGGTGGTAAATTTACATGTTGTTGATCTTGAGGATTTAATAAATGATGTTGAAAAGGTTGATATTGATTTGTTCTACTCAGATAGGGATTCGGTAGTATAGTTTGATTTGAATACGGCGGTGGACCAGATCTATAAGTTAATGCTTGATCAAATGAGTGTGTTTGTTGTAGTTGTGTTTGTTGTGGTTGTGGCTGTGGTGGTTGTAGTGGTTGTTGTTGTTGTTGGTGCTGTTGTTGAGTTAAATTAATTGGTTGTCTTTCTTCAAAAAGGCGCGGTTCAATTTTAAGTGGTGGTTGTAAATGATGATGAGGCTGATTATTATATATTTGATTTGGTTGTTGTTGTTGTTGTTGGTGTTGTGGGTGTTGTTGAAATTGTTGTTGCTCAACTTGTTCTAATTCTTGTAATTTTTGTTTCTTTTTTGAAACTCTTAAAACTTTTTCACCAATTTCAGGATATGAACAATCTTTTTTCAATCTTGTACATTGCCAACAAGCTGGATGTTTTTCATCACATTTTATTTTTCTTCTTTTACATTCCCTACAACCTAAACTTGAATATTTTCTCTTTTTAGGTTTATCTCCTTGATTTAAATCCAAGTTCAATACACTAGTAGACATTTTATTTTAATCATATAAATATATTTAAAATTTTTGATTTTAATGAAATTTAATTTTATCATCTAAAATTTATTTAGAACTAAAAATTTCATGATTAAAAAAAAATAAAAATAAAAAGTAAAAAAACAAAAAAAAAAAAGAATCTGAAATTCGGAATTTCTTATATGCACAATTTATTAAATATTATTATACAACTAATTATTATTAATATACTATTATCAACTTATTCAAATGAAATTCACATTTCCATTTTTATACAAAAACTTATTTTCATAGCTACTTTATAAGATTAAACTAGGATATGAGCCTTATAATATTAACTATTCATTAAATTATTACTCTTTCAAAATTACTATGACTTCGTTAAATTGTAAAGAAATTAAGATAGTGATAGTGATATAATCTTCATATCTACAATAATACTTTAAACAAGTTTAAAAAATCGTAAAGCTCGTTAAACTTATATTAATATCACTAAGAATTGAATATATATATAGTATATATAAATATTATTATTGTACTATTTATAATGACTAAATCAATAATCATTATTTTCATGTATTTCTCTAATTGATCTCTTTTTATTATTTGATTGTGGTTGTTGTTGTTGTTGAGGTGGTGATTGTTGTTGTTGCTGAGTTTGAGAAAATGGAGGTATATAATTATTTGTCATGTTCATTGGACTTGCAATAAAATCATCCACATTAAAATTTTCATCATGATCATTAATATCCATTGTAAAAGATGATTGTGTAGTAGTATTTGATTGATTTGGTAGATTTTGTTGACTTTGATTATGACTTTGATTGGCTATCATATTAATCCAATGATTATCAAGTTGATTTTCAATTTCTTTTATTGATTCTATTGAAGATGTTGGTGATGATCTTGATCTTGTAATACTTGGTCTGTTTTCTAACAAGAGTTTTCTCTTTTTAGTTATTATTGGATTAAATGATGAAGTTGAAGATGAAGATGGTGATTGATAGGTAGGATTTAATATTTCATTTTCATTATTATTATCATGATTATGGTTATTATTAACATTATTATTTTTATGATTAACACTATTATTATTATATTGTCTTGAAAGTTGATGATTATTAATATCATTTAAATCTTCTGGTGGTTGACTTTGTGCTTTAATTGGTGCATTATCATTATATACTGCTGCTAAAAATTTTAAAATTTTATTTATTGTAACTTCTTGAGCTTTTGCTCTTTCTCTTGTTATAAAATTTGCATTATAAATATTTTGATTATCTTGTCTTATTCTAACAATCTCTTCATTTAATCTTGCTTGATTTTGTTTAATTTGATTTAATTCTGATAATAATAATGACATTTCATTACTTGATTGATTTGTATCAGTTAATTGATTTTCTTCATGAGAAACTGATTTATTTCTAACTATATGTTCTAATAAATCTTCTCTTCCTTTTATAAAATTTGGATTTTCAAATTGCCAAACTTCATCACCTCCATTTTTATCACAATTTGGATGTAATGTACCATTACTAATATCTTGAACTTTATGAAATCCATACATATTTAATTGACGTACAAATGATGACATATTTTGATGTTTAAAATAAGCTGGTAATATTTTATGTACAAAATCTTCTCTTTTAAAAACTTGAAACGTTTTACCATCTTCATTCCATCTAATATATTCATCATTTGATTTATCATTTACCATTGACCAAATTTTCATAACAAAAGCTGGTCTTGTTTTTGATGCAGTACTATCTTTTTTTCTTTTAGATGGTGGTGGTACTGGTCCTATCTGAGGTTGCTGATGTTGATGTTGTGTTTGTGATTGTAAATGATTATTTGATAAATTAATATCAAATGATAATGGTTTAAAAGGACTTGTTAATGGTTTCATCTCAGGAAATGCGAAATCTATACCATGTTTGCTGAAGTTATTATTATTAAATAACTGTAAATCATGACCATTTTCTGGATCAAATAATGGAGTACGACCAGTTGGTTGCTCTAATTTAATGGACGAGTTTTGTTGTTGATGTTGATTTTCGTGCTGTTGTTGGTTACTTTGATGTGCTTGTTGTTGTTGTTGCTGTTGCTGTTTCTGTTGCTGTTCCTGTTGTTGTCTAATATTGATTTGTGGAGGAGAATCTTCTAATTCTTGAATTCTCAAATGATTAATGTTATTACTATCTAAATCATATAACAGATGATGATTTAATAAAGGAGTAAGACTTTGTGAATAATCAGTTTGTTGATGTGCTTGCTGAAGATGATTGAGTTGTTGTTGTTGCTGTTGATGATATTGTTGAAAGTTATTATTAAATATTGAGTTATTAGTTGCTGCTAAATTACCATTTGTAAAATAACCATTATTACGATTTATAAATTGTAAATCATCAGATGATGAATTTGAAGGAATTTTATTATTAATATTCAAATGATTTGATGATAAACTTGAAGGATCTTGAGGTGAATCAACAGAATTATTTAATAAATCTATTAATGGATCCCTATAATCAGATGTCATATTCATGTTGGAAGAAAAAAAAACTTGTTAAAATATCTGAAAAAAAAATGTTTTAATAAATTTTATTCTAATATAATAATTTTTAAATAGTTAAAAATTTTTTGTAGTGAAGTACGTAATTAATTTTTTATTTTTTTCCTTTTTATATTTTGTGGGTAATTAAATATATCAATTTTCTTTCAATTTATTTGCAACTTCAGTATTACTATCTTTTATAAAGACTGAACCTTATAATAAGCACTTTGGTGATACTATGAAGCAATGGTTTATTTAAAAAATCGAATTCTGATAAGGGAAATAAAAAGGTATATTTATATTAATAATTTTAAGTTTATTGTTTTGCAATAATCTTATAAGACTTCCGATTCTCTGGTTATGAAGTTTTAAATTTATTAATTTTAATAATATGTTCATAAATTAAACAAAAATTAAATAGATCGGTTATTCTAAACGTAAAATGTAATCTTTAATTCTAAAATTGCAAATTAGCTGTATATTTTAAAAAAAAGAACTACTTTAATTTAAGTTTTCTTACATATATATTTCCTGTATTTATTTTCATATTGTAAAATTGTTAATATAATTTCAAAATTCGATCAAATTTAAAACGTTGTCTTGTCTTGAAACAAAAATTCACGTCAAGAAATTCTATGTAAAAAAAAAAAAAAAATTATATATGTATAGGAAAAATGTATGAATCTTTTAACAATAACAAACACCCCCTAATTTACAAATTGCTCAAAATGTAATACTTCAAAGTATAAAGTTATCAACTTTATGATGTGCTATGGTCCAGTTCATCTTAAGTAACCGTTGAATACTTAATTAAAATAGACAAAGTCTTTTGAAGTGAAAATTAAGACACTATAAGACTATTGTACAAGAATGTTCTAGAACTTGTGTCAACTGATTCTTGATTTTGATAAACTCTCTCTTTTTAATATCTTTTAAATTTTTTTTTGGGGCAATAACATGAGTAACAATAGATTCAATTTTCCTTTAATATTAAGATAGTAACAAAAAATTAAAATTTCACAACGTGATAGATATATTACTTTATCAAGTAATCATGTTTTTTAATTTTAATGATTTAATTAAAGGAGAACAAATTAAAAATAAAAGAGGTGCATGAATAGCTCTGGAAATATGTGAATATTTAATTGTACAAAAATGAGACACATTTTTAAATAAGATAATAAATTATCTAGCAATTAATTAGTTTTTGTATCATTTTAACTAAGATTTTGTAAATCTGCACCCTTTTTGATTTATCCACAAATTTAATAAGATTATCTAATATTTGTACTTTAATTTTCCATTATAAATAAAATATTGTTGTTAAGGTAGTATTGATCAGTTAAAACCTATTTTATCTCATATATTTGAATTAACAATCTCAAAAGAAAACTAAAAATTTAACTTTTTAAAAATTTCTAAAGTTTAAAGTTTTGTAAATTTAAAAAATTATATCTCGGAATAAAATGTATTATTATTTGATCACGTTACTTTAAACTTTTTTGTTGTTTTTCTATTATTATCAAAATTATAAAATAATAATAATTATAGTTTTAGGTTTTCTAATAATTTTAATTATACATAATTTAGAAAAGCGTTAGCCATTTTTCAAAGTTTATTCTCTCAAATGTTTAAAGTTTATTATAAAAAGTAATGGCTAATTCCAAGGAAGATGTATAGTCATGTCTCTTAAAGATACGAAAGTAAAGTTGAAGAAAAGGCTGTTTAAAAGTCTGAAAAATCAAATAATCAATGTCAAATAGTGATTGAACGAAAGTTTAATTGATTATGATTAAATCTAGATTTGAGGATAACTTTTAGATTAGAAGGCATTGAATTCTTGATAGTCCCTTTAAAAGCAATATCATAAGTTCTATAATTATATAAAACCTTTCACAGTGGTCACATTTAAATAAAGATAAACTTACGTTTGAAGTGAATATTACACTTGATACAGCTTTTGAAATTTGAACTAATATACCTACAATTATCAGTTTTTATATATAAAGGACAAAAAAGGGGCATATTTTTTGTTCTTTGGACTTAATAGTTTGATATGATTTCAAAGCAATATTTTTAAAGATGAAACGCAAGATTTATTAAAGGATAATTGATATTGATTTGGGAATATAATAATATTTTTCTAGTTATAATATATCAAATATTCGATTAAAATTGCTATTAATTTATTTGCTAATAGTTAAGGATATGTAAATTTATAGTATCTTATATTATTGTATTGCGTGTACAGCGTTTAATATCTTGTACATATATTGATACTCATTTGGATTTTAAATTTCCAATCAATATCTTTGTTCTCTGTCTAACTGGCTCGTTTTCCATATATTGATAATTTGATTTGTTTTTCACCAGAAAAACTCCAAAATAATTTATGAACTACTATTTGAGTGAGCTTCTAGGCGGTAGTTGATTGATGAGGTTTGAAATTTTAATGACTTATAATGTAAATCTGAGGAGTTCAAGAATTAGAAAACTTTAATTTCTTCAATTCGAACCTTATAATTCTTTGTGTTTCAACTTTGAAATTAAAAGTTTAAGTTATTGTGCCAATCTTGATTTAACTAACCCTCATTTGTAAATTTACTTTGAATTATGCAGTAATTTTTACGAACAAAGAATCAAATGTTATAAAAGAAGAAAGTTTAATCGATAACTTTATTTAACCTCGATATTGCATTAACATTTCATTTTCAGAAACCAATTTCGATTAATATTGCAAATTCTAAAGAACCTTAAAGATTTAGTGATCTATTCAGTTGATTATAAGGATTCTATTTTATGGAAGTAAGAATTGACGAGCAAGAGCAAACTACTGGGGCTCGGTAATATTCTTGTTAAATCTCGTGATACAAAAAAACGATCTAGTAACTTTAAAACTTGATTCTAGACATATGAGGGGGGATTGGGGTAAAACGAGAATTTAACTGCAGAATTTTTTATTTTGAATCAATTTTGACCCTTTATTGTCCTGATTTTTATTCATTTTTATCAAGACAGATTAAAGCGCTGCTTTACAAATACTTATTTTATACAAAACTCAGTAACTCCTTAAATGTTTATTTTTTAATTGATCTAAAAATTAATCTAAACCTAGGTAGACAACACTAAAAATCACTTTTCTTTTTCCACCAAGTTTCATTGTGGTTTATCTAATCCTTTAGTTTGTAAAAAGAATGAAACTCAATCAGTTTGTTGATTTAAATCTTTTGGTGTATGGTTAAACGTACGTAATTGTACGAGTGAAAATTGATGGTTTAAGAATTTCCAGAAAGAATAAATAGATACATTTTTCCGTCATGAGCTTTAACCAACAAAAATCGAAACCATACTTTATCTCTTTTCAAGAGTCTCAATGAGAGGTTTGTAGGAAACCAGCAGCGGCGCAAACAAGTTTTTTACAATCATTCAGGAATAACATCATGAAGCTATCGACATCAATGAAATTGATTCTAATCAAATTGGGGTAAGTGGGGGTAGACGAGAACTTAGCTGCAAACTTTTAAATTTTAATTTACTTAGTTTTTTAAAAATCATGCTGGCTGCAAATATTAGACTTTCAAAGAATTGTTTCTAATTAATTTACTTTATAAAGTACTCCGTAACTAATTCATTATTTATTTTTTTTTTGCTTCAAAAAATTAATCTAAATCTATATACTCCATACTAAAGATCTAAATCTTTTCTTTCCCATCCTGTTGGTCTAACGACATCTAAACCATAATTTGGTTGTGGCTTATCCCATCCTTTAATTTGTAAAGGAAATGGATTTCTATCACGTTGATACTCCAAGTTAGCTAATGTATGGTTGATTTCTCTATGTTTTGATTCATCAGCTCTAATTCTTAAAATTAAATCTTTGAAACTTGATTCTTCTGACAAGGATGGCCAATAATCAACTGCAATAGTTGGAATTAACATATTTTGAAAACCTTTTAACTTGTTTGGATCTTCTAATTCATCAAGTAAGTGTGAATAGGTTCTAACAGCTTCTTCTTCTCTAAAAAAGGTGAAAGTTAGTAAAAATATTCAAAGATATTTGATTAGTCACCAATAGGACCTCAATGATTGCTAAAAACATACAAATAACCAACAAATCTGTGGCAATAATTGGGCAGCGCAAGGTAGCAAAAGAAAAAGGCATTTGTGAAGATTCCCTGGCCAACGTACATAATTGTACGTGTGAATAATGATGGTTTACCAATTTTTAAAAAAGTTAATAAATGCATTCTCTCGTTATAAGCTTCATCTAACAAAGATTGAATCCATGCTTTATCTCTTTTCAAAAGTCTCAATGAACGAAGTGTTCTTAAAAAACCAGCAACCAGGCCAGGTACACCAGCTATTGATTCTAAAAATATAACTCTTGTTAACCATTTATTTTCAGTCATTTCGTATCTTGTTCCAACATATTTGTTAGGATCTTCACCAGGTTGAACAGCTTTATAACCAGTAACAAAGTCAAAACATTTTCTAAAAAACATTGTACCATGAAAACTTATCTCATCACCAATCGTTCTAGGTTGTCTATGGGTAACTTTAACTCTGTAAACACCAGCTTCGGTATAGTCAATATGAGGATAAGAAGGTTTTGTTAAAAATTTATCATCATCTCTTTGTTCAATTGCAGCATTATCAAAAACTATGGTTTTAATATCAAATATACTTTGTTTTTGATCAGCATTTGAAGGTTTCATATCCAATTCTGAAACTGGCAAATTTGCATCTTTTGAATGATCTATTTCTGGTGGTGGTTGACTTGGCTTTGAATTTGCACTTGGAACAGATGTAGCAGTAGCTAAGTTTCTAAATGATGTTAGTTGGGTTAAGTAAATTGCTGATGATAATTTTGGTAACTGATAATTAATTGTAGTTCTAATCATTATTTATTTGTAGCAGATTTTTTGAAGTTTATTGTTATAATATATTATTGAAGTGTATTGTTGTAGTATGGTTCTATATTACTTCTTAAAGAGAAGCAATTAAAAAAAAAGAGATTGGAAAAAGGACTCATTAGAATCTTGGGTAAAAGTTTTGCATTATATATCATTTTTAATTAGAGTTTCAGAATAAGTTTTACTCCGTATAAATTTGGTTTTGTGTAAAATTTTATTTTTAATTACTTTTTTAGAAATAAATAGAATAATCAGAATTTTCATTGCATAACAACTTTCTACTATCATAACCAAGATCTATTTAATTAAAACAGCAGGTTATACGCTGCAAGCTCAACTGTATTGCTCAGATGAGGATATGGTGATGAACTGTTGAAAAAATGTAAAAATACCCCTTTAGTTCGGGAGTGAGGAAAAATTTAGAAGGCAGAGGAACTAATCTATTCTAATTTTTAATTAAAATCCTTAAAAGTTAAGTATGGAGAAATCGTACACTGAATTAGAAAATCTGCTCTCTTTTTTTTTTTTGTTATTCTTTAATACCCAAGATTTACCTTCAAATGAAGTTTTGAATGACAAATAAACGAAAATAATTCGGTTTCTTTATAACAATAATTTATTATAAAGATTTATTGCTGAAGATGTAACATTTTAATTGTTTTAAATTAGTTTAATAGTAAAGTGAGGCTAGATACGGTTGAATTCTACTAAAATCGGAAAAGTGCGCGGAAATACTGAAACAAAAAAAGATCTCAATTTCAAGATTTAGTTTCACCATTAAAAAAATACGGACATAATAAATTAAGTTATACCAGTTACCATATTCAAAGTCATCAACTTTAATTTCATATAATCATTAAAAACAATTTGCTCGATAAAATTCTCAATCTATAATTCTTCCGTTTAAACTTACTTAAAATTGTTTACATAATTTCAAAAATTTGATTAGCCAAGGATATTCACTATCCATATAGTTTATTAAATACATGCAGCCTATTCATAACGGCTTGAGTTTTACTAATAAGAAGGTTGAATGGAAATCTCTTAGTCTTGTTTGTATGTTGTTGATTTAAGACAATCGTAAACCTAAGATATGACCACCACAAAATTAGCTACCAAGTTATAACGGAAATGTATCACCGAATTATTTTATCTAATTATAGCTTGGTTCATTTTCAAGATCTTGTACAAAATCTCAAGATCGTTCTCTTTCATTAATCCTATTTGCCTTGAATGTGCAAATTGATGGCTTTTTTAACTTTTAAGTACATAGTACAACTACCAAGAAGAATAGGGTGCTTTCTCTAGCAAAGGGCTCCTTAAAAAGTGCACTTTTTTAATTTTTTTTTTCTCGCACAAAATCTTGTATTAACTATTGATGTTGGGGTCTTGATAATACTTTATTTTGCAACCAACATAGAATTAAGATCTAGACTTCATCATCAAAATAGTAAACTACATTCAAAACGCAGTTTGGTCAAAATAGTTTCATTATATTTTACGGGACTAAATATAAAGGGTGCTAGGGTTTTTAGGCTTCTCAAATACTTTTTGAAAGTATTGTATTGGAAAAGCAAAATTCTACACATTTTGCGTCAAAAGAAACTCAACGTTTCATCTTCAATACATCGGATTGATAATTCTCTTTTTGAAAATTGAGTTTGTTAAATGTTCATTGAGCTTGCTACATTTGCCTTAATTATTAATATTAGAGTAAGAGAGTATCTATTAAGTTATCAAAGCTTGAAAAACAGATAGCCATTTTTTTAAGATTTTCTTTTCTTGTTTCTTTCTGTACAATATGGTTTTATACTAATATAACGTGTACGGTTCATTCTAATGTTATGATATCTAGAGAAAGTGGGCAAGACTTTTTTTATTTAATTGTTTTCCATGATAAATCAATTCATTCGTTATGTTGTGAAGCTTTCGAAGTCAATTATAATAAAATATTTTAATTCAATAGACAACACGTCAAAAAAAAAGGGTCGAAAAGTCAAAAAAAAAAAATTGTATCATACCGTCTAGATTCATGAGCTACAAATACTACGACCTCTCAATAAAACTTCGTCTTAAAATGAGCTTAGCTCTTTGACATTAGAATAAACGAAACCATTAGTCGAATTGAACTGTCAAACAATTCAATTTATAGCCTTATAAAGCTAGAATACATATAAATTTACGAGAATTTAAAATCTTTCAAATCAAACCTTGATTTCAAATAATAAATTTTAATCGTGGATCATTAGTTAAATCAACTTTAATGATGTGATCAATATAATTAATATTTTAAAAGAGTAATAATTTTCTACTTTTAATTATTTTATATATTTGTATTTCATTCTAATATGTAAAAGCGTGTTTTTTTTTATATTTAAAATAAAAAATAAAATTAAATAAAAATAAAAATCACAAAATCATTTAAATCAATTTTTTTAACAAAATTACACTACTCACATTTAACTATTAATTGTTAACTATTATTATTTTTAATTTCCATAAAATACATAAAATAAAATTTAATTTTTATAAACTTTGATTAAAAAGACAACAACATCAACAACAAATATTTATCATTATCATTTAAACTTAACACTAAATCAAATTCATTTAAATCATTAACATTATATCTCATCATTTGATATAACTAAAATTAATACATCCCTTTCTCAATATTCAAAATCTACCACAATATTTATAATAAAAAATTTTTTGTTTTTTTTTAAAATCAATTGATTAATCTCATTAGACAATTTATTCATCAATTCTACAAGAATATATATACTTATAATCAATAATGGGTTTCAAAATATCTAATTTCATAGGAGATCCTTTTGCTATATCTACTGTATCATTTGGAATAATATCTTGGGTTATTGCATTAGGAGGAGCAGCATCATCAGTTCAAAAAGAATTTCCTCATTTCACTTGGTGGGGAATAGCTTATCAAATAGTTATTATCTTAATTATATTTATACTTTATTCAAATAATAATATTGAATTATATAAATTTACATTGGTTGGATTAGTAAGTGTCGCATTTATTTATACAACAAATTCAACAAATAATTTAATTTATAATTCTTCATCATCTGGTAATTTATGTTGTGCTGCAGGTTGTATATTATTAAGTATATTAAATTTAATTTGGATTTTATATTTTGGAGGTCATCCAGAATCTCCAACAAATCAATTTATTGATAGTTTTAGTTACAAAAATAATCATCATCATCAACATGAACAATTGGGAAATAATAATATAACTAATAATAATTCTTCAAATAATGTATTAAAACATGAATCATATATTGATGATCAACAAAGTCAAGATAGAAGATATATTTCACCAATTAATTTACCACAACAAGATCATATGAGACATCTTTCTAACACCAATAACTCAACTACCAACAATAATAGAGCATCAATTAGAAACTCAATAGCAAATAATAGTAATAATACTACAACTTTAAACAATAGTAGTAATAATAATAATAATGTCAATGCATATGTATCATCACAACAATTGAATGGAATAGATAATATAAAAGATAATTCAACAAGAGATTTAACTCAAAATAAAAGAACAACTTTTTATACAGATTCAGAAACAAATACTGGTATAACTTTTAGATATAAAGCAAAAGCATTATATAGTTATGATGCAAATCCTGAAGATTTAAATGAAATTAGTTTTGTAAAAGATGAAATTTTAGAAGTTGATGATATTGATGGTAAATGGTGGCAAGCAAGAAGATCAAATGGTCAAGTTGGTATATGTCCTTCAAATTATGTTAAATTAATTGAATCATAAAGACTCTATTTATAATTTTTTTATTCAATTTTGTATATTATTATAAGTTTTGATACCAATATATTACATACGATTTTATCTCTTAATTGTAATTGTGCAATTTGGATAGTCTTGAGGTTTAGTGGACAGGGATTTTCAAAAAATTCCTCCCTTATTTTTCCTAATATATTTTATTAAAATCTTTTTTGCAACCGAAATTGCACCAAAATTTTTACAACTCTCTCGACAAAACCTTGCGTTAGAAAGGTCTTGATCATTTAATAGGTCTAGAGAACTTATAGTCTCTATTTATATCGGATTCTTTTAATACATTGATGCAGAATTTATTCCATATACACTTATACGAAAGATTTTATATTTTCTCTACTAATTCTGGCAACACTTCATTTAAATCTCCAACTAATCCAATATCAGCTATATTAAAAATTGGTGCTTCTGGATCTTTATTAATAGCAACAATAACTTTACTATCCTTCATACCAGCTAAATGTTGAATTGCACCAGATATTCCAATAGCAAAATATAATTCAGGAGCAACAATTTTACCAGTTTGACCAACTTGTAATGAATTATCACAAAATCCTGAATCTACTGCAGCTCTTGATGCACCAATAGCAGCATTTAATTTTGTTGCTAATGGTTCAATTAATTTATCAAACATTTCTTTATTTTGTAATCCACGTCCACCTGCTACAACAACTTTTGCTGAACCTAATTCTGGTCTTTCTGATTTTGTTAAATTTTCAGATACAAATTCAGTTCTACTATCTGATTCTACTTTTGGAATATCTTCAATTGATACTGGTGATTGATTTGTTGAAGCTGGTGAAAAAGCTGATCCTCTAATTGAACCTAATATTATATTATCTTTTGATTTAACAGTAGCTAATGCATTACCAGCATAAATTGGACGTACAAATGTCTTTGGGTCTATAACTTGAGTAATATCACTTAATGGTTGTACATCTAATAATGCTCCTAATCTTGGTATAATTGATTTTCCAAGAGTTGAACCAGATGTGAAAAAATAATTATATTTATCTTTAATTAAATTTGTTAATAATGGCGTGACGTCTTCTGCTAAATAATGATCATATCCATTGGTTTTCAATACTTTTGATACTCCTTCAATTTTTGATGCACTTTCTGCTAAACTTGGATCAAGTACCAATGCCGTTATCGGTTCTCCGATTTTTGATGCTGCTGTAATTGTTGAAAAAGTCGCAGGATTTATTTGTGATTGAGATCCTTCTACTAACACCAAACTATCTTTGAGGAGTCTAGAAGATGAAAAGAATCTCTTGAAAATCATTTTCGATGTGGTTTTTGGATTATGTGCTGCAAGTTTTATATATTCAAAAGCATTTTTTTTTTTTTCAAAATTTAAGAAAATTCCGATACTACACAAAATGGTTAACAAAATAAATAAATTCTAAATATCATTAATCATTATTCTATACATTCATATTTTCAAAACAATCAATTAACTTTAAAGTGTCCAGAATATGATCAAAATATGGATCATCAACAATTAATTTATGACATCTTTTTATGCCATCATTTTCACTATTATCAGCTAAATTTTGAATTTCATAATATTTTAATTTTTTTAAATCATTTCGTAGTAAATCACTTATACCTGAATGCTCTAGGATTGGTCTAACTGACTTGGCTACTTTGACAAAACATGATTTTATTTCTCTTTTTTGGTAGTTCATTATTAATTCTTTCATTGTCTTTGCAGCTGAAGAATCAATTGCATTCATACTATCTAAGTCAAATATAACATATTGAGTCATTGTTAAATCTCTACTTCTTTTCAGTGCTGGATGAGCTCTTGTCGAACCATACATTTCCACTCTTTTCAATCTGACTAATAAGTCACTACAATTGGTGAAACTTAAAGGTTCAGGTATTTTTATAATTAAACAACCTTCAACTTCTTCAATTGCACCATGATTTAAATGAGTTTGTCTCATATCATTAAAAATGTTTAATTGAGAACCTACTTGAGTTGTTACTGGAATATCAGCATCAACAAATGTATTTGAATTTGGAATTCTTCCTAAGATTTGTATTCTTGATTCAGCTGAGTTTTTAACAACTCTTATTAATGAATAAATCAATCCAACAGCTATACCACCTTCTATGGAAAAAAATAATGTGGTAAAAACAGTAATTGCAAACGTAATTATTTCATCAGTTCCACCAGTTCTCCAATAAAAATATAACTCATAAGGAGCTTCTTCAATTAATGATATACCAATAACTGCAATAACTACACTCAAAATACATTCTGGAACGAAATATAAATAATCCAAAAGAACTTGAATAGTGAAAATAGTAACTAATCCCATTATTGCACCTGACATTGTTGTTTTTGCTGAAATTGCATTTATTTTACTTCTTCCATAACCACCAAATGCTGGTAATGCACCAAAAAATGATCCAAAAATATTCAAACTTCCTAAAGCAACTAATTCTCTATTCGAAGAAATAGGTAAATCAAAACTTGAACCTAAAGATTTTGAAGCTGTAGTTGATTCAAAAAATCCCAACATTGCACATAAAAATCCAGAAGTTCCTAATTTTTTAATTAATTTCCACAGGAATGGATTATATAAAGTTAAGTTATTACTGTTTTTGACTTTACCAATTACTGGCAATCCTTTCAAATCCCATCTATTAACTTGACAAAGTATAGTTGCAGTAACAACTACAATTAAAATTTCGGGAACTAATATTAATTTTGGATGTTTTTTCTTAAAAAATTTTGCAGTCATTATAATAACAAATCCAACTAAACCAATTTTTAAACTTAACGAATCAAATTCTTTACATTTCATTATTAGAAAAACAACTTTATCAAATGGTGAATGTATATCCATTTGATTTGGATCATCAGAAATTTTTTTTAGTAAAGCTTCTAATCCTAATATTATGATCAATGAATTTATAATCATTACTATCCCCACACCTGCAATAAATCCTTTTAATAAAGATGGACTCAATACATTGTCCAAAAAACCAAACCTACCTAATCCAAATCCCAATAAACTTGCACCACTTATAAATGTAACAACTGCAACATATTCCAAAGGATCTAAATTCTTCTTTTTTGCATGATGTAATAATGGTTCAACTGCTTGTCCAACAACCAAAGATATTGGACCTTCTGGTCCCACAACCATTTGAGGTACACTTCCAAATATCATATACATTAAAGGAGATAATCCTAAAGAATATAATCCAGAAATAACAGGTACATGAGCTAAAGTAGTTGCATATGATAATGATAAAGGTAATTGAAAAAATACTAAAGTTAAACCACCAATTAAATCACCAATAAAATATTTTAAATTATATTTTTTAATCCATGATAAACAAGGTAAATAATAAGGTAAAATATCTGACCATTCTAAATGATCTATATTAGAAGACGTAGGAGTATATTGTGAATAATTTATTGAACAATTATCATCTTCATCAGTTGTATATCTAATTGAATCTATTTTATTTAATAATCTATCCAGTTCATGAACTCTTCTATTTGATATTGGTCTAATACTTGGACTTGGACTCGCGACTCGACGATTATTATTCCTTAATGAAGGTCGAGGTGATGATGACATTATTGAAGTAAGTCATATATTGATTTACGTAACTGAAGTTGGAAAAATATGGATATGGATAAAATACTAAAAATAGAATTAATTTTAATGAATTGAAAATAAATATTTGAAAGATCAGTTTAATTCTTGACACAAATTAACAATAGTAAAATATGTAGTATTAGTAATTTTGATGTATTAAATTTAGTTTACAAAATTATTTATTGATTAGTAAATCAAATTTGAATCATAAATGCTATTTCCAATAAATTGAAATCAAGTTACATTTAAGAAAGGAAATTGATGTTGTTATGTAAAAAAATAAGTAAGAAATAAGTTATAAAATTAAGAAAATAATTATTATTATTCTATCTAACTTTTTGTGCTATAAATAAATTTTACGCAGTATTTGGTAGCCCTACAATTTTTACGCGTTAAAATAGGAATTTTAATATTATTATTATTTACTATAATTATGATAAATGTAAACAAAAACATTTGATTCAAGTTAATTTATAAAATTACAACTACGATAACAAGACAAATGGATATACAATTTACTCCAATAGGAAAAAGAAGTTCAAATGGGTTTGAAGTACTTCATAGTTATCCCTCCGACGATAGAATAAACTATCAAAGGAATTTAATTCATCCGTTAAAAGATACAACAAATAATTATTTTGATAATGATGATAGTACAAAAGAATCTATTAATGAATATATACCTAAAAAATATAATAGAAGTCCAATAAAAGAAATAAATATTCAAAATACTGGTTTAGGTGTAAAAGAACTGGAAAATATTATTCAAACTTTACGAGGTGAATTATTAAGTTGGAAATTAAAATATAAAGAATTATTTAAATCATTAGAACAATTTAATGGAGATAAAGAACTACTTGTTGAAAATGCTGATTTAAAAAAACAATTGATAATTTTAGAAGAAAGAATACGACAAAGTTCAACTGACGATAAGAGACATCATATAGATAAATTACAAATGGAAATTAAAAAGTTAGAGGATATAATCAGTGAACTTCGAAATGAAAATAAGTCTCAATTAACTGATATTCATGAACTATTGGATCAATCAGAATTGGATAAACAAGATATAAATGAGTTAAGAATGAATTTACAACAAAAGAATCAAGAGTCAAATTCTTCAGAAGTTCAAAAGTTGGAGGATTTATTAATCGATGAAAAAAGAAACGCTGATGATCTTCTAAAACAGATTGAGGAGATTAAATTGGTAAAAGAACAATCATCACAAAAGGATAAAAGAACCATTGATCAATTAAATACCATTATTGAAGATATGAAGAAAACTCAATCTATTTCAAATAACAGCCAGATTCATAAATTGGAAAGACAATCAGAACTTGATAAAGCCAAAATTGACGATCTTAAACAATCAATTATAGATCTTGAGCAACAACTACAAGGATTGTTAAAAGAATCCAAAAACGATAATAAATTAATTCATGATCTTAGACTGCAAATCTCAAAAAAGAATTCTCATATCGACAGTTTAACAACCAAACTATCATCATTAGAACTTCAATTAGACTCAATTATATCAAACCAAGACTTCAATACCAATCATAAAATTCAACAATTAACTGATCAATTAAATAATGAAAAACAAAGAGTTAATGAATTGAATAGAAAATTGGAATCAGCATATAAGGAAAGAGAAGATACTTATGAAGCAAAATATCACAAAGATCATTTATTGGAAGAACAAAAACAAACCATCAATAAATTGAAATCAGAATTGGAGATAGAAGTTCAACATTCCAATAATTTAAAAGTCAAAATCAACAATCTTACAACAAAGAAATTCGAGAAAGAAGAATTAGAAAGTCATTTTATTTCACTTGAAAATGAAAATGAAACTTTAAGAAAAGACCTTAAAAAATCAGATGTCTATTGTGAGAACCTTTTGGAAGAAAATACTGAAATGAAAGCAGACATAAAAACTTTGATTAAAGAAAATGAAAATTCAAAATTACAAATGCAATCTACAATTGAAAAATTGGAACATGATATTATTGATCTTGAAGATGAAAATAGACTACTAAGGTCGGCTAAACAACAACCAGGTAATGATACTTTGTATGAGGATAATGTTGAATTGGTGAAAAAAGTGAGATCAATGCAAAGGATTTTGGGAGAACTTGGAATCTCAGATGAACTAGAGTTGACACAATTTGAGAAAGAGTTGAAAAGAGTTATATCCACAATGAAGAATGAAGTAAAGGAAGGAGACTCTGTTATAAATCAATTGAAAAAAGATTTAAGTCATGCTCATAATGAAAGAGAGATGTTGATCGAGGATTTAAAAACAATACAAGATGAAAATAATTTGTTATCCTCAGATATGAGAGTTATTCGAAATGAAAATAAACTGTTAAATTCTGATTTAAAAAGTGCTTTGGATACCATAAAGGAACTTCAAAATGAATTAGCCAATTCACAAGACAATAGACTACTAAATCAAGAAAATCTCAAAAAGGATCTTAAATCACTAGAGCAAGAAAATAACGAACTAAAACGTCAAATTAAACTTCTTGAAAATGAAAAATCTAATTTGGAGAAAGATTTAAGTTTCAGTCAAGAACAATTTAAAAAAATTGAACAAAATGAAGGAGAATCCCCTATCCAAGCGTATCACGATTTTCAATTGAATCAAGCTCGTAGTGATTATAATAAATTGATGGAAGATTATAAAAAAGCAATGGTAGACCACGATTCAAAAGTAGTCAATCTAAAAGAAGAACATTTGTACAAAATTAAAAAATTACAAGACAAACTTAATGTATCAAATGAAGAACTTTTAAAAGCAAATGGAGATATAAAAATGTTGACAGATCAAATTTGGAAAATCAAAAGTAAAATCCATGGTGGTAATGATTCATCTAATAGAGTAAGATTTTTAAGAGATGAAAGTAATTATTTCAGAATAAGATATAAAGATACAAGTTTGAAAAAGAATGACTTTGAATTTTTATACAATTTTGCCATAAATCAAATAAAATTAAGTCCTTTACCAATTGATGATGATTCAAAATTAATAAAAGTTGGGATATATCCAAATTATAATAAAGGTACAGTTAAAACAAAACCTCCAACTTTTAAAACTATAGCTCAGTTTGTACTAGCTGCTGTAAGATTAAAAAATAGAGCTGATTTTGGAAAAAGTAAATTTCTTCATGTTGAAAAAATTAAAAATAAATTAGATTTTGCAAGATCAAAGTATAAAGAATATATTAATGCTTGATTATATAGATTTTTAAATAATAATACATCAAGAATCATTTTACTTATTTGTTAAGTTGTCAATTCCTTTCTTTTTTTTACTTTTGTGGTTGTCAATTATTGATAAAATAATTATTATTGTAAATTTAAATCAGAGGGAAAAAATAAATAAATGATTTAAATATAAATTTAAAATTATTGATTTTAATAAATTGATTATTTTTTTTCTCCCCACAATATTGTTATTATTCATCCAAAAAGATCAAAAAGATGTCTGAAGAACCACTATCACAATCTTCATCATCTTCATCATTTGTTCCTATACCATTACAAGATGCAATTCAAGTAATTGATGAGTATAAACATTTCAATGATGAAATTTTAGATTATGTTAATAAAACTTCAACCTACGGTCATAATTATCATATAGTGGCCGTATTTGGTTCACAATCAACTGGTAAATCAACTTTATTAAATAAATTGTTTAATACCAATTTCGATGTTATGAATGAATCAAATAGACAACAAACCACCAAAGGAATTTGGTTAGCTCATTCGCCAGCAATATCATCAACATCAGGACAATTCTCAAATAAATCAAATATTTTAGTTATGGATGTTGAAGGTACAGATGGAAGAGAAAGAGGAGAAGATCAAGATTTTGAAAGAAAAGCAGCATTATTTGCATTATCAACTTCAGAAGTTTTAATATTAAATATTTGGGAACATCAAATTGGTTTATATCAAGGTGCAAATATGGGATTATTAAAAACTGTATTTGAAGTTAACATAACATTATTTGGTAAAAGTAAATTAGAAAAAAAAAATGATCATAGAGTATTATTGTTGGTTGTTATTAGAGATCATGTTGGAAATACACCAGTTGAAAGTTTAGCAAGTACTATAACTCAAGATTTGAAAAAAATGTGGGATTCTTTGTCAAAACCAAGTGAATTTGAACATTTAAAATTTGAAGATTTTTTTGATCTCGATTTCCATGCATTAAATCATAAGATATTACAACCAGAACAGTTTATTACAGGAATTAATAAATTAGGTGATAGATTATTAAAAGAAAATGATTTATTTAAACCAGAATATCATCATAATATCCCAATTGATGGCTGGACATTATATGCTGAAAAATGTTGGGAACAAATTGAAAATAACAAAGATTTAGATTTACCAACTCAACAAATTTTAGTAGCTCAATTCAAATGTGATGAAATTGTTGAAATAGTATATCAAGAATTTTTAAGTAAATTTAATGAACACTTCAAATTAACACAAGAGAATCCAAATTTTGAAAATTTAGGTTTATTGTTTAATGACTTGAAAAATGAAGTATTAGAAGATTATGATCAATTAGCTGCCAAATATAATCAATCCGTTTATGAACTGAAGAGACTTAAATTAGAATCGTTGGTCAATACAAAATTTAAAGAAGTATTTGACTTATATTCAAGACAATTAATTCAAAATTCAACTTCATCATTTGAAAATGATTTAATAGCATTAAAAGGTCAAAATTTTGTAGAACAATCACAAAAATTATCAACAAGCATTATTACATTAGTTGCATTAAATTTGGGATTAATTTCTTTGAATGGTTCAATTGATCATAAGGATTTAATTTCAAATTTTGAAAAAGATATTGCAGGTACAATACTAAAACAGCAAAAAATTGAATTAGATAATATTATAAATAAGTCTGTTAAAAAATTAAATACAAATTTAACAAAATTCATGCAATTAGAAATAAATGATCCAAATGAAAAAACTTGGGATAATATCTTGAATAAATTTAAAGAATTAATTAATGATATCAGTTTAAAATATCCAAACAACGATTTTAATCTAAATACATCAGACGAGCAAAATGAAGAAGCGATTAAAAAATTTAAATTTAAATCATGGAACAATTTTCATGAAATCATACATAAATTAATTTTTAAAGAAAAAGTTTTAGAATTATTAATTAATAAATTTGATGATAAATTTAGATATGATCAAAATGGATTACCAAAATTATATCAAAATACAACTGAATTAGAAACAAATTTTGCTATAGCTAAAGAACATTCATTAAACATTTTACCAATTTTAACAATTGCAAAATTAAGTGATGATTCAGAAATAATTCCAGATTATAATATTTTTGATAAAAATTTAAGAATTAAATATGGATTAAAGATTGAAGATGAAGATGAATATGAAGATGATGATGAATTAAAAGAAGAAGAAGCAGAAACAAATGCATTTGCTAATATAATAAATGAAACTGAAAAATCTCAAATATTTCAAAAATTTAAAAAGGAAATTGATGCAAAATTTATGGAAACTAAAAGATCAATTGTTCAACATATTACTTCAATACCATATTATATATATATAATTATAATAATTTTAGGATGGAATGAATTTATGGCAATAATCAGAAATCCTTTTACATTTGCATTATCAATATTAATATTAGCATCAATTTATATATTATATTCAATGAATTTATTAAAACCAGCAATTACAATAACAACAAGATTAATTGATGAAATAATTGTTGCAGGTAAAACAAAATTAAAAGAAGTATTAATTGATGATTTTGATATACAAGCAAGAAATTTATCAAAAATTAGTGGACAATCTAAACAACCGATAGAAGAAGAAGGAGTTGAAAATATTGAATTAGAAGATTTCAATAAACCAAAAGTTCTTGTTGAAGATATTAATGACGAATAAGAGAAAGTTTTTTTAATATAGTTTTTTATATAGTAAGTTTTTAATAATACTATAAAAAAGTAAATATAGTGTTTAGTTGTTATTCGTATATACTTGTAATAAATCAGATTTGTCTTCAATAGTAATAAAATATTAAAAATTTAATATGTCAAAATTGAAAATAAATCAAATTTGTATAATAATATTTTATTTTTTTAATATATGATAAACAAAATGACGCAATAAATTATAAATTGAAACATCAGTGCGCAGTTTCAAAGACCGACCCCATTTATTTATAATATTCCGCTAAATTTTAAATCTACAACCAATGGAGCCAATCTTTTTTAGAAATAAAAACAATATGGACATTTCTTGAATTTATTAGTAAATTTTTATAAGTATAAATGATCTATTGTTACTTCTCGGAAAAATTTAAAGCAGCTGTAAGATTTTAAAACTAACAATCAAAAATTAAAAAGAAACTTCAAAACAGTTTAAAGTACAGTCATTACATTATTAAAAGTGGCAAAATACTTTGTTGTTTTCAGCTTGAACTATCAATCAAGGCTCAAAAAATTGATAGTAAGGATTAATTTAATTAAAAGAAAGCGCCGTAGAAAAAATAATTAATGTTGAGGGTATCAATTAAAAACAATTAAAATCAATCGAAATGATCCAATTATTTCAATCAGCTCAAAGAATAGATTAAATTAAAAAATGTAGCTATTGTAACATTGTTGTAACATAATTTTTATTATTTAAACAAATTTAATTACACAAAAAAAATTAAAAAAAAATAAAAAAGAATTACAACTTAATTACAACTTTGAATCTAACTGAAATCAAATAGTTTTTTTTCTACAACATATTTACTTTTGTATATTCATAAAGATATATTACTACAACCATTCTATTAAATACCTATATCATTTATTATTTTGTATCATCATTTTATTCTTTATTAAATTCGAAATTATTATGGAATAATTTACAATTAATTTAATTTTTTTTTTTTTTACTATCAAAAGAATTATTTAAAATAGAAATACAACCATAAGTTTTCAATTTAACTTATATCATTAGCAAAAGTATTCATATATATATGTATATATATATCCGCAACCCAATAATTTTAACATAATCATTATCTCATTTGCATTTACAAATTATTCATACATTTTATACTATTTGTTTCGTTTAATCTCATACCTTTTTCAGCATATTTCACTTCATATCATGACAATTATTTCATCTTCACAGAATGATTCAGGATCTTTTAAAACTACAAAATATTTTAAAAATACTATAACGACATCTACATCAAATATTTCCACTACTGATTCATCTCCTTCCACACCTAATGGATCATTAGAATCAATTAATATGTTAACAAATTTAAATTTATCAACTTCTTTATCATCAACTTCTACAACTGTTACTTCAACTTCATCATTATTAGATTCAATAGTTGACTCATTCACAAAACCATTAAATAATGAAAATTTAAATAATCATTCTAATTTATTAGTTGATGATTTTAATTCTTCATTATTACAAGATTCTATTACAATGATTCCAAATTATAATATATCTCCAACTGGTGAAGAAGAAGGCTCATATCTTGTAGTTGATTTAGGTGGTTCAACTTTAAGAGTCGCCATTGTAAATATAGACTCACCATTGTCTAATAAAGACCGTAAAGATAGGTTACAAGTTATAATTGAAAATAAATGGATAATATCAAATGAATATAAAACTATCAATTATGAATTTTTTAAATTTATTGGATCAAAAATACAAGATACATTAAATAAACAATCTTTAATCAACACAAAAAATGTAATAAATACAGGTATTACTTGGTCATTTCCTTTAGATACTACAAGTTTTAATAATGGTAAAATACGTCATGTTTCAAAAGGTTATACAATTGATAAAGAAATATATGATCAAGATTTAAAAGAAGTATTTGAGTCAGTATTATTAAAAGAATTTAATATTCAAATAGATATAAGATCAATTTTAAATGATTCTTTAGCTGTTTATTCTGCAGGTTCATTTTTAGATGATAAAATGAGATTAGCAATGGTTTTGGGAACTGGTTTCAATATGTGTTGTCAATTACAAACAAACAAAAATAGAATGCATTCAAAAAAATTAATTGATAATGAAATTTTGATCAACACAGAATTATCATTATTTGGTCAACATTTATGTGATGATTTTACTACAAAATATGATGGATTCATTGATAAAAGATTTAATCATTTCAAACATCATTTTAAAACTTATTTATCAGAAGATCCAGATTGTAATTTATTATTTCAACCTCATGAATTAATGACAAGTGGTAGATACTTACCAGAGCTACTTAGATTAATATTAATTGATTTAATTAATAATGAAGAAATAATGACAAATTTCAATAAAAGTGAATTAAACGAAATTATAAATTTAAGATATGATGGATTCTCAGGAGAATTAATGTGTTTTATAAATGAATGTAATGATTATAATTTAATCACTTTAAAATTCAAAGAATTTTATAATTGGGAGGATGAAAAAAATATAAAGAATTCCGATATTGAAATAATGAAGATTATAATTGAATCAATAATAAAAAGAGCTTCATTTATTGTAGCAAATACAATAATTGGGTTTTTCAAATTATTTAAACAACATAATAATGATGAAAATTTAGAAGGTTTAATTACTATAGGCTACGTTGGTTCCGTTTTGAATTATTTTCATAATTATAGAAATTTAATCATTGAATATGTAAATTCAAGTAATGATGCAATTAATGAAGGTTATAAAGTTGATTTGAAATTAATTGAAAATAGTTCAATTATTGGTGCAGCAATTGGAGCTGCTTATTATTCAAAGTAAATATGAATGAAAAAAATAGGTAAAAAGTATTATGGAAAATACAAAAAAAGTAAAAAGCTAAATGAAAATGTATATTAATTTTGATTTTTAGTTTTGTTTTGTTATGGCATTTTTAGGGAGTTTTTAGGGGTTTTTAGATAGATAATTTAAAAGGACAATTTTATTAACAAAATTTTCAATTGTAGAATACGTAAAAACTTCTGAATAGTAAGTAACATTCACTAAACTTGTATTAGAATTAAGGATAATGTAAAAAACAGTAAATACAACAAAAAAAAAAGCATTATTTCATTATTACAATACTACTCTAAACTATTTATTTTATCTATAATATTACTTATAATTTTGATTTTAATCCAGCAGCTGCATTATCACAAACAATTAAAACATTTGAATGATCTTGTAAATAACTTGAAGGAAATTTTGGATCATTTGGTTTACCATTTATAGTTTTATCTAAAGCAAATTTTTTATTTTCTCCCAATACAATAATTGCAATTTCTTCAGAATTATCTAAAATTGTTGATATACCAACACTTAAAGCAAAACGAGGAACCTTCTTGAGATCATTTTCAAAAAATCTTGAATTTGCTTTTATTGTTGAATCAACTAATTCTACTTTTCTTGTTTTTGAATTTCTTGTTGATCCACTTTCATTAAATGCTAAATGACCTTCTGGTCCTAATCCACCTAAAAATAAATTTATTTTACCATATTTTTTAATTTTTAATTCATAGTTTTCACATTCCTTTTCTATATTTGAAGTTAATCCATTTAAAATATTTATATTTTCTTTTGGAATATCTATATGATTAAAAAATTTATCATACATAAAATAATGATAAGATTGTGGATTTGTTGGTGATAAATTTAAGTATTCATCCATATTAAAAGTTATAACATTTTTAAAAGTAATTAAACCCTTTTTATTGGCTTCAATTAATCTCTTGTATATTCCTTCTGGTGATGAACCTGTTGGTAAACCTAATATAAATGGTTTTGATGATGTGGGATTAAATGTATTAATTTTTTTAATTATATAATCAGCAAGATATTGTGATGCATCTTCATCTGATGAAAAAGTTGCTTGTCTCATCATTTATTGAATTGGTTGATATAGTAATGAAGAATTGTATGAAATTATGAATATATATAGATCAATATATAACATGATTTAAGTAAGATGTTTTCAAATATAACTGTTAATATAATTAATGTATGTATGTTATATTAAAACCGTAAGTTAAATGCGACGTTACATAATTATCATAATTATCATAATAATAATTGTAAAATTTCTATTAACTAAAAACAATCATTCCAATAATGTGAAAGTATTGATACAAAAGAAATCTAATAAAACCAATAATAGAATTTTTAGGCGTAGAGTTAATACAACAATTGTTGCCACTTTGGGGCAATCAAGTCAAAGAAATAGTGGTGGTTGTAATGGAAAATCATTAATCGTTTTAATACTAGATCTTTAGCAAAACTTTCAATGTAACATAATTCAATGTTACATTTAAAGATCTCATGTTACATTTTTAGAGATGACTTTAAACAAAAAGCAATTTATTTTGTGTAATTCGATTTGAATGATCAATATTATAATTATGTAATACCTACACTGTGTATTACATAATTTATTATCTAATATAAGGGGTATTATTACATAATATTTGACATATTATTATGTAATATTATACTTATTAATTACAACATTTGAATCATTTCTTTAATAGAATTCTAAAATTGCAATCATTTTCTAAATAACTAATTATGATATGGAAGAAAATGAAAAATTATATAACACTCGTGCTTCTTCAATATATTTAAATATATATATATACTATGATTTATTCAAATACATTTTAATATCAACAGGTTTAATATAACTTCTATTTATTTGTTATACAACTTTACAACATATTCATTTTTTTTTAATTATACCCTTTTTATAGATTAAATTTCATATATTCATTCATTACATTATACCCATTCAATTCATAAAATTATATAAACATTATACCAAATTATGTCATCAATTACTAAATTTACAAATTGTCATTTAATAGATAATGGAAAATTATATCAAAATACTGATTTATATGTGGATAATAAAACTCAAAAAATTATACATAAACCATTAAATTTTAACAATATTGATAATATAAAAATTATAGATTTAAAAGGTGAAATATTAGCTCCAGGTTTTATAGATATTCAAAATAATGGAATTTATGGATTAAATTTTTCAAATTTAAATACAAATTCAACTGATGAAGATATAAAAGAATTTAAATTATTTTATAAAGATGCTATGAAAAAATATTTATCAACTGGTGTTACATCATTATGTCCAACTGTTACTTCAAATTTTTCAGATGTTTATTTGAAAGTTTTACCAATATATAAAAGATCAAGATTAAATAATCAATGTGATTCTTTAGGTGCTCATTTAGAAGGTCCTTTTATAAATAAACAAAAAAAAGGTTGTCATCCAGTTGAAACATTTGTTGATGCTAACCCTACAATAGTAAAACCTGAAGATAAATTATTAGAAATTTATGGTGGTGAAAAAAATTTATTAGAAAATGTTTGTATTATTACTGCAGCTCCTGAAATTCCTGGAGTTTTAGAATTAATTCCATTTATAACTCAAAATACAAATTGTGTTTATGCAATTGGTCATACAATGACTGATTATAATACTGGTTTAAAAGCTATAAATAATGGTTGTACAATGATTACTCATTTATATAATGCAATGCCACAACCTCATCATAGAGATGCAGGAGTTATTGGTTTAATAAATACTCCAAATGTTTCAGAAAAAAATTTACCATATTTTGGATTAATTTGTGATGGAGTTCATGTAAATCCTTCAATGATAAATTTAGCTTATAAATCAAATCCAGAAAAATGTGTTTTAGTGACTGATGCAATGCATTTAATTGGTTTACCAGATGGTTCATATAAATGGGATGATCAAATTATTGTTAAAACTGGTGATAAATTATATTTAAAAGATACAACTACATTAGCTGGTGCATCAACTACTTTACCTCAATGTATTAGAAATTTAATGAAATGGTCAAATATAACATTACCAGAAGCTGTTAAAACTTGTACAAATAATGCTGCTAAATCAATTGGTTTAGAAAAAGAAAAAGGTTTTTTAAATGTTGGTTGTGATGCTGATTTTGTTGTATTAGATCATAATGGTTATGTTACAAGAGTTTTTAAATTAGGTAATGAATTTAAATCTTCTGATATTAATGAAGATATTGAATATCAAATTGAAACAGAAAAAAGTAATAACAAGCATAATAATAGTAGCAGAATTTCAGCTGTTTTATAGATTAAATTAGTTGATACAAAAATTTAGCACAATTATAATAAATAACATAATAGAATGAATTTAACACTTTCCAAATTGAAGCGTTCAACTTTAGGTTTAGAGCTCAAAAATAAAATTTAAAATGTTTAATTGAAGTATTTTTAAAATTAGATTATTCGGAGTATCAATCATCTCTAATTTATAATATTCGCCAGCAATTCATCGAAGCATCAATACCTCAACATTATTGAGACTTCGAAATTTGAAATTTGCTTTCATAGTGTTACACTCATCAATCGTTAATAAACCTCGATTGTAGTCTACAGATCGTGAAATATGGAAAATAATGCAATTTTTTAATGATGTATGTTTTTAGTAGAATTCCATTACTTTCATTATTGTTGATGATTTTTGATTGCAAAATATTCCAACAATAGTTATAAAATTTCTCAACTTAATATGAATTAATTGTTCAGACATCTTGTACTATAAAGTAGAGGAAATCAAATCTGTTGACTGTGAAGGTCCATCCGCCAATAACATAACAATATACTTAATCTATTGTAAGTTTCTTTTCTTTTCAAAACTCTACAAAGAAAGAGAAACATAAAAATTAATATTAGGTATATTATGTATAACAAAAATTAAAAGATGTTTCACTTTAATTATAAATTACCCCCCTTTCGCGTTTGTAGAAAAAAAAAAAAAAAGATTTTGTATATAAATATGGAGAAAAATCTTGAAATAATTTTTTTTTTTCTATTTTCCCTAATTAAATTAGAGAAACACATTTAATGGGGATATCAATCAAATAATAACGTTTTAATAAATATTTCATTAGAAAATGGATATTGAAGAAATTCAATCCCTTATTAATTGGTATGGTGCTTAAGTTGAGGATATCTTTAAGTAAAGTATTAATCTTGGAGTTTAATCCTAGTATTTAAATGCTTTATTGAAGTATTTTTTTTTTGAATGAAATCACAAGGAGTATCATCATTTGTTTAAATTTATGATATTCGTTGAGATTGTACCATAGCATCAAGACCAAAGCTTCATTGTGTTGTCTAAATCCTAAATGGTGTAAGTGTTTGTAGCCTTTTTTTAATAATTCGAAAGTCTATAGTTTTTCAATGTATGATTTGTATGATGTATGTTTTTAATCAAAAATTTGTAGATATCATTTCTTTTTATTATGAAGCTATTGATGACTTTTGATTGCAAAAGTTATTAAACCTGACGAAAGACTTCTTTTACTGAATTAAGTCAAAGAGAAAACTTAGGTCTTAAGTGACTTGATTACAAATGGTGACCTAATGAATTTTCGCTGAACTATTTCCAATAAAATCTCAAATTTCAAGGGCATAAAATTTTTAGCTTAACAACTCCATTCAATTTACATATTCTATCATCCAATTTATTTAGTGTTGATTATGATACATGTAACTATAATTACAATAGGAAAACAATTTGTTTCAAAACATTTCACATAAAACTACAATTGTATCCATTTATTAACAGTTTGGTATATACACTACTTTACATTTTTTCGATAATTTACTTACTCTCTTCTCTATGCGAAAAAAAATATTAGTTTGAGTATGGATTAACAAAATATCATCATCATTTTGATCAATTATCAACTATTATAGATACTGCAATAATCACTTTTTCACTCATCATTCACTATTAACTTACGACGATTTATTCAATTTATATTAAAATAAATATACACATATATACACAAATAATACATAATGGATGATAACGATAGAGCTATTTCACGTTTGTTTAGGACGTTTAAAACAGTGAAAGAAATGGTTAAAGATAGAGTATGTTTCTAGATATCATATAGATATACTTGGTTATTGAAATACTAACGTAATAAAGGGCTATTATATATCACAAGAAGAACTTGATATGACATTAGAAGAATTTCGAGCAAAAGTTTGTGATTCAATGGGTAATCCACAAAGAAAATTAATGTGTTTCCAAGCAACACCAACAGGAGAACAATTAGATAAATTTCCAGAAATGGGTTCTTTATGGGTAGAATTTTGTGATGAAGCAAGTGTTGGTATAAAAACAATGAGAAATTTTTGTATACATATAAGTGAAAAAAATTTTTCAACTGGTATTTTCATATATCAAAATAGTATTACTCCAAGTGCAAATAAATTAATTCCCACTGTACAACCAGCAAGTATTGAAACATTTCAAGAAAATGATTTAATTGTTAATATAACTCATCATGAGTTAGTGCCAAAACATATCAAATTAAGTAAAATTGAAAAGAAAGAGTTATTAGAAAGATATAGATTAAAAGAATCCCAACTACCAAGAATTCAAAGAGAAGATCCAGTTGCAAGATATTTAGGTTTAAAAAGAGGAGAAATTGTTAAAATTATAAGAAGATCTGAAACTTCTGGTAGATATGCATCTTATAGAATTTGTTTATAGGATATTTATTATTTATTTAATTACTTAACAATGTTTGTAATATATATAATAATTTTAATATTTTAATACTTCTATAAAACTATGTAATCTATTTAAGTATACCGCAAAGGACACTATCTTGTTTACCGTTCCACCATTTAAAATTTTTTAATTCAACTTGTTTATTGGGTGAAACTTCAACTCCATCTTTACCTAAAAATATTGGAGCAATTGTTATAATTAAACTATTGAAAAGTTTTTTATTTGATGATAATATATCGTTTATAATAGTAGCACCACCCTCAACCATAATTGAATTTAAACCCAATTTGTTCAATTCTTCAAATATTAAATTCCAATTATCTTTTCTATTTTTAAGTAATGCTAATTTTATATAATCTCCACCTTGCTTTTTTAATTTTAAACTATTTTTAGTATGTTCTATTGAATCATCAATCAAAATATACGGTGGTAATCCCTGTTTCATTTCGCAAATTTTAGATAATTGAGAATTATCATAATCCCATTTATTTAATGGATCAGTTATAATTGGTCTTATTAATGGTAATTCCCCATCATTATCTGTTTCCAAATATCTACAATTTAATTTTGGATCATCAGCTAATACAGTATTTATACCAACTAATATAGCTTGATGTTTTGATCTTAAATAATGTGTCATTGTTTTAGTTTCTAAATGTGATAATTTTGTTTGAATTCCAGGTTTTGCAGAAATTCTTGAATCAATTGATTGTGCATAAGTTAATGTTATATATTTATCATCTTTATTATTGGGTATATATGGTTTTAAAAATGGTATTAGTGATTCTGGTAATGGTGGTAATGACATAAAGTACAACTGTTTAAAGTAATGAATCTTGAAATAAATTTACAATCTTACTTAGTCTTATTTTTTTTCCTCACCAAATTTACAAATACAAGAATTACTTCAATTAATATATTTTATTTAAATCTTTTTGATTTCTATTAAATTGATCTTCTTTTTCTAATTCTAATTGTTTTATAATTTCTTGATCTCTTAAAAATCTTTTTTTTTCTCGTAATTTCCAATTATTAAATTCTAATTCTGGATTTAAATCATCAGTATCATCAATTGAATTTATACCATTTAATTCATCTTTTGATGAATCTATATTATTTATTTTACTTTTTTGATCTAATTGAGATATTAAAGTTTCTTTTCTTTGGTTACTAGATGTGGTAGTCAATTGATTCTCATTATTACTAATAGTTTTATTATCATCATCAATATTCTTATTATTATTTCTTTGATTTTTAGATATAAATATTGGTTTTGTAATAATATTTTGTTCTTCTTCTTCTGAGGATGATGAATTAGATGAATCAGATTCGTAGGATGATGATGAAGAGGGGTTATTGTTATTTTCATTTTCATGTGACATTTATAATTCAAAAAGAATGTTAAATAAAATATTAAATGAATATAAAATCTCGAGTAAAATAAATTTATAAAACTGTACTGTATATAATTTATAAGATATTGAGGGGTAAATAATCAAGTAAATAAATATCAATTTTGATTTATACCATCAATTCATTAATATTATAGAAGGTAGATTAATTGAATTAAATGATGAGATGATATCAAAGTAAATTATTAATGTATATGTATTTAATAAGTAACAATAAGATATATTATAATACAATAATATTGTAACATTGATGTGAAACGTTGAAAATTATTACTAGACTATTTAAAATAATATTAAAAAATTTACCTTACTGTTTAAGTAAATTCAACACAAATAAACTCCGAAATAAGTTTGTACCACATCGACCAGATTACGGTATTAAATTTAATTCGATTCTTCCTTCGTGCCATTCGAATTTTTTGTTTTAATTCGTTTGTCTTTTTTAACGCGATATAAATTAATTTTTTAAAATTTCTTTTTTTTTTCTTTTTCTGTCAATTTTGATAATTTTTTTTTTTACTTTTGTTTATTGTTTACAAATTAAATTTTTCAATACTTTTACAAGATAAAATTTCAAAATTTTAGTATTAAAAGAAAGGTCTTTCACTAAATTTTATACTAAGTCTGTAATAAATATTATTAATTGAAAAGATGTCCTTCCCAACACCAACTTGGGATACTCCTTTTGGAATTAAATTATGGCCATTATTTAATTCACTTATTTCAACTATAACTAATAATTATTTTATTCCATCAAATTTTAAATTTATTGAAGGTATTACTCCTTTATCAACTTTTCAACCAGTTGCTTTAGCTATATTAACTTATTATATTATTATATTTGGTGGTAATTATATTTTTAAAAAATTTAATATTAAACCTTTTATACTAAATGGTTTATTTCAAATTCATAATATTATTTTAACTACTATATCATTTACTTTATTAATTTTAATGATTGAACAATTAATTCCAATGATTCATTATAATGGTTTATTTTTTGCAATTTGTTCAACAAAAGCATGGACTCAACCATTAGTTTGTTTATATTATTTAAATTATTTAACAAAATTTGTTGAATTTATTGATACATTATTTTTAGTTATTAAACAAAAAAAATTAACTTTTTTACATACTTATCATCATGGTGCAACTGCTTTATTATGTTATACTCAATTAATTGGTGATACTTCTATTTCATGGGTACCAATTTCTTTAAATTTAGGAGTTCATGTTATAATGTATTGGTATTATTTTTTAGCAGCAAGAGGTATTAGAGTTTGGTGGAAAGAATGGGTTACAAGATTTCAAATTATTCAATTTATTTTGGATTTAGGATTTGTTTATTTTGCAACTTATCAAAAATTAATTTATAATTTTTTTAATAATTATATTGATGTTTTACCATTTTGTGGAGATTGTGCTGGTAAATTGATGTCAGCTTATTCAGGTTGTGCTATATTATCATCATATTTGGTTTTATTTATTGCTTTTTATATTGATGTTTATAGAAGAAAATCTTCAAAAAAATCAAAAATTGTTAAATCAGTTAAAGGTGGTGTTGCTGCTCAAGTTAATGAATATGTTTATGTTACTGGTAGAGAAGCAACTCCTATTCCAGAAGTACAACAACAAAAACAAGTACGTTCCAGAAAAGCTTAAGTTTTTGGGGAAAATATTTGAAGTGTTAATTTTATTTATTTACTAGAGATAATTGAATACCATATAGTATTTATTAGACGATTGAAATTCCGTGATTTATAAATTAAATTCTATTTTAATCTATAAATTTTTTAAAACTTCTTCGTAAGTTGGAATTCCTTCAGCTGCTCCCTTTTTCTGTATTGCCAAACTACTTGCAATTGTTGCAAACTCAACTGCATCTTCAATTTTTTTACCTAATGCTAAATTCGAAACAACTCCTCCGAAAAATGTATCACCTGCACCAGTTGTATCTATTACATTTTCAACTTTTTTAGATTCTATAAATCTTGGTTTTGTTGTTGTGTTTCCATCATGAAATAAACTACCTTTACTTCCCATTGTTATTATTACAGTTTTTATATTACTTTGATTAATTAATTTTTGAATTTCTATTGTTAAATTTTCAAACCCTTTTACATCTTCATTAATTTTAGTTTTTGGTAATAAATGTTTAGCTACATCTAATGCTTCACCTTCATTGACTATCAATAAATCTATTTTTGACCATATTTCATTAGTTATTAGTTCTTTTTTGAAAGGTGATGGATTATATGCAATATTAATATTTGGTTTATTTAATTTTAACCAATCAATTGTTTTAGCAGTATCAGGATATTCATTTTGTAATACAACAAATCCAATATCTATATCTTTAAAATATTTAGAATATTCCTCATCTGTAGGTTTTAATTCACCATTTGTACCTGGAGTTATTAAAATTCTATTCTCACCATTTGATTCAACTATAATTACTGCAACACCAGATGATATATTTTCAATTTCTTCAATATATGTAGTATCAACTCCAGATTCAATTAAACAATTTTTTAAATTTTTACCAAAATCATCTTTACCAATTTTACCAATCATTCTAGTATGAATTTTATTAGTTGGTGATAATCTTGAAACTGCAATTGCTTCATTTAATCCTTTACCACCTTGATGAGTTTCAAATGAATTTGCTGTGTATGTTTCTCCACCTTGGGGGACTTTGTTTGTGAATGTAACTAAATCACAATTGAGTGATCCAATAATCGTAACTACTGGTTTAGACATGAGAAATCTATATGAATTTGATTGAGTTTGAAGAATTATTAGAACTGCTGCAAAATTAAAAAAAAAGAACTTTTGACATAATTAAAAGCGCATTGAGAATCGCGTTTTCAATTCACCACTTCTTTAAATGCTAAATGAATTTTATTGTCTATAAAAGAACTATATAAATACAATTTAATATTTTATTACATTAACAAATGCGAATGTAATTATGGCAATTTACCTTCTCTCTTTAATCTCATTTTTTCTGCGAATGACATGGGTTTTGCTTGTTTTGCTTTTTCTTCAGCGGCTTGAGCAGCAGCAGCTTGAGCAGCAATTTCATCTCTTTGTCTTTGTAATTCTTCATCTTTTTCTCTTTGTTTTCTCAATTCTTCCTTTAATTTAGCATGTTCAGCAGCTTGAGCTTTTCTTGCTGCTTCTTCTGCTTGAGCTTTTCTTTCTCTTTCTTTTCTTATTTTTAATTCTTCAATTCTTTGTTTTTTGACTTTTTCAATTCTTTCTTGTTTAGCTTGTTCAAATTTAGCTTGAGCTTCTTCTTTTAATTTAGCTACTTTAACTGCATTCTTAGCATCAATTTGTGATTTGAATTTGTTATAATCTGGTAATATACGTTGTAAACGATCTTTTAATGCAACAGAATCATCAAAGTCCTTTTTAGCTTTTTGAATTTTGGAATTTTTAACAGTTTCATAATTATCAAATTCTAATCCTCTTTGTTTATCTGAATCAGCTTCTAATAATTTTAATTCATATTTTCTAAATGCTCTTTCTAAATAATCAGCTTTTTTAGATGTTACTCTTAATTTTTCTTCTAATTCCTTTTTATCTTTATTTAATTGTTCAACTTGCATCATTTGTAATTTAGAAGTATCTAAATCTTTTAAATTATCTAAATCAACTTTAATGATACCTTTAGCATTAATTTCTTCAGCAATTTTACGTTTTTCATTTTCTTGAATTAAATCACGTTCTTTTTGTAATTTCTCCATCTTTTTACGTTCTTGTTCTTGAACTAATCTTTCTTGTTCTGCTTTTTGATCAGCAGCTTGTTTTTCTTGTTTCAATCTTGCTTGTAATTCTTCTTCTTCACGTCTTAATTTTTCAGCTGCTATTTTACGTTCTTCAATTATTTTGGCTCTACTAGCAATAGATTTTTGTTCAACAACAAAATCTTTCAAAGCACGTTGTTGAGCGTATTCTTGTGCTTGTCTTCTGCGTGATTCATAATTTGGATCGATAATTTGTACAGTTTCAGCCAATGTGGCGGCTAATTTACTAATTTGTGTACGAACTAATTCAGCTGGTGATATTTGTAAGTTGTTAGCAAAAGTGCTTGAGATTTCATCGAATGGATTTGATTTAAATGAAACAACACCGGCGTCATGATCAATACTTAATGAAATTAAATCATCTTTAACAGCATTTACAATTAAGTTTTCAACTTCTAATTCATTTAATGAATAATCTAAACCTTCAAATATACCTAATGATATTAAAAACTCTAATTTAACGGTTTCATATACTTGTGAGACTTGTTGGAAAATTCTGATCAAAATGACTTCAGTTAAAGTTGGGATATATCTTTTTAATTCACTGTCTGCTTCAATTGATTTGAAAATTTGAGAAACATCTTTTTTGACTGATAATGGATGAAATTCATTGGATTCTAATAAGTCGAATAATGATTTGACTGGTCCATCAACATATTTCAATATACCTCTTGATACAACTGATTTGATTAAACCTTCTTTGGTTGGAACTTGAGTTAAATTTAATAATGATGATAATTTTGAATTTTTAGTTCTATGTTCATCAACATCATTAATAGCTGTTTGTGGAATTGCTAATGTTGATAAGACTAAAATAGACGCAAATTTTTTTAATTCTTCATCTGTTGCTAATGGTGACTGTGAATACAAGTTAAAAAATTTATTCCAAGCAGCAGCATGGAACAAAGAATTATCTGAAACTGCAAAAATTCTTGCTAAATTTTCATAATAATTGGCCATCATATTTGGTTTTGGTGATTTTTTGGATGCGGTTATTAATGTATGAACGTCATCAACTGATCTAAAAGATTCTTGCCATAATTCTAATTTAACTGAAATATTCAATTGTGCAAATCTTTGTTCTAAATAACGTTGAACAGTATCACTATCTGATAAATCAATAGCATTATTAGTTGATGTTTTAGTTTGAGTTGTAACTGATTGCATGTGAACTCTTAATAATTCACATAATCTTCTAAATTCAGCTTTTCTTTTGAAATTAAGACAAAATTTAAATGCTTGATTTACAATAGCTGAATAAGTAACTTCTAATTTTGAGTTGTTTCTTAAAATATCTAGTACAGCTCTTAAAGCTTCCCATAAGAATCTTAACCATGGAGTAACTAATTCTCTTTCTGTTCTATCAGCTGTGTCAGTATTTGAAACAGCACTTAATAAAATAGTTTCAGGAGTTTGAGCAGTTTCTAAATCATCTTCAGCAGTTTCATCTTGATCAATTTTAATATCTGCTTTTGCTTGAGCTTCATCTAATTTTTTTTCAGCTAATCCAATAAATTTACGAACAATAGTTTGAACAGATTCTAAACCATTTTCTGATAATTGAATATTTTTTTTATATTGATGTAATGCATCTTTTGCTAATTTACCTTTTCTTAATTCAACTGCTAATTCAATTAATAAAATTGCAATAGGTTCTAAATCTTCGACTTGTAAATAACGAATTCTTTTAGATGTAATTAATTCATATAAAGTATCTAATGCTGCTTCTTTTTGTCCAACGGCAATTAAATCTTCAGCACGTTTTAAAACATTTTCAGGACGAAAATTATGACTCTTATGAGCTGGAGCCATTTCTTTGAAACCTATAATTTAGATTGATATAGTATATCTATAGATCTATTAATCTATTAGAATCTTTGTTTCTAAACAGTGAGATCAGAAAATTTTTCAGTACAAAAAAAAATTATTACTACTGTAACACAAAAACTGATGAATTTACAGTCGTGTGAATTTCAATCTCGACCTTTTTAAGTTCAATTGTATTTGATAATCTATTGATGGAAAATGAAATAAAGATCTATTCTTTTGTTTCAATCTACAACTAATAGCTTTATAATGGCAACTGCAAAGACATCGACTATAGTAGGGGCACTCGCATGCCAAAAAGATTCATTTTTGAAAAGTCTTGAGACTCAAGTTGTGTCTTGCTCAGAATTCTTAACCAAGAACGATTCACCATTATATAAGGTTGAGATGGTAGACTCGGTGTGTTTCCCCGAGGGTGGTGGACAACCATGTGATGAAGGATTTATAACAACATTGGATGGTAATAAAATTCCACTTAAATCTGTTATTAGAGAAAAACTAAAAGCTTTACATATAATTGATAAGCCATTAGATATAGGTTCTTCAGTTAAATTAATTATTGATTGGGATAAAAGAGTAGATTATATGCAACAACATACCGGTCAACATTTATTATCTGCAGTTTTTGATCAATATCAATTAGAAACTTTAAGTTGGAAAATGGGAGAGCAAATAAATTATATTGAATTACCTAAGAAGATAGATGATAAATTAGTTGAAGAAGTTCAATCAAAAGTAAATCAATTGATCTTTGAATCACATCCTATAGAAGTCACTACAGATGATTCAGAACTTGATACAAGTCATATTCCTGAAGATTATGATCAAGATGAAGGTATTGTACGAATTGTTAAAATCGGAAATATTGATGCAAATCCATGTTGTGGAACTCATTTAAAAAACACTTCTCAAATTTTATCAATTGTTTTATTGAATCAAGTTTCTGTCAGAGGTGGTCATTCAAGATTATTTTTCACTTGCGGATATCGTGTTTCAAAATTAACTTCCAATTATTACAATATATTAAAAACTGTTTCAGGTGTTCAGTTATCGTGTCAAATTGAAGATGTTACAAATAAAGTCGATCAATTAAGTACCAATTACAAAAAGGCTAACTCTACAATTGCAAATTTAATCAAAGAATTGGCGAACAATAAAGCCACTGAAATATATGATAAGTTTTCAAAAGATGAAAATGCAATTGCGTATGTTTATAGAGAAGATAATAATCCAGAATTCTTAACTTCAGTTCAAAAAGAGTTAATGACTATGATCAACTCAAAAAAATCGAAAGAAATTGATTTATCAACTAAACAAACTTTAATACTAATTAATGGGAATCATCAATCAAATGGAGGTATGATTAAGATTTTGGGTCCAAAAGCGACTGATATATCTACAGAATTGAAACAAAGAATAGGAAATTTAAAAGGTGGTGGTAAAGGTTCTACATATCAAGGGAAAATTACAAAATATGATAAACCTGAAATAGAATCAGTTCTTTTATATTTAGAATCATTATAGATACATGTATATTTACAGTAATATTTATTCAATTTATTATAATTAAATTAACGTTTAACCCAAGTTGGTGACTTTCTAGCTTTGACTTTACCCGGTTTCTTTCTTTCTACAACTCTTGCATCGCTAGTCATTAATTTAGCTTTTGATAACCTTGGTTTTATTAATGGGTTGAATATAACTAAAGCTTTTGCAATGGCATACATAATTGCTTCACTTTGACCTGTATAACCTCCACCACTAACTTCAGCAAATACATTATATTTACCTTCTTGATCAATAACTTGAAAAGGATAATTTAAATTTTTTCTTGCATATACATTTGTAAAATATTCAACAAGATTTTTACCATTAACTATAATTTCCCCTTCTCCGCGTACTAAATAAACTTTAGCTTCCGAAGCTTTTCTTTTAGCTTTTGCTTTTGCTCTTCCAAATTCATCTAAAGTTTTTAGTTGTGAAGTGGTCAATGATTTGTTTGAACTTTTTGAGTAATATTCTTGTAAAACATTTAATACATCAATTGGCATTAATTCTGAATCAATAATTCTTAATCTATTTAAACTTGTAATTAAATCTCTATAATGAATTTTTTTAACTCTTGTACCAGATTGAGTTCTTTCTCTATATGATTCAAATCCAATAAATTTTTGATTTGACAATTCTTCATCTGTTAAGATTTTTGTTGGTAAATTTTCATATTTTCTTAATAAAGTTTTTAACTGATTCATATTATTTTCATGAATTGGATTACCTCCATAAAATGTCATTAAAGTTGGTATTGTTCTTATTCTATTTAATTCGGGCATCGTTAAATTCTCTGTGACTTGAAATCGATTGAAATTATTTCTATTATTATTATTATTACTCTGGTTGTTGTAGTTGTTATTATTATTGTTACTGAATCTATTTGGTCTTGATATTTGTTCATCAAAAGATATATTTGTTGTTGTTGTGGTGGTTTTTGTATTTGAATTTGCTAAAATTGCATTACATGATTTCGTTGATTTAGAGAAACATCTTGAACTACGTAGACTTAGTCCACTTAGCCTTGATATTATTTTATTGTTCATTTATGATTGTATGTTTGAATCAATTGTACTGTTAATTGAAGAAATTGAAAAAAATAAAAAAAAAGTTTTCAAATTATACTTTAAATTGAAGAATAGATCACGTGATTTAAGAGTTAACGTTAATACAACGTTTTTTTTGCATCTAGAAGCAAAGTAAGTTTTTAGTGCTCATAAACGACTTTCAACCTTGATCAAGAATTGATGAACTCTCAAGCTTTGATAAGTAAAAGAATATTGAATTTTGAAACGCTGGTCAATTGATTGAAATTAAATTTAAAGTGATAATTTGGTAGCCACTCAAAACTTGGTACTAAATGAAAGAAAGAGAGAAAAAAAAAAAAACTTTAAAAACAAAATTCTAAAATAAAGAGAATTCAATTAACCAATTACTTATTTTAATAGATAGTATTATTACTACTTAAATATCAATACTGCAAAATTCATACATATAATCAATCAATTATTGAAACAAAGTAGTGACTCGGGCTTACTATTATTGAATTTTCATATATCCACAAACATTTATTTCCAACTCATTTTCATTAATTTAATTCCATAGCAAAAGTTTGAATTCAAAAGTTATATTTTATGTTACAATTAATTAAACAAATTCTAATATAAATTGATTTATTTTAAAATTATCAATCATATCTAACATTCATTTAAAAATTACTTTACCATTCACTTACAATAAACTTTTTTGATTGATTAATTAAATATAAATAATAATTTTTAGTTATATTCGTCTGAGTTATTGCATTATTTTATTTCAGAAAAAAAATATCAAGCAATATAAGTTATAAATGTCCTCTTCAAATCCTAGAGGAGGAGGACAATCATCATCTTCATCGCGGTATAATAATGATTATATAGATTATGGGAAAACTCGAAGGAAAAATTTTTATTCATCATCAACTATAGCAGCTTCTGCTAATTCGTCAAATTCAAATTTAAATTCTAATGCAAATATAAATTCATCAAATGAAACTAATTCATCAACTGTGCCGAATTTGTCACGACGAGATTTCAAAAGTAATGGACCCGGTTCTTCATCATTAACACATCTGAAAGATTCACAATCAAATAATACCAATAGAAATTCATCATCATCATATACGTCAAATTATTATTCAAATTCTTATGGAGGAAATTATGATAATTCATATTATAATAATAGGTCAGACAATTGGAGAAAAAATACAAATAAAGCTGGAGATTCACGACTATCTATGTCAAGTCATAAACCTACATTATCTGCATCATCATCTACATCAACAACATCATCTGCATCATTATTATCATCCACAAATAATTATAGAAATGGGAATGTAGATTATCGAAAAGATCGTTATGATTCTTACAGCACTCCAGATACAAGTAAATGGAAAAGAAATTCATTGTCATCATCAACAAGATTTTCAGCAAAGGATAGAATACGAAATGGTAAGACTTCATTAAGTTCATCATATACTTCAGGAAGTAATAATATACCTTTGGGCTCATCAACATCTAATACAGAAACTTATAGGTCTTCAAACTTTAATGGAGATCCTTATTATTCATCATCAAAATCTTATGGGTCATATTATTCAAAGCCAATAGACAGATACTCTTCATTATCACAACTGAAACTACCGTATTCGAAACCAAGAGATAAATACAAATATTCAAATTATGGCAAAAGTACATTAATAAATCCAATCGAGAAAAGCGCCAAAGAGCCTGAAAATGAGGAAAACGGAGAGCAAGAGCAAGAGGAAGGAGAAGAGGACGAGGATGATGAAGATCAAGATGAAGATCAAGATGAAGACCAGGACAATCAGGATGAAGAACTTCGAGAGGATCAAGAGAAAGAAGAGAAAGAAGAGAAATTAATTGGAGATTTAAGCGTTAAAGAGGAGAACGAAGGAAAATTGCACTATTCAAAAGGTAATGATAACGAAGTTGAAGTAAAAGAAGAAGAGGAATATGAAGAAGAATATGAAAAAAACATAGAAGATTCAGACTTCAAAGTAAAATCAGCCAAAACACCACCAATTTCAATACCTATCAAACAAGAAGATAAATTTGATACAGTTAAAGAAGACACTGGACCACAACTAGAAGGGACATATAGATATCCATTACCAAAATTGCAACAACAGTATGAGGATTTAGAAGCGCAATTTTTGATTGAAACTCCACAATTAAAATACAAGAAAGAAACTCCAATCTTATCCTTCTCAGAATATCCATTTTTTATCAATAATTATATGAATTTTAAATTAAGAAGAAAAAAATTAGTTAAACAACTTCAAGACAAGGATAAGCACTTACGAATAAAAACGCTAAATCTATGGCATTTATACAACAAAGGTTTAAAAAAATCCAATATTGAAAGAGCAAAAATGGATCAACAACTTCGTATAATTCATCCATTTGATGACGAAATGAGAAAAGAAATTGACTCAAGTGATTTAAAGAAACAGAATCAGCAATTTCCCACTGGTGCAAACAATAATGCCTCTCCAGTTTTAGAGCTGCCAGTAGCGGTATCAAACAGACGAAGTAGTAGAAGACATGGTGATTTAGTTACAACTGAGGCAGAATTCCAAGAAATCTTACTCACATTGGGTCAAGAACAAGATAATCCATTAGAAAAAGCTCAAAGAGTTGCTGCAGATATTCCAGATTTAATTTTAGATCCAATTGATAAAAATGAATTGAAATTTATGGATTCAAATAATATAGTTAAAGATAAAATTGAATGGAGTCAAAGGGTCAAATCTGATTTTTATAATACTTTTTCTGAAAGAGAACATGAATTATTTAGTGAAGCCTTTTGTTTATTTCCTAAAAGATTTGGTGCAATTTCAAGATATATGGGTAGTTTAAGAACAGCTTCTGATTGTGTTGTCCATTATTATATGACTAAAAAAACAATCAATTATAAACAGTTATTAATACAACATAGGAAAGCAAGTAAAAAAGGTAGGAAAGTTAAAAATGGTGGACGTCCAAAAACTACTACTGTTGCAACAAATATTACTACTACAAATGCTTTACAAAATGATGATGCACCAATTGTAGCACAAGAAATTGCAATTACTGGAAATAATCAAGATCAAATTTCGATTGAAGGTACACCAATAGAATTGGAAACACCCGTAATTTCTACACCAATTATTACAGCAAACAATAAACCAATTGCTCAAGAAGTTTTTACAGAAACCAGTAAAAAGAAACGAGCTACTGCTTCTACTGATAAACCAAAACCTGAAAAAAGGAAACCGAAAACAAAGGAAACAACTATTGATGGTAAACCTGTTGAAAAGAAGAAAAGAAAATCCAAAAAGGCAGATGGAGAACCAGTTGAGAAAAAGAAAAGAGTTAAAAAAGAACAACCACAAACAACAGAATATATTTTACCAGAAACTAGTAAAATTTCAGTTGAAAATTTGACTACACCTGATCAACAACAAATAATGAATCAAAATCCTCCACCAATGCAAACTTTTACTTATCAACAGCAAACACAACCGCCACAATCGCAACAAATCCAAGAAGCTCGCCAACAACAACCTCAACAACCTCAACAAACTTCTCAGCAAACTTCCCAACAACAATATGTCCAAATGCAACAATACCAGTCTGAATATCAAAATCAACAACAACAACAACAGCAGCAGCAGCAGTATCAACAACAACAATATCAACAATATCAACAATATGTGCCTCCTCAACAACAATATCAGCAATATCCTCAACAATTTCAACAATACCCACAATATCGTACATCTTCATCAGTATTTCCATCAATCAGAAATTTAATAGTAGACCAACCTCAGCAACAGCAGCAACAACAGACACAACCATTACCTCAACCACCAACTTATAATTCTCATGAAAATAATGTTTTAAATTTAATGACTTCACAATCAACAACTCCAACAATAAGAAAAAGCTCTATAATGAGTTTATTAAATAATGAAGAACCCTCAAGACAACAACAACAAAAGCAACAACAACAACAAAGAGCTAAAACGAATTTACGAGACTTGCTTAATTAGTAAAACTTGATTATGTAATTTACTTCTATCTATATATTATTATTTATAAATGTATTATTAATTATATTGAAAATGACTTATGTAAAAGTACAAATTATCTATTATTATTCTATTTATTAAGATCTCTTTAATAACTTTTTTAATATTTCATTATTACCAATACTTTTCAAAATATCATTATAATCAATATTTAAAGTTATAAATTTTAAATTATTATTATTTTTTTTATTTGTTATAATTATATTAATACAATTATTAGATTCTAAAGCATTTAAAATTTCTAAAAATTCTCCCATTTTTATAGAATTGATCATTAATATTTTTTTATTTAATTCATTTTGTTTTAAATAATAATCATAAAATGATTGTACATTAATTTTTGTTAAATTTTGTAAATTTTGATTTTGTAAAATTAATTTATAATTAAATAAATGACATAATATTAATTGTTGTAATGTATTCAATGAATTGATTATATTAATATTATTATTATTTGAATTTGTATTAAATGCTTCAGAACATATTTTAGCAACATGACTTATCATAATTTTTGAAATTTCCAGTTTATTATTATTTTTATATTCTTTTTCAACTAATTCAATAGATTTATAACATAAATCAAAAGCTCTTCTTAAATCTCCAGAAATTGATGCAGCTTTTTGACAACAAAATTGTAATGCTATTGGATGGAAAATATTTTGATTTAGTATTGATAATTTATTTTCAATAATATATTTAATTTGTTGAGCTGTATAAGGTAAAAATTGTAAAGTATTTAAATTTATATTATTTAATGATAATTTTGGTAAAAATTTATTATTTAAATCTAAAGTATTTGATATACCAATTAATAGAATTTTAGATTTTAATTGATTTTGATCATTAAAATTTGCTAATTGAAATAATTTTAATAATATTTGATAATTACCATTTGATATTAGGAAATCAATTTCATCTAATATTAAAATTATAGTTTTGAAATTTATATTTTGTTGTGAGTTTATTTCATTAATTATATCTTCATATTTTCTCTTAGTTATAAATGATATTGATAATTTACCAATTAATTGTGAATAAATTTCATGAAATATCAGTTCAGGATTTTTTAATGTCATACAATTTATTTTTATAATTTTAATTGAATTTGATGATTCATATTTTTTTAAACTTAAATTAATTTGAGCAGTTTTACCAGTTCCTGGTGGTCCTGATATATATAAATTATTACATAGATTTAATTGAATATTTTCATTTAAAAAATTATTTATAGTTTTAGCTTCTTCTTCTCTACTTGTTAATGATAAATTTATTTTTTCATCATTATATAATTTATTATTAGTATTATCATAACCTCTTTGAAATAAATTTTTAGTTTGTGAATAAATAGTAGTTGTTATTGATTTTGAAGATGATGATGGTGTTAATAAAGGTTTTTCAATAGTTTTAATTGGTGTTGTTGGTGTAAATATTAATTTTTTTTTACAAGATAAATCATTATCTTTTAGGATATTTGATAATTTTTGTTTTTTATTTGGAGTTTTAGTTGGTGTTAATAGTATATCTTTATTATATTGTGATGATGAATTTTGATAAGTATTTGATATATCTCTAATAGTTCTCTTTTTAGTTGGAGTGGAGATTGGAGTGATTGATGATGACATGATGAATGAATGGAAAAATATAAATGCAATTGATTAGTTAATTAAATAATATATAGTAAAAACAAATAATAAAGAATTGAAATAATGAATGGACTGATATAATTAATATTAATGATTTATAACATATTTGAAAAGTAAGAATGATATTCATCTTATATATATATAGTTTCATACACTTAAACACGGTAGTTAAAATATTCCGATTATATTTTATTAATTTTTGTGTGTTTCATAATTTTTCAAATTATTTAAACGCGTAATAAAAAAAATAAAAAATTTAATTAAATCCAAATTAGGAAATTTAATTGAACTTTTTTATAAAGGTAGTATTCGAACTAACTTTTAATATGAAACGACTATAATCAACCAATCGTAAAGTTCAGCATCTTTAAATAACTGTGTTGTAAAACACTGTAAATTAAAGAGAAATATTTGATTGGATTTATGTTAGGAGTCGTCATAAATTAAATACTAATTAATTACTGCGTTAACTTTTGTATAATACGTAATGCGCGTTTTAAAGTTCATTATACATAAATTACATAAATTAAATTTAGTTGCAATAATTCCTCATTTGAAAAGAACAACTATTATATCTTACAGTAACTTCATCTTTTAAAACAATTTTAATCATAATATATAATAAAATATGCTATTTAAGTTAAAACTATATATGTATATATAAACAAGTAACAAATACTAATAGAAGTATTTTTGAACAGTAATTTTATATATAGCAAAAAAACATTAAAAAAAAAAAAACTTTTTACCATTTTAAATTTATATTTGTTCTTTCATTAAAATTCATTTCAATTCATTCAAATCATCATTAGTTTCTTTTTAATCATTATAAAACAATCATTCATTCCAGTTCATTTCATCATAAAAAACATTAATAGCATTTTTCAAATAAAAAAAAATATTCACAACACAAAAAATTATAAAAACAATTAATCACACATAAAAAAAATAATCAAATTAATCTGAAACATAAAACTCTCAAATTTTGTAGTAAATAAAAAAAATTAAAAATTTCTCAATTCCACATTCTTCATATAAATTTGTAGGTGAAACCAATAATATGCGTAGACCACCATAATAAAACAACCTCTAGCTAATCTTCTTTGAATTTTAATTTTTTTTATTCCTTTATAACTTGATTATAAATTAATTTTTTAAATATATGATTTATTAATATATTTATAATTTGATTGAAAATCATTTTTTAAAACTTTTTTTAATGCTTGATTTTCTTTTTCTAAATCTTTAAAACTTTTTTTCAATTCTAAATTTTCATTTTGTAAAAATTCTTCAATAATTATCAATGCTCTATTTTGTCTTGTTAATTCTTCAATTGTATTTGTATCAATATTTTTTGCATGTTCTGCAATATTTTCAATATCATGATTTTCCATTAATAAATCAATATCTTTTTGTTGCTCAACATTCAAGATTGTTTCTTTAATTGTATCTTGATCCATTTCTTGACTTAATTTTCTTTTTTTATCTTGAATGTAAGCATCTTGATAGTTCATCTTGGATACTGCTTTTATAATTAATTATAAAGTAACGTTATAGTATTATCAAAATTTTTGCAAAAAAAGTTAATGGTGGTGTGACCTTAACTTCTTTATATATATATATATTTATATATATATATGTTATGAGTATGTGATATATTTATTAATTCCAATTAAGGGGAATTATTGGAAAAAATAAGGAAGTGTTATAAATTGTATAGAAATATAAATAAAAAAAATGTATCAAATTAAATAAATGAAAAGACGAATTATCAATATTTATATAATTATTTATTTAATATATTATGTATAAACTATTATATACTTTTTATATACAATAGATTAATTAAATAGAAGATTTGTTGCTTTATTTTAATTGGATAATAATAATTATATAATAAAGTGATTTAATATCAAAAGTTCATAAAAGTAACATTTAGTTTAAAGTAAAAAAGGGGATGATAATAAATTTGTAATGTAATATTTATTTATACTTTACTTATTAATTACTTCTTATTTTTTATTGTTAACAATTGGTAGTGCTTAGTTAAGAAAAATAAATAATTTTAGATCTCCTCATTAATTTTATTAGATGTAATATTTAATATTAAAACTCACCCCACAATTTTAAATTTTCTAGTTATTATCATATATTAGTATAAAAAAATATACGAAAATACAAAATGAAAATATTCAATATTCAATAATTAAACATTCAATAATAAATTTATTTGTTTATTAATGTAATAGAATTATAATAAAATTAAACATCAGATATTATATTCTATTATAAAGTAGCTTAATATAGCTATATCTATATATATATCATAATGTAAAGATTTTATTGTTAGTTGATAAGAATATTTTAAGAAGTAAATTTACTTTTTAATACAGTAATATTGATACGTATAGATTAAATTTTATTATATATTCAAGATTCAATAGAATTGAAATGGCAATTATTATACTAATGTAATAATTAGTAAGTTTAATACTTCTCTTGATGTCAAGTGATACTTAATCTATTATTATATAATACATATTATCTTCATTTTGTGTAATTACCCCATAAATTATCAATAGATTAGATAACAACATTAATATAGAATAATATTCTACAATTCCAATCTATTATTAAATATGTTATTATTATTTCAATTTCATAAATTAAGAAAGTTTTAAATTCAATTAATTTATTAATTTTTTATCTTTATCGATTCTATAATTCAATTAAAGACTTACTAATAGAGATTCTTTTGATAACATATGTTCATTACAAACTTTTAATTTTAATCTGATTGTTACCTCAAACTCCTTATTATTGTAGGGAGCAAATTTAATTTAACATTTTGAAACATTTTAAAAATATTAATTAAAATGGAGATTTTGTTCCCCACGTAAATGGATTTGTTGTTTTTTAAAACGTTTAAAATAATACATCTTCGATTTTCTATTTTTTTTACATTAATTCTTAACCAGCATATCGCTTAAAAACTTAATTGTAAATTTAGTTTAGATTTAATGAAGTTTTGAATTTCATGTAAGTCCGAGAATTTAAAATTGTTCAATATTTATACATATATACTTTTTATTTATTATAAACAACTCATTCATCATCTTGAAATTGAAGGATCTCGTGACAAATTGAATGATAAAGCCAAATACATGTTAAAACATATCATTCGTTCAGATAGCTCATACTCCTACATAGAATCTGAAAAATTTAACTCCCTTGATAAGGCAATTCAACAATTTACCAACTTCTACAAGTCATGCTATTGTAGATTGATTGTAATTATGAGAACATTCAATATAAATGAAATATAAGCTTGAGAAAACGTGGCTATAAAATGATTGAGTGTTTTTAAAGAGTATTTTGTATCTCTTGTGTCAGTGACTCATTTTCAATGAATTGATCATGTTTTCATTGATACACATATTATGTATAGTCCCAACACCCTTTGATCATTTAACAAGGCTCTACTCAACAAAAAACGATGTAGTTTCAAATTTAAAGTTAAATTTCAAAAATTGCACTGAAAAAAAAAAGAATTTAATTTTTCAAACCGCTTTCTACTATCAAAATAAAATAATTCCATACAATCAACAACTTATATTTAATACCTCAATTAACAATATTAATAGATACATGATATATATATATTTATAATCTTACAAATACGTCTAAACAAATTACAAATCAATTATCATAAAGTCATTCAATGGCAATATTATGTCTACCCAGCCATCCATTAATAATGATTTAAATTCAATATTGTCAAATACTAATCAATCATTTGAAAATAAAAATCCTATAAAATCTAAACAAGGTTTATCATATGTTATAGGAGATACAAATAACAATGAAAATCATATACTACCTATAAATGCTATTCAATATTCATCAATTAATAATCAATTATATACTGCAGGAAGAGATGGTTCAGTTAAAACTTGGGAAGATTCAAATTTGAATTTAACTAATAATGTACTAAAGACTAATCAAAATGAAATATCTGACTGTGATGATATTAATGAGAAGTTATTAAGACTTGAAACTGCTATATCATCTAAACCTTTACCATATTATAAAAATAATTTTAACAGTTCGGACTTTAAGATTATTAATAATCGTAATCTTCATTTTGATTGGATTAATGATATAACATTAATTAATAATGATCAACAATTAATATCATGCTCTGCAGATCTATCAATAAAAATAATTGAGTTATTTGGTTCAAACTCAATTCATAAATTACCTAATGTTCACACCGATTATATTAAAAAACTAGCGTATTCATCAACTTGTCCAAATAAATTAGTAAGTGGTGGTTTAGATGGCAATATAGTTAATTGGGATTTAAATCAACTTAAACCAATAAGTGTATTAGAGAATATATCAACAACAAATCTACCATCATCTATTTATTCATTAGCAAAAAATGATCAAGGAATTATAAGTACAGGAGGTCCAAGTAATACTATTAATTTATATGATTCAAGATCTTCTCAATTTATCAGAAAGTTAATTGGACATCAAGATAACATAAGATGTTTATTAATGAATGATCAATTTTTATTGAGTGGTTCTTCTGATACAATTATAAAATTATGGGATTTAAGAACTTTTAAAGTTTATAAAAATTTTGATATTCATGAATTTCCTGTATGGTCATTATATTCACCTGATTTATCATCATTTAAAGAATTTTATTCCGGAGATAAAAATGGTAATGTTGTAAAAACAGATTTAACAAATTTATTTATAAATAAAACTAAAGGAGATTTTTATTACAATACTTTTAGTAATAATGAGAATGTATCAATTGATGAAAAATTGGGAATATTTACATTAATTGCTAAAGAAAATTCTCCAATACTATCTATTAGTACTGAAGATAAAAATAACACTGTTTTTGTTTCAAATTGTGGTTCACTTAATCGTTATATAAATCCTAATACATCTAATTTATCAGAATATCAATTTTTGAAAAATTGTTTGGAATATTCTATCAATAGAGAGACGCAATATAAAGATGATAGTGTTTTAGATGATTTACAATCTTCTCCACAAGCTGATGATTTAAATTCCGATTTTTATGATTTAGTCAGTCACTTATCAATGGATACAAATGTACATAATTTAGAACTACATAGTACATTTTCTCAAAATTTCAATAATATTGAAGGAACTCCTCCAACTTTTGATGATGATGATGAAGATGATGATAATAGTAGTTCTAGTTCAGGTAATGATCAATATCTGTCAATGTTTATTAATGTTTTTGGTGGTCCATCAAATGAATTTATAAATGCATATCAACAAGGTCAAGAATTAATATATGAAAATCCGTTTGGTGACAAGACTAATAAAGAAGAAACAACTATAATATCAAATGATGAATATATTGATTTAACTCCAGTTGAAATCCTATTGAATCCATTGCCATCAGAACAAGTAGCAGTTATTCCATTCAATTTAAAACCAATTGCACAACATGAAATAGTACCAAAAAGTGTAATTTCAAAAAGAATTTTTAATAATAAAAGACAAATAATGGTACTTTATCTTAATGGTGAAATAAAAATTTGGGATATACTAATATGTAAAGAACTTAAAAAATATTCAATGGAACATTCAAAAATATTAACTGGGAAAGAATTAGAATTAAGAAATAAAGAAATGGATACCTTATTTCAAAAGCATCAAAATTCAGATACTTTAAATAATTGGTGTGAAGTTGAAATAAAAGCAGGTAAATTATTAGTTACAATTAGAGAAAGTTCAATAATGAATGTTGAAATATATTATGATGATTTAATAAAAGATTATCCATATTTAGCAATTGATAGCGCTGAGACAATTGCTAGGTTAGGTGACACCTACAAAAAATTTACCGTTACAAATGATGATAGATTTCATGTTGGTTTGATTTTAATAAATTCAGTTTTTGCAGGTTATACAAATTTTGAAAGAGCAATTGAAAACATTAAAATTGATGAAACTTTAAGATATTATCCAATTATCAATTATAAACATTTTCCAAAAGATATGAATGTTATATTATTTGAACATTCACCCGAACTTGGTAATTATAGAGATTTAAATTATTTCAAACTAACTGATATTGAAACAATTGCTAAAACTCAAAATCAAACCCTATTAAATGAATTAAGATTATTACCAAAATGGATAAGTCAACCAATATTATATAATAAATTATATATTAAAGAATCACCTAAAATTACATTCCAATTATTAGAATGTGATTATTATCAATTACCACCACATATCAAAATAGGAGGTAAATCTCAACGTAAAATAAAATCATTACCAGCATTAGAAAGTTCAATAAAATTAACATCTCATAATATGTTAAGAGTTTCCAAAATATTATATTTTTTAACTGATAAATTTGAAAATAAAACAAAAGAAATGAAAGATAAAAAATTATTACCAACAGATTGGTTAATATTAGAATGTAAAGGTCAGGAATTACAAAATAATATGACTTTACAAACTATTAAAACAAAAATTTGGAAAAAAAATACTGATATTGAATTAAAATTTAGAAGAAAATTCGATTTATAGAAATTTTAAAGATTATGTAATATATATGTAAATATATTATTTTAATAGACGTTATATACGAAATTTTATTTTTGTAAAGAGAATAATAACAACTTCAAAATCTTTGACTGAATTGACACAAGAGTAATATTTTTTACAGTTCTAAGATTTTACAGAGTATTTTATATTTTTCATTAACTTCATTATACAACAACTTCTTTGGTAGTTACCCAGATTCATCTTTACCAACAATATCCAACATTTTCATTTTATTTAGTATCTCATCAATTCTATCATCTAATTTACCATCAATATAATCTTTTTGAGTTTTAGAATCAATTTTATTTTGAATATTTTTTAAATGAAAATAATTTTCATTAAAAAATCTTAATTGAATTTTAACAAACAGTTCAAAACTTGGATCAAAAAATTCAATTCTCATATTAATTAATTTTGGTAATTCCTTTTTTAATAAATTATTAATTTCAAAATATTTTGTTTCTGTTTCCAATAATTCATCATTAATTTCTTTAAATTTTAAATCATAATTACTATATTCAATTTGTGGAGTATCAATTAATTTTTTTAATTTATTTTTCATTGAATCATAATCTAATAATTTATTATTTCTCTTTTTTATAGCTTCATTAACTTCTATATAATAAGAATTAAATCTTGCTATTGGATTTAAAATAGTTTGATTAAAAGGATTTTCTAAATCTTTTATACTTTCATTATTTAATTTTTTTAAAGTTGTATAATATTCTGATGATAAATTTTTGAAATTTTCAATTGATTCACCAGTTATTGAATTTTCTACAATATGAGAAGATGGCTCTTCATTACCATAAAATGAATTTAATAATTCTGCAATATTAATTTGTGAATTTGTTAATAATTTTAAACTTTCTAAATATGATCTTAATCTTTTTTGTAAAAGTATTGAATTTTGTTCCATTGTTTTAAAAGTTTTTTCTTCAAATTCAAATTCTTTATCTATAGTTTGTTCAATTTGTCCAGTTTTTAACATAACTTGAGTACCAGCTCTATTAATTGCCTTTTTTAATCCAATCCAAGACATGATTAAAATTTATTTGAATTTTAATTTAAATATATTAAATGGAATATTTTGTTTTATTGATTGATTAGTTTTAATAGATTGAGTTATATTATATTATCATTTGCTAAGAGCAAAGACAAACTAAAGTAATTTATTGTTATATCGTGATGGTGATAATCAATATATTTAAGTAAATCAAATAAATTTTGTTATGTAAATTAAAAAATAATTTGTTTCATAATTTTTATTTATATCCGATTAATTCCATTTTTATTACTGATCTAAATTTGGTAGCATTACAATAACAAGACATATAAATATTTGGTCTTTCAATTAATGACATATTATTCTTATTCTTATTACTATTCAAATTATTACTGATTAAAATACAACTTAAAATTTACTTGTATACTCTATTAGTAATAGTAAAGACTACTTTTAGTATAAAAGATGACTTTTTACTCAATAATATAGAAATATTTAAACTTAAAAATATAAATTGTCTTAAAACAACATCATCTAAAAAAAACTTATTTTTGGTTACAAATTTTATCCGAATTTTTTAATTATAGTTAGAATTTTATTAATAGATCTTAGACAGATATACGTGTCTATATAGTATAATTCTAAGATAGAATATGAAAATTCAGATATAATTATTTTAATAGTTAAGTTCTCCATTACTATAATTATTCAATAGTAATATAATAGTTTATATATAGATAACATATTATTTTCTGATGATAATAATAATGTCAATAATATTAGTATAATATTATGATAGTGTGTATGAATAGTAATAAATAAAAAGATCGGAAATCTGAATGAATATAAATAAAATAAAAAAAATAAAATCTCCAGATCTCACTATTAATATTTGTTTATATGCAGGTACTCCATAGTTAATTTATTTATTTATTTATCTGATAATAAAATAAATTAATATTGATTTAAATTAAATTATGAATTGTTTTTACAACCAAAAAAGAAAAAGATATTATTATTATAACACAACATCAATAAATATTGAATAATAATACGTGAATACTTTTATATATTGCTACTAATTTTAATACTATCAAGTCAATTAAACTTCATCAATAATAATTCATTCAATTCAAATACTATTACTCAACAAATATAATACTACTTAAATATATAGATATAGAGAATTATGCTAAAGAGGTTCTCTCGCCATTCTAATAATAATCATAATTATAATAATGGTAAAGATCAATTATATCCAATTTTCACAGAATCTTATTGGCAATGGTATATTGAAAGTTATTTAAAAGTTGATAAAGAAACTGTTATAAAACATACTCCATATAATATAAATAAATATACTGATAAATCACAAGAAGTTATAAAAATAAAAAATTATTTTGAATTTTTACAATTAAATATACCATGTACTTTGGAAATTATTGCAATATTAAAATCACCTTTAACAGGTGGAGATTTAAATAAATCATTTTATATATTAAGAATTTTTCAATTATGTTCAGAAGGTTTATTTTTAACAAATTTAAGAATTGATAAATTAGGTAATAAATTAAAATTTGTTGGAGCAGAAAATTGGGATAATGTAATGTGTTATATGGATGCTTTATTTTTTGCAATGTTTGCAAATTTAGAAAGTTTTGAACCAATTTTATTTATACCAAATCATCATGATAAATTAATTAATCAATTATCTGCATTATTAAGAATTTATGTTTCATTATTAAGATCTGGTTATTTAATAACAACTGATTTAACTGCAAGAATTTGTGAAGGATTGTTTAAATTAGGATTTAATGAAGCAATAAGTCATAAACAACAAGATTCTGCTTCATTATTTGAATTTTTAACTGAAGTTTTAAATATGCCATTACTTACTTTTAAAGTTGATATAAAACATGGTGGAAAATTTAATAAAAAAGATGATGAAAAATTTTCAAAAGAAAGAATTTTATTTGTAAGTATACCAAATGATGAAGTTGAATCTGAAATTATACCAAAATTTACAGAAACTGAACATTTAGAAAATTTAGAAAATTCAATACCAAGTTTAAAACTGCAAAAATCAGAAAATGAAGATTCCATATTATTAGAAGAATGTTTAGAACATTATTTTAATAATTCAATAAGTGTTAAAAGAGAATTAGAAAGAAGGGCTTCATTGAGTAGTGTTCCAAAAGTTACTTCAAACTTTGACGAAATACCTGAAAATTCACAGATAAATAATAATAATAATAATTTCAACAACAAAAAAGATTATTTTGATGATCATAAACATAGTATAGAGTTAGTTGAAGATATAAATGAAAGACCACCACTTAATAGAGATAGATCAGATAGTAGGAAAAGTAATGGAGTTAGAATTGGGGTTAGAACAAGATCTTCAACTTTATCAATATGGTCATTAAATGAAGATGGAAAATCAAATACATCAAAAGTTAAAGAAGTAAATTTACCAGCTTGGATGTTTTTAAGATTATTACCGTTTTATACTGATGATAATGTAGCAACTGATGATTTAGAAAGTGCGGCAAAGTCATCAAAAGAATTTGCAAATAGAAGACCAATATTACCAATTTGTTTGAAAAGATATGAATTTGTTTCAGGAGATTCAGCTGGTACTAGATCTCAAAAACGGATTATTATTCCACCATTTATTGATTTACCTGATTTTGTTGCTGATGATATTGATGAACCAGCTTGTTCTTTTAGATTAATTTTAGAAAGTGCTGTTTGTCATAGAGGAAAATCAATTGAACTGGGTCATTTCATATCAGTTGTTAGAAAAAATGTTGAAAAAATTAATCAAACAGAAGAAGAAGCTAATAATTCAATTTGGTATTTTTATGATGACATGAAAAAGAATCATAGGGTTATTGAAAAATCATTTAGTGAAATTTTTAATACAGAATGGCCTTACATGTTATTTTATAGATTAGTTTCAACTAATGAATCAAGTACAACATCATCATTAAAAAGTAATATTGTTCCACCAAATGGATTTAAAGCTCAATATTGGTCAGATGAAGCAGTGAATGTAGTTGCAAATCCACCAAAAGTTTTATCACCAATTTTATCAGCTGAAGATTCAATACCTACACCAACAATAACAACGACATCACCAAAATTAACAACAACATCCCCCACACCAACACCAACACCAGAGAAAAAAACTTCTTTAGCTGTAGTTACCTCATTACCACCAACTGATCCAAAATATGTCGATATCAAAAATAGATATTATTGGTATATAACTGATGCTGATAAAAATTATTATAAGGAGGAGCCAACGATATTAAAAGATGGAAATTCTTCAATGACATTAAGTCCACAATTTAGAAGAAACAGTCAATGGAGTAATTTCTCAAATATAAGTAATATTTGTTTAGATAAAAAACCACTGCAACAACTTAATGAGCAACGTTTAAGTTCTGAAACCACAACATCCCAAGAAGCTACAATAAAACCAACAACCGAAATAAAAGCAAATAATGAATCAAGTGGTGAATCAACTTTAAATTCATCAGTTTGGAGAAAATCCATAAAAAGATCACCAAATGTTAATTTAGATTCAAGTGAATCATTAGGAGAATTAAGAAAATTAGTATCACCAATGGATCTTGATGATTCAAAAAATGCATTTCCCCACACAGTTAGAAATTTACAAATTGAACAAAAAAAACATAATAGCATAAATAATCACAGTCATCATTTATTTCATAGATCAAAAAACAAAAGAGAAGCATATAAAAAGGAAAAATGTATAATTACATAGACTTTATAATAGAATAGACACTTTATTTCAGCATGTTTATTTATTAATCACATATATAAATATCACCTGAAGCACCAGCTATTGCAACTTTACTACTTTCTAAAGGATGAAATTTAATACATTTAATTAAAGAATTGTTTAACTTTAGTTTTTTAACAAGTTTTTTACTTTGCCAATCCCAAAAAAAAGTAAAACCTTTTGCATCACCACTCATGATAGTTTTACCATCATGAGATATTTCAATTTCTATACCATATCCAGCACATTGATGTCCTTTATATATTTTATTTTTATTCCATTTATATTTCCCAGTTGAATGAACAACTTTGATTGTATTATCCATACTTTGTAATGCAATATAATTTGAATTTGGGTGTTTTTTAATTGATGGAGTTGAAAATTGTGATGGATCAGAAATGACTTTTGTTGGGATATTTATTTGCCATTTCCATACTCTTACTGATTTATCATCTGAAGTAGAAGCAAAACCTTCATCTAAAGTAAGTAAATCGTTGATTGAACCTAAATGATGATCATACACTTGAATAGGATTATGTATAGCATTTAAATCATAATGTTCAATTTTATGATTTGATAAACCTACTATAAATTCTGATTCATTTTGTGGATTAAACCGTATAACATTGGGTACAGCTGAAGTATTTATTGATCTTAAAACTTCTCCATTTTCTGTTTTCCACAATCTGATTACTTTATCATAGCCACAACTTAAAAATTTATCACCATTAGGACTAAAACTTACATCTTTTACAGCAAGTTTATGACCATTGAAAATCCTTAGTAATTCAAAAGTTTTATGTACAGACCATAATTTAATTGATCCATCGTTACCACATGAAAGTAATAAATGACCAAATTTGGGAAAAAATTCTAATTTATTAACACCTTTTGGATGTGCTTTATTGAATGTATGAATTATTTGCTTCGGTACAAAACAATCTTGAGGTTCCACTTTCTTTAGTTCATTTGAAATATGCATATATGATCTACCTTGATAATCTAATTCTTGAGCTCCAACGAATTTTGATGTGGGTTTAAAAATATCTTCTTCTTGATCTGATTGTTCTGGTTCAATTGTTGGTTTATTTTGTTCAAATACTCGTTCTTCGTCTGATGAAATTGATGCCCATGGAGTACCTCCTTTATTTTTACGTTTCTTTTTCAACTCTTTTGCTAAAGCTCTGGCTTCTTTAAGTCTTTGTTGTTCTTGAAGTTTATATTGTTCTTCAAAATTGTTGGAATCATATTGTACAATTTTTTGCTTCTTTGTTGGTGGTTCTGCTACTGTATCATTTTTCAATTGATTGTTTTCTTCTGGTTCTTCTTCAGATGAAGTATAGCCTTGTACTAAAGACATTCAGACATTATTCGTATCTGAATACTAAATAATGATCATCTCGTTTCAAATAAGTTTCAAAAAATAAATATAACTCTTACAACCTCAAAACTTTACATCTACATACACAAATGAGTAAAAGACAAATTGAGTCAGATTCAGATATAGATGTCAGTTCAACTGATGAATCAGATACAGAACAACAACCACAAGAAAATGATGTTGATATGGAAGAAACAGTAAATGTTGATTTTGATTTTTTTGACTTAAATCCAGAAGTTGACTTTCATGCAACCAAAAATTTCTTAAGACAATTATTTGGAGATGATCATAATGAATTTGATATAAGTGGGTTATCTGATTTAATTTTGACTAAAAATTCAGTGGGGACATCAATCAAAACAGAGGGTGAACAAAGTGATCCATTTGCACTTTTAAGTGTAGTAAATATAACTAATAATTTATCACAACCAAGTATAAAAAAGCTAATTGACTATATTTTGAAAAAGACAAAGAACCAAATGGAATTTAATATTACTTTAAAAAAGTTATTACAACCAAAAGATCAAAAAAAATCATCAAGAATTGGATTAATTATAAGTGAAAGATTGATAAATATGCCAATAGAAGTTGTACCACCAATGTATAAAATGTTATTAGAAGAAATGCGAAAAGCAGAAGATGCAAATGAAAGATTTGAATTTGATTATTTTTTGGTTGTATCAAAAGTTTATCAATTAGTAGATGCAGTTGAAAAAGATGATGATGATGAAGAAAAAAATAAAAAGAAAAGGAAAACTCCTAAACATGAACCAAAACCAATAGAAATGGATTATTTCCATTTAGAAGATCAAATATTGGAACAAAATGCATTGTATAAAGGAATTTTTGATTATAATAATAAAAATAAACAAGAAACTGATTCAAGAAGAGTATTTACAGATTATGGTATTGATCCAAAATTAAGTATAATATTGTTAAGTAAAGATAACTTAGCAAAATCAGTAAAAGAAATGCAAGAACAATTTCCAGCTCCTTGAAAAGATAAAAAGTCTGTATAGCTCACGATAGACAAAAATTAATACAAAAGAAACTGTTTTTTTCTAATTCATAATTTATTCATTTATTTAATCTTTCTACTTAATGTTATACCAACAATTATTGAAGATGTCAAAACTGCTAATACACCGGGTATTAATATTTCATTAGCAATACCAGGTATTATCGAATTACTGGTTTTATTGACTTTTTTAAGTGGTTTGATTTCATCAATTGATGCATGATTATTAGGATTGTGTAAATATAAATCCGCTTTTTCATTTTGTAGTTTTAAATTTATTCGAATACATTCAACCAAATCATTGTCTGAAGTTATTGAAACAATATCTCCTTCATCATCAATATAACTTATAGCAAATTCTTCTCCAGTAATTTGATAATCTTTTTCATTTAATTTCGAATTTATTAAGTCTCTTAATTTTTCAATTCCATCACTTGCTTTTAATGTAATACGATGAACTCTACCTTCAATTGCTGGAGATCTAAATTTGAAAATAAATGAAACTTCTTCTTCTGGTTCTTTACCTTTTAATGAATCAACATATGATATTGAATCTGATGGTTTTATATCAACATTAAAAGATTGAAATTCGGATGGTGTTATTTCAGGAACCCCACTACTAGCTGCACCACTTTCATCCATTAAAGAATCTGAATGAGCAGACTCTGAATCATCTAATGAAGTCCAAAATTTATTCCATGCTGGTCCTTCATTATTTGGTGTTGTATTGTCTAATGATATTGGTAACTCTTTTGCTTCTAATTGTTTGATTTGATTTAAAGTTGCATAAGTTAATTTCAATACATCAACAATTCCAACTATATCATCATCATCTCCAACTACTGGTAAGTTAAGATAGTGACCTTCAAACATTTGTCTTAAAGCTTGTTGAATAGGTAGGTTTATATGAGCAACATCTGGTTGAGGAGTCATAACTCTTACAATTGAACATTTCTTTGGATCTAAACCAGCAGCAATAACTCTCAAAACAACATCTTTTGAAGTAAAAATCCCCGCAACTTCTTCATTTGTATCTTTAACTAATACAGCAGTAGTTTTATTTTCCTTCATTAATACTGTTGCGTCATATACTGAAGCTTTAACATTTGTATAAATTGGTTCAGTTGAAAAATCTAATACATTATCTAATGTTGGACCATTCATTTTACTTTTCAAAGTTTCAAAATATTGGAAAATATGTTGTGGTTGATCTTTCATTCCAATTTCCGTATGAACTGAATCTAAAGCTTCATATAATTTCTTTGAACTTGCATGCATTCTTTCTAATTTTTCCATTTGTTGAGCATAACATTTTGTTATATCTAAAACACCAACTATTTGATGATCATTATCTAATACAGGTAAATGTCTAAAACCCTTTTCAACCATCATTGTTAAGGCTTCAGATGCAGGATTATTTGCTATAGCACATATTGGATCAGATGTCATAATTTGATCAATTGTAACTGAATTTGCATTTAAACCTGAACCAACAATTCTAAATGCTAAATCTTTTGCAGTAAAAATTCCCAATAATTCTCCAATATCATTTACAACTAAAACACAATTTTCTCTTCTTGCAGTCATCATTTGTGAAACTTCATAAACTGTTGCAGTAGTTTTACATATAATTGGATCACTTGGTTTTAATGATAATACAGTACCAGGAATTGCCTTTTTATGTCTTGTTATTTTCCCACCATTTTTTTTCTTTTTATTTAAATCATGTTCAATTCTTCTTCTTATAGCATCATCTCTTTTGTTTTGTCTTTTTCTTGAATCTTGTTGTTGATTATGATAATTCATTGAACTTTGGGTGGTGATTGAATTAGTTGGTTTTTGTGGAGATAAATTTGAAAACATTAATTTAAATCTATTTGTTATTATCGATGTAGATGAATTTAATTTTGAAAAGTGGGAATGTAAATGTTTTTGTAATGGTGGTGATTTTGATTCTTGATCTGTATCTTGGGAAAGTGGTTGATTAGATGATATAACTACGTAATTTGTCAATTCAACCAATTTTTAAAAATTTCTTATTATAAAAAGATGGTTGTAAAATAATTAAGATTTATTTGTTATTATATTTACTTAAAAAAGATTTTATTTATTTTTTTTAAATTTTTAAATTTGATTTTGTGATTCAATACAGTATAATTATGTGTAACATCCTTAACACAATATATTTGATCAAAGATAACTAATGATAAGGATTAAATAAATAATGTAAATTGATAGAGGTTTTAATATTGTAACAGGTTACCAAGCAATACCTTTAAGCTGATACAGGGCAAATTTTAAAGGCTTTACTTATTTGAATTTATACAATTGTAAAGCCGATTTATACTGAAGAGGTGTGAAGTTTTTGCTGGGTTTAGTACCAATTTCTCGAAATTATACTTTACCAATTGGAATTTTATCAAAAACTCATTCACTTATTTTTTTATGAACTAAATGCTTTTACAAGACCTATAGCCATTTGAGTTTCTTTCCATCTATTCAAACTCGTTATTGATTAACTTTATCAGAATCATTTGCAATAATATGTTTCAGTGTTATGAAATTTAATATTCTTTGTATGCGAAAAATTTAAAGAGACAAAAAATTAAGCAGAAGATATTTCAATTACTTATACTTATAACAAATATTGAAACAATATGACACAATTTGTATTAACAAATCAATTGATTGATACAATACGGCAATCTGACTTATCAGAAATAGAGAAAAATGATTTAATCACATCCAAAACCATAACTCATACTCAATTAATACAATTTTATAAAAATAATAAACCAACTTCATCATTATTACAATTAATTAAACAAACAAAATTATATCTACCAAAATATGAATCATATAATCAACCAAAAACTAAAGAATTCATAAAACAAATGGAAAGATTAAGATTAGAAGCAAAAGAAAAAGAATATCAAAAATTAATTAATCCATCAGAAAAATATGAAACATTATATGATAATTTAAATCAAGAATATATATCACCAATAAAAGCTCATAAAGAATTAAAAAATCAATTAACAACTATTGTAAATATTTTTATTAGTGTTGCAAGTGTAGCATATGCAATGTGGTATTGGACAAAATCTTCTTGGGGTTTAAAGGATAGTTATAGAGTTTTATTAACTATATTCATTGGATTATTAGTATTAATAGCAGAAGTTGTTGTTTATATGGGTTATTTAAATAAGATTGAAGAAGCAAAACTCAAGGAAAATCAAAAGAAAGAAGTAAAGAAAATTATAAAATCATTTGAATTTTATTAACACCAAACAAATAATTAAGGAGGGAATTATATTATATAAAAGTGTTTATAAATTTTTTGCAACACATTTTTTTTTATTTTTTTGATTTTTACAACCAACTTTCAACACAAACTTCTTTCAAGATGACAGCATCAAGAGCAATATCAATTAATTCGATTATTGCATTTGTTATAAAATTTCCATTGTTAGCTTATTTTATTGGATTTTTTGAAGATTTTATTATTTCTGTTATTAAAACTGGCCCAATTCCAAAACATATTGCATTAATTATGGATGGTAATAGAACTTATGCAAAAAAGCATAGATTACCATTGAAAGAAGGCCATTTTGCTGGTGCTAATGCTTTAGTTAAAGTATGTTATACTACTAAAAAAATTGTGTTGCCAAAACTTACTAACCTTAGTGTAGATTTTAGAAACATGTTATAAGGTTGGTATTGAACAAGTCACAATTTATGCTTTTTCATTAGAAAACTTCAATAGAACTAAAGAAGAAGTTGATACATTATTTGGTTTATTACGTGATAAATTAAAAATGATTTCTGAATATGAAGATTCTTATGCAAGATATAATAAAGTTAAAATTAAAATAGTGGGTAATAGATCATATATTCCACAAGATATATTAAAAGATTTAGAATATATTGAAGAAATTACAATGGCCAAATCTTCCAAAAAGATTTTAAATGTTTGTTTTCCATATACTGCTCGTGATGAAATTACTCATGCTATAAAATCAATTGCTGAAAAAAGAGTTAATAAAGAAATTAAATCAAAAGATGAAATTACTACAAAATTAATTGAATCAAATTTCTATTTTGGTGATGAAGTTCCTCCTTTAGATATTTTAGTTCGTACAAGTGGTCATACAAGATTAAGTGATTTTTTACTTTGGCAATGTAATACTGATTGTACTATTGAATTTCCTGATACTTTATGGCCAGATTTTGGTTTTATTAGTATTATGTCAATTTTAATTAAATGGAGTTATTATAAAACTTTACAATTAGAAGAAGAATTATTGAGAGGTAAAGAACCTCAAGTTCAAGATGCTAATGTTCCAGTATTATTAAATGAATTACCTCAACCACCACCAGTTGCTACAGTTGCTGATTGAAATCATTGAAGTAGTATCTATTTTTATATATAATGCTATTTACAATCTACTTTCCATAATCTCAATTTCTTTCATTATTTTATTAAACTCTTTTAATTTTTCATAATCATCTTTGGTTTCATTAAGGTAAATATTCTTTGAAGTAAAATCTTCATTTCTTAATACTATTGCATTTGGATTTCTTACATTTTTCCATCTTTTATTTACAAAACTTTCTATATCAAAATATAATGAATCTAATGAATGATTTTTACTTATTATATAATCATTTATTTCAAAACCTAAATTTGATTGTAATAATTTTATGAATTTGAATCTAAAACTTAAATCTTTGAGGTGTACATTTGAATAACTATCAAAATCGATAGTTTCTTTAGTTAATGTGAAATATGTTTTATTGAAAATATTTTGTAATTTTAATTTATCATTATATTCTTCTTCAATTTGAGTTGGTTTTATATGTTTATTATTTTTCCAATCACGAACTTTAAATTGAGGATTTAATTTATTTAATTCTTTTGCTTTTAAATATTTTGGTGAATTTTCTCTAGTGAAATGTATTACTTCTGTTATGTCTTTATTGGCTAATTCATCTTGTTTTGTTATCATATCTGATCTTGATTCTCTTGTTATTTTGGATTTCTTACTTCCAAATAGATCACCAAACCATGATTTGGCTATAGATGTGGAACTTATTGATCTTTTCTGTAGTATTTGTCTTGATATCATGTTGGTTTATGATTGAATTGATAAATCTGAAAAATTTTTTGTGCGTAAAATAAAATATAAGTTTTCAAATCTGAAAATCAGTTTAGTGACATCTACAACTAGAATAATACTCTTACAGTTTCATATTCATATATTCTATAAATGTTATATAATTTTTTTCCTTTTCATAAATGATATCATTAAAATCGTTAAAATCATGTAAAATGCAAACCCAATCCCAAAATTGTTTTCATAAATTGCCTTGTGTTGAGGTATTTCTCTTTTTAAAAATCCTCCATTTGTTCCACTACCAGTTGGATTGGCAGTTGTTGTATAAGTTGCAGTTGAATAAATTTCTGTAGGTACAGTGATTGATGAACTTGGAGCTGTTGTAGCTGCGGGACTTTGTGAAGTTGTTATTGAAATTTCACCAATATCACACCAACCTTTAACTGGTATACAATTAAAATATTTACACCATTCACAACTATTATTCAGATCAGTATTATTGTTAAAAAAATTTTTGCAAAGTAAAACAAAATAAACAATTATTAAAACTAATGAAACCAACCTAACAAAACACCAAATTAAAAAATTTAATTGAATTTTATCTTCATATGCATACATTGGATTCCAATTATTTAAAAATTGTTGTAAAGTTGATTGATTTCTTTTATAAATTATTATCCCATCTTTATAAATCCAAAATGGATCTTTTAAAAGTAATATACCTGTTAATATTCCCATTGCAAATCCTCCAATATGACTAAAATTATCTAATCCAGGTAATAATCCCAAAACAAATGATATTATAATCTCAATAAACATAAAAAATATAAATAATTTATAATGTTTTGTACCATACATATTTGCATTTTTTTTACCAGTATATATAAATAATATAATATTTATTGCAACAATTCCAAATAATGAACCTGATGCACCAGTTGATGCAATACCTGCTGGTGTAAAATTTGCTCCCAATAAAAATCCAGATATACCACTTGCTATATAAATAATTGAATATTTTAAAATTCCAATATTTCTTTCAATTGATGCTCCCATTGTTAATTGTAATAATAAATTAAAAATTATATGTAAAAAGCCTGCATGCAAAAAAATTGGTATAAAAATTCTATACCATTGATTAGGATTAAATTTTGTTCCATTATCAAAAGTTGATAAACCTGATAAACCACATAATTCATTTAATGAACATTGATAAGTATCTATTGAAGTCGAATTTGGACATGGAAATAATATAGTTGTATCATCAGTTAAATCTTTAATTTGTCTCATACATGCAATATAACGTGAACCCATATTAATTAATAAAAAATTAGATGGACCTAACATTGGATTAAAATATGGTTGAGTTTGGAAAGCAGAACCTGTTAATATTGACATTCTTGCTAATTCAACAATAAATATAATAACTTGTATTAATGTAACTAATATAGTAAAATATGGTAATTTTGTATAATGAAATCTTGGTTTACTTTTTAATGTAAGTATTCGATTTTTTTCATTCTTTTTTAGTTTTTTCTCTAGTTCATTATCTTTGAAAGGATTATTGGGTCTTGAGGGTATTGATATTGGTTCATCAACAAATGGATTTCTATAATTTTCATCATTTGGTGGCTGTGGTGATGATATAGGTAGTGAAGGTAAATCTCTATTTAAGTCATGGTTCTGTGAAGGATCATATTTATTATCATTATTTGTGTTGTTGTATTGTGGATAGTATTGATAAGGATCATAATCATTATCATCAATTTGATTAGTTGTATATCTTGGTAAAGAAGGTAATGATCTTGATGAATTTTCTGATAAATTTAATAATGGTATTGATGATTGAGATATTGGTTTTGATTGTACATTATTATAGTTGTTATTGTCATTAAATTGAAAATCATTTATATTCTCATCACTTGGAAAATTATTAGGATATGGATATTGATTATGTTGTTGATTATAATTACGAGAATACATAATTATATTATTATAATATGATTACGCGTATATCATAAACTTTTATAAACGAATGAAGTATGATTAAAAGAATGTAATTGATCATGTAAGTAAGTTATTGATTTGATTTGACTTGAGAGTATTATAAAATGAGAAAGGGGATGAAAATGATATAAAATTGAAATAAAAATTGATATAAACTTTTATAAATTAAAATTATAAATTTTTAATGTAACAAATAAATAAATTAAAATAAAATTAAAAAAAAAAATTCTTTTTTTAGAATAAAATTATAAATAAAATTTTGATAATAAATATTTTTTTTTAACTTATAATGTAGAAATAATATTCCTAGATTAAGATTTTACTATTAAATTAATTTAAATAATTATATATTAAGGTATTTGAGTTTTGTTCAGTTAAAGATTAAAATTCTAATACCTTTTTTATCCAATTAAATTTTGTACATGTAAAAATTTAAATATTTTTAAATTTAAATTAAAAATATTGATTTCAATTTTAAGGGGAAATTTTTATTCAATTTTTTAATTATTCGTAATTTGTAATTTAATTTGATATTTAATTTAATTATTAATACATAAATATTACACAACTTTAATAAGTTTAATTTAATTACAAAGTCCTTTTTTTTCAATTATTTATATTTGTTCTATAAAGTGAGGCAATGCAAATTTGAATATTAAATTTTGTAATAATGTAATAATTAATTAATGAATCTTTGTCAAATGTTATATGATGTAATTATATATTTTATTGAAATGTCAAGAAATTATAAAACTTTAAATTAAAGTTTATCAAATTTGACTTTGAATAAATAGTTATAATATTTGTACTAACTGATGATAACATTTAGTATAAAATATAACAATTCTCAGATTAAGTTTTAAAAGAGAACTTAGAAGTAAATAATGGAATAATATTATATAATCAAATATATAGGGAAAAGGAATGAAATTAAATTAAATTGAAATAGATTCAAAGTTTGACTTTTTGAATGGTAGTCGTAAAAAATTTAGGTTTGTGAGTCGTAAATTTGAGTCAATAAACTTTAAATTATAGGTAATAAAAATCAGTAAATTAAATATTGACTTGATTATTTAGATTTTAGCATATTTTTTAATTCATATATAATGTGAATTATTATTTCTATAACTATATGTTTTTTAGATTGTTTAATAAGGTGTTATTTTTAGGTAAATTTTACTCTATTGAATAGAAGTTGAAACTTTAACTATAGTGCTCATAATTTGCAATTATTAGTAGTGTAAAATTACTGCAACAATTAAGTCAGAAATATGAGACAAGTATTGAACTTTCCATATATCCAACATTTAAATCAACAATTATCAATTTGTAATAAAATATTCATTATTCAACTTCTTTAGGACATTTTATTGAATAACTTTAAAGTTTTTAAAACCATCAATTGTTTATTAAATAGATAAAAATCAAAAAAATTATTATTGAAATTTTATTTGAGAAAAAAATATTTGATCAGTTTCATCGCCAATATTATATAACAGGGTTGTACCAATCCTATTATTCACATTACTACTAAGTGATTCAATACCTTCTATCATTAATCGTTTAATAATTGTTTTTGCTTCTTCAACTGATTGTTTCCTTAATCCTTCAACTAGTAGATTAGGTTCTTCATTAGGTTTTGGTTGTTGTCCTGATTGATAAAATTTACCTCTAGTTGTGATTGAAGTTCTAGATTCATCTATAATTCTTGTTGAACTTTCTCTTTGAACTATTTTCCATCGAACTGATTGAGGTAAATCATTGATTGTAATTCTACTATGAAATTTACATTTATCTGGACCTGAAGTTTCTGGTGAATCTCCTTTAATTATTTCAAATGTAGGTAATATAAATCCATTTGGAGATGGTGATTCTTGTTTGATTGAAACTTCTTCTTTTTCTTCTTCAATTGTTTCACCATACATTTTTTTCTCAATTTTCAATTTTATATCTCTAACATCTTGTAAATTATCTAAACCTTTACCACCAAATCCAGAATTTGTTTTAACATCACCAAATTTAACTTTATTTGAAAAAATTTCAGATATTTCTAATAATTCTGGAGGTATATCTTTTAAACTAGATTTTAAATCTTTCACCAATATTATGATTTCTTTTTCTTGCAGTCTAAACACAAACGTAATTGCTTCACCTTTTGCTCCTGCTCTACCAGTTCTACCAACAGGATGTACGTAATCTTCTAAATGACTTGGTGCATCAAAGTTTACTACCAAAGATAAATTTTTAACATCTAATCCTCTTGCAGCAATTGAAGTTGCAATTAATATATTTACTCCACTATTTGGTGATGAAAATTCTTTTATAGCATATTTTCTATCCAATTGATCTTTACCACCATGTATTGAAACACATGGAAATTTGTGAAGTAATAGATTTGAAACCATTTCATCAACATCTGATTGTTTTGAAACTTTATCATTCTCATTAATGACGGATAACATATCATATAATTTCTTTTATCTTCACCATCATTAAACAATATAATACTTTGATCTACTTCTTTAGCAACAACACCAATACCACCAACAACTACTTCGATGGGATCTCTTAGTATATGTTTAGCTAATGCCTTTAATTTTTTTAGGAAAAGTAGCTGAAAACAATACTGTTTGTCTACCAGGTCTAATTTGACATAAGATTTTATTTATTTGTGGTTCAAAACCTAAATCAAACATTCGATCTGCCTCATCCAATACAACAAAAGTTGTGTTTTGTAATGATAAAACTCTTCCATTGTTTGCTGCTAATAAATCAATCATTCTACCAGGAGTGGCAACAATAATATCAACTCCTCTTTCAATTCACTAATTTGAACCACCATAACAACAAACAATTTTTTTATCCATTTTTTTGGAAAAATTTGAAACTTCTTGTTCAATTTGTTACTTCTCTTGTTAGACATAAAACTAATGCACTTGGACGTTTTACCAGAACCTGTTTTTGCAACTGCAATTAGATCACGACCTGATAAAGCAATATGAATGAATTGAGATTGAATTGGTGATGGTTTTGTAAAATTTAACTCATTTATAACATTTATCATATTTGAAGGTAGTATTAGTTGAGACCATTTTGTAAAAGGAATAGGAATATCATCACTTTTGACTCTTATATTATCTACTTCCAATCTTAAAAGCTCTATTTCTTCATGTGACATTAATGACATTTCAAATGGGACTTGATAAAAAATTTTTTCAAATGGTTTATAAATAATTTTAGACTGATCTATTTCTTTAAGTATTTTGGTATTTCCCAATTTGGCTAATTTTGAATCTATTCTATTTTGTAAATCTTCCTCTTTTTCATCTTCTTCTGAATCTGAATAAATTTGAACTTCTTCTTCAATTAACGTTGGTTTTGAGTTATTACTATTTAGTTGATTTATGAAAACATCCAATTCATCCACAGATTCTGAATTATCTCCTATTATTACATTGTTCTCAGTCTTGGGTATTTCAAATTTTGGTCTCTTTTTCAAGTTGGAATGATCATCTTCTCCTTCAAATTCTATTCGTTTTCGTAGAAGTGGTTTAACAGTTGATGCTTTTTTAGAAATTGATATTGCGGTTTTATTTTTTGAAAATTGATGATTAGTTATTGTATTTTGTTGTGTTTTTGGTGAAGATTTTGACAGTTGTTGTTCTTGTTGCTTCTTTTTCCTCTTCTTTTTCTTTGATTTTCGTCTTTCTTCAATTGTATCTTTAATTTTTAATGATGGCTTTTGTTCTAATAGAGGTTCAACTTGTTGCTTTTTCAATCTCCAAGCTTCCAACTGTTCACATCTTTTCCTCAATTTCTCATTTTTATAATCTTCTTCAATTTTTAAGTTAGTATTTTCATTTGTTAAAACAGAATCATTAGACATGATATTGTTATTTAAATATATACCTTTAAAAGTATTGGAATTTTGATTATTAAGGTAGTGTTTGTAATATGATAATAAATAATTTAAACATATGTACTATTGTGTTATAAAAATTTCCAAGTAACAGCCATACATTTTGTTAGTGCGAAAATTTCCAAGTAACAGAGAAAATTTCCAAGTAACAAAATTCTGATTTCCAAGTAACAAGGTGGTAGCGGGACAATTTTTGTATGGTAAAATCACTTAGTAAATTTTGAAATCTTTTTTCTGTTGTTAGTAGTGCAAGAAAAATCAAATTTCCAAGTAACAAAGTGGTAGCGATTCAAATTTCCAAGTAACAACTTTGTATGAGAAAAATTTCCAAGTAACAAGATTTATTAGAGAGAAAATTTCCAAGTAACAAAGTGGTAGCGAATTAAATTTCCAAGTAACAAAATTTGTTAGTAGTGCTAAGAAATCAAATTTCCAAGTAACAAGATTTGTTAGTAAAAAAATTTCCAAGTAACAGAAGTCGAAAATTAATTAGAAAATTTTTTAAGACAAATAATTTAAGTCAATAAAATCAAATTTCCAAGTAACAAAATTTGTTAGTAAAAAAATTTCCAAGTAACAGAAGTCGAAAAATATTTAAACAAAATTGACAAATATTTTAAGTCAATTAAATTGAGATAGTAGTGCAAAAAAATCAATTTTTTGCAAGTAACAAGATTTAGAGAAAATTTCCAAGTAACAAGAAACTAGTAACTATAGATCAATTTATGAAAATTTCACCTGCAATGAATCAAATATCATCTTTTAAATGATTACCTAAATTTCCAGTAATTATCAAAATGTTTATAATGCTACAAGTTCTATTTACATTAATTTCACCAATATAAATGCTTCAAATTTATATATATATTTATCAACTAAAATTATAAATTTAGAATGAATTAGATAATTATAGATTAAAATCAATTTTATTTTCAGCTGGAGATTTCTTTAATTGTTCATTACTAGCAACATCAAATTTATTTAGAAAAGTTTGATTAATTAATGGAGCAAATATTTCAACTTACAAGTTATAAATTAAATATGAGATCTATACATTAAATTCAAATTTATTACCAGCTAGAGATTTTTTTAATTGTTCAAGCTTGATTTATTAATGGTGCAAATAAATTTCCAAATTATAAATTAAGAATAAGATATTTATGGATTGAAACCAAATTTACTATCAGCTGGAAATTTCTTCGATTGGTCATTACTAACAACATCAAATTTATTAAAAGAAGCTTGATTTAATAATGGTGCTACTATAAAAATAAAACAATCGATAAGTTACTTTTCATAGTTAAGCGCGAAAATTTGTTAGGGAAAAAATCGATAAGTTACTCTTAAATCGATAAGTTACTTTTTTTTGAATCGATAAGTTACCATAGTTAATTTTTCAGATTTTGTATGGCAGTTGGAATATATTGGTAGCAGCAGAAAAAAGATTTTGAAGGTGGATTACATACAGGACTGAGAGTTTTCACGCACAAAAATTTTTAGTGAGTGTTTTATAAGTCTCAAGAATTTTACGCATACAAATTTGGTGAGTGTTTTACATGTCCAAATATTTCACGCACTTAAATTTTTAGTGAGTGTTTTACACGTCTCAATCAGGACAAATAAAATTCAGATGAATTTACAATACATTTTAAAATTGATCATCTAGAAATTTAATTACCTATGAAATTTGATGATTTACTTCTTATAAAACATTAATTCAGCTCACTATAAATTTAAATTATCTATCAATCAAATCTATTATGATTCTACGATTATGTAAAATACTAACTTAGGAGATTGAATTGATAAATTGAGCATGGATATTTCTGTTGGAATATTATAACTCAATAATTACTAATCTTAGAAAAATAGTTTTAAACTTTATTTTTGTGTCATATTTTTTAAACAATAAGGCAGTTCATTTGGCTGCAAAATAAAATTAAAGTTGTAAACAAATGACTAATACAAATAATTATTGTTTACTTTTTCAATAAGGGATTTAATGAGTCACTCCTTGATTACTGATTAAAGTATTTCAATTACTAATTTAACAATGAGGGATTTATCTTTTTACTAATTGATTATTAATTTATTTTTACTTATGACTAATTTTTATTACTATTAAATTTTTATTATTATTATTATTTTTATTTATTACTAATTTTTACAGTCTATTGTTGACTAAGTTTATTAAGTTTTAAAGTCTATTGTTGACTAAGTTTATTAAGTTTTAAAGTCTATTATTGACTAAGTTTATTAAAATATTTTTAATATAAATAGGTTGGCATTTTCCCAACTTCTCAAATTATTTTTAAGATTTTTATTTTTAGATTTTTAGATTTTTATAATTTTGTTTAATCAACTAATATATTATATTATACTTTACTTTAAACTAAACTAATGTCTCAAGCTAATACTGCTGGTNCTAAACTAATGTCTCAAGCTAATACTGCTGGTATTAATTCTACTGCTAATGTTAATGAAGCTGGTGCTCAAACAACTCTAACCTCATCACAGGTTATGAGCTTAATGGGGTTTAATGTGTTTAATGGGCTCACTATTCCAGATGAATTAAAATTAAGTTCAAAAGCAAACTATACATTATGGAAGAACAATGTTATTAGATTATCACAAGGTGTTGGTGCTGGTTTTGCTGAATTTGTTGCAGATGAAGTTGCTGCTGAAGCTTATCCAACTCAAATGAATAATTATTTAGATGCATTATTATCAATTACAGTTAAGGAGAGTATCTTAACTCCCATTCGTCGTTTAGGTCGTCTTGGTAAAGACCTTTACTTGGATATTCTTAGAGATTTTGGTGAACTACAAGTCCACGACAAAGTGAAAATAATCACAAATTACTGGGATAAATTAGTTAATCCATCTGGTGAATTGAAAACTAAATTTACTGTTGAAAAAGAATTTTTGCAATTTTGGAAATCAACTCCTGCTGAAGAACAAGATGCTCTTTTTCATTTTATTTGGATTCATTTATCAAAATCAGGTTTAATTTCAAAATATTTAGAGGGATATGATCCACAATTAAGTACTGCTGCTCTTAAAAGGTTTATTAATGTTCATCCAGAATTAAATGAATCATCAGGTAATGCTAATGCTGTTTATACTGGTCCTACAAATAATAGTCGTCAAATTGCTACTCCTTCAAATGTTGGTGATCTTTTCCGTTTACAATGCCCAAATTGTTTTGGATTAGGTCATAGTGCTCGGTCCTGTTCCTCAGCAAATAGGGCTGGTCTTAGAGTACCAGATTTAGAAAGAAGATTAAGTTATTATCAATATAGATCTGGTAAATTCGGTGGTTCAAAAGATCAATTTAAAAGTAAAGATGCTAAAGCTTTTCAAAGTACTAACTCAAATCCTTGGGCTAATAAAGATTCTGGTAAAGCAAATGTTATCCAACTTGATTCATCTGTTATTGATACTTCAGTTATTGCTAATTCGGTTTCTGCTGATACTTCAAAATGACTATTAATACTTGATTCAGGTGCAAGCATAAATTTATGCAACAATCTTTCCTTTTTGCATGACGCTGTAATGTTTCCAGAAATCAAATACGTTCAGGTTGCTAATGGTGAAAAAGTACCAGTTTTTGGTTTTGGGACCCTTAAGTTACAAACTAATGATAGTATTGTTCATGTTAAATACACTGGTTATTCTCCATCTATGGCTTTAAATATTATTAATCCAAAATCATTACTTCAACCTGATGATTTTCTTCAAATTACCGATTCAACTGTTTTTCATTCTCAATTTGGTATTATTGGTGAATATAAAGATATGCTCACTTGCAGTTTGATTCCTATTCAAAGAAATTTGGATCTGGAGATAATTCCTGACTATGTCTGTGCTACTTTTATCGAAAATTTACATGCTGCTTTAGGACATCCAAATACCAATTCATTTAGAAATATGTTAAAGTCTGCAGGTATTATTAAATATAAAACATCTGATCTAGACATACAATGTGAATCATGTTTAAAAGGTAAAAATTTCAAGAGTTTTCCAAAAGTTTCTGTTTCTCCTGCAACAACTGCGCCTTTACAATTAATTCATACTGATATTGCTGGTCCTTTTGGTACAGCTGGTATTCATGGTGAAAATGTTATGCTTATCATTGTGGATGATTTTACAAGAATGAAATTTGTATTTCCACTCAAACATAAAAGTGAAGCTGCTGAGGTTATTATTAATTGGATTAATCAACATGAAAGATATTTCACTTCAAGAGGAGGTTATCGGGTTTCCTCATTACGCTCCGACAATGGGGGAGAGTTTGTCAACTCAAGACTTCAGCAATTCTGTGTCCATCATGGCATAAAACAAGAAACTACAGTTCCTTATAGTAGTGAACAAAATGGTGTTGCTGAGAGAGCTATTCGTTCTATTGAAGACAAACTGAGAGTTCTATTAGAAGAAGCAAAATTAACCGAAAAATTTTGGTCATACTCCATGGTGTTGAGTTGATTCTCCTGATGAAGTTGTAGTTGTAGTTGATTGAGCAATTGGATTTCTAGTTTGATTGTTTGAGTTATTTGTAGTATCAG